TACTACCTGTGAGATTACAGGCTGTACTTGGCCGTCAGGTATCGTGGAAACAAACAAGCACGGCTCCATACGCGGCTCGATGTACCAAACAGGCCTCCGTTTGTTACCAACGCCCGGGATCAAACGGAGTGCGCTGATCCGTATAAGCCTCATTAGCGATCTGCTCCTGCAATCCCCTGTTCGGCATGGAACAGCCTGCTTGCTTGCATGAATCAATCAATCCATGGCCCTGCTCGTCCCAACAATCACCAACACCAACACCAAAACAAATCTCACTCCAATAGAGATGGCCACACTCCCTCTCTAGGGCCAACATGTGAAGCACACACTTGCATTTGTCCGGCCGTAGCTTTACCGTCCCTCGTTCATCCTGGCCTTTCTAATTCTAGTCCGTCCGATGAGATGGTAGGCAAATGCACAAGGGTATGAAATTCAGGGAGACGAAAGATATCGCACTCAGACCCCGATCCCGCCTCCTTTGGGTCAGTAGCATAATACAAACCAATCTCGATATGATGCGCTGTTTTTGCTACTCCTGGCGGCATCTTTTTTTTCTCCCACGTTGTTATGCCGACATGTATCATTGGCCCTGTCGATCCCTGCATCGCCCTTTGCGGCAAACAGCTCAATCTATCCAAATGTCTTGGATTGGAGATTTGAAAAAAAAAATTGTACCCCTGGCTCACCGTACATCACCGCCTTATCCGGGTATTATGGAATTGTGCTCAAAATCCTACTCTGCTCTGCGACGCTCTGTAACTCGTTGATAGCGCATTATTTAGTACGTGTTCTGTATTATATGACATCTCAGTAAACATGCACTTCGGAGGCAGCTAGTACGTGTCCATGCTGTCCATGCTGTGTAACCTTGGCCGAGGCAAGATCCAGTGGTTGTCACAGCTCCACGCAGATGTCCATCATCCCGACTCGAGTCCAAACTGATGCAACAGGGTGCCAAGCCATGCCAGCGGAGATGCTCCTTCGCCTCTTTGTCATGGCTCAAACTCCGTGATCCGTGCACTTACAGTTTGGCATGTGGGAGATGATCATGCCAATGGACCCCCCTAGCCATATCAATCGCTCGTGATGCCGAAGCAATTTAGTCAGTATAGGCAGGCAATAGTTTAGGTTAGTACCTTGTATACACTCTAAAACAAGGTCGACTAGATGTCACGCCAGGCCATTAACACCACTTGGCGTATGTGAAAGCCTTCGTTGCCACCACTATCACAAAGCTTCTCTGTTTCTTACCCCGCACCTCTATCACAATATTAGGCAAGCAAAACAAGGAAAGCTGCCTGCTTGCCTGGAGGGATCGCCTGCGCCGCAAGAGTGTCAGCAGAGCTCCCCAAATGCCTTTGCTCATCTTATATGCGTCATGTAGGGCGTTGTCTTGATGTATCACAGGGCAGGCTCGGCAGTAATTGGCGCAGGGCTTGGCTCTCCTTGGAAATCCCCTTGGGCTAGCAGTACTCGTATACGACTGGTCCAATAGGCCTTGCACACAAAGTGCTTCATCTAAATTGCATCGACCATGCCCTTAGGCATTGCCACTTTTGCTTTTCTATCATTCGCGAAATGCTGCACAAACAACTCTACAGAGTCTAGACCCAGCGTATACACGTAATCAATCCCCCGACTGGACGCCGATAACACACATGCTATACCGTTTTAGATTCGTTCCCATCATCGTCATCAGTTCATCCAAAGGCGTACAGCCTTGTCTTTTCCTCCGCTGCCTACTCGTTGTCCGTCAGGACTCCAATCAACCTAGCACGCGGTCAGCTATCAATTCAGGGGGTACGAAGCTGGAAGGAGACAGGGGACGCAAACGTACTGCAAAAACTTCATCTTGGTGTCCCGGTAGGTCAACAGCCAGCTTACAGGTAGCCATTGACCACACTTTCAATGTGGTATCCTTGGATGCCGTCACAAGGAGCCGACTATCGGCAGAAAAAGCACACTGGTATATGGGCGCTACATGGCCTCGGAGCGTGTTGATGAATTTGCCGTCCCTATATCGGACATGACATTAGCACGTGCCAGACATATTCCCTTGGTGACCTCGAAACACAAACCTTGCGCTCCAGATTTTGGTGTGATTGTCCCATCCGGCACTCGCAATGAGACTGCCATCAGGGGAAAATGTCACGTGGTTGATGGCCTTTTGGTGTCCCAGGAGCCGTGCAACCGGCTTTGTGCCCTGAGAAGGATCCCAGAGGTACATGGTAAAGTCATCCTGTGGAAACACCAAAGAAGGTTAGAGAAATGAAACAACGTCATATGGATTGTTTGCCAAGTAAAACTTACAGAGGCTGATACAAGACGTTCTGCAATCTTTCCCTGGAATCTGGCTGCCTTTTCAAAACGCTCCTTTGCCTTGTTCCGCCTTTCCTCCTCGCCACTTGGTGTTGGCTGGTGGTCATAGAATGACGTCCGTAGTGCAAAGTCAGTAGACAGAGCTAGGTGATTTACCCAATGGGCATGAGAGGATAGCGTGTGCACCAGTGTTCCCTTCTCAGCGTTCCAGACTCTGACTGTCTTGTCATGGCTGCCTGAGTAGATCAATCCAGTTCCTCCCCACTTGACGCAACTCACGCTGCTCCGGTGACCGGACAAGATATGCTCAGTCCGTCCTGTGTTTACTGCCCAAACACGAATTGTTGTGTCCTTACTCGCACTCGCCAGCCGGGGAGACCCATTCTCCCAAAGATGATAGGGCTCCCAGGCAATGTTGGTAACCCACTTGGAATGCCCTGTTAAAGCTCCACCGCCGGTAGCTTTCCCCGTCGCAGGGTCCCAGAGTCGTACAGATTTGTCCATGCTTCCGGTGGCCAAACGCTTACCATCGGGGGACCAAGCTACACACAGAACCCAGTGCGCATGACCAGACAGGGTAAACTTGGGAGTGCCGGTTGCCGTATCCCATATCCGAGCGGTTTTGTCGCCAGAACCTGTAGCCAATAAACTGCTAGTGGCAGGACTGAACTGAGCAGCCAAGATTGCTTCGCCATGCCCAGGTATTCTATGAGACATCCGCGTGACTGCTTGGACTTTGAAAACCGCCTGGGGCTCGGCACTAAGAGTAACTGTCGTTTCAAATGGATTCTCAATGCCATGGCTGCGCAAGAGTTGGAGTAGGTCGGTCGGGTATTGGTCAACGATAATGTCCGTCTCTGGGATGTGTATTCGGAACCGATACGGGAGGAATTCTTCCCTTTCCTATTGTCGCAACACGTCAGCCAAAGCGCTCCATTGGTATGTCTGCGCAAGTGGTGGAGACAAACCCTAGCAAGAAGTGTATTCAACAGTAATGATAGATTCTTCTCAGATGCATCAGCAAGAGGCACTTCGATGACATCGGCCATCTGCTTTCCGTCGCCGTCGAGAAACCGGGCCTTGAACGAGCCCGCAGGGCCAGCCGCAACGGCGGTGACATCTTGCTGTATCTGCGTTTTTTCCAAGTTTTCGCGCTTTTGGCGCTTGGACGGAGGGGGTAGCACCGTCGCCATGGCAAGTTGAAGAGCTTCCTTGGACTGACGATATTTCGAGAAATGTTGTTCAAAGTTCGCTACAGAATCACAATGGTGGGGCCCAATGGCAAAAAAACTAGGAACTGGACGAAAAATTAAGGCGGTGAGAATGTGGGGTTTCGCCAAGAATGGTAAGCCCACGCCAATACCTCAAGGGCCCCGGTCGAGATCTGTAGTATTAATGGGCCAAAAAAGTTGCATCGGATGGGATATCCGATGCAATTTGAAGATGACTGTCAAGGAATGGCCTAGACGTCTGGCTGCGTCGCCATAGATGGCCGGTGGCCACGAATGCGCTTGGGCGTGCCGCCGAATACTGGAAAGATGGAGGTGGCCGTCATCCCACCAGGGATGGGGACGGGTGTGGCAGTGGGATTCTGGGCAAGCTGAAAATGCGACTCTTGCATCAACGGCTGAAGATGGCTGTTCTGTGCTTCTTGTTGAAGCTGGTGATGCACGGCCTGCTGATCCATATTCTGCTGATGCTGGTGTTGCTGTGATTGATCGTCTTGCCGTCCACGGCGCCTTGCCCGCTGTTTCTGTGCTGACAGCTGCCTGCGGCCTTTTTCCACCAGCAGATGTCGCTTGTCTTGAGCTTCCTGCCTGCGCTGGCGCTGCCAGTCCTCATTCTGCACGGCGTAGATGGCAGCAATTTGCATCTGAAATTGTGCCAGTGCGTTCAGTCGATCTGGCTGTGACATTTTTCGATAATCGGATTTGAGCTGGTGGAAGGTGTCGCCGGTTAAACGAAGTGTTGATTCAGAGATGCCAGCCAGCTGAATGGCCGTTGCTGTCTGCGTGTCGGGTCGTGGGCCGTCGTCGATTTCTATCAAGCACTGATTAGAACTCCAGCCTCGGACGCCATGAAGCCATTCCATCACAAACCTTGAAGCTCAGTAAGTTCATGCTCATCTTCGCTCATCTCAGTGGGTGTTGGTGGCTCTGGGGTCCCGGGAGCATGGTTGTGCTGGTCACAAGAGATGGTCAACACCCAGCCGCCAATGCTCTTGCGATTGACGGCTTTGGCTTTCCAAGGACAGTCCGTCTTTTTGGTGGTGGTCTTGTGCTTGGTTGCCATGCATTTATACGGGCGCCCGCCTCGATCACAGACAAGATCACAGCGAACGATGTCATTGCCAGGGATGTCGGCACCACCCATCCGTGAGCGGTGCGATCTAGCCTTGACAATCTTGTAGCCCTCCTTCTCCATTCGACCATTGAGGTCCTTGATCAGCTCCTCATACGTGCTGAAGACGCCGGCATGGGGCACGGCAACGGCCTCGAGGATCCCAAACATGGCTGTTCTGGTGCGCCGGCGGTTCGCGCTGATATCGCTAGACTGCGTGTGGATTTGAAGTCAAACCTGTGTGTGTCCAATGTGATTCGTGGCGTCACAGCGCGGTCAAGACGTGGAGAAGAAGGTTGTTTTGGGAGAAGTTTCGGGCTAAACCGCGGTCCCTACAAGCCATGACTCAGCTCCCTGGTCCAGGTACCTGGAGGGCTGCAAGAGCTGATTGGTACGTACAAGCAGCCAGTAACATCACATGCTGGCCGAGACAGGAGCTCCTTCCCGCTCGCTGATGTGTAGATAATCGATCTTTCATATCAGATAAGTGAATGGGCAGGTGCAATGATGACTTTATTGCTCCCAATTGTTCAGCTAGGTATATCTTGGCTATACGGTAGATTAATAAAACCATTGGTATCCAATCTTTCTGACTGCTTCATCCACTGTCCTTCAGCAGTCAATCATCAATCCAGACATCAGTGAGCCGTGGGCAACATTTACATGCTCTGCAGTGGCTTAGCAACTGTACCCTCTGCCACGGCAATTTTTTTATCTACCAACTCTACCCAAGTGCCATATCTCCGTCTTCGGCCATGTCGTTTCCCTCTCGAGCCTCGTCTCGCACAACGGGCACGGTTTCTTCGTACTTTTCAAGCTCGCTCCCACCTGATTCTCCCAACTACCAATCTGTTGCCAGCTCCAGCCAAGCCGGCAGACATGTCTTCGAGAGCGAAAACGATCGTCTATCCCGATATTCTCCATCAATCGCAAGCTCCAGACCTAGCACCGCCTACATAACAACGTCGACAACTACTTCTCGTCCCACCACTCCCTCGCGTCGTTCTCGAAATGGAGCCACCCCTTCTATCCTTGGCCAGAGCGACTCGTACGATGTCGTCTGCGCAGTCAGTGAAGCACGGGGCGTCACTCCTACAGTGGGAATAGCTATGGTAAACTTGTCTCTCGGTGAAGTTACTCTCAGCCAAATATGTGACAACCAATCCTACGTGAAGACAATTCACAAGCTTCAGCTAGCATGTCCTTCTCGCATAGTCTTCATGCCGTCGGCATGCTCTCCCAATGAGCCTAGCACATTTTTCTCTCTTGTCCAGAGATTGATACCCGAAGCGGAGATATCCTCTCACGACCGTTCCGCCTGGTCTGAATCTAGCGGCATAGAGTACATAGAGCACCTTGCCCCTGAAGGTGATATTGGACCAATTAAAGTGGCTATTCAAGGCAAATACTATGCCATCTGCTGCTTGTCCGCCGTAAGTTGTTTCTCTGTCTACCTGCTGTTCATTTCGGAGATTCATGTTTCTATACCCTAGGCCATGAAATATATCGATCATCAATTTAACCTCAGCTTCTCTCCTCAATCGCTGCGTATCCGATATCAACCCTCCGAAGACACGATGATGATTGACATATCTGCTATGCAGTCACTCGAAGTAATGAGAAACCTAAAGTCTGCCAAATCGAAAGAATGCCTGTTTGGGTTGTTGGATCACACCCTTACACCGATGGGTTCTCGCGTGCTTCGCAACAATATGCTCCAACCACCTACCGATTTTGATGGGTTCATCAAGACACGGTATGATGCGCTCGAAGAGATGGTCACCAACGAAGAAATGTTTCATGAAATTCGCAAAGGTAGGAAGCGCAACTGGAGTACCAACTAGTGGTCAAATTTGCTGAGTCAATACTCCTAGCACTTGAGCTTTTCCATGATGCTGAGAAAACTCTCACCAAGGCAAGCCTAAACAAGTCAATCTTTCAACATATCGGCGGTCACTGATGAATGCAGCTAGTCATCATTCGGAATACTACCGGAGTATTTGCAGTTGAAGAACAGATCAATCACATCCTCATGATAAAATCTTTTCTTGAATCAGTTCCTGATCTCTATAGAGCCCTTCACCCAGCACAGAGCGATTTGCTTGTCAAGATACGGAATCTGTGCCGACCGGAGACTACGGTTCCAATTCTACTCAACATCAAAAAGGTGATTGAGGCCGATGTTACTTACATGAAATCTCCACTAGACCTGCGCAACCAAAGGGCCTTTGCGGTCAAATCTGGCATTAGCGGCATGTTGGATGTTGCTCGTCAAACTTACAGAGAGCTTAATGAAGTAATTCACATATACTCGGATAAAGTCAGCGGTATGAGCAGTCATCATCGTTTATCTAAGACAAAGGCTATTGACGAAAAACATACACAGAGGACTATCGCGTTGCGGCATCCTTGAAATATGATAATCGGCGCCTGTACTGGTTTCGAATTCCTAGAGTAGGCCTCGACATGGAGGCGATACCACAAGATTTTATCAATGTGATTCCAAAAAAGAGCTACATCGAATGTCAGACTCTTGATCTCGTCAAGTTGAATCAACGGCTCTTGGACACTTCAAACGAGATAATCATGCGAAGCGATGCCGTCATTCGTGGTTTGGTGAAAGAACTGCGACGCCAAGTGTCTCCTCTATTTCGGGTATGCGAATCAATTGCTCTTGTGGATATGATATCGTCCTTTGGTCAAATCACCACCACACGGGACTATGTCAGACCTAATATCGAGGACACATTGGCCTTAAAATCAGCAAGGCACCCAATCCTTGACAAGGTAACGTGCTGCCTTGGAAGTTGGATACCTGTTGCTTTGCGCAGACTGATTGTTATTTCTGTAGAAAATGGTAAGTGAATATGTGCCCAATGATTATTATGCAACTGAGAGATATCGCTTTCACTGTGTCACGGGATGCAACATGAGCGGTAAGAGCACATACATTCGATCAGTAGCTTTGCTTCAAATTATGGCGCAAATCGGATGTTTTGTCCCAGCAGAATTCGCAACCTTTCCCATCATACACAATATCTTTGCTCGAATATCAACCCAAGATAATATAGAGGCAAACCTGTCGAGTTTTGGGGTAGAGATGAGAGAAATGGCCTTCATCTTGAAGAATATTGACAACAAAAGCCTTGCAATCATTGACGAGTTGGGCCGTGGGACAAGCGTCAGAGATGGCATGGCAATTGCAATGGCCATATCCGAAGCTCTGATTGACACAGGGGCATCCATCTGGTTTGCAACCCACTTTGTCGAGCTAGCTCGAGTACTTGCAGACCGCCCCGGGGTCCTGAATCTCCATCTTGCGTCCAACACCTCTGTTGGAGACGGAGGGATACCTCAATTGACAATGCTTTACAAAGCCACCGCGGGCACTGTTGATGACGAGAATCATTATGGAATTGCTTTGGCTCGTGCAATTGGAATGCCGGAGAGCTTCATTAATTGTGCGGAGTCTGTTGCAAATGATTTGAGAAAGAGGCGAGAATCGAACCGACAGAGCTCCGAGTCATATAAAGAAATACACCGACGCAAACTCGTATTGAACCTCTATGAAGCCATTAAGCAAGCCAACAATTCTTCAAACAAGGAAGCTCTCCCTGGCTACCTCAAGCGTCTCCAAGAAGAGTATATTCTGCGTTTGACGGAAATTGAAGAAATGTAATGTTGGGCAATTATTTGAGCCATCTATGGCGCTCGTTCTTTAGTGTGCAAACGGGCGCATTTAACTCTTGTCCCTCGGTCTTATAGCGCAATGTCCACATTCGTTCACTCCTTCGTGTATATATTGGCAGATAACGTCTATTTATAAAGTGGTTTGGCCACAGATCACCTGCTGTCCTTCTATCTTTCTCATAAACGAACAATCGCGAACTAATAAAAAAATCACATGTGAGTACGAATAATATGCTGAGAATCATTACTCGAACTATAGTGCCAGAGCACTTTCGGATGTATTAAGCCGCTTCAAAAGCAATCTTTAGTCTTACAGTCAGGAGAAAGATACTGGATTGGGATACGTACTTTAGCAAGTGTAAAAGCTTGCTGGTATAGCTCAGGCTATTGGTATTCAAATGGAGGTCTCTCTTGAGACTGTTCCATGATTGTGATGCCCTCTTGCCCATTTCTTCTGGAACTGACCGATCTGTATCGGCAAGTCGCCTGTTGAATACTTCAAGACTTAACCAGCCTTTGAATCCTACCCGTGAAATAAGAACCTGAAGTATCTCTCGGATAGGCAGGTAACCTCCGTAATGAGGTTCACCATAGAACAGTCTTGCGTTCCTAGACCAGCTCATACGAGGTGGCTGTTCCGGGTCATAGAACTCGTGGCCTTGCAGGAGTCGCTGTGCGAGTCGCTCCCCATCAGCGACTTGCAAGAGGAATATTCTATCGGCTGGGACAGACTGAACAAGGCGATCCAAAGACTGCGACAAGGTTCGGCCGGCGTCGGGATTGCGGCCGGTTGACATTGTGGGATCAGCATATATGCGGCCTGCAATGTTGAATGTGTCTAGGCAGATGCCAAAGTTTGGCCGGTTTACTTTGCACACAATGTCCCAGCTGGCCTCCCAGGTCTCAACACGAGTTCCCCAACAGAGAGCTTCGTATGCAAAGCGAATGACGGGTGATTCTTGAAGACCCATTTCTGCTATTTCTACCATGTCTTGGATAATACAATCCATGTCCTTGGTGATTTGATCCGGCGGTAGGTTGCTACTTGGCAACATGATAAGGTCGGTACCCAGCACGTGTGCCATTTTGAACCAGAGTCTCATCTCCTCTATGCGGCGATTGTGCAAGTTTCGGTCCACAAGTCCTTCATAGTGCATGAAAGGCTGGAGGCAAATGATTTCGAGGTTACGATCGTCGCAATACCCTTTAATCAAATGAGCAGACGAGATGTGATTTTCCGGAGTGGCTCCGCCAGGCATCTTCTTGGCGAGGTCCAGGAGGTCTTCGTAAAACAACTCTATGCCGGAGAAGCCGTATTTCATGGCCATGTCTAGTTTCTCTGGGAGAGAATGGCCAGCGTAGCATCTGCCCAGAGACATTGTGCATATGCTTGGTTTATACGCCATTTTGGGGACACGGTAAGAGTGAGGCGTTTGTAAAAGAGAAGGGAATTTAATGAGAATGAAACATCTACGATAGTACAGCAAAGAATTAAATAAAAGATCCGCAAAGGGATTCTCGCCCTTTTTCAATGATCTTCAATGAAGAGTCCTCATGGCGCCTCCTGAGTACCCACTCTTAGTACCAAGTGTGGCTGGACGGCGATCTTCGAAAGGGGCATTTGGATGGATGGAAAATCAACCAGGAGTCTCGTACTAGTTCTGCAAGAGTCTTCTATCTTGACTTCCTTCAACAACACTTGGCGGCTGGTCCCTGGTTATCAAGGCCAGTCTCGCCGACGGTCCGCCGTCGACGAACCACAACAAGAGCCAAGGATGATAGTGCGGGCAAAACTCGAGTCGAAGAAAGTGTGAAAAGAGTGAATATTTGCTCTCCTCGGACAGATTCAAATCCCCATGAACGAGAACTCGGGTCAACGATGTCCGAATCTGAATCATAGCGACGGCTCCGGCGAAGCGGCCGAAGAGAAGACGGCGATAGCTCCGCTAGTGGGGCCGTGTCAAGTTCAAGATCCCGTCGGGATAGGCTCGAAAAGACTCTGCCAAGGCTGTGTATATAGTGTGATGTCGCGGATATTTCCAGTTACGTTGTTTTGAGTGCTATAAATGGGCCGGAGAAGGGCCATTTCCCCAGTATCTTGGAGTGGACGATGTGACTGCATTGTGAGGTCTGCATGATAGGCTATCAGCCTATCACGGGGCGATGTCGAGTCCCCAGGTTTGCGGAGAGTAGCTGTTGAAATGGAGACGTGTCTAAAAAGTCTTGATATATATACATCTCGGGAATAGCATTGCTGTTTGCTAATAAAATGTCAATGTCCGTTGTCATAGGCAAATCGGACCGAGTAGCCTTATGACCGGGATTCCGCGATCCCTGTTGTCACAAGTAGGAAGGTGGAGTGCAAACGATTGGGTGCGAGCGACAAATTAAGCATCTTTATAGTCTTGAATAAAGCTGATAGCCGTATGAGATATTTACGAGAATTTCATGGGCACCGTGAATAGTTGGATAAAGAATGGTGAAGGATGGATCTATGAACCCCGTGACATTAGTACTGGGCCGGGATGTCTACAAATAGAATAAATGATTCAATTCGCGCAAGGTTTCAGATATTGCATTATACCATATGCTTGCTCTGAAGAATGTGTAATAAATCATGAGTGAATGGACATGTTGTCAACAGGAACACCTGCAGTTACCATGCTTGCAGTCCCGTTAATTGAAACCACGCGGCAAGTGCCAAATCAAGTTACAATTTCACTGCTCATTACTTGAATTTACCCTGCATCATCTCTTGTTTACTCCAAAGCCTAGGATTCTCTAATATGAAGAATCAAAGCCCGATATGATCGAATGCAAGATGCTGATGAGGAATTGCCACCGGGCGTCAGTTAAGAAGTTTGCAGGGTAGTCTATGTGATCGAGGAGAGCGCCTTGAGTAACGGTTGAGCCAGAGTACATTCAGTCCCGATTGTACACACGGTATGTTTCAAACGATATATTACATATATGATATATATTAACTGCGGCGTTGAGTATATTAGATACCCTTGTACAGTTTGTACTCCATGTGTTGAGAATGCATGATGCACGACGTCAGCTACACGCGTCACTTGAGTCTCCCTGGGCGAGTTATTTCTACGACAATCAAACAAATGGTCTTTTACTCCCATATAAAGGAGTCGTGCTTTAATACAATGTCAGACTCTCCTCACGGCCTCTTCAGTGGCGTGGCACAGCTCGCAAAGAGCATTGTCGCACCAGGCTGCGCTCTGCATTCGCTATATGTATGCACTTTCACATCAAGTGAACAGCCGTCTGCACTATTGTGCCAATCAAGACGTTGATAGGCTCACCTTTCGTGTACATGCACACAGCCTGGTCTGCAGGATGGAATATGGTTGATCCCTGGCCGGCAGGCTGGCAAGGCGTCGATTGGCTTGGCCGGCTGCTCGCACATGAATTTGAAACAGGCATCGTGATCCCAGCCCGACAGCCACAGCGGGGGTTCAGCAGCAGGATTTCAGCTTCACAACAATGGCTACCGAACCTCAATGTCTCGCTGGGCCAAGCGTCGCTGGACCAAGCACAGCAGCCAGCAACAAGTCAGCGCATCAGTATCAACACTTCATTCCTCAGTTCCTCCTCAAGAACTTCTCCCACAAATATGTTGCGCCCGACTACCCTGACGCGGCGAGGGGTAGGAGGCGCGACCCCAGGACAGGGATCTATTCTGGAGAGCCAGTGGTTAACTGCCTTCGCCTCTCTGATGGATTTTCCCTAGAGGAGTGTCCGGCTCGACGAGCTTGCGGCTTGGAAAATATGTACGAGGACACGGAAAATCCTCTGAAAGACTATAGCCATCTCGAGAACAAGTTTGCCGCCTTGGAGAGTACAGCGAGCCTCATTTATCGCAAAATCATCAAGACGTATAAAGATGGCAAGGATGACATTTGGCTGACAAGAGCAGAACAAGATGTCTTGCGCAAGTTCATGTTCTTGCTCACATTGCGTAGCGTGCAATACCACCGAAAGTTCAACCTCGACAGTATACAAGAGTATGAAGGGGAGGACAAGGGGTGGTTGCAAGAGTACATGGAAGGCTGCAGGGTCATTAAGCCGATTGATGTCTGGCTCCAAAGCCTGGAGACAATCATTGATTTGGAGATTGATACAGACGGGAAGTGGGAGAAATTCATCAAAGAGGCGATCTACTTCCCCATTGGCGACATGTTTGTTGATTATATCAACGAAATGTACATGACCATATGCACGCCGGATAACCACGTCGAAGAGTTTATTCTTACAGACAACTGCTGCAACGTAATCGAAGGGCGGACCCCAGCTTACCCCGATACCAATGCCGTGAACCATCTCGACCTGGCTCCCTGCTTTCACAAGTTTGCCCCCATTTCGCCAAAGCTTATGATAGTCTTGCGGTCCACCCTTTTGCCTGAGCCTCTTGACTCTGCGAATTCTGTCGTTACGATGTGGCGGCAAGTCCAGCAGCAGATTTGGATTGACACTCGCTTTGGAAACGGAACTAAATCTTTGCTAGAGGATCTCCCTATTCGAAAGGCAAAGACTACCTACATGGAGGAAGTCAATGGAGAGTTGAAGCCAAGAACGGGACAGAACCATAAGCCAGGCCAGCATGACAACTTCTGTTTCACAATTTTTAAAATACCCAGTCGCCATGTCCGAATAATCAACGGGCTGTTAATTGATCACGCGTTCCATGGCTCAAGGATCATCTTTTTAAAGAAGAAAGCTTTTTTGGACTTGGTAGAATGGTTTCTGGCGGAACCATGTGTGGTCGGAAAAAAGTTGACTGAAAAGTACGGTACTCAGCAGTTGGCCTACATCAAGGGGCTGTCTCAATTCATGGAGCGTGAGGGAAGAGAGGGCACTTGCAAATGGACAATCGCGTCAAGTGGAGGTCACGACCTTGAGCAAACCAATGTTCAGAATGTTGCTGCAGCGAAGTTTTTGGAAGATCCGAACCGTGCAAAGGACGGCACTGGTTTGGACTGTGAAACAATCTATCGGACACTAGGTATTGAAGCTCTACTGGTTTGCTTTGCTGGAGATGCTAATCATGCGTGGCAGGTGGAACAACAGATTCTTTCCAGGAAGATATGGCAGCGGCTGCCATCATGTTGGAGACCTGGACCATGAGCGTCGATTTAAATTATGGCTCCCCCGAATATGAAGCTACCTGCCGAAGAAAACTTGAGCGACTTTTAGCAGGTTATCAAAGACATCCTACTACTCGATTTTGGCTTTTTCTAAAGAAAATGAGACTTGCGCAAACAGTCGCGACCAGAGCCCTCCAGTCTGTACAGAATGTTACTCTGTTTGTCAAAGAAGAGTGCCAAGGATCCGAGGACTTGCTTGCCTACGGTCGGTTTTACCGTTTCTAATGTTCAATGCTCATATTATTAATGTAAGATTCACAGCGCACTCCATCATACCGGATAATGAGATCAATGTGGCCATGTACAAGGCTTTCAATGAGAGCATCGCCGTCGTCAGAGGTGCTGGCTGCGGTCTAGAATCGATGGGGCATTTCTCACTGTTCGGTGACGCGAAATGGAGAATTCCAAACCCCGCTTCTGGACAAGATGAGCCATTCAAAGTTGGTAAAGCGAAAGTGAATGGCAAGAGAGGCAGGAAAGGCAAGAAGACAGTTTGTCCCGCGGCACCTGATGTCGCAATCGGAAAGGTATCAACAGAGTCTCCCGGTCAGAATCAGCAACTTGACGTAAAGGAGAAGATTGATGCTCAGAAGGCAATCTGTTCTTCGCAATCTGGAGCCAATAAGAGGAAAACATCGACAGGTGCAATGAAGCCCTGCGATGATGACAAGACGAAAGAAGAAGCTGGTATAAAGAAAGAAGTCTGTACTGCAGTAAATAAGATCAGGAAGCCAGACTGTCCTTTGTCAAATGGAAACCAGAAGAGGAGATCAACAGGCCCTAACGGACAACAGCCTGCGCTAAGTCATGGCGTCAAGATGGAAGTTGGGCCTGTTACAGGACCGCCAAGCTATCTCTCCCAATTCCTCGCCTGGGGCCGGAAAACGCCTGCAGAGGCCATCGCTCGCAATAAGAAAGCCTATGATGCTCTTTTGCACGATAGGAAAATGATGTACGCCGGTATGACCACTGCATTCTTCCTGGTTGGCTCGCTCGGCCTTTATATAATCGGAGCTGTTGCATATGTTCTTTCGAAGGCTTTTTACGCCCTTGGCTATGTTCTCTCGCATTTGGTTGGCGGTCTTGTGTGGCTGTTGAATAACTTGGCCGCTCTATTGAGTATTCTTCCATTTTCTTGCTTCTTCATGGCTAAATATTTGCTTTTTGCAGCAGTCGTTTTGGCTGTGGTTTGCTTGGGAATTCTCAAGATTCGAAGAATCCTTTAGGGAGAGGGTTTTGAAGATGCTTGTTATTGCTGGACTTACTAGTGGATGGGCCAAGAATGCAACTATTAGTTCAAGCAGGATGGTTGTTACGGAACAATGAGAAGGGCATGTGTGTAGGCATTTCCAGGCATTGCTCTCCAATTCGTGAGTCGAGTTAAAGAGTAGTCAAATGAGCTTTATCCAGGGCAATAACAACATATTTTCTTTTCCATGATGTCGAACTTTTCTTTAACTTACGCTCAATAGATACTTGAAATGCCCAGATATTGTATGTACAATACATTTCCGCCCTTGGCTGATCAAATACGTCTCTCTACCTACCATCAAAATATCCCGCTGAAGCCATCTTATTAGGCATAAAGAACTTGAACACCTCTACTTTCGCCTCTTCAACTTCAACAATCACGCTCTCAACTTCAACTTTGTAGATCCCGTCCTATTGTACTTGTAAGCCTTATTCACGATCATCTGTAATTTGGAAATGCGTTTAGTGATTACTTCGAAGCCTCTGACTATGCCGAATTTGGTCTCTACGTTATGGTTAGAGAATTGGACTGATGTTCCTCTGCGATTCATTAAGAAAAACACCTCGACAGAATAACAATAATTCACAGAATGGTCGCGGTGTATACTTATAAACAATGTGGGGGCGGGCCTAGGACGCTCCGCCGGGGACAGCTGACTCAGGGAGAAAATGGAATTGGTGATTTGTACGATTAACAGATGATTTGTACTCTCTCATGAGTTTGTATGATTTGGTGTGAGTGTGCAAAGGCGAGCGAATAGGAGGTCTTGGTGTAGAGTTGGGCTATCAATAAGAATTGTTGAAGTACTGCAAGGAATATATATACCTTATGAGCTTTCGGCATATGATGCATCTGTAACATCAAGGTAATTTATATATAAATAAGAAGCTAAATTTTAAGATCTGACTAACTTAGGGTGTACTGCGAAGGAATATTCCTAATGCAAGGCCTTTGTCTCGTTCAATCATGAAGAGTGAGGTCCACTTTTGCAGTAGCTCTATTGGTGCCTAATGCTTAATAAGTATCCAAGGACTAGAGAGCCCAAGGCATGATAAATGCCCAAGTCCATTCTATATTAAATCCAAAGAAACCCCAATATTATCTATTAGTCTTGACTTTTGAAACCACTATTCTTTAAAACCTCTTTATCATAACCACTATATCTTAAACATCTTCTGCTTAATTAATTCGTTGGCATGACAAACTCTACAGTATCTCGCCCTGTCAGTCGCGAAGAGTTTGAGATCGCGATTGTGTGTGCCATACCGCTTGAATACGATGCTGTAGTGATTCTTCTAGACCAATGTTGGGATGAAGGATGCGACCCATATGGAAGAGCTAGGGGGGATTATAACACTTATACGACTGGATCTATCGGCAGCTTCAATGTTGTTATACTTCTTCTTCCTGGCACAGGAAAAGCAGAGGCAGCAAGCTCCGCAGCTAGCCTCCGATCGAGCTACCCGGGGGTCAAGCTCCTTTTTTTGAACGGAATATGTGGCGGGGTGCCGAATGTGAAGGGTGAAGAACTCCTTTTGGGCGATGTTATTATCAGCAAAACTGTTGTACAGTACGACATCGGCAACCAGTATCCGGACGTTTTTAAAATCAAAGATACGATTGAGGAAAGGCTCGGTAGAGCAAGCAAGGATATCCGAGGATTCACTACTATTCTAGAGACAGAACTCGAGAGCCACCGTTTGGAGGAGCGAGCTGCTTTTCTCCTTGATGTGATTCAGAGAAAATCCGAAGAGGGACATCAAAGACGCCGAAAGCTATACACATACCCAGGGTCTTCAAATGATAAGTTATTTGAAGCAAGTTATCGTCATAAGCACCGCATTTTGCCGACATGTGAATGTTCAAATGGTTATCAGGAGGAAGGTCCAGTTTGCGAGGACTCCAGAAAGCTTTCATGTAATGAACTGGGCTGTGATTATGCCCGCTTAGTACCGCGCAGTCGTCTTGAGGAGAAAAAGAAATTTGAGATGGACGGAAACATAAAAGACGCTCAAGCACCCTCTATTTTCGTTGGACGAGTTGGTTCAGGGGATACAGTGCTCAGGTCTGGCATTGATCGAGATAGACTCGCTAGAGAGCACGGTATTCTAGCCTTCGAAATGGAGGGATCCGGTATCTGGGATGAATTCCCATGCATTATCGTCAAGGGCATTTGCGATTATGCTGACAGCCATAATAACACAGACTGGCAAAACTTTGCCGCTGCCACTGCGGCGTCAGTTGTCAAAGGACTCATCGAGCGTTACCCCAAAACCGATGAGCCAGACACTTCTTTGCTTGCGAACCTGTCAATTTCTGCAAAAATTGAAGACTCCAAAGAAAATAGAGCATGTTTGAGAGACCTGCACAGTACAGACCCTGAGGACGATAAGAAGCGCATCCAAATGACCAAGGGTGGTCTGCTACGAGACTCATATGCCTGGATTCTGACAAACGATGCGTTCCAGCAATGGCGCAATGACCCCCAATGCCCCCTTCTCTGGATCAGGGGTAATCCTGGAAAAGGGAAGACGATGCTGTTATGCGGCATTGTGGATGAGCTGGAGAAATCCACTGCCTACAACCTCGCTTACTTCTTTTGCCAACAGACCGACTCTCGTATTAACCATTCAGTGGCTATTCTGCGTGGTCTGATATTTATGCTAGTCCGCAAGCAGCCGTCTCTTATGCCACATATCCGAAAAAAATACGACGATGTGGGCAAGGCCGTGTTTGAAGATCAAAATGCTTGGGTTGCTCTTTCTGAAGTTCTGATCAACATGCTTCAAGACCCCGGCCTAAAGGATGCAATCTTGATTATTGATGCGCTGGACGAATGTTCCCAGGGCTTGCATCAGATTCTCGACTTCATAGTGAGGAGCTTGTCTTTATCTGCTCAGGTCAAGATCTTAGTGTCGAGCCGTAACGAGTTAGATATCCAGAAGCGACTAGAAGACGCTGAATGTACGTCAAGTGTGAGCCTTGAGCTCAATTCGACTTCTGTTGTTGCAGCCATTTCCTCCTACATTCAATACAAAGTCTGGGATCTAAGGCTAGACGATGATGTCCAAGCCGAAGTCGAGCAATATCTCACCAAACATGCAAACGGTACCTTTCTCTGGGTGGCTTTGGCCTGCGATAATCTCAAGAGAGTTCCAAGTTTTCAAGTACGCTCCGCATTGGCTTCATTCCCTCCAGGACTTGACCATGTGTATGAGCGAATGTTGGAAAAGATTTTTGGTCCGAATGCGAGCGACCTTGGGAGGCGGATTCTAGCTACTGTTCTCGTTGTCCACCGGCCTCTGACCATTCTGGAACTAAATTCTCTGGTGGGTTTTATTCCAGAAGGGATTGGAGAAAATGAGCAAACACTCTACGCAATTTCCGAACAGGTGATGGGTCTTTGTGGCTCTTTTCTTGTTGTGCAAGACGAAACGGTTTATTTCGTTCATCAATCCGCCAAAGATTTTCTTATCAATAAAGCCGATGACATTTTCCATTTAGGGAATGTCCACCTTCAAATTTTCTCTGCATCTCTCTCAAAGATGAATATGACGCTAAAGAAAGATATATACGGTTTGGTTGAGCCAGGATATTCCATATACGAAATTCCCACTATGAATCCCGATCCACTCGGCGCTGTGCGGTATTCATGTGTTTACTGGATTGACCATTTTCTCAGCTCGTTTCCAAAAGACAGCTTCGGAATCGAATCGAATGACTCATACTACACACCTATCCAAGATTTCTTTCAGGCAAAGTATTTATACTGGTTAGAGGCACTGGTTCTCCTACGCAACATTCCGCAGGGAGTTATTAAAATGCAGAAGCTAGAGAAGCAAGCAGTAAGCTAACCCAGTCTGCACTATCCAACATGTTTGTTTTATTGACCCGAAATGACAGAAGAAGGCAGAACTAGCAGCGCCAATAATAGACCTTATCAACGATGCCTGTCGGTTTATCCAGGAGTTCGCAGAAGCCATACATGAGGCGCCTCTACAAACTTACGTATCGGCTCTGCTTTTCAGCCCGCAAAGCAGCCTCATTCGTCAGCTTTTTGAGAAAGACATGCCGAAGTGGGTTATTGTAGGGCCAAAACTGGAACCAAACTGGCGTCCGCGGATGCTGGAAGGACATCGAGGGCCCATCAATTCAATCGCTATTTCAGGCAAAGGTGACCGGCTAGCGTCCACATCCTGGGATAATACTATAAAGATCTGGGACACTGACTCGGGTATATTTGTGTGCACAATTTTCTGCGATGATGGGTGTGATGGAGCTGTGTTTTCACCTTTGGATAGTAACGAGCTGGCATCTTATAGTCGGATCAGCATAACACTTTGGAATCTTTCGACAAATGGGAATCAAAAAAAGCTTCTGCCACAATGCAACAGTCGTATAGGATCAATCGCGTTCTCTCCTAGAAGGCAAAACATCCTTGCGTTGTGTACTAATGCCGGTGTTGAGCTCTGGAACACTGCTACATGCGAACTTATATGGATGCGTACGGCGTGGTGTGCAATGAATCTCGTCTTTTCAACTGATAACGATTTACTGGCATGGTACTCTCGGAATGCTATGCAGATCCTAGATTTGACTACTGGCGAAATCATCCACAGAAGAGAATCTACAAATATCAAAGGCATTGTATTTTCGTCCAACTGCAACTTCGTTGTGCTCGAAACCTGTGGTTATATCGATCTCTGGGACTCAATGATGAACAGGATGATATTGAGGCTTCAACATGACGAGAAAGATGGTGTCAACAACCTTTGTTTCTCAGCCGACAGCAGTTTATTAGCGGCAAGTATTAAGACTGACATCTGGATATGGGACACTAGTTCAGGAAAATTAGTTCAAAAGATTACCGTTGAGATGTTTCGTCGAATGGCTTTCTCAGCAGACAATGAACAGCTATTTGTTGGCTCTCACTCGGGTCATATCATTGTGCTGGATATTGACGGAGCGAGCCACATAGTTGATACAGAGCTTAAGATACACAAGTTTTACGCGTGGTCAAAATTCTCCCCTAATGGCAATTGCTTCATTACGGCTATGAGGGGTGCAGTTATACTCCGAGATTGCATTTCCCAGACATCTACCCTCATTTTGACAGGATACCCTATTGTTTCGCCGGATTCCACGCGGTTGGCTTTTTCCCAGGGATTGGGCTTACAAATATGGAGCATAAATTCACATCCTCCAAGAATTCTATTTCAAAAAAAATTTGCCGGATTATTCACCCAAGACACCGCAGCCTTGTCTCAAGATTGGAAGCAAATGGCCATTCCGTCCAAAAAAGGCACTATTAATATATGGGATACCTCTTCTGGAAAGCGTTTGTGGAAGCTGAAACAATCTGTGGTAGACAATACGACGTTACTATTCTCACTAGATGGCAAAAGGCTGGCAGCATTTTCTCTCAAGTCAAATAGATTTGAATTATGGGATCTTGTATCTGGCAGACGTACGACAACCAGCTTCCAGGAAATTAGCTCACCAGAGTCATTTCATTCTTTTGTAATGGCCTTCAACACTATTTTTCATCTTAAAGGCTTGCCCAGCCCCAAAGATAGTTTTCGCGACATATTCGACAAGGCAGCGCACGTCTACGGAAATTTAGGTCTCCCGGCCAATGAAAGCAGCTATAGCATTACGGAAGAGAACACTTGGGTGACTTGGAACAATAAAAGAGTTCTTTGGCTTCCGCCAAGGTATAGGCCAGCTAAAAGAAATAACTGGGATGCTAATGGTAGGTGTATTGGCTTGCATACTTACGAATCGTTAATTATTGAATTCTGTTGCGATACGTGCCCAGCAGAACTTAGCAGTAGTTCGAACAAAATATCATGCAAGGAGAACTTCATTGGGAGGTATAGAAACATAGGGAAGACAAAGCGAGTATCCGCTAGTAATTTCAAGACTTTTTTGGGGCCCTTTGGAGATATATTCTCTTAGAATTGAAGGACCAAGAGATTGGCAGAAATCTTACATGAAACATGGATTGATTACATAGCCTTTGAATAAACGAGGTTAGTATTGGTGAGATCAAGTTACACGTACCGAATATTTAAAAAAGAACACGACACTTCTATGGAACACTTGAGTGTTTCTAATACAAAGAGTAAAGCGGAAAGTGCCTTGAGGTTTCAACCACGATTAACCTATGTGTAGTTTGTAGTCAAAAGCAATGCTGTTAACCACGAGACGAAGAAGGTGCATATGGGAAGTTGATCTTATCTAATGAGGCCAAAATTTTATAATACCCAGTAGCGTCAGTTGGCGAAGAGTGATCAAGATGTGTTGTTCATGAGTTAGACGTTCCAGGGGATAAAAAGGATGATATCGATGAATACGAAGCCGAGTTCGACCGTCTCATTAAAGAAGCCCTGGGAAAGAACGTACTTGAATGTACTTCTCCTCAGACATCTCCTTGATAGAAGGTCAACTATCTAGACAATAGGTTTAGTGCCAATTGGTCTTCTATTCGTAATTTTCTTCTGCCCGATAAGGGTAAAAATGACAGGGGCAAGATTATCAGTGGCCGCGCTCGCTACTGTTCTAGCTGCCACACTTCTTCTGGCTATAAAAGCGCATGAAGACTTGACCAAAGATGCAAAGGTAGATAATCGTCTGGAGCAAGCACGAACAATAGGAGGTATGAACAAGGTATTTAAATCACTTGGCCAGCAAAAGCCAGAGGCTGAAAGCACAAGAGGTTTCCAAGCTCCGACCATATATTGTTGATAAAACCGTGCTTCATAAAACTTGATCACAAATGATTAGCGATCTTTCTTTGAAGTAGCGGAAGACGCAAACTAGTAGCTTATCATTTATTTACTACTTTTCTTGCCGACAAGAGTCCATTTAGTCCTGTAGTGGTCAAGCTACTTAAGAGCCAAATCCCGAGAGTGCAAAAAGACTCGTCATCCTGATAACCTGTACTTGGAGGAAGTAGTAGTCGAAGCCTCGGTATAAAATTGCACAGCCACATTAGAGCGCCACAGACAACTTCGCCACACTTATATCCGGCTGCCTGCAAATGTACTCGTAATACGCAGAGTAGCGTACCCATCTCTAGCTCTCCATCCCATAAATCTATTAAATGGCTGCCTCGAGTGAATTCGTACGCAAACGCGTAACTCAGAGGCGAATCCGAAACACTAATAATCTAGCACAGCGGGGAGAGTGGCAAAAGATGGCGTTTAAACCACGCTGAGAGGGCCGTTCACAGCCGCCAAAGTCTGCCTGCAATGGTCGACTTGTTTCTGTATATAAAAAGGCATCGACTTTCTAGCAATTGACAGGAAGCCCTTTGATTAGTAAATCTTCAATTCTTCTACTTTTAACTTGCAAGGTGATGGGATCTATGCTGTTAAACTCTCAATCTGCAAATCCCGCCATGGCCCCAACGCTCGGGTCTTCGCTCGAAGCCCAAGGTCTCGCAGACGAGCAGAGGGGCCTGCTGGATCTCATCGATAAGCTCCAATTCGCTCAGCTGGACAATGTTAAGCTGCCCCAGATTGTCGTCGTCGGCGACCAATCCGCCGGCAAGAGCTCTGTTCTCGAAGCCCTCAGTGGCACCCCTTTTCCTCGAGATGCCGGAGCCTGCACTCGCTTTGCGACAGAGATTCGTCTGCGAAGAGCAAAAGAAACAAATCTCAAAGTATCCATTATTCCAGACAAAAATCGCCCTTATAATGAGCAGGCTCGCTTGCTACAATATGGAGGCGACGTTGGCATCGACACGCCCTTTGACGCCATGATGAGAGAAGCCACAGAACTCATTGCGCCGCGCAGTATACCAGGCCGCTTCGCCGCCCGCGATATCCTCGTGGTCGAAAAGACGGGGCCAGAAATGCCCATGCTAAGTCTTGTTGACCTGCCCGGCCTCGTCCGCGTGGCCAACCGAGACCAGTCCGAGGCGGACATCCAGACCATCGAGGCACTCTCCGATCGATATATGAAGAGCAGCCGGACCATCATTTTGGCTGTTATCGGCGGAAACAATGACTATGTGCAGGCGCCAATCTTGAAGAAAGCTCGCTACTTCGACCCTTCTGGCTCGCGCACTATTGGCGTCTTGACAAAGCCGGACATGACCGAAGGCATTGGCCTCGAGGACAAGTTCATCGAGCTCGTGACGAACAAAGATCGAGAAAACAACTTCAAGCTCGGCTGGTACATTCTGCTCAATCCAGGACCGGGAGAGTACTGGTCGTCTGCGGAAGAACGATCGCGGCGCGAGGCGGATTTCTTCACAAAAGGCAAATGGGCCGCTCTGCCGCCTCACATGTGGGGGATCGAAGCATTGCGACAGAAGCTCAGTTCCCAGCTCCAGCGACACGTGGGAAAGCATGTCAAGTCACTCCGACGACAGATTCAACAGGCCCTTGAGCAATGTGAAACCGAGCTCAAGGCCATGGGCTCTGGAAAAGACACCATTGAGGAGATGCGCTTCGAAATGGGCGAGCTCTTCTCCGCATCAGGCAATCTCGTCACGCCTGCAGTCAACGGTAATTACAAGAACCCAGTCGGAGAGTCCTTTTTCGCGAGAAGATCCAGCCCCAAGGGAACACCTCCACAGAAACTGCGGGCGCGTGTCCGTGAAGAGAGTGAAAGGTTCTCCCGCCTATTCCGCCAACATGGTAGCAAAGTCAACTTTTCCTCTTCTGGTTCTGGCATGAACCTACCAGCAGCAGGAGTTGTCGATGACCAGTCCAAAAAAGAGTTTGCGCAGAGGGAAGTCGAGCCGCTGCTCCGACAGATTCGCGGTAATGAACTGCCCCTTGATTCCAACCCCAGGGCTCCGTATATACTGTTTCAGGATTTTTCTCGAAACTGGCCCATTCTCGCTCAGGAATATAAGGAAAACGTCGGAGTCATTTGCAACGAGTTTCTTGCTGATGTGATTGATCATGTCTGGCCCTTGAGGATGAGAGATCCCCTGCGATTCCATTTCCTGGAGACAAAGATGAAGGAAATGATGGACGAGGCAGAGAAGGAGCTCAAAAGATTGACTGACGATCTTGAGTTGGAAATCCAGCCATATGATCCTGAATACGAACAACGTCTCATCAGATGGCGCTCGGAAGCTACTCAGAATGGCGGCACCTACACCGAGGCCGAGGAAGTGCTCGAGAAGATGCTCATATACTACGACCTCACGGCGCGGATATTCACTCGCAACACCATTACTCAAGTTGTCGAGAGGCACTTGCTTTTGCGAATGCTCGGGCTCTTCAACCCCATTGAGATTTTACGCATGCAGAATGCTACCGTCGAGGCTATTGCGGCGGAGAATAAGGAGACGCGAGACCGCCGGACGGCATTGAAGGCAAGGAAGGCAGCCATTGAAGAGGCACGAAGCATATGTGCCAGCCTGGCGATGAGAAGCGAGCTACGGGCATATGAAGATGAGATGGAAGACGAAGTTGCGACGGACGACGAAGGCCATTCCAGGAATGACTACAGCTCCAAGCGCTTTTCAGTATCGTCAACACATGAAGCCGTCCAGCAGCCTCTCACATCACAAAACCCGCCAGTGCGTCGCAAGAGACGAGAAGAGCGGCCCCGGCCATTAATCAATGTCGACACCACGCAGCAAAGGCCACTGGTTCCTCAACAAAGCCAAGAGGATTCCCAGACCAGCGGAATAACGGCTGCCCAGGAGTGGGATGAATCGTATTACACCACAGCCCAATCGGCACCGCATCATGCGCCCCCACCGCCTCCTCCACGGCCCCAAAAGATAGGATTCGAGGACGGCGAGAGATATGACGCTACTCCAAGAGTTGATCGGAACAAGGAGAGCGCGAGACAGAAGTTGGCTTCGGTGATGAGATTGGGAGCGCAGAATTCGCAGGGATGAGAGGATTGATTGCTTTATCGCGGTATAAATTTGACTCAATTTGAATTGTATATTTTGCAAAGGCAACTGGGTGGATATAAACTGGTAAATAGCTTTTTGGAATGTAAGATTTAGAAGGAATAACATCCTGCTCTCAAAGAATACAAAGACCTTATGACTGCCATTCATTATTGGTGAAGACAATTTGGCCGTCAAACGAGCTTATTGTTGATGTTATTTGCGTGGTACAGTCCTGCTGCCCTGCTAATAGCCCTGAAACTCGATACTGGGCCTCGGTCACATAGAACATGATGCAATATTCGGCCGGGATTTGGAGAGTAATTAACCTTGACACCAGATTTTTTTGCCGAGTTTTGCTATCAATTTCCCCTTCTAGATATGGCTTTTATTGGCATTGTTGGTTGAGCACCGGCTATAGCGGGATCGAAGTCCAGGAACAGCTTGCACTTGATACACGCTAACGCTCGATCCTTCAGGATGCTTGGTACGTGCGATGGCATGCTGAAAGGATGAGCGGTATGTAGATGGGCGCCGATTATTTGCGACTGGTCTGATGCATAATTTCCTTTTCCCAGATGTATCATGGGGGGCGCAGGAATCGAGGAGGGCATCTGCGATCTTTAGCATCCAAAGTACAATGACATGACTTGTCTTTGGCAAATCGTGCTGCTTGACACGCTTGACACGCTTGACGGCGATTCGTTATCCAGACTGCTCCACATTTTTGCAACTTCGGGATCCGCAAGACGACTGCCGGTTTCTTATGGAGCACTGTTGCAAGCGCAAGTGTTGGAAACCACCTCGTTATCGGATAGCCCGTAATAGTAAAGCGAAATATCGAGAGCGACAGTCGATTCATGGCCTTGCAGTCGATTGTACTCCGTAAAGCAAATGGGACAAGTGTCCTCTGAGAGCGCAATGATCGGGTATGATACCCGTCGTCCCTTCATGGGAGGAGATGCCCGTCAAATACCCAGGCAGACAGCAGCTGATGAAGTGGATGCGCAAGCCATATCAACTGTCACCCGGTAACTGACGATAAGGGGAAGACCGACAAGGAAACATGGCCTGTTGAGCATTTTCATTTCGGCATCTCGTCCAATGAGTGAGTGGGTGAGTCATTGCAGAACTGATTGCTTTGCATGACGAGGCATGTCTTGGGTCTCGAGGTCTCGAAGAGTCGAGGGCGTCGTCATCGGGCAGCGCGTCTAGTTGACGAGAAGAAAAAAATCTGCGCTTAGATTCGTTTTTCTTCTAGTCGAATCTCGAGACGGCGCAGATGAAGTACTATGTAATCCAAGGGCGTTGTTGGTCGGCGCTCGGAGGACAAGCTGCCCAGGTTTTAGCATCGCCAAGCTGCAGCCACCAGAGCGCCACGCGGGCAACAATCTACCCGAGCGGCAGCGGCTGGCACCGACATGTGGATGCGCAGAGGTACCTCCCAGGTTCCTCTAATACCGAGAATGATGGCTTGATGCGTGAATAACTGGACCAATTTTGTATGAATTATGCAGCAGAAAAATATACATTATGTTATGATACATTATCTACAATCTAATTAATATTTTTCATAGTTTATTTCTCAGAAATCATCACCATATTGTGACCATGTCCCATGATGTAAATCACCAACATCTACCTCTCCGCTACTCGCAACGGCATCTGTCCCCCAAAGCGCCATAAAATAAGCCACCAGACGCCACAAAACGCCAACCGGCCCAAAGTTCCCCCTCGCTAGTCTCCGTGCCGCCGACACAGACACGCTTCCAAGCTTCTCAAGCCAACCAGGGTCACCAAAAGCACGGAGCACGGAGTTCCACAAGGCTCGACCCTGACTCTCTGATTTCCCCGTCGGGCTGGCGTCTGTTAAGCTTATTGGGGCCTTCGTTCTCGCGATTTCTTAATCCAGCCTGCGCAGCCCATTTCCGAGCAGTCGGGCATGACCTCACTTGCGAACTGCAGCCGTTGTGGCGCATTTTGGGCTGGTCGCGATGTGGTCCGATGGGGTGTCGAAGGATGCGGCGAGACGAAAGAGATGGTCTGCGGTGACGACAGTGGGGAGGGAAGACGTCCAGGGGAAATAAATAGGCCGCGATGCCGCTGTCCAGGGAGATGGAAGAAACAGCTCAGCATCGCAACCAAACAAAGCAATCACAACTCCTCTTCTCTATTATAATACAAATACAACATCTCGCCACCTTTTGACAAAGAGTCTCACCACTTGCACACAAAACCTCAACACCATCATCACCACAATCACTCCACCAACAACTCACACAATGGCCCTCCCCAACCGCAAAGTCGTCATCACCTCCTTCGGCCCTGCCTCCACCAGCCTCGAAATCGTAAACTCCACCATCCAGCCTCCCTCCAAGGGCCAAGTCCAGGTCAAGATCCACTATGCAGGCTTCTCCGGCGCCGACATCAACATGCGCCTCGGCATCTACCCCCTCCAGAAAGCCGCCCCTCTCACTCCCGGCTACTGCTTCGCCGGCCGCGTCTCCGCCAACGGCCCCGGATGCTCCAAGTTCAAGCCCGGCGACATGGTCACGGCTATGACAAAGTACGACTCTGATGCCGAGTACATCAACATCGAGGAGAAGCATCTCATCCCCGTTCCCGAGGGCGTTGATCCCAAGCAGGCCGCCGCCCTTGCCCTTGACTGGACCACCGCCTACGGTATGGTCTACCGCGCTGCAAAGGTCAAGGCTGGCCAGCGCGTCTTCATCCACGGCATCAGCGGTGCTGTCGGCCAAGGCATCATGTACCTCTGCCTTCTCCAGGGCGCAACCGTCTACGGTACTGCCGCAGAGCGAAACCACGCTGCCCTCAAAGAGGCCGGCGCTCACCCCTTCCTCTACACCAACAAGGACTGGATCAGCGCCATGAAGGAGCTTGGCGGCGTCCACGCCGTCTTCGATGCCCTAGGCTTTGAGAGCTTCGACGAGTCCTACTCTATCCTGACCAGCACCGAGAGGAGCATCGTCGTCGCCTACGGCAACAACCTCTCTTCTCTGACTGGCGGCAAGAAGCGCTCTCCCTGGCCCTCTGTGTTCAAGCTGATGGCCAAGGCCCTGTACTTTTGGTCCAACAAAACGACCACCTTCTACTTCATTACGCGTGATCAGAGTACTTTCCAGCCCGAGTTCCGCCTGCTGCTCAACATGGTCAAGGAGGGCACCATTACCGTGCCCATCAAGGCAGTCTGGGACCTTGACGATATCAAGCAGGCTCACGAGGCTTGGGGTAAGGGTGCTGGTATGGGAACTCCGGTTATACGCATTGCCTCTGAAGCTTAAGACATTCGCTTTAATACTGATTTCCTTTGTTGTTGTTGAACATTATATCGAAACGTTGCCTAGATCTACAGTGGCTTTTCATTTGTTTTTTTGTTTTTTCTGTTTTCAATTCCCATATAGACCGATGTTTTCTTTTTCCCTTAGTGATAGCGAATAATAGCAAATAGCAAATACTAATACGCCTCATCTCTCAATCACTCAGAACCACAATTATGCTTACCTAGGTACTGAACCCAAACCTCATCCCACACAAGTGATGTCATACCCCCTTGACGTCAACACCAGATCACCACCCAAGGAGGCAAATCTCCAAATACAGCTTTACATACAACCCCAAAACCACCCAAATCTCAATTCCAATCTTCGCAAAACCGAAATTTCAATTCAATTCAATCCAAACTCATAATAAAATAAAATAAAACAAAACAATGGCTTCATCTCTCCACCTCCGCAAAATCCCCTCCACAAGCTTCATCCGCACCTCCATCCGCCCATTCCACCAAACCGCCCCACGCCTTATTCCCGCCATCAAAAAAGAAGGCGATTCAAAACCACAGCAGCAACCGAAAAACGGGACCGTGCCACAGCCCAAAATCTCCAATCTCAGCATGCCCGGCGTCAACAAGTCGGAGGACCTTACCGAGGAGCAGAAGGAAGAAGTGCGGCAGCAGTAAGGAAAATACCCTCTTACACCAGCACAAACTGTATAAATGAGAGAGGGAAAGGCTCACGAGTTATTGTGATTAGCAACAAGGACTTTGACAAGAAATTCGATCATGGCCACACCGCGCCAGACGACAAGGTAGACAAGAAGTTCTGGGAAGGGAGCGCAGGTAGCAAGGAATGATGCGCATCAACTCAATTTCCGGACATGTATTTTATAGCTGCAAGAGCACAAGAGGGCCGCAAGGATAGTGTAAACGGTGTTACGACATGAACACATAGGCTTTTTTGGGAATTTCCACACATGGCGAAAGGTTGCGACATTTGGTGGCGCTTGCAACCATACACGACAGCACGCCTAGTGCAAGACACGCGTTTGACATTCAATGATGATGATGATGATGGAATTGCCATTACACTCTTTTCGGGCTCAATGGCAGCTCCTTGAGAGCAATGGATAGGTCTAATATCAATAGATATGGGAAATTGTAAACAAATCTCTTGAATATTGGTGACAGATACTCCATATGACAGGTTTATCAGCTCATAGCTGCGTAAATTTTCCAAACATCTGCGGCTAATGCGGTGAGAGAACATGCCGCACGCTATCGCTGACAACCCCCAAACGCGAGCAACGCTCTCTAATGCAACGGGTTCAGTATCAATAGAGCGGTCACTCCTCCATCAGACTTTAGGTTGGTTAGTGCGTCCCACAAGCGGCACGGAATCAAGAGCGGTGATTCTATGCGACTTGTTATATCAACCTCCTAATCCCACCTATAAACATGTTATTAAAAGCTCCAACAGCCTGGAGCCACGGATAACTCACGAATCTATGAAATACAGCCAACACATAACGGACTAGGGAAGAGGTAGACCTCATCAAGTCAGTCTTTTCTTTTGTTGAAGCAATGGGGAGAGCTAGATGCGGTAGCTATAATGCCACTCCTGTTGCCGACGTCGATTCGCTCCGTGAAAGTAATACTACCATCAAGGTAGCTGACATGTATTATTGCCGAAACAAGGCCGGTTTCAGTGCTGGGATAACCACAGCCGGATGTATGCTATTAGCTTGGAAGAGCTTCGGGGTCCAGCCTCGTCTTCCACCAACCAGCCGAAAGTAAACAAACAGAAGGCTGTGCGATTTTCAATATAGGACATGAAACATTGAGGAAATAAGAGAGTGAGACTTTGTCTCCGCCGAGTCGGTCCCTTGCAAAGGAATAGACTTTGGCGATTAAAGCCCATTTATTTCTGTAAGGGTCTTTGTCCCAAAGAGATGTAGCATCCTAGATGCTCGGCGCGGCGCATATCCCAGAGACTCATTCGAAGCAGCGTAACAACTTTCTCCAAGAAATGGAACCATCATGTTCTCATGGCCTGTCCATTCCGGAGCCAGCCATGTCCCCGATCAAGCCGCGAACCCAGTCGACAACGGCCTTGACCATACCCTGAGGTTTACTCTTGCCGTCCATGCTGCGGACGGGCTCCGTGCCCATTGTAGGCAGCACATTGTCGCCCGCAGACAAGCTCACAAACAGTGCAAACGGCACCAGCCAGACACACAAGCCAAAGTATGACGCTATCATGGTGAAGGTAGGAACGTCCACCTGCTCGTAGTACGACGTTCGGTTGTAAGCTCGCGCTTGGCTGTCGGCAAAGTGTCGAAACCACACATAGTGATCAAACAACACCAACACTAGCATCCATATTAGCACATGCCACTCATTCGCGTCAAAGAATCAAGCTGGGCTGCATACCACACGACAGCAGGAACAGCGGGTCACTGAGCTGCACGTAGGGGAACCTCCTCATGTTGCCCAGATAGACGACATGCGACACAATCCCCAGGACGGTCGCCCAGAAGGGAAATCCATCAATTAGCCATAGCACCACCTGCACGCCGATGATGATTTGAATCAGCCGTGTAAGTAGCTTCTTTGCCAAGACGGTGTGTTCCTCCACAAGCTCTGAAAGGTAGTAAAGCCCCGACGCGATGGATAGCGTCAGGAAGCAGAAGCCAAGAATGGCGCCGGCGTAGCCCAGCAGAGGGAGAATCCACATCTTTGTTGAAGCTTATATCGACACGCGCAACGTTTAAAAACAGATGTATAGAAGAATAGAAGCTTTGGGAAAAAAGAAGAGTGGAAGAATAAAGAGAAGAAGAGGTCGTATTAAACAAGGTTAGCTGTGGACACGTTCATGTGCTCGTGAATGGGATGAGCTGCATGGGATCTCGTGGGTCTGTCGTCATACGGAACTAAAGCTTTTCCCGCTCCGAGGCAAGTCGAGAAGAATGCAAACGAAGCGATGCATGCAGCTGTGCGATGGATAATTGCATGAAAACGAAATTATTTATGTCGAATGGCTAAAAAAGATAAGAATTCTGTAAATAATGCCTTAATAATTGCTGTGAGACTGTTCCACTGCTATTGTAATGTAGACCGTCATCACATGTGAGCTTGGCTGTTACGGTATGTAGCATGCAGGTCATGCTTATCGATAACACCCACAAAAAAATGTCACGATGCGCCGCCCCAGCGCAGCCTCGAAGACCCAAAGCAGGAAAAAAATCAAGACAGCCAATACATCTCACACAACCCTTCTCACAGGGCGCATTGGACGGAATTACAAGTAACTACCGCCAATTCCTAGACAAACACACACTATAAACTCCCACAATGTCTCGCCCCGAGGACTCTCTGTAAGTTCCTCCCTTCAACCTTGTTCCCCCGCTATCATCATCATCACTTTCTCCTTCTTCGTTGCTAACTTGATCCCAGCGCGGCCGACGTCCACTATGACGACACCGAAGCCCGCAAATACACAACCAGCTCCCGTATCCAAAACATCCAAGCCTCCATGACCCGCCGCGCCCTCGAGCTGCTCGACCTGAAATCCCCGTCCTTCATCCTCGACATCGGCTGCGGCAGCGGCCTCTCCGGCGAGATCCTCTCCGCCGTCGACCCCGAGGACGGCGGGCCGCACACCTGGATCGGCATGGACGTCTCCCCCTCTATGCTCGACATTGCCCTGCAGCGCGACGTCGAGGGCGACCTCATGCTCGCCGACATTGGTCAGGGCGTGCCCTTCCGCGCGGGCACGTTCGACGCCGCCATTAGCATCTCCGCTATTCAGTGGCTCTGTAGCGCAGAGTCTAGCGAGACCTCGCCTACTGGACAGCTGAATCGCTTCTTCAACGGCCTGTATGCTTCGTTGCGTCGTGGAGGCCGCGCCGTCTGCCAGTTCTATCCCAAAAACGACACCCAGCGAAACATGATTACCCAGGCGGCTGTCAAGGCGGGCTTCGGCGCGGGTATCCTCGAGGACGACCCCGGTACCAAGAATGTCAAGCTGTATCTTGTCCTCACCGTTGGCAACAATGGCGGAGAGGGCGGCAACACGGATATCACCGGTGTCGTGGACGGCATGGACAACGTGGACGTTTTGGATGCCAGGAAGAGGCTCAAGGCGAATAACGCCCAGATGAAAAAGGGAAGCAAGGCATGGATTGTCAAGAAAAAGGAGCAGATGGAACGCAAGGGCAAGATCGTCAAGGCTACATCCAAATACACGGGCCGCAAGCGTCGGGTACAATTTTAAGAGCTGTATGTCGATGTTAGGGGCCGGACTCGTGATGCATGGTATAGGCGTTTGTGGCGCAATTGGCTTTTGGAGATTTTTTAGACATATATGATATATATGAAATTGTTGATACCCTCTATCAATCAGGTCAACTCTATCACTTCACAACCTTGTTAGAGGAATCTAGATTTTACTTCCGAGGAAAGTATTCATTGTTTTTATTCATCACTATGAAGATGCCGTGCTTTATAGAACAACATTCTACTCATATTCGTCAATATTTCATCCTTTTCCGAGATTCCCCTCGTCATGATCCAGTTTTTTTCTTCGTCTTGCTTTTTTTCCCTTTTTTTAAGCTTTAAGGTTCGTCTTCTATGCCTGTGCGCCCTCAGCAGGCTTCTCTGTTGAGCCGCTGGTCTGCTCTGGCTTCATGGTAGGGAAAGCCAGGACTTCTCTAATGCTGTAGTTGTCGGTCAAGAACATCATCATTCGGTCAATACCCATACCCCAGCCACCGGTGGGAGGGAGACCGTGCTCAAGAGCCTTGCAGAAGGTCTCATCAACACCCTGGGCCTCGTCATCTCCCTGGGCCTTCTGTCGGGCCTGCTCCTCGAATCGCTCACGCTGTTCAGCGGCGACGTTCAACTCGGTGTATCTTTACAGATGTTAGCAACTCATAACTACAAAGTATATGTGAGCCACTTACGCGTTGGCAATTTCCTTCTTGCAAACGAAAGCCTCAAATCGCTCGCAAAGGCCGGGGACGCTACGCGAGCTCTTGGCGAGAGGAGACATCATCTTGGGGTGGCCAGTAATGAAGGTTGGGTTAATCTAGACAATGGTGTTAGCCAATTTGGATATTTATAATGCTCGACCGTCAAATCAACTTACGCATTGAGACTCGAGGAACTCTCCAACAAGGGCGTCCAGCATGCGAGCGTTGGTCAGAGGAGGGTTGCACTCAACACCAGTCTTCTTAAGGATTCTTCGGAAGAACTGGTTGGCCTCATCGGTGTGAAGCTCGTCGGCAGGAGGGAACTTCTCGCCGACACATTCTTCAAGGGTGGAGATCATCTCAATTCTGCGCCATGGGCCCTCCCAGTTGATCTCAACCTCCTCACCCTTGATGTTGTGGTACTTGGTCTTGTAAGAGCCGTGGATGTGCTTGACCAGGCCAGTAACGAGCTCCTCAGTCATGTCCATGAGGTCATTGTAATCAGCGTAGGCCATATAGAACTCCAGAGTGGTGAATTCTAGAAAGGGAATAAAAATTAGTTCCATATTAAGCTTAGAAGTGACAAATTCAGAACATACCAGGGTTGTGAGTCAGATCCATGCTCTCATTTCTGAACTGTCGGCCCATCTCATAGACTCGGTTCAATCCACCGACAACGAGCATCTTGAGGTAGAGCTCAGGAGCGATACGGAGGTACATATCCAGGTCCAGATCGTTGTGGTGAGTAATGAACGGCTTGGCAGTGGCACCACCGGCCTGGGCGTTAAGCATGGGGGTCTGGACAGCGATGAAATCCCGGTCATCGAACCAGCGGCGGATGTAGGAGTCGACCTTGGCACGGGTGATGAAGACATTTCGGACGTTGTCGTTCATCATGAGATCGAGGTAGCGCTGGCGGAATCGCTGCTCGGGGTTCTTGAAGCCGTAGTGGTCATCGGGGATCTAAAAAGGAGTCAGAACAATGGAACATGGATGAGTCACGCGATCACAATGGCCTACCTGGTGCAAGCATGGCGACAGAAGAGTGACCTCAACAGCCGCAATAGAGAGCTCACCAGAGAAATCGCCGGTTCCCTGCTTGGTCTTGGGGTTGGTTCGAGTAGGGTAGCCTCGAATGCCTAGATCAAAGCGAGTTAGAGAGGTTCACTGTCAGACAACAAAAGTCAATCTACGAACCGATGATATCACCACGGCGGAGGTTGAGGTGCTGCTCGTCAAAGTCAGGAGTACCCTCCTCACGGTTATCAGCCTGGGCAAGAACTTGAAGTCGAGTGCCCTAATCAATATTAGCTTAAGATTCAACATTTTCAAAAAGCAAGGGCCGTGGTAAGACATACCTCGGAGCGGATATCGTAAAAGTACAGCTTGCTGCCTGCTGAACGGCGGACGTAGACTCGACCAGCGAGAGAAATCATCTTTTCCTTGTTGGTCTCGCCGTTCTTGAGGTTGCAGTACTCCTGGGAGAACTTGCGAATGTCATATGTGACGTGGAACTATGAATTGGTGAGCAACCAGTGCTGTCTTGGCTATTATTGCCAGTATCTTTAGGAGCGTACCTTGTGGGGGTAGGCCTTGCCCTTGGCATGGAGGTCGTTGACGGTTCTTGATCGGATCTCGAAGTACTATCGTCATCCCGAATTAGCATCTTGCTTCGCCGTATCTCGAATTAACACCACATACCTGGTTCGGGGTGAGCTCCTTCTCGGCAGCCTCGGCGTTCTTGCTGCCAGCGGCCTGCGCGGGCTTCTTGTCCTTGTTGGCAGCCTCCTTCTCCTTCTTAGCAGCCTCCTTCTCACGGGCCTTCTGGCGCTTCTTGAGCTCGGTCTTGGAGATCATCTCGCCAGTGACCTCGTCAAGGTGCAGCTTGCCAACAGCGGCAGCGGCAGCATCGACGGCAGCATCGCCGGTAGTGGGTTGATTGTCCGCCATGGTGCGCGATTTCAGTGGTATCTGATGTGGTTTGGCGGAAAATGGGAGGATATCGTGCTTGAGTCGGGTTAAATAAATAAGAAAAAAAAAAATATCACAGTCGCAGAGTCATAGCAGAAATCGGAGTCACCCCGCCATGCGACCAATGGAGGGGTTGGCTGCCAGGGCTTTTTTCCTTAAAATGGACGGGAATTCATTTTCCCCGATCCGGCCAATACTTTTGCACTTTGACTCAGGCTATGCGTCCGATTCTAGCTCCAGCATGCCTGAGGGATGAGAGTAGATATGCTGCATCTATTTTATCAGCAATTTGTGGAAAAATTGCTGGAATGAGATGAATACTACTACTAAATATAGATGGCATTTTTTCTGGTTAGATACAGCCATTGGTACCTTGCCTAGTATATTGAAACACCTCAAGCACTCTGTACCCATTTTGCACCTACCTATGTATCGCCACAGCATCAGCCAGAACCCCGCTATACCACAAGTTACATAGTAATGCATGCAGGTTGTATCAATTGATTATGTCACATCTGCCACTCAGCCGACGAGCCGCTCGGACAAAGACTCACCGAAACGGATGCACCTCCAAGAAAATCAGTTTGAAAGAGTAGACCCTGCGGGAATAAACGTATCAACCCCAAGTCGTAGCTTCAGTTTCTCTCTGTCAATCTCCGTATTGAGGGGCTGGGTCTCGTATCTCGCCGGCTAAATGACTAAAAGGCGGCCCTCAACTAATACCACTATCTACCTATCTCACTCTCACCAAAAACACCACTTATAAGCCCCCTCTCCTTCAACTCCCTTCTATAAACTTTACACAGTGCTCAAATTGTCTCATCTTGTCATCGCATCTGACAGTTTCTCAACAAGAAAAAAAACAGGAACAACATACAAGACACAAACAAGAGGCGCAACCACTTACATCAGCACTTCATCATGGCCCTCTCATCCAGAGCCTTCAAACTCACAACCCCAGATCCCTCTGGCCCCATCCTCTCAAACAACTGGCATCCAACCCTCAATCCATCCGGCTACGTCAACCTCGGCGTCGCAGAAAACTACCTCATGCACAGCTCCCTCCAGGAGCACCTCCACGCCAACCTCAAAGTTCCCACCTCCGCCTTTACCTACGGCGACTTCTTCAAGCGCAGCCGAACCGCCATTGCAAGCTTCCTCACCAAACATCTCGAAGCAGTGCTTCCTATAAAGCCCGAACATGTTGCTGTTGCGAGTGGCTGTACTTCGGCGGTTGAGCATATGGCGTGGGCGTTTGCTGATCCGGGAGACTTGATTCTTCTCGGCCGGCCTTACTATGGTGCCTTTCCCGGCGATGCGACGCTTCGCACGGGGGCAAGGCTCGCGTTTGTCGATTTCGGAGAAGATGACCCCCTGGGAGTGAATTGCGTCAAGAAATACGAGGAGAGGCTCCTCGAGGCACGAGCAAACGGCGAAAAGGTCACCGCTCTCCTCCTGTGCCATCCGCACAACCCTCTTGGAAGATGCTACTCTCGAGACGTCCTCGTGGATCTACTCAAGTTCTGTAACAAATATAAGCTTCACCTCATCAGCGATGAAATCTACGCCCTCTCGATATTCGAAAACAAAATCGACACGAATCCCCCTCCGGCACCATTCTACTCTGTCCTATCTATTGATCCCACGGGACTGATAGACCCAGCTTATGTGCATGTTCTCTGGGGCATGTCCAAGGATTTCGGCGCAAACGGTTTACGATTAGGTGCCATCATTTCTCAGCACAACGTAGATTTGATGACGGCGTTGGGTCCCGCCGTGCTGCTCTCCTCGGTGTCTTCCCTGTCAGAACATGTGTTTGCGAATGCACTTGAAGACGACGTCTGGGTCGAAAACTACATCAAAGAGAACCAACGAAAACTCGCCTCCTACTACGAATACATTGTGAACTGGGCCAAAGCCAACGACATCGTCTACGCCACCGGCGCCAACGCCGGCTTCTTCATCTGGGCCGACCTAGGCAGAACATATCTCAAGCATCAGGACGCCAAACCCGAAGATCTCGACCAGGTTGTCATGGATGCCCTGCTGAAACACAAAGTATTTCTCGCGTCGGGCGTGCGCTTCGGATCAGAGAAGCCGGGCTGGTTCCGCATTGTCTTCTCGCATGATATGGAGTATTTGAACGAGGGCCTTGGGCGGATCGTCGCTGCATTGACGACGCCTGGGCCTTCGAGGGACATGTCGAACTTGTCGATAGATTTGGATGTTGCTTTTTGAACGGATTAGAAAAATTGGTGGCAAAAGAGTATATGGTTTCTATAGATGTACTGGGTTGAATATTTTATACAGGAGGAGAGAAGAAAGAAAATATATCATGTGAGTGTACATGTAATAGCAACTCGATATCAGTCGCATGAAGAATCTAAAATCTGTACAAAACTGCATTGAATAATCACACAGTCGCAAGTCCAATAATTGTGCTAGCAATCCCTTTAGCAACAAATCTGCAGCACTCAAAGATGCAAGTGAAAAAAACAGCAGCAATCATGTACTGTAAAATTCTATGTATTCAGACTCCATACGCTCATTTCAAACATAGGTACACACTCCCTTTTCATTCTCCCACCAACCTCGCTTCTCAATAATATTCGCCGCCCAATAACCATTTTTATCTGGCCCTTTGAACTTTTTTTGCTCTGCCCCATTGTTTCATTTTCCAGCGGCGTCGCTCCGCATCGCCTCGGATTCTAAGGTTGAGGTATCATCTTCCCAAACACGCCGGTCGAGATGTGTGAGAAAGAGGTGTGGTTGTTAATTGGTCGTGTTTGGGGTTAATTTGTTTTGTTTATTTTTCAAGTATTGTTGGTTTTGCCTCTTGTTTTTGCTCAAGGCTTGTTTATGGTATTTAGATGGTCTCCATCTTGTCGAGGATGGCCTTGGTGAACTCGTGTGTTGTGGACTCACCACCCATATCCCGTGTGCGAACCTTGCTATAGAAATTGTCAGTAAAACTCGTACCATCTACAACGCTCTCAAAGGATAAAAGACACTTACCCCTCGGCAATAACGCCGTAGACAGCCTTGGAGATGCGGTTGGCGTGGTCGTCAAGGCCAAGGTGTCTCAGGAGCATGCTGCCGCTGAGAATCATGGCGGTAGGGTTGGCCTGGTCCTTGCCCTTGATATCCAGACCGACGTGACGGCAGCCGGGCTCGAAGACGGCAACCTCACGGCCCATGTTGCAGCCGGGAACAATACCGGGGCCACCAACCAGGGCGGCGCCAATATTGGACAGGATGCCACCGTACAGGTTGGGCATGACCATGACGTCGAACTGCTGGGGGCGGGAGACGGCCTGCATGGAGGCGTTGTCGACAATCATGTCGTTGACCTCGAGGGTAGGGTACTCCTTGGCGGTCTGGTGGAAGGTGCTGCGGAACAGACCGTCGGCCAGCTTCATGATGTTGGCCTTGTGGATACAGGTGACCTTCTTGCGGCCGTTGGCCAGGGCAAAGGCAAAAGCGAACTTGGCAATGCGCTCAGACTTGGCACGGGTGATGATCTTGAGGGACTCGACGACGCCGGGAACGCTCTGGTGCTCGAGGCCAGAGTACTCGCCCTCGGTGTTCTCACGGATGATGCACAGGTCGACGTCCTTGTGGCGAGTCTCGTAGCCGGGGATGTTCTTGATGAGGGAGATGCTGGCATAGATATCCAGCTCCTGGCGCATGGCCACGTTGAAGCTCTGGTGGCCGGAGCGGCTGACGGGAGTGTGCAGGATACCCTTGAGGCCGAGCTTGTTGCGCTTGAGGGAGGCAACGCTCTCGCGGAAAGCCTCCTCAGTTCGCAGCGCGCTCTCCTCCACACCAGAGACCTCGATCTGCTCCCACTCGACAGGCACATTGTCGGCCTTGAAGATGGTCTTGACGGACTCGGCAACCTCTCCTCCGATACCGTCTCCGGGGATCAGGGTAACGGTGTACTTGCCGCCAAACTTGGCAGGCTTGAAGATGTCGGACTGGACGGTGGCGAAGGATCGGCTGAGCTGCTGGGGCTGGGCAGCGGCGCGGAGGACCTGTTGATATCACTGCATGTCAGTTGCTGGTCATGGCTATGCTTTGTCTTTTTATCTTTTGCCTTCCATTCTTCAACAGCATCTTCCAAGAAGCCCCCATCGAGAAAAAAAAAATCTCGCGAGAAAGACCTCGGCTCAGAGGCAGCCCCTCCATCTCTTTCTGCTCTGCCACAAGGCTATCACAGCCCGCAGAGCACATTGCATTCGTTCCACTGCTCTTTTCCTCCCAATCCAACCTGCAACCCATTCCCGACCCTGCCATTGCAAACCACATGCAAAATAAAAAATAGTTGCACATACCTGGGCGGTCCGGAGAGAGCTTCGTGACAGCATCTTGACAAAAGAGACGATTGCTTCAGCCTGATGCTAAACAGTAGGTATTCGCAGGGAGCACGGTCCAAGAAACAAGGAACCTAGTCGAGGAAGAAAAGAGAGGAGAGCAAAGAGTTGTTTAGAAGAAAAGAAGGAAGAGAGGAGAGAAAGTTGTATTTTTTTCCGAACAGGTTTCAAAAAATCGCCCTGGGCCAAATTACCGCAGTGACCGTTTGATAGGCTCGCGCCAATTGAGCCGAGCCTTTCGGCCTGCGCCGGCGCCGCCGCAGCGCATATTATTTTCCGTTTCATTTTTTTTTTTTTCTCTCTCTAGGAGTTCCTTTGCCCCGGTTTTTGGCTGGAAAGTTCGGATCAAGCAGCGGAATGCGACGTCTTTCCGAGCGCAGCTCCGGGCTGGGGCTCTTGCCTTGTTTGGGCCTAGGGCGGCACCATTATCGCCAACTTGGGCAGTTTCTTATCGTAGATTTGCGCTGGGCAGGATGAGGTAAGCATTTTAGGTACCGTATAATAACAAGGACATCATCAATATAGTTCATCAATTCATTCATTGCAAAAACTATCGGAAATTCTATTGCTACTCCTCCGCAGGTATACAACAAAGCAAATTGTAGACTCCCCTCTAACAGTGTGTTCCAGCCCTTTGCCACGCCTGCGTACCCAAATTCCTGTTCCTTCGCTCGTACAATCACATCCACTCACTCATATCCAACATCCTAGTTCTACCATCCTGAGATTGGTCTCTTAGACAGGCCTCCTCTGTCATTGTTTTTCTTTTCCCTTTGTTGCAGCATACTTTACCTTGATTCCCGTTTCCCAAAAACAAAAGCATTAGGCCGTTAGCTCTTCATCATGATGTTATCTGTTCTACACCTCCTCCTCATCCAGCGGTTCAACGCGAACTAGAATCTCCTCAAGCAATCCCTCCAAAAAGTTTCCAACGTCCCTTCCCATGCCTACGGGCTCAGCTTTATCATAGTAGTCAATCTCTTTGCAAACATGTGCCAGCTTATAGACAAGTTTGCGAACTTTCTCATGAGCAGCTTCGGCTCGTTGCTGCTTCGATGACACAGTTGAACCGCTCGGCACAGGCTTGTACATGTGCTGGAGCCGAATCTGCCGTCGCTTAAGGGCCTCTTCAAGCGCAGGAAAGATGACGTCGTTGAGGGCATCGAGCTCTCCGTTGGGGTTCGGAGCAGGAGGGGAAGGAAATGTTTCCAACAGTCCTGGCGAATGACCCTGTGATCTCAACGAGGATACCGATGCCGATGCCGCAGACACGGGTGCATGTGCAGGTGCAGGTGCAGGTGCAGGAGCAGGAGCGGTCACAGGGGCGGGCACAGGGGCGGGAGCCGGAGCCGGTGCAGATGGAGCCGGTAGTCGAGACACTGGAGAAAGCGGCACAACTGGAGCTACCGTTCGCTGCACGGTAGTCTGCGGTTGCGGCAGCGGCTTTGGAGAGGGAGCTCTGAAAGGCGGGATTTCTGGCACGTCGTATCGCGCAATTTTGGAGCTCGTTGATCGTGGCGAAACCCCATGAGCAGGCGGCACCGGCTTTTCGAACTTTTCGAATCCAGGAGGTATCGAAATCTTCTTATGCGCAGGGGCTGGGGGAGGGGGAGGTGAGGGTGTAGGCACGGGGTCGGGTAGGTCTATATTCAGGTTCAGTATTCCCATGTCGCGCTGCAAGTGTTCTTGCAGTTCCCGGTCGTAGTCGGGCGAGGGGGGCTCCGGTGCTTGAGTTATGACCGGTACCGTCACAATCTTTGAAGATCTTGGCGTTGTCTCTTGAAACTCCCAGCTCGTAGTCTTTACTACTACAGGGCTAGGTGGAGGGGGGGCTGCTTTGGATACAAAGCCACGCTGCTGTTGTTGAGTGGGTGTGTGTTTGCGCTGCGGGCTCGCTTGCCGTGATGCCCCCGCGCTGGCCGGGTTCGCAGCTTTGAGAGTATCACTCGGCTGAAGGGCCTGTTCCCGCAGTTTTGTTGGGCTGGATGGCTCACGCCGCCTTTCACCATAATCGGCTGAGTTCCGCGTGGCTCTCGTGTTGGTAGCACTTGCGCCCAGGGGGTTGAGCCTAGGTGGCCGGTTGACTACGCCGCCGCGGTCAGTGACAAGCCTGACGGTGCCGAAATCCCACATGTCCTCGTTGACTCGCGGTCTCTCAGGTGGCACACTCTCGCTGACGTCCCAATTTTCTTCCTCATCCGTCTTGTGCGTCGCCGCCCATCTGGAATGTCGCTCTATCAGCTCGGTAAGATATGTTGTCTTCTTTGCCTTTCGGATAAAGGGGTGTCGCAGGAGGTCTCTGGCTGTCGGTCGTTCCTTGGGATCTCGCTGCAGGCACAGTTCGACAAAATCCTTAAAGGCCTTTGTAAAGTTTCCCTCTAGCCTCGGAGGAGGGTTTTTGGGGATAAGAAAGAGAACCTTCATGGGATGAATGTCGGCGTAAGGAGGCTCGCCATTGGCAAGTTCGAGGGCCGTGATACCGAGTGACCAAATATCAGCCTTGTGATCATATCCAGATTGTTTAATGACCTCTGGTGCCATCCAAAACGGAGTGCCGACGAACGTGTTCTTCTTCGTCATGGTGGCCGAAAGCTGACCCGACACGCCAAAATCAGCCAGCTTGACCTGGCCATTGGCTCCCAAAAGGACATTGGCCGCTAGCAAATAGCATCAGCAAACAGATTGACTCGGGACGCCCATCGAAAGAGCTCCAGCCCTCACCTTTAATGTCCCGGTGCAGTTTCTTGTCCGTGTGGAGATAGTCGAGACCCATCAGCAGCTCCCTTATGATGATGGCAATGTAGTCCTCGCCCATGATGCCCGGCTTCATAAGGTCGGCACAGCTCCCACCCGCGCAAAACTCCATGACAATCCATAGCTCGGCGCCCTTTGCATAGGATCCGTAGTACTTTGTCACATATGGAGACTGCAGCTCGGACAGGATGGCGATTTCCTGGATAATGTCTTCGACCTCGTCCTCGGCATTTTCGACGTCGATGATCTTGATAGCGACGGAGCGACCGCTTCGTTTATCGACCCTAGTAGGATGCAGAGCAGCAAAATGTCAGCGTATCCGCCACAAGCAAACAATCCCAGAGGCACCCGCACAGATCAAGACATACCCCTTGAACACCTTGCCAAAGCTACCACCGCCTGCGAGCACCACAGCATTAGGGACCATCGCCAAGACACCATCTCCCAAGACCAGCAGACTGACCAATGCAGTATTCCTTTGTGTACAGAAGCTCCGGATCCAGGGCCTCATTGGCCTCTTCCGCATACCGATGCGGTTCCGCCATGGCGCTGCTCCGATGCCTCCCTTTGCAGCCGTGACCAAGAAGCGGGAATGCGAGATGCGGCGCGGTGCTCTATGTGCTCGTCCAGGGCCAGCTCTCGTCGTCGCCAATCATAAAGCCATGCGCTCTGCTTGCGGCAAATGCTGATGCTCGCTGCGTATCACAAACCTAAGACAGACTCGCCTGCTCGAAACGAAGACAATGGCGATGCGATGGTGAATGATCAAAAGGCATGTGCTAACATGAATCAAAACCATGGGTTGAGTGTGATGAGCGGCAGTACCTGGGATTGGTGCATCGAGCTGCTGTGGCGGGCGGTGAACCCCACTATGGGCCGCTACGGGTGCCCTGTAACTGGAGGCCATGTTTAGTATTGATTCTGGCTGGCTGCCGTCGCACCGGCAACACGAGCAAGGAGAGGCATCTGATTAGCCAGATGAGCATCAAAGCAACAGCCAACGACGTCACATGGCGACTGCAACTTGTGCATTAGGCGCTCTACCAATCTACGTACTCTAGATCGATTACCGCTACGGAATAGAATAATGTATAATATGTGGACAGTGCAATACACACGAAACCGGCCTAACGTGCCCATTTCGCACCAAACAGGAGAGAGATCTTCATCGTCAAAACAAATCCACTACTGTAGCTGCCCGTTGTTTATCTTTCCACCGTTTCGTGGGGTTTTGCGGGGCAACGCCCATCACAGAGCTAACAAAGTCAAAATACTTGGCATCTCTTGACCTCAATTTTACAGCAAAGAAGGTGAATACTATACTGGGTTAACCACTGTCTAGCAGAGCTTGTTAATACACGATGTAACGTGTCAAAAGCACTTGCATTGTCTACCTGCCCATACTAGCAAAGCACGACGCCGATTGGCGCCTCCACGGTGTAAAAAAAGGATACAGTAGACTAAGAAGAAAAAAAACAGTGAAGTGATGAGGCCTTGAGAGGAGCAAGTATGTGCCCAGTCGTTGAAGCCGAATGCACACACAGTAGGCCCTCCACAGCACACAAGTTCCTCGCACTCCGTAAGCAGTAGGTTCCCCCCATATAGCAGTAGTAGCAAATAAACCAAAGCCAATCGTCATAAGACCGGTTCGCCCGTGATGGGTATTAGTATCCCATGTTGTCTATATCAAGTAGATGCCCTCATCGCCACCCCGGCTACGCCCAATAGGCGTTGGACAAGAGACATGTCGCGCTCCGGCATCACGTATGTCGTCATTCGTCATGCAATGGTTAAGAAAAAGAAAAGAGCCTGCCCCAATGCCATTACTCATCCGTAATGAATTCTATCATCACTGTTCCTTGCTTCAAGCCGGCCTCCTCGATGGTAGAATCGAGCAACTCAATCAAATCTTGGCCCTGGGGCATCCTCTTCAACTCAAACTGGATACCTGCCTTGCCCTCCAAGGGCTCCGCTTTGAGCCATTCATACATCGTTCGGACATCATCCTGCAGGTTGAACCGTCGGATGACACGTCCGTCTGGGTGTCGAAACTGGATACGTGTTGTCGTGGCAGGGTTGTTGGCTGGTTCGGTGTGGGGGTTTGTGCTCGAGATCTGGTCAAATAGACTCTGCTGCTCCTGATCTCCTGATTGCTGAGGCTCCTTGGTCAACGCATCTGGATCATGGACGCTCGGTGTCGACCCCGAGCCCGAGCCACTCGCCTCGGCTCCAGCCAGGCTGTTTTTCAGCGCCATCTCCAGCATCTCCTCCTCCGTCATACGGTCCACATCAATGACCTGAGGCTTCCTAGCCGCAGCCCTGGCGACAGGGTTCTTACTGTTTGCAGCGAGGCTGTATCTGTCCAAGAATTCGGCCACCTCGGCGTGGAACTCCACGGCACTGGGGAATGGCTTCCCGCTCCAGACCTTGACTTGCTCGCCCGTCCGAGGGTCGACGATGGACACATGGGGGTAGTTGTCCGGATTTTCATGCCCCCGGTTAGGGAAATAGAATGTTATGTATTCCTCTGCGTCGGGGTAATCTTTATCCAGCTGCAGGAAGAGAAAATTCTCCTTCACCAGCTCCTGAACCGCTCGGTCCTTCCAAACGTCTCGGTTGAGCATTTGGCAATTGAAATCGCTCATGTCTTGAAGGTTGACCATGATCCACTTCTTATCTTCCTTGCCCAGCGTACGGGCCTCGTCCCATGATAGTCGAGACATGAGTTCGTAGGGCGGTCGGAATAGGTCCTCCAGGCGTCTCGCATGGGCGGATGTGCCGTTCTCGCCCGAGGGCTCGGATCGACCCCCGTCATCTCCCCATATTCGATGACCAAAGGGGCCTCTGCTTGGGGCTATCGCGAGGTTAGTCTCTCCGGTCTCCCTTTCCTTTCCTGCACCCTGATTCTAGGCAGACTTACGAGGCATCTGGCGTCTCCTTCTAAGTTGTTCCAGAATAGCTGAGCTTTCTTCCTCTGACCAAGTAGAATCAGGAGCAACAAGTGTTTCTGTTGTCCGTGCAATGGGCGCCCTAACATCACCGCCAGCATTTCCTGATTCCTGGTACATTTCTGCCTGTAGACGCTTAGCCATGGCAGCATCCTCTTCCTCCTGCGCTAACGCGGCAGCTTGCGCAACAGCAGCTCGCTCGTCTTCATCGTTATCGTCAAAGTCATCGAGATCCATATTGCCATCGTCATCGTCATCGTCACTGATGTGAATCACCCCGCCGGCGTCTTCTCTGCCGATATTGGCTCTCTTGGGTGCAGCGCGAGATGTTGAGGCGGCGGGAGTGCCGTGGGACACGCCAGCTCCAACGAGATCTGGGCTCTCAAAGTAGAGCTCGATGGCACGCTGGTAGTCGCCGCCTGTGATTTCCAGGAAGCCTCGAGCCACATCGAGACTTGCCCCGGTGATGCTAACAAAGTGGTGGATGCTATCGTCCATGGCTCTGTTGCTAAGTGGTTCGTTGGCTGCAGAGGCAGCGGGTGGGATATTGCGTCTGTTACCTTGTTCGACCAGAGCCCTCGGTGTATCGCGTCGGGCCGTGCTCGTTAATCGACGTTTGACTGGTGGTGATTGGGTCGCCGTTGGACGGGATCTGAGAAGCTGCAAGAAATGCCAGTCAGACTCGACTTAGTAGATGGTGCCCCACACTGGCCTGGCTGAATCAGGCGCGATGCGAAGCTGCGTCGGACTCGAGGTGCAGCCGATCGAGGAGCTGGGGATGGATATGGAGGATAGAAATGCACTGAGCTGGGTGAGGCTGCTTCAGATGCCTCTAAAATGCTGAGGTGAAGATATCAACAGGAAGTGAAGTTGGAGGTCCAGGTTGGAGGCAGAATCACCACATCACACTGATAAAATAGCGGGCTTCAGCGCTGTTACGGAGCGCCACAGGCACCGCGGGCATGACGCAACAATTGAAGGACCACCCCGCCATCGACTTTGCGCAGGTACTTCCTGCGGCATCTCTTGCGGGCGGGTACCTGACGACGCGAAGAGCACCGGAACAATCTATCAGCCGGATCATTCCTAGCGCCGCCGTCTTTCGTCAGATGCTGCCCTTTTTGCCTTTCCTTCAAAGGCTGGGCTGTTGATGGATGCAGGTGACTTACCCTGCAGCTGGAACAAGGCAACAATGGGCCTTTCTATTTGCACTTGGGAAGTACAGCATTTCGTTGTGACATGTCACATGAATACTCATCATTTATGCGCAGAATCATCTAGAAGCAAGTGGAAAAAGATCTGTGCGGAAAAGAGTAGCAAGTCTTTGTTGCAAGTCTTTGTTGCAAGTCTTTGTTGCCAGCAACTTGGCCATCTCCAAGACGAAATCCCACTTACCCTTCCTTGTAAGATCATATGCAACTAATATTCATTCAGTTATCCTATTGAAGGCACTTGTACACGAAACCCGTAGATAGCCTCTCCGTAGTAGTATTTCAGAACATTCTGGGAGCATTTCTCCATTCTATGAACCCAAAGTATCCTCCCAACACCTCTCCTGACACTAAAAATGTCATCAATCACCTCCAATATCCCCAGCACCGCCTCCATCACCAATGCCATCACCATCTCATCCCAACAAAGTTGTCTATTCCCACAAACTCAGAGAGGCTCGACCACCAGAAGTGAAAATAAATGCTTCCGTACGCAAATAACCCGTCGTTTTTTCGAGTGTTTGATGGGCGAAGTGTTATCCTTTGTTAGCATACATCTCGTGACTTTCACACGGGCGAGTGAGTTATCACCTTGGTACCTGGTTTGGCCCGCATTGGTCTAGGCCGAGTCTTTGTTTTGGCAAACTTTCATGTTGTGGAGGGGGTGTTGCGAAAGGGATGATGTAAGGGTGCAAGCTTGCAAGAAAAGTCAGGCCGCTTCTGACGTTGCTTGTGGAAAATGTCAATCACTCGGTTCAAGTATGAAACAAACCAGCTCTCCCATTTATATCACCGCAGCCCTTTGATTTCATGTGCATGAATCATTCATTTAAGCGGCTATCTGCCTTGTTCAGCACTATCGGTATCTAATGATACAGGCACCTATGAACCTCAGTAAATCATGAGGACCTCCAAAATATATAATCTTGTAGCAACATTGTTTAAGCTAGAAACAAGCAATTCATTGTTTATTCCTCACACTCCATGTCTCAACCACGAGCTTCCTGCAACTCCGACAGCACTCTTTGCCAAGCTCTCTGCACTTCCGGAACACGCTCTTCCTCCTTGGCTTTAACCACCGCGGCCTCAAATTGCTCCATTTGTACAGTCGACTTTCCGAAGATGCCACTGCTATAAGCTTTGAGAGTCGCGGAAACTGCCTCCACTCTCCTGAGTCTCTGAGACTCAACGCCAACTTCGGCCTTGTCAACATCGAGACTGCCCAGATATGCCTGCAGAATACCGTCCTTATCCAGTGATGTAGGGTCCGCGGGGGGCTCAGATGTCGCAAGATCTTTCATTAGGTCAATGACAGATTCGTACCAAACTTCTCGTTTGATCGCGTTGAATTTGGGGCTTGAGAGGAACGGCTCAAGAGCCTTGATGACTTGGCTGGCAACAGTGTATGCCCGCCTATCCGATGAGCGGCTGTATCCGCGTGCCACGGCCTCGAGTCCATTCTTCGCAGTCTTGATCACAGTGTCTTCTTTGGAGTCCACATCCATTTTGTTATCATCCTTGAGGTCTTCCAAGTGAGAGGACACAATGTCCACAATATCCTGCAAAAGGTCAAAGGTGTCTACCGCTTTCGCAAATCGCCATAGACAACGGAAAGCATGCACACGATATTCGTCATTGTTTCGCTTCGCTTCACGGATGACAATCTTCTTCATTAGGGCTGCAATATCAGAGTTGTATCTCCACAGGGATTGGCCCTTCTCGATAAACTCAGGGAATGCCTCCAATAGCTTCTCCTTCCCGGGGAAAGTCTTCAGAGCAAGAGCCTTTTCAAAGACGGGCCATATGGCTTTCAAGTTGGCTTCTCCAATTGCTCCTGTCGTATCGCTGGCGCTGGCTACATCTGTGACCATAGCAGCAACTGTAAATGCACCAGTGTGTCGAAGCGCCCATTGGGTGGTAGCCAAGCAGCGTTCGATAAGGTCGACAATCTCCGGCACATAACGAACAACAGTTCGATTGCTGCCAGAATGTTGATCCCATACCTCTCGGAATACTTTGCTGGTGTATTCATCAACATCATGAGACCCAAGATAGGCAAATGGCAACAGGATTGTCTCCTGGGTGGTGAAATGATCGGGAGATATCTTCGCGAGAGAGACGATGACGTCCGAAACCTTCTGGCGACGGACCTCATCTTCCGATTGTAGGTAAAGTTTCAACATGCGCTCCGAAAATCGTTGTTTAGCGCTGTCTGAGACCACTCTCATGATATAAGCGGAGGCGCGAGCATACGCTTGGCTGACCTCATCGTTCTTGTCCAGAACCTGCTTGCCAAGTAATTCCAAAAACTGGGTAGAAACAGATTTGATCTCGTTCGTATGACGAGTAAAGAGAGTTGTCAGAACCCTGCTGCAGCCAATCTTGGTTGGCATTCCAATTGCAGTCTTGATAGTTGCCTCAAGGCGCGGGGCCAACTCAACCATGACATCTTCGTCAACGAAGCGTAAGATGTTGTCGATAGCTTCTGAGATGGGGGATTGATTGACCATTTGGGATCGTATCTTATCAATCTTCTCTCGGCTATCCTCCCCAACTTGCTGATAGTAGTAGTTGATGCGATCAGGCTCGATTGTGCTCAGCAGACCTAGAAGTTTCGGGATCACCTCTGGGATAAATGGCTTCAAGTGTTTTCCACCGTGTCGCGCAATCTTGATGATGGTGATGATTGCAAAGACCTGAACCTCTTGGACAGAGCTCTCCGCAGCCTTGTCTGACAGCAAAAAGGGCAGTGCCTTTTGCATCATAGCGTTGGCTGATGCTTCATGAGTTCCCTCTTCGAGCTGTCTGGCAAGAGTATTGGACAGGCTTCGGCAGAGTCTGAAAGCAGCTTCTCTGACACTCCCCTTTACGTCGTCAAAGACCTTTACTGCCTTTGTCCAAATGTCTCCGTAGAATTGCTCATATCGCTCAAACGGAACACCTGTTAAAAGTTCAGAAATGGCAGCGCAGCTGGCTTCTCGCATTCTCCATTCTCGTCCCAGTATGCTCTTGAGCAGCTCTTCCATGATGGCGTCAAAGTGAACGTCCATCACCGTCTTCGGGTCCTTGACCAAGGCCTTCCAAATCTCGTTCATGGATCGTTGGACGTTGGTATTGGGATCGAATCGGTATCTGTAGAGCTTCGGGTATATCTTGGGGTCGACTTCAGCGTCTGAGAGGATGTTTGTGAGACCAAACCGTCCAAAGGCTGATCTAGTTGACCATGTAGCTGCATTAACCGCTAGAGCCATGAACTTGTAGACAAGTCGCTGGTCACCAACTTCATTTGCGAGGCTGACAATGTCCTTGTACGAAGAAATCGAGCTCCCTTCACCAGTTGGTAATGCTCCTGGTTCAAACAACTCTGTGTCTTCATCCACCTTGAGTTGCGTGGCAGATCCGGTAAATGCAGCCACGAGATCTTTCACCAGGGCTGCCTTGAGCTGCTCATCTCCACGCTCATGGACAAGATTGAGGCCACGCGAAGCAGTTTCTTGGACCAGCTCATCCCTCGAACTCAGAAGGCGCATAAATGCTGCTTGTGCCTGGCGGAGGCGAGAGTTTACTTCATGGAGGCTAGAACAATACTGCACGATGCAGAAAAGCCAAATACCAGAAGCTTTCAGAAGAGACGGTTTGGTTGCCTTGCAATCTTCAAAGAGCTTGTCAAGGATGCTTGCAAGTAGTGATTTCCGACACTTGCTCTGGAAGTCACGGCTTCGATATTCGACATCCACCATGAGCTTCACATAGTCCGAGTCCCAACGAGCAGTTGCAATGGTTATGGCATCGCCGACAGTGAACTGAACCTCCACCCGTTTGATTTCATGAAGAGCAAACAACTCCGTCAGGATGGTGCCAACTGGGCCTTCTGACCACGAAGCAGGTGATTCTGGAAGGTCAGTGTCTGGTATACTGGCGGCCAGCATCCCAAGCGTAATAATCGCCTTCTCATTTCCCTTTTTAGCCTTCTCAGACAGCTTTTTGATTACCTTGTCAAGAGAAGTAGCTCCGTCTTTGGGAGGGATGGCAAGTTTTGCTAGCCATAGTTGGGTGAAAGCTTCGACGGCTGCGTCAAACAAGGATGGTGCAACATTCTCTTCGACGAGAATTTGAAGGGGATATTTCCACTCGGCCACGGATGCATGGTTGTACAAAACAGAGCGAGAGCAGAGATACCCATAGGCAGCAAGAGCTCCTTCTGCAGCATTGAGGTCTGGACCAACCGCCGTCGTGGCCTTGTCGAACAAGGAATTGAGAGTCATACCCCAGTTCTGAATCTCATCGACATCCATGGTTGGGTGGGCGGCCAAAATACCCAGGGCTCTGGCGCTCAAGTCCCGTATCTCGCTCTTGTTAGATTTTATAAGAGGCAGCAGATGGCCAACCCTGTGTTTGGTGAATTCCCCCACAATGACTCTGGGGGCGAGAGATGCGATATCGACAAATGAGCGAAGACACTCTTCTGTGATGGGGGCATCCTCGAGAAAAGCGCCAACGAGGCACGCATTGAGGTAGATTGTGAGATAAGAAGGGTTGACATATCGCAGGTAACCTCGGATTTTCTCCCGAGTTTTGATGTTGGTCTTCATTTGTGCGCTGAGCGTCTGCATCCAGTCGGGCTGAACCTTGAAGTCGGGCAACGCTGCGAGAAGTATCATATGCTTGCAATACTGAATGACCAGAGCAAAAGCATTGATGCTTGAGCCTCGGAAATTGTCAAAGGTGTTGTCATTGGGTAGCACTGTTACTCCAGGGCCTGGTTCGACGTCTGCGGGAGGTGCAAGATCAGGGGCGGTGGTAAAGTATTTGAAGACCATCAGTCGCCAATCAGGCATGACAGGAGCTATCTCGCTGTGAGCGGAGTAGGTCCATGGATCCAGGCCCTTTTGCCCTTGCTCAATCACGTCGCTCCTCTCCTTAAGACGACCGGCAACAGCCATGAAATTGATCCATCGAGCATCAATGTTTGTGAATGACAAACACTCATTAGCCCACTTGACTACGGCATGGCGAGTGCTTCGTACAGCAGGCGCCTTTTCAGCTAGAGACATGTAGTTGAGGAGCATCTTCCTCAATTCGGGATCTTCATCAGCAATGTGTTGAGGAACATTTGCTGTTAGACTTGAGAGCGCTCCGTCGATATTGACCACGGCATCATTGGTTGGGTCTTCTGACAAGGCTTGGAAGAGCCAAGAGGCCAGAGCAATACGCTCCTTAAAAGGCATATCGGCGGATCGCGCGAGCATGCCAATAGTCTCGTAACCTCTCGAGCGAAGCTGGACCTCATCGTGCGTGATTTGTTGCACAGGGACAGGCCATCCTTGGGACTCGATATAGCTTTGCATGCTCTTAATAAGGCTCGGCCCAATCGAGAAGTCCTTGCTTGATGGGCCTACTTGAGCGACCCAAGATAGAAACTGGAAAAGAGCCTTGTGCAGCTTTGTCTTCTCTAGGGCGCTCGATGGCTTGAGTGCGTCTGTCGAACCATCTTGCGTAGAACTTGGCAAAAAGTCAAGGCTCACAACGTCTGTGATATTCTGTGACATTGTCGAGGCAATGGTCGATTTGGCAAGGAGTGCAAGGATCCGTGTGCGATAGGCTGCAGGAAGCCGGGAGTGAGCCTCAAAGAGCTTCCTCACCAAGTCTTCTTCTTCTAGGGAGACTGTAGTTCTCTTGATGATCTCCTCTGCTAGGGATGCCACTCTAGTGTCTGGGCTGGAGGAGGCGAATAGCGCAGGGAGGAACTTTTCCTCATCAGTAAAGGCAGCACTGGCCAAGAATGAAACGGCTTTAGCCTTCAACTGCGATATGTTTTGGAAGATTTTATCAGTTCCAGGACCTTCAACAGTGAATATCTTGGTCTCTTGTTCAGAGAAAGTTGGATTTGACTCAGCCACCGTCCGGCTCGGGGTTGGGGGCCTTAGACGTAAGAAAAGGGATAACATGTTGGCGAGATAAATTGCATCAGCCGCATTTTCCAAACCAACAAAAACTCGAAGAGCTTCGTCGTCTTTGGTCCCGCGTGATGGTAGGCGGAGATCAATCAGTAGTTGAAGGATAATGTTGAAAAAGCTGGCAGCCCTTGGTTGGCCTTCATCCTTGGAGCAGCCTTTCAGTGCGGTGGGGACCAAGTCTCGTCTATCGTCTTCATCAAGACGACCAAGACTGTGTTGGATAAGTGGTAAATCTAATTGCTTGATGATAGCACTGTCAGTTGACTTGTACTGATCAAGTAATGCCTTTACAGGCAGGATGACGCTATCGAGAATTAGTAATTCATTTCTATTTGCTATGCCCAAAGGTACAGAAGTATGACTGTACCTTGGAGGCTGGATGAATGTCCTCAGCCGACTCAGCAATGTGATGACCTAAGAAGTGTTAACAAATGGAGCCCTCGGGTAGAAGATACGTAGAGGCTTTACCTTGTTTCTAACAGCTGCGTTGGGGCTCTGTGCCTTTAGAATGATGGGGGCTAAATAGCGCCCCAGGAGCTCACACAGTTTGTCTTCGACATTGGCAACGGCGAGGATTTTAAATTCAACGCTCTCCACCAACTGCAGCTCTCGCTGCTCTGGAGTCACGGCTGCCATGGCTGCAGATATCTGGAGGAGTGGCTGGGCCGAACCAGCGGCTAGTGTAGGGAGATACGGGTGCCCAACAATAGAAATAAGGGAAAAGGAGCACTATCACGACTCAATAGGATGGTAGGACAGGTTTTTGGTAATGCAGAATGCGGGTTGAGGGTTGTGTGATGGAGGAAAGAGGATGCAGAGGGAGTGCGTAGAGATGTCAAGGGGAGATTTGCTTGGGTCGAGGCTTGAGGCTCCCATCAGTGCATCATCACTTTAGGCCAGCACACTGGCGTAATGCCCATAGTAAACAATGACTAAGCAGTCATGCGCTTGCTGTGAGTGGCCACGTGAGATCAGGCGCAAGGGTGGCATCGAGCTCTTGGATATAGGAGACGAGAACATTCTGCGGTAATGATTTTCTGCAATTGGTATCTTGAGAAATATCTACGCCATGGCATGCAAACTGTAGTTATCGTCGTTCAGCAGGCTGTTGGAGGCGCTGACACAAGCCACAGCCTTCCAGGGTTGTTACTGTATTAGATCTGCCCGATCTCCCGAGCCAATCCTGTCAACTTAGTGGCGTGCGGAGAAGCACCTACATAAAGGCGAGCAGCCCCAGGCACTACCACTATGAAGATGAAAGGAATGTTTTATTGTGTAAAAGAGTAGGTAATTGCAGAGTTTACGTAGTGAGTGTATCGATGACTTTTCGCTTAGTAAATTGCTGACTTCTTCCTACTCTGTTTTTGCAAGGAAGTGTGCTAGGATCTGACAATGATACACCATGATTGATTCAATTGCTACCTAGACTGTGAGCAAGTGCAGTATCAATAGACCAGTATCTCTGCAAAGTAATGTTAGAAACGAGGATGCCATGTTATTACCTTTAGAGACAAGACATTCCCTCATGTTGGGTTACGGTGGAATAAGACAGGTACTGTCATAAAGCCCTCAGACATAAATCACCAACGGTGAAATTTGAGTCTTTGACCTCCGATTCGGCGACCTATGTCGGCCATCGTCCTGAGAGCCCCGGTTCCGACACAACAGCGGAACAATCGGGGGGCTAAACCTGACGGAAAAGAAGCGCGGCGGTTTAGTGTGGCGTCCGACGGCGAACCGTGGGACTTCTGGAGGCGATTTTTTTTTTCTTTGTAAAAAGCACTGTCTTGGCCCTCAGTCGAGCTTATACGAAGCAAGCATATAGTTCGTTCGCCCGTCAAATGGCCAGCATTGCAGTAGACTCTATCATATGCATTGTGCATGGGCTGGTCAGGTAAGCTGATGAAAAACCTGTGTGCGTAGGGCAGGACGCCGAGGTTTATTGGATGCCGAGACCCACGATGTCGCCAGTTACGCAAGTGACGGCCCAATGACATTGGTTTGTCCCGTACTACCCATGATGGTCGAGTTCACGATGTGGTGGTGTATGAAAAGCTTTTGCCAAACTAACATCCATTAGGTCATGAGCCCCGCAGTATAATAGAGACACGCCTCACCATTTTGATTGAAAAAAAGCTGCATTTACCACCATGCCGTCTAGGGATTATGCGAGATGGTGGCTGCCTTGTGTGTGGCCGTCACATTCTTTGCATGTCAGGGAAGCTCAGAGACAGCTGATAGTTGACGACATGTCATTGCCCGTCAAAGGGCGGCAAACAAAGAAGAGCGGTGACTTTAAATAACATCCAGAGCTGACAAGACGCATTGGTAGGCCGCTCGAGGGGGTGACCTTTTCAGCTGGATATGGGTGAGAGGAATTGCAGGGGTTGTGGTGGCAGATCCATGCGACCAAGAACAAAAGCTGCGAATCCGCTGACAATGCTAAGCCAAGCTGTCGCGGGCCGTACTCGTACAGGTAGGTATGCAGCGAGCTCGTTTTCTTCTTCTTCTTCTTCTGCTATCCCTGCTGCACTCCATACTCGACGAGTAGAAAACGTGATATTGAGCGATGCGGCTTGCTCGCACTTGGTTATGCTTGTCATAACGGCAGCATTAGAAAGATCTAACTCGCCCTGGCAATGGGGGGGAATCGCTTGAACCTTTTCCGAATTGTTGAAGCTGACTGGCTGAAGCTGTACCCTCCTGGCGGGATAAACCTGGCCTTTACGAGGTAGCAGTCTGCAATCCTACCTTCAAACGGCTGCAGGAGACGACGAGCTCCCATGTCGAAAGCGCACCAACCCAACACCTCTCTCACAAGGTTAACCCACCAGCGGCCATCCAGATACCTGGAAACGTCGCCCATTGGGGGGACTTGGACAGAGGGTGTTGTGCAGGAGCGCCACTCCTCAATGCCGCTCCCCAACCAAAGTCCACCAAAGCCCTGCGGTTCGAGGTAGGCGGACAAGGGAGGGGGTGGTCTCTTTGGCGTGCTGAGAAGCCGGGGGTGAGGAGGGGTAGAAGTGGTGCCCTGTACGATCGTGACGGGTCAGAAACAAGATCCATCCATAGGCGGGATGCACAGGCTGAATACCACATGGCAGACGGGCCTCTTGGATAGGCCTTGAGCTTTGCCCGGGAGCTTCGTTGTGAATCGCGAAGACGTACGAGTAGGAGCTTGGCCCGTGAGAGACGCGGTCAGAAACTCCCTGGCGGAGCATCGGGTACCTGTACTGCGCGTGCTTTGTAGTATACTTCTGCATGCACTCTCCCTTGTCAGCTTTTCGAGGCACATAATCATGCAGGGGGCTTGCTGATAGGACAGATGCTCCCGTGCGCATGTAAGTTTTAAGACACCTGGTGATCGCATTTGTCGCGAATTGCGACGGCAGTCTCAGCGCAAACGAAAATGCCATGGCCGCGCATTAACAAGGATTGGCGCGGGACGCAGCAGCATTTGCCGGGACCAGGTCCAGCAGCCACCTCAACCTCTTTTGTGCGCGTCTGGCGGGCGTGGGAGATGTAACCAAGTGTCGCAATACGCTCGTTGGCTGTTCGATTTGTCTTGTGTAGCATTGCTAGGGCCATCGGCGCAAACAATGGTGTGTCCTTTTTGCCTATTGCTTGTATGTATTTGTTTCGGTGGGAGACTTAATGCAACAGCAATATAGTATACAGGGATGACCGTTGAAAGACACGTTGCTTTTTTCTCTTGGCCTGGTGGTGTTGCGATGATCGGCATGTGCCGAAAATAAGGTGGTGGTTTAGCACCGCCACCATAGCTGTAGGCACCAGAAGTAAAGAAACACCAAAGCAAAGGAGACGAAAACATAATAATAATGAAATAATACTGAATAAGACATGACCTAATTTACCGTTATTATTAAGGCATCAGTTCGGATGTCATCTCTGGAAAGCCACATATAATGCATCCGCATGCAGGGACTGATCCGCTCCAATTTACACAAGCCGCCCTGTCGCGTTACAATATTGAGACGCGGGTGAGCACCCAAGACTTTGTGGCTGGCATTTCGCCTAGGAGATTAGCTCGTGATGTTGCTCTGGTCCGCTCCTTGGTAAATTATGCTGAGACAAAACAAGTTGTCTTCCATCAAATCAGACATGGCGGTTTGGGACATCTGCAGAAATGTCCACCTTCCTGTCCTGGCCACCAGCCAAACCGTTGTGTCTCTTGGAGAGAGGTTGGCGCCGAAAAGCACACTATGCCAAGTAGCAACAGTCTCTGCTGTAGCAGTTCTTCGACTTCGCTTGTACAAGTAGTTCTGTAGACGAGCCCGAGATCCATGATCTAACCGTTTCATCATAGGTGCTCTGCGCTGCCGTGAGTCGATCTGGCAATCAAAGAAGAAACACAGTTGCCTTCCCCACCTGTGACCTGCATAATCGGATCCTACATGACCTTGCCAGTTCCGTGCCTCTCCTTGTTTGTGTCTTCCCCTTCTTTCGGCTTCCAAATGTTGCTACGCAAGACGCAGGTCCACTGACAAGTGCCATGTCCTCCAGCCAGTCAGAGCCGCAAGCGGCGAGATGCCAGAGGCTGCACTGTTTAAATCGCCACATGGAATTGCGCACTAGGAATACAACGAACTGAGAATGGAGCCAACGTTGACAACTAGTGACACGCCGTCGGACAGTCCGCTGGAAGCTTCTGAGGTTTTTGGCCCACCAAGGCAATGGCACGGTATGGGGACAGTGTGTTTTACAGCAGCCGCGTATCGAGACCAGATGTTTCCGGCTCTTGTGCGGAGCTGCTTTCGTGGCTTTGGCACTGAGGAAGACAGTAGGTGCTCCGTGAACGATGACGGTGCGAGCTTCCGCATGCTTGGTGGCCAAGCCGTGTAATAGGCTCAATGGAAAGGTACCTCTTTTCACGGTCTGCTGCGGCAAATAGTTGAAAATTTCGTAGCCCCAACTCATCGGAATCCATCTCCGCGGTCTGACAGGGCGGAGTCCTCTCGGTGCTGCTTGTACTGTAACCGGATGAAGAGCAAGCATCCTTGCCGAGTTTGACGAATTCAAAAATAATTAAGCCGACAGTGGTTTGCCTTGCTGCATTTGCTGCATAGGTACTAGCAGTAAACGCAAATATCTGTGTCAAGTACTCGTACTTGTAAAGCGCAAAGCACGAGACCACATCTGAAGTAAACCTGGCAGGTACATCGGGGTCTGGTTGAGCTTGGAGATGCGCCACCAACGCTCCAACAAGAACCGGCTGCCTTTGTGGTGCCCACCTACTGAGAACTGGCTCTTTTTTCTCCCCTCGAGTCCCCGGTTATTGCAAGGCGAAGAGCCCTGGGCCAGTTGAATTGCCTGAGCCTATTCGCCGTCCTCAGCCAGACAAGGACTTCCGCCATGGCGCGTGGCGCCTCTTGCTCCGTACACGCCCTGAAGCAACGAAAAAAAGCCATGGCTTTCGCTCGAATCTGGCACAGGCCACAAGGTTTTGTACTGTAGCAGGACGAGAGGGCTTGGGGCCTCATTGCTGAGAACGGCGGCAGGCAGCAAGTGAATAATAATACTCACGGGCTCGTCGCTCCCTCCACGAGTTTCTTCTTTCCTTTTTTCCTGTTTCTTCCACAGCGTTATTTACTCTTTCCGTTTGTTGTCGTCTGCGAAGTACACAGGAATTGATTGATTCATCGCCGTGTGATTTGATTGATTGGTTGTGTGTCTCGCTCCGTCATCTTTGCACTCTGTTGTCTAGATCTGACAATTTCCGGCATTTGTTTGGCCAATATTGCTGCAAAGTACCTCTTTTCTTGGCTGCCTGATATATCCCTACCGCTGCTCCTTGTCCCCCATTGCCTCCCTTGCCTCTTGCTGTTTCATTGCAACTGCAGCAAAAGGAAGATCCCGAGCGATAACGCAGCAACGCTTCCTTGAGCAGCAGCGTCATCTGGTGCGACCCCTCTCGTCAAGTCAAGAGCTCCAGCAGCACCAGCAGCACCAGCAGAAGCTACCATCTGGTTTCTTGTCCGTGTGGGTGGAATTTTGACCTTGTGGGCTGTTTCAGCGCCCTTTGAAGCCAACTTGGCCAACCAACGGGCCCGAGATCGAGCAAGAGATCGCCTTTGGCCGCCAAAAACCAGCGCCCACATCGACGTCTCACACCAATACACGCACACCCCCCCCCCCTGGCTGGATCCTGGCCGATTATTCGACACTCGCCCTCGCCTAACCTAAGGCAACTAATCCCCGCGCGACCCGGTCGGTCCAGGCTGTGCAGACTCAACAGTGTGTGAGAGTGTGTGTGTCCACTAGACAAGTCCAAGTCCAACAAGAGGGCCAGTTAGCAGCACCAGCTTTGGACAAGGGAGAGAGAAAAAAAAAGCTCGCCCGCTCTCTGCCGCACAGCGTCCCGCGACTGACTCTTTCTTCCATCACACATTCTTCCTCTTTCATCTCTTTTTTTCTCGTCACGGCTGCTACGGTTCTTCCCTTGCGCGTGTTTCGGACTATCGGCTGAGAGAGTTACGGTTGTTTTTGCCGGCGCCTAAAAGTAAGTTGCACATTTTCCTGCCTGCCTCTTTGAATTTTTTTCTGCTTTTTTTTGTTCGTGTGAAATTTTTCCCCTCTTGTCCGTGCCCCGGTTCGAATAGCGTGTGGTTTGCGCGCGGAGCGATGGATCGAAATTCGAATTGGATGTCGCCTCTGGAGCCGCGGCGACGAAATCGCCAATCTCGACAAGGACCAAGGCCGAAGCAAGTGGCCAAGACAAATGCGCTTGGAGACAAGCTCAACTCGGCGACGCAATCGATCGAGCAACAAGAGAAATACTGCGCTGCGCCCTTGCAGGCGTGGCACATGCGGCGAAATGCGGCGTCGTATTCCCGGTTGCGCCATCGCCATCCGGCCGTGCCCCGAGGCCTCAACACCATTGCCGCGTCCAGATTCTGAGCGTCGCATCGGCCGACTCTTTCGCAAAGCATCGTGATTCCTCTATGCCATTGGATTTTCTCTCCGGGAGCACTTCGGCGTCTCGCGGGGCGATGCACGATCTCCATCCGATTTCACCCCACTTCGCCGGGTCTACCATGTGATTGCGGCAGCCGAAGAATCAAGGACGATAATCGATACGGGAGGGACCGGAAGGGCGTTACAAATCATGGAGAGTTGGTGGATGCGGCCGTATGTTTGGTGTCTTCGTGTCTATCGACGTTGATGTCGCCTGGAGAAAATGCCCGAGACCGCATGGTGGATGTTGGGGATGATGGTTGCTCGTGCTCCGAATAGCTACATCACAATTTTATGCCCGACAAATATGACCAGCGCATCGAGACTCTCTTATCTCGGATCGCGGATAAACGAATCTTTTGCCATTGGCAGACGACTTAGAACTGTGTCCACGACTGGACGGAGATTTCTGAGTGTGGAGTGTGTTGGCGTGCGATTGGCGCGTCGGCCGTTTGCCATTACCAAATTGGTCTTCTTTTATGGGCGCAATGCTTCTCAGGACGACTTGACGACTGTCAACATGGCCAAAACGGTGGATTGATGGATATGGAAAGCAGCCTGCGATATATCTGGTGTATACTTGACTCGGATCGTCCGAATGTCTACTATACAGTCATCTACGAATCTACAAGCACACTGCCACTGAGGACATGCGGCGCATTCGAATACGAAATTTAACACTACAAGAATATACTGAGGAAACCTTGGCGATCGATATCCCGATCAATATCTGGATAATGCGCAGAATGTCTGGTGGAGAAGGGAGAGAAAGATGGAAGTGGCTGTTGTGGATGTGCCACTGGCTTGTTGGCTTAGGCATCTCCGCAGGCATTTTGCGCAACACGTGGGATCGGAGGGCCTTTTTTTTTACTTTTCTTTCATGACTGCACATTGCACCGCTACTAGAAGCTTTGACCTGCATCATAGAGTGCTAATGGTTATATCTAGGTTCTTCTTGATTTCGAGAGCGTTCCAACTGTTTTACCACACTCCTTTAGGATTTTCGGTAGAACATACGATCGGTCCACGATATCATCTTTCGACTCCATCTTAAAGAAAGTCATTATCCGCCTCAAGCATCGCATTTGTCCCCTTGCCATCTTGAACGCGGCGTGACGGCGTATTGAGAATCTCTTATTCATACGGACACTTTTTTTCCTTTGGAGTCCCTTTAGCAAGACTGGATATCGGTCTTCTATTGCTTCGTTCTCGATCTTCGCTTTCGATTCGAACGCTTCATCTCTATTTCGATTCTATTTAGGTACGTGGTTGATTGCCTTTCCATGACATTATGGTGGACAGTGTTGACTGTTTGTCCCTGCATAGTCTTTGAGCATCTTCTTCGGCAAGGAACGAAATCCTGACATCCTGTTTATAATCGAGCTTGAAGCAGATTACAATTTGGTTTGCCAAAACATAAAGTAATTGGTATGTGCTGAGTTTTCCTTTTTTTTCCCCTCCTATGCTTGACCACGGTCACGCCAGCTAGATATACGTCTATATCATCTTGGGCTTGAAGGGGGACATAGTGAGCCAAGCGGCTTTCCCTCTAATTCCCCAAGAAACCTTCCCCAATGACGCCTACATTCGTCCACCTGTACATCCACCATCATCTACATCTTTATCCACCCCAAAAACTCTAAACTGGCTCTGGTGGAACCCATGCGAGATTGAGGGTACGAGATATGAGTAAAAGATGGATCAGTATTTAAGCTGGCACGTCACTCATATGACCCCACTCCTCTTCCCTTCTCTCTCCTTATTTCTATCGCCAATATGCCGGACTTGTTTGAGGTACTCTTTGCTGACGGGCAGCTGCAGATTAGTATGGATCTTAACTCTTCCTTTCCTGGTGCTTCGTCTAACGGCATCTCTTCTGCCAGTCCAATGGCTTTTCAAAACGGAACCCCCCCTGCCACCGACATGTCGGCTGTCCCTCCTCCTGCTGGTCCTACCCAGGATCAGGCCAAGACCACCCTGTGGTAAGATACGACCCAACTGCTGAGCATGCAATGTGTCATTTGTGATTAACAAGAATGATAGGATGGGAGAGCTCGAGCCTTGGATGGACGAGAACTTCATCAAGGGTGTTTTCCTTTCCGCCGCTGGCGAAACCGTCAATGTCAAGGTGATCCGCGACAAGAACTCGGGGTGAGTTTGTCTCCATGCTATGTTGTCTATCGTCCCTCATGACACAAGGGAAAAGATAAAAAGACAACGAACCCCAATCATAAACATCATCACTCGGCTAACTCTACTCTCCCCTCCCAGCAACGCCGGATACTGCTTCGTCGAGTTCGCGACTCCCGATGCTGCCACCAAGGCGCTTGGCCTCAACGGAACTCCCGTGCCTAACAGCTCGCGCCAATTCAAGTTGAACTGGGCGTCTGGAGGCGGTCTGGTTGATCGCCGGTAAGTTTGATTCCTGTTTGAAATTCTGCCATCCTCAGCCTTGCCCTTCTTTTTCTCGCTGCCTTGCACAGGTACCTCTGCTTGTACCTTCCCCACTGCAGCTTCTCATGTACCTGTCCGGGTACCGCGCAGAGTTTGTGGCAGTAACCGTGGCGCCTCGGATTTACTTTCTTCACCACCTTCAGGCGCAACTTCAATCTCCCGCTTCTGCCTTGCCTCGCCCTGTTTCTCTCGCCGCTACAACTTCCCCCATTTCCACTCTTCTCACCTAATTTCTCCCCTTTGTTACTTTCTTTTTCTGGACATCGCCCTCGCTCCTGCTGAATATTTGGTTTCTAATGTCTGCCAACGATAGAGACGATCGCGGCCCCGAGTACAGCATCTTTGTCGGCGACCTTGGCCCCGAGGTCAACGAGTATGTCCTGGTCTCTCTCTTCCAGGCTCGCTTCCCTTCGTGCAAGTCGGCCAAGATCATGACGGATGCCATGTCTGGCCAGAGCCGCGGCTACGGCTTCGTGCGCTTTTCCGATGAAAACGACCAGCAGCGTGCCCTTGTTGAGATGCAGGGAGTCTACTGCGGCAATCGTCCTATGAGGATCTCGACTGCCACTCCCAAGAACCGGTAAGTTGCGCCCGCCATCTTTTGCCCACGCACTTTGCCCGCCCACCTTCTGTCCCTTGCCAACTCTCCACTTATACCTATACACACCCCATCTATCTATTCATCAAACTGAGAACACTGGGCTCTAACATGACCATTTCGCATTATAGTGGCAATCACGGCTTCGGTCACGGACACCAGGGCGGCCCCATGATGGGTGGTGGTATGCCTCAGCAGCAAATGTGGGGAGGAGTGCAAGGATTTCCCTATGGCGGTGGTGCCGGTGCCGGTGGTGGTGGCTTCAACCCAGCTACCCAGATGAACCAGTTCACCGACCCCAACAACACAACTGTTTTCGTCGGCGGCCTTTCAGGATACGTCACTGAGGATGAGCTCCGATCTTTCTTCCAAGGATTTGGAGAAATCACTTACGTCAAGATCCCCCCTGGCAAGGGCTGCGGCTTCGTCCAGTTCGTCCACCGCCACGCCGCCGAGATGGCCATCAACCAGATGCAGGGCTACCCCATTGGCAACTCCCGAGTGCGACTCAGCTGGGGCCGATCTCAGAACAACTCTGGAGTCGGCACTCCCTACCGCCCTGCTCCTCCTCCGCCTCACTACATGGGCATGCCTGGCCCTGCCCACGGTGGCCCCGGTCCCAACCCATACGGTGCTCCCCACCACTTTGGCGGTCCTGCTCCGGGTCCCCAAGGTCCTTCAGGGCCCCCAGGTCCCGCCGTCCCCCCTCAGGTAGGAAATGAACATTGACACTCCCATAGAGAGACAGACCACAGAGAGGCTGACCGCTGATTTTTCGTAGTAAAGTTTGAAGAGACGGCCGGACATTATTGAGACGAGCTGGTCGCTCTGACCAGCCTCGGGGAACTGGACAAGGTTTTGTCGACTCTCATTTGATGCTCTCCTTTCTTATTCTTCACAGCCGATTGATGGGCTGACCTGGGGCAACATTGGGGCGTTGGACTGATTTGCGTCGTTCGGGCACGTCGTCTTTTGTCATTTTTTCTCACGTTGAAATTACCATTGCTCTGCGCTTTGACACGACACTATGCACCCCCCATTTTCTTGAGTCTCAAATCACGACCGGCGTTGGAGATTTCAGTTCTCTGGGGAACTGTCACCAGTCAAATTTGATTACGTGCTTGATTTTATGATTCCCCTAACAAAAAATTGATGCCGTGCTTTGTTTGCGTGTGATTGCCTCATACTTTTGTGATGTGTGCATTTGTTGTGTTGTATTTCCTATGTTCTCCTATGTCCTTGCCTTTCTCTCTCTTCCTTTTCCTTATTATTCTTTCCTTTTTTTCCTTGAGTATTTTTCTTAAATGTTTTCGTTTATCAATTAAATCCAGACTTTGCGCACAGCGGCAACAGAAATTCTCGTCATGAAGAATTTGCGCTGGTCATAAAACACTTTGCCATTATAAAAGCTTTTTTTTTTTTTTTTTTTTGCTTTCTTTCCTTTTCCTTGTGTATTTCTTACCCTTGGCTTTCTCTTGTCTCTTTTCCTAAGCTATCTTTCCTATGTCTTTCTCCTCTTTCTTTGTGCTTCTCGCTTTTCTTTCCCAGTCGTTACCGTTCATTTGTTTGTCTCTTGGACTTGGGGCAACGGTGGATGCTCAATCATTACTGGAGTTTCCTTGGGTATTATTTCTTTTCTCCATATTTCATTTCCTGTGTGCCTCCATCATTCGTTAGGCAACTTGGAATCTTTCCTTGTTCCGATGCATGGAGTCTTGATCCGTCCCTAGAGCTTTCTGCAAGTAGCAGCCGTGGGTGTATCCAGCGAGCTGTCAAGATAGCGCATGGCAAGGGGACTGGCATATATAGCTGCTCTATTACATATAGAGAAGAATATATCGGCGCATTTAGATGGGGAAATTTGGATTGCCTTTGTTGAACCCGTGCATGTCTTGATTGCGGCTGTTGTCTGTGCTTTGCCGCCGTAGGATCAAGAGAACTTTTGTGGTGGTCCGTGCCGAAATCCCGTTACAACGACACTATCATGGGTTATGTTACTCTTCTTAGCCAGAATCAATTGTCGAGCCCACGACTAGTGGTCTGGGGCCAATCACAAGATGGTGCATCGCCGGCGAGGAGTCACCATCTGTCCCACTTATGGCTGCATGCTTTGCGCCAAACTTGCCACGAAATAGTGATGGAAGCTATGGTGAGTTAAAAACCCTCTATAAATAAAGCCTTGATAACCTATCCCGTGGTATGTGTATAGATCTCATGAGCGTGTTTCTACGGCGATTTTGCGGCATCAGTAAAACTCAAAATATTCTACTCCAAATACAGAAAAGAAAATACACGGCCATGTCATCCACACAAAAGAATTTCCGTGTCGAGCCCGCTCGGGAGGAAGACATGCCACGATGCATGCAACTCGTCCTCAATGCCTTTGGACCGTTCCCAAATTTCGATGTCATTGGAGGAGGGCCAGATTCAGAAGAGAATCGGAGGCTGAACGCGGAGCGACACTTGCGCGGCTACAAGGAGCATCTTGAAAAATACCCTTCGGTGTCGCCGGGAGTCAAGTGTGTGTTTACGGATCCTGAGACTGGAGAGGAGAAGATTATTGGGTTTGCGGAGTGGTTTATTTGGGATCGTGAGAGGACTGAAGAGGAGTACATGGTGGAGAACTACATTTTGCGATTGGAGTGGGTTGACGATCTGGTGAAGAGGAAGGTTGTCTTGGATGCTATGGAGCCGGAATTTGCAACGAGGAGAAAACTCATGAAGGGGCGGCCGTTTGGGCTGCTGTGCTTTATGTGTGTTGATCCTGAATACAGGCGACGAGGAGCAGCGACGGCGTGTGTGAAATACGGGATGGATCGGTGTGAGGAGTTGGGCATACCGGCGTATTTGGAGGCGAGTGAGGAGGGTATGAAGACGTACAAGACTCTGGGGTGGGAGGTGTACGAGGGACATGGTGAGGAGTTGACGTTTCCGCCGATGATTTGGTGGCCTCCTAATGTTACGAAGGAGTGAATGGGCTGGGCTTTGTTTCTACTTTGGAGAGGAGCTTGGAAGAATTTGATCGCACTTTGATATAGCGGGTTATAAAATCATTTCGGTTGAGATGCCACAAATATTAGAATAGCAATGTGTATATATAGTCCCAGCGGGTTCAATGAATCTCGGAGCCTTTCGATCGCGTATCTTTCGACGGTTAAACAGCATGGGTAGAAAACCACCTATAGAAAAGAACTGTTAGCACAAGTTCGATAGTATGAAGCCAAATAGAAAGAAATGAGCTGGGCTTGGTAAACATACCACATTATTCCCTAGATTCTTTGAAAGGCCACCTCTGGTATGGTTCCCCTAATAATGGCATCCTGACTTCTCGTGCATGCAAAAGATGTCTTAAAAAAAGAAACATTTGTTCCAGAGGCCATGAGAGTCGTCCTGTAGACTCTGCTCTGATATCAGAAGTCAAGCCAGGATCAAATGCCATAGCGTCTGCGAATTCGAGCGGCCACATGCACAGAAAGATGCCAGAGGTGAATCATCAGCAGCAGGAGATTGAGCCAAAAGGTGACAGTCTCAAATATTTGAAACCACTGTTCTACTGACGACATTTTTCCCGTGGTGAATGGCTTTCGGCTTCGAATTGCTTCAGTGTAACGTTCTTTGGCGCGGATGGGGAAGGTGCTTTTCTGTGGGATAGTTATGTTTGGGGCAACTTTTGTGTCGCAAGCACTCGTGCATGGGTACTAGATAACTACCACTTGAAAGATGGTCCGAGTCAACTCTGCAGCGAGGCCAGCAGCTAGGGACAAAAGCTGACCAAAAGATGAGAAAAAACAAAGCTATTGTTTGCATTTTCCAAGCTATTATTTTCATTTTATTGAGTGCATTTCTTTCGGACAATCATTTTATCCTGCATCTCTCCGGGACTAAATCTCGCCGTTTTCTTTGACCCCTGACGGGTAGCCACCTACCAAGAGTGAATCTGCGAAGTGAAGAATCCTTCACTTACCTAGAGACAAGTAGAATAATAAATTACTGAACCTGCTGATTTTCGAATATTGTAAAGGCTATACTCCAATGCCAGTGAGTGATAGTATGGCTTTTGGTGGCCACGATACACTCGATTTCCTTGCGTATGCAACACGAAGCTACACTACAAACTAATCCTCTCGCCAATTTCGAGACAATTATCACGAAATAATACAGTTTTGAATGTGGACGAAAGAAACAATTACTTAGTTCTAAGAAATATGGTATCTGAATACATGGTTGCTCGAAAAACTACCAATTTACGAGATGTGGAATACAGTCACAAGAACTTCGAGGGCAGCCATCATCACCCACTACTAATATCAAACCTCGTCTGCATTGAAAGCCTCCCATACCACAAGAACTGCAACTCCCTCTCTGCCTACCCCCCAGCTCTCCGTCTCTCAGCCTGCACGCCCAAACGCACGCCCAAACGCCAAAACAATAAACCTCAACGCGGCCCACTTTGATCTGATCTGGGAGCAAAACAGCCGGCCAATGAGAAAAATCGGCGCAGCTGGCAGCTTTTTCGAAAATCATTTTCACAATCAGCAGCCTACCCATTTTCCTAAAATGGAATATGAGGCAGATGCAAAGGTACGTACCTGCTTTTGAAGAGGCAGTGGAACGGGCAGTGGTTGGGGGGAATTGGGAGAGGTGACGAGGGCCCTGGTGATGTCGTGGTGGATGGATTTGGAGAATGTGGTCGAGATGCCAGGACGCTGTACATAAGAGTAAACGTCCACTTGTAGTTCGTAAATCTCTGCTAGTATGTCTAGCTCCTCTAGATTATCTTGTCATCAAAGCAGAGAGTTCTCGTGCCTAGTATCGTAGAAAAATGTGAATCTTTTTTGCCAGTTGTTCCTGACTCTGGTTGCTACGTTTGGATAGCCACCCGGCACTCATTCCAAAATGTCTATGAAAATTCAAAGATCTTCCATATTGAAATACACTGAAAAGATGATGGAGGTTCTTTGGATATGCATTTCGCGCATTTTCTAGGGGAAATGTCTTCCTATGTTTGATCCAAAATGCGAGTTCATCATGCGCGAATCCTTCCACCGCGGCAATTCGGAACAGAGAAGATATTGTATAGTATTGAACAAGCAAAATAAATCTACATAGATCAGAACGTCTTGCCGTAGTGACTCCCCCAAACCCATTCTACATAGCTCATTATCGCAGCCTCTTGCCCCATCATGTCTGCCCGCCGCTAGCCCATGGTAAACCCCTCCGCATGTCTATGGCTTGAGTATTTGCGAAATATGAATGGTGCAAAGCGGGCATGTAGATTATAGGGAAGAGCAATCTCTTCTCGGCTCTCCACGTAGATGTCGTACACTCGTGTTCGATATCGGAGTAGGTTGGGATTTTCGATTTAATTGAATCTGCCTAGCACTTGACATGGTTAGCTGGGGACGTAGATACATCTTGTTGGACAATACCTGCAAATATTATTGGCACATGAGAATTTCGTACTGGGAGACATTGTTGGTAACCAAGAACAAGACAAGAACCTAAGACGCTCTTTTCTTGGAGAATCTATCCAGCCGTGAATGAAAATGACTGAGGATAAATAGGGAATAATGGATAATTGTTCAATCTCCTATTGAAGCGCCGTAAGTTTTGATGCAGTTAATGCGACGGAATCGGTAGAGCAGTTTTGCAGCAGCACCATGGTTTCTGCTCAGAGTCTCTGGGTAAACACAACCCTACGGCAAATTTGAGAGAAGACGAGCATTGGAAATGAACGCTGCTGAAAAAGCAAAAACATTGCATAGGTAGAATTGTTGGAAGAACTATATGGCTAGAGTAACGTGCTTGCGCTCATACCTTAGTTAAATGCTCAAGTGCAGCGGCAATGCACCCAACCGATGCGTTTCTAAAGTTCTCGATTTCTTTGAGCTCTCGACATTGAATCTGGCTCATACTTCATTGACATTATCTTTGCTTCTGATTTTTACGCACTTCTGGTCACTCTCTCTTCCAGAAACCAACCTCTACTGAGTCTCTGTTAAATTTCCCCCCTGACACGACCCTCTAGGGTAACATTGTCCAACTTTCAAATGGATGGATGCCTTCAAGGTATGGATATGAACTTTTTGGATTACCGAGCGCCCTTTGACAACTTTTGATACCAGACTGTTACTGAATTCCCGATAATCCAGTTTCTCCAAGACGACCGACCGAATACCGACACTCGATCCGTAGAACCGATCCAAGAACGAAACCGAAGCCTACCTCCCCGACGCTCGATTCCATTTCTAGGCATTTACTATGTCCAGCGACCGGTGGCTACAGCTTGATACGCATTTGAGGGCGTGGAGGACAAGATTTGTATGTGGATGGGTGTTTGGAGTAGGATACACTGCATGGTTAATGCTTCTGGAACGAGAAATGGTGGACGTTATCGCACATTTATTTCGAATTTCAAGTCTATGAAATATTTGTTCCATATTTTTTGATACAATAATCGGATTCGCTTTCGTGAAGCGACTACTCTCGCAAGCAAATTTGTGTCCATCATGGCTTTCTGACACCGATAAATCTGTCCCATCCTACTCCCATAGACTATCTAGTAGTTTTTTTGCAGCTTTGCAATTCAAAAGCATGGCCAAAACGAGACTGTGAATAGCCCTGTCGCCGTATCTTCTGTTACTTTTTTCAGAGCTCGACTCTGGCTTGGAAGCAGCCCGAGAAAGAGTTTCGTACTACCCCGATTCGAAGCACTGAATGCCCTGTCAATCAAGCAATTGGTTAGCTCGATCGATTACCGTTGGAGATCTAGATTGTGGAGAAAACTAGCAGGGATACACCCTTGGAGCGACGAGTCAAGAAATAGACTACGAACGACCACATCTAGCGTAACCAGATGACGAGAAAACAATTGACGGAAGATACTACGAAATGAATGGTTTTCTAGGTGAACCCAAGTGTATCACTATCTGTCTATTACTCGGCCCACCGTTACTACAGAAGTGTTCTCTGTCTTCTCAATGTGTATCGGTCGCATGAATATGGTTACTTTCGGGGATGGGTAGAATATGCAATCATAGGAAAAATAGGGGTAAACCAAATAACAATTACAGAATCTTTTCCAATGTTTGTGACATCTTTTTCAGCATGGACAGTAACGCAATATGCAACTTGGACAGCAATTGCAGCCGTATGGGACTGGGAATAGCTTCACCTGCACAAGAGTATCGTAGCAGTGCCCTGTACGTAGGCTCCAGGGGGGCTACAGAGGCCAGCAGCACTACACCTGCAATGCGATATATCCAATTCAAACAACTACACAATTACGAATTCCAGATATATGGCACAAATGACAATTGTATGGAAACTTTATTACTACCAATTGCTCTACACATCTACAGCATCATCAAAGCCTTGATACCAACTTGCCCTCCAATATCATCATGCCCATTGACGCCCTCAATTCCCTTGCCAGCAACCTCACATATTGCAACACCAATCCCTCCCTCCTCGAGAACAGGCAACTGCATCACATACGCAGACAATTTCAATATCAATTCACTTTTCTCGCTTGTCCATGCAGAGTCATCCCCTGAATGCCCCTCTCCTCCTCCAAGTCTGCCAATGATCGAGCGAGGAGGCCAACCCAGACTTCACTTCTGCATGAACTTGATACCGGTGGCGTTGACTGTGGAAGCTTCTGGCCAAAACAGCACGCGTTTGCCCTCTCGTTGCCTACGCGACTGCAGTGATCCCGAATTCTCATAGGCCAGAAACGAGGTGCAGGTGTTGATTTTCCAGTTCACTTTTTTTCCCAACACCTGACAGCCAGATCAGTAGGCTCCACTCCTCTGATTCCCACAACTACTTGAACCTCTCCTCCTCCCACTCTCTCTTCCTTTTTTCTTTCCTCCTTTCACCATCCGGATTTCCAGCTGAGTTTTCCCCTTATGTCTTTTTTGAGTTGTGAATTTTGTTGGTACTGCTAACCTCATAAACCCAGCTCCAATTCTTTGGCAGGAAATGATTAGAAAAGGGTTCTTCTGAGAACAACTCTGTCTGCCAGATCAGCAGCCAGAGGAGTTCGTTGACTACACCTTTAATATGATCCTGAAATCTCTTTTTCTTTTTCTTTTTCTTTTTCCCTTTACCCCCTTCCTCTTCCCTCTTCCCTCTTCCCTCTTCCCTATTGCCTCTTCCTTCTCTTCCCTCTTCATTCTCTTCCATTTTCCCTTTTTTCTTTTTGGTCCTTTTTTTGGTCTTTGTCTTTTTTTCTCCATCTCTTTCTTCTTTTCTTTTTCTTTTTGGTCATTTCCTCTTCTACTTCCAGTTCCAATCTCAATCTGAATTCCATTTTCATCTTCCACTTTCGTTTCTCTCCTCTATTTCTAGTCTTCATCTTTGATTTCGATTTCCCACTTCCACTTCTACTGCCACCTCCATCTTCCACTTCCATCTTCCACCTCCATCTTCTACCTCCATCTTCCACCTCCACTTCCACTTCCACTTCCACTTCCACTTCCACTTCCACTTCCACTTCCACTTCCACTTCCACTTCCACTTCCACTTCCACTTCCACTTCCACTTCCACTTCCACTTCCACTTCCATCGTCGACCTCCATCGCCCATCTTCCACTTCTATGTTTCCATTTCCACTTTCCATTCTCGACTTCTCCTTCCACTGTGACCGTCGCTTTCTTTTTCGTCTTCTCTTCAAAGGTATGTCTTCAAACTTTCATTTTTTTCTCTCTCTTTCTTTTCTGTTTTTCTCTTTCTCTTCTGTTTTTCTCTTTCTCTTCTGATTCTCCCTTTCATTTCACTTCCATCTGCCAAGTGATGACAAAAGGGTTCTTTTCCAGCTGCCAGCCAGCAATGGAATCAAATACTCTGTCTGATGGGCAGTCCGACTTCGGTTGTTCGACTTCGGTTGTTCAACTTCGGTTGTTCTGCGTGCGCTTCTCGAGGGTCATTTTCATTTTCATTTTCTTTTTGTTTTCCATCGACTTCTCTCTCGGTAAGTGTCCTCTTTTCCTCACTTTTTTTTTTCGCACTTCTTTTTTCTTTTTTCTGCTTCTTGCTTTCTCTTTGCCACACACAGACACATGGAATGATGACCAAAGGGTTCTGTATTCCAGCTGCTAGCCAGCAATGGAAATAACAAATTTCGTCTGACACTGATTGAATCACTCTGGCCTCTCGCTTGCTGTTGATTCTCTCTTTTTGTGTTTGTGGGTGCTGAAAAGAAAAAGAGAGCAGATTCAAGTTGGTTCTGACTTCAAAATTTTCTCAATTTCTTTTCTTTTCCTTTCCTCTCTTCTTTTTCCTGTTTGCCCCCTACATTTACCTTTCCTCCTTCTCCCTCTCTCCCCTTCCTTTCTTACCACTGCCACTGCCTGTGCTACCTCTACCCAACACACACACATCGAGTGATGACCAAGGGTTCTGTATTCCGCTGCTGGTCAGCAATGGAATAAAAAAATTGTGTCTGACATTGATCGATCCTCCCTAGCCTCTCGCTTGTGGTTGGATCTTTCAATTTGTGCTTGTGTGTTGGAACGAAAAGCACAGTTGCATCCATCCTAGTTTCATCTTTCTCGCGATATTTGTTTTCTTTCTTCATTCCCACCTTTTTGTCACTCCTTCTCTCGTTCATCCTCGTCGCTTCAATCCGTGCACACATCACATAGAGTGATGACTACGGGTTCTATATTCCGACTGCAATTCTGCAATGGAATGAAATTTTTGAGTCTGACGTGATTGAATCTCTCTGGCCTCTCGCTTGTTGTTGATTCCTTCATTTGTGCTTGTGTTCGCTGGAAGAAGCAAATTTGCATTCGCTGTCACTTCACTTCAAATTTCCAACTTTTGCTTTTTCTTTCCTCAATTCTATTCTGTCTTCTCTTTCTTCTTCTCTTCCTCTCTTTTCTTTTTATCTTCTTTTTCTCCCAACACATTCACACTCAGGATGATGACATTGGGTTCTAGTTCCAGCTGCTCGCCAGCAATGGAATAAAATTTACAAGTCTGACGCCGAAATTGACTCACTCTAGCCTCTCGCTTGCAGTTGTTTCTTTTTCACTTGTGCTCTGTGTGTTGGCGAAAAAGATGGTCGACATTTGTCGCTCTGATCTCGTCATCCCTATCTTCTCTCTCGCTTGTCTCCTTCCAACACATACACATTCAGGATGATGACATAGGGTTCTGTTCCAACTGCAAGTCAGCCATGGAATCAAAAATTTGAGTCTGACGCTGAAATTGATTCACTTTGGCCTCTCGCCTTAGCTGGTTCATTTTCTCCTGTGCTCTGTGTGTCGGAAAGGCAACCCATGCCATTCCATGTTCTCATGTTGGCCATTGATGAAAGAAATTGGTCTGCTTTCAATTCTCCCCCCTTCCTAGAGTCGCAATGATGAGCCAAAGGTTCCTTCTGATCTGCCTGGGGCTTATTGGCCACCAGCCAGACTGTGAAGACAAATTCCAATTCTGAGCGACCAAACTCAACTCCCCTTCTACTCCCTTTTTTGCGTGCTGGCTAACTCGACTTTAACAGGTAATTTCAGCATTTGTTTGGTTCGATCATCATCAGTAAGTCTTCATCTTTTCTTTTTTTTCTTTTTCCTTTGGGGTGATTAGACAGAATGATACAATACGATCCATAATGAGGTACAAAGTTATTAGGGTTCTTCTGACCATAGTTTCTTGATCACATTTTCTGACTTCATTGTTCTTGTTCCGACTGCTGATCTCTTTTCTGAAATAGCGCTCGACAACTCTGGTTCAAACAGTTCGGTAAGTGTCCTTCATCCCCCCTCCCTCTGATTCTTCCTTCACTTGATACGTATGGGATGATTACATCATTCCTGGATGATTGCCAATGAGTACTTTGAAATGCTTGAAAGTGTTTCGAGTCGTTGTTCTGACCATACAACTCTTTCCCCATTCTTTTTTGCTGCTACTTTGGAATTTGTTTACTGGCAGTTTTCTAGATCAGGGCTTGACATAAACCCGACATCTCTTCCATTCCTTTGCTCGCCTTTGCTTTTCTGGTAAGTCGCTTTTCTCTTCCACGTCATGGAATGATTACAAAAAAGAACACAATCTCAAATGAGTGCACTGGGACTCTACCAGTGAAACCTGGGTTCTTCTGACCATGGAATTTCTCAACATTATTTTTCTGCTCTCGCGTTTAGATCCGCATGCTAACCACTTTTTGGCCAGGTCTACCCTCATTCATTTCCGGTCGGTTCCCTCTCCTCTCCTCTTCGACGGCATGGGATGGTGACAATAAAGAACACTATATTACATGAGTGCGCTGAGAGGAGAGCCTTAACACGTTCTCCTCTCCAGTGGCAACAGGGTTCTTCTGACCATGAAATTTCCATCTTGGTGTTTTCTGATTTGGAATTATCTTCCTGATGGCTGACCATGTGTCTGGATCAGATCTCGGAAGAAATTTTCAGGTTTGAGATCCTTCTGTTCGAAGCTTTCCGGTAGGTATCTCCTCTCTTTCTCTTTCTCGTTATTTTATGGAGTGATTATACCAACGGCGCCATCATGGGATGGTTGTAGAGATGCCTTTAAAGTATTCTATTATTACAGCTACTGTAGGGTTCTTCTGACCATAGTTTGTTGCTGCTCTTTTTTCTATTTTAATCTTTTGTATTCAGAGGCTAACAACTTCCTAGCACGTTGATCAGAAGAAACCTGAACATGCACGTTTTCCAAGTCAATCAACTATGGTGAGTTTTCTTTTCACTTATTTTTCTCAACCGTAGGATGATGACAATCACGTAACTGGATTTCCAATGAGTGAGCTGCAAGACAGTGTCCATTGGATCTCCTCTGACTATCGCTTCTCTTAATGTTAATGTTTGACTTCAACTTCAATTTTCCGATTGCTGACTTCTCTTACCTAGGACACACGTAATTCAGGTAGTCAAAATGTAGAATAGACATAAAAAAAGAATATGTTTGGAAACAATCTCTTGCCCCTGACCCCGATCACGTGTGACACTTTGCTCTAGAATTGGTAACTAAATTTATTCTCTAAGCACGGCGGTAGAAGCTGAAACTTGTGATTTGCATCGAGACTTGACAGCAAAGTTCAGTGCCAGCGGATATTTCGCCTAGACGTTCGGCCTGCTCGATTGGAAAACGGCTCTGATTTGAATGCAGAGTTCTGCCTAAGCAGGAATTACGGCTTTCCCACTCTTAGGCGGAATCAATTTGGTCAAGGCAAAGCAAAGATGTTCCATATTTCATTCAGGCGAGGTTGAGAAGCTGACTACCTCTAGTGTCTGCGCTTAGAGAACATGCAAAACGAAGACAAACTAACAACAAGCGATGCCCCAACAAACGACATAGGCGAAAATCATACAGTGAAAAGGCCGATCAAGAATCGAGTAGAGCGCCTTGGATGGAGCGACAAGGCTGGGGCGACAAGGCTGGGGCACAAATACAGAGATGCTACGCGTATGTGCATTAGGGGGACGCAAAGAGCTTTTGGTATGGCACACATGATTGCTCCCAACTATGACGAACTGATAGCTAACGAATCTAATCTCTAGGCTACAGGGTACGGAATTGAATCGAAAATCGAGAATTCAAACTGCAAGCTAGAAACACGACAGAAACACGGAGAAAATACAACGAATGGTTACAGGCAGCCGTAAAACGAGCGAGCGCACACAAGGCCCTGTGTTCAAGGGGCCATATGGCAAGAGTTGGAAAATATAAACAAACAATTAGCTGGATGATAGTCAATCATCATGGGCGCAAAGAAAGTGATAAATTTGCAGTAGAGGGCAGGTCAAGAGAATTCTCAGGAGCAAAAGTTGCATAGACATGGGATGAGTTGCTACGAAGCTACGCACGCGGCAGAAGTCAATCTCGAAGAGACCATAATATAGAGAATACAGGCTATCAAGTGCAATTATCACAGAAGCAGCGGTAAATGGGACCTTTGTAGCAAAGAATGGGAAGATGGGATAAGCATCATACATCGGAAGAAAGAACAAGAATGCAAAACTACAAAACAAGACATCGAATAGACATCATAAGGGAGATATCTCTACAGTTCAATAAATAAAAAAAGAAATGACAGTATTTGAATTCCATTTTGTTTGGTGACAACAGAGATATCATTAAAGAAGAATAACGGAAAGAAAGAAAGAAGGCCCACAATCATGATTGAAACGAAACTCCAGCGCCGGTATCGGTCATCCTGGAGGAACACCAAGAGAGAATCCCCAAAGAAAGTCGAAAGGGATTGACAGCAGTGAAAATATTTTGGTAATGAACGACAGAAGAAGATTACAACGAAATACAACAAGGGACACAAAGGCATGCACATGTTTAATCACAAAGAGACCGAATAAAAAGTAGAAACTGCGTTTAACCCTCGCAGTTGAATTCCATTTAACCCTTAGCAAATATTTGATTTAGATTCCATCCTTGAGTTCCATTACTCGCAGCTGACGTAGTTGACTACAACCTGACAGAAGAGGTAGAGTAAAGCGGCTCCGGAGAGACACTGGAACCAAGTTCCTTTAGGATATATTATGAGGACGGTGAAAACACTGATGAACGAGCAGAAGATAAAAGAAACAGTCCAGAACTCGAGATCCGTGGGTGGATGCCGCATGCCGTTACGGTAGTACTCGAGCTCCTCAGTTCGGTTGGCGAAAAACATGGTTGCTTGATGAAGAGATGCTTGGTATAACTGAAAGTAAATTTGTTCTTTGGAGATGGTTAGCTCGCAAGGTCTCGAAGATGAGGAGATGAGTATATGGGTTTGTACGAACCAAGTTTTGCGGTTGCAGTAGAATGCAGCGGCTGGCTTAGAAATATCGCGAGAATGCTTGATGAACGATGCGAATGTGAACTTTTGGCTCAGCGAAGTGAACGCTCTTTGTTCCCTTGCTGTGGATAGAAAGGGGTGGTTAGAAACCTAGATGGAGGCGCAGGACTTGGTAAAGAAAGTAGAGAATGATCAAGAAGCACATGGGGATGGCAACGACAAGTAGGACGGAGAAGAGGAAAATATTGAGAAAGAAGGTTAAAACTTTGATGAGATAGACGAGGAACATGTTGGAATGGAAGAAGGTTGTCTTGCTTGAAGCTTGAAGAGGGTTATCTTGCTTGATGTTTGAAGAAGGTTGTCTTGCTTGAGGAAAGATATCTTTGGTTGAAGAAGGGAAGATGCCGCCCGAGGATTCCACGAGAGAAGAAGGAAAATATCCTCAAGGAAGGTCACAGAAGTGAGAAGAAGGTGAAAGACAGAAGCACAAAGCACAATACTGAAACAAGACTCACCTCTTGCGCTGGCGATGACGACGGAAAGGTTGAAAGCGGCTCTTGAGGAACTCGTAGAACTTGAAGAATTTGGGGAATCCGAGCTTGATGCAGAGAAGAATGAAAAGCATGACCACTCGCATTGTGAAGTTGTGTTGAGTAAACAAAGGGGAAAAAGGTAAACCTGGGCATTGTGGCCTGCGTGGGTAGAAGTGCGGCCAGCTGGCAGCGGGCAGCTTTGCCTCCCCTCCCTTTTACGGGCTGTTATTTTCAGAACTTCAATTTTCTAAAGAAACCCAACCCTGACCCAACGAGATGATTGAAATATCAACTACTTGTAGATGTATTATGTCACAATGGGGGAAAGAGGTGTATAAAAAAGTAAATGAAGATTTCGTGCTATGCTGTATATCCTCACTGTGTTACATATCCTAACAGCATTCTCAGAATTTTGATGTTCAGCATGCTAAGTGCCACCCAAAGCGACAAAAGTCCACAACGCCAAGTCCAACAGTAGAATAAGATACATTTTTGAGGCCCTGTGCCAGTCTTTTCCTCCTCTGTCTCTTCTTTTCATATCCCATATTTGCTTTTCCTCCTCTTTTTTTCCCTTGCTAAATCATATACATGCTGCTTACCAGCCGCGGCCGGCAAGCTTCTCCTCGGGCTTCATGGTGTCGCAGTTGATGCCGACCATGGCCTCACCGAGTCCGGTGCTGCACTCGGCAAGGACCTTGGGGTCACGGAAGTGGGTGACAGCGCGGACGATGGCCTTGGCTCGCTTGGCAGGGTCGCCAGACTTGAAGATGCCGCTGCCGACGAAGACACCGTCACAGCCCAGCTGCATCATGAGAGCAGCATCGGCAGGGGTGGCAACACCACCGGCGGCGAAGTTGACGACGGGGAGACGGCCCAGCTCGGCAGTCTGGCGCAGCAGCTCAACGTCAACCTCGAGCTTACGAGCAAGCTCGCGGAGACGAACAATGCCGCCCTCGGCAAGAGCAGCCTTGGCCTGGGCAATGTCCCTGTTGACAGTCTTCATGTGGCGGACAGCCTCGACAACGTCACCGGTGCCGGCCTCGCCCTTGGTTCGGATCATGGCAGCGCCCTCAGCAATACGGCGCAGGGCCTCGCCCAGGTTGCGGCAGCCGCAGACAAAGGGCACGCCAAAGGGGCTCTTCTCGACGTGGCTCTCGTCATCAGCGGGTGTCAGGACCTCGGACTCGTCGATGTAGTCCACGCCCAGGGCCTCGAGGATCTGACACTCGACGAAGTGGCCGATACGGGCCTTGGCCATGACGGGGATGGTGACGGCGTCCTGGATCTCCTTGATCATGGCAGGGTCGGACATGCGAGCAACGCCGCCGTCCTTGCGGATATCAGCGGGGACTCGCTCGAGGGCCATGACGGCGCAAGCACCAGCTTCTTCGGCGATGCGGGCCTGCTCGGCGTTGGTGACGTCCATGATGACGCCGCCCTTGAGCATCTGGGCGAGACCAGCCTTGAGGGCAAAGGTGGTCGCGGGAGCGGCAGCAGAGCCGTTGGTGGTGGAGGCGTCGTTGGTCATGGTGATGGTAGTAGTGGGAGGATGTGGATGGAGAACCTGGGGCAGCAGAGAGGAGAGATGGTTAGCACAACAGAACAAGCAGTCTCTCAGAGGGTTATCGGCATGTATGGAATTGCACACACAAGTATAGAGTTGTCCCAAGGGTATCAAGGAATCGAATTGAGTGGTTTGCAAGTCTGGACACGAAGTTGCTTCCGGTTGGCGATGCCTTCAATATATGAGGGGCAGTCCGGGCACTGGCGGCAGTGGGGAAAAGGCCAACCGCGGGGCACAAGCAACAGGTTGAGTCAATTTATTCAACTAAGAAGAATCTTACGGACCAACCCAAGAAAAATTTCAATACAGATTACGAAGGTACCTCGCCCTACGTCTCGCTCTTACTTGCTTCTAGCGTAGGTACACGCGGAGTACATCGGCACATGCGCTCCTCGTTTGTCCTTGGCACATGCTTTTGAAGGTACCGCTAGACTAACTTGGAACTTGTAACTTGCATGGCGGAGGCGGGCGCCGCGCATTCCTCTGCGGAGCAAGCGAAAACGGAGCCGAGATGGGGACTTTTTTGGGGTCTCTTTTGTTGCTATTGTTCGTACCGGTACAGTGACAGGCCGCATATGCACTCTGGATGCCGGCCGTAGCCTTGGGACCGCCTGTCGACGACGTTGCACCAGGGCGGGGGAAGACGAGGCAGAGAGATGAGGGCGAGGATACTGTACATAAGTGAATGGTTACAGGGGGTGGGACATGGCTGGTGGGCGTGGCGGCAAGCATCGGGAATTCAAATTGTACGAGTTGCTGTAGGTTTTTGCAATTACTAACTCACATCTCAATAGAACGTATTGGAGCTGAAAGAGGTACTCCAGCAGTAGTCGAAATGTCGTCGGGAGGGCGAAACACCACAGAAGCTCGCAGATGGCAACGCTCGCGGGCTTGCAGGCCCATCACGTAACAGGCGGGACATCTATTAACCACCGTCTAGAAGCCTGTCCGAGAGCCGTCAGAGCCCTAGCGGCGCGCCATTGACCCCTCGAGATCTCACTTGCTAGTCACAAATCAAAGATGGCCGCAGGAGTAGGCAGTGGATTCGAATCCGGACCACCGGACTGGCCTTGGGCTGGACGCGCTGCAGCTGGGCTTGGCCTCTTTGGGCGACTCCGTTGACGCCTCATGCAGGTGTAGCGCGGGTTTTGCATTTTGCATTTTGCATTTTGCACTTGCAGCTTGCATCTGCATCCTGCGGAGTGAATCTTCATCTCCGGAGCTGCGTTCTATGTACATGTATGTGCTTGTCATGCAAGGCGGAGGCAATTCAATGCCTCTTCCTCTACGGTACTCCGTACTACTGCTCGGATTATCAAGCAGACGCAACAAACATGGCAAAATCAGGCAATCCCGCTCCCAGAAATGCCCCCGAAACATCCCGATGGCGGAGCTGTATATTACTACATAGTAGTATGTACTCGTACATGCACACGCCCAACTCCTTACAGCAAGACAGAGCAGAGCCCCATCAGTGCATGTACCGGCGCCCTTTAGACCAGCAGAGATGCAGAGCTAGCGACGAGTGACATGGCGTGTAATATTATCGATCCCAGGCCCAGGCCATGCACTGCATGACTCTTCGGTGCTTTTCGATGCTAGACCCTGGCTTGTGCCATTCTTCTTTCAACGTCATGTACCTGTTGTGTAGCCAGACGCGGCCACCAGTTCCTATTGCCGTCGATAGCCTGCCCTTGGCCAATTGATAGCCGCAGCATCCAGATTCCGACCATGCGCAACTCATGACAACAGGTATTGCTTATTTCGACTTAGACTGTGCATTACAACACTATACCTAGTATCCTCCTTACGTACTACAGTATAATACTTGTGTACAAACAAGGTACTTACTTGTACTGGACCCCAATCCAATACCTGGGGTTCACGCCACCATTCATCTTTGTCAACCCCGCCACCACCAAAAAATTCATTCGCCAGTCCGGCTACCGGCGCCTCTTATCAGTCCTCAACTCACCTCGTCAGCCGGGCGATAAAAGATACCAGAGACTTTGCCTTGAAAACAAGCAACAGTCACCAAAACAACTTCCCATGCTGCATGCATAACGCCTTGCATCTCCCATATCGTCATCAACATCATCCTCGTCCGAAAATGATGGCCCTTACAGTCGGTGTCTTGGCCCTCCAGGGCGGCTTCATCGAGCACATCGAGCTGCTGAACAAGGCCGCCTCCTCCATCTTCTCCCAGGACTTTGCTTTTGAAGCCGTCGAGGTGCGCACCGCCCAGGAGCTCGCTAGATGCGATGCCTTGGTGATTCCCGGTGGCGAGAGCACCACTATATCGTTTGTTGCTCAACAGTCAGGCCTGTTGGAGCCGCTGCGTGATTTCGTCAAGTAAGATTGCCCTCCATCTTCGTTATATATATGACATCATACTAATCAGGATACGCAGGGTCCAGAAGAAACCCGTCTGGGGAACCTGCGCTGGCCTCATCCTCCTCTGCGACGAAGCCAATGGCACCAAGAAGGGAGGCCAGGCCCTCATCGGCGGTCTCAGCGTCCGCGTCCACCGCAACCACTTTGGTCGTCAAATGGAGAGCTTCGCTACGCCCGTCGATTTGCCCTTCCTCGCCGGTGAAGGCAACTCCGAGCAGTTCCCGGGCATCTTCATTCGTGCTCCAGTCGTGGAGGAGGTCCTCCCTCATGGTGACGGCCCAGAGGTGGAGGTCTTGGCTAGACTTGCGAACCGAGTCGAGAGGGCGAAGGCTGGTCTTTCGCTGGCTGTCACGAAGGGTGATGCCGGAGATATCATTGCGGTTCGCCAGGGCTCGATTATGGGTACGAGCTTTCACCCTGAACTGACCAGCGATGCACGTATCCATTCGTGGTGGTTGAAGCAAGTGATTCGTGGATTGTAAACTGAGCATCAGGGCGGCATTTTTTTTGGTTATTTTTTCCCCCTCGTCTTTCCGCGTTCAAATTTCGATTTACTAGAAAGATCAAGCATAGCTTTCATATAGATGCATAATTACGGTAGAATACGGCGTTCAAAGAGATACAAATAAAGAAATGATATAATACGCTATGCTATTCCAATTCTAAAACAAAGCCTTCGCTTGACCAAACCCAATGAAAATATTCCTCTGATTGTAATTTACTGTTGGATCTTCATGGCAGTATCGTAGTTTGGAGGATCTCCCTCAATGGGAGCCGGCATCCCCAGCGCCTCATAGACCTCTGCCTTGGCCAATGCCCTTGCAACATCCTGCACCTCTGGCACATTTACATCGGCGCCAGCTTCCCGTAGCAGACGCACCATATCAAGGTCCTGCTTCACAAGTGCCTGAACGAGAGGCTTTACACCATTCTCCCCAACACTGTAGTTTGGGTCAGCCCCATAGTGGAGGAGCGCCTCAGTGAGATCCTTTCGTCCCTGGTCGATGGCATACTTGAGTAGAGAATCGCCGTTCTGCATTGTCGCCGTCGTCTTGGCCCCGCTCTGTAGCATGAGGGAGATGATCTCCGAGATGCCAGCTTCAACAGCATAGCAGATTGCGGGAGTCTTGCTGAAAGCATCCACCACGTCTCCGTTGGCCCCCTTGGCGAAAAGTTGGCGAACAATGTCGATCTTTTCCTCGGCGGCTATCTTGGAGTTCTTGATCGCCAGGATCAACACTGGCTGTGAATGCCAGTCTTTGGTGTTGGGATCTGCGCCCCATTCGAGAAGTAGTTTGGCCGTCTTGAGTCGCCTATTGTTGATCTCATCTGCCAGCAATGGCATCCCAGAGATGGTGGTGGCATTGGGCTTCGCACCCTTCTTTAGAAGCAGCTCTGCCATCTCGTACTCCTTCTTGTTGAGAGCCACTGCCAGGAGATTTTGGCCAGAGATGTCTGTAGAAGTGATGCTTGCTCCAAATTCGAAAAGCAGCTCCACGAGTGCCATCTGCTTCTTCCGCACGGCGTTCGCAATGACGGCTTCGCCGCTTATGTTCTTGGTATTCGCGCTACAGCCTTGCTCAAGAAGGAACCGAATGCCTTCCAAGTTGCCAGACGAAACAACATCGACAAAGTAAGATTGTCCAGACGTGCTCTTTTCGTCGATGCTCGCTCCTTTACCAAGAAACATCCTGGCCGAATTAAGACTGCCTACCGAGGCCGCAAGAAACAACGGCGGCATGCCTGACCACCCAGAGCCAGAAGTGCTCGCTCCCGACGCCAGAAGCAGGCGAGCAGCATCTTCTTGGTCAGCCAATATGGCGCACTGCAGAGCATTCTTGCCGTTCTCGTTGCGGCCGTTAATGTTGGCGCCTTGGGTGAGGAAGCCTGCGATTTGCTGGATGTCGCCAATTGAAGCGGCTTGACACAGTGCTGAGACGAAAGGGCCTGGTTGTGGCACAAGGGAATTTGCTATCGCCTTGAATGAATTTTTGAAAACTGCGCCCCATGAGAATCCGGAGGGTTGAGGATTTGAGGAAGAAGCTGCGGCTGCGGTTTCAGTTTCGGCTTCGGCTTCGGCCTCCACTTCAGCGGAATATGGAGGTGGCTCAGCGGCTTCGTCGTCTTGCTGGGCATTGTTTGATGAATGTGGAGTGCTGTTGATTCCAGGTGTGCTGCTGCTTCCAGGTGTACTGTTGCTTCCAGGTGTACTGTTGCTTCCAGGTGTGCTGCTGTTCCCAGATGTGCTGCTGCTTCCAGGTGTTGTATTACTTTCAGGTGTAGTGTTGCTTCCGGATGCTTGTGATTCCCCCGCATCCAGCAAGATGCTCTTTTGGCTTGCTGATGTCTCGGTAACAGTCTCTACCACTACCAAGAGGTCGTTGGCCTGCAATCGTGAAAACTTGTCTTCCTGCTCGATTTTGTCCTCTCTGCCAACAGTCAGCCCAAAAATACACTTACGTCTTCTCTCCGCGGGATTCAACATACGTCTGGACAACATCAACCATGGATTCCAAAAGGTTGCTATTCGCCTTGATCGTTTGGTAGTACGCCACCAAAAAGTCGATGTTGATTCTCTCGACATTGTCCGCCTGTAGACGCATCAATTGCTTGTGCAGCACCGTCATTGTCCCATCGCAACTAGTCAAAAGGTCCTTGAAAGCATCCTGCACCAGGATGGCCACCGTCGAGGCGACAAGGCAAGCATCCAACTTGGTGGCCCATTGATTGAGCTCTTCCAGCGCGCTGGCCAGCGACGACAGCAGCGGCGAGATGTCTTGCCGGCTTGAATCCAGCGGCTGGACTAGAGATTGGATTTCATTGGCGCCTGAGATTGCTCGCTGCGATATCCCGGAGCATAGCGTTGTGAGGGAGCTGATTGAGCGGCCGTCCATGATGTGGTGATTGATAGATATGCGGCCGAGTGCAGTTTTTTTTTTCTTGTCGTCGCGGGGTAGTATTAGAGGGGAGAGGAGGCCTCTAGTGAAGCGTGTTCTATTGCCTGTCGTTATGCTCTCCCTCTCCAATTGTCGGAACGTCGATTTCCTTCACTATTCACAGCGGAAAAACACGCACAGAGTCTCCCAATGATATATATGCCACTCAATCAACAATTTTCTTCTTCCTTCTCCAAGCAAGATGAAGAGGCCCGTTGTCTTTATCGCATCTTTCAGGCGCGGCTGAAGTGGGCTCGGCCTCGTAGGCGATGACGCAGCCTGTCGTTTGCGTGCGTAACAGCGCCAGGGTAGTGTTTTTCCTCTAGCCAATGTTAGCCCTGCGACGGTAGATATGGAGGATTCTGTCAACGCATGTATATCTAATCATGCCGGCTGCGATCTTGTGATTCCCTTTGGGGTGGTTTGGCGAGAGGCAACCCGTCGATTGAATGTGCACAGAGAGGGTTAGGGTTGACAGAACTGTTTGTTGAATCGAGGCAAACAGACATTTGAAGCATCACCAAGCAGCACCTAGCAGTTTCCTTGCAGTACTGTTTCGAAATCACGCTTTCTGCCAGGCTGTAGTAGAAGATTGCTTCTATGCTTAATCACCATCGGCTGCCTCGCATTAATTTGGCAGGTTGTTTCCCCAGCCATGCGCATGTTTCGCAGACGACCCACCCTCTTTATTATTTGCTCTAGGTGAATGAAACTCTCGTGGTTTAATACCACCCTTGCATCGAGCTCAGCCCTTCACAGCCACACTTGACAAAATCATACTCGTATTTCGCGCCCGGGTTTGCTCGAGAGAGAAGAGATAGGCTCTATTTATAGATACTACATCTCTGTACCCCGTACTCCGTAGGTACGTGCACGAGGGATATTGTTCCCCACCAAATAGGAGCAGAATAACCTGAACAGAGCGCGTTGTGGAACTCTCACAGTTCGGCCTCTGGTTTCTCTCTGTTCTACAATCGACAGTATTCATGTCCATTTCCACTCGTAAAAAATATGCGCTATAGTTTGTAAATGGAATTTAAGCGAATGAGGATACAGCACTATGTATAACCGTAGAACAACACAACCTATCCAAAACACATTACCGCGTCTCCTCCATATATCCAAAAGAAACCTGTTCTCTATTAATCATCCTTCGCATCTTTCCACATATCTTCAATTGTCTTTTTCTCTTCGAAAAGATCACAGCCACCATCACCCCATTTATGTCTAAAGAGCTTCCGTCCGTCCTCTGCCATTTCCCACCAGGCAACTTGGAAACCAGCGGGGTCATATGTCCATGGCTCCCCCTTTCCTCCCTTTTGCATGTTCTGCCATGTATTACGGCCCTTCGAATCGCTGTTTTTCGCGTCTTGGATTTTCTGTAGCTCCTCTCGTAAAGCCTGGAACCTCGCAGAGTTCGGTGCATTGTCTTCGGAGGTGTGGTTGGCAGAGTCTTTATCCTTTTCCAACGATGGCTGAGACGCAGGCGGGAAGAACCTTGATTCGGGGTCGTCTACAAAGTTATTAACATCCCATATGTGTCCAGCATGGACGCCATCAATGGAATAGCCCAGCATCTTGACTCGCCCATAGGCATCGCAGTCTGTAGCGTAGTAGGGAATAAACACGTCCCATGTGCCAATGTGTCTCCATGCCTCGACGTTGATCAGAGTGAGGTAGTCAAAGTTGAAAAACTTGGCAGCCCACTTTTTTCCTGAGATTCGAGATGACTCGGCTTCGTCGAGGACTTTGAGAATGCGTTCGTAAAACGACGTGTAGGGTGTCTCTTCTTCGTGGCTCAGGATGCCGACATCCATGTGACTCCAGAAGTAGTATGGCCAGTGACGAGCCATGGCTACCCTCATCAAAAAGTTTTGTATTTGGGCAAAGTTGAGAAGCACAGACGTCTGTAATATCGAAACACCGTATCTGTATCGAAACAAATCATAGTCGAGGAAAAAGGGGTTGTCATGCGAAAGGAGCTTAAGGTTATTGGCATCGGCTGTGCCGCTGTTATCGACGATGATGATATCTTCTCTTGGCCATCCACTCGCGATGTATCCAAGAACGGTTTGTCGCATCATGGCGTTGTTTCTTGTAAAGGGGATGAAGAGCGGTGTTTTCGGTCGGTGTCGGGGAGGCTCGTTGTACGACGCGACAAGGGGGAAGAAGTTGTTTCCCTGTGCAGGAAAATACATTCCAAAGTCAAAAAACGACTCTCCCAACACGGGTGTGCCTTCAGTTTCTTTGTTTGATCCCCACATTGGGACAATAGAGGACGAGTATGATATTTGGGGATGGGTGAGGCTTTTGAGGCGAGCGGGATCGAAGAGCTTCGCGAAGACAACCGTAGCAGTGATTACTCCTATGAGTAGGAAAATCAGCCTAAAGTTTATATGGCATCGTGACTTGGAGGGCCGGCCCAAGTTTTCCTCGTCGCCATCTTCCTCGTTGCTAGGAAATCGATGGAGTCGAAGAGAATCGGCGTGCGCAGCAATCCAGCCTGGCCTGCGGGCGAAATTTGGAAATTTCGAAAAGACAGCGCTAATAAACGAAAGCAAGCCCATTTGAAATGTTTTGAGCAAAACAATTAGGATATTATAAAGTGATAATTCCAACTTTTCGAATGGAAGAAAACGAAGAGAGATGTTGAACGTAAGGAGAGTGTGCTGAGATGGGGAAAAAAAAAAGTAAGAGTGTCCAGAATCTCGTTAACCAATTTATTACCTCAGAAAGTATCTGCACAACCTTTTGGACCTATCGTTCAAGGCTCTCTAAAATTGGTTACAAGTCCGCTCTTCGGTTTTATCTCCATGGACGAAATATTATCCCGTGTTCTCTCGTATTGAACGGCCTAACGTGGGTAAGGTAGTAGAAACGGGTCTGATTCGCATTCGCCTCCCGGCATGCGGCTCGCAGTAACTCCTATGAGCAATAGGTAACCTAGTCTAGTTGTTTATTCCGTTTGAAGCCAAATTGTGGCTTAGACTATGCGTAGATAGAATGGTTGGACAGGACTTCCTTAGGCGCACCATATCGAGACGATAGATATTTGACCCATCTATTCGATTCTTCAATAGGAGCACATAGTCAATCTTAGCTACAGAAACCTGTCATATACGCGTAGATTTGAGTCTCTTGCTTTAAGTTCTGGCTTTCAACGTTAGCAATTCACCCACAGAACGAGAACAGTTAGAATTGGAATTGCTATTTGTGACACAAATCACCCCAGACTCCTCGTGAAACGCTCATTTCTCGTGTTTCGTTCAACAACCATGGCATGGAAGAGTCCCAGATCATTCATGCCGGTCATCCATATGGTATTACGGCCATTTGTATAGGGCTTCCAGGCACGGGGTTTCAAGGCCCTTGGCATCCAGGAGTAGGTAATCCCAGCGAAGTTGTCCATCGAGCCTTGTCAAAGTGCCCTGAAAGAGTTGCCTAGATTTTCTTGATCATCTAATCATCTGCTCTATGGGAGCTTCCAAGTCGGTGTAGATGCGGCAGAGCTTAGTGCGACGTGCCTGTAATCATGACATGATGCAGATTACGTAGGCTGTTGTGGACGAAGCATAGAAACGAGTCATTTGTTTGGTTGCATGAGCACCAGAGCGTCATGTCTATCAATGCCGTTTAAAATTCTCGTATTAAGTTTCCTTCGTTGTAACTGCAACGAATGGCAGGTCTCGCAGCCACATGCGTCTTCAAAACGGCCGCTTACAATCCACATCACTCCGTCCTGTAACAAATCATATGGTGTAATTACGAGTGCTGCAAACACAGAGTAGCAGTTTCGGGGCAAGTCGCCTGTCTCTCTTTAGCCGCTTCACTATGGAGCAAGTTTTGCAAGGATCTGGAGTAAAGTGGCCCTACCTAGCATATACCCAGCTTAGCATGGACACAAGTTTCTCCTTTTCTGGTCAACATTTCACATGGTGCATCTTATCTCCATTTTCTGTTTGTCCATCGAGGTGGCTTGGCGGCAGGGGACGTCATCTGCTGGCACATGGCTGTGCAGAATACGAGATCACGGCCCCATATCTTTCGATTTTGAGCTAGAATTACTGTTTCATCTACACAATAGCGTACGAGCGTAAGAACCCAAAACTCTCTACCCAATAGATGTAGTCCACTTCAACAAACACCGCTTCTTGCAAGATGCAGAGGCGCTTGCAAGGCAATAAGCCGCTGTTTGTCGGCTGCAGGACACGGGCTGCGGGTTGGGAGTAAGCCCGACACCCTGGATGACAGACCAAGATGGAGATGGGTGAATTAATTTTCCGGCATTCAGCTTGCACGGTGTTGCGCTATCCATATTCGCCTTTTTTTCCCACTTGCGGGCTCAAGGCTTGTACGTTTGTTGCCCGTGTTCTCGCATTAGTCTCCTCCACTCTTTTGAAACACACATCATCGAGCCCCGCTATCTCTTGTCCTCGCAGTTTCCCGAACAATCGAGAGTTACGATATCGGGCTAAAGACGGCAATGCTGTCTGACAGCCGTCAGAGCCTGGTGCCGGAAAGTGCCATGTTTCTCCATCAAGAGAACCCTTAAGCATGGCTCGCTCATCTAATGTCGTCTACAGCGTACTTTGATACCTCGCTGCCACGCTTTTCTAATGTGAATAACAGTCCTTTGGACCTCCTGAGTCATAAGGCTGTTCTTCCTTAACATGTTAAGCAGCTATAAGGGTTGCGCCCTCTGACGGATTCTTCTTCTTCGAGCATAGCCTTTCTCGGATCCGCATCCGCAAGCTATACTGCTTCTTTTCAAGTCCAGCACTCTCAGCTAAGCTTCAAAACTAATGTGGTAAGGTGCTCGGCCCGACCTCCCGATGTTTCCCTTGCACCAAAAAAGACATCGATGCTAACCGAAGGCAACTGTAGACTGTCGACCCGTTTTTTTGTTCTAAGCCATCCCCACAGGATGGGTTGTCTTCGATGTCTAAAGAAAGAAACAGTTCTCCACATCCTAATCGACAGGGCGTCAAGTCCCCCGAACGTTGAAAAAGAGTTGTTTAGTCGAAGGACCTCGGTAATAGCAAGAGCTTTAAACGGTTAATGGCCAGTAGTCTGCAAGATGACGTCCCCGGGGTGAACCAATCAGCCCTGTTGGTTATGTCGTATTCTACAAGGGGTACGTAATCACTCTAAAGGATCAAGGTTGTTGTTAACATTCATTCTTAGTCTACTCGTATGTGACTTGATGGATTTTCCACACCATGGATAGTCCCATATCAATCAATGTTTTGACCTGGACATGGCTCTTTGGAATCACCAGTCTACACTCTCAGCCTCAACAGGCTAGCTCAGTGATACATTGAGCATGCGAAATTGCCGTCTTTTCCGGGTCTAGATACCAGACACATGGGTGGCAGTCGAGGGGGGTTGTCTCTAGCGCTGGTTCTAGACAAAGAGGGGACGATGGACCAATTAACGGCTACCAACAGACACAACAGCGGGATGCTGCAGAGATTGAAGCAGAGGTTATTTGCTATCCTCTAGAAAATTGCAAAGGAGTTTCGGGTAAACAATTCATTTGGCTCTATTTGTAACGCATGAGATGTTTCCTTGGGTCCCTCTTTTTTTTCCATCTTGGTATACTGCTCATCACATTGTCTATCAAACTTGTCCGCTACCAGTCTTTTCAAATCTCCTCATGGTGAGTAAAAACTAAGGCATATTTGACAAAGAATACCTCCCAAGTAGGTTGCTCTAACTATAACTCCTTCGTTTTATCAGGGAGAATGCCGTAGCCACCCGAGAGAGAGGATCGATATTTATTTCTGATAATATTTACTAACGATGAATATACCTATAGATTTCTATACAGGAATTGATAAAGATAAAACCAACGGTCGATGTTACGTTACATGTGACGACAACGCATCATGCTGAAATGGCCACCACATGAAGCAGGATCATAATAGCCACGAGCAATGATCTAGGCCAAGTCTTGACGATAAAATGGACAATTTGACATTGCACTACGAGATTTGGAATCAAGAGTTCATAGGCATTGCTTTGCCACTACTCCCATCGTTGGACTCGTCTCTGGTGCCGGAGTCCATGACGTCGCTGCCTCGTCGAGACATGGCAATACCACATTAGCATGACTGAGGCTGCGATTAAGCTGAAGAGTCATGCGGATTCTACACTGGATAAATCGTTGGATAGATAGCCGTTAGATGTGCGGCCATTGCTACGAGCTTCATAGTTAACCGGACGAGTATGTGGTCACATCACAGTGGGATTATTAGGCATGCAGGAGGCTGATCATCCAACATAGGTTTGAACTTGTCAATACAGTGATATCAATCAGATCCTATATTTCAGGTAGAGTCATCTACATATCTGAAAACATTGAAGGCTCTACGCGGGCTTTAGCTACAGAACAGTTCAAGCTCACGAGGCTGCTGGAAAGAAAAATAGGCGCTGGAATCTACCTCGAACTTGCCTACAGCAATTAATTCAATGATTAATACCTAGTACCTAGTACCTATGTAGGGGGTGCCATGGAGGTCAGGTGGTTCAGCGATTAGATAAGGGCTGGGCAGTTCAGATGAAGTTTCGATCAGCTGCGGTCAATGTTTTGGGCAAGTCGAGTCAAAGCTTCCCTCCCACAGAAATTTCCTTCCAAACAACGCAACAAGTTTCCTCGTTACCGAGTGCCTTCTTCATATGGAAGGCAGTCTGATTTTCTTCCATCTGCTGAGGTATGTCTTTTCACTTTCATATCACTTCTCGCAGCCGCCTCGTCGAGGCGTAGCTACGTTGGAGGCGTCGGGAGAAATTCTTACTCTTTATTTCATCTACAGGGCCCAGCTCTCCCATCTCTTCTGAGCAACGATCGTTTCCAAAGACTTAGCACCGGAGCCAAGGCTTCGCTTCCGTATCAATATCTTCACGTCCATCCACTCTCAACTCCTCCCAGCTTGCCATTTGCGTAATTGCAGACTTGGCATTATGTTTGGTGACATGTGAGTAGCTCTGAGGGACCAAGAAATTTCGGCCCATCAGGATACCTACCTCTGCTCGTATTTCTTGCTTCCTGTTGCTGATACACTATCATTCGTCAGATCTATCAAGGTCAAAGGGGCCGACTGCGGCTTCGACGCCCTGTTCCTTGCCGTCATCACCTCGATTGGCGGCTTCCTTTTCGGTTACGATATCGGCCAGATCTCCGGCACAATCCTCTTCAACAATTTCGTCGAGCGGTTCCTTAGCGATGGCTCACCCACTATCAAATCTCTTCTTGTCTCTTTCTTCAGCATTGGCTGTCTTGTTGGTGCTCTGAGCGGCGCGTAGTAAGCTAACTCTATCTCTCTTCCTTTTTCTTTTCTTTTCTTTTCTTTTCTCCTTCTTTTTTCAAAGCAGATGTCTAACCAGTACTCTAGTATGTCGGACTGGTTTGGACGACGAATCAGCATCGCTATTGGGGTGTTCATCTTCTTCATGGGAGATGTCATTCAGGTTACCGCAACTAAGAGCTGGGTCCATCTCACCATGGGCAGATTTGTTGCAGGCCTCGGGATCGGCAACCTTTCTGTTGGTGTTCCCATGTTCCAATCTGAGTGCGCTCCACGTGAGATTCGAGGAGCCGTCGTCGCTTCATACCAGCTCCTAATCACCATTGGTATACTGTTTGGTAACGTTGTCTGCTATTTCATGCGCCCCCATCAAGATGAAAACGACTCATGGCGCCTCGTCATCGGCCTGGGAGCCTTCTATTCGATTCCTCTTGGAATTGGCATTTTCTTTGCTCCAGAATCACCAAGATGGCTTGCTGGCAGGGACAAGTAGGAAAAAGCCCGCCAATCGCTGTCACGTCTTCGAGGCAAGAGCAAAGATCCTGGCAATGTCCTTGTTGAGAACGACATGCACGAAATGAAGGAAGTTTTGGCGTTGGAACGCCAGAGCGGCAGTGCCTCGTGGATTGAGTGCTTCTCGCTCAAGTCAAAGGTTCCCAAGACCCGATATCGTACCCTCCTGGGTATGGGCCTTCATTTCCTGCAGCAATGGACCGGCATCAATTACTTCTTCTATTACGGTACTACCATCTTCTCAACTGCCGACATCAAAGATCCATTCCTGGTGCAGCTTATTCTCGGCGCCGTCAATGTTGCCACCACTCTTTTCGCCGTCTATCTAGTTGACAAGCTTGGTCGCCGATGGCCTCTGATTCTCGGCGCATTATGGCAAGCTTTTTGGATGACGATTTTTGCCTCTATTGGCACCGCGACCAACCATTCCGCACCTTCGAATACCTTGGGTGTCGTCATGATCCTGTCAGCCTGTATGTTCATTGCTTCGTTCGCGGCTACCTGGGGTCCCATTGCCTGGGTTGTCATGGGCGAGACGTTTGCTCTACGCACGCGTGCAAAGCAGGCCTCATTGGCCACAGCAGCCAATTGGCTTGGTAACTGTAAGATTTGCCCTCCCCATACCATGCCATGGACATGAGACCGATGTGACTGACAAGTATTGCAGTTTTGATCGGGTTCCTCACCCCGCATGCCGATAAAGGCTTGTCGTACGCGTTTGGGTTCATCCTAGCCAGCGCCAATCTCGCCGCTGCCGCCATAGTTTGGATGTACTTGTACGAGTCATCGCTCCTCAGTCTAGAGAGCGTGGACATCATGTACAGCATGCACGACCTTGCGCCATGGGAGAGTGCCCGCTGGGTACCCCCCGGATACGTCACACGCCAGGAGCGAGATGAGCAGCATTTCCGCAGATTGAGCATACAAGAAATGGTGGAGATGGCGAACAGGGAGTCCAGTGCCAAGTCGGACGAGAATACCGCCTGAGCAAGATCTGATGATGAGGTTGGAGATTGGGGTGAGCCATGTATCGCAACCTAAGCATGGTGTTGCTTAGGTACACTTTGCACTGCTTCTTGCGTGTTGGTAGTTTTACAAATAGTCATTAGGGAATAATGATTAGGAATTAGGCATTAGTATCGCCTGTCAACTTTGTTACAGGCATTGATAGCAAAAACGAACAAGTAGACCAATATGTTGACCCCTTTCCCAAGGACACCATTTCGAATTATAAACGTGTGGCGAGTTCTTCTATAGTTCGTAACTACAAACAAATTGATATCATTACCGCTTTATGCCTCCGCTTGTATGCCAAAAGTGAGGTTGCCCGCTATCTATTACAATGTTTCCCAAAACAATGCTCATAAAAATCAAGATGCCATGATCACCATTTTTTTAACCCTTCTCTTTAATCAAACAGCTTCTTCTGACTTCACCTTCTCGGTAGAAGCAGATGCTTCTGTGTGTTCGCCGGCTTCTTCTCGCTTGTGTCCGGCATGTTTCTCATCGGTCTTCTTCTCTCCGCTCTCATCTCCAGCCACAGTGCTGGCGCCGGAGTCGGACTCGGAATCTTCTGATTCGCCTTCGTCGGGGTCCTCCAGGACGACACCTGCGGGGGCGGCCTCTACGTCCTTGGTGGGGGGCTTGAAGCCCTTGGGGTTGAAGCGACTGCGGGCGCGGATGGCGGCGCCGTATTTGTAGAACATGAATGGGATGATGGCGAGGACAGCGGCGACACCACCGACGAGAGAACCACCGCCGCCGACGCCCAGGGCGTGGAACATTTGGACGGTGAAGAGGGGGGCGGCGGCACCGCAGGCGGATCGCATGATGGTGTTGGCGGCGATGGCGGAGGCGGCGTACATGAGGTAGGCGTCGACGAGGTAGTTGAGGAAGCCGACGAAGAGTAGCAGGAGGGCGGTGGAAAGGAAGCCTCCGGCAATGGTGGGAACGATCCAGTGGACGGAGCTGTGAAAAGAGGGTTGTTAGTCTACCTAGTCTTTGTACGTTTTGCCATGTTCATGACATGACTTGAAGGGAGGGGGGGGGGGGGGACATACTTAAAGTTAGCTGACCAAGCGAACCAGAACATGGCCACTGCAAAGGTGATGCCGCCAGTGATAGCCAGGGGAAGACGATCCTCGGGAGTCATCTCGTGCATTTGTTTCATGCCGGTGTCGATCTTCTTTTGCTGACGGCGTGTATCAAAGATGACGATGACGCCGCCAAACATGGCACCCAAAACTGTGCCAAGCAATGGGAGCTCGCCAACTCCTGCATTCCAGCCACGTTTCTCCTGGAAGACGATGGGGTAAATAGTGAAAAGCATGTAGAGCAGAGTGTAAACGACCGAGAGATAGATGGCGATGAGGAAGGAGATGGGGTCGAAGAGGATGATCCATGGCCGAGTGAGAGCAACCTTGTAGACGCCAACGAAGCTTTGGTTGCTGTCTTCGATCTGAGCCTTGACATTCTCATAACCAGGAATCTTGGCCTTGCGGATGCGCTTAGCCTTGTGGCGCAAGACAGTTGGGGCATGGGTCTCGGGGATAGTCAGCATGAAGAGGGCTGAGGCGCCACCAAGCATGAGGAGGACATAGAAGGTCCATTGCCAGTCTTTCTTGAGTTCCAGGAAACCTGCGATAATAGGACCAAGCGAGGGTCCAATCCAAAGCATGGCTGCGAAGCCGCCCATGGCATTTGCACGCTGGATAGGGTTCCACAGATCAGCCAAGACACCGGGTCCATTACTGAGTGGCGCAGAGACAAAGGTGCCTGAAAGGAAACGGCCAACGAGGAGACTGCCAAAGTTGGGCGCAAAGGCGCAGAGGAAGTTAAAAGCCAGGTAGAGTGTGAAGGTAGAGTAGAAGATCCAGCGACGGCCATAGAGTTCGCTCAAGGGGGCGAAGATGAGCGGGCCAGCACAATATCCAAGCAAGAAGAGAGTAATTGTCAGGCCAGCAGCCTCCATAGAAACATCGAAGGATTCCGCAATGGACGGGAAGCAGCCACTGGGGGCGCTGGAAGCAAAAGTGGCGTTCATGACGAGGAAGACGGTCGCGGCGGTGATGAAAAACCGTCTGGCCATTGACCAGTTTCTCGGGTTCTCGACATCTCCGGGGGCGAAGTCGATGTAGCCTTGTTCGTTTATGAAGGGGGGTTCATTGGAGTGAAGGTCTTTTGTGCGGTACGGTTTATTAACCGGCCGCGAGAGAATACGGGTGATGGCACCCATCGTGGATAGATGGTGGCGTCAACAGCCAAGACTCTTATTTTCTTCGAGTTTCCTTGGGATATAAGTCCGTAGTTGATGAGAATGGTCCTCTTGGAATGTTTTGATTACCGGTTTATCGAGAATATTCTGCTTCCACGTATCATTTCGCCTCTGAGCTGTATTTGAAGACTGTAAACAGTCACACAAGAGAGCTTCTTCTGAAGTCTCCTTTTTTATTCTCCAAACTCGTGTAAGTTCGATATGCCCGTTACTACTCGTTCCCGAAGCTCGTCGAGATGGAGAGGGCGGCAGTGATGCTTCGGTTACCACAAGGCGAAAGAAAGCCAGGGTGACTGGGTACGAACGAGCGCCACAGCCGTTATTTAACAAAGAGGCCGGACAGATAATTAATCATTTCCTTTTTTTCTTTTCCCACGTTGTTGGCGCTCTAGCACTAGTCGCTCCATCCCTCGCGCGTCGGGTTTAATGGGCCCCCGGCCGTGGGCTAAGGTGCTGCTAGTAAGTCGTTCAGTTCGGATATAAGACGACGGAGTCGGCACTGGGTCACCAGCGGCTCCGTTATCCATATGCAGGATATTAGTATTATGGAGCGTGGCTAAAAGATGGATAGATGTGATTCTTTCCGGTAGAGGTGCTTGGAGAAGGAAGACGAAACGACGTCGGATGATGGCTTTCAACTGGGGTATCAAACAGCTCATAAACTTGTGATATGGTCCCCGAACCCAGCGGCTCGTTTCTCCCCAGAGTCTGCCTCCAGCTGAATACGCGAGGCTGCCATGGGTTGCTACGTGATATCGTGCGGGGAGCAGCCAAGTAGCAGTGCAGATTGGGCATATTACCAGGCCGTGGCACGTTGCCACCTTGTTGATTCCACACTGTTCCTTCACACCATAGTGCCGAGCGACCGAAGTGCACCACGGTGTGGCTGCCGACAAACTGCATGCTGATCCGTGCCAAGTGTAGTCTAACAGAGGGCCGATTGCTCCATTCGTCATATGGTGGGACTGATATTGTCTGTGCCCGAGCTCTGAATCGGAGATAGAAATCTGCGCCTCATTGCCCATCCGTGTGTTGCTCCTCTATGGCTAGCACAACCGGACGGCGTCTTAGCTGGCCGAAGATCCACCCACTTGTTTTTTTTTTTTTTTTTTTTTTTTTGCCGAGGAATTATCTGGTTGTTTGAGAGACGCTTGGCACCCCATCCAGACGCGTATCTATCTTGGTGTCATGACAAGATCTCGTTGAGATCTCCCCCAGTGCTTGGGTCAAGTATACGGAGTAGGTATTGCGTCTATTGTTTCTTCGCTTGTGTCTCGCCTCCTTTGTTCCGTCAAGGGTACTGCACATAGTAGACGGCATAGTCGAACGATGTCGTGTGTAATTCCGACGCTCCACACCCCTATAGTGGTGCTCCGGATGTTGTCTCCAGCTGATCGAGCCATTAGGCTGATCCTGCGCCGAATGACTCCCAAACAGTCCTCCGATTAATCAGCAAAACTCGCTGATTTCAAACATGATGTTCGCACAATTCATCTGGAACCCTCGGATACTTTGCTTCCCACAGTACTCGGTTTCTCGCAGTCCGAGGAAGTACGAGCAGGATCGAGCAGGACCAGTTTCCATGGACGGTGCGAAGGCATCAGGGCGGCAAGGGCCTCGGTTCATGATTAGGCGCCGCGCCGGTCAGCGGATCGCGCTTGGCACGTAATACGTTTATCGAGCGTCGTATTTCGAGTGATGAATAAGAAGCAGCGAGCTTTGGTAATGCGTGTGTGGCGCTTGTTGGTGATGCGGCCTGCCCACTTGAGGAAAAGGTCACCGGGGATAATCTTAAAGGGTGGATTCTGTCATTGCAGCTTCGGCTGGGCTGTTGTTCCGCACGTGCGGCCAAGAGATTTAGCACCGGGTTAGCAGCTGTTAGGGGCAAACACGGGGGGCAGAAAACACCAAGTATCATTGATCTCATCTGGTGTAGATGTGATGTGATGCCTCTTCTCAGCTGCTTGTATTGTTGGAGGCCCATGTGCGTAATACCGCGCTTCGTCCTTACTGTAGCAGGGCCATGCAAATTACCTACTACTCCGGAAGCCCAGCCCATGCTATTGATGCTACGCTGTTACCAGCAGGTTGGTGCTACTGACAGCACGACGGCCGCCGATATGCAGCATTGCATCCTACTACATACTCCATACCTACCTGGCAGATTGCAGGGCTCCTCGCTATCGCTATCACTACCATATCCCGTGCTAAGATCACAACCCGCGTCTCCGCCTTCATCAGGCATCGCTCTTCTGCTAAAATACGAAGCGTCCTATCCGAAGACATTTCCGCCATCCCATCCCACCGGGACTTGCCAGTCCTGCAGATGCTGACAAAACATGCTCAACGCTATAATCGATCCCTTACGGAGCAGAGATGCCGTGGTTGCTCCATGGTGGTACCTCGCGTAGCACGGCTCGCCATCATTTGTGTGAGATACGCTGCAGTTTCCGCCCTCCAGCATTTAGCCGAACTCATTACTAGACGTACCTGTTCGGATTTTACGTTTGAGTCAGATATCAACTCCAGCGCCGCCTACTTGTACTTGTCGTTCGGTACGCCCTTCTAGTGGCATCTCAGCCCACACGTGAATCCGCAACGCTAAATTCGGCTCGTTCTCGCGAAGGTTTAGTATTATGCCCAAAGAGAGAAAGTTTTTTTTTTTTTCGTTCAATTCTTCTCTTTTTTTCCCACGCGACCATAGCTGGGTTAATTAGTCTGGTGACGCTGTTGCTGACTGTTCTCTGAACCAAAATGGCCTTAAGGCATCGATGATGTAAGGACGCCAACCGCTTACTAACATTGATCTCGTTTGGGATTGTGGAGATAAACGTGAATCTTATCGAGGCCTCTTATCGTAGCCTCTTATCGTACCCTGTACAGGGAAACCTTAGAAATACATACCAGTAGGTATCTTCTCTTCATCTACTGCTTCTGGAAGAAAAAATAAGCATGTCTTAGTTCGGCTCGGATTCCTTCGAGACTCTCTCTCATTGGTTACTTTTCCAGCTGGGTTGAGGGCGTTACCATACTCTGTAGATCGATGAGGCCTGAGTGAAAACTAGTGAGAAACAACGCGGTAAAGCAATCATCTCTACAATTAAAATCCATCGCTTCCATTTCAATTACCGAGTTAAATCATACGATCCAGTCTAGATGGTTCACACACGAATAAATAAACGAATCATATTTCCTCCAATGCAGAAACGGCGGGTAGTATTCAACAGCTAGCTTCGGAATCTCGTCCGCCTTCCCCTCCAACAGTGGGCATGCTTACCACATCAACTGCCATAATCAATCATCAAAAGAGCCAAAATAGGAGTCAAAAGAAGATATAGAACGGAAATTTAGGTCTTACTCATAAAGACTGGTGAAAAGATCTCATAAGCCAACTGAACGAGGCGGCTAAATAGAGTTAAGGGTATTTGGAATTGTCTCTTAAGGCACTTTTTGTGCGTTTTTGAAAGCTATCACCATGCCAGCCTTGTCGTGGGTGGAAACTGTAGTAACCGGTACAGTAAGCACTTGATATCTCCATGACCAAATATATAACAATGGTGCGGCTTTCTTCCTCCCAATTCGCCAAATCTCCTCGGAAAAGCTTAAACAGAGCCCGGGGATAGTTATGCCAAGCTGGCCACTTAGCGACTTAAACGGCTATAGTTCAGCCACTCAGATACATAGCCTATCAGCTGCAGTTCAATGTCAGCAGTAAGTGTTGGTATGTAGTCTCTATATTCAAGTATAAATAAAACATTCAATTGAAACAACTTCCCAAACATTATTTTCCAACAACGTTCATTTCCTTCATCCTCCTTTATCCAAAAATTATTGAAACAACCGTCACAATGCTTCATCTCGATTTGATCAGCACCCTCAAGGACCTTTTTGGGCGATTTGACAATGTTAGACCGTGTATGTTTATTCCAAAACTGGCGAGCAGAACCACATCTGATAGCAATGCTTTTCCCGTATAGCCCATGCCAAAGGTATCTTCGTTACAGGCTCCTTTACTCCAACAGACGAGGCCAAGGAATGGTCCACCGCACCCCATTTCAGCTCTCCCTCGACACCAGTTCTAGCTAGATTTTCTCTCTTCACTGGTATTCCGAACTTGCCTTCAAACGACCCCAACGCAACTCCTCATGGCTTCGCTGTGAGATTCCTGATCGGGGATGGCGCCAAGACCGATATTGTCTGTCAATCATCAACCTTTTTCCCCGCTGGTACGCCGGAAAATGTTCTTGCGTTCTTCAAAAGTTTCAGAGACGGCACTGTAGAGGAATATGTCAAGGACCATCCCGAGGCCGCCCCTTTCGTGCTGGAAGAAAAGAAAACCGCAAAGAACTTTGGCACCCAGTCGTTTTACTCCATCAACGCTTTCAAGTTTGTCAATGCTGCCGGTAAATCTGCCATTATCCGATATCGCTGGATCCCATTGTCAGGGAGACACTTTTTGACACAGAGCGAGCTCGAGGCCAAGGGGCCGAATTTTCTCTTCGATGAGCTACCTGATATCTTTGCCCAGGGGCCAATTAGCTTCAAGTTGGTAGCGCAGGTCGCCGGGGAGGATGACATTACAGATGACTGCACCAAAATATGGCCGGAAGACCGTAAGCTGGTGGAGCTTGGTGTGCTCAGCTTGACCAAGGTTACCGATAAAGAAGATCTTCCTCCTCAGAAGAACACTATCGTCTATAATGTCGACCCTGGCGTGCAAGGTATTGAGCCGTCAGCTGATCCTATAATCGCTGCTCGTTCGCGGGTATACGCGACGAGTGGGCAAACTCGCAGGGAGGCTGAGCCAGAAGCTTAGTCGCAAGCTAGTAATGAGGTGTTGAGCGGCGACTCACGACGAATGCAGGAGGAGACTGATTCTGAGATCTCCGCGGCATAAGCATGCTAGTATCTGAGATCAAATTTTAGTTAGTCATTCTAGGAGATATCCAGAACAACATTGTTGGAGTGTAGCTGTTATTTGTGGAGATTGTACTCACCATGTTTGGCTCTACGGAGAATTGATTATGTATAAAAATAGAATGTGCTTTTTAAGACAAACATTATTTGCCGCTTTTTTCGTTAACCGAACTCGATAGATGGTTGAGAATCCTCTTGCAGTCTCGCCGATTTTGTCTACCTGCCAGTTCATTTAGTTTAATGTGAATGGGTGAGATAAAGTGTTCTCCATGCCGTCGTTGCTAAGATCTCTGCTGGTACCGCGAAGTTCCTCCCCATCTCTCTCTGCCTCCTTGACACACCTGCGTTTAGTATGAGCTTGGAATTATTACAGCTGCTGCCTCCACCCGAATGCGTGCGCTTCAAAGCATTGAATCATAATTTTTAATTCTGTTTCGGTAGGCTGGGTATATGGTCTATGAAATGTCGCAGTGAATGTTAGAAGCTGTGCGTGTTTACCTGAGAGGGGAACTTGCAGATGCTTAGTGTCAAAAGAGTCCTACCTTTTGTTTGTACCCACCATCACAGTGACTATCCATATTCTATGTATTTACTTTACTCCTTTGAGTGATAGATGGGAAAACAAGAATACAAGATGGGTGATCAGTGACTCTGCTGATGGGTAGATTCGGGGACAACTGACAAAAGTATATGCCCGAAGGCACCACCACCCTCCACTTCCGCTCCTCTCAAATATCTCTGTTTCATGGCATCAATAGGCAATGATGTGACCTGCTGGGCTTGATGAATGGGTATACTAGAAGAAATTTATCAGTGTTTGAATTGATCAGTATGAATAGAAAGAACATGGAAGCTTGCTTAAGAAAAAACGAAAAGGTGCCAGCATCCTCCGCGTCCGCGCCGCTTGTTTATACATCTCTGACCCTCTTGGGTTTCGGTTCGTTCGTTCTTTAAAATTGACTAAATTTGTTTTTAGTAGGAACTCTCCGCAATGCTAGATAAGAATGGTTACCTTCTTCGTATATCGGCCGGTGGGTTGCATTGTCCATTCGTTGGCCTGTACTGTTGTCGACGAACAGTTGCTTGGTCTCATAGTATCCTCGATCGTACGAATTACCTGGAGAAAGAAGAAAAGTAAGCAAGGGTCCACATAAGCATTGACGTCTGTGGACAGTTAGCATATTGTCTGTAAAAAGGACATGGTGACTTAGCTGAATTGCGAGGAGCCCGTCGATTGCAGGAACTATCTAAAGTCAGTGACGAGTGCTTCTTTCATTGTTTGGGCAGGGAGACTTAGAATTGGTCTGGGGGGATGAAGACGTCCACCCACCCACCCGCATGAGATAGGGGAGGTTTCTTGTGAAGAATTAGCTGCTTGTTTATGGAGAGAAGGGAATTGGAAGTAATGATGAAACTCAGAGAGCTGCGAGATGATAAAGTGATGGTGGAAAACGATGGGTCACTGGATGATTTGTCGTTGCTGCCACAAGCCATTAGTAGAAGACAAAAGAAACCGACAAAGAGAAGTTTACTTGGATGAGAGAGAATGAACTTGAACGCTACTTCCTCCCTGATAACGTATCGAAAGCAAGCGAAGCCTAAAAGGATATCCTGAGTCTTATTTCGTTATCAATGTTATTAGATCTGGCCACGAGAGGACTGGGGGAAGAGAAACTTAACAACAGAGCACAAATGGGGGAAAAGGTTGTCAATGAAGGTCTACAGAACGTTATTATTTGACTAGATCAAAACAAGCAGAGGAACTTAGCCGATATAGAAAAGCAGAAGACTGAGCGAAAGAGAAGGGGATTCATCAAACGGGCACCTGTTGAGTGTCATTATCTGTGAGTAGAAGAGAGGGTTTTACTCAAGTTAATAAGTCTTGTAACAGCGCTGAAGTACCAGCTGAACAGAGACGACAGAGGCCGTAGAATTATCTGCTTCGTCTGTAGGAATCGATCTTAAATCGCAGCATCCTCAGGGCTAAAATCTAGTGTCACTACAGATGAAATCAAGCTTCTTGGAACAAAGAAATCAAAAACTTAACGCAGAGACTGGAACTTGGGACCATATCGCAAAGGAATGGAAGAATGCGTCTCTTGTGTTGAGCGAGAGAAGGAGGCGATGTGAGCAACCTAGGACAACACCAACATCATCAGGGGTTTTCGAGAAGAACGGGGAGAGGAAACAAGAAATTGAAAAAGACAATTAATCTGCAGAAGTGCTTGGATGTTGAACAGGTGAATGCCTGAATGTTTGGTGATTGATGTAGCTTTGTTTGCACGTTGAGATGCTGAAAAGAAGAAGTTGTGTTTGTGCAAGTGGAAAATTTGTGGGAACTAAATGTGCCAAAGAGCTAGAGAGTTAGCAGGTTGCAGCCAATGTTTCACTTTCCCTTCAGATTTATATCAACTGCCTTAAATCGTAGTTTTAAAAGAGTGGGAAATGAAATAGGATGCAGATAATGGCATGGAGGATGAAGCAAGACTTCAATAGCTGAGCTGTAAATATCGAGCACAATCAAGTTGCTTTGTTGGTCCTTGTGTCTCTATGGCTTTCATTGCTATGTGCTGAGTGCTTTGGATTTTGTCTTCCTGTTGGACTGTGAATCATAGGTATTCGCGGCAAAAGTTGATCCGCTGACCGGCCCCCTCTCCCATGAAAAGTGACCTGGCGGCCAACTGTTTGCCCAATCACTCAACTTAATTATCAATTTTTTTCAGTTGTTTACCAACCGCTGAATTGGTAACTGTTAAATTCCTTCTATTCTTTCTCTCTGAAGTTTCCACACCCTGGAACATCCATCACCAGTCATCACCAACATTAACAAACGCCTGGTTATCGAAAAGAAGCGACTCTCAATAGTCATCACCATGCCTAAATATCAAGAGGAAGATACTCCTGTCTCCAACATGGTATCTGATCATGACAAAGAGACCTTCATTGTACCGATGCCTGAGAATCAAGAGCAAGATACTTCTATCATCGGAAACATGCTCGCCGATCAGGACGAAATAACTTCTACTATCAGCATGATGCTCATCAGTGAAGAAGAGACCTCTACCGCCGCTCCAATGTCTCGTCAGGAATCTCTCATCACGTCGATGCTTGAGCAACCAAGAGCTAGTCCTTCCAATCATGAAGAAGCCATAGAGAATGCCATCCAGCAAGACGCTTCTCTCACAACCACCATCACAGTTGTCGAGGCTCTTCTTCTGTCCGGGCTAAAGGTCTCGGTTAAGAACATTATTGAGGCACTCCAACTCGTCGAAGCGCTGGTAGAAACTGTGTCTTCTAACCAGACTCCTCCCTTCCTCAAGATCATCAAACACAACGTTGACACAAACGCCTACGCCAAGCTCTCCAAGAGGAAGAAGGCATCTCACTCTGGTGGCCGAGATGGCTCTCCTGAGAAAATTGCTCCCCACGCTGCATGTGCCCGATGCCAACATAATCCTGCCGTCAACGAGCCAGCGTTGACTCTTCGATCCTGCCTTAACTGCGAATCTGTGGAATACTGCAGCATCGAATGCCAGCTCACAGACTGGATGGCTCACAGGAACTTGTTTTGTGTGAATCCAACGGACATTCCTCTCGCCACTTTGGCAAAGCCTCACCGTGTGCCGTTTCTCAAGACATACATCACCAACCCGTTCGCTCGCCTCGCCAAAGGCATCTGGCTACACGATCGACACAAGCAAGACGTGTATGTCTTGCTCATCGACTCCTTCCGGCTCCGAGAGGCCGATGACTTCACCTACGGCGGCATGACAAACAACGACAGCGTTTACAGCGGTCGAGTGAGCTCGTGCCCGGCGTTCCGTCGCTTCCTGTACCAAGCGGAAGCCAAGGGCTTGATGCCCCCCTGGTGGTCTGACCAGAAGCGTGTCGAGTGCCTCACCAAGGGCATCGACAAGCGGCCCGACAACTACCACGACCTCCACGCCATGACCCGGGACATCGAGATTGTGGTCGTCTACGAGGATGCCATCATGACAATGCAGCTTCGGATGTTTGCTGAGTCGGTTTTGGGAAAGGGAGCCGCGGGATCGGATGGGCAGCTGATGCTGCAGAAGATGGTGGTGGCGGAGGAGGCGGCCCGAGTTTCGTCGTAATTTTTTGTAGTCAATTTTTTTTTTCTTTTTCCCAGCTTTCATTTTCTTTGCTTTTCTTTTCTTTTTTTTAAGGATGGACTCTGGTTTTTTTTGTCATTGTAGTTCAGTAATAAATTTGCTCTTGTGTTCCGATTACTACATATATATGTGACTTGGGTCATCTGTGTTACTTGAATTGTCCCTTGACAATTCACTTGTAGCCAAAAACCTTCACGTACGCCTACTTAAAATTCTTTCACCCCCCGCTACTGCAAAAGATTCTTTTCTGCCAAATTTCCAGGTTATGACAACGCCTCATCCTGCCATCGTTTCGTCCCCATCAAGAACCAAAAGACTATCATATTCGTCCAGAATCAGTCTAATTATCTTACACATGGCTATCTTTATAACTTTGAAAGATATTTTCTCAATTTCGACATGGACCAACTAATTATCAAGACCCCGCAAACCCAGGTTTCTTCCAACTTTCCCCCTGCAAAATCAGCAGCAACTAATCCCTGTTCTGGTTTCTGTGTTTCGTTACTGCGAGGCCAGATCAGCAAGAGCTGTTTTAAAGGGGAACCGGAAGGGGAAAATATACTAAAGGACTTATTTGGGAACACTGATGGCACGTGCATTAAGAAAATTTATTTCTAATGCGTAGTTGCTCTAGTCTCTCACCAAGTCGTGGTGCTCAACTGTATATTTCTCAGACCGTATATTCGGCAACGAATTTTCCCATAAGAACTAAACGATTTCGCGAAGCGAAACATTCTGAGCATAGCCAGATGTCACAAGCGCAGATACGTTAGTCTGATCTTCTAAAGCATTTGATCAATTTTAATATGCTAATATACCCAAGTTTGCTTTCTTTAAATACTGCCAAGGCAGTAAGTGTATGCTAATTTTCTCTTGTTCTGGGAAGCGATTAGTTGATCTTAGCATCATCTCCTTGCGATGTGTCTTTCGTATGTATATTTATCATCATAAGCCAAAATCTATCGCAAGAGACTGGGCACATAAAGGCTTGGGGGAGTGTACACTCCACTAGCAGCTATTCTATATTCTATCCAACGACCACAATTTCTCCAAACAGCTTCTCCCTCTTTATCGCAGCAGTGGAAACCATAATCACCGCTCCAGCCATAATAACCAAGATGAACGGAGCCTGCATACCTCCCATGATTGCAAGAATGACATTCAGCTTCATATTGTCATTCAGCTGTTCGAATAGTGCACTCTGGGCTCCGGCAATAACGGCGCGAATCTGCTCATCTGAGAAACCTTGACCACCAGTACTCCTGCAACATTGCGTACTGCAGCAGACTCCATACAAATCCAACACCATTAATATAAGTTCCTCTTTCTTCACGAGTGGTAAATGCGGAGATGTGGTTCAGAACACCGTGATACATTCCCATCCCATCCATTCCAGCGATGACACGCCCGACGATGAGCGCACTCATGGAAGGTGCAACGCCGCATAGTACAGAACCAAGCTCGAATACGGTTATCCCTCCGATGTAGAGATACTTCAAAGAGAACTTGCTGTACAGTGCTCCATATGGTAAGATGACTGCCACGGAGCCCAGAGCAAACCCAGCACCAAGCCATGCGAGTTGTGTAATGTCTTCGAATGCCTCAATCACCGCGCTTTGGACATCGGCCGCGATAGTGGTATCAAGCCCGTATAATAGGGCAGTGGTGTATAAGGCTGAACAGAGAAGGGCCAATCTGAAGCCGGTAATCTTTCAGACATTGTCGCGAGCTGAAGTCTTATCATCGTGACAACGAGAATCCAATGCAACCATATCTTCTATGGAAGCAGACTGCGGTCGCCGGCTTTCTTCAATGCGTCCTTCTCATGGTTGCAGACCTGATTGGCTCTGATATAGTTTCGATTCGGGCGATTCTGCATTTGTTGTACCCTTCTTGAACTGAGGAATAGAGGATAAGTCGGAGACTTCCGCTGTCGATATCTGAGTCATTTGTGCGATGTATAGTCGATACTCGGAAGCAATTCAGAAAGATACACGATGAGGGAGGTGTGAAATAACATATAGTATAAGATTTGGATTGCCAGATCGACTGGTTTCCAGTATGCCAGTGGTCATGTGTAACTTGAGACAACGTCAGCATCTCGAAGGCTTCTTATCTGCTACTCCTAGGTTACTTTGGCGCCTACCTCAAATATAAGTGCTTCTAAAGCTCTTCCTCGTTAAGTGTATTCTATAACATATGATTTGGAATCGAATCAGAATATATGTCTTCCATTTTGTCTTGATAGTGGGGGGAGAAATTGGGAGCCAGGTAGCTCATCATGGATAACCATCCCAAATCGAGCGACCGATGGGACCCTGATCTAGCCATCTCGTTTGACATATGAGATAGTATCCCAAGTACTCCAATCATGTACCTTCTCATCTAGTTACTCTCTCATAAATGAGGATTGTCCGCAAATGTGCGTCTTACGGCATTATTAGTGCGCACCTTCCTAAATATAGATCAGCTGCAACGTCTCGTACTGTCATTATTTATTATCTACTTTTGTTTACTAGATATTGGTAACAAATCATGATGACATGGGTGCATGTATGTAATCACCTACCCATTTATTCTAACTTTATTCTTTCGGGTATCTTTAGGTTATTCACGGTTTAGTATGGATAAATTTTAGCAATAGCAACGACCGTAAACCGAAATACCTTGTTGAGGTAATTTCCTGTTGATGTATTTGACTGTTTATGGTGCAATCCCTGTTTACCCTGCAAGCTGTAAGCAGAGTGTCAGACTACCAATGTACATGGTTTAGGAATAGTTCCATCTACAGCCTGGGGTATTCTATTAGTTTGCTGGGCTTGACTACTCTACGGTGGGACTACACAATGTGGAAGTATTCGCTTGGAGATGCTAATTTGGATCTAAGTAAGCCTTGAATATGAAGATATAACTGTATCAGATGACATGTTGTCATCTTACTTCTATTTTCAGTTTCTCTTTTCAGCAACGTTACATTTGTGTGCCGAAGCGTTGAAAATGATGACTGAAGAACATCTCAAGCTATTGCTATCCCTATCCTAACCATATACTGAAGGTAACCAGCATAACTTGATCATGTCTAGTGTTCGGCTGTCGCTAGTTATTGAATGCTGTATTGACTTTAGCGTTTACTAAACGCACCTATAACTACCAATCGGCTTGACTTCTCATTGTCGTCGGAGCTTTTGTGCATTCTCTATGTCGGAGATTTTTTTTTATTACATCCTCTTTGCATTATTTATAATTGAACGCCCTCTGTCGGCGCATATTTGTTGGCAGGTTTGTGGGTCCAGCTGCTATAAATTGTCCAAGCATAGCCCTCATCCAGTTTCACCCGTTTCATTTGTTGGAGGGGATCTTCGTTAAATATCGGTGAAAGCATCATATGAGCTATGATCTAGAGGAACCCAGCCGGAGACCTCGGGGCACCTTACAACTTTGCCATACTCATGGTAGCCGAGAACTGGGCACTTGATGGGCCAACGATTAAAACATGGCTGACGGCTAATGTTGTACCAATCTTCTACACTTGGTATGGCGCTGTGCTATTGGCCTTGGTCATCTTCAGCCTCAAACGGCTGCCTTTTTTATGTACACCACGGACGAGTTGTTATTTCAACATCGGGGTTCGAAACCAGCGACAACACCTAGTTGCACCACATGTTGGAGATGAAAGCAACATCGGCCTGATTAGTCAAGAAAGGGCAGCAGATTTGATCAAACAGCACCCCTTGTTCCAACCAGTGGTCGTTAACACAAACGAACCCCAGTTGGAGACCGACTTGAATCTCTACCAGTCGGCTTCAACATTCTTCTCTGACCTCGAAGTATCCAGAGCCAAGTTAATGGCACAAATTATCGCACCTGTATGGCCAATGGATGACATGGAGATTGAGCATAAAGGCAGAGACGGTAGGGAAACAAAGGGAAAGGTAAATGGTCGGCCTGCTCTCCTTCTCGGAGCCACTCAGACCTCTTTCAAACGCGAAATTAGGCCTCATACGGCGTACACCATCAAATCACGAATTCTGGGCTGGGATTCGCGTTGGATATATGTCGGATCTTGGATCCACAATGAAGCTTCATTGACAAAGAAGATTTATGCAACTAGTCTGTCGAAATACATTATCAAGAAGGGACGCATAACTGTTCGCCCGGAGCAGTTCTTTATGGAGTGTGGGTGGATCTCTGCCCAAGATATACATGGCCACGAAGAGGAAGAAATGACAAGCCATGAGAAAGTCTTGCTGTGGTCAGCCTTTGCAACCCATAAAGATAAGAACATGAAGATTGTTCGGACGTGGGGGGAAGCAATTTTGCTCATGGAACAGGAATACGAAGATTGAACATTATAACGGAAAGGGATGGACAAACAGCGAGGCAAATGCGATTTTGGGGAAATTATGACATAGAATGTATGTTTGGGTTATATCAGTTTTACGACATAGTGATTGTTCTGCTGGATGCTACGGAGTTTGTAAAGATCGAGTAGATTCTTGTGAATGCTATCTCTAGCTCGCTGCCTAGTTTACCATGTGAATGGCCACACCATTCAAAAAGACTATTAGCATGTGGGTTTAGAATAACGCCCCCAAGGCCGGTATATACATCCATTTGACCCAAGGATTGATAGTGTGTGAGGATATCGCGTTATGATCCGGCTGGTGGCATACCTCATGCCCCAGACAAACGGTCCTGCATGAGCAAACAACAACAACCGAGTGCTCCAACATTTTTACTCTCAAGACAAACCAGACAGCCGACGATATCATCGTTACCTGCATATAATTTACCTGAAATCAGAATATCTAGGTCATGAATGGGCACTGAGCGTTTGGGGATTGAAAACGGGTAGAGCTGCTGACTGCAAACTTGCGGTCTACTGAGCCAATGTTCTGTACTCGACGTTCGACTACGCGCTCCTCTCCTGACTCATTTCAATCTGGCCAAAAAAACGGTCTTATTGGCTAAGCTTCACCTGTAGTGCGGAATTCATCTTGTAGAAGTTCGTCAAGTTGTTGGTTCGAAGTTGAAGATTTACGCATGTACTGCTGAGCCTATGGATACCTTTGAGCGTTACCGGCATTCCAGCATACTGACCTTGCACCTCTCTGACCGCATTGACTTTGCCCTGCTCTATGCAGTTTAGCGTATACCCTTCAAGTGTGGACACTCCCATAAGCACAACCCTGGCGTTTGAGGTTACTTCTCTAGTTGCATGTCCTGGACTATTATTCAGCCCCTGGTGCATCGATCAATTTGACGGCAGGGTGAATGCTGAAATCAACAATCCAATCAAGAACTTTCTGCTCTATAAGTATTTGTTTTCCCTCGATCTCGTCTAAAGTCCCCAATGTGCAAACAAAAAGCTGTCAAGCTTCTTCCTTTTCATCTTCAGACAGGAAAGGGCATAAAGCACCAAGAAGAGAACACTGGAAGTGTGTACAGTCTACCACGATAGCATCAAATTCCAGTGATGTCAATTTCTGCGTCATGCCTGGATGATCTGGAATCTTTTGGGCCCTGGGCGGGTCCTCGGTGCCGCGGTGGATTCGACTTTACTCTACTTTTTGAAGAGACGATTCTTTCCATTCTGCTTTCCAGCGTCTTCCTTTTCCTCTCTCCATCACGAATCTTTGCGCTCCCCACAGCGTCTAGAAAAGTCAAGTCGAATTCTTTAGAGTGGGCAAAAAGGGTGAGATTCGTCATTCCTCGAATGGTGGAAATGGACTGTGCTAGATCAAATAGCATCACATTCCGTTTGCCTCTGTTTTTGTATGGCTAACGAACGCATTTGCTAAGATAACCTCAGCATGCTTCATACCGTTCAGAACTGCCCTTGTCGGCCTCTGGGCGATGAATTCGAGCAAATCATCACGTTCAACCCTCACACACACCCATACCACGATCGCAAGTTCCGCACTTACCCTCGTCCTTTCCCTTCTGTACGCTCCTTTGTCTAGTCTCCACCATCGATCATCAATCCGTTCATCGTTTCTACTCTCAATATACCTGGCTCTCTCAATTCACTTCGACGCAGCGCGTGCTCGCACGATATGGATGTTGCCAAACGCTGGTAGCAGTGCAATTCCCGCTGTCTTCACGGCGAGCCTGGCTTTGCGGACTGTAATGCTGTTGCTTGAGTCAATAAAGAAACCGTCTATACTATTGGATGAGTACAGCAATGTGTCAGAAGAAAGTGTCAGCGGACGATATAATCTGGGCGTCTTCTACTGGCTTAGCTCTCTGTTCTTTGCTGGCTATCGAAAGGTCTTGAAGCACGAGGATCTATATCCTCTTGACAATGAATTACGGTCTGAACTACTGGCTAAGAAAAAGTCAGACGCTTGGGAAAAAGGTATGTGTCACAGCCAATTTGCCGCTTCTATCCTTTCTTGGCAATCCTCACTCTGTGATTAGTTTGAAATGCTCAGAGCAATGACTGATTTGACTTCTAGTGCCCGGCAAGAGAAGGCCTGGTGCACTTTTTAGTTCCTGGATGGGCGCTTTTGTTGGTCCCTTGATGATGCCTGTCATTCCTCGAATCTTTCAGATTGGCTTCAATTATGCCCAGCCTTTCTTAATTACAGTGTATTGATCTTCTGGTTACGCCACAAACACAACAGTTCGATAACAATGACTATGGGCTCATCGGTGCTTATATTCTTGTATGTACTGGCATTGCTGTACGGACCTGCTATTCCTTTTCACTTGAGGGTTGGACACTGGCGTGGGTTTTGCAATTGGTACATGCTTTCTGTTTAGCATCACTATGCCCAATCGTGAAAGGCATTGCTAACACATCGTTCTGATGTCAGTCGTTATGCTTGGCTCCAGTATCTTGGCCTCACTAAATTCTCGGCTACGACAAGGTTGACCTATTAGAAGCTGGAAGACTCGTTGAGTTTGACCCGCCGCGAACGCTATTATCCCAGGATGGTTCCATTTTCAGAGACTTGTACCTCTTGTCAACTAGCCAATTACCTGTCGCTCCAAACTTGGCACCAGTAGCACGAAACTTTTCGGCGCTGGTTGACGAAGGAAGATGAATCAAAGTCTTCACTACTGCGGCATTATAAGGCCGACTACTCCTACAACATGACAATAATCTTCACTCATTTCTTTCTGCTACATATCTTGTATATAAGGATGCCGATATTAAATCTCTTTGGCAGAGAGTTCTCCTTAAGAATACAAAGGTTTTCTCCATGGTCGACCAGTAAGATTCTTGTTGTTGGCTGTCTCAGTACACAGTGGATATTATAGGTGGGTAAGTCTCTGTTCTCGTCTAAGACGCCGATTAGTATTACTCATCAACAAGATCAATGTAACATCGAAAAATACGGTCAATAGGTGACTTGTAAAGCAGACGTGTTTTCCTATTCATCGGCCTATAAGCTTCTTTTCTTATAATACGTATGTGTTGGATCAATGGCTGGCTTCTTATAAGACTGGGAGAAAAATACAGTGTACTATTAAATTGTCTCACCACGGGTATAGCTTCTATTTCCGGTCATTCTACCCAGCCGAGAGCATTTCCCGCCCTTCCAGTCATCCCCGCAAGCTACGCGTAACGGATCCCGCCCGAAAGCACATTTATTCCTTGTACGAAGATAAGTTGACGGCATGAATTGTCGGAACAGGGAGCCGATCCCACTAAATGGGGGTGCTAGTCTCGCCGAAGCCATTTTATCCATTCAACCACATCCAGCGTCCCGCAATCCCAACCAATGCCCAGCCGTGTGAGCAAGAGATGGGCCAAGAGCACGTTAAAAGGATCCGTCATTGCGAGATAACGGCCAGGGACTAAATCGCGGCCCTTGTCTACCAGAGCCCTTGTGATGCCGCCTTCATCTCAGCGCTGCGAAGGAAAAAGAAGCATTTGAATCAGATTGGGAGAGTATTTACAACCTATTGTCCATCTAGCATGCGAAATGACAATTACTGTACTGAAAGTAATATTCAGTTCTCTTACATGGACTGAATGCATAACGAAACGCTTACCTCTTGTACTGCAGGTCTCATGTCCCCAATTATATTCAGAAACAGGCAAGGTACTTTTTCCGCGACCCCAATTCGGGCTACACTAAAACGTAATTATGCAAGGGCCTGATTGTGGTGGCGGGGATGTGCAGCTCGGCTTGAAGCTCTTCGGAGCACTGATAAACCGAGCTCGATCCCGTTTTCTCTTTGGTCCTTTCTTTCTTCTGTCCCTGTTCTTCTTTCGAAATCAGCGAAACACTGGGTGCTGATTCGCATCTTCACAATGGCAATGGCTAAGCTGTCTATGCTCCTAGCTGGAGTCGCCGGTGTCTCTGGCTTTATCGCGGCCCCGGCTAGACTCTATGGCCAAGCGCCGCTAAGCTCCATCACGCCGTCCAGGTTCAAGTGCGAACTGCCTCCGATTCTCGATCCGTCAGGCGATGGATTGCCTTCTGCCAACGAGCTCTTCTCCTCCAAATCAGCACGCGAGCAGCAGATTAAGCGCCTTCAGGCTATCGTACGAGTCCCATCCGTCTCCTACGACGACCTAGGCGAGGTTGGTGAAGATGAGCGCTGGTCGCCTTTTTACAAACTTCACGATGTTTTGGAAGAGACATTCCCTACTGTGTGAGCAGGATTTCGGCTCTTAATCGTTTCTAACGAAGCTTCTAACAGCCAGTAGGCACAAGCGGGCTAAGCTAGAGAAAGTCAACACTCTCGGCCTTCTGTACACTATCAAAGGTTCAGACGAGTCTCTCAAGCCAGTACTATTGATGGCCCACCAAGATATCGTCCCGGTTGCTGATGAATCGACATGGACATACCCTCCCTTTGATGCCGTGTACGACGGCGAGTATATCTGGGGACGAGGAGTTTCAGACGATAAGAACAGTCTCACAGCAGTTCTGTCAGCATTTGAGGCACTCCTGTCCAACAGCGACTGGGTACCGAAGCGCAGTTTCGTGCTTGCGTTTGGATTCGACGAAGAGTGCTCTGGCTTCCGCGGCGCTGGCAAGATTGCCCCTCTCCTCAAAGAGCGATATGGCAAGGACAGTTTCGCCGCTATCCTGGATGAAGGAGGTCTCGGCTTGCAGGAGGTTGGCAACGCGCTATACGTTCTCCCTGGTGTGTCGGAAAAGGGCCACATCAACATCTTCTTCGAACTGGACGTTGTCGGCGGCCACAGCTCGATTCCCTTCCCTCACACAGGCATTGGCATCATTGCAGAAATCATCACCGAGCTCGAATCCCATCCGTTCAAGGCTGAATTGATTGAGGATGGCCCTGTACACAACCACCTTCAGTGCCAGGCGCGTTACTCGCCGGAGGCGTTCCCGGATCTCACAAAACTGATTCAAAGGGATGATTTGGAGGGCATCACGCATTGGCTAGTCAGGAGAAGCCGAGACACGCAATACATTGTCCAGACCTCACAGGCTGCCGACATAATTAATGGTGGACAAAAGATCAACGCCATGCCGGAGAAGACTCTTCTCGGTGTCAACTACCGAGTTGCTCACCACAACAGCCTTGCCGAGGTTCAGCACAATGCTGTTCGACGCATCAGCAAGATTGTCAAGAAGTACGGCCTGACGCTCAAGCCATACGAGGGCGACGACGACTACGACAAATACGTTGCCGGCTTGGAATCTGAAGATGAAGTCGAGTCGGAAGAGGTCATCGATTACAAGGGCACTTTGGTTCTTTCAACCCAAGGCAAATCACACCCCAGCCCCATTTCTCCCACCAGCGGCGAGGCATGGGACGTCTTCGCTGGCACCATTCGACACACCTTTGCGTATGACAATGGAACCGTGGTCCCAACCGGAGAGATTATGACGGGTAACACCGATACTCGCCACTACATTGGTAAGTTATGCTTTAATCTGGGAGAAGTTGAGTTTATTAACACGTGATGACAGGCCTTTCGGACAACATTTGGCGTTTCACTCCTGATCGATTCCATGCCCAGAACAACATCCACACAATCGATGAGCATGCCCGTGTTGATGGACACATTGAGATGCTCAAGTTTTACTACAACTTTGTGCGCAACTTTGATGCCGCCAAGTTCTAAATATCTGAAAGAGGTAATTGGACACAATAAATGAGATTTGTAGATATATGTTACGCTGTTGTGAAGAAGAAAATTGCAAAATGCTACTGCATACCCGTATATTCCGAATTTGGCGTATGTCTCTAAAATGAAGCTTATGTTCAATAAGGCCCAGCCAATGCACGATTAAACTTGCACAAGTGCATTCTTCTAAATATATACAATGCCCAAAACGATTACAAAGACTCCATCACAGAGAGTTCTCCTATTTCTCCTATTTCCTTACCTAAGGCTCCACGCAATACTCCAGATTTTTACTCCAGATTCACATGAAATCCGGGGTGGGAGGCAAAGATACTTTGGTACTTCCTTATCCAGCTTATCGAAATTGACCGAGGGTAAATCGCGCGACTCCGATTCGCCAGAAATGCCGGAGAACCTCTCGATTCCCCACACACTGCCGAAGACGCCCTTCAAAGTCCCCATAAGCCGAAGCCGAAGATGATTAACAGAAGCAGGAAAAATATCTGGGAGACTCTGGATTGTATTTTCCCCACGATTCTCTGGCTCGCACGGCACGAATCAAGAATCTTAATCTCAAATATCAGATCTGAAATCCACACAAGGCTGCCCCCCGCATAAAGACAGAGGCAACCAACAATCTTCAGCCAGAGAAGCCGGCAACACAAAAGTGCCCTTATCAACCACAATCCGGAAGCCAAGTGGAGGCAATGGGCTCGTCCAAGTCGGATGAAGAGGCCTCAGGTGCCGGCTCCCCGCTATCGCGGACTCGGCTGCGGGCAAGTCATGCTTGTACCGTCTGTAGGATACGCAAAGTAAGGTGTGATGTGGTGGTGACTGGCTTTCCCTGCACAAACTGTCGGTTGGATTCGGCCAATTGTAAAGTGACACCGCGGAAGCGGAAGTGGTAAGTTGTCGTTACATGTGGAGAGCGTATCACATATACTAATCCGTCTTGTGAAAGGGAGCAACGGGTAAAGCGGGTAATAGAGCAAGAGGAAAAGGAGCGCAGGGACCAGTCCAGGCTGTTGGCTGAGGAGAAGCTCAAGCCTTCACGTCACATTCACTCAGCTCCAACAGCACAAACAGAAATAAAGAGTGATGATACAACATCCTCGTCTTCCAGCCCGCCATCAAGGGCTACGGCATCTACAATACCGGTATTTCAGCAAGACGACTCAGATTCTCAAAATGGAGCCTCAAAACACAACTTTCCCTTCAATGATGGCACCATTGACCCAAGCCAAATCGGCAGGCGTCCCAGCCACGATGCTGGTGCAAGTCCCTGGGGGCTTGGATACGACAAAACCACCATCTTCGGGTTGCAACCACCCACACGTTCCGTGCCATACTCCAACTACAACTTTGTCGATGCTGGTTACCTCAATCAACTTAGCCATATCGATGTCAAGTACTTGACAGAAAAAGGCTGTCTCACCCTACCATCGGACTCACTGCTGGAAGAGTTCTTCCACCAGTACTTCTCACATATCCACCCCATCATCCCTCTACTTAGCGAGGCGGAATTCTGGGCAGCAGATGCTCGCATTCCTCTTCTCTTGATTCGGGCCATATTGTTCATCTCATCTCCCGTAAGCCCATCGAAACCTTCATTCCGTCTTCAATTTTAGTGAATTCGTGGTTAACATATTCATAGTATGTATCGGCATCAACGCTCCTCAGCCTGGGGTATAGCAGCGTCCAAGCAGCTCACACTGAACTTTACACGTTAGCAAAGGTTAGCGAAGCTACATCTCACTCATATACAACTATTTCTAATGATCCCTGGCTACATACAGACCATGACGCAATTTGATATCCACAGAAACAATGTCGTCAATGCCCAAGTAGCCGTCATGCTCACCTACCACTCACCCGCACCCAGCGACATGACAAACACATACTGGATGGTAAACGCAGTTCATTTCGCCCGATGTGCTCGAGCAGACCAGTATTATACACTCAGCGATGATAACCCCACAAAGCTCATCCTCAAGCGACTCTGGTGGTCCTGCATATTGCGAGACAGAGTCATGTCTTTGAGCTTACGACGGCCATTGAACATTGGGTGCGACGAATTCGACTTTAGTCTCCCAGGACTCAATCTCGCCGACTTCTCGGATGAATTGGGAGTCTCCACTGTATACGATAGGCCAACGAGGCAGATTTTAGCGCACATGATGTCAGCGTTCTGTGAACTCATCATTCCTTTGAACAAAGCTCTTACCATACTCTACCCTGCTGCTGGCCCCAAGATTGTCACCTCAGACGCGGACATTCAGAAGGAATCAGACGCTTGCGTTGAAACTCTACAGCTTTTGGATGTTTGGTTCCGCAAAACAAGGGAACGATTCGAGATCTCCACACCATCGATCGGCGTCCACAAGTCATTGACGATGTTTACAAAGATGACTTTTATCTATTATTAGTAAGTCTAGCAGATGCTCTTGACAACAGGAGACAGGTTGTGTACTGACATCGTTAAAAGTTCTGCAAGAGCGAGTTTATGTTATCATATGATGTTATTATCCGTATCCAGTCCCGGCCATGCTTCGGATGCGCAGAAGAATGATCTACAAGTGCAAGCAGAGATGGATTCTGCTTTGAAGGGCATTACCGGAGTATTCATGCACTTGGCCCGCCTAGGCCTTGTCCAGTACTTGCCAAACACATTGTAAGCAAGCCGCCTGATTTTGTCTTTCCTCACTTGGGATTTCGTGCTGACTTGATTATAGTGTTACTTTCTCAGCGATTCCTCTCATCTGGCAAGTTCTGGATGCAAAGATACTCAATACCGGAACACTCGCCGCAGACAACAAGCGCGACCTAATGGTCTACACAAACGTTATGAACAAATTCCGAAGCCTTCATGAAAATGCCAACAACGTCCTAAAATTCATCAAACAAATCATCGCACACATCCAAACAACAGAATCTGTCGAAATCGCCCAACAGGAGCAGCTCACAGACACATGCTTCCCGCCCGAACTTCTATCCAGCTTCCCACCTGGAGGCAAAATGCAGGAGATGGACAAGGGACCGAAAAATAAATGGGCCCAGTTGTTCGCCGGATCGCCGCGGACTTATCTTCGAATTGCGTTGACGATTCAGCATTCTCTTTCGAGCGGTCACTTTCCGTCGGAGGAAGACTTTCCCAAGGCGCTGCAGATGGTCAAATTTGCGGAGGAGACGATGGATAACGGGGTTGATGTTGGGCTGTACAAGTATTTGCAGCATATGGAAGACTTCCTACTGTCTGCGTAATTGTAAGAATCTGGCGGGATATCCTTTTTTTTTTTTTCTCGCAATTCCATTTCTGTTAGCGATACGACTGAAAGTAATCCTTAGTATAATGATGTAATTTAGATCTGGCACAGATTATTGTTTCGAAGATGTAAAAAGAGCGTTGAGCCATGCCGAACCAATTTTGGTATTTATTGCTAAAGAAAAGTCCTCGTATATGCCCAAAGCCTCACCATTCCACAAGCCAGATTTTTTGGGCTTACCGTGCCATTGTCTAATCAATTTTTATATCCAAGAAGAAAATATTATATGAGTATTTGCCTTGCCAAAGAGACATTATCCGACAACATCTAGTTTCTCAATTCTCCTCCAGACTGGATTTCATCCTTCTTGTAGCCAGCTGCAGTCAATGATTCACCATTAATGTTAACGGGTTTGGCAGCTATTAGCCCATCAGCTTCTCTTGTCATTTCATGGCGGATGCAATTAAGACTGCCTTACCTGATAAGATGAAGTAGACGCGAGCAGGCTTGTCTGTACTGTTGGTCCATCCGTGGATTGTGCCGCGCTGGACGCAGACGTCGCCTGCCTTCATGTGTATCTCGACATCATCATCGAGATGGCTGAACAAAGATATCAGCAATTGATTCAAATCTCTAATCTCACATAGATGCATCATGTAAACTTACCAGATAACTTCTCCACTAAATAGAATGCCGAAGTCCAGTGATTCAGTTCGATGGAACAACATCTGCCAACATTCTCAGCATCAACATCTGAAACTACCCCACCAATCTCAGGTTAACCATACCCCTGCCTTCTCCACATTTGGTGGGATGTCTACGACTCGGAGTACGATTCCCTTGCCATTTGCCAAATCCGTGGTCCGGACTTTAGTTGGGTCAACCCATTCATCGTTGGAGACGGGAAACTCATGAGTCTCATACAACACAGCGAAGTTGGCTCCTATGGGGGTCGGAAGACATGGAATAGTGCTATCGGCAACGACAATGGCCTTGCCCTCTGAGTTGTGGCCGGTAACGATTCGTCTCGGGTCGGGGAACCAGGAAGTCATGATGAATGTGTGAGTGTGGGAGTTATGTGTATCAAGAACGGTGAGCACAAGAGACAGCACGGGGAAAGTCTCTGAGTTATAGATTGAAGTTATTGAATACGCTCAATACGACTTGCCAAATCACATGACGTCTAAGACAGTCAACGTGTCATTTGGCTACGGGCATGCCGCGTCGCTGCAGAAACTTGGCGTTCCCGAGTCTGTTTGCAGAGGGAATTTGCGCGAGATGTGGATGGAAAGGCGGTAGAAGGCAAGATGCATGCGGTCTAGAGATGACCATCTAGTACAAGTCCAGTATGGAGCCCGGCCGACCCATAATCCCTAATGCCGCTTTTGTCAGTAATGCTGATTTGTTGAGGTCTCACTGCCGGGCCTATCCATGCGGGGAGATGTTGGGAGCGGGAATTGTAAGAAACTAGAGCAGAATGAGGATGGATTTACTGGGATGAAACCAGCGACTATCCGAGAACTAGTGGAAGAAGGGGCTAGTGTTGATTTTCATGGTATTACACCGATAGGGTAGAGCCAATGGATAGAGAATCAGCTGTTGTGTAATCTCCTTGGCGAATCATCTGGGCATTCTGGGCATTTTGTCTGAGACAACTCAAATCCGTCCCAACAACTTTCTGCGATGCATATGCGTATATATATGTTTGTGTACTCCGTATACAGAGTATTTCAGCTCACGATGCGTAAATCTGCGTGACACGATCGGCGCTTTCTTTCTGTCAGTTGGCACGGTTAGCTCTGTCAAGCACTCCGTCCAACATCTCAAATGAAGTCATACGTACGTACATGGAGCCACGATATGATTGACACATGACACATGACACCTGGTAAAAGCAACACTAAAACGCCATAATCAAAGCCTGTAGCTCTAAATGACGGCAATTGAGCATCCGTTGAAACCTAGAAACATGCATTATCCGTTATGAGTCCTGAGTGAAGGAGGCGCGCAGTCTTCTTATACCCAACTAGCGCTCGGCACTTAGCTTTCTAATTGCCGCTGTACTAGAGTCCAAAAAAAGATATGAAATCCAAACTCACGGGATCCTGTGGAGCATATGGTACACAAAGTAAGCGGTAAGCGACAATGAAGAGTACGGCACTGGCCATCTTATGCTTATTTCGTCCAACGGGCGGAGCCGTGCCAAGCAAGCGGCCTACTACCCGTTATCCGGAGCCTTAGTTGGGTGTGTTCCTGTTAAGATGGTTTGCATGTGAAACATGATCCTATAACACTTGACAACAAGATCATTCGATCCGCCCGCGTTCTATAGGCATGCAGGGATTAGAATAGACGCCGGTAACATCAGATATAGGTGATTAATGCGTATTCCCGAGAGGTGATTAGCCTAAATCGCATTGCGAGGTTGAAAGAATTCCTATCGCCGCAAGATCGGGCGGAGTTATGCCATATCATCCGTCAGCGTCTTCTTGTTGTCAACTGAACCCTTTGCTTATCATTGACTATTTGCAACAGATGGCAGGAAGCATTATCTCTTCAGGGCTAGACCTGTGTAATCACCGTCACACAAGCAAGCATCGTGAGGGTGATGACAGAAGTGTAGCTGTCTTGGGCAAAGCTCAAGCTAGCCCACGGGCCAATCAAACTGCGCAAAAAGCGAGCCGGCCTCTCAGAGATCGTGGGCAACTATTCCGCCGTTTGATTGTGAATCTGGCGCGTTTTCGGTTTCCTATTGCCGGGGAGTAGAGTGGGGCAGCTGGAAGTCCGCTTGAATATAGTCTGGGGCGGATGATATTGAGCCCGGAGGAGAGGCAGCTTTCGGCCGTGAGTCCATTTCAGTAATGGTGCAAGGAGCAAGACTTTTCTTGCGCGATCAGTTGGCATGACACGAGATGGAAGCCGTGATCGAACATCAACATGGATAAACATCTATTGGTGCTATAATAGCTGAGAGAAGCACTATCGAACTCGAAGATTGTCATCACAAAGTTGCCATCCAGATAGAACCCCTCAAAACGAATTTGTGATCAGGGATAGTATCGTCCGTACAGCTCAGAGCTAAGCTGCCATGGATTGCATGGGTGGCTGCCCACGTTCTGAACTAGACATCGAAACGCCGCGAATGAGTGGAGTTTTGGAGCAAATTGGATGCGACTTGACTAATTGATCAATAGCGTAATATAAAACCTTCAGAGAGGTGCTGTTCTTTCAGCTCTCTTCCCATCTTCATCTTCTTCTCAAAACAAGCCTGAGAAATCCAGTTGAGCGCTTTTCGTCAACTTTCTATATCACACCATTCAGCAGCCAGACATTTTGCGACCATGTTCCAAGGCCTTCGTAGCCTCTTAACCCAGGGCTGGCCTCCGAAGCCTACCTTTACTGAGAAGGAATTGGGAGACCTCTCCGGAAAGGTCAGCGAAACCGCCACAATACTCTCTTTTATCGCATAAACTTCAAATCAGCCTATTAACATCGATTTCCTGTGTGGCAGGTTGTTATTGTAACTGGTGGATACTCTGGCGTGGGATACCAGCTTGCAAAGATCCTGTATGCGAAAAACGCAGTCGTTTACATCGCCGGTCGTCGTGAGGATGCCGGCCAAGACGCAATCAAAACGATAAAGGCAGCTCATTCCGATTCCAAGGGGAGATTGGAGTTCCTGCAGCTTGATCTGGCTGATCTATCATCCATCAAGGCCAGCGCAGATGCTTTCCTTACAAAAGAGACTCGGCTTGACAATCTTTGGAACAATGCAGGAATCATGCGACTGCCCAAGAATTCACCCACCAAATCGAAACAGGTATGTCGCATTTACTTGTCATCAGCGCGGCGTAATGTGAGGTATCTGACAATCATCACCCAGGATTATGAATTGATGCTCGCTGTCAACTGTCTTGGTCCCTTCCTCTTCACAAAGTTGCTCCACCCCCTTCTTGAATCAACAGCCAAATCTTCACCAGTAGGAAGCGTTCGTGTGGTTTGGCTGGGATCACTCATGATCCAACTCATGGCGCCCAAGGGTGGCATAGATCTTGACAATCTCGATTATAAGAAGAAGTTCCCAGACATCAATGTGAGATACGCAGTTAGCAAGACGGGCAATCTCTTCATTTGCAGCGAATGGGCCAAGCGAGATGCTGAGAACGGAATTTTCCACTTGGTAAGAGAACATACACCTACATCTCAACGGTTTCATTATACTGACTACTTCTCTACTGCAAAGGCTGCCAACCCCGGCAACCTCAAGACGCCTCTGCAGCGCGACATGCCTGCATGGGAATATTATCCTATTGTAAGTAGTTTTCATCTCACAGCGCAAGCCAAATGTAAGTTCTGCTAACACTCAAGCCAGATTCCGCTCCTTCACGACCCCATCTATGGTGCTTACACGGAATTGTTCGCCGGCCTGTCCCCAGATGTCAAGCCGGAGGATAGTGGACGATTTGTTATTCCCTGGGGTCGATTTGGCTCGACCCGTCCAGACATTGACGAAAATTTGGCTTCGAAACAAGGAGAAGAGCCTACGAAGGCAACGAAATTCTTTGAGTATTGTGAGAGCCAAACCAGCGCTTACGCGTAAGAGCTACGGTGGATGTAGGAGAGGGAGAACTTGTGTGTGCGGCTTTGCGTCTGATCACAAAAAGTGCGATCGTCAAGAACGATGATTATTATTCTGAAATGATACCTATTCAAGTTATGCTAGCGTTATCTTCATTCCTTCACAACATAACAATTCTGGTACTATTGCGTTCAAATGTGAGAACTAGGACGGCTGCTGTGGATGACGAAAGTGATTATTGTCACCACTTGGCGCTGCCCGTATCGAACCTTTCTGGAGTCTCAGTCATCGAAACTGCTTCAAGTATCTTTAAAGGGGGGGTGAAATAGAAAAGAAACAGTCCCCCTGACGATCAGCCAAGGCAAGATGAGATTTGTTGATCATTGGAATTGGTAGATCCTGATTTCGCTACAGGCTACCCGCCATGATAAATCACCGATCAATGAGAGAGCAAGACATCCGAGAATGAAACAAATGCAAACGAGCGCACCGTCAAGGAAAATATGTAACACAGAGGTACGACGTATATGTGGGCCAAATTAGACAAGATCGCCATTGTGTTGACTCTCAAGCAGGTTTCAGGAACAGACACAGGAAACATTGTATCAATCAAATGAGGATGACGTTTACAGATCCAGGTATGTCTAACAATACCGTATCATTGATGCAGTTGTGAGAGATTAGATTTGTCGTGAATTGGCATGGAGTAGCGGTATTGGAAATGATCGTTGATATGGTGTTCATCCAAAACCTTGGCACGAAAGGGCCACATCGCAACGAACGTACTTATTCCGTACCTGAAGAGACGCAAAAGACTCATCAACTCCATGCATGGCAACTGGGCTGCTCGTATCAGAATGTTTCAGGCTCACAGGCAAATCTATTTACATGAAACGGATTGTCTGTACAGTAAAAGGGTACAGCCGAGACCTTGACATGAATCGTCAAGCTCCCGTCCTGTTCAGAAATACTCCACAACCTTGAGCTCCCACTCAAACTACAGTACCTAGCTCAAGCATCTCTCAATACGAGCTCCCTAGCAGCCGTTAGGGGATGAATAAACTCCGATAAACTTTATAGCGGTTACTATTAATATATCGATAAAGTGCACGCGCAAGCTTGTTGGCTTAGCAGCGTGACGGTCCAGTTGAGGCGAGATGCCCTATCTGCTTCAAGCCGCCAACGTGGGCCCTTGTGGGCTCATTCTGTGATGTGCTTTGTGCTAAGCTTTCCGGCCTCGGTCCGTCAAGGGCCCCTGAGGGAGCTTGGGCCGGGATCAGCGAAGTGCTATTTTCCTGTTCCTTGCGTTTGGGCTCGTCTGAGCTGAGAGCTGTCTGTTAGGCAGCAATCAGGATGTCAAAGTGCGAGCCATAAACTCAACAGCCGTCGCATGCTGACTCGTCGACAGTCCATAGTCAGGGGATTCGGTGAGAGCGAAGCATGACAATGCTCCTGATATCTGGGCACTAACAGCCACAGATAAGCTTCAGGGTATAATCCGATAGGTGGATTCCCGTCTGAAGATGCAAGATGGGACCATTCGAGAAGAGATTCTGGGACGCCATAAGGAACTGATAGGCGTATGCTGGCGTCCCATGTGGCGGTTCCTGTTAGGGCCCCTGGCGGATTCTTATCGAAGGAGCTAACAATGCGTAGCAGGCTAAGTAAAATTAGTGAATCGCTGCAGAAGATTCAAGCCAAGGCGTTTGTGTTGCTAGTGCACATGTACCTGACAGGGCTGGCTGAAGAAAAAAAAAAAAATAGAAAAAGTGGTGCAGGTTGCGCAAACGAAGGTCATCCTCGCCACCACAAAGCAGATGGCGTTTGCCGTTCCTGATATAAGCTGGGCATGTCACGGAACCCGATATTTCTTCTACGTGGAGATGACGTGTAGATGATAGACTATGATACAAGTAGGTAGTGAGTGTGAGATGGGACTTGTCAATTCGTTAAGCAAAGCATACTGTGACATCCAGGTGAAAGATTTTCCATCTCATGGCTCCGGAGTATCGATGGAGAAATTATTTCGCCTCTCGCCTGAAGCTTCTGCACGTGCGATAAGCCGGCGCCGGCTATTCCAAACAGGCAATCCGAAGGCGTCCCTTGTCGTCTAATCGCCAACAATCTTGACCTCGAGAACCGCTTTTCTGATCCACCTGCAAAACTTCTCTTCATCACGCCCTCGCTGGCCCGCTGTGGATTTCGTATTATTGCTATTTATGCGCCCGATGGCCGGCGGCGGCGTTCAAACTACCGATTGACTAACTCGGCGGCTTGCAGCCAAGATTCCATGCCGCCAAGGGACTTGGGATAAGCTGATGGGATGAAGCATGTGGCAACAACCCAAACGATCAGATGAAGAACCACCGATGATCACGGAAGGCGAGCCGATCATGACGGGCAAGCTCTGCTGGCAACTATGGCGAGCATAGAGTCATGGCACGGGCAGATGGAGAGCAAGGCGGGAAAAAAACCGGGGATGGGGAGACGGCCGCCGCCCATGTTCCTGGACTCTGCAAAGCCGCTTTTTTTACCTTTGGCATGCTGCCGGACGTTGGATTCCTCTCCGGCATCCCCCCACCCCCCATATCGCCATCGTGGCTGTAATTGCAAATCTAACTGGGTCCGGGACCCAGACAAGCTTTGCTCGCTGACACGGTACCCAACTGCTATCAAGGATGGATCACCACGCCCCAGGGGGGACGACATTCCAGACCTGCCAGAGATCCGACCCTCCTCGAGCGGCCATTACTCATCTCCAAGCTTTTCTACCTTATTTACATGTGGCCACACAGCCGTGGTAGCCGTCTCCTTCAAAACTATGCTACCTCATCTCCCTTTTCTCTGGCTCGAAGCCCCTCCCTAAACCCTGAGACAGGTCTCAGAGCCGACCATACTGGCAGTCGGCACCCCAGAACAATGTCAACAGACCCCAAGGATTACGCAGAACTTGGCGATATCCCTACACCAGGCCGCAAAGGCAAGAAGCGCGTCGTCTGGAGCGAAGATGAATCGAGACGGGAGTCGGAAAGGTCATCAGCAAACCTCTCAGCTGGTCCTATTGGTATTGGCAGACCAGTTGCCTCTCCAAACAGCGGCGACTGGCTCTTGAGTGCAAGCTCGCCTGGATATATGGATCATTCACCCCAGGCATCGCCAAGTCTGCAGTTCACTCCCCCCGGCGCCCCGGGTGCCCAGGAATTAAGACTCGCCTTAAACAAAGTGCTGCTGACGGAAGAGGAGCAACAAGTCCACGGGCTGCAGACGTCACCGGTCCTGACGCCGATGAAGTCTGGAGAACCTCCCTCAGCCCCAAGAATACCGAGGCCAGTTCTGAGACGTAATACGAGCTACAATGTACCCCAGGAACAAGAGGAAGCAGACAAGGCGGAGAAGCATGCCTCAGAGCGGCAGCTTCGATCCATGACTGACGCACGGCAACGGGCGGATCGATTGGCTGTATCAGTGGGTTCGTTTTACTCACAATCTGCCCCGGGATCAAGACGAAACTCCATCGAACTTGAAAGAGCATTCCAGTCCGTCCTTGACGTCTCAGACGATCATGATCCAGACCTAGATATTACCACGACTAGTAGCAGCAGCACTGCTACTCTCAAGGAGTTTTCCTCCATCAATTTACACACCACCACTTATCGTACCCCCCATAGCTCCCGTTTGTACCCGCCACATGAAGAACACGACAGAGCGGAGATGCTGGTCAACTCTCATGCTAAAAACCACCTCTTCCACCCACAATTCTCCGCGTCTGGAACGTCAACTCCAGTCATAATGCAAGACTACGCCCAAGACTACGTTCCCAGACCCTCTACCTATCGTGGAGGTATCCTCTCTTCCCTACTCAAGCTTTACCGCGACGACAGTGGCGCCGACCACGGCCAAGGCAGCAGCGGGTTCACTACTCCTACAACACCTACAACTCCCATCATGTCTCCGCATCCCTCGCCGCCGAATTCTAGACGTCCATCAACCGTCAGCACTGTCCGATCTCGATCGTCTAGTCGGCTGAGAGGCTACCACAGGTCTCGGAACTCGAGCTCTTCGGTTACTTTGGGTGAGCTGCTAAAGTCTTCATCCATGTTTACCGCCCCTGGCTCCAGCGAAATATCTGATCGTCTCGCAGAGAAGATCAAGAAGGAAAAGTTTGGAAAGCCAAAGAAGGAGCAGATTCGAATCACGGTTCACATTGCCGGTATCATGGCGCGCCATAGGTACTTGTTGAAGCTATGCCGCGCCCTCATGATGTATGGCGCTCCAACGCATCGCCTCGAAGAGTACATGAACATGTCCTCGCGTGTTCTCGAAATTGAGGGCCAATTCTTATACATGCCATCGTGCATGATCATCAGCTTCGACGACAGCTCAACCCACACAGCAGAAGTCAAGGTAGTCCGAGTCCCACAGGGAGTTGACCTTGGCCGCCTACGAGATGTCCATAACATCTACAAGGATGTCGTCCACGACAAGCTTGGTGTCGAGGAAGCGACCCGACGCCTTGACGAGGTCATAGATCGGAAAGCCAAGTTTTCGACTTGGTTTCGTGTTTTCATGTATGGCCTTGCCTCAGTTTGTGTTGCTCCATTTGCTTTTCAAGGCCGCTTTATCGATCTGCCTATTGCCTTTTTGCTTGGTTGCTTGGTTGGGCTTCTTCAGCTCGTCTTTGCCCCTAGCAACGAGCTCTACGCTCACGTCTTTGAAGTTTCTGCTGCTGTCATTACGACCTTTATAGCTCGCGGTTTTGGGTCTATCCAAGGCGGGAAGCTGTTTTGCTTTAGTGCTTTGGCTCAGAGCAGCATTGCCTTGATCCTGCCCGGTTACATGGTGCTCTGCGGATCTTTGGAGCTTCAAAGCCATAATATCGTCGCTGGCAGCGTCCGCATGGTGCACGCCGTCATCTACACTCTCTTCCTAGGATACGGTATCACTATTGGAGCTTCTTTGTATGGCATGCTCGACAGTCAAGCTGCTAGTGCGACGACCTGCGAGAATCCTCTCAGCCTCAACCGTGGATGGTCCTTTCTCTTCGTTCCGGGCTTCACGCTTTGCCTGTGCATCATCAATCAAGCCCAGTGGAAACAGACACCTGTCATGACTATCATGTCTCTTGCTGGCTTCTGCGTCAACAGCTATTCGAGCCAATACTTTGAAAGCAACAGCCAGATCTCCAACATGCTCGGCGCGCTGACCATTGGTATCCTGGCTAACCTGTACTCGCGACTTGGACGACACGTACAAAACGCCTGGCTGGATCTCGTAGAGTGGTGGCAGGCGCGAGTTCAGCCCCGATTTTCCAAGAAGAAGCAAGCCATGGCCGACGAAGAATCCAGCACAGGAACGCCTGCAGATCAACCACAGCGACTACCAAGGAAAGTCGGATATAGCCTTGCTGCTGCAGCCATGCTCCCGGCTATCTTTGTCCAGGTGCCTTCTGGTCTAGCTGCGAGCGGCTCCCTGTTGGCTGGCATCAACTCGGCAAATCTACTAAACAAGAACGCATCCTCTTCCAGCAGTTCTCAGATCGATGGTACCGCCTTCACCGTGCTATTGAGCGTTATCCAAGTCGCAATCGGCATCAGCGTGGGTCTCTTCATGAGTGCCTTGATTGTGTACCCGCTTGGCAAGAGACGAAGCGGACTATTCAGTTTCTAATCCATAATGACGATAATAATTTCTTCAGATTTGTTTTCTTGTTCCTTTTTTTTTCTTTGCTTTTTTTTTCAGCGTTTGCGAGCAAATATGTTTAGAGTTGGCGCCAGGAGCAACAGACTCATTTACAATATGGCAAGATTTCAGCGTTTCAATTTACTTTTATTTTTATTTTGGAGTACAGCAGACTTAAAGATCACTGTGTTGCGATCCACATATTACAAGATCTATTATAAAGAGATGGACAACAGAGCAATGACTTTAGAGAGTATTACAACTCGCAGAGTACGGTTTAATACGCAGTGCTGTCGGCACCAATACAATAGGACAAGTGGCTCCAATTCTTTGGCTTTATTCAATTTTGAGAAGTATAGCATGCTGGTTTTTTTCACTTTCTTATGGTGGGAGTCTACAGGGGCGTTTGTTTCTTTTTGAGTTTTAGATGTTTCACGCATTCAAACACAACAAAATATGCAGCGGAATGATTTTTTAGGGTGATTATATGAAGGCGATACATGCAGGGGATAGATATACACGGGCCTAGATAGCGTTTTGGAGTTAGAAATCTTGAATCAAGAGAATCCACTACCTGATGATCTCAGAATGTTTCGTGCACACTTGAGAAGACACATATGAGACTGTATCGTGATGAAACGCGAGGCACTGTCCTTCAATTAGCGTATTACCACTTCGTATTAACTTTACGTATCTTCCTTCCTATACACCCTTCTTCCTGTCACGGTGGCTAATCAACTCACACCCTGCCCTATACATGATCTCAAGGGAGATTGCGGAATGAACCAACTGAGACGGTATCACTGCCACGTGCTTTCGATAATCAGCTGGTTCTACGGCAGAGATTTCGAGAGGTCAGAGCCTAAAGTGTGGCTTGGGGGAAGAATGCCTGAGGTCTGGGTTGAATATGCGGGGGAGAGACATGTGATGCTTTGAGTATAGAACGGAAGCTTGAGAGAGAAGAGGTAGTTCAATTCAGTTTTACGCTGATGAGGTCCAAGGATAAGGACTACGCAAGAAACTGGGTTTGTGTATATGTGATAAAAGCTACACTCACCAAGATGTAGCAAGAGAAAAAGTAGCAGGTAGAAGTTGCAAGGTATAGGTATACCTAGCATGACTGCTTAGACATTTTGAAGCGCCGTATCTGAAACCCTCGAAACAAGGAATTGACATGTGTCAGTCTGATATCATGTGCAGAAGTGACCATCACGGCCCCGTTTCCATGTCTTGTCCATTGAGCTAGGGTATCACTCACGATGTGATCCAGCTACAAATTACGTTATGCCATGCCTTTGCTGGAATTCCACTTTTCGAGCTTTCTGATCCGGTGACGTCTCGGTATGCTCCATGTAAACTTGTATATTCCTGTAGCCCTCTTCAGAATTGCCAATCCTGAGCTCAACGCTACCTTAGCTGTAGAATGTTCACGATCTTAGTAAGATTACTTTAGGTACTTGGACTGATTCAGTAGCCACCATAAGGCGGAATATTCACACCACAGCTAATCTAACAAATTTTTTTTTTTCATGCAAATTATAGAATATCATTCAAGTGCTTTATCCCCCAGCCCATGATCTGTATAGCTGGGTTACCCGGTATATTCTTCAATAGCGATTGTGCATCATGGGTTTACGCTTACCCTGGATTAGCTCACTTAAAATAGTCGCATCAACGCATGACGGTCGGTGCAGCGATTCGCTTGCACAGCCAACTGAAGAAAAAAAACCATCATGCAGATTCCAAATGCACTCCCTATCATCACATCATGAAAAGAAATCTCAATATTAACCAAAACACTTGTTTTCAAGCCCTTTATCCCCAGTCTAGGCCCAATGCGTTGTAAATGTCTTAGCGTTTATAAAGTGCTTCTATGAAGCTTATTCCCGTCAAAGTCATCGGCCAAATGGTCTAGTGGTATGATTCTTGCTTTGGGTTACCAACTCAACTGCAAGAGGTCCCGTGTTCAATCCACGGTTTGGCCCCAGACATTTCTTTTGACTTTTTGCTCTATTAATACTTCATTAATTCCAAGAAGTTGCTTACATGTTTGATAAACAGATTTTTTTTTGGTGAGAGAGAGACTCGTCGGTCAATGAGTGTTGATCTGTGTAAGAGCTGTTTGTTCATGACAATGATGCCTACTAAACGGCTGTAATATTCACATGCGTATCATACACTTCGTTGGTTGATATCATAATGTGGAATTAATATTGATTGCATTGAGATATTTTAACATCTGCTTAATCCAGTATTCGTAGCATATCATACGCCTTGTGAGAAATCGCCTTCTTCACCACTGCCAATGGGTTCGTCTTCGCCTTTTTCGCGGGCTGCTTAGCTGTAATCTCCACCATATCCTCATCCTCGTCTTCATCTTGCACTTCCACTTTCTTACTCTCCTCCTCCTCCTCCTCCTCCTCTTCCTCCACATCAAACATTCCATTATCCATAAACACCTTCAACATGCCCTGCGAATACCCGCTCACCAACGCCGTGCCCGCCTCGCCCGCAAGCACCGGCTTCGGCGCAGTCTCATCGCCACCAGTACCATGATAACCTGCTCTTCCACCCGCAAGATTCCAAAACACGAGCTCCGGCAGTTCGTACCCGTGCTCCTCGTACTTCTTCTTAATCCTCTCATAGGAAGAAGACCACCTCACTCGACTTTCAGGCGGTTCGTAGTAGTCGTAGCCAGTCTGCGCCGCGTCAAACTGCATGTCGCTAAACACAAACACGCGCTTCACCATGTCCTCCTGCTTCAGCCCCTTTTCAATGGCCATGGGGAGAATCAGATTTTCGAAAACAGCCACGAAATTCGTGTTCATGCCCCAACTCGACCCCATGATATCTCGAACTTTCTCGTGAAGGGTTTTGCTCAGGTCCACAGACTTCATCTCGGGATGCGAGTGGAACGTTATAAACTTGCCGCCAAACGGCTGCTCAGTCACCTCTGCGACTAGAAGAGACAATCCAACCGCAGAGTGCATGGGCGTAGTACCGTCTTTGAAGACGGGACTGCTCATGCTTCCGGACACATCGCATATCGCAATGCACGAAGACAGAGTGCCCGAGTCCTTTATCCGCTGAACAAGCGTCTTCCACTGGCCATCTGCAACTTTTGCCTCAATCTCCTTGACGGTGCGATTGATTAGCTCCTGTTGACTGAGATGTTTCAGATCGGATGCGGGAGCAATGGCGGTCGATACACTCTGCACCAGCGTAGAAGGCAACAAAACAGCCCCCGAGATGCTGGCCTTTCCGCCTGCAACCTTGGTAATGTAATCTTGGAAGCGATCGAAATCCTTGCTGATGAAGAGCCTGGTGTAGTTCTTCATCGCAACAGACGGCACACGCTCATACTTGATCTTCTCAAACGTACTGGCGCTGATATTCCGCTCCACAACCTCGAGGTGCTTTCTCAGGGCAGACACGTCCTTGCGATACTGTTCCCGTGCGTGGCGGAGATATACCTCCCGGTTGTCTGACGCCGAGACAGCGCTGCTGAGCGACTCTCTGGGATACAGGATCTCAGCGATGGAGCTGATGATGCAAGTATGTCTGTCGTGGAAGTTGCCATGTGATGGAGCCCACTTTGCACAGAGCGAGATGCCCCTTTTGGCTTTGGGATCAGAATCCCGAAGGGCCGCTAGGTCAGAGTGAAGCTGCTCAGCAAAGAGCCGCGCAACGGTAACATGCAAGGTTCGGTAAACGGCATTGGTGTTGAACCTATCCATGGAAGCCTCATGACGGTCGTCCCGTTCCCGATGCCTGGCCAACTTGAGGTTCCCAATATGCACCATTTTCTCCTCCAGGGCATGTGTCGTCTGCGTAGCTTTTAGTTCTCGCTTCTCCGCTCTATGTAGAGCAGCCTCAGCCCTTGCCTGGGCCTCCTCAAAAGCTGCGACTTGCTGGGCGAATTCGGGGTTTCCAATGCGCACGGTTGGCTCTTCCAGGACGTGTCTGTTCGGCTTCCCTCGCATCTCCTTGGCTTTTGCCCGTTGTCGAGCGGCCTCGATAGCTGCTGCTCGCCTTGCTGAGATGGTTGCTCGACCACCACGGCCACGAGCACCCCTTGCTCCCCGCGTCGAAGGGCTCACACCACCACGCTTCTTTTGTCGTCTTGCCAGAACTGCGTTCTTGATATCCTCGTTTTCTACATTCAGAACATCCTTGGGATTCTCAAGCACATCCAGCTTCTTCTCCATCGCCAAAACAAGGATATTCAGCAAGTCCTTCCAGTAGCCATGCGAAACACCATACCGAACATCATACCGATCCACCGCATTCTCATCCCCTTCACGCTTTTCCACCTTGATAAACCCTTCATCGGAGTCATTCTCACCTTCCTTCCTGGCCTTCTTCTCGATAATCGGTCGGCTGAGCCATCTCAGGTTGCCGACCAGTGTGAGAGGGTGGTTCGTTGCCAGCCATCCAGCGGCACGGTAGAAGACGTTCTTTGAGCTCTTGCCCAGGTGTATTGAGCGCGCATTGAAGATGATTTTCAGAGTAATGAGTGGATGCACGGCCCAGGCAGCGTCGAGCAGCTCCTTCAGCCGAGGGCCAGACACGACGTCTTCCAGCTCAAAAAAGAGGTCGACCAGTGCGTTTTGGGTAGATCGAAAGGCGACGTCCGCGTTCTCCGTCAACATGCGGTTCAGAAACTCTTCGTCATCCTTTTTCCGATCGGTTTTGGATGGTTCCTTATCTTCGCCGGCCAGAGTGATGCCGTCCATCGAGTCTTCCATTTCCAGGGACTCTAGCGACATTACCCCATATTCGCCCCGCAGTTCATCGGAAAGATAGCTGTCGAAGGCGGCTGGCGATTTGAACAGGGCATCGTGGGAGGGGAAAAGGACAGGGTATGATGTTTTTAAGAACCAGGGCTCCTCGCGGGCCTGGGCCTGATCTTCGGTTGCAGCCATGGTGAGTGTGGCCGTAACTACTGGAGGATGAAGATGCAGGAAGAAATTGAGAATAGAGAGCGCATACCTTTAAGATATATATGTGTGTACTGTATATATGTCTACGTGAATATGCTTTCATTTCTTGCCGGGCTGTTAGTCATGCGGCGCGAATCCTACAGAGTTCAAAAGAGGCTCGCCGATGTGACTCAGACGGCATGCAGGCAGAAGCCGCGTTGATCAAATGGGGAACAAGCGCGCAGCCTCAGCTTGGACGGAGCAAGCATCATGATTGGATCACTGGCCGAAAGTAGAAAATGTCAGATAACAAGTGGCTCGGCAAAGCAATTCGCTCGATTCTGGTGTCTCGCATACTTGCAAAGCTGCGAGGCAGACTGCTAGGCTCAAGCCGCATAGCCCCCAACTCTAGCGTGTGCGACTTGACTTGCCCAAACTTCAAGATCGATCTTAGCGGCAAATATGGCGATCAACGACGACAGAATAGGCAGAAAGGTAACGGTGAGAACAAGAGTTTTCATATACTGTATTTTGCTTTTGATAGAAGAAAGAGAAAGAAACTATATATGGTATCTCATAAGTCGCCAAGGCAGACATCATTAATTAGTGTAAAATAGTACTCGTGGGTAAAACGCCATGCTTCGTGATGGATGCATCAACTGGCCAACAAAAATGCATGAGTAAGTCGTCGAGCGGCGTCACAGCTTAGCCCTCCGCCATGTGACGCCGATGCTGATGTGGTTGTAGTATGTGGAAATATTCGTTTAGAGACGTTTGCATATCGTTTCCAGATACTGCTGCTCTTCCTGGGTGAGGTAGACGTGCTCGGGCACAATGACTTGTCCCGGCTTGATGATGATATCAGCAGCATGGATGGTATCTTCCTTTTCCAGCTCATTCTCGGTAGCGGCATTGGCCTCCACATCCGAGACGTATCTTGCATCCCCGCTGCTCGCATCCTCAGGCTTGGTCGCAGCTTCTTCAGCCTTCTTCTTGGATGTTCGGCGGCGAAACATGGAATTGGGCTGTCTCAAATCTTCGGGAGCCCACCAATAGACGGGAAACTGGCGCTCGATGTTGTTAATAAGAAGCGCAGCACCGAGCATCAAACTGCAACCCAACAACATGACGGGGATCAGAAACCATCCGACTTGGATAAGAGTTGGATCAACAACAGCCAATAACGCAGTTGCGCCAGCCGGAGGGTGCACGGTCTTGGTCAGTGCCATGAGAGCGGTAGCAGAAGCGCAAGCCAAGGCGCCGCCGAGCCATTTGATGTCTTCGAAGTTGTCACTGAGGAGGAAAAGTTTGCCCACAGCACAGCCAATGATGGCGGAGATGACTTGTCCACCGATGGCATTTCGCGGTTGGGCAAGAGGTGATTCAATTGCGTAGAACTCGAGGACAGCTGCAGCACCCTGAACGCAGCATAAACAGTTAGTTGCAACAATTATAAAATGTGCATATATGCTTAGGTAGGGATACACGTATCCATGTACCCATGCATCCCAGGGATCAGCTTACAAAACTGCCCACGATCAGAGGCACGTGGTGGGGTGGGAACGAGGCGACATGCTTGCCTACAGCCTCAATCATGGCAATAGCACCAAAGATGCCGAGGAAGGCCCAGAAGATGGGCATCAAGTTGCCCGTTCCCTGAGGCTTTGTCTTGCGGTAGCCAAACCAGTAGGCGATTGGGTAGGGGATGTGGTTCCATGGCGGAGGTGGGATGAATGGATTAAGGAACCGGTCGATGTTGAAATTCCAGGAGTGGTGGATGGGAGCCATCGTGTCGGTTTGTCGCAGCTGATGCTGGTATAGTACGTGCCAATGATGGTTATTTCAGATAATACCAAGTAGATTTGGTCGTCGATTTGAGCAAGTGCTGTTGGCGAGAAGGTGATGCTCAAGGTGAGGCGAGTTGTTCACAGCTGGAAGAAGGTATGAGACTGATCATCAAGACTCGCCAAGGCTACGCGGGAGCTGGCCGCATAATATACAACATCGGCTTCGGGACAAAGAGAGGAAAGAAAAAATCGAGAAGAAAAAGAAGAAGCGGCCGAAGAGATGACGAAGAAGAACACACAAGGGATGTTGTGCCGCGGAGATTTGTCGAGCTGCACTCAAGATGAGGAGAAAGAAAACGACCGGGCTAATAGGCGACAAGTACACCGCATGTATCCCGGACCTGGCGAGACTGGCGAAGCGCAGGGACAGAAGCTGGAGAGAAAGTACCGAGTACAGCGCGTGTACGAGGCAAAGAAAGAAGCAAGAATGCCGGCTCCCATCTGTGCGGAAATGGCTTGCTCTTGGAGTGGCCAGTCAGAGGGAAAGCTGGTACGTAAGAAATGCAACGGTTTAGGAAGCCGTAGCCCTGCCGACCCCTGCCGCCGCCTGTAGCCCCACGGCTTTCCCTTTTTGCGGGAGTCGGGGGCTGCTAAAGAAGTGGGGATTACAGAAGGTACCCCCAAGTACCATCTATGTTTTGGGATTGGAGCTGAATTGTGCCATATGCGTTGGCGATGCTGGCATTGATGGTGCCTTGAATCAGTCCAGCCCCAAGCCAATAATATCATCACTGGTATATAATGCTACTGCCCAATCCGATATCTCTCACCGCATCACACGTCCAGCTCTTCGTAATACATTAGTTCAGGTAATTACATACAAGGTGCTAAGCAGTAATCCACCAACAGCTTTTCCCCGGGTACTTGGTGGTACAAGCGTTCGGGTTTGGCTCGGCATGCAGCACTCCGGAATACAGCCGGTGCAGCGCCAAAACAGCAAATCGGGCAGGGCGAGTCGCTAAAATCTGCTACGGCAGCTTGTCGCGGGAATGCCTTTGCATTGTGATTATGGAATTATTTTTGTTCTAGCACTGCATATGATGTCTTCTAGGGGACTTTATTCTCCGATCTAGCTGCATTGGGTCCCCGTTCATCCGGACGTGTCGCCATCCTCAATGGGCTTTTCTGCTTTACCATCTTCTTTTCTTGTTTTTTTTCTTCAACAAGCCCTGCAAATATGACGTTCCAAGATCCCGGCAGTCCCACTTGGCCGACATAAAATCGACGCCCAGCCGATTCGCTTCACCGCAGCCTTGCATCCGTTTCTTTAGCTTGCTTACGTAGCACTCGCAGAAACTTTCTCAAAAGGGAAATGCTCTGCCTCTAAAATCGAGCCGTTGACGCTGCCGACAACCGATCAGTCAGATGCAAGCTATTTCTTGCAGTGAATCATCCCTCTTGATGGATGCCGTCTTTTAGTGATGCCGACACGAGATGAGTGTTTTTTTTTTTGCATCGTGATATCGGCAACTGATTCGGCAGATGAAGATGCGGCATAAGATGACTTTGCTCTCACCTTTGTTTACTCATCTTTCCATGGATGCTCTGATGGCAAAGATGTCACATCTCTTTACTCCGGCGACGGACCTATACTGCACCGATCTTTTGCCAGGATGCCGACGACACTGATAAGATATGCTGCTATATACCTCCCTCTTTATCTTAGGCACTCATATAGTCGCACCCATACAGTCTTGCACCACGGCGAGCTCAGATGGCCATATAGCTAGAAATCGATCCCCTCAACAATTCGTCCCAACTACCTGGATGAAACGGCCGCTAATGCAGCAAACTCTCCCTCCGAGTTTCGCCAGCTGCGCCTCTTGTAGATATGCATTTGTCTGTGATTCACTGCCATCTTGACCCTGTGTTTTCCTCAGGCACCTACAAGGCTGTGAGGATGAAGCAAATGTCCAGTGAGGGCATTCTGCCGGTGTTAGTGATGGCAGCCCGCGCTGTATCAATTCCAGTACAGCAAAGTGCAGCTCACCGCCCAGGGCCTCTGCACTTCCTCGAATTCAGCTTCTTCTTCCATCTTGCAGCCTTCCTCTGCCTCCATCTTCTCTCGTCATCCCCCCTGCCACAACTTCAGAGCACACAGCCTTATTCTCGTCTTCACCACAATGGCTGTGCGAATCACGGATAGGCTAATCAATCTTACACCTCCTCCATCCAGCATGGTTTCCCCCACCACCTTCAGTCCAATGTCTGCCCATCATGAAGAGCAGGGCGATAACATCGTGTCTGCTGACCCAGGAGGCCAACGTGCAACCCCAAATGGGCTTGGCCAGTCGAATGTTTCCTCGTCTCAGTCGTTTGTCACTGCTCCGAGACGTGGATGTGGCTTACGAACCGAAGCAAACAACTCCAACGACAGCAACCAAACCAAAGGGGACCAGAATGAGTATCAGCGAAACTATAAGAAGCGAGCTGAATGTCTTGAAATTTTTCAAGATATCCAGGATGCTTTGTGGCAACAATTTCATCAGATGCAAACTATTGTATTTGACTCCGTATGTCGATAACTGATATCCATCACTTACACAAATGGCGAATGCAGATGGGCTAACATGAGGTATCCCAACAGAAAGAAATTGAATGCACGCTTCAAGAATTGTCGATCGAGGAATTCGATATCGAGCTAATTCGCGCCCTCCGTACATTGGGCAATTCTCTCACCGGAGTTCGGCATATCTTAAAGGGAAACATCGTTATGATGGAAGAAGCAAAGGCTGCTCCAAGCCCCTCCAGTTCTGTATGTGTGAGAAGATTATATCCGACAGTCATCTGTACATGTTGTAAGACGAGTGACATACTAATTGGATTGTGTGCTAGGTTGTTAGCAGTTCAACTCCACAGTCTGACGAACACGGAATGACAAACAGCAGAGTAGGATCGCCAGATACCGTCGAAACTGAGCCCGATCTTTTGCTAGATGATGTGACTTTCGATTTGGAAATCACCGGCACTTCTGATGTCGATGGGGATCGGCCAATCGACAACTGGAACATAGCATTGACAGAAGGAGATGACCCTTTTGTTGATGCCTCAGGAGAAGATGCCACTATTCCATTGGATTTGAACTATAAACCAGATGCAGCAGACATCCATATGCCTGCTTCACACACCGGAATGCGGAGTCGTCGCGTCATACTCAAGAACTTGCCGCCCGACGCAACGCTGCCATTGATCACACGAGGCATTCGATGCCATGGAGGGCTCGTCAGTATGATGATGATCAACACTGCTCCCATTTTTGGCGATAACACCAAAACGGCCATTCTAGAATTTATGCACCATCAGTCGGCGGTCCAGTTCACAAACGCCACCAATAAATCCCCTCTCTTGTACAAGGCCAAAAACGGTGACGTCTACAGCGCCGACCCATGGCTGGTCCCATCTTCCTCCTATGGCTTCGGCAGAATTGACCGAGGACTTATTGACAACAAGTGTACTCGTGTTCTTCTCCTTAAAGGATTTCCAAAAGAGTGCATATGGTACTTCATTAACGCTGTTGGAATGAACAACATCGCTTATGCTGACTATGATCAGAGCCTCGATGGATTCACAGTTGCATTTACGAGTCTATTCCAAGCAAACAAAGCTGATCGGCTCATCTTTCAAGGAAGGTTTTCTGACTTTTACACTATCAACCCGCAAGATGCAAAGTTTCGCATCTTCCTGCAGGATTCGACGCATGTGGTGGAGAGATCCAGAGTCAATGCTCGGCAGCTCGAAACTCCAATCATACACCGCTCAGGAGACGATTTTGAAGAGCAATGGAATCGTTATCCCTATAACGATTACCTGCCTCCTCACCTTCGAAAGGCGGCTGCTCAATCTGGCCCAACGCGGCTCTCTCTCAAGACACGCTTAGCCTTGCAGTACGACATTGACGAAAGCGAGGTCGACGACTATCTTGATGATCTCGAGAAGTACAAGGACACCGAATACCGCCTCATAGGCAGTTCCATCACCTTGAAGCGACGAAAATGGGGCTGGAGCATATCGGCTGAGGACGAGAACAAGCTCTTCCTGGCAAACACGCTCCACGAACCCGAATGGGCAGAGCACTGGGACGAACACTTTAAGTCGTGTGGTGAGATCAACCGCCGCAAATGGGAGCACTACGGCATGGTTGCCAAGCACCGCCGTGAGAAGGCCGCAGAACAGGGCCTCAGCCTGGACTCGGTACCAAAGTGCCCAAAGGGTTGTGAGATGGGATGCCGTGATATCAAGACAGTGCCCGCGGCGCCTGTTGTGAAGAAATTCTTTGAAAAAAGATACTGAGCTCATACGAAATTGGCATCGGATGGAGTTTGGGGGAAGGGAACACATTTGCTTATAAGGGATCTAAAATCGACTCGAACTGGTTATGGCTTTTATTTTACGGATTTCAAAGGGAAAAAGGTTTAGGGGCTTTCTTTTTCTCTTTCTTTTGTTTTCAGCTTCAGGCAGGTTTCATTTCACCTACTAGCTCTAAGTCCATCATGGGATCAGAGCATACGCCTTGCTACAGAGCATATTCTCAAAAGTTATTACATCAAAGTGTCAATATTGACGCTACGTTTCTAGCTAGCCGCTCTTCTTCCATAAGTTTGAAGATGAATCGTACATTCAGACTCTTTTACATATCATATTGCCCGTATTAAGCCACTTCCACGTCCCCATACAATCGTCTTAGCGCAGCTGCAGGTTTGCAGCTCGCCATAGCTCAAAACCAGGGGCGTGATGCCATACAGATGCCTATCTACTGTAGAGACTGAGGTCTACTATTAACCAATAAGCATCTCTCAAACCCCATCAATAGGATCAAACAAGCTGCTAGTGGCCAGATGAGATGATACTAAGAATCGTAGTTCGACATCGTTTCAACGCTTACGACTACTACTGGCTCCCCAAACTTCTACCAACTCGACAGCATACGGGCGTAGTTGCTTGGAGTACACAGTAGAAGCTAGGCATATTGTCAGACACCTTGATTGGACGAGATATCAGCAGTCAAACATATTTCAGGAATCATGACCACTCACGCTCACCACTGAATGATGCCAACACAAAAGTACAAATCACCCCAAGAACCTCCTCTTATCCCATCCCATCATCCACCTCATCAGCACCAAAAAAAAAAAAAAAAAAAAAACTACCCTCCTCCACCATGAACTTCTCGGGTGCTCCGGCCGGACTGACCATCCAAGAAATTGACGTGACATTTGCTTATTGAACGGTTTGTTGAGTCACATCATGTCTGCTTAATATGGTGGCAGAGGGAATAGCCATGAGTAATTTTGAACCGAAGTGAAGGTTCTTGTATTGTAGCTCCTGGTCAACCGTAGACAGACGACGAGAATCGAGGAGCCTACATAACGAAATGACAATATAAACTTTTCGTTAGTCATACCACGCCGAGTACATGTATATTCGACCCATTCAGTCATCAGAACCATCTGGCTCCAAGAAAAAAATACATGTTAAAAAGGGACAAGGCTGCTGCTTGTTTTCGCTTCTAACCCCAAGTGTGTAACCCGCCAACAATAGCAACACCAAATATGTATCAAAATTCCCTACGCCATTGTGCCATTCGCCTGCCCCCCCATAAAGACTCAAATCGAGTTCCAGCTAATATCATGATATCCATCGCACCGCCCTCCCTTCTGCGGGAAATAAAAAGTAAGAGTAAGAAAAATAAAAGTAAGCCAAATAAAATAAACCGCGTTCTAAGCCAAATGTGTTTGTTGGAAACAGTCATGAAAACCCCTGAAATACGCCAAGTGCAGTTGAGAGAGTGCTGGCGGTTGGCCAGAGACTCTGGCTTTGCAGCTCATCCTCACCACCTTCTGTGACGACGAAGAATTCGTCCTGTCCATCTCCAGTGAGCTCATCTTCCTCGCCATCGTAACCTTCGTCCATCATTTCAGGGCTGTCCTGGTCTCCAGCAAAAGCCTCACTAACGCTTCGATATTTTCTGTCAACTCCAGGCCATATCAGTTTTGATTGCTTCGAGGAACCTTGTTTGTGGGTGCTCTGCTTGGAAATGCCATTCTTGGGGCCAGTCTGTTTGGGCTTGCTCAACCCCTTGGCGGGATTAGCCTGTTTGCTTGTCCCCGATTCGGCCAGGGTTTTCCTTCTACTCTTGGATATTTTGAAAAAGTTCCGCACAAGGTTTGCCGGGATGTTTTCTTCAGGCTCCCAAGTCTTCTTTTGGTCCGGCGGCCAGTCGCCCTCCCAACTGACCCTAAAATACCTTACCAGGCCACGGCCATCCACCTCGTAATACTCGACGTCTTCTATCCTCTCCACTACCCAATCATTCTCTCCTTGAGGCTCCGACTTTGGGGTTCCGTCTTCAGACCTCGGCCGTTTCCTCGATTTCTTTGGCTTGGCTTCTGTCGGATTGCTTTCAACTGCCTTGCCTTCTTCTTCACTGACGACTACATTCTGGGGCTTCGGTCTCTTAATATGTGCCAGAGGTATGAATGACGACAACTCCAACTCTTGCTGGGTCTGATTGGTTTGTTTGGCGGATGATGTTGGCTGCGGTAAGCTTTGCGCTTTGGTTGACGTCCGCTCCTCGCTGCTCAACTTTGCTGGTTTCCTGGACTTCATCATTGAGTCCAGTATGGAAGGACCCAACAGCTTTTTTGGCTTCGTAGGTATAGTGGTTGCTTGTAGGCCATCTCGCATGGCCTGGGGTGGCTCGCTGGGTAAAGAGCTTTCTGTGTCTTCAGACATCTCGTCCTCCGCGGGTAGGTAGCCATGCAAGCTCTGAAACTGCTCCTGAGCAATCTGCCGCGATGGGCTTCCTTCTTCGTCTGACAGCCATTCAAACTCTTCCAGTCTGGCCTTTTTGGGCGTCGAAAGGCTCATGGCACCCTTCTTATGCCGTGACTTTGCTTGGGCAGCGGTTTCAGGCTCGGCTACAACTGCAGACTCTATCTGGCTGTGTGCCGGTGGCCTTCCCCTCTTCTTCTTCTTTTGTGGTGCCACTAGGTCTGATTTACGCTCTGCTTCCAGTTTCTCCTTTTCGTCGTCCAAGTCCTGCTCCAGCCGTGCTTCAAAGTCTTCGAGGGTTCGGGGGGAGACGTAGTCTAGAACTTGCATGGCCGGAACCAGCTTGCTCGCAGCTGGAAGGTCGGGCCACCCAATCAAGTACATCATTCGTTTTGGCAGAGGTCGACCATTAGGCGCAAGTCCCGGCGAGGGGAGCAGGAGGCGCTCGATGATGTAGGCGGTCGAGTCGCCCGGAAGAAGCAGCGATATCGGCTGTACCGGCGGCCCGCTGCCCGGTACATAGTCGGCAGGTTTCGAGGCGAGAGGAATAACAATTCGCGATCTTGTCGAGGGGCTTTCGAGACTTGGCTTGCGCTTCGGATCGGCTGGTCGAGACAACGGCGCGATGCCTCGACCAGCCAGGCGGCGATCCCGGAACTCGGGATCGAAGCGCATCATGAAAGGGTGCTGCGGGGGAGACGGGCGAGCGAGCAGCCAACGGGTCTATTCATCGTCTGCATCTACGGTCTAATCGGCGCGGCCTCGACTGGTGCCGCGAGCGGTTGGGAATCGGTGAGCTGCTGAGGTGAAGTTGGACTGGACAAATGAATATTGCAGACACGCGAAGTCGAGACGAAGAGATAAGGATGACTAAGCTGGCTGCTCTTTGTTCCTCGTTCTTTGTTGCTTGATCTCTTTGAACTGCCTGTCACGCTCCATCTGCCACATCCACTGCTGACGGCACTGTACTGTTATATTCATCAATAATGGTAGCATCTAAATCTCATTGAATTGGCATCCTTCTCCCCCGACCAGCTCGTATTCCACCTTCTCCAGCGTGCATTTGATCCCATGTGAATGGCAAAAGTACCCGCTTCCTCTATGCCTTAGTGCCCCCATTCCCTCGTTTAGGCGTTAAGCTCGCTGTAGCTCAGCGCAATCCGGTGGGGAACCCTTGTCACAAGCTGCTAAAGCACCACTAAAGCCGAAGCAGAGAGCAACCGCAACTCTACATCTCAAATCCTCAACCCTGGCAAAAAAAAAAAAGTGCCCGTCCAAAAAAAAGTCCGCGATACAACAGAAAGGCAATTGTCCTCGCACTCTCGCCGGCTCCTCCTCGCCGATTCTCCTCTCAACAGTCAGATTCTCCAATTGGCGAACGCCCCTCGCACTCGCCATGTCGTCGCCGCTCAAAACGCTGTGCATGCGCATCCCCGCAGCGCCGAGCAGCCTCGTTCGATGCTGCCCTAGAGCTTCGTTTTCGCCCTCGCAGCTCTCTGCGCGCGCCCAGCCCGGCGCCTTTGCGCTGACCAAGTCCTTTGCGCGCGCGAACCACAGCCTGTCCGTCTCAAGCTCCCTCTCAAAACCCAGCTCCAGCGCCGCCTCAAGCCCGCGGCCGTCCATCGTCAGCCTCGTCGCAAGAGGCTCCTCCCCCACCTCATCGTCATCGGTCCGGCTCTACTCCAGCTCGCCCTCCACGACCGGCTCCTCCTCCTCCCCGGCCCTCGACTGGAACTCCTTCTTCAAGCTCCGCCTCCGCCGCCGGCGCATCCAGCTGCTCTTCTCCGTCGTCACGGGCCTCATCGGCGGCGCGGCTGGCACCATCGTTTTAGCCGAGGGCTTTGCCGAGCCGCTGATTGCGCAGATCCCGCTCGATCCCTTCTTCACCCTGGGCATCATGACCATGGCCTGCGCCGGCTTGGGCTGGCTGATTGGACCGACGCTGGGCAACCAGGTGTTTTACATCATCAACCGACGCTTCAAGACGCAGATGATGCAGAAGGAGGGCGAGTTCTTTGCGCGTGTTAAGAGGCACCGCGCTGACCCTACAAACTCGAGCGCGGGCAACCCAGGTATGCGATTCGGTTCAATGATATTTGTATACGTATGGCATTTCTAACACTCATACTCGCAGTGCCCGATTTCTATGGCGAAAAGATCCAGAGCGTGGCCGGATACCGAAGGTGGCTCAAGGACCAGCGAGCATTCAACAAGAAGAAGTCGGCCTCCTTTGTCTAAGCCGGGAACGCATACGACTGGGACGAAGACGAAATGGAAGCAATGAAAATTTGTGGATTAGCAACTGTATTGTGTAAGAAGAAAATCTCTCTCTCTTTTCCTCCTTTCTGTTTTGTGACAGCATGCTCCTTTGACGCTGCTTGGATGGATCTAAAGGAGGAGAAAAACTGGACCCCGTTCCCTCGCTGCAGCAGACAGATGGCTTGGGAATGTGGGCGTGTAGTATGTACGTGTATTATGTATAATGAGAAACTCTCGTGTTCGCATCTATTCATTGGTGGCCTCCATCTATTTGTACTATATGAAAGGCAAACTCGGATCAACGGCAGCTTTCCAAGCCTTTAACCCACCCAAGATATCCCCAATGAAACGCTCCCCATTACGATCTACCCCCAAGTCTTTCAACTTTTTCGTCGCAATCTGCGAATCATTGCCCACTCGGCACACAATGTATATCGGTGCATCAGGGGGCACATCCCCTGGTATCAAATCAGACAGCTCTGATCCTTCTCCGCGATGAGCTGTAAACCGTCCAATGGGAATGTTGATGGAGCCCCGAATGTTGGACAAGCCGAAATGCTCCTTTTCTCTCACATCGAGCAAGAGATGAGTCTTGCTCTCCCGTGATATCCGCTCGTACTCGACCACTGAAATGCGCTCCTCTGGCTGAAGCAGCTTGACGGGCTGATTGACGCCGCAAAACTGGATATAATCCATCGAAGTCTTGAGCTCATTCAGCGTCAAAGCCGAATCATCCCCTGCACAAGCAAAGCATCCTTTCCTCTTACCCCTCATCCTGACCGTCCGGAACGGAACATCGCCCATGGCACTGAAGAGTAGCATCCCAACCTGTTTCACGGCTTCTTCATCCCCAGCACGACTCTTCAAGTGATCCCCCCGTACAAGCAATTTGATCGCTTCCAGTGCCTGCAATACACCCATGACACCCACCACAGGCCCTATGATCCCCCCCTCGCCACAGCCAATGACGCTCTCCGGGGGAGGAGGCTTTGGGAAGACGCAGCGGTAGCAGGGGCCCTTTCCGGGAGGATTGTTGAGCACAATGAGCTGGCCCGAGGTCTGGAATGCAGAGGCAGAGATGAGTGGTTTGGAGAGAAGAACGCAAATGTCGGAGATGAGATAGCGTGAGGTGGGATGATCTGTGCAGTCGAGAACAAGGTCATACTGAGAGACGATTTCCTCGGCGTTTTGAGGCGTGAGATGTGTAGCATGAGCACGATACGTAATTGTAGGATTCAATCTAGGCACAGAGTTAATATCCGTCGTGTCCATCTTCATCGTCATAAGAGAAAACTCACCCCTTCAAATACGTCACGGCGCTGTCAACCTTCATCATCCCAACCCTGTCCGTCGAATGCGCAACCTGCCGATGCAGATTCGACGCCTCAACCGCATCGCCATCCACAAGACCCAGCGTCCCAACACCAGCACCAGCGAGATACGCCGCCGCAGGACACCCCAGGCCACCTGCGCCGACAAGGAGGACCTTGGCGTGCTTGATATTTAGCTGACCTGAATTTCATTCAATCAGCAGGCAATTCATCTCTGTCCAGTGATGGAGCAAATACCTTGGAGGCCAAAGTTGGGCACAATCATCTGTCTGCTATACCTCTCATAATCGCTCTCCGCAAGCGGCCACTTCCACTCTCCCTCGCCTTCATCCTTGTCATTTTCAATCCCAGCGCTCAGCTTTTCAGCGTCGACAAGCTGCGCTCGCAACTGCACCAGCTCCGCCTCCTTTTCCGCAATCTCTCTTCGCAGCTGCTCTATTTTATCCATATCTTCACCGAAAACATACGCTCTGTTTTCTCCCTGGAATCGTAAAAAAAATGATAACAAAAGTCTAAAGTTTGGTTGGCTTATAAGAAGTTTCGCCCACATCTTAGCACATACCAGGCACTACACCGGTTACCCCACCCACACCTCGGTCAGCCCCCCCTCTCACCGAACTCGATTCTCCACCAAAAAATCATCCATCACCAACTTTTTCTCTTATCTCATATCCTCACATGTGACACCCAGCAAAATCCCCCTCCTCTCCCTCAAAATGGTATGCATTCTCTCCAATCCCAATTTTTAACCTCCAGCTAACACACTCAACCCTCACAGGCCCCCCAAAAACCATCCGCCACCGCCCTCCGCCACGCCCGCATCACAAACTCCATCCACCCGCTCGCCCCCCAAAAGACGTTCCGCGCAAACGCCTCAACAACAGACTCCTTCCTCTCCTCCAAGCGCGACAAGCGCACCATCAAGCACTCCTCCTTCGTCTCCCGCATCTCCTCCACAGCCCGCATCTCCAAATCCGCAAAGCCCCGCCGCCGCGCAAAGAAGAACGCCACCCTCAGCTCCCTCGACAGTCTCGCCGATGCGCTGCCCGAGCTCGCCGACGGGGAGGGCGCCGCCGAGATCCTTGATGGCAAGATTAAGCACCAGAGCTTGCGCAGCAAGAAGGGTGCTTTGAAGAGGAAGGAGAGGCTGTTGAAGGGCGAGATGGCGAGGTTTGGTGTGAGCATGGCGCAGCTGTCGCATTTGCCTGCGCAGCAGCAGCAGAATGCGATTCCACAGCCTGAGAAGTCTTCGTTGCCTCCGTTGACGATATCTAGCGGGACAGCTACCTCGGCGCCAGCTCCGGCGGCGTCGAATAGATGGGCTGCGCTGAGGGGATATATTTCTGCCACCATGGAGCAGAATCCGGCATTTGTGAACAAGGATTAGGATTGATATGGGAAAATCTACATGTGGAAAGGGGAATCTGCGCTGCTGATATTCAAATCAGGAGCGGTTGCAATGGCATTTCGAGAGTCAAAGACAAGATGTGGCAGAGGCGGAACAAAATATCCACGGATTCAGCACGGGTGATGCTTGAACAATCAATATACGGCTATATAAAATGGTAGAGTTGGGAGTTTTGGAGCTCGGGTTTTAATTCAATCATCCATTTATTGATCAGTACTTGCAATTCAAATGCTCTGATAAAAGAAATGCTATGCCTAAAGACGTCCCTCCCGTCTTTGTTGAGTCAAATCCTCATCTGCCTCGACATTGCGTCGATGGCTGTAAATGCCATGCCCGGTAGCGCCATGTCCCCCCCCTTTTGCTCTGAAGCCGTCATGGTCATATCTCGTAGCGAAAAATGAAAATAACAGAAAATTGGTATCGTCTCGTTCCTCAGTCATCTCTCCTTCTGTCGGCATACCTTGCCGCTGTACAATCATCAAGCTCATTCAAAGTCTTTGATTTCCTCCCCGATCCTGCGGTATGTTGTCTGCCTCCACATTATCATACCCTATCCAACGCCAATGATGCAACAATAGCTTATCAAAACACTCAAGACCAAACTCGCTATGAAAAGCGACATGTTGGTTGTTCAACAAGAACAGAAAAGAAAAGAAAAGCAGAAATAAAGTAAAACACGATGCGATCAAACAGAATGGCTCGGTGAGCCATCGCTCGTTGGCTTGATTTTGCGCAAGCACCAGCCGAAAATCTATTCCAAGGCTGCTTTGAGACCACGGTCCTTGATTGGCATGGCTTTGGCGGGTTTGGCCGTGACAGCGGGTGGCTTGGGACTGGGGCTGGGGTTAGACTTTTTAAGCCCCTTGTTGGACGCAAACTTCAACTCAAGCATGGTCGGCTTGTTGGGATCGCGAGGCGGCTGAACAATCCTGAGCATGCGGACAGGGGTCGGAGTGCTCTGCGAGCTCCGTGGGGACTTGGTGGGAGTTCTTGGAGATTTGGTGACGCCTGGAGAGCTGCTCTTTGGAGACTGACTGGACTTGGTAAAGCGCTTAGCAGAAGATGGCGATGGCAACTGCCCCTTGCCAGCTGTTGTTGCTCTCGTCGTAGGTCGTTGGGTTTGCGCGACTGTCTTGGAAGCGCTAGTTTTTGGTGAGTTTGTTTTTGGAGTGATCGCCTTTGCGACAGTCGTCTTTGAGTTGCTTGTTTTCGGGTCCTTTGTCTTCACATCCTTTGTCTTCGAGCCCCTTGTCTTCATGGCGCCTGTTTTGGAATCTTCAAGCTTCGCATCAACAGCCTTTGACTTGGCCACCTTTGGCCCAACTGCCTTTGGCTTGTCCACCTTTGCATCGTCGGGAAGAACAGGTAGCTGCTTAAATCCGCCGCCTCCGCGTTGCTCAGCCAAAATCTTCTCGAATTCTTCCCAAGAGCCGTAGCGAGCAGCTTTCTATTCAATTCGCGGGGGAGTCTTGGTTGAGGTAAAGGGACTCGCACTTCTCCTTGCACCTCTGTTAGCCATCGCATATCAACAGAAAGAATAAAAACGGGAACTTGAACAGGAGACACTCACGATCGGCGACGCTCTCCCTCTTTGCGCAAGTTTTCAATAATCTTGAGCATCTCTTTCCGGCCACCGTTGCTATCGACCATCTTTCCAGCCATGCTCATGGATACCTTTTCCCGCGCATTGGCCACCAGCAGGCGCTTGACAAGCAGGTGCCGCATCAAAAGACAGACAAACACGCCGCAGTCGCTGCCGTTTTCCTGCTGAGGCGAGTCCTCCAGATTGATGAATCGAATTTGCCGTCCGACAATGCTGCCCAGCTTTCGCGTCGCAAGGGCGGCCTCTGCATAGTTGGCGCCACCAAGTGAGTCGTAGTGAAAGGCAATGCCGTCGAGAACAGAGACCAGGAGCAGTGACCAGTGGCTTCCGCCTTCGGCCATGGCAACATTGCGATTGTCGTTGATGGGCAGGAAGACGTGGGTGACCTTGGAAAAGTCGGGCAGGGCAGCCTGGACATGGCGCATATCGGGCTCCTTCATGAGCAGAAAGGTCATGCTGGGACGCAGCAGGATGATGCGGGCCTGGGGAAAGCGCGGAAGCGTCTCGTGCTCGAGATACTCTTCCCAGAAGGCAATGTTGTTGTCGGTCAGCCAATCATTTTTCAGCGATTTGATGTCTTCGACGGTGAGGAGGACATCATAGTAGCTGAGGTAGGCCTTTTCGGGGGAGAGCTGCCGATCCATGACGTTAGTTTGTAAACGGGGACAAGAAGGGCGTGTAAATGGGAAGCAAGAGGAGCATCGGTAGAGGGAGAAGAGGGTGCAAGTTGTTATCAAATCAAAAATGCAAATAAAAGGAAAAAGAAAAGACATTGCCATACAGAATCGCCAAAATGGCGGGCCATGCGCTGTCGGAACGGCATCCTGTGCTTGCGCCTCTTCCTCTTGCTATGCGAATCGTCGCGCGGCGTCGACGCTCGGCTGCTGGCCCAAGGACGGATTGACTCGGACGAGCTTGTGCTGCTGCCGGAGCTTGACTCGCGGCTTCGGTAGATGAAGGAAAAGCCGGTGAAATGACTGCTAGAGAGGCGGAACAAGAGCAGACAGATGAGGATCAGATATTTTGCAGACGAATTAAAGAGTAGAAGTAGAAGAAAAGAGGAAAGAAGAAAAAAAAAAGTGTGTGTAAGGCGAGAGAGAGGCGGCAGATTAAGAAAACGGGCTTGAAAAAATAAATGCGGGGCTTTGGGGTCGGTCCAGGTTTTGGATCCGGCTTTCTGAAGCGAATCTCAAAATGCGATGAAACGGGCGATGACGGAGGGTGACAGGGTGATGTCAAGGTGAAGGGCGAAAAAGTGAGAGATGAAGATTTGATGTGAAGGAAGAGTGAGTCGTGATGTTTGTGTGTGCCTCTTAACAAAGGTATCCTGCAGATGCAACAAAGAATCGCAGCAGCATGCAGATAAAAAAAAAAAGAGGTAGCCAACGGGAATGACGAGCGGCCACCAAGCAATTAATTAAGAGGCATGATATGCATGCACGCACAAGGCAAGCAATCAATCAAAAGTCAGGTGGGCGTCGCGACACAACGTGAAGCCAAAAGTATAAGCCGTTTCCTCTCTCTTCTGTTGACCCCCCCTCAAAAACGCCCGGAGACACCGGCACAAGTGAGAGCGTGTGGGCTGTGCCTTGCACTTGCGTCACTGCAGTTGAGGCGTCGAGCTGAGCCTAGCAGCGTTTTTAGGTAGAAGAGAAAAAAAAAACATGCGATGAATCAGAATGGGCAGATGACTCTCTCCCCTTGACGGGTAAACCGGGTATGGTTGACGCCAAGCCAGGTAGGTAGTGGTGAGATAGGTAGATAGATCATAGCCAGGTATAAGATAGTAGGAGATTTCAGCTCTCACCTCCAGTGTCCGGTGGGCGAGGACGACGCCGACGATGACCTTGAACCTTGAGAACGCATGTTGTGTTTTTGTTTTTGTGTTTGACTTCAATCTCTCACAGTTTCGTCTTCAATCTCGTTTGTTGGTGTCGTCGCCCCGTGGGTTTTTATCCTCCTCCCCGCAAGGTTAGGCACCAAAAACGAAGCACGGCAAACCACCAAGCAAGAACCGCTTCTCGCCAATCCCAACTGCCGTCGCCTCGATGCAGCCAATCGTCAAGCACTCGCTGGAATCAAATCAATCAATCGCAGGCCAACAACGCAGCAAACAATCCGGAACCAAGCCAGAAAGGAACAAAAAAGAAAAAAGAGAGCGTCCCCAGGCCCAAAAGATATACTCCTCGCCTGTCTGCCAACCAGCCAACCACTTACAAACCACCCCCCATCTCGCCATCTCCATCTCCGTCTCCTCCTCGGCCCCCATCCTCCCTTGTTTTCTTTCCTCATGCCCACCGCCGCCTTTTCGTTTGCAATTGTTTGAGCCTCTCGCTTCTCTTCATTTGCCCAGGCCTGCGCTCCCTCATGCCCGTTTCAGCTACCCGCTGGCATGCACGTCACGTCACCTTTGGGTCGGGAACCCGGGCTTGTCTGTAACCATCATCCACCACAGACCCCCTTTTTTCCTTCTGTCTTCTCCTTCTTTTCCCTTTTTCCCGTTGCCTCTCCATGTCCTGCTGCGGCCTCTCTTCTCCTCCATCTCACCAACATACTGGGTAGTATCTATCTGTATTTCTCCGTATCCACACAAGCAGCAATGCATCTCCATACCTACCTAGTCTATCCTTCACAACCACTACCACACCACACCCACTCCTACTCCCACCTAATACTATACTACTACTAATGTGTACCCTCGGCATCGTCACACCCATCGTAGGCATGCATCCTGTGCCCCCCAACGCTCTGTCTTACTCCCATTTCTCGCCGCCTCACATGCCAACTCTGCCGCTACCCCACAAGCCCTGCGTCTTACAAGTGCTCGCTGGCAACTTGGCATCCCCAGCCGCTCACCCGCTCACCCGCTAGCTGCATTGCGTCCTTCGTGGTCCCTACCAGCAATGCCAACTGACATCAATCCATGACACCAGTCTTTGGCCTTGCTTGAGGCTGATACTACTACCAACTCACCTAGCACCCATTAGGTACCTGTATCTACCTGCCTATCTACACTACTTCTACCGGGCGCATAGATGGGTGCTACTGTAGGTACATGACATACATGGAGCGATGGAGATCCCGGTATCGCAACAACAACAGCTTCTCTCACCGCCGGCTCTCCCTGTCATCCTCCCCTCTTTGCGAGCCTCGTGTCATCCGGCACTTATAATCTAGGTAGGCAGGTTAGATTAATAAATAGTAGAATTCCCTACACCTCCGTAATGCCCGGTTTGAGACAGCAAAACGCCCTGTCTCAGACCAAAGCTTGCATCATGATTCCAGGCCCCCAAGATGCTCCAGCTCCTCATTGGCTGCAACCCACATCACATCATGCATCATGCAGCTCTACTAATACATGCTAGCAGTACTCAGTACCTCGGGCTAATTCGCCTATTCCACGAGATACAGAGTCATGATTCACGCGTTTGACAATTGGGCTCATCTATCTCTGCATTCATTATTCATTTGGCTTGCATTAATTACTAGATTCCGGATTGCTACAGCACAAACGGCAATCAACAACACCAAACAGTACTATACGCTGGCCTCTTGCAAGTAGATACAGGCATCACTGGGACCAAATACACAGCCACAGCCTTTCATCTCGCTGAACCCCCCACGTCTCTCTTCAGAACATAACACTGTTGTCCCCGGTCACCGCATCCCGGATGGCCCGTAGGCTTAGGCGTGCTTGACTGTATGATCGATGTCGAGATGCCATCACATTATCCAAGTCCACTGCCGCTTTTTCTCTGCTTGAGCTGTGGTCTTCAACTGTCTTTGTAGCCGCCTGCAGCTTCTTGCCAAACAGTCCACTATCTCTTCGAAATGTAGTCTCCAAATTGCTACTATCTTGTACACACTGCTGCTTCAAGTGTGCTACACTATCGTAGCCTCTGTTGCGATACGTCTCTGCAACATTGATGACGGCTGCCTTTTTGTCGTCTAAGCGGGCAATTAATTGCTAATGAGCGGTCAGCGGCTGTCTCCTTAAACAAGGAGATGATTGCTACTCACGTCAACTACCCGGCGCATCTGAGTTTCTGCATGATTGGGAACCACAGTACAGGCCGGTTTGCCTCCACTAGGCTCCTGAGCCGTCTCATCATGTCCAAGGAAACTCTTCATAATCTCATCGTGCAGTTTCTTTCCCATGCTAGATTTGTGTTTTGGGGCCGGTTCCCTATCGCTCACACGCCGCAGCCATTGGGACGAAGATCTGCCTTCAATGTCTCTGAAAGCACCACCATGCTGTTGCTCAATATGTCTATCCTTCGATTCGCTCCTCAAAAATGATGAAGATTGCACCTCAGCGGGCTGCTCTGGACGACTGGTCATGGGAGGATGCGGTTTGGCAGGCACAGACTCAACATTCTCTGGATGTATTGTATCGTTAATAACAACAGGACTGCCCTTTTCTGATACGCTAAACTGCCGAGAAAGTCTTTTTCTCTTCGCCACGTTCTCTTCCACAGGCGCTCTCCTGGATTCATTCAGATTATTGATCCGCTTGTCAATAGCCGCTGGTAGACAGAGTCGTTGTTGCCCTGGTTCCTGCATTTCATTAATGAAGTCGCCATTGCTGGCAGAATGAATCCTTATGGGTTCGTCACACTCGACGGTGTTTGCCAGGTCATCCAGGCATTCTGAGGGAGTTTCAACCAGTGGCTGGACTGATTTGCCGATGAAGGCGGCAAGGTCTTTACCTCTGGCTGGGGGTGGATTGTTTGGAGCTGGCTGAATCTCTGGTTTGGCCTTTTTATGTTGTCGGGGCCGTTTCGGTCTCGGCTTTGGCTTTTGAGAGACTGGCACCGGCGAGCTTGAGTCCTTTGCTGCTTCTTGCAAGGCTCTGACGATCGGTAGTCTTGTAGCTACTGGTTTTTTCTTGCTGACAGAAACAGTGACGATTTCTTGAGTATATGGGTCAAATCTTATCGGGTCTTTCGCTCTTTGTCGACTTTTCTTCACTTTTGTCTGAGGAACCGCCTTGGCTGACCGGCCTTGAATGTCTCTGCTGGCTGTTGGCTCGTCGGCATTCAACTCAGCGGCGGGCTGTGTAGGTGCCACGACTTTTCTCGGAGTGGAGTCGTATAGCTCTTCAGCAGGTAAATGGGCCGGCGAAGAAGGTGGTACATCTTCGGAAATGTTATGAGACGGGCTTCTACCCGGGGGGCTGTCATCGAAGTTCCATATATCTTTGTATCCGCTGCTAACCCCAAAAGGAGAGCTGCGGCGAGCAGTCGATGCTGTCTCTGAAAAGTCAACTTGCTTTTCTGGCGTTGATGACTGATCTGCTCCTTTTGAGTTGACAAGTGGCATCGTATCTGGAAGCTTATTCTTTTCCGAGGTAGGACTTGAAAAGGGTGCGATGGACTCTTCGAAATCCCAATCATCGTCTGCGAAGAGTTCCCCAAGATCTGCGGGTGAACTTCGTTTGGTGTTATTTGCGGTCGATCCGGCATCTGACCATGAAAATGGCTTCACAGTGTGCAGGTCTCCATCATGAACGGGGTTTCCATCTTCTGAATCGCCAAAGGAGCATCCACTTGCATTTTGTTGTGAAGATTGGGGGATGTCAGTCTCTTTTGCTGCGGGGTGGCTTGATTTATCTCCAGGTCTGCTCGGAGTGACCTCAAGTTCGTTGAACTTTGTGGCCACTCTTTGCATCCGGGCATGCGTGTTGGGCTTTGGGCGTAATTGAGGAGCCATCTCAGAAGTATCACGACGGGGGAAAAGGGAAGAGTTTCAAAGATGAAGAACGAAGAAGCTTGATGAATGGAAGAAAAAGAAGAAGAGGGGGAAATGGTTGGGGGATTTCTTCTATGTAGGCTGTCACCAAAAGGTAAAGAGCACCTGTAAAATGGGAAGGAGTGCCTCCCATCTCTTCAACCCTGAGGCACCAAGAGTTGGCTCCTGAGAATCCAGGTGCAAACAACACAGTGAATCAAGGTATCTGTGTACTTGTAGATATGTCGAGAAGAGTAAATAAAAAAAAATCTGAATTGAACTGAGAATCAAAATCATGATACATGCATAGCTTCATATCCCCCAGATGTGCGTGACATTAGCAGCCACCAAGGGGCAGCTTCAAGTAGCCATTCAGGCTATACCAAGATGGGATTCCACCATCGTATCAATTGTCCAAACAAAAAAGCACATAGACGCATACTCCTAGCTGGCATTACAGCAAATTCTTCCATCCAGCCTCGCGACATTTCTTGACGAGTGATTTCACCTCTTGCGAACGAGCTCTAGTCGTTACCATGAGCGCATCAGGGGCGTCCACGATGACAATGTCGTCGACACCAAGACACGTAATCAGTCGGCCAGATACGGGTACAACAATTCCTCCAGCAGTTTGTTCGGATACAACTACAAAAGCCTGTCAGTAGAGTCTTCTTGGAAATAGTGAGGATAAAGGAGTGGCTTACCCAGTCTCTGGTCGCCAAGCACACGCGGCTTGTTCGACTCAGCTGGAAGCATCTCGGCCAAAGATGAAAAGTCACCGACATCGTCCCAACCTAGGTACGCAAGTCAGCAAGAGTAATTATAGAAACTTCAATCAAGAGCGACTCACCGAATGTCGATGGGATAACAGCCACCTTTCCTTGAGCAGCAGCGGGCTCAGCAACCGCGTTATCGATGGGAATCTTTTCCAGAGTCGGCCAAACTTCTTCCAACGCAACCTTGCGTGCGGCCTCATCGTCCCATACCGCAGAAATGTTCATCAAGCCTTCATGGAGAGCGGGGCAGTGCTCCTTCAACAGCTCCATGAGGAGAGAGGCTTTGGTGACGAACATGCCTGCATTCCATCGGTACTGACCCGTGGCAAGGTATTTGGCAGCGGTGTGAGCATCAGGCTTCTCCTTGAAGGAGCTTACCAGTCGTGAATGAGGCGCTGATTTAAGTCCAAGGCGGTCGCCCAGTCGGATGTAACCAAATCCAGTGGCAGGGTGAGAGGGCGCGATACCAATTGTGACCAGGTAGCCTTCCTTGGCCACTTCAACTGCCTCAGTAACGGCACCAAGGAATGCTTCCTCTCCAGAAATCATATGATCAGCCGCAAACGATCCAATCACGGCATCGGGGTCGCGTCTAAGCAAGATGGCTGCAGCCAAGCCGATGGCGGCCATGGAATCTTTAGGGCCAGGCTCAGTGAACAGGTTCGAGGGGGCCAGATTGGGCAGCTGGCCCAAGATACCCTCAGAGTGAGCGGGTCCCGCGACGACAGTCATTCGTGAGGGACCAGCGAGGGGAAGTAGTCGTTCCCAAGTCGACTGCAGCAAGCTGTTGCCGCAGAGATTGACATCGAGGAGGAACTTGGGGTGGTTCTCGCGAGAAAGAGGCCACAGGCGGGTACCAGCACCGCCTGCGGGGATCACGACGTAGAACCCGGGGACCTCGCGATCCGGGAAAGGATAAGATTGAGTGGTGACATCGCGAGTGGGCGATGTGATTAAGACATTCGAAGGACCAGCCTGGGCGGTTACGGAATGGCGAGGCAAGAAAGGTGAACGGGCTCGCTCACGGCCGATGCTCGGAGAGAGGCCTGGAGGGCTATGGCTGCGTCCTTGCTGCTGCTGACATTGTGAGAATCAGAACAAGATGAAGGAAGACATCGGATGTTGCTTGATGCCGGGATTGCACAGCAGAAGGGGATGGTGGCGTACAGCAATGTTCTGGAGCATAATCTCCATGCTCTTGTTGGACGTACGAAGATCTGAGCATTCTTTTCGCAGCTCGGCCATTTCTAGGTTCTACATGGCCGCATTAGACTCACTATCACATCGTCGATGCATCTGGTTGATGGACCCGAGATTGCCGCCAGCAAAGTACACGGCCTCGAACTTCAACCACAGAGTCCCCTCACCTGTTTCTCCATTGCACCCATGATGCGCTCCAGCATCATCTCAATGCCCGTCTTGGGCGCCTCCGAAAGAGTCGTCGCCATGATTCTCAAGAACAAAAAGGATAATAACGAGTGGATGGCAGAGGAACGTTGCCAGATTTACGTGAAGTCCTGCAAAATTCCCAGGAAAGCTAAGGGTAAGCCGAAAGTTCAAAGGCGCAGCGCAAACACTAAAACTCACTTTGATCTCAGACTTTTCTCGACTCACACGGTCAGCATCACAAGACACGCACGAAGTCGACTGTGAAAGAGAGAAGGAGAAGTCGTCAAGTGAGATTCACTGACTGTTGGATCGACATCACTCGAAAAAAAAAAAGGACACGACGCAATCAACCACTTTTTTTCCACTTTGTCCCCCCTTTCGACACTTTCTTCCCGTTGCTCCAGTGTTTCCATCTAAGACACTTTTCCTAAAGTGAGGCTAGCATTGCTACCAAACCACACCGAAGCACGCTCGATCCAGCCGCCGGCGTCACAAAAGCAGAGCAGGATAGGGCTTTTAGAGCATGTGCTAAGGATTCGCAGTGGGCCTGGTCGAGCGCTATGTGAGGCTGACGAGGACACTGCCCATTTGGGAGGCGCTCGAGCGTCTCATTCGCCTTTGGGGAGGGTCTTTGCAAGTTGGTTCCATGTGTACTTGGCGGATTCTGGCCGGCACACGGACTTGACTCGGTCGTTTAAAGGAGGCGGGTCAGGATGAATGTCACGGATCGGAGTATTGATTAATAGTCGGTGGATACTTGAAGATGCGTGGTTTGACGGATTTTTTTCAATTTTTGCAGGTCTATTTCTGTCATTCCCGGAAGCACCAAGCGTTGGAGATCATTTAGGCTTAGAACGCACCCCTTCAATTATGCGTATGAGTACTACGACTGAACTTCCCCATATTCTACCTTCGACAAGGCCATTATAGGCAAATGAGGTCGTAGATAACCGTCATCGCTTCTTGTTGATAATACAATCAGCATTGTTTGCGGGTCCGTACCTCTTGAGCTACTGCTGTCAAATACGAGATTCATTCTCCGCACCGTATTCTAGAATCAAGACAGGCACAGCTCAGCTTACGCCCGCTCACTCATGCAGTCACCGTATCATGTTCCTCTCAGGACAAGTTAGGGCCGCATCGCACCACGTCTCGGCCCGCCTTACGTACCATCTCCATGTTGCTGAGCACTGCAGCCATTGGCCTCGAAAACAGCCAACTAATCATAATTCCGACCAAATTACCAATTCATTCCCTTTTGCGTGCGGAGTTTCCCCTGCGTCCCAGGGATACGAGTTGCTGGTCGCCGAGTTGATGTCACGACTGGTGATTATTCAGCCGTTGCAATGCTGCCATAGGTCGGATCATCGGTATTCGCAAACTGGCACAGGTCCGACGCTCCGCACGGCTTTGGATTCCGCAGGTTAGCAAGTTCTTTAGTCACGACGGAGAGAAAAAATTAGGAGCGGCCTGCAGGTCTGGCAGCGCAGAAATGCCGAAGAGGGCGTCTGAAGGATCGATCGTTGCACCATTAGTGATAAATAGCCCCCTAGCCGCGTTTCATGCGTGTGTGTCGTCTGCCTGAATGCCGCCCATAAGTAGTGTAGTTGAGCCGCCGTGGAAGAGCGTTTAATTCTGGCACCAGCTGGTTATCGTACCCGGATTGCTCACCTGCATCTGCCCCTCATGAAGCAAACAGACGCCATCTCCCCTGCGGTGGCCGCGCTGGAAAAGGCCGAGAACGCACAACAGCATCCCACGAAAGGCTCATATCCGCCGATATCTTCTATTCCGAACACCTCGCCCGAGCGCCTCGCGCAAGCCGCCGAAGATGCCCCCAAAGATGTCGCGCAAGCTGCCAAGACCGTCCTTTACCTCGCCTACGGCTCCAACATGTCGGCGGAAACATTCTTGGGGAAGCGAAAGATACGGCCTCTGTCTCAGATGAATGTCTCCGTCCCGATCCTGCGACTGACGTTTGACCTGCCCGGGCTACCCTACCGAGAGCCGTGTTTTGCGAATGTCGGATACCGAAAACTCCCTGAAAAGCCCAAGCTGCCCGACCCCCTTCACCCACCAATCGTCCCGCCGCTGAACCCGCCGCTGAACCCGCCAAGGACGGAGCAGGAGTGGGATGGTGGCCTCATGGGAGTCGTATACGAAGTGACGCAGGAGGATTGGCGAAATATTATGAGGACCGAAGGCGGTGGCTCAGGCTACCAGGAAATCATGGTTCCGTGTCTGCCAATGCCCAACTATGTTGGCATCCCCGAGAAGCCAGTGTTTCCTCCGGTGCCCACGCTGCCAAAGCCTTTCCTCGCAACAACGCTCTATGCGCCTTACATCCCGCTCGATCCAGGCTCAGACAAGAAAAACTGGTGGACCAGATTCATCGTTGGCCCTCATAGGCCAAAGCCCGACTATGCCCAGCCGAGCGCCCGATATCTGAAGCTCTTGCAAGACGGTGCACGAGAGCACGATCTTCCTCAAGTCTACCAAGACTATCTGGCCTCGATGCAGCCATACACCGCGACGACGCTCCGGCAGAAGATTGGACAGAACCTATTCGTCCTCCTCTGGGCACCGATGATGCTATATTTCTTCGCCATGACGACCGTTTTGGCAGACGAGAGGGGCAAGGTCCCGCGGTGGTGCGCGAACACGATATCGGGCCTGTTTAGCGTCATGTGGTATAGCTACGACAAGCTATTCATCTTCATCTTCGGCGATGGCGAGCGAACGGCGGATTCGAAGCAGGACTCGAAGAGGCGAAAGTCGATTTCGGTCGGAACAGACGAGGAAAAGGTTTCATTGATGCAGGAGGGCGAAGAAGAGTGAAAAGAGGGGATTTTTGTTTTGTTGGGTTTTTGGGTTTTTGTTTGTCTGACACTGGCGCTGACGTTAGCTGCCTTGTATCATTGCTTCAGCGAAGAGCGAGTTTGCCGCCATTTTGTCTCGTATTGCATTAGTGCTTTCATACTGGGTACATGGAGGCTGATCTACGGAGTACGAGTACTTCCAGCAACCATGCTACCACTTTAGTACCTATCATTATCATCTTCGAGTATCTGTAAATGGGTGCATCTTTCTATACCTAGGTAGATGCCGCATGTCAATAAGATTAGGATGTTGGAGACAAGATAGGGGGTGCTGGCCAGAGCCCACTCCTTGATACATTGTGTCGTGATAAGAAGAAGAAGAAGAAGAAAGTTAAAAAGGAACACGTGCTGTCTACAGAGTAAATGGCTGCATTTCGTTTCAGCTGCTGCATTGCATTGCATAAGCATACATACTACTCGTACATGGCGTTGTCCTCCATGTGTCCCAACATGCCGTGATCCGTCCTGGCAGCAGTCCTCGGCCCAAGCCGCCATGATCGTGATCCTCCCGAGCCACCAGCTGCACTCAATCTAATTTTAACCAGATATCACGACAGTCAAATCATCAGACACGCAGCTCAGCATGCCTTATCGCTGGCATGTGAAAGGCCAATTCAGGCCAATTCAGGCCAGGGGGGCACGACATTGCATGCTGCACGCCAGCTTTGCATGTGATTCTGATGGGGTTCCCTCGCATCTCGGCGAAAAACGGTTGGCGCGTGCTTCGGCGCTCAACCAGGCTTGCCAGGGCCCCAGCAAATCGGTTGGGGTGCGCGCCCGATGCGGCAGGCGGTGAGCCCGTCTACAAGGCGGCACCAGACCCTATTGCGCTGCGTCATTGGCACAGCGAGCTTGGCACACGAGCTGCAGGCCTTTTCCCTCTTTTTCGCCTGCTGCAATTTCCTTGCTTCTGGCACGAGGCAAAAACAGGTATATATACACTTGCCGGGCTCTCGATTGCATGCTTCGCCTCTGTAGTTCCCGCCTCAGTTCCAGCCTTGGAGCCAATCTCTGCTTGTACCGATACGGCGTCTCGCTCAAGCACAGCTGCTCTTACAGTTACTCCACCCTCAACATCCTCAACAAAACCGACAAGATGGCTCTCCTGGGCGGCGCCGAGAAGAAGCACAAGGTCACCATTGTGGGATCTGGCAACTGGTATGAGAAGAACAATCCAACGCTCTTTACTCATCTCATATTATCAGCTTCTAATTCCATCCATTGTGTAATAGGGGATCCACCATTGCAAAGATCATTGCCGAGAATACGCGAGCCAACAAGGAGCTCTTTGAGGAGGATGTCCAGATGTGGGTGTATGAGGAGAACGTCAGCATCCCCAAGACGTCACCGCACTACGACGAGTCCATCGGCGAGGCTCCTCAAAAGCTCACCCACATCATCAACAAATACCACGAAAACGTCAAGTACTTGCCTGGCATCGCCCTCCCATCCAACATCATCGCCAACCCCTCCCTCGTCGACGCCGTCCAAAACTCCACTATCCTCATCTTCAACCTTCCTCACCAGTTTATCCACAATGTCTGCGACCAGATCCGCGGCAAGATCCTGCCCTTTGCTCGTGGCATCAGCTGCATCAAGGGCGTCAACGTGTCGGACGATGGCGTCAGCCTGTTCAGCGAGTGGATTGGTGACGGCCTCAACATTTACGTTGGTGCTCTTAGCGGGGCCAACATCGCCAGCGAGATTGCCGCGGAGAAGTGGTCTGAGACGACCATTGCCTACGACCCGCCGCCAATGGACAACAGCAGGGCGCCAACGCCGCGATCCCAGAGCCCCAACCTGACCATGACCGTCACAGAGCCTGCTGACATGCAACATCGCGATGCCAGGGGCCGCAAGTCCAAGACCAAGCTTACTCCTGTCCCTGCAGAGTACCCGCCGCTCGACCACGACTGCTTCCGCACCCTCTTCCACCGACCTTACTTCCATGTCCAATTGGTCTCTGACGTCGCTGGTGTGTCGCTGGGCGGCGCGCTGAAGAACATTGTGGCTTTGGCCGCTGGTTTCGTGGACGGTCGTGGCTGGGGTGACAATGCCAAGGCCGCCGTTATGCGAATCGGCTTGATGGAGATGGTCAAGTTCGGCAAGGAGTTCTTTGGGGAGACAGTGCATACCGCCACCTTTACGGAGTCGTCTGCCGGTGTTGCTGATCTGATCACCTCGTGCTCCGGAGGTCGTAACTTCCGATGCGCGAAGAAGGCTGTTGAAAAGGGCATCACTGTCGACGAGGTCGAGAAGCAAGATCTCAACGGACAGAAGCTTCAGGGTACCAGCACTGCGTTTGAGGTGAACAGCTTCCTCAAGGCCCGAGGACTCGAGAAGGACTATCCTCTGTTGACGGCTGTCAATGCCATTCTGCTAGGCAGGGCAAGCGTCGACGACATTCCCAGACTGGTTTCCGAGACTGAGCGAACACAACCAACTTTGTAAATTACAAAAAAAGCAAGCGTTAGAAAGCATGCAGTGTTGAAGCATACGGCAGCGATGACAGGGGTATGAGTGACTGGGAGGGCGTTTCAGGATACATGTCATATAGCGGTAGATCCGGCTGGGCATTGCTACACCTTTTTTGGTTACAGTACTTATGAATTGTTTAATACAATGTTAGTTTGATCATGGTTTCTTCACCTCGACCCCCTATTCCCCCATCACTTCTCTTCCACAGTAAGGGAGAGGCAATGCAGCTCGTGTTCGACTCCTTTGTCGTACGCCATCACGGGTTTTCTGTTTTCTTTGAACTTTGTGCCGTAGTAGAGTTCTGTTCAGCCGGAATAAGAGTATCACAATTAAAAATCACCATACATGCAACGTCTCTCCCATATGTCCCACTATACATGTATTCAACCTAGTTACCAAGAGGCCATGGACCTTTCTATCAAACACACAAATTTCCGAACAAATGATGTCATTGATTCACAACAATGAGTAGATACACAATATTTTCTAGGTGGTATGTGGAATCCACGCCAAACTGCCGGGTCTGTGGACGATCCGGCATGGGGAGCCGTGAAGCTCCTGCTCATCGTCATCAAGCTGAGATATAACGACTATTTCCGCTACACCATTGAAGATCATGGTTAGCCAGTTCTGTCTCATTAACGGGAAGGAATCCTTGCTGGCTGATGTGCAGTTTAGTTTCGCAGATCACGCAGTCTCGCGTCGTCCTCGGAGAAAAACATGAACCACGTCGATCAAACGCTGCAGAACGATTTTAGTGTCAGTCATGTTGTGCATATATCTTTCTAGCACCTTTCTAGGCCATTTACCATTCTCATATAAAGGCAAAGTCAAAAACAAGCTTAAAAATCTCCAAGCCAGCCAACGCTTCCAGAGTTCTCGCCCCAAAAAGCCCCTTTCCGACGCCATCACCACCCTCCCGGACTCGGGAACAACCCTTGTAAGCCCATCTCTTTCGCCAAGAAACCTATTCTGCACGGCCAGCCTTGTTAAATCCCCGTACGGCCCCCTTATACGGCAGGCAGAGCGCCGATCGCTCGTGTCCGCGTCCATGGCCGTGGGCCTTGCGATCGGCGGGCTGGAGCTGGTGAGAAACTAGGGATGCGGCATGACATACATGGCAGACATGTCAACTGTGCATATTCGACTTCACATCTCTCTTTCGGGCCCATCTGGTGTGGCCAACGATGGTTTTGTTGAGGCTGTGGAAGTAGTTTGCTGGGTACTGGGAGAGCCAGGAGTCTCATTACGGGTATAAATTTGTATTTCCACCCGTATTTAATAGTATTTACATGTTTAGGAAGCTTATTTAATGGTTTACATGGAGTTTTGACTGGTAGGTTTAGACAACGGAGAGAGTCGATGAAGCTGTGGTGCTGCAATTTGCAAGCGGCGAGAGCCACTTACACGTTCATTTCACCACCAATAGACATATGCCAACTTTAAATAGCTATCAATAAAATAAATACTTATTACTTTCGATAATAAATAATAACATATCCAAAGTTTCCACATTGCCACCGTGAGTGTCCGTGCATTTGTCTGATGCGAGTGTCAATTCAATTGTGAATAGCATCACCATTCCGTAAGCGGACATGGTCAACTATTGCGGTGGCAAACAAAGAATATTAAAATAAAATATAACAAGCGTGCAGCAAACGTACAAATGCGCTTAATTCTTCTCTTTATTACATTATAAACTAGTCAGGCTGCTTCTACATTAATAGACTGTGATTCTACCTGCTTCACCCATCGCACCGCGCTGTCTCGCAAATAGCCCTCAATTAATTCGCACCCACAGCTTCCATGCTCCAGCAGCATATTCTTCAGGACAATCCGCTCTGCCACCAGGTCCTTCAAAATCTGCGAAAGCTGCCGATTTTCATCTTCCAAGGCATCGTGCCTTGAGCTTAGCTTTTCGACCGCGACTCGTTGTCTGCCACGGCACTTGTCCGCGGCGACGCGATTCTTCTCCCGAATGCGCGCGCGGCTTGCTGCTTGTTCTTCAGGTGACTTGGTCCGGCGAGGCCTTTTTGTGACGCCTCCCTCTTCAACTGATGATTTTCGAGTCTTTTTTGGCTTCGTGCACGTTGAAGGCTCATTGAATGAATGTAGTGATGAAGGTTTGATGGTTGTGAGATGGTCGGATGTTGAGCTTGCTGTTGTTGAAGGGCTGTATTCACGGCCCTGTGGGAGTTGGTCGTTCTGATAGTCCCATATCATACCGGCGCTTAGAGAGCTTTCGCTTCTAGACGTAACGCTTTCAGCGGGAGGGCTATTGGAGCTTGGATCGGGATATTTGAGAAAGCCCTGTGAAATATCCCATTCGGCATTTTGCCAGGGTAAGGTAGGCAAGAAGACATTTGAGTGTTCTAGACCTGTCGAGCTGTGGCACAGGTTGGGCCAGATCGTGGTCGAGGTGCCCTCCCGATCAGCTGGCGGGAACGGGAGCGAAGTGTGACCTGCATTGGCGAAGTCTGGACCGCAGTCCATGTATGGGGAAGCTTCGGCAATGCCTGCCATGTTGCCTTTGCGAGATCTTGGCTTCTTGAAAACGATATCTACACACAATGATGGGCCTGGATTACAGTTCCAGGAATGTTCACAAGTCTAGGAGAGCCACGATAAACAGATCGACAGCGAAAAAAGTAAAGGATACTCTCTTGCAATGAGGCGGAAACGTCATTGCTAAATATATTCTTGGCCATGATAGCCAGATCGCCGTTCGGCTGGGGCCTTGGACCGTATTGGTATTACCGCAAGCAAAGGTGAATTGAGGACATTACCCCTGGCACCGTTGGGCTAGCACAGTCGTATTAGCGCATCCAAGCCATGCCTCAGACTGTTTGAAGCATCTTGGACAGGCAGGCAGGGAGGGTACACAAGGTTCAAACTAGGAAATTGATCTGAGCATTGATGGTCACTGTATGCGGGATGGTGCACACAGCACAAAACCGCTGTGGAGACGGCGTCACGTAGGTGGCCCAGCGGGTCGCGCAAAATACCATGATGCCATGGGTAAAGTATGATGGCCTGGTGCAATGGCATAGCTGGTCATCGGTGTGGTGTCCCGAGGCCAAGTCCTGGGCACACTCCCATCAAAAGAAGAAGCCGGCCCCCGTTCCGGATGGGGCCAGCCAGGCCGGTTCCAAGGCCAAGTTTCTTAAACCGGCGCCAAGGAGGAGTCGACCAAGTCAGCTCCACGATGCCCCGGCGCTGCTTCTTTTGGCGGGGCTCCAATATCAACATTCGAAGAGAAAGGTGGCGTGCTTGTACGAACTACAGTGTTCGGCTGCTCAAAGGTCAGCAAGAATTAAGGGAAATGTCAGATTGGCATCAACCATCAAAGACCAACATGCACCCGTACGTGTCAACCAAGACACAGCTTTGGGACTGCTATCCTCGAGGCTTCCAGCAATTCTCAAGACCAACACCCACACCGAAGCAGAAACAGACGGACCTTTAGGCTCGAAATCCCTGCAAAAGGGAAGCCTCTGTCTATCCCCTGCCCAAGGCCCTTCTGGCAGGCTAACAGAGGGTTGGGCTGGGTCTCCCCGACAGTTGCAGCAGTTCTTGACATGAAGAAGGCCGCTATCCAATTGGCAATCTTATCTGAGCCCCCAAGGAAGAGCACTAACGGCTGTGGATAGCGTAGTGGAGGGCAAGGGGCCGTCTGAAGCCCAGTCGTTGTCGTCACCATCTCGATCCCGATTCTTCGTGAGGTCAAAGTGCTGTTGTTGAACATGAGACGGAGGAAATGCTCCGGAGAAAACGCTCCGGGCCCGCATTGCAAACGATAGGGACGCCTCCATTCGCTGGCGACCCACCAGAAACAGGGAGAAAACAAGGTTGGAATAACTTCTGTTTGACCAATTCTGGCTGTTGGGGACAGATGACTCCATTCTGGGTTGAACAGGTGTAATGATCTGATCCATCCGAGAGAGCAATCTCGATGACAGTCGAAGATTTTGGGGGCCTGAAACAGTAAAGAATAGTCACGTGAATTATCACGTGATATCTAATTCCCCCGTGCATCTGGCTTGGGAAAAAGCCCGCCTCGGCTAAATCCCCATCTGTCAAAGGCTCAACCCGCTCAATTTCTCCACAAGGTTGCCAACAACCGGTTTTTTTGCAAGCCACTGCATCGCGCTCCGTAGCATCTACGGAGCTACCACGGAGGACTCATGGAAACGGCAAGTCCCTTTTTTTTGGGCTTATATTTTTGTTTTATTTTTTTCTCAGGAGATTCTGCCCCGGAAAGGCCTCCAGCTGCTACTCTCGGCAACTTGGACACTCAGGGACCAAAGCTTCTTCACGCAAAGCGGCTCGTAGGACAGCTCAAACTGAGTATAAATACGAAGGACAGCCCCAGGAATTGCGTCACATACGAGTACCAAGGTTCTGTACATAACTTGTTTAGCAGGGAACGCAGAACCAGCAACGCCTTCGTTTCGGCTGGGGCTTGTAAAATTAGATTTGAAGAGCGGATTGCGCCGGCCATTCAACCTGCAAAGTCTAATGCACGTAAGCGACCCAAGTGTCGTATGGGTTGGCGGGCTATGAGTATTAGTATAGCTTCCTCATCAAAAACGAGGCTATCCACGAATAGCACGGCCCTAGGGGGACGAAACTCCCTTCCGCCGCCAACTAATCTAATCATTCGTCTGTGCACTTCTTTGCTCAAGCCCATACGAGTATGAGTATAGCAAGGTACAGCATTCTACCTAAATCCCAGCTCATCAACCACCAAGGCGTCAATAGACGAGACTCGTTCACATGAAGGAACATTGTCAATAGGCATTCCATACTTGCATACCTAGGTAGTTCCACACACCTCTGCAGCGGCTGAGCACTTGTACAGTACCGTATCTCAGGAGGAGGTTTAATCTAGCGGAATGGCTCCAGCAAATTAAGAAATGGGGCTGACAGTCGTTCCACCATGATCCATGCTCATGCTACATGCCACTTCTGCCCCCAAAAGAACCAATGTCGTCATCAGTTATCCAATTTACGCCAAGGACTCCGCAAGAACATGAGGTTGTGCCAAGACATAGCTGGCCTTAGCGAATCGCGGGAGCGGCTCCTAGCCGTTGTCTAACACACTCTGTCGAGCAGCAGCATTAGCAGCACCAAATGCGCTCCATATGTAACCACACGGCTCAGATCCATGATACAGCTAACGCTGCACTGAAACTGTAAAAGAGTCTACAGAAGGACCTTTATCACGTGCGCTTGTCTGGATTCAAGGCGCCCAAAACCACTCTAATATGGCGGTGCCTCGGCGCTGAGTACGCAACAGCGCTCATCGATTCCTTGGATGTACAATCTATCTTACTCACCCGCGAAGTTCTCTTCCCAATGAGCAGCAACTTGATCGATAGCCGAGGGTTCACAAGAGGAAGTTCCTCAACGATTTGCCCAGTCATTTGGTAATGTGCTATTGTCCCTTGAGCCTCGGGGCGAGTTAAAAATAAATGCTATCAAGACAACTTTCTCTTAGGCCTTTGGGCGGGGCCAAGAATGCTGTGAAGAAGGGTCGGAAGAGATGGGTTCAATGGCCAGCTTCGGGACATCTGATCTACCGAGGTCTTGGGAGAGGCTAGAATTGCTGTGAAGAGGCTCATCGGACGAGAACTGTCTCCCAGAACCTTTTTTTTCCCCAGGCCTTGAGAGGGGTTAAAATTGCTGTGAAGTACCAGGTGAAACCCATAGATATCAGTCTCAGCCATAAGCTCTTCTCGGGCCTTGGGAGGGGCTAAAATTACTGTAAAGGTACATACAGGTCGACGAATCCTACATTTATACCAGTCTGATCCACTTTCGCTTGTTTAACCAAGCTTACGCCATATGAGACAGAAAAATATAGAAGAATCTGCTGATTTTGTTTGGGTGACATGTATATTAAAGTCGATAGTTTTAGCCAGAGAACTAACAGGAAATCCGTGCAAATCCCCGAGAGCTATGATAAGGACACTGCTAGTATCTCAAAGCTCAGCAATCCTTTGGTGGTTTGCGTGCGCGGTAGCAACGTAGCTCTCATTAGATGTTTAATGGACTATTTGGTCGAGTACATATGGATTTGCGGCCTGATTTGGAAAGTTGGGAAAAGCAGGTGGTAGAAGGTAGACACGCTCTCATTGTAGTATAACTCCCATCGTAGCACTCAGTCAATCCGGAATATATGTGGGCAATATGATAGGCGGTAAAAAGGTCATCAAAGTCAATATGAATATAATACGCGGCTCCACCACATTCTGCAAACAGAATGTAAGTATTTTCCCTGAATGTTTTTGCTGCTTTAAAAAAGTCTCAACGCCGAATATTTTGAGGAGAGGAGAAAACTGACTATAAAATCACTCTCTAGGTTAACCTCTGCCATAACAACCCCAAACAGATGGTGCAGACGCTTGATGGACGTGTCATGGTGCAGGGTATGTATAAGCATCAGCACACTAAGCGGTTGGTGTTTTCGCACCACTTCATTAACAGCCAGACAGTGGTACATTAAGAAAAAAAAAACCCCCTTTTAATTTAATGAAAATCCGGCTTCTTATTTTGAAGAACACTAAGAGTGTAATCGAAAGCTGGAAATATTACATCACAAATATCATAAAAGGTTGTGAACAGCTACTGCTGAAGACAACGGTTTCCCCTTGCACTTAGACACAATTCTCCACACACCACCAAAATATAAGGCCCTTCAACGTCAAATACATACGAGTATAGGGGCTGAGAAATGCACAAAGGGGCTCAATAGTTTTTTTTCTCTCCCATGTCTGTTGTTGGCGGACTATTCCTGGCCGCTTTCATCTTATCATGCTCGTGTCCCGCTTATTGTCAACGTTAACAGCTCGCTTGAGCCCCTACCAAGACCAAGAAGACAAGGTTCAAATAAAGCACGGCATTTCAGGAAATCCGAGCAAGACCGAGCATCATGCCACCGGCGTGATAGGATTTGCGAATACCGCCAAAGTTTATGTTTCAAATGGCCGTCAAGTTCTCTCAAAGTGGATTATATAAGCATCGAGACCCGGAGATTAGTGAGTGTTGTCGCCGGTGTTCAGGTGGACTAACCTTGTTTCGTATTTGATCGATCAGTGATTCGGTGGGCTGCCGGCAGCTAATTGACAACGGCCCCGGTAGTGCGATCCAATTGCTGTTTTGGGTAATGCAAAGTCCGGTCGGTTCGTTGTTCTGGAGATCTGATCTGTGAGGGCCGGGGATAGGGTCTATCAGCGAGGAGGGAGAATGTTGCCGACAATGAAGGAAGAAGAAGAAAGGGAGGAATTGAGAGTGTTGGGAAATGTATATAAAGAAGAGGAATATCGTCCTTGTTGACAAAAAAGAATATACCAAGTCAACAGAGCAAAGACAAACAGCCCTTTACATCACCAAGATCAGGAACTCGCCATCATGTCGATCAAGTACGCTAAAGATCAGCCCGCAGGCTTCACCAACCGCATCGAGAATGTGGCCATTGTGGGAGTAAGCATTATAGTCAAACCTTACCTTTTATTCTGTTGTCTGATTGCTGACCATCTTTTCGATTAGGCTGGAGGTCAAGTTGGCAAACACATTGCTGAAGAGCTGCTCAAGACCGGAAAGCACAACGTTACCGCCATCACTCGCTTTGGAAGCGACAGTGAGCTTGCTGCAGGAGTCAAGGTCGTCCAGGTCGACTATGATGATGAGCAGACCATTGTCGACGCACTCAAGGGCCAGCAGTTCCTCTTCATCTCCCTTGCCGTGACCGCTCCCAAAGACACCCAGGCCAAACTCATCGCTGCAGCAGCCAAGGCTGGCGTGTCGTGGATCATGCCCAACTCGTACGGCCTCGACCTTGCCAACAAGGAAGTGATGAAGGACACCTTGGGTGCTCCCGCTGCCGAAGCTGGTGTCGCTGCCGTGGAAAAGGCCGGCCTGTCCTGGGTCTACATGACATGCAGCTTCTGGTATGAGTACTCTCTTTCCATGGGAGACTCATGGTATGGCTTCGACATCCCTAACAAGAAGGTCACCTTTTTCGATGACGGCAAGACACGAATCAACACATCGACCTGGCGGCAATGTGGCAGGGCTGCAGCACATCTTCTCAGCCTAAAGGAGCTACCTGATGATGAGAATGACCAATCACCCACCGTCTCTCAGTGGCGGAACAAGGGCCTGTACATCTCCAGCTTCCTTGCCTCTCAGAGAGATATGCTCGACAGCTTGAACCGCGTACTAGGCACAACTGACGGCGACTGGCAGATTGAGTACGAGCCATCAGATGTCCGATACAAGCGAGGCCTGCAGATATTCCAGACCGGCAACCTCGTGGGCTTTGCTTTGGCCTTGTACTCGCGCGCATTCTATCCCAATGGCGATGGCAACTATGAAGCCAAGCAAGGCCTAGCTAACAAGGCACTGGGGCTGCCAGAGGAAGACTTTGATGAGGCCACAAAGCTTGCAGTCGAGATGGCCGAGGAGGGATTTGCGGCTCGCCGGGCCGCGACGCTTACGAAGCACTAAGCAAACAGTTATCCGACGAGAGCGGCTAAGGGGAGAGTGGAAAGGCTATGGAGACATGTATTTATTTATCTATTGGTAGGCAGTTGGGCACCAAGGAGCAGAGAGATGCGATTGATTGGCGGCGTCGATTGCATGTAGAGGGGCTCTCGGATGTTGAATGTGGCCTTTGGTAAGATGATGCCCTAGACGTTATGTGAATATATACTACTCCGTATACTTGATGTATCAAGTCAAGCAACAATCTCCATTGCAATGAATCGTGGAACTCAATTGATTGATCTCTCGGATGACACGGAGCGGTTTTATACAAACTCACTAGTGAAATGGATCTTGGAGACGAGTAGGCTACTAGTCATTGCTTAGGGAGGAATTGCAAAGCTATCGCAGTTGAGGCAGTATCGGCAAATGCCATGGTGACGTCATGACTTTTGGTAGCGGGGTGGATGATGGAGGAGCTTCAACGAGTCCTCGAGATGAGGAGGGAGAAGCTGCATCGCCGCAGTAATCTGTAGGGGGTTGAGGATGGTAAAATGAGAAACTTGGATGCGAATTGGATCGATATCAAGTGATTTGCAGCGGAAATAGGGCTTGGGTTGCAGCTCGACAGAGGCGAAAGCTTATTGTAGGTTGAGCTTTTAGCTAGGTACCGAGTTCCGGGGCCGCCGCCCGATTGTGACTTGCAGCCACCGCGTGGGAATGGGAAATTATTTCTGCCGCCGGGCGTTTTCTGTGGATGGAATCAATGCTGTGACACGGTGCTAATGGGCGTATGTCAGCTGTATAGCGTCGTTTGCTGCGTTTGTTGCGTGGGTTGGACTGCATCTTCAGTAATCTTCATGGCATCATGATTGCATGGGCATGACATCCATGTCGTGATACAGCAGCAGCATCCTCGATTGATACCCTGCATTTTGCGCAATGCACGACAGACAGGCTCCATTTGGCCCGGAATTACTTCAACATGGAACAAAACAAAAGAGCCCGTCAGCAGAAATGGCCGGCTTTTCCTTGATTCCCTGGTGGTTCCTGGTGCCTTGGAATGGCTCGACCAGCGCCACTCAACCAGCGCCTGCACCGTCTTGGGCCAAGTCATTTCGACCATGACATGACACCAAATCTGCCGGCCAACCAGCAGCGCCTCTGGCTCGCTTGCGGGAAAAAAAGCAGCTAGAAGCAGAGGCAGTTGATTCGCGTCTGAATCCTTCTTCGTGTTCCGCCCATCGCCGCCCAAAAAGGGAGAGCTCGCAAACTGAGCATCGCATCTTTGTCTGTCCTTGATCTCCCTACCACCATCCCTAGGTACTATTTGGTAGGTACCTGGACACATTTCGCCACTCGCCCGCTGCCCGTACTAACAGCTCCAGCAGCTTAGCTGATCGCCTCGATCCCTGCCAAAAAAGCTCCCAGCACTGCTTAGGTACGCTAAGGCCGCTGTAGCTACAAAACCAGCCGCGGGGCACAGGCTTTGGGCCCCTCTCCTTTTCCATCATGAGCCCAGGAATCATGACGACCACGGAGGTTTATCTGCTGCCGCTCAACGACGACGGCTCGCCCCAGGTTGCGGGAGAGTACATCTACCTCGATCCCACCGGTGATGACCCCATCACCATCAGATTTGCCATTGAGGGCACCTCGTCCATCTGCCGCAATGGAAGCCTTTGGGTCAACATTCCGGAGCAGGGGGCCGAGTTTAGGCGGGACAAGTTCCGAGAGTACAAGTAAGCTCAGAGTCGATGCCCAAGCAGCTCCAAGCTCGACATGTCTAAGACAGACGGATCTGCTTCGAAGATTGAGCTGAGCCTGGCTAACAAACATCGACCGCAGGCTAACGCCCGACTTCAACCGCACCCTCGAAATCTCCATCCCCATCTACGAGTCCGGCGTCTTTGCCTTCTACACCACCTATGCCGAGCTGCCCAACCTCGATGCAGACGATGCTCCAAAGTCCACAAACGGCCACGAGGCTCTCAAGAAGACTCCGGTATACTACATCGATGTTGCTCCCCGCCTTAAGCTGGATGGCCGGCCATTGCCTCTGCCGGCGTTGTCGCTCTTCTCCATCATCAGCAAGCTCATGGGCCGCTTCCCTGGTGATTGGGAGCGACACCTGCGGGGCATCAGCGAGAGGGGATACAACATGATACACTTTACCCCTCTGCAGATCCGTGGCAGCTCAAACTCGCCGTACAGTCTGTATGACCAATTGGGCTGGGATCCCGCCTGTTTTCCCCGGGGCGAGAAGGACATTGAGCAGCTGGTCGAGAGTCTCGAGCAAAAGTACTCATTGCTGAGCTTGACAGACATTGTCCTCAACCACACTGCACACAACACAGAGTGGTTACAGGAGCATCCAGAGGCCGGTTACAATTTGAAAACGGCTCCATGGCTGCAGTCTGCGTATGAGCTTGATACGAAGCTGCTGGAGCTTGGCGGTCAGCTTGAGAAGCTGGGACTGCCCGTTGATATCAAGACCACAGAGGATCTCTTGGAGCTCATGGAAGGAATCAAAAAACACGTCATTCTCGAGCTCCAGCTATGGGAATATTATGCCATCAATGTCGAGCGAGACGCTGACAGCATCATCGAGGCTTGGGTTGGCGGCAAGGCCATCCCTCCCCAGAACGGCGTTGCTACGTTAAGCGATTTCGAGCATCTCAAGACGGCAGAGCTCAAGGAGCAAGCAGAATTCATTAAGAAATTTGCTCTCCAGGGAACGGATCGCCTAGGAGAGCGGTTCCGCCGACGTGTCGAGCCCAATGTCGCCGCTACCTTGCTGTCGTTTTCTCTTGGCCGATACGAGGGCGAAAGCACACAGTCAGCCGACAAGGCGGCCGCTAAAGCCAAGTTGGTTGAGGTTCTGGATGCCATAAACGTTGCTTTCTATGAAGAGTACGACAAGGATCTTAACCAGATTCTGGAGCAACTCTTCAACCGTATCAAGTACGTTCGCATCGATGACCACGGACCCAAGCTAGGTCCGATTAATGCAGCCAACCCTATTATTGAGACATACTTTTCCCGACTTCCAGTCAATGAAAAAACGTCGAAGCTTTCTCCTGGGGAGAGAGCGCTGGCTAATAATGGCTGGGTATGGGGTGGCAACGCGTTGGTGGACAACGCTGGGCCCGACTCTCGTGTGTACCTGAAGCGAGAAGTTATTGTCTGGGGCGACTGCGTCAAGTTGCGATACGGCTCTCGCCGGGAAGATAGCCCGTGGCTGTGGGATCATATGACAAAGTACGCCCAGATGCTGGCCAAGTACTTTGCCGGCTTCCGTATCGACAACTGCCATTCCACCCCAATCCATGTCGCGGAGCACATCTTGGACGAGGCAAGAAGAGTTCGACCAAATCTCTATGTTGTCGCCGAGCTCTTTACCGGGTCCGAGGAGATGGACTATGTCTTTGTGAAACGGCTTGGAATCAGTTCACTCATCCGCGAAGCCATGCAAGCATGGAGCACGGGAGAGCTGAGCAGACTTGTTCATCGACATGGCGGTCGTCCTATTGGCAGCTTTGAGGTTGACGACGTCTCTAAGTCGGATGTTACTATACCCTCGGGTTCAAAGGGCAGCATGGATCTTAAGAGGGAGATCATCCGGAGGATACGGCCCTCGCCAGTTCACGCCTTGTTCATGGACTGCACACATGACAACGAGCCACCCACCCAGAAGCGTGACGCGCGAGACACGCTACCCAACGCTGCCCTTGTCAACATGTGCTCCAGTGCTACGGGAAGCGTTATGGGCTATGACGAAATTTATCCCAAGTTGGTTGATCTTGTGAATGAGAAACGTTTGTACACATCTGAAGCGTCGAGGACCTCGTCGATCAAGATAGGGAGAGGCAAGGGCGGCATTGCTAGCATCAAGAAGCTCTTGAACCAGATTCATACTCTCATGGGCAAGGATGGCTACAACGAAACTCACATTCACCACGAAGGAGAGTACATTACCGTGCACAGAGTGCATCCCGAATCCAGAAAGGGCTACTTCCTAATTGCTCACACTGCGTTTCCCGGGTATGGCAATGGAAGAGGAGAATTCAATCCAGTGCTTCTAACAGGAACTCGAGCCAATCACCTTGGCAGCTGGATGCTCGAGGTCGATGACAGGGAAGAAACCATCAAGACCGTCGAGACCGACACCAAGTTCCTTCGAGGCATTCCCAGCCAGGTCGTGGATGTGCCTGGAATCAAGATGGACTATCAAGGCCAAGACACCATAATCTCCGTTCGGGATAAGTTCCCGCCCGGTAGCATTGCGCTTTTCGAGACTTGGATTCCCACTGCAGAACACTCCACGGGCTTGGACAACTACGTTACCTCTAGCGCAAAGGCAGCTTGGGCCAATTTGAATCTCATCGATCTCAACTTCTTGCTGTATCGGTGTGAGGCAGAGGAGAGAGACGCCAGTAACGGACAGGACGGGGTTTATGATATTCCCGGCCACGGAAAGCTCGTCTATGCAGGCCTGCAAGGATGGTGGAGTATCCTCGAAGGGGTCATCCGCGACAACAACCTTGGACACCCCATCTGTCAAAACCTGCGAGACGGCCCCTGGGCACTAGACTACATCGTAGGTCGAATCCAAAAGCAAAGCCACACGCCTGGCAGTGAGGGTCTTGCCGGACCTGCAGCCTGGCTCCGAGAGCGGTTTGAAGCCATTAGGGCTATTCCAAGCTTCCTGCTGCCTAGGTACTTTGCACTCGCCATCCGCACCGCGTACCGAGCCAGCGTTGAACGAGCCCTGGAGCTGATGAACGATCATGTTGCCAAGGGCCAGTGGTTCCTCGGAAGTCTTGCCATGGTCAGCGTGCAGCAAACCGGGCTGGTCAAATCCGCTTCTCTCTGGCCAGACAAGCAGGTGCCGTCTATTGCTGCTGGCCTACCGCACTTTGCAGTGCAGTGGGCTCGATGCTGGGGCCGAGACGTCTTCATCTCTATTCGTGGACTCTATCTCGGCACTAGCCGTTTTGCTGAGGCAAAGGAGCACATCCTTGCATTTGCCAGCGTTCTGAAGCACGGCATGATACCCAATCTCTTGAGCAGCGGCGCCGCTCCTCGGTACAACTCGAGAGATTCGGTGTGGTTTTTCCTTCAGACGATCCAAGATTACACCCACTTTGCGCCTGAGGGACTTGATCTGCTCAAGACAAAGGTCAGGCGTCGTTTCCTTCCGTATGACGATACTTGGTTCCCAGTGGACGATGCACGGACATACTCTAAGGAGAGCACAATCGAAGAAATCATACAGGAGGCTCTCCAGAGACACGCCTCAGGAATGAAGTATCGTGAGGCGAATGCTGGACCCCAGATCGACTCGCAGATGAAAGATGAAGGCTTCAACCAAGAGATCAAGGTCGACTGGAGTAATGGACTTATTTTCGGCGGCAACCAGTTCAACTGTGGCACTTGGATGGACAAGATGGGAGAGAGCGACAAGGCCGGATCAAAGGGCGTCCCCGGAACTCCACGCGATGGTGCCGCCGTCGAAATCACCGGTATGCTCTACAGCACACTGAGATGGGTAGAACAGCTCCACAAGCAAGGAAAGTTTGCTCAGCCGGGCGTCAAGACTGCAGAAGACAAGGCCGTCTCGTGGACGGAGTGGGCTGATCTCATCAAGGCCAACTTTGAGAAATGCTACTACGTGCCGCTGTCTGCTGAAGAAGATGCCAAGTATGACGTTAACCCTAGCGTTATCGCTCGCCGAGGCATGTATAAGGATCTGTACAAGTCTGGAAAGGAACATGAAGACTACCAGCTGCGACCAAACTTTACCATCGCCATGACGGTGGCAACTGACCTGTTCGACCCCGAGCATGCCTGGCAGGCTCTATGTCTTGCAGATTCGACGATCCGCGGACCCACTGGCATGGCAACTCTGGACCCTGCAGACAAGGACTACCGACCATTCTACCGAAACAGCGAGGACAGCCACGACTTTGCCACAAGCAAAGGCCGAAACTACCACCAGGGACCTGAGTGGCTGTGGCCAACGGGCTTCTTCCTCCGCGCGCTGCTGAAATTCGACCTTCAGCGGAGAAAGACGGCTGAGGGCAGGACGGAAGCATTCCAGCAGGTGACTAGAAGGCTGGCGGAGTGCAAACGAGCCATTCGCGAGAGCCCGTGGGCGGGTCTTACTGAGCTTACGCAGAAGAATGGAGAGTTTTGTGGCGATTCTGTGAGTTTTTCCTCTTCTTCTTTTCTTTTAAACCTGTGTTTTATCCAGCCTTTTAATAATATGCTAATCTGCCCGTCTCCAGAGCCCAACTCAGGCATGGTCTGCTGGCTGTCTCATTGATCTGTACATGGACGCCATGGAGGAGCAGGAGAGCTTGAAGAAATGAGAGATGCTTTACGTACGCGACATGACAATTCACGAGTAAATGATATTAGCATGATGTAAAGGGAAAGCATTTTCGGGGGAGAAGGGCGTATTACACATGTGTTACTTTGCAAGCTGAATGAAGAAGAAAAAAAAGAAGGTGTTTTATTGTTTCTCTCGAGCCCCAAGGAATGCACCACCCCCTTTTTGCTCTAAAGAAAAAAAAATATGGTAGAGCCACCGTGACAAATGATATGACATGTCTCCTGTTGCCTCGTCCACACACCCATGCTTCCCTTTCCCAAAAGAAATTCGATGTCGGAAAAAATGATGCTACTTTCGCGTTTGCCCAAAATCTCTAATTCTCTCCCCTCCCTCCATTCTTGTTTAAAAAAGTAACAAGAAATATCCCAGCATAAAAAAAAACAGAGCCAACGCCAGAATCCAAAAGAAGGGACTTAATAGTGATATAAAAAAAAATTGTATAATGGAAAAAAAAAGATGTCGACAAGGAGCGCCTGTTGATGAGGATGCGTGGTAGCGAGGATGGAGAGTGGTCGTTTCGATCAACATGGTTTCTGGAAAAGAGAGGGCGGCATCTTTTAAAGGTGTGAAGATGAAAAAAAGGTCGTAGTGCTCGTCTTAATTAGGCTCTTAGTATATTTCCAATCGCTCTTTTTCTTCCTTCTCTTTTCTTCGTATTTCCTTGGGGGGCATTATCTTTGTTTCTCTCATGACCGGGAAAAGGGCCACAGCTTGGTCGTCGTGTTGCGCTTCTCCGAGGTTGACGTAAAGTTGGGCAGGTCGGGCGTTGCGTTGGCCTTGTCCTGGTAGGTCATGGGAATGCCGCCAGCGTTTTCGGAGGGCGGGACGCCGGAGCCCCAGGAGTCGGTGTTGCCGCCGGCCTGTCGACGAAGTTCCCGTCTGCGGACGTAGCGACGACGCCAGATGCAGGCGCCGACCCAGATGCCCGTGATGCCGACGATGAGAATGACGAGCATGATGACCCATTGGTAGTGGGTGGAGATCCTGCACGAAAGAGTTAGTGTCAGATAGAAACCCCAAAATTGTCTCTAATGAGGCCGGGAAATCGCCTACCAAGAGCCGTTGGGCGGGTTCGTCCGCTGAGGGCTGTTGGAGCCTGAAGGAGCGCCGCTAGACGTGGAGGAGACGGTAGAAGTACTCGACGGCGCAACTACGTTCTTAATGTTGCAGACGCTGTGATACCAGTTGGTAATGGAAGCAAGGCCGTTGGGCTCGGCGGTACAGGCATTGTCGCAAACGCCGGCAGTCGTGGTGGAAAAGGGCGCAAGGCGAGGGTCGAAGCAGAAGCATGACGTGTAGACGGCGGGACTGTTGGTGGGAATGGCGGGAGGAACACAGGCGCCATTGGCATCGTAGAGATGGCCACAAGCCGCCGCACAAGCTGGAAGCAGGGCGCGGTTGCCAAAGGGCACGATGGTGGTGATGGGCGCTTGCGCTTGAGCTGCGAATTGTCAGATTGCGGACCGCTCGGAAGAGGCATCCTGAGAGAGAGGCTTACCCATTGTGACGTCTTAGAGAGGGGGATTAAGGTGCAGAGGTGAGAGAAGGAGTAGTTCAAAGTATGTACGTAAAGCCCGTAACGGCGGCGAAGAAGAAGGAGTCGCTGGGGAGAATCTTGACGGCCAGCGCCAAACCAGAAGCAATAGAAGCGAGAGTAGGTGTCGATATTTCTGGTGGTTTCAGAAACGGCGCTTGTTCAAACAACCGTGGGTCAGGTGCTGGTGCGAGATGCGAGGCGAGCGATGGGGAGCGAAAGAGAAGTTCCGGAAAAGAGTCGTCGGGTCAGGCGATGGCCAGGCGAGTCGTATTGTCGTCTTCTGATTTTCCTTTCTTTTTTCACTTTCGTTCCGTCTTCGTCTCTAATCCGAGTCGCCGGTGAATTTGCGAGAGCGGCTGACTTAAGCGAGTGGAGAGGAGTTGGAAGGGTTGCGCAGGTAATTTGGTGGCACCGGCTGAGGCGGATCGAGAGCACGGAGAAAATATCGACAGAGTAGCGAGAGGAAGTCCGACGCGAAAGGGCCAGGCGATGGACGCGGGTTGGTGTTTTGGGCGAGAAGAGAGAAGTCGTGAGATGGTCGAAGGGGAGGAAGAAAAGAGTGGAGGGAAACTGGACTGGGCTCTGGAATGGAATGGAGCGTGTGCAGGAGGGACGCTGCGCTGAGAGGCCTTAGCGCTGCCGGATTAGCGGCGCTGCAGCGCTTCCAGGGCTCCGTTTCGCGCAACTGACACAGCCCTCGAGCGCTAAGAGGCGCCCCATCAGGAGCAACGAGGGCCTGTAGAATCCCGTATTCAGCGAGTCGACTGGGGGCGTCAGCGGGAATACGGCCTGAGCCCTGAAGAGGGATGGCGCCAGCGCTGGCAGACTGGGGGGTGGGTTGATTGAATGAATGAAAACGGGAGGGGGGAAGGCGAAAGCGGTTAGAGGGCGGGAAGAAGAGAGAGAGAGTTGAGGGAAAAGGGTTTTGGCCAGTGAGAAAGGTTAACGGAAACAAGGATTTCGTAGTGGAAGTATCATTGATCTGTAAACAAAAGTTGGAGTTGTAGTAGTACGTATGTAGAGATGACGCCGGAAGTGGATCAGAGTGATCAATGCATCTGAAGAGGTCAAGCAGCAAGTACCAGTACCAGTACAAGCACAAGTACAGTATCAGCTTGAAGGTACGAGTAGAAGCCATTCCCAGCGGCAACCAACGAAACGGGAGCACGGACGGCGCATTGAATTGTCTGCAGCGTCGAGGCCTCACTAACAGTTTTTGGTAGCTGCTTGCGCTTGCGGGTACTCCTAAGGTACAACGGTGAAGACGACGTACGTATTCCGATGGCTTGATGTGGAGGGGCGGGTAAATGCGCAAAAGTCCAGGTCGCGGCCACAGGGTCTTTGGTAGCATGCACTCGTACTATGTACTCGTACACGTGTAGCGGTCGATACGAGATACTGTACGCCTACAAGCTCGGCGGCATCATGGATGGCTTCGGCAACAGAGACAGCAAAAAAAGCACACAGATTGGCAATTCGCCAATCTAGAAATAAAAAATCCTACATATCGATAAGGCATCAACACTAATAATATCCTCCAACCATTTGCCGCAGCCCCGTCGCTGGTAACAAACAGCAAAACACAGATCCATTGTTTCGTCCTTCTTCCCCCTAAATCCCCCGTACGTCATCTCTGCGCAGTACCGGTACGCCGTGCCGTGTACCGAGTACATGCAACCTGTCAAGGCACCGCCCCAGGATTTAGAGCCGTAACATGCAGCTCATACCAGATGGAGCGCCCATCACCCCCCAAAGGAAAAAAAAAAAAAGTGTCTCACCTTGCCCTCTTCAACCTCGACTCGACTCCAAAACAAAGCCGTGCGATTTCACTACTCACTACTACTCACTACTAGTTCTTGGTCATCATCACCACTGAGCCAATTGCATCCCGCGCCTCGCACTGTACCAGCGACCGTCTCTTTACCCCTGCACCATCTTGATCTCCGAAACAGGGGCTCAGCAATGATTGGATCCGTCATCTAAATTCTGCTTCTAGCCCCGTGCTCGTGTTCGCGCCGCCGCTTCCCGCCGGTGCCCTGTTCAGCTAGCTGGGCAACTGGGCAACTGGGGAAACAAAATCGATCACCAGACGTCTGTTCCAAATTGCTTCTACTGCGACGCTACAGTACGCTGGCTCGTCTCGTGGCCGTCCATCGGGCGTATCTCGTACAAACTTGGCCGGCTGCTGTCAAGACTGCGGGGAAGCAGAGGCCATCACCATCATGGGCCGATCCAGTCCCGTCTCGGGGCAATGCTCGGCCTTGCGCAGATCAACAACGCCTGGCTGACAGGCTCTGGACTGGCGGCCACTCATGATACTACCTATTCCGTAATCATCACGGGCACTATGCATACACGAGGCTATGCCAAGCAAGAGGACGCGTACTCCGTACTCAACACCTGTTTGTACATGGCTACTACCTACTACTCCGAGATGAACGAAGGCGGTGTTTTTTAATCTCCTACTCGTGTTTCGCCAATGCTCCGCCTCAGTCCAGTACTGTATCTGCAGAGCTGCACTCAGTCCCTCTCTGACTTGTCCCGTCCCCGATTCGCCATGTCACATAATAACGACCATGGAGCCTGCCTCGAAGAATCATCAGGACACAAGGAGGATGATTCCCTTCGAATAGCCTCGTGATTTTCAGCCCCCTTGCACGCACGTATTCGTCGTGCCCCTCGCGATCCCAGACATACATCCCCCTGGAGCCTTAAGAGGCAGAGTTACACCACCACAGTTATATCAAGGCTACTTTCCAGAGCCTTGGGTAGCCACGGTCGACCTGTCATCGTCATCCCTCGCTCTGTTGTTCTGTCGCTCACCCTGGCTGCTCTTGACAATGCCGACAACTACCCCAGGCGCATGCCAGGGATCGCACTCGGTCGTGAATCTTTGGATCCCGTATGGCACCTGAGAGGTAGCTATGCTCAATTCCGTTAGTTCTTCCTCTCTCGACCGGAGATTGCCATGCCATGCCTGTCTTGGACAATGACCCACTGGGCTTATTCATCCCTTGTGGCTTTGAGGCCGAGTTGTCTTGGGGCATCTTGTATTAATCGAGTTGGATCGGTATACTATAATGATACTGGCTTTATCTCAGTTGCAACAGATGATCAGCTGGTGCTGTTTGGCATATCACTGAATCTGAGCAGGCTGAGGACACGACGGCTTCGCATCGGAACATCGGCTCGCTTTATACTCGTCCATTCCGCTTCTTGGTTCAGCAACCAGTCAACGGCCCGTCTTCTGCAGAAGCTTCTTGCTGGCCAATCCCAACATGTCACATACTGCTCAGCCCACCGCACGGCCCATTGTGTACATGTGTGCAAAATCACACTGTCAAAACAGTCATCTATTGGCAGCAAGTCTGCATCTCCGTGAGGCTGGCGTGCATTTCGGTCCTTATCAGACAGCCCTACAGATGCACAGCATGGATGGCTGCGCCTACGCTATGCTGCTATACCGGGATCATGCGGGATCGGAACATCACAATGTCTCGGGCGTGCATTGTATCGGCCAGACAAACGCCCAAGTAAAGCCGTTTGTGTGAGGGAGCTGGCACAGATGGCATCGGCGTCAACCTAGACGTGAAAGTCACTAGGAGCTAGCCTGGTGTCTCAGAGCTTGATTCCAGCGAAAATCCCAAGGGGCTTTGATCTTTGTGTGAAACTTTCAAGCCACCCATACACAGACCTTGACTCGACATGTCCTCACGCATGGCCGTTCTTCTTTCAAACATGCTATTCCCGGCGTCAGGCACTCTATTCTACCATGTGAATGGACAGACGCCAAGGAGATGGCCTCTTGGGATGTCTTATACGTTACCTCTGTGCCAGGTACTTCTCAGTGACGTGTTTGGGCGAGCATAATCTTGAGACATGCTGCAACGGGCGGCTGCAGCGTGCGACAGAAGCAACGAGTTTACATGGGAGATGCTGTCAGCTCATAACTTGTCCAACTCCCGTTTACACCGCTTCTTGCTCTCGTTCTAAATGGGAAGGGCTTCAACTTGCCTCCCTTCTGACTGTAGTTGCCAATTATCGAGCGATGAGCCCTAGCATTGCGATATCCGCGTACTATTTGAAACGAAACGACTCTTCTTAGTCTTTCTCATGTAGAGTCATGTGAAGCTAACATGTCCACATATTGTCTCATCAGATAGAAATAACGTTTGGTCGTGTGGTGTCATGTTTCTTCCCCACATTCTTAAATTCTTCTCCAGCAACCCCGAGGCATCAGACCCACGAAATGCCGATCCTCTAGGACACTAGACTGTCGACCATATTTCTGAGGACGTGGAACATGGAAGACAGCAGTAGGCCTATGGAACCTTTAGCCGATGGAGCCCACCTTCCGATAGGGCAATTGTTCACGTAGCATTCATCATGCTGAGGAATGTCAGCGTCATATGGGATACAGCATCTGACAAAGATCTTTTTCTCGCAAACGTTCCTCTAGAAACTCACTCGCAGAATCTCTTGGACTCTAGGTGGTCGTACTGCACTAACGCAGGGGCACTCAACGTTAAGCCACATCATCCAGTCAGACCACAATTTCGAATCTTGCTTCCGAATCTTGCCTATCCGACGATATTGTGCTTATATCGGATATGCGTGGTCTTGGTGGTAAGTTTTGACCATTTAAGAATCGAAGCCACGCCAGAAGCAGATACACCGCTCTCGTATTGTGATTGGGTATCCATACGTTGAAGCACGTCGATACGTCTCTCGATTCCACGAATGTACTTGTTCACAACCCGATTCAGCTGGATGAAGTGGGCCATGTTCATCTCCCGAGTCCATATAGCAAGCATCCTCTATAATGAGGTCATTTCCCCAGAGAGGCAGCCCTAAACGAAATAGAACTCTCATATAACAGGGATTGCGTGGCCATCATAGGAGCCCACTGTAGATGGTTGAAACATTCAGTAAGCTTGAGCTGGTTCTTTATCTAGTGAAACAACGCAGGGCTGGCGGAAGTTACCCGGGTCTTACACAGTCTCAAAATCTCAAACACATGATCAAGGCTGATAATGTGAATTTGAAGTTAATGCCTTAATCGGTGAGCTCATGAAACCAAGTGTTACACTCCCTGGTGGTTTTTTTGGTCAATATTGCGCTTGTTCACGTATTACAGACCATCCAAAATGCCCATCTTTTTATCCAGCAACCCAACGGCGCACTGAACAAGCCTGTTTACGATTCTTATATCGTGGACAGGGGTCTGAGCATTCCGAGACTTGAAGTCTCTCAAACGATCTCCATATGCTGTGGTACCTCAGCCACATGCTTCTGACATTGTGCTTGACCAATTGACGTAGGAGTTTAGGAGCTGAGCAATTGGCATGCCACCGACTCTGTTCACCGATGTAGGACTTTTGGAGGACGACAAATCTTTCGTTACTAAGGCATGAGGTTATCCCTCGGCAATAACAGGGGAGGGTGGAGATGTATTTGGAATGTGTCACGAAATGGATTTCGTGTTGCGGTGTGTTTTTGACGCTCTTGGGCTCTAATCTTGACGGCTGTATTCGCACTGCCCTTCGGCTTTGAATGATGGGCAAGTTGCGTCTTGCCGAGGCAACGTTACGGTAGCCGTAGAAGTCAGGTATGAGGCGGCGTAAGCCAGCAGTGAGAGAATCGGCCGTGGTACACTGGCTGTTTTTCTGGAACAGTCGCGTTTCATGCTGTCAGTAGAGAAAATCCTGCCAACGTTTGGCACAAGTACAGATGTAGGACTTTGGGGCTGATGACGCCATGTGGTCTTGAGCTCCAACAAAGTCTTGATGGATGCCTTGTGAAAGTGTCTGTGAGTCACTGGTCGGTACTACGGCTTTGAAGAGACATTGAGCTGTCACAGTGCACATAGTGAGCTAAAATGAGATGGCTCTATGTTGATACGATGGCTTTATTTTCTAACAGCCTCCAATGATGGTAAAAGCGCGCGCCATGTATTGGTTGATATGGGATCATCCATCAGCACATGTGCATGTCTGTGGATACATGTCAGGGATCACGAGATCCGGGACTCAAGCCAACGGTTCTCGACTCTTGCATGTTATTCTCCAATTACCCATTACCCCCACAGAAATCACCCGGATAATGGGGTACCTACAGAGGCTATTATGCCACATGTTTACATATCGATCGCAGCTGTATCCATCTACTTGCCTAGACGGGACGTTGGGTGCTAATGGTTGCTGTTTAGGCACAGAGATAGGAGCCTAACACTAGACTAGCCTACCTATACAATAACACCAGGCCACGTCAAATGAGGAGCCACAGCCCTGCATGGATGGACTAAGGCATATGGATTGTGGTTTGACAGCGGGTTATTCTGGATTGCCGATTTTTCAACACTGCCTGCTTGATAATTTTACTTCTTTGTATGATATTAGATTGATATGTTAATAATTTGCAATTACTCACATCACCAATTCCAAGCTCTAGGTTAAGGGACATGAGCAAATACCAAATTTAGTGACGTGTCTGCCCAATCGGTGGCTGTGGTGGCGGTGTGATCGTCATGCATTCAGTGCATTTTGCCACCAAGCGGTTCGCCTAAGGTGCTAACCACGCTGTATCCTAGCACCGTCGTAGTGCATAAATCATGCACCAAGCTAAAGCTACGTCACAAGACTTTTCAACATGCAACTCTCGTCGTCTCCTTTGTCTTTCTTCCCCTTTCTCGCTCGAGGAGATGAGGCATCATGTTCGGGGACAACACGACAGACAAGTGCGACGGCAAGGACATCATTCCGCCGGCCTCCAAGACGGTGCGCGATCTTGAGGTGCAGCTGGTCCTGTCCTTGATCCTGGGCGTTGGCGCCTTGATCGCATTCTGCGTGAGTTGCTCAAGCTGTTGATCGCATCGCGTGATGCTGCGACGAGACCTGTGCTAATTGCTGCTGGGATGCTGTAGATTCTGCGCCCGCGATGGCCGACCCTATATGCTGCGCGCAAGAGGCGCCTTGATCCGAATATTGGCCTGCCGGCCCTGACCGACTCTTTCTTTGGATGGATCCCCACGCTCTACAAGGTGTCTGAGCAGCAGGTTCTGGCGTCGGCTGGACTCGATGCGTTTGTTGTATGTTGCCAGCGCTTCGATTATATTCTCGGGAGGCGGGAGCGGAACTAACGTGGTTTGTGGCAGTTCTTGACCTTTTTCAAAATGGCCACCCGCATCTTCGCCATCATGACCTTTTTTGCCGTCGTTGTCCTGTGGCCGATCAACTACAGTTATCGAAACTTTCAACCCTTGTGGGGAGGTAACGATGACACGCCTGGCGATGATAACGACGATCTTTACAAGCCCATTGGCTTGCCTTATGGCTCTCTCTCTCTGGGCATAGGTATGGCAGGAGATGGGCCTGAAAAAGATAGGAGCCGAGAGAGAACATTTCTATGGGCTTACGTCTTTTTCACCTACTTTTTCGTCGGATTGACGATTTATTTTATCAACAAGGAGACGTTCCGCATCATTGGCTACAGGCAAGACTACCTGGGGTCGCAGTCTACCATTACAGACCGAACGTTTCGCCTCACTGGCGTTCCAGTTTCCTTCAGAACCGAAGCGCGTATCCGCACGCTCATTGAGAAGCTGGGCATCGGCAAGGTCGAGAACGTGTCGATATGTCGAGACTGGAAGGCGCTTGATAAGACCGTGGAGGAAAGAAACGAAGTTCTTCACAAGCTTGAAGAATCTTGGGCGCGTTACCGAAAGCAACAGCGATATTCAGCCGCGAATGATCGCTACAACCGAAATGGTGGCGCGAATTCCTCTCGAAACGATTCACATATCAGCCAGGGTGATGAGGAGACGGGCGAGGACTGGCGGCTCCTGGGAGACGACTCTGACCAAGCCCACGTCACCGAAGGCGATCGACCGCAGATTTCACTACGATACGGAATTTTTGGGCTCCGAAGTCGCAGGATCGATGCCATTGACTATTATGAGGAGAAGCTTCGAAAGATGGATGACAAGGTCATTGAGGCTCGGAAGAAGGACTACAATACTACGGACATGGTACTTGTCACCATGGACTCTGTCATGTCCTGCCAAATGGTCGTCCAGGCTCGGATTGACCCACGGCCTGGCCGGTTCCTGACCAAGGCTGCGCCTTCGCCTTCTGATATTGTATGGAAGAACACGTACGAACCTCGTGGGGTGCGTCGAATCAAGGCGTGGACGATTACTCTATTCATCACGATCCTCACCCTGGTCTGGATTTTCCCAACAGCATTTCTTGCTTCGTGGCTTAGCATATGCACCATCCAGAAGGTCCTGCCCCCCTTCTCCGAGTGGCTCAAGGACCATGCCGTCATTCACTCGCTATTCCGAAACGGTCTGCCCACGGTCGTGGTTTCGTTGCTCAACGTTGCTGTCCCCTACCTCTATGAATACTTATCCAATCGCCAGGGAATGATATCGCACGTCGATGTGGAGCTCTCGCTCATCTCCAAGAACTTTTTCTTCACCTTCTTCAATACCTTTTTCGTCTTTGCTGTTTCGAGAACGGCATTTGAATTTTGGAGCGTGCTTCAGGATTTTCTCAAAGATACAAGCAAGATCCCTAGAGCTATCGCGGCTAATGTGGAAGATTTATCCGTCTTCTATATCAGTTTCATCATACTACAAGGTGTTGGCCTGATGCCTTTTCGAATTTTGGAAGTCGGAAGCGTCTTCCTCTTCCCAATTAACCGTTTCCTGGCCAAGACTCCGCGAGACTATGCGGCGCTTAAGAAGCCGCCAGTATTCCAATATGGGTTCTATCTGCCTACCTCGCTGCTTATTTTCAACCTTTGCGTCATCTACAGTGTCTTGAGATGGGGCTTTGCCATCCTGATCTTTGGAACACTCTATTTCTCGATTGGGTATTTCACATTCAAGCACATGCTCTTATATGCCATGGACCAGCCGCAACATGCAACCGGAGGCGCGTGGCAGATTATCTGCTATCGCATTGTCATCGGGCTAATTGTATTTGAGGTTGTCATGATTGGGCAGATTGCATCTCTTGCGGCCTTTGTCCAGTCAGTGGCCGTTATGCCTCTTATTCCCTTTTCGATTTGGTATACCTATTATTTCAAGAGGCGATATATGCCTCTTATGAAGTACATTGCCCTGCGAGCCATCAGACCCGAGGAAGGCTCTGGCGAGGGTGAGGCTGTTGTGGATGAAGAGGAGTCTGATGATGCTAGCCCGGACCGCTTACGATCGCGAGAAATGCTGCGTAGAGGTAGCACATTGGATGAACTTAAAGAGAGAGACTTGACATTTACCAACCCAAGTCTCGTCATGCCGTGAGTAATGCTGTATATTACTTGTATGATTTCCAAGCTAACATGATCAAATTAGTCTCCAGCAACCCTGGGTTTACACCGACCCGCCTCCAATTGTGATGACCGACGAGGATTCAGAAGATGGCTCAGCAGAAGGCTCTGAAGACCAGCCGAGAGTACTGCTGCCTAATGCAGATAGCTCTTTGGGCATCGGAGAAGACAACGTGTGGTTGAATACTGCAGGACGAGATCGAGAACGAAGATGAAATGCGAAATTGACTTGAGGCGCGCTGTGTAGTGAATGGGTGTATTTGGGTATGCGAATACGGTGGTCGCTCTGATGGGGTGTCAGAATCTGCTCTTTTCTTATTGTTTTCCATTCTCATACCATGGCGTTATTGACTCATGACTGATTGTTACGCGACATATCCACTGCAATACGTTGGCTGCAATTCCATGCTGTGCTTTTTGCCGCTTATACATATGGCAAGAACGATACCAATGACTATTTAGATAGCCCCTTTCTTTGTATTGCTACTTGAAGGAGCGATGAGGAATGACGAAGGAGAGTTCAAGGTGGAGGTAATTTAAGTCAATCAGAATGTCACTATTGACCGTATCGCCATTTCCCACCCCGTGTGATGCTGCGCTTATTTACTTCTACCTTTACTTCACCTCTGAACGACCGTCCTAAGAATCATCACACACTCTTTCAATAACTATAGATTCTCATATTATCGAAAATTAAAAAAGACAAGAACGGCCTCCTGTCCAGGAGGTCAACCTGCAACACGTCCTCACAAATATTTGTCTCGAGGGGCGTTGCCGGAGCTCGGTCGACGAGATCGAGAGGGACTTCGCAGCGGCCCGCGAGCACGCCTGGCGAGACAATGGCTGTTGTTGCGTTGGTGACGAGCGGCGACCGGAGGATCTATGCACTTCCTGGGCAGCTGGCTGATGTGGAGAAGGTATACGGGGGCGAATATGGGGATGAAGAGGATGAGGATGGTGGGTGACGCTCGTCTTGTTCTTGTCATTTTATAAAGGTATTGACGTGATAAATAGACGTTCCTGGCTCTATGCGACTCCCCAACGAACTGCTCCAACAAATATATCGCAAGTTATCTCCCGTGGACTTTAACTCGGCGAGACACGCATGTCGGACATAGTATTTGGCATCCTTGGACCGCGAGCTGCTTACCAGCATGCTGAAGCAGGGAGGATGGTGGAGCAGCATGTTGGCCATCCTATCACCTATGAGAACGGTACCGGCATCGAACCTAAGTCGCGAGGATATCATGAGCAAGTGGATTGCGAGAGAATGCAACCTCCTAAACTGGCAAAAGTCTGCCTTCGTGGAAGTTGGCCATACAGACTTCAGTGCCATAGTGCCCGGATCAGTGCCCGGAGACTTGCGGGGGGCGATGAGCTTTACTGTGAGCTTGTGTGGAAAGTTCTTGATGGCTGTGTATGGCCGAGTTGTCTACATATACGAGCTGAATCATGTGTGCTTTCCGGAGCGGTTGCTTTGGGCGCTGCCGTTTCGTCGGAGACAGGGGATGCCGTTGGGGCTGCTGAGGCCTGTGACGAGGGTTCTGTGTCCCCGAAGGGTTATCTCTTGCAGTATGGATACTTCGGCGGAGAGATATTCTGCGGCATTTTTGATGGAGGGGAGGGTTGGTATGGTGTGTGATATTACGACTGAGAGAACGGGCACGTCGAGTTCTGCATCGACGCCTCAAACGGAAGCGCCTGCTACCGGATCTGGATCTGGTGTATCTTCCGCATCGGCATCTTCATCGTTTTCAGTGCAGCGTGTTTGCAATCAGCATCTGTCGAGTCTCCCAGTGCCGCCGGAAGAAGGCCCGAGATCGGTTTATCGCAATATCTGCCATCCAGATGACCCTCCCCGATCGGTAGCCATCTGTCCTCAGAGGAAATGCGTGGCCTTTGGATGCTCTGCTAGAATCGAATTGCATTGGGTTGATGCCATGACTGGCCAAGATCTCAGCAGATGGTTCCCACTTACGTCTCCGAGTGACTTTCTTTACTTCCTACCGCCACGGAGGGGAGTTGACACGCCGCGGAAGCTGAGGTTGATTAGCTCCGCTGCTGGTCTGGGCAACCCCATGGAGCTGCTTGATGGCATTATTCATGGCTTCAGCACTTCACTTTTGGGATCTGGGAGCACGGCGACGGTGTCTTGCTTTGATACGGATCCTTGGTACATGAGGCATGGCCGAAGGTCGAGTCGAGATGCCGATGCCGTCAATAATGAAAGTCTACTTAGCCGAAATGTGCCGCAAGATAGTCCTCTTCGGAGGCTTGTTGCTGCCAGCGCAGATCACTTTCGGGCAGTACCGCTGAGTGACGGGCATCATATCTTGTTTACTGATCCTCGTACGGGAAGCCTTTGTCTGGGAACGGATGCTCCTGTGGGTTCACTTACCCGTCTGCTTCGCAAGGTCTGGTTTCGGCCCCCTTCACAGACATACTCCCCCATGCCTCTGTTGTACATTGTCGGATCTGATACAAGACATGGCGTTCGCGTTGTCGCGACATTTGCTGCTAGGCCACAAAATGAGGTGATAGCATTGGATGAGCGCAGATTTTCTGGCGCAAGTGCTGCAACTCTTAATGGTACAGATTCCAGCCAGCAACTTATTGTGTTTTACACAGTGCCACCGGATGTGTTCCATGATATACGCCGGGTCGATGCTGAGGCTAGATCTCCTGGATATCGCCCCCCTGAAAGCCGCAGGTTTGGGCATTATGAGCCGAGACACGGGCCGATTGACCTATGGAGCGACCCCTTTGGACAAGATTCGCATTATCCAATCGAGATACATGGACAAGTGGTGGCAACGTGTGGAAATCTCACAGAAATTGCGTTGAACTCGTCTCCGGACTTGATCATCTGGGCCTTTGCTGCCGGTGGGTGGGCCAAGACCTGGGCATTGGACACTGGGAGAAATGAGCCACTTATAGCCTCTGCCGCTCAACGAGATGGGAGTGTTCGACAGGTTGATATTGATGACGATGTTGTCACGGCCGGGCCTGCGCCGCAATCAGAGTCGTCTTCAGAATTGAGCTCGCTGGATTTTAATCTCTTTGATGGCGCACCAATCAGCAGCTTAGACCGAGAGCTACCAGTTCAAGAACCGTATTGCCGTGGCAAGAGATGGCATGTGCGGGGAGAGATTTGGGATATGCAAGGGGATGAGGGCGATGCTCTAAGCATAGACCTTGTGGAGGAAATGGGGAGTATTACGAGGATTAACGTTGAGCTCTTGTCCTAATGATTCTTGTGGGTGATTATAATAATAATATGCTTAGGCGTTAGATTAAAACATAGGGTTATAATGAAAGAGATTGCATCATATGTAATTGGCCTGTTTGAAGAGACCTTATGATCTAATATGGCTCACCATTCTGTGATTGAAGTCCATATTTGGGATCTTATTTCTCTATGTTTGGTAACGAAGTGAAATACCACTGCGTAAAAACCTAGTAGAGCAAGTAATGAGAAAGCAGATTGCAAGACAGCTACCGCAAAATATTTGGACGCCGAGGTAGCTGTTTGTGCTTGTGAGGATTGCGCCGCCAATTGGTGTTCCAATCAGCAATGCTATCGATGCAACTGCAAAGAACATGCCGAGACGAGTGCCCAAGTCTCGGAGATCTTTGGTTAAAGCTGTCATGACGACTGGAGGAAGGGACACGAAGCCGTAAGAAAAGGATCCGTAAAAGATGCAAAGGACAGTGATACCTGCTGTTGAATCGACGGCAATCCAGTAGTACGCCAACAGAGCTGTGATGCCTGCTGCGGGAGCGAGCGTGTTGAGAGGGCCGACGTGGTCGGCTAGGAAATCTGGCGTGACGCAGCCTTGAGCTCATTGCATTGTCTATGATTACGGTATGATACTCTTCCAATTGAATTAATGGTCGTCTCGTTTTTTTTGTTTCCACAATAACTAATCAATGGCAAATTATAGAGTGCTCATACGGCCAGATAACGAAGCGCAGTCGGAGTGAACCCTCTTACTAGGTACGTAAAAGCATTAGAGGCTCAGCTTCGCAGAGCAGAAATCGTTGTTCGAATCGCGGCACCCAATGTGAATCTGAATGATCCTCGTCTAGACACGGCGGGTCCTGCACAAATAGTAGGCATCTCCCCAGGGTTCCTTGTGATCTCGACCGACTCCAAACTCCAGTCTGGATGAAACGATACCTCTCGAAGATTCCCATGAATCTTTTCTTGAAATGAGGATGGAATATTTTGGGTTTCTGGACCTTGACGATCGTGGGCACTGGGATTACTAGGGGCATTCTTCGAGGAGCATTTTCACGCAGCGCTTGCAAAACCAATTTGGAAACTTGATCATCCCGCCTCGGTCATTAACCAATTCAAAGCCAAGATCCAAATCCCGGAAACAAAGTGATCATCAAATAGGAAAAACTAACGATGTAATCAAGGACAGCACGAGCACCACTACAGCTTCTAGTTTGCCTTTGGAAGAGATTGCTCGAAAGCTCTGTCAAATCTGTTTTGACCATGCCTGCGTACTTATGCGCTTTACTCACGAGCCGTCCTTTTGGAAGTCCTTTGATCGTATCTACGCAACCTCATGGGATCAATTTAGTGATGAGGAGCATACATTTCTACCTTAGTTATATATCGTCTTGGCTGTTGGCTGCCTCTTTCTAGACGATGTTAAGCCTCCCATAGAAGTTACAGATTATGAGGTTCTTATTGACCAAGGGTAAGGTTACATGTTTTACCACCGATATGGTTCTCATACATATACTGACAAATTACGCGTATACCAGATATCGATACTTTGAGCTATCTCAAGAATTGGTTGACATGACAGACTGCCGAGACCTAATCACCTTACAAACAACAGGGTTTATGATTTTGTTCCTTCAGTCGTCTGAGAAACTAAGCACATGCTATTCTTATATTGGAATTGCCCAGCGAGCAGCCGTTTGCCTGTGGCTTCATAGATATGAGTCAGGAAGCTTCAATGCTCTTGAACGCGAGCTCAGAAAACGCATCTTTTGGGCTATTCGGAGTATGGACATCTATGTCAGCACTCTTCTTGGTTTGCCACTGCTGGTGAGCACCGGCGACATTGATCAAGAATACCCCCTGGAAGTAGACGATGAGTACATCACTTCGACCGGCGTCTTGCCAATACCCGTGGGTCGAACATCGTTAATGATGGGTGTAAATGCCCATACCCGATTAGTGGACATTATTGTCAAGATGGCCAAATACGTTTATCCAGTCCGGCATGCCTCACACTTGGCACCATTCAATCACACATATGTGGTCCGCCATTCTAGATTACGAGGCATTGAGAAGGATTTAGAATCTTGGATGAAGAATCTACCCGAGGCTCTAGCATCACGAAATGATGCTTCCCCTAAATTGGCACGGTAAGCTCCTTTTGCATAGCATTAACCCATCGTGGTTTTCATAATAATTATTCCACATAGCATGCAACAAATGCTACGGATAGGTTATGCTCACGTTCAATGGGTCATGTATAGACCATTCCTACACTCCATCTCGAACGATCTTCAGCCTCAGGACATAGACAGGCGATCCTATAGATGCGCTACCGCCTGCATCAGTGTCTCCAGAAATATAATTCACATAACTACGGAGATGTATAACAAACGTATTCTTAATGGCTCCTCTTGGTTTGCGGTGCACACCATTTACTACGCCGTCCTCACATTTGCCTACTTTTTGCTTGAGAATTCTGGCCCTCCAGTAACCAAAGACAGGGTTCTGAAAGACACATTGGAGGGGAAAAATACACTGGCAGGATTGGCTAACAACGGCGTGGCCGTTGGGGGATGTGCCTGTCTCTATGTAGGGTGACATGATTTTTTTATCCTCACACATGTGCTGACGACGGCGAATTTAGTCTCTTATAGAGCATCTCCCAGAGAGACTAAATAAGCACAAAAGTCCAACTATTCAGCCTACGAATCATGAAACCTCCGCAAAGCTAGAATCAGCCTCCAGTTTGAGAAGATGGCACTCAACGTCCCCCGATTTATCGCGGTCCTCACCACCCAAGTGGTTAAATGCTTACGCCCTGAATGGATCCATCAATTCAGCTTCTAGCAACGCCTCTTCGATGGAACTATCTGTCAATGAACATTATGACTTATTGCAACAGCTTGGCCCTATACATGCGCCACCAGAACGAATGCTTTTACGATTTCCATCGGATGATCCGTTTGCTTGCCCGACTCAGCCTCTGTCTTCCTTTGATAATGATGCTTTTCTAAACGTGCAGTCGACAGTATAGGTGCAGTTTAGTTACGATCCAGGATTGCAAATTTATTCTGTCTTGTCTGACGAATACGCTTTTGAGAACGAAACGATTCCATTTGATAATAATTTCTTTGAAGAAAAGGTTTGAGGTGATTTATGCTATAATCCAAATACACCATCTATGTATCAGAAATCTGCATTTGCAAGATTGGTCCAACGTGGAGGCATTTTCGGTGCCCTGTTCGAAACTAACACTGTTTATTTTCCAGTTCGATGCCAGAAAGACCCAAGGGCTCTTTTGAGTCTCCCGTTGTGGTAGCTTATGCGTCCGCTCCACCTCGTAACTATGTCTATATTACAATTAGCCTTGTACATCACTACCTAATTTTCAATGATTTTAGTCAACATGAAATCACCTTGTCTTTTTTGTCGCAGAGCCAGCACCTCATCCCGATCATCCGCATCACTCCTTTCATTTGCATCATCCGCATCATCCCCATTGCGACACCGCATTTCTCGGACAAACGTAATAACATCTTTTGTGACTGTAACCTCTTGCCCACGCCTATCAAGTAGCAGAAACATAATTCCCGTTGCATTTTCAATCGCGATTGCAGCCTTGATGATGTCTTCTGCAACGGTAATCCCCATGTCCGCATCTATCAAGCAGCAGAGATATAATTCTCACTGCATTTTCATTTGCCATTGCAGCCTTAATTATGTCTTCTGTGACAGTAATCTCATGTCCACGCCTGTCAAGCAGCAGAGACATAATTTCAACTGCGCACGATTTACGAGCCACTGCAGCCATAACAACGTCTTCTGTAATTGTAATCTCATGTCCACGCCTGTTAAGTAGCAGAGACATAATTTCAACTGCATCCCGTGTATTAGCCACTGAAGCCTTAAAAACGTCTTCTGTAACTGTTATCTCATGTCCACGCCTGTTAAGTAGCAGAGATATAAATTCAACTGTATTGCATGCCACTGCAGCTTTAACAACGTCTTCTGTAATTATTATCTCATGTCCACGCCTGTCAAGCAGAAGAGACATAAGCTTAACTGCATTCCATGAATCAGCCACCGGAGCCTTACGCTTGGCCCTTCTGAAAGTGCGTTCCATCCAACATGCTGCATTGGCTGCCGCGGCTTTGACGATGCCTTCCGTGATTGTAATCTCATGCCCACGCCTGTCAAGGAGTAGAGACATTATTCCCTCCGCATGCAACTTATTGGCTACTGCAGCCTTGACGATGCCTTCTGTGATTGCAATCTCATGCCCACGCCTGTCAAGCAGTAATTGCATTATATCTGCATGACTGTCTGCTGCGGCTTGAACCACTTTCTCTGTAATTTTGGTTCCGCTGCAATGGTCTAAGAGTAAACTCAAAGTTTCAGGATAAGATGTCCTCATTGCCCCAATGAGCACTGCTTCTGTTATGTTAACCTCGTGGCCACGCCGCTCGAGAAGTAGAGCAAGCATATCTCTCTTATTGCGTGTCGCAGCTATCGCGACATCTTGTGTAATGGTGAACTCGTTGCCACGCTCATCCAGGAGCAGAGACATGGCGTCAACTGATGCCCATTTAGCTGTCTGTTGGACCAGGTAATTTGTGATTTCGATTTCATCGCCATGCCTCTTGAGCAACAATGCCAAAACTGCTGCCCAAACTGCTGGCCCACACCTCCCGTTTTGTGCTGCCCCATCTAGAGCCGCTTCTGTAATCGCGGTCCAGCTGCCACGCTGATCAATCTTGTCAAGAAGCAGAGTCACCATCGCTCCTGCTTGTGAGTCCCATTCTGCCGCTTCTCTAATATCATACTTTCCCACATTCGCCCCGTGATCTAAGAGCACTTGCATCACCTCTAAATGGCGGTTTATTATGGCAAAATGAAGTGGCGGGCTGGTATTTCTGATGTCTAGTGAGGAAAATGTCTCCACGTTCACATCGGCATGTTCATGCACGATGACGTCATATACAACTGCAGGTAGGCCCAACACAGCCGCAAAATGTAAATCTGACGATTTCTCGATGTCGTACCAGGGAATTATAGAAACAGGACCACGTTGCCTGAAACAAAATTCTGCCTGTGGTGAAGATATACGACAAAGCTCCCGTGCAGGCTTTCGAAGCAATTCGGTAGAGGCTGCATCTTGTGAACGAAAATGCAAACACCAATTGGCAGCGGCGTAGTAGAAGAGGGGGTACTCGTTTCTAGGGGATTCGCACTTGGGATCAAGTATCTGTAGATAATTGATGCACGCTCTGGACAAGACGCCATGTGATTTTGGCAAGCTTAACCGACCTTTCCATTTCTCTGGTCCTGGTTGCTCATGGGAGACTAAGAATTCTCTCGCTGTCTGGTGGATGAACCACAGCTTGGAGTCGTGGATGCTGATGAAAAGGCCGCACAGATTCTGCACTGTCGTCTTGAAAGTATTCTGTGGCCATAGCTTTCCTTGTAGCGTTGCATACGCCGAGAATCCTCCCTCTTCCACGGCAAGTGCGAGAGCATTGTTGGCCTCTTCTAGAGTCAGCGGGCGTGTCGCAGCCAAAACAATTTGCAGCAAAGCCTCGACTTTCCTTTCATGTTGACTTCTTGAAAGGATTTTCTCATACGCACCAGCCACGTTAGGTGGTAGCTCGCATAAAAGCTCTTCTATATCCGAACTTCTGCTATATGCGCTCCTCTTCTTCTCGATGATGTCTAATGTTAGGTGTAGCCAGAGATATGTCCGGTTCTCCATGCTTTTGAGACGTTTCGAAATCATGTCTCGGTCCTCTTCTGAAAAGGGCGCTGCAAAATGTTGTACCTTGGTATCAATAACAAGGTTTATTTCTTCACCAATTTGTCCGGACTTCTCATCCCCGTCAAAATGCAAATATGTTGCGACGGATAAAAGTCTGTCGAATGACCATTTCAAATCATCATACGGCCGGCTGGTGATCAAAAACTTTAATTTCGAGGACCCAAACAGCTCACCCTGCTGAGAAGATGAGCTCTCAATCATGCCCAGTAATCGCTGAGCACTGTCTCCTCTGCACTCGTCCAGAGCATCGAGTACGCAAATAATGTCCGCTGAGGAAAACTTTGCACAATCAACCAATATTTGCCACAGAACGTCCATTTTATTTGTTAGAGTTTTTTGATGTGTCCTGTGGCTCGGAAGCGCGTAGGCGATAAGATTGGAAGTCAAAGGGTGCTTGAACAGCTCGTGTAAGATTGCACAGAACGCCTGAGTGCCGTCTATTTGTTCCGCATTCCCGTCTTTGAAGAAGAAGTAGCAGATGACAGATGGTCTTTGGGAAGCCCTAATAACTGGCGGCTGAATGGTAATTGTAGAATTAGGTGTCAGATGGCCTTCGTCGATTAGACATCTCGATAGGACTGATTTTCCACATCCAGGACCTGCCGAGACCCACAGAAGCGCTCCAGCTTGCCTATCCCGCCAATTGCAAAACCTCTCGTCCCTCAAAAACCACTCACAAGTTCCAGGGACTCTCTTTGGGTTGATATCCTTATTCCTCGCGTAGTTTCCTGACGCTTCTGCTAGGTTGCCGAAGAGGTTCTGTTCCATATCGTCCTGTTTGCCTTTTTTCATATCTTGAAGTATCTCGTCTTGGAGAATCACCTGTTTCCGAATTGCCTCCAGCTGGATTTTGCTGTTGTTGTAGATATCGGCTTTTTGCCATTCAGTGATGTGATGGAGGCAGTTCTGTTCTAAATTTTGGATTGGCCGCATCATCTCAGTCCAATCGTCCGACCCAATCACGCACTCAAAAGTGCGGGAAATCGGCGGTTTAGCGACGTGACATATCGCTCGAGCCTGGTATTCGATTATAAAGGAGTATAGCTCTGCCATGGGTTCTCTTAAATGGTAAAGAGGCTTTGAATTCGATGATGTGAGATGTGTCTCTTCGCAAGCTTTCCAAAATACTTGCATGTCGATGAGTTTATTAAAGCCTTTCAACATTTCTTTATTGTAAACTGAGATATCTGAGAGAAGCTACGACAGTAAGTAAATATTCACGGTATAACTTCAACATTTACCTCCACAAATCACTTACCGAGAGAAATATTGAGACGCTAGACCACGCCAAGGCAACATACGGTTGAGTTTTCGATGCTGCCCTGACAACCTCGTCAGACCATATTAAAGATTTCGCGAGTTTCTCAATTTCCTCTTGTATCTCGGTGTTGGCCCTGGGCATTATGACTTGAATTTTCTTCGTTTCTCGAATGTTCATCAATTGATTCACAGTAGAGTCGATATAGACAGGATCCAAGAGGTCTCCATCTGTGATCGAATCACCGACTGCCTGCAAATCGTTCAGATGCTTCATGTAGCTTTTCATCAGCTTGGCTTCCCGCTTTTGGACCGCCCCGTAGGCACGAGTCCAGAGGTCAGTGTCGTCATCGAAAGACAGATTGTCTAGAGGTACCGCTACGGATGCTCTAAGTGAATCTGTGACAGAATTGACATAGTAGTTCTCTCTGTTAAAAAGACGAGTATGAACGCTAATATTATTCTGCTTAGATCCGCCTGACGCATTGTTGTTGGAAGCCATATCTGTTCGATATGCCAACTTGGGACTTGAATACTGATTGTTCCATAAAACTGTATAAATTTGATGAATATGCTCGTTCTAGATGCCAGCCTAAGAGCTACGGTTGTAACAAGTAACGTTGTTACAAAGTTCACATCTGCTCTCCCCTCACATGGACCTAGAATTATTGTGGAGTCCATGCAACAGAGCCTCATCCATAGCTCAACCGCATACACTATTAATGCCCAAATAACTGCCTAACTGCATTGCTTTGTTGGCAAGGCGCCATATAAAGTGGGATATGCCTCGTCGGCCAATGAGGGGTGATTGACTTGCATATTGAAATCTGTCAAACAATAGCAATCATTAATTCGAGCCACGTATTTGAAAGGAAAACAAAAAGGCTGGGAGTGACGTGGCTAACCATCTCATGTTGCAGGCAGATACTGCCGTACCCAGTCATCTGAGCGATGAAAGCACATGATCCTATAGCATCTATATCATAATCTCCCAACTGCTGTATCGGGTGAGAGAGTAAAGGAAGGCATTTGTGAAACCATTTAAAATATACTTCAACACATACCTATGTAAGGGTAAAAGCTGTGGCGCCCCCAATAATTAGTATCCAAATATCTCTCCGTTAGAAACTGTATCAAATATCTATAAATAGTATGTAACAAATATGAACTCTCATAACCTTTCGTTTGCTGTAATTATGTATAAATCTAGGCATTGTATTAAATATACACATCCTTGAGGTCTTGTTTCCCTTACATAACCATTTCTGACATACCCAGCAACTCAATACCTTATTACCTTTATTGAACTCTTGAATCGACTTGACTCTTGATACTTAGTAACATAAATAAAGACATGTCGAACCTTGTTTTACATTCTAAACTGAATGCTGTCATCGACATTCACGAGGCCGCTTAGCAATGCCTTGCCAAGGACCGTCCGGACGCGAAGATTTCGAGATCGCCCTAGTTTGCGCTTTAGAAACGGAATTCGAAGCAGCATGCTTGGTTGTTGAACAATTCTGGGACGGGGGTGAAGATTTCTATGGGAAAGCGGCGGGAGACATGAACAGCTACCGAACCGGGCGCATTGGTAGGCACAATATTGTGCTATTGTTGCTGTCTGGAATGGGAAAGGTTCGTGCCGCTCATGCGGCAGCAAATCTACACTCGAGCTTTACAAGGTTGCGCCTGGTACTATTGGTTGGAGGTTGTGCAGCGACACCTCGAGTCGATGATGCTGAAATCTTGCTCGGCGATGTCATCATCAGCACAGGTGTGGTGCAATATGACTTTGGGAGAAAGTATCCAGGTGGCTTTGTGAGAAAAGATTCTGCGAGAGATAATCTGAGCAAACCATGCAAAGAAGTGGAAAATATTTTGGCTGCGCTTCAAGTGTCTAATATGAAGAGCTTGCTCGCTGAAAGAACAGCTGGGCTACTTCTACGCTTACAAAATACAACCGCTAAACATGGCTATGGGATAAAGTACCAGTATCCAGGAATTCGTGAAGACAAGCTTTATGAAGCGACCTATCGTCATAAACACCATGTCGCAATCACAGATTGCAGCGTCTGCAGTCAATCGGACAATATCGTGTGCGACGCAGCGCTGCAAACTCCCTGTGAGGATCTTGGGTGTGAAAAAAGTCACTTAGTATACCGCAAGAGGCTCGAGGAAAAATTGCAAATATGCCAAAGCGGGGATATTTCACACCAAAACCCGGCCATCTTCTTTGGGATATTTGGCTCTGGTGACATGGTGATGCGGTCTGGCGAGGACCGGGACGCCCTTGCTGATAGAGAGAAAGTGATAGCCTTCGAGATGGAGGCTGCTGGAATATGGGAAGAAGTTCCTAGTATAATTATCAAGGGAGCATTCGACTATGGCGACTCGCACAAAAACAAACGATGGCAAGCCTTTGCCTCCGCGACGGCTGCTTGTGCCGCCAGGGCAGTTATTGAACAGCTCGCATGGACAGACAGAGGAGAGTCTAGGCTGCTTTCTCGAGGTATAGGTATGGAAATACCTTTCATTTCTTAACCTAAATTAGTGATCTCACTAACAAACGATTCAGCCATTGAGGAGAATCGGGCGATGGCTTACGCTCAACAGACGAACGTGATTAAAAATGCCACTCCAAATACATCTGGACGGATCAAGGGAAACTCTGCTATCGGAAATAGCAAGCAGTCGAATAAAATACAATTTTCAAGGTAAGCTATTGATCGAACTAAGTAACAAAACGCCTATTCTAACTAGAATATAGGTGGAAAATACGTGGGCTTAAGCTCTTGAGCGCTCTATTCGGCCGGAGAAGATTCAGGGACCGGAGCGTACATCATGAAGTCAAATGAGCAGAATATCAACAGACCGGCTGCGCAAAAATCCCCCACATTCAGAATTATTCCATCTCAATATGAAGCGGCTTACATTACTAGGCAAGCCTTGTTTTTCTGCCTCGTGTCCTTCCCCCACGCCCTGTTGCGTGTAACCTTTGCGCCTGGTGCACCTGCTACATTGCTCTGCATAGCACCGTCGCTCGCATCATTGTATTCTACAACGACGTCCATGTTTCTTTGTGTCGGATCTATTTTGTGACCATCCATATATCTAGCCATTAAGGCTGCAGCCATGCTTTCGTCCGAGTCGTAGGGTGTTGCTCTATGGGAGGATGTAGGCCTGACAATTGCCAATCGTTGTAACGTATTATTATTATTATATGATCGGTGGGTGTGTCGAGAATCGCTTCTCTCGTAGGTCTTTGGTTGTGATTGCATCGCGCAGTGGTACTACACGAAGGATTCTGTTAGCGAATAATAAATGCCACGAAGCTCTTTGCCAAGCAGAAGTAGTATGCTAAGCCAACAAAATAACAAATGACTAATACTTACAGTTTTATTTCGAATAAAATCTTGTATACGATATCAATGCATCGAATATTACTCCTGAGACAAGTAACAATTCAGTCTCAGCGACACGAATATTATGCCAGTTAGGCTGCGGGCAACAGTTGGCCAGTGTAATCCTGAGGCCTTGCATTTATATACATGAGTATACTTTGCTTGAATATTCCATGGAACTCTGATGATATAGCCGCCCGTAAGCACTTGATATCTTTGCTTCGTGTTGATGCCCGAATATCTTTGATAATGCCCTCTTGGAGGCGTGTACGCGCTACTACTACCCCGCAGAGTGCCTGAGCTGCGGCTATACAAATAGCTGAGGTGTGCTGAACTAGTAATGCAGGGGGGCAGGGCATGCATAGCAGCAACTACGTGTACCCCATTAGCTGGCAGTTGTAGATTTGGTGTGCTGACTGCACCAACAGGTGGCTAAAGGATAGCTACTTTTATAAATCTCCTTGCCGGTGAACCTTTCCAGTACATGCCATGTGCTGTATCTGATTGCGGGTTTGATAGGCCAATGTAGTGGCTTCGATAAGTCAGATTGCATGTCCCTACCAACAAGTACAAAGTATGTCAATGCTCAGCTCAATGTGTTACCACGCAGTAACCAGTTATAATTACGACTTTGGCAGGGTTGCAAATTGAACTACATTGCGTTGGTTCTCGATTGTGAAGTTGCCTGCTTGTACGCATGCTTTGATTCGCGACCTCGTACTGTTGTGTCGACTCATTGGTTGCCTCTTCAGGGGTCTGTTTCAATTGTGACAGCATAAATGGAGTGATTGGTCTGGCGATGCCCATCTTCAGGTGTGGCTGAACAGCACCAATTCGTGTCGCTCGCGGCTGTTGTTGATTGGGTCTCTCATTGGTGAGCTGTTTCCGATTTTGCCACTCTGATAGCGTTGGAATCACAATGCAAAGCGCCCATGGTCCTTGGCGATTTTTATTTGACAATCGATGTTTAGCGCTGATTAGTTCAGCAACAGCTAGTGTAAACATGTGGGCCACAACAATAACAGGCTAATGTTGTGTAGGTTCCGGAGTCTACATTTCATACTGAATGTTTCAAGCTTCTCATTAGTGGAATTTTGGGCACTTGAAGCTTATCTCGACGTCAAGAAAGGATGGGACAAGAATACATGGCGTTCAAGAACCTGATATTTAAGAGCTAATTCTTTAGCTATGATTGATAAAGCTTTATTCCCGCTTAGTGTTGTTTTTTCCACAGCCCTTCAAGTATTGATCGTCTCTTGTCTGCGTAACAAACTGTTTCACGACAAAAGACTGAATGGTTTCTCCTTAGAGGTATATATCAACAGTTTGTACATTCAAAATAAATGGTCAATATACTTGAAAGAGAATCTTTCCCATTTTTATCGCGTGAATCTTCAGGTTCACATCTCAAGATTACATCAAAGAATGTGTAGACTATCCAAATTATACCCGCGCCGCGCTATATACTCTAACTGCGGGATGAGCCTAGCTCCCGCCTACTAACCGCAATCAGGAATCCTGATAAAGTGGATATTTAACAAGAAGTAATGTCATCATAGGTTCTGGCTTGATGATATAGATTATCTTATGAGCTGGAATATTCTTGGAGTTGCCGTGCCATTGTGTACATATTGTAGGTATTTGAATGCTCCTCGTACAAGAAGAAAACACTATAAGCCGGCCTACAATATTCTACATTCTCGAATGTCGCTGTAGGCTCAAAATGCTCAGTGAAAATTCTATAATGAGCAGTTCAGAATAGCCTTGAGTGGTTCAAGGGACTGTTATGAGCGGCTTTTCCCAATCAAAGTCGTATAATTATACCACCTTATTCTTATCATCGCCTTCCGACAGTTAATGCAACTAAGCAAAATTGACTGGGGCACCCGAGTCCATTGATTCAGTAGGTGCTTTTCCATCTCCGAGATGTGGAGAAACCCTTTTGTAGGATCAAAATATGTTAGTAGTCATTTCATAACAAATAATCTCGGCACCTTATAATGAATGTGTAATTCTCGGGCGTTGAGAGGTGAGATATACCAGAGTTATTCCAATTCATTATTTATACCCATGGAGTTACCTTGCCAAGTATCTCAAGATACCGCGTATTCGAGAACAAACTATTTAATATTTACAGCAAACATAAGGTAGTAGGCACATGGTGATAGGGAATCTATTGTTAGTATGAAAGTTATTGCAGTCAAATTCTGAGCATGTGCTCCTTACAGATGAGACTTGCCGATGAGTTACAAGCAACAGCACACGGTACAAGTGAATATGTGTACATGGGCGCGAGATACGTAGGTAATACAGCCTTGCACAACTTCCGTAGCTGAAAACCGGATCTTCTTCTTTACTTCATCTTACCGCTGTGGCGTCCACGCTAGCCACTGTTGCTATAATGGCCACCGCCAAACATAGAATATTGAGCAATTAGACTTGTGTAACAGTTGCTCTGTGCCGGGCTACATAGGCCAAGACCCCTTCATGGCCAATCATTCCTAACCCCCTTCATGTTGCCTAGGACATTCTGCGCTTGCGTAGGGATTTGCGATCGCCAATGATTGTGTCGTTTCGTGCACGAGCCTCTCCCATCCCGGTATATTTAACTCGGCTACTGGGACCCCCAACAATTGAGGTTGGCATCGATAGATCTCAGAGTACAGCCTTGTTGGTGTGGAACACAACTAATCATGGCAGAGCCCTTCGACGAGACTGGACATAGAGTGATCTCGTTAGAACAACGAGCACCGGTTGGGCTAATCCCTATAAGGAAATGGTATACGTACATTTCACTCGGCCCAAGTCTTTTTGAGTATGAAAATATCCTCGAACAGAAGAATCCATGTGTCCGATCTCAACTAGCACATGTGTCGTTTAAAGCTCAAGCAGGCATGCATATTTCGAATGTTATTAACTTCGACATATCACATTCAATTGAAGTCATGAGATATCCGTATCCGATTTCATTCCGAAAGTTACTTCGAGAGCAATCCCAGGACTCGCCACAGCCGCGGCCACAGCAGTCACAGCGCGGCGCACAGATTTTATTGCCCATATTCGATCTCTCAATATTTTTACCAGTACTCAACTTTCTTGGTGTTTCCATTGGTGGTATGACTGACAGGCCCGCCGGATTTTCCATAGCTAGGGTTATCACTCCTATCCCGCCAAACGAGGCCGGCGAAGAGACTCGAGCTGGCAATTTGGCGGACAACGGGCTACTTGGACAGGATTCTTTGGCGCAACAAGAAGCTGGACTCAATGGGGAACGATCTGAGTGGCAATGGGGATATACCTCTTCCTTCTGTGGCATCATTCGCTCATCTGCCATTGAGTCCAGGAACCCGATCCAACCCGCGTATGTGGTCTTGGGTATATTCCCTAGTGGCCATTTTAACCCAAAAGAGCGGATTGCGTTTGTCCATGACCCAGAAAAGCTTTTCAGGGAGCTACGATGGACCATTTTTCGTCTACGCGGGTGGAGAAGCAGCCTCTTATCTTTGAGAGGAGTGAAAAGATTCAGGCTGTTTAAAGTACGTGCTTTTGTTGGAGAGCCTATTAATTTTTCTAACAGATACTATAGTGCAATGCCGAGGACGGTACTCACGAACGTATTCATCTCGACAAAAATGGGGACGCAGATTTACAGCTTCTTTTGAATATGTACAAGAGATGGTATGTCTCTCGACATATCGCACTGGCTTGGACGAATTGGATCCATCATACGCTAAATAACGGCTCGCTTGACGTGCTCAATGGAACGTATGCCATTGAGCTTGTGTTGGATTGGTCCGCGACTCGAATCTCGATTGTAGTACTCCTTCCGTTGCTAGCGAGCTTAATAACCGGCATCTGTCTTAACAAAGGCGCTTGGACGGATCTTGCAACTATACAGACCGCTTGGGGTACTGCGTCGTATGTTGTAACAGCTGGAGGTTGTAAGTATTCCATATCAATGCAACCTTTGGTACAGATTATCATATATTGGGAACTGACAGATCACAGTGCTTGCTGCTTTACTGGCAATTGTAAGCAGTATTGCTGAAAGGTAACGTTACAGATTGCATTTTGTACCCTGGGCAGATTCTGAGGAACAAGAAGTTATTCAAATGTCGTCAATTTGTGGAATAGCAGTCTTTGGCCAGGCCATTGGACTTTGGATTTCAAGAACAGAGAGCAAAGAGCTCCACTTAATAGACGAAGATAACGCCACAAACATATTTGCCCAATGAATATGATTATTCAAATCAACCCACTTCAACATGGTGTCATTGCATGCTCGTTTTCGTAAAGTAGACTTTGAGGCAGATATATCGTCAAAGAGAGTATTAATTTATCTCTATCACAACGATTCCGAGTATGCCTCCAGCGCCACCAGCTCATGACAAGGGTACTCGTATTCTGTTATTCTCCATACATGCTGGAGTGGCCCCTGGCAATCCCGAATAATTCCCAGTGGACATTATAGCGAAATAATTAGTTACTTGGAAGGCTGTGCTGAATCACGCTATGTCCAACTAGGTGTCACTAATACATAATTCACGGGCAAGATGAGGCATATGAGAAAGATATGATGATGTTTGATCTAAGCAATTCCTATAACCAGGTACCTCATAAATGAAACTTGGGTACCTCTCTTCCATAGCTAATGTCTTTCCCAAACGTTCAGCTCTCAGATAGTTATCGTTATACCCTTAGCCACCACCACTCTGGCCGTTTGAAATGACAAGGCGGATAACTCCGTCAGTGCTGATCAAGATAGGGCTGCCAAAGCCACCAGAGGTAGCAAGACATTGAGAAATGAAGCCGGGGAACGCCTGTTGCACCGAATCCTCGTTGAAAGTGACGGCTTTTCCGTCTGCAAAGGCACCAATGAAGACTTCACACTTCCCGACCAATACAGAGATAGCCGACTCCAAGGCACCGCCTGTTGCGGCCGGGATGCTGCAAACACCTCCAGAACAGTGTGCTGCTAGCAATTGAGGAATCGCCGTGTTGCAGTCCGCGGCATTGATGTTGTTCAGTTTGCCACTACCACATTGAGGTGATCCAAATGACAATTCCCCCAAAGATGTCTGGGCGGTTGAGGTGTTTGCCAAAAGGCCGGCGACCAGAGCGATGGCTGCCCGCGCCTTCATTGTGGGCGAATTTAGTGACGAAAGTAAAATAGAACTGCTTGATATTGATACTTTGTGATATTGCCAGTGAGATTGATGAGGATGAGATTTTTGAAATGAAGAGGAAAGCATTTAGTATTTATATCTATGAACTATATAGGTTCAGACATTCTCTATCTCCGCACTTTGCATATATTAAACTAATGTTTTGTCATCTCTCATCCAGCGTGAGAACTTGTGAACAATACTCACGTGTGCTGCAGAATGGCAACTCCTGTCTTCGTGAAACTTGCTCTTTCCAGCGAGTTGATGGACTGTAAGCGCGGAATGTTGTCCGCTACAACCCCACGATAGCGTTGGCGATCATGCTCTGCCCCTGCTAGCATCGGCATAACTTCGATCCCCTGGTCTGCTCCCAGATTTAGTGCCGATGAGCTTGACTACGCCCGTTCCGCTGTGGGTAAGCGGGGGATTTGTTATCCCGCAGCAGCATTGATCAGATAGGATCCTGTAAGCACTGAGATTATAGAGTACAGTATTCGGGTGTATCATTCTCTCCTTCTCGAGCACGGGAGTTGGTATGTTGGCGCATCAAATAGGACTAAATCTTCGAAGGGCCTTTCGCTAGACCCGCCGTCAGAAACATTCTATGCTCTCACTCAAGCTTGACAAGGCCCTGTCATACAAAAGTACATGGTTCCTATTCCCTTGAGTTTACGTTCATCTTTGAAGATGACATATCATCGCAATTCACCCGGTAATTCAACCGAGTTTGCAAGAAAGACAAACTCCGTTCTATTCTTAACGCTCTTGCAATCCGCACATACACCGTTCTTACCCATGACAGTGCGATATGTGCATTCAGTTTATGGCCAATTGTAACGTACCATCACTTGCAATGATGGTTTAGAGCCCAGCTGTGCGTAAACATAATGAGAGTTAGGACTAAACGACTACTAATCGGACTGATAGGCTACATTCCGTGTCTCAACGTGGCTCATACAGATGCAACATTTTTGGCAAGATGCAACCTTCCAGGGTATAATCACCTGGGGGTACAGTAGACTGGCAATATAACACCCCGGATTAAGATGCGCTCAACTCATGGCCTACCAATACCCAAGACCCATACAATTATTGCTGCTCCTGTGGCAATCACAGCAGCCAATATAGCGGCAGCTGGCATCAAGGTGCCCAACATTGCCATGCTAGTCAGCGTCGCGAAGATTCCCCCAGCTGGAGTAAAAGCTCCATACATGTAGGATTGGAATGCAGCAGCAAGTGTTCCTTGGAGTCTATTAGCTGACTGTACTCTGCATCCTATCCTTGGAGGAGAGATGACCACATACCTGCACCAATCCCAACTGGTCCGAAGCCTAAGCAGAGTATCAAGGTACACATTGCCGTAAACGTTATGGCCCATGCCATAATAATGGCAAGTATTTCTTTTGTTTATTCCCCATTAGTAACCTATTGGGCGAGGGTCCGTTGGCACTCACGAGGCTGAGAGAGCCATTCGATCATGGTATCAAACAGGTGGGCCAAACTCTGTAAGCCATGACTCGAGTCGAGGGGGAAAGGCGCCATTGCTGATTCGATTGATAGAAGACTATTCTTCACGTAGGACTCGGCTCGCGGAAAGTAATGGAAATGATTCCTGATGGAAGGCTTGGGTGATGCAAAGTATGGGTGCACACTGGAGCCAAACGACTGACGCTGGTTGCTGCCCAAATGTCTAAATGCAAAAATTAGGGCTTTAGTAAGAATTGAGGCTACGGTTGGATGCATGTATGCGAGCCAATCAAGTTGTATGCCATATCTGTTTTTCCGATGCAAGGGAGAGCCTCGTGTTACGTCGATGTATTCTTACAGGTTGCGAGCTGGGTCTCAGTGCATCATCACCATAACCAGGTGAATAACATAATGGTGGGAGTATTGCCGACAATCTATGATTGAGAAATTTTGGTGACCAACAAACTTGTTGTGCCTATTGAACAGATATACTCAGGCGAATGAATGCGCGCATACGGTCAATTAACTTACATGTATCCGTAGCTACATACCTTGTATCACTGCTGCGCGTATCGAGCGCGTATCGACGGTTGTCAAGTCATAGTCATCGATTATACATGTGATACCAAACCCGTCTCATCTAACACTTCTCGACATTTTCATAAATGGATTTACAATGGATTTCCAATATATTCAGTTTTTTGCCGACTTTTTGTCAATTACAGTCTCAGCGGTCCGGTAGTGGCGACTAAAGCCTCACGGGCCTACCCTATTTCTCTTCGCTTTGCAATAGAACGACGAAACTCGAAGGCTACTTTGAAAGTGAATCTGAACTCTTGATAAACGAGAGATTAAGAGTTTGAAGGTAATATCAGCGTGGCAGCGACCGGAGAGCGCCTTCGGATAGTAATTATGAAATATGTTAGAATGGATAAACCTAAATGAGATGTCATGGGGTTCGCAAGTGTCTGTAGGAATAAACTAGGCCTTACGGCTCCTTCGGCGGTATTCGGAACGGTTACAAACGGCCCAGCGCTATTTACTAAAACACACATGTATCTTGGGCTGCTGTATCACGCGACCCTGGAGGAAATAAGCATCTCCATTGTTCGGGAATATAGACCCCATTATAATAGCCTCCTGATTCGCGATGCGTTATATTAAAGAACGGGGCAGTGTAAGGTATCGGGTACTTTACATTGGGTTGTGTAGTTTTGGTGGGGAAGAACGCCTCCTAATACGGGAGTATTAATATTTCACTCTGCAGTTGTAATGGAGTGAGTTCAAACGTGAATATATATGTATAGCTAGGTAACTTTAAATTTAAACATAAAGATAGATAATATAGCCAACGTGCGTTTGTTATGTTTGACGACGTTGTATTTAAGTGATGTTGCACTGAGTGATGGTAGTCTCGCATTCATGGCAAAATTGTAATGACTCCATGGCCGCGGGCACTGAAATGTAAATTCTGGCTGCGAATCGCTTCGACTTGGCAATTTTCTCCCTCGCAATCGAACGGTTGGGGGATTTTGGCTGCCCGTCGCTTTTGTTACTCTGTGAAACACTGAAAAAGTCCGACATCGGCCAGTTCTGTATGTACATGTAGCTATAGACCACCACAGCCATAAGGCCCAATTAAAACAGGTGCATGGTACAATGGAATAGGTGCCTGATGTGCCATCCTTGGATTTAAAATGGAGATATGTTTTTATAAATAAAGAGAAAAACTCTTTCTATTACATATATTTGACTCATTCGGCGTACAAATTTACTTGAGAGCGGCAAAGTTGCTCCACCAACCCTCCAAGGCCAGCTGCAGCTGTCCCGGATTCGCCGCGATTTTCTCCTTGGCGGCAATCAATCCTTCCACGTCCCAGTTGGCCCATAGGAAACGACCGGCAAGGAAGTCTGATTCGGGACTTGCAAGCCAGACCGCAAAGTTGGCCATCAACTCCGGTGAATCCGTTGGCGGGTATTGCGGCGCATTGGCCTTGACGCTCATCTCGCTCTGAACCGTGCCGGGACTGACGTTAAACGCCTTGATGTTGGGATTCTCAACCTGGAGAAACTCTACCACCGAAGCAGTAGCCATCTTGGAGGATACGTAGCCGCTCATTGGACTAGAAACCTTTGGAGGGACGTTGATTGCGCCAGTGTTCACGCCGACAAAAACAGGCTTCCCTCTAACTGGCTGAGACTGGTTGACGAAATATTTGCCGAGAAGATAGGTACCCAGGACATTAATTTCGTAACCCTTCCACCAGTCGCTTGTGTCACTCGTGGCAATTGCCTCAGGCGTAGGCAAGTACGCAGCATTGGCCACCAAAATGTCGAGAAAGCTGACTTTGTTGATCGTTTGGATGAGAGCCTTGACTTCATTTTCTTTGGAGATGTCAGTTTGGATGGCGTGGAATTTGGTCTGCGGGTACGCTTTTGAGAGCTGTGACGAATTAGTTTAGAGCGTAAAGGGGAATATTGAGGTGCTAATGACCCTTTGTTCAACCTCGAGAAGAAGGTTGAGTCGTCTTCCAACGAAAAAGACGTGGTCTGCCTTGGCTTTTGCAAAGGCTTCAACAGTCGCAGAACCAATTGCCGTTCCACCTCCTGTGACGAGAACAGTTTTGCCTGCTACCGAAAGGTGTTTTTGTGTAGGATCGATCACAGGAGCGGGAGTGTTATGATATACGGCGGTAGGGTTTGGGAAGCTCATTGTGATCAGGCGTTTAGATGTGATTGTAATACAGCTGTGAAATGTGTTTAGCCAAGGTTCTATTTTGAAATTGAGATGAGAGAATTGCTAGGCAGCTGAGGAGAGGTTGCGAAAGTAGGGGACTTATATTCTTCGAGATACTCAGGATACGTACTTCTCTCTACCCACATCATGCATAGTAAAAGGCGCATCTCTCTATCCTTCATACTTTCATATACAGAACTATTCCCAATTTGTCAGCTTGCTAAAATGTTTATTTCCTTGATCGCCTCCCAGCCAACAAAGGATGCGGAGGGTGAATTCCGCCAAGGCTGCTCCACCCAGCGGCTTTCCATCACGGGACATTGTGTTTCCTTGATTTCAAATCGGGATATGTAAATGCATCGCCAATTCGGAATTGGAGTGCCATTATATTTGTTGCTGCGGAATAAGAGGCACTCAATCAACAAAGGTTGGAGATCAACATGCAGAAACGCTTCAGAGCTGGACGGAGCACACTGGAGCCTGATCTCTGTTCAGCCGCTTTGTGGGGAGCCGATTTGCAGCTTGTGGAGTTGATTGGTCTATCTTGCTCACCGGCAACAAAACGCGAATAATTATCAAGCATCAATGTATTTTTAAAATATGGGGCGCATGGCTGCCTTCAACACTTGCTAGAATCACAACAACTGAATATCTCTAGAACAATTTCTTTGTGATTTATCAGCATGATTTCAAACATAACCCTTTAATTTTAGGAGCTCATGTAAGTAACCAACCTCATTCAAGTTGGCGACTTAACCCTACAGCCAATTACAGTGGAGTTTCCAACAACATGCCATGCCTGGGAAATATTTCCAATAACTTCGTGGTATGAGTATTGTAGTTGTTCATTTGACTAATATTTTACTTTAATCAGCTACTGTATGGGTATTATATCTTTTTTTTGTTTTAGTTAAGGGTAATACCGTGTTGCGGGAATGAAACTTTGGTATCGTAGAGTGGCCGCTTATGCCGTGTACACCAGGGCATTGTTCATTGCAGCTTTAACTTACTCTTTGCATGTGACTGGGTGTTTTGATTTGATGTATTGTCAATATGGTTATTAACTATGTTTGAATCAGGTATTCCTACGATGCCACTTTGAGCAGGACAACTCCTTGAAACAATTAGCTAGCCCAAACAGATTCAAGAAGATGTTTCTTGTTGACGGAAGTAGAAAGAATATGTTACCTCATTCAAGGTCTCCAACTTTACAGATGGATAGTATACTATTAGCAGTCGTCCTGCCACATTTAATTAAAAGCATGCAACTATACAAAGTATGAGACGAAAATGATGATGATCAAAATAGAGTGGTTGTAGTAGTTGTAGAAACAGTAGCCGAAATTATTCCTGCTACGATTCCTATTACTGCAACTGCTTACTCTGAGAATCAACGATCACATCAGTTGTGGTCTGTTCACCTTGATCCGACAGATCTCCCACAACAGTTTGCTCCTCATCAGCCCACCCATCGCGGGTATCTTTGGGTATACGAATAAAGCATACAGCGATAATGATTGACAATCCAGCGAGTCCGATTCCAAGATACAATGCATGGCGATATCCGTCTCCGATATTGGCGCCATGATTATTGGTATAAGCCTCGACAGTTCCGGCGAACCCAATACCCGTGCTCTGCCCGTAAGCAACAATTGTACCAATCAGTGAACCTGCAATTCCCTGTTGGTGCTTCTTTACAGTATTGCTTGCGATGATCTGCGATGCTGCGAAGAGGAAGTCAGGCCCGTAGCTGAGAACTGTAATTGCCGGAAACATCTGAGGCCAGTATTGCTGCTTGTCCGGCATCGTTGCGATGAGAATACATGCAACCATGGTGCAGGCGCTGCCAATCACGAGGATATACTGGGCGTCTAAGAGTGGTACAACTAATCCACTGACTATGGCAGCCGTAGATCCTCCAATTGCTAGTGGAACAAAGGTAGCAGCACAGAGCAAAGTCGAGTATCCTCGTAATGTGACATTCCATGTATTGCAGTACCATATAAAGATGCCGACCGCCATGAAAGAAATGAATGATGCCAATAACATTGGACTGATGGATTGTGCCGTCCATATATCGAGAGGTAAGATTGGATCGGCTGCATAACGCGCTTCCCAGAGAATGAATGCGGCAAGATGGACAACCGCAGCGATTAGCAGTGCGTATTCATATGGCTCCTGCCAACCTACGAATGGCGCTTGGCTGTTGTGTGTCAGCTCATAACCAGGTAAAAAACACGAGGGATAGTGGGAGATGGAGACAGACTTCCAAACAAGATTGAAGAGGATTAACCCAGCGACTCCAAGGTAGCAGCCGACGTAGTCGACCCGTCCTTGTTTATCTAAAGGTTCAGTCTCACCAGGGACAACAAGTGCAACGAGTATTATTACAAGAACACCCAGAATAGCACTAGTATAGCAAAAGTTAGATCACAATCAAGGTTAATGAGGAATCGCAATCGTACTTACAAAGCAAAGAACATGTATTTCCACGGTGTCAGTTGAGCTAAGAGTCCGGCAAATACGCAGCCGATAGACGCCCCAACCGGGGCCATGGCTCCAAAGAAACCTACACTTAGATTTCGGAGCTTCCCAGGAGGGAAATTGATGGTTAATAGTGAAATGGCATTTGGTACCATGAAAGCACCTCCAATTCCCGTCAATGCTCGGAGAGCAATCAGCGCGACAATGTTGTGAGCAAAGCCTGAGCCCAGTGAGAATATCGACCACCATAAGCATGCTGCGACAAGCACATTCTTATGACCATAAATAGCGCCAATACGACCGCCTATCAAGACGAAAGCACCCTGCGTCAATCTGAGAATAATATTAATCGGCAAATGACATTAATAAGTCCGTCACGTTAGGTTAGACGCACGGGTACGAAGCCGCGATCCAGCTTGCCTTATTTGTCGCGTTGAGGTCGTTTGCAATGATGTTCGAGGCGAGAATGCCGGCGCCAAAAGGAATCATCTATGAATTATTTTAGTCGTAACGTCAAGGTGGGATCACTCGATAGTTTTCAGTCCACGCGAACCTGCACAAGCTGTGTAGCGATGATGGATGCAGAGATCGCTATCGCTCTTGTCGAACTCATCTTGGCCATTTTGCTGGCATCCATATCATCAACATAGAGTATTCTCTAAGAGATTAATATGAGAAAGTTTAGTGGCCCTGGATGTTGGACGAGAAGAAACTGACTCGAAATACCTAGAAAAATTGCCGCAGTAGAAGGGCTGCACTAAGAGCAGCAATATCTGTTGTAGAATTACGAGCCAGAATTCCTTTCAATCTCGCGTCTTATGTTTCATCCTTGTTAATGTGGAATCGTTGCTCACAGGATTAGAGAACGTATTATTAATTCACGAATTGATAAGAAAAGTACCCAGGCTAAAGGGGTCTTGGCCGAATTCGCCAATGGCGTCCGGATTGGAGTGATCATATGGGTGTCTCCACGCTGGTGTTGTTTCGGTAAATACTTTCATATTTATTTCCAGGCTAGATTTGTTTTTGGGAATCATGGGAATATTTGTTCGATGGCCTCTTATTTAGCCAAATAGTATTTTTTAATATTTAATCTAGAACTAAACATCTCGTGGTGGAAAACTACATATGTTGACGGCTCTAGGCTATCAATTTCATTAAAAGAAACTACCAACGCAAGATTGATAGCTTCTTGTAACAACTCCTAGTCCTCAAATCTCGCTTTACAACTGTTGATAGTAGTATTTATATGCTCCTCTCTCTGGGTATTATTTTGGTTGCTGATACGACTGAAGTTTGTGAATGCCACGCAAGTTTCCATTTTCGCACCCAACCCTTGGAAAAGCAAATAATCGCTTAAGTATTCGGAAAGTTAATAAATCTTCATTAATAGATAGAAGATACGATTCATTAGCACACACTGGGCTTTTTCCCAGGAGGATTATGTCTAGCCCCCTAATAGACTCTAGAGTGTTGCTTCGCAAGTAAGAGGCTCCCCCGAAGAATGGCGGCTGACCACCCCGCTGAAAGTCTGACAAACTGGAAAGAAATTGCTTGGTCCGCAACATTTGTCATCTCAAGTATGCTATCTAGCTCGATCAGGCTAGTAGAGGAGGTAATAGTTGCCATAATTTTCGAATTCACCACTCAAATCATGTAATTTTCTTTCCTAAATTTACATACACGAGCGGATGCTGCTAACATGACCAATCTTCGAGCAACTCCTTAGCACTTACTGAGTCGCCCAGGCTTCACAACACGTAAATATGGAATTTTCCCCTCACCCTATTACAGTAACCAATTAGTATATATTATGTCAAATAGAGCATACATTGTCACGCCATCTCGTTGCAAACCTGTGAACTCATCGAGCAGCTCATCATCCAGGTTATTGAGACATGGAGTTCGTTATATAACACATCCAAATGCCCACAGTTTCAGCGATCATTTGATACATGAATAGATTTTCTCCCTATTGGGCGCCTCGTTATATTTCGTTATTTAATTATTCTATCCTGGATACTTAGAAGTTACTGGCATCCAGCCACAGGGACAGGCTGTGCTTGATTGCCTTCAAATGGTCTTACTATTAAGTTCCCATACTTCATATCCCTAGCATACCTAGTAAATGAATGAACGAAAACATTTAATAGGCACATCAATGTCAACCTCAGAATCTACCGGCCCGTGATAGTCTTCAATCATGATCTCATTCATATAATCCCTATTCCAACTCGGCCGGAATCTGTCAATGTTGCCATATCTATCCCGTACTTCAAAGTAACAAGCTTCCTTCGAGAAACCTCCTATAAAAACTTTTATGTTATGGCCCCACGTCATAAGCGTAAGAACCCGTGGCGATGCTTCTTTGGCTGATTTAGATCTTGGCAATTTCTTCGCCGAAAGCTAACATCACCGTGCAAGCGTTTAGTAGGCCCATTGGCCAAACGTAGTGCGCGTGCTCGTAGATGACCGTGCTAGAGACCTAATTAGCCTAAACGTTGCAAATAGTACAGGCCTGGGTTGCCATATTTCCATGTATCGTATGGTGCAGCCTTTCAGAAATCGTAACCTAGGATGTGACAGACTATTGCTTACATTCTGGGCAGACGTTCGCGCATAAAGTTCGTACTGATGTCTAAGATACTTTTGCCTAGGACAAGCTCGACAGGCTTCTCAAAGCCACGATAGCCCTAGGAACGCCCTATGAGATGGTGCGCTAACAGGAGTATGATAGCCTTGAAGATGGGCGTGGGAGCCGCTTGGTGGTGACGGTTTGGGACGGCTCTGCGAGTTTAAGAAGCAGGACAGAGACCATCCCTCCAGGACCAATGCAGATGTCTTTCGCGAGGTGCAAGAACGCAAATACAATACCCAGAACCAGTGTATTGAAACGATTGAGATCGACTGGTTGCGAACAGATGGCGGTCCACTGGAGCAGAGAAGTAGCCAAGTGCTTGCGTACGACGGCTGGGGCGAGGTCTACAGAACAACCGAAAGCACTTGGGTCGTGACTATATTCGCGACAAACCCGATTAGCTTGAGTGAGTTTGAAGGCATTGAGGGTCAAGGTTTTACTAAGATAGGGGCGAGTATCGCCGTTGGGGCTGTGGTAAGCTGGATGAGGTGCTGTGACCGACGCAATTGATGGTAATTCCATAACCTTCGGATCGGTCTTGGGTGATTTCGTGATTGGGGTAATCACTGGTGGTCTTACGGAGATTGGTGTAAAGGGTCTGACCGGGAACTCAAGGCCCCCTTTAAACAGGTTGTTAAAGACGCCACCAAGAGCGCTTTCCAAGGGGTCGCGTTCTCCAGGATGATCACCGCTCCCATCATGGCACCAATAACAGGCTCCTGACCATTGGTTGAATCATTGGTACCAACCAAGACGACATGGACTGGTCCAGTAAATCAGACTTGGGCAATGGAAGGTCTTCAACGGCTAGAGACGCGATCCGGTCCGCGCTCAAGAACGGCGGCGGTAACGCCAAAGGGGGCCTCCCGTTGACGGAACCTGTTTCCAACTCCTTACTGAGCTCCGGCGGGGGACACGGAGTCGCTAGTGTACTGAATCTAGAGCTCAGATGCAGATTCCTCTCAGCGGGCTCGACGCAGCACAAGCAGCAAAACTCAGGTAACAGTTCTCTTGCCATCAATGAACAAATGAAAATCATTCGTAGTCTCTAAGGCTGGACATACGGGCGCTGGGTCCTTCAGATTCAAACATCATACGTAAGTACCTAGTTAGCTTCCAGTCTCATCATCAATTGGAATTGATGATGATTTCGTGCGTTTTCTAGTCATCCAAAAAGTACTATGTCATGCGATTCTGAATCCCAACCTGATTGTTAGTAACAATGGCAATGCTAAACACATAGCTCTTACTACATGCATAGTCCAAATAGCTGGGTAACCAAAATTGAGATTTGTCCCAAAGAGGACCGTAAAGGATGAAAGGATTCCAGTGCTTATAGGTTCCACGTAGCAGAGGGTGATGCTTTGCCCCGTTATTCTAGCGTATAGAGCGTATAGCGTACTCCTTAGAGCGTATAGCGTACAGACCGCCATACTGAGAGGGCGTTTAACTTCAATTGGTGTATTACGGCTCCATGCCTGAAGTTCTGTAAGATTTGCAATTGAGATTGGCTTTGGCGATATGCGTATTCTGCAAAGACTCTGATATATGGCTGATCAAATTTTTATTTATATACTCGCTTTTCCGGCCTTCTTGGTTTGTGAATCGACTTGCAAATCAGAGACACTTTTCTCACTATAAACTCTGTGAATTACCAACTGAACTTGTTTACCATCAACGTTGTACTCAATTTACGTCTCCCTGCCGAGACAATGGTGTCGACACTGTTCCTTGGTGCTCTATTGATTCTTCCGGGCATTTCTGTTTCAGCGAGTGCTTGTCTTGAACGGCCTCATGGATACTGCAAGCAGCTGGATATTCCAGTGCCTATCACCGCAAACACTGCAATTTACGATATACCGAGAGTAGACAACGATATTGAAGCAGTAGCTTGGGCAATCTACGATGCCACTCGGACTACTATTCACGGTCCCAAGAACATCATCAAGAATACCACGACTTCCGAGACTTTCAACATCCATGCTCAGCTGTGTATTCCCAAGTCTAACAAGAATGGCAAGCACAATACGTTGCAGATTGCCACACATGGAGTGCATTACGACTCCAGATACTGGGATTCGGAATACAAGCCGGAGAATCACTCTTATGTGGAAGCATCACTTAAAGCAGGATATTCGATTCTCACATACGACCGTCTGGGAGTTGGTCAATCTGATAAACCGGATGCATACGATGTGGTCCAAGCCCCTGTTGAGCTCGAAATCCTCCGCCAACTGACCCTGATGGCCCGCAATGGTAGCCTGTATGAGTTTGCGAGTCATGCAAAGCCCTCTAATCCTTCTTTCAAAGCATTGGAAACCCCACACAAGGTCGTCCATATCGGGCACAGTTTCGGATCCTTCCTTACCTCCGCCTTCATTGCCAACTACGGCCCTCTTAGTGACGGAGCTATCATCACGGGCTACTTGTACACCGAGAATCTTGCAAGCGCCGGCTCAACATCGTTCAGCGTTGAATATGCAGCTACGGGGTCGCCTCCTTTCAACCGGTCAAGCGGCTATGTTGTGTGCCAGAGGGATGGCATCCAGAACATCTTCTTTGGGGGTAATCCCAAAACCGCTTTCACGGAAGAATTGCTTGAGTATGGTATTAGTATCAAGCAGCCCGTCCCAATTGGAGAGTTCGCCTCGGCTTTCTCGCTACTTGAGAACCCTGGGCCATCTTTTAGAGCACCTGTGCAATTCCTATTGCCAGAGTTTGACTTTTATATCTGTCGAGGCGACTGCCATGATTTGTTCAATTTGACAGCGTTGAATCAAACCTACCCGCACGCAACCAAAATTGAGGTGGCTCTTCAGCCCAACACTGGCCATGCGCTGCCACTCCACAACAATGCCACTGCAGGTTTCCAACTCATGTTCGATTTCTTTTCTAGAAATGGACTATAATGGCTGGCACGGTTAACGCGCTATTCCTAGTGGCGTACGGAATCAATCATCCTGGACACCCGGCTAGACTATGTACTCACAGATACTAGTAGGCTTCTTTTTGTACATAGAACGATATTGGGCTAGCCGATTATTGAATTAGAAATTGGAGTTTATACTTATTCATCATTCTATATGCTTCGTAGTCGACAGCTCAATGGCCTAAGAGTCCGTGACGGATCACGCTGGAGATGCGCTGCAGCGAGATCAAATAATGAAGAAATATTTAAGCTGAATATGTATTGAGATCTCGAACCCTTCTCCACCTCTCTCCTTACTTCCTTTTTTTTTTTTTTGGCTATGTGTATCTGCGTAGTCAATGGATACATGCACTATGGGCTGCTGCAAAGGCAATGGAACCAAGAAACTTGGATTTGAATCTTACTGTCAACTGTGAATAAAACGAAAATTAAGTACTACCAATTAAAATTTTAATATTTAAAGAAAAATCTCTAAGATGTAGCTACTATCTATTTCCTCCCAATATATTCTACAGTCTTAAAATATCTGACTGTGAACCTCTATTAACATTGGATGCTACTGAAAAGTGGGGAAAAGCATCCTTGTACATATTCCTAACGCCTGGTTTGCTCCAGAATAATCCAAAAAAGGCCTTGTTAGTCATTTAAATAACCGGGATTTAGACCTTCACTGCCTGAACTCTTTGAAACATTGCATTAATGTCATCGTTGGTCTTTTGTTTTAAAGGCCTTGTAAAGGGGAGTCGCTCCCATTCTGTAACATGATTAACAGAGCTCTCTCATACAGCACACAAAGTAGACAGTCAGAAAACTTACCGAAAAATGATTTGATCCACTCCTTCGGAGCAGCTCCCACAGCATCATCCCACAGTGTGACCAAGTATAAGGCTGTCGTTCCGGGACTTCCCAACATCTCGTTCTCCGATGCATTGAATTTACGATTGGCCTTCATTGCGTCTGCGACGCGAGCAGCCCTCGCTTTAGCAGCCTGCTCGACGGTGACGTACTTGGATAATGGATCATGCGAGACGTGATCTAGGCCTAATCTCTTCGCTGTTGTCGCCCAGATTCTTGGGTTAAAGTGTAAGTCATCTCCAAGATAGAAGTCGTTTCGTGATAATGATCCATCAAACTCGATACAATCATGTTTTGCAAGATCGGCAAGATTGAACGTCGAAGAGTTGCCTGTGGTTGTTAGATTGCAGGCTTGTGCTTGTTTAAACGCTCCATCGAAGGTATCAGGATCATAGTTGTATGCGCCCGAGACGGCGACTTGAAGAGTTGGCAGGTCGATATTCTTTCCGGAGCGAGGAAGCCAACCGTGATTGGCAAGGACATTCAAGCCAGGACAAGGAGATCGGCCTGTTGTCTTCTATTAGTCTTGTATGTATGTAAGTCACGAGTGGTAATTCAATAACTCACTGTCTCTCGGCCCTGCAGGAAGCCATTGATGCCCCTTTACGTGATAGTTGGGCAGTCCCGTGGCGAAGCTGTACAATGCCACGGTGAAAAGTAGACTTCGCATATTGGCTGATTAGACAGTGTTTTGGTCTGTTGGTGTAGCTCTAATAGACAAAGTAGTGATGTTTTGACATTGTTTACATCCAAACCATAATATGTTAGGTATTTATACAATTGTTAGCCTATTGACTCGCATTTTCTCACATCCTCAAGCGTCTTAGCACGACAATCATATTCAGGCACGTTAATTTACAAGGCTGTACTAGGATCTGTCCGCCAAGGAGCGTATTCGCTACGCGGGGATTTTCAGGCTCAGCCTTCATGTAGACGGAACCTCGGAGCAATGCCGTAGCTCTCCTGTAGGCTCAGCCTCAAACTAATCCTCTTACAGTTAAAGTGCATAGCTCATCCCTGTGAATTTTTTTGTTAACCGGGTATTAATTCGGACCCTTGTATAGGAATGCGCTCTGTGGGGATACGCTTGGAGGAATACGCTTTGTGGCTTGTAGGATGGGTCTAAGGAACGTGGGAATACGCTTGATGAATTCTACCTCGCAAGTGGCTATTGTCAGCGCAAACTTGTCCCATGGATTCGCGTTGATGATGGCATTGCAGTGTATATTTGATTACCACACTGAACCTACTTCCAGTACCCACTATCAATGCAACTCTTGGCAAATATTAGGTGTGTGGGTGTTGAATGTATTGTAAAGTTTCTAAGCGAGCAAACACCACTTAACATACGCGGTATCATCATAGTGGAATCGTAGATACCTTCAGTGATTTATGTATTTTTATGAAAATATTAGCGTATATCTGTAAATGTCGGAACCTACGACGTTATTTACAATCTCCAAACTGCTGAGGAAACTTTTGTACTTGACGTTGGACAGCACTCGCGAAGCATTCCATGCTGAAGCCACCATACTTTCCGCGCATTTGACGCAACGGCACTCGTTGAATAGTAAATATCAACTCTATCAATCTATTAATTTCCAATTGTATCACAAACTGTGTTTCTATTGAATCGGAAAAGTTCAGACAGCCAAGTCCCAACTACTAATATAAAGAAGTTCTGGCCCCAAACCTTGGCATGTGCAGTCTACACACATATTCACAAGCGGGAGTCTGTCTCATCATTTTATAATATTATACCGAGGATTCTGAGAAGCGCAACAATATTGGATGGATCATCTTGCCTCTCTTGTTTTGGCCATATCGTAACTGTTCCTAAACTCCTTGTGTCATGAAACTATGGGCCTTTCAGTCTTAGGGCCCACACGCCGGTGCTACGATCAACTTCTGATCAGCGTTACTATAAGTAACTGATACGTATGCAAGGGCATCTAAGCGCCTACGATCTTCATGCATGGCGCTGTCGATAAAGCTTGTTTTCTCATGGGACCTTAACGCTCCACCTTGTTCCTAGGCAACGTTCTTATGTTCTTAAGCAGCATTTATTAAATTTCATAGAAGTCATTTAGCACAGTTATATAGCCGAGCCTAAAACTCCGTTGTGGGATCAGCAGGTTGCCACTCAAAGGGATTGGTTTCATCCAAGTCGCCGGCTCGGAAGCTGGTGGGTGGCCTCGAGTTTATAAATTCTGTTTCCACTGGGTTAGAAGTCATATTTACGAGTCTTAAACTATATGTAAGCCGATTTGAACAAGAAACTGCCGCCAAATGCTTCGAAGGCTTGAGCGCCTCTGGGCGAATAACCGGTTGCGCTATTAGCTTCCCCTAGTTTAATTACTATGCCATTCGTCTCCTCAAGTATATCCATATGGTTCGATGGCCCACAATTTGCGATGGTTCTCACATAAGAGATATAAGATATTATCAGTTTTAAGTCCTTGTACCTTATAAGCGATATGACTTGAATGGTCGAGAATAGGTCATGTTATCTAATAGACAAGACTCATGCTTAACAGTTGCATATTAATACCAGGAACATGCATGAAATAATTTCACCATTTGTGACATAGTCTCTAGAAAGGGAGACACAATCAGGTACACTAGGACTTGCGTCGGAACCTCTTAACTACTTTTTAAGACCCATAACTAGCCACAAACTATATCGCCGCAATTCTCGTTGAGACACTAACACGCAATCAAGTCTGTTCGTAACTAGAAAATTTTTTTTGGATCAATTGATTCAGATAAATAATGTTTGCTAGTCACGTTGTGCATAGCCAACCAAAGATCTCCATGCCAGCGATAGGTCTGTCGGGATGTTATGAGGTGCTCGCTTGTAAAACGCTGAAAAGAATCCTAGAGGGTTTGGTAGCTCGGAAATACCGGGGAGGCTGGCGGAAAATGGTGCGTTTGGCGGTTAATAGTTGCCACTTACAGGTACCGCTAGTTCAGCTGGAACCAAGCTAGTCTGCACAGCCTTCTCTCTTTGCCCGTTACCAAGTTGACAAATAACTTCAATTGGGATCTTGGGATAAAGGTCAGGAGTCATTTTAAGGCTGGACCCATCATAATATATGATGGCTGAGTATCGTTTCGGCATTCGTCACCGCATTCATAGAGAAACAAGCCGGTGAGGAACAAGGCTGAAGAGTGAGAAGCCAACCTTGTGCGTGGCTGCCTTGGATTCTGACGAGTACTCAATTCCAAATAGCAAGCCGAAACACAAGATGGTGTATTACTTGCATGCTTGAATAGCGTCATCGCCTGGTTAGCGCAACTCTTAAAATTACGTTTAAATATGCTTTCACACGTCGACTCGTTCAAGAGATCAGTTAATACAACTTAAAGAATACTATTCCAAGCATGTCTGCAGTTCTAATACATCCTGGCAAGGAGTTTAAGCAGCGCCGATCGCATGAAAAGTCTAGAAAGGGTTGCATACGGTGCAAGAAGCAGAGAAAGAAGGTTCGTTGTACTCTTCAAGTTGATATACTAAAGGCGTTTACTGACAGCAAAACCAGTGCGATGAGGCCCGCCCTACATGTTCTCGCTGTCAGAAGCGGAATCATTGTTGCCAATATACTGTGCCAGACGAGCGCTATGCTTCAGAATCGATACATCCTAGCCCTGGACAAGCTTCAGAATCGATACATCTCAGCCCTGGACAAGATGATATGATACCAGAAATTCCAGATTTGGGATATTTAGATTTCGCTGAGGCCAGCCCAAGCAGCTCTGAGGCACAATCTGAGGATATCCGTTCCGGAGATTCGAGCATAATCCGCGCAGTACCATATGACCCCTCTGTAGCTCCAGAGGGGCCCCAGGCGTCTTTTTCTTTGAACTCTGAAGAGCTAGAGCTTTTAAGCCACTACATCACGCACACAAGTCGCATCATTCCCTTCAATGCCGAAGAGCTGCATGCACTTCACGTAGGGATCCCGAATCTTGCGTTTGGAAGCAGACCAGTCATGGGCTCAATACTGGCACTCTCCGCAGTTTGCAAGTGTTACGACATCGTGAGGCACTCTCCAGCGCCTCTGGAGAGAATAGAAGATATCAAAAGGCTTCTTTTTCTAGCAGATGAACATCACAGAAGTTCACTCGGCCAGATACAGGCAGCGATCTACGGCGATCATGTTGACACAGTTTTGGCTAATGCTGCGCTGATGGTACTGTATGCATTGTCTGGTCATTGTGTCCGGGTATTGTTAGCCAAGAAAGCAATGCGAGGAGGGAGAACATTATCTAATGAGATATTGCCATTGCAGTCTCAGTGGATAACCTCCATTCGTGCCGCATATGTCGCATATGTTGGTCTACAAAACAGTGCATCCCAAGACTTGATAGACGACTTGTCCAGCCCACCCGCAGCTACAAGTGATGATGCTGTTTTGCACAAAACCACCCTGCTAGGCGATGACTTATACACCCCCGAAGATGGTCCATCAGAAGGTACGAGGAATTTACTGCTGCCGATCGTATCGGCCACATACAGGACTGCCTTGGAAAAACTCAATGCACAGGCTCGAATTGTCTGGATTGACCAATGCGATTCGAACTTCCAGGCACCAAAAGTCGTCGATTCTGGGCTTCAAGCATGCCTTACGTCTCTTGAACTTTTGGAGGAGCTTTTCAATAAAGTATTTGCCAGCCACCAGCCAAGTCCTGAGCCCTCTCAATCGGAATTTGCTTCATCGGCCTTTCACCTAGGCAAACTTGAAAGAGCCTCTCCATGGCTGCGGAAATACTTGGCTAACGTCACCTCTGCCATACCATCTAAACTGTGGAGACGGACAATTACGGCTTTCCTGAATCACGTACCACTTGAGTATCTGCAGCTCGTTCAATCAGCCCTTGATCATATGCCAGTGGCGGTAAATCAAGCTGATTCCACTTCAACCGACAAGAGTGCGTTGCTTGGTACAACACAACAGCTAGCAATAAATATCTTTGCCCACTGGCTGGTCCTTGTTATGCTTTTAGATGGCGTGTGGTGGATCGGTGGTATCGGACAGTGGGAGCTGGGGCGAATACTGTCATTTACAGAGGCTCAAGGGTGGATTACCGAATATAGAGGCACAGGCGAGACATGGTGGCCAGAAAGCATGTTTGCTGTTCAAAAAGCGATTGCGGAACCTATAGAGTAATTATAATGATTATTATTTTACATAGAGCAAATAGATTAGAAACATTGGGGGGGATAGAGCCATAGGAGTAATCATCTTTAGATATTAGGAGCAATCTTAATGCCATTCACGCTTACTATATCCATTGCAGCCAAACATTTAACTTACAAACCATTACGTCGTGTGGTAGACTATTGCGCAGGATTGGATGAGGTTCCACCAGTAGCCTGTAGACAAAATCTCTCGCCTATGATTCCTGCATTCAGAAGCCCCCATAGAGGTGTATGCACAATCGCGTTTTTGTTCTGGTGTTGTTGCTGCCTTGAATCCTACAGCACAGCCTCAACCAGGCACTCTGTTTTCTGGGCCAGTTGCTTCTCCACTCGGCGTTTCACAGCATTTTAACCCCTTCCCAGGCCTTCACCAAGGGAAATTATATATTCGAAGAAAGGAGATGGAAACAAACATTCGGCCTTTTCTTGCACTCTAAATTACACAGACCATGAAGTGAAAGGGGTTTAATATTGGATGCATACAAAGGTAATTAACTAATCGCATGCAGAATTCATTGGACTTTCTCAGCTTCGTATTTGTTGGGGATAATCGCTGTTTTCAAATGGGCTACAATGGTGGTAGAAGCGGGAATTTGGAAATCCATCCAATGAAAAGAGGAAATGGCAAGGCGCATGCATATTTGTATATACATGTTCACATGCGCAGTGCGCGTCCATCTCCTGTCGCTGCCTAGTTGCGGCGTATTCAGCCTGACACTGATTTGCTGCCCAACTTCAATCGCTGAACAAATTACCGCTTCTCATATTTCGAAAGATTTCTTAAATCAACGTACACCAAATCGATTACGTCTAGGTTGATTGTGTATTCAATGAGCAACGCTTTTGTCGGAAAATTTAGTCTCGAAAATGGACGAAAATGAGTTGCTTCCTATTATTGACAAATTCCTTTCGGACACCAATACTTCTGAGAGGGAGTTATTTCAATCCAGTAGCTACGATGATGTACTACAGGACATCAATACAATTCAGTCAATCCGGGAATCGACGAAAAACATGATGAACATGAAGCGAATACATTCATTTCTCACTGGTATGGCGCATTTTGAGAACGTGCTAATCAAAATTGAGTTTCAACATGTTACAAAGGTCATGGCATGCGTTTGGGGCCCGCTTCGATATCTTTTAGAGGTATAAAGAAATATGGAATAAATTGTTGGCTTCTACAAACGAATATTGCTGACACCGTGCACTATAGTTCACAAATCGTACAGATCGAGAATTGGACAGCTTACTAGACGTTTACGAAAAGATCGGAGATAAACTTCCATTACTGTACGAGTATATGCAGCTTTTTATTGCAATACCGGATTGCGCAACATTTTTGACACACATATACCAAGATGTTCTTACGTTTCATCAACTTGCGTACAAGCTTTTCTCTCTCCGGCCTACATGTAAGATCAATTATCAGGTAGTAATATGATGACAAAGTCTAACCTATTCTATAGTATTCCAAAAGATATATAAATCCATCTGGAAAGCTTTGAACAATACTTTTGATCACCTAGCAGGTTCCTTGGAAAGCCACAGGAAATTTATCATAAAGAACGGATTGTCCTTTCGGAACCCTCAAGCTACATTAGATCTGGACGCCGATTTAGCACCTGCAGGGTCTTGGCCGGACAATGAGACAAACGTGGAAAATGTCAGAAGGATGTTTTTAGAATATCCTCAAAGCGTGAAGAAATGCCGTGACGATTTCAAAGAGAAGGAGGCGAGCGAGAGGAGCAAGACCAAAAATAGAGTTCTGGCTTGGATATCAGCCTCAAAGAAGACGCAATTGCTGCACAAGAAATTCCAGGACGCGAGAATATGTCCAGATACTGGCCGTTGGCTGTTCAAGAAATATAGCGAAGTCAGCGATTGGATGACTGAAGATCCGCCACCCGATTCTGCCATTTGGCTACAGGGCAGTAGAGGGTTTGGTAATAATACCTCTTGGCAGATAGACATAAGACATCATGGGCTAACAAAATCTAGGTAAAACTATACTTTCATCTCTGCTAATAGATGAATTGAGAGACCTACGGACCGAAAGGAAGAAGTGCGCGATTCCTCAAGGAGGCAAAATATGCTACTTCTATTGCCAAGAAGAAGACTCTGATCATCGTACCTATCTTGACATTCTGAAAGGAGTTCTTCATCAGATGGTCGAATCTACTGAATACCTCTTACCTCTCTGCAAGGAAAATATTGACTCAAGCGGGAATCTAACAGACATACCAACAGCGGAGGCTCTCCTCAAGGCTTTCTTTGAGTATAATACAAGGCAATATATCGTCATTGATGGAATTGACGAGTGCGAAATGGTTGAAATGCGCAAAATTGCAAGCTTCTTCATGGAACAGGTTGAAAAGTGCGACAACATCAAGCAAGGCCGATTGAGGGTCCTATTTATGAGTCAGTCAATTCCAGACCTGACCAAAGCCAAAATTATGCCAGAGGATGATGCATGCGTGCAACTTAAGGCAACCGACAATGCAGAAGACATCAGGTCTTATGTGAAGAAGAGGATTCCAGACTTTTCTGAAGGACGCGCGACAAGCAGTGGCTTTAACCTTTCTGAAAGCGACAAAGAGGAAATTGAGAGTATTATATGTCGCCGAAGTGAAGGTCAGTCTCTTATGCACACTGCAATGCATGAAATTCATTATAATAGCTGATACTGATAGTAAATGCAGAAATGTTTCTATATGCCCATCTGGCGATTGAGTATCTTCTACAGCAACCAACGAAAGAGAAATTGAAAGAGAAAATAAAAGAAGAAATGGCGCCTAAGGAACTCTCACAGATGTAAGTTCGCAGTCGAACAACACCTACCACGGATATGATAGATGAACTAATGTTATATATAGATACGAAAAGCTTGTGGGGATTGTCAAAACCGAGTTATTGAAGCTAGCCGAAGGGGAAGCCCACTGGAAGATGGCAAGGCAACTTCTAGGCTGGTTGATCTGCGCCAAGCGTCCCCTCAAATGGCATGAAATGCAATCAATTCTGTCTTATGTCCCCGAACAACAAAAAGTTGATTTTGATAACAAGATGTTGAGGCAACATTCTAGCAAATATCTTGGATCTCTGGTGCATGTCCTTGAAGGCGGCCACATCCGGATTGTTCATTCTACAGCGCGGAGGTAGGCAAATAATCTATACACTAACTGACACTTTATAGTATCAAACTGACAATAGCTAGGTATATCATCCAAAACAAGTACATAAATGAACAAGCTGTGCATTGTGACCTTGCGGTACGCTGTCTAAGATACCTTTGTCTAATAAGCGCCTCTAAAACGTATGAGGAAAATGAGCGGCTAGAAAAAGTCAAGCTTGGCTGGTTTTCTTTTCAGGATTATGCCTGCTCTCAATGGCATAGTCACATTAGTACGGTGATTTCGAATTGCGGAGACCTCTTTCATGACGGTGATGATAGTCAGAGCTATCAAGAGGATTTTGGATCTGCACTGCAGGAGTTTGTGGACCAAAATGGTGGGGATCTCACGAAAGAGACTCACAAGCACTTTGAAGATAAGTGGCCAAATGAATTCGACAGATTCTCAGAACTCCCGTTCTATGAAAACCTTTGCACCTTGTGGAATCATATTTACACTCATCAGAGAGAGAAATTCGAAATCCGTAACACAGTTGGTATTGCGGGAATCGAGAAGGCTATGCTCGATAATAGAGCCTCGTTAGAGACCAACTTCGTTCCTAGCGGAAAAACCTGCCTCAATGATACGATAGCGGATTACTATGGCCCCAATCTCTTCAAATGCAATCGCCTCTTGTGCGATTTTTTTCATGTAGGCTATGACAACAAAGAAGATCGCGAAGCCCACAACAACCGTCATGACAGACCATATCAGTGTGCCTCGCGGTGTAATGCAGCTCCAATCGGATTCACCTCCAAGAAGGATCTGGACAGGCATATGCGTTCTTATCACCCTGATTCAACCAATGGACCGGCTACATTCGAATCATTACGTCCCAGGACTGGCACGAGAGAATTCCCTTGCAGCATATGTGGCAAGAAGTTTACAAGGAAGATTACCCAGACCGGCCACGAGAGAAGCCATTTTGGAGAGCGCCCGTACAAGTGTCCACATATGGGTTGCGATAAGGCTTTTACGAGAGCGAGCGATTGCCAAAGACACCAAAGGATTCATTCAAGAAGAGCAGGATAATGATCTAAATGCTTATTGCTATAGGAATTAGCGATTAATATTTGCAAGTTTTTGTCTTACTTGTCTATCCTCGGCTCGAGTGTAATCTCTTGGCGATTTATGCCTTCCCATACCCTCATATCCATAAACCTAACCAGTCCAACTCTTCGATAAAGCCGTCCGCCAACGTCAACCACAAGCAACCCGACGCCTTCCTCACTGCCTGCACCTGTTTGCACTGTCCCCAGTAATAAGTATTCTAGATCGTCAATCCCCAATCCCATTTGCTGAAGTTCAGCAAAAGGATCAATAAGATCTAGACCCTCCAGTATCTTGTCAATCTTATCATAGGCTACGTCACTTACTTTCATCATACGACATGCCAATACCACAGCTTGGATAGTCAACAATTTGACGACGGCATCTTCAGTGGATACGGACCCTTCATAGCGGATGACACCATCCAAGGAAGCCCATGACCAACTCGGTGCTCGTTTGAGATGTCGACTTTCTTCCCTTTCAATATCGGGTTTATGCCATGCCAGAAGATCGATAAACCATTTTTTCCAGAGTCCATAGATGCTTGTGTCGCGCCATAGTGTTTCAAGCTCCGATGTTATGCCCATGACTGCTCTAAGCTTATCCTCTGAGTTTGTGAGCTGACGATCGGTGTATTGTTGCACAATGGTCTTCCAAAGGTAAAGCTTATCGTATTCTAGATTTCCAAAATAGGGCTCGGCGCCATTGTCAAAAACTGTCCAAGGAAGGCTTTCTAATGGTTGTAGATACTCGAGTCCTCGTGTAGAAACGCTCCGAAGATCCACTTCTTTGCATTGCCATAAAAGTTCGTAATCAGAGAATATCAACATCCTTGACGACAGCATGAACTCTTGCAATGTCCATCCTCTCTTGTCTAGGGGATGATCTGGCTCATAGGGTCCTGCTGAAAGATACACTGTACCCAGAGCTTTATTTGCCATGCGCATATGAACCTCATAGTCTGGGCAGTAAGACTGTATTTTATGGGCAAGAAACCCATGGGCTGCATTTTCTGACGTGGATGCCGCAATCGTTACGGAAGCGTTTTTGTAGATAGATGCCATTCGCGAAATTTCGGTACGTTTATCTTCATCGCAGTCTTGGATAATGCAGAGGGCGTCAACCCAAAGATACCGAAAGCCGAGCTTTCGAGTAGCAGAGACAGCATCCCGTATAGATTGCTGAAGACTCTCCAGTTTGATACCATCCACCAGTTGTTTGAGGTTGTCTCTCTGCAGATGAAGTGGTTTTGCAGCAGAATCGAGTGGCTTTCCCCAGCAATAACTTAAGGCGAGGTATTGGGCACGGGTGTCTGTATCGTTGACCACGAGTTTTACTGTGGGATGACGGTCGTCTGGCTTGCCAACATCGAGAACTCGCAGGGGAAGGACGGTATCTCGGGAGTATTGGCAATGTTTATGAGGGTTCTTGGAATTCATACATTCTTGGATGAGGGCCCTTGCTTGGGCAAACACTCTGTTGCTTCCGACATTTCTGTAAAGGGGCCTTTGGTGTACAATATCTGCGATGGGATTACCTGTGATTTGTGAGATTATAAGATTTACAAACTTTATGGACTGAGAACTTACCCCTTCTAGCAAATACCTGGATTGTAGCGATAGATTTCGTTGGCTCGGATTCAATGGCGGCTTGCAGCCCATATATACCTATCGGGTCATCATTTGAAGCTGTGAGCAAAGTTCGAGGAACACGATTGTTTCGGAATATGAGGCGTTGTTCATTTGCCCAATCTTCGTCATGTTCTTCGCAAACAATGAATAAGATCAATTTGCACATTCCACAGCCTGCATTAGCAGCAGCCTCACAGTCAGCCCGGTTCCGATGCCAGAAGCCATCATGCGAATTGAGAGACTCAAGGCTTGCGTGAGAGAACATCCGCGTGCAGACCTCACAGGAGAGGTTTTCTAAGCGCCGCCGAGATCTTCTGGATTGAGAACCATTCTGTCGGTCAGTACTGTTCTCGGACTCAGATCGAGGCCTTTTTTGTCTGACCCGCTTAGCCATTATCGGTCTCAAAGGAAGCGTCGTTGATTCCATGAATATTTGTAGGGAAAATAAGATAAAAGTCGTCCACTGTTGCAGTGAGCTGTGTAGGAACCAGTGTATGGTAGGTAACTTTGCCAACTTGTAGAGAACACCCGCTTTGCTTGTCGAATTACTGCATACGAAGGTACGTGTTTGAGAAGCCAGATAAATTAGACTAAATTATTTGGTTAACGTTCAAATAGGCCGATGAATGAATTCGGCCTTACTGCCCAAGGCCTTCTGACGGCCTGGCCTGAGCAAGACAGGATTGGCGGTTGCATTTATGATGAGGCTGACACATATGCAGCATGTGTGTCTAAGCCACGTTCAACAAACATGATTCGCGGACTGCGGCAAATAGGCAACACGGAATAGAGATGCATCGAACTGCCTTGCCGACGCGTTCCGCCAGTCAAGTGGCGCGAACCAGCTTCAGCCTCATTTTCGGTGATGGAACGCGTCCACCCCATCATTCGAGAATCCGCCTCGTAATTGCCTACCAAGACGAAACCCACCGCTTTTCTTGGCCATGTCAATACTATTCCTCTTATTAGAAACGACTATGGAAAGAAGAAATTCTATTTAGAAATTCCAAGACTTTTCCCCAATACTCATAGGCCACCAAGCAATCACAATGTCTAATCCACTGAAGCGACGATTTGACCCCGTCAGAGAGCTAGATGATGAGACCTTTTTCACTTCTAGCGACGCATCCAGCGTGGAGCCGCAGCAGCCTTATGATCAAGGACCGCTTGATTATGGTGGATATCATGATTCAATGAGACAGAGCCAATACCATGGGCCAAGTTACATGAATCCAATGAGGTACGTGAATCAAGCATTGCTTCGCGAGCGTTACTAATTGTCTTAGTGACATTCCTATTATCCAACAGGTAGACTCCATGCCAGAAGTGTTTGGCAACATCCTACTTGATCCGAGCGCAAATCAAACACCACCACTGGACTTCAATGGGATGGATTTCAACTTGGACGATGCGCTCACGGATTGGAGTAATGAAATGTTGTTGTCCGATTCTGATTTATCTCCATTCATGCCACTCTCGTCACAAGAGGTTTCACACTCGCCGTCTGTCGCATCTCAATCAAGTCCATCCAGATCGGAGGATATTGTCTCAGTATTTAACAACGAATTACTTAGCAGCGAAATAATATGCTATGGAATGGTAAGTCACCGCAATCCTTATCTTAAGATTACAACGACATCTAATTTGAGAGGCAACGTCCACCTGCAATAGCTGCATAATGTCGATGTCAAACTCTTAGGCGACATGCAAATGATTTACGCTAAGCTGGACAAGCGTGAGGCGGGATTCGAGCGTTTCAAACTCGAGACGCGTGAAAATCACATTATCCTATGTTTCAATGATACTGGCGAAGATTTTGGCCAGGTGCGCTCCAACGTTGGCATGACGCTTTCATCGCTAGTAGACAAGTCCTCCAATGTCGACTTTGAACCCATCGTGTCTATATCTTATTTAATGGACATAATAGGACGCGCCAACAGGCCAGCTGAAGCCATTGTCAAAGTTGATATCAATGTTTACGGGCCACAATCAATTGGAGTACCTGTTGGCAATGAACTGTCATCTGGAAAGCTGTGGCTGCAGAAGCCTACTCACGAGAGAGATGGAATAGTATACGACAATCCGCATTTCTTAAAGCTCAAGACAAATGGTACTCAGCTCCCACGGAAGCAGCCAATGAAACAGGTCATCAGCGAGGGGGCTTCCAACAGGAGAAAACGAGAAGAAAGATTGCGAAAGATGGTCGAAGACGTATACAAATCTATTGATCGTACCAGGCACCTTGAGGCAGTAGATGGTGGAGACAGAGTCGTGCGAAAACTGTTGAAGTAAATCTCTATCTTTATGATCAGTTTTAGTTGATGCTGACATACAATTTCTAGACATCAGGAAGAGGCACTAGGTTTCATGTTAGAAAGAGAATCTGGTCATATCAATGACAGGTATAGGCTCTGGGAGACTATTGAACTAGAAGGGGGGAATAAAGAGTAAGCTATCTCCAGTACAGTTTTGAAACAGTTTTTAACTTTTATTGTGCCAGATATCGCCATCGAATTACTAGAGCAAAGATCAGGACCGGTATAAGACCAAACGAAAGAGGAGGCGGGATTCTAGCTGATGAGATGGGTATGGGCAAGTCCTTGTCCATACTTGCGCTAATAATGAAGACTCTTGATGACGGAAAAGAGTGGGCTCGACAGCAAGAAAACAGTCCCAAAGTCGAGGAGGCGATTAGACGCTCGCGCTCAACACTTGTAATTGTCCCGTCTGCCCGTTCGTTGCTCCAATACCTCCTCTGTTTGACAAGATATGTGAAAGACTGACCCTGTTAGTACTCATATATAATTGGATAAATGAGATAAAAGAGTGAGTTCATTTTTTTTTTTAAAAAAAAAGAAAAAAGACATAAAATAATATAACATAGCACGTATCAGTTATCATGACTATTGACTAACTTCATAGGCACTTGAAAGATGGGGTCAAAGTAATCAAGTACCACAGCTCCGATAGACCGAAAAGTCTTGATGAAATCGCAGATTCTGATATTGTAGTAACTACATACAGCACTCTAACTGCTGAGTTTCAAATCAAATCAAGCCCGTCACTCCTTCATTGTATCGACTGGTACAGAATCGTCCTCGATGAAGGTAAGTCATCATCTCCTCTTTCCCATTCCTTCAGAATATCCAACAGCCGATAGCACATATTATTCGCCGCCGAGCTACAGCCTTCTACCGTGCCTGTGACGATATTCACGCCAATTCAAGATGGTGTCTCACCGGAACACCCATTCAAAACAAGCTCGCCGACATTGGCACTCTTTTCGCCTTCATTCGTGCTGAACCTTTTACCAAGGCAGCTACGTTTCGGAAGTACATAGAAGTTCCTTTTGATCAGAGCAGCGAAGAAAATCCGACATTAGCCAAAGACCGTCTCCTTATACTCATCGAGTCGCTCTGTCTACGTCGCACAAGGGATATCATCCAACTGCCTCAATTACGACAAAGGGTACGCAAACTGAGTTTCTCTGAAGCCGAGAGCAAACAATACAATAATACAAAGGAGATTCTACTGCGAATGATCCGCCATCGTGTTGGTGAGGCCGAGCAGAGCTCCAAATTCGGGATCTTCCAGGTCAACTTGCAGATGCGTCTTCTGTGCAACCACGGAACGTTTCAGCAGCCTTTCTCTTGGCATCGGCGCAGTTACCGAGACGAACGCGAGGCAATTGCCTCAGCTCTTGGTCAGAGTAGCGAGATTACGTGTGCCGGCTGCCAAATGCCAATGCCAATTATCGGGTCCAGCGGGTTGGGCGATGGCTTTTATAAACAATGCGCCCATGTCCTATGCTCTGAGTGCATCGAGCAGTCGAATACCTCGAGTGATGGCGAACAAACTCAGCATTGCCCCGTGTGCATACGATGGTTAAGACCTATGGTGGATAGTGACCAGATGACAGACGATGATGATATGGCAAACTGCCCGTCCAACAATAAGCTCGGAGATGATGATGCTTACTATTTTAACGACGAGGGGCATTCTACGAAGATGAACGCATTAATTGAAGATGTCCAGCGTGACATGTGGACAACGAAGAGGTAAATCTCCCTACGACTTACAACTGATATCGGTCTAACATGAGTAGTATAATATTTTCATGCTGGACTAGGACGCTGCAACTTCTTTCGAGATATCTCGACGCTGCCAAGATTCCATATGTCCACATTGATGGCAGCTGCCCTCTTAAACAGCGACAGATCAAACTCGATACATTTGCCAAAGACGATGAGACACCAGTGCTCATCATGACAACCGGAACTGGCGGGTTTGGGTATGTCAAACGTCTCTCCTATGCTTTTTAATATTGCTCATAATACTAAATAACCTCTAGGCTAAACATAACATGTGCTAATCGCATCTTCATTGTTGAGTTGCAGTGGAACCCCGCTGTAGAGAGCCAGGCCATCGCGCGCGCAATACGACTTGGACAGAAAAACAAGGTATACGTGACGCGCTATATAATCAAGGACACAGTTGAAGAAGTTTGTTACTTCTTATCATTCTCATCTCACTTCTTACTAACCTCAATTAGGAAATGCAGTCCCAGCAGCTGTCTAAAAAGCAGCTCGCTAACTTAGGATTTGATGAGGATTTGGATGCAGGAGATGGAGGAGGTTGGTTTGAGTAGGAGCAACAATGTGGATAGTAACAGTGGACTAAAACAACTACGTTCTGAATAAGCCAATGCAGAGTTGAATGCTATCACTATTGCGTCCGGCATCATTTATCCCCCTCATAGATTGCATCGAGAAATTATGCGAGCATATTGAATCGGGCCTATATTACTAAAAGAATAGTTCCATCATCTCTGTGGGTTCATTTTCCACACTATTCTCGTAATTTGGCCCATTCTATCACATGTCTCGTGTACTCTGACGCTCTTATGCCCATTAAGCCCTCCTTGAGAAAGGCAATGTGACCGACAGTTTGATCCACATGAATGTCGACGCGGCCTTGATGCTTATTCTGCGTTTTGTTAGTCCCATTGCTCAGTGACACGGAACATCTGAGTAGTAAATTAATTTCTCACCTTTATTATTTGAGCGAGTTTGGCGATATCTTCTTCGAAGATCTCCAATCCACCCGAGACAACTGTAATCCCCCCAGCTGGCAGTGTTTCATACCAGTCCTCACGCATCACGGACAGTGGAGCGAACCATGGGTTGATGAGCTCAACGTCAGGGTCATGATTACTCTGGATAACGTTCCACATTTGGGCCACTTCATCCACGCCAACCAAATCGCGGCCAATGTTTTTGCTCGTAGCCATCGCTGGCGTAACCATCGGCGTGGTAGGAGATATCATCAAGATTTTTCCAAGACGATGGCCAGAAGGGATGGAGAGTGGAAGAATTTTGGGGTGCGGATGCATAACATGGAGGAGGAGAGAGAGAATAAGCATTCCCCCGGCACTGTCTCCGTACAGGTCGATCTACAGACTGCGTTAGCTGACGCAAAGAGCATGACTGGCAAAGACTAACATCTTTCGTGTCTCGCCCATGCATAAGATGAGTGACGAATGCGATCAGTTGGCGTAACTGAGTTGGATAGGGTGCATTCGGGCAGATATCTGAGGAGTTAGAAAGCCAGGAGAGAAACACCAAGATATTTCGAATACTCACCATAAGCAAGCACAGCCAACGCAACATCATCCCCGCCGGCAGTCGCTGTTTTATACATTTCGTAGGCCAGGCCAAAATGAAAAGTAGACGCATGCATGACTAGCCCACCACCATGCATGTGTCCTATCACTCTCTTGGCTGAAGGCGAGCCAAACCACAATGCCGAGCCACCTCCTGTGATTTCTTGTCGCACAGGCGGGATACCATGCTCCTGAACAAATTTATCATATTGGTCGGCCGTACGAACTGTGAAGCATTGCCTGAAAAGCAAGTTAGGGGAAGTAAAATGTACGTATGATCAGTGAACATACTGCATCAAATCTTCCACTGTCATGGACATCTTTACGGTGTTGAAGTTATTCCTTAGAGAACTGGTTATGTGTTTATGATGCTCATTTATAAAATCTGAACCGATGAAGAGTGCGAACCCAACGATTTATATATCTCGTTCGACTCATAGTTTGTAAATGCTGTTCAGGCGCCATGGCATTTTGGACAAGAGCATTGCTCTACCGCGGCTTGGCTTGATGGAGGGCTCTCAAGAATCATCACAGTTGACTCATATCATCAAGGAGCTCTCCATTCGCCGCGACTTCTACTTTTGGGCTGATTAGAATTATAGCGGTACGTGATTGCTGGCACTTGAATGCACAGTCGGCGACATGGGGATCTACTACACTCAGCCAACGTAGCAGCATGTCCCCACTGATTCGAGCACAATGTGGTGAACTGGAAAGAATAGTTCGGCATGTTTCTCGCCGGAGTTGTGGGACACTACCAGCGCCAGTACTAATTTAGAAATAGCAGCGAAGTCAACACGACACGTTTCCTGGGAGAGTTAAAGTTGTCTTAACCTAATCTTGCCATGCTTTCAAATCAGAGCCACCTCATCATACAAAGTGGCTAGTCTTGAAATGGCAGTAACGACGAGGTTTCGAAATTGCGGGCCTTTCTTTTATATGGCATGCCTTGAGATTGTCAACTTTGGAAACCATATATTAGTGATTGTGTGAAGTTGCTTGCTGGGGAATTAATATTTAGTTTACTAAACGTAACGGATTCATGTTGGTTTGTAAGAATGCGATCTAATGTACAGTATATAGTCTGTAGAATATCCGAAATACTACATAAGTCGACCCTGAGACGGTCCAACGCAGTGTAATATACATTGTGCAGTTCGGCATCTAACCAAGTACTACCTCAATTAAGAAAGCACTTCTCTCTTTTTTTATCATGACCGGAATCACAAATACAATCTCAGGGGAGTTTACCTTTGAGAAGAAGACAGCAGAGGTCTTAGGTTCTCAAATGGCATATGTTGATGTGGGAACCTCCGATCCAAAGTCAGCGGTCACCGTTTTCCTACACGGAGTCCCCACGTCCTCATACCTGTGGCGAAATATTATCCCATATGCAGCTGCAAAAAGTCGTTGCATTGCCCCAGACCTTATTGGGTTCGGAGATTCCGACAAAGTTCCAGGGGCGTATTATTTCGAAGACCATCAGAGGTACATAGACGCCTTTCTAGATGCTGTCTTACCGACTCAGGCAATAAATCTTGTCATTCACGACTGGGGATCCGCCCTTGGATTTAACTGGGCTCGTCGAAATGAACATCGTGTAGCTGGTATCGCATTCATGGAATTTATTCACCCCATAGCGAACTGGAACGACTTACCACCTATTATGGTGGAGAACTGGAAAAAGTTTCGAGATCCAGATACCCAAGTCGGTAGAAGCTTATTGATTGATCAGAACGTCTTTGTCGAACATATTCTCGACGGCGGGGTGGCACGATCATTGACAAACGAGGAAATGGATGCATATCGCAAGCCATTTCGACAACCTGAGTGGCGTGAGGCAATCTATCGGTTCCCGAACGAGCTTCCTATAGAGAATCAGCCCGGAAATACATGGATATGTGCAGAAAAATATATGGAGTGGTTATTCGCCAGTGAGAAGCCGAAGCTATTCTTCTGGGCCAAGCCCGGAGGGCTTGTCTGGGAAACAAAAGCAGAGGAGTTTCGGCAAAAGTTGAAGAACACAAGGGTCGTGTATCTAGGAGAGGCGATTCATTATGTACAAGAGGACCACCCACATACAATTGGCCGTGAATTGGCTGACTGGCTCCCTCTATCTTTGAACTAGGTGTAAAGTTAGTTGGTATGACAAGGTACATGATTAAGAATGATAATTATATACCTGTACATAACCCCAGCCTATGGTCAAGATGTCTCTACGTTACAATCGTATCAGCCAAAACATAAAGCATAGTCGTAATGTTAAAAAGATAAATATCTATTGCTGTATGCTATCCGTGCTAACGATATTAATAAGTATTAATGGTTGGAAATATTGTATCCAAAAACGTGGCAAGGGAACCACGAGTGCTTCACATATTCTACAAGTATTTACCCTTTCTCATGTTTAATATTCATCATATATTATTGAACGCAGATAGACAATTTAGGCTTCGATGTTAACGAGGTATTTGGTAAAATTTAATTCCCATCTATCGGTTGTACATATCATACTCTAACAGTGCTTCGCAGAATATCCAGCCCCTTCTTGCACAGCTGTAAGCCTTTGTAAGCTTTTTCTTTATTTGTCAAATACTCAGAATCATCCTGTAAAAGACTTTTATGACCGCTGGAGAGTAGACGTGTGAAATACTGTTCCGCTAATTCTGCAGGAACATGCGACATTGTGCATCCTTCCAGGGTTGAGCTCAGGTGAATCACAGTCTGGCAGATATGTACCGCGAACTCATTCAAAGTTTCAAGACGCATAAACAAGGATGGTGAATCGGCACTCAGCACTCCGAGGCAGGATGGATAGGGCGAATTGTGATTGAGCAATTGGCGCAGCTCGAGGATTACTGTTGAAAGCTCCAGTAAGCCGGACCAGTAGTAGATTATTACCCCTGGGATCCAAGAGCTGGAGAAATGTATTTTTGAAGAGTAAATATCCTCGCTTGTTCCTTTGGACTGACGTTGGCAATTTTGATCCGGATTTGTCTCGCCTGAATACCACCAAACGCATCTTCCTTCGGATTTTTCTAGCGATTGTAGCCAACGATAAAGTTTCCGAATTACCGAATCGCAGTCTCCGAAATAATCAATAAGTTGAAGGCATCGAGCGTTCTGGTGGCAGTCGTTACCCATTTGACAGAGGTTCGTAGAATCCTCCAGCTTTAGCTGGTCACCTCGTTCCAAGAGGCCAGGTATATGCGCAACGATGTCCATTAACAATTGCCGATGGTTTTTAATTGGCAATCTGTTGGTGATTGCAAGCCACTGATCTGAAGCAAGAAATGTCGCTTTACGATTTTTTAATGCTTCTCCTAACTGCGCGTTGAGAGTATCAGTATCTGTCAGAGCATAGCTGAGCTGTCTCGCGTTTTTAACTTACGGCTCCGCACCGAAGATCTGTATATGCCGCCTTCGTAATGGAGGACTCCAAAGCTTCTGGCCCTGAATTTTTTATAAGGTCAAGAGCTCCATTGAGATGAAAGCGATATCCCTCCCCTTTCGAGCCATTAGCTAGCCACTGGGCCATTGTCAGTATATGGGTAGAAGTAAGATCTTGGCTATGGAGAGTCTTGGGCATTATGACGCATACCTCAAAGAATAGTAAAGTTAGTGCAATCGCAATTGCACGGATCTTTCTATTTGTTTGGTCTGTCTTGGGCCCAAAGCCCAGCGCGAGCTCGGATCGAAATCGACTGAGTGCTGGAGGATATGCTGCTAAGGCAAGGCCTTGCAATTTAGCATCCCTCCTTAGCTTTCCCATGAACATCGTTGCGACTGCGAAAATCGCAGAATCCAGGGTTTTGCTTCCGAATGCAAGTGGGAGTATCACTCGAGCACTGCTTGCCATTGGTGATTCGACATTTTGATCTGTAGAAATGGTATTCGGATGGCACGTCACAATCCAGAGATCAGCCACAGCAGAACGATATAGATCCATAGAACAGTTCAAAGGGGAAGGTATTGAGGGAGAGGTTGTCAAATTCTTAGATACAGGATCCACATGCACTCCTTTGACGGCTATTGTGGTTTGTGTTGTGGTGTCCATGTATTGGTTTTGGAATGCGTTACTCAGCATTTTCCTATCTGACACCCGGTGGATATTATTCCCATCCCGATGAACAAATATTGAGCCTGCCCTTGGGCCGCTACACTTGATGCCACTTCTAAGACATCTTGTGCAACTCGGTTGCCCGAGATCACACTTGTGCACATTAATCGTCAGTACAATTGAAATGTACATCTGTGACTGTTTTGGTGTATTTCTGGTGGTTTAACGCACCTTAACTCGGCGCACGCTGCACTGCTTGCAACGTTTAGAAGTGCCCGGAATGTTAACCATGGCCAAGAGAAAACAGCCAATATGAATTGAACAGGTTGGCTAGATGATCTAGCATGTGTATAAAGTAGTTCTAAATGGGATAAGTTAGGACAGATTGCTCAGTATCTCAAAAGAGTTCATAAATCACATCTCAAAGTTCATTTAGTTAGCGGTGACGTGAATATTCTAGCGCTTATATTCGTAAATAGGAGGCGTCAGGCATATTTGTCAAACAGGCATAGCCTTTTTCGGCAGGGATTAACATTTCCCCTGGGCTAACAAGAACAGTATAATTTGTATCAGTAAGAATGAAAGTAACGAGCATAAAATGCGTATAATAGACTGGATGTTAATCAAGTAACGTGTCAGTATGTATTACGAAGCAGAACTCCTTGCTTATAATGAGACATAGTGGCTACAAAACCTGAGAATACCACAATTTACCTTTTCTTCATGTCACAATCATCAGGGTAGGGTTAAAGTCTAATGAGGGGAGTATTGCTATATCGCCAGCGTAAACATGCAATTGTGTTGGAGAAAAGACATTGATAATGTGAGTGTTCATATGATATCAGCTTTTACTTGCGTTAACATCTCTCCATTACCTACATAAATTAAAGCTCAAAGTTTATATCTAGTCATAATTATAATAGCATCTGCTTGCTTGATTACACCTCTGACTTCGTCGGCTGCTCGTAGATCATAAAACGAACACCGTAGTTGCCGTCACCTCCGTACATAGAGTCATCTTGGATAAGTTCTTGCTCAACACGAAATCCAGCCCGACTATATACTCCCCATCCACGCCTAAATGCGAGAACAAAGATATCCAAACCCAACTTTTCTGCTTCCTTCATGCCACTTTGTATTAACAAAGTACCAATTCCTTTGCCTTGATTCTCTGGATGAACAGCCAAATATTCGAGCACTGTTAATCGTAACGGTTTAGTATCTCTGTATTGACTAAATTCTCCATATTTACTCACATAAGTACGTCTTTTTTGCCAGAAGTTCTTTTTTTATTTTGGAAATGTTGTTATCCAGCGGGTCTGATGAGTTGTCCGGATTCCATGGGGTCGCTTCAGCAATTCGCTTGATTTCTTCTTCTTCTTCCGGTCCTACCAATGGACCCAGAGCCTCCGGCCAAGTTGGTTCACCCTCTGAAGTAGTAGCATATGAATCGGGTAGAACCCAGCGAGCATAGCCCAAGAGTCGTCCAGTTTGAGGATCAATCGCCTTCTGATGCCGTGAAGTTGCACGGTCACTTATCAGTCTGCGTGGATAACGTCTGGCAGTTGTCTCAATATGTTTTTCCAGAGTAGTGTTGCGCCATGCTAGGACCCAATTAGGATCTTCCCAAAAAGCCGACATATTGTTCCGACTCAACGCTTCGCTGTCGGTGATGCTAACTGGGGCAAGAGTATAGGTAGCCATCTTCAACGAAATATGTAGTGCTTCTAAAAAAAAAAAACCTACTTGTAAAGTAAGTTTGTAAATATTGCTGTATATATACTCGACGACGATGTTGCCACCTATATGTGGATGGCGATATTGCAATCTGTTCTCAATCCTTGGACGCGTGTTACACTCGCTATCAGTAGAAGGATTGAGAGAACCCCGCAGCCTAGTCCGGTATTAGCTCCACACGAAATTCGAAAGTTGGATGAGATGATGAGTGTTGAAAACCCATGTTCTCATTCTAAGCTCGAAATAGGTAAAGCCGAAATGGCATGTTTTCTCGCTGACTCTGAGATGCTATTATATAAGATTTCGGAAAGCTAACCGAGTTCTTCTATATGACTTAGCTTCTTAAAGCCCAGTGGAGTGTTTCTTTGTGAGGATGTGTTCTACTAACTGCGATAATTAAATCACCACAGATATTTATATTCCTCATTTCAGACTGTGCGTAGTCAATATACGGCAAGTATACACTAGGCCTGCCTCTTCCACATTATGCAAGATCTTAGACGTTTTGCAAATGCTGAAACCACAATATTGTACTATCATTTTTAGGAGAGACTAGGTACCTGCTATTCCCGCTATAGACGATAATCTTTACTTCAAATATTCATCAGAAACGTCCATCATGTTGGAAGAGTGGATTTACAGTAAAGCAAAAAATCTTCTGGTTCTGGCATATTTTTTTTTTAAAAAAAAGAATATAGTTTCAGTTACTGGCAGACTCACGCTAAGCCATGCTAAACTTAAGATTACAAATACCACCAAGTCGCAACAAAACCACAACAAAGATAGACAAAAAAAAAACAATTACATAGAGATTGGAAGAAAAACATGACCATGCTTCCATTATGGTTACTAATGAAGGCATTTTATATCGTGATTCGACCCCTTATTTTAAATCTGCTCCTTGTCTATGTAGACTATGTTTTACTATTGGCCTGTCTATTCCGCATCATGCAATCCCTCACGATTAGAGAATAATGTGGTAGCTCTCTAGCTTATCTTTGTTGAGAAATTTGGTGCTACTTAGTTTTTCTAGTTGCGGGCCAGCAAACCAACCCTCTTTGGAGGCGCATTAAATAAGCTTCGCTTGTGTATTGGGACATGAGAATATTGTCAGCTTAAGTGGATTGGGCAGGCAAAGGGGTATCAGATGTCTCTTGTATGTATTGCCTTTTCTGGTAATTTAACTCCTGCAGCTAACGGCCATGTACCAATGCCTGTTTATGCTGTTCGGCATTTATACCACACCTTGTCACCCTTTTATATCATCATGATTTCTTGCCAACAATTATTACAATATATATATATAACCCCAACTTCCCAGGAAAGCGAAAATAGCGCACTGTTTAAGTGGCTATCAGAATATTGGCACCAATTCCTGTTTCAACCAGATGATGAGCTTGCAGTCAATATTTTTGAGAGCTGTATGGCAAAAGATGTAACTGTCAAGTAAGTCGTATTAATTCTCTTCTCTGGTGCTACATTCATGTAATTCCTAAATAGTGGCTAATTTATACGGTATATCAGAATCAATCATGATCATGTCCCTCGCGAAGTATACTTTGGTTACATCACAAGCACTCGTGCTGCCCATGACTTGACCCTCCTCAACCAGGAGAAGCTCAAAGTGTGGGAAGCTCCTGGAGGGGGACGCTCGATTGTATACAAAGGAGAACTTATGTACAGCGACAAAAAAACTGGAGGAAAACAAAACGGTGTTGTTGTTATGATTGCAGATATACGCAAGGGAGAGGCTGGCAATTTCACAATTGTACAATCTACAGAAGTGGTCACCCGAAGCGGTTAATAGCTTTAAGGGCTAGATATACTGGAACAAACAGCATCTGGGCATCATTTAGAATGGTTACAATAAATAGAAATTTCTCCAGTAATGGACATATGATCCGGTTTGTTCAGCGACTGAAGACTTGGTATGATGTGTCCGAGTTCCATACACTAGGTAGGCTGACCATTCAAACCCATTATTAAATTCATAATTATTTCTCTCATGGTTCTCAAGTATTCTGACCCCTTCATGATACGTATCCTCCCTTCGCGGTACGATCAATGCGGTTGTTCCACCCCAATCAATGGCCGTCTTATCGGCGCTTTTGTGAAGAGGTGATGGTGACCCTGAATAGCAGCATTAATCAATGGTGATTTATCAAACATATCCTTGATAATTCAAACTCTTCGATTGAGAAATTTTGTCCAACTTTATCATAACCGCTTCATACAGCAGCCATTATTAGTGGAGTTCTTCCACCATCATTTATCTCATTACTATCGGCTCTTCTATCCAGGAGCAGCTTTGGTCTTATTGGATGCTCCACAGACACTGATAGAAGAGGCGTACATGCATGCAAATACAGAGCCTGCTTCTCACCTGCTGCTAATCTACATGTAGCTGCAGCAATGCCGCGAGCCTTCCATCAGGCATTTGTCATTGATGCATCTAACACGAAGTGCGTGTAGGTAGTAATCAGAAGATCCGTAGTATTGAGTTGAACACGGCCACAGTCACTTGATTCCAGAGTATTTCATGCACTATAATGACAGATGCAGGCAAGGGTTATCAGTTGTACTTCACTAAGTAAACGTGTTCCCAATTTTTGTCGTGCTCGAAGTACATCCCCCCATCAGAATATAGAGTAAGAGGCAAGGTTTTGGGCAGGATTAAAAATGCTGTGAAAAACTAGCTGGGTCTGGCAGCCAATCGTTTTATTCGACTTTCATGTCTCGATCTTTCTGCGGGGTACGAGTGGTATTGTCGAAAGCCCTGGGAGGGCTTAAGAATGCTGTGAATGACTCTGGAGTATGCATATGCATATGACCCCTCCACAATCAACACGGGCCGGTCATCATCGGCCCGTGAATTGGTTTATCCGATGAACACATATATAAATCTGCATTTTGGAAAGGCCGAGTTAAGAAACGCTGTAAATGTCTGCTAAAGATGAGTCATCTTCGCTTGAAAATGCTCAAAGTGAAATTTGGACAGCAGACAAGCATCCTGAAAGATCAGACTTAAGATCTTAAACCCCAAGTCAAGCACTATTGCAAAATTTCATAATGCATCTTGAGCGACTAATTGAACTGCAGAGATTAGCGGTCCAAGATTTTGGACGCCCAGTGGCCGCTGCACACATATGGACATGAAGTTTATCACAGCTCAGTACCCAAACCACAATTCGGCATTCAGACTGTTGGATTCAGGACATCGTAACCTCGGCTTTGTGGATATCAAGACAGACAGGCTTAAGTAAAGGCAAAATGGCTCGATTTCCAGACCGCGACAGACCTTGGGTGGGTTCACAAGTGATGTGGATATTGCTGACCCCATTACTCTTACAATTGAATAATGCAGGGTCATATGAAGAAGCTCCAAATATACTCATACTGTATACGGTTCATTAGAATAAGGAAGCATTGCTAAGGTTATGATACGAGATCGTCTCCAGTGAGGGAAATACATGTAATGGGCTTGACGTGTACAATCTTTTCCTATGCTGGACAAGAATGCGGCAGCGGCTTGAAGTTAGAATTCTTTATTATCCCAACGGCCAGCCTAATTATTCAACACCCAAACATCATGGCTAATTCCGAGATTGCATCTCCACTTCCGCGCGAGTAGATCTCGATCTATTGGCCGACAATGATGCTTACATCGTACGCCTCGACAGGCCCAAGAATTGGGACGAGCTGAAGAAAACTAGTGCCCGCTAGTTCAAATAGTTTGTGGCGCTATTAAGGGGCATTGACAACAAAATGGATCTTATCCAGGGTTTTGCAGGGGTCCTCTCCTAACATATTCGATCGAACAGTTGCTCTTGTCGCAATTTTAGGCCAGCTACTCCGTACTCTTGCCTGATCAAATAGAGCCATGGAGCCCAAGGTCGGGGCTAGACTGCAGGGGTTGGGAGCTAGTATCTCTTATTATAAGATAATTATCAGTGGTATGCCGATACAAACTCTTCTGCCCAAGGTTCATGAGTGATCTCTCATTCATCGAGCCCCCGACATTCTTTTAAGTTTCTTTCTACTTCAAACTGCAGAAATGATGAACAAGATCATTGTTGGCGCGCTTGGCCTCGTCGCCAGCGTTGCTGCAACTCCATTGGAGCTTGCCGAGCGAAGCTCGTGCAGGGACGACAGTCTTTACAAGTGCTTCGCTGATAGAGAATACTCTCACTCGGCATCTGCGTATTGCTCTGCTCTCACTCCGGTTACGCAGACGGTCTCCGTTACGAAGCCTACGGTGTGAGTCAATTTTTGATGTACTTGGTTTGGGAGGCAAGGCCTTAACGTCGGCCTGGATATAGAACAAAGACAGTATGGGTCACCAGCACCGCCCCGGCTTCAACAGACTTCATCAGCTCTACTACTACTGTTTACACCGCAACGGTCCCTTCTTCCACAGAAACAGCAACATCAACAGCCACGGAAACAGTGACGACGACAACAACTGTAACCGGCGCTCAGCCGCCGCCGCAAACGCAGGCGCCACCTCCGCCTATCACGACTACAATGATACCAGAAAAGCGTGTTGTTCAAGGAGGAAACCCAGAGCCACCAAAGTGTATGCTCACCAAGTGCTTCGTATACTCTCCTGAGCGCATCACTGCGGGCTGCAGCTGCATCGGTGTGCCGCCCAAGACAGTCACAGTCTCTCAGACAGCGCCTTGCTCAACTATAACAGTGGTATGACTACGTCTCCAATAATTATCGCATATTGTCCAAAAGGGATGATACTAACTAGGGCAGACTTCGACTTCGACGACGACTCCTCAAGTCACAGCAACTGCTTGGCAAACCGTCGTGACGGAGCTCGCTAACGGTGTCTCAACTACCACTACGACTGTCACCGCGACTGCTACCACCACCACGATCGTCACCGCCACTCCTCCAGCACAAAACCTCATCCCTAACGGCGACTTCTCTTCTGGTGTGACAGGATGGACCGTAATCAACACTTCGCCAGCTTCATGGATAAACGCGGGTGTGACGACAAACAATAGTCCAGACGGCACATCAAAGAGTTTCCAGGTCACCAACGTCATCGCAAATGGACAGTTTTTCCTTGCCAGCCCAATCTTTGGACTAAAAGTAACCTCCTCATATTCATTGTCCTTCTTCATCGCAACTACCTCGACCAATAGGGCCGTGGTGAACAGTGCCCAAGCTCAGGTCAACTGCGGCTCGATTACCGTTGCATCGGTGACTTTGTCCCGAGCAACTCAAGGTCCAGGCTCGTACTTGATTAGCACGACGGCGTTCAACACTCCCATTTCATCCGATCCAAACGTTATCAGCCAGCTGAATAGGTGTCAGCTGCAGATTCTCCTCCCTAGTGCTACACCGTCGCCAATAACGTGGTTCCTTGCCGATATTTCTCTTACATCTGGCGGTGCGCTTTCTCCGTAGTAAATGCGGAAGGTGTGCATGTGATAGACGCTGAATATTGAGGACGGAATAGCGTGCAAAACCAATTATACACATTCATTTAGACTATTTTATCACATACATATATATAATGACAATTCACGCCCCTCTCGTTGTGCTGCTCGTACTTGTGTAGGTGCTTGACTCTCATTTGTTGCATGTGATTGAGGCTCGAACCAGGGCTACCGTATAAATAAATTAAATGACATCAGCCCAGGTTTTGGCCCGACTCTCCAACCTCAACCTCAACAATCTCCTCGCAACATTCCAAGAAGACAATAACATCCTCCTTGAAGAAAAAAAATCACAAACCCCTGTGACAACAATATAATGACGTCTATTAAGCCCTTTGAGCCAACACTCAGCGATGTCTTGGTCGTGCGCGCTATGCTGTCTCAATCGGTGATTCTTCCCGAACTTGTGGCTACAATCCTGGACTATGCGGAATATTGGGCTCGATCATCTACCAGAGCCCACGTGGATCTCGCCATCCGGGCAAAACAAGTCGGTAATGGTGAATTTGATTTCCAAGGGTCGAGATTCTTGGTGAGTATCTTTTTTGGAGATGTCAAAGCCGTTGAACTAATGAGGCTGTGTCCATGTAGCTTCGATCTTATCCAGTCGGGCTTACAGAGAACGCGGTTGAGGATGAGGATACTGGTAGTAAGGTTTTATATGAGACGAAACAAATTGATGCTTTGCCTGTCGAAAGAGAATACGAGCGGGGATTTTTCCAAGATTTAATCACAAACAGTTCTATACACAACAACCCTGTACGGAAGATTGTCTTTCGCATCCGCAGTCATGACCAAGGATGGACTACAGACGAGAGGCCGGGCCCGTTCATCGCTGCCAAAACTTGGTTCGAGGCTGGCATCGAGAGATTCAACGCCGGCCATGAGTGTGAGTGTAGCTTCCGATGAGGAACAAACAAGATGCTTTTTGGATTTACTAATGCCTCTTGGAATAGGTGAACAATGCCAGGACATAAGACTGCTGCCCCTTTGCAAGCTGGCAGCGGTCGAGCCAAGGCCGGAAAGCACAGTTAGCCGCAGTGGTGTTACCGAGTATCGCTATGGGCACTCGCCGTGGAAAGGTCCACGGGAAATCCTGCGTAACAAAATGGCTTCTTCTGAATGGACAGACTACGAGGTGACTTGGACATGCTGGGATGTCGTCGCTCCAAACTCGAAAGAAGCGCAACAAGCGATGGAGGAGGGCAAGGGGAAAATGGATGGCGACGGCCATTTTGTGCGAAGTCTCAAGCTGGGCGATGTGATTACGGTGTGGGGAAGAGCGATGCATCGCGGGTGGGTGAATGTGGTTGATACTGTCGAGATGGACGTCTACTGGGCGCTTTAGATGGAATCGGAATCCAAGACAAGTAGAGCCGATTCCTTGCTTATGATACGCAGTATAAAGTACTGAGCCGTGAATGACAATACAGACAAGTGCCGACGGAAAACACGCCCCTCAGTTGAACATCTGTATATGTGGTGGTTGTGAATATGCATGGCTTCAAGGTTGAATAGCTGCCTAATCTCGTCTTACACACATGCAAGTTCAACGCAGTCCCTTTTCCGCGGAGGATGCTTTTCCTTTTCAGACTCAGACCGAGACATGGATTCAGCTTCATTCGATGCCGGTTTCCTGCCTACCGGGCAATTCACCACGACACGAGGCCTCTCGTTGAGTGACGCTACTCAGAGTCGGGCAGCCAATCACCTGGAGAGCCATCGCGTCTGGATCCAAGGAACTGCAGCATACATTTTCAATTGGTTCAAGATACGCGTGGTTTACCAGATAAATCAAGACACGTAGTAATCACGTGTGGCCGTTAATTTGACGTATATTTGCATGTTCCAGCATAGTATCAATGCAATTCAAGTGAAAAGTTATGCAGCAAGGCATCCCATTGCGCCCTATCGCCTATTCTGTCAAATAGTATCTCGATGCATCCAAGGCAGCAAATGGGGTTACCTTTGCCAGTAACTATCCGTAAATTCCAGAGTGAGTCAACGCCGACGCAGGGAATCTGCGCCTTCAACTCTCATTTGCGATGCACTATCCGTCAATAGAGCTGAGTTTAGGCTTCAGTGCCACCAAGATAGTGATCTATCAATTGAAACTCGAGACAATAAGATCAGATCGCAATAGAAACAGCTGGAATACACGCACAGTTCGAGCCTGAGATTTGTTTCATGGCTGTACGACAATCTGACTGGCCGGAAACGCGATGGCTGCCTAGCATGCCACGGCCCTACTCGGCTTGTGGCAGGCTGAACTGCCATCCTCTCCACTAATTCCTGTCTATTATCCGTGATGGATATCCGTGTAATACAGTAGAGTAAATGTCTTAAAGTTACTGAAGGATATAAAAACTTGATGAATTCGCTGGTTAAAAGTTGTTCGGTATCAACATCCACAACTCCAATTCACTTGAAGCTGGGAGCCCAACCTTCTCAGATTCAACTCACTACCCTTTCCAAATCATAAATCTTTCCACTTCCTTCTTCCATTTTTGGCAAAGTATTTGCCAAATTCCCTTGTATTTTTTTTTTTAAAAAAAAAAAACTTGTCAATCAGAGAGACCAAAAATAATTCGCCATATTCACAATGTCATCCGCCGACGCAGCAATGGTCTTGGTTGTCCCAGACAGCGAACCCTCTTCCGTGGTCACGAAGCTCTACCAGCAAGGCTTCATCCACTGGTCGCAGTTTGACTCGGAGGAGAAGCAAGAAGTTGCGCTGGAGAAGCAGATGGCCGAAATGCCCATCGTCCAGCGCTTTATCCACTGCGGTACTTCTTGGAACACCGAGTCCTTCACCATCAACAGTCCCTTTATGCGCAAGATCCTTCTGGAAGTCCTTGAGAACTACCAAGACCTCGACTTGGATTGCGAAAACTGGACTTTTCGTCCACCTTACATACCCCTCGTTCATCGGTGGCAGCGACTACAGGACTTTTGCCAGAGAACTTTGGACCCGGCGTTGAGCAAAGCTGGTCAGGAGCTGATCGAATTTTTGCTTCCCATCGTTGGTCCCTCGGTCAATTCTCTTGTGCAGACTCGCCTCACGGGCAAAGTCGAATTCGACCACCTCTGGCAAATCTTTCCTCCTGGTGAGCTTGTCATGACCAAGATGTACGGCCAGGACGCCATCTGCCGCGTTCTCAAGCACCACTTGGTTGAAAAGTCTTTCTCCTGCCCTGCCTATTGGGTCATTGATATGGAGTATGTCGATTGGAATGGCGACCGATGCGGTTACTCGACCATGAAGACCAAGATTGCTGGCTACGATGGCTATCGCCGGGCTCGTCTGCTGCCCACTTGGCCAATATCGTTTGACGCCGACCCAGACGCGATCAAGGCCAAGATGACTGCTCGCGGTCGTCAGTTTGAGGAATTGAGGACCTATCACTTTATGCAGTACGAAGGTCGGAAGATTGTCACAAAAGGCAATACAAAGGAGGAAGAGCCGGTAAGTCCTTTGAATCCATGCCTCACAATAATGCCCACACCTAACATTTCATAACCATAGGCTTCCGGCCGAGTCGTCGTCGATGCTTTTGCCTACTACGCCAGCTGCAAGGTCGTCAAGCCAAACCTTCGCCCACTTGAATCCGAAGAAAAGCTCAAGTCCGACGATTCCAGCGAAGATGACGATGGTTATAAAGTCCAACGCCGCCGCCGCTCCGACGCGAGCAACAGCAGCTTGTCCTCCGAAGAGTCCATCGCTATTGAAGAGCTCAAACTCACCGTCAAGAGTTCTGAGACAAAGTTCGAACGCAAGGAAGATCTCACTCCTCTCACCGACGATCAGTGCCTCCTCTGCACGCCGTGGGTTAACGGTTTCGATCTCAAGGCCAAGGAGTGGGGATTGTTCCTCGTCGAGGAGATGAAGGAGATCGTCTGGAATGACGATACTTTTTCGAACTTGGTTCTTCCTGGAGATGAGAAGGAGCTTGCCTGGTCGTTTATCGACAACAAGAACTTTGCAAACTCGGACTTCGATGACTTTGTCACTGACAAGGGTCGTGGCATCATCATTCTCATGTTCGGTCCTCCAGGTGTGGGAAAGACGTATACCGCTGAAGCAGTGGCAGAGAAGGGCCGAGTCCCCCTCTATGCCATGAGTGCCGGTGCTTTGGGAACCAAGCCAAACGAAGTCGAAGCAGCGCTCGATCGCGCTCTCGAACTCTGCCGTCTCTGGAACGCCATGCTTCTCCTCGACGAAGCCGACGTGTTTCTAAGCGCCCGAAAGGAAGATACTCTCGCACGCAACGAGCTTGTCTCCATTTTCCTTACCAAACTCGAGTACTACCAGGGCATTCTCTTCCTGACCACGAACCGCGCCGCCAGTCTCGACCATGCGTTCCAGTCCCGCGTCGATCTCTTCCTCCCATACAGCGACCTCACCACGGCCGCCCGTCGCCAAGTCTGGCAGAACTTCATCAAGCGCGCCGGTGGCGATTTGCGATTCAAGGTCGCCGAACAAGACTACGACCGGCTTGCGGAGTTGAAGCTGAATGGTCGCGAAATCAAAAACTTGATCAAGAGCGCTCGACTGCTGAACATGAAGAGCGGACAACCCGTGACGACTGCGAGACTTGCCCAGTTAGCGGAGAAGAGGATCATGGCTATGGATATGTTGAATGGTGGAGAGGACTTTGTTTGAGGGAGGTCGTCAGATTGATTGATTTATGACTTTTTATGAAGAATGACTTGTGAGGATTTTTTGGAGTTTCGTTTCGCATAGTAGTATTGCTACGCATTCATTGACAAACAGGCATTTTATTGACCTCTTAAGAGGTAGCTATCAACGTAACAATCATCATGAGCAATTGACTATTTAGACTCTGAAAAAAGAAAGAAAAAAAAGTCTCTAGACCTAAAACCAGGACGTATGATCGACATAATCGTCCCGAGTCTCCCAGCTCCGCGCAAGGCCAGAGATGGCCGCAAGTCGAACCATGACCCACTGAACGTCAATCATGACTTTCATGTTAAATGCTTGTTCCGGGCTCATGGAAATTTCAAACGTCTGCCCGGTCTCCAATGGACGGCTGGAACCCCGTCGAGTGTCTCCAATGATGGCACCGTGTGGCTCGGGCATCGTAAACATCATCGCCTCAATATCGCGCCGAAGTGGCTCGGCTGGTGCATGGGGGTTGACTTTGTTTCTAGGCATCCAGTGGAACTGGAGCCGAATCTTGGCATTGTACTCGTCGATTGTCGTGACGGCAATGCACTTGAGTGCGAAAAGGCACTGCCTCCACCAAGAATACAGAGTCGGGGTGAGGCAGATCATGTTCCAGCTCTTGTCGGAACAGCCTGCTTCAGGAGTCAAGAGCCGGTACAATCGTTCTCTGGTGAAAGAATCTGACATGAGGCCTGGGATATCCAAGCAGGACATGGAATATGCAGCATTTGCTCGGCTGGAATTGACGGCGAATGGTATGATGTGGCACACCTCTGGATATGCAGCTCCCGTGAGAACGCAGGTGTATCTATCTCTGACAAGACACTATATGCAAGAGTCAGCACGTATTTTCTTTGTAATGTTTAAGCTTATGTGAAGACATCGTCATACCTCGTCCTTCTCCATAAGGTTCTCTGGAATACAATATGGGCTCTCGGGGTTTAGTATGTGGCCTCGAGGCATCCAACCTCTCACCACTTCAAAGACAAAGGTTAGCGCAAGTTTACCAGTCAAAGAGCATATAGCAGTACTTACTGAAAGAGATTTTGTGCTCCTTGTGCTTGATGCGTAGACACCAATAACGGTCTTCGAATTCGAACTCAGGAAGATCCGATGCGGGTATCAAGGAAAGATACGCCAATTGCAGGAAGTTGAGTTGGTATCGCTGTCCAGGAATCGAGGCAATTTGTCGAGTAGTTTCGATGAGTTCGAGCCTAGTCTGCATCTCATCCAAGGGGATGATTGTATCAGGGGTTGCGAAGGCTGGATCAGCTTGGAGGAATCGCATCAACTGATTAACTGCATCATGGCTGGTGCTACGGCGATTGAGGAATTCCCACAAGGCGGTCACCATGCTCACTTCGACGTCGTTTCCCATGCTTTCATCGTCAATAGGTGAAGAGGAATCCATCTTCACAGCAGGATCAGTCGATCCAAGAAACAGAACAAGTAGGATAACAGAGTGGCGAGATCGAAAGGAAGAAGGCAACGGCTTCAAGTCGTTGAATGAAGGAATATGATTTAGAAAAGAAGAATACGAAACTCAGAGAAAATCGAGGATCAAATTGGGGGAGTAAAGCAGCCCAATTTGAAAAATGGAAAAGTGAGTTGGAAGTGAAGGAATTCTGAGGGTGGTGGAGATTTGAAAAAGGAGGTGGGCGAAATCATGCAAACGCCCATCAGTTGTCAGTCTGGAGGAAAAAAAGCCCAGCATTTTCGGAAAGTCTCCGAGAATTTTTCAAATTGTATACCAGCTATTCAAATGATTAACAGAGACAATTGATTATTGACAGCTGCAGCATCTTTCTTGAGGATCAACCCAACAGCTTTCGGGTGCACCATAGGTAGTATTGATGAACTATCAATTATATTTCCAGATACTTGAAAAGCAGTATTAATATTGTTGATTAAGCTCAAATATTCGAATTACCAAGCTGATAAAACTTGACCTGTTCCAATAGAAACAAAATGGCCAAGGTTATCCCCACCCCTTTTACTATGATTCATCCCACAAGCCTCAACATCACCACCAAAAGTACGCAAAAGCTATCAATACTCAACACTGGCATCTGCTAACAAATACGTCTCCAGTATAATAGAAGAAACCAATCATACACCCCGAACTGGCAACGAATCCCGCTTCACCAACTTCAAATCCTTCGTCAACGAATTCTTACACGTCCCCGTCACCACAAACTCATCGATATTCCTCAACGTGCAATCCGCAATCTCCATCAATGCCTCCTCCGTGAAAAACGCCTGGTGCCCCGTCACAATCACATTGTGGAACGTCATCAGCCGCATCAACACATCGTCGTGGATAATCTCCCCCGAGTGGTCGTCGTAAAACAGCGAGCCTTCGCCTTCGTACACGTCCAGCGCCACGCCGCCTAGATGCTGTGCCTTGAGAGCCCGAATCACAGCCTTTGTATCGACAAGGCCGCCTCGAGAAGTGTTGATCAGCAACGCGCCGGGCTTCATCTTGGCGATTGCCTCTTCGTTGATAATCCTCCTCGTGCTATCCATCAGAGGACAGTGCAAGCTTATAATATTCGACTCGGCAAGAACCTCATCAAGACCTTTATACTCCCCAATGCCCTCAAACGCCGGCGTGGGAAACGGATCATACGCCAAAATCCGACACCCAAACCCCTTCATAATCTTCGCCGTCGCCACCCCAATCTTGCCTGTCCCAATAAACCCGACCGTCTTCCCAAACAGTGTCTGTCCCATCAGCCCATCCAAAGCGAAATTCCCCTCTCGCGCCCGATTATACGCACGATGAGTCTTTCGATTCAGCGTCTGAATCAATGCAACCGCAAACTCTGCCACCGCCTCTGGCGAATACGACGGCACATTGGCAACCATGATTCCAGCCTTCTCAGCCGCCACAAGATCGACGTGGTTGAAGCCGGCGCAGCGCAACAGAATCGCCTTGATGCCCTCCCGCGCCAGCGCCTCAATCACAGGCGCCGAAAGAGAGTCATTGACAAAGGCACAAATGGCATCAGCGCCCTTTGCAAGAATCACCGTGTCTTCCTCCAACGCAAACTCATGAAAAACAATGTCGATATCCGCAGACGCAGGGCGAGCCGCAGGAGACGCAGCACCTCTGGCAGCCGCAGCGCTACGAGCCGCCTCAATGTAGCGTTTGTCGTAAGGCTTGGAGCTAAACACGGCGAGCTTCATTTTGTGAATTGTGATGAAATCGGTGATTTCCGGGATGAGAAAGAGAAGAGAAGTAAAGAGGAGTGACTGCGGGCGTACTTCCCGGTACTACCTAAATGGCTTGGCAGTAGTGAGGAGGTTTAGGCACTCATACGATTGAATAAGGTTTCCATCGTCCGTGGCTGGTGATTCGTCAATACGAGCACTCTAGCTGCATGCAACCAGACACTTTGCAATTGCGCGTGGTGTGAACTACGATAGCCTCGGTTGCTTGATTAACATTTACTTGAGGTACGGATTTTGTACAATTATGTATTTGTTGGCAAACGAATATTAATGGGCTTCTACAGTGACAGATTTCGGACAAGTCGGGCAGTTTCGATGCATGGAGACAGAAATGGCTACAACAAGATACCATCGGAGGAGATTCAACAGCGAAAAGCACCATCTCGAGTCCTCAGCAATAGAACTGATCATATCAGCTGTAACTACAACATTACTACTTTCCTTCATGATACTTTACGAGGAGGCATCCTTTGGTCAGTATCAATCAAGAGCATCACCACATCGTCTGTGTATCAACAAGGCTCCATTTGCAACATATTTTCATTCTCATCGCCCGCATTACATCTGTTCTCCCTATATCTGGCAGTCCGTGCACTTGTGAGCCTCGCCTCGTCACCGAGACTACTTCCCCCGTGAGCATTTCCCAGGACAAAATCATATGACATTGCAAGCAAAGAGCGGTCGTTGGAACCCATAACCCCTTGGGTCCTATAAACTCGGCCTTCATAGCTCCAAAAAAAAGTCATACTAGTGATAATAATAAAAATGTGATTTAATTCGACTGCACAAGTTACAACACGGAATGCCGCTCTGCTTTCTGATAGTTGAGATTTCCCGTTAGAAGCAGATTTCAAGATTATGTCCGCCTATGGCCGGCCAAAGGCGGCACCCCGACCAGCGGCGCCCGGAGGCATGCCACGGGCCTCAAAGGGAGATCCACCAAAAGCCTCTGGTGGTCCCGGGGGTCCATTGAATCCACCGAGTCCAGGAGGCATGAACCCATGGGGCGGTGCGCTGAAGAAGCCAGGAGGCGGAGGAGGCATGTTGCGTGGAGGCATGCCAGCCATGGCATCTGGAGGCGGCATGCCACCAGGAGGGAAATTGGGAGGAAACATGTGAGGCATGGGAACGTTGCGGTTCAGGCCACCAGGCAATCCAGGAGGAGGCATCATGGGGCCTCGCTGCTGAGGTGGCGGTATCTGGCCTCCGCTCGTCATCCAGCTAGGTGGCATCTGGTCCAACCCAGGAGGAGGCGGAGGTCGCTGCAAAATCTGAGTGGGTTGTCCGAGACGCGCATCGCGTTCGGCATTGTGGAAAGATTCTTCCATTGGGAAGCCAGGAGGTGGCTGCGGGCGCATCTGGCGTTGCTGGACTCCTCGATTCTCTCTTGGCGAAAAGTCCGACTCTTGCATCGGCATTTGCTTCTGCGGCTGAGGTTGGGACTGAGGCATGCTTAGCGGAGCATTGGGCCCCATTCTCATGAGATTCATCAAAAACTCGGTGTTGTTGTTGTTGCGAGCCTGGTCAGGGATCCCTGAGCTCTGGCTAGAAATACGCTGGTGGTGTCCCGCGAGATCTTGAAGAAGTTGGTCTGGCCGAGCAGACTGTTGCTGAGGTCGAGGTGCGAGAATCTCTTGAACGTGCTGGGGCGGGGGCGGACGGCCAATGCCGCCGTTAATTCTGTCTCCACCGTATTGTTGAAATGGCTCTGGGGACGCCAGATTACTCTTCTTCGCCATGTCGGGAAGGTTCGCCTGAGGTGGCGGGGCAAACGGGGAGTGTGCCGGAGGAGTGGCACTCAGGCTCTGCTTCTGGAGCTTCAGAAGTAGCTGCTGGAAGGCCTGTTTCTCTTCTTCGGGAGGAGGGGCGCCCATCGTCGGGAGCGGTCCCAGCCCCGGGGGGAAATGAGAAGTCACGGGTGGCACGCTCGTTGACTGCTCTACTCTGCCTCGTGGTTCCTCCTGGGGTTGGTGGAAGAAGGACGTGAACCTTGACGACTTGCCCACAGTCTTGGGCCTGGCGGCAGTTTCGTTTACTTCGCTAGGAGGGGAATTGGGCTCCAGAGGTCCCTGTGCCTGCATACCACCAAAGGCAAGGAAGAATTTGTCAGGGGCAGCCTCAGCAGCAGAGGGTTGAGGAGGAGGTTGAAACCTCTCAGCCTCGGCAGCAGGTTCAGGAGCCGCAGCTGTTGCCGCAGGCCGCTCCGGAGCATCACCACCTCCTTTGCCTTTCTTCATCTGCTCCATCCATTTCTGGAAGTCTTGCTGGGTGTGTGCTTCGCGGAGTGCATCAGCAGGCTCATCAAACCATTCGGGCTCACGCTCAACGCGCTGTTCGCGGTCGCGGGCCCAACGCCTGTCAGGTGCCCTGCCATTGGCACGATCATCCGCAGTTTCAGTAGTGTCTCGGTCTCTCCAGCTCTTGGTTCGGTCTCGTTCTTTTCGCTCGGCTGCAGGGGACTCTGTCGGCATTGACTCTGCCTTGTGCCAAGAGTCCACTTTGCTCCTGCCGGCACCGTTGCGTGCTCGAGTGTCATTTTCGGTTTCCTTGTTGTCTCGAGCGAAGGCATCAAAGGCTCTTGTTGGGCGGTCACGAGTGGCATCGCGATCGTTTTCTCGCAGGGGCTTCTTCTCATCTCGAAAGTTGCCACCCATGCGGCCGTGGAAACGCTCGGCGCCTTCAGCACCAAAGCTCTTGCGGGGTTTGACCGTGCTCCAGCCATCGCTATCCAAATCGTTTTCTCCGCGGCGACGAACAGCGTTGGGTGCGCGCAGGCGGTCACCGTCGGCTTCGCTGTTTCGATTGCGCAAGGCGAAACGACCCGCGGGGTCAGCGTCTTTGGTCGGTTTTTCACCATCAAGCGTCTTGCTACCTCGGCCAGAAGAAGCAAATGCCATTCGAGGAGGGGCAAAGACAATGTCATCAGGGTCTTGAATGGTCACATTTGTTAGCACCAGGGATCTATCCATGCCACGAGTGTTTTGGGATGGAACCAACTTGTACTGGTCCGCGAGGTATGGTGATTGATGCCAGTGCGGCGATTGGTCTGCTCAAGAAGGGGATTGTCCAGGGACCGAGGTCGATCGTTGACCGGTTTGTTCTGCGCTCGAGTCTGGTCTGGGGGAGCCCTGTATTGCATCAACATTAGTACAAAGCAATCACACTGAAGCTTCCAGCTGGCGTCGAGTTGTGCTCACCCCATCCATTCCTCCGCCGGAGGAAGTTTCTCAGGTTTGACACATAGCGGCGAATCCCTCAAGAAGAGCAGATGCTCTGCGGTGTATCGAATGGCCATAGCAAGGCGGCGAGTGCGCGACGCTCATCCGGCGAATGTCTCGACAAAATCACCGGACAAAGTGGTTGAACCCTTTAGCTAGTCGGCCGAGAGCCGGAAGGGGGGAAAGAGATTAGAGCCTAAGCGTCGACGAGGGTTATTGAGTAGTTCGATTTGGTGGGGTGATGCAACGTGCGTCAATCGACGAGCTCTGCAAAGGTCGCAAGTTGTGATTGCCGCACACGAGCAGAGGCTTGGTGGCCAAGGGAGCTTTTATGATTGTTAGGCGTAGGCAGTGACCATAAAGGACGCGTTGCAATTTCGAGGAGGGAGAGCCGACCACGGAGCTTGCGAGCAGCTGGCGCCAACCCAGAGGCAAGACAAAGGAAGAGATTGAACGAGGAGAGAAAAAGGCGTTGCTGAAAAAGGAGGAACAAGAAAAAACGACTTGGCAGATAATAACAGTAGAAGGGACGAAAGACGAGAGGAGGAGAAGGGAAAAGGGTCAATTATGAGTGTAGCTTCAGCTGTGCGTGTGCGTGTGCGTGTGCGTGCGCGGGGAAGATTGGGCGGCCGGGCGGGAAAAAGAAGACGGTGGATCACGAGGGCCAAGCCGGATGGTTTGAGAGATTGATTTCGTGCGGGCGAGTATCGAGATTCGGGACGGTTCGAGAGTCGTGGCGGGCGAGAGAGGATTTGAAAGGCGGTCGGTTGGGAGGAGGTGGAAATTGGCGATGGTGATGGGAGCAGATTGCGTTTTTGGTGGGGACCTGATTGGGAGAAGAGGCCTGGGAATTGTTCGGTAGGTGGTCAACGAGATTACGGGGCGGTTAGCAGCGTCTTTCAGTGGCACCACAGGGCTTTCAGTGGAGGGGCGGCAAGCGAGCAGCCGTCAGGTCAGGCTGCCTGGGATTTGAAGCCCAAAGTCGCACGTCTGCCGCAGCCGCAGCCGCAGCACCAGCACGATTGCGATTTGGTATTGGATGGGCAAATGGCGCACGGATATTTGGGACAAACAATGAACGGGCGAGTAAATGGAATAGATTGGAAACTGGCAGGCAGGCAAGCAAACATCCAACAATGAAACACGCGCAACGTTGCTTGGCTCTTTGTGCTGGAGAGCGCTTATCAACAGGTGGCTTGAGTTAGAAGAGGATTTACTGGGGGACAAACAGCCTTTTCCATCCTCATCCACTGTCACAATTAAAGAGAACCACCAGTCGTTGGAAAGAGATATAGACAAAACTTCACTTTTTGTTAGCCACATTTGACTACCTATTCATAACCATCGTGATATTTTGCTGTGCAAGGCAAAGCCCAATCCAAGCATCCTAGGGTAAGGTAACCTCTCTCTCTCTCATCATCACCACCAGTCCCCTCCATAAATCCCTGGCATCCAATGAAAAAGCAACCCCAACACCCTCCCACACCAATTTTTCCCTCGCACTCGCACTCACAACTCAACTAATGAGTTACACGAGAAACTTCCCCCAATAGCCCCCTCCCACATGCCCCCTCCAACTCGGCCTCCCCTCCCTAAAAACTCTACATTCTCGCCACCGCCGCAGGCACCTCCTCCTCCAGCGGCAAAATGTGCGGCAGCGGCCCGACAGGCGTGATGCTGAGGGGGTTGATCTGCGTATGGCTGCGCGTGTAATGCCACTTGATGTGGTCAAACTGCGTCGTGTCCTTGAACGCGGGCAGGTTCCAGTACAGGTTGCGCATCCACTTGTGAAGGTGAGGGTAGCCGCTGCGAATGTCGCGGATGTTGCACTTGAAGTGCTGCACATAGACCGGGTCGAAGCGGACCAGCGTCACGTACAGCCGGATGTCTGCCTCGGTGATGTTCTTGCCAAAGTAGTAGGGGCCTTCGGTTTGCGAGGCCAGATGCTTCTCTGCGCGGTCGAGAGCCTCGAAGAGGGCCACGACGGCTGTCTCGTAGGCCTGGGAGCTGGTGGCGAAGCCGGACCTGTAGACGCCGTTGTTGATGAGGCTGTATGTCCACTCGTTTGTCTCCTCAATCTGGTTTCTGAGGTTCTCTGGGTAGAGAACAATGGAGCGATACTTTTCTTCAATCAAGTCGTCAAACTGGAAATTGAATTGTTAGTCACGTCGATTTGCTTGTCTATCCTCGGAGATGCGGCAACTTACCTCTGTTCCGAGCATTCGAATAATCTCGCTGCTCTCATTACTGACAATCTGTCTCGTCTTCTTGTCATACAGAACGGGTACTGTGAATCGTCCAGTGTAGTCTTTGTTCGACTCAAAGTACACCTCCCGGATATGCGTAAAGCCCTCGTGCAGAGGGTCAGGAATGACATTCTCGCCAGGGATGTCCTTGTCCTCCTTGGTGGCAAACCGCCATCCCTTCTGCTCCAGATGCCAGTGCACCACGGAGAAGGAAATAATGTCCTCCAGGCCCTTGAGCTTTCTGGTGATCAATGTTCGGTGCGCCCATGGACAGGCATAGCTGACGTAGAGGTGATACCTCCCTTTCTCAGGAGGAAACTCAGCACCGGCCTCGCGGGAGATCCAGTTGCGGAACGAGCTGACTTGACGCTTGAACTCGCCAGAGGTGTCGCCGGGCTTGACCCAGTCGGTGATTTTGCCCTCGTTGGAAGCCTGCAATTATCGGATACACGTGTTAAGATACATGATTCAAAATACTCAATTCTTGGAGGGGATCACACGGTACTAACCATCCTGATTTGAGTTGGAAACTGTGATGATAATAAAGGTCGTGTAATACTAGTATTGTTTGTTTTGCGTAGACTTTCCCCAGTTGCACTACCAGAAAATGTCGAATATGTCAAACTTGTTGCAAATTGCTTGTGATTGTTCTTGAACAAAACCTCAAAAGATCTGGTTCTCAACGGCCGAATTGCTCTCATTTAATGACTGAAATGCCTTCTCCTCACTCACCACCCGGGAGCTAGAAGGCCTATATATACTCAAACCACTCTACAATGTATCCTCTACAACGCCAATTGCCCCCTCACAAGCCCACAACGCGAGATCCTTCAGCTTAGCCCTTTAGCGTTCCAGTGGTTACGATAGCCTATGTGACTGTGTTCTGACTTAAGCATTGCTAAAGCTTCGGGCGACGCTTCCATGTTAATAATCCACACACCCATTATTCCAAATTGCCCTTTGTCGAAACTAACTTAGCGCGCTTTCTAATTGTGACGTAACAGCGCTCACAAGCGTTAGCGCCTTTCATCACTCAGCCATCTGCGTCTTTAGTCATCACCACAATTGTCTCACTCGCATCCCTGCTATTCAAGGGAACAGAGTACGTAAAGCATACTGAGAGGATCTAATTCTACAGAGATGCAGTGATATTTTTACATAGAAGTACTGTAAATAGAACTGCTACTACAATGGCGTCTGAGATTGATAGAAGCGTTGCCATGACATACCGATGCAAAGGGTGACAAGGCAGAGAGAATACATAGCACCAAGACGGGACTGATTTGTCAATAAAGGTCATTCTTTTCTGTTCCAAATATCTACTTATGTAGTGACTACTTATGAACCGCGCCGAGTCTATTGAATTCAAATCAAACTAATCAAATATTAACCTTGATGTACGGAACCTCCACGTCCTCTTCGTCCAGATCCTCAGCCACCATCTCAAAGATCAGCTCCTTCTGGTGGGAGGGAATGGGCTTCTTGGAAATGGTCTCCACTAGTTCACTAAGCTTGAGTGTGTAGCGGTCCTTGAGCTTGGACGGAGGGAAGAAGCTTGCATACAGCAGGCTGACGCCAGAGCTCAACATGCTGATGCTAAGACCCTTCTTCTCAAAGTAGTCGAGAAGCTCCTTGAGCGTAATGTTGCCGACCTCGAATCGGTCCCAGATCTTGTCCAGCTTGACTTTGCCCTCGGGTCCCTTGTATTCGACCTTGGGGCTGGAAATGGGCTCGCTGAACCCAAAGAAGGGCAGAGCCAGGTTGATGAAGCCGTTCTTGAACTGCTCGATATCATCCTTGCCGTCGATGATCTTGTACAGCTCAAGGACGACCAGGCCAGTGACAAGAGCTGTTGTCGTGGCAATGGCTGGGATGATCTTGCCTGCGATGAACTTGGTCTTGTGTCTATCGGCAGCCTCAATCTTGTAGTTTTCGGCTCTCAGGTTGCTGCAAGCAGTGATGAAGTCGATGTGGTGGTTGGTGTCATCGTCCTTTTCGAACTCGACGGGCTGCAGCTGGAAGCCTGCAAGAGTGCTTGCCGAGGGAAGGCTGGAAGAGAGAGCTGTGAGCTCATCAGTGTCGTCGAAGCTGCTGGCGTTGGGATCCTAAATACAGAGTCAGCATCACTGCGATCTATTATAGCCAAACTTTTCAATCAAGGTAGACTTACAGGTTCCTTGTCATCCGCCTGGATCTTGACGTTTGAGTCAGGGGTGAAATCAGGCACAATGACATTCTCAAGTTCCTTCAAGTAGATGGCCCTATCAGTGCCGGGAGACTTGATGTTGAAATTGAACGCATGCAGGTTCGCGGCAGCCACGATGAATCCAAAGTGAGTCTCGTTGTTGGGGTCGAACTTGAGCGCGTCCGGAGCTCTCTTCGGGCCGGACCAGAAGGGAGTGCCACCCGAGGTCACCGAATCCTTGGGGAAGTTGAACAAGAGCTGTTGGACCTTGTTTGCAAACTCCGTTTCAAAGAGCAGGCGAGCCCAGGCAATGCAGTCCTCAAAGGTCCGGGGTCGCTCGGTGGTAAGGTAGTTGCGGATCGTCTCCAGAGTTTCCTTGTGGTTGCCGCCCTGCTTCAGAGTGGCCTCGATGAAGTTGGGCTGAGTCAGGTAAAGGTTCACGGTCTGGGGAGCCTTGACAAAGCACTTCTCAAACATGTACTCCTTGGCCCAGGCAATGGTGTGCTCGATCTTGTTGGGGAAGCTTCGGATTGTGCACATGGGGAACTCCTTCTCGGGGGGATCCTGGGAGGAAGAGTAAGACTCTGTCAGGTGGGGCAGGACAACCTGCGTGTTGCCCTTGGTGCCCAGAGTTCCGCTCTCCAGCAACGGCTTGCGGAAGAAGACGCATCTCCGGTCAACGTAGGTTCTCGCTTCGACATTGTCCAGGGCGTTGGTGACTCCATCAAGGCTTCGCCAGAACTCCTCATTGAAGACATGCTCAGTCTCGGGGCTAACGCGCTCTCGCAGAGTCTCAATGTGGCCTTCTAGCTCTGGGTTCATTCGCTGCACGGCCTTGGCGGCGCAGTCGCTCTTCATGCTGCCGACATCAGCGGCTCGGAAAAGGAACTGTCGGTTGAGGTTGCTCTTTTCGATGGAATCCATGTCAGTGACATAAATCTTGCCCTTGGGTCCCGTGCCCAAGCCAATCATGGCCCAGTTCTTGAGCATCTCGCAGCCAATGGCGCCGGCACCAACGAGGAACTGCTTGAGGTTGGCAATCTTCTCCTGGTACTCGGTTCCAAAGACAGCAATCTGGCCATCGTAACGGCTGCCGATGGGCTTGCAAAGCTCGGGGCTTCGCTTGGTAGTAGTGGGAAGGGACTCGAGGGAATCAAAGTACATCCATTGCTGGATGGGGTTGAATTTGCCAGACACGGCCTTGAGGACCTCCTGAGCAGCGATACCACCAAAGAGTGCTGCCATGGGGCTAAGGTCACCAAGGGCCTGGAAACTCAATTCTTTCAAGAGCTTCTCGTCAATATCAATCTCGAGCTTCTCATCGGCGGCAAACGTCTTGGCGGCCTCGAGAACCACAATAGCATCTTTCTCGTCCATGGGGTTGGGCAGTCGTCCATTGGCGACTTGGAATGCATGGAGAGCCTGGAATCCGAGATGAAGCTGCTGGGGTCGGTCGAATTTGGCGTAGTCGGAAATGAGGAACTCAGGCTCCTTGAGGGCGGCTGTGAAGCTTTTGAAGTCGACAACCTTGGGCATCTTGACCTGCTGGTAAATTCCCCCACGCTGGTACTGTCCAAGACCTGACACATCGCCGATGGAGAAGGTGTACGGGCCCTTAACCGTAATCTTACGCGGCTCACAGCCGTTCAGCCCCTCCATGCCCTCAACTTCGGAAAATGTGACGTAGTCTCCATCTTCCAAACCGTGTCGAGTCTCGTCGAGTGCCGAGACTAGACCCTCCTCATCCACACCAGCAACAATGCCGCTCAAGGGAGCCTCGCCGGTCTGATCGATAATGGTAAACTTATCGCCAAAGTCGCAGAAAATGGAGCCAAACAGGCCAAATGTGTCGACTATGACAACGTAGATGCCCTTGGAGTGGCAGTAGTCGCCAACAGCCTTTTGTGTCGAGATTGGGGCATTTGTCAGCACCACAACTTGGTACTTGTCAAACTGGGCAAAGTTGTCCTCGATGCTAAAATTTGCTGTTAGCAATGCTCCCCCAAGCGTCTAAATCTGTGAATCTGTTGTCGTACCTAGGAGATTGGTGGACCTTAACGGGGGTATAGGCGTTGAGTTCTGCGACACGCGGGGCCGTAACTTCATCTCTGGGCTTGCCAACATCCTCAGGAGTCAAGAAGAACTGAGCAGAGAGATCGGCAATCTGGACCGGGGCAGGGTCGTAGACGGTCAAACTTTTGACACCGGCCAAGGCAATGTTCTTTGCAATCTCAACACCCAGACCCTTGAGACCAACGACGAGGACGTTGGAGGCGCCCATGCGGCGCATGGCTTCGTGGCCTAGGACATAGAGCTGTCGACTGTATAGGGACTCATCGATCTCTGTGGTTCCGACGACGGAGTCATCGACTTGCATTCGGGTTGCAAGATCGACCTCGGGAAGCTTGGCAGCCTGGTGGATGGAGGCCGTGGTCAGTTTCGCGCAGTCTTTGGAGGGGTCATACAACAACTCACGGCCATGGTTCTCTTGAGGTTCTGTTGAGACTCCCCTTCAGAGAGCCTTCGCTTCGCCAGCGTTCCGGGGCTGGGCTGTGACGAAATCTTGGATATGGTGATCCAGCACCTAGGTCGAGCGTGACCTCACCCAGATGCTGCTGATAACGAGGAAGAGGGCGGCTTGAGGAGAAGCCTGTTGTGGTTTTTGGCGGTGCCAGAGAAGACTCGTCGTTCGATTTGATGGAGGAAAACAGTGATCTTCTTGCCGGAAAAGACAAGAAAAGGGCGTTGCAACAGATGTGAAGTTGGTTTGTAATGGACAGGATTCAGAGGCCAGGCGCTGGTCTGCACTGGTCTGCACTGCATTGGACAGGCTCCAGTTCTTTGTGATGAGGTAATGTGGCTAATCGTGCCACTGACAGCCGCTGAAGGAGTCGCCAGTCGCCTGAGTCGAGTCTCGCTTGCGCTGCTGACAGGCGGTACAAGGCAGTACAAGAGTACGAGGCAGAAGTACCGAGAAGAGGGGCAGGAGAAGCTGAGGCAACGCATGCGGGGCAACAAGGCGGGGCATTGCGGCTGTGATTGGCTGGAGGGCGCAGCTCTTAGAAATAGCTTGAGGAGCAGCCCAGGTACCTGCTTTGGAACCGGTCAGAGCGCCATGGAAGCTCGACGCGCTGATTTTTTCAGGGACAGAAGCTTGATGGGTTTTTGATATGGATGGGGGGAAGAATCGGGATTTCTGAAATGCGACAATTCAGTGGTAGATTTGCATACAGAGCTTTCCGATGGGTCCGGCAGCTTGGAGGTGCCTTGGAATGCTGTACGGGAGAGGAGCTGTCAGTTCAGCCTCTCAGGTGGGCGGAGTAGCTCAAATCAGAGCTGCTGGGATGGAATCCAAGATTCAATCAGAACATCTACGTTATTCTCTTGCTGCTTGGGTTAACATGTTATTACGGCGTAATTACAAGCTCGGGCGATTCAAAAAGAGCACTAAATCACACGAAATACCAAGAAAAGTTATTCATTTCTCCCGGATGACACAAGTAGTCCTCAATTCTCAAGGATACACTATTTCATCATCTATATATCCAAAACGTTGCATCGGGGCTCTGTTGATCCCGTATTTTGTGTATCCAATCCCTTTATCGTTGTTTTACTGTATTTACCTAATCTGGATAAGGTGAACATCGCTACCGAAACAGTTAGTTTTAGCTGTGATACGGCTTGAATACAGGTAGGCTTACAAGATGAGGTCAGAGTTGGCGGGGATGACGCCAGGGATGGCCCTATCCAAATGTTAGAAGGCGTTTCATTTCTCTTGTAAAACTTCTTTCGTCTCAAATCCTAATAGGGCGATTTGTATGCAAACTTGGGCGGTAGGAGTCTCAGTTGGCTTACCTGGCACCGTAGGCGAAATCGCTATAACAGACTTTTGTTAGCTGACTCTCACGAGGCATAGAGACCAAGAGTGGACAGTACCTGGAAATGTCGAGTCTAGCCTTCTCGCCAACCTTCATGGTCACAACGGCTTCGTCCCATCCTGTAGAGCACAATCAATATATAAGCCATCCTGCGTATTCGGTAAACGCACCCTTGATGACCCGTTGAACACCGATTGCGGTCTCGAATGTCGGGGGGCTTCGATCGTATGAAGAGTCGAACCTAGTACGACTTGATTAGTACAATGCCGATGGGAAAACAATCCTTATAGAACCTGTCAATCCACGTACTTCTTTCCCTTGTTATCGGGCTGGGAGGTGTCCTTGAGCCAGCCGGTGTAACCCATAACGACGGTCTGTCCCTTTTGAGGCTCAGGGCCAGTGCCCTCTTCAAGAATAGTCTTTTCAACACCCATGATGTCTTGGTTTAAACTTTGGAAAGATTCGATTCTAATAAAATGCAGTTACGTGTTTGAGGAATGAGAGAATTTCGCAGCTTCGAAACGACGAGCTGACCCCTATATCTACAGAAACACGAAAACTTATTCCGGCGGGGTAATCCGTACTTGTTCCTTCGGCTTCTCCATGATGACGACTTTGGCGCAGGGATATGAGGGGAGGGTGCCACGTTGCTATCCCCAAATTGTCTTACTTGCCTGCGGCTGGCGGACTCGCCCCGCTTCAGCATGAAAGCATGCAGCTCTCCTCGACATTGAGCTGAAAAGTCTCGTCCGCAAGCGTTCGAAATGGTGTGACTTGTGCTAGTTCGAATCTGCCCGTGTAGCGCCGGCAAGGTGAGCTTCTGTGCCTAGGAGCTAATGTGAATCCGGGACTGCTGAGGGGTCAATTCCTATTAAGAGTAGCCGCCCGACGCGAGTCCCAAGAGCAATCGTAGATGCCGCTATGTCTGATGCTGACACTCGGTATGGAGGTGGTAGCCACAGCATTTTCTGAGAATTCCATGTGATCCACTCCGCGTCGTTGCTGAGGCCGATGCCCGTCATACTGGGTTCTCGGCTGCCGCTGGAGAAGGATGAATCGCTAGGCATTGCGGCTCCTTTGTCAGATTTGCCGGGAGGGTCAAAGGTAAAAGTGCCGACATTGGTGATTAGACTGGACCCGATGGAGTCAAATTCCATGTGATTGGCCAGTCCGCAAATACTCAACTCATCAACGCAGTGTCCTGTAGCCGCGTCAAAAACGTCTACCTTGATCTTTCCCTCCTCATAGAGTATAGCAAGGTGTTGACTGTCGGGCGAAAATTGAATTTGACTTATATCCCTTGTCCAATTGAAAGGCTCTGCTGGGTAACTGCGTTTAGCCACACAAGCTACGGTGTCCATATCCCAGATTTTTACCATTGACTTAGACGAGGCGGCTATCTTGGAGCCATCTGCTGAAATCGCAACCAGAAGCGCTGGCTCTGTAAAAGAATCGCCCATTTCTTTAAGATCCTTTGTTGCCAGTTGACATAGACGTATGACTCCATCATTGCAAGCGAGAATAAGATGTGTGCCATCTGGAGAATATGTAGAGGAAGATACCCCATAAGTTTCGTCTCCAAAGGAATAAAGGAGTTTTCGGGACTTTATATCCCAGCAAATTAGTTTGCTCTCCCTCGTGGTCACAGATAGTGTTACATCATCTGATGAAAATGTAATTGATCGTATAACAGACTCCGCTCCTTGCAGTAAGAGTTCGTAGTGACCAGTCGATGCGTTCCAAAGTCGGAGATCCATACCGCCTTCGATTGAACCGGCAGAAACTAACATTGAACTGTTCGAAGAAAACGTGACGGACCTTGGGAAACCAAATAGACCACGGCGGTTCATGAGATAGTCAAATGGAGCGGAGAGCATATCCAGAGGGATCAACAAGGGTGCCCAGGCAAAAAGTTGGTGATCATCACCCGTCCCTATGCATTCTCCATTGGCGGCAGTCCAAAGCTTTAGGACACGATCCCCAGATGTAGTTGCGATTTTCTTCTTATCTGAAGAAAATACAACTTCTAGGATCGCACTCTCATGGCCTTCGACTTTTGCAGATTGAGTTCCTACAGCAAGATCCCAAACCTTAATATTAATCTCATAGTCTGCTGATATGAGGAATTTCTCGTCATATGAGAAGGTAATACTAGCAACTTGCTTGTCGTGACCCTTATATACCGCGATACAAGCACCTGTGAATGCATCCCATATTCTTATGTCCTTATCATAGGAAGTAGAAGCAATTCTGCCTTCATCCTTCGACAGGATGACATCAGAGATCGCAGCGCGGTGGCCTTCTAGGAGAGACTCGCATTTGGCGGTTGAAGTATTCCAAATACCGATAGCATGGCCTTTCATAGGGCTGATGAGTCGGCTGCTATTAGAGAAGAATACTAGGTCCACTGATGCTATCAGATCAGCTCCCTTAGCCACCAATCTAGCGCCAGAAACTATGTTGCTAAACATGAGAGTGCCTCCGTCATCGACCGATGCCAATAATTGACTGTTTGGAGAAATGACTGCTGATTTGATAGCACTCTTGTGCCCATCACTGAGCACCATCTTGATGTAAGTTTGTCTTGTGTGTAAAAGTTTGACAGTGTCGAGATTAGAAATTATAATGAAAGCCAATCCGTCAGGAGAAAACCCAACAATTCGGTCAGTCCCGTGGGCGTAATTATAAGTCGCGACGGGCTTGTCAAAGTTTCTGTCCCATATCCTTAGAGTTCCGTCTCTTGATACTGAAGCAAATTGTTGGCCGTCCATGGAAAACATGGCACTTGTAACCTTGTCGGTATGGCCTCTATATTCCCCAACGCAATTTCTTGTTGTGGCGTCTATGATTTGGAGAACTTTGTCCCCAGAGATGTAGAGCAGTTCTGTGCCATCAGATGATATTCTAATAGAATCGCGCAAAACCTCTTTGTGTGTTGCAACGCAACATGCTGTTTTTGTATCCCAAATTTTGATTGCACCTTTATTTGGGAGAATAGAAAGAAATCTATCACCAGTTGGAAGTGCCAAAACACTTGTGTCCTTCATATCGTGATCTTCAATTGTTGCTATGCAAGGATCCCAGTGAGATTGCATTACTGGCAAGGTACTGAGCCACGATGGAATGCTCGATTTGAACAAGCACTTGATAGTGCTCATTTCTGGAGCAAAAATTAGAGCGGATGAATGGATTTGGAGCGGCGCTTTGTCTAATGTGGCCATATTAGCCACAACAAATCGCCTCGCATCATGCAAAAAGCTCCCGATGACTTGTGAATTCATTTTCTTTTCATTCTTTTGTTAGTCACGCCCAGAATTGATACAGATAGTGAATATATCGAGACTTACATCAAGCTTCTGCAACAAGATGTCCAACATGTAGGCGCCCTCTGTGCTTCGCCCCAGAAGGCTCAGGGCCTCAAGCCAATTAAGTAAGTAGCTCGACAAGAATTTGTGCGTCTCATCATCATCCCGTATCGTTCGATTACTTTGACTTAAATGGTGGACCCAATGGATGCAAGCATATTGGATTGCATTGGGTAGACATGAATCGATGACCTTTTGGCTTATATCAGATCGCAGTGTACCCGGAGATTGAAGGGAACAAATGTCTTCTCTGAGAACGCCACCTGCAGACAGCAACTTTATGCACTGTGAGAATAATTTCGAATGAGCAATTTGCTCATCGACCCAGAAAGGATATTTGATGGGATCAACTTTCTTTTCAGGGTCAACCAGGAAATCTCGGAAAGAAAGATGCAACAGTCTCACAGGGGTATCCAAGTCAATAGGAACGCCTAGTACTGAATGTAAAAGGTCAAGCTGATCTTCGACGACGTCGGTAGTGACATCGAGGAGATGAGCAAGGCTGCGTATGGATAAAGGTTGAGCTAGGGTAATTATTGAGCCAACCAAGTATCGGAATCTAGTCAACACCTCTTGCCTAGCAGATAGCGAAAGGTCAACAACAAGGCCGTCCAAGGTCGGGAGATACGTCATATCAAGACCGGATGTCTCTATTTTGTGATACTCGAGAATCTTCCGTAGCTGATGATGAGGGCCTCCTAGTCTTCTATCTCTGAGGAAGCGGCATATTGTTGCGGCGACAATGAATAGCGGGACTGCTGAGACGACAAGTTTTTGCACTATATCGTCTCCGGGCCAGTCAGGAGATATTTTGCGATGCTCCGTGACAGACTTGTTGTAATCTGCTTTGATCGTATGAAGCTGATGTCTCATGAATAGCTCTATGTCATGCTCAATAGTGGTAGACGACACTGCGGCAAGGAGTAGATTGTCATATTTCCCACTAATTTCTTCGAACCCTAGTCGGATAGGCAACTCTGGTCTGCTTGTGAGAAATATTTTGAGCCGTGGATTATTTCTTTGTTTAGCTTTTGACAAGATGCCAACAAGTGTCCTCATACTTTCTTCATGACCACATTCATCGAGAGCGTCAATCACAATAAGCAGATTTGGCGACCAACATCCCGGATTCCTTCCCAGTGGATCCAAAATCAGCTTCTGAAACTGATCACTTAGAGGTTTTTCGTGAATTTGAGGATCGCCGTCAAGAACTTCGCGGATTCGTGGAGCAAGGGAAGGAATTCGACGGACCAGCTGGGCGGCGATTGTGGTGATGAGAAAACTTGTTCTGCCGCGATCTCCTTCGCCCCTCTTGAAGAAAAAGCTAGCACCTAGTATGCTCTCATTGGCAAACGATTGAGCGATTGTTCGTGAAATGGTAGACTTTCCAGTCCCTGCCATGCCATTGAGCCAGAAGATGGACTGGGCATCGGGGCTGGCGCTCCACTTCTGTATTTGCTCAATGATGTGATTCCGCGTGCCTTGAAGGCAGAAAGATTCCTCTCCGTCTACACTGGAGTCGTAGGTAGCTCCTTCTGCAACTCGTAGCTTGGATAGAACGATTTCTTGATGGACATCTAGAAGGATCGCCCTGGAGGTGTTAGGACTGAGAGCCAAGATGGCCAGGATAGCCGGAGTAGTCATAGTAACCATTGGTTAGAGGAGGTGGATATCTTACGTTTGCTCAATATTGACATGCAACAAAATATTAGCTTTCTGTCTCTCGATTGCCACAAAGAACTCATGAATTTCCCTCTTTTTGAAAGGCCAAACTGCTCTGACATTTTTGGCGCCCAAGTCAAGCTTTGCAACTAACTCGGCTAGCAGCCTGCGAAGGTCGAAAACTGCCTGACGGAGGCTTGATGATTCTAATTTGGAGGATCCCTTCGGGCTCTGAAGTAAAAGCTCGAGCTCTTTGATGACCGCTGTCAGACGGTCAACCTCTTTCAATAGCTTTCGCACATCTTGAGGTGCTCTTTTCACGTCCACACAGTAGATGGAGCACATGACACCGATCTTGACGAGGAGGTCAATGACCTGCGATATGTTGGATAAAAGCCCTAGGACATCCATAATGACGACATTGGAAGGCTATGCATAAAGGCAGACTCGGTAAAACATGAAAAGTGACAGCAGCAGTAGAAGTGTTGGGCAGAATAGAAGCGATAGAGAAAGTAGCGCTAGTAGAAAGAAGCCCAGAGCAATGCACGAGAAAGCGAATAGCGACAGTTGAAAGAGCGGTAGTGACGGGAAGAATAGGAAACATAGAAGAGAGTGGAAATTAGAAGAACGGAATTGTAGAAAATGTGAATTTGATCAATAGGCAGAAAGGGCCGTAGCCTTGAAACCAGGCGGGGTTTGTGAGGCCCATTGGCAGTGGCAGGGGATCAAAGATACAATTCAATCAGGTATATCGCATTGGATCCATTTGCAACTAACCGAGGCGATATGACCAGCCCGCAACTGCAGCTACCCTTGACATTCGTCAGCGCCTTGTTACTGTATCAATACAGAGGTAGACACTGAATATAATAAGCGCCGACCCGAAGCGCCGGGATGTGAAAATCAGAGGAGGGCGGCGGCTATTTCTCGAAACTAAGGATTGCAGACGAAACTGATTGGGGGCACAGAGCAAAAGTACACAGATTATTCAATAGATGAATATAAGTATTTGTGCGATTACTAGGCTGGATCCTCAATCCGGAATAATTCTACGCGCCCCTCTTGTACGGACATGGCACATGCATGTATTGTTGCCCGTACATGTGTTTTCAGAAGGGAGCAACTTAGAGGGATTTTTGTTCCAGTAGCATTATAAACACTCGTGGAAGAGCATTGTGTGTGCTATTGTGGTTTGCGTCATAATATTGCTTGCGAATATGCCTTGGTGGCAGATAGAATCCCAGTCGCATATTACTGCTCAATCTGTTCAATACCAGCATCAACTGGTTTGTAACCTTGGTATAATTGGAGACAATAGTGAATTTAGTTGAAACAAACGACTATAATCACTCGTGTGAAAATCATGAGGCCGATGTATTCAAATCTTGTTGATAGTGGCGCTGCATACATGTACGGAAAAAGCGAGAAGCTTTCCCACCAACAACTGAGCAGGCGCAACCGTGATATCACAGCAACGGGGGAAAACCAAACGTGTGCTAAGCAACGGAAAGTTGAACAAAAATTGGTTGTCGTCATGATTTCCTCTATTCGAACCCTGTTGTGTTTTATTCCTGAGGCCCTTCTCCCACGGCACTCCCAAGAATCTCCCCCCTAAACCACAACAGCATGTCATCGCCACCCCTCTGGATATTGTTGACTAGAATCTTGCATAATACAGCCTCACTCTTTTATTTCAAATAACTCGCTCATTACAAAAAGCATTAGGCAGCCCGGGAGTGTACTGTGAGCGAGTGTCCAGCGACTAGCCTCGAGTGTCAACCAGGGGTTAGGTCTGCAGAAACTGGCAGCCCAAACTCCTGCCAGCTGGCTGCCACTCATCAACAATAACGCGTTGGCTATAAAGAAGAATCTCTGCTCGCCGCGTAAACATTGAAACGAAATTTCCCTTCACCACACGCGTTTGTTGGATCACGTCGAGTTCAACACACGCTTCCAGCTTCTGAGGCTCAACTGCACTTGAAATACAACGACGTGAGTGGTATCATCAGTTGATAAACATTCTCGTCACTATATCCTGACGCTAATCATATTAAATAGCTTCAGCTCCGTGCTCTCTCGCCAGCTTGTGGCGGGCACCATCTCTCAGGATGACTATTCTTCATGAACACAACCGAAGCCGCAGCTTGGAGGCGCTCCGTGGAGACTTCCTTCACGCCATTACCAACACTACTGAGGGTGTTCATTTCGCTTCTACCACCCTTCTCGAAGACAAGGATGTCGAGAAAGAAGTTCTTGCTGCGCTTTGCCCCGCCAAGGCGAACAAGGCTACTGATGTTGCAATTACCCATTTGAGCAAGCTCTTTGTCCAGTGCAACAAATGGCTTCCTGTCCTTGAGCAGCGTGGCCCAGACATGTACTGGATCGTGGTTTCTTCCACCACCTCGCAGATGCAGGGCATCACCTTGTCGGCCACTCAGGCTAAAGCGGTGGCCTTTTCTCTTCTCCGAGCCAGACAGCGCTGGATCATTCGCCAGATCAACCCTAAGTCTGCCAGCACCAACGTCAAGTCGCACCTCATCGCTGGCATTCAGCGTCTCCTCCAACGTTTTGAGGAAAAGGATGAGTATCCCGGCGCCGTCAACTGGCAGAAGGAACGAGAGTGGAAGCTGACTCAGAGAGAAATCCGTGATGCTAACTCGCGTCTCATGGGCCCGGGTGGCCAGCTGTCTCGAGGCCGGATTGGCCTTTCGTTCCACTCGCCTCATAACTTATACCCCATCGGCCAGCTTTCTAGTGCGCCCATGTTGGAGAGAAACGCTCTGGGCTTGCTTGATAGCTGCGTGGAGAAGATCACCCCGGCCGAAGCTGTGCAGGCTTTGCTCTCTCATCAGACTCAGGAGGCTGCCGTTGCTGAGCAGCTAGCTTCTGCGGAGAATGCCAAGAAGGGACATGAAGCTACCTCAAGCTTTACCCCAGGAAAAGCTACTCAGGACGACGACGCACGCAGCGTCTCCAGCAAGTCCCCAAGCAGCCTCATCGGCCGCGTCATTCCTACCGCTCTGAAGACCAAGTTCAAGCCGAACTGGATGAAGGGTCCCAGCTCCCGCAAGGACTCTGGTCAGAGCATTGCTGAACGTCCCAAGCGAGCTCAAACTGCCGACGCTCCGCCCCAGGTCAACTCCTCGTCTACCAAGAAACGCTTCTTGAGCGAGGACACTGCTGCCCCAGCCAAGAAGCAAGTTGTGGCCAAGGGAAAAGCTCGATCTGTTTCGAACCCCGTCGTCAGCCAGGCATCGCTCACACCAGCCAAACCGGCTCAGGTTGCTCGCTCGGTCTCTCTACAGATTCCCAAGTCGTCCAAGAAGTAAAGGCTACGTGCTTGGACATGCATCGAATACTGTTGCAAGTGTCTTACGAATTGGCTTGAATCAGAGTCGTGGATATGGCTTTTGAAGGCTGGATGGAATATGATGAATGTCACAGGGCTGGATGGGTGGGCTGACATTATTGATGAGTTGACATGGAATGGGCTTATAGGTTGAGGGATTAGGGAATACGTGTATGAGTTAGCAATCTATAGCCCAGAGGTATCCAAAAATCAACTCCAAGTATTGACTCGAATGGTATGGAATTATAGATGATGTGAAGATGTGAAGATGTGAAGATATGAGGATGTGAGGATGTGAGGATGTGAGGAAGTTCTTTTCAGTGCAGAAGTGATTGCTTGCAGCTCGGAATAGCCGTGCGCAGCCACCTATGCGTTCCTACATTAGCGGCCGCACTACATAAGGTGGCATTTCACAGCATTTTTAAACCCTCCCGGAAGCTTGATTTTTAACCAGCGCTGTAAAATGTTGCCTAAGGCGAAATTTATTCTAATTCAGAGCACCCAAATTCGAATAAACAGAATGCTTGTAATGTGTCTGTTTATTACACGTTCCAATATAATAGGGTAAATGATTGTAAATTCACATTTTAGTATTTATACATATCTTTCAAATGCCTCTCTTGGCGACTTCAGGTCAATACTTTTCATGTAACACAATCTTGGCAAAATGGCGGTGCAGAGCCTTGGCAGGAGTCTGGAGGTTTAGATGCTGTGGGTTATGATACAATATCGGGCCGTAGTCCTGTAAGATTGTTACTCAGTTGTGCTAATATTATGGATATAATGGAAAAGTAAGAGAGTTGTTTATTTATTCCTTCTTGTGATACTCCTACAGCCTTGTGTTGCCTTTAATATACTGGCGGCGACTGATGAGTACCAAAATAGCAGCAGCTCCAGACTCCTCTCGGATATCGCCGTTGCACCCCCCAATGTTTTAGGTAGTTTAGGTGACAGCTCTGCCAAGACAAACGCCCTAGCGCCCTGCGGATAGACGCTGACTTGGCATTCTTTAGTGTGCACATCACCCCTTTAGCGCAGTTGCTTGGCCCTTGTATTGATCTCGTGCAGCTGGGATGGAGCTTACCTGTGTCCATACGGAGTCCAGTAGTATAAGAACATTTGAATATTGGAAGATAAGAGGCAGCAAGGACGTACTCAGTACTGTACATGTCAAGTACAGGCAGATCAATGACATCAGCTTTGGGACATAATTTTCGGAGAGTAGATTCCTTCCGATGCCCTAGCAGTATGAAACCGGCCACAAAGAAAACATCGAGATGTATCTTGTAAAGAAAAAAAGCCCTGTTACGAATCTGTTGCAACATTCTCGGATAATCGGCAAGGCGTCGTGACGTAAGTGGACGAGTTCCCTGTCGATGATCTTGGCAAGACAGACAAAGGGAATGACTGCAGGAAAAATGGAGTTGAGGCACTAGAATGGACGCCGTTCTAGATCTGGGTGCTGGGCTGCAGCGGTTCGCATATTGGCCAAGCAGGTGACAAAGGCGATGCGCAAGGCGTTTTTTCCCGTCAAAGGACATGTATCTTCTCAGCCCCCATTGCGATGACAGGCACCTCTGCGATTCCTATTTTTGACCCTTGCACATCCCGTTTCTGGTGATAATTTTGGGCACTTCAGTGTTTTATTTTATGGCTTAGATTGGGAATGCTGCTGACTCTGGCTGGTTCACCTCACTTGGCCTAGCTCTGTTTATATCGCTTGATTTCCTGGTGGCTCGTTGGAGGCCTTTCCCGACGACTGATCCGGCTCTAGCCCTACAAGTAGCTACAAAACCGCCAGCGACCCCTCACAACGTCATTTCGCCTTTTCGGGAGGCTGAGCACGGACAATCGAGTCTTGGCAGCCTTGCTCCTCACGATACGCCCGCCTGAGGCTTCATTATATCCATCTTATACTTGGTGCTTGATCGTCTGTTTGTTCATTATGCCGGGAAACATCACAACTCACCACGACGACACCACGCCCGAGTCGAGCGACGGTGATCAGCATGAACGTGACCATGAAGAACACGAAGGAGAACACAAGGGACCTCCCGGTGGCTTTGACAAGACTCCCCTTCCTGATGCCCCCCAAGGATACACTATTCGCTTCGTCTTTCACGCCGCGTCCAACATCCCGGTTGCGGATTTCCACACGGGATCCTCAGATCCCTTCTTAGTAGCAACGCTCAAGGGAACGCAGCCGAAGCGTCACAAGGAAGACCCCGATTTGAAATACCGAACGAGAACCTTGCACCGAACTACGGAGCCGAAGTGGGAGGAAGAATGGGTTGTGTCCAACGTACCTCCTACCGGCTTCACCCTCAAGTGCAGAATGTACGATGAGGATGTTGCAGACAAGGACGACAGGCTCGGCAATGTTACCATCAACGTGGGCTCCATCTCTGACGACTGGGCAGGAATTCCTCCCCCAGGCCAGGAGTTTGAGGCCAAGAAGCGTGTCATGAGCAAGAGAGCTTTCATCCTCAAAGGAATCACCAGCGCCATCGTACATGGAACCCATCTCGCCCCTCGGCTGCGAATCAGCATGGAAGTCCTGGGCAAGTCTGAGCCTCCGTTTGCGCAAATGTGCACGCTGGCTCCGACGAGATGGATCAAGCACAACAGTCCCATGATTGGCCGCCTAATCGGCACAAAGGTGAATGCAAACGAGAGTGACGACGAGAAGGGGCATGACGGGAGCGACGATACCCCCAAGTCTCAGAAATATGAGTAAGTCAATATGCTACTGCAAGATACCTGCATCAAGCCGGCGCATCAAATGACTGCCAGACTAACGTTTGATATTTAGCTTCCAAGCCAACGAGTTACAGCTTCAGGGCCCTGTTCCTTCGGTCCTTTACCACCGCTACGTGGAATTCAGGCCAGTTATCGGCTCGCTCTTTTCATCCACTGGCATCCGTGGAACCATATTAAACAAGGCTCTGCACAAGCAGCACCACAGGATTTACAATTACAGCAGTTCCACTGAATACGGTAACTTTGAGCCATGCTCTAAGCAAGCATCGCTTCAGTTCCTCAGGATGGCGCACTTTGACGAAGGCGGCCGTATCTTTACGTACGTGCTTACTCTGGACGGACTGCTTCGCTTCACCGAGACGGGCAAGGAATTCGGCATCGACTTCCTGAGCAAGCATACCATGCACGCAGATGCCGAGAAATACATTGCTTGCTCAGGAGAGTTCTTCATCCGCAGGCTGCAGCATCCAGATTCCAACGACAGCCCCGAGCCTAACGAGAAAACGCACCCGTCCGAGCCTATCCCCGGTGGTCCGCCAACCCAACCGCCACCTCCCAATCCTGCATTCTATCAGCTCTACATTGACAACGAATCTGGAACATATCGCCCTGACAAGTCCATTTTGCCAGATCTCAAGGGCTTCTTGGAGAAGAACTTCCCCGGCTTAGGTATCGTCATCATGAACGTTGAAGATGAACGCCTGCAGAAGCTCAAGGAAGAGCAGCGGGCTATCAAGAAAAGCGAGGGCAAAATCATGCAGGTAGTCATGAACAGTAGCACCGAAAGCCTCAGCTCTGTGGAGAGCGAGCTGGACGAACGGAACGAGAACTGGGAGTCGGGAAGAAAGAGCAAGCTGGAGGCGGCGCATTCGGCGTTGAGGAACCCCGATGCGGAACATATCAAGGCGGCTGTGGAAGTGATGCTGCCACACCGCGAGAAAAAGGAGGAATAAGCAAAAAGAGGAGGAGGGGGGGGGAGGGGGATTAAAGAGTTGTCCGAGAATCTCTATGACTGTATGGATATGATATGATACCACTCTTTCCTTCGATTTGTTGTATTACCGTTGTTGTTGCTGATAATGTAATGTTCGAATCCAACGATTTCTTGATACTGCCTTTCCTTGCCCTGCGTGACCTCGTGAAGATTCACATCCTGGGCCTGACTGAGACCCACGTACTCGAGCATCGTGCCAGCTCAACTCCATTTCCATTTCTCACTTCGCACTTTATCTTTGTTTTCCTGCCGTCCACGCTGTCCACCCACGCGTTCACCAACACCGTCTCATTAATCGGCCCCGGCTTCAAAAACTTGATATCAAGCCCAGCCGTCACGCTAGCAGACGCAAAGATCTCGCCAGTCTTGCCCAGCGCAAGATTAATCTCGTGCAGCACTCCCATCGCCTCATCCACCATGGTCATCATCATGCCCCCGTGCAAAACGCCTTCATACCCAGAAAGCCCCTGTCCCAGCGCAAAAAGAGAGCTCACGTGCATAATTGGACGCTCGTGATCTTGCAAATGCGCTTCATCCTCGGTGTGAAAGAAGCAGAGCATGTGCTGCAGTCCTCGAGGGCCGGCAAGCGTGGCGCCGACGAGCTGGTCGTGGGATGAGCTCTGGGGATTGAAGCATTGCGGGATGAAGGGGATTGTGTTTGGCGTCTGTATGAGGCATGCGCACCAGGGAATGGAGAGGAAGTGGGAGACGGAGGAGGCGTAGAGGCGAGGAGGCGTGTTGGGGGGGATGAGGCCTAAGGGAGGGCTGAGGACGCGATTGAGGGGCGTCAAGGAGAGGGGAGTGGCTGTTGTTTCGTTTGGTTGCGGCATTTTTGGAAGATGGAACAAGGACAAGAGATGTCGCGATATCACATTGAGCGTTGAATCCGTATATGCAGATGTAGTTTGTAGACCGCGATGGTGATATCAATGTTGGTGTTTTGAATGGACGAAACAGGATCCAAATGCCCAATTCGGGATGCCGAGGTCGTCCACTTTTACCCGAGATTGGAGCTGTACAGTACAAGGAGAGACAAAGTAGCACTGCGCGAACACCCCAAAAGAAGATGAATACAACGTGCGAGTAACGAAAGTAGATACATGTAAACAACAGCAATCGCCACCCGTTCTCGAGAAGCATCTCCAACACTCGAGACATGTCATCTGTCCAAAAAAGAAGCAGGGCAAAATAGCCCAGAGCAGCAAAAGATGGGGCTTCACCGGGATTCGAACCCGGGGCCTCCTGCAAAGGCGATTCTAGAGAACCGGGGACTCCAGGTTTGTTTTCCCGAAGCAGGAATCATACCACTAGACCATGAAGCCTGTGTTTCTGGTGTGGTTGGCGATGAGGCGATTGGTAGGAGGATCAAGAAGGATTGAGCTGGTCAGAGGATGGAGGCGTGCATATTTCGTGAGAGTTTCAACAGGTATCTAGCAATTACCACAATGGATCCATCAGGAATAAAGTGAATGGAGTTTATTAATCATCTTATGCTATTGTTTAGGGCATTTGCCTGGGTCTGGCATATCCATGCAGCTTTCCTTTGCGCGTGATTCACATCGACTGGCTGATCCATACCAAAGTGACTAGAATCTTCTGTGCTTCTGAAACTGGAATGTCTGTATTATCACCAATTTACATTCCAAAGAATCTAGTCACTGTCGCTAACCAGCCAATCTATCTGTTCTTGCAATTTGCCCGTCTTGATTCTAGTGTCACGTACACTCTCAAACCACCACCAGCACAGCCAGCGCCAGCGCCATGATCAGGACGCCAACATTCGTTCCCACCGTAGCCCCCGCTCCAAACTGCGTCCAGTTATCGCAGTCATAATCGTCGCCCTCGTCTCCAGTGTTGTAGATGGCAAAGCTTCCAATAGGATATGCTGCTGATTTACAAAGGCCGTCCTCGCTGGTTTGGCAGCTGACCCAGGAGAACGGCACATCATCGCTGTCTTCATGGCCAATCCGGACATCTCGACAGTCAGGGAGTGTGTATTGATAGTAGCGCCACAAACTTCTCTTGCCATCTTGGTTGACGGTAGGCTTCCTCATCCTGAGCCAAGTGTGCGTGTAATTTGCCCTCTCATCGTACAGGTCTTGGTTGAATAGTTCCCAAGCAATGCCGTTGGTGTGGTCCTTCAACTTCCAAAATCTCTGATCCTGGGTCATTTGGAAGCCTGTACTGCTATTCATGGTGAAGATGTCGCTCATGTTGAAGCAGGTGTATGCTGATGGGATAGTATACGTGGTAAGTGTTATGGCTTTGCTGATATCCTTGGCTTGGCAAGAATCGCCCTGGCTCTCTGGGAAAAAAGCGACCGTGAGCTTGCTATTGAGACTTCTACAAAGAGACATGCAATTAGCGAGGAGTTGCTTGCAAAGACCAGCGGGCAAGCTTGTTGTTGATGGTATCATACTTATCTCCAGCTTCAATAGCCCAGACACTGGAGAATAATGCGAAGAAAATGATCAAAGCTTTCGTGTCTATCATGGTTCTTGAAAAGTATGTCAAATTAATGTCGAGTTGGAAAAAGTTGAGCGAAGTTGAGCGGGAGAAGGCGGGAGTGTACACACAACGGCAGCGCACCCTTTTATTATTTCGACATGACATGGTCAATGCGATTGGGGCGACGACGTCATTAAGTCACGCAGCCAACACGGTGGATTAATCGACCAGATGGATACTAATTACATTCTTTGTGTACATATAGCAGGTACGTGCATCGCGAAATTCGTCTCCAGCGATGCAAGTTTGCGCCACTCACCAGGCAAGATGTCAGGCACCTTGTCAAGCCCCTAACAGCTCTGTATCGTTTTATCTTTGCCACAAGATGAAGGTTTTCAAATTTTATTTCTCAAATCTACCTTCTACAGTGTTTTGCTAATACGTGAGAGAGTTCTATATTGGCCCTCTACTAGTAATAGGTTAAGATAACAGCTCTGGCAAGCAGCTTACTGCTTGCTTCATTTCCCTGCGTTCATTTTGATCACTCAGTTATTGTTCCTAGCCATGGTAGATCCATACATAGGTATTTTATAAAATTGACTTACTACGACAGAAGTATTTTCCCTTGATGAAACGAGAACGGGAGCATCTGCCTTTGCAGATACCGCCCTTGTTGTCGCCATCTGCCTGCTCTTTCAGGTAACAATTTGCCATACAGTCGTTAACTAGAGAAGTAAAAACACTCATGTTAGTACATTAGCCGATTGTTTTTATCACATACCTCGGGGTGTTTGGGGAAGTTTCACATTTAGACCATCCACCGCTTGGGCCATCTGTGCCAAGCACGCAACGAGAAACATCGTTTTGTCTCTTGCTCGACTCTGGAGCAGCCATGACTGCAGCAGCGGCGAGGCTAAGAGTGCAAGCATTAATAATCGCGCACAGCTTCATTTCGAGTAAGTAGTGAATATGTAATGACAAAATTGCTCTCTAGAAATAATATGTGGGTAAACTGGGAGTATATAATGTATGTATCTGAGCATGATGTTCGGGGTAACGGTATTTGTAGAAGCGGTTTTCCTTCAAGTTATCTAGGTATATTTTGCTTCTGCTATCCATTCAAGCCATTTCTGACCGCCAATCTGAGCACTTGATATTGCTTGTCATACCTGTGAAACCTACCTGGTAGAAGAAAACCTGTTTTCGAATCAAGGCAACGAGGCGGAGCTGTATTGAGCCGGAGTGAGCCCAACATCTGCCTGAGCCAAGGCGGCTGCCAGCAGAAAATCCCATCAAAAAATACGACCATGCGCTGGCAATAAGCGCGCAAGTAACACCTGGTGGTGCTTTTTCCCTTCTATTTTCGGTCGGGCCATCAAGGTGTTTCACGATAAGTACTACCTAGTCTCCTTTTCTTACGGGGTACACAAACTTATCATGGTTGCTATACATGTGATGTTTGCGAATGCACTCCGTATCTGTATGCACTCTACCGCTGCGGAGCTGCGCCACGTTTCTCGTACAATCCCATTTTAAAATGAATACGACAGCATTATGCAGTTTGCCTCGCATTTCCAGTAGCACCATTGTGGGTACGCTTTAAGCGCTGCCGCGAGTCGTCGATGGTCTGACTCTCTCTTACATATCATTTGGTCACAAGTTAGAGGTAAATATTTACTATAGTAGAGCTACGCAAAATCCGAGATCTAGCCAAGGGCATTAATGAGACTTGTGAAACACGATTAGGGGGCAGAGAATGTAAATGAACCCAGGATAGTCTGTTCTAATTGCTAAAAGTCCACCTCAACGCACTGACACTATTACCCAACCTCCTCATCCTACACGGTTAAGAAACATGATAAATTTTTATTGTCATGATGATATCATCAACATCACAATAGATGCAGGTATCCATAGAAGTAGCACAGAGAAGGCAGCACTCTAAGCTAAAGGAATGGGATCCTTCCCAGTCCAGAGGGCGAGGCTCAACGTGGATTGATCCAGCTGGTAGCAGGACCAAAATCAAACATCAAGAATACAGGAGCAACTGTGGTATGAAATATGTCCCCAAATATTAAATATAAGAAGAAGGCCCATCGAGAGTTTAATTTCCGATAGCACGACATCATTTACCAATCTATTCAAATATCTTCCATTGCCATGCTGATTCCACTACCTACCAATTAACTCGGATCTTTTTCAATTTCAGAACATTGAACCACTCCAACAATACCAATGGATGCCATCGGCCTCGTCTCCGGTATTCTGGGCATAGTGGATTTCTTCCAGAGCAACTTCAAACCTGGAGAGGTTAAAGGCAATCTCATCCGAATCAAGGCCGGTTTGGCCCAGGGTGACGATGAAGTCGATATCGTAAGTCATTGTCGACGCACACATGGCATAAAAATATAGCTACTTACCACACTCAGGAGGGGAATATCGCTGCCGTGTACGCTTGGGATCAAAGCCACAACTACATGGGAAAATCCAATGGAGGCCAGTATATTAAGGAAGGCGACTTCGGTGATTTTGTGATGGACCAGTTCGTTGACGGAAAACGGATCGGGTATGCTGCGGTAACAGCAGACAAGGATGCAGTGTGTATTGCTTGGATCACCATCACAATGAATGATGGAACCCCAAAAGGTGCATGGACTGGAGACATAGGTTCCGATTGTGGACAGGCGTGGTATCCTTCCAACGAAATTGCTGGAACCCTCAAAGACAGCAACGAATCCTACTTCCCGCGATGCACATGGTTGGACGGGGATCGCAGTGGTGATGCCACGGTTGCCGCGATGAAGTTTTCCGTCGCTGCCTATGGCAACGAGGTCCAGAAAACCGTCGAGTACAAGAATCAGTGTCATTTTACCCTATGGAGGCCTGTAACTGGAGCCATCGCAGGTAAGTTATTTTCCCCATCCCAGCACCCTGCTATGAATTCCAAAGTCTAACAAAAAGAAACCTGAAAGGGAAACCTGGGAAACGCTCGGATATGCCAAGGAAAGCCTGGATGGAAAACCGCCTCGTTGTTTCGGAAATACCCCAGCACAAGGCTTCAGACCTGTGTAACTCCACCACCTCTTGGGGTCCGGACTTTGTTGGAAGCGATGGCATGTTCTGCGACATGCACACCAAGACTTTGTCTCCTGTCTGCTCATTCCACGATACCGATGGCTGCATTGAAGTGGACGTTGATGAGAAGACGATCGCGAAGCGATTCACTGTGGCAAAGCGACAAGTGGTAGAGAAGCACAAGTCGTACGGCAAAGTCAGCCAGTGGTCGTGAATATTGACATCACGGACGACAACTTCTGCAGATAGGTTATTGCCCCTTGGACTAGAAGCATCGCATTATAGCGTATCAGATTTTCAATAGGCCTACATAAACGCATAGGTGTTATGTTTTTTACATATACTTTGACTGCGGTAACTACAGTGCTTTTACTCACTGATCCAACGTGATAAGGGAGGAAACTCTTAATCTTGATTAAGAACATTTGTTTTCCATATCCTACTATGTATTTACAAGTTGCAAGAATTCTCCAATTATTCGTACCAAAGACCTGAATTACGGTGTGAGTCTATTGTAATTGCGGATCAAGGTGCTACAGGACGAATGCAAGAAATGGCCAAATGGCCATTGGTACATCTCTGACAGTAATTTAGGAATAAAGCCCTGGAACAGGAACTCTTCTAGTGTCTGGAGTTGAATCAGTACGAATACGAGTACAGCAAGCCTGATTTGCAGCTCACCTGCAGCTCACCCCCGAGCTCGACCTTGGCAGCTGCCACAACCAAGACGCCTTCCCTACGAAAAATTACTCCATGACTCACAGTCGATATTTTCTCTAAGAAATCAGGCCATCCCCTCCCGAGAAGATTTTTTGCCTGTCGCAAACCTTCTTCCATCGCCATTGTTTCTCCGCACTGGCATCTTCACAGTCATTCATCCCTCCATATCAAAACCTAGAACCAAACCAAACACACGCATCTTCATTAGTGCTATGAACTAGAGCAGTTGATACTCTTCATGATGCATCTTCCTCCCAACGATACCAGCGGATCGGAGCTGAGCCCTCGAGAGATCGAGGTCCTCATTACCATCGAGCGGACTGGTGCAGGTCTCTCGATGGTGGCAATCACGCTCACTTTGCTGTCTTTCTCCATATTCAAGAAGCTTCGAACCACTCCTAACATATTCATCGTCCTGGCTTCCATTGCCAACGCTGGCGCGAGCATCGCTTCCATGATTGGCTACGATGGCCTCGACAGGGGCGAAAGGTCTGCTCTCTGCCAGGGACAAGGTTTCATCTTCGAATGGTGAGTTCTTTGGGCTTCCAGCTTTAACATCACGTTCCTTTTCTTCTAGCTCGAGAGAATCTAAAACTGATTTGTTGGTTAGGTTCATGCAATCGGACCCTTGGTGGTCATTTGCCATGGCTTTCAATGTCTTTCTCGTCTTCTTCTACAACGCCAGCCCTGCTACCTTTCGGAAGCGCATCTGGATCTACTGCATCATCTGCTTCGGTGGTCCCTTGGTGCCCGCCGTCGTCTTGGTTTCTATTCACGACGATGCAAAAGGTCCTGTCTTTGGGAATGCATCGGTAAGCCGCCCAAATCTAACACCCACCGTTTAAATATTGACACTCGGCCAGCTTTGGTGCTGGGTTGACTCAAACTGGAGCCTAGTACGCCTTTATGCGTATTACATCCCCATTTGGATCTGCATTTTTGGATCCATCGTCATCTACGTAGCTGTGGGATATCACGTATTCCGCAACAGGAACCGTCTTCGCAACTTTGCAGTCCATATCCAACCAAGAACTAAGAGGATTGAGTCGGGTGGAGCCAGCGAAGCTGGAGACTCTACTGACGAGGTATGAATTGGTACCTTCTTGATGCCCAGTTTGCGGAATACTGACTGGTTGGCCAGAGCCTCACTCGGAGACAAGACTACTATGGCACTGCAACCACCGAAGTCCAGATCACATCTAATACTCCCGACAATGATGACTTTTCTCTCCCCATGATTCCTCCTGCCATTTATTCACATGGTCCCGCCGTTGCGTCATGCGGCCGATCATGGGCAGTACCTCAAACAGGGGGTTACTATTCTCGAAATATTGAGAGAATTTCCCGACAGAATGCAGCTCTTCCCTCTACACAGCCAAATCCAGCACTTACAGTGTTTTCCTACTTGAGGACTGTAAAGTCAAATGCTTCCTTGAAACTGAAGCGACTTGATCCCGTCAAGATGGCCTACTTACGCACCAGCTTCATCTTCGGTTTTGCCATTTTGATCACCTGGATCCCAAGTTCTGTCAACCGGCTCTACAGCCTCACATATCATGGCCGTGTTAACTTCCAGCTCAGTATTGCTAGCGGGTGTGTGTTGCCGTTGCAGGGAGTTTGGAACGCCCTAATCTACTTCACCACGAGCTAGGGCACCGTTTGTGAAGAGTTGAAGGCCTTCAAAGACAAGATTTGGCCAAGCGCTCGCCGAGGCTATCGAAATACCGTTCGAATGGACGGCAGATTGGATACCGTGGCGTACGGTGATCGGAACACGATCGAGCTGCCTGCGATGGCACGACTCAAAGCCTCGCGGGCTTACGATGACGACGACCTGGAGCTTTCAGGGCGCTTCCATCGAAGCAGCTCCATCTAGCTGAGGCTTTGACGAAAGCATCTTCTGGAGATAATCTTTCCGGACAGTGAAGATAAGACTGTGCTAGGTGCATATCTTTCTTTCTTTTTCCACGTCTCATCGGCGCGGAAGTGGTTATGGATGCTTGTAAGGGAAATATAGGTTGGCGAGATGAGATCCCCTCTCCACTCAGATTTCACAATGCTTGGTAGGTTCAAAATATTGAACTAGCAGATAGGAAGCCATGTGCAATAATATTAATAATGTTACAATTTGATCAAATGTTTTGAGCTTTTTCTCTATTTGACTGCGCACAGTCTACGCGTACTTTGCATAAATATCTTCACCCTCAGCAGCATCAACGCTATCACGAACCACGGCAGCAACGGCTTCGTCAATATCGTCGTCACCCTGCAGCAAGTCTATCCACCCGCTCTTGACTCCCTCTGCAGCAAGAATAGCATCCGTAACGTAGGCTACCGTTTCCCTAGAGACGTTTCCCCGGACATTCTTGTTCTTTCCCAGTGTGACATTCCCCTTGGGAGCCTCTGTCAATGTGCCAGGACGGAGGTCAATGCCTACTAAAGTCGGGCTCTGCTTGGATACTTCGTATAGGACCTCGTCGGCAGCGATCTTGGCTTGGTAGTAGGTCGCTAATACGCCAAAGTTGATATTCTTGTGGTAGTCTTCCCATTCGCTGGCGGTCCACCAAGGAGCTCCCTTGCGCCGGGAACCATTGTAGGAGATGAGGAGGAAGCGACTGATGGATGGTTTGGCTGCGGCTGCGTTGATGAAGTTGATTGCGGCGTCGCGGTCGATGCGGTATGTACCTTCAGCACCGTATTTACCTCCAGCACCTAGGAGAAATACATGTCAGAACCGTGAATAGCTGGGGGGAAAACAGAGAAGCCAAATCCGCATACCTGCGCTCCATGCGACATAGTCTGGGTTGACCTCGTCCAAGATGCTCGCTGCCTTCTCCTGGCTATCGACGTCTTCAATGCTTCGGACAAGCACGCTGAGCCTGCCTGGCAATCCGGCGCCGAGCTTTTCGACGGTGGGCACTTGTTCTTGTTTGCGGATTACGCTGGTGACGGTCCAGGCGCGCTTGAGCAGCAGTGGTGTGAGCAGCTGGGCGATTTTGCCGTGGCCACCGAGGATAAGGACGTGGTGTGGTGAAGCCATTCTAGGAGGATAATGGTTGCTCGTTCTATTGTAATGTACAAGTGACGATTTACGGCAAAAGGCAGTTGATTACAGTAACTGAAATGATCTACTAGAGCTGCAACTAGAAAGCAAACACATTACACACAGCTCCGGAAGCGCTGCTGAGCTTAAATAGAGGATGCACATGCGGAAGCACCACGGCTCGGATAGCTTCAGGAAGCTATCCGAATGGAATCACGCAAGGGAGGGGCATGACGACACTTTTGGGCGAGGGGGCGGGGCAGACGCAGCAGGGATTGTTAAAGCCGAATGAGGATATAGAAAGCTACTGGAAGGGGTCTGACATGGGCGGAGATAAAAGTCTGTTTTTAGATGCCGAGGTGTTAAAAAGATGATGTTGTTGACATGGTAGGGCAGATGAGGCAAAGTTTGATTTATAATGCTAGTGGTGAAATACAGGAGCAAGATGATGACTGAAAATTGATTGCTTGGCATCAGGATTGCTACATGTAGATACCTTAGACAAACGAAGGGAGATTGTCTAGGTTAGATCTTGACATTCCAGTCCAAGTCATCGCATCAAAGCGTCATATATGAGGTGGCAACGACAAACCTCTGCAGTGCAACAGCATTGAATCGGCTCCAGCATCACATTGAGCATGGCCCAACCGTCTTATGTCAGCAAGCAGCCTCTGATCTCAGCGGCATTCTGACAATGGAGCCGCTGATCGGCACTATCGAGAGTTTGAAGCTTGATTTTGTTTCTTTTGTGTAACCGTCAATCTCACGAGACACGCCGGATCTGCAGTTCCTCAGCGCTACAAACAGACACAGGATTTCTCCTCATTATTCGTATACTTTTTTCTTCATTATAAAAGAATCCAATCCACAGCTGCCTCTTTGGCAACATATTTCCCAGATTTCCATCGGGTGGGTGCTTTCTTTTACAGGGCTTCAGCTGCCCCTCATTCTCACCCTAGACTCGTTCTCTCTTTTTTCAAAATACGTACGTACATGACCTCCAGCTTCTACAGGGGCCTCAGTCGCGTCATGTCCAAGTCTGTTTGCATTGTCGGTTAGTTGCATGAGAAACCAAGAGCTCCGATTCAACGAGTCCCTTCTAACCGCTTCCAGGCGCCGGACCTTCTGGCCTTGTGGCGGCAAAGACGCTTCTTCACAATGCACCCAAGGGACACTTCAAAGTCAGCATCTTTGACAGCCAACCTGCCATTGGAGGGCTGTGGCCGACTTCAAAGACCGATTCAGGGCGTCTGGTCCATCCATTGATGGTTGCGAACCAGAGCAGACACACGGTTCAGTTCAGCGACTTGGCCTGGGAAGACGATGCGCCGCAATTTCCGCGCGCATGGCAGGTTGGCAAGTATCTGGAGCAGTATCAGAGCAGATACCTCAATGGCAACCCGGATTTTGAGCTCCAATTGAAGAGCCGTGTGGCAAAGGCAGAGAAGCGAAATGACGGTACAGAAGGCTGGAAGATACACATTCAATCGGGAGACAGCGAGGAGGCGAGGGATTTTGACTATTTGGTCATTGCCTCTGGATACTTTGGCAAGCCCATCATCCCTGAATGCTTCCAAAACGCAAAGACCTCGGTTCCAATCATTCACAGCAGCCAATACCGAGACCTGAAGGGGCTTTTGGGAGAGGGCAAGCAAAAGGGAGGCAAGATTCTCATTGTTGGAGGCCAAATGTCCGGCGTCGAGATTGCGGGCACCATCGCGAGCCATCTCTCATCCGCCATCAACTCTCTGGAGCAATCAGACATCACCGGAATCGACAAATACTCCATTTACCATGCAATCCAGCGCCCTATATGGGTGTTTCCTCTGTATACCACCCCCGAGGTAAGCTGGTTTTCTCCATAGTTCCTCTTGCAAAGTTACTCACCTGTATTAGCCTACATTTGCTGCAGCTCCCTTTGCGCCTTTAGATTTGGGCTCCTATAACATCAACAACCGGCCCAGACCACTGGAGAACACGCAGGGCCATATCAGCCAAGAACATGCAAATATGGTCCATACCATCTTTGAGTCGTCGCTCGGTGACCAAGAACAATTCTCCCCTCTAATGATGCCCAATGAGCAGGAGAGAGACCAACCGGCATACTTGGCCGTCAGTGACTGGTACAGCGAGTTCGTAAGATCTGGCATGATCACTTTATCGTTTGGCAAAGTTCTCTCTCTGGAGGGTGATCTTGTCACTTTGGATGATCATGGCGCTCAGATCGATGATATCGCTGCTGTGGTCCTTGCAACAGGCTTTGATCCCTCTCCCTGTGTCAATTTCCTGCCAAAGCAGATTCTCGAGACGCTTCAGCACTCTCCGCGACACTACAGCCAAGCACTCGCCTTGGCATTCCACGGTACCCATCACCCAGAGGTTCCAAATCTCGGGTTTGTTGGCTTCTACCGGTCCCCATATTGGGGCATCATGCAGATGCATGCCCGATTCATTGCTGATTTGTGGTCTGGCCAAACCGGCTCGAAATCAGAAGCCCTTGAGCGGAAACTTCAAACTGATGATTCTATCAAGCGAACACTTAACCTACGAGACGATCCTAGGCTTTCACAGTTCCCCATGGGCGATTACATGTACTTGATGCAAGAGTTTTCCGAAGCGCTTTCAATACCTATGCACGAATCTATTATGCCAAAGACTCCGACAACTTCCCGAAATAACCTTCCTCTCGATACGCTTACGCCTGCTCGATATCCCTCACCTAGCGATAGCCCCGAAGCAAAGGCCGAAGCCGAGAAATCCTTGAAACAGACTCGCGACATTGCTGTCGAATGCCTTACAACTCCTCGTTTCGTCGCGCGAGGCGTTTTTAGAAGTCTCCTTGGAACATGGAGGCTCGAACGAGACCTGAACAGTCGTCTTCCTTCCCACCCTAGCGGCAAGTTTGTCGGCACAGCTCAGTTTCTGCTCCGCGAACGAACTTCGGAGGGCCTCCAGTGCGTCTCTGACCCAAACAGCATTGACACCTGCGATGAGAATGGCGGCGGAGAGGATCTGGAATATCTGTACATTGAAGACGGCGAATTCAAAACATCGTCTGGTTTCGGATTCAAAGCGACTCGTCGATACATTTGGCGCTACGACTCAAAGAAGGACACCATCAGCGTTTGGTTCGCTAAGCCAGACGATCAAAAACGCGCAGACTACCTCTTCCACGAAATCGAGTTCGAGGCGCCGCCCTTGGATGATAACAAGAAACGCGAAAAGGGGGGCTGGGCGGCAAAGGCTGGACATCTTTGCATTGACGATTACTACAATGTCAAGTACAACTTTGCGTTTAAGGCTGTGAATTTGGAGAAATGGAGCATAGAGTACACTGTCAACGGTCCAAAGAAGGATTACACCATTCATGGCACGTATGAGCGGATCTGAGCGTTTCACATTTTTGCGCCGCAGCATACATGGACAAAGCTAGATACAAGTGCGAACATTTAATACACCACTATCGGATGATCAAATTTGCACTGCAAGACAACGTGTTTAACCTCCATGTCAACTCATTCGCAGCATCCCGAACACTTTGCATGGCCTGAGATCCTTCGTAGATGTGTGTTCCAACTTGTCGGTACTTGGGAAAAGCAGCCGGATACTTGGCGAGGGATTGAAGGCGACCTGTAGCTGTTCTACATAGTCATGTGGTGCTACATTGCCCAGACTTATGGCCATGCGTCATCTTCCTGTGAACGCTGGTGACCCAGGTTGTACATCACGATATCGAGAACAATGGGCAGTAAACAAGGATCTCAAAGAGCGCCAATGATCATCGTCTTTCTTGTTAGACTTGTGGGCAGCGCGTAGTTTGGGTGGCCATGAGATTGGCCATTTGGGCTTTTAAGTGGGTTCACGCTGGGCTACGTGTTGGGCTTTGAGCATGGAATGAAGGCTTTGGAGTGTCATTTCGGATTCCTGCAACTCTTTCACAGCAAAAGGAACATGCGCGTCTATTGGTTGGAATGGGAGTGCTGAAGAGATCCGGAAACGGAGATCTTTGTTGCGATTGGTGGATTGGCTACCTTTGGGAAATTTGAGATGGAACAAGATTCACGTGGCGGCAAGTTTTCCTTTGAATCGATAGAGAAATGCTCGAAGGAAAGGACGCAATTAACGCCGCAGTGCTGTGTGGGGTCCAAGCTGGAGGCCGGATCTGGTGAGAAGACATGATGTGTGAGATTTGATAGGTTGATGAGACAGAATGGACAAGATGCGAGATTACGACTGGTCTAAATAGCTTGTTGAAAGAATGGTTGGATTGATGAATGAACAGTAAAGGGGGCCTTTGTCTATGTTGTTCTCCATAATTGGGGCTTGGCCTGAACATTGATGGTTCAAGCCGTTTGGAGTGCACGTTGAAAGAGCATCGATGTATCCCAATTCGTTTATCTAGTTTTTTATAGGCCAATTAATAAGTACAAGTGGTCTGACGAATTCTTCCATTAAGAGGAGACTTCCACGCATGTGACCCATCCTTTGACGTTTCAAAGTGAACTCTGGATTATGGCAGAGCACGTGTTGAGCAACAAGCAAAAGAATTTAGAACAGGAACTAAAGGTATATATTTGCTCTCCAGCACCGCTAATTTTGAGAATTCCCCTGCCAAACATTATCAATGAGACAGTAGGCTCATAACTTTACTCTATGTATCAATTGTTTGATCGCCGCAAACCTCAAAAATAGCGTCGGCCATGTCAGCAGAAGCTCATGATGTCAACTCAAAAACCCGAGAGGCTCTCCTTAGCGAGCTGACAAGCACTTTGGGTCCATACGTTTATGAGGCGTCAGCTGTCCACAGATCCGGCGAGTATAACCGCGAGAAGTTGGAATACTATCACACCCCCATTTCCTGCCTGGCATTATTCGAGGGCCACGGAGACCCTTCGAGGAGAGCGGACGAGATCAAAAAAGCCACTGAACTGGAACTCGAAAACATAAAACTTTTTCACGAAAATATTGTTCAGCCATTGGTTCCGTGTTTTAAAAATTGGGCCAGTGAAAATTTTGACAATTTGGTCAGCCAACTCGGATTGTCAGAAATGTCCCAGTTGAGATGTACGAACCCCAATAGGTTCATAACGGAACTCTCTGTCGTGGAGAATGCCCGCGTTTACCGCGCATTTTATCGCTTTCAGTTTAGCTCCAACTTGTACCGCGTTATCAGAACACATACTCCACATGATATCTTGAACCAACAATCCCATATCGACAATTTCTTTAAAATGTTTGAGCGCTGGGAGATAGAAGAGGTATTGACCGTCAGTCGCTTTGCAATGCGTCGGTGTGCGGACTTTTTACCCAACGGGGTATCTTTTACGAACAGACTCCCGAATGCAATTTTTCTCGGCAACGGAATTCCAGTGACAAGAGAGGAGATCGACAAGGGCAACATCATGCGTGGCCTCGTTATTCTGAAACGCTTCTGCCTTGAAGGGAAACACGATGAAATAAGAAAGCTTGTTTCTGGGCTTAATAATGTTGTGGATAACCGGTGGCTTGGAAATGGCGAGGAAGCTCGTCGTAAGTTATTGATACCTAGTTTAACGTACTCTCAGGGTGGAGAGATCGATGACAAGGAATTGATCGGGCTTACCTCATTAAATCTGAGTGCTCATAGTAGTGAGGATTGGAAGTTCATGGAATTCCTGGAGAACCTCTATGATCCATATTATTTTAGGGTTCTGGGTTGTACAGAGGAGGCTAACCGATTCAAAGGCGACCGCATCCCCGACGATTTTACGAAAGACAAATTTCCTTCGTTTTCGTGGTGTCTTTCATGTAAAGCGAGACAATGGTCGTCCGATGAAACGGAGATATCCTCGTTGATTAATACGGGATATGTATTTTGGGACGAGACTAGGTTTGGGCCCGATGAAGTGGCTGCACTTTTGGGCCGTCGTCGGGGAAACGGTCGCCTTTGAATCGGGTAGCCCCATATGTAAAAATAGAAGGAATAATAATATTCTCTGTCGAACTGTCTGTTCATTTCCTACTCATACAGGATCACTCTCAAATATAAAGGTGGTGTACGGGGCCCTCCTTGATATTCCTCCCCCTTGCCTAGAACGAAGCGTAATTGGAATAGGTTGCTCCTCTGAATGGATTTTATTGATCAAATTAAATATTACTAGATTAGTTCTGAGGATAATGGGCGCGATAGTGCGCTGGAATGAATTTGTGATAATTTGAGTACATATGATATTTTCATTGTCTGTCGAGCGTATATATTCTCTTCTCATAAGATTGCAACATTAAATATGAGGTATATGTGTATGCGGTACGGCCAGCGACCCAGCGCAACGTCTCCAGCAGCAGCCGTTAATTTATTGAGATGGTGTAGACCCATCTGTACACAACAAGGGCAAGTAGAGCGAGCAATACCTACCGCAACTCGATGGAGAACTTAGTTTTGAGATACTGACTGACTGGTCTATTGAAAGAGTGATTAGATGGATGAATGAACAATAAGGGGCCCTTTGTTCATCTCCGTAACCGGCGCTTGGCTTAGATGTTGATAGTTTAAGCCAATTGGAGTGTATGATGAAAGAATTTTAATGTTTCTTCATCCGGACATCTAGTTTTAAATTGGTCAAGGATTGATCACAAGTGGTTATAGGGAATCTTTCTTTGAGAGAAGACTTCGACCATGTGACCTACCCTTTGATGGCTTAAATGGAAATCTGGATTATGATAGAGCATGCAATGAGCAAATAGCAGATGAGCAATTTTGTACGTGATAGCTAATGGAAGTGATGGTATACAAAGGCATATATATTTGTTCTTTTCCATCGCTTGTTCTAGGGACCCTTCTTCTGCGAAGCATCATTGATTCGACAGCTGAGTTCAGCTCCGCTCTATACACACCTACCTGTTTGATCATTGCTCATCTTTGTCCAAGCATTAGCTATGTCGGCGACAGCACCCAAAGCGACTCACAAAAAACCTTTTGACACTTTATTAAAAGATTTAGGTGGGGAGGGTTTGTACGAGGCGGTAATCGTCTATAAGGCCGGTAAATATAATCTGGAGCACTGGGAGAGCCAGAGATTATTCAACAATCGCCGAATTTATTTCGAACGTGCGCGCGTATTTAACGAGATCAATGAAACCCAACTCAAGGAAATGATGTGTTTTCACAGGGAAATCGTTCAGCCATTGGTCCAGAGTTTCCTGAATTCAGGTATCAAGGGCCTCGACGAATGGGAATCTCCACCGTATCGGCGTTATACCAAAGAGGCTGGTCCCACCTCTGATAAGGAGACGCCTTACCCAGCCCCTGACGAGCAAATACGCCGCTTGTATATGGCATTTTATCGCTACGAGTACGCATGCAGAATATTCCCCCAGTATATCTCCAATAAGAGCGGCCCTATGGGTGACTGTCACGTTACAGCCATGAGAGCCATGATTCTCGAGTTCCTTAGGGCGTTTACACTGGAGGAGAAGCGAGATCTTAAGAAAGTCACTGACTGGGTGACGAATTTATATCGCGAACTTATGAAAAAAGCAAGGAAAGCACACGAAGAAGACTCGAACCCGGAAAAGGGTGCAGCAGTGTTCGGTAAGTCGAAAATGATGTTCTCACCTTTCTATCAATTCATTCTCACCAGTAAAATCCCAGTAAGAGACAATTATCTTGAACTCGATCTCATCATGCGTGGTCTCGCTTATTTGAACGGCTGCCTTCCCCAAGAGAAATTCGACATGAAAAAGATGAGAGAGATTCAATGCCACTATGATAAACTTGCGGACTCTTGGGGGTCTAGCTACCTGACTTTCCTGGAGGACGCCTATGATTTCGCATCTGATTTCACAGAATGGAGACCCATGACTTCGGAACAGCCTTATTGATATTACCTGCCCCTTGGTGTTCAGTGGAGGCTGCATTTCAACTGGTTCACGGGGAAGAATGTTTCCTTCGCTTTCGTGACTACTCCGGTGGAAGAACTACACGCGAGTGATTTTGGGTAAAATTTGTCACTCTCTAGTTTATAGCATGCACGAGATATATTTTGGGGCGAGGCTCAATTTGGGTACTCCAGAGTGGTTGCATTTATTCCCAATCTTGATGAGAATGGAGGTGGTAGTCCGGTAGAACAAATGTGCGATATTTACGTGCGGATTATATTTTTGTTTTTGTAAATCAATTTACTATGTTCCCTCGCTATGCAGTTGTGACATTAAACATTATGTTCGTGTAATTGTATCCGGTATAGTCAGTGATCCAGCGATCCAGCGCAACATCTCCGCCAGCCCGCAGTTAATTTAACAAGATTGTGCAAACCCAGCTGCACAAAGCAACAAGCAAAGCCAGCAGCACCCACCGCAGCTCGATTGTGAATTTTGTTTCTAGCCATCGTTGCCATGCCTTCATGCGTCGTCGACGATTGGGACAAGTTGGTGTTCCGTAGATTATGCATCCCAAGCCAGGCCGTGATTCGCATTCAATGTGTTCTCGTCGGCGCTTCATCAGTAGCCTGTTTCAGATCAACATCTGCTTATAAATACGGCAGCGATTCAATGGTGAAATGAGTGTGACTTACGCTACACTGCCTCTGCAGAACCGCAAATCAGTGCCCAAATCACAGCGCTTGTTGTTTGGACATTCTAGGTGAAGACGGCGGCGCTCAACGAGCCACTCCACTTTCAGGTTGATACCGGTATCGACGAAGCTGTGGAAATACCGGTTGGTGTATTTGAGAGAGAGTGCATCGGGATATATCAGCAGTTTTGAGATTTGTAGATGGATTTCTGTGGGCAAGCTGAGGAATGAAGCCCGCGGCTCGTGTTTGCTTTTCATCATGTCGGTTTCCATTTCCGGGTCGCCGCGGTCAATGTCGGAGCTGCAATTCGTGATGGTGGAGCTCATTGCGGAAGAGTCGGAGGAGAAAGGAAGAATTTTACCAGCGTTATTATTTTTTCGTTTTAGAAGGAATGAGGAATAGAGCAAGATCGGGAGAGATTGAATGTAAATGTATATTGTTTGCCTTTAATAAACTGAATCATCTTTGTTTTGTTTTTGTACACGATGGCTGCCTCCACCATAAAGTATTATTAGTGAATGCCTTGGTCTAAGCCAGGGCGGCACGCCACCAAAACTAAGAGACAAGAACTAATAATGCCAGGCCCCAAAATACGAGCCGCCTCAGGTGACGGCAGCCGAAACAACGGATCGCTGATCGGGCTGTGCAGGACGCGAAACAACTGCACAAGGTCAAACGTGTTCAAACCTGCAAGGCAGCACCATTTGCAAGGGCTTGGGTGGCTGGCATCGAGCCCTTTAGTGGAGGCGTTGCTCAATTTGACACTTGCTGCCGCTAGGTCAGGCAGCGATCGAGACTTGCGGGTGCCTGTTGATCCCTGTAGCTGCTCAAGTGATGGCTGTAGATCCCGTGAGGTATGATTTGTTTACATGGATGTGGTGTGATTGATTGGCTTGAAGTCACGATTCAACTCGGCTACTACGGAGGGGGAAAACGTGGCTTCGTGCTAGATGATCTGGCTGCTTTTAGCACCAGGCACACAAAGTAACCAGGTCGACTCGACTTCAATAGATGCGTGGAATGGCCCTATGGAGGACTCGTAGGTCCTGTTGATATGATAGACGCTTAGGGACTCATCTCCGCTAGCTGCGGCTGAATACCCACGCCACATGGCAGGACACAATGCTTGCCATTTCTATTTTTGCAACAAGTTTGCGACCCAAACTGACCCGAGAAATATCGTATTCACTATAAACACTCGAGTTAACAAAAGTGTAGACATAATATTTCGAGCCCTGCATGAGAGAATCCCATCAAACTATTGGCGTCCATTACAGAGAACCATCTCACCTACACCTCCCCATTGCCACTACTGTGCTTCAAAAGAGTCAAGCTATTGAGAGTTTCCTCTCTTTCCAAGGGAGGAATCCCGTCCCGTTGCTGTTCGTTTCCATCATCGCCCTCATTATTGTGTGGCTGTTTTCTCGACTTGGACCTTCTTTGATGCGCAGCTCGTCGAGGCTTCTTGGTAGTAGGCAGACAGGTCACATCACACGTATACATCTTATCCCCTCCCCCATCGCCTCCTCCATCAACTGGTAGTCGCGAATTGTTATTTTTCGGACATTGAGATTGCTGGATCACCCAATCACGGATTTCATCGCCTTTATACCCGTAAATGCATGCCATTGTCAGCACGAAGATGGTGACTGGTATTCCGGTAGCCCAAAAAAGTCCCTGCTTGTGATTCATATTTCTCACATCAGCTGTGTTCATGCCCATGAAGCTCGACACAAATGATAGAGGTAGGAAAAATAGCGTTACAATTGTAAACACTCTGATGGCTTTTCCATGATCTTCCTCCATTATCTCAATTGTCTGCTTCACTTGTTCCTTTAAAAATCTCGATCTTGTCTTCATATTCTGTATCTCTTGTGTTCGTATGTCAAGCTGCTGGGTGTGGTTGTCTTTGTACGCACTTTCGACTTTACCTTGAGCAACTCGTGTCATGGTAGTAAGTCGGAGCGTATCGGGAGATATGGATTTGGCGAATTTACGCAGGCAATCTCTTTGGTGGCTCAGCAGAGTGTCCAAAGCGTCAAGCTCTTCTTCGAGATCGCGAATATCCAGAAAGACTCGTTTTTGAGGGCGCTGATTGGCCTGCAAGTGAAGCTCGGAGGTATAATGCTTATACAACTCCAAAGTGTTCTCGTTGTGGTGTGAAGTCGAGGCCTTGGGCTCGAACAGCAGATTATGGCCCTTGCAAATGAAAGCCAGGGCCAATAATTCGGCTCCAACTCTCTGAAGCTGGGGCCTCCCCGTGTCACTAGAGGTATTGCCGGATAGAAAGATATCTCTTTTAGCGTCGTCCAGTAACTCCAATATTCTTTTTTGAGCACTTTCCTCAAATCGTTTCAACTCGTTGATCTTGGCCGAAATCTCCGATAGTTCAACTCCAGAAGATCTTTTGCTTCTCGTCATAAACGAGAGTGTTTTTGAGCGAAGGACAAACACTTGGACAATCTTTTGGAACACATGAAGTATCTCTTTCGGTAAAGGCGGTCTTACTGCCAAATCACCCATTGATTCATCTTCCCTAGATGTCACCATGGCATGTAGTTCATTGATATGGGCTAAAATTCCGGAGAGCTCTTTTACAAACTCTTGTACGTTGCGAAGCAGGTCATTACGTTCGTTTCGAACAGGATAATTCGAATGCCAAATGCGATGTAGCCATGCATAGCATGGATCATCGTATGGTCTTTGGCATTTGTGGTGACATTCGAGATGTTCATCGTGTAGATGGTCCAGTGCCTCTTTCGCTGAAGAGTAATGCTTCCCACCTTTACAGGCCGCGCACTTAGACAAAAGAGTCTTTTGGGAGTTTGGAGAATGTTTTCTGCCTGCTCTTTGAAGAATGGCAGAAAAATCGCGAATGATATAAGTTGGCACATCATGCGGTTCACGCTCACTTTCCTCCCACATGAGTTGCTATGCATTGATTTTGTTAATAATTATGAAGCGTATCATGAGAAAGTATAGTCTTACCAGGCGTATTATATCCAGGCAACCCCAGAAGCGTTTTAAAAGAGTATGCACGGTGGAACTTCCCGTCTTTGGTGTAAAGGACCGCAAAATCTGTCGGCTAATCTCGACGAGTTGTTCCATAAGCTCCTTGTCGGGGCTCAAAATTCCCAACGATCGCACTTGATTCAATGCTATATCGTCTCGTACCGTAGAGGAATTCTTCCTTTCTGGTCCAGTATTGTTCTGCTTGACTCCTTCCGTGGGGTTTAGCTGTTCTTGGTGCATTTGGACGTTTTTGTTAACTTGGACAGTATTGGGTGCGCTATTCACTGAACCTTGGCCTTTTACTGAGTTATCGACTGTCATCGGACCGGTATGCTGATGAGTAGGGCGCTCTCTCTTAATACTGAGATCGCCAGGTGAGGATCCGTTCGAAACGTCTTGTCTATACAGGAAATCCTCCTCTGTGAGTTCAGGAATTTTCCCATAATAGTAAATCCCTAATTGGCTAGTAGAAATAGCCTTGTCTGCTTCATTAAGAAGTTTGATCATGTCTGCCTCCTTCGCACTTCGCAATGTGGTGGAGCTCATTGGAATGCAAGGCCCCCATAAGAAAAATGGAACGGTTCTTGAAATTCTCGATTCCTGAAGCTTAACGGTATTTTGTTTGTCGTTTGTCCAGTCTCTCATACTATTAGTTGGTGCCTGTTTAGCAAAAACATCTCGCTTCTCATGGTGTGAATGAGGTTCGGCACCCCACATTCTGTTACCAGTATTTGGTGCATTTCCCTGGTCTACCTTTTTGCCATTATTTGCGAAATCCCGTCTTCGGGGATATTCGGCGGTGGCATTGGCGATAATGCTTGATTCCAATGATTGATGTCGGGGGCCACCGCGTTGATGTGCATAGTAAAACAGCGTATCGTCGCGATTAGAGTATACGTATCCCGCATCTTCCTTTGAGAATTGGTTTGAGATGAGAGAAGACGTCGATGCCTGGCTTTGGCGATGCTTATTGTTGAACTGTTGTTTGGGAAAAATTTCTCTGCTTGCAGCACGGTCATCCTCTTGTACCTAAGATATGTAAGCCAAGCTTCGTTAAGAGCGGAGGGGCAACAGCTTACAGAAGAGAAGGTTTCAACTGATATTTCGGAACCTGGCTCAACTTGTATGCTCCGTGTTCTCCCGATATTCTGTTGAGATTTATTCGTCTCTGTCAGATCAATTATTTCGTCAATATCTGATGTATTACTTGTAACATCGTCTTTGGAATAGGCCGGATTCGCAACGTAAGAAGGCTGGGGCGATTCTCTGTTATTTGGAGAGATGTTGATGCCCAGTGGTGTTTTTATACCGTCATCTATAATCACTTCTTTCTTTTGTAATGTTGATGTGTCCTGCAGAAGATCTCCACTAGTAGGGCAAATATCTCCCGATTCTTGGGGATCTGGAGACGACATAATGATACCAGGTCCATCCTGACCTAGCAATGTTGGGCTGGAAACGACGTTTATTGAACCTTGATCTTTCGGTGGGTGAATATTAGATCCTCTCCTGGAATAAGTCACAGAGCCGAAAGATGTGCCACTGCGTCGGTCCCTTGTTGGAGACTTATCCGTTGTGCCAGAAGTATCGGGACGGCCATTCTCCAGTAAACGCATATGCATCAATTTATCCGAATTGCTCAATCTCCGAGTGAGATAGAAAGTATAGCACTTGAGTTTCTGTGAGTTTGGTGATTTTGCAATCTCAATCCACCTTTCAGCAGTCAAGATCACCCTCTTATCATCTCTCAAATCATAGTCGTGATAACTGGTTTTCTCTTTATGAACGGCGTCCATAGTAATGTTGAAAAGGTCAACCCACGTCGTGTTGGATGAGATGGCAATATCATAATATTTATTGCTATCGCCATCAATGATCTTAATTTTGATCGGCGTTTCATGGCTCAAGATTCTTTTTCCAATTGTTCCGTCCAGAAGCTCTCTCGTTGTATGATCCGACATGGTGATCAAGATGGTGGAGCCAATCAGAAGACACCACATCTGGTTCACATGAAACACATCATCCAAATGTGAACCGTCGCCTATTTTTCGAACAATTTGAGTTCCATCGCGATTTGGAATAATATCAAATCCATAGAGATTCTGCAAAAGTGTGCGAGGACGGTGGTCATCCTTTTTAGCCGAGTTTCGGTGTGCGCTCAAAGGACCCAACCTCAGGTATGGCGAGGCACCAAAAACAACGGGAATGGTTGGTCGATACTTTTGTGAAAGGGAACCAGAGCTTGGCTTAGGGTAAATACCGACACCCCTTAACACAGCGCCGGGCTCGATATAAGGCCCAGTTTCAGAGTGTCGTACGAACTTTTCTCCAACTTTCTTCATAAGTGTCATGGTAACAGCTCTTACATCGTCGCCAATCAAGTGGCATTCCATAATGTGTTTCTGTATCATTATTAGTAATGGCCGCTTATGTCGCCAGTTTGCATCTTACCACCATAACATTAAGATTCATCGTGGGACCCTGCAGATGACTAAATATTAAATTTATTAGTGCATATCAGAATATTCGGAGAGTGTATTTCTTACAGCCATTTTACTTCCATCGGATTGCGAGTTTCATTGTTCTTCGGTGGCCCCGAAGTCAAAATCTCCCCTTGTCCTACATCGTTGACAGAATATTCCAAATTCTCAAACGACTGAAGGTGCGTTGCAAACCCATGAATAGCGGCATCTCCCTCTTTCCAGTAAGGGGGGTGAGAAACACTATTGGTTGAGTCTCTGGATTCTCTGTCGTTTAATAGATGTATGTTCATTGAAAGGCCCTCATTTTCGACATCTAGGGCCAAGTGGCCTTGATAGAATGTTTCAGTGGATTGTCCATTGGCATCATTCGACTGTAAGAAGACATTGAGGTTATCGTCAAAAGGCGACAACGACCGCGGCGTTTCGTCGAGAGGATCGGCGGGCGTACGTTGACCGTGACCCGGGGCTCCTCCTCCAGAATCAAAACGATATTCCCCGCTGTCATCCTCGGTATTCTGTACATGTCGCATATTTTCGTTTTCCTGCTGTAAAAAAATGCTGTCTGGGCTATTGACACGATTTTCCTCGCTCGGAGCAGGCTCAAAATCGTGATTTTTCATAGTTTGCGTATAAATGTCGTTAGCAGAGCGATGTTCCATGTTGTGGACGATTTGATGCGTTTATCATACAACAAGTGTCAAAAGATTTGTAAAGAGTAATACAGTATCTCGAATACGAAGCAAACTTGCTCATCGCATACATCATGGAGAGCGGAAACTACGATATATTTATACTAAGATGAAACCACGCGGAGAAGTAAGATTACGTCGATATCTCATCGTGTTGATAATGCAACCATGGAGCTATGCAGTACCATTAAGGAAGGCTACATGAGCTGAGAAGGAGCCGAACAGTCTGACCAATCGTTACGAGCCGGGTACATCCCATGCTCGTGTATCTAGAGAAGGCTGGCCGGGGTTCGTGTATGTACAGTAATCCAGGTGCATGGTGTGGCTGGAAATGCCATAAGCACACAAGATTCGCCAACTACGACTTCCGAGATACTCTGAGCAAAAATTCAGGGTATTGTACAGCCTCAGTGGCGACTGTGTTGGGCGGGGAAGACAGTTGCATTTCTGCAATGCAGGCCATCTGTTTGAACGCAAGTGAATCAGGCTGTGCTCTGTACAGTGCATGGTAGCCCACACACCGACTTTTAGGCACTTTTCGTTATTCTTTCCTATTGGATGCGTTGCCACTGATATATGATATCGGTAAAGCTATTGGTCACTGTCACGGTGCAGGGAGGTTCGTCCACTTTTTCCCACAGAAGCCGGTCAAATAGCATTCTACCTGAACCTTGAAGCTGAATGGCATTGCATTCGGCGCTATGCAGGATTTTATTTATATGTCTCTGGTGGCAATCCATAGGTCAGTCATATCTGATGTGCGAAAAGAGGTATGTTTGATGAGCTCACTGCCATATAAGGCTGAGGAGGCGACTTTTTACCCCAAAAGAGCTTTCATGAAGCTAACGCAAAGATAAATCCATTCGGCTAGGAGAAATTCTACCGAAATAAGGTCCGGAGTGACATCAGAGCTCATCGGTGCAACGGTTTACTTGCCAACGGTCGACGCAATTGCGCGGCTCTTTTTGAGGCGGCCTCTAGTCTTGTTCCGTGGCTATGCGGAGTCTACATCCACGTCCTTTTGTGGAGATTCAGAGCGCCACTTTCAATGTGAAACTATTGGGCCGTTGTGAAGTGACAAGTCAAATTTCGTCTCGCGCCACACGTAATTTAGTGCACTTACACTCTTCTCTATCACCGCTTAACAACGCTCCATCCTTTTGTTCCTCGAGATGCTCCTCAGGCCGGCTGTGGCGAGCCTCAGCGGAAGGTAATTGCTCTACTTTGGAGTCGTGTTATTATCTAGAGAAAGAACGCGAGTTACACCGCAGCAATGCCTCGAAAGGTGTGTCTTCCGTCTCTACCCAGGCCAACCTGTTCTAGTCAAGTTAATTCCGCTTTCAGTTCATCACGCAAGAGGTCAAAGACCAGAATCGTGAGAGCCAACGGCGATCGCGAGCCCGTCGCACTGAGTTGATCAATGATCTCAAGAAGCAAGTACAAGATTATCAGCGGCAAGGCGCATCCGCGTCTTTGGAAATGCAGAGAATGGCTCAAGCAGTTACATTTGAGAACCAGCGTTTACGAAGCTTGCTCAGCGCTCATGGCGTATCGCAGGAAGAGATCCACCGATATATCTCATCTCCTCCAGCTCTTTCGCCTGAATCACCCGGTGGTTTTCGTGAATCCGGTACTTTGAAGTGCAAGACATGCGGGAGCACATCCATGATATTAGAGAATCCACCTGCGGTATTGTTACCACGACAGCATCAAAATTATCAAACCCCGCCACAAATTGCGGCTAATTATGCCCTGCCTTCACCTTCTGCATCATGCGAAACTATTGAGCGTTCAAAAGTGGAAAATAACATCGACATGGTGGTTGATCCACCATTATTTACTCTTCCACCAGCGGCAACCCAAACTGTTCCCAGTGAGCCTTGCATTGGAAATACCCAAGAAAGGGTAAAGCCGCAGCCACCACAATCTCAAGAAGGCAATAAATCTCAATGCTGTGGATCTCGCTCAAATGAAAACGACCACAAATGTAGCGAAAAGTCCTCGGATGTTAAACCCAATCTCACGACAACACATCCTCTTCCAAAGCATATAGCACCCGAAGCTACTAGCCCTACCGACTCTATGGAAACATCCTGCGATACAGCAGCATCTATTCTCGTGGATCTTCATCACCACATGGATACTGAACAGGCTCGTGCTGCCCTTGGTTGCAGAGGATCAGAGAGCTGCAACGTCAGCAACATCAAGATCTTTCAGCTCTTGGAGAAAATCGACTAGTTCATTCGTCTCTCTACTGGATCATTAAAATTCATCAACTCAGAATACCATATCCGATTTATTTCCAGCCCCATCTATTAGCAACCCATCGAAGAGCATATACCAAACCTAGCAAAACGGGCACTTCAATCAAAGGCCCGACAGTGGATGCCAACGCTTCATCGCTGTCCGGACCAAATGTCGCAACGGCTACGGCAATGGCCAACTCAAAGTTATTACTTGCCGCTGTGAAACTTTGCGTGACAAGAAACTGGTATTCAAACCCAAGCACCCGACAAATTCCCACGGTGGTGAAAAAGACAATCGCGAAGTATACCACAAGTGGAGCGGCGACACGAAGGACTGAAACAATCTGATGCACCACTTGATGGCCTTGGGCAGCAAATAATACAAGAATGGTGTATAAAAGTCCAATAAGAGACCACGGCGAGACGAAGCGGATGAATACACGGTCATACCAGGCTGACCCTGCGATGAATCGGAGACCGAACCTCGTTATTATGGCTGCGCCTAGGGGAATGCCTAGAAACGCTGCCACACTCGTTGCGACGACGGAGTACGGGATAGGAACGATGTCATTCTCATCGCTGATGACATTAAGGAAGAAGATGGCAAGCGGCGCAAAGAGAACTATCTGCAGTATGGAGTTGACTGCGACCAGGATGGCGCAATAATCGTTGTTGCCACCGGCTAGGGCATTCCAGATTAAGACCTTGTTGCGTTGTCAGCATGTGATGATAATACGATTTCACCAAAGTGACCGTCGAAAACATACCATGGCGATGCATCTGCCGAGGCCGACGAGTATAAGACCAATGCGGAGGTGGCTCTTGTCTGGAAGGAATGCCCAAGAAAGCCCAAGCTATGGAGTTCTACCGTTAGCGGTTTTAAGAACAAAACTGACGAAAATCAGTATCTCACCATTAGAAAAGGAGCTATAATCCAATTCACGACGATGCTGAAGCCGATTTGTTTCCATAGCTCCTTTTTAGTCAGGAGTTTGTGAAGCGATTCATACTGGACCTTGCACAGAATAGGATACATCATCACCAACAATCCAATGGCTAATAAATGTTATTGAACAAATCATTAAACTCTCTCAATGTTGACCAACTTGCCTATTGGGACAGATACTCCAACGAATGTACCCCTTTCCAGAGCTGGTGACATTGATGGAACAAAGTTACCAAGGATAATTCCCACAGCCATGGCTAAGAAGATCCATACTGCCAGAAGGCGATCTAGCAGGCCTAAAGATGCGAACGCAGACAGATTGCGCTTCTGTTGTGCATTATTGCTATCGATATGATGCGCATGATCGCTACCCGTTTGCTGAGCTTCTATGTCGGTCGATGGTTTTTCTTGTGCTATTTCTGGCTCTGAAGCCTCTTGTGCTTCAGCTGCTTTAGGCTCGGACATGACCGGGGTGCGTGGATGCGAGCTTTTTGGGAAATGTCGAGGTTGATAATGATGAAGCAGATTGTGGTCAAATGTAAGAACTAAATCGCGAAGTGCTGTGAATTTATTTGGACACTCCAACGGCCAAGAGAAGGTTCAGACCATAGAAGCATATGAACAATGACTTCAACTGTTCCCTTTAACAGCAATACCACCGAGGCGGATTGAAAAAAAAATGGGCCATTGCGAAGACTCGACCAATGGGATGAAGGGCATGACACACTCCCGACTCTTGAAATACTAGCATTCAGCTAGGAGATTGAAACTCATTCGTCTTCGAATTATGTTGCCAGGTTTAAAAAAATCACACACATATACACAGATGTAAGATGGAGCAGATTTAGCATTAATAATTATTTCAGAACTGCATGACGACTTAAGTACCAAGAAAGTGACGAAACTTAAACTATTAATCAATCTATCAGGCATGTCGCATGTTAAAAAACAGGAAGAGGTCAAACGTCTCAAATTACATGAAGAGATACATCATAGCTCCAACTTGGAAGCTCATCAGAGAAGCCCAGCTCAATGCAATAGCTTTTCCAGCACCGTTTCCCTTGCCGTCCCCAGAACCAGAGCCCGATCCCGAACCAGATGGTGTCCCATTGTTGGTGATATTAGCCGGAGGATTCGACAGCCCAGTGCTGTTGGCAACATCTTTGTACTCAATGCCTCCAACCCATACCTTGGCAATATCCCTTGTGTTGGAGATGTTGGTCAATGGGTTGCTGTTGAGCAGAATCAGGTCAGCCCTCATGCCAGGTGCAATCCTTCCTCGATCAGTCAGCTTGTGGTGCTGGGCGGCGAGGTCAGTTGCTGCTCGAAGGGCCTCCACTGTGGTTAGTCCTGCTTCAACAAGGTTCTCCAGTTCAAAATGCAGCGTCAGTCCGAATGGCACGGAGATGTTGGCGTTGATAACCCCGACGGCATCAGTGCCTGCCAAGATGGGGATGCCGGCAGCGTGAATAGCCTTGACATTCTCGTACACGTTCTCGTAGCTGTCTGGCCCACCGATTTGGTGACCGGTAAATGTCAACAATACAGGATTGGAAAAGGCATATCGAGCAATATTCATAGTCGGGGTGCTCCAAGTGTTGGGAGACCTGCGGACCGTCAGAATATTGGAGGCGTTGATACGTCCGTTCGTGGGGATATGTTGGATGCCGTCCGTGCCCGAGATGGCGGCTTGTGCCCAGGCATTAAGGTCAGCAGCATGTGTCATGGACTGCTTGCCAAGGTTGTGGACAGCCTCAACTAGAGAGTTTTGCAAACTCTGGCTAGGGCCATTGGTCTCAGCCGTGATCTTATAAAAGTCGGAACCGTTGCCGAAAGTGTAAGAAACAACTTCAGTGGCATTCGCGTCGGGATAAATGAGATACGGCGCAGAGAGATTGAAAGTTCGAGAGTGCTGGCTGCCAGGTCCGGTGGCAGGAATACCGGCCGAGACAAACGATGCTACACCTTCCAAGTTGCGAAGCGGTGCACATTGTGTGTAGTTTCGACAAGACATGACCATAGCGGTAGTGACGCCATATGAAGTCAGAGTCTCTAGGCCAGCAACATCGGAAATGTGGACGTGGCAGTCGATCAAGCCAGGAATCAAAACACCGCCGTTACCATCGACTGTGGTCTCAATGTTGCTGGTGTCGTTGCTGATATTCTCTCCATCGATGATGATGGTTTGGAGACCAGTGAGTTTGGTACCATCAAAAACTCGGACGTTCTTGATAGCTGTCTTAGTTCTTGGAGCAGGTTCTTGTCTGCGGACCATGTCTTTGGGGTCTGGAGTCCGCTCTTGCAGCAGATGCTCAACGCACGCCAAGGCGCCTTGTGACAGCACTGCGCCCAGCGTGAGAAGTTGAACTGGCTTCATTTTGGGCTATAAGGTGAATAAAGCAATAGAAAGAAAGAGAAAATATCAATTCAATAGGTGTAAAGAGCGTCTAGAAGTGTAAATTTGCGCTCTTCCGCCGTGAAGCTTGTCTTGAATCTATAATAGTATAGGCAAGAGGGATATCTCAAATTTATATGCTCTATCACTGTTTTCTCGACGTCACCCTGCTTGTTCCCATTTGCAACCCAACTCTGCCACATGGACAATTTTCATCGTGCATTTTCGTACACTAAGCTACTACCAGATACAACAGAGAAACATGCAGGGCTTTTTCATATTCCTTAGGGCTGATGCATTAATCAAACATGAAGCAGTGCCTGGGATCAATCAGCCCATGGGGCTGTGGCAGGATTGAACGAGCAAAGCTTGGACATTCTAATCAAACAGATCTGGCACGTATTCAGTCAAGCGTACGAAGGCAATCTCAGTTAATTGGGCTTCCTTGTGAAAGGGTCGCGTTGTTGCAGAAAGATGCATATTGTGATGCATGGACAAGCCCATGTCTGATTGGACAGGACAGCGCTGCTCATCAGGATGCTAGGCTAGCAGGGGTCAGACTCGTACACTAAGTCAGAGAGGGATAGCTCAGGGGAGCCATTGACAGGCATTTGCTATCAATTCCGGGGCAGATCTCGAGCTGCTATTCTCGTGTAGCCTCGTGGACTGCGCTAGAGTGGCGTAACTCTGACATGCACTTCGCCTGTGCGCCTCCTCTGACTTTGCCTCATCGCCCACAACGGCCTCCAGCGGTCTGTTGTCTCCATCTCGGTTTGCAAATTCCATCCCCCATGCCCCATAAATGCAACGGCCTGAGCGCCACTTGAATGCGGAGCAAGCCAGAAAGACCAAACGAGAATAATCAAACGCAGCCCTCGTTTGCACAAAAAGGTGCCAAAGATGGCTGGTGGCTCGCGAACATTCCACCACAAGTCCAGAAATGGCTGTAGCCGCTGCAAGAAGCGGCGTGTCAGGGTCCGTATGCCTGCTATCCCGTCCGTAACTCTTGGCAGTCATGCTTATACATACGCAACGTCTGTAGTGTAATCTGCAAGCCCCGAGTTGCGCCAACTGTACGAGGCGTGGCGAGCTTTGTGACTATCGATTTCTCGGCAGAGACAGCCCGCAGATGCCATCGTCTAGTCATGCTGCATATATGAAAAGAAGAAGACACCACTCGGGTGGCTCCTCATCCCCGGAGGCGCCACTAGGGCCCGTGCTATCCTCCATGCCTCCCGCTTCCCACCATCAGTCAGGCGTCAATGCTGAGCCTATAAGAGGCGCATCTCAACCTACCATTGATGACCTGGCCCTGTGTCTACTTCGAGACGACGAGAGTCATCTAATATCCAATGAGCTCGTCGACCAAGCAGACGCGAGTGAATTCCTTGAGCACAACATGGCTGTCATCTCAGCACTTCACGACAAGTCCACCGATCCGCTACTCCAGCCAAATGGCAACAATACCAAATCAGATCTAGTTGCGTATCAGCATCAAATTGCAGCGTCTAGCAAGTTCCGCAAGTCAGTAGGCGCCATCAGCGACCGTAACTGGTTCACCGTCCTCATCTTTGCCATCTCGGTCCTCATCTTCCACTTCGACATCCACAGAAGAGCAAAGCGCGGGCTTGCAGACGATGAATTCCTAGAACCCCTCATGGCTCTACGTGGAGCCGCGCTTCTGGGTATGGAGTTGGGGCCGTGGCTCTTGAAGAGCAAATTGCTCGCCGCTGCGAGACGGCGCCTTGCGGCTGAAAACCCGCCCTGGGATGACCTTGCCGAACAGGCTATTTCAAACCTCGAGCTACTAAACGAGACGGCGTCACCACTTCGAAGCCGCGCTATCTGCAAAGATGCCCTGAACAAGCTACAGTTCTGGCTTCGACTTACGCAATCTAAGCCGCGCACATGGCTCCACTTCGTGTGGTGGCCGGGGGCCGTCGATCAAGAATATCTGGATCTGCTGGGGGCAAGAGATCCAATGGCGCTGGTGATTCTGGTGCACTGGTGTGCAGTGATGAAGTCTTCGCCGAGAAAGTGGTTCATGGAGGGATGGGCCGAGAATGTTGCCCGACCGGCGATTGCGCAGATTGGACCTGAATGGAACGATACTTTGGAGTGGCCATTATCGAGGATAAAACCGGGTGGTAGTAGATGATTTAATGGCGGTTTGAGAGAACTTGTTTTAATATTATTGACTTGTTATTAACCCCATGTTGCAATCGCAATGAGAGCGTTAAAAATGCGCATGTTTCATATAAAAAAAAATTGAGGACTTGAGAAAATGCATGTATTGTATTCAAGTTACACTGTTCCCTCCTGTCCCCAGCTTGTTGGTTCATCGCTCATCTCAAACTCAATCCTGCTCGCCTTTACAATCTGCCCATGCTTCAACGTTGGCCTGTGAACCTTTTCGCCGTCGACCTTTAAACTCTTCACATATGCCTTGCCATCAGAACCCGCTCCTGGCGCCGAGATGACCAGTGTGTGGTCTTTTCCATCATCACCAGGACCAGAAGGCAGCAGAATCTCTACCTCATCAAAGAATGGTGTTGCGACCACATACTCATCACTCGCTGGATTCACGGGATAGAACCCGAGTGCCGACAAGACATACCAGGCGCTCATCTGCCCCAAATCTTCGTTGCCGCTCAGCCCTGAGGCCGTGGCGTTGTAATTCTCCCAGGCAAGCTCACGGATCTGTCGTGCGGCATCGGCAGGATAGCCTATGGCAGAGTACAGATACGGGGCGTGATGCGACGGTTCGTTGCTGTGCATGTTATGGCCTCCCGCGAAATATTCATCCATACGAGCCTTCATGGCTTTCTTCCCGCCTTTAAAAAGCGAGGCTAAGCCGCCTACATCGTGCATCACGTTCAGCGTGTAAATCCACTTGTCTCCTTCAGTCCATCCCCAAGAGTCATTCGCCCACGTCCCGTTTGCATTGCGGGCTTGCATAAACTCCGTCTCTGGGTTCCAGAGCTTCCTGTAATTTTGCGATCGTTCTCGAAGTTCCTTTGCATGCTCGACATCCCCTGCATGTTCAGCTACCACGGCAGCCGCATAGTCGTCGAAGGAATAGTCCAGCGTGCGGCTGGCGGATTCTGCCCACCGATCATTGTCGACCCATCCATGCTCGAGGTAGCTCGTTAACCCAGCTCGACACTCGTATGGAGTACTGGGCTCTCGAGAATAGTATAGAAGGTCGGTGTCGTTTTCAGGAGGCACGTAAGCATCGACATAGACAGCATCCCAAGCTTTTGCCACGTCAAAGTTCTCGAACCCTCTGACGAGTGCGTTTGCAATCACAGCATCAACATGGGTCGCAATCATTTCGTTGTTCTCAATCATGTTATTCCACAACGGCAACCTGCCAGACCAGTCAAATATGCGCAGGAGAGAGCGCATCATGGAATCGACGCGTTCCGGGGCAAAGATGGTGAGCAGCGAATGCTCTGCCCTGTAAGTATCCCAGATTGACCACGACTGGTAATATGAATCGTTTGCCTCGTGAACGCTGTCCGTATAGCCACTATAAAAGCGTCGCAGGCCACCTTCAGATGAAGCGGTGGGTTCGGAATAGTCACTCGGATACTGGAGGGCGTGAAATAAGCCTGTGTAAAAGATGGTCCGGGGATCATGATCTGGGTCGGTTTCGTTGACTCCGGAGATTTTGATCCTCCCTAATCTTTCTAGCCAGGCCGATTTGACATTGTCCACTGTGGTTTCAAATGTTGTTCCGTCCGGTATATCAATATCGAGATTCTTCCTGGCCTGCTCTACACTGACATACGACACTCCAGTTCTCACCTCGACCCTCTTGACTGACTCGTCAAACGTAACATACGCACCAACAAACTTGTCTTCGATATATCTTTTACCCTTGTATAACTTATCCGCACGGCTGACTCCGTAGGAGGTAAAGGGCTCGGAAAAGCGCGACACAAAGTAGAGCCTAAAAGATTCGGGTTTGTCGGGGCCCAACAAATACTCTTGCCGCTGGGAATTACTACCCGACACCTCTTGAGTTTCGGGATCAATCTCGACATGGCCTGTCCAGTTGAGACGACTGGCTTGGATGATGAAATAAGGCTGTCGTGCCTTTGTATCTTGGAAATCGACGCGAAGATGGCCGACATGCGCCGACGCGCTCATTGCTACTTGTATGGAATTCTCATACCTGCTTCCATCAAGATGCTCTGAAGAATTTGCAGACGGACTTTGCACGGCGAATTGATTCTCTGGCTCAAACACATAGTCTCGCCGTCTCACACGGCCATTGGCACCCTCAGTCACATCCTTGTTAGGCACAAAAGCAGCGCCGCCCGGGCATGGAGGACAAGCATCGCCAAGGAGCTCCGACGTCGCCTGTTCAGTAAGATTCCATCCGAATTCGCCTACTGAATCCGCGTCCAGCGTTACTTCATACACGTACGGCGTGCTTCTCTCATCTTCTTTTCTGAATGACAGGCCACGGTGCTGGAATAGCGGTCGAACCTCATCTCCAAGTCCGGGCATAAGCGCCACATGGCCGTTTTCGCCAATCCATATCGCGGGTTGATGCGTTGCCTGGAAGCCGTGCATGCGACGGTCGCGGTCATTGTAGGGGACTTGGGAGATGAAGTTTTCGCGCGTCTGCGGAGTCCATCGCGTCATCCCAAATGGCGGCGATACAGAGGGAATCATGCCACCGAGATCATTAGGATCGTAGCCTCTGGTGCCGATGAGGGGATTGACATATTGCAAGACGCCCGCGTTGGCGTGGTAATCATTGTTTACGGTGTCTGTAGATGACGACGACTCGAATGCGGGGTCCTGATGGGAAGACAGAGCTGCCGTGGTTGAGGCTAGAGAGAGAATGAAGCGTATCGATAGGCGTTTCATTGTTGGATACGAGATATAGTGGTGCGTTTATTGGTGATGATCACATTTGAAAGAAGTGCGATGACCAGAGAGGAACAAGAGAAGAGGAACGAGGAAGCCACAGTCAGCCACTGTTTACATACGACAAAAGAGTGTTTCTCAAATAGCAGGGAGCTGGAATTGGCCACCTGACTGCCAGACAAGGAGCTGTATCATCCAGAAGCCGCCCAAATTGGAGTCGCACGTAATGCTGGCTACAACTCTGGAGTATGAAAAAGTCACCGCCCAAAGTGAAAGTCGTGATATTTATTCCGACTGCATGTCAGCCACTTTTCGGCCCATTCCGGCGGCACCGGCGTCGATCGTCCACTTTTTGCGGGGTACAGCTTGAGATGTATGCATCAGATGATGTGAATGGATGATTTGGCGATTTATTGTTTATTGCCGTGGTGATACAGGCATTGGATTTGTGCCATTGTCTATCTATATGTTCATGGTTGCAGTCTTAGCCAATGCGCAAATATGCCTATACAGGAATACAGTTGATGCTGAGACGCAAAACATGCCAAGACATAGATCCAGCCACAGCTCATCTGGCTAACGACCAAATGAAAAGCCACGCCTGAGAAAGATGTCATCAATAGCGCAAACATTCTCGTATTCACTCGATATTGAGCACCAATATCGGCTGGCGTGGGTATTCCCAACACGAGCATCCCGATGGTCAGCCTTCGACTAACCGGCCATCCCTTCACAAGTAAGCTGGGGGCAGGTATAAAAGAAGTCGAATGACCGCACATATCCTCCTCAAATTGCTACCAGCTCTCATCTTCACACGTTAATTCATCTCACTCATTTCGATCTTCATAAAAAGTCAATCAGACGTTATTTCATCATTCAAGTAGCTACATGATCAATATTTTCATCACTATCATCGTTTTATCTTCTTCACTTAAATGTCAACTTTAATGACAACCTTGCCCTTTGCCTTCTTCTGCTCGACCTTGTCATAAGCTTCCTGGAACTGCTCAAACTCAACCACGCTATCAATCTGGGGTTTCAGTCCGCGCGCATCAATAAAGTCGGCAATCTCCTTCAGGTCCTCGCCCTTGCAGTCCATGAGGAACCAGGTGCTCTTGGCCAGCTTCTTTGTCACGGACTCTGGCTTTAGTTCATCTGGTCCACCGACAACACTCAACAAGGTACCATTCTCCTTGACCGCAGACCAGCATGAAGCCAGAGTCGGTCCACCAAGGCAGTCCAGGATGAGGTCCACCTCACGAGAGGGGTCTTCCTTAGCCCACTCGTCAATGGACTGCTTCTTGTAATCGATGATTTCTGTGGCTCCGGCCTTCTTGGCCGCCTCGATATTTGCGCCACTGCATTGGGCAACGACAGAGCCGGCACCTGCAGCTGCGGCAAACTGAACTGCCCAGGTTCCGACGCTGCCTCCGGCGCCAGTGATCAGGACTCTCAGCTTGCTGTTATAAGCCCTTGCATCGGCATCACCTCGAATGCCGTGCTTGTTGAGAGTTCCTTGAGTAAACACTCCTTGCCACGCAGTCAATGTGCTGAGTGGCGTTGCGGTGGACTCAACCCAGTCGAGCGACTTGGGCTTCAATGCCAGCTCCTCAGTATGAGCAATTGTGTATTCTCGCAGACATCCTGGGAATCTAGCATGAAGACGGAAGTACACTTCATCGCCAGGCTTAAAAGGACTAGACTCTGGTGAAGTAGCGACAATGCCAGCAGCCTCAGTTCCGGGAACACGCTCTCGGTTCGGCGGGAAAATCGATGGGTAGTTGATTTCCCAACCTAGTTCACCGAGGCAAGGTGCTGTGGCTTTGATCTTGATGAGATGGTCATCGGGACCAGAAGGCTTGGGGAGGGGAGTTTGCTGGAGTTTGAGAGTTGTGAGTTTGGGGTCGATCTGATAAACAGCCCGGATAGTGGTTGGGAGGTTCGCAGAAGCCATTTTGACGAATTGATTGGCAGTTGACAACAGGTTTGGCATTATTTAGACACAGGCAATGTGCAGACAAGAGAAAAAGCTTGCTTCAACAAATAGAACTGATTCATCTCATCTGAATCTCCCAGGCATTTTATACTTTTTCCCCGCGCAATCATCCCCATCAATGATGCCTATATTGCGAATCCGGTAACCCCCATCAATGGGTAGCCTTCCCGCCTATCAACCGGGTACCCAATCTTTTCAGCTGCCAAGCATCGAATCGCCGACTCGTCCAGCTTCCAGAGACGGCAGCAAAAACCTTAAAAATACTCTAACCTAAAGTGCAGCCAGGGGCTGGAGAGGCGCCGCCCGGTAAACATGGGCCAGTGAGGAACTTGTTATGACATAGTGTTAGACGATGGGGATTCAGGCACTGCCGGCAATCAAGTAGATCGGGCACCGTTACTGGTATGAGGCTTTTCTCTAATTATACCCACTCCAAAAGGCTACCGCTTACCCTTATTGCCAAGAATGGATACACATAGAGAGCTCTACTGCCTAACAATACAAACCAGATCCCTGCCTTTGTGATTCGGAGCTGCTTCCAGAGTCTTTCGCTCTGCTCCGTGTCCCTCCCGGTCTCCACTACCCCGGATCCGCTACCAAAGTGTCCCAAAGTGGCAGCATATCCCGCCTCGGCAGATGGAAAACTGACTCGAGCGACAGTTTATATCATCTGATGATGCTGCAGATGGATTTGAAGTGAAGCTGCGTATTGTATCCATTTTGGTAAATCACTACATTTCTTATAGAACGTGCAATATGCTGCATCTGCCGTGATTGCAACCGCCCGGTACGAGTGAGGGATTAAAGCTGTCAGCAATCTCACATACGCAAATTCTTGCTGTCTTGACTGTCCATGTTGCACAACCGGCTTCTACTAATCAAAGTTTCAGAATGCTGTCTTACTTGTATCACATCTGCTATTCGCCCTCTTCAAAGTACACCTGAATATCATTAACTAGCTCAGATACATACTATGATGAGCCCTTCATTCACGCCCATATATGGGCAAATTTGCCCACAGGTTCAGGCCACCACCTGATCCCACCTATCAAAGCCCACTCGGACCCTCCATAGCCTCCTCATGAGCTCCGCATCTTCACCAACACGCCTTCTCGGCCCTTCATCTCACCATGCGTCTCATCAACACACAGACCCTCGACCTAGAGGAGTTCTTCGACATCTATGTGCCCGAATATGCCATCCTCTCCCACACGTGGGCCGATGGCGAAATCTCCCTCCAAGAATGGGCCGACCGCAAGAACCGCCGCTTCAAGCCCGGCTATCAGAAGATTATGTGGACCTGCGAAGAAGCCATCAGGGACAATCTGCAATATGTTTGGGTCGACACCAACTGCATTGACAAAACCAGCTCCGCGGAGCTTTCCGAAGCCATCAACTCCATGTTCAAATGGTATCGCCGGGCGCGCATATGCTATGCCTATCTTGAAGATGTGCCACACATGAGTGTCGCGGAATGCGAAGACCAGGGCAGCGCTTTTCGAGCAGCGAAGTGGTTTACCAGAGGTTGGACCCTGCAGGAACTCATTGCACCTCCAGAAGTCAAGTTCTTCTCACAAGATTGGCGACCCATTGGGACAAAAGCCGACCTAGCACTTTGTATTTCTGAAATTACCGGCATCGCATGGACATGCTTGCTAAAGCCCAAATTCTCCAAATCTAATCCACTTCGAGGATATAGCGTTGCTCAACGTCTCTCGTGGGCTTCGCGTAGATCAACAACTCGCATCGAGGACCAAGCCTACTCTTTAATAGGCCTCTTTGACATTACGATGCCGCTTTTATATGGAGAGGGTCACGAGGCATTTACGCGATTCCTGGGGGAGATTATTGGCAAATATCCCGACCACAGCTTCTTCGCCTCGCAACTCCGGTACGTCGACTTTCTTCCGCGATCGCCAAAGGAATTTTGCGACTCCCGCAACGTGGTGATTGGCAACTCGCCCCAGCTACAGAAACATTACACGCCAGTGTCTCACTCGTATCCATTTCAGTTGACAAACACGGGCTTACAGATCACGCTGCCTATTGTGCCTACACTTGTGCCGCATTTTGTGTTCGGTGTTTTGGACTGCTGGGAGTATGACATGGGCAGTACGCAGGCTACCCGTTCGGTGTCGCGGATATGGATTCCTCTAATGCAGAAAGATCACCCTGGCTTAAGACATTATTCACGGCTACTGTGGCCAGAGGTCTTTTGTCCAGTGAGGCTTATCCGCAAACATAGATTTATGCAAGTTGCGCAAGCTAGTGAAGATGAAGAGCATGGCGAACAAGTAACGGCCACCGATCCGGCTTCGCTACTTGACGTCGTCCAGCATGTTGACATTGTATCCATGGACATACACGAGAGTATACTGATCAAAAACCCCTATGCAACTACGGTGAATGCTCCCCGTTGGCAGCCCCGCTTGGCTGGCAGTCCTTTTTTGGTGTGTTTTCCTAGAGGCACGGGGGACTATCGTTTATTAGGTATATATCCCAGCGAAACTGAGGCATATGAGACATCTTGGTCTGCCCATAAACCACCACTACTACCTCTTGTGATGCCACGAAAGATACCACGAAAAAGGAGAATTGACACTACGGGTGATGGAAGCGAGACACCAAACGGCGACGACATACAAAACGAGTTATATGGTGTAGTTGTCGTCTTCAAGAAGAGGAAATGTAAGCCCGCAAGGTGTGTAGCGATTCATTTGGCCAATATACCAGAAACAACCAATGGCTGCACGATATTCCGACCAAGCTGCAAAATCATTCGCGCCTGGAACTCTTCGCAGCAGAAAGACCTGCACCAAGACGACTTTCAAGATATGACTGATATCGATGCCAAGGACAACGTTTTCGTGGCCGTACAAAAGCTTCCCTGCCCTTCAAAAGACAATACAGAGGGATTAGAGCCACGGTTTTTAGGCCTAGTTCAAGTTGTCTTCGATAAAACTGACATGATGGATGAATTGTGCTTATCTTCGAATGGGGGCGTCCGGGCAGCGGAAGGAATCTTACAATATTTCGGCGTCGAGAACTCGGATGAAGAAATCGGGAGCATGAGCATGGGTTTGTAGACAAGTTTCCGCAGATAGGCTGGGGATAGAACACAGGCAATAATTAGGATATAGTTCTCATAAAATCAATGAGAATGTTCACGTTATTAACTACCATTGCTTACTCGTCATTGTCAGGACTCACGGAGCACTGATATTGAAGAGTGATGTGGCCAAAGAAGCGAACAAGTAGTGAATTATCCACAGATAGCTATACAATAAGAACAGCATTTATCTCTGAGCCCATTCAATAAAGGGACAGCCTCTCTTCTATATCGTATTGTTCAGGCCACGAAGCCTAGTTTGACCCTATATGCATTCTTATCCAGTTTCTAGTCTCCCAGCACCCATATTGGTTATCATCGTGCCAACTCGGCCCCTTTTGGTATGATGTTAAACAGGCAGCACAAGTACAATGCTAGAAGTAATTCCAAACTTTCAATATGTAAGAGTGGCAATAAAACACATAAATTACCTAAGAACTCATAACAGGCAGTAGGTAGGTAGCTGCCATAAGATCTCAAGAACAAATAGGTAATCGAAATTTAACATTGACAACCGATTATATTGAGAAGCTGCAATCAGAAGCACTGAAAGAAAACCAATGTTTAGTAAACCAAAAGCATGAGGTAGTGCATAGAGGCGTCACTAAAGGTGCAGGATCGTAGGGGTTTGTGAACTTTTGATATATCAGAACTGTCTAAATCATAAGGTGGACCGTAGCCTAGGTAAATATACATTGGATGACATTAAGAAACAGTATAGCTGACCAAGAAGACTATTCCTCTTCAGAATAAAACTCCCCATCAGAATGCGACTCCCCATCAGAATGCGACTCCCCATCAGAATGCGACTCCCCATCAGAATGCGACTCCCCATCAGAATGCGACTCTACATTAATACGCGACCTTCCATTAAAGTACTCCTCCATCTCATAAAACAGCTCATCAGAGCGAAACACCTTAGCCCAAGTAAGGAAATCCTTGGCGATCCAAAAGGGCTTATCAAACATACGCTCAATGCCCATTATGTGCCTTGCTTCCCTAAAATGTCTACCGGAAGCGAACAAATCTCGGGGAGTGCGGCCGTTGATATCTTTTGTAGAGGTTTGCGCTCCAGCTTTCAAGAGAAGTTTGATAATAATATTCCCTATTCGAATGTTTAATTTCTGAGAATGATCATTAGGTGAAGATGATATTCCGCTGGCCACGGAGTGGAGTGGCGTTTGCTGATATTTATCCAAAGAATTAACATCAGCTTTCCATGCGATGAGGAGTCTGACAAGGACCGTGTTTAAACTCTGCGCAGCGACATGCAGAGGACTTGCGCCATCACAACCTCTGCAGGGGGCATTAGGGTCAATGTTGCATTGAGCTAGCAAATATTTCACAGCTGATACACAGCCTCGTCGTATAGCGAGAGACAAAGGCGTCTCATTGCAGAAATCTTCCGTATGCAACTTATCATAAAGGTTCTCCGCTTTAGGCGTTCGAGATTGCGGATCAACCCCAATTTCTTTAATAAGAAACTGTAACATTTTCTTGATTTCTCTCTTGGCTGTCCAATATGTCGAACTATCTCTTTGAATAACGAGGTGTATTGCACTCCATGTGCAGTTTTCGTCGGCCTCTGGCAGCGAGATATTGGGTTCCTTCAGCATGCGCCTTGCAACGGCTGTTTGAAGGTATAGGAGTGCCATTTGCAATGAGCTGAACCCCCGTTTATTCACCAATTTGGGGTCAATGCTGGGTTGCGTCAAGAGTAGATCGACAGCATCGAGGTGGCCCTCCTCAGCCGCCAAGTGGAGAGGTGTGTTTCCATCCTCGTCCCGACAATTCAAATCAAGGCTCCATTTTGGGTCTAAAAGAAAGTGCATTGCAGGCAGATTTCGACCTCTGCATGCCATGTGGAGAGCTGAGGTTTTCCCAAAACCAACCTTTTCCCGAAACTGAGCAGGCGCAGTGCAACCACGCTGAGCCCAAAGCTCCAAGAATGGCATCAATACTGCGGGACAGGCGCAAAGCTCCTCCCCCACCGGCGTCAATCCGTCGCCATCGTGGATGCGATGGTCGGCCCCTCGTTCAAGCAGCAGCTTCACTAGCTCGGGTCTCCCAGAAGGAATCGCCTGGGCCAAAGGAGAGTATCTCGGATCTGCGGAATTGACGCTTGCACCGCACGTAAGCAGATACTCGGCTACTTCGAGCCAACCCCGTCGCATAGCGGCACCCAGGGGGCTTCCACACGGCTCACAGATGGTATCAACGTGCGCTCCTCTTTTTATAAGCATCTTGACAATAGGAAGATGCCCTCGGTATGCAGCTTCATGAAGTGGAGTCTTACCCAATATATCTGTGCTGTGAATATTCGCATCATTTTTAACTAGCATCTCAACGATAGAGAGGTATCCTTCCCCGGCTGCCATGTGAAGTGGCGTCTTACCCGACGTATCAGTGCCGTGAATATCCGCATCATTTTTAAAAAGCATCTCGACGATAGATAGGTGTCCATTCTCAGCTGCCATGTGAAGTGGCGTCCTACCACATATATCTGTGCTGTGAATACCCGCATCATTTTGAATAAGCATCTCGACGATGGATAGGTGTCCTCCCATAGCGGCTAAGGAAAGAGGGGTTTTTCTATCGTCATCTTTAGCATTTACTTTCGCCTTATTCTTTATGAGCATCTCGACGATGTGGAGGTGTCCATCCTCGGCTGCCTGGTGAAGAGCCGTGCTGCCGCATTCATCTCTGGCATTGACATTCATCTTATTGGTAAGCATCTCAACAATTGGGAGGTGTCCATTGCGAACGGCTAATTGAAGAAGCCTGCCTGATTTGGCGAATTTGTTCTTCAAATATAGCCAAGTGCCTTGTTCTTTGATAATTCGCTGCATGAGAGTTGTCAACCCAAGCCTAGCCGCTATCTCCTCCAGTTTAAATCCTTTATAATAACTCATTCGAGTCCATGCTTTCCATACTTCAGATTTGTTAGAAAAGAAGTCTGGATATTCGTCTAGTACCTTGTTGCCTTGCTCACCGGAACGGCTAAAATGATCGGCCCAATAATATCTTGCGTAGCTGAAAAAGGGCATTGTTTTTTCAATCAAGTATGAGTATTCAGCGTCTGTATTGTTGGAATACGCGTGGTGAAGATAGGCGATGCATGCCGATGCCAATTTCGAGTGCTCTGCTTCAACCTGACATAATGAAAACCAAGGAATGGATTTAGGGTTCGAAAATGGGATTGTCAAAAAATCATAAGCACTTTGGTGCACTAAGGTTACAGTGCCGTTCGCTGTGTTTAGAAAATGGCCGAGGTATGCCAGCTTTCCTCGTAGGGCCGTTGCTCTATCTAGGAACTCGGTTGGTTGGATCCCTAGAGCTGCAGCAAGTTCATCAAGTTCGAGTGGTTGAAATGCAAATGTACACCATCGGAGGATCTCTAAGCTTGAACTTCGGCGGGTTGGTTCGATCTGTTCAAGGATTCTTTGGTATAGAGCATCCAGTCCCTGTGGAAGTTGTTCTAGGCTCTCTTCCACCTCAGATACCTCCATGGTTTGCAGATCCTTAACAACGAAGCTGACCCATAGATAGGTACCAGCAGATTTATCCTTGAGGACTTCCTTAACATAGTTTGACAGCGTATCCGGGTAATCCTTGCTTCTGGATAACTCCGCAACGCGCGTCGAGATGTACTGGTCTAGCCCATCACTGACTTCTGTCTTTGCATCTGGATCTAGCCGAATTCTCGAAAATTGGCCTAATGAATGTTTAATACATTGAGGATACTCCCGACTTAGAATTATCATTTTCAGTCGAGGTGACATGCTTGTGATTTTGCTGAGTTTTATGAGCAGGGGCTCTAGTGATTTTGGGTCACACTCGTCCAACCCATCAATAATGCAAGTCACTTGTGAGATTCTGAGACTGTTTACCATATTGAGGAAATATTTCCAAAGGGCTTCAAAGGATTTCTGCTCAAATAATTGATCCTTCTGAATTTGATACGTCGGAAGGATATGCTGTAGAAATTCCTGTTTTCGCTGCACTAGTTGGAAAAGAAGTCCCCTGAGGATAGCAACAGCGTTATTTCTAGTACTTTCTTTCGCATCGCAGAAAAAATAGGTTGAATAGTGACTTTCCTCATCGTCGTGGGAGCGAAAACAGCTTGAGAGGTACTCCGTAAGGTAAATCGAAAGCATAGTTTTGCCAAGCCCAGGGCCACCTGATACCCAGAGCAATCCACCATCCGATGCTCTCCATTCGATAAAATCTTTCTTCTGGGTAATCCAGTCGCAAGTGCCATATACTAGCTCTCCTTTGGAAGTGATAAGTCTGGCGCGATCAATAGCGGGGTCCGTGATGAAGAGAGCCCGAAGACATTTCTCAGAGTCTGTGCCGGAGTCAACGGCTTGTGCCATGGTGTTGGTTGTAGCCTTAATCGAATCACTTCCAGCTTCATTACTTCTATTGGCTGTCAAGTTGTAACTAACAACACAGATTAATGAGTTATTATCACATCAAGAGTCTTTTACTTACAGATTGATGTAGGTGTTGAGTATGGTGTACTCTTGATCCAGCGAAATAAATAGACTCTCAACATTTTCGTCTTCTTTCAGACTGATGATAGCTTTCCATGTCTTTTCTCTTAGCGGGTCATTACGATCGAACGCGAGTTTCTGCAGAAGACTTCGCAATGATTCTACATGACTTTCGCACCGAGCTAATATCATCCGAATGTCATCAGTTTGCAAGGCATTTGTGCTTTGTATTTGTTTGCTAAGAGAAACAAAGCTTTCGAGGCGTCCAATTTGTCGTCGCGTTTGGTCCGGAGCATCTTGGATCTGATCAACCACGGATTTGACCAGTTTGATAGTCTTGAACAACACTTCGGCAAATTGTTCAGAAGCAGCCGCAACGCCAATGATCTCAGCACCAGACATGTTAAAGAATGGGTGGCCTGGGTGAAAAAAAAAATTAAGTGCTTTCGAAGAATCTATTGTAAAACTCTGAAAGGGAAGCTTTCTATATATCAATGCGAATGAGCCGCGATAGAGCGAACAGAGCAGATACGTGTTGTTGTTGGATTGGTTCAACTCCGCAACAACACATCATCGGTTACACAAGACGTTTTAATCGCTCACCCTTAACAACCCCATTCCTCAATTGGCTGTATCTACGAAACTCATGCTGATGCTCCGAATTTCGGATGCGCCACGTAGTGCAGGGGCAGAAATACATTGACAAGAGTAATTCGATGTTTTGACCACCATTGAGAATTTGGTCACCCTCCCTCTCTATGGCTAGGGGTCTTACAAGCATCGATCCCCTACAACACGATGAGTGAAGGGGCAAAATTACTACGATACGGACAGGTATGACTTGCTTGATTGCTTGCTTCTCTAGATGTGATGCTGGTGTTGATGTGATGCTGATGTTGATGTTAGGAAGTAGATTCCAACTTATAGGGTAGGATTGACTACATGTACATTTAACATGTCTCGGCGCTTGTGGTTGGGGGACAATACTTACATGTACATGTACCTAGCAGACGCACTTATCGTCCGATTTTAATTAAGACAATTAGATCGAAAAGAATACGGAGTAATAACCAACATGTTATGCCTTCGCACTTGAAATCCGACTCCGTCCTGATTTATATATAATAAATTTACTGAGCCGTCAAGTTATTGCTTTGAACGATAGTAACGTTATAGAAATAGAATATTATGGGTTTGAGTGCCTATTTATCGGCACCAGGACTCCGTCTTCCGTAGCATCATGCTCATTGTCAATACTACTTCAAGGGTAGGTAGACCTACGTGGCTAGAGATCTCGCTTGCAGCCCCAAGTGCAGGGTCTTGGACCGATCTCCAAGAAAAGACCAGTGCTGTGGGGAAGAGCTGCAAAACCCCTGAAAAGGGTGCACGGATTCCCACTTGATGTGCCTCCGTGATGGTACTCGTATATAGTCTAGATGCCAGACTAGAAAGGAAATAAAGAAGTATAAGATGGTTGAGTAATTGGTTGTCTCTTGTTTGAGAAGCACGGCTTCATCTCTTGTCCAGCCTCCGTACAGCACGAACGGAAACACCAAAAAGTGCTCGCAACCCCGGGCTTCTTCAGCACACCGGTTCTCCGCCAATGCCTTATGCGCATCGCCGGTCGTCACCGCTAAACTGCGGCGCCAAGATATTTAGAATCAGGATGAATCGGCAGCCATTTCGCATCAAATATTGCAGTCGGGGGATTTCGACGCCGCTAAGATTGGCAGACCCCATCGCCCACGTAATGGCATGCAAAGGACATGGAGCGGCTTTTTTTACACCCTCTCTACCCGTAGGCACATGTATGTTCACATCCACCGGCTTGCATTTGGCTAAACGCCACGGGAGGCCGCACCGATACCCTTTTGTGATTAACATGTCAGATCGCCTTGAGAGTTTATGAAGCATAGTTCCATGCATGTAGGTATATGGCTCAGTCCATTTCGTCATGACTGAGCTTGTTCTCTCTCTGGAGACGAATTGAGCAGTATCCCAAAGAGGAAGCTATCGATCAATCCCTCCAAAAGGACCAATTGAAGGCTTGATGCATCATCATCGTTCAAAACTCAACTACCTCTCAGCTACGGTGCATCGTCGTCATCCTGTTCCGGTAGGCACGTACGCATACACACCCCCTACTACTACTTCTTCATCCCGCAGCCCTGTAACGGGGGTTTGCAGCAACTTGTACGGAGTAGATTGACGGCAACAATGCGCTGACTTGCAACTTTGCCCGTTTCCAGCTAGTCTCACAGCTGCAATGCCGGGACTGGAGCCTCATTCACCAACTAGCCGCTGAAAGTTGCAGTAGTCTCATCAGAAACACTCAACGAAATGAAGCGCGCCTCTCCCTAATTTTCTCTCTTCTCTTCGCCGTCCTCGCTACTTGCGCCTTTTATTTTTATTTAGCCTTTTCTCCTCATCGATGCCATCAGCTCGTTCGTCATTGCTCACCCGTCAGCAGCCTCTCAGCGTGAGAGATTTGTTTTGCCTGCCCTCTGCTGCTTCTCCCCCGAAAACCCGAAACCTCACGATGCCACCAGACCAGACCACTGATATTCTTACCCTGCAACTTTGGCTCCCCCGAATAAGTGGCGCCAGGTCCCGGATCCCCGTTCAAAGGGTGGGCCTCTGTCTTGGGCTTCATTTAGCCCCTGTTTCCTCTTCTTTTTTTCCCGTTTGCCCCCTATGCATATGACCAGCTTCTTCTTCTTCTTCGCCGGCATGACGATGGCCTGCCCCCAGTCTTGCTATCCCTCTTCATCGTGAGATTCGCCGCTTCTGCTTCCCACAAGCGGTCGCGTGCGCCTGACGCAGTTTGACCATTTTTCGCTCTTTTTTCTTTTCTTCTTCTCTTCCCTTGTTAAACACCACACCACGACATTTACTTCATTATTTCATTTCACGTCCATTCCAAGGTACAGACAGATTCCACACGTGCTCCCTGCCTGCTTCCCACAGCCCACCTTGTACGACCCGACGTAGATAAAGTCTGGTAGTACGAATAATTCGTATCTTTTGATTCTCGACAAGACCCGCGGCCTGGCTGGAGCGGCAGAGCCTGGTCCGATACCTAGATGGCTCTGATTGTGGATATTGTGCGATCGGTCTTGTGCACTTCATGGCTTAACCTTTTGCTTGTCTTTGTGCCCATCGGCTATGTGGCCTATTTTGTCAACATCAATTCTACCCTCATCTTCATCTTCAACGCTCTCGCTATTGTGCCTTTATCTTCCCTACTTACGGATGTCACGGAGAAGATTGCCAGCGATGCCGGCGACACGGTTGGCGCTATTCTCAACATCAGCCTCGGCAACCTCGTCGAGCTGATCTTATTGTGAGTCGAACACCTTTGTTGTTCTCTTCGTTGAAGCTTGATATGTTCCAGCTTCCTCCGTCATTGCCCCTCCATGCTAACCTGAGTCATCTGCTTATAGTATGTAAGTCGAACCAACCTCACGCGAGCAACAACGATGCCGGCGATCCGGCCTGCCATTATACATTACCCGCGATACTAACTCGACCAGTGTTGCCCTTAAGAATGACCAGATCCGCGTCGTCCAGGCGTCTATTCTCGGATCTATCCTTGTAAACTTGCTTCTGATTCTCGGGTCTGCGCTTCTTACAACAAAGCTTCCTGACCAGGAGTTTATGCACGATGCTGCTGGCACGCAACTTCTCGGATCCCTTCTCTTTGTATCGGTCTTTACCTTTCTTATGCCTGTAAGCTATCGCCGCTCTCGCCTGCTGCTATGCCAGAGTACACGTGCTGATACCTTATATAGACTGCTTTCGACCACACCTTCAAAGGAACCGAGGGCGCCGAGAGCATGAGTCTCAAGATGAGCAGGATATCTGCCGTCATGATTCTGCTCATTTACATCCTATACTTCTTCCACGAAATCAAGTCTCGAACCCCACCCCACGACGTCGAAGCCATACCCCACGATGAAGAAAACGACGATGCCACGCTATTCGACCACGACCACGTCCCTCTGCGGCCCATGCCCCTCTCTTCAGATGCGCTAAATGGCTCTCAAGCCGCTCCCCGAACCGTTCGATTTGTCGACGTCAGCCCTACATCGGAACATGCGCCTCTCAAGGAGGGCGAGCGGGACAGCTTGGACGGATTGGATCCTGCCGACAGTGGATTGGACAATGAGGACTACCTAGAGAATGGAGAGCCCAAGGAAGAACCCAGTGAAAGTCTTCTCCAATCGTCTCGACGAGGCAAGACGCGGGCTCGCTCGCTATCGCTTGGCTCAAGCAGGGGAGCGATGAGCGAGACATCAGAGGGAGGAGACCGGACAGAGCTGATGGCGCCCTATCTTACGACGAGGCAGATCCTCCGAGACAGCCACGTCAATCTCGACCGCATTGTTGCCAAACCGAAACATGTCTCGTTCGGAGCCAGGACGGATCGCATCATCTCCTATGTGATGCTCATCCTGACCTCGACCTTCATGTCCGTCTCGGCCGAGTTTCTGGCCAGCGCCATCGACGATGTGATTCGCCAGGGTCATCTTTCCGAGTCTCTGATTGGTCTCATCATCATGCCCATCGTCGGCAACGTCGCCGAATACGCAACTGTGGTTGTTGTCGCTGCCAGAGACAACATGGGACTTGCGCTGGCAGTTTCAGTTGGCTCATCTATCCAAATTGCGCTTTGCGTGACTCCTTTGACGGTCATTGCGGGCTGGATCATGGACCGTCCGCTGATGCTGACATTCAATCTCTTTGAGATTGCCACTCTGTTTGGATCGGTTCTGTTGGTGAACTTTTTGATTCTTGGTGAGGGAGTGAGTGGCCCGCTGCGATCCAGTGGCCTGAAGGGCGGATTAATGTGTGCATGCTATGTGATAATCGGGTGAGTCTGAATCTGAACCCGTATCTGTCGATAACTCGTATGGACACCATTTTGCTGACATTTGATACAGACTTGGAGCTTATCTGTCTCCCTAACACAGATGGAATTAATGCACGTATTTTGTATACATAGAATTTCTGCATTCTGCGTTAAAAGCGGTACCAAATAATTAGACATGCATCTAATAGAACTAATCATAATGAACAAATTCAAGAAGAGCTTCCCCAATATTTGGTGGCGGCAGCTTTCTCCATGACAATTGCGTGCCTTACATAATCACATATCTTGCTACGGAGCTTTTAGTGTTGCCTAACTTCAACTCACAACTGTAAACTTGATCATGTTGCAATACAGTATTAAGGTCACATAGTTGATCTCCTTTCCCCTCTTTTCTCGATTACACGGTCATGCGGCGTGAGAGGGATGGCTCAGACGATGAGGATATTCCGCTGCATCACAAACGCCCGTTTGGCGCTGGGCTGAAGCGCAAGAAGATTGAGTTTGTCAAAGCCACAGATGCCGACGCAAGCAACACGATCAAGAACCTGGGCAAAGAGACTGCGTCTATCGGAGATGTCTACGCCAGCATAGTCTTGGGCAGTAGCTCTAGGGAATCTTCATCTAAACTAGAAGTCACCAGCGATGAAAAGGACAACCAAAAGGAGGATGCTACTGAAAAAGAGTTGGAACCGCCAATATGTCCCGTCTGCTCTCTCCCCATCACAACGACGCTGCAGCAACACGAGGCCTCGCTTGCCCATCAAGTCAGCCTGGAGCACTCCCATCCTCCATCTGCACTAGATCGATCGCGCATGGGTTTGCGAGCCCTGGAGTCTCAGGGCTGGGACCCCGATTCCCGTCTTGGCCTGGGCCGAGACGGCGAGGGCACCCGGTTCCCGATCAAGGCGACCCGGAAAGAGGATACGCTGGGGCTTGGAGCTACCCGTGCGCAGCCCAAGCAGGAAGTGAAAGAGAAGCCTCGGGCTCTGACAGGCAAGGAAATGCGAGCACTGGCGGACAAGGAGAGAAGAAAGGGGGAGAGGCTGCAGGCTGAGCTGTATGGACGGGTGGATGTGGAGAAGTATCTCAGGGGGAATGGAGGTGAAGATGGCTTATGAGAGCTGCAAAAAGAGACGAATAATACGAATAATACTCCATAGATGGGTATAGATGTGGTTGGAGGAAACAAATCAAGTTGCAGCATGGTCGTGTGATGTTGACCATGCCCATACATGCCCGTACATGCCCGTACATGCCTGTATCCATGCCCCCTGGCATTTTCACTGAACCACCACTCAAAGAGTGGGTGGCATGATTCCATATCGAGCTCCGAGACCCTTGGAGTCGCTAAAGGGAATAAAGATGAATCCTTCAGCGCAGCGTCCTAGTGACCTCATCGCCCCGCGGCTCTGGACCAGCCACCGCTAGCGCTAAAGTTAGGGGCCAGGCACTAATGGCCGAGCCTGAAGCAGCCTGGGGTCGCCCAGAGTTTCAGCCTGTGCGCACCAACCCCGCCAAAACCGACCTTCCTCTCAGCTTTGGTGATGCTTCACAAAGCAAACTTGGTCTCCCTCAGCCTCGACCGCATTTGAGCTCCCAGCTGTTACGCACGCCTCTGATTTGTGCGCCACCAAGAGAAGCTACTATTTGTACTCGAGTACATTGTCGCAAGCCAATCCTCCGCCTATTTCTCTTTGTCTCTCCAGCCTGTCCTTGACTTTTGGCCATCACCGCCTGACGGGACAGCTCCGTTGAACTCCGTCACAATGGGGTTGTCCGTCCTCGAGGAGCAGCACAATGGTACGATCTCAAATGTTGTACTGTACAAAACGGCCTGTATCGCATTGCTGACACGGATTATAGTTATTCTGCAAGAAATCAAAAACATCACGCAGAACGATGTACGAGACCGCCTGCCCCTGTTTATCCCTTACCGATCGACCGCGATACTGACCTCTCGCAGTGGAAATGCTTGGTAGTGGACGAGACCTCTAAGAAGATTGTCGATAATGTTGTCAAGTCGGACGATATCCTCAACAGCAATATTGCTAGTCAGTCATGCCCCCGTCGCCTGCTGTTGTGAGGCTCGCCATACTGACAAGACCGTTCTGCAGCCATCGAGCTCATCGAAGCTCGTCGCGAGCCCAACCCCGAGATGGACGCCATCTACCTCCTCTCCCCCGAACCGCACATTGTCGAATGCCTCTTGGCCGACTTCCAGGTCCGGCGCTACCGAAGAGGATTTCTGGTATGGACGAACCTGCTGGACCCGGCGCTGCGAAGAAAAATCGACGAGTTTCCCGGCGTGCGTCAGCTGCGCGCGAGTTCTCGGACGCTCTTTGTCGACTTTTACCCTCGAGAAACCCACTTGGTGACGTTTCGAGACCCCTGGAGCTTCCCGATGCTCTATCACCCGGCGTGTAATGCTCTCGTCCCGAAGCATATGCAGCTCCTTGCGCAAAGAGTAAGCTTGGATCGGTCATGGTATGCACTATAGAGCGAGGACACTGATGATGCGTGGTCAGATTGCGGGAATATGCATTACTCTAGGAGAGTATCCAAAGGTAAGATACTACCGGCCGAAGAATGCCATTCACGAGGCTTCCGTCTTGTGCACACACCTGGCGAGATTCGTACAAGAAGAACTAGACGGCTATGCCCAATGGGACTCCAACTTCCCGCCTCCATCAACCAGGCCACAGTCAACCCTGCTTATTACAGACCGATCGATGGACCTGATGGCACCGCTGGTACACGAATTCACCTACCAAGCCATGGCGCACGATCTGCTCCCCATCAAGGACGGCGACAAGGTTACTTTTCATACGACGATCAACGAAGGAACGCCTGATGCACAGGAGAAGGATATGGAGCTGGCCGAAAAGGACAAGATTTGGGTCGAAAACCGCCATCGTCACATGAAGGACACAATCGACAAGCTCATGGGTGATTTCCAGAGGTTTTTGGACCAGAATCCCCATTTCACAAAGGAAAATCCCGATACGACGAGTCTGAGCGCCATTCGAGACATGATGGCTGGGTTGCCCCAGTTCCAGGAGATGAAGGAAGCCTATTCTTTACATCTCACCATGGCCCAGGAGTGCATGAATATTTTCCAGCATCATAAATTGTCTGACACTGCAGCGATTGAGCAGACCCTGGCCACAGGACTGGATGAGGATTACAAGAAGCCGAAAAATATCCTGGATTCAGTAGCTCGATTGTTGGATGACGATGCGGTATCTCCTGGAGACCGGCTCCGACTAATTACGCTATATGCGTTATACCGTGACGGCATGATTTTGGATGATATCAAAAAATTGCTCGCGCACTCAGGTCTGCCCATTCAAGACACGGAAACTCTTATCAATCTTGAACACATTGGAGCGAGACCCATCAAACAGTTAAAGGAACAACGGCAGGCAATTCCTCCACTTTTCCCCCCTGATAATAAGAATTCGCAAGAAGAGGACGATTACACTCTTTCCCGTTTTGAGCCCGTTCTAAAACAGGTCCTGGACGGACTGACTAAAGGAACTCTGGATCAAACCCTTTTCCCGTACGTCAAGCCACCACTGGATCCCAACGAAGACATTGTTGCGGCTCAAGCAGGATCTCTTCGTGCTGCTGGACGACCAAACTGGGCAGCGGCAGGTCGACGACCACCCGAAAATCGCCAGAGACTGATTATCTTCATGGCTGGCGGCGCTACATACAGCGAAAGCAGGACATGCTACGAAGTTGGCAACGAGCGAAGCCGTGACATTATTCTGGCGACTTCACACATGCTCACCCCCCAGCTCTTCCTTCGCCAAGTTGGAGATCTGAGCCGCGACAAACGACAGTTGGATCTTCCCATTGAGCGCAAGAAACATGCACCCGCACATCTCTTCGAGCGTCCAGCGCCGCCACCTCAGCCTGTCCAGGCCCGACCACCGCAACAACAGCCCATGGCTCCCGGAGCACCTCGACCTGGTGCTGCTCCGCATCAACAGATGGCTCGCCCAGGTGGTCTCCCGAGTCGGCCAACTCCTAGTGGTGCTTCCAGCGCCGGCTCCGTGCCAACACAAGCCATGGCGAACATGCACATCAACTCAAGCGGACACAGGCCTACGACCTCGAACAGCTCATACGACGACGGAAAAGCACACAAGGAGAAGAAGAAGAGGAATTTCTTGGGCCTAAAGAAATAGGGTTCTTTTCGAGAGAGGTCTTTTTCTTCCAGCTCCACGGCGTCAGGCGGCGGGAACAAGATCAAGAAGCTGCAAGCTTGAATTTATCTTTTGAGAAAGAAAGGTATCTATTTATTGATGGCAGAAGAATACTTGTTTTTCATTTTCACTACGAGGAGACGTCTTTTTTTGTACTCGTATTTTTCTTTTCTTTTCTTTTCTTTTTTCCTTTTTTGTCCAAAACTTTTGGGTACTACATTTTTCTGTTTCCCTAAAAGCGTGGCGTGGAGAATTGAGATTGAGCGATAGTGTTATTTGTGGGGGGGCGAATGAATGAATCCATGTATGGCTGAGATGTCTTAATATTCATGAGGCGAAGTGAGAGGTAGTAGAAGCACTATAATTCTTATTTTTCTTCTTCTTCTTAAGGTATACGGTGGTGGAGGTAATAAATTGCATTGTCTTAAGAACAGTGAATATCCATGTCTTATGCTAAAATGTGAGATGATGGTATATACCAAATGAAGAGGCCCCTCCCCGCTCTGCGATACGAAAACAGATATACCTGATGAAGAACATAACAAAACTCCTTGCAAACCATCAAAAACGTATCTCAACCGCCTTCTTCGCCTGATTAACTCTCTCCTGGGTCCTCTTTACCCGCTCCAGGTCCATATTGCGCCTCCACTTACAGTTCGCCGCAAACTCGCACGACGTGCACTTGAACGACTCCTCGATCGTCACACCAGCAGGCCTCCTCTCGCCGCGCCACCAGCTCATGTCCCCAGCAAGATAGGCATCCAAAGCCTGCGGTGAAACAGGAAAGTCATGCGTCGTAAGTTCGCGGCCGTCATCCCGGAAGACGTACTGTACACGGAGTATAGGACCAACCGAATCCGCGCCGCGGGGGAAAGTGAGCCGAATTTCGTCCCTAACGAGGGTGACGAGTTCGCGGAGGGTTCCGTATTTGAGGAGGTCGGGGACACCGGGGGATAAGGGTTCAGGTACGACGGTGCTGTTGTCATCTTGGACGTCTTTTCCTTTGGCGGAGCTCCTCGGTAGTTCAGCGTATTCTTCTGCAGAACTGGTCGGGGTATCGAAGAAGATTTCGTCGTGGAGCTCTCCTAGTTGCGACATGAATGTGTCCGAGAAGCGTTCGTCGGGATCCAGCCCGTATCGCCGAAACACTTTGAAGAAGTCTAGCTTGCCAGCAGCCATGTTGGACAGGAAGCGGTGGTACAGCAGCAATTGAATCTTTGCGGGGCGAATCGCAGCTGCTGATATAGGTTTCTCAGTACCCCGTGTTTTGACATCCGAAAGATAAACCCGGCGGTCATTGCCCTTGGATTTGCTGGGCTTGATGGGTGGGAAGTAGTCAGATATTGTTGGCTGGCGCTGACTGACGAGCTCTTCCTCAAACTCTGGATTAGGGTTGTCGTAGCTCAGAGCATCAATAACACCGTTGACGAGGTTGCCGTCCACCGTGCCCCAAACCTCTAGTTCCCTAGTCAAGCCCGTATCCCGCAGCGTTCTTAACCCCTGGACTACGTTCCATAGTCTCAGTCCAAATCCGTCCTCTTTGTGCAAGATCTCAATCTTGACCGTTGTATGGACCTCGTCTTCAAGCTTCTTATGCACTTTGGACCCTTGCTGCATCGCCGGTGTTCGAGTTTTCCGCCCACCAGGCAGCCGTGTGAGTGTATACCAGTACTGAAGCTCGCACCATGCTCCGGCAGTCAGGTCGCTCACTGTTAGCGGCCTCCTTGGGTATGAGCGAAACCTCTTTAATGGAGACCGATCGTCCTCGAATTCAGCCTCATCATCGTCACTAATTTCTGTTGGCGGTGGTGACTGAATGGGCTCAATAGCTTGTAGGGCATTGGTTACTGTATCGAAATTTAAATGCTTGTCCAAGAAAGGGTGAGGGTATCGTATTCTCACTCACGATCGGGATATGCGACGGTCTCACTGACTGGGGAAGGAGATGAGATGGTCCGTTTTTGATCCGTCGTTGATGTCGATGTCTCTACTTTTGTGACAAAGCCATTTGACGGTGATGCATCGCTGCGGTAGACATATGTCTGGGACGTCTTGACCTCTCTCGAGGCTTCAAAACTTGAATTTGTCTTCTTGGCAGTGCTTGAAGCTGTGACAAGAGCTACAGGATCCGTCGACTGCTTGAGCGGCGGCGAGTGATTGGAAGCAAGTTGAATCAAAAGCTCTTCATCGTCGGATTCAAAGTCGTAGCCAAACTCATCGTCGCTGGTTTGCACGGCCATGATTATCGCCGCAAACGGGTCATGGCGGTGTTCTCGCCATGCGTGAATGCGATGGCGGGGTGAATGAACGTGCCTATTGAAGCTGGCCAGCGGCTGGAGATGCACCAAAGCAACGCGGAGTCACGTGAGCCAGGCATCTCTTCAGTGCTGGACAAGTTGGGAATATCTCCGACGTCTGCCTAGAAATAGAAAGATGGGAGCATTGATGGATTGATTGAGTATAGTGTGGCTATTGCTGATTTAGTCATGATTATAGTGATAATTTTAACCATATTCGTTGATGTTGTAGCGGCTGGTGGTAATTGGATGATTACAACCCACCTACTCATTTCATGTAAGTGGGCACACAACATATTACATTAGGTACCTATGGTGCTTCGAGTAAGACAACCCAGACAGATACGTGTATCTCTTACCGCAAGGACGATAGCATCTGTCTCTTCAATTCGCGGAATAATGCTCTCTCTCTCGTGTTCCCCCAGCCTAGCAGCAAGCAATACGATGCGACTTCGTATATGCACACGTTAGTTTGCACCTGTCACTGGTGTTTTCGGCGTAGCTTAGCCTCTTCTACCCCAAGACGGCAAGTGGGCGCAACTCCAGCGACGCAATTCAGTGACTGCATCTGACTAAGCAACGGATGCGACCGTGGGTGGATGAACAGCTGGCTACCTACGCGGGTACAAGCTCCTGAAGTGAAGCTGCGCCTCCCGACTTCGAATTCGCCAATCTGCCGTTCCAGACCCGCGGCATTCCTGCATCGTCCATTGCTGCGTCAGTGGAAGAAGCTCTATCGCTCGCCTGCATTCTGACGTCAATTGCGAGCAGACGCCTGGAGCACGCCTGGCTGCGTCACCCCTCGACCGCTAAGCCCCCCCGAATTGGCCTGAGCTCCGAGGCGATAGACTAGACAGTTGCGTTGCCTTGCGCTGCGAAACGAACACCTCACCCTCTTCGACTTCGACAAACCTGCGTGGCATGATATAGCCCTCACACAATGTATCTGCGAAATAGTGCGCCCACGGCGCTTCTGGCGCTGCTCGCGCCGCTGGCATCTGCCTTCTATCTGCCCGGAATGGCTCCAGCCTCATACGAGCCCGGCATGAAGGTCCCTCTATTCGTCAACAGCATCAAGCCCGTAGCGGCGCCGCAAGATGCTCGATTACACTCGGTCGTGTCGTACGATTACTACCATCCCTTCTTTCAATTCTGCAAGCCCGATGGCGGACCGCAGTATGTGCCGGAGAGTCTGGGCAGCATCCTGTTTGGCGACAGGATAATGACCTCCGCCTTCGACCTCAGGATGAAGCACAACGAAACATGCAAGGCGCTCTGCTCTGTAAAATACCAGGAGAAGTCGGTTGATTTTGTGTCGGAGAGGATTGAACAGGGCTACAGCCTGAATTGGCTTGTCGATGGTCTTCCTGCTGGCCAGCAGATCCAGGACCAGCTGACGGGCACAACATTCTACAGCCCTGGGTTTTTACTGGGACAGGACGATGAAGCTGGAAACATCCTCTTCAACAACCACTACGACATTTGGGTGGAATACCACGAAGTTGGCGGAAACGCGAATCAGCTCCGAGTTGTCGGTGTCGTTGTCCAGCCCACCTCCAAAAAGTACGATGGGGAGGCTGATTGTGGCGACAACTACCCGTCGCTCGTCTTTGCCAAGGGCTCGGGACCACAGGAGGTCAAATTCAGCTACAGTGTCTACTGGATCAAGTCACCTACCGCTTGGGCTACCCGCTGGGACAAGTACCTGCACGTCTTTGATCCCAAGATCCACTGGTTCTGGCTTGTCGACACCGCCATCATCGTCGTCATCCTCGTTCTCACCGTCATGTCCATCCTGATCCGAACTCTGAAGAAGGACATTGCGCGTTACAACCGCCTTGATCAGATCAACTTGGATGACCTGAGCGGAACCTCGGTGCTCGAGGACGGTGTCCAGGAAGACTCGGGCTGGAAGCTGGTCCACGGCGACGTCTTCCGAACTCCATCGCGCCCACTGCTGCTGTCCATCCTTTTGGGCAACGGAGCTCAGCTCTTCGTCATGACTGGATTTACCATTGTTTTTGCACTTCTGGGTTTCTTGTCGCCTTCTAACCGTGGCTCCCTGGGCACCATCATGATCATTCTCTACACTGTTCTCGGCATTGTTGGAGGATACACTTCGGCTAGAGCGTACAAGGCCATGCAGGGTGAGCAGTGGAAGCTCAACATTGCCTTGACTCCTCTGCTGGTCCCCGGTATCGTCTTCTCCGCCTTCTTCCTGCTGGATCTATTCCTGTGGGCCAAGGAGTCTTCCGGCGCCGTGCCCTTTACCACAATGCTGGTCATCATCGGCATTTGGTTCGTCATCTCAATTCCCCTCTCATTTACGGGCTCTTGGCTTGGCTTCAAGGCCGCTCAGATTGAAAACCCCGTCCGCACCAACCAGATTCCTCGCCAGATCCCCCCCGTCACCACGTACCTCCAGCCCATCCCCAGCATGCTCATTGTTGGTCTTTTGCCCTTTGGCGCCATCTTTGTCGAGTTGTACTTTATCATGAGCTCCATCTGGTTCAGCCGCATCTACTACATGTTTGGTTTCCTGTTCCTCTGCTACGGCCTTATGATTGCCGTCTGCGGTGCAGTTACCATTCTGATGACATACTTCCTCCTGTGTGCCGAGAACTACAACTGGCAGTGGAGGTCTTTCCTGGCAGCGGGCATGAGCGGTGGCTACGTCTTCCTCAACTGCCTCCTCTATCTGGTCACCAAAGTCAAGCTTGGCGGCCTTGCGGGAACAGTCCTGTACATTGGCTACAGTGCCCTGATTTCCTTCTTGTTCTTTATTCTTTCCGGTATGTGTTCAATCGTCTTCCCTGTCTCATAGCGACAATGTCTAACGTGTGAAACTAGGCACCATCGGCTACTTCGCCTCCTGGTGGTTCGTAAGAAAGATTTACTCTTCCATCAAGATTGACTAAAACAAAAGGAGTGTGGTTACGCGCGTGGCTGCGATTTGTTTCGGTTTGACACCATCGCGGCTCAGAAAAAAAAGGGGGATCTTTGAAAACTACCTAGCAAACTTGTAAAGTACATGTACGACCATGGTGTGTACGGCGGTATCACTGTGACGGGGAGGGGGCAAAACGCAGCGATTCCCCCCTTTTTTTGCACATTTAAGTCACCGATTTTTTATTTATATTTTTAGGTGCAATTATGGAGGGGATGAGACTGGGACAGGCGGAAAAGAGCGTTGCGGGATAGACATGTTAAATTGAAGACTTTTTTTGCAACTTGTGTGAGATCAATTTGGCTATCTGGATATAATCCCTAGCCCCTTGCCTAAGATTCTTCTGGTTGAATTAAGTTGTATAGCTCGCACTGATTCCCTGTAGTAATATGAATAGAATAATAGTTTTATGGATGGTCTTGTTAAATGCTTCGCTCTATTGAACCCGTTTGTTCCAAATAACTCGCTGCTATTATCAATGCCCTTCAGTTGAATGAGATGACTAGTCTTCATCGTCGTCGTCATCCAAATCATCCAAGTTAGTAAACTGGAACTGCTTCTTTTCCGCCTTTGCACTCGGGGGTGCGGCAACGGCTGCGTCTCCGGAGGCACCGACCGCAGTGCTCGCTCTTCGCCATTCTGCTTGCTGTTTTTCAATCTGTCGCTGTCTCTCTTGGCGATGGCGTTCCGCCTCCTTCTCGCGCTCGGCACGCTCTTGCTTCTCCTTTTCTTCCTTCTCTTTGCGTTCCTCTTCTTCCTTGCGTTTGCGCTCTTCTTCTGCGACAGGATCGTAGCCTCTAGGGTCGATGCCTTGCTCCAGGAGGATCTGATTGGACGCCAGTGCTCCGGAACGGATTTTGTCTTCAAGCGGCCAGGGAAAGAATAGCTGTCCCGACAGAGGATTAAGGAACTGATTCATATTGTCGGGAAGAGTCGTGTGCAAGGAGGCCTGGGCTTGCTGGGCGGATTGTTCGATGATGCCGTTTGTAGGAGCAGGACTCTGCATAGGATTCGGAGTTTGCGCGGAGGGCGTCATGGCTGATTGGGCCTGGGAGTCGGGCAACGGTGTTTGACTCTCTTGAGTTGCGGCCATGGCATTTAGAATGGCAGCGGGTGGCATAGACGTCTTGCTGATGCGACGGGCATGACCGAGAAGCTCTTCGTATAGGATCGGGAAGTTTGGTTCGGAAGGGTAGATGGTGACTTGGGTATTGACAATGTCTTTTCGCGTCGTTGCAAGTGAGCTGAGCGTCTCGCGGATCTGCGCATCTAGAGACGTGGATAGCTGGCGAAGCTGCAGGATCTTGAGGTGGTTGTTCTGATGTATTTCCACTGATGAGCTGCATTAGCGATTTCTGTCACGCAATGAGAGGTAGACACCGGATGCATCTTTCTGGCATACCTTGTTCGAGCCCTTTGCAGAGTTCATTGTCAGCAGCCTTGAGCTCCTCTGCCTGAATTGCCGAGGGATGATATTTCGTGACCGAGTCAATCAGCGTCGCAAGAGCCTTTTCCAGGCGCTCAAACCGGCCGTCAATGTACGTGTCCATGATTGTGCACAGCTCAGCTATACAGCTATACAGCGACACAGCGGCGCGAGGCTGCAAAAAAGCGGAATCGAGAGTTGAAAGACCAAGCGGCGAGGCTGATTTTAATCGGAAACGAGGCACGTTGGCTCGATAACAAGCTGGTGTGGGGCCTTTCCGGGCCGATCATTCGATTGGCCCAGCAAATTCGAGATGTGCTTAGTCAGAGCCTCAGGCCAAAACCTTGGCCGAGAATCGCCGGCATCGACAAACTCGCGCACTTTGAGTGACGGCATTTCCGACGACGAATTGACGAGCAATTGATCGATACACGCGGTTCCCGCTGCAAGAACTAGTCAAGATGGTTTCTCAGGTACGTTCCACGAGTGTGTTTCCTGCTGGGCGGGACATTCGCATCCCGAGGCTGGTGAAAACGGGCAGTTGAAGAAATGCGGCCGGCAGAGAGCAGAGAGCTAACTTTTTTCGCTGCGAATAGACTCCCTTCCGCGCTGCGGAATTCAAGAGCGCTTTCGGCCCCAAGTACGTTCGAACTATATGGTCTTGATGGTTGAACATTTTGCGATTTGAGGAGCTGCATATCTGGAAGGGGGAGGGCTTCAGAGAAAAGCTTTCCACCTGCAGCAGCAGTTTGATGGAGTATGGACTAACTTTTCGCAAAGGTACGCTTTCCAGCCCAACTACCGCGGCATCACCGTCCAGACTGCCACTCGATAGTAAGTCTCTTCTTTCTTTATTTTGTTTGTGGTATCCTTGGAGGAAATTCTGGGAAGCTGTTGAGCCAGGTATGCGATTGGAGGGGTAGTGGTGTGATCGAGAGGTGCTCTGAAAATCCCATCAAACAACCGAACTCGCTATAGAATGCCGCCAAACTTCTCGACAATACCGTTCGACTATGCACTTGGAATTCAGCTCTTCGTACGGATATACAGAGTCTTCAAGCCTGCTAACATGTTGATAGTGGCTTCCGTGCTGCCACCATTGGCGGTGGTCTCGGCGTTGCTCTGATGCTCTACGCCTCCAGCCTGCCCCGTTTCCGCGCTGACGTCCTCTCAGTAAGTGCTCAGTTCCAGTTGATGGAAGATATATGCTTACAGTTTTCTAGAAATTCCCCATCGTTGGCGGTCTCTTTGAGAAGCAGGAGATCCACCCTGCCGACAACGTAAGCTCCCTCTTGATGAGTAACTATTCTCAAAGCGTATGGATACTGATTGACTATAGCCCTTCTAAATGCACTCGCGAGATGGAGTTTGTAAAATTGTAACAAGGCTTTGCGCGGCATGCCTTTGTATAAGAGATACACAATAGACTTTTCCTAAACCATACCTGTCTACCTATGCAACGCCTGCTCTGTCTTGTGAAATACCTAGGATAACATCATCTATGACCTAAAGTTCCTTTTTGTAAGATTAATTGTATGTATTTCAACCAGTACAATAAAGATAATAGCGGTGCTCGTGTATTACTTCGTCTCCCAGCTAGATCAATTACAGTGCTGTTTGCACTATCCATACTGTCCGCTTCTCATTCATCTTGACAGCTCATCTCATTTCGACCTCTCTCCCCTTCAACAACATGACATACCTCGGCCTGTGAAATCTCATACAAAAAAATGATACGCTCGTTATAATTCCCACCGTTTTATTCTGCAGATGCGCACATCTGCGCTTTATTTTAAATTTTGTTTAATTGGTTTCAAGATCCTCATTTGCCAACATGGCATCAAACGCCCCTGATGCCATTGCCATTGCAGGGAAATTCCAATTCGCAACATGGGCCGCCGGCGCTGTCCCGATTGCTTTCGTTCTTCATCTTCTTCTCGTTAGGAGCAGTGGAAGTGACTCTGGAGGATTAGGCCTTTTGTTCACCGTTTTCCTTGCCGCAGCGGCGTTTCTTTGGCTGGGCGTGGTGTCTGAAATCGTTCCCGAGCCGTATCTGGTGAGACTACAAACGAGCAACACATTGTGCGGTATGCTCATGGTTCATGAATAGGATGAAGTATTTCATATTCCTCAAGCTCAGAAATACTGTGAGGGGAAGTTCTTAGAATGGGACGATAAAATCACGACTCCTCCAGGACTGTAAGTGACTGAACTCTCAATCTTGACTCTAGGGATGGCCTCTAATGTGGCCAGGTACTGGTTATCCATCTTGATCCCACAAGCAGCAAAAAGCAGTGGTCTCATCGCCTCTTACGCATGTGATCCCAAGACTCTGCGGGCTACCAATGCAATCGGCGTCATTGTTCTGAGTTACATAGCCTTGCTATGTCGGAAAGAGATCGAGGCACGTTTGCACCAAGCACATTCATCCGTCAGTATCAAAGCTGTATCCCAATATGCGATGCACACAGCCTTTAACATTGCTCTGTTCCCTTTGCTCTTCTTCTTTTCAGGGCTATACTACACCGATGTCGTTTCTACTGCTGTTGTTCTTACGGCGTTTCTGAACCATTTGCATCGTGTTGGACGAGCTCACAGCTCCTTTTTAAGCGACATTGTTACTGTTGGTCTAGGGCTGTGGACTCTTACCATGAGGCAGACCAACGTTTTCTGGGTTGTCGTTTTTATGGGAGGGCTCGAGGCTGTTCATTCTGTGAAGAGTTTGCGGCCACAGTCTGTTGCTCAGCCGTCCATGACGACGTTATCGGAGCAGTTGCTGTTCTTTATCAAGAGATGGTCGGTTGGACATGTGCATGACTTGCCATTGCATATGGCATATCCCGAAGGTGATACGAAGCATACCCCAGATTGTAAACTCTACAGCTGACCCATTGAACTAGATATGTTATTCACCGCCGTGAGTCTAATCGTAGCAGCCCTCTGCAACCCCATCCGAGTTGTCAGACAAATATGGCCCTATGTCACCATCCTGGGTGCGTTTGCAGGATTCGTAGCATGGAACGGCGGCGTTGTCCTTGGCGACAAGTCCAACCATGTTGCCACCATCCATCTCCCACAGATGCTCTACATCTGGGCGTTTTTCGGCTTCTTCTCCCTGCCGCTCTTTGTCCCATATGTGGTGTTCGCGATGGATGCTTTGCGAAGCGTCTTCATCTCACAAAAGAACGGAGCAGGAAAGGAATCCGGGTCTGCATCTACGAAGGCGAAGTCCGAAACACCAAACGCTTCTTCAAACTCGGCCACTCAGCCCGTGCTCTCACTCCCGCTGAAATTCTTCAGCGCTATTTTCAACAATCGCCTGCTTTGGCCGCTATACTTAGTCGCGACTTTTGTCCTATCCACCCTCATCGTCCGCTTCAACACCATCATCCACCCCTTTACTCTGGCCGACAACCGCCACTACATGTTTTACGTCTTTAGATACACCATCCGCCGCGCCCCTTGGATCCGTTACTTCCTCATTCTGCCTTATACCGTCAGTCGCTGGTTTGTCTGGGGCACTCTATCCGGCTGCACGAATTGGACCCCGACACCTTATAAAGATGATTGTTCAGCGTACTATCACTCATCCAGCCCATCGCCATTTACCTGCGATCCATTTGTAGTAGCAGATGCCACCCACAAAACCACCACCGGTGAATCTCAAGGCGCGCAAGCACAGACACAGAAAGAATTGCAGCAGAGATATATTCAAGACCCCCTCTTATTCTCAACAGAGCCTGTATCGACGTCCACAGGACTCATCTTCCTCCTAGCCACCACCCTCTCGCTAATCACCGCACCGCTCGTCGAGCCTCGCTACTTCATCATCCCCTGGGTCGTCTGGAGACTCCTGGTCCCCGCTTGGAGATTGCACGATCACCAGACAGCAGCGAATAGTTTGTTCGATGGCGCTACCCCAACATCCGCCTGGGGTAGATTTGTGAATTTTTGCCGCTCTTACGACGTGAGGCTTATCCTCGAGACAGTCTGGTTCATCGCAATCAACTTCATCACCGGATATATATTCCTCACCAAGCCTTATGTTTGGAAGGCTGAAGATGGAAGCATCCTTGACGAAGGAAGACTACAGCGGTTCATGTGGTAAAAGAAAAAAAAATTACGTCTTTCAAGTGAAACACCGTCGTTAAGATAGATGTTGTATTTGTCAAGAGGTCCTTGAGCAGCCTCATTCTTCTTATGCTAGATCAAATAGAATACGAATGCCAAAATTCATTCGTCAAAAGACTCCCAACTCAATAGCCAAACGCCGCGCCCATGTCTCGAATCCCAAACCATAAGTCCCAAATGAATGCCTTCCCGTTGGCGTTGTTTTGATGTTTTGCAGCCTTGTTGCCCAAATTCCAAAAGTCGCTCTAATCATGTATATATACGTTTTTTCTCATTGCTGATGGCCAAGCAGGAAGAAGTGAGAAGGAGAGGATGATAAAATAAATCCCAGAACCAGTCATTCTTGTGGGAATCTCGAATCATTAGTTGATGTGATATCAACTATAAACTTAGACGATCGAGACTCAGGCCATCGTTACTCCTTACTCGTCGAATCACGCCCAGCTTGAAGAACTTTTCCTCTCCAGCTGCTGTCCTGCCGCCGATATACCACTTGTCGGCGCCGAGGGCATCGCGAAAGCCTTCACTACTGCTATCGCTGCCTCTTCTGCGTGCGCCAGGAATGGGGATGGCGCCGCCAGGAGATCCACGGGGCGTGTGGATGGCGACGTTGGTGGATGATGTCGCAGCAGCGTTTGTGGAGATTGCGCGAGCGGTGGAGGCCGGCGAAGAAGCTGCGGCGGCGGCGGCAGTTGTGGAGGCGACGGCAGATGCAGATGCAGCTTGAGTGGTGTGTTTGCTGGCTTGCTGGGTGAGGGAGGGCGCTTGTTGGCGGAAGGAGTTGAAGAAGGAGGAGAGGAAGAAGGGACGTTGTGACGGCATCGTTGTGCCTGGTTTCTCTTTGATGCGAGGGTTGTTTGGCGGTGTTACGGTTGTGTATGTGCTTGGCTTCGCCTCGTCTGATGCAGGTTGTTGACGATTATTATGCGTTGATGTAGATTTTCAGCTGCCTGTGCGAGTGCGTGCGTTTCGTGTGCCGCGGTAGGGTTGAACGAGGGAGAGGTCCCAATATTCCGCCTATGGGGGCGTCCCGGGCTTGCAGATTTATGCGAAATGGCTGCAGCTGCTCGCGGGCTATCGAATGAGGGCCGTCGTCGCGGCTGGGCCGTGATGCGGTGAGGCCTGGCGGTTTTTGCGGAGCCGGAAGCGCAGAGTGAGATTCAAGTCGAGAGGCCGTGTCGTGTTTTCTCGGCGATCAAGAGGGAGGCCCAAGGGAGACGCAGAGAGTCGGAGAGAGGGAGAGCAGAAGGGGGATAATCTCGCGATGATGAACTGAGCAAGGGCAGAAGCAGGATTCGCGCAGGAGAGATGCAGAGCGGTTAATGAAGATGAAGCTGAGCCGAGCGCAAGGGCCGTTGGTCCGAAGATGGATCGAGCAAGGCAAGTTTTACGGTCCGAGATTCTGACGTCGAAGAGTCGGCAAAACTCGGGCAGTCGGGCCAGTACCCAGTACGAAGGAGTGCTAATGGAGGGGCTGCGATAGGCTGGAATTGTGGAAATACAGCACCTGGATGGCCTGGGGCGGCGTCACGGACCACCTGCAAGTCACACTGTGCATGTACTGCTACAAGGGCCTTGGCGCACCTCCATCGGGCTTCTGTTTTTGTTCCGCGGGCAATCAATCAATGAGAGTTGAGCTACTGCTGTACAGCGTCACTCGGGTCGTTATCTAGATGGAGGTTGACGCAAGATGCAGAGGGGATGCATATGATATGGATGGGCTGATGTTTGCGGGGAAACGATGGAGGCAACCAAGGGTCTTTCAGTAGCAAGGAACAACACCCAACGACGACGATAATAATAGAGTCCAATAATCAGATCGGACCGCCTCTCACAAACGGGGCGTCGTCCGGCGCGCAACTCGAACAGCCTCGACTAAGAAGTGGCGTGAGCTTTTGCACCGGCCATATGGACGGCCTGGTTTTCTCTCCCTTCGTTCTTCATCTAGCAGCGGCCAAAGTCTGGGGTAACCCGTGTGAACGAACCATGGCGCTTCTGTTGTGCCGCTGGCCGGATTGATGGGGCATAGCCTCTGCCAATAATGCATCTTCTCCGCATTCATCTCACGAACCATGGTTGCATTTGCATTCAAAGTGCCCAGAAAACGCCCGTCAAGTGATCCGAGTTGTTTTCTTGCGATAGGTATTGTATCATGACAAGGGATCGGAGAGTGGAAGCGAAATATGGAGTCATGTGCTCTTCGGAAGGGGAAAAGGAGAGGAAGTTGGCTCACAGCTGCGGGTTAAGGTTAAGGGGAAGAGTACTGAAGAGTAGACTAAAGGGTTGCTCCTACAGTAGTCGAGGAGCTCAGCCGTTTGCCCAAGGAACTGCTGCAGGTTTCGAAGACTCATCATCTTTTGCTTAAATCCATGCACTGTACTCCGTAGAGTGGAATGATTCAAGGGATCTTCTTTCATGCGTTCCATTCTACCAGGCAGTCAGAGTGCACTAACCCAAAGCAGGATGCATCTAACGGGGATGCCGCTGAATCGAAAATGGCCTAGCGCATCGGCTTCCCTCGGGAGGTACGTACCCCGTGTTACGCGCATCAACTGGAGCTTGACGTTTGGCCAAAGGGGGTCAAGCGTGGAAATGGGGAAAACGGAGTGTATTTTCGAGCAGAGGTAGGCAGCATGTGAAATTGATTAAACAAATGGATTCAATAATTCAATAATTCAATAAAACAATTCTAATGTAATGCTAACAATATCTATCCATCTATCTCTCTACTTGTGCTCATCAAGAATCATTCCTCTATTTTTATACTGCAGAAAACGCCCTCAAATGCTTCCATCCATTACACCATCGCACCGCCATTCACCAGCACCGTCTGGCCCACAACCCATGAGCTCTCGCCGCTGGCCAGAAACTTGATCGTGTTGGCGATTTCCTCAGGCTCGCCCAGTCGGTTGAAGGGACTCCAGCTCTTGATAGAATTCACCAGAGCCTCGGGCTTGCCCTTGTAGAAGAGATCCGTGCCCGTTGGTCCAGGAGCCACGGCGTTGACGACGATGCCCTTGGCAGCCAGCCCCTTGGCCATGACACGGGTCATCTGCTCGATGGCGCCCTTTGTTGCTGCGTAGAGGAGATACTTGGCCGGTGCAAATGAAAAGTGGCAGATTCCCGTAGAGATGAAGATGATGCGCGAGCCAGGCGGCATGTGAGGAAGCGCCTTTTGGACCAAGAAGTAAGGGCCCTTGACGTTGAGGTCGAAGCACTTTGCGAAGTCGTCCTCAGTGGTGTCCTCAACATCCCGCATCGGCATCATGCCTGCACTGGCCACAATCGTATCAACACGGCCGAATTTGGCCACGGCAGCGTCGACCAGGCGGCCCAGATCATCAATGTTGCCAGCGTTAGCCTGGACGGCAATGGCGCGGTCTGGGCCGAAGGACTCGACCATGGCGTTTGCTGAGGCGGCGTCGCTGAGGTAGTTGATGACAATCCGGGCGCCTTCTTTGTAGAGGCGCTCGGCGCAAGCCTTGCCGATGCCGTTGGAGGCGCCGGTGATGAGGATGACTTTGTCTTGAAGAGACATGATTAATCCCGTTTAATATCTAGTTGAAAGTTTAAACAGTAGCTGGTGAAAGGTGTTGATTCGGCGTTGCTAAAGTGTATAAGTGCTTATTGCTGTGTTTGTTGATGCTATTGAAGCTGTGGTTGTTGGAGCTGTGGATGATGAGACAGATTCGACAACATCACGAACGAAACAGTCTATTATATATTTACATCTTCATCCCCTGTCAAACATGAATGAAGTCCGAGAATTGCGCGAGTTGCCTTCCATTATTCCATCGTTCGTCATCCGAAACTCTCATCCGTTGCTGCCCCGAAGCAACGGATTTGATGCCAATGGAAATAAATCCAGAGCAGTAAAATCGAGCTTCTGGTGGCCCCGCTGTGTCTGCCGGGTTTGGGCATCGGGCGAGGGACAACAAGGGGAGTGATAAATCCGATGATGGCGTCACTGGCTCGCTCTTCGCGCGAAGAACGGGGGGAATGGATGCGCGAAGCCGTAACTGAAACGGGATTTTTTTTTTTTTTTCTGTTTATCTTTTGTTTTTCTTTTTTTGATACCACATTTTCTACAGAGTGAAACTGTTCCATTATGCACCTATGGGTTTTGTGATTATGAATTCACTAACCCGACAGAAGCGGCTCAAAGGCCGAGTTCCGCAGACCCACGGAGACCCCAGCATCCAGAGATGTTGATGAATTCGGAAGACGAGAGAGCCTCGCCCTTATTGATTTATTGGGGCAAATTTGGATATAGAGCGTTCAGATTGTTTTTGACTTGTCGAATGAGTGTGCTTTTGTACCAAGCAGCTGTTTACAATATTGCCTTGATCTTGATCTTGGTCTTGTGCCACTAGAATCTCACGCCTACATCTACCTATGTTCACATGGAAGTTAGGTACGGTTTAATCACTGCACCAATGCACAGAGCCCCTTTGAAGCCAATAATGCCAAAGGGAATCAAAAGGACATGTAAATTCAATTGTGGCTCATATACCATGGCTCGCGGTAGAATCGGTTTACTTCAATAGGTGCAGGGTAGACCTGAGATGCATGCTACAACACTCAGATGAGTGCTTAGTACATGTGCGGTTCTCTATAATCCCTCAAGTGTAAGTGATCGCCGAAATATTGCTCATGTGCATTACTGCCATACACGGCCAAGCATTCTCAGCATCTGTATTTGTCTTTACTTGCATCATGTGCGTTCCCACGTTACACGCACATGCTCAGCTGGCCCCTCACTTAACTGCAGCCCGACATTAAACGCTCCACTCTGACAGCGATGACATGCATCTTGCAGCTTCATCTATACGGAGTGCATCCACTGTGTTGGTTGTGATGATGCAGTTGTAGAGAAGAGAAGCAAACAAGATGGAAAATTACCAACAACAAAGACCAAAACAAGACGCATGGTAATCCAAAAATCAGAGGTAAGCCGCCCACGCAATGATTATTCCATAGCGGAGCAGATCAGAGCTACGACTGGGAATAACCGCCCGTGTAATATCACTAATTGGGCAAAGTATAAAAGGGACGGGAATCACATGTCCTCAGCTTATTCACTCATCCGGCCTCAATTTTACACCAGACTTCAAGTATTTACGAACAAATAATCTCGAGATAACCTCTCAAATGGCCAGCTGGCAGGCATATGTCGCTTCGTGGATGGTATGGTGGCGATTCAAGGGCTCTCTTCAAACCATCGAGGCTCTTCGCCAGCGCATCGAAACTGATCGCCAGACCAAGAGTACTCGACCTCCAGCGCATCTGGAAAAGCAGTTCACCATTGAGGAACGCCATCTCGGAGGCTGCACTCTCTATGATGTAGCGCCCAAGTCTGAGATGCCTAACCAGGCCAGGATTCTTTACCTCCATGGCGGCTGTTTTCTGTTTGAGATTGATGTGGCACATTGGCAAATGGTGGCAGCACTGGCAGAAAGTCTGCGAGCCGTGGTGACAGTAGCGATATTCCCGCTGGCGCCAGAACATACCCTGATGGAGATTTTTGATGCGGTAAGGCCGGTATATGACGACCTTGCTTTGCCATCCCAGGACAAGACGCCCTTCTTTGTGGTGGGAGATTCAACGGGTGGCAGCATGGGCATCTCACTCACCCAGGAGGCGCTTAAAGCAGGACGGCCAACGGCATCTCGGCTCGCCTTCATGTCTCCCTGCGTCGAGTTTACCTTTCATAACCCCGAGGTGCGGCAGGTCGCCCAGACTGATCCGTGGCTGGATGTCCCGGGCTTTGAAGAGGCAGTACGGTATCTTTGCCCAGATGTCTTGCCGGATGATGCGCGAGTGAGCCCTCTTTATGGAGACGCTAGCAAGCTGCCTCCGACCATGATATTCGCCGGATCAACAGAGATGTTGACGCCGGATATCAGAAAATTTGTGGCCAAGGTGGTGGAACGGGGCCGAGAAATTGAGTATGTCGAGGGAGAGGGCATGATGCATGTTTGGCCCTTGGTGCAGTTTCTTCCAGAGGCGAGGGAGGCCGTGGATAAGCTGGTGCACTGGCTGGAGTGTGGGAAGAATTGATGATGGGGGCTATGAGAATGAGGATCCCATATTGTCGTGATATTGACGACTGAGGTAAGTGAATGATCAAAAGAAGCGGGCTGGCGTTTGTGTTTTCTTGTGCCGCATACGAGACTTTGGTTATGAGATGGATATACCTACATATAGAATGATTCACAGCTGTTTGGATGTTGACAGAAGAATGGAAGGCAACACTGTTACATGTTGAAGTGGACAAGAAGAAGATGCGGTTGGTGATTTAATTACATGTATATACCACATAAAGCTGATTCAACACTCATTTACTCACATCCAACTTCATCACTGCAAAATCTACCGTCCCAACCTCCATCCACATCTTGGCTTCGAATTCGTGCGCCTTAAACGTTTCCACCAACGACCTCTCAACACCAGCCCAATACTGCACTCCATCTGCCTGACACTGCTTACGACCAACATCAACCAGCTTCTTCCACACATCTTCCGCTTCCAATCGCGGAAGAGCTGGATCGACAAAGAACTCGACAATCATCCAGTGATGGCTGTCTTCGCCAGTCAACACCGTCTTGCGTACTTCCGGCATGGCGACTTGTCGAAAATAATCCAGGCGCGCGTTTCGTACTGCGCGGTTGGGACGGATCTTTTCTAGGATGCTATCATGGTGGCGGTAGAATCTCCGGAGGCGCTCTTCACGGACTCGTAGGTTAGTGATTTAACTCACAATCTGTTGTTTCCAACCAGACAAGCATTGAAGGTTAGAAAGGATGTAGTTTTACTCACTCTCGCGAGGCGAGCTTTTACTAAGATCCAATCCTGCTGGCGGTGGATTGTCTCCGGGAACTAATGTCACCCAGCCTAGTATCTTGGAGTCCTCTTCAAGCACGTAGACGTAGACGCCCGGCTTGAGCACCAAGTTGCGCACGTATTGAGTCCACCACCTCCTATATGCAAAGGGATGTTCCCACTTGCCAGGGAAGAAGTACTTGTGAAAACCATCCTGCCAAGTCAATTCGACTACGTAGTCCATGACTTTTGGGACATCGTCAACGGTCATGAGTCGGATCGCCATGCTTGCTTTGGTGATGATGCAGCGAAAGAAAAGCTATTGAGAGCGAGTTAATATCCCCAATGCAGTTGTAAAGTCTAGAGTTATGAAGCGCGTTCCATCATAATTGTAGAAGTAGTAATCTGGGCGGGATCGGCAACAAGGGCCCAGGCACTACGCGTCTTACCTCAGATTCTTTCGCAGTTAATGCAAATGGCGAGACGCGATTTGCCTACTTGGGTGAGACCTAAGCACTACCTTGTTGTCATTTTAACTTCTCACGTTCAACATTAGTTGAACGAAGTAGATGCGGTATGCGAACTTCGGACGTTCAGTTGTGAATTGCAGAGAAACTTGTAACGAACGGCATTTGCGACTCAAAGTAATTGAGAGGATATTCTTAAAACTTATTTCCTTTATGTTTGCTAGATCTTGTCCTCTATAAAAAAGCCTCTAAAGATATCGCCCACTGATTACCCTCTAGTTCTTACCCAACAGCTCCAAGTAGTGGCCCACAACAGACTGAACCTGCTCCTCAAAAGTCTTGAACTTGAACCCGAAAAGCTTCTCTGCCTTGGTGCTATCTACCTTTGAATCGAGTGTCACTACCTTTTCAACAGCCTCCAATTTGAACAAACCATCAGCGGCCGCCTGAGGGAAATGCTTCCTGATGAACTTTGGCGACTCGTTCCACTCAAACTTCTCAAGAGGGTGCGACGCAGCCAAGAAGTCCTCATTGCCCTCCACCTTGGGATCCAAAGCAAGGACATGTAGTCGGGCAACATCATCAACGTGAACGGAGCCACCAGGGATGGGCGGTCGCTGTGAACCAAGAAGCGGGCCCATGAGCATGTTGTTGGTTCCCTTGACAATCTGCTCGGCGGTCGTGACGGTATCATCCCGTCCGAGAACGTAGACGGGGAATATGTGATGAACGCCAAATGAAGGCTTTCTCTCTGCAATGAACTCTTTGGTCTTGTTAAATGCTGTAGCTTTGGAGGCGGAGTAGGCTTGAATGACGTTCTCGAAAGGGCCGTGAGGAGTTGGGGTTCGCGTTTCCTCTGTGTCATGTTAATATCGTGTAATTTATTGAGGAAATATTACCGAGACTGGTATCTCGCTGGGGGTGACAGAAGAATTCACGAGCTCAATAAACTTACCATTAATATATGTACCTGAGCCTAAGGTCTGTGGTGTGCCTAAGGAGAGGATAGATCCGGTAATGACAACTTTCTTTATTCCGGTTGCCTTTGTTGCTGACTCAAGGATGCCTATGGTGCCCTGGATAGCTGGCTGAATCATGTAGGTCTCATAGTCGATTCCTGGAGGAGCGTTGCTCGCCAGAGGAGAAGCAATATGCACGATATACTCGACGCCTTTGACGGCTTCATCGTAAGCTCCAGGGACAGTAATGTCCGGCACAATGACGCTGGTCAACTGCGAGGCATATGGAGTAACGGGCTTGAGTTGTGAGATCTTGTCAAAACCAGCTTGGTTTCGCACAGCGGCGCGGACCTTGTAGCCTGCTTCAAGAAGGAAGACCAAGGTTCGGAAGCCGATCATGCCAGTGGCTCCGGTGATCTGTAAATCGTTAGCTATTAGAACTGTTTATATGAACGAAAGTAGTGATGGAGAAAACAAACAAGAACAAGTTCGCCAGCCATGATGATTGATGTGAATATGACTTGGAGTGAGGTGAAAGTGTCTGTTGGATCGGGGTTCAAGATGGTATATATATAAAGCAGAAGCAATTAAAGCCAAAGAAAAATCCGATAATGTTCTTGGTGTTGGGACTGAGAGCTACTGATGCCACTGAATCTATTTATGCAAGAATCCAGGCGAAGGATCGATCCTGATGGCTGGAAACACCGCACTAACTAAGCCCAACGGCGTTGTTGGATCCGGTTATTCCCCTCTTTGTCCATCGCCTTCGCTCCTCCGACAAGCCTGAGAGTCCCTGCTTTGCAAGAAACATCGATGCATGATTTGTCATATAGAGACTAACGGTTCACGTCGTAACATTGGTTCCCTAATCGAGATCAAACCTCGGATGCATTCCATAGTCGCGCCATAGAGAAGCGGGTTTATGGAAGATCGAGTGGGTTCCTTAGTGAGCTATGAGACGGGGACTAGCGGAGAAAAGCGCTTCTACAGGAAATGCCGCTCTGTCCGCTAATCTTCTAGGGGTTATGTTAGCCTTAGAGGGCTGATTAGTATTCGGACTTTGGTGATGGGACGCGATTAATAATCTTCGAAGAGCGCTGGACTGATTCAGAATGGACGTGAGTGACGCTAGCGTCTTAGCATTACTTTCCCTGTTGGGATAATGGTATACCTATGGTTTGTTGGCTGTGAGGAATCAATTCTTCAACTCGTGTCCACATTATGGGATATACCATAATGAGAGTTGTAGAATGTAAAGATTTCACCAGGAACTATCGGGCATGTAAAGTCCGATAGCATACTCCTGGTTCTGGTGACTAATGTTGACGACGATTGCATGTATAAGCATGGCTACATTGAATGTAGTTCCGGCAATTGAGTTAACGACGCTTTGTCATGTGTTAATGGCCTATGGGGGTAGTATTCCTATTCTTGTTAACCCTTGGATGTCTGGCTCTGATTTATCATCCCAAATGACAATGTCTAGAGTCTCTGCATAAGCCGACCAACGACGACACGTCGGCAGTGTATCTGGATTGGTTCTTGCGATTGCCGAGGCACCAGAATGATGTCAAGAGAGATTATTCAGATTGAATATCCAACTGAATCAATTTTCATAATCATAATCTCTGAGAACAAACCTTTCCAGGATTATTGACTTCCAAAGTACATACCTGACTTTCAAACCGTCAGTCACATAGTTAACAGCATGAACGATGATCTTGCCTACTCAACGAATTAGGGAACCAAAAAAAAAAAGATATCTCATCTATAGAAAAATTAAGGACTAAAATTCAGTCATTCAGTCAGTATGATGGGGATAGAAGGAGTCATTCGAGTTGTTTGCTTAGTAAAGTCAACTCAAGCAAGACTCTGGCGATACTCAGAGCGGCCTGGTGAATCACCGACAAATTGACAATTGTACGTCAATTGCTTTATAACGGAATGAATATTATCCTCAATCACAGTTAAAATAATTAATATGAGTTTTAATTACTCCGAAGTGCAGTGCGAATAGTTCTGAACCACAAAACACATCTGAAGCCAGATCGTGTAACGCGCCTAATATTTCTGCCGATGCTAAAAGATATAGCCAAAACGACTATGTAAGCCAACCATGGATGAGCGCAACAGCTTTTAAGCTTCCAATGCTGACGTCAAGTATTATTGTTTTCGCAGATGAATTTTCTGTTTCCAAGAATTCCGCTGAAACGCTCATAATGTTGGAAGGCTTCGATACATTCACTATCACAACCCAGGATGAGCCGCACGTATCAATATTCGGCATCAAGAGTGGCGATGCCTCGTCATCGAAGCGGCCGCCGTTGTTACTCCTCCACGGATTCCCACAATCGCATCGCATCTGGCGCCGGGTTGCAGCACAGGTACAGGACAAATACAATATCGTCATAATCGACTTGCGCGGATACGGAAACTCATCCAAGCCGGCCGATATATCGCAGTATGTGAAAAGCTTTATGGCTCTCGATTGCATCAAAGTGATGGATGAGCTGGGCATCACAGAACCATTCTTCGTCTGCGCCCATGATCGGGGTGCAAGAGTGGCTCACAAATTATGTGTCGACTATCCAGACCGCGTGCGCAAGGCCATATTTCTGGATATATGTCCTACGCTTGCAATGTATTCAGTCGAGAATCCCAACTTTGCAAAGACTTACTGGCATTGGTTCTTCTTGATCCAGAAAGAGCCACTGCCGGAGACGCTCATATCTGCAAGCGCCCGGCAATTTGCGGAATTATTTATGGGAGGTCGACAGAAGAGTGGGCTGGCTATTTTCGAAAAGGAGAGTCTGGATAGTTACGTTGAGAATCTCGAGGACCCGGCGACAATACATTCTATGTGCCAGGACTATCGCGCAAGCGCTACAATAGACTTGGATGAGGCGCGGGAGGATGCAAAGCAAGGGAAACTACTTCAAAGCCCATTGAGGGTCATATGGGCTAGACATGGCGTCATTGGCAAATGTTTTGATGCCGTTCAGGAATGGAAGACTGCTAGCAACGCTTGGGTAGATGGTCATGACGTTGATTCGGGGCATTACATCCCGGAGGACGTGCCAGATGAAGTTGTATCTAATATCCTGGATTTTCTACAATAAAGAGCCTATTTTCAGATGTATGCGCAAAAAATTCTGCACCTTTACTTTACCAATAATTGCTTATACAAGCTTTGATCCATGCTAAACTGTGACAGGTTTGTGATTGAAGTTGAAGTGCGCTCTACTTGCAGCGGCATGAAATTACCCGAATAGGAATCTGTAGCTCTGGTGAGCTCCCCAAGCTTCTTCCTTGCTACGGTCAACTGCTGGGCAATATTTTCTCCCGTATAGCACATTGATGAAGTCGGCAAAAATATGTGATAAACAGGGTCGGAAAGAGAGCATGTTAATGTGAGAGTTAACGTGGCAGAGATTGTAGCCGGATTCTATTAAGCTCATCCGATATACTTCAACTGGCAACACTATACCCCGCCCAGTGATCGGCTACTTCTGTATGCGAAACAACTTGAACTGTGCGGGAGAAAGAACAAGCGTGCGCATGCCGATCCTTTGCTGCATCATGCATCTGCTGCCTTTTCTTTTTCCTCCCGTTTCATGTGTTTTTCATATTTCGTATCCGTCGCTTTTTCTTAGATTTATTGGGTCATCACTTCATCTAGTTCTATTATTGCTTCCTGTCGCCATTCTGCAATTCTGCCCCTCACTACCACCACCCAGAGGCCAAGATGCCGGCTCGCAAGTCTCTCAGAATCGCCGTCATCCCTGGCGATGGCATCGGAAAAGAAGTGATGGAACTGGGTGTCTTGTGTCTGGAGACCATCGCCACAATCTACAAGATCCAGCTGGAGTTTGAACACTTCGATTTTGCGAGCTGTGACTACTACAAAGAGCATGGCGAAATGATGCCCCCGGACTGGAAGGAGAAGCTTCTCCAGTTTGACGCTATATATTTTGGGGCCGTGGGCATGCCTGATCTCGTCCCGGACGATGTATCTCTCTGGGGAAGCCTGCTTAAGTTTCGCCGCGAGTTTGACCAGTATATCAACCTGCGTCCTTGCCGCCTAATGCCTGGAGTTCCGAGTCCGTTGGCCAACCGCAAGCCGGGAGATATTGACTTTTGGATTGTGCGAGAGAACACTGAGGGAGAGTACAGCAGCATTGGAGGAAAGATGTTTGAGGGGACGGACCGTGAGATTGTGATTCAAGAAACAGTCATGACGAGAACAGGAGTTGATCGCGTACTCCGATACGCGTTTGATCTTGCGCAGAGCCGACCGCGCAAGATATTGACCAGTGCAACCAAGAGTAATGGCATTAGCATCACAATGCCTTACTGGGACTCCAGGGTTCAGGAGATGGCCACAAAATATCCAGACGTCACCGTTGAAAAGTACCACATCGACATCTTGACAGCTCATTTTGTGCAGAGACCCAAGAAATTCGACGTGGTGGTCGGTAGCAACCTATTCGGAGATATTCTGTCAGATCTCGGCCCTGCATGCACTGGCACCATTGGCATCGCTCCGTCAGCAAACATCAACCCCGAGGGCAAGTTCCCAAGCCTCTTCGAACCGGTCCATGGAAGCGCTCCGGACATTGCAGGACAAGGAATTGCGAATCCAGTGGGCATGATCTGGGCTGGTCAGATGATGCTGCATCATTTTGAACATCGAGAGGCGGCGGATGCGTTGCTCCAAGCGATAGAGAAAGTCATGGCTCGGGCTCAAAAAGATGTTATTACGCCGGACATGGGTGGCAAGGGGACGACTAAAAAGTTTGGAGAGGCCATTAAGGATGAGATTTGGCGGATGGCAATAGAAGCCGGGAAGTGGTCGCCCTGAACAATGCCTAGGTCCATTGTTAGATATGAGTGTGCCCTGCATTCACTTTGCCATGCCTAATACTATTTGAGGAGTAAAAAGGTCCAATTCATCAGCACATTAATAATGCTGTATTCAGTGGAATATGATAAAGGAGCTGTATGAATCTTCAACTTTAGAGTCTCACCAAGATCAAGTCCATGTTTATTATTAGAAATGCCATCTTGATCTTATCAGATTTACATCGTTGCCACATCTCAGCCCATCACTAGGTACGTGAGATTGACCTCGGCATTCCCATCCATGCCAAATTTGTCAGCATGCCTTTCCCACCTAAACCGGGCTATCCGCACTTGAGCGGTGATATCTGCCTGCATCTGTCCGCAATATCCCGCAGATCAACTAACAACCTGCCATCGCGACGCCCAACCACAGCTATTGAGGGCTGAATCCGATATAGTGCATTTGCCTATTCCATCATGGAGCGGCGTTATGAGACTCTGGCCACGACGCCCGCACCATTCGCGTGCTTAGCATGCCGCGACTCTAAACGGCGTTGTGACCGCGCCATTCCCCAGTGCAAAGGCTGTCTCCAGTAGGGCTCCGATTACATACTCACGCACTCTTCAGTGCTCTATACTAATCAGCGACCCCCTATAGGAAGCGGATTGTGTGCGACTATCCCTACCGTCGCAAGAAGCGAGAGCGAAAGTCACCAACCACGGCTGCAGTTGTGTCTCCCACTTCCGGCTTACTTACTGATCAGGTTTCGACCGCAGCTTCAGCCGAGACCTCACACGCGAGCCCGGACTATGATAGCTTCCATCTCGTGTCCTCTCATTTTTCTGGTGCTAATTTTCTTACTGAACGATTTCTTGATCCTGAAGCGTTTACCAGTGCTCAGCTCAAGGTACCGGAGCCCGATATTGGTCACCTTATTACAAAAGATGTATCTGAGTGTGTCGGCGACGTTGCCAACATCAAGGCGATATCCGACAAGTTCTTCACTTCTGTCCATGAATGGATGCCAATCATATCGAAAATCCAGTTTCTGACCAACTTGGTCAGTTGGTTGACCCATAAACGTGCTGAACTCTACTTTCTCATCCTTGCCATGAAATTGTCCTGCGAGCAAGTTTCGGGACCGAGAACACCGCTTTATCAAATCACAAAGTACTTGCAGTTTCGAATTGAGAATTCCGGAGCTTTATCTCTTCAAGTAATTCAGGGCTCGGTTCTCATAGCCATTTATGAGATGGGGCATGGCATCTATCCGTCGGCATACTTATCTATTGCGGGGTGTGCTCGTTATGCTACCGCTCTGGGGATTGATAAGTCAATTCTCTGTCGAGATTTAGACGGTGTCCCGAGGAACGAGCTGGAGGAACGTCGCCGAGTGTGGTGGTCAATACTTGTGTTAGATAGGTAAGTATCGCCATTCCTTCCCTTCACTGCCACGCACCAAACTAACTGCAGTGTCAGATTTCTGAACTTGTCGGATCCAAGTCGCCATCTAGTAACGGCGGACCCAATCTTGGAGAATTGGCTTCCGGTTGACGATGCTGCATTTAATAATGGAGTGAGTTGCACCACACGATGTGGCGATGGATCTAATTTAACATAATATCCCTAGACCATCCGGCCTGAAGATGCCTATACACTCGGTTCGGCCACCGCCCTTGATCTAGGCCGATTTGCCCGATTTGCGCAGGCTGCTCATTTGATCGGCCAAGTTCTGCGTCATGTTGCCGAAGGATCAAGTGAGAGCGAGACGGCACAGCTGAGACGCACCATATTTTCTCTAGTCAGCGTTTCAAAGCTTGAAGCGCACCTAAGGCAACTGGAGTTCTGCTCCCAAACGGCTGTGTGCTACTGGTATGTGTGCTTCAACGAATCTATTCGTCTCGCTCGCTAACAGTTACAAGTGGAATACTGCTACTGGATTGCTCTCAATCGAGGAATAAGGACAGCGCAGACTCATCTGGCACACCACTCGACCAGCTATCTACAGAAACCAACCTGATTTCTCAAACAGCTCTGCAGATGTCCATGTACATCACACAGCGAGCCTATACGGAATTGTTTGGCCGCTCATCCCCGTTCCTGTTGCATATGCTGTACAAAGTGGCGTTGATCTACTTGGAAGCGTCGCGATCTACCCATGGCGATACTATTGCTGATAAGTTGCATATTATTAAGCAGGCGCTGGAGATTCTCGGACGCCGATGGCAGATTGGGAGTACGTATTGCCACCGCGCTTTTTCTTTGGGAATGTTCTAACTTGGTATGCAGATTCATATCTTTCTTTGTTATCACGGCACGAAATTATGCAAGCAATGAAGTAGAAGAGTGCCACAATTCTTCAATTCTTTTTTTTATATTTAAGCGACGACGCTCATGTGCTGAAAACGGCACCGAACATAAACCACAAAAGGTCTCTGTGGTATGAATCTACTTTACATATATCCAGCATCCTTTGCGATCCTATCCAAAAGTTTATGCAGCTTGACAGCCTTTTCGAAATCGGAATAGCAATCATTGTTGAGCGCGTATGCCTCAAATAATCTTGCGGTATTCACTCCAGGCGGAGCAACATTCTTGATATGGCTGGGCTCATCTTGTTCCCAGCCAATTGTTTTCACTTCCCCATCTTTTGTAATAAGACGCAGATTCCTCGCATTCGAGCCCGTCTGATAACCTCTGCCGCGGGTCGTGAGCTCGATTTCTCCTTCGGTGCCGGAAATGAGCCAACGCAGACCGTGTCTATCGATTGACCTGGGGGGTGTGCGAGTGGTGATGCTCACAACAGCACCACTTTCTAGCGTGCCCTGGACAAAGATGTGATCTGGAGAAGTTCTTTTCCTCTCGGGATCAATAACTTCTCCAGTCTTGCTGCTGATGAGCTTTACAATTGGATGTTGGACAGCCAAAATCGATTTGACACTGGCGAAATCACCAAGCACATGGACGAAGCCACTCAGGACTAGTTACGGATGCAAGTCAGTTTAAAGATCATCAACACATATGAGAAAAGCACTCACAATGGGCAAATATGATGTGGAATTCGTCCCCGCCACTCTCAAAATCCAGATAAAACTCAGCTTCTGCTGTCCAAGTATGAATTGGTCCAGTGGGAGGAGCAATCTGAACGTCGGAGCTGGTTACTCTACCAATTGCTCCGCTCTCAATTAACAGTTTAGCTTTTGCAAGCCATGGATCTGCGCAGAACTGTGTCCCGACTATGGTCTTTAAATTGGCCTCTTTAGCCAGTTGAAGCATCTCCTCAGCTTGCGCCGTGCTAGCACCTAGAGGCCATTCCACAAAGACTTGCTTCTTGGCCAACAGGGCAGGTTTGGCGGCGAGCAAATGTCTCGAAACAACAATGGACACATCAATGAGGTCAATATCGGGATCGTTGGCTAGGTCCTCTACACTGCCGTATGCCTTGACAGAGGAAGGTAGCTCGTGATATTCGATGGACCGGCGGGCTGATTCAACAGACGAGTTGCATATGGCGACGATTTCGTAATGAGGAGAAGGACGGAGGGAGGCGAGGTGTGCGGAAACACCCCATTTGCCTTGGCCAGCACCGGCTGGCTCGGCGCTGAGCCCAATAAGACCGACACGGATGGGAGACATTATGAATAAGTATGAACGATTGTAAGTTTGAAGAGGCGTGATTGAGGAGGAAAGAGAACAGAAATTGGGAGAGCCGGATGCTCTGCAATTTATACCTCGATCCCATTCGTTTTCTGTTTGCCTTCGGGGCCGAATCGGCCGGAAATTGACTGAATTATGCTGTGAAATATGAGTATTTAACAAATATAACCAGTTAAGAGGCTCCAATAGCAGTATTCGTGATATATCTTCATATATGCCATTTATAAAAGCACCAATACTATTGCATCCAGTTCCGGGACCCGCTTCAACTCCGACCAAAGTTGGTCCAAGACCCACCAGAACTCCGGCTGCCACTACACTTTGCTCCACTTGAATCCCGTTGCTGATGGCAATAATTCATATAAGTTGCTGGATTCATGTATAAAAGACGGGTTTCATAATGGCTGTAATAAATCGCAACTTGTTTTGGAAGCTGCCCAAATCCGGATTCGGATTTCTATGCATTTGGTGGCCGTTGTGTGCTAGACCTTAAGTTGTGCGGCGCCAAATATGCCGGGGTTGATTTTTACCCCCCTGTGATGAGAAGCTTCAATTTGACATGGACAGCGGTTGCGATGATAACACCCGGTGTTAGAATCTAAGTCGCTTGAATGGTAAATCTGAAGACAGATAATTGCATCAAATCTGCTTTTTTCGCAAATTGCTCGTCATGGGAGTACGTTCTCTAACTGGCAGATATAAACCCTGTACCACAAGCTTGGTTGGCATTGCTACGCTGAATGAACTAATTTACACGGAGAAACTTCTACTTGACTTATTCAAAACTGTGACCGCAGCATATAACTGATTCATTTCACAAAGAAACATACCAATGGCCAAAGTTGTCAGCGAATCTCCGTTTAACAGAGCAGATGCACTCGATCATAGTCGTCTTAGAGAATCTCATGAACAAATCCGTGGCGCAGCTTATCCCACTTCAGCGTATACCCCGCAGCAAAAATTCGATCCTACCATTGACCATATTCCGGGAGAACCAACGATATCATTAGCTGAGAGTAGCGAATTTTTGCATAGAGAGCTTGCTACACCGATACTGGACGAACTTTACAACGTACTTCACCTGTTTGCCAGAAAGCTTAGCAGCAATGTTGATGCCCTCCATGCGCAAATTTTCAAGGGCAGAAGTATTGTAGCAGTTGAGGATCCCAGGTTTCATCTCGTGCGGCAGGAAAGGAGCGTCTTCATAAAGCCGATGCCCGTTTGTTTGCTTAATTACGACTTCTGGATGCACTGCCTGGCTTCAAGTTTACATGCTGCAACAGTACCACTTTCGCATAGTCCAGACAAGCCATTGTGTGTACCAGATTCCTATCGGGCAATGGCTATGGGATTTATGAGATCGTATTCTCATCTCATTCAACATCAATCAGACCTCCGAATTGCGAAAGACCGTGGTCTCGTCCCAGAGGATATCACTTGGACCAGATGGTCCAAGTTCATCCGTGGTTTTCGTCTTATTCATGATGAAGAAGTAGCAAGGCGATATCACTATGGCCAGCTTCGGCTTACGCGCTTAAATTGGGCCATCTTCATATTTCGACCCAAAAGTGCAGGTAACAGTCTGCGCTTTTACTACCAGTCTCCATGGTCGGCGTCAGTCTTCATTCAGTATGCCGCGGTGCCACTGGCATTCATATTTGCCAGCGTGTCTCTCATTCTATCTTCGATGCAAGTCATGCTCACGGTACCCGATGACTCGCTTCTCTCTGGAGGGATTGGTGAAAGGGGGCTTAAAACGGTGCAGCGTATCTTTTGGTGGTTTTCTGTCGTAACATTGCTATTTACAGCCTTATCCTCGGTGTTGCTAGTCTTTATTCCGCTTCTTATCATTGTATATCAGGTATCTTGGGGAATCTGGCAATATCGAGGGAAGTAGAGGAGCTGGATGTTTGCCGATGTTGTGAGATAGAACCTAGCCAAAACTAGATGACATGTTTAGGCTTTGGTGTACAGGTTGTAATTAAGATCATTCGGCTCTTATACAGCCGTACCTTGCATGCTTCTTATTGGGTTATCTCAAATGCAATGCAATTACTCTATTTACCAATTGACGGTAGCCACGTCGTGCGTTTAATGGTCAATTTCGGTGTGCAATTGCCGCGGATCCTTGCATTTAATCTTTTGATTCACTTTAGTGATTGATTTACTCTCCCGCACATATCTTCTTCAAGCTTTTTGCCCAAAGTAACTGTCCCGCTCATTATTACGGCAAGAAAGTGATGGCATAGTTGGTCCGCAAAATGACTAGACAATTGAAACCTATCCCGCCCACGTTCACCATCCAATATCCGTGCAAAATGCTGAAGTAAGCCTGTTGCAAGACATTTATGCATGTCTTTCATCTTACATGTAGGTGGCAAATTGTGGTATATGCGTGCCGCATTATGTACCACCATACCTGACAATGCATTGGAATATCTTTTAATTACCACAAATGACATGTATGACATGTGGCTGTATGATCTTGCCCAGCCTGTTTGCTATACAGCAGAAGGTCGAATTGTATCTTTCTTTCGGCTACCTGAATATAGAACGTAAGGTAGGTGTTTAGTTGTTGCAACGGCGAGTTTCTAGAGGGTTTTGGACTCGGCGCCCTGTAAGCCGTTGAGGAATGTTGTAGAGAACTTTAACTATGAAGTGACTTCAGTCTTGTGTTACATGCTTATGCGTGTGCTCCGTACTCACTGTCAGCCCGCCACATTTTGAGACTTGCTTTCAGAGGTTTTCATATTTGCGGGCTAGTGAGACATAGCAGCCCTCGGTGATCCTATTACCCTCCCATAGATCATACTCACATCAAAGCCTCAGCCAGCCACTCACGATTTACTGATGTCAGCCTTCCCATAATTTCGTATGATCAATTTCCCCTAAGACCTGGTGCCTACTAATTCCAAGTAATCGCCGTTTCTCGAACTGTCATCACAAATTACTACCAGTGGCCGACTTCCAAGACACTTTCGGTGAGATGGTAGGAGAACCAACCAACAAGTAAGACAAATGTTGCCAAGCGGGTACCTCTATCACGGTAAGACTAGAGCACAACAAACGTTCTTGTATAATTGCCAAGTGGTGAATGCGATAGTTATGAATTTCGACGGGTATGTTCTTCTGCAAGCCATCGGAGAATATGAGACCAACTGGGGCCTATTAGGCATTTTGTGATCTATCTAGTGGAACAAGTGATGTAATTGTATATAATTCGACTCCGCTCAACATGGTGGAACGTCTATATTTCAAGGTATAAATATTCGACATGCCTCCCCGGAATCCGAGCCAAGCTTTATCCTATTCATCCAAGCTTTCCCTAAATTACTACTTGCTTATAGCTTGCTTCCTTAACTATTTCCAAATGAAGCCTCTTTCGTTCTTCACCGTGCTTCTAGCCGCCTCGGAAGTCAATGCCAAGGTGACTAATGTTCCTAAGAAAGATGTAAAGTGCAGTAAGCTATCTAACTCTCTGAGAAAATAAACACTATTTAATTCTTTTTCTAGGTGGTATCGGCCGTGCCTTTACTCCGTCGGATGTTACAAACGCCGGAAACGGTGCACTTCAGCACAAAGATAAGCCTATTGGTAAACATCATCATAATTTCTCCTTTTGCAATGTTCTAGATGATTGACTCTCTATGCTCAGGAGAACGGAAATACCCCCATGTTTACCACTTTGACCGCTCTGACTGCGGTAGCCCTCTCTGGGGATTCCCGCTCATTTGGACGATCCCCTACAGTGGAGGAGATCCTGGACTGGCTAGGGCTACGTTCACCTTTGTGGAGGAAGGAGATGAGTTAGTGGCGAGGTAAGCTTGACAAAACACGCAACTCGAATTATATGAATACTAATAACCTCTAAGATACTGCGGTACTTACGCCCACAAAACGAGACCCGGCGACAATGACTTTTATCGGTGCGACTGATTCTGGCAAACTGCTGATTGCTTTGCATGAGAAAGAGCAGTTTCCATATTGATACATCTCTATGAATAGTATCACATTGAATTCTAATAGTCAAATCTTGCCAATTATTGAACCCCATGTAGGATGTGCACCGCCGCTACATAATGAGGGACCAGACTCCAGATGGACATACTTCGTCAAAGATAATGCCTGCCTCTTTTACTCCTTCTCAAATAGCTCTAAAATAGCCCTGTTTCCACACGCGGCAGCTGCATCAATAGCCGTCTGCTGAGCGTTATCCTCCATCATGGGATCGAGCCCCATATCCCTAAGCTCCTGAAATCGTTCAACATCTCCGGCCGCAGCAGCATGTAGCAGACCTCGGCCTTTGTTATCTATAGCAAAGAAGTCGCCACCCAAGGCTTCCAGCATTGGCTTGACAAGTTCTGCCGAAGGTCTGTCCTCGTCACTGTAATAAAACCAAGACTCCGTCTTGGGGCAACTATAGAATGAAAACAAGGCCGTCTCACCACGGTTGTTGCGAGCATTTATATCAATACCTCGATCAACTAAGACCTGGAAGAAATTGCGTAAAGCTGCAATAGAAATGCTTTGTGCCAATATATGCAGCAAAGTCTCGCCCTTTTTGTTGACCACTGTAGGATCTGCTCCGGCTGCTAATACCATCTCTAAATCATCGGTGGTATGCTCGTCGGTAGCTCGTCTCACGGCATAGTGAAATGGAGTATCACCGCTTCCATCGGCTTGATTTAATAAACTCGGAGCCTTTTCGATGGCATAGGCCAAGAACTTTTTGTATGTGGTGAAATAAGAGTGCACTCTTCCGGCAAGCATATAATGAACGACATTTTGACCAAAGTTATCTGTAGCCTCTAATTCTGCACCGAGAGACAAGAGCTGTTGAAATGAGGAAACACGCTCCGCCAGTGAAGTACCACCATCTTTCACACATGATCCAATAATATGATCAGGGCCACCGCCATCGGGGCCACCCTTATTCTCGCATATCATATGGAGAAGAGTGCGGCCTTTGGTATCTCGATGGTTGACGTCGAGATTTGGAAGCTGGAGAAATGCGTCTGCTATTATGTCCAAATGTAGCGCTTCATGTATAACAGTGCATTCTCTATAGCCTTTCGGTACCTCGATAGTAGTGACTTGCAGCTCTGGGGAATCGGGCTCGACCACGGTCCCTGTGTCCCATTTTAGGAATTTTGCGAACGGATTGGCTCCATACTGAACAAGTGTCCTAATGATTTCCATTCTGACGGCAATTTCTTGATAATAACTCTCCGATGGATCCCAGGGCATGCTTAGTTTCATGGCAGCATAATGCAGTGGAAACTCTTCATGTGCCTCTACTTCATCTTTCTTTATATTCTTCTCGCCTGACTCCTCGAGTGGCTTGTCTCGACGTGTATTTGGGTCTATGCCGCTAGACAGAAGTGCTTGTAGAACTTGGACATTGCCAGAGTCAATTGCGCCAAAAACCGAATTCACTGTGACTGTCGCTCCGTGCTTGATGAGAAAATTGATCATGTCCACGTTGTGCCGCGCACTGGCGAGGCAGCTCTGACCCTTGTCATCAATCGCATTCACATCTGCTCCCCTTTCGATCAATATTTTAGCTGCGTCCCAGTTAAAGGGGCCTGGCCGATTATCGTCTGCTTCGAGAGCCATGTGAAGTGGTGTTTGCCCCACGGCATTGCGCATATGAATGTCAGCACCAGCATCAAGTAGATATGGCAGCGCCTGGTGAACTTGCCACCAGTGGTTGCCTCGGACGACGTAAAAGAGAGCAGACTCCATGGAATTGTCAGCCTCATTAATATTTACCGCATATTTCTCAACAAGCAATCGAACCATGTCCATGTTGGGCAACTCTCGCTGAACTGCGGTAACGATGAGTGGCTTAACGTAAGAGAGTGGATCGTTGCTCTTTGAGAAAAATAGACCTGGTTTTAATTTATCGCCGAAAGCGTGCCACTCTCCCTCTGCTAACCTTGTTTCTGTCTCAATAGATGCTATTTTGTCAACAAGCGTTGTGAAGCCAAGTGATATAAGATGCGTTAGGGTGCAGCTTTCGTCTGGATTAGGCTCGGAATTTTCAGTAGGCTTAGGAAGAAAGGTCACCCCTAGCCGAACAAGTTCTTCTAGAACGTGATATTCCCTCCGAATCAAAAACCGAATGACAAAACTTAACGGCACAACTTGATTTTGATCTCCGGGATGAATAAGGTTTGACGATGTCAAGGCCTGAACTGCAGCTTCGTGCGCATGGCGATATGCAACTTCGGAGAACTTTGTAAGTTCATTCAGTTCTTCCCCAGCGTCTGTGCCAAGTGACTTTTGAGCAAGCCTTAAGCATGCAGCTGTATAATCCCGTCGTTTCTTGACAGCTGTGTTGATGAAGCCCTCGTCCCGTATCCCAGGGCGATTTACAAGACGAGAAGTATCAGCCCCATGTTCAACAAGCATATCGACAATCTCCTCAAGCCTTGTTGTATCGCTTGAACCTATACCTCGAACTCCACTAGTCCATAGGTCATATCTATTCTTACGGTATGTATCGGCCAGCTTTACGGGGGCCATGTATTGATATTGGCTGTCATCCTGTTGTGGGTAAGGACGTTTCCATAGGTAGCATTCTTCTTCAAATTCAAGACAACCCTGGAAGATGTTCTTAGATTTGACATTTGCTCCGGCTTCCAGCAGAAGCGACACCGTTTCCAGTCTTCCTGACCTACAGGCGTAGTAAAGCGGTGTCTCAGTATCAGCGAAATGATCACGTGTGGCTTTTGCATCCACGCCCATTATTGCTCGACGTTTAATCGCATTCTTGTCCAAAGTTGCACCGTTGGGGCTGCCTGGTTGTATCGTGCTGTCATCAACATTTGGTACGTTCTGTTGTTGTTTCCTCAACGCATCTAACAGCAGGCCGACATTGTTGCTAGCTCTGCACCGGGCAGCAAGGTGGAGAGGAGTCAGTCCTTCGTGAGTATAAACCAGAGGGTTCGCGCCGGCATCAATCAGCTTCTTGGCATAGAGCTCCCCACAAGTCACTGCTATGTGAAGAGGAGTGATTCCATCATTATCGGAGACGTTGAGATTTTTCACTCGTGAAAGAATGAAATCAATGGGCATGATTTTCCCCGGCTCCATGCGTAGTGAACGGGTATGAGCTACACATAAAAGGTGCAGTGGCGTGCGCCCGGCATGATTTTTCTGCTCCAAGTCCAAACCCAGACCAACGAACCTTTCCCAGAGTCCTAGTATTCGCGACCCATGATAAGAGTCGTGATTTTTAATCTCCATGGCAATTGTGTGAAGGATGCTATTTCCATTATTGTCAACAGCATTCACATCGAGATTTAAACTAATCAAGAAGTCAAGTCTCGTCATGGGATTAGTCGCGTTACTTCTAGATTCGTAGGCATAGGGATGCGTCACTGCGTGGTGAAGAGCTGTTTCGCCCTGGAAATTGCGCTGGAAAGGTGAAAGTCCCCGATCAATGAGACATTTGATGTCTCGGTGCGGGTCTTCTTCATTCATAAACAAGAAAGGGGAGAGGGAACGAAATATCAGATTGTTTCCGTCGTTGTCAACCGCGTTGATGTCGGCACCCGACGCGAGAAAGACGTCCAGAGTCGCAGTCCGATTTCCGCTAACCTGACCCCAAAGTAATAAGGGGGTGAGGCCACTGTGATTTCGCGCATTTGGATCCGCCCCTCTGTCGAGCAGAGCCTTGACAAGCTCTGTGTTTTGGCCTTGGTGTTGCATGAGAATATGTAATGGAGTGTTGCCCTTATTGTCGACTGCATTGCAATTTGGCCCGTACTCCAAGAACCTCATCGCGGTGGTCGGGTCGGCTCTGGATATAAGACCGTGAAGGGGTGTTTCACCATTTTCCTTTGCGGCGTTGACATCAGCGTGTCCCTGCTCAACGAGGAGTGCTATAGACGAGGACACCGATTCCATAGCCGCACGAATAGAGTGAAGCGGGGTTGCTCCGTCGATATCAGTAGCATTGGCATCCAGCCCAGCCTCTAGTAGTAACTTGATGAGGACTGGGCATCGCGATGCGGTATGCAGTGCAGTTTCACCTGAGGGGGTGCGGTAGTGAATATCAACTCCGGCGTCGATCAGCAGTGGAAATATAGCTTGAACTCTGCTGTCAGAATATTCACTGGCTTCTCTATTGCAAAGGGCAAAGAAGCAGTTTAGCCTGGGGGGTCCCTCTTGCAGATGAGCCCATCGCCAACTTGCATTGTCGCCGGGATTGCATCCAATGTTAGCATCTGCTCCAGCCTGCAAAAGCATTGTTACCATGGCTTCATCAGCCTTCTCACAGGCTCTATAGAGCGGGGTTTGGCCATCAACGGTTGCGTTGATATCCACGCCAGGTTGCTGAAGCAGCATATCAACGCAATTTGATGATCCTGAACTGGCCGCCCATGCTATGGAGCGGTGCATCAAATCCAGATCGTCTCTTATGAACGGCAGAAACGCTTCCAATGCATCCAAATGACCATCACAGGCATACATGAGCGGCGTGTTACCAATAGTTGAAGGGATATTGCCACACCTTACCCAAGGATCCTCGAGAGTCTTCTCTGTTAAAGGGTTGACGCCGGCTTTCAACAATGCTGCTATAGCCGCAGGGTGTTCGTTGCTAGCTGCTACATGCAGAGGCTTGACTCCTGTATAACTGTCAGGTCGATCCAGGTCGGCACCGCCTTCGATCAACGTCGAAAGAACTTCCGCGTGCCCCTCAGAAGCAGCCCACCAACTAGATATTATGTTAGCTATATAACTAGAGAATGAAATCCAGCCACTATCTCGGTAGTTGTCGGTCTAGAGCGGAGAAAATCACTGCTTACAGAGGAGTTCTATCATAGATATCGGGCACATTGATGTCAAAATTCCCGAGTAGTTCTTTAACATATGATACCAGGCCTGCTTTGGCAGCGATATGAAGTTTCGTGACATTTCTGGCGCCCAGACTAGACTCTGGCCATCTCATCTGGAGCCATGCTTCCATATTGTTGTCGAGTTCAAATAGCTCATTAAGCTTTGCGTTGATCTCCGTTTGATCCTGACCGGCAGCTTCGGATTTTACAATATGCTGGTACCAATTACTGGCGGCATACTCAAAAAATGGGTATTGAAATCTGATTTGGACCTCGACGTCTTTTATTCTGCGCTTATACTTTCCCCTGCCACCGCCGAAATACCAGTTTCTATATGGCATGTCGTCCATGTTTTCGTCCGTTTCGAAGCCAACAGAAGCCAAGCATCCAGATTTCAGGTAAAGAATACACTGTAGGGCAAGTTGAGCATGCGTCGGACCCATCTGAAGGACTGGATATCCAGTCTGCTGACCCCCATCTAACCGCGTAGACCCTTTGAGGTATTCTGTGAAAGAGTGGTGGATTACTGAAACTGTTTCATCAGGTAGGATTTCCAATAATGGACCACATGCAGCTCTGATGAGTTCTTTGGTGGACTTGATATCGCGCTCAGAATCCTCAGAAAAACTGACTCTGATCATCTCTGCCAGCTCAAGTAGCCTCAATGGACGGGTGGCATGAGTGACTGATTGCAGAATGAGATGCTGGATACTGTCTGGCACACCGGATCTTTTCGCATGTTCGCTTAATAGATCAGTATATAGAGCATTTAAATCCGTTGGAAGCTTCAAAAGAACTGCCTTGATATCGACATTGGGCTCGAGGAACGCGTCCATAGCTAGCTTGGCGTAAAGGAATAAACCGTTGGCACGACCGGGGACTGCGTCTGCGATAACTTGCCAATCGCTCTCTGGGATATTGGATCTTGATAAAGCAAAATGGACATAGGTCGAAATGTCCATATCAACCAAAGCTTCTTGCAGACGAATGTGTAGACAAGGAGTCTTTCTCAGAGGTATTTCGACACTTGCGACGGGGCGACTGGTGATCAAGATCTTGACTGTCTTTGGTCGCCACTGGCCAATCTCTCCAAGAGTTCGGAGAAACTCCTCGTTGCCTCGGTCCATCTCATCGAGTGCATCAGCAACACAAAAGACTTTTCCAGGAAGGCTAGCAAAGGCTAGTCGCAGTTGATTCCACATCGTTTCAGACGACATGCTCTCAAGAGATCGATGAGCATCTACATAAGCTTTCAGTTGCTTCTGTAGAGGAGGGCTATAGCTGAGTATTTGGTCCATCCAATCTCGCAGTAGAGCCCGGGGCTCGTGATTGGCGTCAATGATCTGGCGGAAAAAGAAGTATAACACTGGGGTGCCTGGGTTCGACTTGGCAATTTCATCAATTATACTGGCCGCCATCACCGACTTTCCAGATCCCGGAATGCCTTTGATCCAGAGAAGTCCATGCTCGTCGTTCTGAAGCCATTTTTGATATTGATCACTTGAAGTGAGCCAATTTCCTGTGCCCGCAACATGGGATGACTGGTGCCTGCGGAACTCTCCCCCCGCAATGTCGTAGGCAGTTGGCTGCAGCCAAGATCGAATCTTTTCTATGACCTCCGCAGGCTGGGGCAGCAATTGCTCTGGATTGTAATCACTGACATCGTCTCGGCCAATAAACACAGCATCAACATCTTCATCGCTGGTCTGGCTTCCTAATCCCATGATGCTGGCGTGGATCCAAAATTTGAGTTGCTAAGTGCTGCCACGGCAATCGAACAACACGATCAACTTATCTTGTGAAATAAAATAATTGAGAAGTAAAATAAGCAGGATTGTAGCAGCAGCTGAGTATAAATTGAAATATTAACATCCAGGCTGAAAAATGGAAGCCTATTGCTGTGCCTGTGACATTACGTTGTCCCCCTTGGTGCTCACTTTGACCGCCCAAGCCCAAGATCTACAGTGGATGAGCTGATGCTTGCTGCCTAGGTCTAATGCATAGTGAGTCAGACAAGTTTGTATGCACTTCATGTAAGCGCTTCAGCTTTGGTGATTGGATGCTCTTGCTCGCCTAATGGTTAGCCTAGGACTTCAGGATTCTGTTTATATATAGAAGTGCAACCAAGAAAGTAGGTAATCCACGACAAATATGCCCTGAACCCCACAGATTGTAGAGCTGGCCACTGGACCCAATCACAACCTATCGATGTACCCAGACAGAAGCTTAATGGATGTGCATTCACTTGTAAGGTCCACGATGAAAGCAAAAGACGATTAAGCCGATGCGCCTTGCTTTTGCTATATAAATATCAGCTTGGGTAAGAAACAATTTTCTCGCTTCTGTCTAGCAAATGTCACCGCCAAAGCTTAGCTCGATGCGATTACCGCCGTTAGGTAACTCTTGGGATAACAGCCAGCAAGCTTAGATGGGAGAGATTGCGAGAATAGCATGCATAGGATATAGAGAAGGCAAGAAACATCCTAAAGACAGGGCCAGGATAGCATTTTATATAAGATTGGTTTCCTCTTGAACGATCAAGGCATATGTGGACCAATCTAAGGCCTGCGAGATTTGGAGATGCAATATGGTCAGAAATTAAGAGGGCCAAGACGCTCATTTTAGCTCTATAGCCGCGGGGTTAAAGCGCCACATCAACAGATACGGAGTGGCAGACTAATAGCCCTACAAATCATCTATTCTCCGGGCCCTGCCGGAGCGTATGCGCCAGCCCATTCATTGCTTACAATTTGTGCTTAGTAAATAGTAAATGGCCGAAACATTCGAAACTTTGTCATGAAACTCAAGACGAGTATTGCTCGACGGAAAGAGTTGCTTTGAAATCGTGAGCTTGCCAAGTAGGGTAGTAAGATCAGGCTAGGTTGCGTGAGACTAGGATTAAAGCGGAAGTATGCTTTATGAGATGCCGAACTGTATATTAATCTGAATTACTACTCTGATTATTAAATGGCAATCCAGCAACATGATGTGCTGAACTGCAGGTAACTTTGTTTCAGCATTAGCACTGATACCTTGCTAAACCACATGTGGAATCAGAAGAAAAATGATTCCAACGTCCAGCTCTTGATTAATAACATGCAAATAAACATCGATTGAAACAAAGAACTCACAGCTAGACAATTGAAGAAATGGCAGTATAAATATGTCTCTCAAAGCCCATCTCTGGTCGAGAGAATTTCATCTATCAATCAATCACCTACATCCATCTATCTTATCATTGAAGAAGAAAATCTCAATTCAATAACATTTGCAGCCATGGCAGAACAAAAAGCAGTAATGATCACTGGGCGTGGCGAACGACTTGTCCTAGGAACTAGACCCATACCGACTCCTGGACCCAATGAAGTCTTAGTGAAGATTAGCATCGCGGGATGTTAGTATCATGATGCTCTACGGCCTTGCTAGCATGACTGACCAAAATAGTGAACCCACATGACCAGTATGTTCGTGATCTGGGGTACTTTATCGGCGATAACGTGCCCTCCCCATTTGGCATTGATATTGTCGGTGTTGTACATGCTCTCGGAAAAGGCGTCGACAAGTTTCAGGTTGGCGATTTGGTCTTTGGGAATGGAGATCCATTCATTGGAGATTACATGGGCACCCAAGAGTACGCCATTATGGATGTCGGTTTCATGGGCCGAGTCCCTTCTTCAATCACACAGGATGAGGCTGCGACATTGCCCTTGAATGTGCTTACCATGTACATTGCTCTGTTCCACTCATCTACTCACGCCATCCCATCTCCTTTGGCTCCTGAAGGACAATCCTTTGATTATAAGAATACACCTCTCGCCATCATTGGAGGTGGCTCCAATTGCGGCAAATTTGCCATTCAGCTTGCTAAGTGGGCTGGGTTTGGTACCATTATCGCGATCGCAGGCAAGGCTAACTCCAACCTTCTTCGTGACCATGGAGCTACCCACGTCATCGACAGAACACTGAGTAACGACGACATTGAGGCTCAGGTGCGAAGTATTGTGGGAGATAACCTTCTGCATGTGTGCACTGCAGTCGCTACAAAGGACCTAACGCTAGGTGCCAGGATTCTATCAAATAGCAAAAAGGGAATACTAGTTCCACTGACAGCTGGCGAAGTCGACGACACTAAGCTCAACAAACAGGCAGGATACCAATTGCGCCGTTTCCTCTGTCGTCCACATGAAGATGACAGGCGAGAGCTCTCAACCGTCTTTTGGAAGTCTTTCCCAGATCTTGTTGATAAGGGAGTTTTCAAGCCGACTCCATTTGAGATTGTTAAGGGGTTAGATGCAGACAAGATCAACGAAATCCTTGATCAGTATGGGGCTGCTAAAAACCCAACCAGACCGAATGTACACGTCACTGAGGTCTAGATAGGCTAGCGAATAGAGATATTGAAGGTAGTCATTCATTATCCTCAAAACTAAAATAAGACATTTGTGTCTTGCATAGTTACCGTGAGCTTGTAGTCAGTCTGAATTTAGTAGGTGGCAGGTCTCTTCAGGTAGTTACGAGCCGAACTTGAAATGTTGTGATAGTTGCCTTTCTTACGCCGCAGTATAACCGTTTCTTATACTCATTCTAGAGGCTTTACCTCTCTAATTGGTAGCTTGCCCTAGAGTCACAATCCCATACAATGACTATAATTATGACTGTTACCTTCATAAACTATAGTTGTATACGTATACCTGCCACCGCTCTTAGCGGTGTTGACTTTATAAAAGGCTTTCAGCAGAGGATTACTTGTACATAGCCCCTAAAGCCCTCCTTGGGTTAGGCTACATAGAGCCAACAAATGTGTGAGAGCTAGAGAAGATTTATTTTACTCTTAGACTTCCGAACCTGCTCAATTGCTTGTATAATCCAACGTAAAAAGCGGCATACGACTTTTATTTTAGATATAAATACGAGCTGCTATTACCACATGAGAAAAACGAATACAGGTTCATGTAGGTCAATTCAGTCATTATCTACGTGGTATTTTCACAGAAATTTCAGCGTCAGTTAAGGTGTTTACTTGCATTCAAGAAACAAATAGTAAAGTGCCGGATGGTCTATCATTAAACTTACAGCTACTACTGAGGAGTGCAATAATCATTAACGGCGCGTTTATTATGGAGAGTTTCAAGGAAAAGCGGTGGTAAATGATAAACACATTGATGAAGCATTGAAAAAAAAAAAAATCCTCTGCATTCGCCAAAGAATATGGGGAATCCCATTAAAGAGGGTAACAACCTATATCGCGGTTACTCAAAGATAAACTATACTTATGAATAAGACATATTCACTATCTAGATGCTATCTTATGTTGCCATTAAAGCAATCGTAATGTTAACATCTCCCAAGGCTCCAGGGCCATGATTCCAGGGCTCAACCGTCATTGCATATGGAGAAGATACGGGATCATAGCCTGTAGTTTTGAAGGAGTTGCTAGTCGAGAAGTAAGGAGACTCCCAGTAGAGACTGCAGATTTTCGTCTTCCCGTCATAAAGATCCATGGTACCTTCAACACCGGTCGAGGTACTCTTACGACCGCATGATTGGGCAATCTCCATTGAACCAGGAGAGACAACAATTTTGTCGATGTCGCTGGCAGGGATCTCATGCGATTCATCGCCCAAGTAGAACTTGCCCCTAAGGACTATTATAAGAACCAGAACTCGAATAGATGTATTATAGGCCATTCACTTACCACTCAAGCTTGGCGTTTTCGAAAGAGATGCTGTTGTTCCTCATCCGATTATGGACACGAATGTTAGCGATTTGCGCTATATCGTCTGTCTCAGACATATTGAATAGGACGTGTATAAAGAGTAGATTGGCTGTGACTGCAATTTTCTGATGTCAACTTTGTCATTCAAGAATTGACAGGGGGGGACGCCATTGTTCCTTTATAATCACAGTATTAACCTGACTTATAATACTAGGTTTCTTCTTAATCTCTACATAAAAACTCCTCCGCCGACTGACGTGCTTGGCGTTATTTACATAACTATTGCCAAACTCAAATATCTCACTTTCAGCCAGCCCTGGGCAGTGGCAAGAAGAACCCCAGAAGAGCATTCTCTGGGCAGTAAGATGATAGAATTTGCTACTTGATTTTTTTTCTCATTAGCCTCGAGCCTCGAAAACACTGAGACTGACACAGTTCATCTCAAGGGAGTCCGAGACAAAAGGAAAGACAATTGGGCCATCCCCGCGGCAGGTTTCACAAACTCCCTTCAAAGATGCTCGAAAAAGGCATACATCAGCTCACGGTTGGTGTTTGTGGCTTTCTTTGCTACGTAAGTGACGTCCGAGTGGAATGTGGCTTTATTGATGGCTAGCTGAGCTGGTAACCCTGCGTGCAAAAAATTGTGCCTCTGGGGTTTTCGTTTTCCTAACAGTCCCTTACCGCGGACTACCAGTAATGAGTTACGTTAGGATGCCCCATGAGGGGTATACAAGTCAGATAACGTGAAGTCTTAATTATGAGAAGGGAAAAATCGCCGTAGATTAATACAAAATAACAGAGTGATATGAACTTCCGCGTAATATATGACAATGAAGCCTCTAGTAATAGTGGGGTGTTTCATTACAGCTACTTGGATTCTGCATAGGTGCTTCAAGCCACATTCCTTCTTAAATGTTACCGTTTTTGGTGCTGAGCCATCATCTGAATTACAGAAATATGCTGGGACAAGGCGTAATATTATTCTTATGCTTCAGTGTAAACCAGTCATGGGACAATACCTTTTTCTTCTCTGGCTCCCCTGATACTCGTGATATAGGTATTGGTAACAATACAAGTCCATTAGGTTACATAAATGTATTATAGAAACTCGAAATTGCGTTAGAGAGCATCTGTTGTCCAAAGCTCTTAATCCCCATAAGAGAAACCTGGGGTATGCCGTTATCAGGATACATCACGTAGGCAAGTATCAAGACAGTGATGCCTCAGAAATTCAAGCCATTGACGCCATGCCTGTTCTTTGCCTTTGGAAGCCTCATTGTGGGTTAAATGCTAAGTGGAGAGGGCGATTTCGCATGGCAATTGCTTTCAAAGCTAGTGGGTAGAGCAGGCGTCATATGTAAAATATAAGTATCTAGCATGTTCCACAGTCAACAAGTAATGTTCACATATCAGGTTTATTCAGACTATCACGAAGAAATCTTGTTCTATTCTCTTCATATTACGACTTCCCATACAAGATGCCCAGCCAAGATCGTGTTCCTTACGTTGATGGTCTTACTGAAGGCCAAGGGTAATTTACTCCAAAGGCGATCTGGCCATGACTTTATAGAGCCCTAATCAGTATTCCAGTTACAACACCTTTCTCCAAAATGGCTGTATGCATGGGGCTGTGTCTATAAAAAGAAAACAGAACCAGGCAGAAACAGTCACTCCTGTTGAAGTTACATACGAAGCTGACCTGGTCACTGATTATGAGTGATTTATTCAATTAATCTTATATCTCTACTCGTATTGTTTCTAACAATTAATTGCAGGAAACTTGTCGACACTCTTGGCATTAGCGCTGGCGCGGGTATCTCCAAGATGGAGATTGGGGGGGAGATTGATGCCAAGTTTCTTGATCGTACAGAAGTATAATATTAGCACATTGTCGAATGAGTGGATTCAAGATACTGACTACAAGATTAAATTAGATGGAAGCGAGTTTCCTGACATATCTGGTCAGGGTGGACGTTCGACAACAGCCAGGTACCTCTTCTGAGTATAGCTTCAACTGGACATCGCCAGCAAACCCACATGACGTTTATGGGGATCGCTTCATCAGCGGTAATGCTAAATATTTCCTACCTATATCTGATAAAATTATCATGTAGTACTAATTGAAGCTTAGATTTTGTAAAGGGCGGTGCACTCTTCGCCCGAGTTTCCATCATCACCAAAGACACCAGTGTGCACAAAGAGATCGAGGAAGCGTAAATGTCCCATCCCGATCATCCCATCTCATGACTTCACAGCAATTCGATAACAATTTTAAGCAGTGCCAAAGTTACATTCCCGGTTTATGGAATCGATGTCAAAGTAACAGAAGAAATTAAACAAAGCATTGACAAGATCCACAAACACTCAGAAGTGAATATATATCTACATTATGTTGGAACTCCTCCGCATTACTTTGTCACACTTGCGGCGGGTGACGATGAAAATTTGCTAGCACTCAAGCAAACAGCAGACAAGTTTCTTAAAGATGCAGAAAGTCATGAGTGGAAGCGATTGTAAGTATCGCCAACCATTTACTGCTCTCTCTTCCTTCGCTGACTTCTTGAAGCGCAATGCTCGAGAAATATAACAATATTCCCGATTGGGGACAGAAGTTTACTCCTTTGAACTATTCCCAGGCAATGGACTTGAGCTGGTCGGTTTTTGATGATTTTACTCAGTATTTTGCCATACAAAAAACTATCCGCCAAAGTACGATTCCGTATCGCACTGACGATACTGTTTTTATGCGCAGATCTAACAAGATCGTTAATAGTCAACCCGGAGCATTACAAAGGCGGCAGGGAGCAGCGAGATAAACTGGACCAGCACTCAAGTGCCGTCATTGGAGGTTATAGAAGCTGGGTAATTTTATGTTGTAACGCGATTTGATGCATGTGCTCTGCTCACCGCTGATGATAGGTTGTGGATGTCAGTGCAGACCCCGAAAAAGCTAAGGAAAAGCCGCCGTTCGACTATCCAAAAGTCTTTCTCCAAGAAGTGTTGGTAGGTTTTTTTTTCCGCTTAAGAAATACATAAATTTCTTCCTTTGGTTTGGTACTGACTTGATGAAACTCAAAGGCTGCAGTTCAGAGCACACACTTTATCGCTCAGAGCCTTCACTTCTCTTCTGGCAAAAGGACTCACTGTACGATTGACCCAGATTATGCTCTCCTACTAGATACCTGCTAACAAGTATGCCACATAGTCATTGACGATCACCTTCACCCCAATGCTAAAAAGCTATTCGACGTAGAAGCATATAGCTTTGGGGACGTCATTGGCATAACTAACGTCATATTTGCAAAGAAGAATTCAGAGGATACATTCATATGCCTGATTGGTCGTGGAATATCTCCTGGATACGAAGAAATGAGTCGCTTATGGGTTTCCGAAAACAGAGTCGAGGGAGTATTCGACCAAAAGATAAATGTTTACGGTGCGGATGGAGCAGGATATATTGAGCTTGAGTTGGAGGAAGTAGAAGGCCAAAACTCTAGTGACCTTCTCTTCAGTTTCTATGCCAGAAAGGCTAACTGATATATGCGGTCCAACTTTGGGTTTACTACTTCAGTTTGGAAATATAACCCATAGCTTTAGGTATATCTTGGTGGTTGAAGTTTGGCATCTCAATAACACTATTACACGTTGTGATGGACTGAATACTTGACTTATTTAGTCTAAATGAGCTATAGAGCTAGATAAATACGGTATGCGATTGAATTTTATGATTTTTTAAGCACTTGAATGTGGCTATGGTACATGAAATGCATGGAGGTGAGCACATGCTACCATCTCAGTCTATTATTATACCACAGGTCTACTCAGAAAATAGTCCAGTGGCCAATAAAACATATGCAAACAAACTAAAACGCCATTGGAATATTAAAGATTATTGATATTGACGATTTTACAATATAAACACTACATGTAACTTGGATTCATCTTACCAGTCGTTCTTATCCTGCTCTTCACTCGGAGTAGGCAAAATTCAACAATCATTATCTCAATTTCAGAATTATTTCTAAGATCCGTGCAGTATTTTTTTTTTTTAAAAAAAACGAATGATGTATGTCTCTTTCGTATATCTGTTTAGTAGGCCATTTCCCCTTTGAGCATCTCCTTACCAGGTTTCTTACAGAATGTTCGATGCCACCTGAAATGCTCACAAACTATCGATGCGGCAGGTCTCGAGCACTCTCTCTGTACGCTTGGTACGTTCATGCTCTTGCCCAAAGAAAGCTCGGGATAGTAAAAGAGCGCGCTCAAACCAAGGACGGCTTCGCTCACATGTAGATCTCTTGTGGAGCCGAAATGCCGTCGAGATGAGAAAATCATGGAGCTGCATGCCGTAAACATTACCTGCCTCAGAGATGTTTGCGGCAGCGACAGCTTCCACCTCCTCTAGTAGTTTAACACATTGATCCGGGTCGTCCGCTTCAAGGAATGTAAAAGCAACGCGCTGAGCTAATTTGAGCGTCGAGGGCTCTAATGGGTACTCAGTAGCAACCTGTTGTCTTAAGAGATCACCACCTTGTCTTAGGATGCCCTTAGCTCTCTCAAACTGAGCGTCTTTGACCCATATGTTCGCCAAAATACATCTGGATCGGATAGTCAGTTTCCCATTTGCCTTTTTGTCGCAAGTTTCTATATATCGAGGTAATAGACCTCGGAGTAGTTCGTGGTTGTTAGAATCGCTGACCAAAAGTTCCAAAATGTCTTGCATGGCGGCGAGCTTTTCTGGTTCACTGGAAGATAACAGATCCTCAACAATCTTATTTGACATCGAATAAGGCCCTGAAGAGCTTTGTAGGATGAAATGACGTTCCTCCAGATGCGTATGGCTTTCTAAAAGACGGTAAGTAAGTATATCAGCCTCTTCAGTCCTTCGCCAGAAGCGAAGCAAAGCTATTATGTAACGCAAGTGAGTTGTAATTCTTAAGTTGCAAGCCTCAGAGCCTCTGACGTGCTTGCGAGTCATCCAATTAAGAATGTCATCAGCATCATCCATGCGTCCCCTGTTGCCGTAAAAGGAGGCAAGCAAATAGCCAATTTTAAGCGTTTCGCTGTGGGTAGGCGATAGCAGGTGGCTGGAACAGGACAATGCATTTCTGAGAGCTGATTCTGCCTCTTCCTGATCATGTTCTTTGCCAGCATCCAGAGCTGATTGGACGACACTGCGCACTTCGGCAACAGACTTTATATGGAAAGGCCCTTCATCGATAGACTTATACGGCTTTTTGGTGGTATCAGGGCTGTTTTCGTCAACAGGCTCAAGGCTACTATTTTTTTCTTGTAGTATATCGAGAGAGTTTGGGTTGTCGGTGATGTCGGGAAGTCTTGGTGTCTCACAGGTTACACCTGGCGGCGTGGGACAATCTTATACATGAAGTTAACTTGTACTCTGTACAGTGCTTGGCTTTTGTTTCAAACTGATCAACGGAGCGATTGACTTACCCTCTGGTATATGGAGGTCCTCATCACTAGCACATCTGGCATATGATATCATGATCCGCTTAATTGGCCACGCTTGGTTGTTCCAATGGAAGATAGTCTCCTTCGGATGCCTCCGGTTGGCCTTGCTAAGCATGCCAATAGCTACGTCTCTTGGCAGATTCTTGGACCACTTCCATTGCTTGAACTTGTCCTTGTACATTTTCTTTCTAGACGTCAGTTAGATTGGCTCTCGCGATTCTCCCTGGAATATATATAGGAATTATCTGGCACTCACGATGCGCAAAACTGGTAGACTTCTTCCATTTTCTTTATAGTAGTCTCTAGAGAAAAGTTTTGTTTGAGATAGAAGTCATGAATGGAATCCTTGTGACGCTCCCATTCCTGAGAGCCCGGCTGTCGTAGACGGGCTTTGCGTTGGGTGTTAGATCTTGCTAGGGCAACTGGACTTGGGAGAGCAGATGACGAAGCCTCCTGGCTTCTCTCGGTGGTCGAGAGTATTAGCCCGGGTGAAAAATAGCATGTATTCGAGCTTTGTTCGTTACCAAACGGACCATCAACTCCAGCAAGACATCCAGCGACCTCGGCCTGGTGGTTTGGATATTGAGCCGATATGTGCAGGGAATCCTCTGTAGATGATGCCACATCGTTCGGATTCAACTCCTCGCTTCTAGAAGCAGGGTAATGTTGGTGGAGAAAGGGTACGGCCGCACCATATTCAGCAAGTGATTGAGCTGTGGAATCTGCTCCCCAGCCAGTCTGCGACAGAGCAGCAATAAAATCATTGCACTGGTCATTATTTGGGTCTTGCCAGGCCATTGTGGAGTGGTCTCTGAACATACTTTGAAGACGAAAATAATTGATGAGGGTGAGGGGTGGATAAGATTTAAATAGCTACAAATATTTGGCTATTTAGAGTACCAGTTCAGTGAGGTTATGCGTCCGCTTCGCGACAAGACTACATGTACATGTAGGTAATAAGCCCAGAAGCGTGTCCACGCAGACAGTCGGGCAGACTCTGTCGCCATTGGGCCGCCATGGCCGCCATGACCCAGATCAATCTTCCTAAAAAGACAAAGAGGATAATATTCTGGGGCAATCGGAGGCTTCCGTATATATTAGCATCGCCCTTTGTGCTTAGCGAGGAAACCAGCATGCGATGAAGAGCTTTCTGGACAAGAGGATTCGGACTGGCTGCCATATGCCGGTTTCAAATACCCCACCCCCTTATGTAACCGGGATGCGGCTGATTAGAAGTGGAACCATGTGGGAAGGAAGAAGGAAAGAAACGACGAGGGGGTCGTTTCGCAAATGAAAATATGTGCCATGTGCCTATCCATCATAGATAATACATAGGGTCTGGCAAAATACAAAAGCATGCAAGATTGATCGCCCATTTTGGTCTTTTGAATTGGCAATTATTCATGTTTGAAGCTGTATTCGCTTTAGATCCGGATTTGTTCTCTCTCCTCGAGCTGACATGGTCTGGGCGTTGTCTTTACTCCAGGTTGGAAATCTTGCTGTAGCCTTATCGGAGATCGCGACGTAAACCCCTTGCTACCAGTAAACCTCTAGCTGGGTTATAACGATGTAGGTCAGCATATCTTCTGCTATCATCATATCAAGGTTATCGCTTCAATAACACGCTCAATTAGGAAGGCAGCCCAATTTTGTTAAGGATTATTTTTGGGGTTTCTTACCCAGGGTCATTAGAGCTACACCATACACCATTTTTAGGTTAATCTTAAGGGGCGTATGTGAGGTTTTTTGGTGGGTGTGTACCGTTATATCCAGGTACCAGTGTGGCAAAATCGGTATAGCCGTACATACAAACTGGTGCATTAACAACAAATTTGTATGCGAGAAATCTGCGTTGGGCCTCTGGTATCGTTACAGCCCGATTATCGCCTTAGGTGGGGTTCGTTATATCCGGTCCTCATAGGAAGTACTATGTAGTGCTTCGTATTCTGGCAAGCCACGCGCCGCCATCCATAGAATGGTCAAGACAATTATGTCGAGCGCCTGCAGGGCGATGACTGGCGGAAGGGCGCCGCAGAGCAGAGCAAGGTGAAAAAGTCTGAATACAGCAACAAGTTCAGTCCATGTGACTCCATTTTTCCTGGAACAAAAGATCTTGGCCCAAGTAGAAAGTTCCGGCAGCAATAGAGTGGGCAGGAGTATACATGAATATGACGTGTATTATCATACAAAACTTTTGTAAAACGTTCCAATATGCATTGCGTAGCGCCCAACTAGTATTCTGTCAAGAGCCGTGTATTTGCCAAGGTTAGTCGATGAAGCTGCCAGTCCTGATAGGTTTCATTTGTATAAATATCGCGGAAAGATATCGAGCTGACGAGTTTGTAAATACTTTATCATGAAATTGAAGCTCTATCGACTCCTACCTTTTTCATCTTTCCATTTTTGAATATCTTACTCTTAGCAAAATGACAAGCGGCCCTCCATCCAATGAGAGCATGAGTACTCCAGTAAGTATGTTAAAACCCCAGCCCCGTGCAGCATATGTCTTGGATGGACCGCGATCTCTATTCACGCTGTTGTTTTGCGAATTCAGCATGGAACACATAGATTGAGCTACCAGTAGTGCTTTTGCATTCAGATAACCATCTATAAGAAGCTAACCAGCACCTCATTCAAGCCTCCCTGCCGCAACTCCCCTGGGCCACTCGGTGCACAAGCACAGGGGCAACTGATTTCAAGAACGGGAAATAGCCAACGGGGCAATTTCCAGCCGCCGAGCTGGAGTGGGCACAATGGGCCAAGTCCAAAGTGGTCTTTTGCTCTCGAACAATGGCTGAAGGAGTCGAGACGAGATGGCCCGTTTAACGCTGTGGCGTCAGCTAAGCCTGGCTCCCCTGGTTCGGACCAAGCCGATAGCGCTGCTCCAGCTTTAAGCGGCAGGGTTAGCGTGAAGCGTTATGCTGGCACTTCGGCTGGGCTCCTGGACGCGGATAAAGCACCTGGTCTCTAGTCACCGCCATTTTAGACCTTTGTGGCGTCAACATATTTGTCTATGAAGGCAGAGCATATAGAACCAATATGAGAACGTGGAGTAGAAGGAAAATGAGCACCTACATGTATCTATCAGGAGTTTGCGTCGTCAGTGGGGGGGGAAAAGTGCCAGCACGAGAGCCCCTGTCAAGCTGCGCAGTTGTTTCCCCAGCCGTGCTGAAATTAGCGAACGCCCAGGTATTACATGGGCGCTTAATACGGACCGGATTTCCGCTCATCTTATATTTTAGCGACCTGTCACCCTCTTCCTAAAGCAGCAGTCGATGTGGAACTTGAAACTCATTACCAGGCTCCTACTATCTATACTACCCATATCAATACAGGCAATATTACGCTTGTTCTCCCCCGTATCCTTGCTCACACTAATTCTAGCTACCGCGCCACAAGATCTCCGTCGGTTCACGGTTCCATATCCTCTCCGATCTCGTATTTTGTCAACAGGGTTTACACAGCCCATGAACCTGCTTACGGGAATACTGAGAATAAATGTCAATACATGGAGTAGCTGAACACAAAGCCTCTTTCGTAGCCTTTCACGGAGTATCATGAACCCCGACTGGGTGCTGCGTCTTTGTATCTCCAGTACCTGGTAGGTGCATAGGTACATATACTGTATACATGCAGGCAGCCTTTCGCCCGTCAATCCGTATCTCTGATAAATCGTCAACCAAGAATTTCCTTGCACCCATTAGACAAGCTAGTAGAGGTTACATTAAAAACTTTGCCCAATGACTGTCTTATATGTCCGCTATTTTTAGAAGTACCCTGTGCCCCGTGGGGTATTTTGGCCAGAAATTCATCTTTTGGCCCTCGCCTAACTCGTTTACAGATCATCAATACCTCTTCTCAGCCTCAGGAGACGGATGCTATGATAGAGAGTGGAGGTACTCAATATGTGAGATCCAATGAACGCAATGATAAAGAACAGCACACAATTCTTATATTCGACTCTATCGAACAAATAGGCATGTGCTGGCTTTGGGGGCTTTAGATCGTGAATGATCTTCATTTGTGCAAGTACACTGATAGTATATTCCCACAATGCATCATATAACACTAATGAAGAGGAAAATAGTGAATATAAGGAAATTCCATGTTTTCGTTTCGGCATAGGGTTGTTATTGCAATAATTCCGACATACCTATAATCATGATGATTTCATGACAAATCATCTACCCAATCAGAGCAAGCTGCCCACCATCGATATGCCAATGTCCGTAAGACCTAGCAGTGGCGCTGGATCCAACAACAGGAATCGATGTAATGAGTTATGGCTGTGCTAATCACAGCCCTATAAATCTCCATTACGATCAAAATAGAACTATTTTCAGCTCAAATTCGGTTTCATGACAATTGATGGAGATAGAGCTTGCAATATAAAGATCGCATACGCCGAGCATGATAGCCTTAGATTCCATCACTAACTTCCCATTCTGCCATAACACATACAATTCTATCACCACTCAGCAGATTTTCAAATCTTTCCCTTTCAATCTCAATCAGCATTTCACATTGCCACCATGAAGACAGCACTCCCATGGTCGGTACTGATACAGGCCTTTTTAGCCGCTTCTAGTCCCCTACTACCACGAAGCATGCCAACAACTCAAACCGAGTCCTTGCTGCAAACGAGATCTCCCGCTCCATTCCAGGATCCAAGCCCAAATACTTTTACTCCCCACACAATCCGGCTCAGTCGCACTAATGCTCGATCATCCGCTGTACATGAGGTATCAGGGATTCTCTCCCGTAGCAATCCGTCTAGTTCGTCCATCTTTCAAAAATTCGGCCAGGGCGTCCTTGCCCCAGTGTTTCAGAGCACAGAGCTGGTTGGAGAAGTTACAGTTGGAAACCAGACGTTGAAGCTCATTTTTGATACTGGTTCAAGTGATCTCTGGGTGCCGGGTGAGGATTACCGCTGCGTCACAGCAAATCTCACAGTTCAAAGCAACACGGTTTGCAATTTTACTACCACACTCAAGGGCACATATTCAGGAGGCGAAATACCCGACCAACACTTTGACATCAACTATGCTGGCGGTCAATTTGTTGCCGGCACTTTGGGATACGAGTCCATATCTGTGGCTGGTATTACTATCCCCGACCAGGAGATTTCTATTGCCAATCTCATCAACTTCCAAGCTCAAGGAGAAGTCGACGGCTTGGTCGGCCTGGCTTATCCTCAAGTCACAACCGCGTTTCCTGGCAATGAAACTCTCATTGGTCAAGATAGCCCTAACGCTACACTTCCGTACAACAACCTGTTTACAAACATCTTCCGGAGAAACCTTACGGCACCTTTGTTTAGTATCGCCATGGAGCGTGGCAGTGGAGGAACTTTCGCCATAGGAGGGCTGCCGTCGGTCCCGATCAAGCCCAGTTTTGCCAGCACTCCTATCTTGATTGCCGACATTGCAAATTCTGGTATCCCTGGTACAAGGACAAACTTTACCTACTACACTATTGTTGTAGAAAACTATGTCATTGGTGATTCTAAAAGGGACGAAGAAAGGGTTCCTGGGGCTGGTCTCTTTGCTATTGTCGACAGCGGCACATTCCTGACACGACTGGCACCAGCCGTGACTAAAGCCCTTTATGAGAAATTTGACGAGAAACCAGTCTCTCCTCCTGACACCCAAGGCGCTTATCTTGTATCCTGCAACGCTACTGCTCCTGAGTTTGGCATCGAGATCGCAGACCAGACATTCTACATGTCGCCAGAGGATCTCATCCTCCAGGATATGAGGCTTGATGATATGTGTCTCCTTGGTGTGCAGCCTACAACTAACAATACGCCGTCTATTATTGGTGCGACATGGCTGCATAATGTACTGGCCGTGTTTGACGTTGGTGCTTCGCAAATGCGATTTGCTCCTCGGCTTCCGTACTAATCAGGATCATCTACGACACCCTTAGCCAAGCTTGCGATCTAAACATCGAATTATAGATGAGATGGATGCATTTTCCATGCAAAGGGATATTATTTAGAGAATTTGGTTAAAATATTAAGCCACTATGTTAATAGAGGGATGTATAGATAGGCTTCTACAAGTCATTATTTGCTCATAGACTAACATAGAAAGATTGGCTGTTGCTCTTATAAATACATAAATAGCCCGAAATTCGGGGATTCAGCATGATTAATCTAGAAAGAAATCTCACAACTGAACCTTCAGATACTTTTCCATCTTCATCCGGCGATAAAAGTTGACTTTGTTATTGTCAATCACCATCGCACCGACGTCTCCACCGTCGCCAACAGGATCAGCAAACATTCTGAATGGCTTCTTCCCCCTCGGGATGTCTGACAGCTCTGCTAATGTATCTGCGACCATAGACGGATCGGCATCTGGCGGTGGCAGGCTTGCCGTGCCGCTCATTGTCTCCTCACTTATGCCTTTGGTGGGGCCAGCTTCGTACTCGGCCGCGATCTCGGGATATGCAGGATTTGCAGCATCCGTAAAGTGACTTGTGCCCTTTGTGAAGACTCCCGGTGATACTAGAGTTGACTCAATCCCCCAAGGCATCAGCTCATGAGCAACAGACTGTGCGAGGGCGTCCTGTGCGGCCTTGGCAGCGAAATAAGGGCCCAGCATGGGAGACTTTGCACCATATGTTGAGCTGCTGCAGATCCAAATCAAATGTCCAGATCGAGCCTTTCGCATATGTGGGAGTACCGCCTTGTTCAGCCTTTGGCAACCAACCACGTTAACGTCGTAAAGCTGAAGCAATTGCTTTGCACTAAAACTCTCGGTCGGGCCCCAGCTCATGTGGCCAGCGTTGTGGATCACGGCATCGATCCGGCCAGTCGATCCGACAACACTATTCACAGCCGCATCAACGGAGTTTTGGGACAGGAGATCAAGGGGAACAGCCCGTAGGTCCACTTTGTGTTCTTTGGCGTATTTTGAAATGGCATCTTCGTACTCTTTAGTGTTTCCGCTGTGTGAGTACATGCCCGCGAAAACGGTATGGCCTCTTTTTGCAATGGCTCGAGCCGCCAGGGCGCCAAAGCCAGTGGATGCTCCTGAAATAAGGTACACTTGGGACATGTCGAGGAGTTGGTTGTAAGTTGTCAGGAAGTATAAAGATACAGTCCGCGAATGACGTAAGGTAGAGATCTATCTGCGAATGCTTGACAGTGGTGATAGTTTATTAAATTGATTAATGCTAAGAAAAGTCTCGATTCTCCCTGTTGGCAAAACGATGTTTATATATTTCACTTTTCTTTTAAATGTTATTCCCTTGCTTACTGCTCCGGAATGTCAAGCAAGATTTCCGTTGAGATGAACGAAGCAAGAAGTGTATTGCCGAGTGGAGTCGATCGGGATAAGGCCTTGTCGGGTTTACGATCACATCGCAACCTGCATTCCCGAACCCTGTCGTGCCCAGTAGAGCCAGCACTATGTTAGCACGGCTCGCGCATCGGAAGTAAGAGTTGCCAGCACGTGAGAGAGAGCAGACTTAAGACGACAACGTCATGCCGGGGATAACACGGCTCAGCAAAGACGATTGGCTTGTCAATTCATTTTGGCAAAGATTATTTGAAGCAGAAGACGATCTGTTCAACAGCTGAAGCAGCTCATCTACGGAGCACGCAGTGCGGTCAATACATAAGTGAGACCCACTTTCCCAAATGGCGAGATTTTGAAAGCAGTGTGCACTCCAACCTTTACGAAATTTACCAGTCACTCTACAAATGAGGCAATCATACTCCCGTAGACTGCATAGTTGTCTAATGCCCATCATGTGAATGACGGGTTAAGCTATAATTGTTCGATCCTCCGTACTCTTGCATCGTGAAAAGAAAGGAATATGTAGTTGTCAAGGGTAAGCTTAACACAGAGATCACAACAACCAGACTTATTGTAGATGTAGAATATGCGTCTAGTTTTTCAAGAGGAGGTGTCATATTATTTCATTGTAATTAAGCTTGTCTATAACTCAAGTCTCATCAGATGCATTTGCAACCAAATCTCCAGATAATTATGCGGCCGTTGAGACTAGTCGAAGCTTATTTGGGTACAGTCTTTGCAAAATAGGTAATACGTACTCCGTAGTTCATACAAAACTGCCACTCTTCACATAAGCATCTAAAGTCGAGTATTACCCTTCTATCAAACCAGCATTTGTCCAAAATAAAAAAAAGAGAGGGTTGCTTGGATAGCGAATCAATCTATATATGTTTATTTATCTAGATAGTTACTCGTATTTATTTATTTTTGTTGTTCATTTTTTACCACTCATCTGAAAGCATCAGGTAGCTCGCGTCCGGAGTTAAGAATCTCCACACCAGGCATTGGATGAAGTTGGGGGAAAGCTGAGAACGCACCAAAGCAGTCCATTAAACGCAATATTATGTTATTATTATACTATGGAAAACATTGAATTTAATGAGTATCCAAGACTATTGACTGTGCTATAAGTGCATGGCGATTCTATGGTGGTATGCGCAGCATCACCAAAGCTCTACTGATGCTTTGCTAGAAGGCAATGATAAACTCATCCATTCACAGAAACACATGTATAAACACAAGGCCCAAAAAAGAGTTACGTTATTATTAGCTCCGATCCAAATTGGGGCGCACAGGCACAAGGCATGGTCTTCATACTTTCAGCCCGGACTTTTCGCGCTTGGCAACCCACCTAAACGATCTCAAACTCCGAGTTTTGCTACAAGAGGCCCTGCAGCTAGCGCTACTGCATAGTCGCTCGGGAATATTGATATTGAAACAGTGCCTCGATTGAACTAGAAGATCATTGAGCGTTTAATTTTTCCTTTTTCTTAAGACATTGGGGAATTTTGGCAGATTTTATCGGAATTGATGTGCTTGCAATAAATCCATCTCCGATGCTTTGTCAAGTCTGGAAAGAAAGCGGCCTTTTGTGTATAAATGCAAGAGACATCATGATATTCACACACACATATATATATCGACTAGCTGCTATCTGTCAAAATGATGATCAGACTCAACAATCAGCAACATTACAATCTACAGGATCCTCATCTGAGTGATACACTACTCTTCAAGTACGACAATTTCTTATAACAAAAGACATCACTACAAAGACATCACGGTAAACATCAACATGTCTCTCCCCAAGACTTACAAGGCCATGGTCACCCTCGAGGCCAATGCCCCTTTCACCCTCCAGGAGCGCGAGCTCAAAACGCCCGGCCCCGGCCAAGTCCTCGTCAAGGTCCTCGCCTGCGGTGTCTGTTCATCAGACGTCTCCGTCATCACCGGCCATGTGGGCCCCATCTTCCCCCGAGTCACCGGCCACGAGCTTGTCGGCGACATTGTTGCCGTTGGCGAAAACGTAACCCGCCTCACAGTCGGCCAGCGAGTCGGCGGCCCCTGGCACGGCGGCCACGATGGAACTTGCCGCCAGTGCCAGCGCTCCCAATTCCAGTATTGCGAGAAACAGGCAATCAACGGTGTCAGCTTCGACGGTGGCTATGCTGAATACGTTCTATTGAGGGATGAGGCCGCTGTGCGCGTGCCTAAGGAGGTTGATGCGGCAGAGATTGCGCCATTCCTGTGTGCTGGAGTCACTGTCTTTAACGGAATCCGCAAGTTGCATGTCGAGCAGGGAGGAAATGTCGTTGTCAATGGCCTTGGTGGACTGGGTCATCTTGCTGTTCAATTCGCCAACAAGATGGGCTATGAAGTCATCGCCCTCTCATCGGGAGATGACAAGGCTGCCTTTGCCAAAGAACTCGGCGCCCACCACTACATCAACACCAAGACCTCTGATGCCACCGCCGAGATCCTCAAGCTGGGCGGTGCCGACATCATTGTGCAAACGGCTCCTAACCCCGAGATGGTCAGCGCCCTCGTCAAGGCGCTGGCACCAGGTGGAAAGCTTCTCAACCTTTGCCTTCTCGGACCTGTTCCCATCGACACTGTGTCTCTTGTTATGAAAGGATCGAGCGTTCACGGCTGGGCGAGTGGCCACGCCATTGACAGCGAGGAGGCGATTCAGTTTGCCGTCAGACACGGGATCCGCTGCTTGATCCAGCGATACCCTCTGACGGAAGCACAGAAGGCGGTGGATGACTTGATTGCGGGAAAGCCTCGATTCAGGAACGTGTTGGTGATGGACCAGTGAGGGGGGGGGAGTTGCAGTGATAGATGAGTTGGAGTACCTTACATGTGTTTACTTTGTAGCCATTGTTAGTATGTGAGAGCATTGACAGATCAATGATTGAATTGTCTGAGGTTCAGCTCCGACTCTATTGAAACAAGCACTAATACTGTCGGTCCGTGTGTCAGCTAACTTGAAGATTCTCCACCTCTTCTACATCCGCATTCCAGTTGACGATACGGACGTAGTACATGTAGACTGTCTCAACTTCATACAAGCATCAAACCAAGCAAAACCAGTCAAGGATACTCTGTATATAGTACCTGTGATTTCCAGCACCCGCATCATATCATCACTGCTTCAAGCATCTCGCAATCTGCAAACATGAGCTCCCCCAACTGTCAAATCCTTCTCGAATGTTCCATCTCCCCGTCATTAGAAATCTCTCCCCCCCAAAAACTCCGCTGCGGTGCGGGCCCCCGCCACAGCCGATGCAGATTCAGGGTCCATTACCGCTTTCTGCCAAAGTGGCATCTGATGCAATTCGGACATGCGAAATAATATCTACGGAGCCAATCCAACCTGCTCCTTTTTTTAACTCTACCGCCTCTCTTTGTCCGTCACGCGATATCTTGCGACAAAGCAGATAACTGGCCATTTTTAGCCGTCTGTTCAGCGCGTATCTTATCAATGCCTCGGTGAAGACAAAACGTCCGCCTACCAGTCTCGCCGTTCATTCCCACTACGCGGCTGTGGCACCACCTATTTGCAGAGTTCCGGTGATACAAAGACACGCACGGCATATAAGAGCGCATACGGAGCTCGAATCGTGGAGCCTTGGCTGGCGGAGCAGCGTAATCGAATCCGGTTCCGTGGGCATGACTTTGTCCCGCCATTGGGCATAATATTCCCTCCTTCATTCTTCCTCGAGTTCAATCCATTCATGCCATTTCTTCTTCGGCATCTACCTTAATATAGTAATAAAATATCGCCTCCAACATGTCTAAATCGCTGCAGCTCAAAGAGGAGGGCAACCGCCACTTCCAGGCCGGCGACTACATCGGCGCCGACGGCCTCTACTCCAAGGCGTAAGTCCCCAACATTGAATCCCGAACGAAGCTCCCCCCCAATCTCACAGCATCTCCCCCCCGCTCAGCATCATCGCCGACGCCAAAAACCCGGCGCTCTACACCAACCGCGCCATGGCCCGCCTCAAGCTCGGCCACTGGGAATCCGTCATCGCCGACTGCCAGACCTGCCTCGCCCTCTCGCCCCAGAACATGAAAGCCCACTACTACCTCGCCCAGGCCCAGCTCTCCATCTGCGACTACGACAGCGCTCTCGAAAACGCCCTCGCGGCGCACAAGCTCTGTGCGACCACAAACGACAAGTCGCTCGGCGCAGTCACCACTATGGTCCTGCGGTGCAAGAAGGATCGCTGGGGGGATCGCGAGAAGAAGCGTCTGCGCATGGAACGTGAGGTGGAGGACCGGATGCTCGCTTTGCTGAGAAAGGATCGCGACGACATGCTTGCGACTGAGGGCGATGAGACTGAACGCAGCATCATTGAAGAGGAGACAAACCAACATATGGCTCTCCTCAGTAGCGTCTTCGAGGCCGCAAGGGCGCAGAATCAGAAGAAGCGCGAGGTTCCGGACTGGGCCATTGACGACATTAGCTTTGACATTATGGTCGACCCCGTCATTGTAAGTGCTCCCTTTCAAGATCCAATTATATCCATTTATATCCAAGACTATAAAACAGCATTCTTACAACGCCTCTCCACAGACAAAAACAGGCAAATCCTACGAACGCGCCACCATCATGGAGCATCTCCGCCGCCACCCCTCCGATCCCCTCACCCGCGAGCCTCTCTCCGCCGCAGACCTCCGCCCTAACTTGGCCTTGCGACAGGCGTGCGAGGAGTTCCTGGATCAGAATGGCTGGGCTGCTGATTGGTAGTGTCTCTTCTTCGTATTCAACAACCATGCTTTTCTTCCTTTCAACCTTTGCGTTCGTTTCAATTGGATTGTAGCGGGCGGTGCAAAATCCTGGCTTCTTCTTCCTCTTCCTCTTTTGTTTTGTGTCGAATTTTGGTACTATATGGGATAGGATATAGCAGTTGGTGTGATAAAAGGCATCGCATGGCGTTAACGGTCTTCGTTTCTAGCAGGTAGCGTTTGTATTTCTAGCTGTAAATGTCTTCCAACATTTCTTACTACCAACTAAGATACTGGATTAGCACTTTGTCAAGGTTCAAAACCATATTATCAGGAATTATAGTTGTCTCAGTCATGTACATCATGTATTGCTAGTCCAAGCACAAGCTCGTCATGAGTTATCCTGTTCTATACCCCATATACAAAAGACATTGCCCCCTTCCAGACCGTCATTTGTGTTTGCACAAAAGTACGAAGCCGCCTTTTTTTTTTTCTCCATACGCCCAGAGCTAAACGCATATATGTTCGATTCCTTCACTTTGACTTTGCTTGCACGCGATGAGGGTATCCATCATGTCATGATTGTCCGTCCCAGCCCAAATCAACAGCAGCTCTCGTCTTTATATCGCCAACCGTTGAGGAGAGAGGCAGACAGGTAAAAAAACAAAACAAGGAAACGCAGCAAATCACAGATAAATACAAAATGTGCAACGTCGTAGCTTGGAAACCCCAAGACGCACGCTCATCAAATGACACCCAAAAACGCCGCCAGAATGCAGTATGTCATCATCGCTTCCCTGGTTGTGCCCTCCACTTTCTAACCTAGATGAAAGCTGGGGGTGGAGGCTGCCCTCCTCCACCTGGTGGCCCTGGTGGTCTTCTACCGTCGCCACTGTTTTCTTTGACAAGCCCGACCTGTTCCTCTTCAGAAGGTTGGGGCGTTCGTCGGAAGACTTTGTTGAAGGAGAACTGGCGCCGAGTCCCAGGGCCATGGGGTGGCGGCGTCGGACCAAGAAGCTGAGGGTTGGCAAGACCGGCGGCGCCATGGTACTCGGTGTCGGCTCCTTCGTTGGAGAAGTACGCCTGCTCGCGGGTCGGGCCATAATAAGCGCCGGCTTCGTCATCGGGCTTCTGCTGGGGCACGGCAATGTGGGTGAGGGGGAGCGGATGCATCGGGCTGCGGACTTTGTCGATGCCATACTGGGCCTCTTCGTCATCCTCCTCATCCTGCTCGTTGACCACCAAGACATGATGATGAGGATTGCGGGACCGGCGGCCGCGGATTGTACCCGCTAGGCTGGAAAACATGCTGGTACGGTCATGCTCTGCGAGCTCCTCTTCTGTTGGGAAATGCGACATGCCCAGAGGCGGGTGAGGAGTAGGTGGTGCGGGAGAAACGGGTATCGGGGTGGAAAGCCTAGTCGATCTGGTGTGCATACTAGACGCAATGGTTCGTCTTCGCCTCAAACCATCCCACTCGTACATTGGCTGCCCATCCTCGCTGATGGGAGCCATGGCCTCGGCCATTTTCTCTTCATGAAGGCGCTTCAGCTCTTCGGCTTCCATCCTTAGTCGCGCGTTCGAAATGCGCCTGACAATAGCAGCTGCGCCTCGGATTGCGTCTGCCTTTGGTTCCGTCTCGGATTGTGCTTGTTCGGCAATCGTATGAATCTGGTCTAGGTCGCCGTTGAACACGGCAGCATCAGGAACATCCTTGGCCGACTTGGAGAGTTGCAATAGCACAACGCCAGAACATATCGTCAGGAAGCCCAGAACGACAGTGACGATGGATTGGGCCGTTCCCTTGAAGCCCTGGAATAAGACTGCAGATGTGATGATGGTGGTACTAGTGAAATAAACATAATAGGTGGGTGTCACGATGGCGGCATTGAAGAGGTTGAGAGCTTTCTGCAAGGGGGACATGTGTTAATTTCACTCGGTTGTCTTGAGGAGGTGGCATGGGCAGACTCACGTTGAGGAAGATGATTTCAGTCAGCAAGGTGCCAATAACAAAGACAAAGAGCACCCATAAGAACCACTCCTTATACTGCGGCTTTCCACTAGCCCATGCAATGATGGCGGCACCCAAGCCTTGGGTCGACACAACACTCAAGCCTCCGATCCAGCTGCAGATTGAGATGTAGACCAGCATATTCTTCTTACCATACTTGGGTCCAACGAAAAAGGCAACGATGACGGATCCGACGAGAATGACGCCCGTATACGACAGAAACCCCGGCGTTATGACGTAGTGTTGCATCTGCTGTATGTCGGCGACAGAAGACTCTTGCGGCGCGTTCATGACGATGACGACGGAGCCCACGATGCAGAGAAAACAGGCGACTTTTCCAACTAGACTCAGCCGTTCCTTGAGGAAAATGGCCGACAGGATTGTTGTAATGACGACGGACAGGGCGCCAAGGGGCGTGACCAAAATGGCATCGGTAAAAGCATAGGCGACAAAGTTGCACACTTCGCCAATAATCATGAGAATCATGCCACCCCACCAGAAAGCATTCTTGAGGTAGCCATAGCCTTCGCCAGCAACTTCGTTATATTTTGCGTTTGCCCTCAGCAGGCCAACCTTTTTGAGGACGAATGACGTTCCAATAAAAAGACCCGATCCTATGGCCAGGCCAATGCCGATGGCCTTGTAATATCCTGGTCGCACGGAGCCATCACCTCCCGGCACGATTCCAGATCGCGCAAAGAGAAGATCATCGTCCATGGCGGGTTCGATCAACAGGCCCAGGCAGGGCGAGTTGAGGAGCGTAGGAGGAAGAAGCGTAAGAGGAAAGGAAATAAAGAGGAGGGAGGAGAGGAGAGATGAGAATCGGTTTCAAATTCGAGCCGGATCACATGGGAGAGAGTCGCGGGATCGACGGAAGACAAGATTCGATGTGGCTATGTGCGGTGCGGACAGGCGATGCGTCGAAGTGGCGGTAAATCGAGGGCGGCTGCGACGATGAATGCGATGAAGAGCGCCGGTTCTAGGTTCGAATCGAGACGACGCGCGTAACAGATGAAGAAAAGGGGTGAAGAAGGAGAGAATCCCGCGAATAGCAAGAGGATTGTTTTGGTATTATGCAAGGGATCAAGGTTGAATATACAGTAGAAGTAGTAGGAAAGTTTGAAGAGATTAAGCTGCAATGGCTATTGGAGATGCGCATGTGGCTTGAAGGGGGTTTATGGCTGCAAGGTGCGCTAGCCGGAAGGCAAGGCGGGGGGACGACAGTTAGGTGAGGAGCTGCAGCACAAGAAGCTCCAGGTCCCTGCCAGGGCTGGGTTTGGCGCTATAAGGGGGCCCCTAGCCAAGCCTAGCAGGAGATGGAGAGTGGATGGCGACCTAGCGAGAGAGAGAGAGAGAGAGAGAGGTGGCGCAGTGGGAGGGTGAAGTTGCCTTAGCCTTGGTTGCTTGGGTGTGCACCACCCACTGTTAGGGCCGAGATAACGCTATGTGCTGATGGCTGGTTGATTTAGTGGACTTGACGTGAACGAGATTGAGATTGATCGATTAGTATGGATGGATGTTATTGATGATGATGATGATGTGATGGATTCAGCTGCAGGGCCAGCGGTTAACAGGTCGCCCGTCTGGGGCCGTCCGCGTCCGTCTCTGTCCCTGCAGCAGGATCGGCCTGGAGGAGGAGATGATGCATCAACGTCCATCAATGCCCTCAACTTGTTTTGTTGGCCTTGATGCTATTGCTGCGACTATTACTGCATGCAGTAAGTGGTTGGCCGTTGGGCAGGCGTTAGTGCTGCTGCCATGCATCTCGAGTCCCCAGAAGGCTAACACATAGCAAAGTCACGACTCGCCACAGATGATACCGAGGCGTACATGCATAGAGTACAGTAGATTAGGTAGACTATCTGTATAATCCATAGGTACTATAAATAACCCGTGGACGTGCATTTTTATGGATGAAAAAGTTGGGCGTTGTGTGCACATCGCGGCCCCGTCCATACGCGTACCAAACCGGCACATCTCCAATACGAACTTTGAAGCCCTACTGTACGCTCAACCATTGCCCAGCTCAGCCCAATACAGTATTACTCGTGCGCCCTCAGCATTCCTGACACTTGTTTGCACTTCGTATGCAGGTAAACCTCGGCCTTCCGAATACGACGAGGGTCCCCCTGCTGCTGGGGCTCTTTATCGAACCAACCCCCAGCCCCCCCCTAAGCCAGATTCTATGCTAACGTGGGCGGTTTCTGGCATGCACTCCGTAACGCACACATGGGAAAACCTGCATGGGCAGAGCCGCCACAGATCAGCAGCTGACGCAACGGCTACGGAATTGAGCGATGCAATTGAACACAGCCTCCTTTGTGGCTTTCCCTCGTAACGGCAGCTGAAAGACAAGCAAAAGAAGAAGAAAAAACCAACCTTGCCAAGCTTTTTGCCTGCCCGCCATCGGCTAGGCCATCCAACGTCGAGTGTTTCGAGTGCGTCCTTTTGTCGGTTTTCAATTCATCTCCATTCAATCTGGTTTCTCCAATTGCTGCTAATTTTATCAAATTTAAGCCCTAGCCTAGCGCATCAACCCCCTGCATGGCACCCATCTGGATGCTACGTATCGTCTTCCCAGTCCCAAGGCAAAGGTCTTTTTCTTCTGCCAAGCCTGTCCTGTCGCATCCCAACCTCCCTCTCCACCTCTCGACAAGCGCAAGTCGATGAGATTTGGCGCCATTGGATCGATGGGCACATGCAATATAGTACGAGCACTCAGCATTCACATGGCTACATACTATTCACATAGTCAACAATAATTTTCCGCGGCCATTGCCCGTAGCAACCGGGGTGGGTTCAGCCAAGAGCTGAGTGCTGACTACATATGTCGCTAGCCAGCCACCATTGAGCTGGAATCACGAAATCCTTTGGCTTGCAGGCATTGTCCAAAATGGAATCAACATCTGTCATGCTTTGGAATGGATTTCTCTGTCTCTCTCTGGTCCGCCCTCAGCCCCGAAAATCCGGTCAACAATGGGACCACTTTCCACGTTCAAAAATGAACACATTAACCTACATGTACAGTATTAATGTCACATAAACTCATTGATCCAAATTCGGAGCCAAAACTGGCGCTTCTTCCAAAACTCCTGAAGCAACACCCAACCCCCCCGTCCGCCTTGTTTGGCCCCCCCGCAGTGGTTCTCCGGCGCTTCGTGGCCTCTAAAACACCACCAGACTCAACTCTCTGACACTTATACTGCGTGCGCCGTTTCACATTTCATCACTGTGCATCTCAAACAAGTCGGCCGATCGAACGCGTCAACGAGCACTTTTTGATTCGCTTAGAACAACTGTGATTCATCCTTGTGCCCGGCGGTTGGTTGTGAAACCTGGCTTCAATTTTCACAACTGGCCGATCTTCGTTGTTCTTGGGACCATCACTTTTCGTCATCGATTCTCCTCAAACACCGTGCCAATTTTCCTGAATTTGCATCCTGTAGCCGTGACTGTGTGACGGGCTGAGCTACCTGGGTACATGAACTTCCGCTTACATCGCAATTAATGTGGTGCTTATGCAGGGGAAGCCATATTCTATTCTGATCGATGAACTGACTTTAGACAATAGATTGTCCTAATGTTGGCCTGGGATGATTGTCAGATTAAACCCGAAAGATATCCGCGATTTGGGTGGAAGTGACTATTTGGTCCTTTAAATAGATGCCCAGGTAAGCTCGTATAGGACGTGAGCTCAAATCATGTGCAGATACAAGCATGCACCCGGCAATTAAGCACACAACTTGTAAAAAACCTCGAGTTGTAGACCTATTTGATCCATCTATCTAACACCTTTTTTACTATCTGTTACCAAGTGTTATACACACATGCAGGTAAATGCTCACACGACTTTTGGTCATGAAAACCGCTATTAGAAAGACTCGTCCCAACGCTGCACATGTGGTTACGTAACCCGATTAACTCTTCGAAACCTGCGGGGGTTGACCGAAACTGGCATTGTTGTGTGCCATTGATTGAATATGTCGGTTAATTGATTCAAATCAACCGCAGCAAGACACAACACATGTGTCTTCCCTTCTTTCGCGGAAGGCCTTATGTCAACCATCCGTACTGATCTTTTTAACACTTGTCTTTTGTTCGCGTCTTCATCAATTTATTCATTTGTCTTTATGTTGACAGCTAGATATTAATTTAAATCTCATGTCTTCCGCGGGGTTAGGAGATTTCGCAACGGTTATCCAGTGACTGTCATGTGCTGTGAGGCCTGGGGTTAATTATTTCGCTAGTCGAGGTAGGATCGAGTTGTTGTGCACAGCCATACTCATCGTATTTTGATAGCCGCAAAACAGTGATCCACCAATCAACACATGAGGGGATTTTCCAGCAGTTCTCACTTGATCTTATATAGTCTGCCTACTTGTCTGCCTAGTTCTCCTCTCTACTCTTTGTCTTTATAAAATTTGGAAATAAGACGCAAGAATAAATATCCTACAATTTTTTATTTATTTTCTTTTAAAATAAGCCCTTGACTGCTAATAGCCGGGGCCGATTCCGCAGCGATGGCGGAACTCAGCATTCGAGGCATGTGGGACGAAGCTGGGAAGCGATTCCTGGCCCGCACGCAAAAGTCTCTCGATTTGAAGCCCCCCAAAAATATAGACGACATTCGGGAGATGATAGAACGCCGATACGATCCCTCATCTCCAGCAGACTCAGACGGAAGCCATGAACGAGCTAAGCGGATCGGTCTAAACATCTTGTCGTGTTTGAAGCTCCTAGGCGGAGTAGCAGCTCAAGGTGCCGAGCTGGTAAATTCGCACAAACGGCTTTGATACTTGGGCGTAATTTTTTTTTTCTAATGGCAATAAGGTGTTCCAACCCGCGGGTGTTTGCTTTAACGCCATCTCTCTGCTACTCGATGTACCACAGTCGATCCACGAGTTTCACGGTACAATTGACGCCGTCTTTGGGATTGTTGGCCCAACCCTTAGCCAGTTCAAGATTTACGAGAGGATCGAATTGTTCAATACTATCGATCCGGAGCTAAATACTGCCATTCACAAGGTTATGATCAGTTTTGTCGACATCTGTGCTCTCTCAATAGTACTTCAGAAGGGTAGCCGGTGGAAGAGGATCAAGGCAGCAACGAAGCAGGCCTTGCTGAACGACGACTCTGGCCTGAAAGATGAGATTGACCAATTTGAGAAGCTTGTGCAGGGGCAGCAGAATGTTCAAGCAACCTTGACTTTGGAGGTGGCTCTAAGCAACAAAGCAGACCTTGCTACCATCTTGGGCAAAGCCTCTGAGACGGGCAAGAGGATCGATGACATTGCGATTGGCATCCTCGACTTGAAAGAGGCGGAGACGAGTCGTAGCATGGAGAAATCGAGGCAAGAAAACCTCACAAAGATCCGAACCAAGTTTGCCATTGATGAGAAAAACATCAAAGCCTCCAAAGATGTCTGCGAGAAGATATGGCAAAGGTGCATAACAGACAGTGGAAGCTGGCTCCGGGATATGGATGAGTACAAGAAGTGGTCCGATAAGACTGTTATCGATGCAAACCCATTGTTGCTGCTGACTGGTGAAGCGCACTCGGGAAAGTCAAGCGCCATGTCGAACATAGTCCACGATCTCAAGGCTGCCCATGAGTCCCAGGGTCAATCGACTGTCAGGGCCCTGGTTGCGTATTATTTCTTTCCCTTCTTCTCTCGAAAAGTAGACGATGACAAGCGACCGGCTACCACTGCGGTGAAGCACATTGCGTTCCAACTTGCCGAGCAAGACTCTGGCACTGCCAAAAGCATGGCCGCCTTTTGCGACGACAAACACAATGAATCATACTTTCGAGACTCGAGTTGCAAAGATCTCTGGCGCGAGCTGAAGATTGGGACTCCGAAACCGGGAACCATGCACTTCATCATTATTGATGGCCTGGATGGATTGTACGAAGGGCATCCTGAAGCCGCGACTCACTTTCTAGATATTTTCGAAACGATTCAGAGCCAGACATCAACGAGCACCGACGGAACCCGAGTACGACTGATTGTGAGTGGAAAAAGCGATAACTTTCAAAGAGAGTCTCTTCAGTCGGCTCCAAATATCGAGATTGAGAAGTACAACGGTCCAGATATCACGTCGTATATCTACGAAGAGTTGAGAAAGACAAATCTTCTACAAGGAGAAGAGTCTGAAACAACTCGCCTTCGAACAAAAGTTCACGATCGCCTACTAGAAGAGGCCAAGGGGAACTTTCTTAAAGTACAGACTGCGCTGGAGAAGATCAAAGACTTGATCATGTCGGATGGTTCAGAAGCAGAGATGGACACCATTCTGAACGAATCTAACCAGGATAAGAGGACAATCTCCGAAAACGTAGTCAGCGAACTACAACAGTCTCTTAAGCCGCAGTCCATAGAGGAACTCAACGAGCTTCTTATATGGGTCATATTTGGCTTTGAATACTTCGACGCCACTGAGCTGGAAGCTGCACGGGTAAGCGATATTGTATCTCTGCGAAAGATCAGATGGTATCAGGTATATTAATGTCTTATTGTCATCAGTTCCTTCGCTTTGGAACTGTCTCCCTGCAGAAACTCGATGACAAGCTGAAAGGCATGTATTCCAAGATCTTCTTTTCTTTCTACGGAAAGGTGGCGATATTACCATCGATTGAGCCCCTCATTACCAAAGAAAGGGACCGCCCAAGGATCAGCGAAGATGCGCCCAAAATTTCCCTTAACCTCACCATCTCTAATGGCGACATTACAACTGTGCAAAACTTTCTCTGGAGTCTCTTTCAAAAATCCATGGTTGACAAATTCGACTTTGAACCCATGTCTGGCCCGACGCATTCTGCTGCTCGGGAAATCCAGGTCAATGCGTATGATGCTCATCTTGCTATAGTGAAACAAAGCTTGCGATTCCTCACATCCCCACCAGATGTTAGAACGGGGCCTTTAGGCTCATATATGGTTAGAGAACTTCCTAGACATTTGGAAATGTTAAATCAAGCTGTTGGCTACGACGAAATCCTTGCATCGGACAAGAAGGATATTGGAGACGGTCTTTTTGCTTTGTTTGTCTCTGGCGATGTATATGAGAAACACTGGGGCCGCTTTTACGGAATCACTTGGTTCGGCGAAGGCGAAAAAATTGAAATATTCCGAAAGTGGCTCAAGGACCCGGACGCAATCGGTCACCTTGGCAGACTCGACAAAGACTGGCTCAGAACGGTGAATACAAGTCAGAGGCCAAACCGACAACTTCTAACCCCTATGATGAAGACAATTGCGCAGCACTGGCTACAGGATAGAGAGTGGGATGCTCAGGAATGCTTCAGTGCTTTGCGCCTCTTTTTGCAACTGGTAAGATATAGTACAAGAACAAGCATGGATTTTGTGCTCAAGTTCTACAGGATCCGCTAGATGAGCAGTCATCTAAAGAAGAATCAGGTAATACGATGACTGCCGTGGAAGAGCTGGAGAGAGCCGAAAAATGGTGTGAAGAGATCCTGTCTCCAAAGACCCTCGACTCTCTCTGGTACGAACGAGCGGGAGAAGCTGCCAGATGGCAGCATGAATACGACTTGGCAATCTCAAAGTTCACGAAAGCTGGCGAGTGCGCCAACCCAAGCCTAAGCTGCTTCAAGGGCCTGGCCGAATCATACTTCGAAAACGATGAGCTTCTCTCCGCATGCTCGTCCATGGAAAAGGTACTCAATATGGTCAAGGAAGCCGAGCCACTGGATAAAGACGAGTTGATAAGCATCTACCTACGCCTGGCATATTGGTATAGCCAACTGCAGCAACCAGAGCGTGCTATAACGCATTACCAACAGGTATTGGAGATGGACCCAGCTAATCAAGATGCTCTCAGTGGCGTATTAACCACCACTATCACATCAAGCGCCGAGCAAGCGACTCATGAGCTGATACTTAGTATGAGCAAGCTAAACTCCAAAGAGCCAGGCCTTTATCAACTGGCATCGACTCTGCTCAATCAAGGCCTCGATTTCAGCTACAGTGCACCGCTGCGCAATCTGGTCCAGATTTGCCGTTCAAGTGAGGATTGTGTGGCCGCCTTGATTGAAGGAATGGATCAAGCAATTGAGGCAGCGCGAAAACAGAATTTAAAGATTGAGCTTCTCGTGTTGCTGCTGCACCGCGGCTTGGCTACTCTTTATAATGACTGGCAAAAATATCGGCCACGGTCAGAAGCATTAGTTTTCTGGATTGAGAGCTATACTATCACAGACCAGTATCTTAGGAAGGAGGACGACGAGGATGATCTGAAATGGAGATATCAGGCCTTCTACGACACTATTGTAAGCCACCTGAGCGAGTTTTATTTTGAGCAGACCAAAAAGCTCCTGCCTTCTTATGATTATTACTCCAAGTTGGAAAATTTAAGGCAGGGTTTCCGCTTCTCTGGCATTGAAGGGATAACTGCAGCTGACACATTCGTCGCTGTATACCACACTCTTCATGGCGATAAAGCTACAGCTAGAGAAGTGGTGAAGCAGTACATGCGGATTTGCATCGACAGCTTGTCTGATGACACTGACGAGAATGACTACTGGGCCGCGTACACTCAATTTAAGTGTCTTTTGGCCTGCGGAGACTACCTGAACGCATTGACGGCTTGGTCCCTGCTTGAACCTATTGAAACGGATATAATAGCAAGAACACTCAATCATGACACAGGGATACAACAAGCGCTTATTGACGAGATGATTTTATTAGTCAAGGCAAAATGTCCACTGGGAGCCACACAGATTGATAGGGTGAATACAGTCAAGGCCGAACTGGAGGCACGACTGGCCGCAGCGCGCGAAGAAGGAGATCAATCTGAGAATTCGGAAGCACAAGCGGAGATAAAGAAGGCACTGGCGGTTTTAGAGTCGGTTCAAGTGCCGGAAACAAACGCGATAGGCGAAACTGCTGAACCAGCAACCATCTCGCCCTTGGAAAGCAAAGATATTGCTAAGGAGTTTGGCTATGCATGTGACGGCACATGCGGTGGTACCCCGTGGAACTTTAATAATGCTTTGCATATATGCAAGTACTGCTGGGATATAGGTTTCTGTGATGACTGCGTGTCTCTATTGAAGGCCAACAAACTGAAGAAGATCGTGTGCAGCCCCAGTCATGACTGGTTGGCAATCCCCAAGTGCAATCCTAGGGGTAACACGGCAGCTCGGGATGGTACGGTTCAGGTACGGGGTGAATTGATTGACGGTGTACGTGTCGGGGGTGAGACTGTGACGGTGAAGGAGTGGTTAGCTTCACTGAAGAAAGAGTGGGAAATATAGAAAAGCGGCCAAACGACCGTGTTAGTGGTCTCTCTGCTATTTCATCACAGGTACTGCCATTTCAACTTGAGAGACAGTTTACCTTCGACAGGATTGAAAGCCTTATATCAAAATGGTTAGTTGAGGCGCAGTACTTGATGACAGCTCTCCTTGGGCGGACATAGTCCCACGAAATACTCATCTCTACTCAGAAGTCATTTGTATTCTAGGTCCTGCCTTAACATATCAACATGTAGCTTGAACTATGATATATTATTCCCCTTGTATAATATCAGCAATACTATTGACCTTTCGTTTAGTCCCAAGTTACTTTATTTTATCTGTACACCATTCGATTGTTACTCATAAACTGCTAGAATTGTACATTATATTGAATCTAGCAACACACTAACGCTTCACTACAAGTCTATACGTAGGCATTTATTTATTCGTTGGCCATGTTACGGCAGAACTGTCTTTCATACGAGACACCAACAGATGCGGGGAATTTCTCTGCATGGTTTCTTGGGGTCTCAAAGAAGTGGTCTCTCCGATTATTAAACAGTGATAGTGCGTTTGCTAGGATGACTCTTCTGGCAAGGATGGCTAAGCCTAAGGGCAAAGTCACAAGGCTGCAAAGGTTTCTACGGAATGCAATTCGGCTATCCCACTCTGAGTTGATTGGCAATTATGATCAACTCGTCTATCGCGGCTCTCGAGATTCTGCGCCTCTCTTGGAACCACCGTTCCCACCCCTTTCCACGGAGAGGGTAGTTCTGAATGTCGCTATGAGGCTCTGCTATAACCTGCGCTATTCTTGGCCATTTATAGATTTTATGTTAGTACCTGGGAAGCGCTATTGGATTTTGAGCCATGCCTCTCCCCACGCACAGCCTCGCCATTCGTTCTTGCGGCAATCCCACTGAATCCTTCAATGTCAAGCGCCAGGGTCCTGCCGCATAGCCGATCGCCTTGTCGCGATTAGGCTGGTGATAATGGCTTGTAGGAATGCCAAGCTTTGGGCTAATCTGCCTCGCTATCCCATCAGGCCAATTTTATCCCTTTAAGCTTCTCAACTTCACGAGAAATCTCACGATGCGGCGAGACAAGTTCCCTTCAATTCCAACAGCGTCTTCATCTCCGTTTCTCATCTACGAGTACTAGCCCAGACTGGAACGTAATGAGCACGATATTCGACCGTGATACTTCTGGATTAGAGGTACGACCACCTGATGTTGGCGGGCTAGAGGTGCGCACACCTGATATTGGAGGGCTAGAAGTCTCGACCAAAGCGCAACTCGCACAAGGGTTGGAAGTATTCCGCGGCTACGACGGCTTAGAGGTGATAAACAACGGCGCAGATGGCAATAGCGGAATCAAGACTGAGGGTCTTATTGAGGAAACTGAGCGGAAACCACGAAAAAAGAAGCTGTGGTTCATCCTAGCGGGAGTTGCTCTGCTGCTTGTGATCGTGGGAGCCGTGTTGGGTGGCGTTTTTGGATCTCGACGCAATCACAAGACTCCCGTGGAAACGCCAGGAGCTTCCGCTACACCAGAAGCTTCCGCCACTCCTCCGGCTTCTTCAGGACCTCTGAATGCAATTTATGCTGGCTCGGGCATTGGAGTCACGGGATGGTGGACGGGCTCGTCAAGCTTCACCATCCGTCTCATCTACCAGGGACAGGACGGCAATTTGCGCCTCATGCGGTATCACTCAGGCGATGGCAAGTGGTCGACACTGGCTACCCTGACAGATACAAAGGCCAAGCTAGGCACCCCGATTACGGCATCATGCTTCAATATTCCTTTCTTTTTCTTCACTCCCGTGACGAGCAGTAATGTGAGCCTTGTTTCCCATAATCTTCATGATTCATATGCTGCAACTAATGCGAGCCGAGCTCAATCACATAGAACTTTACACAGGTCGAAATATTCTATCTCAACGATGCAAATGAGATCCAGGAATTTTACTTCAGAGAACAGGATTCACCATCACCTTCGGCGCAAACATTTAATGGAAGTGGAATCATGTCTTCCAAGGGTTGGAAGGCAGCGGGAGATTCGAAAATCGCAACATACTGGCCGAGTGTCATTTTTCAGGATGGCAGTGGTCAAATGCAAGAAGCTTATTATGCCAACCTCACCTGGGCACAAACTGCAGTGGGCCTCAAATGTCAGAATAACTCGGCATTTGCAGAAGTGCCCTATTCCGTAATCGCAGGGAGATTCGGAGGTGAGAGGCTTATCTATCAGCGGGATGATCAGAAACTCCTTGTTGAGGAAAGAAATAACTCAACCAATAAATTGAGTATTGGTGAGTGTCCAACTCTCTCTTATACTCTTTGTATCTCCAAATTCTCACACTTTGGTCAACTCAGGCGCACCGTCAATCACAATTCCAGCCAACGCAGCCATGGGAGCGTTTACCGTTCCTCGAGATGCCAACTCGGCTGATGGTGCCATGAATACCTATATTCTTTGGCAAGATAGTACAGGCGCCCTTCAGATGACCTGGGAGGATGATGATACTGGGTGGCGAACCTCATCGACGCCCACTTCCCTTGGCAGTCCTGATAAAGGCACAGGCATATCTTGCCTCACGCCGACGCTTTGGGCTGTGGCCTCTTTGCTCTCAGACTACGGTATGGCTCGTTGCTATTACTTGGTAGATGGCCAAATAAGAGAAGTGCAATACGATGGCTCAAATTGGTCCGTGATTGGAAATGTGCAGTTAGATTAGGGAGTTTGGGAGTTTGCTAGTATACATGGTAAAGTGAAAAGTTGGTTAGACTAGGTTGTATTGAATTGCATAGTTGGAAACTATTAGTAGAGTAATAGCAATAGAGTAAGTCACTTTTATTTAATCACAATCAATTTACGATCCTCTTAACTCTCGGCCTGTTTATTAGAGTTGATATCCATTTAAGCCGCCTCTGAGAGATCGTCAAGTACATGTACTTATGCAGGCTAGTATTTCTATTTGAGCGGACAGATAGGTCTCGAAATTCTCAGAATGAACTTGTCAAATTTAGAATAGATCAAGTGCTGAAGAATTTAGAAATATAAGCAAAGTGGCATCGCTACAGTTGGAGTAAATTACTTCAAATAGGTAGATTAATCTGAGATTCAAAATCTGAGGCTTAAAAACATGAAGCTTTTGTTAGATGATAATGGATGAAAATCTGGAATTTTCATCTGCTATAGAGAGAAGGTGAGTCGGCCACGGCTTGGTGTTCTCAAAGCTTGAGCGAAAAGCGGCCGCATCAACCAATTTTTCGACAATGGCGGCCAGATATAAATCGCGAAGGTACAAAAGAATAATTCGTTCAGGCTATTAACCAACTACGCATATCGTGATGAGCTATCACTCGGATCCCTGTTTACATACATGTTACAGGATGGACCAGCAAGGCGTCGTTAATGGGGCTTAGAAGGGAAATACGATTTTATGGTCCCCTCGATACGAATTGAACAGTGAATTATTTTGTTAGTCAGCTTAGCAATATTTGTTGGCATATTCGACCACCTGCATAATTGTCTTCTAACTACAGCTATCAGTCGTGTTTATTCACAATTCGTATCTGCTTGGTTCCTCTTCAGAAGACATACGTTCCTTAAATGAAGCAGACTCCCACCAGCCATAGGCTGGGAGGCGGACTGTGTTGGTACCACAATGAACTTCGCCACCTCCCTCATGATGCGAGTACCAGTCATCAATATAAATAACGTCCATGCCAGCTTTGCCGTACACTTTGTCTGTTGCTTGTGCCATGATGTCTATGCCATCAATCACTGGCCCCCAAGGATTCGGCGATAAGTATTGAGAATCGCTAAGAACAACACCATTCAAAACACCAGGATATAAAGCTACAGCATGTTCAGAGCTGCAGTTTCTTTCTGGCAACACTCCTTCGTCTGGAGGGAAACAAAATCCGGTTTCAAAGACCATTGGTACATGGTGGATATATTCTTTTGGAATTCCGGTTTCGCGTTCCAAAATCTTTTGGACTTTGGAAATACTCATGGCAAATTCTTTATTTTCTTCAATTAACCGGTCGGTCAATATGTCATTGATGGTCACATCCGGTATGCTTCTCATGGGGATATTAGAACGTGAGTACGATCGAAGCTTCCCATAATTGTCGCCCAGCAGTCTTTCCATTAATACGCCTGCCATATCGCCTGCGATTGAATCAGAATGAGGGCCGAGGGTGCCGCTTGGACGGGAGAATGCAGGTAAATGTCCATAGCCATCCTTCTTGGCTTGTTCAAGGATATTAATGCCCCCAATCGGGTCGGCGATATAAAGTGCCCAGCCATATGGACTGCTCTCGAATGGAATAAATTGGACAATTTCATCGACGTGTCCAACAGCAAGCCAATCCACATCTAAGATGATGGGAGATTGGATCTCCTGTGCCTTGAGGTAGTCGTATAGGTGCGGGAGGGATTTGCCGTGAGAACCTTGAATAATGCGTCCGGCCGGATAGGACTTTTCTCCATAGCTGTATGGAGGAATAGTCTCAACGTTGCCGGTTGAGTCGATTTCATCTCTTATTCCACCAGTTGTATAGATGGCTCCTCGCGTGCCGTTCCTCAAATATTCGAAAACTTGTCTCCCAGCAACGCGCGAGCCCTGAGGTGAACGAATCATGATTTCGAGAATTATTGGCCCCTGAGGGCTAGGCATGCTGGTATATGCAGGTTCCAGAATATCTTGAGCCCAAATATCATCAGAGTGATCAAATGTGAAGAGCGGTTTCCTCATATCAGGTCGGTCAAGTATCTGTCGCAAATCTGACACGAATTGCTCTTGAAAAGGTGTCTCCGATTTGTTTCCGTTAGTGACAAACACCTGTGAAACAGGCATGAGATGGTGGAAAGTGATAACTGGAGCCACGCGTAGACGGACGGCATCAGAATCAGAAGCCTTTCCATCATGAATGTCAAAGCGTACTTCGACTTTTCCATCCCAGCCACTAGGTCGCCTTGTATCTCGGGCGTCTATGCCGAGCTCAAAGCCATTTTTCAATTCATTTGCAGGGAACCTGTCGTCATTTGTTACGATGCTCCAGCCACTTCCATCTCGCCGAAATATGCGAACATTCTTTCGAGCAATTTCTGTATGTACTCCAACAGTTCCCCACCCATCATCACTAATGTCAGGAATCGGCAATGTTCTGAGCGAGGCCAGATATTGAGGCGAGCGTTGGACATCATCAGAGGCATCATTGCAAGCCGCAAGCACTTCTTGGGAAGGCGGATTTTGGAGAGCAAGTTTTGAGCAGCGACGGCTGGTGTCGCCAATATTCGCCAAGAATATGGCACCAGCTGAATTGGACCATTCTAACTTATGAGCAAGATCGCTTGTGCCTTGGGTGTCGACAAAGCCATCGCGATTACTGTCAGCCCTAATTTCAGCCTTCAAGGCAAATGTAGGACTGATAATAAAAATCCCAAGAGCTATACAAGAATACGTTAGAATTATGGACGTGCTATTTTGAGTTAGAGATCCTTACCTAAACCCTTGAGTATGCTTAAATGCCCCATGTGATTATGAGATAGGTATGTTGAGCCTCCTCAAGGATGAGTTATAGACGTTATCAATGAATGAATGAGATATATAATCGGGCAATTTTTAGGTGATCATTTTTTCAAAGTATATTAGTTAATCGAGCTAACTTTATATTCAAATATAGCACTTCATTTACACCTATATGGCATTGTACCCCATCATATCGAATAAAATTATGTGACTATCACCTCTCTGAGACAAAGGCTAGAAGAGTCGAACTACACAAACATACTGACGACTCAATGTTGCGGTCAACTTCGTCTGGACCCTTTCCGAAATTCGGATAATAACTCATGGATGATTACACATTTGCGCAGTTTCTCTAGCACACTTGACGTAACCCAGCAGTGATGAGTCTTGATTTGCATCCACGTGTCTCGCATAATTCGCTGTTGGAAGTTTTCAATATTGCTTGCAGGTGTATATTTCAGAATTATTGCCACAGCTTCAGCATTTGTGTCGTGTCTAGAGCTCATTCGCCTGTCTTCTTGTCCTACATATGTATGATTCAATAGTGTACTCGGATCTGGGCTTGGCTCGCAGGACTGCCTCTCTGTGGTTCAACTATGGACGGCTCGAGATTGCATATCCATGTTCCAGACCTTTCGGATAGGACGTGCATATGCACTTCCTGTATTAGTACTGCGAAATGCTCCTCACTCTCACCGAGCCTCGCCATCATTCGTCCCTTGATGGTGCACATCATATACACATCTGTGATCTCTTGAACCAAATTACGTGAGTCTGCGTTTCACTCCGTAACAATTTTGAACCTTGACGCCTCATGAGTGCTTTCGCCAACGACATTGAGCAGAGTGGAGCATAACTAAATGAATATTATGAGCTGACCTGCATGCCCCTCTCGGAAGCAGTATGCCTACCCAATGACTTACGTGAAAATGGTTGGGCAGATCAGCCATCCTTGCAAGAGCAGCGTGTACAAGTCCCCGCATTTTATTTTCCTATTTTCCATATATGCATGTATCTTCTGAGCTGCTAAGCTTGCGCACAAACACTATTGCTCTATACATGATCCGCAAGGGACTAGAATAGAATCCCATATTAGCATGAGCCCTAGAAACGACTCTAGAACAAAAGTTTTTTCTAGAGAATTTGTATCGACTTTTATGTGTATTTCTTCTCAGATACGCAAATGGATGAACCTAGCCGATCTTACAGGCGCTCTTCTTGGCAAGATATGTCTAAAGTGCTACCACAGATCGGATCGACGAATGGTTACACTGCTCCATACGAGCGGGGAAGCCACTTCACATTGGCCGACAATGATAGATGCTTGCCACCACATATATGACCTAATAAGGCCATGCATGAAATTATATGCATTACTATTTGCTATTTAGGAGGCAGTGGTGCTGAACCATACACCGCTACATAGGTCCCCAGTCGCGACAGAAGATGAGAAATGGTCAGACACCGCTCTATTATAATACAAAAATTCACTCATATTGTACACAACACGCGATATGTCTGTGTCTTAATGCTCAAAGGCGTAACAACAACTCAAAAAATTAACAGCACATCTCGCCGAAACGCTTTATTCAACTGGCCTGTTGAAAGGAGGGGCAAGTACAGAGTACATGCAGGTTTCATCCATGATATGCAGTCTCAAACACGCTAGAATATTTGTTTCCGACGTGTACGAAAATCTTTTGTCTTGGTGGGTAAGATATATTAAAGTATTTCCACTGTAAACAATAGTTTCGGCTGGACACAACGTGTGTCAGCCAGCCATTGGGGCTCCGTGTATGCGTACACTGCCTGAATTGGAAGATATGCAGAGTACAGATATGTCATACATTCCTGTATCAACCTACCTTTTCAGGCATCTGTAGTCTCATTCGGCAATAATCACCACAGAGTCTCTATCTATGCAGAGTATTACTGTGACACACCATAACAAAGTGCGGAGATGATTTCTATATATATAATTGCGGTGAGTTATGGTTACGACGCTATGACGTATACCTAAATAACCGTTGATAATGATACTCATAATATCACGTCTTGAGATACAGCTGAAGAGCATAGGGAGTAGCAGATCCAGAATCGCGCACACATACACCGGGTATATATATGCCAACAGAACCCGTTGAAACTTTATAATTCTGTTTTCTCATCACCAAAATTCTCATTATCAATGACATTATTTTGATAAACTTTTCAGATTAATTTCAATTGACTTTCATCATCTCAGAAATCGCAATGGCAACCAAGACACCACTCCCTATTCGTCAACCACCATTCCGCAGGATTGGTCATTGGCTACCTGAGAATAACGATGTTGTGGTAGACTGGCTCCGCAATCTGCTTAAAGAAATTGAAAAAGACAAAAAGAAAGCCAAGGGTCCGATAAAACTCAGTGCTGAGGTGCAAGATTTAAAAGACCACATTGAAAGCTCTGCTGAGCTTCGCATGCTGGCCCAATCTATGCTGGATGAAGTTCCCGACAAGCCTCCCTACAATGAAGACCCTGTTGGAAACCAGCAGATCAAGTCTCTTGAAGACCTATACCTTTGCTTCAACAAAGTTATGACTTCAAAGGCTCCTATATGGAGAAAGATTGAATACGATGTCGGGCTAGTTGGATTTCCATTCAACGCCGTTTTGGACTGGCCCATGGCCACTCCCAGTGGATATGCCTTTTTCCTCAAGCCTGATATCAATGAAAAGTTCAAAGCTATCCTCGATACTTGGAAGGTGGATTTTTTACAGACACTGGCATCTGCAAAAGTCCTCCTACCCAAACCGGGTGACGGAATCCCCTTGGACGAAGCGTGGCTGAGCCCAGAATCAAGGGAATACATTGAAAAAGACACCAATCGTGAAGGTGAAAACTACAAATTCGAGGAGCTCTTTGTGTGCGACCCAGAAAAAGACTACTGGAACTTCAAATCTTGGGACGATTTCTTCATCCGAAAGTTCAGAGAATATGACACCATCCGCCCCATTGCGTATGAGAACAATGACGACTGGATCATCAATTCTTGTGAATCCAAGCCATTCTCTTTGCAGGCCAAAGTCAAAGATTACGACAAGTTTTGGCTAAAGGGTCAGCCATACTCTGTTCTTGACATGCTGAACGATAACAAAGATTACGCACCCGATTTTGTCGGGGGCACGGTGTACCAGGCTTTCCTAAGTGCCACCTCTTATCATCGCTGGGATTCGCCAGTCAACGGCACAGTCCTCCATGCTGAAGTCATCCCAGGCACTTACTTTGCGGCTCCTTCTGTCACGGGATTTTTAAACCCTGACGGCCCTGATCCAGCTTCTCCAGACCTTGCTCAAGGCTATATCACCCATTTTGCCACCCGAGCTGTCTTCTACATTGACGCGAAGAAAATCGGCTTGATTGCTCTACTCTACGTCGGTATGGCTGATGTCTCGTCCTGTGAAATTGTTGCTCCTTTCAACGATCTTCCTGCAGGAGGAGCACCTGTTAAGAAAGGAGAGGAACTTGGAATGTTCCATCACGGGGGCTCGACTTACTGTCTACTGCTACCAGAGGGAACAAAGGCGACTTTCATCCCCGAGGCCACTCCTCGAGAGGGACAGAAGAATATCCCTATTCGAAGTGCGCTGGCTCGCATCTATAATGACGATGCCTAGACTTCATTGGAAAAATGACATAGTGGCCTGCAGATTTGGCAGTCAATATGCCTAGTTAAACAGTCTTTACATATCAGTATTCATTGGGATGGAGCATTCACCTATTATGAGAGATAGTATGCAATAGTGGACAATCCTTTGGTGTTATAATTACGTCTATACACTCCTTAAGTACAGTCTAAATACAGTCATTCGTTAAATCACTGTAGGGTTCCTCGCACGACAATGTTATATCATTGTGACCATATCTAGAGTTGACAATAGCATAACTTACCCCAACCTCAGGAATTAACTCGCTGTGTAGGTCAATGTAAATAGATAATCACAACTAATGTACATAGACGACACGTGACCAACGGCCGTTTGCATAATCCCATTAATACAAGCAGATTTCTCATTCAGATGAACGGCGATAGTATTCGAAGCGGTATAAATGCACTTTTCATTTACGTATCATGATTTCTAGTGTCGCCAACTCATTGAAGAACGCCGACTATTTCAGCCGGAACTAACGTCGTACTGGTGGCTGCTCCAAGAGTGACATTGGCAGACCAAGAAACAACTTCCATATATGTTGTCACTCCGAAAGTCGACAGAATACCGATTCTCAGAGTCCCATTGTTATAACCCTCGACCATCGGAGATGGCAGAGGTGGTAGAGTTAGATTGAACACGGCCGGCCGAATGTCTGCGTGTTGGAAATAAAGTGTGAGCATTTAATCAGGCTGAGACGCGATTGAGATGAAGAACTGGTCATACTTGTAATATCCAGGGCGCCAACGAAATGGCCAAGCTGACTATAACCGACTGGCTGGGATGCAGGATCATAGAAATCAAATCCAATCGCCATTGTTAGCTGCGGGCCAGTGCCCTGCTCAATGTTATTGAAGATGGTAGCGTTGAAAGGCTCGCCGGCTTTGATGGTTTCCGGCACTGAGATGGTGAGGATAAGACCTTGGGCCAAAGTCGCAGCGCCACAAAGGAAGGAAAAGACAGAAGAGGCACGCATGTTGGGCTTGTTTTGATGAGAATGGGGGATTTGAATGACGACAAAAGGCAAAAGTATCCCAATGTTGCTGTAGCCGGGTTAGCTTAATATACTTGTATCCTACACTTACTCGACACCAAATATCCGAGATCCCTCGGGTAACGTTGTCTTGAGGTCATGAATTGATGCTGTTAGTACTATCGTGGACCCACGCCGATGCGTGTTGGTTATGTCTGGATCCATGCCGATGCATGTTGGTAGTACATATCGTCAAAAGTTCCGGGTGTTGGTTATGCCTCATGACTAAAAGAACTTACGATATCAGCCTTTATAGCGAACTCAAGGCAGGCAGACATAACGCAACTGCTTGTCAATTTATATAAATAATGCAAAGTCTTGGTGATCTGTGCATCGCCAACTTCCGACTCTGCAAGATATTGTTATTTCACACGTATGACATGCTACTGTAAAACGCTGTTGTCGAAGCCGCTGGCTCCGCTCAAGAGCCGGGACCCCTTGAACCATCTACTGCAAGGGCCGCGCTTTCAGCGCTAGTAATATTCCCGAATTGTCAGCCGATGCTACAGGAAAATCCTCCCAACTGTCTAAAATCCACTCTCTTGCGCGCCAGGGTGCGGATTGCAGCCAAGTAGAGGTTTTCCAGGGTTGAAAGCTTGTAAAATGATCCAATATTTATCTCGCCTAGAGCTTTTATGGGAAAACAGCCCGATACTTTGTGCCGAAATACCGCCATTAACCCAAAAAATATTACGATTATGGAGAATACTGCTCGTTAAGCATATGAGCCTGATTACTGCGGCATAGCAAACTTCTTGGTCATAGCTGGATCCTTGTTGAAAGGAGTGAATCCAACACGACGCTTTCACAAACATCTTTGGCATTCGAGGCCAATCTGAAAAAAAAAAAAAAAAAAAAAAAAAAAAAAAAAAAGAACTATACAATGTAACGTTGGCAGAGTTTTCTGTACCGGCGCAATCATCTCCGCCGACAAGTTCGTAGGACCTTGTGCAATAAGTCAAGATCCCTTACTAAGAAGTCGGTGTGGTGACGCTATTTCTCATTAATATTGTCTCTTTGGGAGACTTTAAGGGACACTAATATAATTGACAATGGCACTGAAAACCAAAATGTGGTTTTGTTATTGCTCGCTTTCGGAGCGGATATCAACCTTGCACAGCCTTTTTTAACGACGGGACGACGGCAACATTCCACCCGAGTATTAGTCTATACTCCGTACATGTATCCAGATTAATTCCGGTTTTGGGTCATTAGCGTAGGCAGCCGCAGCAAAACAAGGTAATAGCATGCAATCACTAAGAAGGAATGGCCAATAGAGGCAATTTAGATTAGGCACATTTCTACAGCCCTCGCTCTTCCATCCACAAACTATGCCTGAGCTAATGAAATGGTGCTCCTTGTTGTAATGGTTGTACTCGGTTAGCAAGCCCAAATCCCACCCTTTGTATTCTTTCCCGACTACCGGTCATTGCTTCAGCGACCTGCAGGATTTCGAGTCGAAGTTCCATCGTCCGTACGGGATCTTTTAGCGGCATAGCCATTGAGATCCCGTCTGTCAATCTGTCTAGCCAATCATTTCTCGTTGGCATGAAGGCGGAAAAAAGAAACTTGGTGGCCAATAACATTCTCAAACAAGGCGACACCTCCAATGGTCAATGCAATTAAGGTAGCAGAAAACGCGACGGTATACGCGACAACGAGAACCCTTCAGTTATAAGAGTAGATGTTGAAGTTATATGAGATGCTGACCATTGCCTTGACTCGAACTCTGCAAGTGTCAATAACTATGAGAATAACTCGCATATCGTGACAATGGATACTGACCAACTCATAAAAATATTCCGGCTTACAGTATTTCATTGACGCTGAATAAGCTCATTGTAACGTTTCTCAAAAGCTCTGCGATGAGTTCACCCACTATCTTGCTCCGTGCCAAAGACTTCACTTCCAGTCATGGCAACCCTGTTCAACGACGGGAACCATCATGAGGATCCTCATCGCCAGTTGGGGCCGGGTAGACTTTGAGAGGATCAAAGATGGCCGTTTCTGCAACGTGTGTTTCGACAGGCATAAAAAGTTGAGAAGATATGCGAATAACACCGCCCAAAAGTGATCCCAGCGCATCAGCGATGCGAAAATAACTATTGTGTATACATATACCTTCCAGTCCACGCGAAGCTATATTATATGGACCCCGAAGTAGAAACAAGTTCGTGGAACTTGTTGGCATGATTATCTTCATTTCCCCTCCCATTCTTGCTCAAGAATAGAGTACATTACAGTGTCAAACCATTTGCGTTGAAACCACACACTCTCACGCTTCCGTCCTTCCAACTGAAGCCCAATCTTTTCCCAGACCCTTATGGCTGCTTCATTATAGCTGAATGACCAAAGTTCAATATGGTGCACTCCCGCGTAATTGAACGCCCAATCCACTGCCCACTTTGTGGCTTCAGTACCATAGCCTTTGCCACGGTATTCTTCCGAGAGCCAAATAGCAAAACTGGTAGATCGGTGATCTTCTTTGGACTCGAGTGATGGCGGGGTCATGTTCAGAGATCCAATTGGCTTGCCGGCTGTGGGCTGCCCGCTCTCCGACCACTCTTTCACACATATGAAGACAAAGATCAAGGCCTTCTTCTGGTACATCTCAAGAAACTCGTCCATTGATCTCTGGATTGGTGGTCGAGGGATCAAGGAATGACCAAGCTCCATGCACCCAGGCTTGCTAATGATTGCGTAAAAAGTATATTTGTCCGTAATTTGCACACTACGGTACACCAGCCTTTCAGACACGAACAGTAAGGTTACAGGGCGCGGTAAAGTAGGCATGATGGCCTGAGTCATGGTAAAGTGCGGTGTATCAGAAGGTAATGATAATGGTATGTTGAGTGAAGGGAAATTTAGGCCGTTATGACATGCGCAACATCCGGGCTATATAGCCGCATGTATCGTTGCTATTACAAGTGTGACTTCCAAACCAATTAGGCTATCAATCTATAAATCTCACTTCTAAATGCAATCGTAGTCTGCTTACGATAATAGTAATTGTTTAAGACGATTGGAAGGGACTCAACCCGCTCGTAGCGTGGAACCAGGCGATCTCGGGGCAAATATGGGTCTAAGCTAGCGTTAAGCCCAGTTAAGGAATTAAATATGGCATCTCTTAGCTGTACTCAGCAAAGTGCTACCATCACAAGGCCACTTGAGAACTCTATCGGCAATGACGCCCGTTAATGTTTTGAAGCAGCGACAAATATATCACAGCTAATAATCGGTGAAATAGTCAATGTGGCAATAGATTTGGCTATCTGGCTCAATATTGAGGCACCAGGGGAGATAGAACAGATAAATAGAAATGATGTAGAGGTAAATATACTTGATGCATCCATTATAGTGAAGTTACATATACACGGAGTACTCTGCCCGTTTTTAGGTCATCTAGTAATTGTACGAGTAAATAAACAAAGGCGCTAGTCAGCCCTGTCATCTCCGGAGACGCCATAAGTAATCTCGCATATCAGGTCCTGGTGGTGAGAAAAGCGCCTGTTTCTAAAGGAAAAGACTTTGGGACCGGGAAAGATAAAGCTTTCCAGTTGACTCATTTGCAAATCATGAAAATTGCACACATCAGGACCTCAAAAGTAATCTTACCTCTTCTTTACGTGCTGAACCAATGAGTGGAACTGCCCGACGTCGAACACAGTAAGCTCTGTGTAGTTCAGCTTCCGGGTGTCTTCGACCATATTCAGCCGCAACCCTCCATTTCCATTGACAGAAATCCCACAAGTATTTAGGTATAGGTTGAAAATTGCGGGTGCTCCACATGGGATCCAATTTCCGTTGTGTGTCTACCCAGACATCAAGGTTCACTACAAATGACTGCGAAACTTCGATCTGGCTATCCTTTTCGCCGAATTCAACCTCGCACTCTCTGACCCTCTCATCTTCTAGATACGCCTCAGACGCTGCCGTAATTTGACCCAAACTCTTTTGGTCACACTCATCTAGGCCAATTCCGTTGAGACCTTTGCTAATGTTAAACCGGAAGTACCGACCACCAATACCGAAGCTTGTACTATTCTTAAGGAGCGTTGCTCCGTTTTTTTCGATTTCAATAGAGATGGCCTTGAGGGTACCAAAAACCTCCTTCAGATTATCACCGAAGTCTTTGGGGTTGGGAATTCCAGTTCCAATACTGACCAAACACTGTACCCTTGGGGCCGCGTCTTTCCAGATCCTTCTGACTTCTTCTAGGACAAGCTCTACCGGATTATTATATCCATTTGCCCCATCAACATATTCTTGCAGGCCAATTGTGATTGGGTCGAAGAAGGTCGCCGCAGCAGATGTAGCTCGAGCTGCCTCTCAAATCTTGCATTCCTGGGTTGAGAGTCGGTCTAGATGCATCATTGGTTTCATAGGAGCGTAACAGCACAGGTACATTCAGGGACTTAGTAAAGTCGCAAACAAAACTATTTGGACATCGTCCGTCAGCGAGGAATTAGACGCATAATATTGTAGTGCGTGATGAAATCGTACTTACACTTTGCAAGAACCATTAACCTCAAGAAGTGGTGCACTTTCGTCACCTTCAATGAGACGTGCTGCATCTCTAAATTGAGAGGTCAGACCTTCCGCGCTGTAGGCGCCTCGGACTTTCCAGAGGCGTTTGGATTTTCCAATTATGTTTGCTCGAGATTTCTAATGACTGAAGATTACTGAGGAAAGCTGCATATAGTTGTTAATGCAAGTGTCAATATCCATTCTCAGCTACATGTACCTGAGAATTAGCGTTATGAGTCTAAAAACATGAAGATTAGAGCTTGGCGTACATATATGAGTGAGTGCCAAAGACTAACCTACCCTCCAGTGCTAGTTCCAGCTATCAAGTCAAAGTAGTCTCATGGTTTTGGGGGATTCTTGTTGTTAATTCTCTTCATAAGATATTTAAGAATAATTAGCGTGGATACCCACGTATTCCTCCCCTAGTTACGATAAGTGTTAGCATTAAGCCTGTCCTACCCGATAAATGTGTATTCCACAAACTAAGAGATAGAGTTTTAATGCAACACTATGAGTTTAAGGATGTCATTGTCACTGTTCTTCCTCGAGACTACCTAGTAGGTATGGAAGCTAAAAGGGACAGAGAGAAAAGAGAAGATATACAGTGGAGGTGATGGTTAGATGCCGAAGAAATAAAAACAATTGGTATTTGAGTTAAAAGGAGAGCGTCTCGTGATACCGAACAAGGGGCTACCCAACATGAGGGACTTCTGTGTTGCCTGATTACTGGTAATGTTCAATCAAACCAAGATACTACTGTCCTATGCGCCCAGGTAGTTCGTGTCTTACGTTCATTCGTCAAACGAATGACATTTTCATGCACTTAAGTACAATCGGGCCTTGATCTAAAGTACATTCCTTGTCTGATCGAGTCTCCCAAAATATAGCTCTTCCCCACCTATGCTTTCTATGCCACGACTCCACCAGTCTAATACATAATTAGTCGAATCTTACATTTACCATTCAAATTATAAAAGTTCTACTTTCAGTGAACAAACAAGTAATTGTATAGAGTATGTACATGTATATATCAAGGCTGAAAATTGGGGGGGAAACCCACTGCGAGCAAAATTTATATCGCAAAGCATGCAGAAAAATTTAAAAGACACACTTTTTTCGCACCATCATCGCACAAGTGAATTCAGATATGTAGAAGCATCAAGGGTATTAGTAATAGGCTCATTACGAATATTAAAAAGTTGGAAGACGACATGGTCACTGAAGTGTTTGCCCACAACAAAAAGCTGAATGATGCGAACATAAATTCAGATCCCCAACGTTTAAGAGATACAGTAGCTAAGGATGTTCCAGTTTGGCTGCAGATTTTGGCACCTTTAGAAGAACGTTCCCTCAACAAGAGCCGCATCGGGATAGTGCAGGTGGTGGTCTCTAAAGCGATGGCAATGCAAAATGAGACGCAGGACGAAGCCGATAATGTTTTAGCCGAAACCAGTTACGGCATTGCGTTAACAGAAGTATCTGGTGAAAAAGGTGTGGACAGCAATGACTCGAATAAAACTCGAGAAAAATGTATACCATGGAGAAAAGACACTCTTGCGTTGTCTCTTCTTTGTTAGCGAGTTCGCGGGCGCAAACCAGTTTGGATCCAGTTTGGATTGGGGAATGGCGAGATGCAAGCACCATTAAATACATGTAAGCTGGAATTGCTTCTTATCTCGCATAGGGGTCATCATAGAGCGAAACGGTGGCAGAACGGCAAGGTGGCTTACATGGGTAAGAGGGCCACGTATGCCATTTTCAAATTACGATCCGGCTCGTGGGCTTCGGGTTGGGCCAGTTGCATGAGCCATGACAGGCACCACGGAAATACGGAAGAATTCAGAACAACTGGTTTATATTAAGTAACGTGCACCATGTGAATACCCATGTATCAAGTTGCGTGATTATATCTGTACCCGCAGCTCCGTTTCAGGGGGTCACAGCCGCGGCAATTAGATCATATGATTCCCTGACTTATTCTCGCGCCGTGGCTTTATTGCGGTCCGACAGGCGAAGTTTCTGTTGTTTTGTTTGCTGTTACTCCAGTTTAAAGGTGCTTTCCCCAGCTGTAAAACAAAGTGCTGACGAGGCTATAAAGTGCAGGGGTTATTGTATTAGTATGGGCCCTTGCTAGCTTCTTAGAATCCTTGCTAGCTTGCATGTATCTTCCTCGAATCTACTTCGTATAAGCGCTAAAGTGATAAGTGGGATCTGCTTTTGGAGTGCATATTGCATGGAGTTTACAGGGTCGAAAATGATTTGGGACAAAATGCCTTATAGTCAACCGTAATACCCGGTTGGGCTGTTTGGCAATAAGAGCCTCAATTTCATCTCTAGTGCCGCTTACTGAAGTTCCCCCCTTCAAGGTTGAAATACCCTCATCCTGTTGATTCCGACTCTGCACGCCCTTCATTCATGGATGCCATCTCAGCGCTTGGTGTCGCGGGCGACATCCTCACTGTCACAGCGTTCAGTGTACAGTGGCTCTCGGCCTCCGATGCATCCAATGCTTCCTCGACGCTCGAAAAAAAAGACGAGACTTCCATACTCGAAGGTTTTAGAAAATCCAGGCTGGCACTCTCCAACAAGCGTACTTCATTGGAACAGCGACTGCTAAAGAGTCCATCACCGCCACCAGAGGATGAGCTGGCACTGCTAGAACTGGCCGCTTCTTCACTGGAAAGCTCTGGGGCGCTAATTGAGGCTATCAGAAATGCACCCAAAGACGTTTCAGGAAGTAGATCTCAATCATGGAAGGCAGAAATAAGAGCCTGGGCGGGTTCCGAGCTGGGAAGGAAACTCAGCCCAGAGAACGTAGAGCGGCTGTCCCACGCAGTAACGCGTCATTCCGGGTCCATTCTTAGGTGAGCAACGCGGTCCTCAGATGCACCTAATCGTTTAGAAGATTCTGACGTCTATGCCAGCTCTCGAATATCTGAGCTCAAGACGACCATCGAATCGTTCGACGATGTGAAACGACATTTCAGACCAGAGCACGAGTCCCGCATTGACTCTATTTCTCAGGACGTAGAGAATCTGAGATTGGATATTCAAAGACGATCAGTGAATTCGGATACAGGTGGCTCTATGGCCTTTACGGGTACCGATATCAGACTATTCAACAACCGACTGGCTAGCCTAATCGAGGCTGAGGATAGCATGTTCGCGGAGAGAATCGTCTCCAGTCTGAACTACGCCAGTCGACCAGTTCGCCACGATTCTGTACCACAGGCACACAAAAACACATTTCAGTGGGCTTTCGACTCGCGTCTATCGAAGTGGTTTAACTCTGGAAGCGGCACCTTCTGGATTTCAGGCAAACCGGGGTCTGGGAAATCGACCTTCATGAAATTCATCGCAAAACACTCCCAGACAAAGGACTTACTTACGCGTTGGGCGGGCTCAGCAGACACTCTCGCTGTAGCGGTGCATTTCTTCTGGATTGCGGGGACGCCGATACAGAAATCATGGCAGGGACTGCTCCAGTCTCTGCTCTTCGATGTCTGTCACAAACATCCTTCAGTCGTCCCACTGATCTGCCCCAGCCGTTGGGAAGCTGCGAAAGCCGGACGCTGGCAGACTGCCGCAGAACCGTGGTCCGTTCCTGAGCTTACGGCCGCGCTTCGGGCACTAGCATCAGCGGACAACATACCACTGAAGATATGCTTCTTCATCGATGGGCTCGACGAGTACGACAGCGACCATGCTGAGCTCTGCAAGGTTCTCTGCGATATGGCAGATTCTCTCCATATTAAAATGTGTGTGTCAAGTCGTCCGTGGGCTGTATTCGAAAGGAGCTTTGGTGGCGAAAGCAAGGAACGACTAGATATCCACGAATTGACCCGGAACGACATCCGGGAGTTTGTAGGTGATCAGCTCCGGACCCATCCTAAGTGGGCTATGATCGAGTCTGAAACAGTAACCTCCGAGAAATCTGGGCTTATAGAGCAGATCGTGAGAAAGGCTGATGGCGTGTTTCTCTGGGCTTTCTTCGTAACACGATCACTACGGGAAAGTCTATCCAACGGCGACAGAATTAGAGATCTGAGCCAATGCCTAAGTGGGTTACCGACTGATCTAGAGCAGTTGTTCAAACATATGTTGGAAAGCGTGGATCCAGCCGACTACGCCAAGATGGCGGGTATACTGCAAGCCGCCTCCCACGCATTGGAGCCTCTCCATATCGACCTCTATTGGCAGTTGGAAAGGGAGTTTGAAGAATCCGACTATGCCTATCGATGCCCGATAGGATCCGGACCACCAGAGCAAATTTCACAACAGAGAGAGCAGACAAGTCGCAGTATAAACGAAAAGACAAAGGGCCTACTCAAGCTTGTAAATCTACGGGTTGAGTTTCTTCATAGGACAGTGAAGGACTTTGTCATGACGAAAGATTTGGAGGGGTATTTGCGTGACAAGCTTCCAGATAACTACAACGGCTTTATCTCCATCGCAACTGCATACCTCGGCTTTCTCAAAACGACATGCCAGGACACCTCACTTGTTGCAGGGATCATGAGGCATGGGAGGGGACTAAACAGCGGACCATTCATCTCGCATCTAAACCAGTCCTTGGTTTACGCATCGGAAGCGCTAAAAGCAGATCAGTTCACCCCCCATCATTACCAACGGACGACGACACTTCTGGATAGATACGAAGTAGCCATTGAGGCTATGGTGCGTACAGGGCACGTCACCATCAGGGGAGTCAACTCCGAGACTTGTCACCCCAGGCTGCCTTACCGCGAGGAGTTACTCAAGCACAACCTAACATCATACATCAACAAGAAAGTTCGCGAGCAGCCTGATTTCTTCGATATCTTCGACGAATCACCACTTTTCGCTGCTCTCACCCCCATGTCGCTCAACAGTGGCGAGAGCCCAGCCCCGGTGGCTGGGACCCTCGACATCCTCCTCCAGCGCGGGGAGGATCCGAACGTGCTGCCGCGGGTTATAACCCCATATCTCAACGAGGCTCCATCGCCTTGGGTTATTTTCGCTCGCGGCACCATGTCCGTCTTTAACATGCTCTCAGGGCCCCTCATGTTTCCCGCTCTGCGATGGAACGATTCTCTGGACAATGCCCTCTTCGACCTTCTGATGTCCCACGGTGCAGATCCCAACAAAGCCCTCCTGGACCGGACAGGTGCGCACACCGTCTTCTCGCATTTCTTGAAAATAGCTACATCGCGATTCCTCGGTGAGGAGTGCTTTATCGGCTATCTTAGAGCACTGGACGCCTTCTTCAGGGCGGGAGCCAGTCTCGGTGTTCCGCCTATCGGAGTTGTTGACCCAGACGCCCAGGCTGCTTTTGGGAACCTTGCAAGATCGCGCCCGGAGGAATCGGTTCTGGCTTCCTATTGTACTGAATTAAAGGCGCTTACGACGACATTGGCAGCTGATCCGGGGCGAGCTCGGTTCCTCTCATCTGTGACTGAGAAGCTTATTGTGTCTTGTTCCAACAAGGAGGAATACTTGGAAAGACTATCATTAGCGATATCTGAAGATCTCCCGCAGTATGCCGCCGAGCCTTTGTTGCAGTTAGTTGACAGCAAGCTGGAAATGGGTAAGAAAAGAGGAGGCTCGCGGAAGAGACATCGGGAAAGTTGGGATGATTCCCCATATGGTGCTAATGCAAAGCAAATGAGAGGGGACTAAGATGACTGCTGCCGAATTTCTAGGGGAAAACAGCCACTCAAACGCCAAGGTATTGACATAGAAAAATATCTTGTGTACAGGTGTATTACCTACATATGTACTCTAGATCCGTAGCTAGATCGAAAATATCCACAGCCGCATGTACTGCTCCAAAGACCCCATTTCACTTGGTACGATAGATTAGAGGCGAAGCTACATTAAGAAGCTGGGCAGCGGTATTAATTAGTGATCATATGATCTCAAATTCGGCGATTAAACTAATAAAAGCCTACAAAGTCATGAATCGGGCCGTCCATCATTCACTCGGTGCTACAATCACCACATCGGAAGCGCATACGACTTTGTTATCTTAAGCGGGTCGGTAGCAAGTCTTCACATTGCCTACTCGCTTTTAAGAAAATTGGGCTAGAATTAGGGAAGCCGGATAAGTTCTATCATCACACATATCTCTTTCATTGATTGCTGTATTTTGTCTGGAAAACTAGCTTATCATACTCTCTGAAGTCGGTCATCTTCGATATCCACCCAAAACAGGAAATATCGACGTTATAAGATACACATTCGTACATCCACGTCAGAGAAAATAATATTGCGCTGCGATTCACCAACTACTACTTGCATTCATCTCAGTCGAAACGGCACTGCACTTCATCCACATACGTATTGTCCTCTTGCCACGTTTGCCGGGCAAACCCACGATGAGATTCCAGGAATTGAGACCTTACAGGTGTCTGGGCTCTTTCAAATCCAATTAGATCACTAACAAAAACCTCGCCCAAGTTCCCCACAAGGTATTCCCAAAACTTCTCTTGTGGAGACCGACACGATCCAAGGCAGTGATACGTGCTAAGCCTAAAGTTCCATTCCTTGTTCCCCTGATTTTGATGGAGTATAATGTCGTAATCCGTACTGCATAGCTGGCACGAGCCACTTTCCGGGTCGAATTTGGGTGGCTGCGAATTTCTTTGCCTAGTTCGTGTGCGTGGAGCAATAGATACGTAAGCGCCTGGGTTCGATTGCTGCATGAAACCGTAATGTAAATCACAGAATAATAGCCTGGAATCTGCTGAACATTGTAAATGGCAACAAATTTCTGGTGAAAAACTACTAAGCAGTCTTGCCATACAGCTCCATGGCACCCATGGTCCGACTATCGTGTAGAATCGAGCCAAATAGAGTTTGTCATCGACAATCTTGGGAATCATCCGGAATGAAACCCTCCAGGCAGTCTTTTTTCGGGGAGGCTCTTCTTCTTTCCGCTCATAAAGACGATACTCAAGACCTGGAGGATTTCGGAACCTCTGATTGACTTCGTCTTGAAGAGCTGTACTATGCTGGCAATTATGGAGCTCGAAATGGTCTTGGAACGACACATAGCGTTCAAGGCTCTCAAGAGGTAGGCCATGGGAGGAACCAAGAAAATGGCTGTTCATGACCAAATACGCGTCCATAAAATCAACGTAGAAATGGTCTTTAAACGATGAAAAATAGTATGGAGCTGGTATATGCCAAGTAGTGTGTGAAGTGATATGCCACGTTGGATTTTGAAAGAGGCCAATATTCCATCTGTGATCATGGCTCGCCCAATCCATGCCTGGTATCAGTTGGCGTAATTTTTGACAACAGAAGCATAAATATGCTCCAGGTATATCTTTTTGCAATAATGAAAGTAGTGCAATAAGATCTTCCTCGGCGAGTCGTGGCAGAATATTTTCGGGAAATAGGGTTTCCATCAAGGATTTGCAGGTTAAAGCTAGGCATATGCGTGCAGAGACCGGTAGCCAGCGCAATATCAAGAGGAAAATTTCTGTCGGGAGGGCCTGAAGACCAACTGATGGATATTCTCGATCAATGATAAAGGGCTGTCGTGGCCACTGGTCAGGTGGACGATGTTTGCGCATGTCGTTTTCAGGGGCTCGGAATATTTGGAGGAAAGTTAGGCGCAATCACAATTTATCTAGAAAGGCGCAATGCGATTACTTATAGAAGCCTTCTGTACCATTAAACTAATTATTCAATCTAATAATTTGCATTTAAGGGAAAGAGAAAATCGTGGTATATCGTGTTAAAGTTTTAGGGAAGATTTCGTGGCTCGATCTATCTAAGTACATACTCCGTTCGAACAAAACACACCAGAGTAACCATATAGATGGCCTCAGCTCCTCCAAAACTCATGCGTTTCAAAAATTTATAAATAACTCCACATAAAAATCAGGAATTGAAAATTTCCTTTTAATTAAAACGATAGTTCCTATTTATTCTTCAACAGAGTTTGAGTCATTTAATTGTTGTCTTTCTGGAGCTGTGGGGGGAGGGAGAAGTTAGCAGAAATTGCCTCCATACAAATTTTAGGGGGATTCGATTTTTATGTGGTCGCAGACTTTTGGCCACACACTGCAACTCGGCTCTATTTATATGTACATAGGTATGAGCAGAGGTATAATTGCAATGTACGAAGTGTCATTGTCCATATACATTCCATATATGTCATGATAGTCTGCTGGACCTTCCTGCCCTATATTTCCACGATAGCCTTACATTTCCCAACATCTTTTGGCTCCCACCCAGGACTGAGCCCACATTCGCTTCCAGATCATGGCGGTCATTGATGTATGGATGAAGTCTCCATTAACATCTTCGTCTTCATTAACATCTTCGCACCCCTGAAATTGCCGCAATACCGCCACTCGCCCAATCCGCTATTCGCAACATGAAAGTAAAAGGCTATTCTGAACACATTGTATCGCGCCATTTTCGTCGGTTACACCCGCGGCCTAAGTCTTGAGCACGAGATTTGAGTTCTCGGCCCTGACGGCTATCCTCGAAAGTAGGACATGGGGTGGAACCTGCGAAGTAGCCCCAAAGCTTGTTGGCTGGAGTCCGACATGCTCCAAGGCAATGATAAATGCTAATGTTGATGTTTGTTTCGTTATTGGTTTCCCGGTCGAGTGAAATATCGTAATCTGTACTGCATAGCAAGCATGAATCATGCTCCGGATCGAATTCGATCGCTTTTCTATCATCCTTACAATAAGGCACTATGTAAGGACAAGAGCGCAAGTAGCGTTTTGGCAAGCTGCTCATAAGATAGCAGCATAATGGATTCGCCGAGAAAGTGAGGTGGCCGCAGAGTGGTATCGAAATACTATTGAGAAATTTTTTAAGATTCTCCTCAGTTACACATGGTCCGACTATCGTGTAAAATCTGGCAATATAGAGCATGTTATCGATGATTTTGGGGCTAGACCGAAAGGAAAATCTCCAGGCATTTTGTTTCCTTGGTAAACTTTTCAGATTTTGTTTGGGAAGCTGAATTTCAGTATCGACGTCTTCCTGGATGGCACGACGACACCTTCTAGAGATTTGGCGGAACCTGCCAAATCTGATGCATTTACCTAGTTCAATAACATCCTCAAACGACTCGTCTCGTGCTAGACTATCAAGAGATCTACCATGAGAGGGGCCGTGGAAATACCTACTCATAACTGAGTTTGCTTCCATGAATGAAATCTTAGAACGTAACATGAAGGGGCGAAAAATATCCGGAAGCCTGATGTGTGTGTCGTCATATGAATTAGACCACCAGTTTGAATGCCAGAAAGCACCAGCGGTCTCTGAAAGGGCTTCACTTTTCCAATTGCGCTTCGAATCAAGCGGACACAACTTGTTGCAACAGTAACAGAAGTGCAAGTCGGGAATATCTCTTTGCAGCGTTGAAAGAAACTCAATGAGATCCCTCCCTTCAAGGCGTGGCATGGTGCTTTGATGAGTTAATTCTGAGAAAAATTTGCAGGTTAAAGCTAAAGAAAACTGCCATAATGATGGCAAGTAAGTTATCACCAGCAAGAGGATTTCGACGGGAAGTGTCAATATGGTCGCATGAATGAACTCATTTGGACAATGAAGCCTTTTTTTAGATGTCCTGGCCTCAATAAGTCGCTGGCTTCGGCGGTTGCGCGATGAGAGTTGTCCATCGCCCCGATACATTTTGTGTTCCAGAAAGCAAAATACATGCTTTTAATCACAGGGATCAAAATAAATTCGACGGTGGAAACGGAATGGCTTTTATATAGTTCAAGACAATGACCCAATGTACGCAGAGTGCCAGTCACACGTACACTCAGGTTGCATGTGACAAGGGTTGGACAGCACATCTATCCACTTTGATACTCCATGGCGCAAATAGACTTTTGAGGCACACAATAAAATAATAGCCATTCATTCTTGTGATGAAGCAGGCCATGGCCCACTCACTGTGTACCACAATCATAACTTGTTGCTTTAGGCAGCTGAGCGGCTTACCAGAGTATTACTTGCTTGATTTTATGGGGGAATCGCTATCCATCACCACGCGTTAGCTATTCAGCATCCCGTTTTCGAATTTCAAGTGGCCTGGGTAGTAATTATAGCAGGTGTTATAAAAAAAATATACGGATAGTAGCAGAAATAGCTATTGTAGCAGAAAATAGCGATAGTTGCAAAACATAGCTGTAGTTCAGGAAGTAGTGAGAATATTAGATACTCCAGGATTTTTGTATCTTTAAGTAATGATAATGGAAGAATCTTTATTCTGCATGGTTGCATTCGGAACTCTTCTTAGTCGCTGAGGTGCGGGATCGACGTTCCTTTTTTTCAAGTGTTCGTACCTATATATTAAGCCAAAATTATAGAAGTTGGACAAGAGCTATTACTATGTATATGTCTTTGGTAGCTTCATTTATTTGTTCGCTTTTAAGAGACGATATCACCATACACAAAAGCATTCGTTTTGAAAAGAACATACCTCACATCGACGTAAATCAACATATGAGAGTATTTTTCTACATGCACATATACAGTCTTCTATGTTAAGGTTAAAGGAGTAAATTCATTCCATTCATGTTGCCTCTTGCCATGTTCGCCGGGCTCCTCCACGATCTAGCTTTAGATGGCGAGATTTCAGTTCTTCCAGCTGGGCGTTGGCCCTTGCCTCCAGAGGCTGGCTGTAATCGAAGCCGAAGCTGGTATGAGGGAATGTACTGGTAAAATAAGCCCATAATTCGTCGTCTGGTGTCCGGTACGACCCAAGACAGTGATACGTGTTAAGGGTAAAGGTCCACTCCTTCTTCGCATTATCTCGCTTGAGCGACATATCGTAATCGGTAGCGCACAATAAGCATGATCCTTCTTCCGGGTCAAATTCGTCAGGCTCGAGGCCATCCCAAAGGCGCTTCCATCCCCCAATAAATGATTTAATAAATAGACGGCGATCCACAGGTGCTTTTGATGTGCGGCCGGAATGGCGACACAATCGTCGTGGCGACGCGGAACACATCAAGTGTTTGCATATCAAGGGTTGTATACACTCAATCAACCTTGCAACATGTTCCCATCGCACCAACGGCCCAACTATTGCAAAAAATCGGGCGATATAAAGCTTTTTGTCCACAATCTTAGGTACAGACTGACTGGAAAATCTCCAAGCTTTCTCTTCCCTTGGGCCCATATCTAAAGACAACTTGAAAATTCCTTTCTCAAGTTCACAAGCCGGGCTATTAAAAGGATAAGTGTGGTAGTCACAGCAGTTGAATATGAGATTGTCCTCGTAAGTTGCGGAATGCTCCAGGCTTTGAAGTGGTATACCGTGAGAGCGCCCATGTAAATGGCCATTCATTACCAGATATGCATTCATGAAGGAAATATCGGAAAGGCTCATAAGGTCGAAATAAAATGGCGAGAGCTTGGAACGTCCAAATAGAAAAATGTCGCTTGTCCAAAGCGAATTTTTTATTTTTCCAATGGTCCATCTGTGATTCTGCCCGTCCCAACTGACGTTGGAATCCAATGGTCGTAATTTGTTGCAACAGAAACAGAAATAGACGTTAGGTATATCTTTTGACAACGTTGGCAAGAATTCGGCCAGATCTTGCTTTTTTAAATGAGGCAGAGTGCCTTTGGGGAGCAGAGCCGCCTTGAACCCTTTGCAGGTCAATGCCAAAGATAGTTGCCATGGTACTGCTAGGTGATTCTTTATGTAGAGCAAGATTTCGCTTGGAAGAGCCAGAATAAAAGATGGCGATGCCTCTTGTATTGCGCCAAAGGAATCATTTGCTAACCGTAATCTTTTTTGGCGTGCCTTTACCTCGACTAACCTTGCACTTCGTCGCTTATGTGGATAGTGTGTACCCATTGTCGTTTTCGGTAGACTCCCGTGTTTGAAGAAGAAATGCTGTTAATACTCTTACTGCTCACCGGGTAGGGCTCTCTTCGTTTTTATAGCCCCTTTCTGTGACACCATACAAACAACATAACCAACAACATCATGCAAACCTTTACTTTTAAGGGGAAAAATGTACATTTTGATAAAAGTCTAAATATTATGATTAGCCACACATACTTTATGACGTATGATAAGCTTTGAGGCACCGATAAGATGCATTCGTAGCTGTAATACATTCACGGACTAGGCCCCATTAAGGGGGCAGAGTAGAAGTGTCTTCGGTATTTTTTGTTCCATTTATCCAGCCAAAAGATATATTTACACTACCAAGAAAAAAAGATTATTGAGACGATTCGAGAAGATACGATTGAGGAAGCAGTATTCACGGATACTGAGAAGTGCTTCTATATAGGACATACCTCTACAGAGGCATGTGAGTCCGCTGGCGTAAGAGGAGATGGGCGGCGCATCCTCTCGAACTATAGTGTAAACTTTAGATTCAATCAAGAGGTCTAGATCTCATTATTTCCTGGGATTTCCGATCAAGATTTTATTCACAAATACAACACTACATTCCGTTGGGACATGGATTGAATAGGCCTTGACAGATATTAAAGAGCGAGCAATTCACTTACACTTTAAAGTGAATTTTGGATTTCAAGCGAATAATTAGTATATATAGCACTAACAATGAGTGCATATATGAAAACTGAAGTATCAAAAAGACAGCATAAATTCATATAGACAAATGGCTCGTTTCTTTGGGCAAGAGTATCAGCCAGAACTGAGGTGAATGTCTTCATATTAATACGATTTGGGCAGAAACTGCTGGAGACACCAGAAGCATTACGTTACCGATTCTAACGATCACTCTAGTTAGGCACCATTTATAGCCTGTTCGTCAGCATCGCTGCCTAACGCATCTGCCAATTCTTTTCTTTGACAATGCGCCCAAAACACATGTTTCTTCATAAATTAAATCTATTTTTTTGGAGTTTTACTGATACTCTAGAGATTCCTTGGTGTTCAATATCCCATGACAACTTCAAATTTCCTGAGAGGTGGCTACAAAAAGGAGCCAAGTTTGCAACAGAACAGTGGCAGGAGTCCGGATGCGGTGATAAAGATTACTAAACAATCACAGTCACCGTCTTTTATTGCTCTCGATCCTGTCATTCTCCGGATAATTTTGCAATCACGCACAATATTTACCAGCCGGCTTTAACATCTTTCGAGCCGTTCGGCGCCAATCTTTTTCACTATGCAGTCTCTAGTCACTACTAAGGAGTACTTATGTGAAAAGTGTCATGAACTATTGAAAGAAAGTCATTCTTCAACTCTAGCGGAAGATGGCGATAGTTTAATTCGCCACTATGAACTCCCAGCCGACCTCCAAGCCTCGGCAGACGGGGGTTGCCGAGGCTGTCAAATTTTGTGGACGCACATAATATATCGTACAGAATACTATGGAAAATCAAAACGCGAGATTAAGAAAATAGACCCTATCTTACTATCTATGGTAGAGTCTGGGGATGTTCATGTTACATTCTGGATGTCATGGCAAGCACATGATGGTCTGGAATTTGGCCACTCAGCGTCCATCACGCGTATCAGCGAACAGAGGCCTTATCGGGAAATACCTCCTATCCTGCGTACGAAATTTCACCTTTGCAGTCATAGTTCAGAAGATACTTACACATTGCTAGGACTAACAAAGGAAAAAATAAATGACGAAGTTACAGCTCTCCTACAAAATACCACTCGAGATTGGATGATCAACTGCAGTCAAAATCACGAGAAATGCCAATTAGCCCAGCACTTCAAAGAAAAATCTGATTCTATACCAACTCGATTGATAGATGTTCAATCCGACAACGGAGACACAGTCAGGCTTGTCGATACGAAGGAAGAGTTAGCCGGCACAATGCAACCCGTGTATCTTATTTTGAGTTATTGTTGGGGAGCAGGAAACGAAGCGGCAAAAACAACACAGAATAATTATCGCCAAAGAAAGCATCAAATTGTGGTCCGAAATTTACCAAAAACAATTCGCGACGCTATTGCTGTGACAAGGATCATGGGGATCCGATATCTCTGGGTTGACGCACTCTGCATCATCCAACCGGCTGACGACGACTTTCTTGATGACTGGAATATCGAAGCAGCCCAAATGGGGAGCTACTATTCCAACGCTCAGTTATGCATCTCTGCTTTATCCACATCAGATAGCTCGGATGGATTCCTTAGAGAGAGACACTCAGCTCGATATCCCTGGAGAGAAGGAGAATACCTCCAACATGGAGAAAACTTCTTTTCTATCAAACCACCTGAAGAAATAACGCCAGAACCGAACATCAAATTTATGCCGCTAATGAAACGGGCGTGGGCCCTGCAAGAAAGGATTTTATCCATCCGAAGATTACACTGGAGCATGGCCGGCCTGTTATGGGAGTGTGACAGTGGTATGTTCCAGGAGAATCAACCACTCCAGAATGTGCACCATCAGCTCAATGAGACTTATATACGCACACCAGTGGACAATTCTATACGACAGATCTTCAATCTGCCCAAAGCAGAGGCTCTAGGGGAAGCTTGGGTTCATGTACTAGAACAATATTCGTATATGAGGTTGACGAACCAAACAGACCGCCTCGTTGCCATCCATGGAGTAGCCCGCCGTCTCTCCTTACAGCACGATGCGAAATATTTTGGTGGCATTTTCAGCGAATACTGTTCCACAGCTCTGATTTGGGCGTGTCGATACGTGAATGGTGGGAAATATATGGGAGAGGATTTCCCTAGTTGGTCTTGGGCTTCGGTTGAGATCTTTTATTTCAGAACCGAGGATTTGTCAAGACAAAATTCTCTACGAGTCAAACATTTCGCTCGATGCACCAACTCAGAACAGTTTCCCTCTCCTGACGAAGTCACAGACTTCAAAGATCATTCCAAACGGAAATTATGCTTGGAGGCTCCTGTGGTTTCGTTAGGGATTGGAGAGAGCGAACTGTATCTATCGGGCGATTCAATGTTGGACAGTGAGTCGATAAGGAGTTATTGGAATGAATTGGATTGTAAGATCGAAGGTCCTGTTTGGCAAGGGCAGATAATATATATGGTAATGGATCGTCCGAAGGAACCCCCACCAAAAACAGTTACGCTACTTATTTGTGCTGGGGAATATCCTGTGGAGAAGGCGATAACAGCACCGGGCACGGAAGTTCGGTACAAGGGTTTATTGGTGAAAAGGTCAGAGAGAGAAGACCATGAGGCGTTTGTGCGGGTGGGCTATTTTGAAGTCACTTTGCCTTGGTCTCAAGAGGAGGAGGATGCCAATTATATAAGGAACTGGAAAACTGATATCAGTCTATTTTAGTGTAGTAAAGGGATGAACGGGGTGAGATATTCCTAGGCTATATTCTAGTATTTTACTCCAAATATCACTTAGGTAGGGAACTAGTACAATACATTGCTTGTATGGGTGCTTCTTCATCTATATAAATGGCCTCCATACTATTGCGTACAGTGCGCATATATATCGTCACAGTACGGACAGCCTCTCGGAGCATTTGCCCGATCTCCCGACTTCACCCAGATCCACAATATATTCATCATATCATATCATATCAGATCGTGCTCGACTCACCAAAAGCGAAACTCGAGCAATTGGGAGCCGACACGGCGGTTCCTGCGCCAATCATGTCTGCCTCACTACTTCGGTCGCGTCTCGCCGCTACAGGCCTCAAGTCTGTTCCTCGATCGACATGCCCCTCGCAAAACCCTCTCAAAACCTCGGTCCCTCGTCGCTATAACTCGAGCTCAGCCGGCAGCTCTAGCAGCGGATTCAAGGTCGCGGCGTATAGCAGTGCGCTGGCAGCTGCTCTCTACGTCTCATACTACTATGCGACCGACACGCGAGCATTCGTCCACCGATATGTCGTCCCGCCGCTGCTGCGAACCGTCGTCCCTGATGCCGAAGATGCGCACCATTTGGGAGTGTCTGCGCTGAAGCTGCTCTACGAAGTCGGCCTGAACCCGCGCGAACGAGACGCCACTGTCGACAGCCCCAGCCTCTCTGCGTCCGTCTTCGAGCACCAATTGGCGAACCCGATCGGCATCTCAGCTGGTCTGGACAAGGACGGCGAGATTCCCGATGCGCTGTTTGCGCTGGGAGCTGGTGTCGTTGAAGTTGGTGGCTGCACCCCTCTGCCGCAGGAGGGAAATCCCAAGCCTCGTGTCTTTCGCGTGCCGATTCTCGACGGAATGGTTAACAGATATGGTCTCAACTCAAAGGGAGCCGACGACATGGCGATCCGCCTGCGCGACCGACTTCGACGATTTGCGCGCTCAATAGGGGTCACCGAGGAGGAAATCATCAGTGGAGAGGCCGGTGTTCCTGTGGGAAGCTTGAAGCCTGGACGGATCCTTGCTGTACAAATCGCAAAGAACAAGGAGACGAACGAAAAGGACGAGCAAGCCATCGCCGCCGACTACGTCTACTGCACACGGCGGTTGGCCCGCTATGCCGATGTTCTGGTCGTCAACGTCAGCAGCCCCAACACTCCAGGTCTTCGGGATCTCCAAGCTACAGAGCCTCTGACCCGGCTCCTCGCCGCGGTTGTCGACGAGGCATCCCAAACAGATCGAAAAGTCCGCCCCAAGGTCATGGTCAAGGTTTCCCCTGATGAGGACGAGGATTCGCAAATGGAGGGTATTGTGCAAGCCGTCCAGAAGAGTGGTGTTGACGGCATTATCGTTGGAAACACCACAAAGCGAAGAACCGGCCTCAACCCCAAAGGAGCCAAGCTCTCGATCAGGGAGCAAAAGGCGCTGATGGAGACGGGAGGCTACTCTGGTCCCGCCATGTTTGACCGAACCTTGGATCTCGTCGGCCGCTATCGTAAGTTGCTCGACTCACAGCCCGTTGGCAAGGGTGAGCAAAAGGTTCTTTTTGCGACTGGAGGTATCACAAATGGAGAGCAGGCGTTGAAGGTTCTGAATGCTGGTGCAAGCGTAGCGATGGTGTATACTGGTTTGGTTTATGGAGGCGTTGGAACGATTACGAGGATGAAAAAGGAGATGCACGAGGCTCTATAGAGGCGTGATTTGAAGAGGTCAATGGTTTTGATGACATGGGAAGCTTTCCATGAGTGTCTTAGAGGTGTTGGAGGGAGATATATGATATACTACTACCTTTGTATTTATAACTAAAAAGTCGGATAGCAACGTTGTGTCGATGCCGGTGTATAGAGATATTGAATATTTTACAATATTACTTTCATATGAGTCTATGATAATTTCCCATCTTCTTTCATGCTCTAGAAATGTGTGTTCTCTAGGTACTTGCAAGAAAGTATATGTGATGTTTATAGTAGTAAATACAGATACTGTGAGATAATCATCAAGTCCCCAACTATATAACAAGTTAATCTTTTAATAGATCTATTATTAGGTAGTTACGAAGGAATTTATTCATCTTGCTTTACCATTATTCCCTCTTTTCACTTCAATTACCTATAATCAAACTCTGATCAACAAATTGCAGGGTAAACGAAAGAGCAGCGCTAGCCCCCAAATAGGCAAGGCACAGGCACAGCAAAAGATACGCCACATGCCCCACTAAAAAGTTCAATCGATATCGATTTCTCCAGGCCTTCGAATTTTACCATCTCCAACCAAAACCGCCAGCTGCAGCTGATCAGCCCATCATGGCCGCCGCAACGACTCTGCCCGCCTTGTTGGCATCGCTAACACAGTCGCTGACTCTCGCACAAGAGGGAACCTCCAAAATCTCAACCATTGAGCATCCCAAGGACGGAATCTCGCTCCTCGACGTCAAGAACGAGCTGCTGCTCTCATACCTGCAGAACCTAGTCTTTCTCATTCTCGTCAAGTTACGAAACGCAAAGTCAGAGGGAAAAGACGCATCAAAAGAGAAGGACGAAGATCTGGACGAAGCCGTGCGAACCAAGCTTGTCGAACTACGCTTGTTTCTCGAAAAGGGCGCCCGGCCGCTGGAAGAGAAGCTGCGGTTCTCCATCGACAGATTCCTTCGAACGGCAGAAGATGCACAGCGACGCGAGAAGATGAAGGAGGCCAAGGCCAGCGGAAAGACTGGTTCCAGCACGGACGAATCAGCCTCAGGCTCTGAAGATGATGATGACGAGGACGAGGAAGAAGGCGACTCCGAGGCCGAAGACGGCCACTCCAGACCCCAGCCCAAACGAGGCAACCTTTCTGCCGCACCCAACATGGGCTCTCTCATGGATGACGTCGCCATCCGTCCCGCGAAGCGCGATCAAGATGATAATGCTCCCGCCGGTGTATACAGACCCCCTCGTCGCGAGCGTCAAGTCATGGAGACGACCCACACCCGCGAAAAGGCCGCCCGCCGCCCCATGCGCTCACACACCATGGAGGAATTCGTTGCCTCTGAGCTTTCATCCGCACCCATTGCCGAGCCCAGCATCGGTACAACCATTGTACAGGGCGGCCGCAGAATGAAGACGCAGCAGGAGCGCAAGGACGAGCAGGAGCGCACCGAGTACGAAGAAACGAACTTTACCCGCCTCCCCAAGGAGAGCAAGAAGGAGCGCGCCAAGAAGGCCAAGCAAGCCGGCCGCAGCGGCCGGATGCAGTTTGGTGGCGAGGAGTGGCATAATCTCGGCGAGGGTGTTGATCGCATCGATCGGCTGACCAAGCGAAAGGAGGGCGGCGCAGGATCTGGCGTCAGAGCCATGCTGGAGAAGAGCCGGAAGCGCGGAGCGGATACGGAGGATGGACCGAGAGGGAGCGGACACCAGATGGGAGAGAGGTTTCACAAGAAGGCCAGGCTGCTGGAGATTGGACGTGGAAGCAGAGGCAAGGGAAGGAAATAGATTTTGGAATAGCATACTGCTGGTTTGCGCTCATATACGGCGTTTTGGCTTGTTAAAAGTTGTATACAGTGATATTGTATTATAATTAAGCACATATAAATGATATCTTGAATAAAATGTACAGTGAATAAATATCCAGAAGTGAAGCATGTCACAACGCCCAAACACCTCTCATGCAAACATAACACATTCCCTCATCTCGTCTTCATACAGCCCCCCTAGTTCCCCTTTTCATTTCGAAACAACTCCTTCTCAAGGAACTTGGGACAAATCCGCTCCCACTGCTCCATCGTCCCCCGATCTGTCGGAATGCCCTCTGCCAACTGAGGGATGCCCTCTTTGCGCCTCTCCTCAAACAGCGGCTTCGCTCTTCTGTACCACCACGTCTGACTCCATTGCCTCTCCCGCTGGTACTTTTCCACCGAGTTGTGGTGAATCATGACAGGGACTGTGTTGATACATATCTCTGTGTAGAGCGGCATTGTATCCCACATATCCGGCACGCTTCCTCTCATCCATGGGAGAGGCTGGCCGCCGGGCAAGTCGTTTGGCAGAGACAGCATGTCGGTTTTGGGAACACAGTCGAATTTGCCTACTTTGCCGAGTTGCTGTTTCACCGGGAGACCATGTCGAATATACCGCGCGTCAGTAACTGCGTTGGAAGTCTGATGGCCCAGCAGAGACCAGTAATCCAGCGCAATACCGAATTCATAGGGTTTACCAGGGAGATGCGTCTTGTTATACTGCTGGTGGGTGAAAGCCGGTTCCAAACGATCAAGCACAGGCACCTGTTGGATATCCGTAGGAGGCGGCTTTGATCCAGCTCGTCCTGGAATGACTTTATCAAGCATGTCGTCAACACGAGTGCGATGATGCCGCCTCATGACTTCGCGATAATACTCCTGCTCGCCAAACATCTCGACGAAAATGCTCTGGTCACTCCCACGGTAACACGCATCCGACGCTCCCGTTCCATCATCAAACGAAGCACCTTTCCGGTTCTGACATTCCTCCAGTTTCTCCAAAGCTCGCTCCAGCACGCGACGCACTTCTCCTACTGGTCCAATGATGTATCCTGAGTTAAGGTATCGAGTCCGGTAGCTGCTCCATTGATTGGTTCCAACAAAAGTATCCGTGTTTCCGCCGTAAATGTCGTTTGGAAGGGGTGACTCTGGAACGGGATAGCAGGCCACGGAGGTAAGAATATTTGGCGCACAGCGTTTGCCTGCTCCGAAGACGACCCGTGAGTTGATGCCCTCCTGGGTAAAAGCTCGGCCCATGCGGTGAGCAACACGGGCGTTCTCTTCCTCGAGAATAGCGTGGTACCGAGATAAGAGCACATCAACAGGGAGCTGGAACCAAATGTCGTAGGCATCGAGCATCATGACGAGTTCTTCGTCGAAGCCGGGCTGGCTGCGGCGCTTAGGGTCATTGATGTAATCCAGAGTCCGAGTAATTTTGGCAAAGTGCGAGCCGCCTCCAAGAAGTCCACTGGCCCGGTCTTGGTCTGCCCAAGCGATAATCGTCGGGTTGGGATAGCCTAGGAGGATCATGGTAAGGAGCGTCTTGCAGAAATTGATGTTGCTTCTTGTGGCGGGCAGAAGAATGTGCAACTTTTTATCCGCGGCTGGAGAGATGGTTGTAGTTTGGTTGTTCGGCGGCTTGTAAATGCGACTGGTGGTCCATGGTTGTTTGAGAATCTCCGAAGTTTGTTGCTGGACGGTGTACTTTTCCCAGAGTGAGCAAACTATCTACATAGAGTTGTCGTGACCATGACTTGATTGTTGAATCCACTTACTGGCGCAATTATGTACAAGGCTAAAGTGCTAAAGACAAAGGCGATTCCAACAAGCGAAATGGGGCGCCGGACACGATTTGAAAAGAGTTGGAACATGATAGAGAATGTCGAATGTAGCCCAGGAAAATGAAGGAGAGTAAAGGGCACAGTTGATTAATTAATTAAATGCAGATTGATGTAGTTTGGGTAAGAATGAGTGACAGTGTTTAACGAGAAGAGAGAGAGGTGCGCGTCTTGGTCGCTCTAGTTGACAGCTTTACCCCTGATTCTAGAGCGCAAGAGCAAGACCTCAATCAACACTCTCGCAACTCAACAAACAAAACAGAAAAAGAGTGTGATGAAATGAGAAGGAAAGAGAACTAAGATAAGAGAGAAGAGAAAAGAAGAATAGGCGATCATTATCTCGCAAGAATGCCCAGCACGCGTCCCCACATGATTAACTTGCTTGGTGTTGCGGCTATGAATGGGTAGCGCAGGGGCGCGTTCAGCCGCAGCTGCACATCCTCCTTTTTCCAGGAACAAAGAAAGATGTTTAGTCTGATGAGCTAAAGGAGCCGGTATTGCCGCTGCCAAGATATTAGTCAATTGATGGTTTACTTTTTCGTTTTGAGGGCTGCCAAGTCTTCACTCCCGACGCACGGATTGATAACTTTGACAGAATAGGTTATATGTGGTGAGTTTCCCTAGATCAGACCCATGAGTGTCAGTGAGCCATCTATCACCATTTCATACAAGTGCCGCTGCGGCTGTCAGAATTTAGTCCAATATACCCCATGTATGCTTGTGTTTGATGGATCAGGACGAGCAAGAAGAAAAAGGAAAGAAAATTCGGCGTGCGCCATTGGCTACTTGGTGTTGTGATGCCCCTGTCGGATTATTGAACAGACATGGCACCATGGCTTTTGGCGTGGCCCAAATCGGGGCTTTAATTTACCTTAACTTTGCTAGGCGTTTTTGGTATCAATATTCAACAAGCGAAGAAAGCCGGCGGACTTTCAATTCTGGCGGCTGTTTAATTTGTACTTTTGGTGGTTCTGTCATTTAACCCCATGTACTCCGTAGGCTCCATACCGATCTGTATACTTAAACTAAAATCCACTTACCCATTCCCCGTTCTATGTAATCAAAATAGGTAGCACTCTGGGTTAACGAGAGGTGTGAGACTGAGAAAAACTACTGGAGCCAGTGAAGATAAAAAGGGAACCGCTATTAGTTACCTAGGTACCGAGTTATTATCCTCCATATTCGTCACACAACTACATAGCATTGCATTAAGTTTCAACAAGGATGGCTGATATGAGGAGAGTCATACCAAAACTCAATTTCTTCATTCCTTGCTGCGGTAGGCTGTTTAAGGTAAAACTGCTGCGAAAAGTAGGCACAAATAAAATGATGCGGCTCTGAGGCTCTGCTACTTTCACACCTGAGGCCTTGGGGTGGTAGTTACATGCAGGTATCTGTTGGGTCATTTCCAGATGAGTCTTCACAGCATACCTGTAGCCAACCCTAACCCGAGACCTGGGGTCGGGCAGGGGGGGGGCCAAAACTTTGCTCAGTGGATATTTCCGAATTGGTCTTTCACAGCATTTTTAACCTCACCCGAGACCTTGAGGGGGGAAATGGATGTCAGTTGAGCTATATCCTTGACAAAATTGCGCCCTGGGTGTTTCCGAATTGGTCTTTCGCAGCATTTTTAACCTCACCCGAGCCCAGCAGAGCAGAGACTTAGCTCCAACGCCTTGTATCCAAAACACAAATTATGGCTTTTACAAAATGACGTGTAGGCGAGTACTCTGGAATGATAACCTCTGACGTCTGTAAGCCATGTATCGCGGTATTAGTCCTTTTTCCTATCTTCATTCACTGTAAATCTATTCCATTTCCCAAATAGATGGCATTTAGTTCCCGACATTTGGTCAGGCTATCTACTATTAGAATGTGGTGAAGCACAGGCTCAAGGCACCCTGGACCGCTGAGATGGAGAAGGACATCGACAGGATGGGTGGTGAGAGTGAGAAACCTTTGAATATTGGACAACATGATCTTGGCAATGTGAATCCCAGCTAATAATGAGTTGATTGTTCAATAAATAAAAGCATGCTAGTGCCGGATCTCACTTGTAAAGATGGATGAGCGATTGAGTGCCACAGTTTTAGACTGCATATGAACCGCCCTCTCCGCTGCCTTGCCCACTACGAGTGCTACATACAAGTACATGTAGTTACTAATCTTAGCTCAGGTACTTATGATGTGAAACTAAACACTAAGTTGCTCAATCATATACTTTACTTACATCGCCTACTATGTCTATATTGTATGTCTTTGCCGCTGTTGGGGCAATCACAGTTGCCGCCTTCGCAATCAACGCCGTCAGCGTGATTAAAGTCTATCTCCTTCCATCAAAGCTCAAGCGATATGCGCATGTCTCAGCAGATGGCCGCCCTGCATGGGCATTGGTCACTGGCGCTTCAGACGGTATTGGTTATGCCTTTGCTTCAGAACTTGCGCTGCGAGGCTTCAACGTGGTTCTACACGGCCGTAACCAAGCCAAACTTGACGTGGTCCAATCTCAGCTACAAAAGAAACACCCAAATACCTCGTTTCGGACTCTAATTGCAGACGCCAGCACGGTGCAATGCGTGAATTGTCTGCAGGCTGGAGAGAAACGGTCTCACCCAGCGCTGGACTTCAACGCTATCAAGGCCGCGCTTCAGGATTTGCACCTCACAGTCTTGGTCAACAATGCGGGCGCTGGTACCAGGGATCCCATCTACCTGCCGCTGGGCGGGAGTTCTGAGCAGCGCCTCACCGAAAACGTCAACGTGAATGCATTATTTCCCATGCATCTTATGCGTGTCCTCATCCCACATCTGGCGCAAGGTTCGCCCGCGCTAATTATGAACATCAGCTCTATGGCCGACGCAGGGTTTCCCTTGTTAGCGTCTTACAGCGCAAGCAAGCAATTCCTGATGACCTTGACGCGAGCACTTCGCCTGGAGATGGCACTCCTGGGCCAAACAAACGTTGAGTGTTTGGGCATCCGCGTGGGTAAAGTCACAGCGGTATCGCACAACAAAGAGGCCCCGTCACTTTTCACGCCAACAGCCGATACTATGGCTCGGGCTGCGCTGGACCGGGCTGGCCACGGGCATGTGGTTGTAATCGGTTACTGGGCGCACGCACTGCAACAGGCCAGTCTTATGTTTATGCCTACGTCTATAGTAGACAAAATCATGATTAATGTTATCCGTGAGAGGAGGGACGCCGAGTCTAAGTCGAGTTAAGAAGAACATAGTTATGTAGTATCCGAAGACTAGGTTTCCATTTACATAGCCGGCTCAACAAGATGCAATTTAGCTGAAGGAACAGTATTGTTATCAAAATTTGGCGTCTTACAGCGGATTTGGTATAGGCATACGTCAAACAACCATTTTGCAACCCGGTAATCAGTAAGATCCTCGATAAAATGTACATATAGTCTCTATAGTCTCTCTCGGAGTTTGCATTTTGAGCTTCGCTACTCGGTATATTATGTGCTTAACTAGAATCTCTGCCAGGTTGGACTTACCTCTCTATTTAATAAAAGTCGCATAGGACTGTGGTCTTGGATCAGCCGGTGCTTGTAAGACCTCCTTGAATATAGCCTCGAGGAGCACCGCGCTGGCATTACAAGACTTAAGTAAAGTCGTTCCAGCTTGAGGCATCTCCGTGAATGGTTGGGCCTTTGCTACGCTTAGGGCCACGCCTATCAGAAGAGGCCTACAGTTGGCCTCGTGGAACGTCTCTCCAAGCTGTACAGTCTCCCTGACTATATCGTAATCGGTTCTGGTGCACTGCGTGTCTGCCCGACATAGTGCTAGCTTCAGTAGCTCTCATTCTCTGAATAAACACAAAAAGGAGACGATATGGCTGTCATCAAAAGCAATTTTATTAGAGCGTATGTAAACTTTAGTTAAAAGCTGGGTTATCAATAACATATTCTGTGACTTGTAGCCCTCCATAAATGTCATTTGCAGCAGCCATGACAACAAGTGCGATTCCACGAGAGTCTGGTTCTTCATCGTTAACAGCAAAAGCATAAGCCAAACGTGACACGTATGACGCGATGCTAGACACTTCCTCTACAATGGCAACACTTCGTGTAGCACCGCTTGGCTTCTGTGCTAGTTCATAAAAATGCCATAGGGTCACCACCATGGCAGGAATAACGAGAACACCGTCCAGCATGGCTCCAATTCCACGGGCATCTTCAAAGATCATAGGGCCGAAATTGCACTTCTTAAATGCCCACTGACCTACACCTGAGAAGGTAACTTTAGAGTGAACAACCAAGAGCCCTGTTATCGCAGAAAGAATTCTAATGGGCAAACTTTCGACAGCATCCATCGGTACCAGAGAATTGCCTACAAAGTTGAATGCGGCATCCATAATGCCTACAACTGTTGCAGGAATACCAATAAGACTGCTGCCAGTGTCATCGTACGCCTCTAATGCAAGCTGAGGGTTTCCTACTAAACGGAGAATACCCGAAATCATGTGGCAGCATTCGAAAGTAGCTTTCTGTAAAGATACCGACATGGGTATCGGGCCCTGGTGTTGGCTTGCGTTGGAGACGACAGAGGCGTGAGAAACAGATGAAGATGAAAATGATGATATAATCCCTTTAGTACTTTGTTGTCCGAACATCCCGCATAATTCATCCCAGCTTCTAGCAGCCGTGATTGATTTCACGGAACGGTCATCTTTGGGGAAAGGGGCATGGCCTTCGATGGTCTTGTAGCCAACAGTCACGGCGAACGCGCCGATCCAGGCAAAGACGTCTAGGAAAGAAATATCCTTAAAGCCGGCGAGGTTGAGAAGATCCGAGAGAACTGGTATGTGAATTTTGGCTTCCATAATCTTAATAGCTGACTGAGCGAGTGTGTACAACACGTTCAAAAGAGCATCCAGCACTACCTGCACAGATGATAGAACGCCATCAGCTACGATTGCTAGTATCTTTTTAAGGATATCCTCAATCGTCAGTGAAGCGAATTGTTGGATTAAATCCTGGAGCTGGTTAAACACTGCCCCGAGCACATGTGCTTCATTTGTGACAGCAGCTAGGAGATCATTAAGGAGATCCTCCGCGGGATTTATCGTTGGCGTGTTCCCTATGATGCTCAATTGACCGCCGTGATCTCTAAACATATCCATCAGCAACCTTGAGCTGGGAGTTAAGCTCTTAGACCAACTGCCGGAGATACTACTCGATGCGGGTTTCTTTGTCGTATTCGCGAGCGACGGTGACCAGCCGCTAACGCCGGCGAAATCGTTCAAAGTTTTCTCAGCCTGTGTAATGCCCTTATCCAACGTGTCCCGTGCTAGAGGGATAAGGTCCACCTGATCTTGCAGCCATAGTTTGGCCATATTGACCATTACGTCCTTTGTGCGGGTAATGTCGCCCCATTCAAACAAGGCTTCGACGAATTTAACCAGTGTCTTCCATGCTGTCTTGGCCGCATTATATAGCCATTCCACACCTTTCGCTAATGCGTGGAAGCCGTCGAGAGCAGCATGGTATATTTTCTCCCCTACCTTTACAAAAAAATGCACTGCCTTGGAGCCCATGTCGTAAAAAAGCTGGCCCATGGCATCCAATCCATGCTTCGCCATCTGGAAGAGATCCCCGACCCCGACGGCAATTGCGTGTCCAAAGGACTCTAAAATATCGTCGACATCTCCAAAGAAAGTCTTAACTCCATTAAAAAGATCCCCAAGGATGTTGAATTTCGCTACCATGCCTGATAGAGAACCTGCAGATTGTCCTCCTCGATGACTCGGAACCAATGCGATGGAAGAAGAGGCGGACTGGGCTGCCCCAGATGGTGCATTTTTTCCATCCCCTGTACTCTGAAATGTGGCATATCTTCCTCTAAGGACACCAAGGCTTTCTACCATAGACTTCAAGTCGTCTTGGCTCATTGAGGGTTCCATGAGAGGCACATAGACCGTCTCATCCATCACACCGCCCGCGACCGTCTCCCTTGGTAATTGTGCACTGCGCAATTCATCAACTGAGTTCATTGACGAGAGTTTATAAAACCCCTGATTCATGGGATTTATGGTAATCTTCATGTTGTCAATAGAAGCCGTTAAAATAGCCCCGTTCATGCTATCGATTTGCTCAATAATGGTAATTGAACCCGTCGAATCGGCGGTGACTTGAATCGCATCGGGTGAGATGATATAATAAAGTCCATTAATGTATACTGGAGTGCGAGTATGGGTAGATATATTGACAACTGCATTCGGTATTGCGATATCTGTATCTTCATGTGTGACATTAATCGATGTGGTGTACGATTTGAAATCAGTCACTTTTTCCTTGACCTGGGTTGCGATCGCGATGGGTTGAGAGCGCCACATTTTCCCAGTATTAGCTGAGGTTTGGACAAGCTTTTGAAACTGTCCTTTACCTGAGACGAAAACTGTATTTCCACCGTCGCAACAATTCATATAGCATGAGATTCGCTCCGCATCTGAGAGGATGCATACGGGTTCAACCCAAGAAGAAGGCTCGTATACACGGCCAACTGGACAGGTGAGATAGTATACTTGATAATTTTCGTTTCTCCCCCAAAGTGTAACTACACCATTGTGCGTCATAGCTTTTAGTGTATCCGTCCCGGACAGGAGCTTGTTTGTGAATAAAGAAATCGGCCCAGCGCCATCTTCTTGGGAATCAGAAGGAAATACATGTAAAGTTGAACCGCTAACAACATAAAGATCAGAGGAGCCATCATCGATATCGCGAATGATGGCAATAGCTGAGGGAATTGCGTTTCCGGGCATGTTCAATCTGTGTGGCGCCACCGGGCCACTGCCGTAATAATTGAAAATGGGCTCATAAACAAGCTGACCCAAATCTCCGGTAGAGCCAGCAGTATAGATACCATCTATAGGTTTCCCACTCACCCGACCTACAGCACTCTGATATTTACCGGCTGCAATATCGACTGAGACATCATGCTTAACCCAGAAACGACCCTCTGCTAAAGTTGGATCAATATGGTAGCGGGTGACGTGTGGGTTAGCTTTAGTTCCCCGATCAATATCCGTAATTAAATATTGCTTCCCGTCTTGAGTCTCTGCAAAAAACACGTTGGCAACGGTAATACCCTGGGAAGATTGTTCGCCGACTGCATCGAAGGGCACCATGTGCCAAGTCGGGCTTGCCACCCATGATGTGTCGCTGGTGGAATTGTCCAACGAAACAAATACCTGTTCGTTTCCGTCATCCAGGCTGACGGCCATCATAAGATTAATGCCGTTGCTTGAGACGCTTTGACTGACATCAAATGTACGCACCACTGCCTTTGATGTTTGGGTAGGGAATTGGGATTGAATAACGGCACTGGATAAGTCGTGAACTTGCCATCCAGTGTGGGAAGTTCCATGCTGTTCCTCAATAGCATGGAAGATGCCAGAGGAATCAACGGCAAAGAGGAGACTATGACCAACGCTGCTCTGAAGCGCCTCGAATTTACCCGTGGGCAAGGCAATCTCTCCACGAATATAATTTTGCATTAATTCTGTAGACGCTGTCAATTTCCCGACAGTAGTCGTAGGAGGAGGTTGGGGGCCGGGGTTTGTATATTCAACGGCTGACTGATCAGCTTGGGGCTTGGGGCTGGGGCTAACCTCGTTATTCTCAACGTATGTTATCTCACATACGAGGTCTTGGTTATCGGAGAAGAAAGGATTTTTGTATGTGAACGTTTTTCCACCAGGGAAGATGAAGGTGTGAAGCTGACTGATTTCCAGCCCATGGATCTCGACAGACTTCCACTCCGGAACTCTCTTTAACCATTCCTGAACGAAAGGTGTAACGCTCGCAGTATCAAAATCTGGGTTAATATAATTATCAGAAAACTTTGATGTTGAAGATGCCGAGTTGGCACCCTTGGTCAGCTGCAGGGCTCCATTTTGATTGACCGAGAGATCGTAAGCCTGAGAGGAGGCGCTTGTGTCAATATACCTCCACTCGTATTTATCAGGTTCTACGATAATCTCCGGCCCGGGTGCATTTCCATCTGGGTCCATCACAAACGCAGATATACAGTCGAGATTCTTCTCAATTTCCTGATTGACATTAATGCTCTGCCCGGAAAACGTGATATCGCAGGTATATTTGGTCTGAAGTCGCATATTGCAGAACCATTCACCTGTATCTACGCTGATGTCATCACAATTGTCGCTGTATTCCACATGTATGACATTACTGCCAGATGAGGCAATTGTGATAGTTGGGGTCCCCCCAGGGGACATGGTAATATTATCATCTCCAAGTGCGAATTGTATTTTATAACACGACGCTGGAGCTGCCTCTTTCACTTTGTCGGAGATGGACTGAAGCAGTACATTGCGATTGATGGCCATCATGCCGCTCCGTTCATTGACTTCATCAGGCCGGACCCAATTCCAGTTGAGGTTGGTAATATAAGGGAGCTGGTGATTGTTGACTGCGCAGAGGTAGTTCAACGTAGTTGCTGACTGTTGAGCTTTATCCCCGTGCTCTATCGGCATACCATTGCCGTCCTTGAGTAGCATGATAAATCTCTCCATTGCGGTAATCTGCAGCTCGGACTCATCCCTGGGCTGTGCGACGGCCGAAACTGAAAGGAGCGGCAAGCCGTGTTCCTTGGCAGAAGTCTGGTACCTATTAACGAAGTACTCCCCCAGTACATACGCGGCATCGGATTTCGGATCTAACGTAGGGAACGTTGGAAGAGTCTGCAGTGAGGCGCTGTCCAAGTTGTACATGAGCTGCTGGAGGCTAAAAGCAGTCCCGGAGAGATTCTGAAGATTTTTCTTAATCTGTTGCTTGACCTTTGGATGGTTATTGAGGTAAGGAGTGTTAAGCTCATCATCGAGATCTTTAGCAAGGAGATCAACCCGTATTTGGGCAGTCCACGGTTGGCCAGAGGGCTGACTCCAGACGCCCCAATAGCCCCCATCGCCATAGTAGTCTGGTGGAGTGTTGTCAATGACGGTGAGCTGCGAACAGTACAGGTTGAAAAGGGCGGTTTTGGCATTTCCGTCTTCGAAATTGACAATGGTCAGATCTCTAGGCGTGACGCCAGGTGGTAATCCCATTTGCATCTTGATTCCGACTTTGAATCCAGCCTTAGAGAGAGCCTTGAGACGTGGGTCATCATAGCTAGTCCCGTCAGGAATATAGAACGGGTCGATGCCGCCCGTCAGTTCCTTCAGCTTCTCTAGAGATATTTGCTCAGAGGGGATGCCTGATTTGTCCCTTAAAAAACAGATATACTCGATTGGTTGAGTTGCCTCTGCTAAATACTCCAACATGCCGGAATTGATACTGGCTTGAGTGGTGGCCACAACAAAATCACAGCCAAGGCTGGAAAGATTTGAAGATTTGCTATCCATGGCTAGAACTGGTAGAAAGCAAAAGAAGGAGATGTAAAATTTAGAGTCGAGATGAAGTGGTAGCCCAATTGAAGTTTGTTAAGAAGATTAATGACTCGTAGGAAAGATGCTCATAGCCTTAATATACCTGATTTTGCTTGCGGTCATACAAAATGCCAGGCGAATTTTTTCCCCTTCGAGCGTGGAGTAAGGCCGGGGAATGGCATCAGTAATCTTGTTTCTGTTCTACATCATTGAGCCCAGAACACCTTTTTTCCGTTATTTGTGTATGCATGGTATGCAGTTGTAAATTCTTGGCAATCCGCATGCAAGCTGAAACCCTCGTAGACGACACAGAGACTGCCTATAGGAAAGCTCATGGAATGACACTCTTCTCTGTTAATGGGAGCTTGTGCGAATATGGTCAAGCGCATAATTGAACTATGATCTTATTTGTTGGACAAAGTCGTATCTATGCCAGTGGAGAGCTGAAATCCTTCTGCAACCCCTCCTTTCATGTTCAGCTGGGCTCTGTCTCGGAAACAATCCCAAATAGAGACGTAACCCCTCACCTATGCATCTTGTTAATTAGCAGAGGGGGAGAGAGGGAAATAAACCAGAGATTTCCAATGTTTACTAAATAACACATTAGCCACGAGCAACGGTCTATTAATATAGTCTCGTCGATAGGGCAAAGAGCAGGTTAATAATTGTAATTGCAACAATTATTCTGACAAAAAAAGCCGCTTAAAGTGATTGGCTTGTGTGGTAAACTAGGTTATAATACTATATTATAAATTTCATCTAAAAGGAGAAGCAAAACTCATTCTCATTCATATATAGTCTTCCAGGTAGCTAATTGTTATCTATCCTGGACTGAATAGGTATACAAACTGCGGGGGAAAAGGTCTTTGCTAATATAAATCATCAATAACAGGCGGCTTCCAGCCTATAAAACCACCTCCTCCGTGCGTCTTATTGAAATCATCGTGAGTGTGAATCTCGGTCCAATACTGAAGTTCGCCCAAATTCTTGCCATCAAACGCTGCCTCAAGCATGCCGTCATAAATGGGAATCAAAGACTCCACTTCCAGCTTGTTCTGGCAATTTGCGCAGCCTGCAATATTCCGGCGGCTTAGCACAGGCTCGTGGCCGATCTCGACCTTGTCTTCTTCGCTCGTGCCAACAAAGGTGCGGATAACGAAAGAGCCCAAATATTCGGCGCGGCTGATGTTATGCACACGCTTCATCTTCACGATGCGGCTCGAAATCTCAGGCAGTTCACCTAGCGGTGCGCGGGAGACATATTCTAGAGATCCGGGTTCGTAGTCATAGCCGAGCTCAGCAATATTGGTGACATCGTGAGAGGAGTAGTAAGTTTCATCAGGCTTGCGGAACGGATACAGCGAAGTGTCCATGCTTAGTTTGGTTCCAGGCGGGAGAAAGGGGCTGGCCTCATTATCAGGCACGATGGTGCCGGGATAGTACGGAATAACTTCCAGGGCGCCCCTCTCAGTCTTCTCATGGAACTTCTGCCATACCCAGAAGGCGTAGTCGATGAAGCAGTGGTGAAAGTAGAATATAGGGTCGAAGCTGGCGGTTTCGTTATCTCCCATATCGCCGTTCGCCCCAATGATGGGGTCAGCATTATACTTGTCCTTTTGGTAGAAGCCGCCAAGGGCGAGGTGCATTGCATTATGGGGAGACTCGAGAGAAACAACATAGTGCTTATCCTTGGGCTTGAAGTCCTTGATCCACTGGTTCTGAGAGGTGGTATTGGAAAAGACAGTGTAGTTGGGTGCTCCAAGGCTGATCTGGAACCGGCGATGAATGGAGTAAGTATCCGGAATACTAGCCCTGCTACCGTCATCAGGGATTCTGACCGTCCCGTTGAGCCAGGCCGCTACGTTTTTGTTCAATATCTTTGTGTTGTCGCCTGGGTTTGGGTACTTGGTATTATGTATGACTGTTTGTCCCTCGTCCTCGGGATTGCCAACAAGGCCGGAGAGCGGGTAACGAACAGTAGCATATCCCTTTTTCTTAGTGTAGCGCCCATTTGCTCCCTTGACATTGTGTACAAGCGTTTCTTGCAAAGTGTACGAGCAGAGAGGGTTCGGTTTGCCCTCAAATTCGGGGTCTGTGAAGATGGACGGAATGGGCTTCTCGCCGGAAACGAGCGTCTCATCCCAGTATGGCATCGTCAAATCCTCGCAACCAGGAGCAGATCTGAGAGCATTTTCCAGGCGCAAGATATAAGCGCGGTGCCAGGTCGGGAACAGGACATTGCCGTGGTTGCAATAGCCTCCCCACCAGTTAGCATCCGTTACGCCTGGACCGCGAAAGGGCTCGCCGTGAAAGCCGGCGATGCAAAAAAAAGAGTTGGGGTCATGAGAGGGCAAGTCCTTGATCCATTGCCACGCCTTGACTAGGTTCTGGAGCGTAACCTTGTCTGTTCCCTCCAGATAGTCCTGCTCGATGCGTTGGATGGAGCGACGTTGACGAGGCGCAGCCATTGCAAAAGCAATTGGAGATTTATGGAAGAAGAAAAAAAGGGTAGTTTCAAGCTATTGTATTGGAGCTGCGGGAGAAGATTTGATGGTGATGGTTCTGGCAGCGAGACGAGCTTTTATATTCGTGAGTACCCTCACTACATGTATATAATGCCCCTTGAAGGTATATCCAAGTGCGGAATTAGACGAATCCACATTTTCACCGATAATATAGACAATACTACCCATTGACACCTCAAAATAAATAAATGCACATCTCTTTTCTCGAGTTCCCGCTCTCTCTGAACACGATAGGGTATCCATGTCTTGCATTGGCCAGAGAAAGAGTCACGATAGTTGTGGGGTTGTTGCGTGTATCATTAATATTGGACAAGAGTCAAATAGGTGGACGCAGCCCGTCTTCGTGGCTGGCTGAATAAATCAATATTCGCATGTAGCGACTGTGGCTGGCTGAGCAAAATCGATAATATGAAGCAGGAAACAACTAGTCTATGACACGTCAATTCTGGCAAGGCCCCGCATTCGATCTATTGGCAAGTGTATCGCACCTCGATGTATTTATCACTTAAATGCTTGGCCATTGATAGTAGACCTGTTTTTGATGTTGCCTCGCAAATACGATCAATTATCCCAATTATCCCAAATAATTGAAAGCGGAAGTAATAATCTTTAAAATTCTTGTATTTACATGACATATATAAATGACTATCATCTTCAATCGAAATTAATATGTTGGAAAGAATTTTACTAAATGCTTCACTTCTGGCAAGGTATTTCTCAGAGAGGAGCCATCTTCACCATTAATTCGACGCACACTGTCTTGCTGAGAACATTTTTTTCACTTACAAAGCTGAGAACACCTGGATTCCAGTCTGACCGTGTATGCGGATTAAAGCGAATCGAATGTTCTCACATTTTCCTTTTCTTTAAAAGAACCAACAACAGATACGATGATGGCTTCAATTTTGACCTCTAATAATCAGTCGTTCTAAGCTATTTATATAGCTCTGTAACCCCTTTTCAACTACATATCACCATTCAACGCTAGCCCAGGGAGACCATGAGGAGTATCGGGTTCCTTGAAGATGCCAAGCGGAGCGGGCTTCCTGGATCATGTCGCACAGAATAGGACCGGTGCCATTGTTAAGTTTCTTCTCCATGCTTAACTGGAGAGGCACGTATTTTGATGATGGGCGTACGATCCTTGACATCAAACTGACCAATGAAAGCCCAACTGTATGATTAGTCCCTTTCTTCTGAGGACTTATTTCTTACTGATATCCAGTTTTCCGCTATACCCTTACTTCTATGTGGATTCAGTGTTACCGCCCATTGTCTTAAACAGGAAGCAAAGCGCATGCCAAGCATACACAGATATGCAATAAGACATGCGCCTCGTAATCCAGCATCTACATCATGACCAATGGAGATTTTATGTGACGAAGTCTCCAAGGCGGCTACTAGTGCGGGTAAAGAATAAATATAGGGAGTGACTACATACAGGTATTCAGCACCCACGTTCGCTATCCAGCATCCCATTCTTAAATTTAAAGCTGCCTGGGTAGTATTGAATAGATATTAGAGGAATATATGGATAGTAGCCGAAACTAGCGATAGTAGCAGATACTCTAGGAACTGTGTAATATCTACAGGTATCTAAGTAACAGTGATGAAAGAACTTTATTATACGTTGTTACTCTATTCGGAACTCCTCTTAGTCGCTGGCGTGCTGGATAGCCAGCTTGGGGTGCTGAATAGCCCTTCCCTAGATATAGGTCTGACAAGTCTGAAAGCCCCTTTTTGTCTTTACCATGGCATCTCCCAAAGCGTGCTTGGCATTGACAGCCATTTTTCTAATTCTCAACCAAAATATATGGCATTGCCTCGCTGCCAGATGCTAGATTCCTGACATTTGTTAGCAGTGGTTCTGGAACCTGTTGAAGGGATAGAAGCTTCACCTTCGTCAACGAGACTCCTTCGATACTATTTATCGATGGTCCAGCTTGAAGGGTCATTCTCAAAGACAAGATATAGTATTGCCTGCGTAGCCGATAAAGGTGTCTCTGATTCAAATTACTATCGCCATCATCTAACAACAATTTATTCAGAATTACAAACTCAAGATGCCTCTTAGTATTTCTCTGTAGAATAACACGTCTCGAGCCATTAGCCATTACACTCGGGCAGCTCACCCAGCACCCGTGGAGAGGCAGCGCCCTGGGTCCATAGCTTGTAAGCATAGCAGTTCATATTATACGTATGTACTTGACTTATAAATTCACAACTCCTCTACAGGCACTTGATCGATCAAAAGTGAGAAATTATGCATCATATAAATTTCTGATCAACGCACAGCAGGCCTGCGTGATTGGTGGTAAGACGTAGTCTCTTTTGAAACTCTGGTTGCCTTTGGTCACCGACATACTGCTTGTTAGGGGCACTTGCATATATAAGTTCGCAGACACTCTTGAATTCGCCACTTTCGGACAATTAAGCTGCTCTCGAATAGGACATGAAACCTATTTATTGAAATCTAGTGTAGAATCCCTATAGGATAAGGAATGCATTTAGATAAGCACAATCTTGTAAAGTAAAACCCCTTAGAACATCAGTTTATCTAACAACAGCTGAAGTCTTTTAGCCGAAAGCAGACTATCAGATTAAAAAATTCCGTCAGAGTACTTGTATATGAGTACTGACAAAAACGTATTTTTTGCTTATATCTTGGTACTTTCTATTGCGCTAGTATGCAGCTATAGCTTAAAATTACAGCCGAAAGGGCACTTCAATTACATAGGTAATCTGCTATTCAGATTTAAGCTGGAGTCAATGGCTAATCAACTAGAAGGTCTGGACTTGGAAGGAAATGCTTATTTTACGGTTTGACTACTACGGTACCTATGATGGAAGCTGGAAGTTGGAAAGTTTTCGCAAAATTCATATCAACATAAAGGAAGGTCTGCGCAAGTACATGTAGTGACATTAGGCTTCAGGGCACTAGGTGCTGTAAGCTTAGCGCTGCTGGGCGCTATAAGATCGAAACGGCGCATAAGTGTTCATGTTGTTGTTTACTTACGCGGGATTGGTGGCATACCAGCAACCGAGCCAGAATCGTGAACAGAAGTTGCACAGCATTTTTAGCCCCTCCCAAGGCCTGGAGAGTAAAGAATATTTGTTTTTGTAAGCCAACTACGATGCAAAGTCTCTCTGTTACCCTTTCAACCTTTGATTTACAAGCTTTCAAAATACTTTTCTTAGGGCCGCCGAATACACAATCGTAATCATTTGTCCTCAACTTGCTACGATAAAATAGCTACCCCAAGTGATTAACTATACACAGCGTCTGTAATTCAAACAAAAATCTAAAAATTAAAAAATAAAAAAATTAACTACAAAGCCCTGCACAGCATAAAGTAGTAGATATACTAAATGCTGCTATCCTCCTTAATTTTTGAAGTACTAAGGCGTATACAGTTGCAAAAATGTCTAGTTAAATAAGTTTATATTGCTCACATATTTATCTATCTTCGCTTATACTACCCATACTGCTTTGTAAGTACTTTAGTTAGTAGTGTTATACACTCCTTATATACAAATGTATTTTATTCAATAATATAGCTTGTTTTGAAGGTACATACTTGTTATCATACTGGTATACAATAACATAAATATATTTTTGTACTATTCTTGCTGTCAGTAATTGCTTGTAGCTGAGCAGGTGTAGTATGTTTAGCAGTGATTTTTATGCACCTGCATCTACCTGACTTTTACAGTTCATACCGGCCTACGACAGTTCCCATACAAAGTAGCAATAAGCAATCATGGTTCGCTCCTTCATGGCATTTTGAATTCACTTTGATTGAAATTTGCCCGAGCTAGTGTTATATTCCTCTTCTTAAGGTCAGCTTTCGAAGATACATATAATTCTGCCGGAGTAACTTTGGAATTCAACTGCTCGTCATTGCATTCCTCAAGTCCTCACACACTTCACAGCAATTTTAGCCCCTCTCGAGAGGCTAGGTAACACAAGCTAGTCCCGATTCTCCAGCACACAGAATGCAGGGCCTCCGATAAGCGCCGATAAGAGCTGCGGCAAGGAAATTTCTCCAAGGCACCCCACCTGCAATTCGCAGCCAACGACTCATCACCAGCTATTTCCATGCTTTAATACAGCTTCATTTTCTCCTACTGTATCCCTGCTTGTGATAAATATCCAATTCCACAATCCTCATATCATATCTACACACAAACCCACCCAATTGAACCCCCAAAAAACCACCCACCATGTCCAACATCGACCCCGACCTCATGGACATTGTCAACGACAACCCCAAACTCGACCACGATGCCGCTGCCGCCGACAACAGCAATAACAACGACGACGACGACCCCATCACCGCCAGCTACCAAGTCTTCCTCAACCCAGCCCTCCCCCTCGGCCGCCGCCTGCTCGTCCTGCAGCACCCCAACCGCACCGACAACACGCCTCGCCCGCCCCCCACGGAGCTGCGCCTCAAGGAACACTCCGGCATGGTGGAAATCGACATGCCCATGGACAACACCACCGCGTACGATCGCGAAAAGGGCCTTCGATGGGGCCGCACGCTGCAAAACTCCATGGCTGTCAAGAGTGGTGGGAGCCACGGTCTGGCGGGAGGCTTTGGTGTCGGTGCCGTGCAGCAGCGCGCCCCCAGGAAGAAGGGTGATGTCGAAGAAGATGAAAACCTCGATTGGAACGACGCCGTGCGCCAGGGCAAAGTCCTCAGCACGCAGACTCTAGGCGGCCAGTATCCCGACACCGACGAAGTCCAGTACATGGTCGGCGTCTTCCAGGGCAGTACGTCGAATCCTCCCATCACATCTACCCAACATAGATTTCACTTGACTAACACATCCTTATTCACAGAGGACCTCCATCTCACCCCCGTCTCCAACCTCATCCACCTCCGCCCTCAACTCCACCACCTCGACGCCGCCACCGCGCAAGAGCGCCAATCCTCCGCCGCCGCCTCCAAGGACGGAGCCGCCCCTGCCGCCCCTACCGCCCGCGCAATCCACATGAGCATCAAGACCACCGCCGACGGCGCAGACGGCGTCTCCACGGAAACAATGGCCGACCGCCTGCGCTCCGTCCAGACCGAGCCCTGGCGCAAGATGCGCTACACCGATGAGAACGAGGAGACTGCCTGGGAGGTCTACAACGAGAGCTTGTTCCTCAGGCCAAGATCTGATCCTAACGGCGAGCAGGCTGCTCCTGCTGCCGACACGGATAGAGACCTTGAGGAGCTCGTCCCAACGCTGGGCAACAAGTGGGACGACAAGCAGTTCCTTGAATCCATCAGCGGCATCAAGAAGCCCGATCCCGTCCCAGAGCCCGTTGAGAAGAAGCCAGAGCCTGTTGCCGCTGTTGCTGCGCCGCCAGTCGAGGAGCAGCGCCAACCACCGAGAGCGACTCGTCCCAGAGCCGGTGCGGCCGCAGCGTTGGCTGCTCGAAGAGGTGGGCGAGCAAGAGGCGCGTGAGAATAGAATCGAGACGTAATCTTTTGCATGGAATCCGGTGTTTCGTGGAGTTTTGGTTGATTATTGTTGAATACTTGTTTTCATATACACTTTGTAGTTGGGTGGCTGGATCTACATAAAATACGATACCGTTCATACCCATCACTTAAAACAACTTGAACCCATTTCCTACACATGCCAAATAATCATTCAAGAAAAAAAAAAAATTGCATTATCCTCATATGGAGGATCGACATTCGAGCTTAACGACCACAACCCGTAATCACACCTCTCCCATCGTGGTTCGGTATCCTCCTCGCCTCCCCGTCCACTCGTTGGTATAGTAGTAGTACAACTGACAAGATCAAACGATAATATCCCGCTCATTTGCCCACGAACTAGCAACCCTTGCAGCACTACAGCTCCCTTTTTGAATAAAATGCAAAACGACAAGTTTCCCTCCATGTCGTCCAGATTTCCTTTCCATCCCATAGCACGAGCACAATAATTGCTAGTCCAATCCTTCCAACTTGCTTTACCCACTGCAGTAATTTCTAACGAAAAATAAGTAATTTTGTTGTAGAGTATCTCCATCATGTCATGTAAAGACCAGTCCCGGGTCCTGTTGTCCCTTTTTACTGTCCCATCAGCATGTCCACATCCAAGCCAATCGAGTGGAGGAACAAGTTGACGCTGCTGAGGCGCTCCGCAGCCATTGTCGGAGGAAGCGTCTTTGCAAGGGAGATGGTGCCAATGACACGATCCTTGACGGCCAGGACCAACCGAGTCTGTTGGTCGTTGCTGGCACTGACACCAAGAGCAGCGAGGAGCTGCCACACGTACACGTCTGATCCCGTGTTGATGCTGCCGGGGAACATGTAGGGGAGCGACATCTCAAGTCGGCTAAAGAAGGTTTCATATGTTTGATCCCTAAGTGAAAAACGATTAGTCAACATGTACTTGCAACTATCGCCAGAGTAGATTAGTTGAACAACTTACCACTTCTCCCACTGCTCAGGGTTACCGCCACCAGTCTGCTTGAGAAGCACGGCACGGCTCAGAATCAGTGTGAGCATAGAAACCCCAACCCTGGTCTTGGCGATGTGGTCAACGTTTAGATTGGTGGCAATCAGATTCAGTACGCCATCCACAATATCCAGTCCTGTATCGTTAAAGTACTGCATCAACGATGGCATGACAGTGGACAAGAACAGATCAATGTTTTCTCGCATTCTCGCGTTGAGGATAGTCTCGTCGTCGGTCACGGCCGCACCATTCACCACATCCAGCTGGTCGAGGTGGTAGACAATCATGGTCATGATGGTGGTACGCTGTTCGAAGCTCAGGTGGGGAAAGATTCGAGGGATAGCCTTCTTTCCTTTGGCGCAAGACAAAAAGGCAATGAACGGGTGAGGAACAATGACTCCAATGGGCTCATGCACCTTGAGCTCTTCCCAGAGCCGGGCGTTGAGAGCTTCCAATGTCACTGCCCACTCTCGATGCTTCTCCTGCACCTCCTGGTCGGCTTGGTTTGTGACGGGAGGTGGCATGAGGCGAACGTGGTCCTCGATTTTCATCAGCGTGACGTAGACCCGCTCGGCATTTCGCAGAATCGTCTTGCGGTCAAGGCCGCTGGCAGGCGACTTCTTTCCGCTTCCAGCTCGGGTGTGATGGGGTTCGTTTTCTGCTGCACGCTTGATGTTAAGCAAGGGCTTTGGGGTCTTGGCATTGCTGAAGGATATCTTGCCCAAGCTACCGGCGATGACGAGCTGGGGATTCTTGGGCTTGTTCTTGGCGGCCTCAACAGCTCGCTGCACTTGCTGCTCCATGCGCTGAATATGATTCTCCGCAGGCCTTCCGTGGCGGCGCATGTGTCCATGACGACCGCCAGTCTGGAAGAGATAGGTCTGAGCAAAGTTGCTCAGAGGCTGGCTGGGGTTTTGGCGCTGACCGGCACGAATGTGGCTAAAGACTTGATAGTAAAAGTCCTCGGAGAGAGAAGCGTCAGATCCCTGTTCGACGGGGTTACCCGTGGCAGAGACAAGCTGTTGGAGCTGAATGCGGGTGATGAAGTTCTTGTCCTGGGGGGTCATCACACCGTTGTCCTTGGAAAGCAGCCAGATCTTGTGGTTGCGTTTGGCCCGCTTAGTCTCTTGATCCAAAAACGCAGCCTTTTCCTCCTCGGACATGTGAGCCAGCTGAGGATGAGCGCTCAACTGCGCCAGTTTTGAAGCATCCTGGTTAGCAGCAGCGATGCGCGCCTCAGTAGACATGCGCTTGGGATTTTGAAGAATCTGCACAGGCTGAACTGCGGGAGCGGGCTGCTGCTGAAGGTTGTGGTATTGCTCCTGCTGCCCAGGAGGGGTGGGCAACTTAGGGGCGAGAGAGGGTGAAGCCTTTGCTTGTGAACCTTGGGGTCGCTGCAGGATGGTAACAGGTTGTGGCTGGCCGTGCTGAGGGAGAGGAGACGCATGCTGAGCAGGCGGATAACCAGCAGAGGCTTGTTGATACGAAGCAAGCTCGGAGACAGCTGGCTGCGGCGAGGGCTTGACTTGGGCGCGCATGGCCGCCTCAACCTCTTCCAGGCTCATCACTTTTCTTCCAACACTGGAAGATAGGGCGGGCTGAGGAGAAGGCTTGGGGATTGGGATAGCCGCTGCCTTGGAGGGGCCAATGCCCCAGATGCTCTGGTCGACATGCAGATCCGGGAGAGGCTCGGGCTCGTTGTACTTTTCGTAGCCGGTCCGAACAGGTCGTGTCACCACGGGTTCCGCATAGTAAGACTGGTGCTGTGCATAAGGCTGCTGGGCGTAGGGTTGCTGTGCGTAGGGTTGCTGCGCATAGGGCTGCTGCGTATACGACTGGGACGGGATACCGATGGGCTGGGCCTGGCTCTGGGAAGCATTGGCTCGTGCGGTTGGCTGAAGTCGGTTGAAGCGAAGATGCTCCTCCTCGATGGCATCGGCAACCTTGGCCGTCTGACCAAAGAAGTCAAAGTCCTTGCCAACCTTTGCAGCACCAGAATCGGCCGCACCGCCGCCAAAGGTATCGTCATTGAACGCATCATCGGCATCGTCTAACTGATCTCCAAGGCCGTCGTAGGTGTCTTCGAAGTCGAGGGCATCGCCGCCGTCATCGTGGTGACCAGAGAGGCCAGCGAACGGATCATGCGGTTGGGAAAAGCCTGGGGCGGCCGTATTATGCATGCTACGGCCGCTGGTGTCGAAGCCGAAGAAAGACATGTTGGATTGTTTGACGAGGAATTATATGTTTAACATACTAGCAATGATATTGTTAGTCTGGTGGTGGACGAAGCGGTTTGTATAATGGCAGTTTCGAGAAGCAGAGAAAGTGTGGCGAGGCTTGCTTTGAGTTATAAGCTGCCAGGAGCGGTAAATTCCGCCCAAACCAAGGCTGTGGTGAGCTGGATTGATTGTTGAGCCCCCAAGTGGCCCCGCAATTCTGCGCGCGATGTGTTGTCTTGCCCATCTGGCAAGGCTGAGAGCTCGAATATCGGGCGCAGCCTTCCCTCTCCAATCGCTCTCCACCACAGCTTTGAGGGGGAATGGTTCCGGTGATGGCAGAAAACAAGACAGAAGCAGCAGAAGACAACGTACCGCTAAGATAGTGAAGGGATGGCGAGGACTTGAAAAGCGCACAAACCTATCATGGTGTCTTCCCGCTGCGACGCCGAGGATGTCCAAGAGCACAAGCAGCAAGCTGACCAAACGCGGAGCTCCTTGTCAAAACGCGGCCTGTCCAACAAGGCGCAGCCGAAGGGGCGATCCAGAAACTCGAGGCGGCGGAGCGAGAGCAAAGCGCCTGGAGGAGGCCAATTGTGCGGTTTGGTGAGAGACTGACGTCCTTGAGGTAGAAACCCCCACATGTGGGAGGAAACAGTCAGCCGGCGTGGGGTCACGTGGCCTCGCGCATGGAGGGGCAGCGAGATGCATAAAAAATGAATGAGAGTTGGATAAAAGTGATGAATATGAATATGAATTGATGTGGAAAATAGCCAATTGGACGAATAGGCTATCATCGATGGTATCTAGAATAAATTGATTTTATCTTCTTCTTTTTCTTCACATTGGAAGCAGGATTCAACAAGTGGGTTCCATCTAGAAAGCGCATATAGTTGTTCTTCTATTTCAGGTGAAGAGACATAGCTTAGTGCTAAGAGATGCCTTCAAGCTCAACCATTAATTGCTAGTTGCGACGAACGTGTTTCATACTGGGCGCCCTGACTGCGCGTCACTGGCCCCGATCGGCCAAAGCCATTCAAGCAGCCAATCTCCTACATGACGAGATCGGGTACCCGGCTTACTACCTAGTACTTGCTTGTGCTGCGGCGTCTCGGGACATGGATGGTCTGTATTACGAGTATGTACAGTACATGTACCTATGGAAGATGTACGTAACAGGCAACTGCCGAGATGAGAATCTCAACTGTGATTCTGATCAACCAGACTGTGCTTGGCACTACATAGAGAGGGATTGCTTTTGCGTTGACCAATTTCAGTTGTTCATGAGGCCTCACCATAAGAAAAGATATGTACCTGTACTGTACGCGTTTACATCAGCCCAAGTCACAATGAATCATGGATTACATCCAACTTTTGATACTGTGCACGATCCTTCTACTACTAGGCTTGGTAGTTGACAGGGTTGGGCGGCGATCAGTGCTGAGCCTGCGAAACAGCAGTGCGCTAGTGGTTACAGGGGCTTCAGTTACATTCTGAGAAATGCAATGCCAGACAAGAGAGAAGTGCATCAATTTGCTGTTGGTTGGCGAGTTGCATCGCGTGCCAGCCATTGTGCGACGAAAAGGCCACTTTGTTGTTGACAACAAGTACCACTTCGGTACAACACTGTATAGCAGATACTTACCTGTACTAAATTGATCTCCCTCAATTCCATACCGCTTCTTCTTGTTCCATGTCGCACCAAAAGTAGATAGCAATTTGAAGCCTAGTCAGCCCCCTTCGCCATCTCCGAGCACAGCCTTATCCGCCCAAGATTCCCGTCTTGCCGTCTCCTCTCCTGAGGCTGCTTTGCTGCAAGTTGATTTGACCAAATTTCCATGATCCATTCAACTATTGACTCTAGAGTACACGCAAGGTACATGTACTTGTCAGTACGACGACGACGACGACGACTAATCACGGCAGCTGCTACTACTATTGTATACTACTGTACCATCAGGGGGCCCATCTGTCTGTCTGTACGGAGTACATACGAGCACATGTACCCGCCTTGTACTTGGTAACGCCAATAGCTCCCTATAGTTCCCTTTTTTAGGGGATCTTAGCACACGCAAGCCTGGCCTTCCCTGCCGGCCTCAGCTGCGTAATGCTGGCCGAATCATCTGCAGCTGCTAACCCGCTACTAGAGAGATACGAGTTCTGAACCTGAAGGATTGACTGGCCCTTTTCCCTCCCACTTATTATCTACGGATACCCGCCTCAGTATTTGTCCTCCTTTTCATCTTCTCTCGTTTCAGGCCCTTTTCTTCATTCGCAGTTGGCATTTGCGATTTTTTTTTCCATCGCCGACTCGCTGCTCTGGCTGCCTGACTCTTGCCCCCCGAGCCAGCGGCCTGACTTGTTTCCTCCCTTGAATCTCTGGCGATACGAACCGGCCATGTGCGTCTAACAGCATTTGTTCACGATTCAAGACGCTGTCCAACCCCCCTGTCTCGATTGTTTCTCTCCATCCTCGAAACAAAACCTGCTCCCTTCCCACTTCTCCATCGATTCCGTTGATTTCCTGCAACCGCTCGTATTTCCTCCCGGCAATTGTTGCCACTGACGCACCACCATGGCGTCTGCGAATGCGCGCTATGTGCGCTACCTGCTTATCGCATTCTTTGTACGTGGCTCCAGACATTCATTCATTCATTCATTCAGCCTGTTCTGTGTCTTGGCACAGTGACGCATGCACAGCCAGGTAAAGCTAACTGCGACGCAAAGACGATTCTAGTTTTCTACTTTGTCTCCAACTCAAAGTACGAGGGCGTGGACATTAGCAAGGGCGTCATCCCGGGCGCCAACCCGCCAGCCCAAGAAGTGGCCAAGCCCTCGAAACCAAAGGCTCCCACCGGCGATGCCAAAGACTTCCCCCTGGCCCTGACCCCGAACGACCCCGGATTCAACGACCTCGTGGGCATTGCCCCCGGCCCCCGAGTCAACGCCACCTTTGTCACCCTCGCCCGAAACAGCGACGTCTGGGACATTGCTCGCTCAATCCGTCAGGTTGAAGACCGCTTCAACCGACGATACAACTACGACTGGGTCTTCCTCAACGACAAGCCATTTGACAGCACCTTCAAGAAGGTGACGACGTCTCTCGTGTCCGGCAAGACGTACTATGGCGAGATTGCTCCCGAGCACTGGTCGTTCCCCGAGTGGATTGACCAGGACAAGGCCAAGAAGGTGCGAGAGGACATGGCTGAGCGCAAGATCATCTACGGCGACTCCGTCAGCTACCGCCACATGTGCCGCTTCGAGTCCGGCTTCTTCTTCCGCCAACCGCTGATGATGAACTACGAATACTACTGGCGCGTGGAGCCCTCCATCGAGCTCTACTGCGATATCCACTACGACCCCTTCCGCCTCATGGTTGAGCAGGGAAAGAAGTACAGCTTTGTGTTGAGCTTGTACGAGTACCCGGCCACCATTGCCACTCTGTGGGAGAGCACCAAGAAGTTTATCAAGAACCACCCCGAGCACATTGCCGCCGACAACTCGATGAAATTCCTGAGCGACGATGGTGGTGAAACCTACAACAACTGCCACTTTGTAAGCATTCCCCTCTTTTTTGTTTTTAACATGCGAGAATTCGGCTAACTAGGAGGTAATTAGTGGTCCAACTTTGAGATTGGCAGCTTGGAGTGGCTGCGAAGCAAGCAGTACATTGACTTTTTCGAGTCCCTGGACAAGGATGGCGGCTTCTTCTACGAGCGATGGGGAGATGCTCCCGTCCACTCCATTGCCGCCGGCCTGATGCTCAACAAGAGCGAGATTCAGTTCTTCAACGACATTGCTTACTGGCACGTCCCCTTCACTCACTGCCCCACCGGTGAGAAGACGAGACTTGACCTGCGCTGCCACTGCGATCCCAAGGAGAATTTCGATTGGAAGGGTTATTCTTGTACGTCGTCCCCTCCTCTGCTGGGCATTTTATGTTGTGTAATGGCGAGCATTTGCTAACTCTTGACTATAGGCACGAACCGGTTTTTTGACCTGAACGGCATGGACAAGCCGGAGGGCTGGGAAAACCAGCAGGATTAGAGAAAGGACGGAAAAGCTTTTATACTTGGCAAGTGATCCAAGTTTTCAATGGGACGGGCGAGTACGCTTAGTTATTCATACTCAAGTTTGATTCAGACGCACGTCTCACACATCAAGTGCATGTGCATGAACGGATGAAATAGGGAGGACCACGAGAAGAGACCAAAAAAAGGGAATGGCATTTTTTAAACTGCGGGAGGTATAAAGGGGCGTCTGTGTCTGTCTGGCTTTACACGATTTGGACAATGATTGCTGGTGTAAATATATGTTGAAATGGAAAGTGACGAGAGTGTCTGTTTGTGGCGTGATATGGTCCTCTTGAAGACGTGATTATATGTTTGCCTTTTTTTTTGGGCATGTATTGTACAGTGCTCATCTCTTGTGCTGCTCTATGATATTTTTATACATGACGGTTCAATGTCTAGATCAAACATTCCCCTCATCTGCGCAAGAAATACGTCGTTTTCATATGTCGTTTTGCTCCTCAACCACTCAGTCTCCCAGCTTAGCCAACGGTAGCCTTCTTAGGCTTCTTAGTACCATATTTACTCCTGCTCGTTGTCCTGCTCGCAACACCACCCTAAAGCAAAAAAGTGTCAGTTCTCAGTCCCCATTCAAAACTCAAAATCATATCAAAGTCTCAAGCATACCAGATCTAACGCTCCTCTGACTAAATGATACCGCACACCAGGGCAATCCTGCGCTCTACCACCCCTCACAAGCACCACGCTGTGCTGCTGGATATTGTGTCCCTCACCAGGGATATACGCCGTCACGACAGCCCCCGAAGACAACTTGACACGCGCCGTCTTGCGCTCACCAGAATTGGGCTTCTTGGGCCGCACAACACCGACACGGAGACACACGCCCTTGAGAGCAGGACAATGGGTGTTGGACAGCGCAGGCGAAACGGCGTGGCGCGCCCGCTTGCCCTTTCGAATGCCGCGCAGGACCTGGTTGAGCGTGGCCTGCGGCGCGGGGGTCGTCGAGAATGCGCGCAGGAGCGGCGAGGAGAAGAGGAGTGGTGAGGCTGTTGCTGTTTGGAGTCTGGAGATGGGCGATATTGATGCCGAGGGGAGCTTGGCTGTGAGGGCGGCGGCGGGGGAGAAGAAGCTGCGGAGGAGTGCGGACGCCATGATGAAGGGCTGGGCCTTTGGCTGGGCAATTGAGATGAAAAAGCAAAGGGCCCTCCCTTCTTTGTCGGTTTGTATGTGGAATTGGTTGGTTGGTTGTTTTGGCGATTTTTTGCTGCGGGCTGCTCTCAATCGATTATGCCGCCATCACCCCAAACCAAATCTTGCAAGTGGGCTGAACGAGCGAAAAGAGCAAGTCACATGACCTCAAATCCCGGAACCCCGGATCTGCCGCATTCCGACTTCAGGACTTCCCAAAAAAAAAGAGTACATTGTTGAAGTACCCAAGGGCCCAAGCTTCGCGGCATGTGAAAGCAAGGGTCCCACCCAGCTCGGCGCGGCTAAACCCCGGCCCTCGCGCAAAACCCCACGTCCTCACGTCTCGCAGCCCCGCGGCATCGGTATGGCGGCCCCGGATAGAATGGTTATCCTCGGCTGTAGTCCACCGAAAGAAGCAACGCCAACGCAGCTGGGGGTAAGAAAAAAGGGAAAGCGAACAACCGAAAGCCCGGCGATAATCGATTGATTATTTGTTTTCTTCTCCCTTTTTTTTCCCCTTGTTTTCTTTCCTCTATTTATCCTTGGTCCCGCTGTGTTCGGTTTCATTCTTGCTGTCCCCCTTCTCTTACATAGAGCTGATAAACGACGGAACTCTCTCTCTCCCCCACATTTCGCATCTTCATCCTCCCAAGATCATGTCATCGTCATTCACACGGGCTCTTCGCCCTGCCCTGCGATCCAGCCGGGCCCTCGCCCAGCGAACCTCCGTCGCCGGCGTCGTCCGCCCAGCCATCCGAAGCAATGTGTAAGAAAAGCAAAAAAAAATACCACAATTCAACAGCTCCAATTCAAAGGCTAAAACAAACATCACAATGCCAAACAGCCCTATCCGCCATCTCGCCACATCCACCCCCAGACTCTCTTCCTCCTCCTCGCCCCTCGACATCTCGGAGATCCCCCCCACGCCAATCTCCCACCTCTCCGAGATCGAGGCCGCAATGACCGAGTCCGTCGCCAAGTTCGCCACCGACGTCGTCCTCCCCAAGGCCCGTGAGATGGACGAGGCCGAGGCCATGGACCCCGCCATCGTCGAGCAAATGTTCGAGCAAGGGCTCATGGGCATCGAGATCCCCGAGGAGTACGGCGGCGCCGGCATGAACTTCACCTCGGCCATCATCGCCATCGAGGAGCTCGCCCGCGCCGACCCCAGCGTCAGCGTCATGTGCGACGTGCACAACACCCTCTGCAACACCGCCATCATGAAATGGGGCTCCGAGCACATCAAGCGCACCTATCTCCCGCGCCTGGCCACCGACACCGTCGCCTCCTTCTGCCTGTCCGAGCCCGTCTCCGGCTCCGACGCCTTCGCCATGGCCACCCGCGCCCAGGAGACCGCCGACGGCTTCGTCCTCAACGGCTCCAAGATGTGGATCACAAACTCCGTCGAGGCCGGCATCTTCCTCGTCTTTGCCAACCTGGACCCATCCAAGGGCTACAAGGGCATCACCGCCTTTGTCGTCGAAAAGGACACCCCCGGCTTCTCCATCGCCAAGAAGGAGAAGAAGCTGGGCATCCGCGCCAGCAGCACCTGCGTCCTCAACTTTGACGACGTCGCCATCCCCAAGGAGAACCTCCTCGGCGAGCGCGGCCAGGGCTACAAGTACGCCATCAGCATCCTCAACGAGGGCCGCATCGGCATCGCCGCCCAGATGACCGGCCTGGCCCTGGGCGCCTGGGAAAACGCCGTCAAGTATGCCTGGAACGACCGCCGCCAGTTCGGCTCGCTCATCGGCGAGTTCCAGGGCATGCAGCACCAGTTTGCCCAGGCCTACACCGACATCGCCGCCGCCCGCGCCCTCGTCTTCAATGCCGCTCGCAAGAAGGAGGCCGGCCAGGACTTCATCAAGGACGCCGCCATGGCTAAGCTGTACGCCTCCCAGGTTGCCGGCCGCGTGAGCAGCCTTGCTGTTGAGTGGATGGGTGGCATGGGCTTTGTCCGTGAGGGTCTGGCCGAGAAGTTCTTCCGCGACAGCAAGATTGGTGCCATTTACGAGGGCACAAGCAACATTCAGTGAGTTTCATCTTTATATAATGACCTGTGTAGTGAAGGAATCAGTGGCTAATATGATGTACAACAGACTCAACACCATTGCTAAGCTGCTGCAAAAGGAATACACCAACTAAGAAAATGAGAGACGGAAGCAATGAAACAATACATGTAAACGAATGTCAAAAAAAAATTATATATATAGACGTAAAAGAAGAGGATTTCTTTAGTAAAATAATACCATAGATGCCAATTCTCATGACGACATTATCAATCACTCAATTGACATTCCACACCACGTAGATTCACACATTCACATCCACATCACACTACATAAGTCAAATCTTCCGACTATTTCGTAGCCATAGAATCAAATTCTCTATTAGTAGGTATACTTCTTACGCTAGCAATTTCCCCACAAGCAATAATAATTTCTTCTCCGCTGAAGAAGGAATGTTGAAAACAAATGCGCGACAATCAGCTTTTTAAATAACAAAAAAAGAAGTAATTCCCAAACCCCAGAGAGATTTGCTTTTCTTTTAAACGTAAGAAAAAAGAAAAGAAAAGAGTCGCTCCTTTAAGAATCGAAAGAAAGACAGATGCGATCAAACCGTAGCCTGGCGAGTGATGGGGAAATCATCTCCCTTTTCCGAGAACAAAGGCACAAAACGCTCGCCATGTTCTTCTCTCCGTCTGTAGGCATCGCCAAATGGCCAGCATACCGACTCGCCAAGCTAGTCTTTAGAGATCCCCTGGGCACCTCGCGGCACCGCATCCTGGTTGCTGTGTAGCAAGGAGAAAGCCCACGTGTATCGAGCCGCCGCCACCATTAACTTTTATCACAACGTAGTTAACTCTGTTCATCAACACTCTATTCCAAGTCTGCCGTATAGCTGAATCCTCGGAACTCTTCTTGCATTGCTTGGGATAGCACTGTAACAATGTTAGCGTACGTGGTAGAGCACAGAGGGGTTAAAAAATATTGGCACAAAACTTACCAGACTGGACTGGGGTGAGAACAGGAGTAACACTTGTAAACTCAGAGTCAAAGTTGCTTGTATCCGTCGCGCTCTTGATCTGGGGAAGGAAAGGTGGCTGGACCTTCTTGTGGTAGATGTCGTCCCAGTTGATGTTGCGGAAGAAGGGCTGGCTCATGATCTCCTGTGCGTCGGTAGGGCCGCTTCCGAGTCGCTGGTCGGGTTCTCGGGTAAGGAGTTTCTGGAGAATGGATACGGAATCCCTAGGCATGTGAATCGGGTAGAGGGGCTCATCGGCGAGAATGGCGTCGTAAATCTCGTCTTCGTCTTCACCTCTGAAGGGGGACTGCTGCAGAAGCATCTGGTAGATCAAGACACCAAAAGCCCACCAGTCGACCGCGCGACCGTACTTCTTGTCCAGCAAAATCTAGTCGGCTGTTGTTAGTATTCATTTCGAAGACAACTAAGAAAGGAGAGCGAATATTTCGTACCTCGGGAGCCATAAATTCGGGAGTTCCACAGAACGTGCTAGTCGTGGATCCGTACCACATATCTTCCTTGCAAAGACCGTAATCGGCAATCTTGATGTGGCCGTCAAGCGTCAACATGATGTTGTCGAGCTTCAAATCACGGTAGATGACACCGTTCTCGTGGAAATACTTGAGAGCCAAACAGACTTCGGCGGCATAAAATCTAAAAACAACTTGTGTCAGTTGGATTGTCTTTACAGGGAGAAAACAACTTTGCTTCATTCAACTTACTGAGCACGTTTGGTGCCAAATTGGCCACGTTGAATGTGAAGCATCAAGTCACCACCACTGATATACTCCATGACGAAGTAGACTCTTGTCTCGGTTTGGAAGCAGGCGTGTAGGTTGGTCAAGAACGGATGTCTCTCCCGGTTGGCGATAAGGAATACTCTCTTCTCCGACTTGATGCTCTCCACCTCGTCGTTCTCGATAATAAACTCCTTCTTGAGCACCTTGATAGCGAATAGACGTCTAGATCTCTTCGTTTCTGCCAACATGACCTTTCCAAAGTTTCCTTTTCCAAGAACAGCAAGGAAGTTAAAGTGATCAAGACCAATGCGCGCGCCAGTACCAGGATCGGTAGCAGATGGGAGGGCCTTTCGCTGAGCACCCCCGGGTCCTGTGGCTGCTCCCTGGGGAGAAATGGGGGACTGCGGCTTCGGGGCAGGAGGCTGCTGGTACTGGGGCTGGCTCGGTTGCGGCGGCAGCGGTTGTTGGGGCGGTGGCTGCTGGGGAGGCATCTGAGGAGGAGGAGCCTGCTGCTGCGGTGGCTGCTGCGGAGGGGGAGCAGGTCGTTGCTGAGCCGGCGGCTGAGCACCGAATCCCTGGTCCACGTTGGCATAGTCCGCCGGGTTGTACTTGTGATGCTGGGGAGCCGCACCGCCATACTGTCCTCCTTGGGCATATGGATCTTGCAGCGCCGTGTCATAACCAGTGCGGCCCTGGGCGGCGGCCATGGCAGCGCTGGCTGCGGCGGCGGCGGAGAGGTCGGAGGGCGCACGGCCAGGGTGATCCGGCCGTTGAGGCGACGTCTGGTTAGCATACATGAGCCGTGCCGCCTCGGTAGCCTCTGCGGAGGGTGTTCCGGGGGTCGAGCCCGCACCGGCGCTGGAGAATGACGCAGATGATCCGTGGCCGGTTGTCGTTGGGCTCTTGCTGGCGCCAGATCGCAGTGTCTTTTCCGACAGCGACGTCGTCTTTTGCTGCCTCTGCTTCTGGACCCTTATGCCCTCGAGAATCTGGTTGGCAACGGCCATGGACATGCCGCAGAAATCGGGAACCAAGTGAACGCACTGAGCGTGACATGTGAGGCCGCATTCTGCAACGTTGTTAGACAAATTCTATTGTGAAGAAAAAGTGAATAAGAGCAGCGTGACAACGGCTTACCTGAGCATTTTCGACAATTCTTCTTGCCAAACGGCAGTATGTAACCGCAGTGGCAGCACCAGTTGGCCGTGACGTTGGAAAAGGGCTGGAACCTGTGAGGGATGCGGTGGTTGATCTTTTCCTCGTCGGGATCAGTCTCGGCGTTGCTTTTACTGATACACTTGGTGACAACGCTGGGGTAGCACTTGTTGTGGCAAGTGTACTTGCAGTCCTCGCACTGCATACCCGCAGAATACTTGAGGAAGTCTCCGCAGAGGGCACAGCGCATGATGTTGTAGAACTGGTGCTGGACAAACTTGTGGCCAAACATCTCGTGAACTTCCTCCTTGCGCTGTCGAACGGCACCCTTTCGGCCCAGACCGAGATCCACCTGTCTCTTGTCTCGGTTTTCCTTGACAAAGCTAAACTCGAGCTGGATCTGTCCAGCCGGCTCAAGATTGAACCAGCCATCGATGGGGCCAGTGACGACTTGAGGCTGAGGACCGGGGTCGCCAAAGGGTGCTCCCTGACCCTGGCCGCCGGGAGTCTGAGGACCGCCTCCGAAGGATCCTTGGGTTGGGCTCATTGGGAACTGGGAGGGAGCTCCAGAGCTGCCCATTCTGTCGGCGGACACCCAGCCGGAGCTATTCATCTCAGCTTCGATCCTCTTGCGGCGCATCTCCTCGACGATGTCGGATATCCGGACCCAGAGCATACCAATAGGCATGGGGTGCTCGCCGGGCTTGTCGTAGATTGTGAGCTCAATCTCGTTAGCCTTGTCAACCTCAATGTTGTGGTATTCGGCTTCCCAGCGGTCATTTCTCGAGGTTCTAGTTCGGGCCATGACAGTGTCCTCGACTTTAACGGCGACGAATGTTTCAGGACCCCGAGCAAATCTCCCGGTGGTGGCGTGGTCAACGTCCTTGATGGCCACAACACGAATGGAGAGCTGACCGCTCAAAGGCTTGCGGAGGTTGGGCGTGTTGATGGAGTCGTCTGGGAAGAAAGGAGTTAGTAATCAAGGGGTTGTCTTTCATGTCCTTTGCAGTTGTACATACCATCCTGAGCATCAGCCGAGTCCATGTCGACGTGCAGTTCCTCATATCTCTTCAATGCCTGCTTCAAGAGAAGGATCTTCTGCTTGCTCTCAACCCTACGAGCAGCTGCGTCGGCCTTGCTCTTCCGGTCGCCCTCCATACCATATAGCTGCACCATTTTCTCAACGCCCTTGAGATACTGCTCCTCGACATTGAGCTTGAACTGGATCTGCGAGAGCATGTGCTGGATTCGAGGGCCGAGGTAAGGGGTATCATACTTGATCAGATCTGCGAGCAAGGGAGTTGGTTAGCCACAGCTCGTATCTCGCAGAGAGAAGAGGGGAAGGCGGGGAGGGAGGTAGGAGACAAAGGACAGGGGACACAAGAGAACGAGGTAGCAGAAGCTCTCGGTAGAACGCACCTAGCTTGGTGAAGTTGGGACGAGCTTTGGAGGCAGCTCCAGGGCCCGGAGCACCAAAGTTGTGTCGAGGCGGTGCCAGATCCGAGGGCGGCCCAGCTTGGCCCTGGCCATACGCCTGGTCTCCCCACGACCCCGAGGCATCTTTGGGCGGCGGAGGGGGGGCGCCAGCGTCGTCGCCGCCTAGAGACATGCCCTCGACGCCCTGGCCGACCCTTCGCATCTGGATATCCCGCAGCTTCTCCTCGAAGAACTGCAGGTTTCGGCGGCCATCGCGCATCTGGGAGTCGAGGCGAGAGCGAACCGCCTCGTTGTTGGTCTGCGAACGCATGGCATTGGCGGCGTTGATCAGAGCCTTCTCCCGCTCAATCTTCTTGTTGATGCTCTGGATTGCCTCGTCCTCATTCATGGCGCCGGTGCGGGGAGCGCGATTCGTACGCGCAAGACGGCCTAGAGATGGAGATGGGGGAGGGGAGGAGGGGTGGAGGGGAGGAGGAAGAGGAAGATGGGGGTGGAGAGAGAAAAAATAACAAGCGGCTCCACGACGAGATGCACCACAAGAGCGGCCAGACAAGGCGAGGGAGGTGTGACGAGAAGCTGCTGGGCGAGATGCCTGGGGAGAGGCAGGGCAGAGAGTGTTGCGGTGGGAAGAGGGAAAAAAATAAAAAGGCCAAGGTGCCTGTCCTGGCAGAGGTGGTGTTTTGTGGATGTCGTCAGTGATGGGGGGGAGTCGCTAGGTAGGCATGTGGCGGGGTTTATTATCGTCCAGAGCCAGTATCGGGTGGTTTTGCAGGGCACTAAACGGGCAGCCAGCGGGCCCAGCGGTGATGCGATTGATGGGCTCTGCTGCTATAGCAGGCACGCGGCTGTGGTTACTGCACACACACACACACATCCAGTAGGACCTAGTAGCTAAACTAACTGAAAGTTGACATTCGAAGCCGGTGCTGATTCTGTCGATGGATGTACGAGTTACACACTTCGTTGAGACTCTTTGTGTTACAGCCACCGCCCGGGGGTGGTTCTTCCACTGGGGAAAACTACCTTAGGTGGGCTTTGGATCGTCGTCGTGCACCTCTGCCGACTAAGGCCGCAGCGTTTGGGAAACTAGCCGAAGCCCCCTTTCAGCTGTGAGAGGCGTTGAAAACGGCATTAACGTTTATAGGGAGGTATTCTATTGTACCTAGGTACTGTAAGATGAACCACTTGTCCTCCATAGATAATAATAATAATATCATTCTGCCTGTAATTACCAACCAACCAGTGACCAAGCACACCCGTGCCTGTTGTGTGATTCCACATCACAACGTCGCCTCACCTCGGCCAAAGCTAACGGCAGCAACCTACCCTGCATAACCCGAGAAACAAGACTTCCAATGTTGTCTGAGACAATTGCGGCCGGGACAACGTAACATGGGGCCACGGCCCTCGAGATGGCACCCCGTTGGGCATTACACGGGCCCTCTGGCAAATATTTGGCGCTGAGTGGCACCGTCTTCACGGATTGTCCGACGTAGTGCTAGGCCGTGATGCAACTATCTTACATGTAAACACCAAATACGATGCCATCAGCTCCTGTAGCAAGTGCACCTACACTTGAATCCATCATGAGAGAAACCCAACTGCAGCCACGTCATGCCATTAATAGCAGCTTGGCAGTGCACAAAGCATCTTCACAGCTCTGATCTGTCACAATGCAGAGGCGGCCTCTCGTATAAACAAAAAGCCATCCGGCCAATGCCACATTCCATCACGCTGCTCCACGTGACGCTTCCTCCCATCCATCCATCCATTCGATCTCACCGAGAAAGAAGAGATCCATGGCGATCTCCGGCTCGTGAAAACCAACTTCCAGCCCGGCTCCAAACTTTATTCCACCACAAGCCCCGAGAGCGAATGAGCAGCAGTTCCAACGGCGGGGGGTTGCATTAGAACGAAGCTTTTTCCTTGTGCGACTCCCGTATGCGTATAAGGGATGGTAGCAAGGCAAAGCAAAAGCCTGCTCGGTTTCCCAAAGCACAAACCAAGAAAAAAGTCCTAGCAACTCTAGCTTCAAAGTCCTAGATTGTCCTGTCCTGTCCTGTCCTGTCTCCAGTATTGGCCGTCTTGCTAGGACATGGGTTACACCGACCGGAATGACGTTGCTCCATGTTATTTTGCAGGGCTTGTGTCTGGTGCTGAATGGCTTGTGCAGTCTGGTGCCTTGACATTTGCCATGGCGCTCTGCTCAGCCATACAGTCTGCTTTGTTAGTGCTTGGTGGAGGCAACGGCCGCGGATTCTCGCAACGAGATCCGGGAGGCTGCTGTGGCTGGAGAAGTTTGGGCCACGCTGGCTGAGCGGCCGCTTATTGTGCCGTCGGTGGGCTTGAAAAGGAACTTTGGAAGAGTTGATTGCACTGATTGCTTTTCGTTAGTAGTATTAGCCATCAGACTGTAATAGCAGCACTTTGGAATCGGAATCTCTGCCACCGCCACCAAAGCCATCACCAGCACCAGCACCTCCACAAGCCTCATCGCCACATAAACCAAACAGCCTCGCCATCAATATCCAAGTCTTCAAGTTTTGTGTCGTAAGAAAATGCATTTTTTTGGGCCTCATAGCAGCCTTCCGTTGTACAAGAGCCCTCCCCAGATGTACATAGTAATTCGAGCCCGGCTATCCGCTGCGCTATATGTGTCTAAAGCTCCTTGTATATCCCTCAAGGCCCATATGGTACTGTGTCTATATTACATCAAAGAGTCGAATCGTTAGAATACATGTCTATCCATCTCCTTCATTTACGTCCAAACAACGCTCCCATGCGCCATGTGATGAATATGCCAGTGATGAGGCCCTCCAGCACCAGGGCGGATGCGTCTCGCATACGCAAGTCCACCTGGCGCTCGCTAATCAGGTATTCGAAACCTGCTCTCCACACTTCGAGATCTGTTATAAGAGCCTTCCATTGCAACAGAAGATCCTTCAAATCCTGGAAGCTGCGGATCCAGACCGCAGACATGGTAGACTGCCAGGCCTCCCTGATCTTTGTCAGGCTGAGGATCTTCTGGGCTTCCTTTTCACGAGCCTTGACCCTATCGACCTCGGCGGCCTCGGCCATCTTGTCGAGGTTGGTCTTGATAACGGCCAGCTCGGTCTGAACTTCATCCAGGACTCGCTTCTCCTCTGCCACGACGCCCTTGACCAGCCTTTTCCTCTTCCAGGGCTCGGCAACAAACTGGAGCACCACGAAGAGGATAAAGTTCATGCCCATCAGGCCCCAGGTGCCCCAGGTCGAGGCCCTTCGGATCCGGTCGCTCCAAATCTGCTCTTCATGATAGCGTTTTAGGATGCCGGCGCTGAGCTTCTGGCTGAGCTTCTGCTCATCGGACTCGGCCTCGGTCAGAGTTTCCTGTGCCGTGACGACCTCGCCCTCCAAGACGTGGTCAGTGCGGTACAATTCTGTGAAGCGCTCAAGGTCCGTCGGTGTCCATGTATCCTTGCGGGCAAGCAGCGTCGTCACTTCACGCTGGGTAGATGCTCTCTTGTTATTTGACGTCTTGTATGCCTGTCTGGCGGCCCGCACACGGGCCTGGGCCTCGGCTAAGCCAATCTCCAGCTGTTCATTCTCCACCTTGATGGCTTCGATGCCAGTGTAGCCGGTGATCTCGTTGAGCTTCTGCGAGGCATTGAGGACCTTTGACTGAACATTGTCCATGATGGAACTGAACTGCTTGTTCAAGGCACTCCGCCGCTCCTCGGATATCGATGGCAGCTCCAGCCAGCTTGGCCGGGACCACGAAGGGGTGGCGGGTTCGGCAGCTGCATTTTTCGCGGCTGCAGCCGGTTTGTCGGCTTTGGGGGCGGATGGAGGGGGGACGGGGGGTTTGTCGGCGTCGTTGGGAGGCTGAGAAGAGTAGAAGCGGACAGGAAAGGCAACGGTCTGGACATGGCAGCGCATGCAGGCCGTCGAGGGCCATCGGGCTGTGGTGATGCCGCGGTTGGCAGGCCTTGCGGCCAACTCCAGCCCTATCCTGCCATGTCGCCAGACAGCACGGCCAAACGGCTGCATTTCTGCCAGCGCAGGGCCAAGAAGCCTCTGCACCGCGGTGTTTCTTTCGTTCTCAAGGGCTCGAACCGCCGGATGTCGGTGCAGCTTCCGGGGGGGGGGGGGTGGTTGGAGGGGGATTTTCTTTTCTTTCAAGGTTCTTTTTTTTTTCTGCGTAGCCGAGACACAGACAAAGTGCTGGGCTGGGCTGGGCTTGTCTTAGTCTGGGCCCTTGCCTTGACACCCAAAGCCGTAATCGTCGAGGCAATGGAAAGATGAAGAGAGAAAAAAGAAAAAAGAAAAATAAGAAAAAGAAAAAAAGCAGTGCTCCTCCGCCCTACCAATTGATGGTCGTGGCCAGCTTACAGGCCCAGGCGTGAGCGATAATGTACCCGTTGCCTCCACCTTTGAAAAGACAGACAGCTTCCCCGGCTGAGTCCGGGTCTTTGGGCCGATCTCGACGGCTGGTTTTTGGTGTAGACCGCCTTCGCAAAAATTCGCGCGCCGATTGCTGGGCACCGCATGTGAGCGGCTTAATAGTGGGCTATACTATAGTACTAGAATATGCGGGTGCCAAAAGTAGTGGCCGAGTTTGATTATTTGTGATGGAATTGAGTGATGAATTGAGAATGCGTGTTGGCAATTGATATACAACGAATTGCTAGAAGAATTACAGTCGTGCTGGTATCAACTAATCTGATCCATCATTAAACTCAATCCATGGATCAATGGATGGAAATCTCGCCCGACCAACTCCAGAAGGCCTATTTCGGGCTTCTAGCGCTGCGGCGGGGCTCGCGGCCCCTGTCCCTCAACCACTGTGGCGGGGCATCTCAGCGAGGTGAAGCCGCCAGAAATGACGACACATAGCGGACGTGGATACATGCACTTGGCAGATCGGCGCTGCGCCAGGCGGGATTTTCATCAAAATCAACAGGGGATGGTGATTTGCATTCGTGTTTATTAGACTCCTTTTTTGATTGATTTTTTTTTCTCTCTTCTTCATCTTGGTCAAAGCCATTGTCGTCTTATATATCCCCCTCTCACCTTCATATTTCCCCCGGAGACCGCCAATCTTATCGCCGCCAAAACCACCCCTCCATCTATTTTGCCCCTCCAGATTTTCCCATCTCTCCTCGCTTCTCCATCTTCACCTCTCGATATCCCCTTGCCAAACCCCCAGATCCTCCAAAATGGGCTCCGTCGCAACCGACATTCCGGCCATGGCCACGAACCCCAAGTTCATCTTCTTCACCGACTTCGACGGCACCGTCACAACCGCCGATTCCAACGACTACATGACGGACAATCTGGGCTACGGCTCCGAGAAGCGCAAGCAGGGCAACGCCGACACGCTCAGCGGCCGAGTCAACTTCCGCGATGCGTTCCGCGAGATGCTGGACAGCGTGACGACGCCCTATAACGAGTGCCTCGACATTCTGCTGGCCAACATCAAGCTCGATCCCGGCTTCAAGGACTTTTACAACTGGGCCCAGGACAACAACATCCCGATTGTCATTCTCAGCGGAGGCATGGAGCCTGTTATCAGGGCGCTGCTGGACAAGCTGCTGGGAACTGGGTGGGATATCCAGATTGTGAGCAACTTTGTGCGGGCGAGGGAGGGCAAGAGCCTCAACGACGTTGGTGGCTGGGAGATTATCTTCCGCGATGGCAGGTGAGGACATATGATCTGATAGCAAGCCATGCTTCGTTCTGGTGTTAACAACAGGGTACAGCATCCATGGCCACGACAAGTCCATTGAGATCCGCAAATACTCGAGCCTTCCCAACCGGCCAACCATGTTCTACGCCGGCGACGGTGTCTCCGATCTCTCTGCCGCCAAGGAAACCGATTTGCTCTTTGCAAAGGCAGGAAAGGGTTTGTTTCAACCTCTTCCACTTCTCATCGCCCATTATACTGATTTTAATGTTTTTGAATAGATCTGGTGACTTGGTGCGAAAACGAAAACGTCCCCTTTGTCACATTCAACGACTGGACCAGCATCACCCAGACGGTCAAGGATATTGTTGCCGGCAACATTTCCGTCCAGGACGCGGCCAAGGGCCGCATTTAACTTTACGACTTGAACGACTTTTTGCTTTCCAATTTTTCATTTGAATAACCGTTTCAACCAATGGATGTTGATATGTGTTTGGTTAGGTTGATTGGATACCATCTATAGAGGGTATAGATTTCTCGGGAGACATAAAAAAAGAATGATCGCTTAGATTGTCTATAGAAGGATAGATGAACAAGCCGCATAGACTCGTTTATAGTATACTATTTATGATATTTTCTCATTGCCTCGCATTGTCCTTGACCATTGAAATAAACACACGCCCATGTACGCCATTTTCTGCCCTTTCCAACACATATAAATCCCCCTTCCACAATTACTTCTTCTCCTTTGTCTCAGCCGGAATGCCATACCAGCACAGCAACATCACGATAAACAGGAAAATCACAATCGGATGAAGCACCCACGTCCCAACCGCCTGCGCCAACAACCCCGTAACAAACGGCGCCACAGCACCGCCCAAGCTGCCAAACGCGCTGATGGCCCCCATCCCGCTCAGCGTGTCCCGGTGAGACATGCCGCGCATGAAGACGGCCGCCGAGCACGGGTAGATGGGCCCCAGCAGCAGGCCGACGATGCTCACGGCCACGGCGTCGCCCACGACGTTGGGCACGAACCACACCAGGATCTGAAAGGCCAGCGCGCCCGCGACGAGGCCGTAGACGAAGACCTTTTCGCCGAAGCGCTGGGCCGGGCCCGAGAGGAAGAAGCGGCCGATGGTGATGCCGGCCCAGAATCCCGCCGAGACGTAACCTACGGATGAAGGGTCACCGCCGCGAGAGTTGATGAGGAAGGAGATGACCCAGCCGGAGATGGAAACCTCGGCGCCCTGGTAGGCGAAGATAAAGGTCGATCCAAGAAGTACGATGCGAAGCTTCACCGCGGCAAGCATGCCCAGGACGGCTGAGTTGTCTGGCTTCGCCTCCCTCTCCCGCGCCGCCGGGCTCTGCTCTCTTTCGAACCGCCAGAAAGCCCACGCCGAAAGCCCCATGGTGATGAAACTAATTCCCATGGTCAAGATATAGTAGTGATTCCACGCCGTATGCGCCACCGTAACCAGCGCCGTGGCAATCAAGGGGCCCGACGTGCCCCCGATCCCATAACTCCCATGCAATAGCCCCAACATGACAGTGCTGTTCTGCAGACTGCCGCAAAAGATGTTTCCCATGGCGACGTTGATGGCGATGCCGAGCCCCACGAAGAAAAACGCCGCGACGACGACTCCAAAGGGGGCGGCGGCGACGAGCGGGATGTAGGCGCATGCCATGAGCATCTGGCCGAGGCCGAGGAGTCTTGCGCGGCCGAGTTTCGCGCGCAGGGCGTCGAGGAAGACGGCGGCGAAGACGAAGCCTAGGGCTTGGCCGACGAAGATGAGGGATACGATGGCGTAGCCAATGTCATAGTGTCTTTGTCGTCTTGTTAGTCTTTTGTTTCTTCATGGCTTTTCATATAAGATGGCTTACTTTTCCATGTAAGGAATCAGAGCACCGGCAGAGCTGTCGCTCAAGGCATTGCCAAAGTTGGCCAGACAAACAGATAGAAGTCTGAAGCGATTCATGTACGGCTCCCATGCGCTGGGAATCACCTCCACGGCATCAACCTCAAGAACCGGACTGGCCGGACGGCTTCTCTCAAGGTCGGTATCCTCAGTCCGTGGAGTAACTACACCAGAGGCAAACCCATCAGTACGAGGAGCTGCATTTCGCACGCTGACAGGTTCTTCCTGGTATGAGCCTCCAGAATAAGTTCTCTGGTACGTCTTTTCCGGGGCTGTGAGTGGCCGGGTTGCCTCGTCGGGAGAGGGGCCGGATTGGATCTCCACGAGGTTTCGCAGGAGGATTGCGTCCATGGTGGGAGATGCCGTCACCAATCGACAGCAATTGAGTTAGTTATATGCTTGAATAATTGCTAATGAAATTACTTTGGGAAAAAAGACTAGCTTTGGATGCCCAGGTGAGCTCCAGCAAGCTCAGCACAGCTTGGTCAGGCCATCTATATACATAAGCTGTCCAGCTCAGACACTCACCACATCCCGTAAACAAAGCTGCCACGGCCCAATTTTCCACAGGTCTCGTGGACCGATAAGCTCTGCTAGTGGAATGCCCAATTACGGCCCGGTGAGCCAACGGGAATCCATGCTGGACAAGCCATCGTGCCGGAGTTTGGGGGCCCTTTACGGCATTGTGGTCAAGTAATAACACCGTAAGTAAAAGAGCTTCTATTGCGGGTCCGACGATATCGGCTGCGGCCCTCCGTGAGCCGGCAAGCGAGCCGTGGCCCGCATGTGAGAAAGCTGCTCGATTATCTCTTCACACGGCGCTGCTAGTGGCTCATGTCCGCTCCACCGAGACTCGACCGCTGTCCCGACCACGGGTGGCTTGAAGGTGAGGGTGTACGTGATTTCGACGAGATTGGCGGTGCTGTGGCAGCCATCCTGCGGCCCATTAGCTCGATCCCTTTGTGAGTCAAACTCAGCTGGTGAACGCCAAAATGCCTAAACAGGAGATTAGAAATCCATTGTATTCTCTGCCGTGAAGCCAATTCTCCGGCATTTCTCCCATTGGGGCGTCTAGACTCTCTCGCCTTGATCCGATCCGATACCTATGTGATAATAATACGGAGTAGCTTCTAGTCCCAGTTATTCAGCTATGGACCCTGAAGCGGTCTCGCCCAATGGGGAAATACCGCGGCGGGTATCAAAGGGATTGGAGTTTTTTTCCTTATCGGGGAAATGTCGTCTATCGATACAGCTGCCCCTCCATCCAAGCCCCGGTTTATTCCCATCCACCAGTTTATTTTTTATCTTATATTTTTAATTTTATTTTTCGTGATAGCATCAACTCAACCGCCGAAATCGAAGCCATGGGCCGTCCGAAGCGAAACGTCCTCGCTGCTGCGCAAGAGGCGCTGTCACCGCCAGATGCCCTGGAACCAACCCAAGTCATCGTGCGCGTCGTGAAGCCCGAGGGAAACAATCTGTACACCTGCGAGATGCCAAACAAGAAGCAGGTCATCCTCGAGCTCGCCCAACGATTCCGCAACACCATATGGATCAAGCGCGGCGGATACGTCCTGGCTGAGGGTTATCCGGTGGGAACTCAGGACAGCAGGGCAATTGGAGAAATCATCAATGTCGTGCGCGACGAGAAACTCTGGCGAAAGCAGCCGTATTGGTATGATTTGCATCTTCCCAGTCTCTATATCTATACATGTATTAAACGATATGCTCTAGGCCTAAGGAATTCGTAAAGGCGGTTCAGGATCTCAGCGACGAGGAGAGCGACTCCAACGTAGGAAGGATGCCACCCAGCGACGACGAGGAAGAAGAGGAAGAATGAGACGAAGCTTTTGCTCGCAACAATACAGTCGTCTAGCTACACCACCACTATAGCTGCTTTGGCTTCGGAGCGCCACGCTGCGGGTTCGAACCTACAAACGCCATGGCAACCGTCACGGCCAGCACGCTCACCACGACGTTGGAGCTAAGAGGAGTGCTGGGGAACACATTCCAAGCCCATTCCTGCGCCGCCCACAGCGGGACCACGACAAGAAGATTCGGAGAGGCCGTCCACAGGAGGAAGGGAGTTGCCCATGCCAGGTACGCATAAAACTGGTAATGCAGAGACCTGGCAAACAGGAGCCCAACCACATTGGCCGACAACATCGCAGACATGATGTACTCGGGCGTGACGACTCTGTGGGAGATGCTGGCCTCTTCATGCTCTGTAAAAGGTGACGTGAACCGGAGAACGTAGGGAATCATTCCTAAAAAGGATCGTTCCTTAATCCTCAACCACCGGCCTAGGATGAAGATTAGGAGGAACAAGGCGTGGAATGCCAGTAGCGTGATAGAGAAGCCCCGGCTAAGGAACAATTCCTCGCCCAGCATGCGCCAATTGACTGTCCATTCAAACTTGAACTGCCTCGATAGCTCGAATGCTCGGCCAAGATAGCCTTTCCAGTTTGTTGTGATGAATGGAATAGCAAGGAGCAGCTGAACCTGCACCATAAGCCACAGTAGCCGCAACGCTCCTTTAAATCCGCGACCCAGGAATAGGACAATGACGACGGCGGGAAGAACAAGCAGCAGTGACATTTTGACGCCCAGACCGATGGTATACGCAATAGCACCAAGGGTCCAGACTCTCCTCTGGAAGAAGAAGATTGACAGCCACAAGAAGAATGCCGCAAAACAGTCGTTGAAGCATCTCAAGACAAAGACACTGTGAAGTCGCTTTGAAAGAATCAAAAGCGGGAAGATGTACGGGGGAACCTGTCATGAACGGGCATCACTTTTAGTGGCTGGTTTCACTACAAATTCATCATCAATGAAGCTCACCTTGGCCTTCCAATAGCACAGCATCACCACCCCCAGCGTAGCCATGTACAAAACGGCAAAGAGCTGCTGCGCCAACAAGATATCCGTGCCCTTGTTGGTCAGATAATAGAGACCCGTGTAAATATACACATGAGCCGCGGGATACACCAACGGCCCCGTGCCGCCCTCCATCTTGGGATAATCTCGCTCCCCGTGAACAAACTGCGTGATCTGCTCCATGTAGGCAACCCAATCGATTTCCGTATCTAAAAGGGTGAAAAAGTAACAAAGGTTTCCACTCGTTAGCCTGGGTTCTTTTTGATGAAAAACATTTCCGCCTTTTCTCTCTCTCTCTCTTTCTCTCTCTCGTTTTTCTCCAAAGGGACCGTACAGTGTCGACTAACAGGGCACTTTCCAGATAATCAGACCGCACAGCACGGCGTCTGCGAGCCAAAGGCCCATCGGAATGAATTTCGACAGCGCATGGCGGCCATTGGCGACGTCAGAGGCGAACTTGATGAGAGAGGCCATTGAGCGCCGTTTTTGGTGAAGCAGCTCCCTCTCTCTTTCTATTCCCAACCTTTTCGATTCCACCGAGTGAAAAGAGAGCGATGAGTTAGAAAGAAATCTCTTTCTTTCTTTGAAAATTTCCAGTTCCGAGGCTTGTTGATTTAAAGGGGCATGTCGTTTTTTTGTCGAAATACACGTGAAACGGCCTTGTTAGAGGAGCTTTTTCGTAGCTCGTTATATGCAACGTGGAGCCTTTTTTGCTGGGACAAGGGTGAGAGGCGCCCCGGCAAGTGCATAGACCCGCTTATCTGCCTCACTGCTTCAATGAGATGGAGAGATGGAATGACAGGTCGTGTAAGAGTAAATCATGTCTTGATTGCTGGACTCATGTATATTTATTTGTATAAAATTAAAAAGAAAAATGCCAGATTATTGCATTGAAGAAAATAATGGGCAATAATTAATTAATCCCATGAAAACACCTTGGCCTCACCACTCACATCCTCGCCCTTCCTCTTCCGAATCTCATTCACCAGCTCAACAACCCTCTCTCCACACCCATACGAGCCCTGATATCCCCATCCTGCATGCCCATAATTATGCACAATAGAAGTCTGCTCATCTAGAATCTCCTCTTCAATCCTCACTCCATTCTTCCTGTACGGTCGCAGGCCCACGCCATGTCTAATGACGCTCAACCCTTCGATACCCTTTCCTCCTGTAAGTCCCGGTGCAGTTTGCACAGCTCTCTTCATGATGCGTATCGCAATGTTTGGATCCGGGATAGATTCCCAGTTACCCAGGTCGTACGTTCCGCCGAGGATGGTGCCTCCGCCTGCAGCTCTCTGCATGATGTAAGTCATCTCCGTAGAGCTGTCGTCCGTTCCCGACGTGGCAACCATGGGATGGTGCTCATTCCGCACAACAACGACTTGTCCACGAGCAGGAGTCATAGTTGTATCCTCGACGCCTCCAAGCTTGAGTGATCCCAAGGCGGTGGCATTGATGATGATGTTTGCTGGCTGGCCAGTGTGACTCAGCGTCTTTGCTTCGCGAATGCTCGTCAAGACGACTCTTTTGAACACGACGCCGTTCTTGAGGCACTGGCCGACGAGCCACGGGAGGTAGACGGCCGTGTTGATGCACACGCTCATGAACTCGCATCCAGAGTCGTGACCCGGAATGACTTCATCCTGGTTCAGTTCACGATAATCAGGGAGCACTGATTTATACCAGGGGTTTGCCGAGAAGAGTGGATCGGCTGGATGGTAGCCAGGAGCTGCCTCATCCTTTAGTCTTCTATAAACACGGGCCTCTATAAACGATACATCATTAGCAGTGAATATGGGACACAAGGAAAGATAGAAATCATTACTCTGGAAGTGAATTCCCGCTTCAGGAACTTCTTCCGTCAAGCGCTTCAGCTCTGGCCAAGTGCGGCGCTCCCATCTACTATTCTCATCTTCTGCCATTCTATTTGCAATGGGTTAATTCATCATCCAAATTGTACATGTTGACGATGGGGAATAGAATCGTAGCATGACATAGGATCACACTCACGGCAACACATTTGCTCCAGCCCAAGGTGAGGCATATTCAATGTCATAATCGCCGGGCATGTGCTTTGCAACCACGGTGACCTTGTTGGCCTTGCTCCTCGAAAGGAGAAGCGCAGAAGTGAGACCGCTTACGCCAGCTCTGTAGCAAAATATCTTTGTCAATGTATGCACGCATGGAATACATTAGTTGAGGCTCCAAGTCTCACCCTGCAACGACGATTACATTCACCATTGTGTTTGGGAATATCGCAATGAGTAAGAATTGAACAATTAAATCAGAATGGCAATTCTATCCGTGAGCAATCATGAGCTCTGATATATCGCGTGTCTCACGGTAAAGAGATTCACATATAAGCGCACTGATAACGTTATGGAGTCGTCGAGTTGCGATTGCGGAGTCGGCGTGACTCCAGCGGATCTCTCCCCGCATTCAATCGAACCACCGTTTATTTAGTCATTGGGAGCATTTAGCATACATGTTGGATAACTTTTACGTCAAGAATTGAAGAGCAATTAGACGAGCCTTCAAGTGCCGATTCTTCAACGATGGTGGAATGCTTAGATAAGGCAGCGAGCTCGGATGGAACCAGGATAGAATAATACCGCGCGGGAGTTTTTTTGGCGTGTAAGCAGACTGCGAGGACGTCAATGCCATGTCTGTCCACTTACCGTTAGTGAATCTAAAAAAAAAAAAGAGATAAGATTCCATCGATGTGTTGTCGCAACTAGTTTAGCAAGACTTTTTGTTCCAGCTGTTCCGCGGCCAAGGATCCTGCCAGGATCAGTTGTTGGGTCTCACTCCGGAAGCTCCCTCCAGACATCCGACCTGGTGCTAGAACAAATAAAGAGCCAGGTTCCCAGCTGCATAGATTAATGAGAAAATATCGCCCTGTCCAGTTGCCGAGCGCCGTGGGTGATGGCTTAGCAAGAGCCCCAAGATTGTTGAGAACACTGTTGGTTCCCAAACACTGAGCAGTGGCCAATTCTCGCACAGATGACGTTGCCACGGCGATTATTCTGACATCCAATCTCACCAAGGCTTTTTTTAATTTTAAAGAGCAGCCTTTCATTTGACAATTCAGCTTTGTGGTAATGCGAACACGGAAAACAAGAGGGCGTTGCAGCTACACTAGAATTGCTGGGTTATGGATTCTTCGCTGTGGACCAATGGAAAGAACTGCATTGAGAGTGGGGGTAGGACAAGGCCCCTTCAAGAAATCAGACTGTTTCACAAGTTACCAAAAGCTGTAGAGTTAATTACGTCTACGAAGCACGGCATTCGTACAAGTACTTGGCAAATCATGGATGCAGCTCAACACACATCTGCAAGAAGTGGTCTTCTGTCGGAATCAAACTTGCCACCAACGAAACGAGTCCAAAAAGGGGGAGGTCTAGTCTGGATGATGAATCACCAATGCTCTCCCCCCTCGTCTCATCTGTGCTGCAGACGGACCTTAGCCCAGCTGCTGGTTGATGTGGCGTCGTCGACACACACACACGCACACACAGTTGAGATTAAGTCGGGCCCTAATGAAATGTCCCATCCCGTCCACGTGGTCAGCTATCATCCGCCCGGAGGGTTGCCAGACAGATTTTTTTTGTCCCAACATAACGTGTAGGGAGCATGCAGATAGAATGCTACTCGCCTGATATTCCCATTGTTTGCTGTTCACGGCTGTCCCCATTAGTGCCAAGGACACCAAAAGAGGCGAGAGACATTTCATCACCGCAGCTTGTACGACGTACTCGTACCTGCGTGTGGTGCGTTAATAACAAATGGCAATGGGACACGGCCATATCGGGATGCGTATAGTGAGGTACTTGTGTATACTCTGTGGTGGTTGTGGGCAACAGGAGGTGCATGTACCACCAGTCCAGTTGGCAAATCCTTGGGGGTTGGCAAATCTCCCGCCTGGCTGTTCACTGGTTGCACGACGTTGAGATGACGGGGGCCGTTGCATTCGCGGCCACTTGCGGTGGCACTGGCCATCTTCCCGAACTGCCGTAGCATCTCGTACTGTGAATGCTCGGCCCGGCCTTTCAAGGATTGGCGGAGAGTATCTTGGTTAGGTTGCTTGCATGATGCTTATCCGAAGCGGGCGTTGTGCTGGCCAGCGAAAAGCTGCTCTGATCGGATGGGGATTCGTCCTGATACAATGTTGCTGGCAAAGTCGAAAGGCCATGGGGGCTTTGGAGAACCCCGAGCTCGAAGGAATGCGCAAAGAAGACGGCGCGTAGAAAGACGCGGCAGGCCTTGTCACCCACCAGGCACAGCATGACACAGGCGGGCATGTCCAACGTGTCGTAGCACAGCACGGAGCAATGCAATGGGAGGTCACAGTACCAATGCAGCGATGACTTGTCGCCTGCAAATTGGGATTTCGGGCGAGGCTCCAGAGCCAACACGGCGTCGGGTAGAAGTACATGTGCCTTTCTGCCAAAGAGGGTAGATGATGTTCAAGCCGACCAAGCCAGATGTCGACTTGAGCCCACTACAAGCGAGACGGACCAAGTTCGAGAAAGCAAACAAGACGCACACAGATGCCACTAGCACGAGCCTGTAAGTCGAGCGTACATGTACTGCACTGCAGCATTCGCGCAGCCTGCTTTGGCGAGCTCTCTTCCAAGGCCAAACTTGGCCACGATGACGTCTCTTCGGCCGGTTCCAATCTCTAGGCTCAGAGATTGACCGTCGATGAGCTGGCTTGGGTTGCAAGGTTGCAAGGCTCGCGAGGTTTTGCAAGTCTGAGTGGCTGATCTGCCTGGGTTGCCAGGCCATGACGCAAAGACCTCCAAGGGATCGAATCGCAGCAGGGAGCAAGAGCGGCATCCCTGTCGAAAAAGGAAGCATGCCCTTAACGCTGATAATGCAGGCGCCTGTGGGAGTTGGATGACACACTGTACAGCCACGGACGCAACCCTGTCAAGCCTGTTTTTCCCTTTTCCCTTGACCCTACTCGTAGCTGATGAGCGGGCTCCTAGCGTGGGGCTTGCTGTCGCGGGTATATTCAACCGCTGGGCGACTCCGTTTGCCCAACGGCGAGTACATGCAAGGTACGGAGACAGGATGGTGGTCAGAAAGGGATCGAAGACATGCTCGTCCGGGACAATCAGCACTTGCTTGCTTCTCCTGTCTTGCCTTGCCATTGACTGCAATGGCTTCCTCGTTTTCACGTAGCCTCGGGTAGCTGTCTCGGTATCGCAGGTATCAGCAGCCATCTGACGAATACGAAGTCTACTGCGGGGGCAATTCATGGTTCCTCAGTGATACGAAGGCACGCGCATGAGCAACAGACAGACTGGGCATCTCGCAACATTTCTCCTATGCACGCACATGTAGTCATGCCGTAGCGCACACAAGAGCCACAATGGGCACCTAGACAGCGACCGAGACGCAAATGGATCGTTTGTCGTGGACAGAGACCAACTGGAGAAGCGCTGTCGGCGGACCACCGGCTTTGCGCATGGGGTCGGCCGTAACAAAAGGCTGGGGCTTGCTCCATTGCGGCGTCGAGGTTTTGCTTGTACCAAGATAGTGCTTGCTGGACTGACAGGTAGCTCACTTTTGCATCAGCAAGTGGCATTCGGGTTGACGCCCCCTGTTGAGTGGTTTAGAGTATTAGAGTCCCTTTTTTTTTTCTTCCCCTTCCCTCTTCCATCTCCCATGGCCAGTCTATGGAATCAGCCGGCGATGGTCAGCCGAGTGATTAGTCGTCGAGGGCGGCTTGCTCCAATACTTGTACACGTACATGTACTATGTACGAGTACATGCCCGTCTGTGCGGCGATGCATCCAGTCCCTGTCTGTTCGAATCAAGGCGTCTTAGTGATCGGGATGGCGTCGAGATCGGGCTATTGTGTGTACTCCGTACTGGCGACTCCACCCGGACGGAGGGTACCTGTTCGTCTAAACGTCAGTCAAGCCACCCAAGAATGGTGGATCCCGACTAGAGAAGAACATGTCTCACCTAGGGATCGGGAGAAGCAATGTCAAGTCTCACAAGCGGAGCGAATAGCGGGACGAGAAGTGCGGCCTTCGTCACCTGTTTCGCTCGCTAGCTCCAGCTCTAGGCCCTCGAAATGAGAGAGCGCGGCGCCGAGCAAAGCAAATTGCAGCGAATGGCAGCAAATCCCAGCCATTGCTCGCCACGGCCGCGCACGGGATCGTAAGGGTGTGCTGGAGGTGCTGAAGGGGGCTGGAAGATGGAGGCAAGGCAATATGAGGCAGCATCAAGGCGTCGTGAGACTTGCGCGGAACTCGGAGTAAGGAGCTGCCGTTTCCCCGAGGAGATGTCCAGTATGTACATGTACGAGTACTGCTCCCTCCGCGTGCACGAGGTCGATGGCAGCCCGCACAGGTACAGGTACGGGTGCAGGTACATTGATCACGATATCAATCAATAGCTCTGGAGCGGCCACCTCGCTGGAGCATGGGCTATTGCATGTGCTGTAGCATGTGCTGTAGCATGAAGTGACATCTCAACCCGGGCTTGGACGATTGGAGAGCACCAGACACGAATTGTGGCTGCGCGGTGGCAAGCCGCAAGACTCTGGACTGGCAGCAGGCGTCCACGAGACTTGGCCATGACACCTCCCGCAGACGCTGCTACTGCTAAGCGGGCCGCTGTGAATGGTTCGAGATGGGCCATCTGATTCCTTTTTTTATTTCTCATGCATGCTAGTGGCAGAAAATGCTCGGTTTGCCAGAGCCATTCATAAACCACCGCCGGGCATGACCGGGCTGTTATTAGCCACTGCAATGTATCTGTACCGGGGATTGGAGCCAGGAACCGGCTGCGACCTTGGCTGCTGGGATGTACCGGGACTTGAATGACTTGAAGGACTTGGCTTGACGCGTCCATAACGTATTGACAGCACGGCGCAGCAGAGTACAGCACAGCAAAAGCGCGGGCAGGCCAAGACACAACCAACGTACAGGTACACGTATGTAGCTATGAATATATACATTGTGCCTTATCTATTGGCGCATGGTGTTTACAACTCATCGGCGTACGCAATCATTGAGGCATTGACACACTCAATGGCAGCCCGGCAACTGCATGTAAGCTCTATTCTAGTCGCCTGGGCGCTGTCAGAGGCTGTTCAGCCACAAGCAGCACGGCGCGAGTAGGGCAGAGACTGGCGGTCCGCACTGTAGACCCTCTAAGGCTCTAAGGCTCTAAGCCCTGGGGCTCTAGGGGAATTGAGGGGGGACACGGAGTCAGGGCCTGGTCCGGTCCTATTCAACGAGCAGCAGGGGACAAGCCGAGCCTGATCAATGCTTTTTTCCATTCATGTTGCTCTGCAGTTGACCGACCCCTGCCCCCCCGCTGTGTTTTCTCTTTCCGCCCATGTATATGCAGTCTGGTGGTTTCTGTTCTGTATACGATGCGCTACTTCTGGCTGTTGGCACATGATCCGGACACTTCTTGATAGAGCGAGTGGTACCTCGTACGGGTACGGAGTCCGGAGTTATTGGATGGATGTCTTGGTATCAATACAGGTACAGGTACAAAGACTTCGTACGAGTGCAGGCACTTGCACTTTGTCGCGGCCCAGGGGCCTGGACAGGCCGAGCACAAGTCCCGCCTCCCTGGGTCCCAAGCCCTGGTACTTCGTACGGAGCAAACGACACTCAAAAACTGCTTCACTAAGAGAATACGGGTCCAAGTATTACGAGGGCGGAGAAACACCCCGGATGAAGACAAATAAAAAAAATAAAGATACCGTACAGTAGGCAGGGCAGCTCGCTCTCTCTCTCGTACAAGTATGCAACTGCAGTCATATCAGAGCTAGCCGCCGCTTCCCAGCACGTGCAGCGCAGATGCAGAGGTGCCTACATGTATACACGTACAGCACAGTACATGCGGTACACTACAGGAGGTACTTGTAACATCGTTGAGAGTCTGGCCCATCCTACCTATTGAAGGTCCATGTCGTGCAGTGCATGAAGCAAGTCTGGTCGAGTTGCTTTAGTGAGCTCGTGGCCTGGTATCGCTTCGCTGTGATTGCAGCGCTGCACGTACTTGTACCGCTCTTGCAGTAGCAGTACAGTCGAGGCCAATTGTCCGCCAGTCATTGCCGACTTGGCGCTGCAGAACGGCATGTACATGTACATCCTTGCCAAAGGTGCTAGTACTACTAGGTACAGTACAGCACAGTATCTTTATTAGGTAGCTCCTTTGGTGCCTAGAGTGCTGTGCTGTCCTATGGCAATATGGGAATAAACGGATGGATGCCACAGAATGAATCAAATCAATGCCCAAAACACATTTAGCCCCAGCAAAGAAACGACAAGAAGTTGCAGCATTTGATTGATCTATTCTTATGTATGCACTTGTACTAGCACCCTCTGCCGACTTGCCCAACTGGGACTAACGCCCTCGACTCCGAAAATTCTCCCACGCAGGCCCGTTGGCGCTAAAACTGGCCCCGGCAGCTCCAGCGCACAGGGCACCTGGTGCCACTTCAAGTGCTCAAGTGCCCCGTACCTTGGCAGCGACTGCAGCAGCACAGCGCCACCAGGTAGCGCTACAAGAATAGCGCCATGTACCTCTACCAGGCAGGCCGGGTCCCTCTACCAGGCCCCTCTACCAGGCCCCTCTCTAGCGGCCGGATCAGCGCCCACAGCGCCCCTCTGCAAGTGCCTATCGCTGCACCCTCTATCCGCTAAATTACGTCGCTGCCGCCTCCCTGTTTTCCCACTTGAACCCTACCACTTCACATTTGATCTTTTCTTTTTCTCGGAGGGCCCTTTGATTCTTTTTCTGCACGATGCTGGCCAAGTCCAAACGATAGTCTGACATTGCATCCTCTCTGCATTCTAGAATCACCAATCGTTTTTCTTACTGACCCTCGTTTTTCTCCCTTCCTTTTCCTCCAGCTTTCTTTTTGTCGTGCTGCTCTACGGAGTACTCGCCTGGATTTGAGGCCTCTCACATGCCGCGCTGAGGCGGGACTAGGATTCATTCCAATTCCACTTCCTCCAAAGGCACAAACAAACCCCGGCCTGTCCGCTTCACAAATTGCAACCGCCTGATCCTGTCGACGCGCCTCGTGGCATGTGTTTCGCATCTGGACCCCTTTGTGCTTTATGCGTGTCTGCCGGTTCAAAAGCCTTAAACGACCATGATGCTGCTTCACGCTTCACTTGATCTAGCCATATCGATTCAGCACACCCACACCAAGACGACTCGCAAGTAAACCAAGAGGGCTTTCCACCCTCGAGGTGAAGCAACCACCACAATGGCTATGTGGCCTTTTCGCAATAGAGGCGACAAGCGCGCTGCGACAGAAATCCCTTCTGCTCGCAATGTAGCAAAGTCAGCCGCCGTCAGGCCTAGCCGCGATGCGCCGAGATTCAGCTTCTCGCCTGATCGTCAGGACGCAATCCAGGTCGATCGAGCCCAAGAGCCGGCAGAAGAAAATACGAATGCGCCCAATCCCATTTGGCAGAACCGGGTACCAACCCTGCACCACAAACGAAGCGGAAACCAACCTTCGAGGAGGAAGAGCAGCAAGCGAAAGAGACATGACCACAACCGGGAGGCAGAGATCAAAGCCATGAGTGCCTTTCCACCGGCACGAGCAACTACCGATACGTTTGCCACTACTCGAAGTACAAAACGTGATAATAAGCGAGCAAAGACCTTGCCGGCCAGGCCACCTGCCAGGGCACCTTGGGACAGCCCTACATCTGACGCCTCGCTACCTCTCCCCATCTCAGTTGAATCCCGCCTGTCCTCCGATTCCAATTATTCGTCTTATCGAGTAACTGCCTTAGATTCTCTCGCACCCAGACCAACGTTAAGATATCAAGGAAGCGCTCGACTGCTCCCGTCCCGTGCTTCTGGGCTTGCACGATCGGGCTCTCAGAAAAAGAGGCTCGCTGCCCTCGACGAGGAGACGGTCAGGGCGCATAAGCGCATTGATGAGCTGGCCGACGATTTCGATGCCGGCGAATTGCGTGAGCTCATGGAAAGGGATGCCAGGAGACGGGAACGAAACAAGCAGCATGAGCGAGACAGAGCGGAGAGGAGATTAGCACGAAAGGCTGAAAAGCAAAAGAAAGAGGAAGAAACCGCCAGGGAGAGGGGGACTCCGTCTCCCGAGAATCTCGAGCGTGGTGTCATGGGCCGAGAACTTGGTCTCGGCATCGATCCCCCGTCAACCGTAGTGACATCCTCCAAGCAACGGGTTTCTCCAGAGCCAATGTCTGATGTCGAGGAGTATTCCCAGAAGCCTCCCAAGGGCTTCCAGGCGGAGCCCCTAGGGACATTCCACAGGGTAGATACGGCACCTCGTGAACCTGAACCTACCCAAGCTCCCGAGAGATTTCCTCAGATTCCTCGAATGTCAGATGAGCGTCTTCCCACCGTATTACCTGCTGTTATTCGGCTTGAGGGCAACATGTTACCCAAGACGTCGACATCTGGGTCAAACTTTGATTCTGACAAGGAAAAGACATCTTTGGCAATGGACGATGATGTCACGACACGGAAGGGATCTGAGACCAGCAGCAAGACTAACCGCATATCGTTCTCTACCTTGCTTAGATGGGGGAGAAGTCGCCGCAACTCGGGCGGTCCGTCTTCGTTCTCAAACACCTCGCGCGAAGAAATGTCCATGGCTGCCCATGTGGCGCAAGCGAAAGCGAGAAGCCTTGAGTCACCCGGGTCGTCATTTTCCGGCAACTATCTATCATCCAAGCCAGGCTCAGGCCCACCGAAGCGAATGAAATCCCGCTTCCGAGAAGATCTACCAGAACTGCCGCTATCACCCCCTGGATCCCGCCTTCAATCTCCCGAAGCAGATGCCTCGCGCCCAAGCGTTTCCGAATACAGATCTGCCGCTGGTTCAGAACCGATAACTATCCATCACCCCATTTTGCGAGACGATACCCCAACTTCCGGCCATCGTTCCATTGACATTTCCCAAGGACGTGCGTCGAGAGAAAAGATGTACGGCAGCCACTCAGCTGAGCCCCATCTTTCCATGTCCCTGGCATCTGTCGACTCAGAAGGCTCGTGGCTCTCAGGAAGAGTCGGTAGCCAAAGGAGCCAACGGATGTCATCTATTCGTGATAGGATTCGATCCCGACAACAAGACCGAGAAGCCAGGGCAGATTCTCCTGCCAACAGCGCACGCGATGATCTTGAGATTACCGAAGACGACTACATGTCACGCCTGAGCCCCGATCCAACGGCTCTAACATTCAACACTCGTCTGTCGGGCGAGGGTCGTCCGAGCAGCGATGGAGAAGAGCTCATGGAAGAAGGCGAGGTCCGGTGGGGGGCTGTTGGAGCTCAACCGCAGTTTGTCTCACACGCAAACAACCGCGATACCATTCGCAGCCGCGAAGGCTTGCTTAACATCGACTCGGGAGACGAGGAAGATTTCGAAGCTCCCATTTCACCCATTTCTCCAATTACCCCGAGCATTGACGAGAAGGTCGACCTAGAGCGCGCCACAAGCGTGCGAATGGATCCTGGCCATGCCCGCAACTTCAGCGCTGGAAGCGCGAAGCTGTTGGACATACACCCACGAGCATCTATGGATGGCAAGAGGAGGAGCCAAGAGAGGCCTAATGGCGTGTAAGTTGATGCTTTTGTGATGCTAATGATTCCAACAGTCGAAAGAGTTCCCCGAATCCAAATGAGAGAGAAAAAAACGCAAAAAACAGAAAAGCAAAAGAGGAGTACCGTTTGATGGTTCCAGTCTTTATCTGGAACCGCCATGGTGCACCGTTGATGACTTTCCTTTGTACCACCTTATAACTGACCCGAGTCACTCTCTTATTTATTTTCACTCCTTACATGATGACCGAAAAACGATTAAAACAACATTTAAAAAAGCTGAAAAATCTATACAAAACGAAACCAAAAATATACTGCTAAAATGGGGATCTCTTCGACTTCGGAATCATCGGCATCTGATATTGCACATCGAACCACCTTTGGACCTTTTGCTTCTTGGCAGACGTCTCGTTGTACATTACAACCTTTGACGAACTATGACCGGCGTTGGGCTGCTGCGTTTTGTTTTTTCTTATTCCCAAGTACTTTTTTACAGGCACATATACCAGATTTGATACCCACTCTGCCGAAGGGGTCTATTTTCCCGACTCTTTCGCAGCTCGTCTTGTGTTTCGGGGGGAGGCTGCGTCGTCCCGGAAGCTTGGGTATCCGGGACCAAAAAATGATGAGCATTTACAAACGAAATGGGACGGTTCTTTTGCATGATGGCTGATATCTGCTTCTCGACTACTTTTTGTTGGTAGGCTGGTTGTGATATTTATACAATCTGTCCCTCAAGTAGGGAGGTGGAATTGAGCTTTCAATTTGAACCGTTGGACGATTTAAAATACAACAGATTGAAAAAAAACTTACTGGGAAAACAAAAACTTATAGAGGCTTCATTCTGCAGGGCAGGTTGATACTATTGATCAAAATCTTGCCATTTTTTAATTGCGATTTTTGGTAGTCATTTTGACGGAGTGATTTGTATATATAGGATGCCACTTTGTTGAGCATATGGCAGTTGAGAACGATGAAGTATCACGGTGGAAAAATACATCATTGCGATTAAAGATTTGAGTCCCTATTTCTTTCCATTTCCTCTTCATAATGTCGGTTTTTTCTCTTCTTCCTCTTCTTCCTCTTCTTCCTTTTGCTAGATTTGCTCCAGCATAGTGCCTTGGGTTAAAAAGGAGGGGGGGCCAGTGAAGCTGAAGATGTTGACTTGATGTGAACTCTCGGCTCCCATAGCAATGCAGTTGCGGGATATGGCTCTCTCAAGTGCCGGCCGATAGTCAGGTGGCAACCATAGAATGTTTTTCCCATTCCAAGTTAACCATGCCTGATCAGAACTAATACCATATCCTTCAGTCATGTGTTGGTAGTCGTAAGCAATTTCGGAACCGATGAATTTCTCTGCCTGGGCGATGAAATTGTCAAGGTTTATGCGCCCATGTTGCGTGAGAATATACGGCGACTCGATGTCAAAAGAGGGCAGGAAAAATCGACAGCATATCTGCAACTTTACCTTTGGTCCCCCATTTGACACTATCCACAATCTGTGACGCTGAGGTTCCGTGAAAAGCACCTTCTGACTATCGTCAGAGACCGCAATTGACGGAGAATAACTATATGTTTCAAAGTAGAAACGGTCAGATTCACAAGTTCCACATCGGTCCTCTTCATTTTCATCTGCCCAAGCTGCTACCCAATCTGGAGCCTTATCCATCCATACTTCCTCGCCTGTCGATAAGCGGTATACCGTAACACTATTTTGCTTAGACAATGTGACAAGATACTCTGCATTGTTAGAAAATGCCAGACGAGATACACCCCCTCTCTCGTGATGGAATGTCGAATGCAGAGTTATTTTATCCGCGGTGGCATTCCATACCGTCACCTCATATGCTCCTACTTCGTAGGTCCCGGGCCAGGATGCAATATATCTTCCGTCAGCGGACCATGCTCTCTGCATTAGGATTTCTCTTGGGATTGTATGAGAAAGTGAAGTTACACTACCAGAGGCAATATCCCACACTCCAAAGTTAAGCTCGAAAACGTCGTAAAGATGGACGTATTTGGAATCTCGAGAGAATCGCGCGTTGTGAAAATCCCATTCTGGGGGGCCGCCTTTACGAGGTTTCTGGAGCGTACTCATCTTGCGGCCAGTTTTCGCATCCCATATTCGGATGCACGACCCGAGGCTGACTGCTGAGACGAGGTTGAAGTCTGTTGAAAACGTGATTTCGTTGGGAGGGGCTTTAGAATCAGTGTCGAATTCCCAATCAGTATATTCAGTTAGATCATAGATTTCAACGCTGCCGTGCTGGAACGCGACAACCAGGTTTTTTGCATCCTCGGACCACGCCAGTCCGATGAAACTGCGGCCCTGGTGCCAGTGCAGTTCATGTTGCCTCTGGCCAGTGGCTACATCCCACACGCGAACAAGGCATTGAGGTTGAGAATCTTGGGCCTCACCATAGCCCACTGCAATGAGCCTAGAGTCTTTCGAAAATTCCACAACCTTGACCTTCCATAAATCGCCGTGCTCGATAGTCTGAGTCTTTTCTTCTGTAGCCAAGTCCCAAATTTCGATGCCTTTTCGCTGAGCATGACGAGTCGCTATAAGCTTAGAGTCGTGTGAGAAGCTGAAACAGTAGTAGCCATTTTCTTCTGGTTCGTAATAATTATCAAATATCGACATCTTCCTTTCCAATGTACCGTCAGCCACCTCAAATACTTCCATTGTATGACTCCCGACTGCCAAGAACCTGGAGTTATTTGACCACTTCGCCGGCATTATGGACTGGTCGGTTTTTGTTAAACTCATATCGTTGGCCACGTCGCACACTTGAACGCCTTGGTGTGTCTTCCAAGCAGTCAACTTTCCATCATTTGAAACCAAGCCGTATCCAGAATCCGGCCCACAGACTTCGTGGATCACGGCATTTGAATCCAAGTTCCATATTTGAATCCGATTCCGTGTGACTGTCAGCGCATGCTTCGAATCGGAAAATACCGCTCGCATAACCTCTTCTGCGTGCTCGAGTTCTTGGACTCGCTGTCCTGAAATCATATCCCTAATTTCAACATTTTTTGTTTTGGAACGTAAAATCAAGAGATTCGTGCCACTGGAAGCAACTCTTGGCCAATCGGCCTCGATTGTCTGCAGAAGCGGACTCCAATGGTTCTCTTGTGCAGGAGTGGATGTTATCCAAGAGGAAAGCGTGCCCTTGAACTGAGTCCGTACTAAACTTTTCGTAGGGCTGAACAGAAGTGCAGATGCATATATTTGCATCGGGGCACTCTTCATAATCTCGGCGTGATATTGCATGAATCGGCTAGCATCATAAATGAACTCTTGAAGCTCGTCTTTTACAGAACGTTTCTGCTACAGTTAATTTTATATACTTGTGAGACAAAAAGAGAAGGATTACTACTGTAGACACACCTTTAGCAATTTATGAAGTTGTTTAACATGACCAATGGTACTCGAAAGATTCCGCGTTAAACTCAGCGCCTCAAGCCAGTGGAGAAAGTGATTCTTCAAGAAGGACAAGATTTTCTTCTCGAGGCCACTTAGGGAAAATTGATTGTCTGTGGTGCCATATATTTCACACAAATGAGTGACCCAATTGCTGCAGGAATAGAGAATATGATCCAGAGGGTTGGAATTTGGCGGGTGAATATCATCGATAAGAATCGGATGTTCTAGACTGTATATATTCTCTCGTAGTGTGTGTTCCATAGCTGTTAATGAATTTGAAACTATGTCATAGTGAATTCTCCCTGTTCCATGTGGGAAAAGGATAGATCGTGATAAACTGTCGCTGGCTAGATATTCCTTTGCCGATGAGTGTATTAAATACACCTTGTCGTCCCGAACAGCTAAAAACAATCCGCAATCCTTTATTAACTCTTTTATTTGAGCCTTTAGATCATCCTGAAACTCTGCTATAGTTAAGAGTTCATTAAGATGCAGGGGCCGATATGCCAATGTTGCAATGGCTAGTATAGTTCGACGACATAGCTCAGGGCATTTCCCGTTCAGTTGAGAAATCCGCCCAAGCATGACCGTGGAGAGAAGAGTTAGGTCCTCGGGCATCTCATCTTGGATTGTTGTGACATTTTCCCTCCTGGGATCTGCGGTCGGCGAGTTCATGTCTTTGATCAAAATCCAGGCGGTCCCCTGGCTGGAGATACCTGCAACGGAGCTTTCCCTCGAGGATCCTTGCTTGTCGTTGAATTTTCCCAGGGTCTACCAAATTTTCAAAATTGACTTTGGGGTGATATTTTGAATCGTAGAATTGGAGAGATATTCTTTTGGAGATGGAATGGCGGGGTTGGATTTCCCCATGAAGACATGATGAAGGCGACTAAGAGTTGGTCTGGATGCGGAGTGATGCTGGGCTCTGGCCAATAATACCAAATATAACCTGTAGAGTGCATGCATGTAAGCACAAATCCTGTAACCGAATAATCCTTCGCAGCGCCATCCGTCCTCTGTCTACAGTCAGCGCTGATTGCATGGTTGTTACATATAGATTGGGGGAAGGGCTAATACATATTCAGCGCCCCAAGTTGGCTAACCAGCATCCCAACTACTGCGACGAGTTTAAATACTGTAACAAGGCGCAGATGAAATATATGTGTATTTAGGTAGATACAGGGTTCCTCAGATACCCGCTACTGCCACTACCATCGCTACTTTCTACTATTACCATAGATTTATCGAATATCTGCTATCATCACTACTTATGTAGTAGCTTCAAATTTAAGACACAGGATGCTTAATAGTAGGTTTCTAGATAAATGCTATTCCGAAAATACCTATGTAGTTTGATCGAGGTTGAGTCATAACAGTGAACATCGTGACGCAGATGAACCAAAACGTAGTGTGTGAATCCCAAGGATCACAGTGGAATAATATATGATTGCGCTCAAAGATATCTTCATTTTCAGATGCATTTGTCTTACAGTGAAAACCCTAGTTCTGGAACCTCCATTTAGTAGCCCCAAGATTGAAGAATAAGCCCAGAACCGCTGACATATGACAATCAGTTCCTCAAGCAAATAGAGCTGCACCACGAGGTAGGCCAGGCTCTCAGGATGCGCAAAAAGAAGAGTAAGTTGTGACCCCCAACAGTTTACAGGACATTAAGTCAATTATTCTCTTTCAAAAAAAAATTTCTGCGGCACGCCAGATATTTGACTGGCTCGTGACAGTGTCTGTGACTATAGAAGGGGCTGCCACAACGGGCACTGCAAAGAGCGATTCCGAGTTTAAAAATACGACCCAAACTTTAATCGAGAAGCTGAAGTCGTCGAACCGGGAAATAGGAACTCTGAAAGTCAAGGTAACTACATGTAAGCTTGATTTTCGGTCGGAGCTGTCGCTGGCAAAGACTTAGATCCTGGATGCTGACCTAGATAAGGCAACGGCAATGCTATAAACATGTCCGACATTTGTTTGGACTTGGTAGAAGCGGATGCCGTGCGGCGCTTGATCACGAATTTGAATCAGACTGGGATCCTGGGCGATGTAATAAAGAAACACTCTGAGACTAGATCCGTCGGCCATGGCATTGGTTGTTGTAGTAGCGTCAGTGTGGGTGGCATTTGGACTCTCACTGGTTGGGGATTGGGGGCTGTCGTTCTGATCGGCAGTATTACCGCGGCTTATACGGGTAAAAGGTCGTGGGATCATAAAACGTCTAGAGATCGAATCCGCAAGACTAGGTGAACATCGAATCCTAATGCAACTTTATTCTGGGGATGCGTGGCTGACCAGATGTGCAGGCAAGGTGGACTTCGACAGCTTTAGGGAAGCATTGAACAGGGTCGTAGCATTCCTAGTGTGTCAATTCATCGTCGCTGCGAGAGCCGGTCCTTATAAGGACATGTGGGACTACTACTTGATGATGTTTGGCCTGGATTTTTGTGACTTCAATAAGGAAGATTACGGCAAGGCGCCTCTGGCCCAACGTGTTGATCATTTGAAGCGGACATTTGAGGAATTTACTGAAAATATAGACTGGATAAATGAACATGAGGGTTTGGGTCTCGAAAGGGGCGGAGACTCGAATGCGCAAACTGCATAATAGCTTTTCTCTACATAACGCTGGTTCGTTAACATCATATTATCTCATATTATCCAGTCCCGTAGATGATACTATTGGATTGTAAAGCACTGCATGTAGAATATAGATACCACACGGTAAGCTCATTCGAATTGAAATAAAAAAAATAATTGTCGCCGGATTTAATTTTTTTTAAGTTTCATGCGATTCTAAAGCGCTATTTCTATAGTTATCTTAGAGAAATGGGATCATTATACATGATAGGAGTTATTTATTAGGCTTATGGTCGACAGGAAGGGTAAATTATCATGGCGGAATAATGCATGAATATACCTAAAGATTTGAGCCCGTATTCATCTGCTACTACACGCCTCCATGCTATATAGTGCCCTAATCGCATCATATCCTAAAATTAGGACTTCATCGTTTCTCGATTTCTCCTAAACTTCTCCCTTGTTTGCGCTTACACGATGGTGATGATTGTCATATCAGTCGCACACACAATGATAAGGAAGAGAGGAGCGGTAACGGTCAAGAAGCCAGTCGCACAACAAAGCCTGTATTCATCTCCGAGCTTAACGGAGATTATCTTTCCTTGGCACACCTTGTGTAATGAGGCCATTGTTGGCCTTTTAAACTGTTAATGTTTGTGCATCATATACATGTATCCAGCGCTTACAGCGGGTGCAGCAATACTCTCACCTATGGAGGCCATTTAAAAGCCTACTCTTCGTGAAGGCTCACACTGTGTGCTTTTACAATAATCTTTGCCACAACCAAATTGCATATTCCATCTCTACTGCATTTGCGACTCCCGAAGAACTGATCAATAGCCTGTCTAGGACCAAAGATGCAGCCCAGATCTTACCAAATGGATATTCGGGTCGTAGATGCGGCCTCTAAATGTACATGTACAATGTACTCTGAATTCCGTTTAAACCCCTGCTCCATACCCATGCCAGCAACCTTGCCGGCCTGCATATTTGGCCAACATGTGTATAATTTGTTCCACCGGGCTGCTCTATTCGAGACACATTCAATGCAGGTTGTTATTGGCCGAAGCCCAGCGCTTAATACTACTCCGCATCATGCTTGGCTGCCTTGTGTGCATCTTCATCTCGTCCTCATATTCTGATATCGAATTCTATTTTTCTAAACTCAATCGCACCTAACAAGGATTACCACAGTAGGATCTCTATTATCTATGCGTAAAGCACTAAGAGATTGGCGCGATAGGCGCAAATCCTCGGGAAAGGGCTCCGTTGCAAGCACCTCTGGCGGCAAAGTCCAGGCCTCCTCCACTCCGAATGGCAACGTGAAATCAGCGGCCGTAGAGCCTGAAGTACCAGTGGCGAAAGCTCCCATCACCCCATCCGAGAGCATCTGGAACAGCGCTTATGATACACTGAAAGCCGATGAACCAAAATTGGTACGAGCATATGAGAAGATCTTGTCTTTAAAGCTGAATTCGAGCTCTGTGTCTCTGGAGCCCGCGAATGTGGAGAATACCATCGACAATGAAAGCGTTCTGGTGAGAAGAGACCAGATGCACAAGTTAATCAATGAGGGTTTGAGCAAAACATTCCGAGAGGCGAATATCAAGAACGACATGGGCACAGTTATGCAAGTCGTCAACACTACCAAAAAATTAGTGAGCGATGCAATCAAGGACATGCCACAAGCTGCTCTTCCTTGGGCTCTAGTCTGTGTTTCCCTCTCAGTAAGGCAATGCCACGCACAACCGCCGGCAAGAAGCATTAAAATGCTAATTCTCGTGAACAGATCTTGGCCAACCCGATATCGCAAACCGAAGCTAATCACACGGGCATTGAATATATTGGAATCACGATAAAGTGGTATTGGGAGCAAGCTGTATTACTTTTTGACGACAACTCAAAAGATCCTTCTTTCACTGGGGTCCAAAGTGAGCTGCGAATGGCATTTATCGACTTTTACAAAAAGCTTCTGCGATTTCAGATGAGAAGTATCTGTAACTATTACAGGCATCGGGGTTTCATTTTCCTACGAGACCTCGTAGAGCTAGACGACTGGAATGGAAGTCTGCAGTCTATTCGAGCAGACGACACTTCTCTTCGCAAGAAAGTCAAAGCATTCCTGAGCCTTGAATCGGAGTCACATCTTAGAGTTATAGCCCATCACACCAAGGCACAAGCAAGGCATCAAAGGACTCAAGAGGATCAACAGTGCCTTAGAGATATACGAATCACGGATCCTCGTGCTGACATGAGACGCATTGAAAACACCAAAGGAGGTTTATTGCAAGAATCATACCGCTGGATCCTTGAAAATCCGCAATTCCAGACTTGGCGTGATAACGATGATAACCGTTTGCTCTGGCTCAGAGGCGATCCTGGTAAAGGGAAAACAATGCTTCTCTGTGGTCTTGCCCAAGAATTGATGCAACAATCAGGTTCGAGTCTAGTCACTTTCTTTTTCTGCCAGGCCACAATACCCAGCATCAATAATCACATAGCAGTCCTACGCGGTCTTATATGGCTGTTGGCCGACCAGCACCCTTCTCTGATATCCTACATCAGAAAGTCATATGATACCGCTGGAAAAGCCCTGTTTGATGAGGGAAATTCCTGGTACATATTGTCAGAAATTTTCAACAATATGTTGAGGGACAAGGAGTTGCCACCAGTATATATCATTATCGATGCCCTTGATGAGTGTACTACAGGTCGCGTGGAGCTCTTACGTCTTATTCGAACTGTTTCAGTGTCATTGAGCGCCAAGTGGGCAGTATCCAGCCGCAACTGGCCTGAAATTGAACAAGAATTAATTGAGGGGATGAATCTCAGCCTCGAAGTCAATGCTGCACTCGTCGTAACGGCAGTAAATGCATACATCTCCCACAAGGCATCACAAATACCCTTCCTAAAGCAAGATGATGAATTAAAAGAGGGAGTTTGCCGTCAGATGCGAGAGAAAGCTAACGGCACATTTCTCTGGGTTGCAATTGTCTTTGAACGACTGAATTCCGAAAGCGATGCTTATTACGATGACACTTTTGATGTGATGGCAATACTAGATGAGATGCCCGAGGATCTAACTAATCTGTACACAATTATGCTTGAGAGAATTTCTCAATTGAAAGGGAAAGGCCCCGGTCTATGTCGAACTGTACTGGCTATCGCAACATTGGCGTACCGGCCCCTCCACCTTAACGAGCTCTCAACTCTTGCAGGGTTCCGGGGTAATCTGAAGAACCTGCCTCAGTTGAACAGGTTAATAAAGGATTGTGGTTCATTTTTAACGGTCCGAGAGAACCACATTTACTTTATACATCAATCTGCAAAGGAGTATCTAGTCAGCGATCTCTCCTCGCAAGCTATCATTTCCCCGCATGGAATGAATGGAATTCGGTATAATATGGTTTCAAATTCGTTGAGCGCCATGGAGAATACACTACGAGAGGATATCTATGGACTGGAGAATCCTGGGATCCTCGCCGAGGATATTCGCCCACAGAGTCCCAATCCTCTGGACCATTTTCTATATTCTTGCATTAATTGGGTTGCCCATTTGGTTGAAATATACAGCAGTACAGACGATCAGAGTCTCCTGGACAGTCTTGTTGATGAGGAAGAAATCTTACGCTTCTTGAAGAAGCACTTTCTCCACTGGCTTGAAGCGCTTGCCTTAACACGAAATATATCAACCAACATAACGCATGTCCAAAGGCTTTGTGAGTTTTTGAAGGTGAGACAAGTATTCCATATCTTACAAAGAATTATATGTCACTAACTACAGTAGCAACGCTCCGCAACTGATGAACTTCGAAAATTCATATATGATGCGACACGATTCATGCAATGCCATGCCCACTGTTTAGGAAATACTCCGATGCAGATATATTCATCCGCACTTCTGTTCAGCCCTACTCAAAGTTTGGTGCGAACGCATTTTATCGGCGAACTCTCTTGGATAAAGCACGTATCCAAGTCAGTAAAGGAGAGCAACTGGAGTCCTCGCCTACTGACAATCGAGAACGGAGGCCCAGAGGCAATATGTTCCAGCGGTACAAATCTCTTGGTACTGCATTCTTCCTCTAAAAATGTCGAAATTTGGGATATGGCTACAGGGAAGATGGTTCACACACTCAGCCACCCAAAAGTTGTTCATCATGCAGTATTTTCGAGCGATTCGAATTGCGTGCTGACACTTTCATGGGATCGATTTTATCGCTGGAATGTGAATTCCGGCACCGTGATACAGAATGTCGGCATTTGTGACTTTGTCGATGATCGAAATTACGCTGTTTCCAACGACGGGAAGTTCATAGCATCGTGCAGGTATTATGGGATGGATGATGACAGCGGAGTTCAGATATACCACGTTGTCGAACAGACTAAGCTGGAGCTACCACATACTGGTGAGGCCGGTTCAATGAACTTATTGAACTGGTCAAATAATTCCAGGTTCTTGTCTGTTTCAACGGAGCACTATACACGCATCTGGGAAATGCCCACAGGCAACGAGAAATTAAAAGTTCTTAACCATGATGGCAAGATTCGAAGAGTTCCCAGTTTTTCGGGCGATTCCAAGTTGATAGCTTTTTCTGTTGGGCAAGAATTTGAGATTTGGAGTTTGGAGACAGAAGAAAGGATCCTGACCTTCAACACAGAGCATCCAGGGGAAGTGGAATTTGTTGAGTTCTCCAAAGACTCTAGGCTCATTGCTGAGACTGGGTATCACAAGGGCAACAACGGGTGGTCTCAGCAAATTGTTCGTGTGTGGGAAGTAGCCACTGGTCTGAAGCAATATGAGTTGCGTATTGGTCCCAGAGAAATATCAGGAATGGCGTGGTCGGACGACTCAAAAGCATTAGCTGTGGCGTTCTCCGACAATATCGAAATATATGATGTTACTGAACATTCATACTGGGATTTCAACGTCTATGATAAGCCTTTATCGCGTCAAACCCAGTTTTCACCAACATTGATCATATTCTCGGTCAATTTCGAACTCGTGGCAATTGCTGGTAGATACCTCGCAATCTGGGACACAACAACCGGTAGCCTGGTTCAGACGCTCGAGGGGGTCAATACCCGCCATATTTGTGGATTGGGGTTTTCTAGAGATTCAAAGTCCATTTACACGTACTCAGAAGTAGAAGGCTTGCAAAGGTGGGACATTGCCTCTGGTAGTCCGATACATACGCTTCCCACCTCTCCAGTCAGTGGTCGGATGACCGGAATAGCATTTTCTTTTGACGGAAGATTTTTCGCATCGGAATCGAAGGAGGGAGATGAGATCTTGCTCTGGAATCTAACCACAGCTGAAGCCACCTCTCGTTCCATGGCTCATCAGGAGAGAGGGCTAAAAAATATACATCTTCTCGCCCTTTCCCAAAATGCAGAGTATCTTGTTTCTACAGAGTATCTTACGTCTGCAAAGTATGTTCACAACGCCTCAGAATCTACGCCTTACACTTTTACTATATGGAATGCGAAAACTGGCGAGGAGCTATGGGCGACAAAGACTGATATTGAAATATACCATGGTACTACCTATTGCAACACATGTCACTTCGGGGCAAATGACCATGAGTCAATTACAATATCCAACAATGGTAGCAGAGTGGTCTTTACAGAGCGTGCCCGCCATGGGATGTGGATTCTGAAAGGAACGGAAAAAACTACCTGTAGGCTACCTATTTGTTGCCGATACTTCGATCCTTCTTTTGACATGGAGTCGCCATATACATGTACACATATTCTCACGCAACTTGGTCGCGTAGCTCTGGACAGTCTCATTGCTCAGGCAGCGAAAAATTTGTCCAGTTCTAAGACAGTAGCAGTAGCATATGACTCCATCGCCGAAGGCTATGGCGTAAGTCTCGACAGATCATGGATAACTTGGAACGGAAAAAACATTATATGGCTACCACCCGACTATCGAACAACTACATCAATCGCAATATCCCGCAATTGTATTGTCATGGCAAACCCCAGTACAGGTAATCCCTGCATAATTCGCTTTTCTGGCGCACCTCCTTGCGCATCTCTATCTTAGCATGCTACCTAACAGGTAGCCATGATAGCATACTACCCAATAAGTAACCATAATACCAAATACTAAAGAAATCTATTGATGCTAGCAGAACGTAGTGATTTAAACTTAAAGATATGTGTATTTAATCGAATAGCAGTAATAAAAGATCATTCCTCCGCGTTTATACGACGCTTAGACTTAATATATTCACAGGCATGCTGGATAAGCGAACTTTGGGTGCTTTAGACTAGCAACATTTATAACCCTAATTATCTCACGGTCAGCTTTGGGGGCCAACCTTTCCATGTTTACTTTATCTCGATAAGTGCTATAACAAGTAGCCTCTTAAGCTATTCACCTCAATAGTCTTTTAGGAGATGCTTTGTCAGGTATGGAAAAGGCACTTTTGGGCTTGAGTTGAGATTGAACAACTGAGTCAGTCGACCTACAGAGAGCAACATATATTGAACGTGTGGATTACTCACAGTCCTTTAGCAATATCACCCCCGTGTTCTGCTCTCGGGATCCTGACAATTTGATCCATTCTCCGGAAAGTCTTCTTGATGAATTTTTTAATAGACATGTAGCGCAGTGGTTTATTGTTCTTTTTTTTTTAATATTATTAATGCAGTAACATAGACCTCAATTCCTTCCAATGTACCGAGTATCATGCAGCCGCTACCCCAAAACCGGACACACTGGCAAACAAATACTCTTGTAGCTTAGAGAGGCTAAAGAAATCGTTCTCGCGGGTAGCATATCGTGCATTCTCGATCTCCCAGTCTATCGTTCCGCCCTTAACAAGTTCTTCTCCCTCACATTTGCATGAGTCAAAATCGATGATGACGGGATTGTCATCTGCATCTATCATGATATTTCGTGGATTGATGTCGTTGTGAATGAGTCCGAGGTTGTGTAGGTGGCGGATACCGTCCTTGATACGTTGAAAGCAGATGTCTGCATCAAACTGTGTCCCAGTTTCTACCCGATCTTGTAGAGTCATGACGTATCGGTCTAAGCAAAGACCGTGAATCCTGCCATCAACCTCTATACATCCATGATACTTGGCAATGTTTGGATGCGGATTCTTGCGTAGAGTTTCGCAAATTCTGGCCTCTCCCAAGACCGTCCTAGAAATGTCGTCCCCGCTTACGTTGGTCCCGTAACCCAGGAGACTCGCCCGCTTCACATAGCAACCTTTCGGAAGTGGCTCTGGGGCGCGAGTGAGCCCAGGGGCAAACTGCGGGCAAATATGTTCGGTAGGAATCCGGATGGGATCCAGTGTGTCCACGTCTATTGCGGCATCGAGGGGCATGCGTCTGTTGAGTTTGGCGTAGAAGTACTCTCCCGAGTTTTGTTTGAGAATGTATTCCATGTGATGGAAAGAAAAACTCTCATCCATTAATTCACCCCGCTCGCAGATTTCCATAGTCGCAGATGACATGTCGGTAAGTTCAAAGCAAGATCAATGTCTTCATCCCGTCATCCACTATACTTCGTCAAGTTTATATATCGGGGAAGAAAAAAATCTTCCATCAAGGTTTCAAAGGGGAGGGAAGAATATTGATCCATTTGATCTGGGACACGAGCCGCCTATGGGTCTGGTAGAACGCATACAAATTCCTGAAATACATGCAATATTCAAGACCAACACGCTTGTGTATAGCTTCACTCAGCAGTCTCCACATTCCTAACCATGTACATGTCCTAGCTTAGTCATGCCTCTGTATCGATAATCGGAGCCGACTGGCTTACCTCATACATACGCTTAAATTGCCTCCCAGAATAATGGGTGCTTCATGTCAGGTATTAACTCATCCAAACTCGTCTTATAAATCATCTTGATCCGCACTCATTCAATCACAATTCGCTGTTTTCTCCGGAATTTTCACAAGAAACTTTCATTCGAAAACATGCTGTCAACACGGATGTTCCGTCCGGCCTCGTCCATGGCCCGGCAAGGCATCGCATCGCAGCGCCTCTTCCATGCCAGCCGCCCAGCTTTGGCCGTCCACTATGTCAAGACGTGAGCTGCACCCCTTGGTAAATCGCTATCAAATTGACATGTACATTTGCTGAGCAAGGATTCAAGTGCCGAGGAGTTCAACAAGGTCATCAAGGAACAGGACAAGGTCATTGTGGACTGCTTCGCAACGTGGTGCGGACCATGCAAAGCTATTGCTCCCATCCTGGAAAAGTGCGTCCACAAGACGAGAAGATAATTTTTAACTGGCAATGGCATACTAACAGCATCAATGACAGGGCCTCTGAAGAGCCAGAGTTCAAGGACAAGGTCCATTTTGTCAAGTTCGACGTGGATGAGCTGCCCGAGCTGAGCCAGCAGCTGGGAATCCGCGCCATGCCAACTTTTCTCTTCTACAAGAACGGCAACAAGGTCGATGAGATGATTGGAGCAAACCCGCCTGTTTTGCTGCAGACCTTGAGGAAGCACAATGCTTAGAAAGGCATGCCATAGGAGGAAAAGTTTGGGACTGAGTGGGAGTGTAAGATATAATCTGTATCCTGTTAGATCTGATAGACAATCGGATGCAACGGCAACTCGATGCCTTTATATCCAATACAGAGTTATTACATCTAAGGATCATCTCGCCCCGGCTCGTGGAGCCTACGTGAATAGTTGGCAACTAAATTCCCAACAATTCCACCTGCATCACAATTTGGCTAACTGCAAGGTATCACAAGGACCTCTGCCTACCTACCTGGCTTTGTAGCTAGTATGGCCTCCTCAACACTCACAGCCTTCTGCCTTACATTTTGCTTTCTCTGAAACTCCTCTTGCCCCAGTGATATCGCTCGCCCTCGAAGTCGATCAGAAGAAAATATTTATTCAGCCAGAATGAACGTTCAAATCAGGTGTGCTTTGATTAATACATTCGTTCGTTGTTCATACACCACGACTAAAATGCCCTTTCACGCTCCCAATTTTGATTCCCAAACGCCTCGCTTCCTTGAACCCAAATACGCCGCAATAATGCTAATCTCCAAACTAGCCCCATAGCCATGTAATCACAAAATCCAAATTAAACGCCCAACTCAAACTGAATCCTTGGCTGCTTGCTCATCATTGTGAACCTGCTCAGGTGAATGAACAACGACACCCAGCATCGGCTCCACGCGAGCACCTCCAATAGCAGATTCCACATCCGATTCGTTTTCTGAAGATGCATTGCTCATCTTCCGCATGGCCTTCTCATCAACAGTGAAATCACCGCCAGCCTTGTCCAAGTCCATGAAAAGGCAGATGATCAGGGCAAGTCCTGCGAGTCCGACGCCGATCCAGAAGACACCCTTGTACTGATGTTTGAGATCCATCCCATTCAACACAAACTGCGCTTTGGCGACGTCTGCAATCGCCAGAAAGAAGGCACCTCCGAGGAAGAGCATAACACTGATGAGTGCACCTGCAAGTCCCTGACGGTTCTTTGGCAGGCTAGTTGTTAGGAAGACATTGCTCACAGTCCAAAGAACGTCGACGCAGGCGGCTTCGCACAGCATGGCTGGGAAAATCCACGCCCAATAGCTCGGGTTATCAGGCATAATGGCAAACATGAGCACAGCAATGACTTTTGAGATACCGGAGAGAACAATGAGCACTTTGCCGGGCAGGAGGTGGAGGATGATGCCGCTTGTGGTGGCCAAGACCAGACCTCCACCAGCCCAAGGCCCAAAGTATACCGCGGTCAATAGGGGCGATTTTTCAAGAATCGTTTCAATGCTGTGTTTCTCAATTAGCAAAATATGGTTATATAATAGTCACTCGCTGAAGACTCACTAAAAGTTGGCATAAAAGAGATAGATGCTGAAGACACCCCATGTAATGAAGAGGCACAGGAGCATTCTCTTCATGCACTTGACGCGGAAAATATCTGCCGGGATAAGAGGTGCCTCAGCGACCCAGCCTTCGACATATACAGCTGCACCAAGAAAGATGAGGCCGAGGATAAGTGTCACCAGAATTTGAGGTGATGCCCATCCGTTGGGGGCATTCGCGCTATCGGTCAACGCATAAATGAGCAACATCAAGCCAGGCACAGTCGTGAAAACTCCCCACCAGTCCATCTTGACGTTCATTTTGCGTGCCTCTTCATAGTCACGAGGAGCCGTAAAAATTGTTCCTACACCGAAGACGGCAGACACCATGCCGCCCAGCCAAAAGAACCACCTCCAAGACAGCAAATCCTGAGCCATGCCGCCAACAATGATACCGCTGAAGAAGCCAAGAGGCGCAAGAGCACCATAGAGGCTGAAAACAATATTCTTTCTCGGGCCTGGTCTGTAAATCCGGCCAAGCAGAGAAATGCCGGCAGGAAGGAATGCGGCAGCGCCAATGCCCTGCATAGCACGGCAGATGACCAGCATGATGAAGTTGCGAGAAAAGCCGGCAATGACGGACCATATCGCAGTCCACGCCACGCCTCCATTGAAGAGAAGGTATCCTCCGTACATGTCTGCCAGGCGCCCCAGAGGGAACAGGAATGCGCCTGCAGCCAGGGTTAAGACGCTCGAGGGCCATGTTTGTGCTTGCAGAGGGATGTCGAGTGGCTCGATCAAATTAGGTAAAACGACCTGAAAGCCGCTAATGACGAAATCCTAATGAGGAACAAGTTAGCTTCTTATTCTTGTATACTTCTTCCAGGACGGAATACAGGCATGTACGAGCACTCCGTCTGGTAAGGAATGTGACTTGTCTTGCTTGCTTGCATATGTCAAGGAGAGAGACCCACCGCCATAGAAAGGGAGCCCAGGATAGAGATGACGAAGGCAACCTCTGTCAACGTAGAAGAGAAAACTTCGGGGCGCTGTCTTCCTAGCTTCTCAACATCAATGTCCTCAACATCAATGTCCTGGGAAAGCTCGCTGCCCATTTCTGTGACAAGGACGGCGGCATCCTGGACTTGTGTCTTGCTGTCCTTTTCCAACATTGCGATTAGGCAAATGATTAGACGGAACAAGAGGAGAACAGACTCTTCTCAAGAGATGTAAGCCAGATGGTGTTCAAAGGCCTTTGAGAGAAAATAATCCGTCAAGTGCCGGTGATACCAGCCTCTCGGCCTTTGACCCAAAAGCCATCATGCTCTCTTTTATATAGTTTTTATGTTTTACGGACACGGGGCGCCCAGAAAGCAATTTTCCACACCCTGAATCATACTCTGCTAGATCATACGCCATTGCTATGCGCTATCGTCATCTGCCGGCAATTATCATGGTGTGAACAGTCTCACAGTGAGCATTCCGTTGTCGGTCCTCGTACTTTTTTACCGTTTCATAAGCCTTGAATTCTCCTGCCTTCATCTCGCCCTCCAGCCACAGCGGCAACAAACGCAAAAGTTGTCCAAAGGTTTCCCATCTAGGGAAGTTCATTGCAATCGTAGCTCGAGAGATCTGACAAGGGGTCCACACTTTTCTATCCGGAATGAAAGCCGACTGTGAGGTTCGGAGTGGCCACCATGGAAACTACTGCCCACGTTTTCTCTGCAGCGTTCTGATAATAGAGCCAGAACATGGATTCGATGTGTCATGGACCTCGTTCCAGAATCAGTTCAATTTTCGTGCGGTGGAGATGATAAGAGTTGGGCTTTTGTAATCCCGGTAGCAGCAGCCCAACTGGGGCTGCAGAGACTAGTTTGTGAAGACATCGTGACTATGTCGCAGGGGTAGTTTTGTTTTTTTGGCGCCACGGATGGAGTCCGGGATAATGAATACCGAAGTTGGGCCTGGTTAGCCCTGTGCTTCTCAATCTCCAGAAAAGAAAATCGAAAAGAAAATTAATGGAAGATTTTTTCTTCGTCATTCTTCTCTCACCTCCGCTCAGCTCGCCGAAGATCGTTCCCTTACTTGACATGTTCGTCTCCAGAAGAAGGAGAGAGAGTTTGCAGGGTATGCGCTGGGTAAATGGGATTGGTTGGTTAGACTTTTTTTGCATAGCGCACTTAGCAACCAGTGTCTATTGCTTCGTTCTTCACTCCGAAATGCCATACAATGGATGATGGATCGCGGAAAAGGCCCTAAACCCCAATTGTAACATTGTTCTCTCATTGAACCCTTCAATCCCAGCCCGCATCCGAGATTCAGGTACTCGCACTGCGCCATGGGTAAAGCGATTTCCGTATTGGGCGCCTGTGTGACCTCTGGATGGACAAGATCCGGCAGACCAGGTGAACAAGCTTCGGGACCTAGGACAAGGGTGGCTTCCAATGCTTACCAGTTCTGCAGGTCCCGCCTAGCGGTCGCCGTGCATCGGACGCAGAGAATGTCAAGAGCTTTCCCATTTAGGCGCGCTTGCGACGTGATGAGAAAGCTTGTCTACTTCTGAGCGTCTAGACTGCGTTTGGGGTGGTGGCGTGGGCGGAGGGGTTGGATATTGGGGATTATGCTGCTGGATCATTGATAATCGATGGTGGGCCGGATGCTTTGCCCGCTGGATACTGACTGGCTGGCTAGCTGGAGTGCCACATCACGATGGCCTCGCCGTCATGGAGCTCTTCAGGCATCACCTCTGCTGGTTTTGACGCTATCCCTTGACACACGTGCGTTCTGATCTTACCACCGAAAAGGGGAAGAGAAAAAAACTTAGCAGAAGGCCCGAGATTCTCGCCATGCTCATACTCCCAGAGGCGTGAAAGAGGCCCGCCCAGCGATCGACTCTCCGCCGCTGCTGCTCTCGTATGCCGGCCTGGTTGCGCGTCACTAGAGCGTTGCTAGACCGACAAGACGCGCGAGAGTGAGGCCGGCCATCCGCTCTCCATCAGAATAGCCTGAAAGCACACACAGTTTCCGTCACCGGACCGCACGAAGCTCGGCGTATATGCCAAGCAACAGCAAACCGTGTCACAACTGCCGCCGTCGACGACTGCGCTGCGATCGCTCGTGGCCGACGTGCCACAAATGTGCGGTCTCAGGGCAGGAGTGCCTTGGATACGGCAAAGTCTTCATCTGGACTCAGGCGATTGACGCTCATGGGAATCCGAAGCCATCACCAAGTCGCAGGACTCCCCTTGGTGGTCCTCTCAGCTCTGGCTCTGCACCAACCTCTTCTTCCGTCACCAACAGCTACTTCCCACCCTTCTCGGATTCTGTCTCTGGCCGTCGCCCCGATTCTAGCCCCGAAAATCAAGCACATGATGCACTGGTCAGGGAGCGCAAATCTGCCCGGGGCGGTGTCCAGCAAGCGTCTGGTCGTCGCCCCTCGCCGCCACTAAAGGGTAAGAGAGACGATTCGACGATGTCGGCTGCACCGGAGTCAGCGAAAGATGCAGCTTCAAGCCAAATCCAGGAGGCGGTGCCGGAGCATCGAAAGTGGATGCCACAAGCAATTGGCAGCTTGACAGATCCTCTTTTCCAAGACCTTGATCGCAACTCAAGATACTACCTAGCACATTGTAAGAAACTGCCAAATTCCGAAATAGCCCAGGTTAGCAAGAAGATTGTGCGGGAATTGTACTAACGCATTTGAAAGTTGCCGATCGCGTCTGCAAAGACTTGGTGGCTCGAGATGTGCCGGGGGCCAATCCTTTCAGAGATCTTATCCCGTTGACTAACAGGCATCCTCTGCTGCTTCAGGTTCTTGTCGCCACCTCAGCGATACACTGGTCCAATATATTTCGCCCTATCACTGCAATTCCTACGGGCCTTAGTGATCCCGGAGGTTATCTCGCCCAGTTACGATCAAAAGACCTGGTTTCCAGGCAAGCTCTCATCGATGCCTTGACGGCAAAGCAGAAGGCTATGGGCCACTTGCAAGAAGTGCTCGACACCTTGGATCCTGGTGGAAGCGAAGTTGTTCTTGCTGCCATGCATTTCTTCATCAAATTTGATCTGATAGACTTGGAAAAGAATGACGGAAAGGGATGGAGGGCTCATTTGGAAGGAGCCAGTAGTATCCTAGCTTTGCTCACACCAGGAGGCAATGGAACCGAGCCAAACAGGATGCTGCGTGACTGTGTGGTGGCTGATTGTTTTATGTGAGTAGCTGCCGCTCTGTGTCTCACTTTGGGCTGTCTGCCAAACAAAGGGGTTGCGATTTGGGTTCCTCCGTACTGGGCAAAACAAAACTGACACCGCTTCGCTTCACTAACCCACAGATATCACATCTTAGGGTCAACGCTTGCATCGGGCAGCCTCGCCACCAACATAGCACGATATGCTTTCGAACTCCTACCGGTCATGAAGCGTGTCGAAGTCAACAGCTACCTGTCATGCCCGCCGGAGATCCTTCACATTATCCTGGTAGCCTCCAAGCTCTCGTACGAGACGCCGTGCACTGACTGGTCCCTGTCTGCCGCGGACGAGGCCCTTGCTCTTATCGACGAGGCCCTTGCGTTTGATATACCGGCGTGGGCAGACAGACTGCGACAGAATCCTCGGGTGCAAGACATTGAAAGTCGCATCCACATCGCCTCGGCTCATCGGTCAGCCGCCTGCCTGTATATTTTGCAGGCACTACCTCTTGTACGGGCCGTCCGCCCTGTAGACACCGAGTTCCTGGTTGGCGACATCTATGGGAACCTGGGCCAGATTAGCGTGGACGATCCGTACTACAAGGCTACGTCGTGGCCTACCTTTATCGCGGGAGCAGAAACTCGCGATGCAGAAAAGCGCACATGGGCGATGAAGCGTCTGCTGGGCATCTGGGAGACGTGCCCCTGGGGCTATTTGTTCACGGCCATAGAGCTGTTGAAGGCGGCCTGGGAGATGCAGGATGCGAACCCAGGCTCCAATGGTGAAGCCGGCATCAACTGGCTGCAAGGCTTGAAGAGCATGGGGATTGATGCACTGATAGTGTAGAGTTTTCTGCTCCAAGTTGCATCTTGCGAAGGTACATGTAGTCCCTTGCGATCTAACGATTTAGGGCTGCTGCTTCCCTTCCAGCGACGTTGGCACCTGCCGTTCAAGCAACCACAGCTTTCTCACCCATGTATTATTTTCTTGTATTTTCTATTTTTTTCCCCCTTCCCCATTGATAACGGAGTTTCTTCGAGCGAGATTGTATTTTTGGGAAATATCTGGTTTACATGACGGCAAAATAGCAGTAGCATACCTAAATACTTAAGGACTACTAAGTAATAATACAATCATTTAAAATAGTAATATATGATTCTACATATTCTTGCATCAATAACGAAAGAGAATAAGGTACCTATTCATGGGGGTGGGATTTCGGATCTGTTACCGACAAAGACACGCATCCCCAAGTCTCAAATCTGACTCGATGCAGCCAAACCACTTCCATCTTTCAATGCTTCCAGGTTAAGCTGAGCCGCAAGACTCGACATCAACTCCACGAAAGCAGGGTTAAAGCCCAAGCGGGAGCTACTGCACCTCGTCCCCTCCCGCCAGCGCTAAAAACGCAGCTTCAACCCCCTAAATGCCCTAAAATGCCAGCTGCAGCTGCAACTAAACGCCCGCCTCCAGCCGAAGAGCGTGCACCAGTTGCCTTGAAATTTCTCATGTAGGTTGGCATGGATTGAGCATCTGGGAGTGCCGATCACTGATTCATTTTGTGTTCACATGGGAAGATAATCTCAAGGGGTCCCAGCATTTCGAGGGAAACCAAAAACACCCACTTTTCCCTTGATAAGTCTCCCTCCCTTCCTTCGACATCTTTTGCCGCTGCGAACCGAAAGAGGCACGGGATCTCGTGTTTCATTTTAATGGCTGATCTTGATGCCTATTTAATTACATAAAAAGAGAATCCGGCACTACCGCGTCGGTGTGACAGCGCAAGCATCTCGTGCATCATATCACACAAAGCTGCAGCTCCTTCAATGTCGTGCTTCCCCAGCTGGCCTCCCCTCTCAGCTGAGCAACTCCAGCGTCCGATATCGTTGTACATGGGCCTGCTTGCTCCAATCACCTGGAGGAAAATTCGTTTGTGGTGGTTTTCTTGCATCGGACGCATCTAGGCACGTGCCTGGACTCAAAATAGCCGTTAGATAGCAGTGTAGCATCACGTAACGACTATGCATGTGAATATCACGTCAGATGTTGGAGTGGATTTGAGTCTTGGAATTGATTGCATTAGCTTCTTCTATTTTAACGTCTAAGCTACGGCAATACGTGGTCCACCATATACTCGAGTGAAGCCCATGTCCAGAAGCAGGTCGCCCGTCCATATTGAATCGAACTTTTGATCGCCAAGTCGTGATACCTACTGAGGTTATGGTTATGCAGCTCATCGTCTCGACACATAGCTAAAGAGTGAGCCATATCGGTGAATACAAAACGCAGTAAATCTTTGAGGACAACTTTGGTATCTGAGCACAAACAAAAAGGGGCAGAGGAAAGGGCTAATTCTCTTGGGGTGCTTTTGAGAGTAACAAGAAAAAGCGAACTGGAAAGGGGCAGGTCTGGCAGTACTTTGGGATAAGTGAGCTGGTCGTATAGGCGGATTCATGTATCTGATACGAATCTGGTCAAGACAATACGCGACTTCCAACGCATCCCTGCGATGAGCCTGATACTCTCTCATCCTCCAAAATAGCCACAAGAAGCTGGATTGAACAAGGAATAACAAGTCTCACACGCATGAATGACGAAGCGCACGGGTCATGAAATACCATCAAGGGAAGAAGATCTAGTAAGCCATAAACATTGTTCAAACAGGTGCTGTACCTCTCGTAGTGTTCAAGGGGACAAGCTGGGTCCATGGCTAAGCATCCAAGACTTGTTGTGTCTGGGCAAAGCAAATATCAGGAAAATCATTTGGAAACTATTCACGCATACCTCGTGAATTCTAACAAAACGCCAGCCATGCATAGGGGCCCTTAGTAGTCGCGAGACTAAAAGAAATGACTGCCAGCGATATACCTGTCGCAGTAACTTTGACGCAAATTCCACATTGCCATGCGGACCTGAAATGACAAAGAAAAAAGAAAAACTGCATCATCTCAAGAGAAATGCGAAAAGAAAAAAAGAAGAAAGTATATCAATGTGCACAAACACGTCAGGCAGCCTTGGGGCCGACAACGTTGAAAGGAGCCATCTTAAATCGGACGTGAGGCTGAAAAGGCTGAAGAAGAGCCTGAATATAAGCAGCGAATCGAAATTTGAAAGAAGAAACAGGCAGCGAGGATGATCACCAACGACGGCTATGCAAAGGTCAGCCACTCAAATTACCCCGACACAGAGCGTTCTTCGATCTTACCTGTATGCAGAATCCGCATTTGGTTGACGGCGGCGTTGCATCTTAGGCATTGCTACACGATCCTGCCGTTGGTGGAGACCAATGTCGTCGGGAGACCTTTGCTTAGCAGGTCGCCCCAAGAGCTCAGCTTCCAGTGAATTCAAGTCGGATGATCGGCTAGAAACCGACGAGTTCCTAGATTTCGGCCTCTGATGACCCTCCTTTGATCGACCCCGAGATTCAGGGTCCAGGGGAGGCAAGATGGGCCCGTCTTCTTCTTCTTCTACAGTTGGCACATCGTCGCCCTGGATAGCTGATTCAGTATCGTGCTGCGCTTCTGTTTGGTTGTCCTCTTCAGCGTCTTTTGGGCCACCATGTGCAAGCGAGGAGGTAGCCTTTGACTTCTTTGGCTGACGTTCATCCTCTGACTCGTCGTCTCGACGCTTGTGCTTTCCGTTGGGATGAGACATGTCAGGAGCCAAACTACCAGAAGTTGAGGTTTCGTCTTTCCCATGATCTTGAGGGTTCTGTGAAGGATGTCCGTCACCCTGTGCCGACACTGCCTCGTCATCAGATATGAGCGTCCGCGCCGGCTCGGGTTCATCGCCGTCAGTAGACTCTCCAGACTGTATACATAGGCTAGTCAGCGCTCTGGTCAAGGAGAAATGCGACATATGAATAGTCGTCAAAGAGCAGGCCTACATACCTCAGAATCCGCCGTTTCGGAGTCGTCGTCAAGCTCACCAGAAATAGACTGGCGGGACTGGTCGTCCTCGTGTCCATATGCCCGCGCCTTATCCGACGCTGGTATCTCGGTCGCAGTTGAATCTTCCCGGAAGCCTTCCTTTGGGGCTTCAGATCCAAGTTTGGCATTCTTTTCAAGGTCTTCTACTGACGACAGTGGAGCACCTTTGGTGTTATCCGCATTGGTCGAGGCCGATGCTTTCTGGGAGGATCTAGGATTAGAGCGATTGCCTCGGTTAGAACGGTTATTCTTGTTTTGCATCTTCTGTTGGGAAGAGCGATGACGAGAGCCTTGATCCCGGCGTCTGTTATCACGGTGTTTGTTTTGACGATCATGCTTCCGTCTGTTCCTATGATCTCGATGCGGCTCTTGCTGCGTATGGACACTTCTTGGGGGCTTTGGTGGAAGAGAATGATGGACTGGCTGGTTCAAACCAGAATGAGGACGAGAAACATGTGGCGGCTTGGGTGGAGGAGGATAATGAGGCCCACTGTGAACAGGGTAAGGAACTGGGGGCAGTCCGTATGGCGGCTGCGGATACGACTGAGCGAACGAAGTTTGGGGCGGGTAGCCAGGCGCGCTGGATGGCCCAGCAGGCGGATACGAAGGGTACGCAGCAGGATATGGTGCCGGTGGCTGTGATGCTGGTGGCCCAGGAGGATGAGCTGCATAACCCGCTTGGGCTGCAGGAGCTGTACCGTAAGACGGCTGATGGTACTGCTGTGGTGGGTAGGCTGGACCATAGCCAGCTGGGTAGTGCGCAGCAGGCGGATAATGAGCATATGGGGCCTGGAACTGAGCGTTCTGCTGGGGATATGGTGGCCCAGGTGGTGGATATGAAGCTGTGCCATGGCTCAGAGACGAAGGGTGAGACGGCGGTGGTGGAGGTGGAGGTGGAGGAGGTGCATATTTGGTGATGATAGGCCCCTTGTTTACTCTCTTTGAGCTTCCTCCATGATGCTGCCGATGATTGCCTTGGCCGGCATTTGGAGCATTCCTCCAGGCGTTGGCAAGGCCACTACAATGTTGAATATCAGTTAGGGATGTAACAGTAGGAACAAAAATGGGCGTCATCAGGACTAGGCGAGCGAAGATGATCAGGGGGGAGAGAAAGGCTTACGCAGGAGTCTTTCTTGTCGGCTCCGGACAAGCAACAACCCAGTGGCCTCTGCCGCCGCAGTTGTAGCACGGCGAGTCATCAGAGGGCCCCGCATGAGGATGCGCAGATTCAGACATTTCTGTGACGATGCAGAACGACGGGCTTTAAAACAGGAAATGGATCAGGTTGTGAAGAAGAGAGCCGACGACGGCGTCGACGATGGTTGAGGCAGTTGATGGTTGGCGACTGGGCGAGGATTTGAGACAAGGAAAAGGGCCTTCTCACTGTTCCCCGTCAAGTGCCCTCGAAGAAGAGAAAAAGAAAAGAAAATCGCCCCCGTCACCTTGAGCATCAACCACATCAGAACCTTGTCACATCACACAAGGCGCAAGTGAGGCATACCTTGCTTGGATAAGACGGCCTAGAAGCGATAAACCCCTTTCTAAACCGAAACCCCCTCCCCAGGCCGTTTCGAGATGGATGAAGCGATGTCTCATCCGCCGGATGCGCAGTCTGGGGATCCTAGAGAAAACAAAACAAAGAGAATACAAAAAACGATGAGCCCTGGTCAGAGAAGCTGAGCCAGTCGTTTGGGTGACTGGCAAACGGATGAGCGCAAGTCGCGTTGAATCAGCCGCCACGTGAGGCTGCGCACAGGCCAACAGAGCTTTGCAACTGTCTCAGCTGGGGCCAGCTCCGAGTTTTAGCCGTGGTTATAGTTGCGGGTACTCCGTAGTGGTATCGAGAAGAGGAAGAGAGGAGGAAGCCCGGATGGAGTCTCGGGTTGACCAGAGTCGCGCGCTGGAGTCGCAAGAGAGTCTGGGAAAGTAGAAGCAGATGCGCCTATGCAGGTTGATGTTTGGCGAAGGAAAAGAGTAAACAAGCGTTGCCGAGTTGAGTTGAAACCTTTGGGCTTGCTCCTGTGGCGGTGAACCTTGCTTTTGATGCAAAAGGTGGCTGAAGACTAACTAATACTCGTACAGGATCGTGCATGTGCCTGGGCAACCAACTTCAAGGCACTGGGAGAGGCCGTTATTATTGCGCTGGTTGAACGTTTATCGTGTTCGCTAACCTGTCATTTACTAACATTTGCAAGCACTTGCGTAGGGGAAACGCAGGAGCGGTCAAAAACTCAGGATATTCGGCGCCTGGGTATCGGCTAGGAGCCTGTGGCTTTGCTCTGTGTCACTCGAGCGGCCGTCGACTTGCATCGCACAAGCCGATGGAACAGGATGAGTCGTCATTAGTTTAGGCGAGAAACATGAAGAGCGGCGTGGTGGGGAACAGCTGGTAGAAATACTTACGAGTACACGGAACGAGGAAACTAGCTGCTGCGAGTAATATCACCCCCTACATAGAGGCGTGATGAGCTGTCTCAGGTATGATGATGTCTTTGGCGATGTGCCCGTCCTGGATTTGGATTTCAGGGTCTACCGCTACCCGCGAGGTACCTCGAATCTGCGCGAGATCTCCTCGCAGCATCAAGTACCGACCGCCGGAATCTGCAATTCTCCAACTGCTGCTGCACGGTTTAGTGGCGCTAGCGGCGGGAGCAGCGCCAGCCAGTGGAAGTCCACCCACCCTCCTGGGCCCCCGTCGTGCTACCAACTACGTACTGCACAGTCACAGTCCAGCGAGTGCTGGCGTTGGATCAAATCCGAGTTCGTGTGGGCGTGGGCGATAATTTCTCAGCAGAAAAGCTAATTGCAGCTAGCGGATCCCCAGAAACCTGCATGCTGCGAACCAAGCTTCCTGCTTGTGGCCACATTCACATCGCCATCGCCGTCGAGTTGCTTCATCTGCTGGTTCTGGAGCGCCGTCCAGGCCGTTGCATGTGAGATAAAGGCGTCGGGCCCTCGACCATGTTGGTGCATCCAGCCACGGCCCCTCCAAACACCATCGCCTGCAGACTCTTACTCTTAGCTGGATGATTCCGTCGTCAATGGTGCAGCCTGTGTAACCGCCCGCTCCGTCATAAAACATCCCAGCTGAAGAGATCCATCCTATGCTTTGTAGGAGAGCGCCATGCCGTCGTTACCAGGTGAGTGTTATTTGCTGTCTGTTGACTTGTCTTGTCTTGTCTTGTCTTGTCTTGCCCCTCGTCCAGTGTCCCCTCGTCACAACAAGCAGCAGCAGCCTAACAAAAAGACATCTACATCCAGCCTCCGTCGATCTAGACGAGTGCATCTCGCGCCTCTACAAAAAGGAACTCCTGGCCGAGTCCGTCATCGAGGCAGTATGTGCCAAGACAAAGGAGCTTCTCATGCGCGAGAGCAACGTCGTCCACGTCAAGGCGCCAATCACCGTTGTCGGCGACATCCACGGTCAGTTTTACGACCTCATCGAGATCTTCCGAATCGGCGGCTACTGCCCTGACACCAACTACCTTTTCCTAGGTCCGTCCCCTCCACATGTTACATGTCCATGCATGGGTATATACCTACTATATGCCCGTGCATGTGCATGTGCGTATTCATTACTGTTACACGCCTGGCTCGTGGGATTTGTGGGATTTGTGGCGTTGACTCAGCTTTTGATATATGGCAGGCGACTACGTTGATCGTGGCATGTTCAGCGTCGAGACGATATCGCTACTCGTGTGCTTGAAGCTCCGATACCCCGAACGCGTGCACTTGATCCGCGGCAACCACGAGTCGCGCGGCGTTACGCAGTCGTACGGATTCTACACCGAGTGCTCCCGGAAATATGGCAACGCCAACGTGTGGCATTACTTTACAGACATGTTTGACTTTTTGACCCTGAGTGTCGTCATCGACAACCAGATCTTCTGCGTCCACGGAGGTAGGTCCCTGGCTCGGAGCTGACAACCCCACCATGCCATCAAATGAGAAACCCAGTGCTCAGCGTCAAACTACAGGCCTCTCGCCCTCCATCCACTCCATCGACCAAATCAAAATCATAGATCGCTTTAGGGAAATCCCCCACGAGGGGCCCATGGCTGATCTCGTGTGGTCCGATCCGGATCCCGACCGAGACGAATTCTCGCTCTCGCCGCGCGGCGCGGGCTATACGTTTGGCGCGCAGGTCGTCAAGAAGTTCTTGGCCGTCAACAACATGTCACATATCCTCCGGGCCCACCAGCTCTGCCAAGAGGGCTTCCAGGTGCTCTACGACGACCGACTGAGTACTGTGTGGAGCGCGCCGAATTATTGCTACCGATGCGGCAACATGGCCAGTGTCCTCGAAGTCAATACGCAAGGCGAGAGATTCTTCAACGTGTTTGCCGCGGCGCCGGAGAACGACCAGCACAAGGATATGCAGCAGGGGCTGGAGAAGACGGCGGATGGAAATTCGCTGCCAGATTACTTCTTATAACAGAAAGAGAAAGACCTGCCGGAGTTGGATCATACTGAAATCATCATAAACATGTATCAATCAATGTACCTTGCAAACAGTTGTGCAGAGCTTTGTCATGATATAGAATTGCGGGCTATGCTAGAACACAAAGGCAGATGTTGCAACATCCACCCCGCCTAATGTCGAAATGCTACCTTGTATTTGTACTTGCTCAAAATGTACCTATGATATGCTCGTTTCCATCAGGAAACTGCGGCTTTAGTATTTTGCAATTGGACCCAGTAACTACCTACCTAGGTAGGTACTTACCAAGGTAGTTCTAATAAGTACCTAGCAAATACTAGAGGAATATATTGATAGGTAGGTAGTAGCGGTAGTAGCAGATAGGTACTTACTTAGGGAACTGTGCATCTACTTAAGTAATAGGTAGTAAATAAAAGATCAGTCCTCTGCATTTTATTATAACGCTTGAATTCTACATAGTGCCGGGGTGTTGGATAGCTAGCTGGAGGTGTAAATAGTCCTCCTGGTATTTTTAGTCCCAATCACTTGCGATTTTGAATCTCCACTCGAACTCCAGGTGCTTTTTCTTATCGTCGTCGACGAAGCTGGAGACAGCATCGTAAGTGCCACGGGCGAGCATTCCAGAGGGGGCCTCTTCTTCGTGGACTGTTAAGATTGTAAGCCACAATGACCATTCCCGCTTTTCTTCAGTAGGAATACTTACACCTCTTGATATAAGTTGGCTGCTTGTCGGTGTTGGGAGCATAGCTTCCCTAAATAGGTCATTAGTACAACGACCCAATGCAACGGTGCTCGCCATGTTCAACTGACAATCATTTCCGAGTCCTTGGAGACCCTAACAGGACCTCGCTTAACAACCTGGACATAGTGAAGACCACTCAGGATCTCGTGCTGGACCTTGAACTCGGCGCTCATGGTGAACTTGGCGCCCTCTTTGATCCGGAAAGGGGTCTCCTTGAGCTTCCTCACTTCTTCGGCGTTGGAAGGCCGGATTTCGGTGGGTTCTCGGCCGGGCGACTCCATGATGAGTGCTATAATAATGCAGACTCGAGGGTCAGAGGGATCGGAGAGGTCCTTGCCGCCGCTGAGGCCAAGGGACTGCTTGTATCGCTGGAGAGACTCATCCCCGGCATCTGGATTGCAAGAGTCAGCACGGTGATGGATAACACGACGGCTGCAGTAACGGATTGCTTTGGCCCTGTGTACGTCTGCCCTCAAAAGAGCAGCCAATACAAAGCTCTACTCATACACATCCCGTCCGTGTTCCTCCCAGGGAGGCTTCAACCAACAGCTACATACCCATCTGGTTGTACTCGGCTAAGCTCTGTTTCGGCTGGGAGAGCTTGTAGCCCTGAGTCTCCTCGGGCATAGTATCATCATCGTTGTGAGAAGCCATTATGACGTCGGAAATCGAAATTCGGTGGGCAAGAGACCAAAAGAGAGAAGCTCTAGACGATGCTATCCACAGCTACTGATAGATCGAAAGGAGAGAGTTGAAAAACATCAGAGCCAGCCAAGTCGGTCAAGTGGTCAGAAGGCGGGATAGCAGAGCCATGGAGGGGCAGCGGGTTGCTGGTGGGGTCGGGCCATGGCGATTGGTGATTGGATCAGCGACAGGGGGCTGTAATCCAGTCCGGTCAGGGGTCGGGCATCATTGCCCAGCGAGGTTTTGCAAAGGGGTAAAGAGGAAGGGAACTAATACGGAGCATACAGCAGTAACCCTGTAGGTCCAATGGATTTGTGCTGTCAAGTGATACAGGTTAGTGTTATTACTAGGTGCTAGCGCAGTACACCAAGCGCACGGTATCAGGCCGGTGAAATTAGCGGTACCGCAGTAACGTCCCGTGTTAGCGCCAGACGGGACTTTTTTCCTTTGCCATGTTTGCCTGATATCCAAGGCACGCAACTAATACTGGGAGGTGATGGAAGCTAGAGCTAGTACGGAGCCCTACTAAGGGATCAATACTGAGCGCTAGAGCCCAGCTGTCAATAGGTACTCCGTAGAGGTCCATACCTAGAGTTGCATTAGAAGGTACCTAAAGGTTGGAGCCTCAATGAGCGAGTACTGTACAAGTACAGTAATACGGGGAAACCAAGTGCAGGGCAGGGCACCTTAGTACTAATGGAGTACAGTACTTCCATGTTGAGGGATCGGTAGAATTGATCAATGCCTTAGTCCCAAGTGCTGTACTGTAGCATTGTGCGCCTGCAGAGTGCTAGAGCCACATATGTATCAATTGACCACATGGCCGGCTCAATCCCTCCAGCAATCGAGCAGGGGTCAATTGAATTCGGCAGCTGGCTGGGACCGTTTAGTGGCAACGGCTGCGTCTGTTGGGCGCTCGTCTCGACGCTACCGTGTTCTCAAAGAGGGGACCAGACCCCTACTCGCCCAGTTCCTCAGGCCCCCCAAAGCCCCCAAAAGCCCCCAAAGCAAAAGCGCAAAGTACCCGCCCAGCAAAAAAGTGGTACCATGTACATCCATGCCTCCGCAGAGACCAGGCCACATCAGGCGCTCCCAGCAATTTGCGCGACTCTTCGCCCACCATCGCGAGTGAATCTTTCTCTTCACCCTTTTTCATTTACCAGCCCGCCAGAGCACAGCATAATCTCCCCAGGCCTCGTCTGCTGCGTTTCTCGTCAAGGCCCGTCGCTCAGGCGCTTCCCGGTCGAGACCGCATCACCTGTCCGCTTTTCCCCCGGTGCATTGGCCATTGTAGCCCGACGCGCCGCCATCGCCAGATCGTTGTTTTGCCGTTGCTGCATGCGAAACTCGTCGTGCGCGAACCACCACGACTCGCCGCTTCTGCGCTACGGATTGTCTGTTTCCGCGCGCCTAATTGTCTTGCACTGCTTCTAGTCGCCTGTAAGGAGTTGTTCTTGGTCTCGACTGGCTCCATCGACACGCTTTGCGCCGCGACACATAAGCCTTATCTGTTTCCTTGCACTCCCCAAAGAGGAAATCCAACAATGGCCCCCGCTGCAGGAAGATCGCTGCCGGCCAAGCGGAATCCGCTTCTCGTCGAAGATGTCCCTCCGTGTAAGTTATTGTTTTTATTTTTTATTTCATCCTCGATTCTTCCCATCGCCCTTTGCGCTCTGCACCGTCGCCAATGCGCCCGAATCACCACCACTGACGCGGAATGCTGCAGACTCGGAACTCGTGTCGCGCCGCCGTCTCGGCCAGACCAAGCTGACGCCCAAGATGGTGGGCAGCGATGAGGCCGAGGCCGGTGCTTTGGGCTTCTTCGACTACGCCCATCTGCGCGCGCCGCTGCCCAAGGGTATCGTGTCGGGCATTTTCAAGTCCAGCCCCAACAGCTACTTTTTGATGCGCCGCAGCTTTGACGGCTACATTTCGGCGACGGGCATGTTCAAGGCCACTTTTCCCTACGCGGCTGCCGCGGAGGAGGAGGCCGAGCGTAAATTCATCAAGGCTCAGCCAACCACGAGCCCCGAAGAGACGGCTGGCAACATCTGGATTCCCCCGGAAGCTGCCCTTGCCCTGGCCGAAGAGTACAACATTAGCATCTGGATCCAGGCACTCCTTGATTCCGCAAAGATCTCCACTACCCAGCCGGCTGATGCCTCGCCCAAGACCATTACTGCGCCGCCCAAGTTCGATCGCCTCAAGGCGACACCTACGCAGCTGCTTTCTCCGGCCACTCCGACAACCCGAAGTGGTCGTACCCGTCGTTCAGCCAGCCCAACCAAGAACTCTGCCACCAGACGCACAACTGCAGAACCGCGAAAGCGCAACACCAGATCCAAGGCTGAGGCTGTCGAGACCACACCGACTGCTGAGGTAGCCCCGAGCGAGACCAAGGAGGTCAAGGAGGCCAAGGAGGTCAAGGAGGACAAGGAGGAGACGGAGGAGGCCGTTTTGAAGACGACAGAATTCGAACCCGCCATTGCCTTGGAGCACAGGACCAAGCCTGAGGCTAGCAGCAAGGCAGATGCCTCACCCCTCCCTTTCACGACGGGCCAGCCCCCTTCCGCTGAGGAGATTGCAGACATGATGGCTACTGCCAAGGCCATGGTGCAAAAGGATGAGGAAGAGGCGGAGAAGCCTGATGAGGGTGCCGAGGGAGAGGAGACTCAGAACAAGACCACCTCAAAGAGCAAGCGGAAGGCTACCGACACTGGCGAGGAGGGTGACGAGGCTGCTGAGGGAGACGACAAGACTGAAGAGGCTCCCCGCTCAAAGAAAATCAAGACCGAAGTCGAGGTGCGCAAGGGCAGAATACAGAAGAGGGCCTTGTTTGGCATTGGCGCAACAGTTGCAGTTGGGTATGTTGTCCTTCCCCCCCCCCCCTTCTTTTCCCGGTGTTCCCTTGTGCTGTTGCATATACTGACTGTTTCGCAGAGCACTTGTGCCTTGGCTCGCAAACTTCCTATAAATGATACTAGAGGCTGCAGCCCTGTGTCGTGTTTTGTGTTGCGTAAAATCTGACCTTGAAGGAAAGTAACTGATCTTTTATGGCGGCTGAATGAGGACTGGGATGGCGCGGTTTTTGCTTTTATTATCCTTCTCCTTTGTCTTTCTGTCATTTTTAATCTGTGGTTATCTTTTCTTTTTACAACACAGGGAGGCGACATACCCTCCCAAGCCGAAACATATTTCATGCCCTTTTTTTTCTCTTCTCTCTCTCTCTCTCTCTTGTTTTTTGCGTGTGCGAGATTTTCCTTTTTTCATTGGACATAGCACTTTTTTTTTTACAATTCTCGCTGCAACTCGATACTACCGACGTCATTGTACCGTGGCTGGTACGCGATGGTTTTGCCGCGAGATGATAATCTTTTTTCAAGAAGGAGGAAGAAGGGAAAGAAAGAAAGAAAGAAAGAAAGAAAGAAAGAAAGATTGATGGCTTTTGCCATGTTCTGTCTCGGTGTTGAGTATGACGACGAGTGTTGGATGATGAGTCTTGTCTTTTTGTCCGAGTCTCGTCCATGAAGTGCTGTGGTTCACATGTATGGTGGAGGGGGAAATACCTGGAGTTATGGAGGGAGGGAGGGAGACAGACGATCTGAACTGATGGGCAGTGTAATACAGAATTAAAACGAAATGAGAATCTCACATCAGGTATGGTGGTGTCCGCGTGTGACGAGTCCTGTGTTACTCTGACTGCCCTGAGATACTGGCTGCAGTATGCTGATACAAGTCTTGCAGATAGTGGCCACGTCGCTCATTTATCATGGCCATGACAATCCAGGTAGCTGCCTGTCTAGTTTTACGGGTATACCAGGTGGAGGATACCGTTCTGTAAGTTCACCGATGAGCACCGACCTCATCCCTACCACTCGTTTACACTCACAAAGCCACATGAGCCTCGAAAGGGCTTACTTGTAGACTCTACGGAGCAATGCTTATTCCATATGCAATCCGCAAACTCAATAAACAGATGCATATATATATAGTATAAATGCCTATCTATCTTTCAATGTACCATTTTATAACCTCTTATCATCCATGCTGCTCGGCAACACTTGAGAACACGACTTCCTACTTCTTAGTATTTACACCTGTCCAAACGGCTGTATCTCCTCCGGTGTCGCCTCGATACTTACCGTCGACTTCCGAGTAAGCGGCTGTATCACTCATCAGCCCAAGTACCACCCTAGTACAATTTCCCCCCCGGAATGGCTGGCACCGGCAATGTGCGGCTTTCGCGGGGAATGATCCACCCCCACACGTCCTAGGTCGGATCTCCTCGGCCATTGAGCTTTACCCTGCATCTCGGCCATAGCAGCCTCTCTCACGCGTTTTTTATTTTTATTTTTATTTTTTCTTCTCCTTTTCCGTTCCTTTTCTTTGTAGATATCCACGGAGATTGTTTCCAATCGCCCAATATGAGAGTCGCGGCTACACGTCTAGGAAGCTTAGTGCAGAGGAGGGGATTTGCGAGCACACCGAGGCGGCTCGACAACTATGCTTTCATCGGTCTCGGCCAGATGGTGAGATTCATGCTTCTCAGCGTTTTGTAATCGTTTCATGTGAAATGGCTATACCTAACACTTGTGTCTACTAGGGCTACCAAATGGCCAGGAACCTTCAGTCCAAGCTCAAACCCACAGACAAGGTTTCCATCTTTGACGTCAACACCTCAGCCATGGAGGGTCTCTCGGCAGAGATGAAGGCTGCGTCATCGGGAGCTGCTGTTGAGCTTGCGGCGAGTGCGCATGATGCGTCAAAGGGAGCTGTAAGTCTTGACTGATGACTGCTGGTGCTTTTTATTGCTATGTGTTCTGCCATTGATGTTGAGGGGGTCATCTTTACTGTTTCGGCTATGATCGGGTTTGAGCTATGGTAGGGTGGAAGAGCACATAGCTGTCAGGAATCCCCTGATTGTTACGATCGAAGGGCTGAATCCTGTGAAACAATGCCCTAGCTCTCTGCCATTGCTTACACCTCGATACTTATTTCTTTCTTTTACTGAAATTATAAGTTCGGACCTGGCAGGCATATGCTGACATGAATTGACAAACAGGACACTGTCGTCACTTGCCTGCCAGAGCCACAACATGTCCGAGGCGTCTACGAATCCATCCTCACAGACTCGCTCCCTAAGAAGGATCGAATCTTCATCGACTGCTCCACAATCGACCCAACAACATCACGGCAAGTGGCCAAATCCGTCTCAGAGGCCGGCCAGGGCACATTTGTCGATGCGCCCATGTCTGGCGGCGTTGTCGGTGCCACAGCAGGCACTTTGACGTTTATGCTGGGCGCGGATTCAAGCGTCGTCCCTCGAGTCGAGCCCACGCTGTTCCTCATGGGCCGCAAGGTGTTGCACTGTGGCGACCAAGGTGCCGGCCTATCTGCCAAGCTGGCCAACAACTACCTCCTAGCCCTCAACAACATTGCAACGGCTGAGGCTATGAACCTGGGCATTCGATGTGGTCTAGATCCCAAGACGCTTGCCAACGTGCTGAATGTGAGCACGGGCAAATGCTGGCCCAGCGAGATCAACAACCCTGTCAAGGGCGTTATCGAGACTGCACCTGCCAGCCGTGATTACCGCGGCGGATTTGGTATATCACTCATGAGAAAGGATCTTCGTTTGGCTCTGGTGGCTGCTGAATCGGCACAAGCTAAGACGGAGCTGGGAACACTGGCGTTTAACATGTATGACAAGGCGGCGCAGCGTGAGGATTGCAAGGACCGCGACTTTTCGGTCGTGTATAGATATCTTGGAGGAAAGGAAGAGTAGAAGAGAAGAAAATAGAAAACTAATTTCTGGTTTAGGATGGCTGCCTATCTTGATAATGCTGTGGTTGATAATGACGGGACTGATACGGAGTACATGAGTTACGCTGTCTAAGGGATGACAGATCATGAAATTTCCAAGCATAAATGATAAGGATAATTTGTCATTTTCGAGCCCACATCGGATCCAATTGCTTCACTTTATCGGTCGGATAGATGGCCCGGTCGGAGCTGTCAGTCGTAGGGCTGCGTGAAGACGCAATTGCATCTTTCACCGGCATGTGAGAGCAACCTGCATTTGGATATACGAGTTCCTAATTTGTTGTGGCTCTGTAGATTCTCGCCAAGCGTACGGAGTAGTATTGACGCCATAAACAGTCACAAACTGCGCCATGTTGAACCGCACGCGCTTACACGACAACGTGGACTGACCATCAGCAAATGAAGTAGCAAACCGACCATTATTAAGCCGATGTTGTTGCGTGTTTCAATCGTATTCCAGAGTAAATTATTACTCGTGTCCAGTCGTGAGTACGCGTATAAGTGAGTCGTGGCTCAGCCATAGTCATTGCTCAAACTGCCATAGGTGGACTCTTGAATTACGCCGAACCCGAATTCCTGCGGACTTGGTCCCGCCCACGCGGCTTTACCACCTGGTTTTGTTCGAAACACGCGTATTCCTGCTCTTCTCTTTGGCCGTTTGCGGCCTGTGGATTCGCTGGGCAGCGGGTGGCGTCTTTGTTCGTTTCGTCTGGAGCGGGTGGCTGCGTGAAAGAGTTTGGCGCGGGCTCGAAACTTGGTTGTTTGTGTGCTTATTCCGCGCATTTGAGCCCGTTCAAGATGCTGACAGGAACAAGAATGGGAGCCATCCTTCATCCTTACGAGGAGATTAGCATCTTCATGCTCCAACTCCATATCTGGCGGGATCAGGGCACATCTGCAGGCCCGGAGTTGGGGGATGAGCCAATCTGATGGCTATCTTGGCGCTGCACTCAGTACGTGTACAAGATACGATACGATACGGCAGGGGGAAAGCCTCCAACCAGCGACATTTTTCCTGAATAAGGTTGCGCAGCCGCTGCTCGAATGAGGCAAACGCTGCCATGTGGGCGGGCCTGGTAAACGAAGAACGATACGAAAGAAAAGGGCCGGGGGGAGAGCAGGGGGGGTGGAACAGGCGAACCGGCGAATTGCACGGCTTCGCTCGTCACCTTCTTGCTGGACTTTCTTTCTTCCCGCGCTCTAGCGCCAGAGAGAGGCTGACAGGATTGTAGAATTCAGGACCGGAAGGATGCCAAGGATGGGCGTTAGTGGATGGGGTTCGCTGGTTGGGATTTCGGGTTTTTCTCAAACTCCATGTTTGATGTGCGAGTTGCATAATCCGTAAATATTGCTTTGGAGCCCAGTTTCCCCCCCCATCTTCCCCTTCTCTTTCTCTTCTCTAACCTTGCTGTTTGGGGATCTTGTCGCCGGCTGGTTGTTTATCAATCTTGCGGCCTCTGTCAACATCGCCAGATCCTCTACGGTTCAGAAGACTAAACGGCCAGAGAAACCGACGCTTCCGGATTCCGAAACCCGACGACAAAGATCCAATCATAGGGGGGAAGCAAAAGAAGTCCAGGCAGGACAGTGAAAAATAAGGTTACTAATCAAATACCCTCATCTCCACGAGGCCTTGATAGAGAGGAGTAGAGGCGACAATCGAATCGCACACAATGGCGCGAGACTGTTTGGAGATTTCGCCCCTTTGCCCGGTCGAGGCTACGGTGCTGGGCTACTATCCTAATCTTGGATCCGGCATCTTCTTCGCCATCGTCTTTGGTATCTTGACGGTGGCTTCTCTCGTTTTGGGAATATGGAAAAAGACATATACGTATGCCATCGGCCTTTCCATCGGTCTTCTCTTGGAAATGCTTGGTATGTATTATCACCACATCTCACACTCATACATCTTCAATGAACTAGTCTTTTCATTCACATCTTTTACATCTTCCCCCTTTAAATCTTATATAAGTCATCTCACTTACACATCTCTCACAGGCTACATTGGTCGCATCCAGCTTCACTCTAACCCCTGGAACAGCGGCGCCTTCCAGCTCCAGATCTGCGCCATCATCCTCGCGCCCACCTTCATCTGCGTCTCCATCTATCTCACTCTCAAGCACATCGCCATCAACCTCAACCCCTCCATCTCCCGCATCAAGCCCCGCTGGTACCCAATCATCTTCCTCCCCGCCGATCTCAGCTGCCTCATCGTCCAGGCCATCGGAGGTGGCATCGCTGCTGCCGGTGGCAAGACCAACCTCAAGCTTCAGGAGAGCGGTAACCGCGCCATCATTGCTGGTGTTGCGCTGCAGGTCGCTGTGCTCATCGTCTTTGGCGCCCTCAGCGTCGACTACTATGTCCGGGTGAGGAAGTACATGACTCTTCCTGAGGCTCAGGGCACAGATGGCTGGAAGCTGTGGCACGACTCCAACTTCAAGAAGTTCCGCTATGCCATCTCTGGTGCCTTCATCGTCATCCTGATCCGATGCATCTACCGGTATGTCACCCCCTTTTCTCGTCACTTATAACCAGAACACAGAATACTAACAAACTACTTCACAGTATCGCTGAAATGGCTGGCGGCTGGGGCAACAAAATCATGCAGGACCAGGCTAGCTTCCTCGTCCTCGACAGCTCCCTCATCTTCGTCGCCAGTTTCCTCCTCACCTTCTACCACCCCGGAATCTACTTCCCCCAGATGCGCCGTGACGTCCAGAAGGCCGCCCAGCCCACCGAGGAGATTAAGCTGGAGCAGCCCGGCTCATCCAGCGAGGGTATCAAGGTGGACGCCTAAATGCAGGTTATGCTTTGAAAAGGAGGACGTGATGATGGTGACGATGATGATTTTGGTGGCCTTTTCAAAAAAAGGCAAAAAGATTTTGACACGTCTTTATAAAATTGCTTGTTGTTGCATCTTGGTTTAGATTTGGCGTTTTGTTATCTTTCTTCACTTTGGTTTTATGAAGACAACAGAAGGATTCCATTGATTCGATGCGGGATGTCCATCGTCGTGGCAAGCAAGAAAATATCATAGATTCCCCGCCTTTGGTAGAAGCAGCATTCTTTCTCTCTCTTTCTTTTAATGGAAATGGATTCAACGTTGGGGATAGTAAAAGAATCCCCTCTCAACATTGAGCTCTAATATTCATATATGTGCATATCAAATCATCAGTATCATGACTTGACTAGTCTATCCGTCTCTCCGTCGTCATCGCTGTCTTCTTCCTCTTCCTCTTCATCGTCATCCTCGTCATCACCCTCTTCTTCCTCGCTTTCTTCCTCTTCACTCTCCTCCTCCTCCTCCTCCTCCTCTTCTTCCTCCTCCTCCTCCTCCTCAGCCAGCCAGTCATCCAACGTCTTCGTCCTCAGACTCTCTCCAACACCATTCGACTTGCTAACTGGTGCCGATCTAACAATCTCGTCAAGCTTATCAGCCGCCGATATCGTGGGTCTATCACTGTCATAGCGGGCTGTCGTAGCATCCTTTTCCGATTCGCGTAAACGGGGATCAGGCTCCTTGCCGGGCTCGACCCAATCAGGTAGCGTCTCGTAACCCCTGAGGCCGTGCAGACCACCGCCTCCAGCCAAGACAAGAGTCGAGGAGCCCAACAGGAACCCCTTTCTCGATTCCGACGGGCTTGGAGCCTGAGGAGCCGGCTTTGGTGCAAGCAGCATCAAGGTAGCAAGTTGCGGCACAGAGAGCACAGCACGATACATGCGGGCCCGGTCTCGCAAATCAAAAGAGACATCGTATCTCACAAGAAGTAGGACGTAGTCCCATAGTCTTTCGATAGGGTGCTTCTCTAACTCCTGGGGAGGATCATCCTCTCCTACTCTATTCTTTTCTGCCTCGCTCTGGCGGTTCAGGTGGTGGAGATAGACTTTGGCGCCGAGCAGTAATATCTGACGCTTTGCAGCCTCCGATTCACTAGCAAAATCCTTGAGGAGAATGCGAAAGACGTCTGGGGCGATGTTGTCTTCCCCATTCAGGCCGGAAAACTCGCCAACCAGCCAGATGATTGTTGCTCTTGCTTGAGGGTCAGTTGCTGAGTCAAGGTTTTTCGCCAGGCGCACTACCGTTCCCGCATGTGCGTCTGCATCTTGCTGGATGAGGTGTCGAATGACGGTCAATGACTCGGCAGCTAAAGTTCCATCTAAGCTGGTGATCTGGCTCAGAAGCAATTTGAGACACCTGGGGGCTGTGGCAGCATCTGCCTGGGCGCAGCGTCCAATAGCTCTGACTGCTTCGCGTACAAGGGCCTTATTAGATCCTTGCGAAAAGTGTTCCAGTTCCTTCAGAATGAGACTCTTGACATGGATGGGACTGTGGGGGAAGATGAGCGCCAGCACTTCAAGCTTTAGTTCCCATATCGGCGCGCTGTCTGTCGATCTGACCAAAAAGTGGCTTGCATACTTGACAAAGTCAAGTGGGCGCACAAGACAAACAGAAACGATGTTGTACAATGCAATTTGCTGTATGTCCTGAGCCCCTCTCAAGAGGGCGACCAATGGGCCAATTGCATGCTTTACGTATTCCGGAGTGCCAACGTCTATGTAGCACCTTGTGACGGCAACGACAACACCTGAGTTTCGACTCTGCAGAAGAGGTCTGATGCCATTCAACAGTAGGGCCAGATCAGGGTCTAGCAATGTCGAGTGTGTGGCGGGCTTGGGTGAGCTTGATTCCCCATAAAAGTCATCGATCGTGCCTTGGGTCTGCGTTGGAGGAGCTTCGGATGTGGTAGCTGGCTGAGCCCGTCGGGGGAAGCATTTTCGTGCATAGTATGTCATGAGCTTGAGCGTAGCAAGCTGACTCCATTCATCCATGTCAACAATCTTCTTGACCAAGCCACGATAATGCTTGTGTATCATGTCGATCCTTTCGGGGCAAATCTCCAAAAAGGCCGAGACTGCGGCGCCAGCAACGTAATACTGCTTATCACCTAGCAGCGTTGCCAAATATTCCAACAGTTGGGGAGACTGGCTCGGGTCCAACCGATAGCATTTCGGGATCGAAAGAGCAGCGGCTTTGCGCACCAGGGGGCTCATGTCGGCGACGCCTTTCTTGATGGCAAGCGACACAATCTGGCTGATGACGGGCACGCGGATGCCGGACATGGTTTTCAGTGCGAGGGCTCGGACTTGAGGGTTTGTATCGGAGAGCGACTTTTGGATTGTGTTGATGGAGAGCAGGGCGAGATCGGGCTCTTGCTCGGCATGGTGGATGAGGTAGATGTAGACGAGCTTCTTGATTTCGAGATTGGGCGAGGCGACGTTTTTGACGACGGATGAAAAGAAGGGTAAGGTTTTGTGGTTACGGTACATCATCTGTAGTGACAGCCGCAGGTTAGTTTCAATCTGGATTGGTAGGATAATCGCAAGGCAAGGCAAAGCCAGACAAGGCAAAACGCACTGCTATGACACGCCGCAGTCCCTCCAACACCTCCCTCTCGTTGCGGCTGTCGAGCAGCTTCCGCATCTGGTTGCGGTCGAGCAGCTTGGAGCTCGTGCGGACGCCGCGCGTGGCCTGGGCGGCATCGAGGGTGAGTTCTCTCGCTGGGAATCGAACAGAGCTGGTCAGCTTCAAGTCAAATAGTGCGTACGCGGGGCTTTTGGAGGATGCTCACCAGCCTCCAGGAGGCCAGAGATTCGTGATATTGACTCCATTGTCTCTGGCCGTGGTTGGACGAGGCGAAATGGCCCTTGGCAGCGGTTGTTGAAGCCGGAATGGGGCTCGTGGCTGGTCGCGTGGGGGTTGGGAGGAAGAAGGTTGGAGGATTTGGTTAGTTGGAAGAGATGACGTGCGGCTTGGTGGTGAGGCAGCTCCCTGGCCAGTTGCGGTTTAGTGCGGCAGCTCACTAAAGCGGCAGTTTTCCATTATTGAATGGACGAGATGCACGCCATTGTCTCTCGAATTGAATCATGAATCAATTATCTACTAATGAATTATTTCATAAGGATAAAAATTGAAAAAAGAACCGAGATTAATTACTGCTATCGTCACTCATCGCACCCAAATGCTTACACAACCACTACTTACTGCAGTAGCAGAGCTAAAAGAAACACCAAAACGCCCTCTCTCTCTTAGCACAGACACTCGACGAAATCACTTACATGACAACTCACCTTACTGCAAACAAAAGCACCAGCCATGCCGCCATCTCCCAATCCCATTATCCTCTCACCATCCACTCCCTCTGAACTCCTCCAGTACATCATCTCTCATCACAGATACCCAACCACAGTCCTCATCGGATGGCCCAAGCAGACATTCATCGAAGGCCTCGTCGAGGACGTCACACTGCACCTCTCCCTGCAGCAAAACCAACCGTCATCAACATCAGCAGCAGCAGCAGCCGAGAATACCGAAAAAGATAGAACAGAAACAGAGCCTACAAACAATTCAACATCCAAGCTTCACCCCCTCCAACGCAAAACCCTTCTGCAAACCGCCGTCTCTCGCCACATCCGCCTCTTATTCATCCCCAGCAGCACCCATCTCCGCGCATACCTCGGCACCTTTTCCGCCTTAGAATCCAAAATCCCGCCTCCAATTCTACTAGACTTGGACGAATCCGACCCGCGATGCAAATCAGAGACTCCCCTGCTGCTCGTTTACGGGTTCCTGGAGCTTCATCGCGACGGCATCGAGTGGTCTGCCCAGGGCATCGGGACCTCAGCTGCGTATCTCGTCGAAGCGGCGGCAAGGAATTCTTTCAGGGCTGCCGTGATCGAACCTAGGGGATCAAAAGGGCTTCAACTTTTGGATGAATTTTTGGATGAAAAGGTGCCCATCTTGAGTGGCACAACCATCAAGCATGATGGAACGTGGAGTGGACGGACTGTTCCCATTAGAGGAGTACTCAGTCGATGGTTCGAATTTGAACAACAAGTTGAGAAATGAGGATTCAAAAAGTTCATATACATGTTCTTTAAAATAAAAATAAAAGACATTTCAATAACGCTTATTACCCACCCAGATCCATGGTCATCATTCATGCCACATTGAAACAAGATCATGACAAGCCCCCAATCTCAACGCCAATCCGTGGTATCTCCGTCATTATATACGCCCGTGATCCTTTTTAATACCATTGCCACATTCCGACATATACATATACAACCCAGCAAACCCGGTAAAAATGTAGAATTTCCCAGCCCGATAGTCTAGCCGATTGTTTGCTCCATCTCGGTAATGTAAAGTTTGATGTGAGCCTCCATTTTGAGGTACTCATCATACGCCGAATGAACTTCATTCTCGATGTTTTCTTTCAGATCAAGCATCTGTCCGCTGTTAGTATTCCACCGTAACTGACACCAATAGATGCTGTATGCATACCTTCTTCTCCGTCTGCTCGATCCTCACTCGTCGGATTTCCATCTCCTTGCCCTTGTCAGTGAGCTCCTCCGTAAGCCTCTTGTGTGTTGCCCGCAACTCGTGCATCTTCTCCTTGGCATCTTGCGCCTTTTGGTTGCTCTGCTCTCGCAGTTTCTCCGTCCGCTCAGTCCATTTGGCCAGTTGTCGTTTCAGCATTTGCTCTGCTCTCTCCACCTCGCGAGCATTGTTTCCTCTTTCTGACAGTGCCTCACGCTGCTTTGTGTTCTTGGCCATTTCTTCGTCCTCTCTCGCCATCTCCATCGCAATCTCTTCCAAGACTTTGATGCAGGATGCCACGTCTGTTGCCACGACAGCAAACGAGTCCGCCGATGTTTGGAGTGCTCGAGCACGTCGGTCCAGCGCATCAATGCGGGTTTTATCGTTGTTTAGAATGTCTCGGAGCTCCGTCAGATTCTCTTGGAGAGCCAATGGGCTTTGAAGCACATACGGCCGCAGCTTAGCGCTCTCTTGCTTCAGCGTGATCTTTTCTTGTGTCCTTTGCTCCAGTAAAGTTGTGAATTCTCCCTTCTTTTGTTTTGCCTCCTCCAATCGTGCCGCAACCTTCTCTTGGTTTCGCCGGAGCTCCAGTAGGCGCCTCTTCAGCTCTTCGTTTCGCATCGTCTTCTCCCGCACCTGCGCTTCCATAGCCTGCCGGTTGTTCTTCATGTCCTCCAGTCGAGACTCGTTGTCCTGGTTTTCTTGATACAGGGTCTCTATCCTCGTCTTTGTCGATTCAGCTTTGTTATAGTGCTCGTCAATGACGCTCGTCTGTGATTCTCGAAACCGGACAAAGTTGATCAGGTAGCTGAAGATCTTGACTAGGCGTTCGTACGACGGCTTGTACAGGTCATTGAAGCTAAAGTCATGGATGCCACATTCCACCAACAGCCGTCGCAGCGATACATAGAAGCCCATCAGATTGCGCGTATCTGGCGAAATGACGTCGGCATACTCGCCGCAAATGTCCTCTGCTGCAGCGCGCATCGCCGGCTCGACCGTCTCGCGCGTCGCATTCAGAAGCAGCTCGGCGAACCACTCAAAGATTTGCTGGACATGGGCGGGGTTGGGCTTCTGCAGGTCGGCGATGGTGAAGTTGATGCCAATATCGGTGATGCATCCCACAATCTCGCGGTCCGGCAGCCGCATAAACGCGTCGGCCTCTTCCTCCTTTTTCCTCGACCGCGACTGCTGCTGCGAGGCCGGGATGATGCTCATTCGAGGATTGAATGCCATTTTGCGCCGTCGATTTGCTGGTCGTGGAAACGCAATGCCGATGCGAAAATGATTCGTTGTCGTGGGGTATTGACTGCATGTAAATAATATGCACAAGGTTGCTGCAGAAACTCTATGGCCAATCACGTGATGCACTTACCCTACACAGCTACAGGATGTCAAGTATATCAACAAAGAACAACAACAGACAGACCTTGTTACGACAATAGGTGTGATTTGCATAAATAAATTCATTTCATCGCATATATTTCATTATTTCTTGCCTGATATCAATTGCTCATAACAGCAATCGAATTCGGTGGGGCAGACTAACGTGGAAGTGAACATCAACAAATGTTTGTATATCCCACATTGTTATTGTGCTGTAGTGACATTGACAAAGGTCGATGACTTTGGTCTCTTGCGCGTATATTGATTCAAATTTTGTTTCTTTAAAATAAATTCCACTTATTATCTAGACAGACAGAATAATTCTCAACTCCTCGGCTCTAAGCTGCAGGCACTCTCACCGCCACCGATAGTGATCGACTCTCCCGTATGCGGATGAGTGCATTTTCACCGCCGTCCACAAGCATCCTGCCGCCCCAAGTCGAGTGAATATATTCCGAGGCAGCAAGAGACTCATGCCTGTTGGACACCTTGAATGTTTAAATAGGCAAACGATCAAAGTGAATGATGATACTCTGGCAAAGGCTGCGTGACAGGCTCCAGTAAACGCGGACTTCTACATCAACATACACGTCAACATGAGCTCGATGCCATCCAGCTACCCAATATTTAATGACATCCCTTTCCCCTACTCCAATTCCCTATTTTTCGGATCTTCTTTTGTTCATCTTCTCATGGCGATACTCGCCATGTTTTCCCCTGCTTCTCTCTGAGTACCCCTTTGCTCTCTCGGTATCATACAATGCTTTACACATCACACACGCTGGAAGATGGACCCCGAGAGCAAATCAGGCCACTTTTACATGTACAAATAGTGTCATGCTTACGAATTTCGTCTCAAAAAGGAGCAGGTAAACAGCAAGACGTGCCTGCTGCTGATAGGAGATTCTTTGACACCAAATTAACAAAGCTATCCACAGTCTATTCAACTTATTCTCACCAACTTGTGGCCAAGAGGTTTGTTTCATCCCCAACTCACTTCTATTGGATAATATGAACACCATGGTGGTTGAATTCCATCGTTTCCTTTCACACTTCTCATCTTGTTAAGTGACAACATTTGTTCAAGGTTAAGCAACAATCCAATAACGCATTCTACTCAATAGAACGTTTCGTTCCGCCTTATCCATGCAGATAGTACTCAAGATCATTTGGCAGCAATAAGTTGCTTACAGTCGAGTCGGTACACCCTTGCGCAAACAGTGAGTTTCATAAGTATGGCAGCAGGACCTGGGTTACTAACATTTATTTGGATGGAGAGACCTATCCATAACAGGAAATTTTCTCCAACGAGCTCCTCGCTCAGATAGACATGAGGAATGATCTTTGTTGCAGAGCATTTTGTCTCGTATATGACTGTCTCAAGTCCGGCGATGCATATTATGAAGCGTCATACAATCATCTACCTGGAAGCATTATTATACAGGATCCACTACACACAGGAAATCAGAGAGTGTGCAGTTCTACGCATTTCAATGTACTAGTCAGAGAGGAACTACACAGGTCAGTCTATCACAACTTTAGAGGAGCAAGGTATAGTGTAGACAGTGCAGGTATATCCCTAACAACTTCACCACAGAGTCTCCAAAAACAGGTTTACGAAACGAAAATTTCGAATCTCGAGAGAATACTCCTGGAAACAATGAATTTTCTGATTGCCGTTCGCCTTCCTCTGGATAGGGGCTACTTCCTCCAAGACGCTTCAAGCTCATCAAATCAACGCTGTTGAAACAGACGCCGCGAAACTATCCAAGCAGGTCTCTTGCCCATAAGAAATTATGAAGTTGAACTCGAGCTTGAGCACGATGGAGCCTCTATGATACTGATAACGTTGTGGATGGGGAACATATATGTGACAGTCACACTAAACAGTCAACACTAGAGGGCTGAAGAGCTAGACCGATGGTTAACATTACGGTACTTCTTTTCGCCACATTTCCAACATGCCCCGTCGGAGAGAGTTCTTGAGATTGGCAGGGTACCCTATCCAACCAGGTTTCGACGGGCATTCCTTAATGAGGATCACAGTACAACATTGGTAGATTGCGCTGATGAAGACCTCACCCTTGACATTCAAGTGAAGGCGCTATTGGACTAATCGGCATTAACCATTGATCACGGAGTTAGAAATTCTTCTGCCTTCACATATCGTGCTACAGATTTCCTCACAATACGATCATAAACATGGCATCCTGCATCATTGCAGCCGAGCCGCCTTGAATTTGCCAAAATTGGAACAGATGCGCGAGCTGCGCAATTTGAAGCCCGAAACGAATAGCTATAACGGATCAACGGTCCTAAAATAACGATTCACTTATGCTTCACTTACGATTCTCTCAAGATTCACAGAAGATGATTTGTGTCAATAGACGTTCTCTCAAGGAATCCTCCAAAATCAGTAGATTTGGCATGACGGGCTCCGATGAGTCTACCAATTGGAGGATTATTACACCATCACCACGGACATGAGAAGAAAATCTGGCTGCGAGCTCGAAACTGGACAAACCTTCGATATACTTACGGAGAAATATGATGCATGGGAAAGATGGCAGTCCTGAGATGGATCGGATGATCCTGAAGAGTGTGGTGATGTTATAGACCTCGCCCATTACTGAGCGAACTGAACAGTGGACAACCCCAGACTGGCAGCAATAAAGCCTGAATATATATTTTATATCTGTGAGAATCGCATTTGAGGGCCTGATAAGATGAAAGTATAACCAATATCGATCTTCATCAATTCATTCAAATTCAGTTCGGAATGCGGTCACTGTGGGTTTATAAAATTCACTAGCGCCGAAATAAAATATCAACAGCTCTTTGCCCGCTTGGCTAAGCGGTATAGCGTGTCACTAGTAAATACTTGACATGACAAGGTGATCAGTTCGACTCTGATAGTGGGCATTTCTTTTTGCAATTTCTGTCGAATTTACTTTTGGATCAATGAGATTGTCCAATTTCTTTCTTTCTTTCTTTCTTTCTTTTTTTTTTTATAAAGAATTCTATGGTAACTTGCAGCGAAAGCGTTGCATGACTAGGTACGCGGAAGTGGGTTCTGTGCTTTTGTTGTTTAGCAACTGATGATTTCGTCTATAGGGAACCGTTAATTATCATGTTGTATAACTCGACGTATCCGATAGTTGCTCGCACAATTATTAAAGCGAGATGGATTTAGGTATTAACTAGATTGAAAAAACCAAGTGACCTTCTGCTGATGAAACCTTTGACTCGCGGCCGTTCCGTGAGTCTAATTGTTATGCGGCAAGAAATCCACCCATGACGGATCATCAAAAACTCTGGGATCCATATATGAAACAATTCAATACAGCACCCAACAATTAGAAAAATCGTAAAAACAAAAGTAATAATTCACTCATAGCAAGGTCCCAAATCTTATCAGTAGGCAGCTGTATCTGCAGATATCTCGCGCTCTCCTTCTGGCTGGCATCGAGCTATTGGCCAGGTCGTCGACAGACAGGATCTGAGAGCGCGGCGAGCCTGGGACAAAGTCTCGCTGGAATTGTCACATCGCGACAGCGAAGCCGCCCATTACGGCGCACAAGCTATGAGTTTCTGTCTACCTATTCGTATAGCCTTTTGGAAGCCTTGGCGACTTTGTTGACCTTGGGATCATTAGGGTCTTTTGTTCTCTGTGTGATCTTCGACATCTGTGGCCTCGACATCTGTGGGTTTTTTTTTGAAGTCCGTGGGGTCCTTAGCGTATATGGTGCTATCAGACTCCTCCTTGACGGACTTGGTCTTATATAACTATGGTAGGACGACATTAGTATCCAAGCCAAGCGGTGTTGAGGAGAATATGTGTTGCCTTGATCATCATCTTGCCTTCATCTCCATAGACACTCATTTCTATCGACTATGGAGGAGAGGATCTGAGAAGGTTGCGAATAGATTCTATGGTTTCAGAACCCCATCGACGTAGCGATCTTGGGATTCGACGGATAAATGCCCAAATGTCGGTCAGCAGCGATTTTGTTGTCTGCCACGTCGTTGGTGGGGTAGGCTGTTCGAAAGCTTTTCTCATGGTCTTGAGCAACATTTCAGAAGATCTGTATTGAATTCACGCAGTGACAATAGCCTAGAACAGCCCTTGGTTGGTTTCGAAGGCAGCTATCCATATGCGGATGGTCCGTTTGGGCGACGTACCATTTCCGAGGCGAGGAGGCCAACAAGTATCCAGCGGAGCTTCCTCCATTTCTGTTCTTTTAGTTTTTCAGGGACTGGGATGTTGAGATGAACGGCTGTCCAAGTACAAAGCAGAAGCGTGGCAAGGCATGTAGACAGGATATCCCATGTTCCGCGAAATTCAGGTTGGCTCTGCCAAGAAGTTGTCGCATTCCTAGAATCTTCAAATAAGGTGGTACTTCCTGCTATCTAGAAATTACTTCAATTGAGTGAATGATGATGATTAAAGCTAGAAGAGTAGAATAATCCTAATTTGGAAATAAAATACCTTCCTTTTCAAGAGATTAAGTCATAAACTACGCGCGTCTATCGTATAGGGACCCGGTTCGTTACTCTGATGGCTACTATGGCTTTACAGAGTTCTACCCCCTCTACAGATAAAAATATTTATGGATCAACTTATTGTAGATAAGATGAATAGGGATATGCAAGGGAAAGAGATAAACTTGGAGAATTTTTCTATAGTAGAAAGTATAGCCCTAATAGCAAGACTCCTGCTATGAAATAAAGCAGTTACAAGCTAAGCTTAGTAATACCACAGATCATAGTCGCATCTGCTTCGATCCCGGTCCAAGCTTCTTCGAATCCGCTCTTCCTCTGTTGGTGGATAAGTCAAGACATAGTGAAAATAAAACACCCATGAATAAGTCGTCTTCCACCAACCATCTTCCATCTCCGCAATCCACTCCTCAGTGCTCGCCCACTGCCTCTCGTGTTGAAGGACCCTATCCGTAAGAATGTGGCTCCAAGCAGAATAGAGCTCGTTTCGGCATTGCTTAGTGTTGCATCGGTGGGATTTCAAGCCCCGCGAGATTTGAGACCATGATTCTTCGACACCTGCCTTGCGTAGGCCACTCTTGTACTCCTCTTCAGTAATGCTTCGTGTCATGTTATTCAGAACGGACACAACTTTGACATAGCCCTCATCCGAGACGTTGTTGTATTTGTTGAGCCCGCTGTGGTCGTAATCGAGAGAATGGTTCTCTGTATTGGTGCCATTAAAAGTTGCTGATGTTCTTGGAACAATCTATTCAACGTTAGCTATTATAGGCTTGTCTAAAAGGGCAAGATTTATTACCATCCTAGTCGGGGAAAATCGGCCTAGAGGCTTAAAAATGACCTGCCTTCGAGTCTCGAAGAAGTTCACTTTCTTCACATGCGCATAGTTCTTCATAAAATCCTCATGGAGCTTGGCTAAATCCTTCGAGTCTCGAGCCAGTGGCACGAATATGTCCGGGTTGGATCCAATGGAGGAAAGAAATTTTGCAAACTGATAAGTATACCACGAGTCCTCCGTGCCAGCATGAGGAACCCCGAGAAAAATGGTTCCCCATATGGGTTGAAGTGGGTTGCTGTTGGTTTCGTTGGCCTTGATGGATGCTAGTCGTAGCGCCTAAGTCCTTTCATTGAGTGATTGCTTCCGCGATGGCATATGTCAGTTTCTCACCTCTTTGACAACGAGACCCCCATAGGAGTGGCAGACAAAGATGATTGGGTAATCATTCTGCTGCTAATCACGTATGAGTGAGCTGATTATTCCAAGAAGATTCCTCGAGGATCTTGTTATTAGGCTGTTACCTACCCCCTCGGTATCGTTAGCTCTCCAGTGTTCTATTGAGAACAATAGCTCGCCGCCAATAGTTTCGAGGGACTTTTGAGGCGCATCGTGATACGTTGTAGAATCATAATTGAACCACAGAAGGCGCGCGTCGGGGACATCCGCTGGCAGAAGATCTCGAATCCAGTGAACCCCTTCAGGATATTTCGTTTTCTTCCCGGGAAACGGCTTATGCCAAGTAGAGTCTGGAAAGGATCCAAGTCCATGAACAAATATCACGCTAGAGATTTGGCCTATCAGAACATCTCCCTTACCGATACTTTAGGTGGCTGGATGTGGATAGAAGCATTGTCACACTTACTCAGCGACCGGTTTGAGTGGCGTCTTCGTCTCAACTGGCAATAGGCCATTTCGTAGATGAGGAGTCATCTCCGATCGAGAAGGAACGGCGATGGGTAAAACGAAAAAGTAGCCGCCGAAGAACAAGAAAGGAGTAATAAAAATAATTCTCCATGCCCACTTTCGCAGGCGACCTCCGCTTGGAGATGATTTTTGGTCGTTCATCGGGCCACCAGTCAGACCCGTTTGTAGGAAGAGTGAGGGAAGCAGTAGGATCACCGAGGGGCACCGTAGATAGTCAGGTAGAGGAAGGATAGGAGAAGAGCAGTGCAGAGCCTAGCCGCTGCCGTACGTATGAGATTAGACGCTTGGAGGAGGAAAGGAAAGAAAAAGTACGTGGAGGAAAGGAAAAATCCAGCAGAGCCCTGTTGGGAAGCTATAATTACCACATTGTGGAATACCCCTGTCTCAATATTCATTGAATGAGTGACTCTGCCGCCTCCCAGGGGCATCATGCCTTGAGCAGTCGGAACATGCCAGCCAATCATTCCCCGGTGGCGCTGATCATTTGAGGCTGAAGCCCGGCTCAGACCGCAAGGCAGATTGCGGGTTCAGCCGCCTTCGCCTGCGAGCCGCAGTCACAGCAAAGCCTTCGGTATAAATGCCACACCGCCAAGTTTCATTAGAAATATCTAGAACATCCTTTAGGCACCGCCCCTCTCGTGGAAAATTCATTCCGTGAGTTCTAGGCCAGAAGAGTTTTAGATATCTTGTCTCCGCCATGAACATAGCCCACTCGCGAAGTAGCATCGAGCAGCCTTCAACTTCAGCTGAGCAACAGCAGGCAACTTTAGACCTTACTGGAGTGCGCCCGCCCGACAATCTTGTTAATCAAGCCGTTTGCATCAAAACATTGACAGGGTATGCAATAGGGTGAGTAAGCATCCGCCATCTCGCTCACCGGTCCGCAGTCGGGGCAGGGGTAAATAATCTCTAGCCATTCAGCACCGAACTTAAACTCTGATGGAGAAAAGATTCGATCGTACATCCAGTCCGAGCTACAAGCTTCAGTCCTTGACCAACTCGCCCCTCACTTGTGGTTGTTTTCCAGGAAGTCAGGCTCCCACATTAACGCCTTACACCAGCTATTTAGCAAAACTAGGAAAGTCGTGATAATAGAGGACCCTGGACTCCACCTAGTGTGGCACGAAGATGTCTTTTATGTCAAACCAATCCCCAATTGGCTGCTCTGCAGCGCTGTCTGGGATCAGCAATTGATTGGATTGTCAACCGTACCAAGTTCTCCGTCTCCAGCATCAATCTCACTAGCACATTGTTCGGATCTGACTAAATCCGCCATTGGCTTCTTGCGTTCCTATTCCTGGCTGATTCGACACCCCTCGGACTTCGCCCTGGCCCGGCAGGCGAACTTGGTTCCCGAAGGCATTGATGGGGTTGATTTCGAAACTTTCATCCGCACCTTTCGAACTCTCCCCGATGCCGCCGTCACGGAGAGATATCACTATGGGCAACTCCGGCTATCTCGCCTCCACCTTGCGACCCGGCTCGTGCGGCCGGTGTCAGTGGTGGGAATGAAACGGAGAAAAATTTGGTGGTATTATCACGAGACAAGGTGGACGGCCGGTCAGTATTTCAGGGACTACATCACAGTTTTCATTACTGCGTTCGCAGTCTTGTCCCTCGCCTTATCCGGTATGCAAGTGGCATTAGCGGTTGATGTGAACCAGCGCGCACTTGCTCGAGGGTTCTGGGGGTTGGCTATCGCTGTGGTTGTTCTTTGCGGAATTGTCGTGCTGCTATGGATCCTCGCGCTCGTTATTATACTGGCCTGTCAGATGCAGTTCGCTGTGAGGAAAAAGATTAAAGCTAAGAAGGACCGAGATATTGGCGGGAAATTGTGTTGTTAGTATGGTAGTATACATGCATTTGCAAGTGCTGTGGGAAGCCTCTAAATTCTTCTTATCAGCAACTCTTGAATACCAAGCCAGGTTCAACGACTGAATGGGTGCTTTTCTCTGCGCTAGACTCAAAGCTTCTCTCCAAGCCGTTAGTACTAAAGCGTGTGGAAGCCACCATCCCATTCTCCAGGATCGGTGGTCTCGAGACAAGGGCAGGCTGGCGACGAGAAGAAGTTTGCGGATCTTCTGTCAACACCCTCCAATTAGTGATGGCTAGGCCAGTGGCTTGAGATGTCATACGGATCGCACTCTTCGGTGGTGGCGGAGGCTGTGCGTTCCTTTCTCTAGGCGGCATCTCGTCTTTGGATGGGCTTCAATTGGTATAAGCAGGTGGCGTCTAGACGGGGGTCAAGCAGCGACTTACAGTAATTACATGAACGATGGGACAGAAAGGAAAATTGGAGACAGCGACTGGAATAAGGCAGTACTTGGCAAAAGGCATTGCGACAAAGCTTCGAAGCTCTGGGAGAGGATAAAGTAAGTGGCGTGCTGAGAATAAGGGTTATTATCGGAGCGGATCGAAGTTGTAAGCTAAAGAAGTTAAAGTTAGGAGTTAAGGTTGGCTAGGTAAGTAGTAGTAATAATAGTCTATACTAGGTATTAGTTAGTTAGATATGCAGGTACGAATAGCCTAAGAGAAGACCTTTTTATACTTAACTAAGCTGGTAGTCCATAGAAAGGAACTAAGACAAGGACTCTGCAGCCGATAGTATTGAATTTACTGTTGATGCTCTGTAATAGAACTGGGGATTCTCTACATGTATCCAGCACCCCGATTTTACTTCTTGGATAGTAACGCTGAAGCGCCGTAGGCACCATCAACGTGGACCCAGAGCTTTTCGCGCCTACATAATTCTACAATTTCATAGTATGTCGACGCTACCAGTGTTGGTTGTATCCGTACTGGCAATAACAACGAATGGGTCAAGGGAATCACCGACGATACCTCCAACTCCCACGCTGAGCAAAGGTCGTCGCGTGTCGCTGTGGTAGCGGCGAGGGATGCTTCAGGAGCCATGTAATTTTTCCGTAACGCGAATACAGATGAAAGTGTTGCCAAAGATGATATGTGAAATACTCATGTCTGGATACATGCAAGTCGCATTGCAATGTGTATCTACGTAACCGCTATAAATGATGCGGTGCGTTAACCAACAACTTCTCCGCCCTTCAAGTTTAACCCCCGGCGGACTCCGCATCTCCGACACGGGCCTCATTAGACCGGGGTGCTAGCTCCGCACTCCGATCACTGGCCATCGGAGATTCTTACTCCGTCGGGGTAAAGTCGTAGCGGCGGTTGAGATGCAGAGGCGGGACAGGAGGGTTAACATTGACGTTTTTGGGTGCCGCCTTCAGCCCACGCGAGGGTGCGACAATCTACGATGTTCGGTACGATGGCCGCAGCGTCATGTACCGTCTGAAGGTGAGCGAAATGGTACGTTGAGGAGTATAGCTATGCAATTACCTCAGTACCTGTAAATATGGTTATTGATATAATTCAGAAAAGACAGAATCCCAGTGTTTGCGTTGAAAACTAAGAAGCGAATTGAGATTGGGCAGGCTAGGAGAGGAAAAGGCCAAGCTTTATATGTGTAGCCATCACCTACGTCTGGGCATATGGCCAAGGCAAACCTGGCAGAATGCCTTACCGCTTTCTCATCTAAAAACGCATTCAACCTTTGGTCAACTCGTGTTCTAGTAAATATAAACATCCTATAATTATTTGGATGGACGCTTTAAGTATCTCAATCACTGCACAAGCAAAGAAGGCGAGCATTTAAAAATAACATTAATCTTATATTTAAAAAGGCTGTTCTTTAGATTAGGCCGCAACTCTAACCGTATCTAACCCAAACATTTTCGAGAATACAAGTTCATATACCCAATGTGCGCCAAGGGTTTCGATTAACCAGACAGTAAATGCACCACTCCCACACCAGATAGTATTCGGGGGGTCATTTTTGATAATTTTTGTGACCACAGTTCTCGCATAGATGTCGGGATCCAAGGCATCAGCCTCAAAGCTTGCCCAAGCGGTATCTATCTTGGCCTCAAGATATTTGTAATATGAGCTGGGAGCTATAGTGAGACGTTCGATGGACATTCCAGTCTTAACACCAGCGGTTTGAACAAAAATGACGCGCACTCCAAAAGGCTTCATCTCCGTTCGCAATGTTCTAGCGTATAGCTGAACTGCAGATTTCGATGCGTTGTAGACAGACTGTGTAGGATGTGGTGTATAACCTGAGACTGAGCCTGTGAATACAATCTTGCCTTTTGAGGCTATGATAAGCTCAGCGAAAATTGTGTTCATCTCCACAATACCCAACAGATTGGTATTGAACATCTTAAAGGCTTCCTCACGGGAAGTTTCGATAGCCATACCGAGGGTGCGGTACCCGGCATTATGGTAAAGGATGTCGAGCTTGCCATTGGACTCACGAGCAATCTGGGCGTGAGCTTGGAGAAGCGAATCGCGCTTAGTTACATCCAAGGCGATAGCAGTGATGTTTGGTACATTGACCAGATCGTCCATAGCTGTAATGCGGCGTGCGCTAGCATAAACGTGATAGCCTCGAGTGGCAAATTCTTTGGCCAGTGAATACCCGATACCCCCCTTTGTGCAACCAGTAATAAGGACCGTAAGTCTAGCCATGATAACTTGGTGGTAAGGAGCAGTATAGCTAGTTATGTATAAACAAGACTTTACTAAATAGTTCGAGTATGTGAATACTATTTCAAACGACATACCTGACTTATATAAACAGTATTAACATCGCAACTTGTATACAATTCCGTACCAGCATTGCCAAAACGGAGCTGCGGAAGAACTCATTCGGGGAGATTACTAACCCGAACGTCAAGTGATATTACTAATATTTTACTTAAATAATGAATTAGCTAGGATCTTATAAGATAGTATCTATTGCGTGAGAAATAACATAGAGTGCAATTTAAGAGCTATGACTGCATTATCTTACTGAAAAGGCTTAGAGGTCAGAGATAAAATAATACCTATTGGGTTCACCATAGGCCTACCTGTCAAGTTAACAAGGATCGATCTTTAGCGTGAATCTTTTTGTATCAGCTAGTGGCGAGAAGAACACTTTATTTAGTGTCGTGTGAGATATTTGTTAATGAAATCCATAAACAAAGGCTGGTCATTTCCCAATTTTAGCAGCTAGTGGTAACAGCAGCCTTCCTCACCTTACAAACGTTGTCTAACGTATCCGGTTCTTAGTCTTGGAACGTTCTGCGTGCCGTACGGAGTACCGCTTGCTGATTCAGGACTTTTGATATGAACTAATAAGGCTAGGATGGGTAAGACGCTCCCATGACCACTGATTCTCACGGACACCGCTTACTCGCGCCTATGTCTCAGGTATAGGCTCTTGATACGAGCTTTCCGGACCTAGGTATGTGAAGAGCGTAAACCTATGTACTTTGGTACAGAAGCTTTCCTCTATCCTCCCTAGGTACTTATAGTTGAAGAAAGTCAGACCCAAGATGGCTTATATAATATTTACTTATCAGAGAGACAATGACCTGAAGGGTTGCTACCTGGTCTCGTGGGTCCCTGAAATAAGGGTAGGCTCCCTGCATACGGTGAGGTTGACTCCAGCTATGAATGAGTAGTACATGTAGATACAGGTACCTACCTACAACTAGTTTTATTCGTACCTACTATCTACTGTATGAGCCACCATCAAGTCCTTGCGAAAAGAGGTTCAATGGCCAGACTAAAGGTTTGACAACTATATTTACCCAGCATGCCGCGACACAACACACATACATAAAAGGCTGACGCTCATTTCGGTCCTCTGGACTACTGTGACACTAACGCATCCGATGCCATGCACGTTACTGCTTGAGATGACTGCTGTCATATCTAATATACAATACCCCACCCTACCTATGTTGCCAAATTCCTCTTTCTGTCTTCTTACGACATCATCTTGTTACCATAGCAGACCAAGCCACGAAGTCCATGTCCAACTCTGTGACCCATTTACCAATGCCTGGCTCTTCACTCTCTTGTCTAGCTTTTGTTGGTCTACGGCCGTCAATATCGACGCTGACAATCTCGAGGGGAGCCTCCGCTGAATAAGAAGCCTATGCATCGTCTTGAGTTCCATACCGTGCGAAATCAGAAGACAGCATATCTGGGTCAGAAAGTCCAAGCGAGCCGTATCAGTTGTGGTGTCGTCATTGCTGCATTGCTCCAAGAATATCTCGGTAAATGCATCCGAGGTGTTCCAATTGGGTCCTGACAGACTCGCGCCGGCAGAGAGGAATGATTTGGAAATCTGAATGATCGTGGGACAGGGCGGGAGAGGAGAGGACGCTATGGCTACCAGAAGATGGTGCCATACGGAGATGGAGTCTTTCCAGTGAACGTTTGGGTCTGCTCCGTGGGTGAGCAGCAGCTCGATGATGCCCAGTCTGTGTGGTGCCAGGAGAGCTATTTGAAGCGAGTTGTCTTCGTCCATCAGAATCTTTTCAAAGGCCATAATAAAGGAGCTCCAAGCATCCCCGTTTAGTAGCTCTGATGTGGATGATTGTCTCTCTTCAAGGAGAAGACGGACCATGGGCGTTAAATCCGGCTCCTTAATAGTATAACCCGGCGAATGAGCTATTGCACAGTGGAGGAGAGGCTGCTGAGCATTGAGAGGCTGATATTCGCGGTGTAGCTGGTCCCGGACGTACAAACACAGGCCATTTTGGATGGCAAACTCGAGAAACGTCTGGCACGGAGCATAGCCAGTGCCATCGCCAGACGATGTGTAGCAGTTCCAATACCATGGGATGGGCTTGCCAGTAGTTGTTGCGTAGAATTTGAGCGTGCGGTGGAGGTCGTCGAGCAGCTCGACCTGGGATTCTCCTGATTCCAGCTCCGCTTTATAGGCATAGTGGATTGCATCGCCCAACATTCTCGATAGCGAGCCGCCCTCGGACACATCGATTTCTTCCCACGGGATGGACTTGATGAGAGGCACGAAGCTCTTGAACACGAGCGTGCTTGGCCCTCCATGGTCTCCAGACTTTTCCGCGAGAAAGTCGCTCATCTCCTTGGTTCGTAAAAAATCTCGTACAGTTCGATGCAAGAAATCGACGCGGTGGCCCATGTACGGCCCTTCGTTGTTGTCGCGGCAGACTTCCAGGAGGCCCTTGCATCGCCCGTTGAGGCGTCTTCGCAGTTGTTCATGGCGACGAACTACCTCGAGCATCGGCATTTGCTTGACTGGGATCTGGAGCGCGAAATTTTGATTCTCGAAATCTTCGTCGAGGAAGGAGTAGATCATCAGCGGTAAAGGACATGTCGAACCCATGGCTACTTGAAACGTTCGCACCATTTGCACGTGGTAGAACGAGTCTACGGAGTCGAGCATGTGCTTGAAGAAGGACTCAAGATCTGCAGGTAGATCGCGAGTTCTTCGTTCAAGCGCAGGAAGAGAATCGCCGTTTGTAAGGCCTTCGTATAAAGAGCGGATGACGAGATATACCCACAAGAACACCCCCTGGGCTTTTGTGGTTACTTCTTCTAGGAGACTTTTGTATAGGGGCTCCTCAGACGGGAGAACCTGCCAGTTTGGATGCTCTTCCAGCTTTCTGCGAACATAGTGACGTATATCTTGGCTCGTCAAATCCTGGAGATACAATTTTCTGTCAGTGAACCTCCCATACTCATCCTCAAAGACGTTCCATGGGCGACTGGACACGCAAAGCTTGATATGTGGCGAAGTAGCCAGCGAGCGTAGCATGGCGATGATCTCGGAGTGATCTCCCTCGTACTCGTCAAGTCCATCAATGAAGAAGCAGAATTTATAGCCGAGCCCATCACAAGTCGCAAGATTAGCCAAAGTTCTGCGCAGCTCTGACAGTGTCCATGGCTCCAGATCGCCTTCACCTCTCCTAGAAGCTTCCCAGCGCTGCGGGCAGACCATTTTCATGATCTTGGGTGACTTCTTAAAGACGTCGTAGAGTAGCGATCGGAGAAGGCCCTCTTGTGATTTCTGCATCGTTGTTCCCGAGCTCCAGAAGAAGTGTGTCGACATGACTGGACTCAGGGGCCGCGCCCAATTGACAAGCGCTTCGCCTGTGCGACGGTGGTCGCAGAGAAACTTCATGAGTGTCGATTTTCCAGATCCTGGTTTGCCTGAAACCCAAAAGATGCCGTCCTTTTCGGTGAGCCACTCAGAGAAGCGCACTTTGATGCCTTTTGCCTCCTTGGCCCAGCGGGGCTTGAAGATCCATTCGTAAGTGTCTGTGTATGCTTCAGCGACGCTTTCTATGCGCATTGTCATGGTCTTGAAGTGCAGGCCGCCTAGAACTCGCTGTGCAATGGCAACATCCGTTGCTGTTGAGACTAGAGAACGGAGTGTCTCTGCCAGGTACTGGAACGCTTGCGGAGTTTCGTCATCAACAGCAAGACTGTTCTGGCTCTGCGAGGGTCCGCCTTTGCTAGACGGTCCGTGGGATTTGTGTAATGAGAAGAGGCTGAATCGTTTCCCTTCGGTTTCATCGTCATCGTCATATGTCTTATGAGCTTCTGGATTTTGTCGACGCAGATGGGCGTCTTTGGTTGCTTGAGTTTGGATTAACCTAAACGACTTTGAGATGTTGTCGAGGTGCTCTTCGTATGCTGAGCTAAGACGATTGCTGGCATCTCGAAGGGTGCGAAGTTCTCTAACAACGCTTGACTGCTGATCGCTACACACTGATTAGCCTATGTCAAAATGTTACAATTGGAACCTTACCTCATAATCACCGAGAGTTGAAGAATCAAGTCCGTCCGATACTTGTCCAACGTCTTTTCCATCATATCAATCTTCTTTTGACTACATATCTTGACAAAGGCCTGACGAAAACTCGAAATCTTGCGAAACTTTGTGTTCTTGGGATCGACACGGAGCTGCTTCAGCGTGGCCTCGAGCCGCTTCGCGATGTCGTCGCATCCCATGGCTACTCGCTGGAGATTTTGTTCTTGCTCGCTGCGCGGAACGTCTTCGGCGGCAAAGGCCTTTGCGTCGGACTTCATTTTAGAAGTTAGCTTTTGGAGCTTTTTGTATGCTTGGTCGACTTCTAGTTTGTTGCCGGATCCCAACGGTTTGTCGTCGTCCTCATGATGGGGAAGCTGAATCATCACATCGCTGGGGTCGTCTTCCTGAGGTGTCTTTTCCTTCTCCTGCACGGGATTAGTGGTCTTTTCTTTCTCTCCTTCAAGGGAATCATCGCCGACATCCGACGCAGCAATAGGCTGGCTTGGGAGTGGCTGGCATTTGCTTTCGTCGACATGGTTAGACGATCTATTTGCTAACCCAAATGCCAGTCTACGAAGAATCGCCGTCCTCTCGCCCAGCTCAGCATCGTCTCTGGTCTGGCCATCCGGAGAATGGTATATCTCATATGCTCCCGACAGCAATTTCGAGCTCCAGTCGATTAATTGAATCGTTGACCGCGCCAAGTTTAGCGACGAGAAAGGATCCATAGGCAAACACAGCAGCTATTGAAGCTATGTTATGTAGCTATCCGAAAGTATCACTCCCCCAAAGAGTGCATGTACCAAAGCACGTATGAGCAACGGCGGCACAGCAAAAAGACGAGCGCATGGAAGCCAATGATTTGCGAAAAACAGTTCGCTTTGATAAATAACAAAAAGAAAAGGAAAGAAAGAGGGCTTCGACGATACGACTGAGATGAACGAAGAACAAGTGAGGCTGATACGGGCGGGCTGTGGCTATGCAGCAGCATGCCATACAGATTATGCAAGGCGAGGAGGGGAGGGTTCTGCCTTGCTGAGATCACGTCTGGTGACCTGGATTCGATTGGTTGGTTTCCTGCAAAGGAGTCGATCAGCTCCTCTTAGTGTTTCGCACTATTGGACTGGATGGGATGCATCATTTGGCAATAACAGCAGTTGGGTGAGATTTGAGTGACATTTTCATAGGTGGTGTGCGGCCAGAATAAAATAATACCATGCTTTATTCCTAGTTATTGCTTTTTGTACTGATATCGCATGTAAATTCACTTGGTGTTTTCCATGTTTGTAGATGTCTCACCTCACCACTGTATCCATGTCATAATCAGCCAAGTAAAACTTTCAACCATCGCTGCATCTACCTACAGGTAGGCACACTCTGGATAAATGCGCTAAATTCAGCCAAAAGATGGCTTCACTCTCTCATGTATAAATGAATGGTTATTTTAATGTCCAGCAATAATCGACTATTGAGTACAACCTTCTACAAACAATTGGGTGTAAATAATATCATTACAAAGAATTATATTTCGCTTCAATCATAGAACAGAGCTGCTATTCTCCAACCAACCAGCGTATTGGGCCTCTACGCAACCCATCTGGGTTCACTGGTGCCAACCAGCTTCTTATTCAGTCGCGTGTAGTACCACCACAGGGAAAAGCTCAAAACCGTCCCCACGGCAAGAAACCCAGCATTGATGCCGTGGCCCAGGCGATAGAACGGCGCGTCCTGCGCCCGATAAATCCAGACGCCTATAATCTGGCCAGGCCCCGTAAAGGCAATGTTGAGTCCTGTGGCGAGAGATCCCGCCGTGGTAGTTCGCACATTGTCTGAAATCCATGCGCACAACGGAGGTAGACCGGCAAAGACGCCGGCGGTGCTGATGCAAAGCATTGCATAGCGAGCAGCATATAGCTTGCCAGGCAAACAGGCTGTAAGAACTTTGTCAGTATTTGGCTTTGGGATAACAGCCAAGAAGAATCATGGCCTCACCTTGAATGATAAAGGCAATAGTGCCAAAGAGAAAACATCCACCAGCCACGAGACCTCTCGTCTTCTTATGGTCAGATATCATGGCCAAGACAAGAGTAACAACGTAAGCCACGGCATAAGGAGGAATAGTAAACAGCTGAGCCTGAAGGTTCTTGTAGCCGAGGCCAGAGACGATGGTAGGCGCAAAGAGTGACAACGAGGAGACGCCGACGCCGATGCACATGTACGTAATATAGTGCACGTATAGTCTAACGTCCTTAAGAGTGGCCTTTGCATCCTCCCAATTAAGTTTTGCTTCTCTAGGGCAGTTTAGTATCTATCCAAATGACTTGAGTAAATGACTTGAGTTGCAAGGTTCTTCATACCCGTGAGACGAGTTGACGCCGAGGCGTATAACTTGGATAGCCTTTTCTTCTTCGGTGAGCCAGCTGGCCTTTTCCGGATAGCTTGGCATAAATAAAAATGTGAGGATTCCTAGAGCAACTGTAGGTGGTAAACCCGGTTAGAGGAGGCTTGATATAACTTGATCGGATAAGTAGAAGAGCCGATAACTCACTGGAGGGAACGCCCTCAACGATAAACAGCCATCGCCAGCCCTCTAGGCCTAGTCTCCCGTCCATATGTCCAACGCCATATGCAACGGCACTATGAGAACATAAATGTTAGCTATATTCTCCACTTGTTCGGATTAAGCACCCAATGTCTCGATTTTGCGAAAGAAACCTACCCGCCAAATGCACCAGCCAATGTAGCGCTGCAGAGGAACAACGCTATCCGAGTGGCTCGCTCCTCCGCTTTGTACCAAAAACTCATGAAAAAGACCATGCCAGGGAAAATGCCCGCCTCGAAGGCACCGAGGAAGAATCGTAGCGCGGATGTACTGGCGAAGCTCTTCGCCCCGGCGATGGCTGTACAGAAGGCTCCGAAGCCAACAACCAAGAAGCCTAGCCAACTTTGTGGCACAAATATCATGATTAGTAGATAGACTTTTGATGTAGGAAGGAAATCATAGGAGTGGTCTTACTAATTAGGCTGGAATGCCTTGGCTGCAAGGTTGCTTGGTGCCTCGAAGATGGAGTAGGCAACCAGAAAGACCATGAGAGCAATGGTGTACTGCTTCGTTGTCATATGCGTTGAGTCTAGCAAGTCGTGACCTACGTCGGCATTCAAGATCTTCGCATTGCCTATATTAATTGTTGGTTAGATGATGGCAGGATTTTGGTAATAAATTGGGGAAAATTGCATACCGATATTGGACCTGTCCATGTAGCATAGGAGATAGATCCAGACAGTAAAAGGCATCAGCCTCAAGTCAATCTTGCGTACGATCCTAAAAGCAGTAGTCAACTTGTGTTAGTTTCAAACTGTATAATAATCACCACTTCCTCATGGAGATAACGACTTGCCTCTTCTCCACAGCAGGATCGATTTCTTGGATACGCTCGAGATGGGAGCTAGTTCCATCCTCAATGGTCTTTGGAAGCTTTTCGTCATCCATAACTGTCATAGCTAATGACCCGAGATAATGAGAAGCTGGTAATAGCTAGTAAAAAAAGATGGTGGTGGTAGATGTGAGCCAACGCATTTGAGTCACAGGCTTGAGAGGCGTCTATTGACTAAACGCAGGGAGAATCAGCCGACATATATAAATGGAATGATGAACCTAAGACAAATATTAGGTTGATATCAATCGCAGGCCTCAATAGTTGCTGGACTGTTGGGATAGGTCCTTAATTCACACCACCCTTCGTTGACGAGAGTCGGAAGAGGTAAAGACATGCAGGCCCTTGCCGTGCTTCCTCACCCCGCCCTTGCTTAGGAGATTCTCCCCATGGGGAAATGCCAGTGGAATCGAGATTAGCCGGTAGACGATAGGCGAGGACGAATAAGGGCCGTTTGACCAGACGTTAGCGGGGATGGCTTGTAATAGCGCTGGTCAGATTCAGTAGATTGTGTTGCGGAGATGGCACGGGAACGAGCGATGCTTTGGCCAGCCAGTCGCGTGGCTTTGGGTAACTTATTATCAAGAGATTCGTTCTACGGAGTACTCGGCAACATCAAACTCCATCGCCTCCGACGCCTAGAATTATAGGTTGGACATGTCTCACTGCGTCACTTGCAGCCACTCCAAGGCGCGTAACACCATGGGTGTACCCTGTACTATTTAGATGATATAGAAATGGCAGCCAAAGATCTCCTGACTCAAGTACTTGCCATCCACACGGGCGCCCAACTTTGTCTGGCGCTCAATAGTAACTTCGAGAAGACGTGCCACCTTGAAAGCCGTCTGCGCCCCCTTTTGATCTAACCCTCCAATAGGCAATCCGTCTCCTTCGCTGCCGTCGAGCGCCGCCCCTTGTCTTTGAGTTGTGCCGCTGAGCCGGCCTAGGGCTCGCAGCTGTAACACTGCCCATTCCTGTTGTACAGGATCAGGAACCTCGCAGCCAAATAAAAAGCAAACCCACATCAAGCCTGGATGGATAGTAGTAGAGGTCGTGCGCGAGAGGTTTGCGTCAAAGGCATGCTGGTGTATAGGTTGACCGACGCTGCGACGCATCATGTTGCCTGTCTGTGTCAAAGCCTTGAGGGCAATGGGTGTATGTTGCAAGGTCCAGTATGCTACACGGTGGATGTATATGAAGTGAGCCCAAAAGGTTGCAATGTAGACGCTGAATAGCTGCTCTAGCCTGCGGGCAATGTTCTCGCTCACAAATAGGCGTAGCTGTGAGGCATCGAGGTCTAGGATGCTGGGCCGACGTCGCCACAGCTCCTCCAACTCTTCTTCAAAACCCATGCATGCCTTCATTACTTCCAATTCATCTTCAGGGGTTCCACGTGGGCGGTGATGGCGGTCGTGACAGCCAACGCGCCGCGAGTATGCTTGAGATGCCATGTGAAACTCAAAGGCGGGTTGGAGTAAGATGTTGAAAACGCCCATACACACTACATTCTTAGGAATCGTGGGCGGCTCTGCTAACAGTGTAGCGAGTCTAGAGCCACCATTGCGCGGCTTCATATTGGCACTTTCGCCCTTACTGCTTATCGCTAGGACAGCAGTGCTCGTAGTTGATATCCCGTCGATTTCATTGAGGGCATCATTGTCCGCCACCTCCATGTTGGTTGAGTCCGTGATGCCTGGACGTGGCTTCCTGATAATTTCTAGAGCCGGCTCTGAAAGAAGATGACGACCACCCATATGAGACATCTTGGCGTCGAATGAGTCCAGCCACTGGAAAAGACTAGCAGAACCAGCATCCCAACATCGGCCATTGACAATGACCTGCTCAGCCATATCCTCTGGGAAGCTAGGTCGAACCTGATCACTGCCATCATATGCGGTCTCAAACCAAGCCAACAAAAATATTGCCACGAGAAGAGCTCGGCTGCTTCGCTCCTCCCATCCCGCATGCGAAAGGCTCAACTTGAGTGCGACACAGGCGACATCATGCAATCTTAGAGATAAAAGGCCAAAGTCGTCGCGGCAAGTTGATACGCGGCTCCCCAGGGCAGCCAAAGCCGCTGGTCGGCTAGGCTCAAAGAGCATAGCACTGAGAGCTGCAAGAGCATGCATGACCGCTCCATATTCTATCGAGGTATGCTTGCCATTGGCCATATGAAGCACATAACGCTTGATTTTGGGCCAACCCAACGGATGGATGCTGGCAAGAGAGGCCGGGGGCTGAATTGCGCACTCGAACGTTTTAAGAAGAAGCTCTTCTTGAGCGTCTGATAGAAGTGGTGGTGAAAAGGCAAAGGCTGGTTTGTATCCCGGTTTGTTCACTTGTCCGCTGTCTTCTTGCCTATCAATATTGGCAAATTGATCTTCGGTGTTGCTTTGTACAACTGTATGCATGCTTGGACTGCTGTCTACGTTTGATGTCGATAACATCGTGCCGCTATCTATCTCTGAAAGAGCACCACCACGCCAAGCAGATGATTGATCTGAGTTGAAGAAGTTGGGACTGAGGGCGCTGGTGAATCCTAACGACGTGAAAGAAAATGCTGAATCGGGGAGAGGTAGTCGATCGAACCAACTGGGGCTCCAAGGTGATTGTGATAGTTCCCCTGAATGGTCTCCTGAAGGTATGGAAGTAGGGCCAATATCCAGTGCCGTGGCAGTTGTAGGAGTCATGTAGGATGCCATTGGGTCAGGAATGAGACCGCTTGGATTTGGATTTTCAGGTGAAACATCAAATTGACCGTTGATGTCGTTAGGAAGAATGCTTTGGATAGTTTGCAGGTCATTGTTTGGACGTGATGAAATTGCCGCTGAGTTGAAGGATGGCAATGGCATTTGTCCCCCTTCGCCGCTCTCATCCACCACGCTGAATCTCCGCGACTCATCAACATCAACATCTGCGTCTTGTCGAGAGCTCGCCGAACTATCGTCTGGGGATGGTAGCCTTCTCTGGCTGCGTCGAGGCCGGGGAGGCTGATACGTGCACTCAAGTTTGAGTCTATCGCAGTGGCTGCAAGTCGGTCGCCGCTCATCGCAGCGAACTCTGCGGAGGCGACAGGTTGCGCAACCGTTTTTGGATCGCGGGCCGGAGCGACCGAGCGCAATACTTTGATGCCGGACAATTCCGGATCGAGACGACATTGTTTGAAGTTGAAAGATTCTCTTGCTGTTGAATTATGTGTAGATACATGTAGATAGCGGTGGAAGGCGAGAGAGAATCATGGAGCTCTGCTGAACCGGAAGAGCAGCCCCGGGCTCCGTACCTTCCATGAATGCGAAATGCGGGGGCGGGGCGGTGCATTATAGGGGAGTGGGCCACTAACAGCAGCTAAAGGTGCGCTATAGCACCCGCTATTATAGGGTAGTAGTTGCCATTCTACAGGGCATCCAGCCTGTCACAGCGCTGGGCGATCAAACAATGGCCAGGGAACATTTCATTATCAGGACAACTTCAACTTCAAAAGGTTCAGTCTTCTGATACATCCATTTGCTACACTGCACAGATTCATACTCGGCATTATTTCAACCTCATTATAACTCTCTACTTCTACAGCTTGGCTCGAGTACTATAAGCCCCGGGATTCACATTCCACGGCAATTCAGCCGTCGCCCACGCAGAGCTTGCTTCTCCTGCTGCAATAACGCTCACCCAGTCTTCGCGGCTTATGGATCGCGCCTCTTCGGCAGGATTATAACCCAAGCGGCTCCGTCCATCTTCTTCCGGCTTCGTATCTTCAATCTTTGGAGCTGTTTCTCCGTCTATCCTCTTGTATATCGTCACCACGGTCGCGCCACCCATGCCCATGTTATGCTGGAGGCAATACCGCGTCGATGCGACAGAGCGACGTTTTGCCCATCCACGAAGATGCCAGACTTTCAATTGCGGAATATTGTTAGCGGTATTGTGCATTAATTGGGGGTGATAAAGATGGTCAAACAACTTACCAAGCTCTGCACATTGTGCTAATCCCGTAGCACCCAAGGGATGTCCCTTGGAAATGAGCCCTCCGCTGGGATTCACGATCCAGCCTTTCTCTTTTCCTTTTGAATTGTATGTGATAAGGCCATCTCGAACCAGCTTCCATGCTTTACCCTCTTCGGCCAGTCCTAAACCCTCTAGAGCGCACATTTCGTTGGTGGTGAAGCAGTCATGCAGCTCAATCACGGAGACATCCTTGGGTCCAATGCCCGCCTGTTCGTAAGCACGCTTTGCTGCGGTCCGTGTCATGTCGGACCCGATGAGTTCAATTGCACTTTTTAACTCGTAAAGCTTAGAGGAATCGGTGGCTAGAGACTGGCCAGCAATTTGGATGGCTGTGCTGCGAAGGTAGGGATGAGCAGCCAAGAAAGATTCCGACACAATGACCGCCGCGGCCGCACCCGTCTATCAAAATGTCGTGATCAGTCAAAACGAAACATTATAAAAGCTTCACTCTTCGTCACTTACTGATGAGGGGCAGCATTGCAGACGTGTAATGTCTCCAGAAATCACAGGGCTGGACAAAACATCCTCAACTGAAACAGCTTTCGACAGCTGAGAGTAAGGGTTACGAGTGCCGTGCTCTCGATTAATAGCCGTAATGCGCGCAAAATCACGTCTCTCAGCACCCCCAGATCCGCCATATCTGTCGAGGTACTCTGCCTGAGCATTGGCATAGAGCTGGGGACTCCAACCCGGCGACGGTTTATTGCGGTCAGCTTCGTGTATCTGTGTCTTGGAGAGATCCAGGACACGAGAGAGAGGATTCGTGCGATCCTTGTGCGTCTGCGGAAGAACTCCTGGATACATCTTGTCGAATCCAACGACCATGACACAGTCTGCATCACCAGAACGAATGGCCTGGTTTGCTAGCCAAAGACCAGTGCTTCCAGAGCTGCAATAGTTGTGGACATTGAGGATGGGAATACCCGTCATGCCCAGGCTATAGAAGACGCGCTGGGCACATGTTGAGTCACCAAAAACGTAGCACCCTATGCCTTGGTCTACCTTATCAAAGGTAAGGCCGGCGTCTAATAGGGCTTTGACTCCAGCTTCAACAGCGAGATCAAGATAGTCTGATTGAGGGTTGGCTGCTAGGCTGGCTGACTTTTTCGGGGAGAGAAACGGCGTCATGCCAACTCCAACAACGAAAGAGGATGGTGACCCAGGCATTGTGATTTACTATGTTGGTATGAACAGAGGAAATTGCGGTCTGTCGTAATGCTTGTGTAAATGGTTGTTCGATACTCTGTCATGTAACTTGAAGAAGAGCATGCCTTATCATGATTAAAGAAGATCTGAATATCCCGATATCGTTACGGATATCTTAACATGCCTCGGATGTATTAGTCGTTCTAAATTAATTGGAACACACCGGTCCACAGGATTGCGCCCTGCGCTGTGGTTCAGAGCATATGATGCATAATCGACATGCATTGGGATAATCCACCTTTCTCTGGCGATAGACGACAGCCGAGACCCACTCCACCACCACTTCATGTTTCTTTACGGTATACTGAGTAATGCAGCAGCCAGATATTCAAGTGTGAATGAAAAGAGATGTACATGAATCCAAGAGTGATTCTGTTGACTGAGTTGAATTATTGGTATTACCTGGATAGACTGATACAAACACAAGGCGACAGCGAGACCATGGCTCCTTGGCATGTCAAATACCTTGCACAAAGGTTAATGTAGAATTAACATGCTTATAATAAGTATTGATTGCGATAAAATAAAAACCTATACGTAAAGATTACAACCGACTTGGCATCCTTGCCGCCCCGTCTAACCGTATCACCGTCCCGTTTAGCATGACATTTTCAACCACGCTTCTCACCATGCAGGCAAACTCCTCCGGCCTGCCCGCCCTCGCCGGAAACTCCAGCGTCTTGTTCAAGCTCTCTCTCGCCTTTTCTGGCATTCCCTCCACCATTCCCGTGTCAAACATGCCCGGCGCAATACAAACCGCCCGAATCCCCCACCGGGAGAGATCCCTCGCGAGCGGCAGCGTCATGGCCGCAATGGCTCCCTTGGCCGCGCTGTATGAGACTTGACCTTCTTGGCCATCAAAGGCGGCAGCTGAGGAGACGGTTATGATGACTCCGCGCGAACCATTTGTGTCGGCGGGCTGGGTTGACATGTGAGGCAAGATTTGGCGGATGACATCGACGGTGCCTGTGAGGCTAATGTCGACGACCTTTTTGAAGGTTTCCAGAGCCAGAGGACTGTTGTTTTTTGAGAGAATCTATGTGCTTGATTAGCTGGCTGGAATTGCTAAACCAGATTATGTGAGGATATCTCACCTTTGCCGGACCGAGAAAACCAGCACAGCAAACCACTGCAGCAATGGGCTTGTTCGTCTCCTTGCTCCACGCCGTCACAGCCTGCACCGCTGCGGCTACTTGCTCCGTCTTGGACACATCGACCTTGAAATATCGGTATTTCTGCGAATCTGAGTCACCAGTTGGTGAATCTTTTGGTAACTGCAAATCGAAGACTGCTATTGAGGCACCGAGGCTGCTCATGAGCTTAACTGTCGCTGCACCGAGGCCAGAAAGGCTTTCGTGTGTAATTAGCAGGGCACAATAATAATACTGTGTTGAAGCGTACCCTCCTGTAACAACAACAATTTTATCCTGGACATTCATATTGATGTTTGATTCAGCTGCGCCGTCTTGTGAGATATGTGTTAGGTCTACTTCAGAAGGACCCGAATAAGTCCACATGTCTCTTCCCGTTACAAGCCCATTCTCCTCTTCATTTGCAACAATTACAGTGCCGGCTACTTCAAATAAAGCCATTGATTTCCAAACAAAGCTACCACCCCTCCTGGACTGTCCCTCCACCATCCCCGCCAATTCCCTTAGTGTGAGGACCGCCTACCCCCACACCACCCAGTCGTCTGTCGCGTGTCGCCTATCGCGCCGACTCGACGACCATCACGAAATGATACACCAAAGCCCGGCACGCGAGAGAGTTCTCTCTATCCGAGAAACTACTGTGCCTAAGGGTCATATCGAAACACACCAACAAAATAGACGACGTGCAGAAACTCTTCGCTTTCGCCTATGAAAAGACGAGATTTCCCCTCACCCCGCCTCCGGACCCCGGATCGGCCCCACCTCCGGGGCCGGAAGCGGACCAAGCCAATACCAGCTCCAAGACACTTCCCCCTCCTCTATCCTCTCAAATTAGAGCTCCTCTCTTTGCTTGTATCGCATGAAGTTCTTTCCTTTTCTCTCAAACTCAAACTTCTTGCGCATTCCTCTCTCCTTCTACACTCGAGCCATGGCAGACAGCATAGAATCACAAGCCATGTCCTCCAGCAGCAATGGCGACCTCTCCATCCTCCATGGCCCAGCTCAACCGGCACCCATCCATAAGACCTTTGGTTGTCTCCTCCGTGAACAAGCCAAAGCTCGGCCATCCGCCTTGCTTGTTGCATCAGATCATCAACAGAAATCTTTGACCTATGCCGAGGCCGATTCTCGATCTGATGACCTCGCCCGTGGATTCGTCGCCTTGGGCGCGAAGCAAGGTGACCGCATCGCCATCCTCATGGGCAACGAGATTGAATACATCGAAACCTTCTTCGCCTGTACCAAGATCGGCGCACCCGTCACCTTAGCCAATTATGCATATAGCGAACAGGAGCTCCATTCCGTCCTGTCATCATGCGGCGTCTCCATGCTCGTAATGGTCCCACGCTTCGACCGATATGATTACCGTCATTGGATCCCAAATCTGAGAAAGGGCATCCCATCTCTACAGAACATCATTGTAGTGAACGCAGATAAAGATCCTACTTTCCTTAAGCTAGGGTACAATGGCTACCATAATTACGAAGATGTGCTTCTTCGCGGCCGCAAGAGTAGCTTTGACCTGCTCGCCATGGAAACCAAGATCCACGCCAGAGACGTGATGAATCTCCAATTCACCAGCGGCTCAACAGGCCTCCCCAAAGCCTCTGCTTTGACTCACAGCGGCATTTACAATGCTGGCCGCTATATAGGCAGCACCATGTATCTCAAGGCGTCTGACCGCATTTGCCTGCCAGTGCCTCTATTCCACAGCTTTGGCCTCATCATCGGCCTTGCCACAGCAACAGCTTTTGGAGCATCTCTAGTGCTGCCCGCAAGCATCTTCAACGTCGAGGCCACGCTATCGTGCATCGCCAAGTACAGCTGCACCGGTCTGTACGGCGTCACAACCATGTTCGTCGCGGAAATGGCTCATCCTCGATTCACTGAATTTGATCTCTCCAGTCTACGCTTTGCAATCTTATCTGGATCTGCCGTCCCCGAGCCACTCATGCGCAAAGTCTGGTCCGCCTTCGGCATTACCCAGACACACACCAACTGGGGCCTCACCGAAGCCTCATCCATCGTCACTATGACCCGAGATTCTGACACTATCGCTCAGCGAACTATCACCTCTGGCCGCCTCTTCCCCGGCTTCTCTGCCCGAATTGCCGACCCGTCTACCGGTAAGACGGTTCCTCGAGGTCAGCGAGGCGAAATCGCCCTCCACGGCAACGGCATACAGGCCGGGTACTATGGGAATCCGGAGCGTACCGCAGAGGCTCACCGGATCTCTCCTGAAGACGGTCAAGAATGGTTCCATACCGGCGACGAGGGCTATTTTGATCCTGATGGCTTCTTTGTCATCACCGGCCGCATTAAGGACATGATTATCCGCGGTGGCGAGAACATTTCACCCCTGGAGATTGAAGAGCGTCTTGCCGCGCATCCATCCATCGCACAAGCCTCTGTCATTGGCGTACCAGACGCCAAATACGGCGAGCAAATCTGCGCGTTTGTCGAGCCCACGGGCACAGACCTAGATAGGCCCTCAGACGACGAGCTACGGGAGTGGGTAGCCCAAACCTTGGCGCATTTCAAGCGGCCGCGATATATCGTTTGGCTGGGCTCGCATCCAGCTTTTCAGGCGTGGCCCAAGACGGCGAGCGGGAAGCTGAGAAAACCTGATTTACGTAACATTGCGGCGGAGATGATGAAGCAGGAGGCAATGAAGACGGAAGTACAGCATCAGGAGGTTATAAGGGCGAGATTATGATCATTCGATTGAGCAATGGGAATGTAGAGTACCTAGATGATATATGGTACGTTTGTCAAGCAAAATTGTGATATCTCATTGGATATTAATAATACGAGCATACAAGTGCTATCCTCTAATAAAATCCTTCGTACGCCTTGCCAGACTATGCCATCCTGCTTGTGGTAAAGATGAAAAGGAACTGGAGAGTAGTGAAGATATTACTGACAAGACAGAGAGGACATGATCTAGACCACATATCTATGCCTATTGCCTTATGGTACTCAGGCACTGCACCCTACTAATCGATGTACGAGGTGCAAGTAGTGTACTGTAGGTGTGATGAGTGTCTCTAGAAGCGTGCGGGGTAAGGAAAGGAAGAGGTGGAAACGCTTCCACATGCACTTTTCTACACGATCTGCCGAGCTCCACTCCTCTCTGAAGGGCAGTCCGCGAGGTCGGTTAGTGGATATCCTTCGGTAAGTCGTATAGGATGTATGAATGTGGGACTTGCACGGCCACCCTTACTCGTACGCTTGCAACTGGCACGTGAATGACCATGGTCACTGGCCGGAATGCGAGACCTACAACTGCCTCGGATGTGTTTGAGGATGCCTTCCGAGGGCGAGAGGCAATGACAGCCGGGAGATGGCCGGCAAATCCGAGCCTTTATCAGCTTAAGACAAACACCATGAAAGCCCTAGGCTGTTTCGATATCCCCTGGGGACGTAGGTCTCTTACGGGTATGATGCATCTGAATTTCAAGATGGTGTGTGGACGACTCTGGTCTACTAAATGATTGATGCCAGTTTCTCGTGGCGTCGCCGTATTCGGCTGCAGGCGGCCCAGAGATGGCACCTGTTGCTAAATTGGGCAACTATGAATCTGTAGACGGAAAGCATGGCGTCTAGACGACAATGGACTAGAATTTGTGATACCACCATAAGCCTGAACTTACTGTAACCTCACTGCCGTTGAATACAAGTGTTTAGATGACGAGATTAACCATAGCTAGCATTTCGTTCCTTCTTATGTCGTATTCGAAAGATGCATACAAAGCTACATCTGCTGATGAAGACCTGACTCGCTCCAACGCGTTGGGCGCGGAAACGGCCAGCAGCGGCCGCTAAAGACACTACCTAAGCTTCCTTGAGGCAAGCAGAGGGAGAAGCTAAGCCCCTGAAACCCGTTTTCCGCCTCGTAGGGTCGCTTAACGACGATTGCCACTTGTCACCCCCTGGCTTTGTCTCATCTAAAGTGTCTTGGATCTTCTGGTTCTTGGGGCCTTGTGGGTGAGCGCCCTATTTTATCCTAGATTGTAAGACGGACGGTCTGTCGGCTATACCAGTGGTATTACATCCTCGCGGGCGGCCTTCGATGGCGTCTATTCCAAGTAGATTTCCAAATTAGCTGTTGTTAGGCTGTAATTGGAAATAAACCAAGCGATTAGAAGGTCGGATTTAGACATAGAGATATTTCCGTAGCGATCTAGTAAAGTATCGGAGCCTCTATTGTGTGATATGGACATGGAGGTGCGCGCGTCGATACGTAATCGCTCTGATACTTCTTGAGCGGTAAGTTTTCGCTATATATTAGCCACCAGCTAGTGCGCCTGGGACTCTTGATATATCTTGATGTAGCTGTGGAAATACTCCACAATCCCCATGATAGGCTAATTGACATTCTCATTTGGTATTAAAGCTCTTGCGTGCCGCCCAAAACCCCAATCAGTTGTGTGTGTTCCACTGGTTTGGAGCCACACCGGCGATCATAATTTCGGCAATGTGGTACACTTCCCTCAACTGCGACGATAGTTATCTGTGATAATTATTTTGTTTTCGCAAACACGATGGAGGACCGGAGCGGTCAGATGCTCGTTCTCAACATCATTTTCATGATAGTTACTACGATTGTCGTTTCCCTTCGCGTCTATTGTCGAGGATGGATTATAAGATCATTTGGAATCGACGACCAGCTCATGGTTGTCACTTGGGTCCGTTTTAACCACCACCGATGGCGCAATTTTCTTAGAATACGTCTGATAAAGATCACAGATCGCATTTACCGCATACCTCATCTCTCAGCACATCGGTATCTCATACGGGACCGGGAAAAGCCGTGATATGTTGAGTGCTAGTCAGAACAGAAATGCGCTCCTGGTATGTCATTGCTCTGTATTGAAGATGGAGCGAATACTGTGAAATATGGCTAACATAATTAGACGTGGTATGTGTGTGAATTACTCTACGTCTTCAGCACTACCGTGGTGAAGTTATCCGTTGGATTCTTCTTATTACGCCTGTCAATCGACACGAAGCATATATGGATCCTTCGGCTCTCTATGGCGTCAACAGTAGTCTTTGGCATCGCGTTCTTTTTCGTTGGTGTGTTCCAATGCAACCCAATATCCGCATATTGGGAAATATATCCAGGGGTTGAAGGCTACTGCATACCAGAAAGAACCATCATCATCATGAACTACGTTGCTTCCTGTTTGAACTGCATTGCAGATTGGACTTTCGGAATCTTGCCTGGTTTTATTGTATGGTCACTGGAGATGCCAATGAAGACCAGGATTCTAGTCATTGTTCTTCTGAGTTTTGCTGCTATGTAAGTCTTCAGTCAAAGAGAGTTGATCGCAAACCAAACGACCGGGGTAGCTAACGCGGTCTTAAAGTGGGAGCACCACGACGCTTATCCGATATAAGTATGTTAATACCCTATCAGAAGGTCCGAACTTTCTATGTAAGCCTTGCCAAGATCATGCAGCTCCCCTCTCATCCAAATTAACGTTCATTTCTCTAGATGCCACTGCCGATATCGCAAATTGGAGTACCGTGGAAGTCGGCATAGGCATCACAGCCGCGTCCCTCGCAACTCTCAAACCTTTGTTCCAACTTATAAGCTACAGAATAGGCCTAACAGACAGTGGGCCAAGCAACCCTTACTGGCGGGGCCGGAGTAGTGAGCGTCGTTTCCAGCTTGGCTATATAAGAAGCAGCAGCGCGCCACCCATCCCTTCTAATCCACCACAATTAAAAACAAATATTGAAGAGAGCACCCATGCCTCCATAGTTCCATAATAATTAGATATAATACCTACATATGACACAAACCACGGAAACGTAATATAAATTTCGTCCAACTATTATCTCCCCCTATTTATTTAAGGGAAGGGACTTGCTTCAGAGCCACAAAGTGCAGTTCTGGAAAAGTCTTTCTCGATCATTTTCATGTTGGGAGTAACGAGCTGCTCGATATCCCAAATAACCTAAATAAAGCGTCCAGGGAGGAAGCTAGACTCCTCAAAAGCCAGCCAGTAAAAAGTAGCAACAGTCGAGGTACTTGGTAAATTCATTACATAGCAGAGGATAAATAGTAATCTGTCTCTGATAAGCTAATAAGACTGGCTTGTTTCAGTAGAACGAATAGTATATGATGCGAGTACGGAGTACTTGGTAAATATTTGGAATAATTTGTCTCTCTCGGATAAATAAATTACACCGACGCTATGAACAGTATCTTGTTGCTACTTTTTGTGTGAAAAATTTGTAGCGACTATACAAATTATCTAATATTAATCCAAGAAACCAAATCAACTCTTTTCAACTTCGTGATCCGTTGGCATAACGTTAACCCGATTCTAAAGCATATGCCTCTAGTATAAGTATATCATAACTCCTATGTATCTCTATGACACTCTTCGCCCTAATCACTCAACTCGTGAATTACTATCTGCTCTTCTCTTCTCCTTTATCATCTAACATTTTGTTTATCACAGGCGATGTCACAAAACTCTGTTCTTATTACAGGCTGCAGTGATGGAGGAATAGGCGCAGGGCTGGCTCTTTGTTTTCAGAAGCATGGGTGGAAGGTCTTTGCAACAACTCGTAACATCTCAAAGATGGCAAGTTTGGCAAATATTCCCAATATTCAACTTCTTGAACTTGACGTGACCTCTTCGCTCAGTATTGAGGCTGCTGTTGAAGCAGTGAAGCAAGAGACTGGAGGACGTCTCCACTGCCTTTGCAATAACGCTGGTGCGTTGATGATGATGCCGGTATTGGATACTGATGAAGGGGAGGCCAGAAAAATGTTTAATGTTAATTTCTGGGGTCCTTTGGCAATGATACGAGCCTTTTCTCCCCTTATCATTAATGCTAAGGGAACCATTGCCAATACTGGCTCTATATCTGGCTATCTGAATGTCCCTTTTGGAGGTAAGCAAAAGAAATACTTAAACTTTGATATTGTTTTCTAACTTGAGTTAGCATTATACGCAGCATCGAAATCGGCTATAATGACTCTGAGCGAGACGCTGCGTCTAGAAATGTCTTCATTTGGCGTTAAAGTGCTCACAGTTGTCACGGGAGTCGTTAATAGCAACCTTGGATCTGAGAACACTGCATTCCAGTTGCCTTCGACTTCTCTTTATAGGGGCGCAGAAGAAGCTATTAGAGAACGAGCTCAGGGAGGTGGCGGAGCGAAAATGAGCACTGAAGAATATTGCGAGAAATACGTCAAGGCAGTGGAGAGAGAATCAAGCGGCCAAGTTTGGATCGGCAACAGTGCAACAGCAGTGAAATGGGGCAAATTTCTTCCTTCAAATATGATTGTAAGCTCTATACATGCACTTTCCGAAACATTTCCTATGAGGCTTATAAACACAGCAGGATTCTCTAGTTTCTCAGGGAACAGGGTTGAATCAAGTTTAATTGAAATAGGTCCGGCCGCTGCCATGTAGGGCTAGAGCTTTTACTGCCTTGGTAGAGAGTTGAGATGAGTCACCTCGTGTTCAGGATACACTATTCCAAAGGAGGAATGTAGATGCCTACAATACTACGGCCAAAGTTCCGCTCTGAACGCCACGCAGTCGCGCGACAAGCTATCAATTAACCTACTATTCTAGAAACAACATCGCCGAATTTAGTTGATGGCTGTGTTGTTGTGTAGATCTATAAAAGGGATGCTGCCGTAAAGAGGCCTTTTCTTTCTTCAGCTTTATACTAATAACCAATTATTCGCTCATATATCGTTTGCTTAGAAGGCTTAGCACGGCTGCCCTTCGAAATCGTTCAAGATGGCTTATTCAGACTTCATAACCAATGCCTATAAGTCAGAACGTTTAATCTATAGGGCTATGGAGGACAATCAGGAGGACAAAGCATGGGTAGCGGAATTTTTACTAAACGATCCCGCTGTCACGATCATGGGGACCCCGCGACTCGCCCTCCCGGCGCCTCTTAGCTCTGCCCAAGACTATTTGAATTTCAACAAAGGAAACCTCCTTAACCTTCTGATTTGTGTTCCACCAGATGTCCAAGATGCGGCATCTGAGGGTGAGTCTGGCGAGGGCAGCAGGAAGAAACCTAAGCCAACGCCGGTAGGCACCATCAGCCTTGTCAACCAGGGCGCACATGTGCAGCACCACCGAAACGCCACGATAGCCATCAACATCATTGCGCCTTACCGTGGGAAGGGGTACGGAGGGGAGGCTATCAACTGGGCCCTCGACTGGGGCTTCAGGAGGGCGGGACTACATCGCATCAGTATCAGAACTTTCAGCTACAACTCCACAGCCCTTCATCTGTATCGGAAATTAGGCTTTGTCGAAGAGGGCCGTGAGCGCGAGACATGTCTCCTTGACCGGAAGTGGCACGACACTGTCATACTAGGAATGTTGGAACATGAGTGGGAAAAGGTCAGGGGTATTGAAAGTTCTTGATACCTACCAACAGCTGGAATACCATATTAGCGCAGCTGAGAGGGAAATTAGATGTAAGCGAGGAGACTACGGCTTAACTATGAGTCGCTATAGGGGAGATTATTACTTGAATACAGAGAGCCTTGTTATAATCACCGTCACATGTCAAAAGTCTGCGACCACTTTGACACGACCCCACTCCACCACAATGCGTGTCAAACATTACAATCATGCATGTTGTCAAGCAGAGAGCCATCAGCGTCCGAAACTAGTCTATCCTTGAGTGGAAGTCGAGTCGGCGGTGCAACATATATGTAGTCTGCCTGCCTTCAACGAGAGGCTCTACGCCTACGGCCATCAAACTCAATAGTACTGTGCTATGTAGCTGGTGGCGAGATCATTCAAGAAGTTCATCTTTAGACACATGTGCTCATTTTGTTTATCTAGTCGCTATTTAAACCTGTCCTCAGAATTGTGACTGCCTTGATGCCCTCGCCTCTAGTACTGGCTACCAAGGAAGTCGTAGCGAGCGCCCGATTAGTACCTGGGTAGTTGTCGCAAACGACCAGCGAATAAGCCGCGAATACCTGGTATTATATGTTGTTGTAGTAATCCTTTTTAAATCCGTACGCTACTAGAAATATGTTTCCAAGCCTAATATACCCTTCATACCCTTACATAAGGCCACAGTACATAAGACCACAGTCGCTAGAAGGCTCAGGAACTTTGTTGTTCACCTTGAGATTGACACCTGCTGCGTTGTCTAATAAAGCCTGTACAACCTCGGTGTGCCCTTCTCCAGAAGCGGCCTAAAGAGAGTTTCTATATCGTTCACCTTGGGCATTGACATCCGCTCCCTTGTCTAACAAGATACGCACAGCCTCGGTATGTCCGATTTCAGATGTAATACACTTGCCCCGTCTCCGTCTAAGTAATTAATTGAGCTCCTACTACTGAGAATCAATCCGCGAATTACGTTTTCATGTCTATTAAAATGCTTGGATTTATTGAAGACTAACTACTGTCGGGGCTCACTGACCTCATATCAGCCTTTTAAGACGATAAGGCACATGGTTTCCAGCTCACGGCAATGTACCATGAACGAGGCTGAAATTTACCAAAGCAAAGCAAAAGAACGGTTCATGAATTAAAATTGGACTACTTGAACCAGAACAACGACTCGACCCTCCAGTCTCGTAGTCTAACAAAGGTCTCATTATGTAGTCAGACACACAACTGTGCTATACCTGTTGAGACCACTGCCCAAGGCAACCCACCAACCAAGCACGCCAACCAAGCAGTTGCCCGTACACATGCCCGTATGTCTATATTTCTTGTGATAGTAATCCCATGTCAGGGCCTACATAGTTGTCTCTCCCATGGACCAGCCACCACAGACCGACAAGAAAAGCCAGGCCAACGGTTATGACACTAGTATAGTTCATAGACTCGACGGATGTAGGCAAGGCATATGGGAAGCAGTAAATGACGAATGACACCGGAATATAGATGCAAGAAATGGCGTTTACCAAAAATCCAGCCCTTCCCATCCAGAATGGGCCTGGTCGAACATTTTTGCGACCAGTAAGCAGATGTGGGAGGATAGCGAGAAGGTATGAGAGGGTTGTAAGCAGGATGAATGAGCCGATAAAAGCGTTAAAGGCAGCTAGTGATCCAATATAAACAGCGCCCATGCAGGTGGAGAAGATTCCACAAGCTAGAGTTGCATACAGAGGACTGTGCCATTGAGGACTAACTGCTCCGAGCTTGCTGGCAAACGGAGCAGCATTGTCGCGCCCAAGTGTATATAGTGTTCGTCCTGCTGTAATGTAACAACCGATGGTTGCACAGAAAATCGGTAGCATAATGACGAGCAAAAGGCCCAAGGCGCCTGCTTTTGACCCCGTTGCTTGGAGGTAGATGTCGCCAAGTGGACAAATTGATTCGGCCTCAAAGATGGTTGGCAGGTCATTGATGGCGTAAAACATGGAGATCATGTAACAAATGGCTGTGACAAATCCAATGGCCACTTGGCAGAGTAAAACTTTGGGAAGGTTCCTCGCCGCCCTGACAGACATGTTAGCCATGGCGATGCTGAAGGTAAAGGAGTTGTTGTCACATACTGAGGAATCTCTTCGGCGATATGAGTGACACAGTCTGGCGTGCCCACGGCAAACGCACCATTGAGCATGCCTGCTAGAAAGACAAAGGCGTTACTCGAGTAGCCCGTCCCGTTGCTCCAATCACTCCAAACAAATTTATTTGATGCGTAGCCTTTGCCATTGCGGCTGGGCATGACAGCACAAACCACAATGGTGACAAAAAGGCCACCAACGATGAGAAACGATCCGATCCTATTAATCATGGGGAGCGCACGGTTGGCAAACATGACGGTAAAACAGCAACCCCAGCACGTAATTAGATAGCAAATAAAGACTTGCCAACGTTGTGGCTCAAACGTAGGGTGGAATAAGGAATAGGCGTAGATAATCATGCTGCCGATGATGGAACAGTTGGCTGATATACCAAAAGTCCACGCAAGGCAATTAAGCCATCCGGCAAACCAGCCGCAAACCCGGCCGTACCGAGGCCCTGCAGTCACAGTGGCCCAGTGATAAACTGACGAGACACGGGGTAAGCTGTTGTGTGTTTTGGTGATGCGATGGGTTGGGCTCCCACTTACCTCCGCCAGACGCGGGAATTGCCGAAGCTAGTTCGGCAATTGACGCTGCAATAAACCAGTAGAAGACGGAAACAGCGATGCTGCAATATACTGTGATTAGCACATGTTGTCATGTCAAGGACGCGGGACTAGAGAGGCGAGGCACAATTCATATATAATTCCAGGGGGTCCTCCATTATATAGCGAGGCAATCTAGGAATGTTAGCTTCAGAAGCCATAGTCAAGAGTGCCATGGAACGCACAATAGCACCGCCCAGAGCCGTCCAGGTATTCCCGGTGGTGATACCGGTTGCACAGGCACTCAAGAGATTGAATCTCTTTTCCAGAACTGGAGTGCTTCTTGTGATGTCGACATTGGTTGTGTTGACTGGTGTGACTGCATTCACTGGAGTCTCGAACACGGCGCCCTTTTCAGTGGAATCACTATCCATGGCTGCGACAAACGAGATGAAGGTCAGATGATGGAAGATAAGTACGAGTAGGTTGCACGACGACTAAGGACTGGAATGGACGTCGATGCTTTCGTCGGCGTCATGCTTGAATATATAATTGTTTTCTCGGCGGCGATGCCTCGCAAGCAGTCACCCCAAGTTTGGCTTATCAGGAGGCGCCAGGCATTACGGTTATCTTGACGCCAAATCGGGCAGGGGGGGTTGCTCTTTGCCTAAACGCGCTTTTTCTGGATGAGAGGGGATAAGAGGCGTCGTAGAAGCCGGTGCAACCCCAGACGCCAGATTTTGGTGGGGTGATGGACATGGTGGCTCGACTTGAACGGTTGATCATGTTCGTGTTCATTTTGGACCAATCAGCCGCGTTTGTCGTTTCCAGTTGAGCAGATGCTCGACGTTTGTTCGCTGCGTTGCAAAGCTGTTAAAATCTCTTGTCGCCTTGTCTGCAGCATTGGCTTTTGGCTTTTGAGATGATGATGTTGAGAAAAAAAAATAAAATACCAATTCAGACTCCTCGGTACGGCAATCAATGTTGGTGGCCGCCCTTGGCGCCTGGCGCTGTGCCCCCCCATCGTTCCTGCCCCCAACTTGGTCTCCAATTTTGATTGGTGGTGGGTACTCGGCACATAGTATTAATCCACACTCTGGCCCATCCGATTGGTCCAAACGCCTGTTTTGCTTGTTTTGGTTTAGCGCGGGATTTTTATCTCCGTTACTGGGCCTCCTTCACTTCTTCACTTCACCACCTCCCATGATAGCGGGTGGGACTGATTCGTTCACCTAAGGTTCCCTCGTCTCCTCAACAACAGCCGACCCCGGATCGGATCTGCTCCTCTCATCCTTTGTTCTGCCCAGTTTCCAAGAGGCCGGTATCGTCTACCCCGTGCCCCGTACATGTCGCAACGCAACTCGGGGCAGCCAGCGCATCGGCATGTCCACTCCTTGATCTGCATGGGCTACGAGACGCCATTCTCGACATCAAGTTCCACATGCCATGCAGCCATGCAAGAGACGGCGTGCTGGGTGCACAGAGTGTCGCAGGAAAAAGGCAAAGGTACGGAGTAGTGGCACTCTATTATCCCGCAAGTGCTATTCCGGAGGCTCACAGGGATACTGTACCAGTGCGATGAAAAGCGGCCAGTCTGCTCACGCTGCTCGCCATGGCCTCAGCTATGCTCGTACCAACTCAACATTAAGCAAACTCAATTCCAGACCAAAAGAGTGGACAAACTCCCTCACGGTAACGTCGCCCGTCTTGTGTTTGTGCTTCTTTGACCACCATCTAGCTAACTAAACCATGTGTCTTGAAGTCTTGAAACAAGATCTAACGCCTCAAGCCGCCCTTGATGCTCCATCCGCTGACGTGCAATCGTCGAGTCCTCTCTTGTCCACATACAGATTGACTAGTTATCCTGCCGTCCAATCTGATGCTGATCGGTTCTACTTGCATCACTTCATTACATATACCTCCATCGTCTACTTTCCTCTGCAGCCGGAAACTGCCCTAAGCTTGGTCATACCAACGACCCAGCACAGCCCCTGTATGCTCCGCGCAATAGTCGCCGCCAGCTGCAGTCACTACTTTCGACTGACAGGGACTCAAACAGCCCGCACCGCGGCCATGGCTGCAACAGTGGCTAGTCTTTCAGCCCTGCGTAAAACAATCACGGTTCCAATTGTGACGAGTCAGCATTCGGCGATACTCTGTACCATGCTGTTCTTAGCCACCTCGTGCGTCTGTGCCGGAGACACACGTGCGTTTCGCAAGCATTTGAATGGCGCCCTAAATATCCTTCACCAAGAACATGGCACGTCACATGCCCATGATGCACTTTGGTGGCTGAGCCTCAAATGGCTTGTCCAATTATATTTGATGAATAGACTCTCAGGGTTACCATTGACAAGCCCTCAAGAGGGAAACTGGAGCTTCAATGGCTTCAATTGGGATCAGCCATTGGCTGGCATGCTCGGATTTGGGCACATAGATGCGATAACAGGTCTATCCCGCCAGCTAATCACAACGCTTGAAGGCATTTGCGAACTGTCCGCCCCAACTCAAGTTGCACAAAATGGCCCAAAACATAATACTCGCGTGGGAAACAGTCATCCTAATCAGCATCAGGTCCATATAGCACGCCAAGTTTGTACTCGATCTCTCGAATCCCGTTTACTCAAGATCGAGCATGCGGCCACTTCATCGCACCATGACTCGATACTCCAAAAAGAACTAGAGTTCTGTCACAGCATGTACATCAAGGCAACGCTCCTTTGCTTGTACCGCCGCGTGGACGAGCTGCCAAAATCGCATCCCAAGGTACAACTAGCGGTTGAATCTATGATTGACACAGTCCAGAAATTAGACATGTACTCTCGTACCAACATACAGTTGTTATGGCCACTGCTCACGGCTGGATGCGAAGCCATGACCGACTTCCAACGCTCCGTCGTCGCGGACAGGATGACGGCCCTGAGTACCCATGGCCATGGGAACTACAGCAAGGTCCTTCAGTTTATGAAGGAATACTGGGAAAACGGAGGTGGCACTCGGTGGGACGTGTTTGGCCAACGAATTGGACTGGATCTGGTCTTGTTTTAAAGCTACATTGCTCAAGTGCACTGGTGCAAGATGTTTACGTCCTGGGACCAATCAATCTTTTCTTGATCAAATCATTACGGAATGCCTTTGTCTAGGCGCCTACTGCCATTACTTTACAGTGATGTCTTGTCTTCTTTGGACACTTGCTCCAACAGCAGCTTCTTCAATTCGCCTGTGCAGTCCTCCTGGCCCATGAAAGCCTCAATCACTGTCACGCCCGCATTCTCGCGCTGCATGGGCTGCGAGTCAAGAGCCGTTCTGAGTTCTCCCCATGTTCTAGCCGCAAAGTAACGATGTGCCGCGTCGTCGTCACTCAATCCAAAGAGGCCTAGGGCATGGCGGTGATTCCATTGTGAGATGTTGTTGTAGCTCGCGTTTCTCCCATGAATGACGCGTTCGATTGTGTATCCATTGTTGTTGATAATAATGATTACGACGTTGAGATTCTTCTTGATCATGGTGCTCATCTCTTGGGCCGTCATTTGAAAACTGCCGTCCCCGATGAAGAGGAACGTGCGATGCGGCTCCCTATTGTGGCCTTGTTGGTGTGAAGCCGAGTCACGCTGGGCCAAGGTTACCCCAAGAGCAGCAGGGAGCATGTAGCCGATTGACAACCAGGTTACTGCTGTGAAGAAGCGGCAGCCACTGGGGAGCTTGAAGACTTTGCCACCTTCTGCGGCGGTACCCGTCTCAGTAAGAATAATGTCGCCACGTCGAAACATGCGGTTCATGAATGGGTAGAAGAGAGCCTGGCAGAGCATATCCGAGGCTACAGGGTTGGGGTCGGGTAATGGCACGACACGGGGCCCGGTGACTTGAGCAAGTCGTGGCATGTCGACCAATTTAACAATCTCTGCAAGGATTCTGCGAGGTGATGTGTCCCGCAAAACATGACCGTCAATCTGCACTTGGTTTGGTGAAAAGGCAATAGTCACAGTCTCATCGGGAATCGCGGTGAAGATGTGAGTGTTGATGTTGCTGAGGTGAGGACCAAAAAAGAGGACAAGATCAGCCGTTTTGAAGTAGGTTGCGCAAGAATCGTCGCCATAATCGGCAAGATAAACTCCATGGACATTTGGTAATTCCTCATCAACGAGACCCTTTCCGAACGCAGAGGTCCATGTTAGCCACCCGGTGGCCCTTATGAGCTGGTCCATCTCGGCAAGGGCTCCGATATTTCTGCTTTCGCCGTCAACCAGAATAACAGGTTGTTTAGCTGAGTACATACGATCCAAGATGGTGGCAACGTGCTCTGGATTGATTGGCAAAGTCCCCAGCGAGGGGCCAGTGATTGGCCCAAGGCCGAGATTGGTAGCCGCTACAGCTACATTGGCCATGTCCTCTGGGATCTGAAGGTATACAGGCCTTTGGTGTATCATGGCCTGCGCAATGACCCAGTCGATTTGATCTGGCGCCGTTTCGGCGTCGGTTAGGTTGACCTGAGCTGCCGTGACATGAGCATACATTGCTGCAAATCGCTTGTATTCTCCATCGATAAAGGTATGATGTACCAAGGCCCTGGAGCTCTGAAGACTGCGCGAAGGCGTACCGACAATGTGGATAACGGGTGCTCTTTCGGCGTAGGCGCCCGCGATGCCATTGATGGCTGACAGCTCCCCTACGCCAAAAGTGGTGATGACGACGCTGAGGCCGTGGATCCTCGCGTAGCCGTCGGCAGCGTAGGCTGCATTCAGCTCGTTGCAGTTGCCAACCCAGTCAAGTCCGCTGGGCTCAATAAAGTCAAGCAGCGCGAGGTTGTAATCGCCTGGAACACCAAAGACGGAGCGGATGCCGAGCTGTTGGACTCGGTTGAACAAGTATGCCCCTAGGGGAATGGTGCTTTGCTGAGCGTGCCTCATGGTTGCACTAGAGTTTGAATCTTTAATCATGGATGGCCAGGATGGTTTTGAATCAAGGCGGTTGCAAGCCCTCGTTATCAGTCTTGTTTGGAGAAAGTTTTGGTGTTTTGAACTCTTACTTGTCGCAAGTTACCTTGATCCGGTCATAAGAAGCACATACAAGGGGATTTAATTTCTTCAAAACCCATCCACCACGCGGCATAAAAGCACGCTGCAAAACCTATGTTATCCGTCTTCATCATATGGTGGCGGACTCGCTTCAGGACTCAACAACATGTAGCGGGGATACCGTATCATGATGGAGCATTTGACTAGCCTTATTTTGGCAAATTAAGCGCCTAGGGCCATTATTTGATTAGGTTCTTTCTCCGGGGTTCAAGTGCCCGTGGTGGTTTTACGGGTTGGCTTCTCTAAAGTGGCTTTTTTAGAACATTGAAGTTGAAGACATACTGTAGCAATCGAGTGGGGCAGGTTCAGGGGGCTTGACATCGAGAATAGCCCATCAATTGATCCATGTCTTCCTTGGACAAACTCCACTAATAAACCGCTACTCGGCCGGCATATGCCTAGTCTGTCCAGTGTGATGGTTCTGCAGTATCTCGACTCCCATTGCCGCGCCACTTTTCCGCTTAATTCGCCAAATTCAGGTTGGGCCGGCGGCTTTCAGGCTGGTCCAGTTCATATACTATGTACGAAGCGGGGGGCGCTTGGGTCAGCAGGAATTGCACCAATCTTCCTCCGACTGGGATTCGTGTTCATAACTGCTATCGAAGAGCAAGTCTAGATCTTCCCCGGGATCGGCATATTAATGCACCTGAAGGGGAAAGTAAGCGAGGAGACTACGGCTTAACCATAAGTCACTATAGGGGAGATCATTACTCAAGTACAGAGGGGTTTCCATGCTATAATCACCTTCACATGTCAAGAGTCTGCGACCACTTAGACGCAACCCCGCACCACCACAACGCGTGTTAGACATTATTCAAATGGCTACAACTTTTGTAAATAATGCCAGAATATCGTGGGTTTAGTACCGTTATATCCAGAAACTATCTAAGAAACAATGTATTTACTCTTGATGCAGAAGCTTCAATCATTACATCGTCGTACCAAGTAGTGCTGTTAGTGTACGGTTACACGGGATTTTCCACTGCACACTCGACCGTCCTGGGTACAAGGAGTTGGATTACCCTTTTTGTTGGCTGTAGTTGATGATAGTTTTGTTTTCCTTAGCATATCAAATACGTACTCTTTTGAGACCTGCAAATACAAGATTGTCAAGATTTCGTTAGTATCCCCATATACGTGATCGGAAAGTGGTCGAACTGTGCTCCGCGTATGTGAGAGTATGTAGTAGTCATCTAGGTGTTTGCGCAGTAATTGAGAGATAGTGTGATGTATCTTGATGTTGAGGATATCCAAGTCCTATATAAAGTGCAGTCTTATAAATATTGATGCTATAATGGTTGCAAAACTTGACTAACACAGAGCATACGGGTTGATAAGTAAGAAAAAGTTGAATGAGGCCATATAATATATTTATACAATAGATACGGGAGATTCTAGTCCATTTGAACAAGATACTCAAAATCCAGCCCGTGACTTACAACATAAACTTCATCTCCATGAACAAACCACACATTTCCATTTCCATTTACGCCCATAGATGTGCCTAAATCGCCCCCGGAAATACTCCACGATGGTGGAATGGGAAAGTGGCGTGTATAATATGCAAGATCAACCCAATTTCCAAAGTCAACAGAGCTAACCCAGTCGCTCCTATCCACAAATATTAACTTAGACTCATAAGAGCCAACCACATATCGTATCTCTCGTTCAATCCGCAGAGGCGCCGTAACATGAACTGAGTATCTGGATATTTGAGCAGAATCCATCCAGATAATGGCAGCCTCTGTCATACCCAAGTTATCCCTGCTTGTAGACAAGAACTGGATGGCTAAAATTAACGAATCACCCCGAGATATCATGGTAACCTTTTGTATGCGCTGAGCTACAGGAACTGGAGATCTTCTGAACCGCTGCAATGATATGTTCCATTCGCTGTGAGAATGCCAATCAAATATCTCCACTAAGGTTTTGGAAACCAATATGAATTGCGCGGGATTCTCCGGGTGATTCAAACAGTGGATTTCATCCAGTTCCAAATGAGGACAAGAGCTCCTCAAATACCTTGTCAATTCCCCTGTATCGACATGCCAGATATTGAGTCCATCTCTTGTCGCGACAAGTAAAAATCTGTTTGAAGGATCCAAAAGTAGCCGATGCTGCATTGTGCCATCGAGCTTTTTGCGCATTAGGCGCTTTGCACTCCAGCCAAACTCTTGATCCCCGGCCAGACTCCAGACCCTAAAGTCTTTTGTGCTATGGCTCACAAATATATTCCTTTGAGACCCAAAGATGCATGATACAACCGCATGGTGGTGGCGACACAGTAATACACATCCACCAGCGACAGTGTCGTGGATGGTGACAGAGCCATCGTTTCTACCAGCAAAAACAAATCGCCCCGGACCGTCTATGCAGACGCTAATCACATTTCCGTATGCAAGATTTATATCATTGATGTTTGTTCCCAGCTCTTCTGGCCCAATCAAAGACGTTCCACGGTTTGCTAAGTGGAATAACTCGGCTGGTTTCATAACATAGCAACGTGAGTCCAGAAGATACACAAGCCGCAGACCGTCCAAGCTGAACGCCAGGCTGCTTGAATAATTCCATGTGTCGAAATAACACAATAGTTGTAAAGTGTGAAAGTCTCGGAGCTCCAGGTTGCCCATACCTTCAATCGCCAATATCTGCCCATCCTGGCTGCAAGCACCCGCAGCTATACCGAATGACGACAGGGCACTTTGAAGCAGTGTGCGGTTCTTGTAGTCATAAATGCATATAATACCATTCCTATCAGTGTTGTAAAAAGCGGCGAGGGTATGATTGTCTTTCTTTGAGTTGAATATGAACGAACTGGGCGTAAGGGAATCTGCATTATGTTGCCTATACTGAAGGACACCATTAGGGGTCCCACCGTCTAAACCATATAGACAAATAGGCCAACAATCAAACATAACGGCCATTATGGATGAATCAGGACTGATTGCCGCCATCAATGGCAGCTCTCCTGGAAACCTTTCATAGTTGAACAGCAATTCACTATTCCAAGGAAATTCGTTTGTAAGTTCTCCAGACAGCATGCTCCAAGATGAAGAGCTACAATCGTTCACTACTACCATCACAACCCCTGCGTCTGTGATTGCAACACTAATCACTGCATCTGAAACTTCAATAATTCTGAGCACGGCGCCACTCACAATGTCCCAGATCATAACATATCGCGAACATGCGGATACGACATGGGTGCCATCGCCGTTGAACAAAAGATGATATACGGGACCGCAATGCTCAAGTGTTTTCCAAGGGAGATATGTGTTGTTCTCATAAAGGATTATGGATCCATTTGTGTAACCAACGGCCAAAAATGTACTCCCACAGGTGAAGACGGTAGCATGTTGGTCCATACTGTCAATACAAGCCCCGTAGTTAATCAAGCCCTTATTCTCAAAGCTTCTGACAGTGAAATTGGACGTAGACTTGGCGCCAATAACCGATGATTCTGAGTAAAAAGCCGGGATTATAGAGTGTATCGCTGATGGACAGGCTAAAAGGTTCTGGCCGAAATCAACAATCATTTGATGCAAATCCGTCTTCCAATTTTGAGCAAGGCGGGCAAGCTCGACCATAGCAGGTGGTGACTGGATGCGTCTCAGTGCGTATTCACAAATAGAATCCGCTGTTTTTACTAGAATAGAGAGATCTCCATTCAAAGCGACAAACTCGACCCAGGACAGCACGTCGGATTGGAGAAAGTCATAAAGCATTGCTTCTATCCCTGGGCTCGCAGAGGAGGCATTGTTGAGATGCTCTGCAAATTCCAGCGCGGCGTATTGGGCAAAAGAAGAGCGGCTGTTAAATCTTTGCCTCCTGTTTGACCATACCTCTGGTTGGCCCAGGCAGAGCAACCGAAGACAAGTGGCAGCAAGTTGAAGGTGCCCATCGTCTAGTCTGATACGAAATTTTGAATTGACGACATCCACCAAGAACGTCTTGGCTGTAAAATGGGCCATCATTACCCGTCCAGATTGGTCGACATGAAGCAGCTGCGCACACAGAGATGCAATGGCCTTGTCTAGTTCAGGCACCTCGTCATTTATGTCCAGTTTCAGAGCCTCTGTGAGTTCAGCCACCGTCAATGGGCGGACAGAACATACGACCCATGTGAGAATGGCTCTTATGAGTCTTTGATTATCCGGATGTTCCGATGACATGCTGTCAATGGCGCGTAAGTAAAAGGGAGACATGCCTTGGGGCAAATCGTCCAAAACGCGCTCAGCTTCGCGAAGAGACCAGGTGGATGCAAGTTCATCAAGAACCAGACGCACCCATAGGAAGCATCCATCGCTTTTTTCTATTATTCGTTTGATGAAGTTATTTTTCTGCTCCTCATCCCCGACATTGACTTTGTGTTTATTTGCTTCGATATACAATCTGATGTCGGATTTGGTGACTTCCGGCGATATCGCCGTTTCCAAAACCGAGATGCTATTAGTGCGATTGGACAATTTGGAAAGAGTTTCTCCAATAAAAGGAACTTGGCGACTGGTGATCATTATACGGATTCCAAAAACCCCTTCCAAAGCCGCAATCATAGTAAAGATGCACTCACATCCAGAGCATTCATCAAGGGCATCGAGGACCAAGTAACGAACAAGGTCGGTCTTCTTGCGGGCAATTATTGGCAATAATAAATTCCTCCATATTTCATTGGCACTGTGCTTGTCGAATCTTTTTCCTCTGTTCATCATTGACAAAAGTTGTTGACGCACGCCGTTACTTTTGAATGCCATCTGATACAGAAGGGAAAGCAGACATCCGCTCACAGTGGATGTTTGCTCATCTCCCCGTTTGAAGAAAAAGAAATAGCATTTCCTCTTTGTATCCGCGAGAGCTTTGATAACGTGTGCGGATAATACTGACTTGCCTGTAGCTGGGCGACCAGAGATCCAGTATACCATTGATGTATTTTCAGAGTTTAGGTTTGCCCATTTTCTAAATGCCTTTCTTTCGGTTAACCACTCACAAGAGCCTTCAACTCTTGACTCCTCGAGGTTCTTCAAGTCACTATCTGGCTTCACTGGCGCGGCGAGGAACTCTTCGATTCCCTGCATGGCTCTCCACTTGTCTTCGTCATTGTTTGGTGAAACTGTCCATGATGATTTAGATGGGGACCATTCTGGATCGATTAAATGAAGCACTCACGATCTCGCAGGATCTTCTTAATCCTATACCGGAGAGCATTGCGAACGGATTGATAATTTGAATCTTTTCTTGATTTAAATTTGCACATTTTCATGTGGTTTGCATCAAGCATGGCGTGTTCTTCACCGGGAATACCCATGATAGCAGAACTCTTCTTGACGATCGTTACCGACCAAACGCCGGTATGAACCGGCTTTGACTCATAGAAGGAATATAGCGATACACCAGAAACGCACTGACTGAAGGAGAGTTTCAGTGATGATAGCAGCCCATTGTCGGTATCAAGGTTTGATACGTAGCAGCGTTTTGAATGCAGAGGTAAGACGCAGAGAATCTTGTTCAATATTGGAGCCAGGCTGGAGCCAGGCTGGAGCCATTGTGAGGAGTACCCAGGAAAAACATGGCCTTTATTCGTTCGGCCAATTCAGAGCGACAAGGTTTCTGACGAGCGATCACATATGCCTGTTGTCATTATTGAGTTGGTAAGAAGAAAGTAAGAGTACATGTCAAAAGACAGTAGATAGTTCCAAGACTTACCTGCTTCACAACTAAGCCACCCAAGCTATGCGCTACGAATATAATCGGATTCTAGAAAAAACGTCAACACTATTTGCAAAAGAGTTTAAATAAAACTCTCATGTAAAACTTGCCTTTCTTGACCCTTTGAAATCTGGAGAATTATGTAACCTTTCGAGCAATTGATTGCCAAAATCCGTGATGTTGCTATTCGGGCTGCCTCTCAAAAACTCCCACTCAGCGTCATACCCATAGGAGTAGATGCGAACATCCTTGAATCCGCGTTCTTTGGGAAGCCATTTCTGTGGCCAAAAACTAGCAGCATCCTTAGAATAGCACCACGTTTTCACACTTCCTCCCGCAAGGCCGTGAACAAAAATGAGATCGACAAGCGGGTTGGGTGGGCACGAAAGAAGAGTAAGTCCCCATTCTCCACGTGAATAGCGTATCTCGGACTCTTGCTGGGAATGGCTCCCACTTATCGATGGTATGCTTTCCATGAAATTGAAGGGACTGCTTATAGATGTGCGATGAAGTTGAAAAACAAAGAGATAAGAGCTGGCCAGCTACCCTACCAACCTAGCACTTAAGTATTTCCGAGTAGATAAGAGATATTTGAAGGGAGGCTACACAGTACAACAACAAATGTCCTTACCCCTGCTCCAAATGTTTCGTATCATTCAGAGATAACCCAAATCAAGCATCGCCAACATGAACCTGTTCGGCCAGCCGCATGTCGAGGGACACGAGTGTTTTCGTAGTGCAGTTCACGAGGAATTATCCTTGCCTGTGAAACCAAGTGCGTATTACACGGCGCTTAACGGATGTCGAGCTTTCTATCAACAATTTATCATTCTATCCTGCCGCTTGAGGCATTTACAGAAATCTCGTGCAAGAATTTGGCAATATACATACATATATATATTGAAAAGGGGTGTTAGAGAGAGACTGTGTGATTGTGTGAGTGTGTTGGGCGAGTGTTGCTACCGCAGACATGTAGAAAGTCTATGGGGTCACGGGCGGTTAATCCAACATGGAACTAATGGTTATCGTGTTTTAGGGTTCTATTTAGATACCCGAGCTAAAGAAAACAAATTGATAAAAGATTCGCCCTTGAATGATTGGCAGTGGAAGTCAATAATCTGAACCTCAAGTTCTACAGCCGCCGTGGCAACTGCAGCGTCACCTTGAGCGCGCTTCTATTCTTCCTCCCAACCCTCGCAACCATTTGATACTTTTCAATCAGGTACTCCATCGTAGACACGGCGCTGGATTCTTTAGCGGGATTTTTTTTTTTTAACATTGCATGCCGGGCTTGTCACGTTAACACAGTCCGTCTCCTCTTAGATAACTACCCAGAATATACCGACATACACGCAAAAGCTAAGAACAACACTTCAGCCATATTGGCGGCTGCAAAACGGTCGGGCTATAATATCGACAATGAATCTTCACACCGCGACGAAATAATGCACATGCTGCTTGATAAAGGTGCATCAGCGGAAGATTTTAGCCAATGGCCGAGCCCTGAAGAAGTGACAATAGAACTGGAGCAGCCGATAGAGAATGTTCTAACACTCGCTGTTCCTTAGGCTAATCGAGAGTTGATCAAACGTCTCATCGACAAAGGCGCCGACCCAAATGTGAAACTTATACATACAACACAGGCGATCGTGCTGTGACTCAGAAGAAAGTATTAACCTTGGGTGTCACTGCCTTGTTCGTTGCCAGTATTTATTGGAACGTCGAGGTAGTTGAAATGCTTCTTAAGCACCACAAAAGCGGCGATGGTGATACAGAGCTGGTTTCGCGCTACGACAGCTATGGACGCCTCCCTCTCCACTGGGCAGCCGCTGGAAGTAAAGAAGGATTTTACCGTAGCTTAATTGAAAGTCCAGAGTTCAATAGAAGGGCAGTGAATACTCTGAAGTTACTGGTGGAAAGCAATCCAAGTGCTGTCAATGCTCAAGATCACGATGGGGAAACACCTCTGCATTATGCAGCACATAGCTATGGCCGATTGACAAACACCTGCAAAGGTGTCTTTCAGTATTTGCTCGAAAATAGCGCTGATGCAAGTAATCGAAATCAAGAAGGGAGAACACCATTCCAGTTCTTATGTGACAGATTCAACGACCACTCGAAGCAGCCACTATGGGCCTACTCTTTACAGAAAGTGAGGATATATCTCACGCCGATGCAAATGGCAATACATGTTTGCACAAAATGGCATCGCAGTGGGATCGCGTTGGGGCTGTAAACTTTCTCTTGGACCGGGGAGCTAGTTTAGCCATAAAGAACCTAAAAGGAAACACAGCTCTTCATGAAGCAGCAAATGGGCATTTTATTCGAGGTTATATAGCTAGAGAAACTAAGGAATGAATTCGATGGAATGATGAAGGTCTTGCTAGAGGCAGGTGGCGACAAGGTTGTGAACATAAAGAACACTGCCGGTAGGACAGCAAGGGAAATATTTGAAGACACTTTGATTGGAAGGACAAGAAACTGTATTCTTGGCGAAGATTTATATTTTCGCGGATTTGGGGGCAGAGGTAGACAGAAGAGCCCAAGTTATCCTCTGGCTACATCTGTTAACAGAAGCATATAACCATATAATAACTCGCCATCTATATTTATGTAGCTACCAAACTCTTGTTATAATTAGCTATTATTGGCATATCCAAGTATTTCACTACTATACTCAGCATAAATAGTCTATAACTTCCTTCCAGCCATGATTCCCAACGCACACATAGCCCCAAAATACATCATCAGGATCAATAGTCTTTTTGATCTTGCGCAATCCCTCAAAATTGAAACCCCAGAAAGCTTTCTGGAAATTAGGTTCATTCCAGTAGGCCTGTATATTTTAACAGTCACCATCGGTAGGTTGCAGAAATACATCGATATTAAGACCAGAGTCTCCCTGAATAGTAAATTTACCACTAGGATTCTTATTAGTTAAGTTCATTTCAAAAAGCCAAATATAAAATTACCCTGCTGAGCCACAAGATCCTAAGAGGAAGTTAACAGCAAATGCAACATCGCCCAAAGCAACATGTGTATTCTCGAATAGGAAGGAGTTGACGACACAGAGCTTCGCACTTCCGTCGAAAAAGTTTTGCTGTTGCTGCGCTTTAAGTTCGAACTCGGTACCAGGGGAGTTGGAAATAGTATTCTGTGCAAGATTTTGCTGCAGATTCTGGCCATCGGCAACATTGAACTCGCCGATTCCATCGATTCTGGGATCATTGCAGCCGCCAAAACCGGCTGCAAGAGTAGTAGCAGCCAGGGAAGATGCAATAACTGCAAGGTAAGCGAGCTTCATTGTGTACATCTTGACGAAAGCTGGAAACTTAGTATAGGTGTTGCTTTTAGAAGGTTACTGAGTCTTCTGTAAAGAGTGATAGAGAACTGATAGAAAAGAAGAAGTTTTAAGCTGGATTTATATAGTTTTCTAAGCTCTATGCAAACTCCCTTTACATAATTGAATACCGTTCGGCCGCTGCGACCCTGCAACCCTATATTAAGATATCAAGGTCATTGGATATATAATAATATGGGGCGCGTAAGCCGGTGGGCGGCCGCGGGTAAGAGCTACTGGCAACTTGTGAGAGAAAGCAGGCGCAGCTCCAGAGATATTACGACTAGCTCTACTAGCAGTATAGCAGTAGCCAGAGATACTGATACTGCAAGCGTTAGCTAATACTCACATTGCTGTAAAATAAACTAGGATAATAGCAATTTCAATCGACTACCACTGTAGTTTTGCATTACTGTATTATACCAGTTTATTCCCCTCAGTCTGAAACTAAAAATTGCTAGATATCGTAAGTTTAGCTTAGTTCTAAAACCATAGTTTGTTTACAACAAGCTGTTATCCTGCTCTATAACGGGGACTTGCTTTTTAAGCTAACTCATTTCACTAGGGAGACAGTTAACGCAACTGAAGTTTAAAGTGCACTGTCAGCTTTTACGTTACAGAGTCTTTGTCTTTGCGGGCTGTTTTTAAAAATAACCAAGCGATGCGTCTTTTATTGAAAATAATCCGCTTTGGCTCTAAACGGAGCCAAGAATCGCTTAGGTGGAACCACTCGCCTATCCTATGAAATTTATTCTGTCCTAGGCCGTTCTTTTTGTTAGGGGCCGAGATATATATAAGAAGAATGAAGAAGGATAAGGATACTATAACTACTTTTTCGCAAGTAGCTTACAGGTAGGTAGCAGTAAGTAACTATATTCATCTCTAATTTCTGTAGTTTCCTAGGCTTACTATGCCATTTATATATAGTACTCCTTGACTAAGGGCTATACAACCCTTAGGCTGTGGCTTAGCTATATAGTAGGTGCGCTATAGCAGCACAGAGCTAGGTTCTGGGTTTCGGTCCTGATATTTTTGTCCTAAGAATTCTAGTCTATTTTAGGAACTGATTTTCGAGAGGACGATAATTCCTCGTCTATCCCAATAGGTCTCCTCGCTATCGTCGCTCCAATAAAACACAAAAACCAAGACTCTTGACTTGCGAAGGGCACCAGCGAATGCTAGGAGGCTGAGGAATTCGCTAAGCGGCGACAGATACTTATTGCACCTTTTCTCTTGACGGAGGCCTTGCAATATAGCAAGTCCCCCTGGATGAGGCCTAGCTGGGATCCTAAATAGACATGTGCCTTGCGTGGTAGTATGGCCTCGACTAGAATAAGCCGCATGCGGTAGATAAGGCCGGATAGGCGCGTTGTGAATTGAGCTGGGCGAAGGAAGTTGACCACGTCCGCATGTGAGGGTCCGCATATAGCGCTGACGTAGACTAGTATAGTCAAGCTAAACTGACCGCCCTTAAAGTCCTCGTAAAGCATTGGGAGCAGGTTGTTAGGCGGCTGCCAGTCTTCTTCTATATCGCACTCATCCTTACTATCCCCCCCTCTTCTCCTCGCCATTACTTCCTGTTTCCATACTTCAATTTCCTTCTCGGCATTATATTTATCATTATAGAAATTGATAGCGTGGAAGTCGAAACGCGGCCTGTTGGCATCGGGAATTCTATAGTATTAGACTCAGTCATAAATTGACTTCAATCCGGATCATGGAAGTAAACGCTGCTGTGTATTTGGTTTTGATAAGGACTAAAGGAAAAAGTCTCCTTCATATGGTTAAGCCATGGAACACGTAGGATATAGCCATGAATAGAACAATCATTTACATAAGAATAGCATGAATAAAGAGGAAGGCACTCAAAGTAGTTTGCGCCAGCAGTTGCTGGATGAGAGGATCCACGATGCATTAATTGAACAATGCGGAAGCGAATGGGCTGCTCTTACAGACTAAGCTCTAAAAGCCTACTTCCGATCGTTTTCATATATCCTCCCTAATAGTTTCGTTCTCCAGGCATCAAATCAATTGTCAGGGACAAAGAAGCTTCTTAGCAGCGAGAACGCAACAAATTTTGAACTAACAAACTGTGGCGTGAACACATGTATAAAAGCAGGTGTTTTCCTCCCTGTTTAAGGAGAAGTCAGAGATAAATACAGTCTTTATGGTCTACCTAGCTGCGAAACCTGTGCTATTCTGCTATGCTTTATCTCTTTGATCCCATCACTCTTCTCTTTGTGCTGTGATTTCTGACATTAATAGTATTAAGTTGTACAATTAAGATTTCCCCAGCCGGACGAGGCGGTGGCTTGTCGAAATCGTTATCTTCAGCATGAATCCAGTACTGTTAAGTTTATTTACTCAACCAATGTCCGTTGTCGGAATTGCATTTCCATAATCATCAAGGAGATTACACGGGGCGTATGCGCTTCATGCTGCCCGAGAATTCGCTAACCGCACCGCATTTCCTAAATACAGCTGCCTTCCAATGCTGATAACTGTGGCGGTTGGTAACTCGACTAATCTTTGGTTGTGTAACTGATAGTCGATCAAGACAATAAATCTTTCCGAAGCCTGCTTGCGAGCCATCAATTCTAAGATAAAGGTATAACCTCGTTTATTAAATTTCACTTTTCGTGATAATCTGCCAAGAATGGCAGGAAAATGTTGATCTCCAGTCTGGCGGTTGGACTGGGTATATTAATGTCGTAGAATAACTCTCCCACACCCTCGGGCCAAGGCTAAATCTCCAAGGCGCAAGCTATTCCTTATCTTCTCTACTAATATAAACCTATAACCTAGGCTTATTACCTAAAAAGAATTTACCTTATGCTAGGAATAGGGGATTAAGATATTACAGATATAAGGATATTTATTATATCTGTGTTTTTAGCACTAAATTATTTTATATACAGGGTTATAATGTATTCTAGGTGGAGCTGGTGCCTGTTAGATCGAGCTAAATTATCACCGAACTTTGTAGGTCATCCAGAGCTCGATGATTGCAGTTGCGAATTTCTTCGCATTGAGAAGGCCTCAGAGTCAATTGTTATAGGAAATTGCAGCAGAACTCATGATGTTAATATTCATCTCTTAGGATTAGTTCAGGTCTTTTGATGCTCCTCCAACCAAAGGAGTCCCCGCATTGCTAATTCCAACTCTTCACCATTCTTCATACTCCCCCAAGTAGATCTCCATGCAATCATATTATCTGGTCGCACCAATATGGCCCCTCCAGGCTGCAAGCCGCTAAGCAGTTGCCATCGCTCCTCGTAGTCCCTATAAGGACACTTATCGCCAATCTGAACACCGGATACTCGTATCCCAAGGCTCTCGGCAAGTCTCTTTGCAGCTCCAATCCAAGCATGCCCCTCGCCATCTGTGATCACAGCGAATGCCACGGGGCCTCGAACTAAGTCGTGCGTTGATATAAGCTCTTTGTCTTTCTCCAACCACGTGTGTGGAAGGCGGTGTCCAGGCTGGGTCGTTGGATAATATTTTAATCCTAAAGGATCCCTATTGCTAGGAACACTTCCATCGTGAATCAAGAACCCCGAAGTGTATCGAAATCCCAACTCAATTCCGTGGGCCTGAAACTCTATGGCCTGTGTATCGATAATACGGCCGACTTGTGCTTTGAAGCTGAGCCCTCGGTCCGAGTCTTCAAAGAGCATCTGAAAACGCAGGCGATTGACATCTGGCTGGCCGGGCATTAGCCCAACAGCCGTATTGATGACGGATGAGTTGCTAAAGGTAAATAGGCCCCAGTCGCAGTTTACGCGACCCACAAGCCGCCTTTCGCTTTCATAGGAGTCGAGAATTCCTGGACCTGCCTGCCCACCCAGAACAAGGCTCAGCTTCCAGGCAATGTTAAGTGAGTCTTCAATGGCGGTGTTAAGGCCAAGCCCGGTTGTTGGCGGGCGACGGTTTCCAGCATCGCCGGCAAGGAACACGCGTCCGACACGGTACTTGTCAGCGAGAACCCTTTCTATATTCCAGTGGCTGATCTTATGCACCTTTATGGCAAGATCAGGGATCTTGAGCAGTTGTCGAATCCTTGGAAGTAGAGCTGACTCGTCATGTCGCTTATCATCATCCATCGCGAATCCAAAGTGAAACACCCACTCCTCGGACTCTTTCCCCCAGCTGGGGCCCATGGGAACGATTGCACCACTTTCAAAAACGGTGCCGCACTCCCCATTTATAAAGTGACAGGCAAAGTACCTCTCGTCCCAGTACTCAGAGAGGTCGGCGCCGAAGTGCACTGACACCATGTCGGTGATATTTCGTGGCCCTTCCATTTCAACTCCCAACTTGGATCCAATTGTTCGGCCGCCATCTGCGCCAATGAGGTAGCGACAGCGATATATTATCTCCTTGCCCTCTGTGTCTGTAGTTTTGACCTTCACAGATGTACCCTCGTCGATGAAGTCCACCATATTCGTACCAAAGAAGATCTTGCCGGGATTTCTTCTCTCTGCCAGGCTTCTAAATATCGGCTCGAGCCTCAAAAGGGGTAAGTTGCCGGAGCGGAGGGGCGCATCACGTCTAGACGTTGTAAGTTTAACCTATGAGGAATGTAATGGCCCTAACGTGGGCTGAACAGCTGTGTGTCTTATAATAGACTTACTTATATGATTCGGCAAACTCAGTACCGCGATGCCCGCCGAAACATTCCATTTTGTGTATGATTTTGCGATCGGTCGGACCATCTCCCCCGAGAGACGTCTGCCAGGCAACTTGGCTCATATAACGAGGGGGACATGTTTTATGCAGTATTTCATCGACCATATTGTGAGCCCGGAGGATCTCCATAGTACGCTGGTTAAGATAGTGTGCCTTGGGTAGTATCGATGTACTCAAATGCTTTTCGACAAGGACATGATCAATACCATAATCGGATAAAAAGCAAGACAGTGTAAGACCGCAGCCCCCTCCTCCCACAATCAGAACCGGCACTTCAATTTCATCTGACATGGCTTGCATTGTACTTATTCACCTGTTTGTGAGGTGTTTGCTACATTCAACCAATGCAAAGCAAACAGCGTACTATATATGCAAGAGATGAGGCCAAGGACAGTTAATCATGACCGCCTGTTGTTCAGAAGACCCGAGGGCTATCAATCGTGTCTCCACTCATGCTGTTCACTTCAGAAAGAGAGGAAACCTGGTTTGTGGAGCAATCATGCTGACAAGATACGTCCGGGCCGAACCAATGAAGCATGCAAGCAGGCTCCCAGATGGGGCGGCCCGATCTGCGGAGCCCCGCGGGGGGATCGCGGGGACTTCCCGATTTGTTCGGAGTTCTTTCACACATTCACCTCCCGATCTTCGAACAAAATAAATGTTTGCAATTGGAGATATATCGATGGGGAATCCATGCGTTAAGCTTTTTGATAAAGTGGTGCGATAAGCTGTACCTCAGGTATCTATAAACCTATACCTGTATAATATATAGAGTAATTATTAATGAAAAGGATATTTTTTTTTTAAAAAAGTTAAACTAAAGTAAAAAGTATACTCTATATATAAGTACCTATAGATTTTGTAGGTACCCGAAGTATAGCTTATTTTACACTCTCTTTGATAAGCTTTCGTTCTTCGTAGCAAATGCTCTGATCTGTGTCGCAAGCCTACAAGTTCGCCGGGATATCCAGCCTTGGCCCAATTTCCACCCTGATCTTCAGCTCCTTATCACTAACCCCCTTCTCCAGACGCTCCAGTAAAATATCTGGGTCAACATCAGTGCCGATAGGATTCTCGCGGAAAAGAGACGACGTCATGAAGGCGTTGGCTTCCTCGACCGTGTCAAAGTTGTCCACCTGGGTCTCAATGGCGTTGCCGTCTGGGTCCTTGTAGTATATGCTTGTGGTCGGCCCATGGTTGACACACCACGCGGGCTTGATTCCTTTTGATAAACGCGCTTTGTAGGCCATAAGTAGTTCTCCTACAGTATTGTAGGAGAAGGCAACGTGGTGCAAACCAGCTGTCGGGCCAGCTCGGAGAGTCAGACCTTCTTCCTTAATGATGGCCACGCGGTGATGTTCCTCATCGTAGCGCAGGAAGGCAATGATGTCGCTCTCGAACACCGTTTCGGCACCGAGAAATGATTTCCAAAAGTTAACCATAGCAGACAAATCTCCAGTTCGGAATACAATATGGGCCAATCCACTTGGTCTCAAAATCGAAGTTTCTGCCATAGTCGTCTGAGAGTCGAAAGGATTCGTAGAGGGGCTGTGGTAAAAGTGAAAGCTGGGGAAGGACTAGTGATAGATTTTGTTGCTTATAGTAACTCTGAGCATGTTTGGATCGAGCCCCTTATCAAACAAAAAAAAGTCCACGACTAGTATGAATATTGACTTGCGATCCGCCTTGGTCCTGCCGGGCGGGTATGCATGCGGGACTGCGCTATTCCATACTAGTTCGGTTCTCCTGTTCCCAAGGAGAACCCTTGGCTCTCTCTCGCTACTTTCACTATGAAACTCCGGTCTTGCCAGAGTCATAATGCAGCGTGCAGACGCATCAAGCTCAAGTGCGTAGCCGAACAAATTTGATTTAGCGTGAATGTCATGGGTAGTAATGCAACCCAAAAAAAAAAGGATTTGGAAACTGAATTAGCTGTGCACTGACAAGTAAAGCTACAGGAGCTGCGTTCTCCAAGCTTACAATTTCTCCGTTCGCTTCCACAGCAGTACTAGGCGCAGCATGGAATATCCAACCATATCTACATCGTGGCCATTACCAGAACCGTCGCAAGAAGTCAAGAATCTTCTCAATCTTTTCTTCACGCTTGCAGACTCGAAAGAGGAAAATGTAGGGAGTCGTTTGGCGAAGGAAGTCTTCACATCAGATGGAGAGTTTCTACTTCCTCAGGGTAGTTTCAAGGGCTTCTTAGGTATATCGCCTTCTCAGAAGTTTCTTGTCAGGAATAACTTGCTAATAACAGATGGAGTACATTGCAGAAATACAAGAATCACGCAAAGATGCATGGGCTATTCTTCAAAGGCGCCGCCACACCGTCCTGAAGGTGTATGCCAACAACTCACATGGTTTAGATCTGATAATGATCGGGAAGCTTGATGTGACGACTGTACAGGGAAAGCAGTCATCCAACCAATTCGTTGCCCGCGCACTGATTGAAGAGAGGGATTCGGCACTCAGGCTGAAGCTCTATCGTGTTATTGCTCCAGCAGTGGAAGATAAATCACCAATTATCGAGGTTCCATGAGCGCTTGTGGTTTTGCCCTGGTAGTTTCTTGCACCATAACTGGCCATGGGCCCCTTTTCATAGCCGCGACCATTATTGAAAAAGTGTAATCTTGATATTCACTGAAATTGAAAAGATTCATTAACCACATCCCATGCGTTAGTTGTATATGTTAACAGATACAAATCTTTTGTATTTCTCCGACCATTAGGGCCAAATCCTGGGCTGTTGACGCATGGCTCAGATTGCGCCCGGGGTGAAGCTAGACGAGATGTTATATGCTGATCCGCTAGTCAAGTCTGTAGTGACCATTCCGAAAGATCAACTCAACGATGTTTCGAGATGCTGCATGTGCTGAAAGAGGCCGGTGATATGGTTTTGGATAGTGGCGAGCGAGAATTGAGTCTTTGGGAAGCAGCTGCACGGCATCCAAGTTTGTATGGTAATCATCATCAGGGGTGAATGCAAAGAGCATTCCGTAGATCAATCGATGCAAAACCAAAGTCAATTAAGAGTCTAATGACATATCAAGCTCATCAATTCGGGGTTCTCTAGCAGGGACCCAACCATCTGTGCACATCTTGCTACGGTTGCCCCGTCCAGAACACGGTGATCAGCACTCCAGCTCAGGATCGCCTCTTCTTGTTTCGTGATAGTCTCTGTTCCGTCCTTATTGGTCTGAAATACTGGCACCTGACGGGACCTTCCAATGCCAAGAATCGCTACCGCAGGAGGAAGAATGACAGGCGCGACAACCTCTCCACCAATGCTCCCAATATTGCTAACGACAATGGTTGCCCCAGACAGGTCCTTTGGGCTGAGCTTGCCTTCCTTGGCAAGTGTCGACAGACGAGCAAGCTCCTTACTAAGAGATAAGACTGAATGATTCTGCACGTTGCGGACGACCGGGACGAGCAAACCGGATGGTGTATCCATGCCAACGCCAATGTTGTGAGCGGACTTTAGGACGAGGGACGGACGAGAAGAAATGTTCTCAATAGCGAGATTTGAATTCATGATCGGATATCTTTTGAGAGCTTCGGAGACGGCCTTCAAGATGATAGGTAAGGCAGTAAGTTTTTCAGGGTGCGTCGTTTCCAAGCTTCCCAACATCTTCTGATCAACCGCGCGTTTCCTTAGGAGAGTTAAAGGCGAGAAGTTTACTCTGTGAGTGTATAGAAAGTGAGGGATAGAAAGTGAGCCAGTCATTGACTGAAACATCTTGGTTTGGACGGGACTTAAGGCAACAGTCTCGTCACCTAGTTTTGGGTCACTCTGTTGCTCAGGCTGATTTGAGAGTTGCATGATGTGCCGATGGACGTCTTCTTTCAAGACACGCCCATCCTTACCTGTTCCTTGGACTTGTGAAATTTCAATGTTGCTTTCCTTGAGAAGTCGTCTGACAGCGGGTGTGGCAAAATGGGTGTTGGCGGTGGTAGGTGCCGAGACCTTGATAGTATCGACCAGCTTCTCTACAGCTCCATCAATCGAGACATTTTCGGTACCTTGGAGTGTTCCAAGGGCTTCTTCATCAGCTCTCAAGGGCGAAATCTCATCTTCAATCTCGATATCTACAAGAGGCTTCTCACTTTTAGCGTAGACTCAATTCTTTGTAAGTAAATGGGGTGCATACTGAACCGACGGCTGCCAAATCGTCAACGTTGTAGTGAAGCTGTTTTATTATGCCCTCGTATCGGGAAGTAATCTAATAAAGAATTAAATAACGAAATATTTATGGTCTACGGTGACCGCACCTCGACGGAAGCTTTGTCAGATTGAACTTCGCAGATCGCATCGAATTGATTCACATGGTCACCAGGCTTTACCGCCCAGCTCATGATCTGACATTCCGTAATACCTAGAACGACTCAGCAACAGGTCGACCCACAAACAGTCTGTATGTACTCACCTTCCCCGATATCGGCGAGAAGATACGGCACAACAGCAGGACGAAAATGTGTGGTGTGAAATCCTTGCAACTTGGAGAGGCATTTGTAATGTTGCGTCCTGCATCTGATGGCGCCAATCTGCTGCGTTATAGACTTTGCAATGGCTAATTTCCACATCTTTGATTAAGATTCAATATTCGGACAAAATTATGTGATTTGAAAGAAGCCGAATTCAGGAAATGTGTGGCGCTACTTGTCTTAAGCTATGTCGGCGAGCTGTGAGCATTTGGAGCAGGTCGGAACTATGCGGATGATATGCAATTAGAAGTCTTCCAAGGGGATATGATATTACCATTGCCTTAAAGACAACCCTTGAATAGAATATTAAGATTAATCCGGACAAACTCGCACCATCTGAGTGACGGTTATTATCGGCAGCCGATCTCGAGGCCCGTTAACTTGAAGCATCATTTAGGATATCGAGGCAGTTGAATTCGGTATTTCACCTGCGCTATCTCTCTCTCCGGCCCCGAAATAAAGGGGACTACGACCTAAAGGGGTCGGATGTTGGAGGAGAACAGCTATATCCGAGAGCTTGCAGCTTAAGTCACTAATATTCATGCAACACTTAGCGTTCTTGCTCCTGCTCACGCACAGTATCAATAAAGGGTTGCAACCAGTAATAAGGATTTGACAATTGGCGTGGCGACCCTGATGCACTCTCCGGCATGCCACGGCCATGAATTTTCAGATCACTGATAATCGTGTGATCGGGTTAAGCCGTTGGCTCTTGGCTCTTAAGTACATAGTGCCACTATTAATGCCAGCTCCCGTTTTAGGACTGCTGATGTAGAAATTGTTTTCCAACCTTACATTGAATAACCCTTATGCATGAGCTTTTGTGGCAAATAGCATTGTAGGTTATAGACGCTCGAATATCTCCCAATCTTGTGATATCTGGACAGCCACTTCTACGCGTCGTCTCTAGCCAGCTTCGAACACGCAATGCGCCTGGCAACAAGACAATACAAACGCTATGCTTCTACTGCTGCTGCAGCTCGGCAGCTCAATGTGCCAATCAATTTCGGGACCACACCATTGTTGCACAAGAAGCCGGACACTCTGACCTCCCTACCTGAGTTTTCCAAAGTCGGAACTACGAAGCGCATGAACCTGTTCCAGTCTGTCAATTCCGCATTGCAGACAGCCTTGCGGTCAAACCCTCGGGTTCTGTGTTTCGGGGAAGATGTTGGTTTTGGAGGTGTCTTTCGGTGCACTACTGGGCTTCAGGAGGAATTTGGTGACGAGCGAGTCTTCAATACTCCCCTAACGGAGCAGGGAATTGTTGGAGCTGCCATAGGTGCGGCGGCCGAGGGTATGCGGCCTGTGGTAGAGATTCAGTTCGCGGATTACGTTTTCCCGGCCTTCGATCAAATTGTGAACGAGGCTTCGAAGTTTCGCTACCGAGAGGGAGCAACCGGGACCAATCTTGGTGGTCTCGTGATTCGCATGCCATGTGGCGGAGTAGGACATGGGGCCTTGTAAGTTGGATAACTTGCAACCCGACCGAAGCCAAGCTTCTTGATCCATATCTAACCTGTGCAGGTACCATTCGCAATCTCCAGAAGCTCTATTCTGCCACGTCCCTGGATTTCGTGTGGTGATGCCAAGATCTCCTTCGCAAGCAAAGGGACTACTCTTGTCCGCCATACTCGAATCCGAAGATCCAGTTATTTTTATGGAACCCAAGATCCTCTATCGTGCGGCGGTTGAAGAGGTTCCTGACGAATACTACACTCTGCCGTTGGGTAAAGCTGAGGTTATCACGCCTGGCTCTGATCTTACCATTATTTCATATGGCCGACCAATGTACACTTGCGCGGCGGCGATCGAGGCCGCCAAGAAGAACAGGCCAGACCTAAGCGTGGAACTCATTGATCTGAGATCCATTTATCCGTGGGATAGGGAGACAGTGCTGCAGAGCGTGGCCAAGACTGGACGCGCCATGGTCGTTCACGAAAGCATGGTCAACTTCGGGGTTGGAGCCGAGATTGCGGCAACAATCCAAGAGAAGATCTTCATGCAACTGCAGGCCCCGGTGCGCAGAATAGCGGGATGGACCACTCACACCGGATTGGCCTATGAAAAGTACATCCTTCCAGATGTGGCAAGTAAGTCGATGAAGAAAATCGATTTTTTTTTTATATATATGCAGAAAGCTAACATGGTGTAGGGATATACGACGGCATTTTTGAGATGGTAGACTACTAAACAGCGCGGGGCTTACTCTATACCTCAAATCCTATATGCAGGGTTTCGATGTCACTTTGTAATTCATCGTCGATAGAAAATATTATATACATATTGATACTTACATTCCTTTGATATCATGGTAAAAGGCGATCGTTCTGCAAGGCAAAAACCATGGCGAGTACTGCGACACCTAGGGCATCCTGACAGGATCTAATGCAAACCATAAGGAAAAGCGGTAAGTTTGCGAGAATAGGTATCCATTTCGCTAATTTAGGAAGGCAAGAGTAGCCTCTATATGTAGTATGGAGCCTGATTCTCAACCTTCATCCTTGATATGCTTGTCTCACCCACCTCTCTTTCTGGTGTCAATTGTCATAGACCTTGTATACCGCCTTCATGCTGATCACAGTCGTACTCCTGCGGATACTTTTCCATGAGCCTCCTGAGTTCTGCTCTCTGCTCCTCAACCTCCTCAGTCAGTTTCGCGTACACATCTGAGAAGATGGCGTGTAGAGCAGGTTTCTTTTCCTTCTCTGCGCTGGTCAGATTGCGGATAATATCAGCGCGAATCTCATCTTTGGCTGCTTTATCCTTGTCTTCATCCCAAAGGCCTTCACGCTCAAGCCACCGCCTTAATCGAGCGACTGGGTTGCGTTTTTCAGACTTCCAAAGAGCGACTTCTTCACCTTTGCGATATGCCGCGCTATCATCACTAGTACTGTGGTGAGAGATGCGATAGCTCATAAGCTCGAGAAGGATTGGTCTACAATTGCCTTCGAGTGCACGGCGTCTAGCTTCTTTTGTAGCTTCGTACACTGCGAAAATATCGGTTCCGTCGACACGAAGAGTCTCAATTCCATAGCCAGCTCCTCGACTAGCGATGCCGTCCCCGCGATATTGCTGAGCAGCTGGAGTAGAAATTGCGAACCCATTATTACGGCAAATGAAGATGACCGGGCAATTTCGTGTGGCCGCAACGCTCAAAGCTCCATGGAAATCGCCTTCGCTTGCAGCTCCTTCACCAAAGTAGGCCGCAGCCACTCTGCGAGGTGCACCGTCCTCAAGGTCTTGCATCTTCAAGGCGTAGGCTGCTCCAGTAGCATGGGGGATTTGCGTTCCGAGGGTTGATGCCACCGCGTGCTTTCGAGAGTTAGTTTCGCTCGTGCCGAGCTCGTGCGAGCTCGATCAGGGATGTATCAGACAGTACGCACAATGTTTACTTTAGACTTGCCGCTGTAGTGCACAGGCATGTTACGACCTTTGCCAGGGTCATTCTTATTTGCCGTGAGCTGGCTCATAAAGTCTTTCAGTTCAAATCCGCGCTGAAGAAACACGCCGTGCTCTCGATATTGACATGTGATGACGTCTTCGGGCGCCAAAGCTGCGGCTGACCCTACCATCACGGCCTCTTCACCGTGGGACACCTGGTGGCTTGTTAGACAGAGTCAAACCTTTTGGGGGAGATCTTCATACCATATAGAAGCTCACACGACCGTGTCGTTGGGCATCAAACATGATGCTATCCATAATGTTCACTATCAAAAATTAGAATTCTTACTTGTATCATTGTTTAACTTTCACACACCTGTCAACATGTTCTTGTACCAACTCAGGACTTTGTCGGGGGTCACTTCTGAACCAATCTGTGACTGGTCTTGCACAGAACTAACCGCATCCATGATGCTGAATGTCTGAATTGGTGGCAATGTAGACGGTTCTATCCATTCCATCTTGGTAGTCAATGGACTCTTGGGTGCACCGGGAAAACAAGACCTGTTTTTGTTATCAGAAAGCATTCACAGTGGCGAGAGAGAGAGGTATATTACAGGGTGGAATAGGATGCATATTTGTTCCGGCGTCCGATAGATGATGAAAGATGGCATGCTTGTCTCATTGACAGGGCCGGCATCCGCCATTTGCACAGTCGATGCATCATGATGTTATTTTCTGCTCTCAATATTGTTGAAACTACAAGGAGACTCGTCTTCCAACTTGGGGATAAGGTCCGTTATATATATAGCACTTGTGCTCAGACTGGCCGCCCAGGTTAAAGCCGTAGGAAACCGCCAAATCGCGGCGTCAGATATTCACAGTGTTGCCGCATTCGGGAAACCCCCCAGCTTAAGGAACCACTATACAATAGAACTAAGCCATGTAAGTTCTATATCCGTATTTCATTGTCCTCTTTGGTGAGCACAGGTGCTACTCTTCAAAATACCCTACATTTTAAGATTGCACGTTATTGTGCCTTGAGATACTTTTCCAGGTTCGGACTACATGTTGCCTAGCATAAATTTCCCATAACCATTCAAGCCAAGTCCGCGCATGGTTTCATGCTCTGAGAAAACAACTGCCCTTCCTAACTCGGTGGAGTTCCATTCCTCAGTCCATACGAAACGACACATTCAAAAGCAAATCCGCAACACTTCAGATACCAAGCCTTGCTCTGAAAGCTCAATTCGATGCAGTGTGGCGCCATAGAGATGATATCACTCTGCACTGACGGACTCCTTGGGAAGGCCTTTTTATAGTCTGCTGTTGCCTCCTTCGTACTGATCCAAAGGCCATCATACTCGCCCAAACCATGCATTACAGGCACAGTCACTGTGCCTGCGTGTTTCTCCCATCGTTTCAGCCACGTTGTATTGATATCATAGAGTTCTTCGCGCGGAACTGGTTTGTTGAGCTCTGCGGTGTATTGGCATATTTCTGCCTCGACTAAATTCTTGGAAGGCCACTGCAGCATAATAGCATCTTTTGACTGAGCATCGAAATTGACGAAACTCTCCTCATTCGCCAGTAGCTGAATCATGGCCGCTCGGGGCTCTTCTACCAATTCCGACCCAATACCCGAAACAATCAATCCGGCAAGCGGGTATTGGTCGTCTCCGGAATAAGAACCCGCCGCAATCGTCGCCATCATGCCACCGATGGAGTGTGCCATCAATACAATAGCTGTTGCGCCTGCTCGTTTAGCGAAGCTATCCCACAAAGATGGCAGGATAACATCATTAACGTAGCGTCCTTGCGCCTCAGCGTAAGTCGCATCATCATCACCAACTACAGGCACAACCTTGCTCCCTCCGTAGCCAGGCCTGTCAAGTGAAATGACTGGGATTCCGATTGTTTTAGAGAAATTTAATATAGAATACCGAGCACCAACATCGAAGTATCCAGAATCGTAGCTACCACCATGCATACAAACCATAAGCGGAGTGTGTCCTGACGGGTTTGTAACTTCGGGAAAAGAGAAACGTCCCGAGATTTTGCCTCCATCGGCAAGATCTAGCTCGAAGACCTGCATAATTGATTGGCAATGAGTAGGTACGGAGGGGAGAATATAAAAAGATAGCTGACTGATGCCAATGACGAATTGCTTGCATCAGATTCACCTATCCTTTCTGTGCTCTCAATCGAAATCTAGCATTTTTATACAAGTTCACCCATCAATAAGATTCCTCACCGCGTGACGCATCGGCGGATCTGTGGAGCACCTTCATCGTTGGTTCGGGCCGAGCAACGTGCATGCCGTTATTTGCTGGGAGAAGCATCCGAATTGACTGAACTATGCCTGCTCAGATAAAGTACTATATTAAACCGCAGCTACAGGGCAACTGATAGGGGTATGTCTGTGTATGAAGCAGGGTGACATTGAGACTAAGTGGCATAGAGATTAAAACAAGCATTTGCGACGTTCAATGTCAGTTGGTGTAAGGTGGGTATATTTTTGCAACAGGACGATCAACGCCTTCATATAAGTGCTATCATTATGCCAGTTGTGGCACCATCGTGTCACGTAATCAAGCTACATGTACCCTATAATACCAGAGACATCCTCACTAAGGAAGGGGGGCTTATATGGCCTGCTGTCAATGAACGGGAAATACAGTTATAACAACAATAATGCCGTAACAGAAGTTGTAATCCTAGTAGGGTTTCTTTGAACTTGACTCAAGTTCGCCGACACACGTGTCAAAGTGATGTTATGTTTCACCAAGTGTAAGGCCACGAGTGATAGTTGCCTCCTTGCATATGTAGACCCGAATTAGTGGATCCTGAACTGAAGATTGATTTCCTGATTAGGTCGGCCCGAACCCCAATGTTTCCTTCATACGGTCCCAGGCGGGGGGCAGGGGGGCAGGGGGGCAGGGACCGCAAAATGAATACATGCATACAATACCGTAACATGAGCACCCTTCCCACCAACTGGTCATCAACGTTGTATGAGCATAATTTTAGCGTTTGTGTTCAAAATCCTTCTATTCCCTGTTTTCCCGTTCCCCGCTTGGGTCCGTCATGGTCAGACTGTGAATGTAGGAAATGGTTAGTAAAGAAGTTTCCAAAAAACTGTCACATGGCCTTCATCACGCGGTTAGCAGCCAGTCATTCATACATTCAAGGCCACGCATGGCTTAAGGGGCACTAGCTTGCGATCTTCGTAAGAAAATTATGAATGGGTTGCAGTTGATCTATTGATACTTCTTCAACTACTAGAAGAAAGCCACCGGGCTAGATCCGAAAGAACTGAGCATATACTCAAACCACCAAATGTTTCGGACGCGAAGTGGTAATGGGGTTCGGGCGTACAGCAGCGGCACCCCGAGGTACCGAGGGTGTATAACCACGATCGAAGTAATGGGCTCGGCCCGATCGCTTCTAGATACTGCACGTAGAACTTTAAGTAGTTGAACCTTGGGCTATGACGACGATATATCTTCAAGCCTCGATCCCAAAGCAACTCTTGTTTAAAAACCATTCTCTCATTACTATGTACTAGCGGTCGGCCCGAAAAAAAAAAAGAGTGCTGCCAGCTCCAATCCCTCCTTTGCTCAATTAAAATGTCTGGAGAAATATTCGCGTCCGGAACCAGTCGCCCGACATTCTCTGCTAACAGATGGAGGCAGCTACGGAAGATTGCCCTCGAAGAGGCGATCACCACATCTGTGTTCAATCCAACAAACACCTTACCCGAAACCAAAGGTGGCGCCGAGCACCCATATGTCAATATGGACTATGTTGCAGATGTCAAGAATCGACTCTTAAAATCTCGAACTCCGTGTAGAGGCAATGGACAAGGCTGGGGTTGCTCTAACAATTGTTTCCTTGACGATGCCAGGCATTGAAGGCATCTCTGATCCTGCGACTGCTGTAGAAACAGCAAAAAAAGGTCAATGACGAAACACATCAGAGGTACTGCACCGGAAAACACGCCGACAGGTTTCGAGCCTTGGTTTGTGTTGCAATGCAGGATCCACAGGCAGCACCACCGGTTGTGCTCAAATTAACTTAATCCGTTTCCATCAGTGCCTCAAGACTCCAATCCCCCCGGCCCATGACACAAAACAGCTTAGCCAATCCAACCGGGCTGAGCGAATTTGGCCACGGGCTCGCTTGGGGCTTGACTTCTGAAGTCACTAGGCTCAGCCTCGAGCAATATGTTACAGAGGTTCAAACAACTGCATTCAAGGTACTTAAAGCATGATCATCTCTCCTTCCATTGAAAAATCGTTGAAAAGGTCTGCTGATAAAGCACTCCACTGGCCAGGGCTAATGAGGGCATCATGCAACGGCACCTTGAAGGAGCAACAGATTAGGCACCGCCACAATCAAAATTGGGGAATATCATACTCACAACCGTGTCATTCGGATCGTCAAGAGCGTCCTTGGAGTTGTTCATGGATGTTTCTGGCGTCGCGTTGTTTGCAGCCCTAGATGCAGCTCGTTCCACAGCCTTGCATGCGAGCACAGCGACTTGGCGAGAAAATTGAAACGACATACGCCCAGAAGTTAGATGATAGATTTGTCCGAAGTGACCAACCCCAATGTCAAGCAATGCAATATCAGACTGTGCCGTCTTCGTTGTAGGATACTCCAGGATGTATATAAAAAGGTTGATGATCGCAAGCATTGGGAAGTAAAAGGCAGTTCTGTGTTTAATAATAATCAGCAATCTGTTGCATCTAAAATCACGCGTTTGATTCTCTGCAAAGCATGACAAGAGAAATATCAGTATGCATACGGTCCTGTAGAGATACACACGGGCCTACACTCCGTAAGTGTTGTGAGAATGCTCCGTGCAGCCTCGGCCACTCGAGCCGATATCGCCGAAATTGAATCAGGAGAAGGGCCCTCGCGTTGTTTCCTAAGCCGCGACCTGATCCATGGATAGTGAAAACTAGCATACAACGCAATGATGCTCCCGTTGTAGGCTCGGAGCAGGCGAATTGCGTGGGCCTGATTCATGTCCGGCTCTTCTCTGTACGAGGGGGACTTTTTTTGCGGCCTCGCTAGGCGATCGGGAAGTGAGCTGCGCCACTCCTCAAGCTTTTGATCAATCCCTCTTATCTGCTGCAAAAGGTCGTCGGGGGGTTTATTGAGAGATTTGGGAGAGTAGAGACTTTTGAAAATGTCTGCACAGATTTGCGCGTGCCTTATGGAAGCAACAAGTACATCTAAATCTACCGCGCTGCCACTGGGAGTCCTAGTTGGTATTTGGCAGCTAATCTCATCATTCTCGAGCATCTGTAAATGTTATCAGTTCTGCGTTCACAAGACATGGCAATGTGAAGCGCATATGAAGCCAATAGGACAAAACACCTCGCACTTACAGATGGGCGGCCACACCGCAATGCCAATCCCTTATCGTAGCAGTAAATAGTCCAAAAGATACATTCGCGATGGAATTTTTCGCGTTCCGGCAGGCACCATGCGGTTGCAGGTTGCCGGTGAAGGCCTTTGGACTGTGCAAGCCGAGCAGCGGCACCGCAAAGCATATACTCGACCGAAGGACTTCCCAGAAGTTCTGCATACGATGTCTGTCCTCTTAATCAGCAATAGAGTCATATGCAACGCTAACAAAGGGATTTACCATGACGGCCAACGCCTGCACTGCTCTCAAACCACTCGGCATAAACAGCAGGTTGGGTAATTCAGAGAGGGCATTGAAGAACAGTTGCAGGGACTCATCTTGATTTTGTGAGGGGTCTGAACACGTGTAGGCTGGCATGGCACGGCAACCAACTGCATACACGGCATTCCGCAAGGCGTACGACGCAGCGTCTCCATAATCCGTGCCGGCGCTTTGGAAATGACGCTGAAGATGGTCCTCAAAATCGGCACGATCCACTACGCCGAAAGCAGCATCCTGCGTGGAATCGAAGTAAGCTTGTCCTTGGTCAGCCAGCTCACAAATGAACGTCGCAGGTAAATGGGTTTCACCCACATGTGGAATACCGCCAGGCGGTCTCAAAGTCCAGGTCTGGGCCATGCTGCGTTGTGGGATATTGGGACAGCGTCAAGTGCTTGGTCCAGTCCGCCACTAACCCTTGCGCAACCTCACGGAATTCAATGCTGCCAACTTTATCTGAGACCCACCTTATTCCTGGTTTGGAACAGATGGAAAGCCAAGAACCCGGCCCTAGCATAGTTAAAATCATGGTTACAAGGTTCAAGTGTGACACAAGGTAGCGAACCATGATGTTCCCAGTTTATCTATGGTAACGTCAGCAAAGAGTTCCAGGTCGAACTTGATTTGAGTCTTATGCCCACAACGTACGTCCTTTAGGTCTATCGTCGATTCTTCGCTATCGAATTCGGACTCGTCTGGAGTTAGAGCTCCCACATTACTAAATTTTGAGACGCCGTGTTGAACACTCCCTGAATGTAGCTCATATTCAGAAAGTGATGATTGTGAAGCTGTAGTAATGCTCGTTTGTGCTGATTGTTCTACGACAGGTTCCTTCGGGGACAAACCTAATGTAGCGGGTCGCGGTAAATTTGTTTCAAGAATGGACTCAGCAGGCGTATCAGATGCATTTCCCATTGGTTGGCCCAGGTATTGCACTCTGTTTGCATCGCTACATCGCTCCTCAACCCATATCTGGCCGTTGAGAGTAGTATGATGATTCAAAGGGCTGCAATGGTTGACTGCTTCGTTGCGATGCTTGCCCCTTCTACGGCGGTGGGGTGGATATGTACATTCTTTGCCCCGGTCCTATGCTTCAATGTTAAAGCTGGTCTCAGACGGCGGCCAGAAAGTTTCCTACGGAGCGACGAAACGACGTACAAAACAGTTCCCACAGGGTGAAGACCCATTGCCTAAAAAGCGGACGTGAGTACATGTAGCTGGATCCAGTTGGTCGATGGGTTAACTAGACACCTTACATTTTATCTTCTTGGAACGGCAGTATTCGCAGGCACTTGATGATCTGATCGTAGCTCGATGCGACGGAACGAGGCTGGTCGTAACATTGCTCGGACTGCGGATCATGATGAGAGTAGGAGTCGATGTTGTGAGAGCAAGAGGATTCTTTTCTTGTTAGTCTATGGCAGGGTAAGTTATAGTTACGCAGCGAAACGCGGTACTCTGGCTGTCCGTGGCGCGTTGGTGTGTCTTACCCCGCAAATTCATCTTCATCTCTCTTTGCAGCCGTGGACCCACGATATTTGCGGGGGTTAGATCGTTCACCGATGGGTTTGATGATAGATAGTGAGCCATACACAATGAACTAGAACTAGCCCGTATTTCTATATGGCATTCCTTGTATAAACTTGGATGATTCTTGAATTCAAATGCTATTGTTATCAGGGTGATGAGTGCCCAAGGTTTACAGAGTTATGATGGCGCAGCGGCTGCTCATACAGGCAGCCACGCGCTGCGACTGGTCTACGACAAAATTACCAACGACTTGTCCACGGGCTACTTTCAGATCTTGATTTTGGCTTTCCTTGGTATCAGCAGCTGGGGACACTTGTAGCATGAAATTGAACAGGTGCGACCCTTAGCACACATTTTTCCTTCGGTAGGGTCGCTTATAATGCCCATGTCTGATAAACATTCGCTACTAACGAAGCACTGGGTGTTAGAGCTTTATGCCATGTTTCACGAAGCAAACCCCAGTTTTTACTGAAGCAAAAGCCACTTGCAAGTACTGTTGATACGTTGGTGTACTGGTATTTTCTGCTCAGGAGTCATTCAGATGAATGACATGAGCACTTGTAGTATGCGCACCTCGGCCCGAACCAATGTGGAAAGGTTGCTTGTAGATCGGTCAATTCGTCACATTGTGGGGCACTGCGTCAAGGTAACATGCAGCATGCAAGCCGATGACCCCGAAAGTACTTAGACTATCTCTTTTGCCAACCAACAGAAGCTAGCAAACTGACCTCCCTGTGAGTAATGTATGTAAAAAGGGATAAGCAAATCAACCCCCCACCCAACCGTCAAAACAGCATATACCATTATGCTTCTGTAAAACTTGCCATCTACAGGCATCAATGCAAGTCTTCGAGCTAGATCTTGCTGAGGGTAGGTTTTGAACCTGGGCGTCAGGGCTCCTCTACTTGGAGTAGAACGCAAAGTCGAATGAAGGCAAAGATGAAACGAAGCATGGCTTCAAGCAAGCATTAATGACAAGTTGTCAGAGAAACGCATCTGCGGATTGACAATTCATCTCCAGAAAGAATCTGGAAATCAGCCAGAAGCTCGACTTGACGTCTTTGGCAAGTCTCATCAATCATGAAATACAAAAATAAAAAACTCCAATACGGCGGTGTTGGCACTTTGCAGCAATAATCAAGATACTATTGAGCAACCTCGCCAAGCCATGCGAAGGACTTATTCATGAACTCCTCACAACTCGAGGGTTGGTCCAACCCAGGAAGATTCTGCTGAATGGTGAAGCCTTTCTGGGACAGGACCCAGGCAATGCACTTGTAGCTCTCCCTCCCCCAAGTGGGCAAAGAGAGAGGCAGCGTCGTGGCCAGCATTGGTAGCACAGGCCTGATATAATCGCGGTCGTAGATCGCTTCGAGCGTCAGTAGCTTCCATTCGGAGCCAATCTTTTCTAGGCGGGAAACGAAGCGAGTATGGGAGACACAGTCATACTGATGTCCGTCATGATTGAAGCGTATGGAGATAGACCCTGTCGATTCAGACAGGGCCTTGTTGCCGTTCAGATGAACCTCAATAGGGCAAATGGTGTGTATCGCGTTAGTTCCACCCTTCGACATCTGTTTGGAGCCATTGACAAAGCCATCAATGTCACCTTGAAACCTATCATGCCCTTACTCATCAGTAGCAATTTCATTGTTTAGTGAATGGCAGCGGTGTTCTCATACCAGCTAATGTCAATGCGAGTTCGACTAGCATCAGGGTGGTACGCCGCTCGGAGCTTTTCCCATTGGCAGGAGTCTCGATAATAGCGCTCGCGCACAAGGAGCGACTTGATGTGCGATTCTGGATCAACTGCAGCCATTATAGTCAAAGTGATTAAAGACGTTCGCTGAATGATTCTGCTTGAGAAAAAAAAAATCCAGATTTGCCAATTAAATGAGTTGCGGACCGATTTATGCTGGTGTCATTCAACCTAACTGGAAATGCTCGGCCCAGTCAATTCTCGGGACACCTACCAATAGCGGGGAACAAATCAAGTCAGTTATTTCCGAAATGAAGTCGGACATACGTACCGTAGACAAGCATGCAAAGACGAATGCCATCATACCACAACACAGAGGAGGGGCTGTGGCATATGGATAACCAATGGGATAAATATAACAGTTGTGGCGGCGGTTAGGGAGTCGCGACCTAGCGGAAACTGAGTTTTAGTTAAAGTACATGTAGGCTGCCCTGGTAACTTAGGTCGTAAGTAAAGTCTGCTTTGGTATTGAGTTATTGGTGCTAACCCTTTCGATATCTAGAGTTAGAGAAAGAGTGAGTTAGATGAATACGAGCGGAATATAGTGTCTAAATCGGCTTTTCTTAATTTTATTTACTCATAAACCCTGACTCTAGATCTTGCAAATCTTTATAGCTGTTAAAATACTTAAATTGATTAAATAGAGTATATAATTAAGGTTATATAGAGCCTTATATTGGTATAAAGGAAAATATTGCAACGGCTGCTACTAATAGCTACCTATATAATAATATAGAAAATACGCTGCTTTATAAGCTTTATAACTAGGCCTGTATAAGCCTAGTAGTATTGTAGGATGTATTGTAACAAAGGCGGAAATTGGCCTACATTCCAACATATTTTCACCGCCCTGTGCTCTTTGTAGCGCTCTCATATAGCATCCGTGTCACCCTCAAAGGTAACGTCATGCATTGCCAGCACATCCTTACTCAGGCCATTGTATACCTATGGGAAACAACTACATGTATTTCCGTGAAACATTGTACAGGGCAGTGCCCTAGTCTGTGAAACCAAGGGTATATTGCCCGGCGCCTAACATTTGTTGACATTTCTTTCTATTTGCAATCTCTCATTGCGAATGGTTTTGAACAGATAAATTAACGATTCAGCGATTTTAATTTGCAGACCTGGGAGAAGACGAGAATACTCGTCTCTCTTCACCCCTTGGATAGCAAGCGGGTCTCTATTCATTGGAGTATCACGTTACAACCACTCACTTACAATCAAGTCTGTGTTCGAGGATCACAGCTCAGGCTTCCAACAAAGTCAACAAATACCTTCTTTTGATGCTGGACGAGAGACTGGTAGATGCCTAATTCCGTTGCCTAACTAATATGCATGATAAGGTAAAATGATTTGGACTACGAGACTCAATTAACATGATGTCCATCACTTCTTAAAATAACTTGAATAAATATGTCCAAGAATATGTATATTATATTAAACAAAGCCCTATGTCTCAGCGTAAGGAATTGTACATATGTGGTGTTTCCTTCTTGAATCTCTCATTCAATATCAACAGCACATGGGTAGATACACAGGCCTAGACAGTACAGATCTATTCGTCTAATAAGTTACACTCATATCATGCCTAAGTGGCCATGTTATATTGAACGACCTCAATACAGGCTTTGGCCTTGACAGAAGGACATTGAATGACTCTGATTTACGTGTGGGTTTCTACATTCTCCACTGCTACTGTTTCTTCAATGCTAATCACTTAAACATGTCGCGTATCGAGGCTTTTGTTTTAGGCTCTCATCATCCATCCAAAATAACCCAATCCGATGCCCGGGGCTGAATTCGTCTAGCCGTGTCCAATGGAAATAGTCTTATAAGGCGCAAACGGGAGAAATCCTAGATAATTGTTAAGTCTCACCGGTAACAATCACCAGCAGGCATATCACTATTTTGCTTTGGCATGCTCCCTCTTTGTTTCGTTGTTATAATACACGGTGAGTTTTCTTCTTTTATAACTACTTTCGTTATAGCCTCTCGTTGATTCTCAGCTTGGAAAATTAAAGCGGCAAAGGCTTCAGCTCTGCTCGATTTGGCACCTTTCAATGGCTACATTTTCTTTGTCAAAGCACCGCGTAATTCACAGGGCACATCAGATTTGCCATTCCCTTTGACCACTCGAAGTCTTTGTTGAAGTTCTTTGTTGCAAGCGTTTCAAAGCTTCAATGGGAATCTTATTGACGCCTGCGACTGCGAATCTTGCTTTCAGAATAAAGGCTGTTTAAACCGGGGCGTGTCACGTACGCATATATTTATTCTAGGCTTCCCTCGAGCATCGAGGTCGCATTCTCTTAAATCAATACATCTTTTCGTTCCATACTATTGAGAATGTCTAATACCCAACACTGTGGCAATGGCTCCGCGCCACTACAGGGCCCCGACCTCTTTGAAAAAGTAGACGAGAATGTGAGAGCGGGTAAGGCATTCCACAGATTCATAAATCTATGAACCCATTCGCTTACATGCGTCTAACAAACTTTACAGAATTGCCTGAAAACTCAACGGTGGTCGCTATTTTTCATTATCCAAAGCCTGACTCTGAAAATAAACTTAAACTTGCCTTCCAACACTTCACTGGGCAGATTAGAGTGATAGAGAACGGAACGGAAAAGAAATATTTCCTTAAGGTTGCCAAGGGCGACACTGGACGTGCAATCGTACGCGGTGAATTCGAGAGCAACACTTTGCTCCACTCGACAGTACCCGGTTTCGTGCCGAAACCATATGCATGGGGCACCTACAAAAGCTTCCCCGAGTACCGTTTCTTTCTATCTGAAGAGCTGTAAGTATCTCCATCAGTCCTCTTGACCATTTCCTTATTAATTATATTCATAGGTTTCCAGAGCCATTTTGGGGCAGATATGAAACGGCCTTAACCAAGGCATTAGCAAATCTTCACGAAAAGGAAAGCCCTTCAGGAAAATATGGATATCCCACCTCATTCCACTTAGGCCTCTCGACAAACGACAGTGTTATGTGCAAAACTTGGGTCGAGTTTTTCCAAAAAGACATGCAACGACTAATAGCTCATGATCGAAAGGTCAACGGCGAAGACTCCATCTGGGGCGATCTCGGCTTCGTCCTCTGTGATAGCGTGATACCGTGGCTTCTCAGCCCACTGACAAATTCCGAGTCTATTCGCCCCGTCTTAGTTCACGGTAATCTGTACAACGAAGTATGCGGGTTTAAGAAGGATAGTGGGGAGGCTATTGTATTTGAAGCCGCTGCCTTTTGGGCACCCAAGGAATGTGAGTAGACATACATACCCACAAGGCGATGCCCGCATAATTCATGGCTTTTCTCACTTACTTACACCATCTGGATGACTATGCGTTAAGGAGATTTGAAATGAAATTTGATAGAAGTTACATCGAAAATATGCTCTCCGGTACCGGTAGTTATTCCGACATCGATGCAGTGCACTCTAGTTATGCCTAATTCCTCAGTCGCCTCAAGTTATATCACATGTTAGTTTTTTTTTTTTTTTTTTTTTTTTTTCGACGTAAACTCTGGATCTTACTAACCAGCCGTAGTCACTCATACTTGCACTATTCTATTCTGTATGGCCCAAAATCTAGCCATCGAGAAAAGTAAGTCACGTTCCTGTCGACCGGATGATATGTGCTAACGGAATCAGATGTATCCGAAATGCGACCAAATTAGTCCAGCATTACGGAGCTGTATTCAACGGCTTCTACGAAGCCGAAAACGGGTTATCGAAGAGAGTTTAGGTTTGAATTGCTTGTCTATACCCTCAAGGGGCCAGAGTTTTTTTTTTTTTTTTTTTTTTTTTTTTTTTTTTTCTTTTCTTTCTTTTCTTTCTTTGCCCACCGGTTTTCCCGGTCCTAACAGTCCAAATGGAACTTTCATATACGTGTTTCCGAAGATTTCGTTGATTCATCTTAAAGAAATACAAAAATATTGTTCACATGAACTTGGTCAAAACGCAATCACAGAAGTTACAGTCGACGTGATCCAAAAACGCAATATATATAATAGAAGCGAACTAACTAAGCAGGCACACGCCCATCGTCAAGAATTTTCTGTTTAAAAAACGCTATATCTATCTATCTATAATATGGCTTGCAATCTGTTTCCGGCCAAGTAATTCCCATATCCCTTTCATCCAATGTATGCTATATTTCGTGTTCCATAATTTCGTATATGCCAATTCCCATGACCAATTTGCCTCGTCAATCTTTCTCTTTCTTTTGTTATTGTAAAACTTGGATTTTTTTTTTTTCGGTATGTTTAATATGAACAAAGGGAATCAACGAGTGTTCGTGAAGACGATGAGTCGTTGGGGAGCGTAAACGCCAATCTTGACCCCAAGCGAGAAGGCGCACAAAGCGCAGAATAAAACAAAAGAATTAGATGAGGTGCAAAGTGGTGTTTTAAAAAAAAAACCATACCCCAAAGCGCCATCGCAATGCCATTGATAATTCCAAATCGTCAAACCCTCGTTCTGAGGCGTTTGTCGGTGCTCCCCACTTCCAACCCATGAAGTTCGTTCTCTCTCACCTCCCTGTCGCAGCGAAATCTAATACGCGGCAGCGGCCTTGGGCCAACCTCCTCCCGGCGCCAAATAATCCCACATCCAAGAGAAGATGCCGACAACGGGAGGCGACCAGACACCGATGCCCTCGCCCTCTTCAACCGCCGCGGGGACGGCGGGAGCAGTGCGCAGCATCATGTCGTGCGAGGATGTCGAGAATGAAAAGACTTGGACGTCTTCCACTTGGATAAAGTCGTATCCGCTCATGACGTCGTAGATGACCTGTGGCTCTTGAGGCTCCAGATCTCTCCAAGATTTGCGGCTGAAAGGAGGAGTATATACCTTGGATGGTTTGCGAGGCGGGACGCTATTGGCATCAACCGTGATGTCAGCCTTGACATCTGCCCTCGCGCCTGTATTGGTATCCGTCGTTTGATCCACCTTGGTCACCTTTCTGGTCTTGGATTTGGCATGCGTCTTAACATCCGCCTTGGATCTCTTTTTGGTCATAGGAAGCTTGCCCTTGGCGCGGGATTTCCTCTCGGCCTTGCTCGCTTTCCTCTCTTCCTCGGCCTTCTTATCGGCGTCGTCGACATTGTCGGGGGCCACCACCTCCTCGACAGGCCTGTTGTGGATGTTGGTCTCGATGTGAACAAAGCCATCATCTCGCTCTTCCTGCACAATATCGCCCTCCCGGACATCCTCTACAGGATGGGGCGTTGTGACCAGGATAGCTTGAGGAATGCCTGGCGCATCGGTCATCTCTATCAGTCGGTTGTTGGGACCAACGACCGAGTCGACCTCGCGCACCGCGGACGGAGCCGCTGGTAAGAGTCTGGCATTCCTATTCTCGAGCTGCTTGCCAAGATGCATGGTGAGGGCGTGAGTCGAGATCTTGGCGGTTCCGACGACCCATTCATGGCCTGATTTACTGCCCTTGCGAGTGCGAACCGCACGGCCATTTTCATCGCAAACCACTTCATCTTGCTCTTTCCTAGCTTGCGACATAAAGTACACACGTGTCATTCCGTCAGCAGTCAGGGCCTGAAGGGGAGGAATGGCCGCGGCGAGGATGATTGGCGAATCGAAAAAGGTAGATCTCAGCTTTTGGGCACTCTGGCCGTGATTGGCCATGAGATACCGAAGCCAGTTTCCGCTGTTTTGCACAACAAAGTAGGCCGTCTGTGCGGTTTGGGGCGAGACATAGTTCATCTTTCTCCTGGCCACGATGACGCCAGAAGAAGGAGAAATAGCTGCATGAGCACTATTTGTATCGGTAGAATCTGCTGTCACCTGGTATGACGTTTCTGATGAATCTTCAGGTGTCACATCAATGACCTCATCTTCATCGGGCTTCGCATCAATGGTCTCCTCTTCAGCGGTCGTAACATTAGCTGTCTCCTCTTCGGCAGGCGTCACTTCAACGGCCTCGTCTTCATCGGGCGTTACTTCAATGACTTCATCTTCGTCTGGCGTCGCTTCAACAGCCTCTTCTTCGTCTAGCGTTGCTTCAACAGCCTCTTCTTCGTCTAGCGTTGCTTCAACAGCCTCTTCTTCATCGGGCGTCACTTCAACGACCTCGTCTTCGTCAGGAGCCACATCAGGAGCTTCATCTTCGGCATCCGCAGTAGAAGCACCATCAGCCGTAGTATCGGGCGCCTCAGCTTCGGCATCCGCAGTTGAAGCACTATCAGTCGTAGTAGGGGAATCCTCCTCGACAGCAGAAGAAGTAGATGCTTCCTCCTCGACAGGCGCCTTGGACGACTCAGAGGAGGGATCCTTTTCATCCTGCAACTCAGAAGAGGACTCTTCGGCAACGACCGACGATTGTGCGGTTTCAACAGAACCCACGGAGCTAGCGTCAGTGCCAGGCGCATCTGTAGAGGCGACGGTGACATCGGAGGTATCCGAAGTCTTTCTAGGTCGAGTAGAAACGTCGGGCTCCTGGATAGGAGCAAAGCTAATGTCCGGAGGGGGCAGTGGGCTCTGCAGTGGCGTGGGAGGCAGGATGTTGGGGTCGGAGGCAGGGTCTGAAAAGTCGAGACATATGTTAACAATGTCGCTTTCCCCTATGTCCTCCATGTCCCATATGGCCTGGTACATACCTTTGCCTCGTTTCCTGATGAATCGAGCCGCCTTGAACTCTGATTTTGATGAAACGCCATCGACTCTGGAAAATTGGGGGTTAGTGTCATCGGACGGAACATGTTATAGTTGCAGTGTGAAACGTACAATCCATGCACAATGTCACCAAGGTCCTTTTTAACGCTTTTCACGTGTGTTATGGCCCTTCGAACCCTCTCTTTCAACCGCTTGGAGGTCTTGACAGTGTCAAAGTTGGCAAGAGGACTGTCAAAATCTGCTCCCTCGGAGTAGGAATTGAAAAAGTCGAGCGTTTTGTTGTTTAGTTTGGTCTTGAAGTAGGTCTTTGCAATGTTGGGGTATTCTTCATTGCGAAAGTGGAGGAGAGCCTGCTCCGGATCTTTTGGGTCCTGCCCAGACTTTGGAGTGCGTAGTTTGACGCAGATCTATGAGACAGGTGTGGTCAGTGTTCTCGCTCTTCTTCTTTCTCATCTAATCCCCCTTCTCTCGTTATGGTAGCAGCCAATTGGGGGGCAATGATGACTTACAGAGTAGGGAACGAGAAGTCCAGGCTTCTCCTTGGTCGGCACACAGCCCTTGATGTACAGCCATTTCTTGGTCTCGGGGCTGATATTCTGCTCGATAAACTCGGCAATGGCCTTATTCTGAACCCACGACTCCCCGCTTACATCTTTGGCGACGTGCCATGCCTGAAAGTAAAACGTTCCATCAGAGCTTCCACTTCGCCAAGTCATAGTAAGAGCACGTAGACTGGTGAAGGGTTGCAAAGGGAAGATGGACCGTTTTCATAGGAAAACAAAGTCCCAACAGGCAGAGACGGCCAAGGCAAAAGTAGACTCTGAGCCGCCAAGTAGAACAAGAGGAAAAAGACAAAGAGAAATTATCAAGACAAGACGGGTTGGCGCGAAGATGGGTTTGCATCTCACTCCTCCCACTACGACAAGACGACTGGCCAGCCATTATATTATCCCGGAGCATCCCAACCGGCCGCACCCTTGAGTCAAGTTGAGTGTGCCTCGGTCGTGGCCATGCATGCGATTCGCCTGCATAGATGGGCATGCCGGCTTCACCAGGGTGACTAAAGCGAAACAACTGCAGTTGGCTGCGGAGACGGGCTCTCGCCATAGCACCCTGGCCACGTAGCGAAGCCTACGTGCATGGCGATACTGCTGGAGGCGTCTTATTGGTGGCTGCTGATATTCAGTCTCCATCCGGCCCGTCTGCATTGCAGCCTTATGCAGACACATTGGTCGAAACATGGCCACGACAAAGGCCCCAGTTTCGGCGTGCTGCGCTCTGGCCCTCACGCGACGCCGCTTTTCTCGCAATTCAGGAGGCGCTGGTCCTTTTTGGCCGTTTGGCCGTTTGGCATTGCGTGTTGTCGCGGGTCGCATAGCCGGGACGGGACTGGAGAGACGTGGGCGCAATCAACGCATGCTCTTTAGCACACGGCCATTCACAGACTGCTCTACACGTCTTCTCCGCAGGCTATCATTATGGCCAGAGATAAGCGTGAGGAGGTCTGGTTTTTTCGCTTCTCCCGTAATGCCCCGAGCATCGCATCATGACGCTGCTGATGTGTCACAAGTCTCGCTATAAAATGGGCTCGGGGATCCCATCATGGAGCGCTTATCAAGCATTGCAGCGCTGCACAGAGTGCAGTTACAGTATAATAAGCCCGGATTGCCCAACGCCGCTCCGCAAATGCACAGCACATGTTGTTATGCCGTCTATCCTGGCCTCTGCCCTGCTCCAGATGGCGCGGCTGTCTCGTTTCTCTCTGACTGCTTGGGCTCGGGTCTATTGCCTGGTCCAGGAGCTCTGCCCGCAAGATGGCACGAGCGTCTCTTGCAGATGACAGAGCTAAAACAGGACCAGATGACGTGAAGGGAGAGGGAGAGGGAGAGATTTGGAAGAAGCTGATTGATTGCCTAATACGCCAAGGATAGAACATGACAGGACAGGACAGGACAGCAGTGCTGAGCCATCGTTTTCCGTGTCGTGCTCACCAGCCACTCAGGCAGGATAAGAGATAGAGGCTTGCCCTATTCCAGGTACTACGCCATACGCTTACCTCGTACCTGTGCCTGTAGCAGTAGCAGTAGCAGTGAGGCGTAGTCCGTAGTCTGGGCAAACGGCCGCTGACCAGGGAAACATCGCCATGACGCAGCCACCAGCCGCGAGCCACGTCGACAGCAAGGGATTGACTGGATGTGTGGTCGTGGCTCAATTGGCGCCCGACTTTGTGAAGCTGCCGTGCTTGTACCTTGCGCTAGACGCTGAGCCAAGCCACACCAGGTGCTGTAGCTCTACTCGTTAGGCACGGGCACAGGCACTGAATGCTCCGTAGTTGGTACATATGTACTTTGACAGCAGTCAATGGACGCAGGGGGAGAGGGATGAAATGGTTTACCGCCTGCTGTACACCGTCTTTGGTACCTTCTTGGGCACTAATAGGCTATAATGGTAATTGGAAGCCTGAGCTCTGATAACATTGGATGGATGAAATCAAACTGAGAAAATGGCCACCCCGAGCCTAATCGATAATAGGCACCCAAGTTAATGTGATCAATATTACGTGCATCTGTTATGCCCGATATCCCTGGTACATGTCCACGATGACGACGCTCCTCAAACGCATGTGATGGCTGTTGGTAGCAGTGACCATGACTCTAGCAGTGGAGGATCAAGCATCAAGTACCCACCCCCGCCAGCAAGTCCCTGTCCGTCTAAAACAAAAAGAAAGGGACCTAAACATACTATACCCACTCACCTTGCGGAACGGAACCGAGCCGCCGAAGCTCCGGAGCTCCAGACTTGACTTGATCCCTAGAACTAGACAACCTCGACCAGCAAACACGGGCAAGCTAATCTTGTCTTCCATGTGATCTGTTTGCTGTCGCCCTGTTAAGCTGCCGTGCTAACCCATCCTGCTACTAACCTCCAACCTGATAACTGCCGATCCGTGCCGCTGGAGCTTACTCATGATCCCCGCCCCCCCCCCCTGCTCCGAGATCGGTCTCCTGTCGCCCAACCAGCCACTCACAGCCCGTATGATGAGAGCGCAGCTGTTTCCCGCCATGCGATTCGATCGCTGGCTGCCATCGCCTACTATCGGTATCGGCATCCGCATCAGTATCCTATCGATACCGAGCACAGGCTGAATCTGAATTACTAACTCGCCGTGCGTTGAGCTCGTCTGCGTGACTCTGTTTTGATTCCGCTATTTGGATTTCTATCTATTGTTCGATCCTTTTTTGTTGTGATTTCTGTCGTAATCAGAGGCAATTGATGCTCCCAAGGTTTGCCGGTGCACATCCTGAATTGGCGTGGGTAAACCTTCAACCGGCGTCATCTTCTACTTGCCAAAAGACCAGAATCAGATGATGGAAGGACTGATGGACTGACCTGCTGCATCTGGCCACTCAGCAATCCAATCCAATTTCAAGACGCCAATTCTAAAGCCTCTGCGTCTGTAGTCGTCCATATTCACCAATTCTCTTCTCCTTCAGTGCTTTCAACCACAGTATCCCCCATGAAGACGGACGACGCAGTATCGCAACCGCTGGCCGCGCGCATGCCCACCATCGCAAGCGCAATCACAACCACAACCACAACCGCAGCCACAGCCACAACCTCAAACTCAAGAGATGGCCATCGCCTCCCAATGGCCATGACTTCCATGTCCGCCCAGTCCCAGCCGCAGTCCAAATGGAACACCGACAGACTCGCCTGGCGCCTGGGCGCAGATGCGACGAGCGCCGCATGCGCCGGCGCCCTCATCGCGCCCATCATCACCATCATTGACCGGTAAGCAGACAGACACTATCAGAGACAGGCATCTCGCGTATCAGACGGGAATCCAAACAAGAAAACTGACCTCACCTCCGTTCCTCAAATCAACAGCTCCATTATGGAAAACGCCTCCGGCCGCAACTCCCTCGCCGCCTCCATCCGCTCCTCTCTCCGCACCCTCTTCTCCCGCCCGCAAGCTCTCCTCCTCTCCCGCCCATGCGCCCTCGTCTTCGCCCTCTACGCCGGCACCTACATGACGGCAAACTCCCTCGACACCGCCGCCTCCACAGTCACCAACCGCCCCGCCAGCGCCGTCACCTCCGGGCCCGGCAAGTTCGCCGCCTCGTCCGCCGCAAACGTCGGCCTCTGCGTCTACAAGGACCAGGTCTTCGTCCGCCTCTTTGGCCCTCCCGGCGCCGTTCCTCGACCCGTCCCGCTGCCGAGCTATATCCTCTTCACGATGCGCGACTGCTTGACCATCTTCGCTTCCTTCAACCTGCCGCCGCTCTTGGCTCCGTGGATGGACACCCGCCTCTCCGACTCCATGCGACGCTACGTCTCCGGCCTGACAGCAGCCCAATTCATCGCCCCAGCATCCGTCCAGCTCTTATCCACTCCTGTCCACCTGCTCGGCCTGGACATGTACAACCGCCCCAACGGCGGGTGGCGCCAGCGCTGGCAAGTCGTGCGATCAAACTGGCTCATCAGCACAGCCGCGCGCATGTGTCGCATCATACCGGCATTCGGCGTAGGCGGAGTAGTCAATATGAAGACGAGGCGGCATCTCATGGAAAAGATTGCGTAAATGGCTCCGCAGCCTGTTTTTGCATCGTTACTGCTATTTTTCTTCTTCTTCTTTTGGCCTTACTTGCATACGAAGCGATGTGTCCATGGTTCATTTTGTTTTGGCTGGCTTCTTCTTTTCCTTTTTCTGGAGGGCTGGGAATTAATAGACCTAAAGGTTGCGTCTTTCGAGTACTGTACCGACCAGTACAAGCAAAGTCATTATTTTGATAGACAGGTAAAGGATATACATACAGGGGATTGCCATGTAAACTATTCTCCCTCAAAGCCAGCAACTCTGGCTCTATAAATACAAATCACACAGGCAAACAGCCGTCTACCGTCTACCGCTGATTTTGCTCTCTGTCAGTTGAATTGTATCTTTTTATTTGCAGTTCTAGCAAATCTTCCTACCGAAGAATTTTCATCTGTCCATCCATACATACATTGTCCCCGATTCTGTCTCGCAGTCACTCTCTCACACACACGTAAATACCACTCACTCAGCTACCTGTCTCTAGCGAAACCCTTTCTCCCCTGTCTCTCACACACCGTCTTCAGCATATCCATCTCCCCATATCTAGCGAATTTCATCCACACTCAAGCAAGGTATAATTCCACTCTTCATCTCTCGCAAAGAGAAAGAGAAAAGAACAAACGAAAAAAAAAAAAAAGCAACCGGGGTTCGGCCCGACAAAACATCTGATTCAGGGGTTCGGCCTTGAAAAAAAAAAGTGAGGCCGTCTCCTTCCCAAACGCCCGTTCCGAGGCTTGGCCAACCAAATCGTATCTGAGAAAACAAATCATAAAACATGCCATGCCTTTGACGCACGGCAGGCCTAAAAAAGGGTCTTCTTATCCGGGGACCATGGGTAGTATCGGATAAGTAAATTGAAAAAAGTCCAAGAGGATTTTGTGAGAGGAGAAATAAAACTGTCATCGGACGGGCCATGGCACCTTGCAGACTCCATGAATTACATCGTCCGGTTTCTATCAGCCGACTAGGACATGCTTTGGAGAATCAAGGTTCCAGGGAGAATAATCCAGGTCCTGGTTCCGAGCGGCAATGAGGAAAAGAAAAGAAGAGAAGAGAAAAGAAAATCAATTCCAGCTGATTGAGAGGCGGGTATCATCAGTACAAGACGTTGATCGCCGTGACTCATCGCGTCGTGACAGTACCTACCCCACGGCAGGCGGTCCGGGCCGTTCAAAGAAAATAGAAAAATATAGACATCGAATAGTTAATGGGCTCCCAAGGTGCGGTTACACCACTTCAACGTACAGCATGAGCTTCTCGTTGCGATTAAGGGCATCGTCCAGATCGGCGTCATTCGTCAGGCTGGGCTTATCTCCCGTCTGCTCATCCTTGTAAAACAGCTGAACTTGCTCGTTTGGCGATACTTTGAGTCGATCTCGGACCTTGTCACAGAGTTGCTGGAACTGGATGTCTGTGGGAACCCGAATAGCAATGAGATCGCCATTGTAGTACATTTTGATCTTCATGGCGGCTCCGGCTTGTGGCTGCTGCCCTTGTTGAGGCTGCGATGGCATCTGCTGCATGACTAGTGACAACAAGGTCAGTATATTTCATTCGTTGATGGGCCCAAGGTGCCGAGAGTGGTTGCGGGAAACTCTTACCTGACTGCGGGTTGCTGACTTGTCTCGGGGTAGCTGAGAGACCAGTGTATCCATTGCCGCTCAGATTGTGTCGCGATGACTGTCGCGAATCAGGGTTAGCATGTGACCCGGACGATGAGCCATGAGAGCCCTGGGACAGCCGGTATTCCTCTTCAACGGTGGCAGGGTCCATCTCATAATCGCCTTCTCTGGGAGCAAAGAACTGCTTGACAAGTGTGCAACGAGCGATATAGGGGGGCTGGCCTAGCAGGTTCTTCACATATGCATCCAGGTTATGCAGCCTTCCCTCGGTGATGGCATCCGTCACATAGCTCACGGGGCCAGGCATGTAGGGGAGTGTTCGCTTCTGGGTTCCAGTGTTGCCCGCCTCGGCAGGGAACTCGGTGAGAAGGGCAATCTGGAAATCGTAAAAGTCCTCATAGTATCTGGACAGTTCCCAGTGCCGCCCATCTTCGAGCTGCGTCTCGATAACAAACCAGTACTTGTCCTCCGCAAAGCAGTAGCGGGGTATCCGGGCAGAGATAGGGGCGTAGAGCTCCGTGGTCGCGCTCGATACAAACTCAGGCTGCTGGGGAAGGGCAGCAGGCTGAGGAGGGCCGCTTACGGCGCCTTGTAAGGGCTATTGGGGGTTCATTAATGCCTGATCAAAAGGCAAGGTTGACGGAGAGGAGAGCAAGAGAGCAAAAACGTCGAAAGGGAAGCAGGCGTAAGGGGGGGTAGGGTTGGCGGAGGACTGACGGAAGGGGGAGGACAAAGAGAGAAAGCAAGAGAAAACTAGAAGAGGGAGAGGGAGAGGGAGAAACAAACAGAAAAAAAAAACCGAGAGAAAAGAATTGAGACAAGAGTGGAAATGTGCAGAGTGGGGTGAGCGAGACATGACAACAGGGGAGCGAGGGGAAACATAGCCAGGCGGTACAGAAGATAAGGTGAAAAGGGAGGGACAGGAGATGTGATGAATAGCACAAAGACTCACCTGAGGTGCATTCTGGATGCTCATGCGCTCCATACCCTGCTCCAGTGGCTGGGATGGTCCTCCGCCCTCAAACTTGCCCAGGGTAATGCTGCTGTTTTTGTAGGCGGTTGCCATCTTCTTCCACTCCTCGACTTTGGGAACACCCGCCTTTCTGATGGCTTCTGAAGGGTTCTCAATGGCCTTGCCCGTGCCCATATCACGGAGCTCAATAAAGGACACTGGAATCAAGCCAGGGCCACCAAGTCGACCAATGGGTTTGGCGACGAACCACTCCGGGTTGGACTGAGCAATGACGATGATGGCTTCTCCCGCCTTGGCCTCGAGCTCGTCGGACCTCTCTGCATTGAAGTCGTACATGACAACGCCATAGACCATGGCGCCTTGCTTGGCGGACTTGGACATTCTTTGAGATGCGGGAGCAGATGCGCCCGGGGACTGTATGGAGTGGACTTCACCGTAGCCAGAATCGTGGTCTGGGTTCTTGTTTGCAGTTTGCGGGCGACCACCGTCTGACTGCTGGCTGTCCCTCTCAGTCTTGCCTAGGGCCTGGAAAAAAGCTACAGGCACGAGACCACGTGCGTCAGGCAGCGCAGGGTTGCAAGCTTCGTACCAGTCGGGATCGTCCTCACGGCCGATAACGTGGAAAAAGTCGCCTTTAGAGAAGCCTAGTTCTTGGGCAGAGCGGGCTTCGTAGTCGTAGAGAGCTCGGATAACCTGCGTATGAAATAAGAAGAGGGCCCCTCAAACGTATCGCGTTTACAACTACTAGGAAGACCAAGAAAAACGACGTAATGAAAATGCCATTGCCAACGCAGCTCAAGGGGAGAAAAGACCAAGGGAAACGGGAGCGTGGGGCTGCTTTTGCGCGATAATGTCTTGTCATGCGACCTTGTCGACTCAACACAGACATGCGTAAAGCAGGAGGAGGAGGAGGAGTGGGAAGGGGGGAAACGCAGCACACTGATCAACGAACCTTCTTGGGCGGAACGATTGCGACAGCAGCTTTGGGGGTAATGGAGATGCTGTGTTGCTTCTCCTTGTCGCCCTTGATAGACCGACGGAGCGCCTGTACCAAGCCCATGGCTGTTAGTCTTGTTTTTCCTCTCTCTTTGTCCGAAACTTCGTCGCAAGGGAGCTTGTTATGCTTGTTTTTTTGTTTTGTTTATCTGGTTTGCGCGTGTGGTGGTTTTGACTGAGGAAAGGTTTGGAAGCAGGCAGCTGGCATGCCAAACACGATCGATATACCAGAGGCATCGTGTTGCCGGTCCGGCGGTTGGGGAGGGGAGCGGTTTAGAGCTGGCAGCGCATGACTTGCGCAGTTGGCAATGACGCACCTTCATGTTTGTGTAACAAACTGTGGACGGACTGACCGGGATATGAGCGGCACGGCGATGCTGTTCCTGGTACGGCGGAGGCGGGTGCGAGAGGACGAGGGTATGAGGGTATGCGAGTATGAGGGTATACTATGTCGAATATAGAATCGGCGAGGGGCGGGTCTAGTTTCGTGCGAGCTCGCGATGTCGACTGGTGGGCGAGGGGTGCGCAAAAGACTGCGAGCGACGCAGGGAGGGGGTCGATGCCAATGGCGAGCCGGCAAACGTCGATACACGCAGAGCAGGGCAGAGCAGAGCAGAGCAAACTGCGGTGCGCACGGCAGAAGAGGGCAAAGAAGCAGAAGGCCGGCAAGATGCAGAAGGCAGCTCAGTCCGTCGCACACGAAGTTGGTTGCGCGTGCTAGCAGGCAATATTAATACTAGTCTTGCGTCCGCTCTAGCCTCTTTGTGTAGTGTCGGCTGCGCCTCGTGCTTCTAGAAAGTCGAGCCTCGTGCCGTTGCAACACTCACGTTTTTTTCTCGTCCCAGGGCCTGAGATTTCGGCGATGCAGGCTGCCGTCGAGGAATCGTGCAGCTGGGCTTCCGTGTGTCGTGTCGCAATCAATCTAGTCCAAACCAAACCAATGCGATGATGATCCAAGTCAGTTCAGTTCAGTCCAGTCCAGTTCAGTCAGTCACTTGGCAGACGGTGGTGGCGCAATAGCGTAATCAATCTAGCACCCAACGGGCGGCGCAAAAAAAGGGTCTCTCAAAAAGATTTGATATTGGATCGAGGGGACTGTGGGCGGCAAAAAGAGGCTGGCTGGCGCCGAGTGAAGCGGCTGGAGCAGATGCAGATGCAAGAAAAGAATTGCTCTACTGGCCAAAACGCCTTTTACCAAGTTGTGGGTGGGAGGGAGAGAGCAAGATGTAGGTGTAGGTACAGGTACAAGTGCAGGATACAGTAGCAGGTAGGTACATGTGGACATCAAAAGGCAGGTGGTTGCACGAGCAAGGTACAGGCAAGTACTCCCACGCCTGTGTGCGACCCGACACTACCTGTGCGTGACCCTCGCTTCACTGCCAGCTGCTTTGTGCTGCCCCCAAGCAGGTACCCAACAGCGCGTGGTGAGACAAGGCAGCGCCAGAAACAGGGAGCCGCTGCTGCTCTACAGCCATTACGAGCACGCTCTTGAGGCCTCGTACGGAGTACAGGTACAGGACCTGTCGTCTGCAGTAAGCCTGAGAGCAAACCTGTGGCCTGTTGGAGCTGCGAGAGCCTGAGCAGCCGGGGCTCCAGGTGGGCTACAGGGGGCCGCAGAGGGGGTGCTGGTGGGCTGCAGTGGGGGCGGCCAGCGTCCAAGCGCTATCCATAGGCCCGCGAGCCCTGGAGCAAAACGCCCAGAGCTGCCAATGGGCGCTGCGGAACGGCCAAGGGAGGGGCATGACAGCAAGGGTTCCATGTTGCCTCTCGAGGAAGCTTGGACGGAAAAGACTGGATCCATCAAATGTGTAAAGGTTGCATCTTTTTTTTCCTCGTCTACGCATTCACTCGCTAACATGACGTCCAGTCTCTTTGAGTTGCAATCTTCACGGCCTTGTTCCCGGGCAGCCGGTAACGGTACATGCACACACAGGCGCCTATATCCACAGAGGTGCATGTACCGGTACTTGTGGTAATACTGTAGTAGACATGGACTGGACGGGATTTGAAGTACCTATAGATGTTTAACGCCTTTGTACGGAGTACTTGGATCTTATTTATAGAAAGTTGAGTACCTCATCCATACACTCTTGTACATGTACCTGATGCCTGCCCAAGGTGTGCTCAGCGCCAGCCTGCGCCGGCGAGGCTGAAATCGCTGCACGAGTGTAACCTCTGTTGGGCAGCCATTTCATTTTACTTTCACATCACTTCATTTCCCTTGCTTCACACCATGTTGCTTTGCTGATACAGTTGATATACCGTGCATGCAGAAAAAAAAGAGAGAGAAAATTGGTCCCCCCCTTTACTTTGACATGACTAGACGGCCTCGTCTTAGCAGATATTGACTCAAGTCTTGTGTTAGTGCACAGCTGCCACAACGCAACCAATGGACCCCAAAGCCTTACACACTCGACGTTATAATTACTTCCATGCCTGAAGAGAACCACATAGATAAGACCCATGGCACTGTAGCATTAGGATTTGCACAAAGATAGAACCCCTTCTTTTGTCCCCCAATACACAAGGCAACGTAAACCATTAGTCGGATCCATGGATACTATTCTCAACATCAAATCAACTCACTCAGCTTTTACCAGCATCTCTAGCGGCCATCAGCTGCTCCACCACCCCTGTCTGCATGCTTCAATTTAGCGCCATCCATCACTGACCTCCCGATGGTGAAACGAGAAACTTTCAGGCCATTGACAAGGAGTTGCGCTACTCAATCACGCCCGGCAACTTATCGATTACGCCAAAGCATTCCTCCTTGTTTCAGCTTAACTTTTTCTCCCTTCAAGTCGCTGAACAATAGAGTGAGTTGGTATTGGAACTCCCAACGACTATTGATGATACTCCTGCTTACCTGTTATGGCATGGACTGTAACAGCTGGAGGCGATAAAGAGGAGAAAGCAGACGTCTCGAAAATTCAAGTTTGATCAATTGATGACTGCTCCGACTATGTAATAAATGTACAACTACAGTCGGAAACGTCTCTGTATAAAAAAAGAAAAACACTACCAGCGCCAAACACCGCAGCCTCCCAAGGCTTCAGTCCGACCGTGATGATGATAAAGCCAAAGCGCCATATTTGCTCACCCCAAGGGAGCAGTTTGGCGTAAACATCCTGCCACATGTCGTCCAAATCCCTTTCAACATCCAACTAGTTGGAGTTGCTACTATGGATCAAGTGATATCCTGCTTATAATAGAAGCAGAGATCTGGCGGGTCAAGTTAGAAAGAGAAAATAGTTTTGAAGAGGGCATCGCCATAGTCAAGGCGGATGCCAAAAGTCTGCTGCATTCGCCGAGCGGGAACCGAGTATTGATACTGTTCAGCCCTGAGCCGTGCAGAGAGGAGAAAGAAATGATTCGTCATGCGAAATCGAGTTCTTAACAGGCGGAGTCCAAAGAAACAAGTCTTTTGAATCCTTGCCGGAATCGGCAAGATGCTATCGTTAGGTATCAAGGGTAGGCTGGCATTTTCAAAGAGATAGAGAAGAGGAAATGCACAAAAAAACGCTGATGGAGGCGAGCCACATGCAGGAAAAAACAGGCGCGGAGAAGAAGAGGCGCCTGAGCAGCGTGGCAAGGAGCAACAACCAAGTTAAATCTGCCCCTTGATGTCCACTTTCCGGAAAGCCAAGGCTCTAGAGTTCTCGAACAGGTTACCGGCTTTGCCGGTCAGGAACGCAATGTACTCTGTGCGGTCTTCGAGAAGATGTTGCCCCTGGTAATCAATGATGAACTGAGCAGCATCAGCGTCTGATTCGAACCCGAGTTCCTCAGTGATGAAGCGCAGCTTGATGTCAGGTTTGTATCTAATGGCAAAGAGTTAGCGATGAAAACAGGAACAAGTGATGTTATTGACGACTCACCCTTTACAAATGTTGCACAGAGCTGCAAGGCGCTCCCTGGCGACAAACATATCCATTAGATATGCACCCATGTTGGGTGTGTCAAGGTAAAGCTGAAAAAACTTGTGGTAGTTGCCCAGTGCCAACGCCGACCGCACGTCGAGCGCGTGCTTGATTGGCTTCTCTTCCTTCTCCGCTGCTGTTAGATCTGCCAGGGTGTCGTTCAGGCCAGTGCGGTTGGCCGTGTGAATGAAATAGAGAATACGATACGCCTTAAACTCAATGGGGTTTCCCTTCAGGCCCATTGCATACAATGATCGCAACTGGGTCTGGCACTGATTATACTCACCGATGTCCCCCTTCTCCAAGGCAATCCGGGCGTGGATTTCATAGACGGAAACAGTAAACTCGTTCTTGATGCGCTGCACGGTGAGATCTTGACGCATGGACTTAAATTGGTCGCAGATGTACGAATAGTTGCTCTCCTTTCTCCACTTCTTCTTCAACAAATCTAACGTTTGACGGAGAACTCTCTCAGGTCGCACATTGGACGGAATAGGAGGGGCAGTGAGGCGAAGATACTTCTTTTCAAGGGTTTCAGAGGTGCCGACGATGGGGCCGGATGTTGGCGGAGTTGGGCTGGGCGACGCTACGTTGGCCGCCTTGTATTCGTTTTCGAAACGGCGCTTTCGCTTGTTGGCTTCTTTCTGGAACTTACTGGACTTGGGGTCATCGAGGGCTACCCGCTTGTCGGGGGAATACGAAATGCGATCCTCGAGGGATCGGCCTGAGTTAGTAGAGTGCCACGGCGGCACAGATGAATCATTGTTTGCAAAATCATTCGACTTGCGCTTTCTGGGGTTGAAAGAGTCGTCGGCATATATCGGTGTAGTTAATGAGGTATGGCGAAGCTTAAGCAGTGCTGCCTCATGATCAGCTCTCACCAAAGCTTGGGGTAGAGGCATGTTATCCCAATCAATAGTGTAGAGTGCGTTGTTCTCCTTGGCGCTGCCGATAGTGTCCTTCAGCTTAGCCTCAAGCTCCGCACGAGAGACAGAGGCGTCATCGTTTTCCGGATGAAAAGACCGCTGGACGTATCGTCGGACTGATTCCGGCCACTCGGTCTTGCCCCCTTTGGGCTGTTCTACAGGTGCTGATGGAGATGCATTTGTCGTGGTTCCGGGAGTAGTGGCCTGGCTCTGAACTGGACTTGAGGCGTACGGGTTGTATGGTGGTGGCGGAGGAGGTGCGGCATATGGACTGAAGCCCTGTCGCACCTGTACTGGAATAAAAGCAGGGTCTGCAGAAGAGGTTAGATGCTTTCAGCCGGTGGGACGAAGAGAAGACTTACTAGGTGGATAGGCGTATGAAGGCGGAGGAGCGTGCTGAGAAACGCTCGGCGGATGCTGGGTGGTTGGCCAGCCGGACATGGTGAAGGCGGCTTGAGAGTGCTGAACTGGAGTTAGTTTTACGAGGAGCGACGACAGATCAACAGCAGATGGAGAGCGCGGCAATAGTTTGCACAGCGGGTTGATAAAGTCTCAGTCGCGATGCTTGGGAAGATCAGGAGGCAACGGGCGAGGTTGGGCAGCAACAAGGAAAATGTGCGTCAGAGAAATCCCGTGACCAGGCAATCACGGTTAAATGCCGGCTACGTCCGACGGAATGATGGCAGGCAAGGAGCGGAGGATGTTTCCGGCCAATAGTGGGGATGCCTTAGTAGAGCTGCCCAGCAGGTACGTACCTCGACCAAGTCGCATGCCTCATCTTCTATCAATGGTAGCGCAACCTTGCTTCGTCATTGTCCTCGCCATAGACTCACCATATATCCAGAACTAGTCCTCTACGCAGACTCTATAGACTCTCAAATTATTTCTTATTCACCGTTTGAAGCTCCTGCAACAAGCCATTTCACTTCGTCATCCAGTGGCCATTCATTGCGTTTCCTTCGGCACGTGCTATTCAACGCATTCCGAATCCCAGGCCGATTCATTGATCCAAGGCTGGCTCTTTGCCGCTGCCGCATGACGAATGTTTCTGAAGCATATTGATCTAACTACTGCACTACGGCCTTCGTATCTTCCGGATGAAGTCCTGCTCTTTGTCCAGGACAATGTCGGCTTGTACGAAGGGTGAGTATCTTGGCGCTTGAGGCGGGGCTGTTTGAGTGCTGGGTGTTGACGAGATATAGGAAGTTCAAGCTCCCAAATCAGCAAAATGGCCAGGTGTATCTGACGTCTCATCGCATCTGTTACGTCGACAAGGATGAACCAAGGAAACACTCGGCTGCCCTCAACCTGAAGGAGGTGGATCGCTATGAGTTCTATGCAGGGTTCCTAAAGTCATCGGCCAAGATCACCATTGTGCCCAAGCCTTTGAAGCGATCAACGCTTCATAACCGCGTTGTGTCCAGCACGGGAGTCAATTCAAGAGGCAGTACGCCATCCCCCGCAGCGTCGGACAGCGCCTACACACCTCCGTCTGGACCTCCACCAATCACGACCGCAACCTGGGTCTGCACTATTTGCAGCTTCTCGAATCCTGTCCCTTCCAATTTTGATCCTGTGGCAGCAAATGCCCACACTCCTCTTCCACCATGTTTGGCTTGCGGAATCAAACCAACGCTCTCCCAGGTATTAAAGGCGGCTATTACCAGCGCAACCAACCGTCCAACAGCGTCTCCAAATGCCAGCCAGGCCGGAATTCCGAGCCAGGAGGCTTCATCAATAACTACTCCGCAGCCAAGCGATCCTTTTTCGACTTGTGATGCTCGAGTGGGCAGTGGACAAGGAAAACCCGACGCTACTGTGTCGTTCCACTGCCCGCGATGCACTTTCTCAAACCATCCTTCGCTACTATCTTGCGAGATGTGCGGAGCCCCGTTACTATCGCAAAACATACCTTCCAACCTTTCCAGCGCCGAGTATATTAGAACACAATCCCCTGGGCCGGTCAAAGATAGCAGCAACAAACCCAGCCAGGGCGGCACTGACTTTGCAGAAAGCGTAAAGATATCTTTCAGAGGTGGCGGGGAGAAGATCTTTTACGAGCGACTAAAGAGTGCCATGACACAGCGAAAGTGGCTGCTGCAAGATGCACCTCCCGCTCCAAAGAGCAACCGCGCGATGGATGATAATTCCACCAGCGGTTCACCAAGCGCCCCCGTTCAGAAGACGAAAACGGCCGGCATTGCTGGGCTCGAACAGCTGGGCTTAAACATGCGCAAGAATAACGAGATTCTAATCGGCAGCGCTTTTGAAGACCTCGAGGCCCTGATGGCTTCGGCAAAGGAGGTGGTAGCCCTGGCAGAGAGATTTGCACAGCAGGTCAACGGGGTCAGCGGCGATGCCACATCCAAGGACAATAGCATACTGGCCGAATCCGCCCATCAGCTCGGGCTAATCACTACCAAGGACATTGTCGGTGGTGGAGGCTCCGAGTCACTCTACTTCTCCGAGCTGGCCCGCAATTTGGCAGAGTTCCTAACGGACGATTCAAGGGGCGTGCTCAAGAGATCCGGCGGCATCCTCACGCTGGTCGAACTGTGGGCAATGTTCAACCGAGCGCGCGGCGGAGTGGAGCTCGTGAGCCCAATGGACTTTGAGAAGGCGGCGCAGATGTGGGAGAGCCTCAAGCTGCCCGTACGGTTGCGCAAGTTCCGGAGCGGCGTCATGGTGGTGCAGGCCCGCGACCGCACCGACGATGCCACCATCAAGTCGATCCTAGCCTGGCTACAAGACTTACACGAGTTCCCGCCTGACCGGGACGTTGCATGGGATTGGCGAGAGTTTGGGCGCGGTGTCACGGCGCAAGAGGCCGCGGAGAGGTTTGGATGGAGTCTCGGCGTGGCAGAGGAGGAGCTGCTGATGGCCGAGGAGCACGGGGCCTTGTGTCGCGAAGAGGGGCTTGAGGGACTCAAGTTTTGGAAGAATTACATTGGCAATAGTGACGCGGCGGTGTTGCAGAAGAAGGCGGCACAGGAGGAGGCCGATGCGCTGATCCAGCGGTTGAAGGACAGTGGGTTCATATAGGTCTGGTTAGATGGCTTGGATTGCATTGTTTGGTAGAGAAAGCGAGTTCATTGAGGCCTACGATGGGAAGATAATACTTTACATGGATACACTTTTTATATTTTTTTTCATGCTCAGAGTTGGGATTGTTTGTGAATCATGTTCAGGCGGTATAGATTCCTGAGCGTCTTGATTCTCAAACAAGATAGTGTACATCAGCAGCCTCATGACGGCATCACCGCCTCATATGCCAGCCATATGGATATCAAAAAAAAGATGAAGTTAAAAAAAAAAAAGGCACCGAAACTCCGCAATGGCCCCTTGTCTTTTATCAAACTCCGTGAGCGTGTAAGGGGGGGGACCTCTCATCCCAAAAGAAGCGACGTGAAATTCCCCTCCCGCCCCCATACTCCCCGATCGTGAAAAAAAAAGAGCGCATAAAAGGATGAGGCGAAGGAATATTCGATGGATGGTTTGGCTTCAAAGTACAACGCCAATTGATGAGGGAGAGAGAGAAGAAGAAAATGTATAGAGGTGGATCTTGGGTGAAGTTGGGGGAGGTTTTTTACACCACGACATGCGTCGACATGTGTTCCACCGCCTCTTTGATTGAACGAAGCATTCGCTGGTTGACGCAAAAAGGGCATCGCAGCGGTCTGTCGTGCGTGGCGATGGGCACTTCGGAGTGAATCGGCGTGAGAGTCAGATCAGGAGCCATGTCTTGGCCCGGCGTGGTGTAGCGGGTATCTGACGGCGCGCGAGCACTCGGCGTAGAGACCATGGCCTGCTGCTGCTGAAGCCCAGCAGCTCTCTCCGCACGCTCACGTTCTTCGCGCACAGCAGCGGCCTGCTCCTCGGCAGCTTGCTCTTCCTGCTGGAGCTGTCGGAGAGCGTTCTGGAGCACCACCTCGGGGTCGTCCTCGGCATAGAGCGGCTGGTCGGGCTGTGGCTGGGCGAGAGTGGGTTCGACGGGGGTCAGAGACGGGAGCGGAGCGGCATGAGCACTGGCCAGGCGGCGGATGATCTCGTCACGGACCAGGGCGCAGGTGTTGAGGCTGGACTCGACGCCCACCACGCGCAGGACCTGCTCCCGGATGGCGGCAGGGCTGGTGTCGCTGGCGATGGCCATGAAGCGCGGCACGCAGTCGGCCAGGTAGTCAATGTCGTCGGCCGGGTTGATGCCGCCGTCGCCGTGACGCCGCTGGCGGCGGATCAGCAGGCCGTAGCGCTTCTTGAAGCGGTGAATCCATCCCGGCGAGAACTCGGGCGGGCTCTCCTCCTTGTAGCGCGGCAGCTGGCTGAAGATGCTCTTGGCCTTCTCGCCCAGCTCCTCGTTGGTGGGCTGGCGGCCGGCGGCCTGGACCTGCTGGTACCACAGCAGCACCAGCTTCTCGACGTCGGGCCAGTTGCCAAAGCGCAGGCGCGAGCCCGACAGCTGCGGGTTGTCGCCGTCGAGGCGCGAGTACTTGGGCGACAGCGAGTGCGAGACGGTCGACTGGCTGATCTGCTGGCCGTACTGGCCAAAGAACCACTCGATGCAGGCCTTGTGCGACGGGCGGATCGTCTGCGTGTTCGCCCAGCGGCGCAGGGCGCGGCGCTGGTCCAGCGTCAGCGAGTGCCGCTCCTTGGGCGCCGAGACGGACGGCGAGATGTCGCTGCCGTCCACCAGCGAGTCTGTCGCGGCCATGTCGTCGAATTGCAATCGTTGTATCCGATGGATGCAGGATTCTTTCGGTTTAGGAGATGGTGCATGCGCCATAAAAGCAGGGCGGGGCGCGCTCAGGCGCTCAGGGCTTTGGGGGCAGCCAAATGCCGCTCACGTGACCGCGACAGCGCTCCAGACGGCCTGCAGATTGGCTACACGATGCCTGCAGGCGGCTGGAATGCGACATGCGTGATAGGCTGCCTTGGGCTGCCTTGCTGTCTCCCTGCATTTGATCACGGCGAGTGGCTGCCGATGGACGGGTTATGCGATTTGCGCGTCTTCCATTGCAGGTAACGGTGCCTGCATGTACATAGGTAGGCAATATGGTTCTAGGGATGTATACGAGTAAAGGTGCTGGTATGCTTATATCCGGCTACCGTCGATCAAACAAGGCTCCTAGCATGAGGCCGGCCTGACGCTAGGATCAATATAAATTAAAAGAGCCCGTTGCTGGAGTCGGTTATTGAATTACTCTTTATCATCTTATGATGGATAGGATGCATCAGAGATTTCGAGCTTATTGCTGTGACGCATCTAACGAAGCTTTGATGTAATCAGTTTATGCGTCTGTCTGGCTTCTCGCAGACAATTGGCCCATTGTATTGATCTTTTATCGGTAACGTAATTTAACTTGATGCTCCATGAATAAATGGCCTACGTAGTATTGGGCATGGATCACATATTTTCGCTTGATAAATTCACCAAGGCTTTATATCGGCAATTTGATGCTCATGCATGCATAGCCTGATGCGGTTCTTGTTACAAGAACTTATTAGTGAAGCCGCTTTGCGTGACCAAGCTTATAGCATCATTTGTTCTATTCATAAAGAGGTACACGGAATAATTTTGTATGAAAAGAAGCCAATTAAATGTCAGCGTTAATTCACAGTTATATGATCTCATCATGGATAGATACGCTGTCTTCACGCCCAAGTGCCCATATCATGAAGAACCAATGCACAAGCTGCATTTCCCTACATAGCACATACAGAGTTATTTGTCCACTCACTATGGGCATTCAATCTGCTAAATGTTGGAGGATCGTGTACGCAAATTTAACCCCCCAGATATCGCAATTCATCTCAATGGATACGGCGGAGGAAATGGTTACCCCCCAACTGCGCCGGCTCAACCGTCACAGCATCGCCTCAGCCCTCAACATGACACACTGCAACTCGATATAAACCGAGCAAAGGACACGTATTCACACCGTCAAACGTAGGCGAGATCAAACAAGGGCACTAGCCGTGTCGGGGAGAGTAAATCGCATCGTTTTTCTATCTCGAGACACATTCGCTCTCTGGGCATCTATTATGTACAAGACAACAATACACTATCCCCCTCCATGCCGGTCGTTTTCGAGTTTCTCTCTTTAGTGCTTCTTGTCCTGCTCCTCAAGGAATTTCCTGTCATCCCGTTAGCCGGTTGCGCCTTCAAGTCGCACCTGGTATATAACGCACTTGATGAAGTCGGCCTCGTCAGAGCTGGAGGCGTTGATCGGAGGAGTGGCGACAGCAGACGCAGGCTTCTTGGGGCCGGAAGTAGCATAGTAGGCACCGCCGAAGAGGGTAGCCAACCAGCCCATGGCAATCTGTGAGGATGATTTTCAGGTCAGAGAGCTGGAGGCAGAGCTAGGAAGTGCGAGTTTTTTCGCCGGCAAAACATACGTAGTGGCCGCCGACCTGTCGACCAGCAATAGTGTAGGTAGCGACACCAGCCATTTTGACCTCGGTATATGCGTCGAAAGGGTGGACGAGAGGAACGGACGGGAATCAATGGATTGCTGCAGAGTTGAGGATCGTTGAACGACTTTGTCTCAAAAACGGACCTAGACTTGTGCCTGGAATTGCAGGCCCGGCAATGCGGCTATTCCCCGGCTGATCCCGCTGCGCTGTGGATGCCCAACTGAGAGCAACTGAGAGGTTCCGCTTTGCCGGCCGACGTCACTGTACCGGCTAGGCCATGTTAGCTTTGCGGGAGTTCCAAGTAGCCCGGAGCTCCAGATCTTACAGCAGCATTCGCAATCCCTCAATTCATATCCATCAACGCGGGCATTTTGCTTTCTCCAGACACTCTTTTTTGTCCTTTCACTCCTGCATATCATCACTTTCTAGAGCATCATCATGGGCTGGTGGGGAAAATCATCCGACCCGAAGCCCGAGCAGCAGCCGCAGCAGCAAGAGGCGCCGAAAGAACATGTCTTCGATCCCACGCTTCCCAAGGCAGAGAAGCTGCCCAAGGCACTGCAGAAGATTGTTGACAAGGCCGACAAGGATGAGAGTTTCTTCGACAGCATAAAGGAAGGACGGTAATTGCCACTCTCACCCGTTTTTTCCGGCAAGTCACTAAGATCAATCATTGCAGGGCCCCCGACACCACCGAGAGCAACTTGCGATATGCCGCGTATGCGACTCGACTTCGAACCATTCTCCTGTCTGCCCATCGATACGTCGCCTATACTTCGGACATTGGCGAATCGTTCCGACCCGTTGCGCATCCAACCCTTGTTCGCTCTGCCTACGGAATCTCGTGGCTCTACATTCTAGGCGATGTCTCGCACGAGGGATACCGTGCCTACTGGCAGAACCAGCGGATCCTCAACCCCCAGCTTCTGCTCAACTCTCACCAGCAAAGACTCTCTGGCCTCCCTGAAAAGGAGACCCGCAACATTGCCCCAGGCGTAGTCCCCCCATTGGAGGACTGGCGAACAGTCATGGTGCAGAGAGCCATCTTCCAGAGCGTCGCCAGTATGGGATTGCCGGCATTCACCATCCATAGCATGGTCAAGTACTCTGGAAAGGCCATGAAGAATGTCAAAAACGTCACCCTAAGGACATGGGGCCCCATTGGACTCGGCCTGTCTGTAGTTCCATTCCTGCCCAGCCTCTTTGACAAGCCGGTCGAGGACGCTGTCGAGTGGGCATTCCACAAGGGTTTTGAGCAGTTTGGGGGCAAGGCATATGTCGGGGATTTGCCAACTACCGGCCGAGAGAAGCTGCTTAACAAGGATCCCAAGATCAAGGAGGAGTAGCTGGGATATGAATGGGATAAGGCGTTGCGGCGTACCAATTGCTCTCCACTCTTGGATTTTGGAGCATACAAACATGGATACAGTAGATGAAATTTACAAATACAATACAATAAAGATGATGATTTTTTTTTTTTGGTTCTCCATTCATGCATTTATTTCATTTTTGACTTCTATCATCTATCACATTGATGGCTCCGTTCGCAGACGGCATAATATCACATGTAAGCCAGAATCCTATTTCTTAGTACGGAGTACTATCACGAGTTTATGCTTCTTTGTTCAAAGTGGTGGGGCCTCGGATTTGACCCCGCGATGCCGACTCGACCCTGCAGCAGCCTTATTTACCGCCTCATCTACGCCTCATCTCATCTTGTCCCCGGTCGCTTGGCGAATCATTTGTCAAATTCCCTTCCATATTGCATATTCGGGCTCATCACCCGACTTATACGGTACAAAGAACGTTGTCGCTAGTGTTACCGAGCACGGCGCACGGGCTTCAGCGCGCGATCGCTAATTTAGCAGACGCTTATAGGGGGTTCCAGAGGTTTCCTTGCCACGTTTGGTCAGCCGACTGGAGACGCCGTCAGCCGCGCGCCGAACAAAGATCCGATTCCATGCCTCGCAAGGTGACGACAGTTGCTCTGCCTGATAGCACATGAACCGGATTAGCGAGACTGCGGCGACTTATTTATTTTCTTTATATTAATCACGTCCCCAAGATGGCGTCAGGATCGGATTCCGACGCTCCAGAAACGAGCTACATCATGAAGAACAGAGAAGACGCCAGCCTGGTCGGCAAACACTGCCAGTACGAATACTGCAATCAGCTTGATTTCCTCCCCTTTTTCTGCCAGTCCTGTACCAAGACGTTCTGCCTGGATCACCGCTCAGAAACATCTCACAAGTGCGCAAACGCGGGGGCCTGGGCGGAGCGTAAACGACAGGCTCAGCTCTCAAAACCCTCCATCGGCCAAGGGAGGACACTGCGGGATAAGATCTCAGAGAAGCCCTGCGCGTCGCCAGACTGCGATACGACCATCGGGACTTCACTGACGCCGGGCGTTCACTGCGAAACATGCAACCGGGACTACTGTCTGAAGCACCGCTTCAAGGATGACCACAACTGCAAGAACTTGACGCCAATCGGGGCGCGGCCTCTTCAGATCGACGTTGCCCAGAGGACGAAATCCGCGCTGGACCGGCTTCGGGCATGGGGAACCACCAAGAAGGAACAGGCCGGCAGAGCGCTGCCCAAGCCCAAGCCCAGCTCAGCTGCAGCGCGGATGGTCGCCGTCAACAGCCTGAAGAAGACGGCAAAGGGAGACGACAAGTTGGCCCCGGAGAAGCGCATCTACGTGTACGTCGAAGCCGAGGCTGAGACGGCAAAGGCCAAGTTCCCTAAGGGAGAGTTCTATTACTCCAAGGATTGGGTTGTTGGCCGGGTGCTAGACGCGGCAGCACGGAGTCTTCAAGTGCAAAACGTCAACAACCAGAGCTCAGACGAGAGAGATAAGCTGCGAGTGTTCCATGTTGAGGGAGGCAGGGTTCTTGACTATGGGGAGAAGGTTGGAGCGTCGATACAGAGCGGGAATACACTGGTGTTACTGAGAGGCGTTGGTGCGCCTGCGGACTTGATTGAGGTTTAATGACAGACACTGGATTAAGAGGGCATACACAAGAGGTAATACGGGCGTTTTTGAATAGCGAATCTGTGTTTCGAGCTGGTTGGGGGTATTGGGGATACAATGAGTCGGCGAGCATAGCGGCATAAGTAGACTGCCTAGCGATATTGATTTGGCATACAATATAAGTTATAATACTCTTTTCAACAGTCACGTAATTCATGCTACACAACACCATCGAGGCCAGTTCTATCAACACAGTATCTCACTATGAATTTTTGTCATGGCTTGTTCCTAAAGCAATTAATTGCTGCTCAATTCGATGTTAGTGCTTCAGGGTAGGTCCAAATGCTTTATCATCCTTCACACTTAAATAAGGCACGTGATCCCGCGTACATTTTCGCGTCAATGACGACATGTCACTTCTCACCAAAAGTCGACTTCGCATCGCACGATTCGCGTGTGGGAAGACATGCCTCCATATGTGCCTCGCAAAAGACTAAGAGCCTCTGAGCCCGAGGACGCAGCCTCGGCTGATACGAGCGCCAGCAAGGCAAATTCCAAGGCAGGTGCGCGAAGGAGAACGCTCTACGACGACCTCGACTCATCGCATACACCTGGAGGTTCAGACTCGCTCCTCCAGGGCCTTGAGGGTTCCGGCGATAGCGACAGTCCCCTCTCTTCATTATCTGACAGCGATTTCGAAGATGTTCCTCTCGCCAAGCGGCAAAAAACAGAGGATGCTGGTGTAGATGAAGACGATGACGATGATATTGAGTTTGAGGATGTAGAAGCCCCTCCGCAGTTCACATTTGCACCAGACGCCCCAGAACCGTCCGGCGATCTGGAGCTGACACTGAATCGGGACACACGAATATCCCTGACGAATCAATTCGGCGATAAAAAGGGACCCTCAAAGAGAGAGCGGCTTGTCCGGAATGCAACGCACTGCGTTCACATTCTGTGTCTTCTGTGGCACAATGCTATCCGGAACTCGTGGATATGCGATGCCGAAGTCCAGGCAATCATGGTTTCTCACATTCCTCCCAGACTCTGGGATGAGGTAGATCGTTGGAGACGAAACAGTGGCCTGGCAGACCCGCAGCCACCACCAAAGATGACTGCGATAAAGAAGAGAAGCGTGAAGCAAAAGTCTCGAGATTGGGGTGAAAGCGCCAAGCGGCTAGAAGAGGGAGCCATTGATATGAGCCATGGCGATCCTCTGTTTCGATTTATGAGGTCGCTAGTCGCCTGGTGGAAACAGAGATTTCGGGTCTCGACTCCTGGTCTCCGTAAATGGGGCTACATGTCGCTGGAGCGCCTCGATAGACTCACCAAAGCGTACAAGGACAATGAGGCAGATTATGAAGAATTTGGCGAGCGAATAGAGAGCATAGAGGATTTCCGACAGTGCGCCACAAACTGCAGAGGGAGTAGAGACGTTGGAGCTCAGTTATTCACTGCGCTACTTCGGGGCTTGGGCATCGATGCTCGGATGGTTGCCAGCTTGCAGCCACTCGGATTTGGATGGAACAAATTGGAAGATGCAGATGCCGAGGAGGACGACAACAAACAAGGCACGCCGATGAAAGCTACTAATACGAAAAGTACCGGGAAGAAGGCAGAGAAAGATGCAGCAAAAAAGAAAGCGAAAGAGAAGCCAGGAAAAAACAGCACTCCTTCTCGGTCACGTTCTGCCCGTTCTGCTACGCAGTCAGCTGCTTCTACCATCAAAGAATCTGAAGACGATTTGGAACTCGAGTATAAGGACACAGATGACGAATCCGTCGACATGAATCTTACCACGACCAAGACTCTGGATACAAAAAAGGTCGACAAAGACCTGGAGTTTCCACATTATTGGACCGAGATTCTATCACCAGCCACCAAAAAATATCTTTCAGTCGACCCCATTGTGAAGGGAACAATCGCCGTAAATCGAGATCTCGTCGAAACGTTTGAGCCTCGTGGCGCCAAAGCTGACAGAGCCAGACAAGTCATTGCTTACGTCGTGGGGTACTCGAGAGACGGAACCGCCAAGGATGTGACGGTAAGATATCTGAAACGGCAGGTTCTTCCAGGGCGAACAAAGGGTGCAAGGATGCCACTTGTAAAGATCCCAATCTATAATCGCCATGGCAAGGTTAAGCGCTACGAGATGCTGGATTGGTTCAAGTCAGCCATGTCTGGCTACAGGCGAGGAGGCAAGGACCGTCCCTTGACAGAAGTCGACCAACAAGAAGACGTCACGGACCTAAAGCCAGCAAAAGCTGAGAAGAGGGAGGTCAAGGAAGGCGAAGAGACGCTACAGTACTACAAGCAATCCAAGGAATTTGCCTTGGAGAGGCACCTGAAACGCGAGGAGGCGCTGAGGCGTGGTGCTGAACCTGTCAAGGTTTTCAAGAACAAAGGTAAGGGCGGCAGATTAGATGAAGAGGACGTATATCTTCGATCCGACGTTGTCCTCGTCAAAAGTGCGGAAACCTGGCACAAGCAAGGCCGAGCCCCAATTGCTGGTGAGGAGCCCTTGAAGAGAGTTCCCTACCGCGCTGCCACTCTCAACCGGAAGCGGGAGATACTGGAAACGGAGGCGATCACCGGGCAAAAGGTGCTTCAGGGTTTATTTAGCTTCGATCAAACTGACTGGATTATTCCGCCGCCTATCAAGGACGGCGTCATCCCAAAGAACGAATACGGGTATGTTGTGCCGTCTTACATTGGCATTATATCATGAAGACTGACACGAGATATAGGAACATTGACCTATTCGCCGAGCACATGTGCCCTGAAGGCGCAGTACACGTACCATTTAGAGGTGTTGTTAAAGTCTGCAAGAGACTAGGAATCGACTACGCAGAGGCCGTGGTGGACTTTGAGTTTGGCCATCGGATGGCTGTCCCCGTCATTCAGGGAGTCGTCATTGCACAAGAGCATCACGATAAAGTAATGGTAGAGCTAGAGAAAGACGAAGCGGAACGCGTGAGAAAAGAAGATGAGAAACGGCGCAAGGCAGCACTGGGCAAGTGGCGCAAGTTTCTAATGGGAATGCGCATCGTGGAGAGGATTCGGCAAGAATACGGCGAGATCGACGAGAGTGTCTCAGTCTTTGGCCACTCCCGTGGAGGGGCCCAGGTCAGTGAGGCACCCAAGGTTCACGGCGAAGAAATGGCTGGAGGATTTCTGCCTGAAGGTTATGAAGAGGATGGCGAGGGACAGCAGGCGCATGAGAAGTCACTCTTTTTCCCATCTCTCGAGGAAGACGATCAGGGCGGAGATGGAGATCTTATTATGGAAGATGGCCGCGACGAGAGCGAGGCGGTAGCTGATGCCCAAGACACGGAAGCCCAAGCAAACTCTCGGGCGCCGAGATCTCGCAAGGCACGAGCAACACGTCGAAGACAGCAAGCCATTGATAGCGAAGATGACGAAGATGGCGACTGGGAGGAGGATGGGAAAGTGTAATGACACATGGCATGATTGATAGCTGGTGCAAATGCCTTTTAACGAATAGACGCTTGGCTGACCATTTACTTTCAAGGCTTGGGACTAGGGCAGCGTTCTGTCGCATAAGAACAGCCTTTGGCCCCGGCCGGAGGAGTGTCTCCGCTTGTGCTGGGGCGATTTAAGGTCCATGGCAATGGCCCATCTTTGGCTACAGAAAGTTTGTGAAGCATGGGTATGTATTATTCCTGCCCGTGAAAGGCATATCAAAGCCTATCACTGTAGGTTGAAATCTGTTTGGGAATGATTTGATGGGAGGTTTGGACACGTTTTTGGGCATTTCTCTGATAAAGGACCCGTTGCCGTGTATTATAAGGCACCTGCCCCTAATCATGCCGCTAATAGGCATTCCATGTAGTTACTTATACGGGCGCCATTAAAGCAGCTGAGGCTTTGATATACTCAGCATCCATCGCCCTGATGCTTTTATTCAGAGTTTGGGCTGCACCCCGTCCGTAGTCGTCGAATTCCCACCCCCAATTCTGGCTATTCCCGCGATTGCTCTGGCAATCTGGGCAGATCGATCAGCAGCTACTCCAGACACGGACAAGGGAGGCCTGGCAGCTGAAAATGTCCCAAGACCAGGGATCGCTGCAGCTGCGGTACCTGTACATCCCTGGACGTCATCCATCATGCTCTTTGTCCAATGTGGTGCAACCTCAGCCGTCAAAGGTAGGATGGCAGTAGCCAGCAGCCGCATGGCCAGGTACTTGCTACCGCCGCCACAACTGCAACACGCCACCATTGTGCGTATTTGCTACTCTTTGACTTTAACGCCGGCCTATCAAGGGAACAATCTCCCGACACATAAATTGAATCAGGTGCCTCGCTCCCAACCTCGACTCTTAACCTCCCATCGTTCTTTTTTTTCCCCAGCCGTGGCCGCTGCAAGACCGCCCTACTGTACGCTCGCTCCGCCTCGACGACCCCCCTGGCAGCGATCATCGCCATTGCTACGGCCCAGATATTTTTATCCCCTCCTGTCCTCTTTTGTTTACGCCCGAGAGAGCCCTGGACTTGCGACTAGGATCGGGTGGAGCTGGAGCGCCGTCAACTGCCGGCACTAGACAGAGGGCAGCCAGAACAGCGACTGGCGCTGCCTCTCCTTTGTAGGCGACCTTTGTGTAGGCGACCTTGGGGGGCTGCCATTGCGACTTCAATCTCTTTCTTCGTTCCCTGGACGAGCGTTAGACGGACAACCGGTGATATCCTTCTACAGCGATGCTTTTGTCGTTGGGCAGCCATCTTTCGTGCACCTGACGAGGTATGATTATTATTGGACCAGCGCTACCAGGGTTACATATTCATCTCGAGCACCTACATCTCGAGCCCCATCAATCCTAGCCAGCACCCTGGCCGTCCTGCCGTCCTGGGTTCCTATTCTCTGCAACGCTGGGGATCGCGATACACGTTTACTGGCTAAATACCTTCTTTCCGGGCTGGCATATATCACTTTGTGCGTATGTTAGTAGCTTTCTAATCATTGGTGAGTTGGCTGCTTTCGTTTGCTGTGCCTTACTGCCCGACATAATGGGAAAATTATCATCATCGTCATCATCACCTCCACCACCTCCACCCTCTCCACCACCTCCATCATCATCTTCTCCTTCTTCTTCCCTCTGTTTACCTCTTCCTCTGTCCTCTCCACTGGCGACTGGTGCTGCTATGGATACGTATGCACCGCACTCTACTCTTTTCTGAGATGTGCTCAGCCTTAAAACTCAATGGAAGTCACTCCCTTGATACTACAACAGTCACCCAGGCCACTGACATATGGCTGTATGACTTGATAAATATATATAAAGTTGTCATCTATGGTCATCCAGACTCCTTCGCTCTAGTGGACAGAAGCTGAGGGCCTATAGCGTGGTGCTCCTCTTCCTGTGGGATATCCAACGAAAAAATACTTGTGAACCCGCCGCATTACCATTACCTTCCAACCACAGGTGGTTTGACGAAATGGGAAAAAAAATCTAACAAAAAAGGGTTTACAGACGAGACTGCATCCACGTTCCAGCACTACAGAATTTGAGCTGCTGCCCAGAGTTCAATGGATCAATCTCCGCTTGACAGCATGGACGCTAAACCTCCTGATCGAAAAACATGCCTGCAGAAGCTCATGTCAATTTTTCAAGACATTTGCCCAGATTACTTGGAAGAGTTGGCAGAAAAATGGAACTATTGTGCTAACGACATAGCCGAAGAACTTTTTGATCAAGCTGATGAGGGATTCGCATATCCAAGACGGAAGAAGAAGCGAGATGCTGAGGGGAAACGCATCGAACCGAGAGACGAGATGCAGGAAGTGAGAGACATTAGGACCAAATACGACAATGACTCGAGAGAGGCGCCAACAGGGGAGAAGGCGCAGAGAATGTGAGCTGGCCTCGACGGGGATGAGTACTCATGTAAATGCCGTTGAGCAGACTTCTGACTGCCCCTTAGGTACCAGCTGCTTCAGAAAGAGTTTCCCCATCATTCATCCGAAGTCGTTTCCGGCGCCATGAGCGACAACGGACACAGTATATTCTTGACATATATGACTCTCCGGGAGACGACACCAACGGAACAAAGCGAGGCTGATGGCCATGGACGGATACATGGCTCACCTGTTCCCGAACCATATGAACAAGTACCCGCCGATGTCGAGGAATCGATGCAGACAGAACTGCAGGAATCCCGACATTATTATGAATTTCAAGCACACCTGAAGCTGGGTCAAAGAATGAAGGAGGCCGAGTATCAGCATGCCAAGGATCATGGGCTTATGCGAGAATGTGAATGTTGCTTTGTGGAGTTCCCATTGAGTAGAATGGTCAGCTGCGAGGGCGAGCCCAATCATGTAAGTGCCAAGATTGCACGCGGATGGCCAGATGCACACGACTGACATGGTTTCTTTCCAGCTCTTCTGTATGAAATGCCCTCGCAAGCTTGCTGAAGAATTGATTGGCCAATCTAGATACCAGCTGCAGTGTTTATCGCTGGACGACTGCTCGGCGGCTTTTTCACTCTCGGAGCGCGCCAAGTTCTTAGACGAAGGCCTGGTGAGGGCCCTCGAACTCATTGAACAGGATGCCGTGCTGCGATCCGCAAACATCGAGGGGCTCGTGAAATGTCCATTTTGTCCATTTGCCGCAATCTGCGGCCCCACGGAGGAAAATAGAGAATTTCCTTGCCAGAATCCAGATTGTCTAGTCGTGAGCTGTAGACTGTGCAGGGCCGAAACACATGTGCCGATCTCGTGCCAGGAAGCTGCGCAAAAGGCTGGCGTTTCGGCACGGCACGAGATTGAAGAGGCCATGTCTGCCGCGCTGATTCGAACATGCAACAAGTGTAAGGCGCTTAGTCGTCTCCCTCCTTTCGGCAGCTAATGTTATGTCTTGTTTAGGTGATACACCGTTTATCAAGTCTGTGGGATGCAACAAGGTGTCCTGCACACGCTGCGGCAACATCCAATGTGACGTGTGCTCCGAGAATTGTGATTACACCCATTTCAAGGAGAATCGCCCGAAAACGGAAGTAGGAGTCAAGGCCTGCCCACTGTACGATGATGCCGAGCATCGCTACACCCGAGAGGTTGATGCTGCCGCGAAACAAACGCGCGAGCGTTTGGCCAATGAACATCCAGAAATCGATGCCCAGTATCTGGAGATACCAAAAGCACCAGTATCGAATAAAAGAGGCCGAGCAGGGATATTGAGAATGTTTGAACAAAATGCAGTGCGAGTTGGGCCGCGGAACGTGCAGCGCAACGCGCCGCCGAATGCACCGCAAGACGGCGCCCAAGACGGCGCCCAAGACGGTAACGAGGATGACCTTCAAAATGGCGTTCAAGATGATTCTGAGGATGGCTCTCAGGATGGCTCTCAAGATGGCTACGAAGATGACTACGAAGATGACTACGAGGACGGTTACGAGGGCGGCCACGAGTATGATTCCGACGTTGATTCACAACAAGATGAGGCTCAAGATGAGGCTCAAGATGAATCTCAAGATGAGCAAGAGAGGCCTAACAAGCGACAGAGAATAGTGGTAAATGAAGCGGTGGAAATCGAGAACCTCGAGATGCCCCGGACACCTCGACCACACCTCGCAGTGCCGAACCTATATCCTGTTCAGCCAGCCAACGGTTTGGCACAACAACAACAGCCCCAATTCAATTTTCGCATTGGCAATGCAAATGAACTTGGGCTGTGGCCCCGTGGACAGCAGCAGCAGCAGCAACAACAACAGCAACCCAATGTTCAGCAACAACTGACCCTACAACAACAACAACATCAGGCTATTTTGCAGCAAACACAAGCTGACAATGCTCGGCACATGGCGGCCATTCACCAACAGAACATATTAATGAATCAGGCGATGGAACAACAACAACAACAACAACAACAACAACAACAACAACAACAACAACAACAACAACAACAACAACAACCGGTCAACTTACAGCTCATGCGGGCACATCATCATGCAGAAATACAGGCACAGCATCTCCAGCGCATGCGGGCACAAGAGCAGGTGCAACGCGGACAACCAGGGACAGTGCAATACCAACAGCACGCTTTGATGCAGGCGAGACGACAGGAACATCTGCGATTGCTTATGAGAGCTCAGAATCAATTCCACCAGCAAGGGCAGCAGAGGATACAGCAACAGGCAATGCAAATGGCGCAGCAAGAGGCACAGCAGCAGGTGCAAGGGCATGGGCAGGCACAGGGCCAAACACTGGCGCAGATACATGAGCAAGCAGCACTGCAGCAGTTACAGCAGTTACAGCAAGAACCTTCACCATGGGTCGCGCTGGAGGAAGCGTTATTTCGCTCCCGTGATGAGGCCCTCAGTCACCTTTCACAGATGGGAATACCTCCGCTTGGGACGCCCCTTTCAACCATGGGAATACCTACATTTGGGGCGCACGCTGCAACCGTGAGGATGCCTCCGCTTGGAGCGAACCTTGGAACCCTGGAAATAGCTCCGCACTATCGGCCACTCAACCTATTGGGAGCACAGCAGCAGGCACTTCCACGACATCAACCACAGGTGGAAGCACAACAGCAGGGCCGGTATGAAATTCGAGAAGGACATGGGTTGATGGCGGCCATCGCCGAGGAGGGTGATTGGAGACAACATCGGCACCACGGGCAGTAGTATGTCCCAGAGGGTGGTTGGTGGCGTCGTATGCAACACATACGGCAGGATCTTCTTGAAGTGGGTGATAGGAGTCGTCGTCGCCGCCGCCGTCGTCAGGATCAGGGACAATAGAACCCAGAGGAATAGAGATTATGCTCATGATGGCATAGAATGTCAAATAGAAGCAGCGAGCCAATAAAGGGCTGCATCCAGTGTTTTAGCTAATGACTGGATAATATATATTTTGGACTAATTGTGACCGATCTCATATGAATCCGTGAGGGTAAGAACGAGGTTGTCGGCGGTTCGACGGGGTGTGCAAAAGGCCGTGATCATTCTTGAGGACAGCATTGCAGAGCTAGGACAAGGACGGGCTGCTCCTGTTTATTTGCCAAGTAGCATCATGATAATTAGAGGTTATACTTGTTGATAGTTAATGAAATGCCATGCAGCTCAGTATATCGGTGCTTCATCATGAGCCGTAGCAATCTGTATACAACACTTGAAGTTTACCGCTAAAACTCTTCTTTACCGATTACATCTGGTGACAGTTCAGTTCGATCATCGTCCCTTGCCGAACATTTCGTGCCATTTGCCCCTGCTGCCGGTGTTCTTGAGCGGGCCGCCCGAAGTAGAGGTAGCCTGGGGCACCAGCTCCAGCTCGACGGTTTCGTGGATGGTGGAAATGGCGGCCATGCCTTGGTCTGGCGTGGGGGAGAGGAGGATGACGGAGTTGGACGTGTTTTTCTGGCGGAGGGCGTATGTCCTATCGGGGGTCTTGAGGAGGGCTGATGTCTCGGAGGGTTCTAGAGTGAGGCTGGAGAGAGCTTGATGAGTACCTGTTATAGGCTAAAGAGAGAGAGAGAGAGAGAGTAAATCATGATGATGGATGGGTATGACAAACACGGGAGCATTTTCCGATTCGAGAAGACTTTCCAGTTCGGGAGGCAGCTCGATGAGGCGGTAGCCGGTGTCGTCGGGTCTGTGGTGGAGGGGGATTTTGTCCGTGGCCTGGGAGCTGGAGATTGACATTGCGATTTTTTGACGGGGACCTTGTGGAGCGTTGATGGGGTTGGATTGTAATGACGATTAATGAATATCGCCGATATGATTGATTACGAGAGAGGGAAAGGTAGGGTAGGGGGGGTTGAGTGAGATGGAAGCGGGGTCTAATAGAATGAGTTGAGAAGGGTTTAAATTTCCGTGGGTCGGGGTTGATGATTTGTTTTGGGATTTGGGGGAGTTGATGATGATGATGACGGATGATGATGATGATGATGATGGGATGAAATGAGGTTAAAGATGGGGTGCGTATATGTAAATTGAGTGAGTGAGAGGGGGAGTAAAGTATACGACTTTAGTAGGTAGAGGCAGATGAGGAATGAGATGAGGCTGAAGCTGGACAGAAAACATTTCCTCGAGGTACTCCGTACCTAGCCAATGATGCGACGTCATGCCCACGGCGCCTGGTACCTCGTTTGTACACCCGTCCTCTGCGCTAAAGAATTCCAGCAACTGGCGGGGTTCTTGCGGACAGCGGTACTCGCAAGGTACAGTGCCAGTGCTACGCGCCAGGTCCAAGCTGAGCTTCGATAGCTCCCCTCAAATCTCACTAGCACCGGCGTTTCCAGGGGACCTGCTCCGTTTCACAGGGCCTGTCTCATTATAAAACAGCGGGGGTGGTTGCTGGGGGGTTCGCGAGACAGGCGTCAATCAGTTCAGGGACTGAGGACGGCAATCTTTTCAGCTGGGTGTTTGCACCATAATGTTCCGAGAGCGGTGTCTATTTTCGAGGGCGGGCAGGGATCTGATCTTCCATGTTGAATCCTTCATACTGCCATGAGCAGCTCTTCTTTTCTCACTCATCCCTGGCTCTCTGGCTCTTCCTCTTACGATTATGCCCGCATTGTCGGCTCTCTTGGCTGCAGTCAATAGTACGATACGGCCTGCTGCTACTGCTAGCTGCTACTAGGTAGCTGCTATTAGCTGCCAGCTGCACTAACGACAGGTCCCTTCTTAACGCCGCGCTGGACAAGGCCAGGCCCCTTGGTAAGTCCATGATTTCGCAAGATTCCGGCCGTTGCCCACATTCATCTTATTTTCTCGTTTAAGCACCTGTTGCGTATCTGCTAGGCGAAGCACGGACGGAGCATATGCGCGCCTCTGAAGGTTTCTCTTTTTTTCTTTCCATTTTGATTTTTTATTTTTTATTTTTTATTTTTTCTCTTCAGCCCCCAAAAACTCAAAACTCAATCCTCCAAACCCAAACGGCCGCTTCCACGGCAACCAGAACGAGGCGCCCGCCATTTGCAGATCCGATCCGAGCCTGTGGATAGCTAACCGCCGCTGTTGCTAGACTACTACTCGTACTACTAGCATTTTTGAATTCGAATTAATTTTTTCAATCCCCATCACCCATCGGTTTCCTACCGCCGGAGCAAGCCACCGCCGGGCTTAGCATGTTTACTTGGTGACGGGACCTAAACAAATAGCCTGGGCCCACCCCTGGCCGCCCATGTCACCCCTCCCAGCCTTGACTCTTTCTGGGCCGTTGTTTCTGGACACAGATCTCCATCCCGCATTCTTCATCCCACATCCCAATTTTCTGCTGCAGTCCCAGACCGAACCAAACAAGCGATCCCGAAGCGAGCAACCCGCGGCCTTGACGAGGCCAACAGCACAACGAACAGGCGGGAAACCGACACGCTACAGGTGGCCAGCTGGTGACAAGACACCGTCAACAAACCAAAACCAAAACACTCCAAACAACGACACTCACAAGCACACCGAAACGCTCCCGAATCATCTCATCATCTCCTCCAGACATCGCCACCCAGGCCGTCGGGCTATGAGCGCCGCCCACTGACCAGACACGACACCATGGTGCGGGTTACGGACGAGCTGGCGCTCTCGCCCGAGCACATTGCTCTCTACCACGCCCCCGACCCTCTGCTGGGCCAGCTGCCCGTCCTCATCTTCCACGGGCCCTCGACCACGGCCAACTACACGCTCAACAGCTCCCGCGTCCAGGTCCACGTCTTCACCCCCGCCGGCTTCCAGTCCTTCCCGCGCATCACCATCTCGCCCAGCTCCCCATTCTACAGCGTCGTCAATCACCTGCCGCGCGAGTTCCAGGGCGACGAGGTCTACCGTGGCCTGGCGTTTGGCCTGTTCCGCTACTTCAAGGAGCTGCCCGACAATGTCAAGAACCACCTCAAGGCCGTCTACCCGCCCAAGGGGAAGCGCCCCGGCAGCGCCCCGACCCTCTTCAGCGAGCAACACGCCGCCGACCTGGTCAAGGAGATGGTCAAGAGCGAAAACACCGTCGATGTCGTTGCCACCCTGGACGAGGCCCTGCAGACCCAGCATGTGAGCAACGTCGACATTGACCTGATCCTGCCGCCGGGGTCCATAGTACCGCCCCCGCCGTCAGAGCTCGAGGACATGCCCGATGACGAGGACGACATCATCGACCCGACGCTGCGCCAGTACGGAGCCTATACACCGCTCGTCAAGCTGTTTGGCGAGCCCGTCTTCCTACCCACCAGCAAGCTGCGGCGCGCGCCCTCCAAGCCCACGCCGCTGAACCGCAACAAGACCTTTACCAAGGACCAAAAGATTGAGCTGCGCATGAAGATGGGCGAGCTCGTCGACACCGAGGAGCGCTACGTGCTCAAGGTGCAGGAGCTGGTCAAGACGGTGGCCAATGACTTTCGAAACAAGTCAAAAACCCGATCCCTCGAGAGTCTGAGCCCGTCCGAGGAGGAGCTGGAGAAGCTGTTCCCCAAGTCATCAGACGGTATTCTGCAGGTCAACTCGGCCTTTGTCGAAGAGCTGCGCAAGATCATGGATGAGACAGAAGAGGACGCCGTCAAGGACATGGAATTTCCCACAATGAACCTTTCGTCATCGACAAAGGCGGGCAGCAATCCCGTCCGGGTCAAGGATCCGCTTGGCGCCTTGGCCATGGCCAAGCTGTTCCTCGAGTGGTTCCCCAAGTTTACGCAGTGCTACCAGGACTACATCAAGGCTAGCCAGCACTTCCCGACACTGCTGAATTCCTTTTTGGACCAGCAGTCGAGTTTCCGACAGCGCGTGAGCCAGGCGGGCGAGCAGACCATTCGCTCACTCCTCATTGAGCCCGTCCAGAGGCTGCCGCGTTACAGCCTGCTGATTGACCAGATTATCGCTTCGCTTCCCATCACACACCCGGCGCTGCAGCCCATGCTCAAGGCACGAGACATCATCACCAACATCTGCTCCATGGACGACCCCCTGCCGGACAAACCGCACGTCGCCAACCGACTTCGAAATATGGTCGAGGCGTGGCCCGCCGACCTTGAACCCCAGGGCCGCCTCATCCTGGCCGCCGACTTTTTGGAGCTCTCGCCACCGTACCAGGCCACCGTCGACTCCGATGACGCCGGCATCTTCCTCTTGTTCTCCGATTACATAGTCATGCTGAGGAAATCGGGCGATAATAATATGACGGGCCGAGATTTGTTGCGCGAGATCGACAAGCCCTCGGCGGCTGAACTGCTCATCTCCATGACGAACGCAGCTGGTGGCCCGGGCCATTACGAATTCATATTTACCGGATGGCATCACCTTGCCGATGTTCGCTTTACGGAATCGGCAGATGGCCACCTCGTCTGGATGACGTCGAGCGCAGAGATGAAGGGCATGCACCCTGGTGAGCACAAGGTCCCCAAGGCCATCACATCGCGATGCTTCTTGCTGCAGGAATCCTTTGAGGGCAAAGCCGCAAAGTGGAGCGAAGACGTTGTCAAGGCTCGGATCGAGGCGCGGTTTCCCGAGACGGAGAGGGAAGACCCTCGCTGGACTTTGCGCTCGGTCCGGATGCCTGAGAACAACTTGGGACTGCACGCGGCGATATTCCAGGAGGGCGCCGATCAACTCATCGAGGGGCGACGGGAACCCGCTTTTATCCGCGTGGTGGTGGACCACGAGAAGGGAACTAAGGGTGCTCCAGTCGGGCACTATGGCGTCGAGGTTGTCATTAATGTGGCGAGCAAGAATATGAAGAGGATCTCCCTGCTCACCGTGGGCCTCAACGGGAAGCAGTATCAGGACGACGTGGCTCTGGAAGACTTGCTTCCAACCATGTCAAGACGAAGTGAGTTTTTTGTTCTGCCCCCTTTGTTTCTCAAGTGCTAACTCCCCGTTCAGTAATGCAGCTCTTGAGTGTCCAGTTCAACGTTTCTAACCGAAATCTCACGGCTCCCATGGTTTCGTACAATTCCAAAACGCTACGGACTCTATGTCTATCTAATCGTGCAGAAAAGACCCGTTCCTTCTTAGCGGCGTCCCCCGTCAAGCTATTCACAAGCCTATGGAGTGGTGGCGGTTCCAACAACGCTTCCGAGACGACTCTTTCCGAAATCAAGCACCATAGCCAGGCCTCTATCCAACGAGCGGACAGCCATCATTCCATGTACGGTTCTATCAGGGGTCGAGACAACTCGCGTCGGCCGTTGGAAGAGGTCATGCCGGAAAATCCACTTGTTCGGCTAGAGCAGACGTTTGAGGCCTTCACGACGGCACTTCAATATCGCAAGGGCTCTATCCACGGCAGGACCTTGATGCACCGCGCCATGGCCGATGAATTGCTGGTGAACGACTTGTACAATCGACTTATTGAGAATCCGTTCGAGGTGGAAGTGGCCAACGATGTCGGAACTGAAGTCGTCTTCACGGCTTTTGAGAACTTTCTCCACATTGCCTGGGCTGAACAGATTGGGCCGGTAACGACGATCAAGATGCTCGACACCCTACAGGAGCGAGCCAACAAGAGGGTTCCGGGCGAGTTTGCCGATTTTGTCAACTTCTTGTTCAAGGAGCTGGCTCCACAAAACCGGAGGGCTTTCACGGCTCTCATCAAGCTGCTGGCCGATCTCCTGGACGGCTGCAGCAACGATAGCGATCGCGGCGCGCTGACCTTGGCGTTTTCGGAGATGCTAGTTACCGATGGCACAGCGGCGAATTACATCAACCTGCTGGATCGCCTGGTGGACGACTGTGATAGGATATTTGGCGAGCCCACGTATGCTGGCTTTAGTTTGGCCGACTTGGCTCTGATCGAGTCGTTCCAGTCACGCGCAAACGGCGGCCCCGGCGGCGGTGTTGGCGGCGGCAACAAATCCCACCAGGGATCCGTGACCTCCAACACATCGTCCCTGCGCCGCAAATTCGGGTTGGACATGCTGCTCCGGCAAAACTCCAACTCCAAGGAGGAGCGCAACTCTGTCTGGAGAAGTCTCGGCAAGCACCGGAATTCGGCCGCTGGCGAGAGCGCGAGCATGTCTAGGGCGACGATGCAACAAGCTCTGCGTCAACGGTCAATAGACGACAACAATATTCAGAAGAGATTTACACTGGGCAGGCCGGGATCTGGAGACAGGGTCCACGTAGCTAGTGCCTTTGAGGAGCTGACCAGACCACCCAGCGCGCATCGCGCAGAGTTCCCGCTCGATACGATTGGCGAGCCTGCTTCCGAACCGCCAACCCCCGGATCACCCAGGAGACATTACAAGAGGAGAAGCTCCCTGTCGGATCTCCCGTCGCTGCTGGAGACTGAGAGCATCCAAGAAGAGAGAGAAGCCGAGGAGAGGGAAAATGCGCTACAGCCTCTGCAAAACACAAAGGAAACATCGGAAAGGGTCAACGGCAGCCCCAATGTGATCCCCACCCCGAACATACTCTTGAGTCCCGACTCATCACTACTTAAATCACCTCGACAAAAGGAAAACATTGCCTCGGCGGACATTTACGGCAGCGTCCGGATGAGAGCAGGGTCCCCAATCAAGGAGATTCAGGCCAAGCTGGAACAGGCGATGCGTGGGAATTCACCGACCAGACAAGATCCGCCCCCGTACAGGAGGCCGAAGCCGACGCACACCAAGACGCTATCGACGTCAAATATCCCCACGCTGCTGCCGCCGAAGCCCATCCGGCCCGGAAGCTCGTCTGGCGAATCACCGAGTCGACAGCCCAATATCAGCCCGATACGGTCTGGGGCGCAGAAGCTCCGGCTTCAATCCCCGCAAAAGCTACGGGAGAGATTACAGACGGAGAAGACTGCCGTGGGCGAAGCGGACGCCATGCTGCAGTCGGAACTGTTCAAGATTGGAGAGGAAATGGCACGAGTGAATGGTGATAGCTTGTCCGATTCCCAGGCAGCCAACCTCCAGCTGTTGGCTTCCTCGGTAGCCTCGCTGGAGGACCGCATGCCCGGTGTGATGCAGGAGCTGCGCGATAGACAGGATGAGCTGCAGCGAGACGTGGAAATTACCCTCAAGACAACCGAATCCAAGATGCGGTCAATTGACCAGCTACACAAGGAGGCCGTGGCAGAGAACGAGCTGCTATACGAACGGTTCAATACCGAGCTCGCAAAGATTGTCAAGGCGCTCAAGGGCAAGGGCAAAGAAGACAAGGAGGAGCTGATTGTCAAGCTCAAGACACAAGGAGAAGAGCTTGCCAAGATGAAGAAGGAGAACGCGCGACTGAAGCGCGAGATGATTAGCCTACGGGCGGCGCTGAAGGGGACAGAATAAGGGGCAATGCTCTTGATGATGCTTGACACGGTGATGATGATGTGGGGATTTTTACTCTTTTTATTCTTCCTCTGTTTTTGGAGAGGATTTTGATTTGGTGCTTTCTGGTTTTTATGATGATGGCATGGTAATGTCGGCTCGTTTTTTTACCCTTTGGTTCTCACGTCTTCTTTTTTTTTTTCCCAAAATCTTCTTTTTTTTTAATAGACACAGGCGATGATGGCACACCAAAAAAATAAGAGAAAAACTGCTGTATACTACTATTCCGCAGAACAGAGCTCTGGAATTTAAAGGGGGGTTGGGAGGGTTCAAAGCATGCGAATAGGGGAGTCTCGGGTGAGGGGTTCTGTCTTTTATGAAATTTGGGGGAGGGGTTTTCCAATCTTTTTTTCAGGTTGTTGCTTTTTCTTTCATGGCCCCAAATGGGATATGTGTTTTAGAATGGGCAGCTTTTTTGTTGTTTTTTATACTTTCTCTCTTATTTTAATCTTTGATATGAAAGGGTAGATTACGGGACGAATCATAGCAAGACGAAGATGTTATGACGAAGCAAACGCAATTAATTTTTACTATATTAGTATTGTTCTTCGTTCACATTTCTATTTTTAATTGTTCTTTTCTTCAGTGTTTTTTTTTTTAAAGAGTCTCACTGTGATATTACTTCTGATGATGTGTTCGTCACCACGCCGCTATTGGAACTTACAGCCTCGACATCTGGAGGACCTTGTTCGAGCCAACACTCAAAGAAGAGGGGATCAGCTCTTACAGAGCGAACGGGCTTCGTGGCAGCTCCTCGCAGCGATCCGCCCTGGTGCGGCTTCACCGCAGTAGGAGGTTGCAGAGGGGTCTCGGAAGGGATCCATGGCTGGGGATACTGCAGAGTGTTAGCCGGCGTTCTTTGATGAATCTGGGGGTAGCTCTCGTCTTTTTTTTTTTCTTTTTGGCTTTGTCAGTTCTGCTTACACCTATGGGGGCCTCGGCTTCGTCTCGTAGCTCTAGAGCAAGCGTGAATGTGCATCCTGGGGGGAGCTTGGGCGCGCCTTGAGCTGCGTATGCGAGTCTTTGCAGGGCCGCTCTCAATGCTTCGTGAATGTCGGCCCAGTTGAGCTGCTCGTCGGCAACGTCCTCCACGTCTTCCTCCATGGGCTCATCGTCATCCTCCTCCTGCTGCTGTTGCTGTTGGTGTGAAGTAGGCGCATCTGTTTCCGCCTCGCCCCAAGCCGGAAAGCGGTGGACGTCGAAAACCCATCTCTCGCGAACCGCTGCTTGCGGCGCGGGAGAGTGCACGGCGAGGACGATGCGGCGGACGGCGCCCGCGCGCAGCTGGACGGCGACGGCGGCGACGGCGTCGGAGATCCAGGCGCAGAGGCCCGGGTGGCGGGACTGGCGGACGGGGAGGTTGTAGGCGCGGGCGGCGAGGAAGGATGTTTCCGGGTAGAGGCGGCGGTGGTAGAGCAGCGAGTGGATGGCGATGGTGAGGAAGGAGGTGAAGGAGGCGAGGAGGGGGTTTGCGGCGTGTTGGGGGAGGGAGTGAGAGTAGGAGTCGGCGTCTTCGGGGGGAGGAGGAGGAGGATCAGGAGGAGGAGGAGGTGAGGCTGACATTTGGGTGGTGATGGTGGGGTTTTGGTGGTTTGGAGAGTTGAATGCCAAGTTGGAGATGGGCTGTAGTTGCGTGGGTGAGTGTCATGTGATGATTTCGTCATTCAGTGAATTAGTACGGAGTATACCTACCTAGTACCTGTAGGCAGCTGCTTCTGCCTGTATCTGCTGTATTCTTGCATGTATCCAGTACCAAGGCGTTAATACAGTTCATACACTGGACGCACACTCCATAGCAGCCCTGCTAAGTCATCAATACCTGGTGGTCACTGCAAAGCCCGCTGAAGCTCACTGAAGCTCACTGAAGCTCCCCCGCCGTAGGGCTGAGCTGAGCTTCCCCAAACTCAAAAGGCAGCAGTGGCAATGACGCCTCTCAAGGCGGCAACTCTAACTTGAACTCATCCATTACACACACATATCACCACTCCTCGAAACGACACATCACCACTATATCCTCAATATCCTCGCTTCCTCCCACCCACTGCGCATCATCGAAATCCATCGCCAAATCACTATCTCCATCAGCCTCTCATCATCATGACGGACCCGGACTATCGGCCCACGCCGGTCAGCACAGACTCGGTGCTCAAGGCCATGGCCGATGCTCTGCCTACGCACCAGGCAAACGACGAGTCGTCCGACATTGCAAGTTCCTACGAGGCCGTAGCGCTGCTGGCTCACGCTTACTTTGCCTCTCTCGACTTTCGCCTGTACGGCTTCAGCGAAGACAAGTTATTGCGTAAGCTTCCTCCTCCACTCTCATCGCCCTGTATAATTCTCAGCGCCGTGCATCATACGACAAGGCTATATCACTAACCCTCTCTCTCTCACTCACAGCCGAATGCCAGACCTTGGCGCCCCGGCTCCCCCCTCAGTGGAACAATGGATTCGGCGCTCTATCATTCGTGTACAAGCACAAGCAGTCGGCCATGACGTTTGTCTTGCGCGTCGACCGCATGGGCTCAAAGGTCGAGATCAGGGCCCTCGCCGTCGGCGCCGAGACCATCCACCGAGTCGAGTATGAGATTCGAAAGGTCGTCAACTCTAGCAAACTGCCCTTGCGCATCGCTCTAGACGCCGAGGGAAAGGAGGACCGAAGTAGTCTCGTGGGGATGCTGCAGAATCTCTTTGTTTCGTCCGAAATCATCGAGACGATATTACGGGACCTGAGGGTCAATCTTGTGCAAAAGTTGATCCCAAAGCTTCAGAAGGAGGGCTATGTTGAGACGGAGGAAAACAAGATAAACGCAGAAGAGGAAGCCGAACGACGAAATCAACAACGCCGTCGCAGCTTCGAACGAGCCGAACCACTCATCCCTACCAGCTCTATATTTCCTCCCCGCCCTGGTGCGATCCCACAGGCTGCAGAGCCATTTCGACCAGAACAACCGCCACATCCATATCCGCACCCCGATATACTACCTGCTGGTGCCCCTCGGCGACCTATACCTGGCGACTTCCCCCCTCCAGGCTTTGAGGATGAGCACGAAATCAATTCTCCGCCGCGGACCATGGGGGGGCTAAGAATGCCCTTCGGCAACGTAGGACATGACGATCTCAATCCGCAAGGACTTGGACCCCACGATCCACTCAGGGGGTCGTTTGTGGGCGAAGGTCGGCCTCGACCCGGCGGCTTCTCAGGCATGCATCCCACCTTTGACGATCCGCTGTTCACGGGACGGGGTGGCTGGGGAGGCCAAGGATATGACCAAGGCTATAACTCGCAAAGGCCTCCGGGAGCTAGATATGATCCGGTCGATCCTAGTGACGGGCCCACGTATCCCCTGGGACAGAGGCCGTCTTATCCAGGGAGAAGGGGCGGCGGCAACGGAGGAGGGGGTTTTGGCTTTGGCTCTGGACCGGGTGGTTTTGGTTCAGGCGGCGGCTTTGGTCCGGGCGATATTATTTGAAATAGTGCAAGATAGGGAGCAAATTGACTGGTTGTCGGTTGATGATTCTTCTTCCTTGTTCTTGTTACACTACCGTATATTGGATGCTTTGTGCGGTGTAGGTAGTAATGAAGAACGCGACTGATTATCGCCCATTGGAGATTTGTGTCCTATCAGAAGATTGCTGGTGTGAACGTTTTACAAGTGACATTCTGTGTAAATAGTATAAAAGGCCATCTATGCCAAGCCCTTTGAATATGTAAATACTGAAATCAATACAGAATTGGTCAGTGAAATCATCTCAGATAAACGCTGGTGCTGATACAAGGCTCCTCTCTTGCACATGTTCTCTTATGCTCTCTATACTATCAAGGTATCTATCACCACCGCCTCTACCATCGTAACTTGTTTTCATATCAATCGTGATCTTGTCCTTTTTTTTTTTTTTTTTTTTGTCCTTTTATAGTGTCTGTCGCACCGCTGCCATAAAGTAGTTTTGCTTTCCATCCAAGAACAGGACCAAACCCCCTTTTCACCTCATTCGGATACTAAAAAGAAAGGAAATTCCTCCCCCCCCCCAAATCAAGCAACCTAGCTCTCTGACACGCTTGCTTCATGATACCATACGTCTCGCTAATTACGAGCTGTCCAGTGATTCTACTAGCCCGAGGCGGTAGCAACCTCGTTCAGCTTGGCCTTCTCCTCGTCTGTCAGCATGTTGTACCATTCCTGGAAGTTGGCAACGTTCTCTCGGCCGCAGCGGATGAAGAACTCGGTCAGATACTGCTGCGTCTCGTCGTCGCGCTGTCGTGAGCTCGAGTCCATGCCGAATGCCATGAGATCGGCCTTGGTGGCGCCCAAGGAGAGGTCGAGTGTGTCGTCGTCGTCCTCCCATCCCTCGTCGTCGTTGTCTTCGTCGTCGAATTCGGCGCTGGCAACGGCGGCAGATGCAGCGCTGGCGGCAGCACGGGCACCCGAGGCAGAGAGGAGCTCCTCAATCAAGACCTTGACGATCTTGAGAGTAGCGGGGATAATGGTGTACTTGTCGGGGTCTGTTGGTTTGGTTGGTGTATTAGTCTTGATGTCTTCAATTGCGTACTGGTGATACAGTCGAGCCAGCATGACCGCTGTACTGGAAATGGTGGAAACACCGCGGGACATACTCTTCTTCGCGCGAGATCGGGTCTTGATCATTCCGTCATCGGCGCCAACGATCAAATCGCCCTTGACGGACGTTTGCGCTACTCGGGGGTCGTTGAGTGAGTAGAGCTTCGACAAAGCAATCACACTACCAAATCACGTTAGCAAATTTCCTACCTAAAACGGGGACTTTACACCAAGATTTCTGCAACGGACTTTTGTCTAATCTCGTCATATCCGGCAAAGCTGACAGAGTTTTCCAGCCACTTGGCCAGAACAACTTGAAGTCCGCTCTCGCCGTTGATCTGGATCTGGCTGAGGAACTCAACCACGTCTTGCGCACCGCCCAGGGACAGTCGAGCGAAGACGAGGATAAGGGACTGAATAAAGGCAGCGGCTTGCGCGGTAGCCAGTCGGTTAGCAACGGCTTGCAGGAGCTGGGGCAGGAATGGTCCCAGACGCTCTTGTCCAGCCTTCTCGACAAGTTCAGCAGCGAGTCCTCCCACCTCGGAGGCAGCGTTGTCCTCGATGGAGGGGCCCAGGAGTCGGTCAATGATGTGCAGGCAGACTTCCAAACCGGATCGGCCGTTGGAATCGTGCCAGTTGAAGACTTGTTGGTGGTCGTGAACCAGAATCCACTTGACGGCCTCGGATCCAGGTCGCAAAACATCGCCCTCTCCAGACTCCATGAGCAGGCGGTTGAGCTTGGGGAGAGTGGCGGCCACGAAGCCCTCCGGGAGAGGCTCTGAGCCATGCTCTGTCAAAACGCCCAGCAGCTCAGTCGCAACGGTAACAAGAGGGTTGTCCTCTGTAAGGTTAGCCACATCGAATGCACCAGTCAATGTAGGCAAAATACGCGCGCACAGAGCGCCATATGAAGAGGCATCCGAGAGACTGGTGACAATATCCTCAAAGGCCTCGGTCACAAGCATCGTAACCTGGAAGTTGCTAGCTCCAAGCTTGGCCAACAAGAAGAGGAGATCCACCGATGGAATTTCACTAGTAATGACAATTTGGCTGTCCATGCCGATGGCGGCTCTGAGAGCCTCGGTCAGGGTGACAAGGAGCTCGTCAGCCTCTTCCATCTCCTCGGGGTCCTTGCTGTTCATGTAGGCTTGGATGGAGGCAATGATGGGGGTTTGGCGGTCATGGGCCACACGTCCTGAGCTGACAAGGCCTTCGATGGCCTTGATGCACGCGACCTGCACAACCTCAGACTCCTCGTTCGTGATGGAGTGGACAATAGCATCAACGAGGTTGGGTGGGGTCTGGTGTGAGCGGCCAATGATGCCACCCACCAGATATCCTCGAGCGCGCAATAGGGGCTGCTTGGCTTGGGAGATGGCAAAGTCGACAAGCTCCAGGTATGCGCTTGCAACGGCGTCAGGGATGGGCTTGTTCAAATCCTGGAAGTCGCTGACAAGCATGACGAACAGGTAGAGCGCGGCCTCCTGGCTTCTCCAGGCGGAGGGGCCCTCGCCGGGGAAGAGGCTCTTGGTGTGTCCAAACAGGCCGTCGACCGTCTTCTCATTGAACCACTCGCCCAGCTTGATGAGCAGGTCACCGGCAGCAGTGCGCGCGGTGTAGTTGGCCGTGACTGAAGTCTCCTCTGCCAGGTACAAAGAGCAGTCAAAATCCCAGAGCTCTTGCTCCTCACGAGTGACGCGAGAGTATCCGACGAGCATCTTCATAAGATCCATCATCCAGGGGACCTCGTGGCCAGAGGCGTGGGCTTGAAGGTGGCTGTCAAGTTCGGCCTGGACAGGCGGGGCGCGGAAACACTGGTTGAGGAAATCAAGCTCCTCCAAGATGAGGAGATCGAGGGTATATGGCAGGTTGTCAGAGTCTTCCAATCGAGACTGCACCTCATCGATGATGTACAGCTGCTCGTAAGCGCCCTGCATGATGCTGAGCTCTTCCCACACAGCAGTGAAGAAGGCGGTGCTCTGGGGAAGGAGAAGGTTGGGGAAGACTCTGCGAATGCGGAGGAGGGTCTTGACCACTTGCAGCTTGAGAGCAATGATGCTGTTCCAGGCGTCGGGCTGAGCACCGGAGCTAGAGTCACCCTCTGGCAGACGGCCCTTGAGCACGGCAATGAAAAAGGGGTTCCATCGTCCCAGAAGCTCCTCTGCGAACACCTTGACATCCTTGTTTTCATCCTTGACCATGTACATCAGGTCGAAGCATCCTCGGAAGACGGAAATGGCAAGGGCGCGCAACATCGGCTTTCGGTTCTCGTTGAGTGCCACCTCGGTGAGAGCTTTGGCAATGTCCTGGGCCATGGAGAAGAACTGGTCCTCGCTCAGGCTTTCGTCGACCAGGTCGCTAAGCACCCTCAGGGCTCCGTGAAGCTGAGCATCGTTACCAGTGGGAATGACGCCTAGGATGGTTGGGAGAAGGGCGGGCCATTGTTCTGGGAAATCGTGAATGGCAATCTTGCCAACAGCATAACTAAAGTAACGACGACATCGGTCAGCTTCTTGTTCTTTAAGCCCGCACGCAGACTAGCCCCGGTATGAGGATGTTGCGAAGCGCTCCCCAGGTTGTTCAATGCGGGACGCAAGATGATTGTGTAGTCCTACCTGGCTGCAATCTTGACCTTTCTGTCTTCCTCGGGGCTCAGGGCAACCTCGAGCAGGGTCTGTTTCAGAAGCTCTCTGGCCTCGTCCGAGATGGGGATATGGGGCTCATCGTCGAGCTCCTCCACGGCCCAATGCTTCTCGATGAAGAGTCGCAGAGTGCTGAGGGCAGACTGGCGAATGCCCGTGTCGATGGACGAGTGCGCACCGATGCGAGCAAGAGAAATGGGAAATGCGGGATTCGTCTCAGCCCGCCTGATCTCGATTTCGGCAGCTTGGCGGGGTGCTTGTTCGGGGAGCTGAGTGTTGGCCAGGAGCTGCGCCAGCTGGTCCTCCATGATGGGCGATGGCGATTCAAGGGAAGGGACGGGCAGATCTGGCGCGGAAGAGGGGAGAGGGAATATCGCCGGAGATTTGGTGTATTTCGTTTCCTTTTCTCTCTTCTTTCTTCTTTTTTTCCCCGTTGCTCGTTCCAAAACGCGGTTCGCCAGGAGATGCTTGCACCAAAAATTGTAGTTAGGAGGGGAGATGGTGGGGGATTGAAAACAAAAAAAGCGGGCTGGTGACTGGCAGCGCGTCCCTGGTTGGCTGGCGGGAGAATATGCGATAAGCCGATAACGAACCACTGTATTTTTTTGCTTGAGATGCGCCAAGTTTTGGCTGCGTGGTCCAGGGTAAGCCAGGCTGCAAGCACTCAAGAGAATGAGAAAAGGAGACTCTTGTGAGGCATCGAGTGTTTTAAATAAAGAGTTTAAGAAGATATTTGTGTTCCCTGCCACTCTCCTTGCATTAACTTGCTCTTTACTTCGTGATAGGGACCGCGACTAGGTGCCTGGTAGATCATTGTGAACAACTACTAGGTAACTACAAGTAATCTGTATTAAGCTGCTCCCGATGACTAGACGGAACAAACTCAAAAAGACAAATTGGCTGTTTCATTGAAACTTCCAAAGGTGCGGTGCAATGGATATTTGATATTTAATCAAATAAGCAATATTTGCAGCTAATTGTCATGAGCATTGCAGCATTCAATACTCATACTCGTCTAATTGCATCCATGTGCTTGAAAGATGGAATCAGTAGCAGCACCTGGAGTCATGTTGTAATTCAAAGAAGTATCACCAAATCTTGATGCTGCTACCCAAAAAGAATTCAAGGCAGCGAGACAAATCCATGAAAATTACCTTCTCGTCGCATCTATTCATCAGTCGAAATTGGCAATAAATAGAATTGACGGAAACCAAGCCGAACCGATCAAGATGAACCAACGTGTAAACTACAACACCAGCCGCTGCTTTACTACCTACACCAATTGAACAACGAGATGATCCTCTGCGGAAAAATAAAAGTCAACTCCTCATTCTGGTGCCTCTCAGCGTTCTAGAATTCCCAGAATTCTGCAGGCAACCACATTGCTGCAGGGCCCATATTAATCAAAAGTAATCCTCTGGCCGGATCTCGCAGGTGGCTGCTGATGCCTCCCTTGCATCACATCACATCAAAATCCTCCTCCGTGCATGGGCATGTAAGTTTGTGCGGCTGCGGCCATCCGTTCCCCCTCCTCCACAAAGGGCAAAGGAACAATCATACTACTTTGTCTTGTAATCTCAAACTAGCACCCTTAGCATCCAGCGCTATTGTTGTGCTACAGTACACATACGAGTATAATCCACAAAATAAAATAGACCTATCTGCGGTTATACATATCTTCACTTATCTCCCGCGTATCTCTTCGTCCCGAGATAGCAGATAACGAGTCAGTCGGCAGTTATCGGCATCCATTCCCACCCAGTTACCCGTTGACTCGATTAGATGGGGTAATCGATTTCTCCCCTCGTCTTCTCTTTTTGCGGGATGGCGGATCCTCCTCCACACTCTGACTAGTCCAACCCCTGTCCCGCTGCTACTGCTATCTCACTCGGACCATGGCTTTAGCTTATCGTCGACGTATCACCACCCAATCGCAGGGTATCATCGTTTTTCGGGGACCATGAGAAGGCGTTTGCGAACCAGCTGACGGGCCATGTCTTGGGTCGGAGATGGTTGGATGGGCAGAAGAATCAAAAGATGGTCCCTGCTTTGCCACATGTCTAGCACATCCCATCGCCGATAGGGGCCAAGATGGAGTCAGCATGGATCGACTATCAGCTCTTTGCAACACCCTCCAACTCCGCTTTTTTATCGCATCTACCTGGGCTTCCACTCGGTATCATCTCGTCCTGCTTGGCGCTCGCCGGATGAGGAAATCAAATAAAGCCTCTGGACTCTCCCGCCTCTGCGCCGCCACCGTTGAGTTCAAGCCTCTGACGACTCTGCGCTGCATCTCAAGGTACTCGGCCAGCAGATCTTGTGCGAGTACGGATCCTCGCATCACACGAGTGGCATCAAGGATCCCGGCTCGCGTGCCCATCAGAAGAACAGAGACTGGCTGGTGGATCATCGCCCTCGCAAAAACCCCCACAAACGACGTCTGCCACCCTCCATCCCTAGAAAAAATAATTCTGGCTCCTCACGTCATCTGTGCGTCGATCATTCCATTTGGATGTTGTACTTGTCCGATCGTTTCTTATTAATATCTTATTTTCTTTGGTTGAAAAGAACTGAAATACGCTTCATGCCCTCTTCTCGACTGCAATTGAACCTTTTCCGTTCTTGAGAGGCTCATTGCTTTGCCGACCATCAACCATGGCGTTGCGACAGAGGTTCAGAAATTTAGCTGACAAGCTGGCTGTTGAGGCCGAGCCTGGCCTGACGACTACGCAGCTGATGGTGCGGTCCTTGTTTTCTTCTTCCTCTTCGTCTCATACCTGATCCCTCTCTTTTCATCCGTCGTGATATCGCGCCAAAGAAACGAGACCACCTACACCAGACATGATGGCATGAGACAGAGCGAGACGCGGTGCTGACTCTCCTCCTAGCTAGTCAACTATGACCTGAAGCCCGTGGAGAAGGAGCGCCGGCAATGGGGTCCTTGGAACTTTGTTGCCTTTTGGATCGCCGACTCGTTCAACATCAACACGTGGATGATTTCTTCGTCCATGATCATCGCTGGGCTCTCTTGGTGGCAGGCGTGGATCTGTGTCTGGCTGGGCTACTCTATTGCCGCCTGCTTCATTGTCACCACTGGACGCATCGGAGCCACTTACCATATTGGTTTCCCCGTCATTGGCCGTGCGTCCTTTGGCATCTGGGGCAGCTTATGGCCTGTTTTTAATCGTGCTGCTATGGGTAAGTGAAACCAGTCTTGAATGTTGAGGCCACTACGATTCTTCGTCTTCTCGACCACTCTGGACCCTTGCATCTTAAACCAAATCACTAACAAACCTGTCAGCATGCATTTGGTATGGCGTTCAATCATACATTGGCGGCACTTGCGTCTATCTAATGATTCGCTCCATTTGGAAGTCTTGGGATGCTGCCAAAATGCCGGGCAATTTCGGCACCAGCGCCACCAACACCCCCGAATACGTCTCTTTCGTCATCTTCTGGGTGTGTTCTCTGCCAGCTCTGTGGTTCCCAGTACACAAGGTCCGTCACCTGTTCACCGTCAAGGCCTACTTCGTGCCCGTTGCTGGAATTGCGTTCCTCATCTGGGCCTGCGTCCGGGCTGGTGGCGTTGGCCCCATCATAAGGCAGCCCGCCACCATTCATGGGAGCGAACTGGGATGGCAATTCGTCAATGGTGTCATGTCTTCCATTGCCAACTTTGCCACGCTGGTTGTCAACGACAGTGACTTTACTCGATTTGCGCGCAAGCCTAAGGATGCCTTGTGGTCGCAGCTTTTTACCATTCCGCTGGGCTTTGCCATCACCTCCTTCATCGGAATCATCGTCTCGTCGTCGTCCACCATCATCTACGACCAGCCAATCTGGAGCCCCTTGGATCTCCTTGGTCGGTTCATCGACGATGGTGGCTCCGGCCAGAGATTCGGCGTCTTCATCATCTCTTTGGCTTTTGCTCTCGCCCAGCTGGGTACAAACATTGCGGCCAACTCCGTCTCGGCCGGAACCGACATGACTGCCCTTCTCCCGCGCTACATCAACATCCGTCGTGGATCGTACATTTGTGCTATAGTTGGTCTGGCAATGTGCCCGTATAATCTACTTAGCAGCTCCAACCAGTTCACGACCTACCTGTCTGCATACAGCGTCTTCCTCAGCTCCATCGCAGGTGTCATCGTCTCTGACTACTACCTCGTGCGAAAGGGATACTTGGATGTCAAGGAACTATACGATGGCCGCAGCACCGGACCTTACTTTTATACCTGGGGAATCCATTGGCGCGCATATGCAGCTTACATCTCGGGCATTGTAATCAACGTCGTTGGTTTCGCTGGCGCAGTCGGAACCAAAGTACCCATGGGCGCCACTTACATCTACAGACTCAACTTCTTCTGCGGCTTCATCGTCTCGCTCGGCGTGTATTGGATCCTGTGCAAGATATCTCCCATCCCTGCTACCAGCGACCGATGGATGGAGGTTGGCGGAGACTTGGACGACGATGTTCAGCCAACGGACGATAGCGGCAGCCAGGGCAGTTATGACGAGGAGAGGAATACTGGAGTCAAGGGGCAGGACAAGAAGAGTACTGTGCGTGAAATGAATTTTTAGAGGGAGATGCCTAGAAGTTTGCTGTTTTTGCTCCGTTTTAACGACCCAGCGGATATTATGTGTTTATGACGGTGGATTATTCCCCCCCTTTTTTTAGAGTAATGAAGAACGATCGTTCGTCTCCTAGATAAGGAGACTGAAGTTTTAGACCGAATACATGAGTCACACACGCATGTTTGTTGAAGTATTGTGATTTCGTTCGTAGTTCTGGTGCAGTGAATGTTTTTGTTGTAATGCTCAACGTTGGCTCAAATGACGGCCTTGCTTCCCAAGCTAAATAAGCAGGTAATAGACGACTACTATATATAATCTTACATCATATCCGATCAAAAGAAAAAAAATAAAGCTATTTTAATAAAAAATAGGGATCCTCCCTAAAATCTCGCAATGCATCAATATTCCTTTTCTCGCACTGAGATGTTCTATCTCTGCAATGGTACAAGCTATAATTCAAATGCAAACAACAACGGTAGTCAGTCAATATCATCGCCTCTTTTTAAGGCGGTCTCTTTTAGTGGAATACCACCATCTCAGTGGCGTGAGGTCGAGTGATAGCTCTTGTGCGGGTTGCCAATGCCGCCAGGCCGGAGAAGTGGCTGGTTCTCTCTGGCAATCGCCCGCTCCTCTCTTTCTTCGATATCGTCCAGATCTTCCTCGGTTTCGGCGTATCGCTCGGGATGGCCCGTAAAGGGGCCCGGCAGGCCACGCTCCCAGCCCTCGGAGTAGGTACGAGGAGCGTACGGGCGCTGTGGCGTGGCGTGATGCTCGATGGGAGACTGAGGCGCACTGCTGGCGTAGCTGTGCGCGTAGTCATCGCTGCGTCTCGCCAATTCGTAGTAGATGCCCATGGTCAGCACTGAGCCCTGCATGGCGGCCGTCAACAGGTAAATAGCCCATGTGCTCCAGCCCTCCATGCCGAGTCTCATGTACAGACTGGCGGCAAATAAAAGACCGCCCGGCGTTTGGATGAACATCATGGGGATGCTCAAACTGCCGACGTGCTTAAGATGGTACGTCATCCAAATCTGGGGAATGTACTGAATGGCGGCCAACACGGCAGCCATGACGCCGAGGAAATTAGCCCAGTAGTTGAGCTTGTTTGGCATGGCAATGGCGAAAACGCCAGTCAGAGCAATGACTACCAAGCCGTGAAGGATGCAGAGGCCACCCACGGCGACGGCCGTTTGCCATCTGGGGCTCTCTCCACCAAGCTCCTCCTGGGGGACATTGGCCTCGCGATATCGGAAGAAGATGAGGAACAATACAAGGCTGCAAGGATCGGGGGGTTAGCGCAGGCTCTCAGGGATAGACAGGGGCCAGGGGCTGTTGACATACATGGCAGTGAAGCATAGCCATTGCGTTCCGAGCTGGGCAACACCAAGCAGTCCGGCGGCACACTCAAAGGTTTCCAGCTCTTTGCAGCAGCCAATGGCTTTGCGAGAGGGCGCCACAGTCAGGATATTGGCAAAGCCAGCAGTGGCAGAGGTTGTGCCGAGGAGAACGAAGTAGGGGGATATGCCTTCGGAGGTGCCGCGAGAAATGATGCGATAGTGCTGTGGCAGATACGAGATTAAAAGACCGATGAGAATGACGCTGCAATGCATTTGTTAGAACAAAGACAAGACACAAGATGGGAGATGACGAGGTCGCGGCTCACATGGAAACTGTCAGCTCCATGTAGGAGGGCGTCTTGAGGCTCTCGCAAGTGGAGGCCATGCCCATTGTCAAGGGAGAGGCATCCATCGTGTGTGGCATCGATGGAGGAGTCGAGATGGAGATGGAGATGGAGATGATGGAGCGACGATGGCTCAGTCGTAGTGGGAGTTGGTCGATGGGTCAACGGTTGGTCGTGGTGGAGTCGCGTCCAGTCAACGGTTTGGCAAGGGAGAGGCGAGGCGAAGCTTGAAGCTGCCGCGATGTCGGATTTGTTTTGTTGGCTGTGCTTTGGTCGGGCTGGAGCCGCGAGGGGCGACGAGATGATTGCAAGACGGGCTATGCGGGATTCATGGTCGGGCAGAAGAAGGGCGGGGGGCGGCAGATTGATATTGATTGACGCCGTCAGCCGGGGGTCACGATTTCGCTTCGCTGGGAGCCTCTCTCAGGGTCAGGGCAAAGTGAGCGTAGCAGAAGTGAAGTGAGACAGGCAGAGAGAAGGTAAGGCGAATGGATGGGAGGATGGATTAGGTTGTCACCAGCCAGATGGGAGATGGAGAGCTTGTGGTGCTAATGCTGGTACCTAGCAGTGGGTGTCCATGTGCCCCGTGCAGGTACCCAATACTGCCCACGGGTGGTGCTGAAGCCTAGCACGGCGGTACCTGTACCTGGTAGCGAGTACGGGGTACGGAGCACGCCCAGCGCCTGAATCCCTTTAGCAGCAGCCCTGAGTGCTAGTGGAGGTACCTGTTTTTGGGTGGTCGGGGAGATCATTTGGGTGCCTGTATCCGCCGTCCGTTTATGGGGGGGTGGGGAGGGAGGAGGAAGAGAATACGGGTTGCTGCTATAATACTTGACCAACTATGCCAAGGTGCCAGGAACTAAGGTACTCGTAGGGAGCACCAGGTACGCGATACATGTAAGGGGGACTCGGCTGTGAATTGGATTGGGGACATGGCATGGACAGAATGAGTCAATGCGTGCGGGCGGCGCTGCGGTATGAGAGGCATCTCATAGGGATTAGACCGGCCATGGGATAGGGACATGTGCGTTGGCCCATGCCCAGCCCGCAGTTGCAGTCGGGGAGCTCATCAATCAAATCCACCAATGTACCTTAGTACTTACCTACCTACTTCAGCCGTCCGGTAGTATTTGACTGAATTGATCACGGAGATCAGAACGCCAGCTCTCTCGGCACCGCAGCTGCAGTGTCACCCTACTGTACATGTTGGTGGCTTGTACACTACAGTAGCATTGGGTTGAGCTGCTGCCTCTGAACCTCCCTCTGAACGCCCCAAGAAGCTAATGTACCCCGTATCGCGGCCACAGGGGGCGAACACCACCACTCTGCGCTAGGAGAGGGAGCCCGAACCCGTTGTTCATTGTGACTCCCATAAGTTCAGTGTAGACCACTTGCTGCAGTGGGTGAGATTCAATATTCAATCCAATATTGATGTCAATCCTAGTAAAGTACCGATAGGGGGCTGTCGGTATTATTGCCTCTAACTTGGAGGCACCAAAGCAAGTACGCGCGCAGTATGGAGTACTCAGCTGGAGACCCTCAAGGTGCTGGAATGACGTCGTCTGGTCGCGTAGGGCAGCCAATTTAGATCTGCTCAATGCACGCGTCAAAGTACAGAGTACGCGCTAGGTACCTTAGTACTGAGCTAGAGTAAGCTTTGATTTTTCGGTGCTTCCGCCTTTAGCGTCTGTCCACCATCTTTTTCCTCCCTTGCATTCATCTAGCTGATTAGACGACCATCGCCATCCTCTACTGTACAGCACGGAGTTTATCGATCATGCAGCGGTGAATGTGGACCGGCTCGAGCCTTGCCTACCGGGGCAGCAATGCCAATTCCAGTGCCAATGCTGATGACAGTGCCAATGCCAATGCCAATGCCATGGACCAGGCCCAACCTGAAGCACCGCCTCTCGCAGACCATGACGGGCAACAAGAGGCGCCCGCCATTCGCCTGCTTGCTGAGCGACTCGCCGTGAGCAAGCCCGAATTGCAAGAGAGGCCATTACCTGGCGACGGCGACGGAAGCTCTGGGACCAGCGGGAGACGCCCGGATGACAGTCTTGATGCCTGGAACCGACGCTTCTTCTCGTCTGCTCAATGGACAGCCGACGGTACCGCCATTCTCGCCCAATCGTCCGACCAGACCGTCTCATCCTTCATTCTTCCTGCAGACCTCCTGCAGCCTGCAGGAGAAGCGCGCGACTTGCACTGCCAGGCCAGCATCAAGCTCCCGGAGCCCACCCAAACTCTCGCCGCCGCGCCCTACTTCTCCCTAGCCAATCCAGCGTCGCAGATGTTTCTGGTTGGCTGTCGAGATCACCCCCTCCATCTCTACCATGCCTTTCCTCAGCCAGAGGATACGGGTGCGGGTGCGGGTGCTGTCGCCAGCCGCCCCCTCTACACCTATAAGCTTATCCGCCAGGAGTCGGAGCAGTACATCACCCCTGCGTCTCTGCTCTGGGAGTACCCTGGCACGCACTTTGTCTGCGGCTCAGCAAACCGCATCGATCTCTTCGACGTGTCCGGCCATTGCTCAGATGGCCCAACGGTCACTGTTCCCACGATTCCATCCCGGCGTCACATCTCCAAGGGTAGCGGCGTCGGCATGAAAGGCACCGTAGCCGCCTTGGCATCATCACCTCCTGCAGACGTCAACGGGCACGGATCCATCCTTGCGGCTGGCACCTGGACCCGCTGGATGGGGACGTACGATCTCCACCGCTCTGATAGAGTTGTTGCGAACTGGTCGATCGCGGATGCCGACCAAAAGGCGTTTCGTATCAGCCTGGGAGGCCAGGGCATCGTGCAGACGGCGTGGAGCCCCTGCGGGCGGTACCTTGTCGTCAACGAGCGGCAGGCTGACGGGTTACTGGTGTATGATATCCGGGGAACCGGCCAACTCTTGGCCGTGCTCAAGGGCCGCAGGTCTACCACGCAGCAGCGGCTGCACTTTGACGTCTTTCCGGGAGAGACGGGCTTTGAGGTCTGGGCTGGCACCCAGGATGGCGTGGTGGCGGTATGGGAAGGGGTTGGCATGCGGAACGATGCCATTGATCCCAGCTGGACATGGAAAGCCCATGACTCTCCCATAGGAAGCACGATTGTGCACTCCAGCGGCTCTGTTGCGGCGACTTGCTCAGGGGGCTGGGGGTATCCGCGAGAGCAGGACATGGATACAGCCTTTACAGGACCGGGTTCGACTCTTGATGGAAACCATCATCATAGTAGAATCTTTGATGAATCTTCGCTAAAGATCTGGTCTGTCGGTGGGCAGGGCGTGACGGCATGACATGCATCAAACAGGTAAATATCTTGTAAAATATACATTGTTTCGCTTTCTCTCAAACACTCCTACTCTGGTGATGGCAAAATGCAAGTCGTGTTGACAGTATGTCCATAGTGTATTATGCTAACGTTCATTGTATTCGAAACAAGCAGTATTCCAGCGCCCCTCTACTGGTCACGTCGTAATCCCCTTCCCCAGCCGTATTTAATCGGCAACAGTGTACGTATGCGCAACAAGGAATAAAAAAAAGGAACAAGCAAAAGCCAGCAGTTTCCAATACCACGCCAAGGCCAAACAAGATTAATTTGCAAGGACAGGCAGATGTGAGCATGATAGGTGAGGTTGAGAGAGTCATTCTCGCGGAATGACATTTCGTGTAGACAGGTATTTCTAGAGGTATTTCGAGGGTGGTCTTCGGATTCAAACATTACAAAAACAGTATACAGGGTGGCTGCCGCTATCACTCAGCATATACAAACGGATTTTCATTTTCTCTTTTTAGGGGGTATCAATTCTGAGCTGGTTCCTTAAACCCACGGCTGCTGGCCTCGAGACCGAGACGAGGATCTGGTCTGGGACCAGAAAGAGGCGCCATCGCCATCACCTCTTCTCCGCGGGTTGTACGGGCGGCCATCGTCTTCGGGCTCCAGCGGTGGCGGGACAAAGCTTGGCTTTGGAGCGGGCTGCGTCAGGGGAATCTCGTCCGACGCCCTGCCGTATCCGGGATCGAGAGGCACCGCCAGGCCAACCTCGCCGAGCTGCGGGGCGGGCTCGCTGGGTCTTGGGGCAATTGGAGTGAGTTCGGCCTCCTCCGCGTGGATGCCCCTTTCTTCCGTCAGGAGAGCGGTGCTTGGGGGTACCCCGCGGGGGTCGAAGTTGTCGTATTTTTCAGTTGATGGCCTGTTTCGTTTGTCATGGTTAGTCTCTTGGCATCTTTGTGAAAGCAATGGTGCGTGTGACTCCTTACGCGATGTATTGAGAGGGCGTGGCCGTCTTCTTTTTGCGGAGGAACCAGAATATCAGGCCAGCGATGAGAACAAGACCGGCGAGACCACCGATCACGCCTCCGGCTATGGGTCCGGCCTTTGAGCTGCCGCTGGAAGTCGGCGCCGAGGGGTCAGGGGCTGAGGTTGAGGTGGAAGTTGAGGTTCCGGTTGCGGTTGAGTCGGTTGAAGTAGCCGTGTCTGTCTCTGAGTTGTCGGATGTGCCCTTGGTCTTGGTTGCGCGACTGCTTGTGCCGGTGGTCTTGGAAGAGGACTTGGTTCCGGTCCGCGATCCAATCGTCGTCGGCGTGGAAAGAATCGTGGGCGTCTCCGTCAGCTGGACAGTGACGTGGTCAAAGTCCAGAGGCAGACGACTAATCGCCGTGGTGGCCACCGTTGTCGCCAGACGCGAGGACGCGCCGCATCCAAACTGGAAGAAGCCGCCGTCGAACTGGTTCTGGTAGCACACATCGGCGCCGGAGCAAGTGAAGACGTAAGGGTTGAGCTCCGTCTGCGGCGGGCTGTTGACATCGACACAGCCTGTGAAGATGCCCCCCGTGCAAGGGCCGCCGTCCGGACAGCAGCCGATGGCCTTGTTGTCGACGTCGACGGCGCAGTGCGAGCCGGCCAGGCACGTGGCTGGGAAGTTGGGATCGCCCCCTATAAATCCGCAGATGGTGTTGAAGTCTCGTTGCAGCAGCTGGTCCGGCATTGATCTGAACGAGGGCGAGCGCGGCGCTGGCGTTGGGGCGATGGGCCACGGCACCACATTGAGCTCGCGCACGGCGATTGTCTTTGTTTCTCGGGGCAGCGCATGGCTGGATGCGATCTGGAGGAGGGTCGAGGAGACGACGAGGGCTGTGAGTGAGGAGGATCGCGGCGGAGGGGCCACGATCATCTTGTTGGTGGTGCGAGCTGGGCGCAAGGAAGAAGCACGACGACAGAGCAGACGAGAGGAGAAAACAAAACAAAGCAGACCAGAGGGAAATGACGTGTGCGAGGGAAGAAGAAGCTGCAGATGTACGGAGTAATAGACTAGGTGTTTGGCAGATGCAAATTGTGAGGTGAGGTAGCACTGGCGCTACTCGGTGCTTTTGCTCGGTAGTGTGCCTTGTTCGTATTGACCCCTGCAAGGCCCAACTGGCATACATTAGTCGAGCAATGCGACCAATGGAGGGTGCAGCGGGACGATTGAATCTTGCGTGGAGGGTGGATTGATGGTATAAATAGGCATTGGAGGCTTTTGGTGGTATATAAACAAACAAAGGGCTGTGTGTGTGGCCATTGTCGAGCATGTGAGTGAGTGAGTGAGTGAGTGAGAGGGTTGTGAATAAAATAATGAATGAGGTGCTGTATCAATACGAGAACAGCATTGTCTTGCGGGAGCTCTCACTTTTGAGGCGGCTGCATGTTTTAGCGGTAGCCGCTTCAGGTCCGTCTCCCTGCATCGCTACTAGAAGGGCGAAAAGAGCATCCAATTTGAATTGTTTGTACTTTGTATACAGAGCAATCTGACACAGACTCCAAGGTCCATGCGCTCTCAAATACACTAAGCGGTACACGAACCCGTGGTGTTTTTCTTGTTTGTTTGCCTGAGTCAAGCCCCCTTGATTTCGCGGCTACCGATTGGTGGCCCTGATTGGCAACGGCCCGGACCAGCTAAACCAAGCTCAGTAGCTGGGGGCAACGGGCAATAAGAGAGATGGATGCAGTGATCTTTATTATACACGCAGGGTAGCGCGGGTACAAGGTAAAAAAAAGTTACGAGTTGAGTGGGCGGCGAGGTGGTTACAGGTACTCTTACTGTACTCTACTCCGTATCTCTCTGGTGCTAAGTTGTGTGGATTTAGTTCAATGGCATGAAACGTTAAAGAGTTCCATGACGGGTGCATGCCATTCGAGCGTTTAAAAAAGAAACAGTGCGTCGTGGCAGCCATGAGCGTGAAACGCATGCAAAGGCACTGGGGAAGCGAAGCACGTTGGGCCAAAGGTTCAGAGGCAATTCGGCATCCGGTCTCCGGTCTCAGAGTAATCTGGAGATGCCGCATTTCGAGATGCTGTAAAAGCCCGCATGTGTCTCGAACACTGCCTCCCGAGACTTCTAAAACCAGCTTGTGTCCATCATCATCAGCGATGGCGCAGCATTAGTAGGTAGTGATGGGCTGCTCTTCTCCCTGCTGCAAGTTGGGTCCTATTGCGGACTAAGGCGATTTCCACGGATCTCATAGTGAGATTGGTGTGAGTCCAAGTCTGCAGATGAGATGACGTACTGTCCAGAGCAGTGGAGTTTTGCATCTTTCCCATTCGAGAGCTTCTCCAACAATTGGGATTGATTTGCTTTTAATTTTCAGCATCAATTACCACAAAGAGAAAGAGAACCTTGGAAAAAAGAAAATAAAGAAAGAGGCGCTACAGGGGTCGTGGCTGAAACGACACCAATGGAAAGCCAGTAGCATGGCAGCGGCAGCTCTTCTCATTGGCATGTGCGAGTGGGCGTTGCGACACTTGACCTCTACTGCCTAAGTTTTAGGGGACCAGCGACCCGTAATAGCGGCCTTAGCAGCAGCTGCTGTGGGCGGAGTACTTATGAGATACCTCTGCCAGTATAGTTGGAATGGCCCCGAATGTTGTGGCATAGTGTACTCCGCAGTGATACCTTTGTTTGTTCACCAGTGGCACCTGCGTGGAGCAAGTCTTCTCCTCGTACCGCAACGCAGCTGCAATCGACAGTCACCTGCGCCACGCACAGGCCACGCCGCGCTAGATTGACGTCGCTAGTAAGAGACCTGCAGCTTCCCCATCTCGACAGCTCCATATCTACTGCCTCGCATCACGTCTCAACCTCGTCTGGTGTCCCTCTCTCAGGCTTCTTTTCTCTTTTCTCGGGGCTGGGACTCACTCATCTCTCTTTTTTGTTCTCATCTGGCATCTCTTCTGACTTCAGTTCTGCTCTTCTTGCTCACAACCAGTGGATTGGAGATTGACGCCATCATCATCGTCGTCATCGTCGCAACACAAGATGCCCATCCGTGTCAAGCTCAAGCCCACGCCGGTGCGCGAGGGCAGTCCCTTCTCCGCCCGATATGATTATATCGAGCCCCCTTACATTGGCCCGGACGACTCGTTCCGCCTGGTCGTCAAGAAGCTGTCCCAGTACATAACCGAGGCCATCGAGCTCCCAAGCACCTTTGACCAGCTGCGCACGACTTCGGCCGGCACCGCTCTCCGCCTCTTGGTTGACCATCTGAGCGATACCTGTGCCAACCCGGCCATCGTCAATGCTCTTTTGTAGGTTCTCTTCAAGCCCAATTCCGACCTCCCATGCATGCTTGACTTATCACCTATCGCTAGGGCGCTCAAATGGCACTATGCCTTGGATCGTGACAACCAGGGCCTCGGCGAGGCTCGTTCCAATGCCTGTGAGATTGTAGCCTGGAGATTCCTGACCCACCACTCGGAGCGCGAGGCTGTGACTTTTTGCCTCTACGAGATCCCTGACCGTAAGAAGGCAAAGGCTCAGCGGCAGCAGCAGCCTGGTCAGATCCTCGGGTCAGATCCCGAAGCTGGCGAGGGCACTCCCTTGATTCCTCGCGTGCTGGCTTCCTTTGACGGCTCGGATCCTCACCCTCCCGTTGGAAGCTCGTCCAAGAAAATCCAGCTTCTATCGTCTCTTTCCCGTTTGACTAATCTCAGCATGGATGACGACGACGACGATGAAGATGATGATGACCCAACAGCCGCCTTTGAAGGCTTGAATGCTCTTGAAATTGCTGCCATTGCCAACGCCAAGAGATTTCTTAGCCAGCACGTCGTGCAAAAGATCATCTCGGGCATATGGAATGGTGATATCGTTTTCTGGGATTCCATGTCCCTCAATTCGACAAAGCACCCACACTTCTATAACCCATTCACGTCGGATCCCTACTCCCGACTTCGTGTGCCCAAGTATCTAAAGTGCTGGGAAGTCTTGTTCTTCAGCGTCTTCATGTGCCTGTATTACTCTGTTCTCATCGTGCGGGACGAGAGCCGCTTGACCGGCCCCGAAATCGCCTTGTTCTTCTGGATTGCTGCCTTCCTTTACGATGAATTGAGTGAATGGATTGATGCTGGAGCCATCTTTTACGCAACGGATATCTGGAATTTGTTTGACATGATTATGATTCTCATTGGCACCATCTTTGCTGTATTGAGTGAGTGCCGTCTCTCTTGCGCGCAAACAGACACTGAAATGCTAATCATGACCAAGGAATTATTGGTATCATGCGCGAGGACTTGCGCCTAAACGACCTGGCGTTTGATGTGCTGGCCCTGGAGGCTCTCTTTATGATCCCCCGTATTTGCTCCATCCTCAGTCTGAGCCCCTACTGGGGCACCCTCATTCCCTGCCTCAAGGAGATGGGCAAAGACTTTATCAAATTCATGGTGCTTGTCATTATTGTCTACCTTGGCTTCCTAACCACCTTTTCTCTCGTTGGCAGAGACATCTTTAGCCTTGGCAAGATGACGGGCATCTTGACCAAGATCTTTTACGGCTCAAGCTATGTGGGATTCGAAATCATGGACCAGATTGATCCGATCTTCGGACCCCCCTTGATGATCATCTTCATCACTCTGTCTTCGTTCCTCCTCATGGGCTCGCTCACCGGTATGCTCTCCAACAGCTTTTCGCGTGTCATTACCCACGCCAAGGAGGAATATCTCTACGTGTACAGCGTTTACGTGCTGGAGGCCTCAACCAGCAACCGCCTGACACACTTTTACCCCCCCTTCAACCTTCTTTCCTTGTTTCTTTTCCGCCCTTGGCGATACATTCTCCCGAGGTCCCAATACCGCGCAGGTAGGATCTGGCTTCTCAAGGTGACCCACGCGCCCATTGTTGCCGTAATCAAGTTTTACGAGTATCTCAAGTACAAGGGGGATGACGATGATGAGTTTCGCGGCTTCAAGGGCCCAAGAGAGCCTAAGGGGAGACGCCGCAGGTCAGAGGCTGGCCGACCATCATCATCCGCTGGCCGCCCGCCCGTTTCATCTCTTAGATCTGCGATGAAATTGCGTCCGTCTAGTCGGAATCGAGGAGAGGACGATGTGGATGCGCCGTCGTCGGTTGAAGTTCAGATTTTGGAGCTGCAGCAGAAGATTGACCAGCTGACGTCGATTGTTATCTCGATGAGGGAAAGCCAAATCGCCAATGACAAGAACGAAGCTGATAATAACAATGATGCCTAAGTATTAATCGCCGACCGTGGGCTGAGCAGAGCAAGGCATGAAGGAATGGATCTGTATATTTATGAAGATTGAATATTGTTAAGGATTGGCTGCGCATACGACATATGAAACAAGGTTTATTCAGACCTTTGGCTTGTTATTCTTTGCATGGTGGCTAGGATCGTTAATGCTCGAGGGAATGGTGGAATGGCGGAGTGGTGGACGTTTATTACTAGCAGCAAGCATCATTCATTGTTCTTCAGTTGTGTAAGCATCGCTATATACACAACCCTTCATAACCTTCTATTTACATCTGTGTGTAGCTTTGTAAACTCCTCCAAAGATTACATCTCGCTATCTGATCAGGCGGCACAGGTTCCATGGCGGTATTGTTCGTCTGCAGCCTAATGCGCTGGCCCGTTCCTTGGCCCCAGGGATCCCAGTTCGGCGCCGAATGATACTTGGCCGCGTTCGGATTCAGCTTCGTCACAAAACTTAGGAAGTAGTGCATCGTGACGGGGACAATTGCAGCGTTGGTCGTGAAGTAGGATGCTGCTGGTGTGTCTGAGTATCCAGGCCCAAAAACGGCGCTCGTTTCGAATGTGTGGGGGACGCCGAGGCCGTTGGCGACGTTATCCGGATCCAAGACGTTGTAGTGGTAGTTCCAGACGCGGCGAGGGTCAAAGTACCGGGCTACGGAGGCGGCGACGGTGTTTCCAGGACAAGTAAAGGTGGATTCTCCATAAGCTGCTTCTGCGGAAGGGAAGTAGGCTGCGTGCTTGGGCATGGGCGGCTCGAGAGGGTAGGCGTGGGAAATACTTTTCAGTTGGGAGTCTTGTAAGTAGGGGTAGTTGTTTTTAAGAAATGTCTCAACTTGGGAGGGGTTTGTGGCGTTGAAGGCGAAGTATGTGCCTTCGTTGGTGTCGTCACCGACGAGGACTGGGACGCGGATGAAGTTGCCGCGCTCAAAGTGGTTGTACAGGTGGTCTGTGATGAGGTCTCCGTCGATTACGGGGAGCCAATACCATAGCGGTAGAGGATTGTCGCTTGCTGCTCCGACAAAGGGCTCTTTGGGGCTGGCATTCAACAGCGCTTGAGTGTCTAAGCCGCGGAGACAGTCGAGGGATGAGCAGTTTGCGTTGGAGAGGATCTGGCGATACTGAAACTCCATGTCTGCAACGGTTCTGAGGGTTGGCCAGAAGGGACTCTCGGGGATTGCACCGACGAAGAGCTGGTTGTCCTTTTTGGCTGCGTAGGCTGTGAGGTGGTGTGTTACGGAGCCTCCGCCTGCGGAAGCGCCTTGGATGACGACGTGTTTTGGGTTGCCGCCGAACTGGTTCGTTAGTATGTTGCGGGTTGAAGATGATGGACTTGTATGGGAGTGATACACACCTTCTTAATGTTCTTCTGTACCCAGTGTAGAAGCTTCCTCTGGTCGAGTAGCCCTGCGTTGAGATCGCCATCTTGTCTCACATGCTCACTAGCAAGGAAGCCGAAAGCGCCCACGCGGTAGTTGAAGTTGACAAAGATGAGGCCATCGCCAGACTGCTTGATGACTTCGGTGCCGTTGTAGTTGGAATTGGAGTTTTGTGCGTAGCCGCCGCCTTGGATGTATACCCAGACGGGGAGATTGGAGCTGGGTGTTGCTGCAGAAGGCTTGTAGACGTTGACGAAGAGGCAGTCTTCTGCGTTGTTTGCATCTGCTGTTTGGCTGACGGCTACGCATATGGGGCCAAACTGCTGTGAGTGTTAATTAACTTTTCAAGATATCCTTGTGAAGACCATGTAGTAGTTTGACAGACCTTGGAGGCATCTTGGATGGACTCCTCGGGGGTTGGATCTTGCGGTGCGCGGAACCTGAGATTTCCCAGAGGAGCCTGGGCGAATCTCATGCCTAGGAATTGATCTACTCCTGCATCTAGCCTGACGCCACGGTATTTGGCGTATCCTAGGTCGACGATGGGAGAGGATACGCTGGTGTCGTCAGATCGCTGGTGAATTGCGGCGGCATGGGCGAGTGGCGGCGCGGAAGTGAACTGTAAGAGGAGCCACTTGAATGAAACCATGGTTGCTGCTGTAAATTGTGAGAGCTAGAAGCTCTGATCATGGAGAAGGAATGCCGATTTTACGGCGTCAATAATCTCCATTTGGTAACTTGCCTTTTATAGAAGTCTTGGGTTCTGCAAAGATGGACTAATCTCGATGCATGAATCTACCCCTCACTTTGCAATGGGTATTCAACTCGTATTTGATGCAACATTGCATCTGGGTATCACCGACCTTGGCTTGGAGTTGTCCGGCTGTTTGACTGAACCCCACACTGTTGATCGCCCCGGCTGCATGGCTAGGGTGCTGGAGCGAGTTCCCGATAGGGCCGCTCGAAGGGCATCTGCAGGTCCGGTTCAATATCCGACGGGATGAACGGGGGGGGGGTTTGATCTTGTGATTTCGTTGTTGAAGTGCCGATGTAAGACAGATTTGGCCCTTGATTAGTTATTTCTTCGGAGAGTAGAAGGATGAATACTCTGACTTGAATCTATTGCTTAGTATGATCCTAGATGCTCTATCTGATGTAAAATTGAATACTGCGTACTCTCTCCATCTCTTGGACGCATCAAAGAGTGTGTGTGGAGCGGAGAGAAGCACAAACCAAGGTATTCCGTGTTTGACACGGGATGGCGGGTAAAACCCGTACCTTGGGGCGGCTAATCCGAGACATGTCGACGTAACCACTCTTAAGGTTTAAAAAGGATTCGAGCTGTGAGACATTGAGTGAATGGGAGTATCGGTATGCGGATACTCGTCGGAAGTGGCCTCCTGTATAACTGCGGCTTACCCCGAATACCACAATGCATAATGCATTGTGGAATATTAACGATAGACCTCAAGTTTTTGAAGCTGAGGATATGACGAGCGGTAACGGAGTTTACCCAAGACTAATTGCGCAACTGTACAGTATTGACTCTTGATTTACTACTCGGCGATTTGGTGGTAGTTGGCCGTGCATGACGATGCCACATACCGCCCGTATCGGCTGCCACAGCCACGAACGTGTGCTGAAATTTGAACATGTCTCACCTTGTCTCACATCTCTCACTCCTATTGTCTACATGGACGATATAAGAGGAGCCCGCTCGCTAATCAATAGCTTGGAATACGGCGCAGTTCAAACTTTACAATAGTTTGAGTTACTCGAGAGACGCTTTCCTGTAGTGTAATCCTTCGCCAAAGTACTCCATGCGTCCATCATAGGCACATCAATTATACTCATCATGGTTACTCTTTACTACTGGCTAGCTGCGTCTCTCGCTGTGTCGGCCTTGAATCTACGCTTAATCAACAGACATAGCCTCCAACTTATTCCGCCTCCAAGCAATGATCCGTTTTACGCCGTGCCAGAAAATATAAACACATTATCTCCCGGCGAAATAATAAGACACAGAGAACCGCCTTCGCGGATATCCGCTTACGGATGGACTCCAGCTCATGTGCATAAAGCCTATCAGATTCTATATCGGACAACAGATAGCCAACAGAATCCTACTGCGGCTGTTTTGACAGCTCTTATCCCTCCCGACGCCGAATATGATAAGTTGGTATCTTTGCAAATGGCTGAGGATTCTGCTACGATTGATTGCGGTCCATCTTATACGATGCTCGTTTCAGCGCAGAGCAATCCACTACTCACTTCCAATATCACGCAGCTTCAGTTGTTATTCGCAGAGGCGGCGCTCGCTCAGAAATGGATTGTCATCGTACCGGATCATGAGGGGCCAAAAGGATCATTTACGGCAACTAAAATTACTGGCCATGCAATTCTCGACGGCATCCGAGCTACGCTACAGTCGAATCACATCACGGGAATTGAATCGAACCCAAAGATAGGGCTATGGGGATACTCTGGAGGAGCTGCTGCCACTCAAATAGCAGTAGAGATGCAAGAGCTTTATGCACCTGAGCTGGAAATCGCCGGTGCCGCCATGGGGGGACTTTCAAGTATCGGAGATGCGAGTGATATCTTTAGCATCAACAAGGGACCCAGTGCAGCGCTCATACCATCGGCGATGCTTGGACTGGCGAGTCAGCATCCGGATCTACAGAAATCTATTGAACAGTCCCTGAAACCTCAGTTTCGAGAGGCCTTCTACAGCCCGTTGCACCAGTGTCTACAAGCAAGCACATCGGTGTTTTCAAACCAGGATATTCTGGCCATGTTTCATGATGATTCGATACCAAGATTGACAACAGAGCTCAATAAAGCATGGAACGAAGAAACTGATGACGACGATTCCAAGATTAAAGCTCCAATGTATGTCTATCAGAGCGTCATTGATCACCTCTCTCCCATTCAAGGTATAGACGCCTTGGTGCACGACTATTGCGATCGGGGTTTCGCGGTCCATTATGAAAGAGCCAACTCGTCGAACTTGAGTCACGTCAAATATGGAGTTGTTGGGGTGTCGAAAGCATTATCGTGGTTGCAGGATCGGCTTGACGGGATTGAGGCGTGTCGTGGCTGCGTAAATCACACAGACACTACTTCGACACTTGATCCGCGTGTTGCTGCCCTTTATCCTAAAAACATTTCCGATGCTTTATATGCATTAGTTAATGCTTAACGATGTGTAATTGACTATTAGTTTGCCTGCTCATGAGGGAGATTGTGTGACGAGGAGGAGCATAATGGGCTGTTGCGTTATGTTGCGTCATGTTGCGTTATTGTGGTCGGCGGATATGAAAGTGAGGTTGGCATCCTTTGTTCCATAATAGCACCTCCACGTTACCTCCACCGGCGGATGAAAGAGTGGAATAACTATATATTAAGTGGCACCTTTGATATAACTCAAGTCTAAGTCGCCGCCGTTATGCCACCGACCGCCCTGTCTTGGGAAAATTCACGGGCGGAGTTCCGCAGACGGCGTGAATCTGTTATGGTATCGTTTTGTCAGCACTTTATCGCCAGAAAGAAATCATGGCGGAATTCCGAGCATGCATTATGGATCAAAGAGGTAAATGCACACACCGATAGATGGAGGCCACGGTTGGGGACAAACGAATACCAATGTCAAGTTATGCTACGTCGCAGATGTGTCATACATGCAGGGCGATTATATGTATTTAAGTCTCGATGGACCTAAAGCAGCTCGATAGATAGATTCACCAAGAAAAAGAACAGCTCTAGTGTGACTCAGTAGTTGACTTGCCCAATCATTCTGTCAAATTCGTCCACCATATCTCCAGCCATGGCACAGAAAACTACTGAAATCGGTAACTTTGTTGACCGAATCTTTACCGACGCCTTCTTCCAGCCCGACGATGAGCTATCCTTAAAGACTGTCAAAGAGAGTTTTGCTTCCGACTTCGAGGCCAAGTAGGTTATGTCTCATGGCCTAAATTCCTTCCATCACTAATAATGATAGCATCAATGGCGTTACCATACCGGGCGAAGTTTACAAGGAAGCTATTGCCTCTTCCCGCGCCAAATCAATCTTCAAGCTCGTCAAGGTTGAAGAAGTTCTTGCCAGCCATGATGCAGACAAGTCAACTGGAGGATCCGTGTCTCACTATACAGAATTTTTGGATATCGACAAAGAAACTGGCGCTGTGAAGCAAGAATCCTCTCTGACGATTGTCACTTGCGCAGAGCAGGACGGAAAGGTGGTTTTCAAGTCGTTGACTGAAATACATCGTAAATAAGGCAATCCGCTATTGTATGTCGCCATGTGGCATTTTGTTACTTAGATGTACTTTTGAATGATTATAGGGCTTATCTTCTACATCAGGGGCCCTGCGTTGGCATAATTAACTCTGACAGTCCTTTTGCGACGTGTATTTGTCTTCAATTATTAAACGTGATAATAGAGAAAATTGACGAAAATTAAGTATAAATACTGCTAGATATAGAACAAGATTCACCAATACGGTCTCACTTGTGTCTCAGACCATTCCCAGTACTGGTTTCCAATCTCAGCTTCGGTAAAGTCTTTGCGGGGGGCTTCGATCTTGCCAAACGGCGAGACTAAAGGGATTACAATTAGTCTAGCTGATCTCAATAATCTTTGCTAAGCTCTGTTTCTCAACTTACCCCACCCTCCATTATTCGCCTCTGTAATACTTGGACTGAGGCCTGCGAATAGCTCCGTATATGCGCCGTTGATGGGTTCGGAGGCAATCATTTTCTATAAACATTAGTATTTTCTTACTAAAGAACCATGATTGTTTGGAGGACTGGTGGACTTACAAATGCAGCAAGCTGTAGCTTAGGCATATTGTCCTGCAGATTAGTGACAAAGTTTCCGGGGTTCAGAGCCTTGGTTTTGTTAAATTAGCAACGTCACATATTTAATGTGGATAAATAAATCCATCGCAACTTACAAGACTAATAATACCCGAACCCTTTGTTCTTCTGGCGAATTCGCATGAGTGGATCACATTTCCAGCCTTGCTTCGAGAGTACATCTGCCAGATACCCTCCTCTTTGTGGTAATCCATGTTGGAGAAGTCAATAGCCGGGTTTGGCGCTGCGTCAGCAGCACTCGACGACACCCAGATGACTCTGATAGAGTTTTTCGGAGCCACCTGAGCTGTCTTCTCCAGCACCGGACGGAGGAAATGCGTTAGAAGGAAATGCGCAAGGTTATTAACACCCAGCTGCAGCTCATAGCCCTGTTTCGTCTTCGAACCCTTAGGAGGAACCATGACACCGGCATTGTTCCATAATACATCAAGTCTGGATTCGCGAGCGAGGAAGTCTTGCGCTGTTTGCTTGATAGTCGAGAGATCATCAAGAGTTAGTCGTAAGAAAAAAAGTTCCCCTTTCGACGTAGGATGGTCTTGCTTGCATTCTGCAATGATCTCGTTCGTCTTTTCCTCTGATCGGGCTGCAATATAGATTCTCGCGTTGTGCTGGTACAAAATCTTGACAAGTTCCTTGCCGAGTCCACCAGAGCCTCCAGTGACGATAAAGACCTAGAAAAGAAGTCAGTTTGGTTTCAAAATGCCGGCCGATATGAGTCGCTCATAGATGCGTACCTTTCCTCCCTGATCATCGAGGTTGGCGTGTGTGAGAGTCGGCTTGTAAGGGCATATGGAGCTCCTTCGGAGGTTAAGACTGAGACTCATTTCGGCAAAGGCTCGCCTTACTTCAAGACGGTGAGTTATGATTTGAGTAAATTGGACTTGGTATTGGAATTATATGTTCGTAGTAATGCTAGAGGTGTAGGGATGAAATGTTCGTGGCTGGAGAAGGCTGCACATAAGCTGTTTATATATCTGAGGCGACGAAGTAATTATATTGAAGTCCGAGCCAATTGGCCCCAAGAAACAAGTCCGCAGTGCTCTGGAGACAATGGTGACGTTGATTCAAGCGGTGGTGAAGCATTGTAGACCATAGTGAACGATGCGGAGGCTGCGGCCGCATATGATCTGGCACCGAAGGATTAAGATATGCAGGCTAAAGATTGTAGTGCAAGTAAATCACACAAAGAAGGTTGTATTGATTCGTGTGTAGATGAGATAAAGGATTAAATCCGGCCAACACTTACAAGCTATCCCTGTATTTGGCTGTTTCTGCATAGTACAGCATTACATATTGTAATCTGTAGCTTGTGACGGAATCAATGAGTAGGATTTCAGCAAGGAAATCGGGCGACCCAAATTTTTACCGCCGCAACTAATGCAGACTAAAATGCGGACGCTGCGGCCGCATCCGCAACTGTATCCTCACCCCTGCGGACTCAAGTTTTGTTGTGGAATCAGTCCACAATTACAAAATAGAGGGTAAAGAAGAGATAGGGAGCTGTGCGGATGGGATTCGTGTGCAAAGGGACTTAAAGAATTCGTTTTCAAGGCGAGGTTGTACAATTGCGCTGAGGATGCCCAGGAGTGGATTAATATCTCCGCAAAGTTTGATGACTTGCAATGTGCAAACACCAGACTTGGTGCATATAGTATTATCAAACTGTCCACCAGATATTTATCATCTGTTTCATCATTTGAAAAGGAATATGGGAAGAAAATAAAGCGAATGGTGGAAAGAAAGAACAAACACTAAACAACGACACAATAGCCGTAGGACCATTCAGCACCAAACATTCTTTGCTGCAGCAGTGTTTGTCAAATTATCTTTCGGATCACTTAAAAGAAAACGGGATGCTTTTATCCAGACAAAGACATCTGTTCCTTAAACGCCGAGGTATTGTCGCTAACTGAAAGGGGCTCAGGAAAGCACTCGAACTCTTTTAAACACACTTGCGAAATTGCCAAATCATTCTCAGGAAAATCTTAGTGGCTCGACCTTCCGGCTCAGCAGGAGCATCATGCCCATTTCTGTATGCGGCTCCAATGGTTTGCTGTGGCTTACAGCTTGTTGATGCTCTGGAATGCTGTTTATAGTGAAATACACACAGCGCATTTTTTTCTTAAATATTGTGGGATCTCTCAATTGTTATGTGTGGACGTTGGATACAATTGGACAGCTGATATATGCTCATCGTTTGTTTACTCACCAACATCATGAAGTCTGTGATGCAGGCTCGAACATATGTTCACGGGGGGGGCATCACACCTGCTGCCATATTGTACTCATCGATGTAATTGAGAAATACTGGCTTCTTGAATGCAACGTAAAGTTTCTTGGAGTTGGAGGATCCGATTGGCCCATTTAGTCCGAGTCAGACTACTTCTTCCGCCAAGCGTAATCCGCAATGAGGCGGGTGGAACTAAACTTCCGCTCCGCATCACCAAAAGAGAAATACAAGCATTACCACTCTCATCTGTGCGGCCGCTTGGACTATTCAATAGTAAATAGAACGCCAGGGCAACTTCACCAGAGGCTGCGTTCAAAGAAGAAAGAGAGGAAAATGAGTGGGATTGTGGCGTGCCGCTCCTGTCGCCAGCGTAAACGGAGATGTGACAAAGGGCTGCCAGCATGTGGCCTTTGCCGCCGAATGGGTCGCGTTTGCGAATATCAGCTGGATAATGTCGATCCAGCCCCATCTGCTACTGCGGCAGAAATCGAGGCCCTACGGAATAGGCTGGACAGGATGGAGCGCCGGCTAGCTTCTGGGCCAACCACAACGAACACGACGACGCCATCATCAGACAACGGGTCATTATCGTCCTGGCCACTATCAACTTCTGCAGCGCCAAGCGTATCCGCTCATCAATTCGATCTCCAGAACGATCCGAGTGTACCTACTACAGCATTGTTTCTCGACCTGGACGTCTTCGTATGGGCACGATGTTCTCTCCCGCCCCCAAATATATCGGCAGTTCCAATCCCCACTGTACGGTGCGCCTCGGAAATCTGTGTTATAAAGCTTATTTTGCTTTCATTTCAAGTTTGAACTAGCTGATCAAGTTGACTAATGACCCAAATTTTTAAGGATATCCTCACCGTTTTAACACAGGGCGGTTCCGTCGTTGATGCCTCCAACAACTATTTCAGCACTGTACATCGATGGCTACCTTTTATTTCCAGGAGAAGGATGGACCTAGGCTTCTCTATACGTGAAGCAGGCCCTGAGTTAGCCATGCTTTTCTTCTCCATGAAGTTAATTACTACCAAAATTGAAGATGACGCCAGTACAGACACTGGCGCCCATTATTTGAGCGCCAAGGGATTCCTAGACACGCTGCAACTTAATAATGCTGTCTCGCTAATATGCTTGCAGAGTATGATCCTTGTCGCATTATACGAGTTCAGTCACGCAGTATACCCTGCTGCGTGGATGACACTGGGAGCATGTGCGAGGTATGCCGAGATCCTAGGATTATCGTGTTCCGAGGCCAAGACGTCGCCTCTGAACCCACCTGTGAGTCAATAAATGGCAGGCTCCCAGTTTCTATCCTTATTGAATAGCGGAATGTCTAATGAAACCATATGTCAAGATGTCATGGACAGAGGCGGAAGAGAGGAGAAGAGCTTGGTGGGTTATCTTCGTCCTCGACCGATTGTTGTCCGCTGGCGGCAGGAGGTCATTTCTATTACCGGATCCTCCATCAGAGGGAAGGCTGCCTGGTAATGATGAAGCCTGGGTATGGTAACTCAGCTTTGGGTCTTTCACTATATAAAAAAAGGAATCTCTCCAAGCTAAGGTTTTTTCTTTGCACAAACAGGAATCAGGCGACGTCAGAGAAGCCGTAGGCTTCCCCGTCTCGACAGATAAACATGTCCCGCAGTATAACTTTGCTCGTCTTTGCCAATCTGCCATATACATCGGGCGTTGCGTTGATTGTGCGAGAACCCAGCGATCAGGATCAAGATCAAGCACGTTTATCGACGAAGTCAGCTCGCTAATCGAAGAGCTCAACGACTTTGCAGGCCTATTGGACTCGGCCACCGAGGGTCCTGGCAAAGGACCTTTTACGAACCCTCTGGCACCATCTTTCCTCGCGCGTTCTTCACTTTTCATTCTCTTGGACGTATTAACTTGCCCAGAGAAAGTCTCGTCAGATGCAGGATACGCAGTATCCCCCAGAGCAAAATCAGACGATGAGCTTGCGTTGCAACATCGGGCAATGACTCTGGTACAAACAGTAAGCCAAGATATCTGCGAAATGAGTCATTCTATCCTGGCGAGAGGAGACACAGGCGCGTTATCAGTCGTGAGCCCGGATCCGCGGGTTACTGAAGAGTTTTGTCCCTTTATCCTTGACGCAATCTACGCTGCTGCGGTTACGTATCGTTGGCTACAGAGAGAGGGTGCAACATCAAACTTTTTATGTCAGCGGAATATAGACACCTTGGAAGCTGTTTTAGAGTTGATTGGGTCAAGATGGAGGCTTGGGAAAGCATACAGCGGCATGCTGTCTTTATATGATAGTATACCGTAGCAGGTATGTAAGTGGGAATAGAGTTGAATTTTAAAATATAGACTTATAAATAGCCTTAATACAGTATAATACAGAATTTATTTATCTGTAATCCCTTTCGGAAAGGACAAGAGCCGCCTTTACAAGCATATAGGTGCTTTCCTAAAATCCACAATGATGGCAGGCAGACGACTAATAGCTACCCATTACTTGACCTGTTTTCAACATCTTTTACTTCTCTGGATCATCCAAGCTCGAAACTTTCTGTGCTGACTTTGCACACATCTCAACAAATTCCTCATCCCCAATCTCCTCTAAGGCCGTAAACTTGAGTCGAAGAATATTTTCGATCATACGCCGCAGTCCCTCAAGTCCATCGTATGGTGTGATCTCCACTTTCTTTCCATCCCGCACGTTGAAGAGTATAATACGAGGTATCCGACCCAATTGAACAGCCAACAAGTATGCATATGTGCATGCTTGTACGATATGTTCGTTAGAAAGCTGCGAGACGAACTTAATCTCCCAAACAGACTCAATACTTTTAGTATCACCACCATCTACAGTGATGGGCATGCTAACAACGTCAGCTCGACCATATAGTATAGTTCGCTCATTGTCAACATCAAAGCTTTGTTGAACTGCAACCTCAAAGTGAATATTAGCTGCCGAGTCACCGAGTTCTCTTTGAAGCCGACCCCTGGCTAATTCAAGCTTCTTTGGTTCAATCCAGTTGAATGCGTGTTCTTTCATCTGAAGTTGACGCGGGCGGTAGCCTGAGAAATCAGCTTGATATTTACATGCCTGCCGGCAAAGCCAAGGGATTTGCGCCTCCGGATTGACTGGAATGTTTTGGTCAGTGTCGTCATTGTTGGAATTGAGTATTGCTACGGTCCCTGTAATAGCGTGCTGATATGCTGCCTCAACAACGAGGCCATTCACGTCGCCCACAGCCTCGTAAAATCCCCTTTTTGGATCAGAAGACACAACATTGGGAATTTTAATAAGATCTTGTTGAGGCGATATTTCTTGGATACTCAAGTCACGCCGAACGATCTCATCAAGACGTTCACCCCGGACGTGTCTGGCTATGTCACTGATGCGGACCTTCTTGGGCAAAACAAGTCCAAGCTGTATAGGGCGGCCAGGTTTGTCGGGCAATGAAATTTTGCCCTTATTGGGCGTCATGTTAATGACGTCGGCCGTTTTGTAAAGCGCATCAACAGATACAAACGGCATAACCTCCTTGCGATCGTCATGGACCAAGACAAGCTGTTTCACCGCACGCGTTAAAGCTACAAAAACTTGGTTGGGACAGGTGTTGTCCGGAAGATCGCGACCAATGTATTCGAAGAATGAAGAGTCGATACCCAAGAGAATGATCAGATCACGTTCTCTACCTTTGAACTGGTGGATGGTCGAAATACACATCTTCCCATCAATGACCCTTTCATCTAGAGGGCCATCATCATCAATCGGTTCAGCAATTGGTACGTGATGCTCTTCAGCCAGGATGTTGACAAGTTTTATCAATGCGCCATTTCCGCGTATAGCGGGCGCTATAATTGCGGTGTTCTCCGCGCCGTATTGATCGATCAAAGTTAGCAACTTCTTGGCCAACCCATAACTGCGATAAGGGTTGCATCTCAAGACAATGGGTTTAGGGCCAGTCTTCGAGCTGGTTATATACGAGTCTCCACCGAGAAAAGCCTGGTTGATGAACTGAACTGTCTCGTTCGATAGCCGGAAGCTTTCACTCAATGGAAGATTCACAAAGGGGGAGGGGTTGGTATGACCTAGCAAATCGGAAGCCAAAGTTAGATAACGTTGGTCGGCGCCGCGGTATTTGTAGATGGACTGCCGCTCATCCCCAAGAATGATGAGGCGGGCGGGCTGCCCTCCCCTCTTCAGAGTGTTTACTCGGATAAAGCAGAGTATCAACCAATAGAGTAACTCCGAGCAGTCCTGAAACTCGTCCAGCACGATGATATCAAACGGCTCAAAATGCCCTGGGGGAAGCATGTTACTATTCACAATCGCTTTTATCTGCTTCAATAAAGTTACATCGTTGGGCACGACAACCCCAGAAAGTAACCTCGCCATTGTGTGCATAGTAAAAGCTTTGGCGTTGGGGTATTTTTTGAACCGGCGATCGGTCTCAAGTTGAAGGAGCTTCGTGTAGACGAATGCACCTGTTCGTAAGTGTGGGTACGCGGCTACAATAGCTTCTGCTGTGGCCGTTTTGCCTGACCCAGGTCGTGCTGATACAACAACATTTTGCTCGGCACAGAGTTGCACAACCTTGAGTTGCTCAGGTGATGGGATAAATGGCTTCTTTACTTGTTGCCGAAAGAGGCCGCGGCTGGATGTGTAGAAGAGAGAGGAGTTATAGATGCCGGGGGCTTGGAGCTAAGTGTTGTCAATAACTGTGTTAGCACTGCCTCGTCTTGGGGATTTCTGTTACATACCGTCGGCTTAAATGGCAATGGACGCGCTCCTATGGCTAAGCTCCGAGTCAAAGATGATAGAATAGCCATCTTAACTCGAACTCGTTAAGCCCAATAGAAATGCAAATGGCTCACGGGGTTGTCTAGAAACTTCGTGCAATTTTTTTGACTCAGAACATCTGCCGGACTCTGACAGGCTAGATAGACTGAAAACAATACTTTCAATTTCCGAATTTATTTGGCAGTTAAATCATTGTTGGGACGCAAACGAAACGAAGTGAATGTGGTTTGTTCCATAGATGTATTGCATGATTAATTCACCGCATATATAACATTTAGCTGTTAGGGTGAATACCATTTATCACGTATATTATATCCAATAGTAATATTTAATTAAATTGATACTCAGCATCACAATTAATTATATTGAGACCCCAAACGACCATTGTTTTAGTGAATTGCAACCTCAAAGAGATGTTTCTCTCATCACCCTACATTCTAGTCTACAGAGCTTGTTGAGACAACTTGCTGCGATTTTTAGAATGGCAGCAAAATAAACGGCAATCTCCGTCTTTATTATAAAATCTAAAAATACAACTCAGAGTAGATATAGTAAATGCTCCTAGTCATTCAGCTATTTCGGTGAATCGTAAAATAAATATGAGTTATTATAGTGTTTCCCATAAAGAAAAAATGCAATTGTTAAATTGTGGAAAGGAACAGTGTGAATATGTTTTGGTGCTCTAGGATTATCTCAAACAAATCAATTCACAAGGAGAAACCCCACCCACATCCGCAGTACGCATACACAAAGCATCCGTGAATCAAACAATCATCACCTCTAATAGGTACTCTTCTTTAGCCTGTTAACAGCGTAGTCGAATAGTATTCACCGAGAAAATATCTCCGATTGATGCGGAGCGGAGTCCCCATCTCGCATCATGGACCGTCAGTGCGGAATGGGAGTGGGCGGCTGGGGTGAAAATCCGGGTTTATCACCTAGAGCAAGAGATATGATTAGATTTCCGACAGATAAAGTATATACGAGATTCTAGCGCCATTAATAATGCGTATACTTGTTCATCCGCTCATGTGCGGGTAAGATTCGAAAACGCGGAGTTCCGCACCCTAGAGTTGCGCTCGACAAATCTCTCTATAGTTTTACTTTGTGGTCTGTGGGGATACATGACATCAATATAGCTGCTTATTGATACATTTTATACTTTGTAGACATGTAACTTGCAAATTTATGGGGTTGTTAGATAACCATTTATCTCCTCTCCGCCTCTCCGCAGAAGACATCCAAGCCTTTAAAGCCTCTTCATATGTATATATGGCTTCATCAGTCTTCGTCTATGTCATTTAAATTCGCGTTCATCTTACACATTCAATTTCTTATACTGCACTCCCGCATCTGACACCAACGAAAGATATTATTACCTCTGGACTTACGCACCATGGTATCATCCGAGACAAAGACTATGCTGGCGGTATATGCGGCCAACGGTGATGCTGAAAATCCTCTAGCTGGTCTTAAAGTTGGCCAGGTGCCCTTACCTAAGGTTCCAGAGGGTTGGCTACGCGTCAAAGTCGAAGCTGCTACAGTCAACTGGCACGACGTTTTCACCCTGAAGGGCATTGGCCATCACTCTCTCACTTTCCCGATTGTTCTAGGCTGCGAGGGTGTTGGAACTCTTGAAGATGGATCACGAGTCATCCTTTACCCCGTCATGATCTCGCCCGGCTATATTGGCGACGAGACAAAGGATGAAAAGCGTAACGTCTTTTCGGAACTTGTAGATGGAACCCTGGCGGAATATGTGGCTGTCCCGCCGGCCAACATATTGCCTCTACCTAAGGAAATCGACTCAGTGTCGGGAGCTGTGCTTGGAATTGCTTGGCTTACCGCCTATCGGATGCTCTTCACCAAGTCTGGCCTGCGCCCTGGCCAGACTATGCTTGTGCAGGGCAGCTCAGGCGGTGTTACCACGGCTCTCATTCAGCTTGGTGTGGCTGCGGGCATGCGCGTATGGACCACAGGCCGTTCTGCTGAGAAGAGGAAGCTGGCAGAGTCTCTCGGCGCTGAGAGAACATTCGAGGCTGGAGAGAAGCTTCCCACACTAGTCGACGCTGTCTTCGATACCAGCGGCACTGCGACCTGGAAGCATACAGTTGCCTCTGTGAAGACAGGGGGTACAATTGTGGTTTGCGGTGGCCACAGCGGCTTTGAACTGCCTACAGATGCATTCCGCCTATTAGTTGATCAGCTTAGCATCCACGGAGTTTATGCAGGAACTCTGGATGAATTCAGAGATCTCATTTCGTTTGTGGCGGCGAAGAAAATAAAGCCTTGTGTCGGAAATGTTCTTCCGCTTTCTGAGGCTGTAGAAGCAGTCAAGTCAATTCACGAAGGCAGGACTCAGGGCAAGGTGGTTTTAACAGTTGGTGATGTCGCCGTATGATTGACCACCCAATACACAGAGATACGGCCTATCAAGAGGGTATGGCAGCCGAGTTAGCGGGCAGATATACTAGATGATTGAGCAGTGGAAATGTAAGGGACCAATAGATGGGTAGATTATACGGAGCAGCTACCTATATAACAAAAATTTACTTATCAACCTCTCGTCCTATAATCACATTTATCTCTTAACTCGGGTGACAAATTTTTAGTGGTATGTTTAACTACAAACACTAATTCGTATAGTGTTATTTCAGGGTTAGTTTTCTTCGAATCTCCAGACAATAGCTGTTTTTTGGAGGTTGTATTTACAATCAGGGTGAGAGGGTTCAAAACACCAAAGTCCAATGCGCGCAACGAGGGCCAAACATATAGGTAGTTCAAACACCACGCAACAACTGGCTCCAAGATAACAAATCCATTTAATTCAATTCAACCAGTAAAGAACTGTTGCATTATTCCGTCAAGCTATAAAAGCCAGCAACAGTGCTCGAAAATGGATTGCGCATTCCGACGTTAGTTTTCCATATCTCCTCGTCTTACATGTCAGATATTAGGCATTTCTTGGGCTCACCACCTTTAGCCCATCTGAGCCTCGAGAATCTTACTGAATCCATGCATGTCTTTGCCTCATTTTAGGCATCTCTTTAAGCTCTAGGCATCTTTTTGTGTTCTAGGTATCAGCATCTTATTTAAACCTACACCAACGCTGTCTAAAAGTCACTTCCCCAGACACCAAATTCGGACTAATTCACCATTAGGCCAAAATTCGCAGAGAATGCCTGTCACAACGAGACCTTCCCCTTCCAAGGTGGGGAAGAATCAAGACCGAGAGATTGTGTTCAATTCAGATGATAGGACAGCTTTCAATACTGTTACTTCCTCCTGTCATAGCCCTTATGCGAAGGACTCACGTCGACCCCCAGTCAGATCGAGTACTGGGAGAATTCGCAGTACCGGTTTTGGCGATTTCCCAATTATCGCTTCCTCCGTCGATCCTAAGAGTACAACCGAGAACATTGTATCCGTATACGGCAACAATGGATTTGTTGATGGGCTCATCCGCGCTTTCAATCAGGATCTCCACCTAGTTATCCGACCTGACGATGTCTGGCAGGCTATCCTTTCGCAGTTTAGCCTTTTTGTCAACGGGAACGCCGAACGCCTGCGACACATGTTCGTCGCTCACGAGGGAAAGCGGGAGCTGACTGTCGAACTCATGAGCCTCTCCCAACTCGCCTTTAGCAAGGTAGCTCAGGAATTTGCCTCTGTTATTCAGGAGAACGTTGTCGATGCAGAGCTGCGTGAGTGGATGATACCAGACTTTTCCACTACAACAAGCCATGACAAGGCTGTGGCAGCGTTCGGCATGATGGGCGCAATGCAACAATACTTCAGCTACAAAATCATGATTGGATGCGGATTACCTAGTGTAACACTGCTGGGAACCCGACACGACTGGGAGATGCTTGCAAGCCGGGTCAGCAAGTTAGACAAGTACGGCGAAGAGTGCAAACGCTGGGCCAGTCTTCTAAAGCCCATCATGAATTATATGCTAAGAACCTTTGACGAGCCGGACTCGCAGGAGGTTAAGGATTTCTGGCTCCGCGTCGCGTATGAGGCTGGCAGTGCAGGTTCTGCTGGGAGCACCCTCACGCTGTCGGGCTGGATCACAGCCTTTGCATATTTTAAGGAGGATGGGGCGGTCACAATGAATTTGAAAGAAGAGGACTTTTGGGATTGTCAAGAAGTGGACCGCAGACGACTAATACTAGACGGAGTGTCGTATCCGTTGATAAGGCCAGGAGACATTCCGAGAGGTCTCGTTGTGCTCCCTGTGACAATAGTTGACTCGAATATGCACAAGTTCGCCACGGTGGTATCTGGTACTATTGGTATGTCCATCTCGGAGAATGGGACAACATCCCAACCAGTTTCGGCATGGTGGATTGTGCAAGAATTCGAAGAGCCGATTTAATTTTGCCAACCAAAGCGCTGGTTAGTCCTTAACGGGCTCAACCACCGAAGGAAGCTAACGTCTATTTGAGTTCGATTCATATCTTGGATAATAACAAGAAGACGGAAAGTAAAGATTTTCGTGACGGATACCTTTACGGCTGAAGCCGTTGACAGTTAGGATATATTTATCGGGCAATACATGACCAATTGGGCAGCTATTACGTAGACAAAAATAAGCTAGTTGAATTGATTGTCTTAGTAATGTGCAAGTTTCCTTATTGTAAGTAGTAGCAGGGTTTGATGACAAGTTGATGCAATTTAGCATATTTAATCTTCTCCCTGCGCATCCCTTTCCCCCAGCTCACCGGAGCTCGACTCTCTTTCTAATTATGCGCCCCGACGACTGTCGCTTATTTCGAGCATATACAAGTACTACCATTTACCACTAAGAGATTTAAAAGCAATGAGAATAATTAATTCAGATAGAAGGCAGCATGGAGTTGCATCAAATGTGTTCGTCCAGTAGCTTTGTTGTGGGCGGTTACCCTAGAAATGAATACGATGTCTCTGTCTTGCTCGTCACAACCAGGTGCTACGGCTATTCCATAGCTCGGATGAAAATCCACTTCGCAATTTACTCGGGTAGTGACACTTTTGGTGCTTCTGATCATGTTTTACTTGAGGTTTCCTGGCTAAGTCATCAAAGTATATTAGCAAAGCATTAACAAAGTGAAGGGTGGGCTTGTGCTCCGATTGGCGCGTCTAGCGTTTGCCAAGAGCTGTGTTGATCTATGCATAAACTGCGAATCTCATATCAAATAGGGAAATGAAAGCCCGAATACCCACGTAGCTACCGTTGTTACTGAAGATGACGACGCAGGCCCGTTCCGAAGCCCGTTGTGGAAAGCCCGGTGGCTTGGCCGATGATCCAGCCAAAACCATGCTTCATTTAGGTCGCGGGCTCATGTATGCGGTGTTCCCACAACGGCCTATAACATGGTCTGGACCTAAGAGTATAAGGGCGACTCGGAGCCTTGTAGAACTTAATACTCGTCCGTTGAGCCCGGATATTAGGGCGGCAGCTGTTATCCTAGTAGTCATCGCGCCCCGTGCTATGTGGAGTATGCATGGGAACATGGGGATTTGCTTGTTTTTGGGACCCCCTGTTATGGGTCGTGTTCCAGTCTGTTCCATGGACTGGTTCGAACACGACGCAGGCGCCTCTCTGGCTCGCTTAGCGCTGCGTCCCATACTTGCGACAGCAACCCTGGTAGTTGTGGAATCCCTATCAACTACTCCGTACTAGGTCATGAAGAAATGCTCAACTTGGGCACGTGGCACTGCTGGGGTTATCGTGAGGGCAGGCATGCTTGATATAGACTGAGCTTCGACCTTGGAGATATTCAGAAGCTAATAGTACGTAAGTTTAAATGGGTTAAGCCCAGAGCAATGCACTTTGCATGGAAACACGTAACCGGTAGAAAATCCAGAACGATTGTTGAGTCTAATATACAACTCCTACGGAGTACGGACCCACAAATCCGTCTTCCTTTCCTTGCGAGCGGTATCAAGTCGGAGCTGCGGTCTCCCGGCGCTGTCACAAATGAGTTGATATCTAATCAGATTAAAGTTGGTCAACGATTTTCCTTTGCTAAACTTAATAAACAGCGTCAACCGAGGCTATAGGTGCTGCGGCCATTATTGTCGCGCCTCTGTATGAAACGTCTGCGAATCCCTACCTTCGCCCCACCAGAAACGGTAACCGTTTCAGCTCTCCCGTCAGACCTGCGACAGGAACATGAGAAGCAAGGAGAATACTCTACTGTATATCAGACATTTGCTTACATAGTGCCCCCTGTATTTTATCTATTCGTCTTGGCCGGATTTCCAGATGGAGCGTTTAACCTTCCTTCCGTGTTTATGAAACGAGCGATACAGCGGCTACGGAAACGTCGCTTATAGGAGTATTGGGGTAGATATTCGGAAGCTCGAGGAAGCCGGGGCCGAGATATTTGGTATATATTGTCCAATTAGTCGATCGATAGAACAGTCTCTGCACCGTTGTCAACTCTTGTCTTCTTTTGTTTCGTTTCATTCTTCTTCTTATCCAGCAGGCTGGTCCGTTCTTTTAGAGTTTGAAACTCTTTTATTATTGTATTCTTTATTCGTTCTTATCTGAAAGTCTCTTTTGTTTTGAAAATTCCAATCACCCTCCTTACTCAATCACCATGAAGTTTCAAAGCACCTCTATCGCCACAGCTCTGCTGTTTGGTCAGACTTTCGCTTTTCCTCTACCTCCTACCAACTTGGTTCGCCGGGAGGTTCCCCAGGAGCATTCTCACGATCTTTTCCTCACCATTACGAATGAAGCTCTGAAAAAGAACAACCCCAAGGGCATCACAGATGCCGTCTTTGGCCTGCTTGGTAATGCAGCCGCTGCAGGTGGTGCTGGAAGTGTAACAAACTTGGACTGCCTCAAACAGGAGACAGCTGATCAGGCTTTCACCAACGGCAAGGCTGCTAAAGATCTTCGACTCATGGCTGGAGCATTGGTGTATCAGGCCTTGGAGAGAAATACCGGCAAAGTCGGACTTGCAAGTGTTACTTGCACTGAACAAGCTGTGAACCCAGAAATCCAGGCCGTAAAGCCTCACCAAGACCCGGCGTCTGCCAATGCTGCTTCCATCAACAAAGGAATTACTCTTGAGTTGGCGAAGCAGCTCAAGAGCATTGGAGCAGATCCCAATCTCGCCCTCCTCAGCGGCACCTTTGCCCCGGGTGATGTATGTTCATATTCTCTCGGTTACATATGTCGAATTACTGATGACTAACAAATTCATAGCTCAATGATGCCACAGCCAAGGGCAATACTTGCGACGATCCCGACCCCCAGCTTGGATGTATCTTCACGACGGGCAAGCTTGTTCTTGACGCTAGCCAGGACGAAGTCGCCTCGGCTGCTGCCGCTGTGTCTCAGACGTTTACCGGTACTGGCGGTATTCAGGCCACGGACTTGGTCGACTTGAGCAAGTTCTCCACGGCAAATGTTCAAGGAGGCGCCACTGCTCCAACTCCTAGCAGCAATGTTGCGGTGACATCTCAGCCAGCTGCCCAAGCAACTTCCACACCAGCTGCTGCCCCTTCTCAGACTCAAGCCTCTAGCGGTAGTGAGCCTTCTGCTGCTAGCGGAAACAATGTCCAGACCTTCACCGGCACACTCGGCGGCCCTCCTCCCCCTGTCATTTCGGGCACTGGAAACCGACCATTTTCCGTTAATGGAAATACCTTTGTCAACGCCGGAGCCGCTCTTGGACGATCCTGCGATATCCAGCACAACGCCTGTGCCGATGCTGCCAACTCTGGTAAGCTCTCCGGAGGAGTAGGTCAGTGTGATGACCAGAACAACCAGTGTAAAGCGGCCGCTACATCTGGAGCTTCCAACAGCAATGCCGGAAACAACAACAGCAACGCTAGCAACAGTGGAGCAAACAATGCTAGCAGTGGTAGCAACGCCGGTAACGGTAACGCTGGCAATGCAAGTGCAGGAAGCAATGCTACGGGTAATTTCGGCTCATGCTCCAACCCCAGCATCAAGTTCGCCAACGGGCTTGATGGCCGCACAGAGCCTGCCTTTGCGCCGGTCAATGAAGCAGATTTCAACCATGGCTCGGCTTTGAACATCAAGGTCATTGCCGACTTCATCTGCGATCGACTAAACTCTAGCTGCAAGGCCGGTGCTGCAGTGGTTTCTACGTGCCAAAGTGCTTCTGCTGCTGCGTCTCAACTGACGGGCCAGGCTGCAGCAGATGCCTTCAACAAGGCTCTGGGAGTTTCTGCCAATTAAGGGAGCTTTGTTGGGGGTCAATGTATGATACGAGAAGAATATTGGTGAGTGGGTATGGGTTTATGTTAGTAGCTCAGGTGAAGCTATTTTGGGCTATAAATTAGTACACTGGGTACACAGATGAGCGCGAAAATAAAACTAAGAGAGACTTTTTTGTTAAAAAAAAAAAAGGCCCAGACCAAATTGTTCGTGTGAAATTGTGTCCGTTAATAACAAGCGACAAATTTTTGTGGCTTATCAAGTCCCCTCTGTGTAGTAAGACAGGGAGAACTTGGCTGATATCTTCCAAGGCCTAGCTACATATTATTAAGTATATAATTTACAGTGATACCTCACTGTTACTATTCATGCTTCGTGAACTACCCACATGCACTCCCTTCGAAGCCTCTTCCTCATGCATTTTAACCAATCTTGACTCATCCTCATCGCTATATCGTACCTCATACATCGTGTTGAGTTCAATCCCGCGATGCTCCGGGCGGTTCTGGGATTTCACAGCCGAAACCGACGTCTGTGCTCGACTATTACCCATGTGATCTGATTTATTGACGTAGTTGTCCGGATAGTTCTGATAGCCACTGTTCTTATGTGAAGAGCCACCCAGCTGGGGAAACAGGCGGATCAAAAAGAGACGGAGGGATGGCAGACATGTGCAAACAATGCCGGTATTAATCTCAATAGTGGACCAGATAGAGACGTCAACCTGGTCAAAGGTGGGATTCGAGGAACTGCCCAGGTTCACAAGGAACTGGAGTCGGACGATGCTGACAACCGTAACACTTGGGCTATGTTAGTCAAGAGCTTGTTGCCACAGCATGGGTACACTTACAATGTACCAACGAGGAGCATCACAGCGACGCCAACCTTCTTCTTCCAGTGGAGGTTGAGATTGCGGATCTGCCACATTGGGATTGCGATCATCCATATATCCAATGCAATACTAATCGCGGCGTTTGCCCATCCGATAGCGTTACTGTTGAGACTGTATCTCTGTTAGCCTTTACCTTGGTCTATATGCTCGGAGGGAGGCCTAAATGCAGGTGAGAAAGTGGTGGATGAACTTGTACATACCATTTGCCTTTGTGCTGACCGTCCCAGCCTGTCCAGAAAAAGCTAATCGGGTGACACTGGAAAACCGCGAGAAGCATAAACGCAACTCCGAATACACCGTTAATGAGAACGGTACCCCATAGTAGTTTTCGGGCTTTGCCTGGGAAGATGTTGAGATAGAAAAACAACAATGTCATCTTCAGAAGCATGACCTGGGCAAAGTATAAAATCTCGAGGACGTAAAAGTATACTCCGAAACGAGTGATCATATCGAACGGCAGCGTCCAGATATCTTTGCCTTCTCCATTTCCTCCCGTGCCCCGGACGTTCATTACTGAAGAAGGGATACCACAAAAGAGCGTTACGATGATGGCATAGTCGTCCAGAGCGAAGGCCATCCTCATGAAAAGCTTGGAGCCGATACGTAGGAGGACAACCACGCCGGAGACGACACCGAGCACGATGGTAACATTGGCGAAGTCGGGAGTCCTGTTACGGACAGGGACGCCGCAGAGTGTATCTGTCGCATTTCTGGTAGCTAACAAGAAGAGTTAGACAAGGCATCACCGTTGGGGTGTTTTGGAGGATGAGCTGTTGGTAGAGAACTTACTTAAGGCCTCTCGAACCGTGCAGGTGCCTGCAATGCAGATTGCCGAGGTTTCTTGAATAGTCGAGCTTTCGCAGGTACACTTCACATCAGTTGGACTGCAAGTGGAATTTGCAACGGCAGATGCAAGGCATTTTTGCTGATCATCTTTAGTTCGAGCTCGGATCACGTCTGAAGGAGGAAAGAAAAAAAAATGGATAGCATACCGCACAGGCCGGCAACACCGAAAGGGGGTTATCAGCGGGGGAACTGTCTGCGAGTACCAAGGCAAACGTTCCCAGGAACGCCAGCAAGAGATGAAATAGCAACTTCATTGTCTTTACTGGTCTCCGAGGTCGATTTCCAGGATCAAAGGAATCGTTTTCGGGACGGGAAGGTGGGAGATATCAATCATCACATAAGGGCAAGCATTTGAGGGTTGACCAGCACTCGCCTTGTACCTGCTTTAACTGGGCATTTTCTACAAGTAGATTATGGGCACGCCCCTTTATTTCAAGATGGGGGACAGCATACTAGTTTGTTATTGCGGGCATTCCAAAGGTACTACACTGTAGAAAAGGGTAAAGAACCCAGTATAATTAATACGAAGCTGTGGCGTTGATGAGTTAAGGGACGGGCCTAATTCGCACTTTGAGTAACCGCGCTGCACTAGCATCCATCTCCTACGGCCCTTAGGTTCTAGAATATGGCTGACTTGGAAAAATACAGTGCTGTATTTTGTGAGCTAGAGGTGTCGCTGACTCGTGAATATGACGGCTCTTTAAGCCGAACAGTCTTGCTGACGTTGCATTGCATTAGCCCTGTCTGCTGAATCGGTTTCTGTTTGGGGGATGCGACGGGCAACGGCCGAAGGCTGGTTCATCGGGGAAAAACCTGGTGGGAAGAATCCCCACCTTATGCAGGGGCCCCTGACAGGAAGACTGCAAAGAAAAAAAAAATTCAGGAAAAAAACCAGGGAACTGGGATGCACTAAAGCACGTCTCTAAGCCTATGTTGGCGTCCGCTTAAGATGGGCTGTAGACCTAGAGGCTTCGGTTGCCTCTGCGCTGAGCTAAAGAGAAACTAAACCCGTGGTAAGACGCAGGAAGATTCCCCGTGAAACCATGGGTGGAGACTCGCAATCTTCAGCGGGGGAACAGAATACCGTTGACTGCATGAGCTGAACCCCTTGAAGAAGCTGGGATGTTTAGTTCAGCTTCGGATAGCTACGCGAACATACTGTAAAAGGGAGTTGCCGTATGCAGTTACCTGGAACAAATTTGAAGCACCAAAGGCGCGGTTCAGCAGGTACATGTGATGCCAGCTAAGTACAAATATGGTGACAAAGTCCGGGGTTGAGCTATCGATTGGCTGCATGCTTAGAACAAGTTCCTCGCGGTAGTTGCAGAGCAGGGCGTTAGACTACGAGTCCAGAGAGCACACGAAATATTAGTTTCGGGTAATAACCGGACAGAACGGCGCACATTCTTACCCAGTTCTCCGTACTCGTACTATAAACAGAAATGGAATGTACTTGTACGAGTAGTGTTGTAGAACGTTGAGCTGCGCTGTGTGGAGGTCCCACATCTTGGCAGCCCTCTTCATTACCAACCTCTCTAATCTCTAATGCATACTCCGCAAAACCAACTACCGTAATAACTACTAAGGTAATTCTCTGAGAAAGCCGAATTCATAGGCCGGCAATTCGTCTCACTTCCGTAATAGGGTATATTATAAATATCCGATAATGCCTTGGGTACGCAGTAGGCAACATAACTACTCGTAATTGCCCCGACCGGCCAACGGTGGGGGTGCTGCAGTTTCGAAGGGATTGGATCCAGTAAACCATTACTCGTATGTGGTTCCATGTAGGAGGCTCTTTGTAAATAAAATCCCCCCATCGAAGCAATCGTTGGCGATTTTGCAAATACTATGTATCTGTGCCTCGAGGACCGATTGTATTCTTCTTCTTCTCTTCTCTTCCCTGCCCCTCTCTGGTTTCTTCTGAGCGCTGGATTAAGGCGAGCTCCTGCGTCGTATTATAGTAGCGACTAGTCTGGACCGTTAAAGATCCAGGCACCTTAGATTACCTGGTATGTAATTTCGGTCAAGAGCGTCACTCATCTCTCCTTGTCAATGCCCAGTCAGCCTGAGAGATACAAGCGAGACAATTGATGGTTTGTGTCCAAACTTTCTATCTTCCTACAATGCCCTTCTGTAGATCCTTGGACTCGAGCAGAAGGGGCTGGAATCCATCATGGACTCTATGATCGGAGCTGTCTCCGCTGGCTTCCGAAGCTTCCTTCTCCCGTCAGCTAGGCTCCTTATCAAGCGTCAACAAGACGCCACCAGAAAAAAAATTTCAGACTAACCGGGCCGCTGTGGCTGTAACGGCCAAGAGCGCTCCCGTAAACCGGATTTTCAGGCCCGGCCGCTCTGACGGATCATCAGACTGAAAAGCTCTTACTGCTACCAATGCTACTGTACTGCTAAACTCCCTACTAACCCCGGATCTTCATACACATAGAAAGGGGTCCGCAAAAGATTGACGCTATGGCAACACGGTCCATGATCTTCCCTCGTATGGATTTTTCCCTATCATACTGCGTGATAAATCCCTCTCCGATCGTCGGTCAAGTCGTCGGTCAAGTCCATCCTACGCGTGAAGAGAAAAAAGAAAATACTTGTCGGCTCTAGATCCGTTGACAATCGATGTGGACCTAGTTCGTACTTCCGCTCCACGACCAGTCGTCCTGAGCCAGCCTATTGGTAGCAATGCCTTACGCTCCTTGCTCTCTCATAGGTTGATCGCGCGGTCTTTATGCCCACCTTATTACATAGTAGTTCCCAACGGTGACTGCTCTTAGTTCATCATAAGCATCTGCTGCCGGCTAGATAGCCGTATCCTGGGTGATGGGATTGTCTAAGTGTGCCGCCGCACCCGGGATTGGGCTTTGAAAGCGAAAGGACAGACGAGTGGAAATGGACTTTGCTCATTGCGAGCCAGTCTACCAGGAATGTGCACCAGGCTGTAGCTCGTTGTTGCTATGCAAACCACCCATTCTCCAGAGACCTGAGGCGGTTTCGAAAGCAGGTTAATCACAGCCGTTGATGGACCATACTGTTTCCAACCATCTTCAGTAGACTAGCTAACAAGAATGGACATACTCCTGTACAGTAACTGGGCTGAGAAATTTGTCAAAGTCTCCGGAGCATTCTGTCCTTCGATAAAAACACAGAATCAAAACCGATGTTAGATGTCCACCTCTTCGAGGCCCTTCGTTCGGGGTGACGTGCCCTTTATATACTTTTTTTGATGCCAAGCTCCTGCTGATCAAACACCTAATCTAGCCTATGTCCAAGGAGATATTAATTAAGAAGGCAGCATCTCCAGGGCCTCCTCGTGGGATGATTGGATTAGGTTCGCTGATCCAGACCGTAATTGTAATTTTGCCACGTTTTTGATGGTTGACAACCACGTGGTGATGTCGAGTCATTCGAAGAGGCTATACAGGTGATGCTGGCGAGGTGGATCTGCATAAAATAAGACGGGCTGTTTTCCCATACAAAAACCACCCTGTTCTGCTTATCCAATGCTGTTTGCAGTAACTTATCCGCCATACCAGCCAGCAAACAACCCCTGTCGCCACGATTAGCGAGTGGATTTGTTTTTTATGGAGAAACTGCAATCTCCGCTGATTCATCCGCTCTGTTGGGAAGAACCATTCCAAGATTGCAAAATGCACGAAGGCTACCCCACACAGCAGCACAGATATGGCGATGTCGTCTCCCGGCGGCGGGCTCAGTTTGAACGAACATAAGTCGAACGTTATCGAAATTCATGCCTCGGCTGGGTGGAGTTCATGGCATGGAATGGAAGTTTGCCATCGCATTCACCGACTCTTAGAACGTGGTGGCTTACCGGGGTTCTTCGGACATACTCCTAATCGTAGTAAACTGACCTGAGACCGGATCCGTGTTTAGTCCATCTTAGGCCAAGCCCGATCTACGATAATTGCATGTCGCCCCCCCAGGGGGTTTTGCCTCGACTGGAAACCACGGTGACATCGACTCGTTTCTGAGTCCTCATTTGCCTCTCTGAACATGACGGAGCAACATCCTCTCTTGGCATTCTGCTTCCTCGGTTCGTGACATCTCTAAACATAGGAAGTTTTCAATAGTCCAACTGTTGGATCCCACACAATGGAGCCAGTTTATGCCCTAAGTTCTTCTCGAGTCCTTCGGAGGCAGCGACGTCACGCTCGCTTGCTGTGCGATCCATGACTGTCTCCAATCTCCGTGTCTCCAACGTCTCCATAATTGGTAATACGACGCTGTCCGCCAGGCGATAAATATGGATCTGTTGCAAGAATATGTATACTGTCCATCGCGACACAATCTTGGTGTTTCTCAAGCTTCACCAGTTCTTCATCTGCTTTAGGGAACAGAAAGATGAAGTCCTTTTTCAATGTAGCGGCCACTGCCGCGCTGCTGGCGTGCGCACGCGCAGACAATTCTACCGTTGCTATGATGGACGCGACTGCTGCTCGCCCGCCTCCTCCGCCTCCATGTCGCTACCTTCCTGGCGATGCTAACTGGCCCAGCTCTGCCGCATGGGCGTCTCTGAACTCATCCGTCCATGGCCGACTTATTGCGACCGTTCCTATCGGAACACCGTGCCACGATCCCAAATACAACCAGGCCGTTTGTGCGCAATTGCAATCCAATTGGGAACTGCCGCAAACACAGTTCGTTGGTCCACCCTCTTCAACAACGCCTGTCTGACACGATGTGATAGCTATACGACGTCGTCGTCATTGATGCAGCCCTTCTTCGCCAACCAGAGCTGCGATCCCTTCACTCCCGAGTCTAAGAAGTGCGTTCTGGGCAACTACGTCAGCTACGCTGTCAACGTCACTTGTGACGCTGATGTCCAGGCCGCCCTGGCTTTCGCAACCAAGTACAACATCCGCGTGGTTGTGCGCAACACTGGCCATGAGTATGCCGACACTTATTTGTAACTTCTTATCAGAAACATAAGCTGATTGCTTTTCTTTCTTTAGCTTCTTTGGTCGTTCTACCGGTGCTGGCGCTCTCGGCATCTGGACCCATAACCTGAAGAACATCAGCATCTCGAACTACTCCAGCAAGAACTACACCGGCCCTGCTATGAAGGTAGGCGCTGGTGTCCAAGGCTACGAAATGCTCCAGGCTGCTCACAGCCATGGCTACGTTGCGGTGTCTGGCGAGTGCCCAACCGTTGGCGTCGCTGGAGGCTACACGCAGGGTGGCGGTCACTCTGCTCTGAGCACCAGCTTTGGTATGGGCGCGGATCAGACACTGGAATTCGAGGTTGTCACTGCGGCTGGCAACATCCTTACTGCTTCTCCGTCCCAGAACAGCGACTTGTACTGGGCTCTGAGTGGAGGCGGCTCCGGATACGGTGTCGTTACGTCTATGACTGTCAAGGTTCATCCCGGAGCTACCATCGGCGGTGCTACAGTAACCATCGCAGCCGCCACCACCACACAGGCTAACTTCAACAAGCTTGTGTCTGGATTCCATGCCCTGCTGCCTGCCATGATTGACAAGGGCGCCATGGTGATTTACCTTGTCAACAACGAGATCTTCATGCTCAACCCAGTTACCGTCTACAACTCCACAGCCGACTACGTCCAGAACACTGTCCTGGCGGATTTCAATGCCCTGCTCAGCCAGCTTGGAATTACTCCCGTGGCCTCCCAGTACACCGAGCTTTCATACTATGACCACTACAACACCTACATGGGCCCGCTTCCCAACGGAAACCTTGCTGTCGGAGACTACAACTACGGCAGCAGATTGATCCCCCGCAGCGTCCTCGAGAACAACAACGATGCTTTCCAGGCTGTCCTGCAAAACCTTACCGCACACGGCGTTCTGGCTGTTGGCAGTTCCGCAAACTACGGTGTCCAGCCCCACGCCAACAACGCAGTTAACCCTGTCTGGCGAACCACAACGGTGCACCTGCAGATTGGCACTCCTTGGAACAACACCGCGCCGTGGTCACAGATGATTGCGGACCAGAAGACTATTACCAATGAGTATGTCCCGCAGCTTACTGCTGTGACACCTGGTAGCGGTGCGTACATGAACGAGGGTGATTTCCAGCAGCCCAACTGGCAGCAGACATTCTTCGGCACCAACTACAACACTCTTCTTTCTATCAAGAAGAAGTATGACCCTAACTCTCTCTTTTATGGCCTCCGCCTTGTGGGCAGCGAAGCCTGGACTGTCGGCAACGACGGAAGAATGTGCCGTTCCTAAATACATAGATTTTACTGTCACCTTGAGTGGGCGGAGGGATATTTGAATAGATAATATATTGCTAATTGTTCTTGTTTTCAATATTCACTATGTTGGCCTTATCTCAGCGCCTTTGCCAAGATGCCTCTTATTGGAACCCTTTTCTCCTAGAGCTTTACTGATGGCTTCATCATGGGCTAGGATTGTCTAATTCTTGGCATTGTAAGACCAATCAATTAAACCTAATGACATCTTACCCTTCTTCTTCTTAATATACGATGATGGCGTCAAAACCGGCGAATTGATTGACCCGCGCTGTAGCATGCCCTTCATCGTGCGAAACCCGGCGGAAATAAATGTCAATCGTCGCTGTAGTGTCCAAGTATCGGACAAACCTGAATTGCTTTCCACTTATGCGACTGACAACCGCACCGTTACTTACTTCAAACATGGACAACTAAGAGCACTAGATTAAGACAGTTGAGCAATGATAAGGATGAGAATGATCAATACAGGTTGAAGCTACCAACTGTAGCAACGCAACCCCTCCCCTTCAAAGTAGCAATGCATAACAGGCTTTAAATAATTGAGACTGAGGCAATTATAAGATATAATCAATTGTGAAAGTCAAAATGAACACATGTACGGTTAAATCGGGCGGATAGTTTCCTTGTTCCCTTCCCCGATAGTGCTTACTTGGATGTCGTCAACGTGAATAATTTCAATATCATAGGCCTCATCTGCCATTCAAACGTCCCAAACTAGTTATAAATTTGCCCTATGCTTAACACCGTATCTGACAATAGTGACTCGTTCATGGCAACCCGTGATGATTACTTACACATATACATCCCCTGCTAGCGGCTCCCAGAGTAGACATTATTTGCAGGATGCTGACCGTTGCAGGATGTTATCAACATAACATATAGAAGGCTAGTCCCATATTCGAATTGTAGCATACATAGCAGAGACCTACCTGATAATTAACTTATCAATTCAGCATGGCGCAATCTAGTCAAACGCTCGAGAGTTTACTGTCGATAGTTACTGGGCTTACCACAACGCTCACAACCAATCTTCGAGCAAAAAACCTTTCTGAGCCATCATTTAACGAAGATGCCCCTGGATCGTTCCCTCCCGATCAAGATATCCAAGGCCCCCGTACGAAACTTGTCGAAGCGCTGATGGACATGCTGCATTTAGCCATGGGCCCGAACGAATTTTTTATGACCCAAAATATGTGGGTAGGTGCTACAAACTCGCATCTCTTATCAAGTTTATAGTACTGATATTACAGATCTTAGTTGGGTAATGAGGCCATGGCACTGGACGTCCTCAACCGTTTCAACTTCTGGGGTGCTGTTCCGATTGGAGGCTCTGCCAGCTATGCTGAAATTGCAGTTGCTACGAAATTACCCGAGGAAATAGTTCGCCGATTCCTCCGATTTGGCATGAACATTTACCTGTTTCGACAAGAGTCTCCTGGGTCCGACCGGATCATTCACACTGCTGCCTCTGCATATATGGCACGTAACCACCATATGCAATCGTTCACGAGTCATCTCCTTGAAGATGTGCGCCCTGCGACTACGGTGATGGCAGATGCATTACAAAAATGGTTGGTTGAACACCCGACGCCGAGCGAAGAGGTGGAACATGCTCCTTTTTATCTGGCGAGCTTTGACGGCAAGGTAGTATCTCGCCCGATGTGGGAATTTCTGAACGTGGATGAGAAGGAAGGCAAGCCAAAAGGCTACCGTGCTACCCGATTCGCTGAAGGGTTGCAAGATCTTGGTGGTATGGTTAATACCGAGACCTATGTGGAAACCTTTGACTGGGAGAGCCTCGGAGAGGCTACTGTTGTTGATGTATGCATTGTACACTATTCTAGCACGAGAGTTCTGATAGCTAATGCACTCACAGGTGGGCGGCTCAAGTGGTCATATCAGTGCTATGGTAGCGAAATCTCATCCAAACCTCCGCTTCACAGTTCAGGATCTCTCAGAGCTACAGCCAGCTTTCGACAGTGCCATGGCATCGACGCCTGAGCTTGCAAGTAGCATATCATTTCAGGTACATGACTTCTTTACGCCACAGCCTCTTTCCGCAAGCGCATATATCTTTCGCAATATCTTTCATGACTGGCCGGACAAATATGTTGTGAAAATTCTTCAGCAGCTAGTTCCAGCTTTGACACCAGGGGCTCACGTCGTGCTATTCGATATATTATGCTTCCGGACTACGACAAAGATCAGCAACGACCACCGTTACCCGTAAGAAAGATGCAGAGCGCTTTTGACATGCAGATGTTAGTCCTTTTCAATGCCAAGGAACGTACAGCAGAGGATTGGGCTACCGTATTCAAGATGGCAGACGATCGGTTTCAGGTGAATGCCGTAAAGGTAATCCCAGGTGCTAGTGTAGGGCTTATCGACGTTATGTTTGATGGGGAAAAGGAGGATAAAGAGTAACTTGACGCAAAGCATAGTTTGCGGGTTTAAAGACGAAAGAGTACATATATGATCGATGTTCTATTAAAAGATAAAACTAGTGATTTGTTGTATTTAGAATACTATTTGAGCTACAAGCTGGGCAAAGAGTGTTCCTCGACTTCTTTTCATTAAACAGAGAATACCGAAATCGGAGTATTTCTCAGCCGGTGGTGGGGATTTCGAACGGAATCCAAGTGAATGGCCTCGGATATGATACAAGTTAATTCATGATGAGCCGAGATACTTTGCCGTTCCATTCCGTAGAACCTCATTGAATGTAGTCATATCAACTCATTGCCCTAAGCTCTTTACGGATCCGACTATATATTGCCACTTTCGGATGATGGCACATGTAGCGTACAAACTAGGCATCGGCCCGGGATCGCCAAGGTTGTAGCTAATGTAGATTCGCGCATGCCAAGCAGCCGAGGAATCTAGAGCATTATCACACCATTTATTCGGAGATCCAAGTCACTACATGCCTTGGCACGCTGATTGCCCCATTTGTGCTTAGCCACTTCGTGGATAACCATGGGGTAGAGAAATACACGTATGAATCGCGATTAGAATTCGTGGGGTGCTTGTAGAAAGAACATTGGAACTTTTGATCATTACACGTATATTTTGGCAGGCAAGTTACATAAGAGCCCAGCCTAGGCTACATAAAAGTATTAGGCGTATTATCGGATTAGTATTCATGTGAAATTCAACATATCGACAAAGCTGAAAATGGATGCCTCAGCTGTAAGAGCATCAATAAAATCTGCCTTGGTGGCATTGGCACCGAAAAGCTCCAGCTGAAGAGCAGTATCCGGGATAGATGTCGGAGGGGGCATTAGCTCCGCCACCGGCGTTACGGTTTGCTCGGTAAGAGAATGGTTCAAAGAAATGCTGGCGGCGTCGTCAGGGAAGAGCTGCTGTATAGCCTTGCCGAATATACCTCGGCACACGGAAGCGACTGAATAGGTCTTTTGCAGCTCTTCCAAGATCATCATGCACATGTTCAGCATGTTTAAGCCGAGCCTTCTTGAAAGAGCGTCGCCGAATTTGCAATTGAGGAGGTAGACTTGCATTGCCGGGACCAAAAGAGTAGGTCTGCCGAGTAACATTAGCTTCTCTCGGTCAAACACAGCTAGTGAATGATATCGGTTGAGAACTGGGGTGGATGTGGCAATAACTCACGTCATTGGCCCAGCATAAGAAAAGAAGTTGCCCTGGGCGAGAGAATAGACAATGTTACAAGTCTTTGATGCAGCGGACATTGCTTTCCCTTGCATTTCCTGCTGCCATTCTCTCTGGCGGTATGAAGGAAGATCTGAAGGAGCCTCTACACTACAAGGTCGGTAAAATGTGACCAAGATGGCTCTGCACTAGTCAGTAAGTGAAAACCACATTACAAGGCAAAGAGAGGAAGTGAAGCAACGAAGGAGCACTAACTGATAGTGAAGCTGCAAATGGTAGTAATAAAAGGTTGCCAGCCGAGACAGACTAGGGTCTGGGTGTTCCGGCATATTAAAGCGCATCAACTCCGCCTCGAGGGTATCAATCTGGTTGATTGTTGGTTTTGGTCGTCGCAGCTGGTAGCATGTCATGAGAGTCTTGCCCAGCAATTTCGTCATTTGTATCAGCTGAATCCAGTATTCTGCCAATCGCGGCAGGTCCCTCGGAAAATAAGCCGAAGTCACAGACTCTGGTATACCTTCCAGGTCCACAGCAATGTCCGAGACCAACGGATCAGGAGTGTCAGATTCATCAAGATTTATTCGTAGGGGCCTTCCAAGGGACACAGAAAGCCAACGGTCTCGCCAGAAGCATGTCCACCACAGTCTGCGAAATAGGGAGCGCTGCCGTTCGGTTATGGATGTGTTGTATCCGATAGCGTCAATATCGCGGTGAAGGCCGAGAACATGGCATAAGTTGATAGCTCGGCCACTCCACTGCCATGGTTGCATATGATCTTCTATGTCCGAATTCCAGAAACCTAGTAGCAGCGCTCCTTGTAGAAGAACAAGGTTATTCTTCTCACCACCGTTGTTATATATGCACTATAAATATACCATGGATCAGTTTATGGGAGAAAGAGAACGAATACATAAATAAGAAGATGACTTACAACTGCACGAGCAAACATCTCAGCCTTGAAAGCTTTCCGAGATGCAAAGCCCTCATTCTCGTATATCTCTGCGGGTATGTACTGTGGTCCGCATTCAGTCATTACACACATCACAGAGGAATTGGGCGGACAGGTGTATTTACATTGGAAGAGATAGTATAAAGACCCCATAGAAGTATAAGGTTATAATCCTGAAGTCGTTTAGAGCGGTGATATTCCAGGAGCTTGTCCGCTTCCAAGATGGGCATGATTGGGTGGACATTGTGAAAATATGCCCGAATCAGACTATCACTTGCTGTTTCTGATAAAAATGAATAGACGCCTTTGCGGCGGAGAAAGGTTTTTTCATCTTCGGTTAAGATGGTTTGCTTTGCTGCTGGCATGAGGAGATGTTTTGGTATGAGGTGATCCGTTGTGCATATATGCATAGTAGAGGTAGGCCCCCCAGTCTGCTCACCTGTATGGATATAGAGTTAAAAACGCTGCCGTATGAGATCATGACACCCCCGATGATCTTTCTGGTTGACATACCGATGTAGTATGGGACTTGGCACTCTCTTCGTGGATGTCCCAAGGCCACTTCTACCATTTCGACACCGAGCTGTTCTTCTTCAGCAGCACTTGGTTCACTGGATGCGGCTGAAACTTTAGTATCAGGCGTGTCTAATGGTGCTTGTGTATCTTGTAGTGGCGCAACGTCGCCCCCCGGACTAGAATCTGGCGATGAAGGATTGGGGCCCCGATTGCTTTGATTAGCGGTATCTCGCATTGCCGAGCTTTCAGCATAGTGACGAGGTGCCGGGAATACGGTAGTGTTCTGCCGATGGCTGTGGGACACGTGGCTTGCAATCAGTGATCCGGTTAGATGATATAAACCTCTTCCCCAATGTATCATGGGAGTTTGCCTTACCGTTTGCCCTGTCTTGGCTTTAAGATGCATTCCGTTTGGTCCTGCTCGCAGCTAATACACGGCACCCCGGTCATAGACACGCTACATCGAACCTTGCGCACCCGGCAGGTTTGACAAGCAATAGCCGAACGATAGCGGCGAGTCGACATCTTGACGTCCAGAGCCTTGGTTGTCTTTACCTCAACGTAGACCTACTATCGAAGGGGTCTTTGCCTGTTGGGAAATAGAATCGAGGAGCCTCGATGCATGGAAACCTCGGAATCTTAAACCTCGGACTTGAATCCCACGTCAGCCGAGGTTCAGCTTGTGATTGGCTGAGTGATGACATACGACCCATTTATATGATTAGAATGATGTCTCCCTGCAGACGCAAGGATTACATTATATGATGAGTAATCGAGAAATCGAATGAGTAATCTAGAAATCTGAGTAGAAGATGAGAAGTACGGAGTAATTGCTGCAAAAATGTATGCAAACTTGTAAGGGGGGTTACCAGATAACTTATGTTGAAATGGTTTGAATTTTGAGTCATGAGCGAAATATACAAAGAGCTTTCTTACGGCAGTTGTTTGCCGATTACGACCAGTAGCTAGTCTGGGCAAAGTGGGAACATACGGAGCGGCCGTACGGAATGCTCCGGAGTGCCGAGGAATCTCTGTGTAGATACAACAAGCTTATTCCAAGTAGCAAATCAGGAGGATTTTTAAAAGATTCAAAATCTAGTAATGCCATATTGAGTCATATCGAGCCGTATTTGTATACCCCAATGGCCCCGGTATCCAAAACTCCGGACCTCTCAGGTGCTTCAATTGCCCCATTTTGGCGGGTATGCATGATCGCGCTATATACTCCGTAGGAGCGAGAGCTTAATTGTAGCTATGACCCTTGTTCATACTTGCAGATCTTAAAACAAACTATTGAGACCGCTTCTAGCTGCCGAGAGTCTAGAGAGGCATCGTAAAACTCTAGACCGGCCTCAGATCATCAACGGCTGTTGATGTCCATATTCCGGGCCATAAATAGGACCCCGAAAATAGCTTGGATAAGATATATGTTTACCACCCGCTTTTGATTGGTATATGGAATGCAAAACCATGTCAAAACATCATAAGTAGTTGATACTGTATGGGTCAAGCCCTGGTCAATATCGCAGTGATGGAGACATCTAACCAATCACGAGTTTAGCTTCTCCGGTATGAGTGGCCGTCATCCGGCCCGGTCTTCGGTGCTTGGACCCATATGGGATCCCGTTACAAAATACATGATAGGAGATGTATGTTGGTTGGCCTTTGAGACGAGTGAATTCCTCTGGTCCCAACACAGAACCAGGTCACACATGACGAGCTGCCCTAACCAACCAGCCCGCACACGATTCCTTTAATGAGCAAAAGTCCCCCCCTTAAGGGCTCAAGGCTGCTCTGCGGCTTTACAAAGACAAAATCCAGGTAGTTATTGAAGTCGAAATGTCGGAGAGTCATGTGTTTGACATTACCAAGTGTGCACGGCCGAATATTCTAGCTTTGAAGCCATACACTACCCCGAGAGAGTACATAGATTCCTGGTTTGTAACGCAGAGTATTGTGCGCTGACCATTCTGCAGAGACTGCATCAATGACGATGGTGTGACTTTTCTCGATGCCAATGAGAATGCATTTGGACCATGCATTCTCGTTGGTGACGCTGCCTCGCCTGCTGATCATGGTGTAACTATTCAGCGTGCTCTGGATCCTCAGGCGCTTCAGCTTCACCGGTACCCCGACGCGTGAGTAAATCAACATAACAATCAGGTACCTAATTGACAGTATTTTAGACAACAGAGAACATTGAAGCAAAAGTTCTGTGATCTTCGCAATACTCGCCAAGATGTAACTGCACCCTTGATACCGGACAATGTCTGTCTTAGTGTGGGTTCTGATGAATCCATTGACTGCATCATCCGCGCCTTTTGCACACCAGGTAAAGACAAGATCCTCATTTGTCCTCCGACCTATGGCATGTATCAAGTCAGTGCCGATGTGAACGACGTTGGGGTTGTCCACGTGGATCTCGACAGTCACAACGGTTTCGCCTTGCGTCCAGACAAAATTAGCAAGCAACTTTCCAACGACGCATCAATAAAAATTGTTTTCGTGTGCTCCCCAGCGAACCCAACTGGTAATATCATTGCCCGATCCGATATTCTCCAGTTGTTACAGCATCCCACCTGGAACGGTGTCGTGGTTGTCGATGAGGCTTATGTCGATTTTGCGCCAAGTGTCAGCTTTGTGGGAGAAGTCAACAAATGGCCCAACCTGATTGTGACGCACACGCTTAGCAAGGCATTCGGTCTTGCTGGCGTCCGGCTCGGTATCACTTACTCCTCGGTTCAAATCTCTCAGCTGTTGAACAATTTGAGAGGCCCTTATAACATGTCCGCCCCGACAGTCGCTCTAGCCGCTGCAGCCCTTCAGCCGGAATCACAAGCAAAATTAGACGAATATCGATGCAAGATGGCTGAACAGCGAGATCGACTGAGACAAGAACTATCCCAGATCCCCGGTGTCGGTAGATTTCTTGGCGGATTCAATACTAACTTCGTCTTGGTCGAGTTCCTTAGCAAGGCCGCTGACGAGGGCGGAGTTCCCGACAACGACATTGCGAAGTCTGTGCTGAGGTTCCTGACGATACGATCAAAAGTCTTGGTTCGCTACCGTGGCGACGAGGCAGGTTGTGTTGGTAGTCTCAGGATTTCGGTGGGCAATGCAGAGCAAGTCACCAACCTTCTTGCACAAATTCGGGTGGCTCTTGACGATGCATATGATCGTAAGCAGCAGCAGCAGGAAAATTAATAACATAAGTCAAATCAGTCTCATCTGCGATGTTAATCAACATTCTGTGAACAATGGTTTTGTGCATCTGTTCTAATTTAACCCGCGGTGGGAGCTCTACGCATGATCTGTAGAAATAGTTTTCAAGCGCAATCTAACCAATTGCACAGTAAGAATAAATATAGTATTTTTAGTTACTATGTAGAAGATCGAGCAAGTTGCATCTCTGCAGCACGTATGCAAGGGAGATCCAAGTCTTGTCTTGCATGAAATTTCCGCCAACGTGCGCAGGATCCGAGCGGCATGACCACTTGTTAAAACCTGGATTCATAAACCCCTCAATTCGTGCCGCTCAACAAGATTCAGTCCTCAACGTCAAACTGGCCACAGAGCCGCTTCAATCAATATCAATCACAATGGTGACTACCGTTACCGATACGGCCTTGCTTGTGACAACTCTGAGTCCTTTGTCCATTGGCGTAGCTTTTGTTACTATCTTGGTACTGAAAGTTCTCTACGGACTGAGTACTGACCGCCTTGGACATATTCCAGGTCCTCTCATTGCTCGTCTTACTCCAATCTGGTACTGGTATCTTTGCTGGAAGGGCATCGAATGTACAGTTATTGCTGCCTTGCACAAGAAATACGGACCCGTGGTTCGCATTGCCCCGAATGAGATTGACATTTCCGACGGAGCAGCTGTCAATCCTATATATGTTGACAATGGCGGCTTTAGAAAGACTGCCGGATACAGAAACTTTGATATAAATGGCTTTCCTACCATTTTCTCGGTAGTGGATCATGCTCATAGAGCAGTTCGGGCCAAAGCTGTATCGCCATTGTTTGCGCAGCAAGCAATTACCAACAGCAAGCCGGCTATGCAGAAAATTATCGATGCAACACTAGATGAGCTACAGCACCGAAGATCTCTGGCAGCCGGCCGACCAGTCGATTTATTAAACCTCTTTCGCTGCATGTCGATTGATGCTATGACGGAACATCTGATTGGGGAGTGCTTCAACAGTGTCGGCAGCGAAAGACTCAGCGCAGCTGCTTTTGTCGATAATTTCGTTGCGGGCGGTCGCTTCTTTTATCTTCCGAGCTGGATATTTAGCCTTGCTGACAGCTGGGCTGCAAAGCTTGACGAAAACAAGGCGTCAATAACCACGAGTACAGATATTGTTCAGAAGTTCGCAGCCAAGGTTGTTGATGACAGTATTGCTCAGGGAGAGAAGGATACCTACCAAGGACGGCTGCTCAGCGCAAATATCTCGCGAGAAGAAACCATAGCACAGATAATGGACATTATGTTTGCAGGCACAGATGGGGTTGCCAGGGTTCTGGCCGTCTTCTGCTGGCATCTGATCCAGGCCCCTGACAAGTGAGTTGCCTCCAAACTTACATATATGGACACCTTGTTGAAATCTTCTATAGGTACGACAGAATTTACAACGAAATCATCCAAAACCCAGAAGTAGACGCTCGATCTCTTCCTTATCTCTCGGGTGCTGTTAAAGAGGCTTCCCGTCTAGCGCTGGCCAATCCCACTCGTCTCCCCCGGATTGTCCCATCAGGCGGACTGAAAGTCTCGGGTTTACCAATTATTCCAGAGGGCACTAGCGTTGGCATTGGAGCGTACTCGCTACATTTCAACCCTAAAGTGTTTCCAGAGCCAGATGCATTCGTGCCAGAGCGGTGGCTAGAGTGTACGCCTGAGATGTTGCGAGACAGTTTTCCTTTTGGTAAAGGCCCGCGGCAATGCATTGCTCGCAACTTCGCCTCTGCTATTGTTTGGTGGGCTTCCGAGGCTCTAGTTCGGAGCCGTGTATTGGATGGTGCGAAACCAGTGCAAGAGAAGCTTGAGATTGTAGAGTGGTTCAATAGCAAGCAAGTGGGTGGTAATATTGAGCTTAGCTGGGCATAGAATGTTTGAACTTTATGATCCATCCACATGTAGATGTGATATGCGATGTAAGATTAAGTCAATTGTTTTCAACTTTTGTTCAAATCGGGACGTTAAGTAAAACAAAGTGTATGACAACGATGGCTTTGAAGGATAATCCTGAATTATATTGGACATGACAATACAGCTGAATCCCTTTCTATTGTGTATGTATTGTTGTTATGGAAGAGTAATCTTGCGTATCTCAATATTCCTCTTAAAGGATAATATGATTATATATATCGGCTACCTATCCTTAGTTTTCTTTGGCCGCTGGTGGATTCTTGATCGCCTCTTTCAGTTCCTCGAAAGCCTTCAAGATATCCCTCTTGTTTTCAGTCATCCATACCTCGCGCGATTTCTCCCCTAGTTCGCCTTTGTGCATGGCGGCAAAGATATCAGATGCTTCACCATTCTTTGCAAATACAAGCTGTGGCCGTGTAGGGCTTACACGCATCTCTGCCCCCTCAAGCGAAACCTTGACTTGTTCCGAGGCATTACTGCCACCCGTCATGCCGTAGCTCACGATAGCTGCCGGCTTTCCCATCCACTCATTCCTCAGGTAGTCAATAGCATTTTTCGTGCTTCCCGCCATGCCGTAGTTGTATTCGGGGATGACGAGGATGTAGGCGTCGTATTTGGAGATCTCGGCACTCCAGCGTCGGCTATGTTCGTTGGCATAGGTTGCTTGAGAGGGAACTTGGTACGGAACAATGCTCTCATCGTAGATTGGCAGCTTAAATTCTGCAACATCAACCAAGGAGAGCCTTGTCTCGTTTCCATCTTCTTTTTCGAGAATGTCTTTGACAATGTTGGCAATTTCCGGTCCAACTCTAATAGGTCTGGTGCTGGTGATGATAATGGCCACTTTGGCCTGACTAGATGCGGTCATTTTGACTTGTGTTAGGAAGTAAATGTTTATGAAACTTTAATAAGAAGCGTTGGAATGGATTGATGGTGAGAAAAGCGTACCATTCGCCTACTGGATAATTTTGGAGCTTCTTATACCTTCGACCAGTTCCAAGTCCGCTTCATCGGATCCAACATGTCCGCGGCAATCAAGCGGAGAATCATTCTCCACCTTCAAAACGATGATTATAAACACGTCGAGCCAACATTACAGAGTTGAATGAAGACAAGACATAATTCCGCGCGTTCTACCATCATCTTCCGGTCATCCAGATTAATAAGTGACATACCCAAAGTGGCGTTATTCCCATTTCAGAAAGAGTACGTGGGTACATGTGGATTATCCTCTATATTCAGGGTTATTCAAGCATTTTCTACTTGAGATTCAGAGATTCTGGCCTTGTCCTGGAGCTGCTCATAACTGCGAGCATCCGTACCGAAAGTAAAGTTGGTTTAATTTCTCATGCTAAACTCTCGTAATCCTTCTTGTGGAGATTTTGCTAAATAATCCTAGCAAGTAAGATGGGTCTATCCCAATCGGGAAAGAGTACAAAGGTACACTGATCTCGGCGTCAAAATGCGTTGTGAGCGGTGTCGGAATTTCAGTGATGGCATCACACAAACACACACACAATCCGTCGAAATTCAGGACCAGCAGTTCTTCCGCCGTGCTCTGGATCATAGTCCGCCATACTTATCCATCTAAGTATTGCCTGATATTGGCCCCCACTCTAGTGCGTCAACAGCCACGGAAAAGCCAGCTCCGAATCATGGCCTCTCGCCTGTAAGCTGAATGAAGCTCTACTCCGGAGCGTTGCCACCAATGGAGAGCAAGCTTGAGTTCATAAATTTGTCACATCCTTCACAAGCGTCTTCTTCTAAATTACAACGTCTGGCGTACTCACATGCTGCTCGAGTATCTCATGCTAGAGTGAGGCATGCCCGCAAAGCCGCAGGTCAGGCCAACATTGTGGAGCCGAGTATTCCGCATACAGAGAAAGGTCAGGCCGATGAAGCCACAGAGCGGAGAGATGATAGTTTGGTCGAAATCAGACCCGAGGCGTGTTCAATTGTGATCCCCGATCCTGTCAATCAGCTCACATCCAGTCGCCGGGATCTTTTTGGATGCTTTGCTAGGCCGCTTTCGCCGCTGGAGGAGTACCTCTTTGACCACTGTAAGTCGGTCTGTAGCTTATTACTAGTGGTTTGTTACAATTATTCTCGGACCTTGGCTGATTGATGGGCTCCCAGATGTGACAATAGTCACTACCCAATATGGATCCAAGTGCATGATACTCAAAGATCCAACCATCCATCACCACCAGCTACGGATAAGTTGGATCCAACTAGCCATATCCAATGTAGAACTTCTGAGTACTACCTTTTTATCCACTTGCCGTCATTTATATGAAGTATATAAGAAAGAGGAATACGCTACTTGGGCGACGCAGTATAGAATCTTCTGCATCCGTGCTATTAGAATGGCCATAGGGACTAGGAATTGCTCAGCGAGAGACTCTATAATTGCCACTATTATTTCATTGATACTGGATGAGGTAAGTGTGGTCTCCTATCGCTCATATAATACAAAAGAGGCTGACAAGGCTGGGCTAATGCGAATATATAGATACAAGCTGGTAATATTGATGCATCTAGACAGCATGTGCGTGGGCTTGCGGAAATAGTACACTCCTCTGGAGGGCCGCAAACACTTGGTATGAATGGCTTGCTGAAGCATCTGTTTGAGAAATTGGCATATGACATGGGACTTCTCCTAGACGAAGAAGCAAGTTCAGTGGGACTGATCGATTTTGTTGCTCGAGGCGGAATAAATATGCCGAGCATTCCAACTTAGAGGCAAGAAATGAACCTTCATATTAGAAACACAATCTGGCAGAATTGACATCTGCTACACTCAAATAAGTATAATATCCCTGCATGGTATCTCATCCCATACATCCTCATGCGCCTATTTTATGAACATCACATGGCCCCGTAAGCACTCTTCTATCGTCGTTTGGTCAAGGCGAACAGTGGATGGCATCCTACCGCCCTTGTATGAATGGCTTCAACACTGGACAATAAAATTAGAAACCGTTATTTTAGCTTTCAAACAGCATGTAGAGCATACCAGGGGCATACAATGTATCACCATCAAAGACCAAGCAGCCCCACCAAGGTTCATCACGACTCCACGACAAATCGAAACCCACAAAACTTATACACCGAGGGCAAAAAAAGAATTTGCAATGCGTAATCTGGGAATCGAACCCAGGGCTCCCCGACGTTGCTCGGATGGCAACGGAGAATTTTACCACTAAACCAATTACGCTTGAATGAAAGATACAGGGCTGATTTTTAGTATATGCACTTTGCTGCGATTCTTCGACTTGGACTGCTGTTCTTCTCCTTTACCATAGGTAGGGGGTTGCGAGTGCTTATATAAGGCTATTCGAGATAATTTAAAATGCAAAGTAAACGTAGTCTCATAGAGTATAGGTATTATGTTTGGCAGCATCTTGCTTTGTATTCATCTATGTTATATATTAACGGCATCATTGCGATGGCCAGGGAGTGCGCGTGTTGAGCCGCGATCTATTTCAGCCCACCAGAGAAAGCGAAGTACGTTTAGTACTAAGCCCCAGATATTCATTCATTTATTAAATTTTAAGTAAAAACAATGCATGTCAAAAAGAACCCAACCAAATCTCATTTCCCCTACCAAATGGTAGATGTACTTCATTCAGTCTCCGGGCTGGGAAGCTCGGTAGACTGAATTCCCCAGCTATCAATTTTGGCCAGGTTGCGGAGGCTAGGATCCCGACTCAAAATTCCAGGGAAAATCATTGGATCATTTCCAGAAATGTGCACATCTGCAGCTGAACTGGGAGCCTTTCGAAGAGATGGGGCTTCTGATGTAGGACTCGTGATGCTTGATGTTGCCTCTGTCGCGCTTGAGGAGGGAATGTTTCCGCTTGATGACTTTGAGGCCAACTCAGTCTTGATGCTCTTCTTTTCAGCATTTGGATCAAATGCAGCGTATCGACTAAGTCTATATGGCCATTTAATAAAATTGATTAGCCATGCTCCCACAATCACAAAGCGAGAAGAAAAAAGACACTTACACCTCCCTCTCCGTAAGCAAGGTATGATACCTAAACTCCTCTCTCCGGTCAGGAACATTGGTCTTGGCCATGGTATTTCCTTCTTTGCCCGGCTTATCAAAGTTGGGCCCTAGCCACTGCTCCTTAACAGCCGCCTCGTAGCCGCTCTGCTTAACCGAGTTCTTGGCCAGCTCGCACATGTCTGTAGGGCTGAGCTTGTAGATCTGTGCGGCAACAGCATATTCCTCCATCAAAGGCTCCTTTGTGAACGCAAACTGCAGCGGATCGTCGGTTGAGAGGGAAACGTTGAGACCTCGTTTAAAGTATTGAGGGAATGGGTTGCGGTCATATGATAGGAATAATGCGTTGTTGCTCAACGGCGACATAGCAACTCCAATCTGTTCAAGGTAAAACACATACTGCAACAACGGGACCTTTCGGAGAAGCACTCCGTGGCTGATGCTGTGGCAGCAAAGCGTCGCAACAGCTATATGCTCTGGGTCTCCAGCTTCAGCACAGTGAGGTCGCAAGATGAGAGTGTTGAAGCCACGCTTCTTGCGCCACGAGTTGAGAGACGCCATGTTGGCGAAGAGGTAGTAGATCCAATAGTTATACGGAGGGTTTTGCTTCGTGTTCCACTCCTTTGGAACTGGAAACTTCCTGTACAGGCGCCTCTCAATCTTGCTCTCGTCGTCAACGCTGTCGAGACCGACGACGCGCTGAAGGAAGATGTGAAGCTTCGGGTGGCTGGAAGGGTCCTTTGTGACTTCGAACAGCGGCTGGAAGACATTGGTGATGACTTGGTCAAAGGATTCCATCAAGCCGTTGTCCTTGTAGACATCGTACAGACGAGGGATCTGGATGAGCCACCGGACGTTCTGCGAGAACAGCTTGTTGTCAACAACCCAGGCTGCGAGTTTGTCCCATTCGTCGAGTGATTTGCCGTAGATGGATAGACGCCATTCGGCCATTTGGTACTTGCTAGCTTCAAGGTCGGAAATAACCTCTTTGGTGAGCTCGGCTAGATAGCGACCTTTGATTAGGTTGTCCGTCTTTAAGAAGATCTCTCGGAGTCGAGATTCTCCAACGGGGTTATATTTAAGATTGAACTTGTCAAATCGGTGAAAAGAATCAACGTGAGCCTATTATCGAGTCAGCTTAGAAATGTCCCTAGCATGTTTGATAACAGGATAACATACGTGCATATCAAGTGTATCAATACTCAAGTCATATGCCGTGAGATTAATACTGGCAAACACCTCGGCAAGCGTCAAGTGCTTCCCATCACGAAACAAGACAACTTCATCAGGGTTCTTCTTCATCCTGCTCTTGATGAAGCGCAGCAAGTGCTTCTGGTTCATAGACGCCGAGTGGTGCACGTGAGTGTCTACTTTTCGAACATTGTAAAAGTCTCTGTGAGGCACCTTTTTGCTGTCGGCAGTTTCCTGATACTCATTAAGAAGTGCGTACAGGTTAAATTTGCCTTCGAGGTACTGCAGGCGGCGGAAGGCGAAGCTCTTGCTTGGTCCGTCTGACGAGGCGGTAAGGATTCTCTCGAGATCCATGTAAAACTGCCTAATGGTTGGGATTTGGAAAGCAGGTGTTTGAGAATCGGCACCCTCAAAGACTTCATAAACGCCAGCATCGCTCAGCTTGAATGTCATGCTGTCCTCCTTTGAAGGCAATGGCATGACATGCTCCATGTCGAAGGAATCTCCGGCCTTGTCTCCAGGGGGGTAAATCTGCCAGTCGGTGGCATCTCTTGGATCATCGCCATATCGCTGAAGGGAAATGGCCATGTATTTCTTTCTCAGCGCGATAATGTCTTGGATGCTCTTGGAAATGGAGCTCAACTCTGCCGTCACCTGCGGCTGAGGGTCGAGGAAGTTGATGTTGGAGATTCCTCTGGTAGCTTCAGCTGCAAGTCTAGCGTTGTCTAATCCAGGTACAGACGCTTTGCCAAAAGACTCAGACAGCGCGGAATCGCCCTCATACTCAAGGCCGCCGCTTGATGCCAGAGCTGCGACAGGGTCATTAAAAGAGGATGACTGCGCCTGTTCCGTACTGTCTAGCTGGCTTCGCTGGTAGAACAGCTTAGCATCAGTTTGGGACATTTGCCGCTCAACGACGGAGTCGTAGAACGTGGTGCGGTGAGGAATATCTCTTGGAAGCACGCCATCTTCAGGAGTCTCGGGCGGCTGAGGGGTATTTTCTCTGTCACTCTCTTCTCTGTGATGAGAACACATTTTGGAGGGGGGAATGGCCCGAACACCACAGTCTTTTATTCTACGACTGAAAAGGTGATGGGTACCGATTTTTTTTTTCTCTAAAGAATTGGTGTTAATTAATGTATATTTGGTGCAATTACAACTATAGAACACGAATTGCAGTATTTAGGCATCTGAGAACATTGTAGGTATATTTTCAACGCGTGACAATAACTAAAAACAGCTTTGGATAAAGTGCAGAAACTCAATAAATTTTGAAAACTAAAAATAAAATAAAAAAAAACGCTCAACGTACCAGAGCAGACGGCGTATAGATCAAGGGAGAAAACAAATAGATGTATTATAGGTTCAGGGTAAATGAAAAATAACAACGGCGGTAGCAGTAGCAGCAGATGGAGTCGCCAATTTGCGAAACCTTTTTTAAGTTTTGGAAATTCTTCAAAGACCAGAGGCATCTCTCAGCTCTTTATACTCCGGACAGCCCTACTAAAAAATGAGTCAAAAGCATAAAAGCTAATGACACATAAAAGCCGCTCCGGGATCCGCTTCGGCCGGCCGCCACCGAAGCCGCAGGTGAGCCACGGAGGGTGCCTATAAGCGGGGATATGCATCAATCCGAGACATGTCGTATCAATCGTATATGCTGGATGATGAATCTCACGTTGCGGTGGTGAGTTGACGTGAGTTGGGCAGGATTGAGCATTGAATTGAACAAAACATTACATTTCAATGTCAATGGCATCAACTTGCGCTCACCATGTCCAGCACTAAAGTAGCAACCGTAACAATAGAGTCATCCCAGCCCTCTTCAGCTCCCATCGAGCTAGAGACTGTCGTCGATGAAGCTCAGCCCGGGCCGTCTTCCAATGCCACAGATCCAGAGACTGGAGGAGAGACGGCCGAGCCTCAGCCCCCTCTGCCAATCTTCAAGATTCTAGTCTCTGGATACTCATTCTTCTGTGCCGGCTTGGATTCAGCAACTCTCGGCCCGCTAGTGCCGCATATTCTCGACTCGTTTTCCATTGGCACAGGCCACATCGCCATCATGTAATTGAATCAGCCATCCATCTTCACCTCAATCAGATTTGATATATAAACCCTCATCTAACCAAATTCATTAGCTATGCCGCCATCTTCGCAGGCTGGCTCCTCGCCGCGCTCACAAATCCCTTCCTCGCAGCCCACCTCCACCTCGGCAAGCTCCTCTTCATCGGCGCAATCTTCCAAGTCTTTGCGCAATGTTTGCGTCCATGGGCCCCCTACTCTCTTTTCTTCGCAACCTTCTTCTTCCAGGCCCTTGGGATGGCCTTCCAGGACACGCACTCCAACACATATGTCAACGCTATCCGGGATTCGCATCGCTGGCTGAGCTTCATCCATGCCATGTATGCGCTTGGGGGCCTCGTCGGACCGCTTATCTCAACAGCTATTGCTTCCGCTGAGGAGGCTCACGAAGGTGGTTGGAGAATGGTGTATTATGTTACGATTGGGACTTCTGCTTTGAATTTAATCGCAGTTGCTCTGGCTTTTAGGGACACGCTCTTCCTGACGAAGTCCCAGTCCGCAGAGGCACAACGTGAGACGAGGCGAAACAAGGAAGCGTTGGAAGAAGTAGGACAACTGCTTAAACTAAAGAATGTCTGGCTTATGAGCGCCTTTTACTTTTTCCAGTCGGGTGCCTGGTCCACGTCTGGAGGTATGTTTTCTGCCTTCAACCCAGTTCATCGACTTTGTTCCCATCTTCCCATCTTCCCATCTTGCCACTCCTCCATCCACACCAAACCCGCCCTCACAAAACCCAAACCCCCTAACATATAACAAAACAGGCTGGGTCGTCGAATACCTCACCCAACACCGCCACGGCCAACTCTCCAAAGTCGGCTACGTCCCCACCGGCTTCTGGTGCGGCGTCGTCCTCGGCCGCACCCTCCTCGCAGAGCCCACGTTCCGCTTCGGCGAGCAGCGCATGATCCTGCTCTACAGCTTCGCCACCCTCGTCCTCCAGCTGCTCTTCTGGCTGCTTCCCAACCTCATCGCCAGCGCCACCGCGTACGCCCTCATGGGCTTCTTCTTCGGGCCCTACTTTGCTACGGGTATGAGGGTGTCGGCCAAGATTATCCCTCGAAAGGTTCAATCTACAGGGCTGGGTGAGTCTTTTTTCTAATTCTTCTCTTCCAAGTGAATAAGATTCATGTACAGTGCTCACAACTGACACAAATTAGGCCTCATCTTTGTACTGGCACAAGCTGGTGCCGCCATCTTCCCCTCGTTCACTGGCCTCATCGCAACCAGTGCCGGTGTTCAGGTTTTGCAGCCCATTGTTACAGCCTTGATTGTCGGAGGAGGCGTCTGTTGGTGGCTTCTTCCAAACGTCACCTTGAAGGAATGATTATACTCTGAGCAGGGAGATGTTTGGTGTATTATTTGTTGGATGTTTATTATACTTCGGGTGCAGGCGTGTATATCAATTTCTCAGATGAGATATTCTAGTTCTGTACAGACAGGCAGACAGCACGTCACAACTTATGCGATAATATATATCTTCATCACGGTATATTAGCAATGGTAAACTGGTATCACATGCTCAAAGTCCGGCCATAGTTTCTTTTCCCCTTCTCTTTTTATTTCATTTATTTCCATTGCTATGATGTATCCATTCAAAGAGGAGTGAGTACACCTACGTTGAATATCCATTGGTCTTGACCCAGTCTGCCACGTCCTGTCGGTCTCTCTCCAACCAGGAAATCTTGGACCGGATAGAGTCCTTGCTCTGTGCGAGCGACTGGTCGTAGCCGTTGTTGTTCTTGTCGCTGAAGAACTTCTCGACGCGGGCCAGCTGCTCTGACGTGGTGAAGCCAGATGTCAGCAGCGACACCATTGAGCCGAGCATGGGCAGGGTAGGTGGGTGTCGCTTGTAGAGCTCATCCCAGTTCTCCGTCAACCAAGTAAACAGGGCCTCGATACCCTCAGGGTGAGTGCGCAGTCCGGAAGCAGGCATGTAAATGTCCTGGTCCTTGACCTCACCGTTCAACAACAGGGCCAGGGTCCTCTTGATAAGTTCGGGTTCCTTGGCTCGGCCCAGAGATCGGAGACAGGTGTTGCGCTCATCGCTGTTGGTCGAAGAATGGTACAGATTCATGATCTGGTCATACTACGCGCGTACAATGTTAGCACAGCTCCATATCTATGCGTATCTCGTTGCCACTGGGAAAGGATGGGATAAAAAAAACTTACTTCTTCCTTGCCACCAAACTTGAGGGCAATTGCAAACACACTCTTGCGAATGTTGGGGTGAATAGCCGACTTATCACCAGCCATGAACTTGGTGAACATTTCCTTCGAAGAGGAAATGATCTTCTCGTCACCGCTCAAGCCAGCGCTGCCAAAGAGCGTGGCCTTGAACTGCTGCTCAACATGACCATCCGAATCGGAAAACTCCCATCCAAGTTGATGGGCCTTTGCGCTGACGAGCTCTCTCAAGAAGGCACGGACACCATCTCGAACAGCCTGGTCCTCAAATAGCCAGGCGGCTTGAATAGAACCAATCCGAGAGATGATTTCGTTCCACACGACAAACTCCGTCTCTGCGTCAAATCCCTTGAGGAGGTTAAGGACGCCAGATGTCTTTCCGTAACCGGAGCTGGCAAGCGCGGCAGCATCTGCAATCATGCCGGTTCTATCTTCGGTGGACAGAAGACCTTCCTTTGCGGCCTGGCCCAGCTTCTCCAGGCGGTTAGGGGTGTAAAGGGTTCGGTAGATTCCAGTGTGGTTAGCATTGAGCTTGAAGAAGTCGGTGCTGGGAAGCTTGAATTCTTGCTCTCGCTCTTTCAAGGCCACCGTCTCATCAATTCCCTCTCTAGTCTTGAGTCCCAAGAATACGGGGTACAGGGTCTTGTCTTCCTCGGGCTTCACGTCGCCAGTGCGGAGGAAGCGGTTCTGCTTAACATGGATAGCATTCTCGCCTTCCTTCTCGGTGACGGTGAGAACCGGGTATCCCACGCTCTTGGTCCACGCAGTCATGACCTCGTGTACGGGCTTACCGCTGACCTCGGCCAACGAGTCCCAAAGGTCGCTGGTCTGGGTGTTTCCATAGGCGTATTTGTTCAAGTACTTGCGGACACCTTCCAAGAAGGTATCCTCTCCAAGGTATGTGGAGATCATGCGGAGCACACAGGATCCCTTTGAGTAGGAAATGGCATCAAAGATTTGGTTGATCTCGTCAGCACGCTTGACGGGCACCTCAATCGGGTGGCTGCTTCGGAGGGCGTCGAGCGACAAGGCAGATTGCAAGTCATCGGTGACGTATGTTTGCCAAACGCGCCACTCTGGGTAAAAGATGTTGCAGGAATACCACGAAGCCCAGGTGGCGAATCCCTCGTTGAGCCAGAGACCCTCCCACCAGTCCATAGTGACCAAGTTGCCGAACCACTGGTGGGCCAGCTCATGCTGAACAACCTCGGCCACACGCTGCTTGGTGGCGGCGCCGCTGGCCTTTTCGTCCAGCATCAAATCGACAACTCGATAAGTGACCAGACCCCAGTTCTCCATGGCTCCCTGGGCGAAGTCGGGAATAGCGACTTGATCCATCTTGGGCAGGGGGAAGTCGACACCAAAGGCCTTTTCGTAGAATGCGAGAGTCTTGGCAGCGAGGTCGACAGAGAAGCGTCCGTGCTCGATATCCTGGCCAGGAGGAGCATACACTCGCACGGGGACTCGGAAGTCTCGCGACTCAATGTAGTTGAGCTCGCCGACGACAAAGGCAAGGAGATAGGTGGACATGAGAGGTGAGGGGTTGAAATGGACAGCCTTTCTGGTTCCACCGGTAATCTTGGACTGAACTTCAGTTTCAGAGGCAACATCCATGTTGCTCAAGCACGTCAAGTTCTTGTCAGCAATGAGCGTGACGGTAAACTTGGCCTTGAGAGCTGGCTCGTCAAAGCAGGGAAATGCTCTGCGGGCATCGGTGGCCTCAAACTGGGTGCTCGCCAGGATGCCCTCTGTGCCGTCCGGCCTCTTGTATGTCGAGCGGTAGAAACCCGCCATCTTATCGTTGAGCTGTCCGGTGAAGTCGATCTCCAGCTGCACCTTGGTATCCTTTTCGAGAGTGTGGGAGCCACCAAGGTCGAACTTGGTCACTTGGGTAGCTTCATCGTAGGTGATGGCAGGCGTGGCACTGTTGAGACGGCAGCCATAACTGTTAGCACATTCAATTGTCCTGGCGGCAAATGAAGGAAGCTGCGCAATGGCAGAATGACAAGCTTCTCACCTAACAGCCTGGCCACCAGAGGAGAGCTTTGCGCTGTGGATGTCCAGCTCCAGAGTGTGGAGGGAGATGGAGTTTGAGGTCTCGGCAACATCGAGGTCGATGACGACAGAGCCGCTGTACGTCAGCTTCTCAAAGTCGGGCTCGACAGTCAGGTGGTAATGGCGAGGCACCACGTTGGCAGGCAGCAGCTCACGACCCTGAACAGCGGCCGAGGCCGAGCCCTCGAGACCAGCTCTGGATCGACACATGGCGGAGCAGAAGCGAGCAGAGGAACGAGTCGGGGCAGCAGGAGGAGGAGGGCGTCGAGCAAGACGAAGGCGCGGGAACGACGACGATGGCGAGAGAGGAGAAGATGCTGATGCTGACGACGGAGCAGGGTAAGGAGAAGAAGAAGACAGGGAGGAGAAGGAAGACGAGCTGTAGAAGGGAAGTGAAAGTGAAGCAGAAGAAGAAGGAGGAGGAGAAGAGAGTGGCCTCTTGCAAAGAGAAGGCGGTGACGGTGTATAAGAAGGAGAAGCAGAAGCACGGCAGGCGACACACCAGCCCGAGGAGCTCCTGGTCCTGGACCTGGAGAGCCCCTCCAGCTTAAATGGCGGGGTCGGCCTGAGTGCCAGTGCCAGTGAGAGTGAGTGGTGGGGGGACCTTTTGGCGGCCCGGAGAGGCTGCAGCCACCCCATGCTGTGCTGTCAGGCTGAGGGCTATAGTGGAGGGTTCCAGTTCCAGCAGTTGCGGCGCGAACACAGCACTGGGCGGCGAATTGACGCTATTCAGTGTGCTCAACAGTGGTCTTTTATTGACACCCTGATATTGAAGCTCCGAGCTCAACAGCAGCGACGTCACGTTTGCAGACGCGGTTGCGCACGGCTATGCATGCGAACAGCAGCTCACGCATGGCATCCATTCATGGCCCGAAAACTTCAGTCCGCCGCCGAGGTTTACCCACTTGCCCACGTCGCAAAAGATCCAATGGACCGGTGGGGCAGCCCGGCAAACAGGCCACTTTCGCCGTGTCAGGGGACGGGACTTTTGCCCTTGCTCCTAGAGCAATACGCAAAGGGGAAAGGTGCAACATGAGGCTGACAGCCTTTATTTCAACTATGAGTACAGTACACAGGTTACATAAGGTGTTATGTGGATATACTCGTACAGTATAGGAGTATAGGAATGTATTTGGTGTTTGGATGACAGTTGATGTATCCAAGGTGATTAAGGCAGTGTTAGGTACATAAAAGCATCCATTCCTCCCAGACCCAACCAAAGCCCATTTTTACAAAAGAAATGCATATATCCAGACCTTGATCAGTATTTCAATCTCAATCTCAAGATGACGCCCAAATAATGCAAAAAATTAGTTCAAAAATGTGGTGAAAACATTGCAGCAACACCACTAGAGCTCCCTCCCAACGCTAACAATTTATGCCGCCAAACAAGAAACCAACCCACAATGTGCGCTCTGTCGGTGTGTACCTATTATAAATCGAAATATTAAGAATCAAATGGGAGGCTCCGTGTTAGGAGATTCAAAGTTGTTGAGAGGCGTGGTATAAGCAGACTCAGTGCAATAAGATTCCGGAGTCCCATACAGCGTGGAACCCGTATGGTCACTACCGTCCCCGCCTGTGCCAAGCAAAACTGATGCAGCAGGTGTTGCAACAGTATAATCCCCCAGAGCACAATGACTCTCTGGAGAAGCATTCCCCTCCGGAGATGTGTAATATGCAGGAGCGGTACGAGAGGGAGGCGTATCATATGCTACCCGAGGATTCTGGTAGCTCTCGGATCTTGCATGGCTTCCCGGGGAGGTATATGAGGCGAGAGTAGCATAAGTCGAGGGCGCATCAAATGGCACAGCAGCTTCAATCGCCGCAGAAGAGCCATGAGAGTCCAGTGGGCTATACAGCTTAGCATCATTAAATCCCGTCCAAGGAGGGTGTTGTGTAGGAGTCTGGTAAGTTGTAATATCCGTAAGAGTGGCAGGAATAGGTGTAGAGGATATTCCAGTATTTGGCTCGGGATTGAGGGTAGATGTAGCTGTAATATACTCGGAAGATGCGGACGGGCCATGTGTCGAAAGGCACGCGGGATTAACAAAAACTGGCGCCGCTGTCCTATAATAGGTCGCAGATGAGACGGTAGTATAGACTGCAACATTGTTTAAAGATGTATCAACAGTGTTGGCCGGCAGCGCATAAATGGCATGGTCAGTCGGTCCAGGCGCAACGTAATAAGATGTCGTCGCCACATAATTCGACGATCCTGATATAACATGGCCTGAAGACGGAGTTACAACAAAATCCGGAGATACAGCGGGAGCATAATCTGGCGGTGCAATAGGAATTTGCCCAGGTGGTATAAATCCAACATGAGTGGGTGTAGCTGCAGGCAAATACTGGGTTGTAATCCCATCATCATACCTGGGAGGCGTAGATAAAGAGTAGTGTAACGATGCAGAAGAAATGCAGTCCGTGGATGCAGCTCCGGTATTGGTGGGTATTATAGGCATCGTGGGCCCCGCATAGTCGAATGAAGCGGCTATAACTGAGAGGTTGTCTTGTGAAGAGGTAATCATCTGGTGTTCAGATGGTATATGTGGCTCCGCCCATCCAGCATATCCTCCAGGCACCATAGCCGCATCGCTACTGTAATTCGAAACCACAAGTGAGGTATCAAGAGCGGATTGCGGTTGAATCTCATAACTAGATGTCTGATCCGGAATCTCGGCAGCCGAGAATAATCCTGGGCCTAAATAATCGTCAGGATCCATATACTGAACACTCATCAGTGCACCGCCACCAGAGGTTCGATCTGGTGCATCTGATAAAACCGGCTGCGCGTCGTCGTGATTGAGGCCACTATCAATCCCCAGTGAAGCCAAGTATTCCTTTGGTGTCTTGCGAAATAAGTGTCTAGCAATTCTCTGAACCATTCTAAATCCTAGTTTGGCAGAGTCTGAAAGGAAGTAGAGCTTCCTCTGGAGCACCAGAGCAGTCTTAATAGTGCGGTAAACATCGTCCCGGCGAGGAAGTGTATTAGTTTTATCATTGAGCACCATGTTGCTCAGCACGGTTGCGGCATCAACAAGAGAAAAGATGATGAAGTGGAATCGCCCGTCCCGAAAGGTGAGAAATTTAAGCCAGTTATCCAGGACTTGCACTAAGTGCAACGTCAAATCAACAGCAATCCTTCGGAGCTCTAGCTCCTCCTCGGAAGACTTGTCGTTGTAAGGCAGCGCCATATGTGGGCGGAATGGGTTAAGGACCATCATATATCCCATGGTGTAATTGTAGTGGCGGTGATACTCGATCCAAGCCTGCCTCTTGTCGTTTGACGTGTCCGGGTCGACCAACGCAAATATGGGAGGGAAATTCAGCATCCATTCGTCAATCATGTCTTTGTATTCCATGATCTCACTGCGCGTTTGGACTTGAGATGGGGATGGGAAGCGCCCAGCCAATCTGTGGATCAGATCCGATTGCATGTTCATGTGCATCAGGGGAGAAAACTCCCCGTCCCGTTCCAACGTCAGCGACGGGCGTTTCCCACTGCACGCGCTGTGATCGATCATCGTTTTTCGGCAAAGTCCGGAAGCTATTTGCCTGGAAAGACATCAGCCATAAGTCTCGCTTACAGGCGATATGAGGGTAAAGCGAGACAAGGCTCCTAAAATGTCAATGGGTATGAGGGGGCACTCACCAGTCCCACGAATCTATTACACACCAAGCTCTCCGCCGTATTTCGAGCTCAAAGTTCGGCACACCACTTACATCTTGCTCTGTATCGAATCCTGTCACAAGTCAAAAGAAGAAACAAGGTTAGCAAAAATTAACGCAATGACTAAATTACGTGATAAGACGGCATACCGAGTACTTGGGCTTCGCGAACAGCTGTATAGAAAACATGACAAGCCTCAGCAAACATGGCCTCGGCCTTGTACCAATATGTTGAATGCAACATCCACAAGACATTGTTCTTGTGGTGACGATCAGCAGGCATGGAGCTATAGAGATATCGCGCTGAATAATGGAAAGACTCGGTAAGTTCCTGGCAGCTGGCACCGAGCATTTTCTCAAGTTTCTTCTGTATATCGATGGGCAAATGCTGGCAGGCGCACGCGCATATCATCAATAGCAAGCAAGTCCAGGGAACTGGTAACGGCTTATTGGCGTCCTTTTTTTTCCACCAACGGTTGTACTCGCGGCCAAAGTCGGTTCTGTGAATCATGCCATAGTGCGGGTTTACGTTTTGGAAAAAGCTCAGGGCGAGTGCATCTATGAATGGGCAATGACAATTTCTAGTTAGCCGAGGCAAAGAGCCAAGGTCGGCAACTCAAGGAGCAGACATACCTATGTGGCCTCGGTTTTCTGGAATAAGGTCGAGTGCATGACGGAGTTCGGGGGATTCGGCAGCCGATATGTAGTACTGATGGTTGCGTGGAGGGTCGTGTTCTTCCATCTAGAAACGAGAATTTACGTGTAAGTATGCCATTTTTCTTCATCAGCAAATCCGGTAGTTCAAGGAGCGGCGATACCTCTGCATCCAAGGAAGGCAGCGTAAGGTCGTCGTCACCAGACAGCCCAGGTAAAAGACGATCTGAGCTCTCTGAGCCCACAGCGGCACTATTCTGTCCAAGGGAATCAACGTTGCCACTGGCAATGTTATTGTTGGAGCTATCGTTGCAACTAGGGTGGTTTTCGCAGTCGGAGTCGTCACTGCTATCACGACGTCGCTTTCTGCTTGGTCCCTTGCCTTTTGCCCCAACCCCGACGGCCGTGCTACTGGAAGCTGCAGCATTCTCCTGGGATCGTTGACTTGCTATTTTCGACGGCTTTTCTATGTATTTGCAAAGCCGTTCGGCTCCCCGGCTTTGGCAATGTATACAAGGGTATATCCGATTGCACTGGGTTGCAAAAAGATCAGCATCTCCAGAACTGCCCGGTGGGCCAATGCGGCGTCTTGATTAGCGGCGTACTTTTTGCTTCCTCCTTTGGCATTCGGAGCACGCATGCTTGAACCGCTCGAGGGTGCTGGACTGATTTGTAGTCGCAGCTGTTCCTCCAGGGTTCGATGAGGCTCCCCTTCCTGGCTGTCCCATGTGCATTGGTGATGTAACAGGATGATGAAGATGGTGAAGAAGAAGAAAGGGAGCCGATATGCGAGGTTAAAGATGCAAAACTAAAGTCGAAAATCAGAGGAGAATGAGAGAGAGAGAAGAGAGGGGAACGAGTGCCAGAATTGACGATAACGACAACTTTTTGTTGCTTCCAGCTGCCAAGGCGACGATCCAACGGTGCAGAAGGCCGAGCTGCTGCCATCTCAAAACGGCAGAGAGAGACAACCGCCTTTGTGGGGCTGAGAGCTTGACCTTGCCCAAGCTTTCCAAAAGGGAATCGCGCCATCACGTGAATCATTAGCGGCGATTTCCCAGTGGATCTGAGACCTTTTGATTGGCTATGAGGAGCCCCAGTTGGCCTAGTGGCCGTTAGGTGCCCCCAGGCGGTGGATCTTGGATTCGCAGATGGATTTTAGCGCATGTGCGCAGGGGGGGAGCCGCACTGTATACAGTACATGTACTCCGTACTCGCACGAGATCCAGGAACCGGGGATGCAATGCCAGAACAATAAGGGTGAGGGCATCTCACACTGCGGCCCCCGTACAAGTATTTGGTCTCCATCGCTCGAAATGACGAGGATTGTCTCGAGTCATGGACTGAGATGCGCCGAGGCATCTGCTGTAGGTCACGTACTCGTACCTCGAGAAACCCTCTGACGCTAGAATCCCTAGGCACTCAACCTTACTTCAATAGAAAGAACTCCATCTCGCAGCGTCTCCAGATACAGTACTAGACCTACTAGTAGTAGTCTGCAGAGCTATTGAGGCGTGTCTCTCACACAAGGTACGAGGCACATGCCAATAGACGAGACAGGGGATCGACTGTCAGCGCTCCAAGGCGTCCAGAAGGCGTCCAAGACACCAGACCTTGGCAAGCCCATCTGTCTCACTCGATTCCGTCCACACAAGCAACAACGCCAGATCCCAACCCTTGCCAAGTATACAGTAGAAATGACACCCCTGCTCTCAGCCGCAGCCACTCCGGCACCATCGGTTTGTTTGTTTCTTTGCATTGTTGGCCATGCCCACGCTAAATCCCTTACCCGGGCGGGAGGGTCACAACGGTTAGATTGAGATTGGCGATGCTTGCCGCTGCGGTATCGTGAACCTCGGCATCCCATAGTACGGCACTTGCGCGTCTGTGTACTAGTTACATAGGAGGAACTGGTTTAGGTGCCCATCTACTACAAGAGCTTTAATCTGTGTTTCCGGTTCGTACGCGTACAGCTACTAATCGTACCTACATGTGCGTACCTTACGATGTACCTCTATATCAACATCATGTACCCCGGTTTTTTGACAACGGCTGGCCAGGGATCAATCAGGCTGGGTACATGTACCTACCCGAATTCTCCTGATTCCAAGGCATCCCAACACGGGTCATACGACATATTAACCGCTTCATTTTAATCTGCGCTGCGGTGCTGGTGGCACTGACCACTCGGCAGTTGTGGCTGTCACTCTTGCGGAGGCCGGGGGGGTTGTGTGAAGCTGGTGAAAACAACGTCAACTTTTTGAAACAGGAGCACCAAATCACGAGGAACTTGACTTGGCCAATGGTGAAGCTCTCGTCGACGCTTTCCTTTTTTTCCCAGCCTCACTTTAGAGCAGCATCCCTGTCTGGACTGCAGTAGTCTGTTTGCAGGGTTTCACATTGAGACCGGACAGCCTTTCAACATCATGCCATCGGCTGTCAAAGAGAAAGAAAACCTGGATCCGAAATGATGGGCAGTCGCCGATTCGTCAACTAATCAAAGTATGTCTCATTACATATTACAACTTGTAATATATTATCTCAGCGCTTCCATGGTTGACCGCCCCATTCCGCATTTGCAAATGGCTGCATCCTGCGTGCATATTCGCATCTCGCATACGCATGGATCCATTACTCCGAAAATAGCCAGCCCGGGTCTATCACTGAGCCTGGAGCCGTCATGGCCTCTAGTTCGGGGGCCAAAAGCACATCCCTAAGCGTCACGTCGAAGCCATCACTAGCAGACATGGGCGGCCACTCTAGTGTTGCATCCGGTCGCACATCATCCCGCTCCTGGACTTGTTCTTGTCCCTGACCCTGGACTTGTTCCTCAGATGGCGCCTGGATATTGCCCAGGTCGATAATCAAGGTTACTTCCAGGTCATTGATCATCGGGCGTGGCACTTTGGTTGCTCCCTGTTGCTTTTCTTGGCCCATAGGTTCCGGCTGCGACCCCTGGTGCTGTTTCTTGTGGTTTTTCACATCTCCGAGAGAGAGCAAGACATTGGCTAGCGCGTTGAGTGCCATTTGGGGGATGGCGAAACCTTCTGTCCCAGTTGCCTGCTTGAAGAACTCTTCAGTCTGCCTGGCGTAGAACATGAGTGCCAACACCTCCTCGTTCACAAACTCTGACAGACACCCCCGCTGATTGTATACTGACTTCCATACTGTGATAATCTCTTGCAGTGCATAAAGAGCCCGGATACTTGTGACAGTGGGACAGCGACGATACGTTGCAATGTCAAAGAGTACCAGGGTATCCAGAGCTGAATGGCTAGACTGTATGAGAGACATAATAGCTCGGATGTAGGCCATATCCCTAGCAGCTGCCAAGACCGGTGGCTGCTTCTCTGTGTGTGGTGCTGACCGTGTTGGATTGCATGTGACGGCCAGCTCGTACAGCTTGATGCGACAGTAGAAGAAATGCATCCGCAGTGGGCCTATCATGTGTGTCGTCGTTAGCTAGAAGAAGCAAGCCGCTCCAGGCAGTGAAGCCCCTTACCGTTCAGCACGGGTTGAGCAGCATCTCTCCATCCGCCAAAGTGGCTTTCTAGTGACGATACAGTATGCTGATCGACAGGACTTGCAGCCTCAGCCCCAGGCGGCGTCAATGATGCCTTGATTCTCAATGTTTCAACCCCTTCTGCTATCATTTGCAGCCGCACCCATGCAACCAATCGCTTGTCATTGTCATTCACACTGTTCCTGTCAAAGGCGTCCAAACACTTCCGCATGCTTTCAGTCCAAATTATGGACATGGGTCGACGAAGGCTGACGGCGGCGCTATGTTCGAGTCAGCAATCCTCCCAAGTCGGCCCGTCGAAGCGAGCAAACAAAGCAAAGGAAAGGAGAAAGATGCAATAATTCGCTTACATTGACATGGTCAGGTAGGCAGCGAATGACGTTCGCCATTCAGCGGCGGTATGCTCCACGGGCAAAATCTCCTCCCTCCACGGCCAGAGGCCCAGCTCACGCACCATTAGGCCAGCAACCTGGATCCATGTGTAAAAATTCAACTGTCTCATATCGTCGGGTGTATCGTACCACTCGGCCATCACCAGGATGGCCTGGACCAGCTCAACAGACTTGTTCCCGCGGACCATGACTTGTTCTGATAGGTCGCCTCGTAATTTGAAATGAAGCTTTCGAAACAGGCCTGGATCGGATGCCCTGCATGCAGCAGTGATAGCGGCGAGAAGTAACGTAGGCTGGTGCCTTCTTAGCCAGCCAAAGGTTTCTTGACTGGAAAAAGCCACGATTGGATGCTGAGGAAGAACATTGTTGACGAAGTCGTCGAATAGAGCTATGGCGGTGCCTATTGACAGGAATCCCGAGGCAAGCAGCGTCTCCAACGGCGACTGCAAGTGGTAATTTTCCACCAGTTTTCCTTCTTGTTCTTGAGGCAACCACTTTCTGTCTTCAACTAGTGCTGCCGCCTCGCTAGCATAGGCACCATTGACAGGTTGAGGTGGCAGCGGCTGCGACTGCGCAATTCTGCTGGATCTGGTCTGTGCTATACCATTGTCGTACTGTCTCAATCTTTGTGAATCTATTGCGGCCTGTAATTCCGCCAAACGCTGCTCTAGAACTGTGACGCGAGTGTCGGTGCGTTTCCGCCTTTGCCTGGGCGCGACTGTCTTGAAAACGCATTCGTTATTGGTTTTCAAGCAGCGCTTACACTTGTTATGCTCGGCAAACGTATCCAACGAGCAACGAAGCTTGGATGTACGGCATGAAAGGCAAGCAGTCTTTTGCATCTTGAAATGATGAGTATTCGTGTTTCCCAAGGAAAATTTAGAATCCGTGTATCAACTCTCGGGGTGTTAAAAGACAGGTTGCCTCCGCCGCCGAAGTCTCTCAGGAACCGCCTGGCTGTACCACCAATCATCTCAAGCGTCCAAGATCCGCACACGACCCTGGATCCGAGCTGCCCCTATGCTGGTATATCGAACAGAGAGGTTTTCCCGGGGTATGAGTGTCCGGATGGTCCAGAGAAGCTAAATTTCGTGTGACTAACTGGGTTTGGCAAATGATCCATATCAGGGTCGCGTCGTGGTGTACGGGATTCTGCAGTCTATGGTGGACTCCAGCTCGGTGTCAATGCCACCGGGTTGTCCGTTGATCAAATCGGTTCCCGCAAAATCGCATCTCCTCCGAATAATAATCTTGATGGGGATGATGCTATGAGACAAATTGAGAGAAGCTTTCATGTTTTGTATACTCCTGTATATCCGATTGATGTCGGATATAGGCATCGAAGGCAGCGAAAAGTGAGCCCAGCATTATCGATATGGCGTCGACGCGGACATCTCGCTCTTCCGGCGAGAATTTCTTAACCAATAAGAGAAAGCCGCAATGGATCATTTCGGCGCTAAATTGCCTGACAGGAATCTTTCGGTATCCGCCTGTAAGCACCGTAAAACTTGGCCCCAGAATTTTAATCGAGAGCTCCCACATTCGTGAAACCCTATGGCCCAGCTTTTACTGGACGTTTTAATGGCAGCCTTTGTTTGTCTTCTGCAGATATCAGAATGAGCACGTCATCTTTGTTCACTACCTACCTATGATCCTTTGAATGTGGATAGACAACGTGGTCATAGATCAGCACAGTGATGTTTGTACCCCCACCCGCCTCTCCCCAACGGACAGATATTGAATGGATATCAGCTCTATATAGAACAGTAGATTTGGTAGTCATGGATCTCAGGTCTAGATACTTAGGCCCGTGCTAACAGTCGCGCTGACCGCTTAGTCCAAGTCATTTTCCCGCTTAGTAAGGTGTTGCGGTTGATCTTGCTCCATACTGATGAAATTTCGAAGCTTCAAGTCGCGGAATTATATTTCTTACCCTAGACCTTAAACATACACACCGGAAAAATGAGAATCAAGGGTTGCTTTGTAGTATAGCTAAGAATGACTTCTCATATTACAGATTAAGGGGTTTGATTCAATTTTTATGTTGTCGGGACCCATAACAGACGCCGACCTATTTGGGCTTGTCTGTCTATTACAAGCCGTCCAAAATGTCAACGTGCCATTACAAGACTGACTGAACTCACTTTGAGGATAACAGTGACAACATTTGACCACTATTGATACAAACAATGCGATTCTAAAAAATACCAATTTCGATGCATCTCCGTGATCAAGAGCTTCACACTCGCTCAGACCCAATAATTGCACGTGATAAGAGAGAAATCCACCTACTCCGCCCTTTGGTTGACATTTGACATTTTGGGCGAGCTTACGGGGTAGCATCCGCACATATACATCCCATTAGAGCCAGAGCGATATGTACAAGTATACTCGTGCCTGGATCTTGATCTTGTAAGTATTAGGTTGTATTCAATACTTTGCTCTTTTTGCTACTCATTGCGGTCCTTACCGGTCTCTTCAACATGGCGATTCGTGTGCGCAAGTCCACTGAGGACGATCTCCCTGCCATTGCTCGCATAGCTGCGGCAGCCTTTCACCCGGAAACGGATGCCATTGCAGCCCGGTTGTTCCCTGCTCGACTCGCTGGAGGGGGTGAAGCCTATTCATGGCGGTATGCCAAAAAGACAGCAAGCCTGAGTTCCACAGATGCCGTCATGGTTGTAGCCGTCGATGACTCCCTAAACGACCAAGTGGTGGGATTTGGCCTGTGGGATGTGTACCAGCACTCCAAGTCTGAAAAGGCGGCCAATCAACCCCAGTCTGCCGCTCAACAACTACCGCCACCCTCGTTTGACCAGGCGGCTTATGCAGAGCTGCGCGCTATTGTTTCAGCCGACCACCAGGAGATGTTCGGAGAAAGAGGCATCAAGGACGTCTGGCGTAAGTTTTCTGCCTCCCTGAAATTCTCCGTGCCATTATCCGAAATTGCCCAAACGGGTAGCTAACAGGAGCTTTCCCGGCTCACAAGATCTTGATTACCTCGGGGTGGACCCGCAGCAGCAGCGGAAGGGAATCGGGAAGATCCTCCTAGACTGGGGCATCAGCCGGGCTGCAAGTGAAGGAAAGGACTGCTACCTGCTGGCGACGCCTGCCGGGAAGACACTGTACGCGAAGACGGGCTTCGAGGAGGTGAGGACGGTGCCAATATTTGGTGTTTTGCACACCTCCATGATACTTAGACACGGCAAATGATGATCTGCACGAAGTACTGTACGAGCATGAGGAAATGACAAGTAGCTACCAGTACGAGTATTCCCATCCGACCTCTCACAAGACATTGTGCAAAGGCATACGGAATTATCCCCTGGTCAATTTCAAATTTAGTAGATCGCAGTCGGCACTGGGCGGCGCTAGGAAACATTGTTGAAATCTGTCGGCCGAAAGCTTGGGGCTGTCCTCGGCATATTCATACACCCATGTCCGAGTTGGCCGAGCCTCGCCTTTTCAACCTCAATATCCCTCCCCCTTACATCACTGTGTTTCAATCTCCCTTGCATTGCTCCATCCAAGCGCTGTATCCCTTGATGTAACTCCAACCCACCACCCGAGATTTGCTTTTTGCGATACCGCCGAGACATTCCCAAGCCATGGACCAACGACAGCATGAACCTTACCGCCGCCGGAGACCCGCGCTCTCATGTCTTGAATGTCGGAGACGCAAGCTCAAGTGCGACCGAAGTAACCCTTGCGGCCGCTGCGTCTCGACTGCGACACAGTGCAATTACAGGATCCATCAGCAGAAGCCTGGAGCTAGGCATCGGCAAACTCGCCGGATATCCAGCTCCTCAGTGCCAAGCCCGGCAGCTGCCCCTCCAGCCTCGCCGCCATCACAAGTCGACGCAGTCAGGCGTACTTGTAATGTGACTACGAGTAATAGGGAGGCATCAGACGATGGCGGCCGGGAAAATGAGACAGGTGGCGCCACGGCATGGACGCTTGGGCCAAATGACTTGTCAAACACACCAGGTGCAAATGAGATCCAAAATCCGAGTCGCTCCCGGTTCGTGGATCCCGAGCTCCATCATCTCAGGGAGCGGGTACAGAGGCTTGAGCGGTCCCTTGTACATGTTCCCGTACACGATTTATCCCAGGCTGGCAGAGATGTCCTCGCTGGTGAGTCGGGTATGCCGGATGCCCGTATCATCTTGAATAAAACCAGAATTATGAGATGGAGCCATTGGGTTGGCATAGCCAAAGAGGTACAGTCTATAGCTTGTATATGTGTTGTAAACTTTTGGGATACTCACATTTGTTATGCAGTTTGCCCCCATCATCTCCTGTTATGGTGCGATCTGTGGCTATGGAGATATGAACTCGTTACAGAGCGCTGAAACTAGAGCGCTGATTGTCGAGACCAGCGGCTTGCTCCAGAAATGCAAAAGCGTGGCTAGAAATCTCAAGATTGGGCGACCTAGTAGATGCCTTTCGTCGCTGAGCTTTGATCTGACGCCCCCTTCCCGTGAGGTAGCAGACAAGATGACAGCCTTGTATTTCCAGTCATTCGAGTCAACGCACCGGATTCTACATGAGCCGACATTTTGGAAAGTATACAATAGATTCTGGAGCAACCCCGAGAGTGCTTCATCCAAGCTACGTCTCCAGGTTCTTCTTGTCATTGCGATAGGGTCCAGTTTGGCTCCGCATGTGGAATCCGATGCCGGACTTCGCCATACGGTGCATCAATGGATATACGCAGCTGAAACCTGGCTCTCTGGACCGCTGGAAAAGGATCGCCTCGACATCTCCGGGCTGCAAATACATTGTTTGGTCATGCTGGCTCGGCAAATCTTTTCCATTGGAGGGGACCTCGTCTGGATATCGTCCGGTTCGCTCATCCACCGGGGGATGCAAATTGGTTTGCATCGGGACCCCAAGCATCTGCCTCCCATGTCTATATTGCAAGCGCAGCTGCGTAGAAGATTATGGGCTACGATATTAGAGCTTGTTGTTCAATCGTCGCTCGACTCAGCATTGCCGCCGAGGATCTCTTTCGAGGAATTTGATACAGAGCCACCAGCTAATAGTAATGACAATGAGATAAGAGAGTCGGCGACTGAACTGAAGCCTCACACCAAGGAGACCTTTACTAGTACTTCTATGCAGCTCATCCTCCTTGATTCGCTACCGATGCGGCTTCAGATTCTTAACCTCCTGAACGGCCTAAACTCCGAGCTGTCCTACCTAGACGTGCTTGACCTAAGCACAGATATCCTTCAAACTTGTCGTCAGTGGAATGCTTTCGCAAGAGAAAATAAAGCCTTTGGTGTAACCCCATTTCACCGAAATTTACTCGACTACCTTTTACGTCGTTTTCTAATTCCCCTTCATTGTCCCTTTGCTAACAAAGCGCGAATGAACCCGTTGTTTCATTATTCTCTCAAGGTTAGCATAGATACCGCCACGACCATAGTCTCTCCTGAGCCAGATGAAGGATTCTCTAATCTTATGGCGATTGGAGGAGGACTGTTCAGAGAGGGTATTCGATATGCGACGAGCATTATTAGTCTCGAGCTTCTCGCTCAGGCCGAAACTCAGTATCTCGATGGGACCCTGCACCGCAACTCGCATTACATGAACCCGCTTAAAAAAGTCATAGAAGAAATGAAGTCCCTGTCATTGGAGCGGATTCGTCAAGGCGAGACGAATGTCAAGAGCTACATGTTCTTATGCATGATCACGGCACAAGCGGAAGCCACGGAAGAAGGCATATCCAGTGAAGGGCGTATTGCCAAGAGTGCAAGGGATAGCATTTCGTTGTGCTTGGAGCTGCTGCAAAATCGTCTTGGTACTACTTCTTTATCAATGCCTACGACAGATATCGAATCAACAAGTATTGATGAAAGAGAGGACTACACCTATGGATTGGACTTTGACATGGACTTTTTCTTGGCGGATACAGGATTTACTTGAGTTGTTGATACCTCCGTAAGGAAGGACTCATCACAACTAACATAGTGTATTACAAATATGCTAATGCATGTTTCGACTGTAAGTTGTATAAGTATTCGACCCCTTGTACAAAAGTAATGGTCGCGTCATGCCTCTATGATCGTTACGCAGATATAACGCAGCGGTTATAATTACTATTTCGAGAGAGAAAATGTAACACATTTCATGCATGCTTTAGCCCACCCGCATGAGTGACGGAATCGTGAGAGATTTTATAAATGATATTTTTTAAAAGGGGCCATTAAAGAACTGTTATGCGATGCTCCAGTTGCGCGGTGATCGCCCCCCTCGGCCGAAACGGCAACGGCGGATATATCGCTCGGCAATGTTTTGCGGGTTCAATATACCGAGACAACAGTTAGATGTAGGCGAGCAACACATATATAATCCTTCCATGGTGCTCTCATCTGTTATTTAGCTCGAAAACTTTTGTTAGCAACATTCTCATCTCAGCCACGGTCTCATCCGTACGCCTCCTACTCTTCGCCGATTCAACAAGAGCGTCTAAACTAGACTCACACAACTTCGGCTTCAACATCAACTTACAAACACCAATGGCACAAATGAAAGTGTTAATCAGCGGTGCTGGCATCACTGGAAATGCCCTCGCTTACTGGCTCTCCAAGTTGGGCCACGATGTCACCGTTGTTGAACGCTTCCCTGAACTTCGAACCACTGGTCTCCAAGTTGATCTCCGAGGTCCTGGCGTCGAGGTTCTGAAGCTCATGGGCTTTGATCAAGCTTTCCGGGCCAAGTCGGTTCCAGAACAAGGATTTCTCATCGTCGATAGCGCGAACAGACGACGCGCCTATTTCGGAGTAAACAAGTCAGGCAAAGGGTTGCAGAGCTTCACCACCGAATATGAGATCATGAGGGGTGACTTGTGTCGTATCATGTACGATGTTATAAAGGACAAGGTCACTTTTCGCTTCGGGGTCTCGATTGATAGCTTCAAACAAAAGAACAACGAGGTCGAAGTTCACTTTACCGATGGTACAACGGATCATTTCGACTTCTTGGTTGGTGCTGACGGCATGGGCTCAAATACCCGCAAACTCATGTTGGGCCCCGGTGTTCAAGACGCATTGCGTCCAGTTAAGGGTGCCTACACGGCATACTTTACGATTCCTCGCCCCATTCAAAAGGGCGAAGAGTACAATTCTACATTTTACCTGGCAACTGGAAGGCGAGCTATCATGACGCGGAGACACAGCCCACAGGAGATCCAGGTATACCTCCCTTGCAACACGACCTCTGATCGAATGAAGCAGGCACACCGAGACGGAGTAGACGAGCAAAAGAAAGTGCTAGCAGAGATTTTTGACGATGCAGGATGGGAGGCAAAAGACATTCTGCGAGATATGTTTAACTCGGAGAACTTCTACTGTGAACGGCTCGGTCTCGTTAAACTCGACTCTTGGTTCAACGGCAATGTCGCGCTTGTTGGTGATGCTGCTTACTGTCCTTCGCCGCTCACCGGCATGGGAACAACTTCTGGTCTTGTAGGAGCTTACGTCTTGGCTGGAGAGATTGGTCGTCACTGTGGGAAACCAAAGGACGGAGCCAAGGCGCCTACTGATGGTCTTGATGTGGCGTTTAAGAGCTATGATGACAAGTTTAGGCCATTCATCGACCAGGTAACACACGGAGTGGGCGATGACACAATCTTTTGGAACCAGATGCCATCGTCGGCATTTGCTGTTGCGCTCGTCAACTTGATTCTTGGAATAGCGGCATTCCTAAGGTTGAATGTAGTCGGAAACTGGATTCTGAAGGAGAATGTGAAATGGACACTTCCTAACTATGATGAGCTGATGAGAAGTTGATGGACCGGCTACTTTTTAATGTGTTTAACAAAACTGGCAGCATAAAACATATGACGATGTCCCTTACAAGGGCAACGGTCCAGTATCTACGCTCCACCTATCATTTAGTATCTCTATATTTTCTATCTAATCTACTTTCTTATACAAATGAAACAACTGTATTTCTACCGACTTTATACACCTCAATACTACTTTCTTCTAAGTGGGTGCTATATTCTCGGCAGGATATGTATAAAAAAAATATTACAAGACAAGCTTCTCATTCGCCTTTGAACTTTTTGCCAAACAGAACCATCTGAAGCTGATCATAGATTGACAAAGCACCGGCTCCAGCAACACCACGAAGAATATTTGCCCCGGCACCATTAAAGAGAGCTCGTACTCCATTTTTCGCAATAATTTGTCTGGCAGCATCGAAGGAGCTCTTATACTTGACTGCTTCTCCCGAGGTCATCATCATACGTCGGCGGATCGTGTCTAGGGGGTAGGCAGCAATGCCCGCTGCTGTGGTGACAAAGTATCCCAGACAAAATGAGGCCAAAAAATTGTTCTCCAGAGCACCGATAAGAACAAGCGGCTTGAAAGAGTCGTACATGCCAAAGTAAAGACCACGATAAACAACAGCGCCAAGGACGGACGGGAAGAAGCCGCGGTAGAGACCGACTATGCCATCTGATGCCAATGTTTTTCGGTATACGTCGATAAATCCATTGAACTGGCGTTGTCCTCCTTTCTTCGCGTCATTCGCCAACCGAGTCCGTGTGTAATCAAGAGAATAGACAAAGAGCTGGCCAGTCGCTCCGGCAGCGCCTCCGGAAGCCAAATTTCCTACCATCCACATAGCGTACCCGTCACGATCTTTCTTATAGCCAAACATCTTCTTAAATTTGTCGCGAAAAGCAAAGTTTAGGGCCTGTGTGGGGAAATACCGAATCACATTTGCAGTGTTGCCGCGCCACAAGCTGGCAAAACCTTCATCAGCTATTGTACGCTTGAAGCATTCGCCTATGCCGTTGTATCTACGATCTAGGCGACCGACTTTGATCATTTCATCTTGGTTCTGGATAAGGAGCTTGACTCGCTCGATGGGAGCAGCAGCGGTCTTGGAGACGGCAGCAGAGACACCTCCCATGAGAAAGTCGGCCATGAAGGGCGGCATCCCCAGGATCTTCTCAGAGGGTTGAGCAGAAAGAGCCATTGGGAATATTGTAAATGAACTTGATAAGAGAGCGTAGAAATAAAATCTGAATGTGATTGACAGAGAGAATGAAATAGAGTCCAGTGGCAGCATAGAGGATAGATCGAATTCAGTATAAATACGTATGCTTTACAGAAATAATCGATACGTCACCGGTCCTCAAGTCATTTTATCCTATCCCCCGTGTATGTTCGGAAGAGGCAATCGAAGACCAGGTGTTGTCCGTATCGGCGCTCCGGACCCTTTTATACGCTCCGGACCCCGGACCTGCGGCAAAATGGATCGGACAGGTTCACGGATATCCGCTCATGTCCTCAAAAGGACGCAGGCACGGGCTACAACTAATCAGAATTCATGTCATAATATTAACATTTTGAGGGTTTATAATTTTATTCTTTGGTCAGTACTTGCGAGTGTGTGCGAAATACATTGATTCGCTACTATTTGTTGCTTGTCCATTCATTCCGTTGCTGGCTGAAAAACCGTCATGCTGCCCCTGCTCCATAGTGGGACTACCTTCAAACTTTCAATCTTCCACTCGGACCCCTGTTGAGCAACCGTTGCTTCATATCGACACTTGACTATCAGAGAGCTATCCTGGGAGTCGGAGTGAAAAGCCTGTCCTATCTTGATGTGTTGAGATTCTGAGTAGCAAGTGATACTAGCGGCAGTGTTTTGCTCATTCAACTTAACCAAGAAATTAGTCAAGGAGTGAGTGGTTTCCATAGTCGTGCCGACTGCACTCATGCAAGCGCTGGTAATCTCTTTACGTCCTTGAATCGGCTTGTAGTCCATCCCAAGGACTGAAAACGGGCTGAGGTCGATTGTAGCATCCTCAGCGAAACAAAATTCGAATAGGTTTTCGTCGGCACGATCTAGGGCGTCTGCGTATCGCAGCACGACGTCAATTGCCGCTTGTCTAGCGAGGATCTCTGTGATGCAACCCATACTGATTAATTGAAGCTTTCAACAATTGGGTGAACTCGAGAGAAGCAGACGGCATATTCGCGGCTATTTATGCGATACATTTTGCGGCCAGCAAGCGTAGTCTATATTACTCCGAGCGTGTTGGTATGCGGCGTCGTTCATCAAACTCGCGGCTGGTTCACATTTGGATCAAGTGTCCAGGTGATTGTTCAGGCAAACAAAGTTGTCTCCATCTCAAATATTATCCAAGAACAAAGCGACGTCTAGCAATGGAATCTTGCTCTCATAGCCATGCACAGCAATTTCTTCATTGCACATGGTGTCCCAATAAACGCAGGATGTTTCCTCTTTGGTATCAGCCCAACGCCTCGGTCCATCCCTGACGTCTAGATTGACTTCATCAAACAAGGGTATGAGTAGTATCAATGTGTTAGTGCTTTTGACGCCACCCCAGCGAAGGGAGTGAAGGGCGTGAGAATATCATATCCACCTGATACTATGGTCAAAGCTTCGGAGCTATCGTAGTCCACCGATCGTCGATCATGACCCATCATTATCTATTCTATTATATATTAACTCACCCTCACTCCTCATTACTTCCAACCCTCTTGCTAGAATCTCATCGGACATCAGCCACCGACCTCAGCCACGTCTTGATCAAGTTGAAAGACAAAAATGTCAACCATGGAGCCGAACGCCGAGCCAAGCCGAACGCCGAAGCCGAGAGCCGCGAATCCTCTGCTCACTCCTCACATCGTAGGCATTCGGCGTTCCGTATTCACATAACTCATGAGGCGATTCAACTGGAACACCGCGGTGGTGGACCCATATATCACTTTTCACAATGAACAGTGCCTCTCCCAATTTCGTTGTTCCCTCTGAAATCCCCCGGAGACGGAATGGGCGTCCACAGGCCTGCGAGCCGTGCCGCCGGCGCAAAGTCGCGTGTGACCACCGGCTTCCCATTTGCTCGCGCTGCATCCGCAAAAGTACTCCCCAAAGCTGCCGATACCTCATCCAGGGGCAGCTCGTAACACCGGCTTTGCCCTCAGGTGTCACTAGAAGCCAATCGGCTGAGCTGCTTAATGAACGGCAACCCAGAGAACCAACAGGGCCAAACCCGACTACATTAAGCCCGTCAACGTTGGAAGATCTCTCCCCTCCGGATGAAAATGTTGGCTATCTCGGGGCAACCAGCTTCCCAGAATTCTTTCGCGAGACTCAGAAGCACCTTGACTACGTAGTTGGCCCTGAGCCGGTGCGTGATGGTCTAGCGGGTAAGACTGAAAACAACATGACTTTGGCCAAGATGGGGCCAGACGCAGCGGCATTCGAGGCTGCCTTTGCGTTGCTCCGGCTGATTCCAACTAAAGAGGCAGCACAATTTCTTCTCAGGCGGAATGTGAACCCCAATGATGCCTGGTGCCGCCTTGCTTTGGATCGTCTGCACGCCACTCTGTGGTCGGCATTGGGCCACTTCCTCGAGGGTGAGAGGAGTAACGAAGCAATGTCACAGCTGGCAATGCTACTTTTCCAGAACAGTTCCAAACCCCTCAAGGAAGACTTTTCAGATCCAGACCAGTGGTTTGAGGCCTTCTCCGGTGCTAATTTTCGGTGGGAAGGTCTGGGCATCTTGTTCACGTTTTGGATGTTTGGGTCTGCCTCCCTCACAGAGAACGGCACCGTTGAGCAACGCAAGTGGCTCGGACACTACAATCGTAAAAATCTTATGCAAAAGTACAAGGATGGTGCCACAAGAAGCGTTTACCTTTGTCGTCTGACGAGCTGCAACAACACAATGATGGTGTACCTCTTGCACATGCATAGTCTTGCTGAGTCGCTCATCACGGGTGATACAGGTAGGTGTCTTTGGATCTCATATTCGTCTCAGAGGTGCTTAAGCTATCTCCTATCATTTGGTGCCTAACTGCTATAAACAGGTGCGGAATTTTGGCGTCATCATGCTGAAGCCGTCGCTTTGGCCACCTTTCTTGGCCTCCACACGGCTCAGCCGAACAACTCAGTTCCAGAGGAGTGTGTATCTGTCCAGGTCAAACGGAGACTCTTCTGTTCCGTTTTTAATATTGACATGGTGGTTTCTACTTTGACAGGCCGGCCTCCATTAGTCAGTAGCAAGCTTTGCTCGACGCCGTTGCCTCTTGACGTGAGTGATGAATCATTGCTTAATCTCAAAGTTCGGCCGCACCGGCTGGACAAGGACGGATGGAATATGGAAGGGAAGAACCATCCGGTGACGTTCCTACGAGCTGCCTATATAATCGCGGGGATAAGAAGTGAAATTCTCGAGATTGTGCTCCAGGCGCCTCATGTCACCACCCAGCATAACTTTGAGTAAGTTGATACCATTACACCTGAACTAAGAAACTTCTCTACTAACACCAAAAGTGCTATGCGGAAACGAGAATTGGCTATTTTCTCTCTATTTCCACCCGGATTGCAATTCAAGAACGAGGATTTCACTAATCCCTCCGTCGATGCTCCCACCCTTTACATCAGGCTGTTGACACGACTTGAGCATCTAAGCAACCTTTTCTTCATTGAGCGACTCTCATATAGAGGAAGCATCTTATACACCCCCCAAATGCTTGAAATCAGTCTGGAAATGATAACACTTACCCTCTCCTTCTGGACGCAGCAAAATCGTCTCGAAGGCCTCCAGGGCGACTACGAGTGGCTTGTCATGCTACACGCCGCGCCTGCAGCCGGTATTTTGTGCATGGAGCTTTTGAAACAGCCTTCCAGCACTGAGCCACCAACAATGACTACAATCACAAAGCCCATGATCATAAAGCAACTCAGTTTGCTCATTGGTTTCCTTGAATGGATCGGACCGGGAGCACCGGGTGCTCATCTGTGCAATAGCATCAAGACTGTAGTTGAACGGGTGATGGAGCAAGCTCTGAATCCCGCGATTCCAAGGCCCGTAACTCAACAGGAGTTCGACATGACATGGGACACGAGTTTACCGGAAGATATGAGCGATTTCAATTTCGGTCTACTAGACACGTTTGACTGGCTGAGGCTTCCACCGAATACAATCTAGGCTGCTTGGAACTAGAAGCGTTACTCGCTGGTCTGAGTTCTTTCTTCTTTTTTGATGTTATATGTTTTATGCGCTTTAGGTTGAGACGTTTGGATCAAACATGCCTTGAGTGTGGCAATTAATTTGTGCGCATCGGAACGAATTTTTTTTCTCATGATTGGAACGAAATTAATAGTTTATGAATCGGAACGAATCGATATACCAAATTGACACGACGGATGGGAATGAAATGATACATTGTGCGACTAAAATTTTAGGACCAACTAGTATTAATAGATGGCTTCTGTTGATACCTGCTCCATCCTACTTCAAGCTCTCTTACCACGGCTCGGTTCCATCGATGTTGGTAAAAGTCCCCGTAGGACCATCCTTGTCGAGAGTGGCCAATGCTACAGCCCTCACAGCTCCCTCTTCCACATCCATGGCGACAGACAGGTGGTTGTTGAATGCCGTTTTGCGGAGTCCAGGACAGCAGCAGTTGACCTTCCAGCCTTCCTTCTCAAACAATGTTGAGTAACATGCCCCAATCATGTTTGCTGCAGCTTTGCTAGACTTGTACGGTATAGAGGCGTTGTGCTGATAGTACTTCCATGAAGAGTTCAGCGTATTCCCAAAGGAGCCCATCTCTGAGGTAATAAACACAATTCGTGGGACTGAGCCTTGGTCTGCAGCTTTCTGCAACAGAGGAATAGTAGCGTCTGTCATCTCCATGGTGCCAAACACATTGACATTAAACAATGCGGCCATTTTGGCCCTAAGGCTAGGTAAATCTTCCACTGCATGTCTTCCAATGCCAGCATTGTTGATTAAGACATCAAGCTTGCCGTACTCGCGATCAATTTGCGCCGCACAGGCCGCAATTGACTCATTTGAAGTAATGTCAACTTCAATTGGAGAAACTGAGCCAGCAAGCTTCTCGATCTTTGATATAGCTTCTACGCCTCTTGAGAGAGCTCGGCAACCAAGAAGGACATGATAGGTGGGCTGCTCCGCCACAAGCTTCTTCACAATCTCGTAGCCAATGCCCTGGTTGCCTCCGGTAACAAGCACAACCTGTTTAGTTGCGGGGTTGTCAGCCATTGAAATTGACTACCTAGTATTGCCAGGTTGCGAGACTCATAAAGGGCTGCTTATGTGTGGTTGTCGGCGCGCTTAATAATGATGAAGTGAGAATATGTAATAAAGATTCCAAAGACAGGACAGCAAAATGCAACCCAAAGAAGCTCTGTAGCAAGCTGAATGCAGTCATGCTAATTGCTCAGCGGCTTACTCATCTCCACAATGCCTCTCAATTACTGCAAGCTCGCTTGGTATCGGGGCTTTTCCTGTTCTCCGGCATAGACTCGCGCTAAAGTCGCGATCCGCATTGGAGTTTTCGGTGTCCGCACGAGAGGAATAGGCTTAGTACAAGCCTAGAACTGCCTGTCATCAGCGCATAATAGCAATAAGAGGTGGGTTGCTAAACGGCCTCAACTAACCACAACTAGCGGGATCTGTTAACGACAAGGCTACGATACACGCGTGCAATACAGATCCCGGTAATTGCTCATTTTCTATTATATCAGTTAGGTGTTTTTGATATATATATGGGTTACATTCCGTATGGCGATGTAAAATTATCATCGGCACATTATCATTGTGTACATACCAGCTTTAGAGTAGGCAATCAAAGACAGAGACGTTCCCTATTATCCAACACTCGCCATGACAGATTTCAGTTACCTCGCCGGGCCTTCAAAGGAATGGACAGCATACATAACTCGGAACCCAATGCCCAAGGTTGACGTTATATCAACCGAATTTCGTCGCGTCCACAATGCCCAACGATACGCAGCCAGAGATGCAGCCATGAAGGCCCTCGGCGACCATCAAGTCACATGGGAAACAAGAACAATACCGACAGCAGACAGCCTCGAAATCCCGATTCGAATCTTTCGCTCGCCTACCCGCAAGGAACGAGCCTCCGTCTTAATCTACTACCATGGCGGCGGGTTCTTGACAGGCTCAATCTCAACTGAAGATCCCTTCTGCATATCCTTAGCCCGGGACACTGGGTTTACGGTTATTAGCGTCGGCTACCGGGTGATACCAGAGTGGAAAGCTCCTACGCAATTTAATGATGCCTGGGATGCTCGCAGTTGGGTGGTTGACAATACAGCAGACTTGGGATTCTCAGAAGACTTTGATCTATACGTCGGAGGTACTAGCGCTGGGGCTTTCCTGGCAGCAAGTGTTGTTCAAAGAGAAAGAGAGGTATGTTTTGGTGATATTATTACTATGAAGTGAATTGCAGAGTATAGCTGACGTCTGATAATAGCTGGGTGAATCACATATCAAAGGCCAACTCCTCGCCGCACCTTGGCTCTGTCTCCCAGAAAACTTTCCCTTTGACCACAAAGTCGGCGACAAAACTTCGCATATACAATGTCGCGATGCTGACTTCCTCCATCAATCCCACATTGAGCAATACCGTATCCTGATGGGAGTGCCGGACGAATATCGCGATAGCTTGCTCTTGAATCCTCTTCTATTTGATGAGAAGAGCAGCATCAAGAATTTGCCTCCCACGCACATTATGGTCTGTGGAGGCGACCCCTTGCGGGATCAAGGCATGATTTATCAACAGAAACTTGATCGTATGGGGTAAGATATCATAGTGCTATCCTTCTTCGGTTAAACATAACTTTTCTGGACGAGGTCATTGCTAACGAGAGCTTTTTTAGAGTTCCCACAAAGCTGAATACTTATGCAGGATATCCACACGTCTTCTGGATATTTCCAGGTCTTGCCATGAGTGAAACATGGTATCGCGATCTATTAGAAGGCCTCCAGTGGTTGACTGAAAAGCAAGAGAATGTTCGCAACTAGTACAAGGAAATAGACAATGATAGCATATAAATCATAAACATTCATTTATTCATTCTTCATTTGCCGCCTCGCGGTAGTATCTAGAAATAATAGCATATCTTAATAGCCACTCTGGCCCAGGTAAGCAGCCATGACACCACCATGGCTCTGCCAGCCACCGGCATTCGCCGTATCAACGACCTCTGCCACGCTCTTCCCCCTTTCAGACTCCAGCACCATGGTTCGTACATTGTGCGTGCTGACGCCATAGCTGTACAACTTCTGGTTGTCGGCGTAGATGACGGCATTCTGTTGGCATTCAGCCTTGCAGCCATCGCGGTTGATACCGTTAAAGAAGACCCAGTATCCGCCTCCGTAGGCATTGATGTTGCTAGAATCGTGGATATACTGGAAGATAGCCATACGGCACTGAGCGTCATCGGGAGCGCACCAGCTAAAGTCCGGGTCGCTATCAAGCAGGGAGCCGGTCCATGGCAGCGGCGTCAAAAGGCCCGAGTTGTTTCCTTGCCAGTATGGCGTCTCGCTCTGCTGGAAGCCCAAGAAGACATTCTGCGCCTTGTAGATGTTGATCTGGTACAGAGAATTGTGCTCGCTGCCGATGCCCAGCATCCAGGTAGCCCTGATAGATTCAACCAAGAAACCACCAGCTGTCGATGGGTTGGCACCGTTATCATCGTCAAGATCGTGGTCGGCACTCCAACACCAGCTGTTCTCCCAGTATGAAGACGACAAGGCAGTGAGATGAGCACAAACGCGCGCTGCCTTGCATGTGGCAGGATCATCGCAGTTCGTCTGAACCTTGGATCCCCGAGCTCCTCCAATACGGAAGTGGGTGTTGAAGAAACCCACGTCTCCGGCCTTCAAGCCGGCCATGTTAACCTCGACGAGCTCGCAGCCGGGAAGAATGTCTGCAACGGTGAAGAGCATGTCGACAAACTGGGCAACGCCGAGCTGGCCAGGCTTTCCGACCTGAACCATGGGAACCGGCTTATTGGCGTTCTTGAACTTGTTGCCCGTGGCACTAATCTCAGACCAAACTTCTCCATGGAACCTAGAGTCCTTATTAGCCTCTTTTCTTTTCTCTATGACCAGTGTTGAATCAATCCCATCAGGATGTCTCCTACTTACCGGCTTCCAGGGGGGACCACAATGGTGTCGCTGACGAGATACGTTCCATGAGGGAAGTAGATGACCTTTTTGCCAGCAGCTTGGTTAATGATCTTCTGAAGGTTCTTGGTACTGTGAACCTTGTCAGCTTAATTCTCTGAAGCAGTTGTTGAGCGGACTTTGGTTAGAGCTTACTCGTCTGTAACACCATCACCAGCGACCGGCAGCCCGTGAACAGTCTTGACATTAATCACCTGGTCCAAGCTATACTCTTGGAAGGTTGGCGGAGGAACTGCGTGGTATTTTCCGGTGATATCTACAAGTGCCGCAGGACGAGATGCAGGGAAGAATTTGCCTTGAGCGCGTTGGCCGCTTGAGGGTCCGTAAACGTTACCCCAGATCCAAGACTGACCGGGCTTGACAGAACCCTTGAGAACATTAATTCCTCCAGCAGTGACGGTCTAATAGAGGCCGTTAGTCTCTCTTCGTTGGGTTTGAGTAGCATTAGAAGATAAACTTACAGATCCAACGGTCTTGTCCACTTGGACGTTCTCGAGCACCATTGATCCTTGGGCGGTGGGGGAGGCTGCCGCATTCCATAGAATGCCGACATTCTTGGCTGTCGAGTCGATAAGGGCAAAGAATCCGGTGTTGTTGTTTGTCGTCTCGATGCCGACCTTGCATGACTCAAAGATCAAACCCTGGCCGGTTCCTTCGAAGAGCTTGTCAAGCTTCAGGCCAATATCTTGGTCTATATGAGGCAATTTGTTAGCAAAACTCTACTGTCATACGAAGAAGGTTAGATATCATTCTGGTATAGATCACTTACTCTTGAAGGTGATTCCTTTAAAGTGATACTGCTGCTCGTTCATGCGAATGCCAACAGATCCGCCCTGGAATACAACATCGTTGATCATCAAAGGCGAGCCGCCCTGAGGCATCGACAATCCAGTGTGTGCCACGCCTCCAATGGGCATGTTGAACAGAACGTTGGTAAGCTGCACAGCCTGGCTCACGGCCCAGTTAAGAAGCGTAATGTTGTGAGCCAGGGGCACCTTGGTAGAGTCTAAGACAACATTCTTCAGCCCAATGTAGAAGTTGATGGTCGAGTCATAGCCGGGGTCATAGCCCAAGTAGAGGAAGGGATCGGTAAAGTCGGAAGAGGCTTGAAGCACTGGTCTGTTGGTAGGATCACCCATAACAACAGTATCAACATACGACTGGAGAGGCTTGCTCAGACGGTATGTGCCAGCTGGGATGTAAACAACAGCTGGGGCGCCGGTTGTACCCCAGGCACCCGAGCTGCGCTTCTCTGTGGCATTGGCATAATCAAAGGCAGCTTGGATGGCAGCCCAGTCGTCAGTGACACCGTCTCCCTTGGCGCCAAAGTCCGTCTTGACGTTACGGAAGACTTTCCAGTTTTTGCCGTCCGGGATAAAAGGGCTGATGCCGTTGTGCTGGATTTTCTCGTACCAGTAGCCCGATGAGTGTCTGGCCTCGATGCCTTCAGCCGGTAGAGAACTACCAGCTGCAACAGCAGCCAGGCCGAGGAAGAATGGCGTGAATCGCATCTTTCCAGAGGGTCAACAGGTGAGATCAATCCCAAACCTGCTGTTTCTTTGTTCCCCTGTGCCTCAATTGGATTGCTGGAAGAGCCAGTTCCTCCTCTGTAACCGCTGAGAGGACCTCCCACGCCCTTTTATAGATGCATTGATCACCTCATCATTCGCCTTCACCCCAGAAGCCCTGCTGGCAGAATCGGCAAATGGACGGACGGACATTCCAAGCCTGGCAGCATTTGCAGAGCATCACAAGGTCCTATGTCTGCAGAAACTCCAATCCAATCCATGTCTGCGGGCCACTGTTTGCGGAGAAGGGCAGCAAACAAGCATGTCATGGTCGACCCATTCGGCACATTCGCCTCGACCTGCCACCCCTTGTCGTGTCCGGGGGATCTCATCTCATCGTTTGTGCCGACAAGGCTAGGCCAACCAAGTCTTTTGAAGGGGGAAAACTGACATCTCGGCCCTTTTCCTGCTGGCGTGCGGGGGAAGCTCAAGCTAACAATGGACGATGCAGGGGAACAACCGCATATCCCCTGATGCTTCCCCACGCAACGCGGATACTTTTCGCCGTCATCGCAAGGGGAACCGGATGTTGTTTCCAAGGATGTCTTCGGCCGACGGCATAAGTTGCCTCACATTCGCAGCTCTGGACCTGCGAGTCCGGATTATTACCCGCCAATTGGACTCCGCCTTGCCAGTGGTAAGCAAACAAGGCATCCATTGCTGGAGACCCCACGTATAGAAGCAAATGCATGGCATGGTAACATCGGAAGCTGATCTTCTTTCGTACCATCTCGTGTAGCAGCGTTTGAAGTGGTATTCGTTAAGGTTATCCGAATGCAACACCGCCACAGATGAGAAACAAGAACCACGGCCATCCTGAACCAGATCGAATACGATGTAAGATTAGTGATTCATGCGGCCTGACCCTTTTGTATCAGACTCTCTTTCATTCGATTCTATACACACGGAGCTTTGGAAACCAAAGAGGTGTCCGTCTTCCGGGCATGCTTGATGATTACACATGATTGTCAAAGAATGAATAGCGAGTTAAACGAAGCGGCCAATCGGCACCAGAAAGTTCAAATCCACCGGGCCTAGACAAATAAACAAATCGAAAATCGAAGCTGCTGCATGCTTTCTGGGCCTTACAAATCTCTCGTCGTGGGGTGGATACTTCAAAATCTCACTCGGCATGGCCAACCATTTTTTTTTCTCCGCCGCCCCCGATCTCAAGTCTTGGCCGCACCGGCAAGTTGCAAAGTATTATTTCCGCAGCTCTCAATCAAAGGCCTTGCACTAGCTGGACTAGCTTCTGCGACAAAAGTTCTACGTCGCCGGGGAATCTCGCCGTCACATAGTTGTAGTTGCCATCCTCAACGACAAAGCTAGAAGAAACATATTAGCCGGCATAATATGACTTGAGTGAGAATCGACACTTTTGCCTCGGCGAAACTCACGGTGATGGCCCAATGCTATTCTTGAATTGTTTAGGACTTGCCAGCACTTTGCGCACCTAAAAAGATTGTTGCCCTAGCGTCAGCATTTCTCGCCTCATCTCCAAATGGACGGGAGTTTGCCAGCATCTCACCGAGTCTTCGACGTTTTCACTCCCCGCTCCATACGTCTTGTAGTAGTCTCCCAAGAAAAGGCGAGTGCCCCAGAAAGCTAACTGCTCGAATCGCGCCGGCAGCGCTGTCGTCACGCAGTCGCGAATGACACTGCTCCCATCTGGATACTTGGTTTCTGATAGCACCATGACGCCGTGACATACCGCGCCGACGGCTTTCTTTCCGGGCTTCTTCGTCTTGGGGAAGAAGTCGACCAGCAGCTGGTGAACTCTCTCCGAATCAATGACCTGAGTCACGGCCTTGTCGTGTCCTCCAGGCAGAAACACAAGATCAAACGCGTCCAGAGTGAAATGCTCATCAGTCCATGACAAGGGATTCTTCCATTCTTCGGATTCTGCCATGACGCGATAATTCTTCACGATAGAGGAAGACGCACCCTATGATTCCAGTTAGATTCATCTCGGAAGACGCGCGTTCATACACAGAGACACACCAAAAGGCGCTGTGTGAGACCCTCCAGCATCTTGGTGTCGCATTGAGGTGATTTGCCTGCTTCGGTAGCGAAACTGACGTCGAATCCAGCCTCCTTAAAAGCTGTGTAGGGTCCGCATGTTTCTGGACAAAAGATGAGTCTCTCATCAACATTCATGCGACGGTAGGAATCGGTCTGCTTACCTGTAGGATCATGGCCATAATCGGCCATCAAGAAGACAATCTTTGCCATTGAAGCGACTATTTTACACTAACTGTATTGGATGAAATCGATGTCACTGCTCTTGTCCCGCTGCTTGATGGGAACTAGAAATCAACTTTGAGATGAGCAGAAGGCGGGCAGATGATGCCATATCACGACGTCAAAATGAGCTAATGCTACCCTGGAGCAGCTCAGATAAGCCGAGGTACCAGAATCATCGAGTCTGGAAATGGCGCGCTTACATTCAAGGTTGTATTACTGCTACGTTGGAGATGCTTATTAAGATAAAAGACTTAATTGCATTACAGCGATACTAGTAAACTCGTCGAAGAAAACACCAAGCAATAGTACATCGTCCATACAAATACATACAATTCCAAGCCTCCGTATTTCGTCCATTTTCCAGCCCATTCTGAGAGTCATTATTCCTTTCGTAAATCATTTTTACATAAAGATAGAAAACGTGTCAGACATTACTTATTTCTTCTTCTTGTCACCCTTGCCAGTCAAGGCGTCGGTGACCATGCCAAGTCCAAGGCTGTCGAGCACCTTGTTCAATCCAAGCGTTCCGAGGAGATTGTCGACCAATCCGCCGAGACCGAGGCCGCTCAGCTGTGAAGCGTGTTAGAAATGATCTTTTGTTGAGATGATGAAAGTAGGATACTCACCAGTTTACCTACGAGGCCCAGGACGCCGTTCAACAGCAATCCAACGGCAGCAATGATTTGGAACAACGGCTCCGACAAGAGACCCCAGAGCGGATTGAGCTCCTTCTTTGCGTGTGGCATACCCTCAATCTTGCTCTTTGCGTTGTCGATAGTCTGGGTTATAGTGCCAGTGAGCTAATATTTGCATGTTAGCCAACACTACTTGAAGAAATAAAACGCGTAGAATGACAGATATTTACCTCCTTAAGCACATCTGCCAGATGATACTCCTCTGGCGTTGCCTCCTTGGTGCCCGCCTTATGCTTTGCATTCCGCTGGATGCGCCCATCGGGATCAAGCCCGCGGATGGTGCCGTTGGTCTCGGTCAAGATCTTACCTCCCTCTTCAATCAAGGGCTTTACCTCTCTGACCAACTGCTCTTCATCAAGCTCCTCCTTGGGTGTTCTCTCAGCTGTGTTAATCTTATCCGTAATCATCTTGCAGATGGGGCGGATCTTATCAAGAGACTGCTCGATACAGCCAGCCAGCTTCGCAGCCAGCTTGCGATCACTTTCAGCCTCTTCACGCTTCTTGATGTCTTCCTCGGTTTCTTTAGGAATGTCTTCGAGGAGAGCGACATGTCCAACAGTGTCGCCCTTGTAGTTGATCACATCACCATCTTCGTCAACCTCCTTGCCAGAACAGGCGGCAATGTCGCCACTGACGAGTTTCGCAATGAGGTTTCCTTCTTCATCGAGGACATTGCCCTCACGGTTCACCTTGCGGCCAGCATAGGGGGCCTTCTTCCTCTCCACCTCTTCCTCCTGCCAGCGCTCAGCCTTGCCCAAGACATTTCCGTTGCTGTCGACAACGTCGCCATCTTCGTCAACAGTACGACCAAACAACTTCTTGGGATCTCCTTCAGTAAGTCTTCCCACGACATCACCCGACGGCGTAACAACTGTGCCGTCCTTGGCGACGGTGCAGCCAGAGAGTTCAGCAAATGGTCCCTCCTTCATACCCTCTCGTTCACCTTCTCCGACAATGTCGGCCTTGCCAATTATATCTCCAGACTCGCTCAGGACGTTGCCATTTTTATCGCACATGCGTCCCACCAAGGCCTTGACATTGCCCTCGACGACTCTGCCCCAGATGGCTCCCGATCCGTCGACAACGTTGCCAGCCTTGTTGACTCTCTTGCCTGCAAGCGAAGACTTGTCAACGACAGCCTCGGGCTCAGCCTCGGGCTCATTCCAGGCCTCTGCCTTGCCAACAACGTTGCCTCGCCGGTCTAAAATATCGCCATCTTCGTCGACATGGCTGCCCTTGAGATGCTTTGGGTCACCCTCAATAACGACGCCTACTTGTTGGCCGTTGAACATGACACGACCATCCGCCTCCACGACAGCATCGGGGAAATTTTCGAAGGGGGCAAAGTCCTTTTCATCGCCGCGCTCCTCGAAGGATAATAGCTCAGCTTTGCCAATAATTTTACCAGCGTCATCCCAGATATTTCCCTCTTCATCTGCTCTTTTGCCGATAAGCTGCTTAGGGTCACCTTCAACCAGACGTCCGATAATATCGCCGTGCTTATTAACGAGATTACCCATCTTGTTGACTTTGGTACCTGCAAGCGCAGATTTATCAACGGCAGCTTCAGGCTCAGCCTCGGGCTTATCCCAGGCCTCTGCCTTACCAATAACATTACCTCGCCGGTCTAAGATATCGCCATCCTCGTCGACGTGGCTGCCCTTAATACGCTTTGGGTCACCCTCAATGACAACGCCTACTTGTTGGCCGTTGAACATGACACGACCATCCGCCTCCACGACGGCATCGGGGAAGTTTTCGAATGGGGCAAACTCCTTTTCGTCGCCGCGGTCGGGCAATGGCTCGGCTCTGCCAATAACTTTGCCAGCATCATCCCAGATTCTTCCCTCTTCATCTGCTCTTTTGCCGATAAGCTGCTTAGGGTCACCTTCAATCAGACGTCCGATAATATCGCCGTCCTTATTAACGAGATTGCCCAGCTTGTTGACTTTGGTTCCCTTGAGCTGCGAGAAGTCGATTGGCTTTTCTTGTTCCTCCAGCTTGTCTTTCGCAAGGTCTTCACCTTCCTTGAGTTCTTCACCTTCCTTGAGTTCTTCACCTTCCTTGAGTTCTTCTCCTTCTTTAACGCCTTCTGCCGCTTCGTCAGGCTTCTCCTCCAAGCCGCCAGCGGTCTCTTCGGTGCCTTCTTTGGTAAGTACTTCGTCTTCCATTGGCTTAGGGACCTCTTCCTGAAGTTTATCTTGACCTTCCTGGTCTTTGGTATCTGGTTGGAGAGTCTCCAGATCTTCTTTCTGAGGCGGCACATCCACGTCCTTGCCTAAATCTTTGCCCGTCTCTTCTTTGACACCCTCCGTTTTATCTTCCATCGAGATGGGGGCTTCGTCTTGCTTTCCAGTGGCCTTTTCAAGTTGTTGTTCTTGGCCTTCGGTTTCTTTCTCGAGTGGTTTTTCTTGCCCCTCCATCTCTTCCAGGCGCCGTTTGTTGTCGCCTTGGCTCATCTGGAACGAGGACTCAGTGGGTGAGCTCTGCTCATCGTCGCTGGGTTTCTGTAGCCCTCTAACCAGGTCCATTCCTTGGGAAACGGGCTTTTGGAGAGTGCTGGCTGTTTGGTAGGCCGATTTGCCCTTGCCCATAAGATCCCAGCCGCCACCGCCAGGCTTTTCGTCCTTTAGGTCCTTTGCTTCCTTCAAGTCTTTCTCTTCTGTCAGGTCTTTCTCCTCCTTCAGGTCTTTCTCTCCCTCCAGGCCCTTCTCTCCCTCCAGGCCCTTCTCTCCCTCCAGGCCCTTCTGGGTAGGTTCGGTTGTATATTCTCCTTCGTCCTCGTTGAGAGTAGCTTTGGCGAGAACGTTTCCGGACGAATCCAGGATATCTCCCGAAGATGTGACTGCGTTTCCCACAAGCTGGCCAGCGTCTCCAGACTCGGTAAGCTTTCCGATAGACCTGCCGGATCGGTCTAGAATATCACCCGAGTCGGTCACGACGCCAGCGGCGGACCGAGGAACAGATCGCATATCGACTGATTGCCAAGCTTGTTAGATATAGGGTTGCGAATAACTGTAGGCAAAAAATGTCTTGATAATACTAACCTGGGTTTCCCTGCTCCTGAGAGGGACTCTCCTTAACTTGCCATCCCCCCGGGACAGCGACTGGTTTTGGGAACGGCATTTTGGATTCAACACTCAGATTTACAAATGGTTAGATTGGGGGTATTGCAATTGAATAACTTTACGTGACAAAGTGAATAGTTTGTAATTAACTCAATTGCATGTTAAGCTTTTTTGTGTCATAGATATGCATAGATATATATACTCACATGAAAGCTGACAGAAAATAAAGTTGCAGCTTTCCATCATCAACTTCCAGCAAGCTACACGGAACACATGTTTGACTGCCAACATGCCAATCTCCGGATGTTCGACAGCGTCACGACGACAATCTATGATCTCGATGAATACGCATCTCAGCAACCCGTCCAACACGGCATGACGCACATGGACCCCAATTACGTCTTACAGCATGGATAATCCCCGATGAAATGCACCATAGCGGAACAAAGGACACGTTTAACAAGGGGGATATCATATCACAATGATATCAGACAAGCCACTGGCCGTCTTTCAAGCTCCCATACAGGCTGGGAAGCTGCTTGGAGCTTACCGTAGCGCGGGCCCGAAACAGGGATGTCCTCGCCAGAGAGACCCGAGAAGCGATCTGCTCATCGTGGGCAAGCCACACTCGCCACAGCCTAACTGGATGGGTGTCGTATTCATTTATCATGTGGCGCTGAATATCTCACGGCCAAACAGGTTTCGATGGGGAGTCTGGATAGAACGAGTGTGGCGGTGAAATCATGCACCGGCTTGATTAATTGCTGTACTGTAGGGGAATCCTTCGAGGCTTTATTGTCAAGGGTTGGCTATGACGAACGGGGCTGTAATTACAACTGCTGGAGATGCAAGAATCTCGAAAATCATGTGAAATTAATAATTAAGAGCCTTCTAATAGTCCCATGCATAGTAGCATCGTAGATGATGCTATCGCCAGATTGACAAACGGACAAATGCCAAACAACGCCTGAGTTCCGTCCACCCATGATCTTGGTATATGAAAAGCAGCTATTCTGGTGAAGTCTTCATTTTTCATTTTTAAAAATGGTGGGTATCTTGATAATAAGCTGAATGCCGTCGTGTGTCGATTTGACGTCCAGATACACCTCCGACGGGCTTGGTGTTGAAGCATTCCCCTTCCCAGCATCATGCGATGTTCTGTTCTGATCCGCATTCTGCTGTCCAGAAGCCTTTTCCTCCCCCGTAGAAGGTCCATTCATCTTCCCAACAATATCGCCATTCTTGTTGTAAATGTTGCCAGCCCCGTCAATCTTCAAACCACCCTCCAGGTCGCTCAGAGTCGGCCTCGTGTGGTTCTCAGAGACATATCCCACCACCTCTCCGGCATTATCCAGGATCTCGCCGGACTCAGACACAGGCCGTCCCACCATGGATGGAAGATCCCCCTCTACCGACCCCAGCACGGTGCCATCCCAGTCTAGGATGTTGCCGAACTCATCGACAAATTTGCCCACCAGGCCCTGGGCGCGGGATGCCAGCGGCTCTCCTTGCTCAATAGGCTGTATCCGCGGAATTTTAATGTCAGGATTCTTGTGGCTGCTGTTGCTATTGCTATTGCTATTTTGAGACCCTTTTTTGTCTTCTGGTCGAGGTAGCATGACGAGTCTGTGGCTAGATGAAGGTCGTCGTTCCTGACGATCTCTGTCGCACGACGGCAGCTGTGGGCTCTGAGAAGGGGACTGCATGTGTGGCATGACAGAATAGCAGACAGTAAGTTGAATGAAAAGGTTGGTATGAATAGAGAGATTGCGCGTAATAGTGGACAGCAACTTGACAAAAAGCCCAACTTACACTGATGCAATACCCTTTCTAGATACGGCACCAGGCCTCAACATCCAAACCTTTTCTCTCTCGCCCCGACCAGCAAAAAAACAAGTAAATGCGTCATCATGTGCGAATAACCACATGCCCTGTGATGATGACATGGCCGTACATCATCCGTGTGCCGATCACTGCCGTAACATCGCGGCTGATACAGGGGTTTCTCCGCGAATGGCGTATGTGCTATTTACAGCCATGCATGTGCCATGAATTGCAGGTTTACAGTACATACAGCACGCTCCACGTTTCTAATTCTAGTGGAGAGAAGCACGAAAGCACGAAATACATGCCGCATGTCCACGATACCGGTTTCTGCAGTGTCTAAACCGCCGTCTCAGGACCGTTTCTTCCGCCCCAGCTCTTAGTTCTCGGGACGCTGCCAAATCCATCCATCATCGGCAAAGTCAACAGCCACAGTGACAGCCACTCCCCAGAATAATGGCGTGGCGCCGAGCAGTGGCTTGTTCACGGCATCTACTTCGAAGCAGGATTCACTTGAAGGAGCTGTGGCTGGCGACAATGTGGCTGGTGACGTCGCTGTGGCTGGACTTATCGTAGCCTCTTCATCATCAGATTCAGAATCTCATCTTTGATAGTACAAGTTGTTGTATAGCCATGTGTAGTATTAACTCAGAGAACGGGAACAGAGTTCTGCTCGCATCTCCATCTTTCTGCGACAAATACATACGTGTGATAATCGTAATAGTCCACCGTAAAAACAGGGCAATCTTCACCCTCCCGCGCTGTAATTGGTTCACTCCCACACACTAATCAAGTAGCCTCATCCCATTCTCATCACCCCTGCGGATCCCTCACCATCCCAAAACAGAAAAAGAACAAAAAGAGGCTGCCCGTAATAACTGATTAAGCAAAACAACATTGGGGAAGAAACAAAAGCATCCACCGAATAACCCGAATGCGCTCGAAAATATCGGCATCGATCCGGGCTCTCGTCATTTAACAAAGCGCCAGCCGGTTTGTTGTTGAGTCTTTCGTTGACTTCTCAGTTCCTGGTGATGTGAACAAGAGCGCAACGCCATTAGCCGATCCGTCCAGTTATTTTTCTCTATTAATTGCTTATTGGTTTAATCAACTAGCCAGTCCTGAAGAGAGATGCGGGTGCCGCATTTGTAAGATAATGTGATACCCAATAGGACGGATGTAGATGAAAGGATGAGGAATGGATGGCCGTTGTTGGGCTATGGGGCAAGGGGAGAAGAAAGTAGCAAGAAAATGGGGTTTAACTTACAACAACGCCAGCTCCAAATCTCCGTGAATCTTGGCCTTGAGCTGAATCTCAATATCCAAGTTCAAGTCCAGCCGCAGTCTCAGCGTGTCGCTCTTCCCGCCGTCTCCCTGCTTCTGGTTGTCGACGGCATTGTTCGTCACGCCGCCCAGCGTGTTCGTCACGCCTCCCAGCACTCCACCAGCTGTTTGTCCGACTTGTCCCAGCTCGCCGCCTACGGGCAGCTGGTCCAGAGGGCCGTTTCTGGCTTGTGGGCGGCGCTGGGTTCTCTGCATTTGTCTTCGCTCGCGGCGAGGAGGCACTGATTCGGGGGCCGAGTCGGAGCCGTATTCCTCGGCTGAGTCGGTGCGCTCCTTTTCCATTGACTGATTTGACATTGTTGCTGTAGTTGTTGTTGACGCTGATGCCTATATTCTCAACAGGCAGGAGTATGAGAATCGGGTGAGAATGAGATGGGATGAGAAACAATGAGATGAGTTTCGTAAGTTGAAAGAAAAAAGAAGCCTTGGAAGTAAATAGAAAAGATGAGTTTTGTCTGTGCCGGCAAGTATGAGCAGCTTTTCTTTTTGCTATTTGCCTTTCTACTATATCCATCATCCCACCCTCCAATCCCCGGAGCATCATAATGATATACCCATCATTCTCCACCCTTCGATCGTCAGCCTCACCCAGTTTTCCCTCTTCAATCCTGGTCTCCATCAACATTGTTCATTCTCATTTTCTTTCTCACACGCCTCACCTCTACATTACCCCTATGAAGTCATCATGAGGCAATCGCTCGTGGTTAATTCTGCCTGCATGACCCCTTCCAGAATATAGATGGACATGGATCAGCATCCTGCAAAATAATATGGGACCCCGGCCGCTTTTCCCGAGCAGCGGCTACTTGTACTCCATATCCCTAGCCTCTTTTGCTTGTCACTCAGCAGCCACCTCATCGAGATGAAGCAATTAACCCCTGTCCCACGAATCTCCGTCAAGGCACACGTCTTTTTTACTTTTGTCATTTCTCCTAGTCTCGCACATACTTGCTATCCATGCCCAGTAAAAGCCTCCTCCTCAGCCTCAGAGGCTTGCACTCCTCCACCTCCGTCGTGGCTAGTATCTCGTTATCCGGATCCCAGTACACCACCCATCGCGATTTTCCATTCTCATCTTGCTCCAGCTTCGCCACAAAACACTCGTCCTTGCCCTGTATAGTCAAGAAAGACTCATCCTCGCTCCATCCCCAGGGCCCAATGACGTGACCAAGGGTATCTTTGCGTCCGCCGTACTCCACCGCATGCGTGTCCTTGTTAATGTAGAGCCAGTTGAGCATGGGCGGATCATCAGAGATGGTGCTCACTAACCCCAGGTGCTGCTCCTCGCTGGGGTACATAAAGTAGTAACCACAAAAGGCGTACCCAGGGAACTCGGTATCGAGCGGGATATTGACATTCAGCTGTGCGAATTGCCCAAGTTGGTCTCATCAGCCATGTCGTCAGCCGCTAGGGCAAACCTGTCTGCGGTGGCCTACCTTTCCATCTTTGAGCACACAGAAATCCGTCTCGTAGTCGTCGTCCTCGTCCCCGCCCTCGACCACTGCCGTCAGGCGAAATTTTTCCTTCTCCTTATTCGCCGCGTTTGCCTTCTTCTGGGCGCTGACGGCTTGACCCACGCCCGTAACGGTAGGAATCGCCGTTATGGCAAGAAGCCCAATAACCATTGTGTAATCGTCGGCCGAGTAGCTTTGGCGTGAAGAAACAATGCCCCGAGATCCATGGGGGGCTCCCGTAGAATGACGTTTTTATGGATGGGCCATGTGAGTCCCATTTCCATGTGTATATGCTTGTTCCAAATGACCCCATAACCCATGAGGGGGCTTGCATGAAGCGATCGAGATCCCGCGCCGTAACTGTGGGGGCAGAAGCTCCATCCCGGTCACAGTTCCAGGATTGGCCATCTGATGACTTCACCAGGCATGAATTGACGCCCATGGTGTGAGCCTTGGGAATTTTTCAGATGACAACCATTCCCAGGTTTTGGATGTGTGATCATAAGGTTAGCACGTCATGGACGCCACCGAGATGACAGGGGGGGAGTGAGAAAGCTTGTCTGTTCCTTAGACCCTGTTGTCCAGGTTATTGTTTTGTTTTTTTAGCTCCGTCAAAAGACAATGAGACACATCGCTGTTGCGTCACTCGATATCAAGACAAACCTGGAGTGGGACCTTGATCCAAATGTTGCTCTAGAGCCACAAAAGCCAGCCGTCGCGGACCTACGCCTCGTTTAGACATACAGAGAGAACTGAAAAACTCAACACGACGATATCTTGCGTTGTACAAAACTCCAATTGATCAAAAAGTCTCAATTCCTTTTTGTTGCTTGTTCCTCACTCGCCCGACATCTATACTATCTGTTCATAGCTCGAAGCTTTTGAAATCCACCAACCATGTCTTCAGATGAGGTTCGTCTCCAGGCGATAGCGTCCATGTACGGCAACGAATAGCCATATCAGCTAACCATCTTGCAGAAACCCAAGGACCAGGAGACCAGCTTCCCACCCAAAGAAGAGCCAGAACATCAGGAACCAGAACATCAGGAGGAGCAGGAGCGCGGTGAAGAGGCTGGCGGCGACGTGGCTGGCGGCGAGGACGACAACGCATCGGGAGAGCAGCAGGTTGGACAGCAAGATGGACAGCAAAACGGCAAAATGGGAGAGCTGAGTGAAGACAACTCAGACGACCAGGAGGATAATGAGCCAGCGACACCACCGCAGCAAGAGCGCCGGCGACCCAGTGGTAGCCGCGAAAAGGAGCAAACCCAAACCAAGACCCAATCTCGCCGGAGGAGAAGAGCCCCCTACCAGCGCCAAGTAGAAGACGACTATGACGAGGAAGAGCAGTCAATGGTGCCCCGTCAGCAGCGGCAGCAACAGATGTATCAACAGCAGCAGATGCAGATGCAGCAGCAGCAACAACAGCAAATGCAGCAACCTCAGAAGAAGGAGGATGGCAAGAATCCCCTTAAGCTGCGGCTCGACCTAAATCTGGATATTCAGATTGAGTTGAAGGCAAAGATTCATGGAGATCTGACACTGGCTTTACTGTAAGAGATACCCCCCTTAAGACTCTTCCCGGCTCATCGAGTTATGTATCGGGCATTGCTAACAATCAACGCCCGCAGTGATATGGACTAAATGATTGGATTGCGACGAATTTGTTGATCTGGCGGCTTCTTTTAGTTGAAATCATGCCTCACACCTTTGGTTGGGTGGTGTTATTTTTCTTATTGCTTTCCTTGCTTGTCCCCCTCGCCTAGTATAATGATTGAGGCCCCCCTCGGGGGCATGTCGTTTGTTCTGTACATATAAATGTGTATCGGCTCCATTATCATTAATATTACGTGAAAATCTTATAAGCTGCTTCCTGAGCAGACGTCTATCCGAAAATCCGATTCCACACGGATTTGTACCATACATTGTGCTTTACCCCGTGTTCTATCCGTCCCGTCTCGTCGACCAGCGGCATGCACTGGAAGGCATCGGCAAAAACATTCAGACACTTGCTGCGCGCCTCCATGTGGCCTGGGTGTCTGCTGATGCCACCTGAAGGGTCCAGGTTGACATACTGGCCGCTGGCACGAACTAAAAGGGGGCCCGAGCCAGTCAACATTGAGGCGACAAAGTTGAGGCCAATGTCTTCGCAGTTGAAGGCTTCGTCGACATATTTGCGGATCTTAGTGGCAGCAGGGTCGTCGGAAAAGTAAAAGTCGAGAAAGGCAATGTGGGTGAATGCCAGATTGGTCAAGATGAGGGCGTAGACGTCTTCGTGCTCCTTTTGCGAACAAAAGTTGTAGTCCCATTGGCCCGATGGAAGCGCCGTAGCGCAGCGCGCAAGAGCCCCAGTCATCCTGTCCCTGCCAAACTTGCGCCACATCTGGAATACAAATTCGAGATCGTCAGGGCGGTAATAAACGTCGTCATCGGAGAGGAGAATGGCCTTGGTACGGTATTTGGGATCGGGCCACAGCTTCTCGTTTAGACTGTCGCGCGTTGGTTTGCGGTATCGCACCACGACACCGTGCTCGGAGACGAAGCTTTCGGGCTCCTGTTCATCAAAGTTGTTCCAAATAACGACGATTTCGTGCAGCGATGGGATCTTGGTGGATAGGAGCACGTTCAAGGTGCGGTGGAGCTCCTTTGGGCGATGGAAGGTGGACATGGCAATCCTACAGGTTTCGTTGTCAATACGAGTACAAGCCAGTATACACGGTTGGCTAAGGTACAGAACATCAACCCTGTACATACGTAAACTTGTCATCCATCAGCCCGCCAAACTTGGTTTCGGCCGCGTCCCGCCATGATTCCAGAGGCCAAGTGATGTTGGCGTCTGTGCGATCGCTGCAGCGAGGATATCGGGGCGCCAGTGCCTCGGACACCGGTTTTGAGTGTCCAATGGCCCTGAGATCCGACGAAGGATTGGCAAGCAGCACGATTGTGACGATGGCGAGAATCAGCGCGGACAAGATGGTTGTGCTTCTCCTAAACCGGGGCACCTGCAGCCAGCTGAGGCAAGACGTCATGGCGGCGAGCATCTGGACCGTGGATTTTGCTGCTTCTTCAAGACGGTCGAGATTCAGCTGCGGTCACTGGCGGCTCTGCAGCTGCAAACATGCGGAAATCGCCTCGAGACAGCATCTTGAAAGAAGCTTTTGGCAGCAATTCCTTGTGATGGCCAGCAGAGACACTGGGTGAAGGGGGTCACGTGCTCTCGACGATGATTCTCCTTGATACTACAGCACTCAAGGCGCTGTAACTCAGGCAGGCACGGAGTCTAACGTGCCGTAGCGCCAACCACGGCGGACGCGGATCCAGAATGACGTAACCCCGGCACTCCTAGACGGCCAAGACGGCTTAGCTCAGAGCCGTGCAAATTGAGGCTCACGTGCTGCGTCTATACTGTAGGATTCATTTGATTATCAACAACGTTGGGCTCTCGATTCGAGCCCAAGACTCCGTAATTCAGGTCTGTCCATGAGGTGAAGCAAATCGCCTGATGGCCCCTTGGCGGAGCTGCCCGGCCGAGGTAACTTTAATTCAATTCCCACAAACCAGCCAGCTGGGCCCATTGCCGCGGAGTCTTCCAGAAGAAGAAATGGGCCTGGAAGCCTCGGATCCGCGCTCAGGGCCGTTGAAAAATTATCGCTCAGCGCGTATTTGGGCTCCGTGTTTACTCGTATCTGACAATTGCCAAGTAAGCATACTATTTAGTTACCTAGTAGTATTTTCTTCTTCCACGGAGTGATAAATAGTACGCATCAGATAGGGCATCGACGATCCGCTGATATAAGCGGAAGGGCTGCGGCTCCTAGTCGAGCCACACCATGTTGTGCCCACGGGCAGGCCGTTTCTTTTCTTTTCTTTTTTTTTTTTTTTCTTTTTTTTCTTTTTTTGCCTTCCTGCTCTTCTTCTCTCCGTTGTTTCCACACAACTAGAACCGGAACTAGAATTAGATCTGGGACTAGAACGAGAGTCAGAATTCCACATCATCCCAGAGTTGCAGCATCATGTTGTGAAATCGGACTTCGCTAAAGTCCAGCCCCCGTGCCTCGTGCCATGTCGCCCATCCTCCGTCCCTCCGTCCCCAAGCCTAACATTAGAATAGTATCCGCGTCCCTCGGGCCAAGGAGGCACCCCGAAGCCCGGCTTAGCTAGTGGCAGAACGATGGACAGCGTCGGAGCGCCGTGACAAGAATCCTCCGGGTCCTGGCGTGGTGAATCAGGTAATCTACATGTAATAGGGCGTTGCTTGCAGGAGCACAGCCAAGTGCCAAGCCCTGTAGAGAGACGCTCAGCAGCTCAACCACTGCACTCAACTACGCTGCCAAGCAGCAGACAGGGGCCACTTGGATGGTGATGCGCGCCCATGGGTTTCTGCCCAATCACAGCGCGCTCTACCCGTCACCCTGCACCCGCGGTTGGCTGTAGGGGCCTGAATGGCGCTGCCGTGAAGCCGCTCCAGGTCCTTCGCGCCAGGCCATTTCCAGCGCATTTGCATCTGACGGGCAGCGTCATCAAATCGTGGGCCACGCCAAGGAAGCTTGCCTAGCCCGAGTCCGCCTTTTTATTTGCCGGGTCCGAGGAGTCGCAGAGCTACGGACTGCCGCAGTTCCAGGCGCAGGTAGACGGTACTTGCAGATGGGGGCCCGAGTACTACTGACAGACACGCGACAGCCATGTCCCGGCCAGGTACCGGCCAGGTATGCGATACCCCCCCTCGTCCGCCGCAGCTGCCCGTCGGCAAGGAGACGACAAGGGATGGACAGACATTTTCCTTGGACAAGCCACCAGCTAAATTGCGTTTGAAGGCGTTCCATTCGAACTCTGTGATTCCACGGCATGCTATAGTGAAAAAAAAAGGGGGGGTGTGGCCAGTCCCATAATTATAGTTGTTCGTAGAATGCTTAGCACGTCCATGGCCGAAATGCTATTTCTCTTCTCTTGCGCCTCGCTTGCCCGGCCCGAAGCTTTGCAATAATAAACCTGGCGGGCATCGAATTTCACCACACCTTACCGTATACACATCCTTACTTATACGACGACCAAGCTTGTGAAAAAGGATAGAGGGCCACTATAGGAGACGATCAAAGAAAGGAGCTGGGATAGACTGCGAATAAAGGGGAAAAGGGAACTCAGCTCGGTCGGGGATCTGCGCTTTTGCGATCCGCTCTTTATCTTGCTTGTCTCATTCTTACGTATCTTTATTTTTCTTTCTTTTCCCACTCTGCCATCGCTCCCTCTTCCTCCTCTCGAATTAATTTGTCTTCTATCCTCGTCCTCTCGTTCGATCTTATCGATCGTCTCCTCCATCTCCCCATAGTCACCCCCACGATGCGGACCCGGAACATCGTGGCCCTGGCGGCCATCGCCATCTTCTGGTTCACCATCCTGTTCCGCCGCCACATCCATGAGTTGGGCGAAATCGCCCTGACGTACAGCACCTTCTACCCGCTGCTGCATAACCACCCGGACATTCTGTATCGACACCCAGAGAACGCCTCATTTCCCGTGTCCGATCTCGAATCGCCGGAATCCTCGTCGCTCGACCCTGTCGTCGTGCCCAAGATTATCCACCAGATCGCCCTGGGCAACGCCAGCGTCTCCAAGTACCAGGCGGCCATCACAAGCTGCACCGATCTGCATCCCGACTGGAAGCACCAGCTCTGGACCGACGTCAACGCCACGGCCTTCATCGCCGAGTTCTATCCCGATATCCTGCCTCACTACACCAACTATGCCCAGAACATCCAGCGCGCAAACATCCTGCGCTATGCTCTGCTGCATCACTCGGGCGGCATCTACGTCGACCTCGATGTCACCTGTCGCGTGCCCCTCGACTCGACGCCCATTGTCCGTCTGCCGTATGTCTCTCCCGGCGCTCACCCTGCCGGCGTCAACAATGCCTTTATCGCGACTGAGCCGGGCCATCCTTTCCTGACGCAGCTGCTGGAGAATGTGCCCAGCCATGACCTGCATTGGGCGCTGCCGATGCGCATTCCGTACGTCGAGAACATGCTCAGCACCGGCTGCATGTTCTACTCCAACCAGTGGATGTCCTACGTCCGCGGCCTCATGGCAGGTCGCGAGAGCCGCAAGGTCTACATTCTGTCTGACGAGCAGGGCGATATGGCGCCTCACATGCTGCGAGGCAAGGTCACGACGCCCATCTTTGTGCACGGCGGTGCCAGCAGTTGGCACGGTTGGGATGCTGCTTTGTTCCTGACGATTGGCGAGCACTACACTTTTTACCTGGGCCTTCTCTTTGTGGCCTTGACCTTCTTCTTTGGCGCTGCCTACTTCTACACCACATCGAGGAGATCGTACCGCCGAAGATGCCGCCTGTTTCCCTTTGGTGGCGTGGCAGCCCGGAAAAGCTGGTCGCCGACGAGGCCGCGGAAGCCCAGCGTCAGCCAGTCCATGGTGTAAAGCAAGTGACGACACCATCACCCTACTCGTCACTTTGACTTCTCTCCCTGTTCTCCGCACACCGTCTCTAAAATCCGCTCCGCAACCCATCCTCTTACTCGACCTTTTTCTCTTAATTCTACTATGCCACCAGTAGTACTCGACATTGCTTACACGCTTCTCCAGCCCTTTCTTAGAGAGAGAAAGATACCCGCTTAGTGTTTTTTTATTTATTATTACTTTTTTTTTTTTTGTCGACTTACACCATGGGCTGCATGCGATGAGGGGCGCACAGGAACACGCTGGCGATGGCTTTGCCCGCTCGATTTGGACGGTTCTCTTTTCATACTTTTTGTTTTTCCAACTGTGGTTCCAAGGGGGGACCAACGATACGAAACACGGGATGGCAACTATGGGGCAACATGTTGGCTTTTGGCTATCAGCTCGGCGTCATTGGATCGGACATCTATAGGGGTTATGAAGCATTCTATCCTATAGCAGCAGCGGGGACAAAACCGCATCACAGAGTTGTAATGATAGAGAATACCAAAAAATATCCACCTTTGAGTTTAATGATAATTTTTCTGTTTGTGTTTCATCATCTAAGCTTTGCCATTGCTATCGGACCGGTCCTTGGCCATTGCTCCTACTGAAGCCTGTCAAGTCTATGCTGTTGGCTCATGGTCGTACTATCTTTGATCCATCTCTTTGTCGATGCGCCTCATGACGATCCAGCCAGCACCGTCAAAATGATCTCCACCCCACCCACACATAGTCAGTCGGGCCAAGAAGGAAAAAAGAGAAAGGGAGAAAAAAAAACTAAGTCGGGGGGCCGCCCAAAGCGTGGTCACAGAATTACGTCGCACCGCGCAGCTCATGATTTCCGTGCCCCCGGTGGCGGGTAGCAGCAAATCAGCAGGGATTAGACTGATATCGCCAAGCAAATGCTGTGACAAAGTCCGAAACGGCTGATGCTTTGTTGCTCCACAGGTGATGAGCATGCGTGCATATTGCACAGAATGTATGTATGTACTCTCTGTACAGCCCCCGCTGGTTTCCCACAAAGGCTGCTTTTCGCACCCTTCTTACCTTCTTCTTCTTCCTCTTCTTATTCTTTATTCTTTGTAATTTTGATTGTAGGTTCTGTACTCCGTATTTGGACTGGTTCGATACTCGTATAGAGTATCCCCTGTTGGTAGCACAGCTTTGCGGCATCCGTCTCCACGTAAGGAGTACTCGTACTTCTTCCTGCAGGCAAGGAGCAATTCAAGTAATCTATCCGACCCGAATCAAGGGCGTCATGGTTACCCATCTTGCCATCACCAAGACGCTATTACTAGGCCCATTTCATGCAGTGGTGGGGGCTTGGCAGAAAACAGCAAATGCTGCTTACAGTACGGAGTAGACATGAACAAAGACTGAATAATACAGGGGGGCTGTGCCTGAGGGAAGCCGGAGCAAGACGCCACCTTGTTTGATTTGCTGGTTTATTTTTACTCTCGGATGAATTGACTGAGTAAGATTACGTGTATAGCAAAGGAGATCTGTCAGTTCCCAATGTTTCATCTCGAGGCAGATTTGGTCTCCATGTGCAGTGCCGCGACATCCGAGGGGAGCTACCCTAGATCTATCAAAAACAAGCTGCAGCGATCCAACTCCAAACTGAGTAGGTACTTGCGTTATCGCTGATATGCCACTCGTTTCCGTTCCAGGCCATTGTCAGGGCATTCGAACTGGGGCTGTTTATCTAATGTCATTTCCCCTCATTCTTAGTATTCGTTTGGTTAGTTGGCCTCCTAAAGGCTAGAGCAAATGGCGTTGACGGCGGCACCTAACAGGAACTCAATTCGAAGCCACCATGGAAAACATCCTTCCAACTTGCTACCTCGGTTGTTTGTCTCGATGTTCTAAATTATTATCTAGATCGGGTCTTTCTATACTCTTTGAGAGGCTACATGTCTCGTAGTACTATATATATGAAGATTGGAAGCTACATAAAAACCATTTGCAGCGTATACCTGACCATCTCTATTCTATTCTAGCTAAGAGTTCTCTCGCTAGCTGTAGAAACGCATGCTCAACCAACAAGATATACAATGGCATGACTGGCGAGGTTCGTCTAACAATATTGATATTACAAGTGAAATCACTCCAAGTCCTTGTCATGATACTGCAAATATAAACTACGGTTATAGACATTACCCATTTCTACCTACTAATATCTCATCATGTATCGTGGTACTCCAGTGAGCAGGGCCTTTCATTTGACACTACAACCACTTCAGAAGATGGTGTTGAAGCTCGTTGAGTTGCTTATAATGTCAATCTAAATATTGAGAGCATTCATTCATAACAGCAGAGCAATATCATCAGAAACGCAACCTGTCCGAGCATGACCTGGAAGATCCGAGTAATGTCTAACGTCTTGCGTGAATAAGAATATGAACATGTTGGAACCTATCAAATGGAATAAGAAGAGTACACAACAAAAACGCTTCAAACCGTAAACTCGCTCATTCAACCATACATGCACTTCTTCCATCAACAAAGCCAAACACAAAAGCCCAGAGGTATCTCCATGCGACATCCTAACAACCAACAAGAACAATAAAAACAAAAGGAAAATGCATAATCTACTGCTGCCACGGGATAGCCACCCCGAGATCTCGCGCCACCCGCATCGCCGATATAATGCATCCCTCCAGCAGCACCATGCCATCCCAGCACCAAGATCCCACAATCCACACGTTATCCCTTCCATTCACCCACACGCCCGTCTCTTCAAGACCAGATTTGCCCGTGCCCATGACCCTCTGCACCATGCCTCTGCTCTCCGTGGTGCGCAACGTCCGTGTAAACCTCGATGTGTCCAGTGTCCCCTTCAGCTCGGGCGCATCTCCAACAGGGCTCGTCCTAACAATCAGTCCGTCAGACAGGTAGTGCAATGACTCGGTCTGCACGACGCTCTCAGAAAACGTCGTCCTAAAGGCCATGACTTGAGCGTCTCCGCGGCGATATGAACACTGTCCAGACGGAACATGGGTATCTTCGTGCACAACGGACAAGCCTGAAGAGAGAGGAGCAACGACTGTGCTTGTGACGGGAACCGTGGGGATGACGCTCAGCATGGGCTTGGACGGATTAAAGATTGCGGCTGCGACATTTGGCGATACGGCAAGCACCACACGATCAAACGTCTCCTCGGAAGCAGAGCGTGTGGCGTCCCGCGTGCTTTCATAGCGTATCAAGACACCTCCGTCAACTCGGTCCACCTTTGTCACTCGAGTTTCCAGCCGGATGTCCTCAATTCCTTCGGCCAGCGTTGCCTGGACCCGGTTGATGCCGCCGCTGGCAACATACGTCTTTTGCAAAAAGGATCCCTTCATGAACTCGGTCACATCGCTGGCCGGGAAATCCAGCATCTCGGCGTGTGAACAGCTGCAGATGATGCTCAGCACGGGCAGCAGGTAATACAGCACGTAGCTCTGCGGCAGCCGGATGCGATCGAGATACTGCCGAAACGACTCGCAGTGGGCAACGTCCTTGGTGGCCGATTTCACATCCAGATACGCCTCGGGCCTGATCGTCCGCGGCGCCAGCAGGAAGCACGCCGCGAAGAACCAGATGTGGCAGAGGGCCAGGTAAAACGTCTGCAGGATGTTCTGCAGCGACCCGCGCCAGAAATGCGGCGAGATGAGCAGCGCCTCGTGCAGCCGCTTGCCGTAGACAAAGTAGTTGCCGGGCATCGTCTCGGCGGCCTCGTGGCTCGGGATCTGAGTCTGGGTGGCGGCAGAGGCTTTGGCAAACACCCAGATGAGCTGGATTCGCTGGAAGGGCACGCCGAGGTGGTCGTACATGCGGCACAGGTTTTCATAGTAGCCTCTGCAGAAGCTGCGAGGCGGGATGTCGATGCGCTCGAGGGTACCCGTCTTTTCATTCTTGACGGTGACGGAGGCGGCGTCGAGCGAAAACCTGGGGGCCTGAGGTTGAGATTGAGATGAGATGTAAGTTGAGGTGAACATTACGACTCTCCCATATCAAATGCGTACCTGTTCAAAGAGCGTCACCTGGTAGCGCTTCTGCTTGTCGTTGTGCAGCAGATACGCCGTCGTCAGTCCCGCCAATCCAGTGCCGATGATGGCGACTCGAGTCTTGCCCTCGCCATTTGCCTGATGCTGCTGCATCATGTCTTGAGTCGCCTTGTCCCTCGTTTGAGCACGCAATAGCCGGTGTATTCAGCTGGTCCAGGGGGGCAGGGTGATGAGTTGAAAGGCGGTTTCAGCTGCCGTCTCTATAGGTATACATCAAAGTTTCTTATCTGGAAAAAACATCAAAACGACCCCGGCAGATAGATGAATGAATATAAGCACAATGACGGATTCACATGCATGCGGTGATACGGTATTTACAAGAACATCAGCATCTCGGCAGAAAATAATGGGCATGGACCCCCCAACAAAAGCTGCAAAGCGCCTGATTTGATTGGGCCGGACAGGGCGTTTCAGACTCCCCGCCGGACCGCACAAGGCCGAGTCCATGGGGCTTTTTTCTCTCTTTTTTTGCCTCTTCCTTTTTTTGTGATGCTAAAGACTCAGACAATGGAGTTGGCACGTGCTGGCCCACTGGAATCTATTTAATGTTTAGTCAAAGTACGAATAGAGCGAGATGCTTGATTCATTCAAGATGCATCAATGTAATATCATGCTGACCACAGCGGGTGGCTTGAGATGTGAAGGCTTCTAGTGCAGTGGCTGCAGGATGACAGAGTGACCACTCATAAGATGTTACATGCCCCTAGATAGGTACGATCGCGGAACACAAAGCTTAAATTTTAGATGCTGCTTGTGAGACGGACGTGAGACGCAGCGTCAAACCACACCATCTTTGTGTGCGCCTGGCCCCGCCAACTTCCATGGATCAGGTCTTTAATTATTTCCATCCTGGAGCTCTACTTTGTACGCATGCAATTACAATTACAGTAACGCCGCAGCTACTATTCAAAACGCCCAAATGCCCGGGTCATTCTCCGCCAGCGAGTTCGCCATTGGCTTCATCGCCGGATGTCTGACCGTCATTGTCCTGCTGGCCCTCGTGGCTTTTTCGCTCACGCGGGCTGGCGACATTTACGGCCTGGGCCATTGGAAGCTCAACTTGAGGACCCCGTTTCCATCCATGTGGATGAACCTGGGCTTCTGGTGAGTGTTTTTCTCTTAGATAATATGTAACAACTGATTACTGAGATTCAATCTGTAAAGGACTCGAGATGATGGCAAACCCATTCAGCACTTTGACGAGGCTGCGCGAAACATGCTCGAGAAGCTCTTACAGGCCGCAGGTCTCATGTCCACCTCAAAGACGCAACACTCCGTCGCCGTCCTGGACGTGGGCTTCGGATGCGGAGACCAGACGGTTGCAATCGCCGAGCTCCTCCACGCTTCATCACGGCCTCAGTTCCGCTACGTCGGACTCACCTTGAACGCCGTGCAGCTCCAAGCAGCGCAACAACGTCTCGACGCCGCACTCGCTATCCCAGAAGGCGGAAGCAGCAGCGCACTCGGCCTCCCCGAAAGCTCCTTCAAGCTATTCCAGGCAGACGCAGCCAAGCCCGAGTCCTGGAGCCACGCCGTTTGCGCATCCGTCGACGGCTTAGCAGACGAGGCTTTCCGCGAGCGCTGGCTCATGGGCTTGGACTGCCTGTACCACTTCTCGCCGTCTAGGAAGCCCATCTTCAAGCGTGCTTCTCAGACGCTAAACGCAAACGTCATGGCCTTTGACCTGGTCCTCAGCGACACGGCATCTGCGTGGCAAGTCCTGGCCGTCAGGCTCTTGGGCTTCATCCTGCTGTGTCCATGGCGGACGTTCTTGACCGAGGAGCAATACCGGGACCAGCTCGTCGAGTGCGGCTACGACAGGGCGTGCGTTGAGATTCGGGATATTTCTGACCATGTGTTTGGCGGGTTGGCGGGCCACTTACGGAAACAAGACGCTGCTTTGAGCCCGTACGGTGTCTCGTTGTCGGGGTACACGATGGTAGGGAGGATATATGAGTGGTTTGATCGGACGAGGGTGTTGAAGGCTGCGATTGTGGTTGGAAGGTTAAAGAGCAAAAGCCAGTAGAAACAACATGTTGAGTGTGAATGTTGTTACTTGTATGACTTTTATCTGCCCAGTTGCGAGGCTATGAATCGCCTCAGCTACCTATGCTATGGCTGGCTACATATACACGCTGGATCTACCAGGTATGCAGCCATCACGTACAGTACGCGCCCAGCTGCAGGGCCTACTACATGTACTTGGCAAAGCACAGCATCATCTTGTGAAACAGCCGTCAAGTTGTGGACTAAACTACTGACCATTGAACGGGCTGTTGTCTTCTGTTACATAGGCAGCAGCTCATCAACTGTGTCGCTCTTCTCATGTCAACGCGACAGACGAGGCGAGAATGGCTGGGCTTGCACCAAAATACGCCGTGGCTGGCGATTTCACCGCTGGAGACCATCACAAATCACATTTGACATCCCATGCCCACCCAGGCAATGAAATATTACTATGTAGAGAACAGAGCCACTTCAAGGAGCGGCCCGTGCAATAAACTTTGCAGCTAAAATCCTAACCTTGATCCATACAACAGCAACAACAACACGTATATGTAATGTACCTCGCAAGTCGACGACTTCTTCAAAGCGCGCAACATTTATCTGTTTACCCCAACTACATACCTAAGGTAGGTAGTAGGTAATATCCAGAGCACGACTTTATTTCCACACCTGAATTTACCCAAAAAAAACTCACCTCAACCAGTGTACATGTCGTGCTTTACCCTTGTATAGGTAGGCCTCCCTCAAATGCCCCTACATCACTCACCAGTCATACCCCAACTCGATCGACAAACCCATGTCAACGCAAGCACAGCCACACATCGCCAAATCCCTCAGGAAAAATACACCAAAAATTGCCGGCATGACCGGACCCGGCACACGACTGTGGGGTTCTTGATCCTAAAAGCATGGCATCCCCGCATCGTGAACTGTCCCAAACACATTCCAGTCAGGACAAGAACAACTACGCACAATACACGGAAAAAAAAGGGACGCAAGAAAAGAAAGTGGTCTGTAGGATGTCTCTATTGGTATCTTTTCATATACATCCAGCTCTATATGATCTTTTTTTCCTTCTTTTTATATCTGACTGACTTGACCAAGTCTCAAGATCCTCTTCAGAGATGATGGCTCGTGCGACACATCAAGCTCCGCGACCCGTGGTTCCACTGGGCTAGCAAAAAAAGATATCATTTCAAGCCTGCCATAAGAAACAAAAAAAGAAGTCTACCTTTTCTGCTGCAGTATACCACATACCACTCGCACACACAAACGCAAACGCAAGAGTCTAACACTTTTATGCTTTCATGCCGCCCAAATCTTACTCGGGCTTGGCCATGACCATGGGCTTGGTTCCCAGACCGTTGCGGTTGCGGAAGAACAAGACGCCCTTTCCAGGGCCCTTGGCCTCGGCGCTGTGCTCGACCCAGTGGCACATGCGAGCGCTTGTCCACATGGCACGGATGAAGCCAATGGCACCGTCCTTGGTGTCGGAGCGGTAGTGCTCGCCCATGACGGGGCGGATGGCATCGGTGGCCTCGTCGGCGTTGTAGAAGGGGATCGTGGCCACGTAGTGGTGCAGGACGTGGGTCTCGATGATGCCGTGCAGCAGGTGACGGCCGATGAAGCCCATCTCACGATCGATGGTGGCGGCAGCGCCACGGACAAAGTTCCACTCCTCGGCAGTGTAGTGAGGGAGCGAGGGGTCGGTGTGCTGCAGGAAGGTGATGGCAACTATGGGGAGAGACAAAAAAGGTCAGTAAGCGGGAACTTTTGCAGCTGTTTCAGACATGAGGATTTGAGACTAACCGAGCCAGTGGTTAACCCAGAGGTACGGGACAAAGTACCAGATGGCCAAGTTGTACCAGCCAAAGGTGTTGCCGAGGTAGTAGAGGGTGCTGAAGGCAATGATCAGGCCAATGTCGCTCATGACGATGAGCTTGGCATCCTTGGCCTCGTACAGAGGGCTGGACGGGTCGAAGTGGTTGACGCCGCCACCAATGCCGTTGTGCTTGCCCTTGCCACGGCCCTCGCGCTGGCGCTCGTGGAAGTTGTGGCCGGTGATGTTGGTGAGCAGGTAGTTGGGCCATCCCACAAGCTGCTGCATGACCAGCATGAAGAGCGTGTAGACGGGCGTCTCCTCGGTCAGCTCAGACAGCTCGTGCACCATCTTGCCAATGCGGCTGGCGTGCTGCTCGCGAGTGCGGGGGAGGAAGACCATGTCGCGCTCCATGTTGCCGGTGGCAGCGTGGTGCTTGCGGTGGGAGATTTGCCAGCTAAAGTAGGGCACCAGCAGGGCCGAGTGGAGGAACCAGCCGGTGATGTCGTTGATGAGGCGAGAGTCGGAGAAGGCGCCGTGGCCACACTCGTGGGCAATGACCCAGAGGCCGGTGCCGAAGAGACCCTGCAGGATGGTGTAGACGGCCCAGAGACCAGCGCGGGCGGGGGTTGAGGGGATGTTCTCAGGGGTCACGTAGTTGTGGAAGACATAGAAGGTGGTGGCCAGGCAGATGATGTCGCGGATGATGTACGAGTATCCCTTGAGGGCGGATCGCTTGAAGCAGTGCTTGGGGATGGCGTCGCGGATATCCTTGATAGTGAAGTCGGGCACCTTGAACTCGTTGCCGTACGTATCGACCAGGCGGCCAAAGTCGGTAGCCTTGACGCCGGCACTGGCATTGACGTCGACCGAGGACATGGACGACAGAGACGTGGACGAAGCCGACGGTCTGGGGGAGTCCATGGGGGACACGGCAGCAGAGGACTCAGTTGAGTCGGTCACATTGCGCCGGAGAAGAGCCTCTGCAGGCTGGGGCACAGCAGTTGAAGCCATGGCGATGCTCTCTTGGGGGGAGGTTGCTCAAGTTCTCTCAGAGACTCGAAGCAGTGAGGAGTTGAGGGAAGAAGAAGAAAGGAAGAAAAAAGAAAAGGTGACGAGAGCACAGCTCGCTATCAGATAAGATAGGATAGGCGTGTGGTGAACGGGGCCTCCAGGGGACGAGGAGAGAGAGCAACGAACTGGGGGGGTGGCCTCGCTTTTGTTTTGGCCCGGGGAGGGGAGGGAGAGAGAAGGAAAAGAGGAGAATAGGGGACCTGCAACTGAATGGGATGTGATAGGTCCGTTTCACAGTCCAAAGGAGGAATGGAAGGCAAATCGGGATAAGAGAGAGCAGAGAAAAAAAAAAAGCGAGAGCCCAAGTCACTCACACTCACACAGCAGCCCAAGCCCAAGCAAGCCCAAGTCCATCCCACGCAAAATCACAGCCAGAGTGACTTTGCTTGGGCCCCCTTGGACGTTTGGCCTCCCCCCCACTGGCCCGGTACGGTAAAAGTACATGCAGAGGCAGATGCAATGGCATGGCAAGTATGGGAGATATTTTTTGTTGGGGCGGGAGGAGACGAGGAAAAAAAAAAAGGGCTCCAGAACCGCCAGGCGTGGGGCTTGGGGCCAAAAGATGACAGGTACATGTATCAATGCCTCTTTCATTCTTTTCTTGCAGTGCATCTGCTACTATTCCATTCTACTCTCTTGCTCTTTTCCACTCTGGTTTTTCTCAATTGAGTGGTTTCGCCGTCCAAAACAAGCACAAAGAGACTCTGCGAAACCACGATGCCCCTGGAAAATAGAGGAGAAAAATTTGTGCCAATTGGAGGCGAGCTTGACGCCAGATCTGGGCCCGAAAAGAATAAACTGGACCCTGGATGGGAGGGCCTGGCCACCCCCCGTATCTGGACCTCTTCTCCGTACCTGTATCTGTACCCGCGAACCAGGGAATACTCGTAACTTCACGGCACCATCAAGCCAAGCACTCGGCTCTGCCGCACTGACAGATTTGCCATTGCCGTGTCTTATTCATTGCGTTTTGGCTGGATTGTACTGTAGACATTATTCGTGCGTAGATCCAAACGCGGCGTCGCCTTCGCCGTCACCGTCACATGAAAAAAAAAAAAACGATCTTGTCCGGGGAACTAAGATACGCCATGTCCGATTCTCTGTCAACATGGCGCACTTGGCTTGACTCAAAGGAAAAAAAAAAAAAAAAAAAAATCTCCCACAAGACAACCAGCAAATACTGCCTGCATCGTATCCTCACATCTCTTTTGGCATGCTCAGCAGAACGTCGTAAATTGTATTCCCGCATAAGTAGCCTGATACATGACATGACCACCACCACCTTGGTACTCTAAGATATCCTCCGCAACGGAGATAAAGTCCCCAGCACATACGCTCAGACAAGAACTCCGAACGGCTGCACCAACTCGCTCCCAGAAAGACCACGTAGTGCGCCGCCGTTCGCCGGTAAAAGCAAAACCAATACCCTGCATGAGGGGCGCGGGCGTGCCGGGGGGCTGGGCTGAAGGCGCCTAAAACAAGATGGGCGATCGTCTAGCAAGGACGCAGCTCAGATAGGAGGAGGAAGAGACATGTGAAGCCGAGTTTCAGTTCTGCGGGAGGGCGCCAAAAGTTGATGGTGTGCTCTGGATGGAGTACAAGTACAAGCCAAACAAGCATACGATTCAATGCTAAAGCGTCTACGCCCGATTCGTGTGTCATGCTAATACTACCTTGACTACTTACTTACTTACTTACTTACTGTGCCAACAACTAATCCATCAAAGCTTAGTATTGTAGGTGCTCAGAACCGATACGGCGTTTGGACGCCTTCTCCCCGATCCCAGCTGCTTCATGCAAAGAGCTCGCGCGTCACACTACCACCCCCAGCTTTTTCTTATTCCTTTCGTTCCCGTAAAACGGTTAAAGAAGCAAGCCTCGGAGCATGTGAAATCTCGAACTTCTCCCCCCCTCTCCGCTCCTCACCACCTCTCCTCATACTGTTTTCCGCCCTGGCCCGCTTCGGCATCTCACAGTGCCGTCTCGTGTCATTCTTCATGTCACGCAACAAGATCAGATCATAAAGACCAACAAAACAAAACTATGGCTCTCTAGATGGAGCAGGAAGACGAGCAGTTTGTGAGCTGGTATGTTCCTCCTCGACTCATTCGTTTCCATTGGGCCGTGGAAATACACCATGCAGGCAAACGCAGGTGGCGGCGAGGCAATTTGCTTACTACCTCGTGTACTTACTTGCCTCTGGGGGGTAAATCTGAGTAGGGATGTACTGGTACAGCACTCTTTCTTTCGCCCCTTGATTCTCGCTCTCTTCACTTTGAGAATCGAGTACTCAACTGTCTCGCATCAAGCATTCTCTCCAAGCCCAATCCCCAACTACTCATAGAAACCTGCAGCCATCTGTCCATCTCCCCATTCTACACTACACACAAACAAATAAAACATCCCAAGTACTGCATCTCTCAGATGGTACAAAACCCGTAGCACTCAACTGTCTCTCCCCCACATCTGTTGGGAATTTTGTTGAGGGCCACAAAACGCCAGGGTCCCCTTTCCCTGCCCGTCGATCTGGCGTGGGGCCCGATTCGCCGCAAAAACCCACGTGCTTTTGCCGCTTTGGATTCCCCATGTCGGCTTAGTAATTGCGACTGCCATCATTGGTGGGATTCATCGATCGATAACTGTACTGTGTGAGAATCGGCTATCTGGTATCTGATTGCACTGTATTGTTATCTTTCCCACCAATGGCTTTGTATTATGTAAGCAATGATTTGCTTGGCACTTCTCCGTTTGAAAACTACATAATTATGCACTCGATTCATGTGCAAATAATGCAGCACGCGACCGCGTCGCTCGAACAAATTACCCAGAAGAGAAGGTGATAGGAGGAGATGCAGTCTGACGAATGCCGCTGCGTAGTATATGGTTTATAGGGACGGCTTATCAATCACTCCTCGCTTAGAGAGTATCGCGAAAAATTGGGACCTGTGGCTGTGTGGCTCGTGACTTGAGGTATGATCGATGTCGGTTATTCGGCGCGTTCTGCATTGGAAAAAAAAACCACAGCCAACCCACTGCTAGCTTCAAAGTTGAATTCAAAGCCGTTGAGAATGTCAAAAGTAGTCGTTTCTGTGTGGTTTTAGCATTATGAAAAACCGGCAGCCCGTTATATGGGAGCTTGTCTTACAGCGCCAGCTAGCAGAAAAACTGCAATTTTAGAACTTCCTTTGCTACAGCGAAGTGTGACACGATCGGGTTAAACTCGCTGCTTAACGAGGTTATATTAGCTCTGATTTCTCGGCATATCCCCCTCGAGTTACGGGCCACACCGCCACAAGTCCCAGTTATTTGTGATACTTGTTAAGCTAGGCGTTATACTTGACAAGCCGTCCCTACTTGGTAGTTATATGATATAATCTCGGTGTAAGAGGTGTACGAGTACATAGTAGTAGTGGTAGATTAATAAGCTTGAGATTTCACGACATTCCTTCATGCTACTTCTTTACTACCTAATACTAGGATGGCACGCATGTTAGTAGCTTCACAAGAAGCTGTGGCCTTTCAAATCACTCCTGATAACCCCAATAAGTGGCAGAATTGCTTCATTGATATTTCTAATCACTCCTGATACCCCCAATAAGAGGCAGAATTGCTTCGTTGATATTTCTGACAAGAGAGACATGAAAACTACCCAATTCGAATTACTTTCGATAAAAGGGTCAAGCTTCAGTCATGCTATTTCCTCAAATTAAACATGTATCATATTAGTCCCAATCAGCTAATCCATTATCATACCCATAATGCGTGTTCTCATGGTAGACTCCATCCATCATCGTCATGTCCTGCTAGCTATGGATACCAACCCCATACGCCATGCCAAGTACAAGTAAACAACGTGAATCAAAACCAATCAATAAAATCCCCAAAATAAACGCTTCAGATTTCCGCATGAAAAAAAAAAACTCACCATCTCCAACCCACCATTCCGAGCTCTGCCGTAGAGCCATAAAGCCGAAGCCCCGAATCCAATCCGAGCAACGAAAGGAAAAAAAAAAAGGCAGAAAAAAAATGCTCAGCTTTGACGACGTCATTCACCACGACACCATGCTGCCATTAAGTTCCACCACCAGCTGCAACCGCTGCGGCATCGCATCCACCCACATATTCACCCTCTCCTGACTCAATCCCGCCCACGCCTCCCGAGCCGCCTGCTTCAGCGTGTCGTCCTCCCAGTCCTTGAGCAGGTCCGATGTCCACTGCTTGTTCGGCGGCCACAAAGACTCCAGTGGACTCAGATCAGGGCTCTCGCCACAACTAAACGAGCATCGCAACCCATGTGTGTCCTTCCACTGCTGGGCGAGGTTGATCTTGCTCGCGCTCCCGTGGGCAAACACATCCGCATCCTCCTCCAGCACAAACGACAGGGGCCCCGAAGCCGTGAGCCACGGCTTGACGACCTTGTCGAGCACCTTGTCGCAGTAGTCGGCCATGGACATGGCGCCATTTCCCTTGGGGCTGGTGGATGGGTCGTAAAACACCAGCTCGCTCTTGAAACCATAGCCCACCGCCGCCCACGCGTGCAATCGCCGAATGTCCCGCGGCCACACGTTGCCCATCTCCTGCTCGCATCCGCCGCAGAGCTTCTCGCCGCTTCTCGGAGCCAGGCGCATCCTGCCGTCGAGCCCAAAGCCAAAGTGCAGCTCTCCGCTGAACCGGATGCGGCGCCAGTCCTCCTTGAGGGGATACGTCCGCAGGGCCTTCCTGGCAAAGTCGCAGCGCTTCTCCCGATGCCGCTTGTGCGTGTGAGTCCGCCCACAGACAAGACACCGGCGATAGCCCAGCGTCCCCATGGCTCGGTGCAGCGTCCGCCGGTTGCAGTTCATCTCTAGACCGGCCTCCCTAGCTAAGCCGCTCCAGTTAAGGCTCACATCCTCGTATTTCTCATCCCATAGGATCTGCTCCATCTTTTGCAGGTCCGACTCAGCAATCTTGCTGGGCCGCCCTCGCGTCTCTCCCCATTCCGGGTCGTCACTCTTGGGCGTCGATGATGTATTGAGAGCCGCGTAGCCCTGAGATCGAGACAAGTCAAAGTGGCGGAAGATGGCTGACTTATTCACCGGCAGCCCCTGGGATTCGAGATACGAAATGGTGCCTCGCACCATAGCCTTTGCCGGAGTATCCCCATGTTTGTATCCAGAAGGCATGGGGCAGTTGTTGGTACCAAGGCGTTGCTGTAAGTTGATTGTAGATGCCCGCATAAGACACTTGACGCCAGAAGGAGGGAGAAAAGGGCAACGGCAGATGATGAAAGTCCCATTGTGTTGTGCTATTTTTGTCCAGTCCCACTGTCGGGCCGTCGACCTATCGCCGTTGACGGAGCGTCGACGCAAAATTACCCACACATTCGCCGCACGTGACTTATTCCGTCAACCTCACCTCATGATGTCGATCATCTTGCACAAGAGCCCAAGCATAAAAATGAGCACATCTGCATGGACACTTATTGCATATGTGAATGTCTCATCTCATGTGATTAGGTAAACTACCTAGCAGACAGAGGGAGTGAAAAAGAGGCAACACGCTATGAAAACCAAAAGTCATTCAATTTTGTCCGCTTCTCTAAAGCAAGACTGAATAGACACTAGTAATTTAAGGATTAAGATTGGCCAGCTCCAGTCATGCCCATATGATAAATCCCTTGCTTGCTTAAGCTTCTTCGATGTAATTTCACGCCAATTTTCTGTCTCGAAATGATAAAAAACAAAAAAGGAGGGAAAGAAGAGAAAAGCAACAAATAAAAGAGAAACGTGCTCAGCGTTGCTCAACCAAGGCTCCCAAAATGTGTAACCTGACCAACGCCCAACCTCACGTAGCCAACCCTTATCTCCGTTTCTATATCTTGATATACATTACCACCGGGAATCAGACCAAAATATCGTGGGCATCAATATGTCTGGGGGGAGGTGAGGCCCCTAGATAGTGAGTTGATATGAAAAAATAACATGGAAAAAAAAGAAGAAGCCCACTGCTTCGCTATGTCTTTTATGAAGAGAGAATTAAGAGGAAAAAAAATTGAAGCGATCGTTTAGTGCTTTCCGGCATCGCGGACGCTTTGCATGAATCGATCCTCGGCGCCAACTTCGCTCAACGCTCGTGTCGATGAGGCGCCTGCACTGGTCCTGGACAAGACAGCTTTGACTTCTTCGGCCGTCTTGCTTCCCATCAAATCCATCTCTCGGCTGAGAAGAATGGCAACAGCTGCGCGAACTAGGAGTGTGTCACCCTCAAAGACGTAAACATCCCAAAGTCTTGCTGCCTCGTCGATGGCTAAATGGGCGGTAAACAGGTTGGTGAAGATGTTGGCAAGGTGCTGGTCCAGCTGGACGCCTTGTACCGTCTTGGTCAAGTGTTCGTATAGGGAGTTGGACTTGATCTTGAGCGTGTCATACACGAGATTGAATGCCGCTGCTTGCGCGCCGCGATCAAAGGTGTAAAATGAGAGGGGTAATGGTCGGTTAAGGACGTTGGCTAGAGCGATAAAAGTTGATTCGGGGTTTGGTAGATTAAGTAAAAGCAGGGCGGCTATGGTCTGTTTTGTCATGCACGAGTTAGCAACGGATTGCATTCCTGTAGAGGTTGAAAAATAAAAGAGAAATGGTATTACTCACGTTACATCCCGACACATAGCCGATATCGTTCCTGTACATGGCATATGCTCTCAGAACATCTACCAGGCCCTGGTGAAGCGGACCAGTCACTTCGAAGATACGAAGCTCCCTCCACGTCTTCTCGGCGACATCTTTGCGGATTTGCTCAAACCACTTGACTCGCCTCAGGTCCTCTGCATCGCCCCTGTCCGTCTTGACTCTCTGCTCCAGCTCTTCTGATCGGGTCAAGGCTGCTCGGAAAGATGCTTCCGTCAGGCCAAGCTCGTTTCCAATGGCCTTGGCCCATACGGATCGCCGACTGCGGGGCGCCACTCCCTTCCACCATAGTTCTCTCGTATTCTTCTCGCGTATAGCTTGGTTCCATCGAGGAAGAATGTCATCCTCCCAGATGTGCATGGCCTTGTCCGCATTGTTGTCCCTTGCGTCAACCTTGTTCTTTCGCGCTGCTTCTCGGCGCTCCTCCGCCTTGACACTGGCTACCATCATCTTCTGATACTCGCGTAGATGACGTCGTTCTTCGGCGGGATCCTTGGGTGGCAGCCATGATGGTCGAGTGCGGCTCAGTACGGCCTCCTTTTCCTTGGAAATGGGGAGCGGGTCAATCATGATGTTGGAGCGGCGCAGTGGCGGAAGCTCTGCAAAGGACGATTTGACTCGTAGTTTCTTCTTGTCATAATCTACCTTTGCTGACTGGTTCGGGGTCCACGTATTGGGTCGTGCACCATGTTTTTTGGCTTCGATTTCATGCAGCTCGTCGGCGTGTTCCTCCAACTTTTCCACCAGGTCTTTTGTATCGGCATTTAGATCCGCAAGCGCAATAGTCCAGCTGCGGGCTTTGCCTCTGAGGGGGCTCGGTGGAAGCCTGTCGCCGTCGGTTTTCCAGCTCGGTGATCGCAATGAGCCCTGAGCTTGGGCGACGGGAGGCGTGCCATTGCCAACGCTACGGACTCGCTTGTTGCGCCGGCGGTCAGGCGATGGCGACACGGATTTTATCGACGCCGGCCGGCTGGCAGGTCGCTCACTTGGTGGGCGCGGGGAAATGGGCACGTTATCGAGAAACAGCCCGTCGGGGATGTCGTCGTCATCGTCGTCGTCGTCGCATTCCTGCTCAAGCTCCGAGATGGACTTGCGGTCGCGGCTGACCTGCCAGCTGCCCCGTCGCGGCCTACCAGCGAGGCTTGGATCGCGAGGATCCGGCGTCAGGCCCGGGCTGGTGCTGCGGTGGCGGCGAGCCTGGGGGACGGATGATGTCGAGTATCCCTTGGTGAGAGTCGCGGGTCGCGGGTCGGCTAGGGACGAGAGAGTCGTGCTCCGCGGATTCGATCCCGCCGCAGCGCCGTTGAGGTTGGGAAACGACCGCTTCGCGCGCGGCGCCCGCTTGGCAGAGGCGAGGTCTCGAGGCCCGCGAGCCTTGTGCGACGCAGCTTTTGGGGTGACACCGTCGTCGTTCAGACCAATGTCTTCAAAGTGGCCGACGTCGGCCAGGACGCTGGCATCGTCGCTATTTAGCGAATGGAACGAGGACGACTTGGAGCTCTTGGAGGTGGTCATGCCGGGAGGCGAGTCCGGGCTCGTGTGGCCGTGGATCGTGGCGTGGTTAGCGGCACTTTCCAAGCCACCGTTGATGATGCCAATTCCAACACCATGATCCCGAATCATTGCTGCATCAACAGGGCAACCAGCTGCCCTAAGTCCAGTCTGCTTCGTCTTCAGCTGGAGAGGCCGGATCGGCTGGAGGTGGGGATGGTAGAAAGGGATGATGGATTGTGATGTCTTGGTAACGGCGTGCGGTGCGACAGAACAGAACTGATTCTCTTTCGCGGGGGTATGGGTAATTCAACAAGAGGTGTCTCGAGATTTGAAACAGCGTTGGATCCTCGCAGGGCCGAGAGGCCGGCTGTAATGAATTGAGCAAGAAAGTAGAGACCGAGAAAAGAGTGTGGGAAGAAGAGAAGAAAAAAAAAAGTAAAAGTAAAGAATAGTAGAGGCAAAACGACTGAAAGCTCTCAGCTTCAATGTTTGTTCTAACGAGTGTGGAAATGGGAAATGGGAAATGGGAAATGGGATACAGTACAGAAAAGGAAGCTGAAGAAGGAATCTAGAAAAAGAGGACGAGAGAAGATGCAGAATTGCGGAGGATCAAGGAATGACGAGCCAAGGAGACGCCAATCGATGCTTCAAACAAGGAGGGAATGGGTACATGTGCAATTATCTGGGAGCAGGTACAGGGTACCTGGTCGTGCGAATCTGGCAAGGCTCGCACCCCCTTCTTTTGGTCTTTTTGGTCTTTTTTGCGGTGCCTTTGCTGCAACTCAGGCTCCAATTCAGGCTCTACTTTGCATTAATCCCCAGCAGGTGTGTCTGTGCCTTGGTCGCTGAGCGCTAGCCCCGTTTCCAATTGTGCTTGTAGCCGATACACGCGCGCCTTGTACTTGATCGCGTTCAGGGCGGAGTCGCCTGTACTTGTACTATAGACGAACTAAGCCGGAACCTGGACAAGACGGATGCAGATTGTGATGCTGCAGTCATAAGCCAGTAAGACTGCGTGTTGACGCTTTATCTGACGTTGGGTTGGCGTTATCTACAGTACAGAGACAAGTACCGAGCGGGATGGTGTGGCCATGCTTGTATTTCCCGAGGGGGGAAACAACAACAAGATGCATCCTGTGCTGTGTTGCGTTGCACCATCACAAGAGGCTTGTCTTAGTCAATCAAAGCATCAACCCTACCAACAGCGTCCGCAATGTATCTGACACACAACAATTAAGCACTTCCACCCTCTCAAACAGCCGGGGGCCTCCCGCCATTGGTCCTCACACAGTACGTGCGGTTGCAATCTCGCCGCAGCACCACAGTGTCGCATCAGCAAGCCCCTGACCAAGTGGAGATGAAGTTCAATCTCGGCTGGTTCGGGGGCCGAATAGAACTGTGCAGCTCATCCTTGCCGCTGTATATCAACGCTATCAAGTGCGGTCTGATAATGCAAGCAGTGTTCATTCTGCTTTACTATTAAATACATTCGGTACTCGTACTCGTACTGTGGTATTGTGTAGCCAGACGCCAACTTTTCCAACTCACGAACACAGTCAGCCCTACCAGGAACCAGAATAGCTTCACCGCCGTCTCCTTGTAGGTTTTGACGAAGCGAATTCCAAAATTGCCATAGTCCGCTTTCGCTTGTCTGCAGACTCTCTCGGCTGCCTAATAATAGCACCGTTTGATTATGACATGTCTTGCAAATGCATGTACATGTTAGGTATATCAAAGACATGCCAGGACATACCTGCCAGATTGCTACTATTAATATCTGTTGATTTCTTGTTCTTGTCCCCAATCAATGTCTTGATCGTGGTTCTGGGTCAACTTCACGTTCTAGATCCTCACAGAACGTCCAGAGTCCCTTGCTTGGGAAATAAATAGGCCTGGCTCGCCCCACAATGGTATGGCTGAGAAGCAGCGTCCTGAGGCGATGCCGGCTTACTGTAGATACATAGTATTGTATATGTGGATTATGAGAAGATCTATTTTACTTTGGATGCTCCAAGCTGAGATGAATGGCACTGCATCTCCACAGCGGATGGTAAATTTCCTTGATTTCATTTATTGTGAATATCCATGGTCCGTCTATACATAACACTGCCTATCCTCCTGCTCCCTCGGAAATTGTTTTTGCTACCCTATCTAGATATGCCAATGTTGAACAGTCCTTATCATAAGCAACTACCAGCATTAACAAGTCCAACTTAACAAGATGCTACATTATTGTGTTTTCCCTTTCTCTCCTTCGTCTTCTGTGCCGCCCTCTCTTCCATCATGGATTTGTATGTAACGGTACCAAGTATCGGTTTCGGCCGGGTGAACAATGGCCCTGGTAGAGCTTTGAATGCAGCAATGTTGACGACTGATTCCCATGCCAGCCGTCTCCCTGCCCGACGTAGCTGGCCACCAGATGCAGATGCTTCTTTGTGAGGCTGCAGCGGAGCATTTATCGGCCCAAAGGAAGAATCTCCTTCAGAAATATTTTGCCCGTTTTGGGGATGCATTGTCAAGATAGCTGCATCCGGCTTTTCTGGAGAGGCTTCTGGAGTTGACGTAGGGTAATCGCCATTATGTGGCATCACCCCCACGGTAGACGCATCCAACATTGTATTGTCTTTTGTATCAACCAGCTTTGTCGATTCAGATGGCTCGTCAAGCATGCCAATGATCTCCCGCGCATCTCCTCCTGAGCTCTTATGGCTTTGCCTCTCGGGAGAAAAATCGAGAGTCGCCGTGGAGCCAGATCTAGAACGAACACTCCGGCGCTGATCTTCGTCTTCATCTTCATCCCCTAGGTGTCGAGGTTCTCGTTTGCATTTCACACTTTGCCACGAGGTCGGAAATGGAGTGCTCGCCGCTTTCGAATCGGCAATGTACCGTTGAATCGAGACATGATCTTCTAGATCAACGTGCTGTATCGCACAGCTACCTGCCCTGGTAAATGTACTTGTGTCGTTTGGCCCCGTATCAGGCAAATACATGTAATCCGTCTTCGAGTTCGTACCCTGGAGGCTACAAGGTGTTGTCATCAAGCCCACACTCGGATGCTTTGTGTATCTTCTCGATGCTGATGACATGCTGGGACGATCCTCATAAACAGCTTCGTTTAGTTGGCGCGTCGTCATATCTCTGCCTCTCCAATCCGCCGGAGTTCCTCGTGTCTTGCTTGAAAGCTTGTTCTGCCATCTCGACTTGTTCTTGCCTCGCTTAGCAGGTGACGGTATAACCTTCACAATTCGGCAGTCCGAGTCGTTGTCGGATGATTCGATAGATATGACGTCGTCGGCTGAATCCATAGCCATCATGTTTGTCTGTTGCTGCTTGGTTGCTTGCTCTGCGTTAATCGCCAAGTAGATATTTGTCTGGTGATTGGCGAGTATGAAGGGGTACGAACGAATGTTTGCAGAGAAAATCGTAGAGTAGCAGGGGGACATGAGGAAAAAGCAATACGGCCAAATGTGAGCAACAAGTGACTCTTGCGCCCACGAGATTCACCTTGAAGTTGGCACCCGCAATTATGTGACACCTACCTTGCCATTGAATTCAGCACTACAAGCCCTCTATTAACTATACTCCAAATGCAGCACAAAAGGCTATTGTTCATGGCATTGTATTTGGTCTGTCCATGTTCATGCGTCTATGGTATCGCTACAATCCATATTAAGCTTCTATCTCGTCGAGATCCGTGGCGCCTGAACTTTTTTGCTTTATTTTTCCAACCTTTCCAACATCTTACATGCGCTCTCGTCTCCGTGGGGCCGCCCGTATAATGTCGTCGACTCTCAGGAGAAGCTGTATCGTGGGTATCAGCACAACGTCATATAAGGTGACAAGGGTGGCCGGGGAAATGGGGAAATGGGGAAATGGGAAAAGGCCTTCTTACCTCTGCTGCCTCACTGGCAGATGACACAACCGCCTTCTTCAGCTTGTAGCTTTCAACCACACCAACCTCGCGCATATCAGCAATGCCACCACCGGGAGTCATCAGGTCAAGACCATACGTGGTCAGACCGTCATAAATGGCCTTTCGCAGGCGTGCAACCAGCTCGCCAGAATCCAATCCAGCATTGTCAGCCAGAATGGTGGGCAGCTGTCGGAGGGCGATTGCGAAGCTGGAGACGGCCACCTGCTTCTTGCCCTCGATGCGTGTGGCCGCACCCTCAACAGCCTTGGCCATGACCATCTCCGCACATCCACCTCCCAGGGTTGTCCTGGGCTCGATGACGGTTTGGGACAGCACGGCCAATGCGTCGTGTAGACTTCGCTCGGCCTCGTCGAGCAACTGTTCTGTCGCGCCACGCAGCACAATGGTGCATGCCTCGCCAGCCGCCACACCAGAGAACTTGATCAACGTATCCTCGCCAATGATGACCTCTTCGATCAAATCGCAGTGGCCAAGCTTGATCTGGTCGGGGTGGTCAAAGGTGGAGGCAATCTCGCCTCCCGTCACCAACGCCAGTCGTTCAATGCCATCGAAGTCGGCGTGCTCGATAGACATGATTCCAGCATCGGTGAAGAGCTGTTCTGGCCAGTTGTAGATGAGCTGGCGGTTGATGAAGCAGTTGATGCCGTGGGCCTTGATCTTCTCCACCTTGGCCTTCATCTTGTCCTTTTCGGCCTTCTCCAGCTCTGCCAGCTTTCCAGTTGAGCCGACCTTGACTCGTGCTCCGAAAATCTTGACCTTGTCTGTGTCCATCGATGTGTTTGCGACCAGGATCTTTGCCTTCTCCAGCCTCTTGGGCTGGTTAACGCCAATCTTCTTGTCCAGGATGAAACCCTCATCCAGGTAAGAGTCGCTGAGCTTTCCTCCGGCCTTCTTGATGATCTGGATGTGGCTAAGGTCGGATGATTTCTTTAGACGGAGGATTGCGTCGACGGCAAGCTGGGAGAAGTGGTCTCGGTCCTGTGACAGAACCTTGGAGCTCAGGGTGGTTCGTGCAATGGCAACGAGATCCTTGCGGAAGGCCTCAGGGCTCTTGCTGTGGTCAACGGCGGATTCCTCAAGGGCTTTGAGAGCAGCCTGGCTGGCTATCCGATAACCCTCAATGATTGTCTGAGGGTGAATCTTCTTGTCGATCAGCTTCTCAGCCTCTCTCAGAAGCTCAGCAGCCAACACAGCGACCGACGTCGTGCCGTCACCGACTTCGTCATCCTGAACCTTTGAGATGTTGACCAACACCTTGGCGGCGGCGTTATCGAGGGCTATTGACTTGAGGATCGTGGCACCGTCGTTCGTCACCATGATATCGCCGGTGGAACTAGATGGAAGGACGGGTCAGGGGCTGAGGGGCTTGGCTGGGGATTTGTAATGGACGGGCACTCACGCAGATTGAAGGATCTTGTCCATGCCTTTGGGACCAAGAGTGCTCTTCACCAAGTCACCAACGGCGATGGCGCCGACAAAGGCAGCCAGACGCGCATTCTCACCCTTCTCCTCGGTGGTGCCCTCCTCGAAAATTTGGGTCGGGAAGAACGACTGTATGGCGGGGGAGATTGATACGTTAGTTGGGCCTCAGAAGAAGCTGGCGATGGAGCCGCGTAAAAGACAGCAACAGCAAAACATACCATGATGGACTGCTAGTGACGTGACAACCGGACAAAAAGATACAATGGAAAGTAAAAGGAGGCTATATCGGGCTGGCCTGCAAGAAGAAGAGAAGCACTCCTTGTTGCCTGTTTTTCCTGACGACGCCGCCGAGCTCTCCTTTACCTCGAAAGCGCCATCTCAAAAAACCCCCACCATGCAGAGACGCGGCCACGTGACTTGCCCCTCTGTCGGAGAAATCGCGGCTCAGGAACATCGCTTCTCCGCCGCACACTTTGTTCAAAGTTAGAACAACAAATTTGTGCTGTGTTCGGGTATCGCCGCCAAAAAAAAATCCACGTCTGCAGTCACGCCGTCGTTTGCTGCAACCAACACCCACGCCCTGCGCATCGAACGCACCGGCCGACCGCCAGAATCGCCTCTCGATACTCCTCTCTTGGAGATCCCAAACCGAAGCCCCTGAGCCGTCCCCCAATCCTCGACTTTTACCGCGCCGAAGCGGGGCACTCTCGGCACCCCTCCTCCCATCATGGCGCCCTCATTCGACCAGCTGCGCGAGGCTGACCTCGACGACGACGAGTTTAACGAAGATGAGATTGACATCTCTGACCTGCGCGAGAAGTTCGAGGTCCAGCTGGAGCTGGGCTACGACACCTTTGTGGTCATCGATGGCCTTCCCGAGGTCACGGAAGACCAGAAGCCAAAGCTGGTCAAGTTCTTGCTGAAGAAGCTCAACACTGTTGGCAAGACCAAGGAGGAGCTCATCTACATGCCCATGGGCGACGATGGAAAGTCGATGCGGTAAGCAGGGCCTTTGATATATCCTTTGTTTGTTGATTCCTCGGGGGAACTCGTTTTTGACTCGTTGTTTGTTGGGTGGGGATTTAGCTTTGCTTTTGTCGAGTATTCCTCAGCTGCTGAAGCCGCTGCCGCAACTCGCCAGCTGGACGGCGTCCCCTTGGACAAGAAGCACACGCTGCGCGTCAACAAGATTACCGACATTGAGCGATATGGCCGGGAAGGACGAGTTGACGAGAAATACGTGCCCCCTGTTATTGACGAGTTCACCGAGAAGGAGCACTTGAGATGGTGGCTGAAGGACCCCTCTGGCCGTGGCCGAGACCAGTTTGTCATGTATCGTGGTGACTCTGTCGGCGTCTTCTGGAACAACGAAAAGGACCAGCCCGAGAATGTTGTCGATCGCCAGCACTGGACTGAGGCCTTCCTCCAGTGGTCGCCTCTGGGCACATACTTGACCTCAGTCCACCAGCAGGGTGTTCAGCTGTGGGCTGGATCATCGTGGTCTCGCGCCGCCAGATTTGCTCATCCATTTGTTAACCTGGTCGCCTTCTCCCCGAATGAAAAGTACATCGTTACCTGGTCAAACAGACCCATCTCCATCCCCGAGACTGGCCACCCTGCGCTGTCAGTTGACGACGAGGGCAAGAACTATGTCATCTGGGATATTGAGACGGCTACTCCTCTCCGATCATTCGCCAACCTGGATGCCCCCAAGGGAGAGGAGGGCAAGCCTCCCCCAAAGATGCAGTGGCCTGCGTTCAAGTGGTCTGCGGACGACAAGTACGTTGCTCGTCTGACGCCCGGTGCCTCCATCTCCGTCTACGAGCTCCCCAAAATGAACCTCCTCGACAAGACCAGCATCAAGATTGAAGGTGTGGTTGACTTTGACTGGGCCCCAGCAACACCTCAGCGTGAGGGCGTCAAGACTTATGAGCAGCTCTTCACCTTCTGGCAACCCGGAACCGGCAGCAACCCCGCCAAGGTGGGCCTTATGAGTATCCCCTCCAAGGAGGTCGTGCGAAGCCTCAACCTGTTCAACGTCAGCGACGCCAAGCTGCACTGGCAGTCGGATGCCGCCTACCTGTGTGTCAAGGTCGACCGACACTCCAAGTCAAAGAAGTCGCAGGCTACGACTTTGGAGATCTTCCGCGTCAAGGAGAAGGGCATCCCCGTCGAGGTTGTTGATACTATCAAGGACACCGTCATCAACTTTGCATGGGAGCCCAAGGGCGATAGGTTTGCTCTCATCACCACCACTGAGCCTGTCGGCCCTACCGCCGTCCCTCCCAAGACATCCGTCTCCTTCTTCTGCCCCGAAAAGTCCAAGGGCCCATATGCCGGCAACTTCAAGCTGCTGCGCACTCTGGACAAGAAGAACAGCAATGCCATTTACTGGTCACCAAAGGGTCGATTTGTCGTCATCGCCACGATCGCCAACCAGCAGAGCTCTGACCTCGACTTTTACGACGTCGACTTTGAGGGCGAGAAGCCCGAGTCCGCCAAGGACCTGACTGCTAACCTGCAGCTCATGAACACAGCCGATCACTACGGCGTCACAGATGTGGAGTGGGATCCCTCAGGCCGATTCGTTGCCACGTGGGCATCAGCATGGAAGCATGCGGTACGTATTATCGTGTCCACACGAGGTGTAACTTGAAGATTTTTTTTTTTTGGTACATGAGCTGACTAAACGAAAAACAGATGGAAAATGGATACCACATCTACGACTTCAAGGGTGAGGCCCTGCGCGAGGAGCCCATTGAGAAGTTCAAGCAGTTTGCTTGGCGGCCACGACCGGCGACACTGCTCTCAAAAGACGAGCAGAAGCAGATCCGCAAGAACCTGCGCGAGTACAGCAGAGTATTCGAGCAAGAAGACGCCGACCGCGGTGCGTCAGCCGACCTCGCAGTTGTCGAGGCCCGTCGCCGCGTCCTGGATGAGTGGCATGCTTGGCGTGCGGAGGTGGAGGCCGAAGTGGTGGAAGAGCGGGAGGCACTGGGTCTCCCACAGGATCCACACGCTGCCCTGCTAGAGGCAAAGACCAAGGAGATGGAGGGCACCGAAGGAGGCAGCATCGAAAGCGATCGGGTGATTGAGGAGATTGTCGAGGATGTGTTGGAGGAGAGCGAGGAGGTGATAGGGTAGATGGTCCTCTCTTTTGTCTAGCATGGGCATTCCGGGAGTGCTTTGCGCGTATGTATGGGTAGATTTCCACCGGATTTTTTTTACGGAAAATTGGCACAAATAATGACAAGTGTTTTGAAGAAGCTACCGAAGTTTGGCTTGGCTTGCCCCGGCTCCTTGACCTTGACCTTGACTTTGACCACACCACCACACCACCACACTGCCGCCGCCGCTTCTTCTTTCTATTACCTACCTATTCCACACTTGTTCTTCTTTAATTGGTACCGTGATACCTTTTTCTCTTCTTCATCTTCTCTCTCTCCCTCTCTCTCTTTTTTTTTAAGTGCCAGGGGGAGGCAAAGTCGCGGGGACTGGCATCTGGCCATCCGTCGCGTCATCCTTGGGATTCTGCCTCCATCTCATCGTAACCCAGCACCTTACTAGGTAGTCAGTGCATGGATGCTGGTCCCATCAATTCCGCAAGCGTGTGCTTCGTAATACTACTCGTACAATACCTGGACAGTCCGTCAAAGTGCACACGTATGCCGTAACCCGTACTCGTACTGACTGCACTGTAAGCCGCGACCGGCAATTTTAAACAGCCTGCGTCAAGTTGTTTTGGTGGGCTGCAGGGAATGCAAGGCAAGCTCTCGGCGAGCCGTGATCTTATTCGCACGAATCTCTGCAATTGGCTGCTGAGCACGTTTGAGGATCCAGCCCTGGTGAAGCCGGCATGGCAGGGGGGTTTCTACTTTTCTACTACGTGGGGATTGCTGGCGGACACGTACCGATACGCCCAGGGTACTTCTGGGCCCGCCGCCGGTGCGCTGCTGAGGGGGTATCCGCGTGGGCGGAGGACTCGTTAAGCGACTGGCACCGCGTACAGGTACCCAAGCAGTGTCGGGCCAACCCACAAACCCGCACCACACCATCTTGGATGTTCTGGAGGACTCTAATCTGAGCCACTCTCCCTCTCCCTCTCCCTCTGCCTCTCCCTCTTCTCATCGCCCTTCTCCTGAGTTCCCTTGCCTGTGCGAGTACGCAACACTGCCCCTCGGAGCATCGACAGCCATATCGGTGCTGGTACCGATACAGCGTTTTGCACCAAGCACACGCGCACATTCGTGGTACCACAACTAGCGAGAGGGGGAAGAGGCTTGGTCCGTTTATTCGCGTGTGGATACAAAACTACCTCTGCCGACAGCCATCGAACCCACAGCCTGCGTCACGTCTCCTCATCACCTACGACGGCCTCGATATCCGCGGGAGAGCTCTCTCAACCTCGATTTTGTCTGAGCGGCACCTGCGAGTCATTTCGGCGATTTTTCTGCCTGGTTGCCGCGCAGGACTGGTCCTGCCCAGCCTTTTCTCCTGGGCTCTCCCTCTGTTAATAATCCCTCCCCCTGAGGCTGAGGCAGAACACGATATCCATCCATTTCCATCCGGGCCGGGAATGGCTCCTCTGGCATCTCAACAGCCTCTACCTCTCTCTTGGTAGAGCCATAGCCTGCAGCTCCCCATGTGATCCGTTGTCCCGCAGCCGACTTTCGTCTCAACCATGATTCGACGACCCCCGGGTCAAGGACGATGGTCCTCACAGCAGCAGAAGCTCCTCATTGCTTTTGCCTTTATCCTTTTACCATGGCTCCAACTTGCCGATGCTCAGCAGCAGCCTCTGCAGCCGCAGATCCGAATTCACTCTCAGAGAGGAGACGTTCCTCTTGACAAAATATCCGAAGACACCAACAACCGTTGGTACTCAGCTCAAGCAGCAGCACAAGACGTGCCCGCCGAGGCGAGGTTCGACACCATCAACAGAAAGCAAAAGCAACAGCAGCAGCAGCAGCAGTCGACTCCTTTGCCGCAGCAGAAGAATTATCGACGAGCCCCACATGACTACGCCAACAAGGCTCAGAATCGATACCAATCCCCAAGCCGAGAATCCGATAAATCAAACTACATAAATGTCCCTAGCGATGCGAGCGCCCTCGCAACTTTAGCTCCGGCTCAGTCCGTTCGAGCACCACACACTTCACGACAACACTGGCCCAGCGCTTCTGGGCTGGCATCGCCGCAAATTGCGCGGAGTCTGGAGGACTGGGAAGTTGAAGACTTTGTTCTTCTGGCGACCGTCGATGGAGATCTCTATGCCAGCGACCGAAAAACCGGTCGGCTCCGCTGGCACCTCGAGGTCGACCAGCCAGTGGTTGAAACAAAACACTACCGAACAAACAACTCCGTCCTTGATGACGATTACAGCCCCGTTGATCATTACATCTGGGCCGTCGAGCCAAGCCGCGATGGAGGCCTTTATGTATGGATTCCGGACTCCGGTTCCGGCCTCGTTAGAACAGAGTTTACAATGAAGCGGCTCGTGGAAGACCTCGCTCCATACGCGGGCGAGGAGCCGCCCGTCGTATATACCGGAGACAAGAAGACGACCATGGTTACGCTTGATGCGGCTACTGGTCACGTCCTCAAATGGTTTGGCTCCAGCGGCTCCCAAGTAAACGAAGGCGAGAGTTGTCTCCGACCCAATGCCTTTGACGAGAAGTGTAGCTCCATGGGCACAATTACCCTGGGGAGAACCGAGTACACGGTGGGGATCCAGAGGCGAGATGGTCGTCCCATTGCAACCTTGAAGTACTCCGAGTGGGGACCGAATACTTTTGATAGCGACCTCTACCACCAGTACCATGCCTCAATGGATGGCCAATACATCACCAGTCAGCACGACGGCAGGGTTTATGCATTTGATTATGCCCGGGCAGAAAATGACTTGCCTCTTTTCAGCAACAAGTTTTCGTCTCCCGTGGCCCGCGTTTTCGACATCTGTCGATCTTGGGAAGTGACGATAGAGAGCAACCCGGAACTCGTTGCTCTTCCTCAGCCCCCCATGCCGACGCGCGATGAGACCATTGCCAAGATGCGAAGCAACAGCATCTTCCTTAACCAGACCGAAGGCGGCAGCTGGTATGCGATGTCTGGTCGGGCATATCCGCTTATTATTGATGCGCCCGTGGCCCAGATATCGCAACGTGAATGGTGGGAGCCTTCTAAACTTTCCAAGGCGCTGGTGGGCACTCACTTTCTGAATCCCTTGCGGAGTGGCGGCCACCAGCAGCCGCCAATGCTCGATCCTGGTAACCTTGACGAGTATTATGATTATCATGACGACTTGGAGAATGAAAACGCCTCGAACAACGCCCACGCCGTGACAAACACCGTCCCGGAGGAACCCACTATTATAACAAAAGTGAAGGCTCTCCCGCAAAGTGCCGCGAACAGCGTCATCGACTTCATCAGTAACCCCGTTCTCATCATCTTTTTGATCGGTTCGTTGATATACAACGAAAAGAAGCTTCGACGTTCGTACAACCGATTCAGGACCCATGGCACAATCAAAGATGTTTATCCCTTTTTGTTCCTAGATGCTGATGCAGGAGACGAATCGGCCGATGACAAGGAAGGAGTGTTTTCTTCTTCTTCTTCTCTGCGCACTCAACCTCAAGACGACAAGGTGGAAGACTTGCCTAGACCAAAGGTAGACAAGACGGTTGACGATAAAGACAAAGACAAAGACTTGCAAGACCTTCCCGAGTCTTTAGAACCGAGCGATAAATCAGATGGCAAAGAACCCGTAGTGGTCAAGCAGGTGGATGCTGCTGTTGCTGCCGCAGATGCACAGTCCCAGGACACTTCTAATGGCGCCGCCCCTGAGAAGAAAAAGAAGGCACATAGAGGGCGTCGTGGTGGTGTCAAACACAGAAAGGGCCGGGCTGCTGAGGGTTCGCAATCGCTTGAGGATGACGCAGGCCTCACGACGGTAGATGAGGCTGTAAGCAATGCCAAAAAGCTGGGTGACCGGCCTAGCCTGGAGCCCGATGTCATGACCATCTACAACGATATGCAAGCCGTCACTGGCTCCATTATCAGCATGGGAAATATCGAGGTCGACACGGACGTGGAACTTGGCATGGGCAGCAATGGTACTGTCGTCTTTGCGGGCAAGTTTGATGGCAGAGACGTTGCCGTCAAGAGAATGACGATACAGTTCTATGACATCGCCACACGAGAGACCAAATTGCTGCGTGAGAGTGACGATCACCCCAATGGTAAATATTAACTCTATCTGCAACAGCCCCTATTCACCAAATTACTAACATGATGTCCGCAGTCATCCGATATTACTCACAGGTACAGCGTGGTGACTTTCTCTACATTGCATTGGAGCGTTGTGCCGCGTCATTGGCCGACGTAATTGAGAAGCCGTATCACTTTGGTGAACTTGCCAAAGCCGGACAAAAAGATTTACCTGGCGTTCTGTATCAAATCACCAACGGTATCAGTCACTTACACTCACTGCGCATTGTTCACCGAGATTTGAAGCCTCAGAATATCCTGGTTAATCTGGACAAGGATGGCAAACCCAGGCTGTTGGTCTCTGACTTTGGTCTGTGCAAGAAATTGGAGGATCGACAATCTTCTTTTGGAGCAACGACAGGCCGGGCAGCTGGAACGTCAGGATGGCGTGCGCCCGAACTTCTTCTCGATGACGACGGACAGAATCCCGCGGCCATTGATAGTACGCACAGTGGCTCACACACTATCCTGGTTGGAGACGGCACCACGCCAAACGGAGGACGGGCCACGAGAGCCATTGACATTTTCTCTCTTGGGCTTGTCTTCTTCTACGTGCTGACCAACGGGTCTCACCCCTTTGACTGTGGTGACAGATATATGCGGGAGGTCAACATTCGAAAAGGCATCTATAACCTCGATCCCTTGGACTCGCTAGGCGACTTTGCCTACGAGGCAAAAGACCTGATTGCGTCGATGCTCCAGGCGGCTCCCAAGCAACGGCCCGACTCGCGAGAGGTCATGGCTCACCCTTTCTTCTGGTCTCCTAAGAAGCGCCTAGCCTTCCTCTGCGACGTCTCGGACTCTCTTGAGAAGGAGGTCCGCGATCCTCCGTCGCCGGCCTTGATGGAGCTGGAGAGACATGCGGCGGATGTCATTGGAGGAGACTTTTTGAAGGTGCTCACGCGTGAGTTTGTCGATTCGCTGGGCAAGCAGCGCAAGTACACGGGCAACAAACTTCTCGATTTGCTGCGCGCTCTTCGCAATAAGCGGAACCATTACGAGGACATGTCGGACTCGCTTAAGCGCAGCGTTGGGTCGTTGCCGGATGGCTATCTTGCGTACTGGACGGTCAAGTTCCCGATGCTGCTGCTTACTTGCTGGAACGTGGTGTATAACCTCCAGTGGGAGAATACGGATCGCTTCAGAGAATATTACGAGCCTGCTGGATTGTAAGGGATTAGGACAGAAAGAAGGTGAAAAAAAAGGGGGTGGAGGGGTTCAGATGGGAGGAAAGAAGATGAAAAATTGGCGTCGACGCATATTCGTCGTGCATCGCATGGCTAAGCGGGTTTGTCGTGTATTTGTTATGGTATATGGCATCATAAAAGCGGTTTGAGTTTTCTTTTCATTTCTTTTCATGTTTTTCTTTTTACTGTATTACTTCCAGCTTCATTCATACAATGAAAGAGTTTCTTAACTAATTCTTCCGTGACTGCTACTAATACGTAGGTATCCGTGACGTGACATGTCTCTTTATTCTTATACGCTTGTCTTATTTCACATTTGTTCCCATCTCGCTGGTGACAATCTAAACAGCCCTTCAGACGGCTTTTAGGAGAAAGAAGAGGCCAACCAATCCAACGCCTAGCCAAAGTCTTCACACAGATCCTATCAAAAAAAAAAAAAAACACCACGAATATCAGGGAAAAGATGGAAACATCCCGGAAAGTGAGACAAAACGGTAACATCCCCTCTTTGTTTATCCCCACTGCACCAGAATCTGCTTCTTGCCCTTCTTCCCTCCCTTCTTCCCCTTCCCTCCCGTCACCTCAGCATCATCAGGCTCTTCCAAATCAGCCGCCGCAGACGACGACGCAGGGGCAGCTCCCCATTGGAAATTCGACTCCTGCTGGCCAAAGTCTCGCCTCACGCCGCGGCCCTTGCCGTATCCAAAGATGGTTGTCTGTGGCTTAGGCGCCGCAGGGAGTGCAGGGAAAGCATCTTCGGCGCGAGTGTTGGGCGGCGGGGGTCCGCGAGACTGTGTCGACTGCGAGGACGACGAGGCTGTCCAGGAGGGAGTAGATGCACTAGAAGCCACGCGTGCGGCGGTCGATGACGACGACGACGAAGACGGCGGCGGCAGAGAAGGGAATGCTGCCGACGAGGGAGCCCTGGAAGACGACGAAGCCGGGACCCAGCCGGGAACACTTCTCACCGTGTTGGGTGCCGGACCGCCTAATCGAGTACTATTCTTCAGCTTTAGGACCCTCGTTGAGTTTCGCTGCGATGCACCAACGACGGTGAAGTTTGTATTCACGGCCGCAGCACTCGCCCATCCGCTGGAGCTCGATGTGGCTCCTTGCATGCCTCCGAGGCCGGGCAGGCTAGGATAGTCTTCGTTGATGGCACGCCAGTCTTGCCATGCCTTTCTAAGGCTGTCGGCTTTGCTCTTGTCATCAAACAGATCCGCCAGCTCTCGCACCAAAATTCCTAGAGCATTGGAGGAAACATCAGCAAATAGCGTGAAGAAGGCCTCGACGAGTTGGGGGGCTGTGAAGCCTCCCTGGCGATATGTCGAGATGTGGCTACGAAACGCCGCCATCTTGTGCGAGTCGTTGCCCAACAGGTTTGCGGCCCGCTCAATGACGCTGCCGTGGCGAACTAGACGAGCTCGCTCATCGGCCGAGAGGTTGGCCGTGTCGGAGAGGCTGAGAGTCTCTATGGCAGTTGTGGGAGCAGCGGGGCCGGTGCCCGGACCAACACTCCGGGGCCTTGAGGGCGCTGGAGCAGCATTCCGAGTTGACGAAGCTTGGGCTGGTGTTGGTGCGAGCGTGGGGGTTACGGGAGCGGTAGAGGGAGCAGGAGCAGGAGCTGGGGTCGATAGCTGGCCACGGAATGTCCGGTTGGAGCCCGAGGGCGCCGAGACGATGGCCATTTGCCTCTGGAATGCGAGCTCGTCTCTCCGCAATGGAACGCTGGATGTCACGGTGGGCAATATGCTGTCTTCGTTGGGGTCTCTCCCCCTGTTGCCCCTTCCTCTGGCTCGCGCCCGTCCCTCTCCATCTCGCTGGCCACCACTGCCACTTGGTCCTCCACGTCTTTCCTGCTGATAGGATTGACGGATATCAAAGGCAGAAATGTCAACGAGCCTGGCATCTCGGCCTACGTGTTTGCCGGCATGCTCGGCGAGATTGTGTGCCTGTAAATCCAATTCAGACTCGAAGACGACAAACTTCTTCTCCATGCATCCCCGATCAGAGCACAGAAAGTGGTCCTTCTTGAAGTGCTTCTCAAGCTCATCATAATTGAGGAAATAGTGCGGCTGTCTTGAGTCTCTACGATCGCAGAGGAAGCACCGCTCGTGCTTCATGCGGCAGTGCTCAAACAGCTTATCATCGTCATAGAAGCGTTCGCCGCAGAAACCGCACAGAGGGTGGCCCTTGAAGCCTGTCTGATCGGCAGCGCCCGGCTTGTCGTCGCCGTGCCGCATGTGCTTCTCCAGCTCCTTATCGGTGAAGAGCTCGTGCTCGTGGGTGAATACTTTTTTGTTGCGGGTGCAGAGGTCGCACATGCGCTTGCGATGCGCCGACTTGACATGGCGATGCAGATCGGCCCAGCCCAGGCCGGCAAAGTCGCACGATTCGTCTGGACAGTTGTATCTCAGCAAGAGGACGGTGTCTCCAACAATGTCCTCGTTTGTGTACTTGATGCCGATGCTGCTGTCGGTGGTGGTAAAGTCTTTATCTGTGTAGTCTTCGAATCTCTTTTCGGCATCGTCGGTGAAGATGACAAAAGCAGCTGACGTCTTTAGATGGTGTTAGTACATATACAACGGAGAGCAGGGAAGGAGATGGAACAACTTACACGACAGTGGGCACAATCTTTGGTCTTGTACAACGCCCTCATTCGTAGACCGCAGATATGGCATGTCTTGTGGTTGCACGGCGCAATCGAGTGGTGGGCAACGGGGTTGGCGCAGATGAAGCAGACTTCGGCATCGTCGTCGTCATCAGGCTCTGGAGCAGTCGCCATAGCCGCCTTGTTCTCCTTGTTCCCAACAGCAGCGGTTGCCGGCGCCGCAAGACCTGCTTGGCCAGCAGCTTCAGGTGTAGCAGCCGCAGCTGAATCAGGGCCCTTTTGTCCTCGTCCCTGTCCTCGATTGCCGCCGCCTCTTCCCCCTCGCTTGCCGCCGCTTCGATTCTGGCCTTGGTTTCCCCTCCCTCCGCCTCCGCCTCCGCCACGACCGCGTCCTCTAGAGCTGCCGTCGCTTCGGCCAGTGGTTGCAGATGCTCCTTCAGCACTCGACATTGTAGATGCTTGTGGATGGATATTCGATACGGGATACGTGTCGCAAGTCTCCGTAGAGACAATCTCGATGGGATCGAAGAGGGTTGCCGGATGCGTGTCTATGAGTGCTCAAGAAGGCTGTTGCCTCGCCCCTAGAGCAAGCCGTAATTCAGCTGTCGGTGGTGCTGTTGCTCCCCCACAGAGCTGAGAAGCCGTGCTGAGAAGACGTAAGAACAGGAGGAGAGAGAAATGGAAACGTTGCCAAAATTATGTGGTAAAAAATATATTGGGGGCGCTTGCAAATAGCCAAGAGTGGCAAAAAGACTAATGATTGAAGAATGACCAAGAAGTGAAGATGGAAAAAGATCGTGTCTGCGCTCGTCTCAAAGTTTTGCTGCGATTTTTTTGGCCTCTTTTGGCCCCTCTAGCTGGGGTTTTGTACAAACGAGGCAGGCGCAATTGGGGGGCAAGTCGGGCTGGTTTGAGGGTAGCAGGTGCGGCGCTTGTTACCCTGGAGCTGTGCGGGCCAATCAGCGGCGCCGGATTCGCCCAGCAAGGCTGTTTTTTGTGTGCTGCCAAATCAAACTCGGTGCTGTCCGCCTGATGACTCAGCTGCTATTGGGAGTAATTTCGCATGTACTTGGTAGCTGGGAGTCATCCGGCCAGCTGCAGTCAAGTTGTTTGCAAGGATCAATATTTCACAGCCCTCCTAGTCTCTGGGGCCGCGTGAATGAAGGATCGGGGATTAAAGCCGTGACTCGGTATTTCCATGACTGCAATGTCTCTGGAGTGACGTCTGTTGGTCAACCCATAGGTACATATAATTGATTACATCGCAATTCCCCCTTTGGGGTTTGCATTGTAAAGGGCAACACTGTCTAGTGGCAAGCAAGTTAGCATGTGGAATCATTTCACACATGGAATCTGATCACCGCCGCCATGGAAGACTGGGGAAATACACGTATAGGAGATAGATACCATTTACACGTATACAACATAATCGTCATTTACACGTATACAATGGCACCATCCGTGCACCTCAACAGCCCTCCCTCTTCTTCACATACACGCATATAGGTTCAAGTAAATCATCACAACCATTGCAGATCTCCTAGTCAAATTTGCACTTGATATATTTCTCCTTTCTGGGCTTTGGTTATTGTCCAATGCCAAATGATTCGAAAAGCTCCCAAAAAAATGTAACCAACCACAGCTAAACACCATGAGTCGATCGAGATCCCATCTGTCCTAGTCCTTCCACCGTCCGTTTCCCGATACTTTGAAAACCCAGTTGATTCGTTGCTATTTCCCCCGTCCCCTTCCTTCGTCCATCCATCCCTCCCTCCCAAAGAAACTGTACTTGAAAGATGATAGATGATAAACCAGCCTTGTGAAAACCCCGAATACGCCACCGGGCGCCAGAACCCCACTGCATTTGATAAAACCGTTTGCTTTTATCTTGGCTGCTGCCGGTTCAAGTGATGATGATGATGTTGATGATATGATGTAGTGTTTTGAGCGCAGACACCTTTACTCCTCCACCGGATAGAGGTGGCTCCCAATGTCCTTGTTCATGCGAAACATGTCGACCTTGGCCTGCTTGAACACGGCCTGCATCTTCTCGTCGCAACGAATCTGGCGCTTATCCTTGGGATCTTGAAGATCGTTGGCCTTGATGTGCTCCCATAGCTTCTTGACGACTTGTGGGCGAGAGAGCTAAAGAAAAGGGAAGTTAGTATACAGAGCTCAAATCTGTACAATGGAAATCAATTCCTCTTTTGCTCTTACCTGGGTTTCACCGCACAGCTCTGACAAGGTGGGACTCAGGATAAAGGGCTTCTGGAAGCCACCGCCAGCCTTGCGCTTGGGAGCAGAGTCTCCGCTGGCGTCCACCTCGCTGTCATCGTCGTCGCCGACCTTTTTGGCGCTCTTCTTGCGAGGGGCCTTCTTCTTCTTGGCCAATCGCGCCTTGTCGCCTCCGCCGCGGGTGGTACGGCTCCTCGCGAGTCTGTTTTCCTGCGCCTGGAGCTGAGCAGCCAGGCGGGCGTCGGCATCCTCGGTAGACGAGGACCGCTTGGTCTTCTTCTTGGCCGGCTCGGGAGATGCAGAGGGATCATCGTGCGATGAGGTGCCATTGGTGGCTGACCGTTTGTTGCTCGGGGCATCGGGCATGGAAGAAGGGGGTGCATCGCCCTGGTCGGCGCCAGAGACGGCGTCGAAGCGCTCCTCTATCAGCTTCTTGATGGCATCCTAGAACACGCCCGGCAGGTTAGTTTAGAACCAAGACATGTTGTTTACAGCGTCTCTTGTTCGCTCCCGTGCATTTTGCTTGCCTTTTGCTCGCTCAAGTCTTTGCCACCCAGAGCATTCTCCAGACCCTGGCGGACCTTTTTGCGCGAGATGGTCTCGAGATCGGCAGTGGAGAGGATATCGTCAATGATATCGGTATAGCGCTGGTTCTCGTCGGAAGACACTGCGGCGGATGCTGGTTAGCCATGTGATGCCATTGTCACCGATTCGATTCGGACGAGCCGTCTGTGTAGACGTTGATTGGCTCCCACGGATTACACAGAAGACGGGGAGGATAAAGGGAGATGGAGGATGAGGGAAACAGAGCAGAACAGGGGAATTGCATAAACGAGAGAGAGTAAAACAGAGGGAGATGATAATAAACAGAAACAGAGCAAGACAGAAACGCACATGGGAGACTCATGTTGGCCGCGTGATGCACAGGCCCGTTTGGTCAGGCTCGGGGGTTTGTCGCGCGAAAAGAGGTGGAGCGGCGCGCGCTACACGCCAACAGACGAGCCTCAGTTCAGTTCAGAGCAGGGCAAAGCGACGAGGCTGGAGCGACAGACGGACAGACGGGGGGCGCGCACCAGCTCTGCGGCCTCAGAGCATAGCCTGCGGGTTGCGCGGATGCTGTTGGAGCAGAGGCGGATGGATTCGCAGCTCAGGTCTCGGGTTTGCTCGTCCAGCTCGACTTTTTTTTTTCGCTGCGTCTGTCCAGCCGTTCGTTTCGTTGCACGCGGGGCACTAGCCGGATGCGTCGATGCTGGCGAGTTGCAGAGGGCAGAGTGACAGAGGAGGAAGACGGAAGATGCAGGCGAAGCTGGTGAGGCAGAAGCAGAAGCAGAAGCAAAAGGGCACAGCAGCAAATCCAAGGGCTTGGGGCGGATTCTGATGCTTCTCTGCGCTGGCGGTTTTCGGGTCGGTACGTTGCGGGTGCGGTGACGTTCCCCGTGCGACGGATAAAGGTGGATCACGAGGCTCCAAAGGCGCTGCGGCTTAGCGTCAGCCCTCTGAGCGACAGGGCGCTTGATTGGGCTCGGCAGGCGGTTTTACAGGGGGCAATAAGGCCATCAACTGCCAGGGCAGGGCAGGGCAGCAGTGCAACTGGTGGTTTTGGCAACTCAACTGCCGGCCGGCGCAGCAGCGGAGGGGGAGAATGAGCAGGACAGGATGGATTTGAGGGGATAATCATTTGATTCTTCATTGAGGGGAGGTAAGCAGACGCGTGAAAAACGTTATTTAGATAAGCAAAGCTGCAATACGACAGCTTGGAGAGCGATACTGTGCCATGTCAGCCGAGCAATGGAGACTGGACTGGAGTTTGTCAGATCAGCTGTGGTTGACGGCAGTTCAGTTAGGTAATACAGGTACCTACACGTATCCAGTAGCAGTCAGAGCTTAGCGTGCTGGGCGCTAAACAATTGGATAGGAGCATTTTGCTTTTCTCTCAACATTCAAGTTGAAATCCTTCGCGTTAAGCGCCTAGTACGTTACACAGACCGGTGCTGATGTACATGTTGATGTTGATATCGATATCTTGTTTCTTGTATTCCGGGTGGCTGTTGATGTGGCTGGTCGGTCAAACTGCAAGGTGCATTGATTGTACATGTGGCTAGCTGATGCCTGCATTAGCATGTAATCTCGCGGACATTGGGCATGACGAAGCTGATGCTGGCATTGATCCAATGAATCACGAGCTTGATCTACATGAATAAACACTGCATAGGTACTAGGCAGTATAGACAAGGTGTATGTATGTATGCTTATGCGGTTGATGTTATATGTATGTACCTATTCTCCATTGATGTCTTCCAAGGGTCAAGACCGCAGGTACTTGCAAATCGGCTCTCCCCACTGCGGCGCGCCCTTGTACCTCCACATGCCCGGCGCATTGCCCGTCTTGAGGCCCTCAATTGCATCTGCCACCTGCGGGCCCAGTCCCTCCTTCTTGAGACTTTCTACCGGGTACAGATATGTCTTGAAAGAGAAGAGAATGGCCCGCGTCTTGGGCAGCCGGGTGAGCGTCTGGAGCTCGATGCGGGCATATGTCTGGGAGCATGGGAATGTCACGTCAGCCATCGAATACACGTGTTTGCGAGACATTGGGTCTCCGTTTGGGTAAAACTAACCTTGCTCATGTCGATTTCCTCTGCTGCCACTGGTTCATCACTCTTGTGCTGGTCGTGTCTGTCGTAATGGAACAAATCGCTGTGCGTTTGCATCGACCACTATCCATCCCAATTGGTTAGCCATCAATATCTCAGAGCTCTCTCAAGAATGGAAAATAAAGAGAGAGAGAGAGAAAAGCAAAAGGAATCAAGCCACTCACGTTTGTCCGCTTCACACTCTTGCCCACCTCAATCTTGCTGAAAAACCGCTCCATGCTCGGCCCAATCTTGTCGTATGACGGCACAGGCGAGTGAATCTCCTTGAGCAGCTTCCCAACCTTTGTCGACGGATCAAATCCCGACGGAAAGCAGCACAAAAAGGCCACTGCCCGGTGTCCTTCTGGCTCCTCCATCAGCAGAAACATGTCCTCCTCCACTGTTTCGCCCAGCACACGCAGCGCCGCCTCCGCATCGTCCGGCGTCGTCGTGGGAAATGACCGACCCGTTACGAGATTATCGAGCTGCCGGCCCTCATCACGGAGCCGAAACATGGTCGGGAACCGGGTCGGCAGGTAGTCCCGGAGGAGATACTGGTGGAGCTCACGGACAGCCTCAACGCCGGCCGGGAGACACGCGTGAACCATGTCGCCGTGCTGGGCGATGATCTGGCGGCGCAGGGAGACTCTGTCAAGGTATTCCGAGTCGACGGTGATGAGCCCCGAGGGTGAATCTGCTTGCAGGGCTTTTGTTTGTGTGAGTTTAGTCTGGGAGTACAAGTACCGGGCATATATATGTACATGCATGTACATATTCAACATTACGTGCATGGAGACTTACCCATTGTGATGTGAAAGATGGGCTTGAATGGCCGGTATTTTGTGGGCTCAACTGCCTTATAGTCTAGGCCATTTAACGGCTTGATCTCTAGAGAATCCTTGGACGCCTCTGCAGATCGCTGGGTGTGGGATGATGAGCTGTGACGACGGCTCAACGAAGTCTAGATGTCCAACCAAACAGTGTTAGCTGCGCCGTCTCATCAAGAGAGATACTGCATGATTTGAAAGCAGTATATATCATCTAGGGGGTTTCTTACAAGTGTATATACTGTGCTCAGAATGGCCAAAATAACCCCAAGCGCCATCACCGCAGGAGAGAGCGGTAATGTCTCGGTGAGATCACCGGGAAGAAGCTCCAAAAGCGAATCCATGCTTAATGCGCTCTGCTTCTCTAAAGAAAACGAAAAGACAAGGAAATTCGCCCAAAGAACGCCCCCTCCAAAGATTGTGAATTCAGTAGCTGATCTGCCGGTATTTATATCTCAACACCCATAACCGTATATGATAGTCGCCGCTGCTCATGCGTGGTGTTGAAAATACTTGACCAGACCGGGTATTGTTAGCATGACTCTACAGGCTGGGGAAAAGACGTTCTCTCACTCGTCCTGCCCGATATAGGCAATACCGCTACAGAAAAAAGCCACCATCTCCACAGATCTCTTTCAACCCCGCCAATCCGATCCGTCCATCCTCATTCACTCTCACAAATAGCGTCGAGTATTAAAGAATGGGTTGTCTTGTCCTCCTCCACTTCTCCGCATATCGGATACATACACATACAGATAAACCATCTCTTGGTATCATTAAATGGGGTGCTGTTAGGAGACGTTTCATGTCTACTGCCTAGTCCTATCTAGCCTGCTGCTCGCAGTGTGAAGATGAGGTGAGATGCCCAGCCGCCGCGATGTCCTGCAACAATGGATACACGCTTGTGCAAACGGTGTAATATCAATCAATTATCAGGCAGTTAATTATGAGATTTATCTGCATCTGACGCTTGTTTACTTTTCAGCAAAATGTATAATTTATTGTGGACATGTATCCAGTTAGCTATGTTATGATATCCACGACCCGGAAACGCCATCACACTCCCAGCACCAGAAGCCTAAACCGCCATCTATCCCTACCGATCGGTTCATCGATCAAGCGTACCAATACCAAAATAAACCCAATATACACCGAATGCCCGCTTAGTTCCATGCCCATGTATGTAATCACTCCCGCGTCCACTCCCACCAAATCTCCACAACCTCATCCATGGCCTCCTCTTCGCCATCGTAGTCCAAGTCCGAAGCTCCGTGATGCACAAACACCTGCCGCAAGTTCCCATCCACCTCCTCGGCGTCAATGAGCCGGTAACTCTTCTTCTTAGTCCCCTCTAACTTGTCTCTCATTTTGCCCATAGTGCCCTCGTAGCCCATGGCCGCCTCCCACGTTCCCTCGATGAGGCCCAGATCAGCTTGGCTTATGCCGTCTTCGTATACGCTGATGCTATATCCGTTGGCAAGAACACTGTTCCCATCGAACCTCCACCGCTGCAGAAAACAATCTCCGCAGAAATCGGCAATCTTGGCCATCTTGTCGACCGGAGCCTGGTGCCATGACTTCCAGTGATGTAGACTTAGAGGAAGAGCACCTGATTCGTAGAATCCGCTCAAGTCCCCCCTCATATCAAGCTGGTGCAGCCCGGGGATAGCCGTCAGCTCCGTTTGTGTATAGTTGCGTATGCAGTTGTTCAGTAGTCCGTCGCCTTCTCTTGTGAGGCTCTCGGCAAGACAATCATCCACATGGGAATCGAGCTGTTGGAGAAGCGGCATGCTCATGAAGATGCCGGCTCCTCCGTAGGCCATGAATCCAAAGTATTCCACTGCCCCTGGGCTTTCAGAGAGGCCACCGATGTACGTTGGCACGGTTGGATCGTGAGCTGCTAGGAGTTGTGTGATAGAATATGGCGACGGAAAGAAGGTGTCGTCGTCGATGATGACGGCCCATTGGGTTTCATGAGTTGAATAGTCGACAAGATCGCGGATGATGGCAAAATGCTGCTCGTTAACATCGAAAGAACAATTCCATGGCCGGATAGCTGTGAGGCTGATGTCGTGGCTGTTGTACATTGACTCTAGTGAGTCCAAGTCGTCGTCCGCAACGGATTCGTCAACAACAATCGCTAGGAAAATTGCACCCGTCCCGGACATCCAATGAGAAAACTGAGGAATCGAGTCCTTCAGGCGAGATAGTGTCGTCGCCACGCCAAAGATGACTTTGGAAAAATCCGCCACCGGGAATGGCTCTGCTACCTGGAGCGTGATGGGCTCGCAAGATGCGGTTTGATCGGGTGAATATGATGATGAGACCTTCCTGCATTGGTCGTCGAGATCCAAGATATCTACTCTTGACCCTAACAACGGGCTTTCGACTTCGGATACTGAGTTTCGCAAATTGGCATCCGGGCTATAGACGCCACGAAAACAACGCTTCCGAAAGATGATGTTCCGAGTCAGCCCGTACTCTTTGCGCCTCAGATAATCCAGCTCTGAAGCGCACGGCTTGACCGCATGGAAGCCATCTTGCGCTGAAATCGCAATACCTAGGTCAAAGGGAAGCTCATATTGTCTTGTTCCTTTGTTGTGCTCCCGCTTCGCAAGAAGGGTGAGGAGAAACACAGTGGCTACAATGAAAATGAGCGTTATACCTCTGTGTGAAATGGGCGAGTGGCAACGCGTGATGAGCATCATGGGGATCACGCAGTGTTCATGATCCGTATATGGAAACGGGCTGGACTAGTTTTGCGAATGGTTGAGATCGACCGTAGATGTTAGTATATCTAAAATCTGCTCTGCCAATTCTAAATCTGAAATATGGCAGACTGGAGTTATACCCTCCATCACCTCCTTGTTGGTCCAATGTGTCAGGGGAATCTTTCAGGGATACCCATACTAGTAGCGCCAATACATGTATCATCATCTTGTCGCTATATTGCCCCTAGTAGATTGCATCTCGAATTGGTTGACGTCTAATTTGCACGTAAATGCTCCGATTGTGCGTTGACAACCTGCGTTGTCTGCTGGGCTCCACAGATGCGATAACCAAAAGAGGACGCGCGTGCCGGCAGTCACAAAGCCGTGATAGCCGGGGTTGGCATTGGTGAGGAGGGAAAAAAAAAGCGCTATAGTTGCTGAACCCCAAAAAAATCGGGACAAGTAGAATTAGCTGCCCTAGGTGAATGACAGGGACGAAGAGAAGCTGGGGAAGAAATGGCAGAGCCCTGTCCGGGGCGGATTTTGATGCTCCATACGGAGTTCATGACGGCTTGTTAGAATAACCTTCATGGACTGAATCCGCTTGCATATCTCACACCTTGAATCTCGAGGGCCATTGCTTACCCTCGAACAAACCACATTTGCACAAACAATCCCAGAATGTTGTTATTAGTTGCAGCCATCGCCGGTCGAGAATGAAAATGCCGGTGGTGACGTGCATGTACGCGCAATCAATGCGCCAAGAAAAAGGGGGCCCGCCTCAATTGTGATGTTCACTCCACATGCAAATGACGAGGCCCGTTTCAGGCACTTGGCGTTTATTTTCTCCTTTTGTCGAGTAATTGGCCATTGCGGCTGTGTCAAGTCTCTTGGGTTGTGCCCAGTAGGAATTACTATGTAGTATGAGGGTTGATAAGAATACGTGTATTGAAACTACATGTACATTAGTACAGCAGCGACCGAAACAAAGTGCCCGCATTTTTCAGTTGTAACCCAATTTTAACAGAGGAATTGACGGGTAATCAATCTTCTATATTAGATCGGCCAAAAAGCCTTAATCAGAATAGTAGAGGTCGTAGTCGCAGTCATCGATGATGTCCCTACAGCTGGTTGGACCATCATCAACATCATCCCAGTATCCTGACTGTAACGAGTATCTCCCTCTTTTGAATATAACGTCGGCCATGGGAAATTTCTGAAAGATACAGCGCCCTGGCATTGCTTTTTCCAGTACTTTCACCATCCTTTCTTCATCATTTGCATCCACCACGATCTTGGCCTCGCTATTAAGAGACTGGCCCAAGTACTCAACGATTGGTGTTATCCACGCAGTCCATTCCTCGAGGGCTCTCTCTAGTTCTTCTTTAGGCCATTCCAACAGAGAAGGCTGCTCCGCAACAATCCCTATAATCGAAATATTACCGAGAATATTGTCCCAGACATTCGGGTCCATGCGAAAATCGCGGTCGTAAGAAACTCCCATGGGCCGTAAAATGAGAATCAATTTGCGTATATTCTCCCTTGCGTTAGGACTGAATGAATTAGCGAGAATAAATTGGCCGTCACCGTGGAGTTTGACCTGAAAGGTATTCTCTTTGTATAGCATGTCCGTCACCTCCTCAGTGATTTGGCGGCAACAGAGAAGGAGACCAGTGAAGGGACTTCGATAACCACCATCCACGGAGGGCTCATATATGATCTCTTCATCATCGGTATCAGTCCAAATTTTATGTTCATCCTCTTCACCATTCTCACTATAGACCACACTGTCCACAAAGGGCTTATATATGATCTCCTCGTCAGTATCTGTCAACAGATGAGATTCTTCCTCTTCGACACTCTCACTATCGATCGAAGAGACGCCACCACTCTCCAAGTCATTGTGATGGCGCTCATTTATTTCATCGAGCCTGTCAGAGGGGTTTCGATAGCAAATGCCACTAGAAATATCGATGCGAAGATTTTGCGGAATACAGTATCGGTAGATCTGTCGGCGAATCTCTAGTGGCACAGCTAGGAACGCACTCGAATTTGAGGAGGGAGGAGGAAGAGCCATTTCACCCTCAGGTAAACAATTTTGTTTGTAAACAGAAAATATCTTCAACAGATATCGAGGTTCAAGCGAGGCAGATTTTCGAAGGCTTGCTACGATCTTGTGATAAAGTTTGTGGGCGGGGTTTCGACTGTGTGAAGAACCGATGACGGTCCGTATCGTCATCTACACAGTTTATACACTTTATCTAAAGCTACTTATTTACTACAGAGCCGAAGAATTGTTTCGGTCTATACTGTACATGTCCATGCATATACATCATCCTTCATCCAGACCACTCTGATGAACGCACACTTACGCCCATTTGACCTGCTGCCATCCCTTGACATTTGATTGCCAGCTATCAATCAGCCCGGGAAGGGAATTCATGCTGAAGATGCTCTTAAGATCGTGTTCGCCATCCAACAGCCACCTTTTCAGCTTAGGCTCAAAGTCTCTTGACATGACTTCCGTCTTGAGCCCTGAGATCCATCCCTGGCCTTCCTTGATGCTTGCATCGGCAGCTGTCTGCAACTCTTTCAATTGAGAAGCCAAGTCTTTGGGAAGACCGCTCTTCCCAGACCTATCCCGCGTCTTTTCCCTCTCGTTGTGGTTCAATATCCATTGAGCACCTAACTTAATCACCGCCGTCGTATCTCGAAGCATCGTGATGTTATGCATCGAACCCAACATTGTAATCGTACGATCTATTGAAGACTCCCTCTGGTGCAAGATTTGGCTTCGTTGGTTCTCTAGAACCAATTTCAATGCATTCGTAATCTGAGACAAGGCATCGGAGCTGTCAGAAGATCGATCAAAATCGACACATAGAGACATCAAGGTACAAGTGAGGCTGGTAGCCTCAAAGTACAGAAGTTCTGGTCGGGTCATTTCGTCATCTGGACCGGCCAAGAACTTCGGGAATGAGTTGCTGAGGCGTGCCAATGTCTCGATAACATAAATATGATCATATTCCAAGCTCCCAGCTGAGGCTTTATAGCTGGCCGGAGGTTTATAGGCCAGCAGCTCGTGGAATGCTTCAGCTAACATGGATAAGTGGCATCTGCGGTTCTGAAGTTTTTCTTGTTAGTCTGAACGCTATATCATGACAGGGCGGACAATGTTTCACTTACTGATGGAGCTGGTCCAAGCCTGAGATTAAGATGCATCGGCCGGATTGTACTGCTGTTCCAGGATGGAAATGATCCGTAATCAATCGTCTGGATGAGATTTGCTTCGTCATCTACCTCATCTGTATGCATGTTAGTTTACCCAAAGCTCCAATCAAACGCCAGAAGGAAAACATACTGAATCGCGGATCCGACTCCAGTTCATGTGAAGTTTGCCCCAAGAGTCTTTCGATTCTTCGCGCCTCCGCTAGACTCATTGCCCGTGTACAACTCATGCGAAGACGGTCAATGTACTTTGGTATCCCCATCACGCTGCTGTAGCTTCCTGATTCGAATGCGTCGACCAAACGCCGAGGCATCTTAAGCTTCAACGATATCTGGTAGTGAGACTGCAGAAGGTCCATGAGATGACTGCCCCAGCTATCATAAGACGATAGTAACGCAGGGGCAATTGTTGATAGGCGATCATAAAAAACAGGTCCGAGAGAATCGATGATGGTGCGCTTGACACCAATAACATCCCAAATATCGGCAGCCCTGTAAGCTGAACCAAGACGTATATGTAGCTGTGTTAAAACAAGAGATAGCTGGCTGTGACCTGGATTCTGTGCAAGCTGATCATCTAGCAGGAGAGTAGCATGAATGAGGTGACGTGCTTCCTGTGGCTCCAGTGGCTTGCCAGTCTGTGCAGAACCATCAAAAGCTAGGTTCAGGCTGCAGAACGCAATCAATATTGCCAGTTCTGGGAGTACTTCGGTGTTGACTTTAGTGTTTTCACCATCGGACTTCATAACTGAGTCGTAAAAGGTCACACTGGCCTCAGAAAACCGCGAGAGGCAGACGTTGCACAACGTAGATTTTACCGTCGCTTCGCAAACGGTGCATTGAAGTTGTTGATTTTGGCCTCTGAATTTCGTTTTCCGGTGTGTCAATAGCAGATATTGTGTTTTCAGAGCCAATAAGCGTGTGATGGCCACCTTGAAGTCTTTCGAATCACCCTCAGACAATCGAGGTAGATGTTCAAACGCGAGGTACTTCAAGCCGTTCGAATCCAGGCTTTCCATCAATGTCTTGACATCACTGAAACAAGCAGGGCTGGTATACTGATCATTCAGGTAGTGGATCAGCTCTCGAAGTCGTAGCGATGAGGGACGACCATCTACTACGTCGCTCTCACCACTGTGACCAAGATTGAACACTGACAAGACTCTTGCCAATAAGATATTGCGTCTATACATAGGTCGCATGTGCTCAGATGACAACAATTTTGCGAGTAGTTGTTGAACAACGCTCGTAGACCTAAAAGCGATGAAATAAGTACTCACTCGAACCAGTGTGCTGTTAAGTTTAGAGAGGTAGGGGGAGGGAGTCACTCACTCCGGGTCAACATCCTTAATGTGGCCTGCAGCATCAATTATATGTCGCCACACAGCAATATCAGATGCAAGCAACGTCAATTGTCTGTCCGCATCGCAATCGGAGAGACAATCCCTGCAAAGGTTGAACACAGCAAGCCAATCGCCATCCTGTTTGAACTTGGCAATTGCGCGCAGGGCCACTTCTTTTCGGCCTTGGCAAAATTGCGCGGCAGGAGAGAAAACAGGGCTAGAAATGAGCTTGAGGAAGTCTTGAGGAGTTCCGTGGGTCTCGACAATGTCATAGAGCAGGAGAGTCTCTTCTTCTGTCTTCACACGCCTGGCTGGAGGTTTGGCCGATGTATCGTTTGAGCCTGCTTCTGCCTAATGAGGAAACAACGTTTAGAACTGAAACCGACCCGCCATTGTTTTGATAGGGTGAAAACAATACCTGCTCCGTCGCTTGGGCAGCTCGCTCGATCTGCTTTTGGGCCAATGTACCGTATAATTTCCTCTTATCTGGTGAGGCTTGAGGACTCATCTATGCCAACGTCAGCAGGCTGGTACACGGAAATTGTTCACAACAACATCGACTTGTTCAAAGGTCTGACTTACGGAAAGAAGGTGTGTGACTACAATGTTCCAGAACAACATGTCTCTGTCCTGTGGGAACGAGCGGTCGATGATGGCGGCAATCTGCGCCTCGTTAGCTCTCTAGAAGCACACCAAAGGCGCATATTTGCCAATATGAATGAGATGCCGGGACCTTACCTGTTGAGCGCTGGCAAGGTCCCAGTGAAGCAAACATGATTCGAGACACCGAGTGGCGGCAACCTTGTCTTTCGGTGCAGCCTTGACAGCGCGCACTCTCAGTGGCCCCAGAGTCTCGGCAAAGTCGTCTTGATCGAGCAGATTTGTCGTTGCCCATTCCATCAAGTCAATGGCGTCTACATCCTTGATAGTGCTGCCCTCCTTAACAAATTTCCAGACAGCAGCAACGGCAGCAAACTTGGCGGCGGGATCATCCAGCTGGCTCTCGGCGCAGATTTTGACGGCCTGTATCGTGCAGATAGCTGGTTAGCCTGGTGGGTTTGGTGGCGAACTCAAGATTTGAGGCTAGGAACCGGCGAAGCTCACCTCATAATACTGATCGTTGAGCGTCTTGGCTCGCTTCTCGGCCAGGCGGATCACAACCGGCCAGTTGCCGTCTTGAAAGGCCGACTGGAGCTGGAGATCGACCCCATTCTTAAGGCGAGGTCGCTGGCGATTCATGAGGAGCGTGTGGTTGAAATTCTATGGCTGCACGCACTCAGTCGCTTCCAGGTTCCGTGGCAGCGAAAGCCCATGAGAATCGTTGGATGGTTTGGAGGGGTCACTTTGGAGAAGCAACATGGAATGTTGATCTGAGCAAGGCTGACAGCTGAGCCACACATACCCCACCAGATGTGGCTGGAGAAATGTGGCGCATGACGAGGCTGTCATCACAATTTGCTAAGAGAAGAGCGCCGTTTTGCCAAGGTACGTACCTTCACTGTGATGAGCCTCTTATTACAGCTGGACTAAACTCAGAGGGGAACCTTATTCATATTTACCTAGGCATTCACTGGGCGTTTTACAGTTGAGTATCGCTATAGATGATATTTTACTGCTGTTTTGCACTCAACTTCTATCACATGTTTGGCAGCATGCATTCTCCCTAAGCTATAATAATAATTGACTGAACCCATGCCATGTCAAGTGCCGTCCTCATCTTCCGCTGTGGGCCGGATATTTTCAATCTGCAAATATTCCGACGAGTATTAAGATATATCCCTGGTCTGTACGAGATATAAGACAAATCTTCCGTGGCTGGACGCCGGAATGCCGGCCTAGCCCACCCAAATCCTAGCTAATAAAAGGATGACAGATCATTGAAACCGGCTTATCTTCTCCACATTTAAGATGGAAGCTGCCTGTGTTTGATGGACGTCAACAACATACATGTATATAGGTAGTCACCTCCAAGCTCCATATCTGTATTAGATGTTCATTAGCGTCATATTGCTTACTGGACGATGGGCGACACTTGTGCAAAATAGACGGGCATCTGCCGCTATTGCATTACATACATGTACTTAGCCAAGAATGGACAGAGGCAAAACCAAAACCGGCAATTAATGACGCCTTTTTCCGATCCTTATGATCAATCTCGTACTTCGTACATGTACAGCCCCCAAGAATGCCCCAAGACGAACCGAAACGGAAGAGGACCAAGTCCGAGTACGACTTGATGCTGGTCAAGAGGCGGAGGTTTCGTCCTGCAAAGGCTTGCTATCCATGCAGGCGGCGCAAGGTCAAATGCGATCTCAACCAGCCCTGTGAGAGCTGCAACATCCGCGGACACCCAGATCTGTGCGATTATGCTACACCCGCGCAAGCAAATGCCTTGCATAAGGCTGGCAATGCCTCGATTGTAGGCAAATCACATCCTGCGAGTGATCACGAAGATGCATTGCCCACTCCCAAGGAAGAATTGCCCACTCCCAAGGAAGATAAGTTGACAGGGCTTTACGTGAACTCCGTCGCGCCATACAACACAAAGTTGCACCTAGGGCCGGATTCACTCCCCAGTCTTCTTGCGAAATACCAGAGCCTCAGCTCCAACCAACATCACCAAGAACGGAATAACTCTAATGGGGCTGCCTTCAAGCCACCGACAAATCCGCAAACTATTTTCGAACTGCTTTGTCTGCAAGATTCTAGTACAGTCTCACCATTTACCAATCTGTGGAAACCGGAAGACGGCCCTGAAGTTGTTTATAATGCGCTGCCCGAAGATGAATCTTTGACAGGGTAAGCTTCAAAGATGCATAGTGCCCCGGCTACAGTGATGAGGGCTAACGATAAAAACGCTGAAGCTATGTTCGCTTTTTCCAAACCTCTCTCTTCCGCATTTTGCCTTTTACCATCAATTTCACTCAACTAGAAGCTGTTCTGTCGGACTTCCTTCATGAGCGAGCAAAACACCCTGCAGAGACTTTACAAAGCCCTCCATCTGCTTGCACACTGACGTGGTTTGGACTACTGTTCGGCATTCTGGCGTGCGGCGCACAGCTTGGGTCTGATCAGGAGTCCGAATTGATCAAGGCTCGTGTTTTCGGTGAGTGTCCCAGCAGCCATCATCTACGTACTAAAGGGCATTCCCTTGGCTTCTTACTAACACGCAACCCATGTAGCATGCTGTTCATTCCAGTGCCTAAGGCTGAGCAATTTTATTTCTTTTCCTGACATCCACACTATTCAGGCTCTCATATTACTTGTAAACTTTCTACAGAATCAGGCCAATGCGGGGGCTTCTTGGTCAATTCTCGGTAAATACTTCAGCTTTGATTCCGCCTAAACTATGCCTTTTACTTGAACAAACAAGTACTAAACACATCAATCCTAAGGGCTTACTATACGTCTCGCACAATCACTAGGACTTCACTGTTCTCCAGAGCCGAATACTGTTGATGTAGATCAACAAGACGAGGCTACTGTTAAATACTACATCTGGTATATGAGTAAACTGCGTCTGTTCCTTCAAAAGCAAGGCTAATACCAGTCTGAATTGACTAGGCGATCATTAATATGGCAGGATACGTTAGTTTCTTTATGCTACGGGCGGCCGTCCTGCATTGCGGTTGTAGAAGACATCCCACCTGAATCGTCATCATCAGTATCATCGATACTGCCTCGCCTGAACTCTTTTACAACCAGCTGCAATCATCTGTTCATAACAGCAAACAAAATTAGTCAAGCAATCAATAAGGCCAAATTTTTAGGGCAACAACTATCACTCCCCGAAATACACGACTTTAAAAAGGTAATTGATCATATCGTTAAGCAGTCGACTTCTCACCTCCAGGATGTCTCAATATGCGAGAATCGAGACGAATGTATCCAGCATAACTTCTTTCGAGAGTTTGTGGACTCAGTCACGCTCTGTCTCTACCGTCCAGTGGTGCTCTCCCACGGAGATGCGTACAACAAAGAACTTACGGATATGTATCTGCAGCGCTGCCGCTCTGTTCTTCACACATATTTGGAGCTACTCAAACTCGGGTGCCCAATCAGGCGATCATGGGTTTTTGTTCACGTTACGCTCAGTTGTGCCTTGACTCTTGGGTTAGCTGCTAATACCCAAAGTGACATCGCCGACAAGCTTTTTTTGAAAGGATTTTTGGATACGTTCTCTCAGGCAAATATTTTTGCCAATGTGTCGTCGTATCAAGATGCGCTGAAATTACTTCGACAGTCAATGAGTACATATGATTAGAGATGTAGCAAAAGCTATACCTCTGATAGTCAGTGAGAAGAAGCATTGATATTGTGGGTATCATCTAACTGCTATCTGCTGTCTCAGCTTGTTGCTGGAGGTATTTCGGCACGCTTTCGCCAGCTCTCCACTTGTACTGGCTACCCGGATGATCTTCCGGTAGTCTCTTAGACCTGATAAACACTTCTCTTGCAGTTGCGCCTTCTTTCTCGACACCACTTCGGAATACGCCTCGACTTCGCAGTTCAGGAAGAAGATACTCAATGATATCTTCAAAACTACCTGGGTTTGTGACATGAGCCAGATTGAAGCCGTCTACCCCAGACACTTCGATCCACCTCTCTAACTCATCTGCTACTGTTGCAGGACTGCCTACAACCTTTGCCCCGAGGCCGCCAATGCTGAGATATTCTACAATTCTTCGTTTGGTCCATGGGAGGTTGTCTGTTCCTGGGACAGTGTCTGACCATCTTCGGACTATCGACTGCAACCTAGGCGAATCAGTGAAGCGGAAATCTTCATCATCTGAATAGCCAGAGAGATCGACTCCAGTCCATCCTCCGAAAAGTGCCAAAGCTCCTTCTTGGTCAGCATACTGAAGATAGCTTTCCTTCTTGGCCTGAGCTTCCTCGTCCATTGAAGCGACAATAACGTTAATTCCCACAATCACTTTGATGTGATCTGGATTCCTCCCTTCCTTTCGTGCTACCTCGCGAATGTTATCAACAGTTTTCCTGACGCCTTCAGGCGTCTGGCCTCCGACAAAGATGGCTTCGCCGTGTTTTCCCCCGAAGCCATTGCCCGCCTCGGATACTCCAGCTTGGAAGAGGAATGGGGTACGCTGCGGAGAAGGCTCACAGAAGTGCGGGCCAGGTACCTCAAAATATTTGCCCTTGTGGTGAATCTGGACAACGCTGTCACTGGCGATGTAGCTACCTTGCTTGCGATCTCGAACAACAGCGTCATCTCGGAAACTTCCCTCCCACAGTTTATACAATACTTCCATATACTCATGGGCAATTGCGTATCTTTCGTCGTGGGGAATCTGCTCCTTCAGCCCATGGTTGCGAGCTGCACTATCAAGGTATGATGTGACGATGTTCCAGGCAACCCGACCTTCACTGAGATGATCTACTGTCGATAGACGCCGAGCAAGCGCATAAGGCTTTTCATAAGTCAAGCTAGCAGTGACCCCGAAAATGAGGTTCTTGGTCACAGCTGCCATTGCAGGAACCAGATATAGTGGGTCATTGACCGGAAATTGAGCTCCAGATGCTAGAGCTGGCACGACATTTGCAGGGCCCTTGTATACGTCATACGGCCCCAGGGTATCTGCGATAAACATGGCATGGAACTGTGCTTTGTCGAGGAGCTGTGCTAGGTCTGTCCAGAAGGAGAGTTTTGTATATTGATCTGTTTTGTTTCTTGGATGTCGCCAGAATCCAGGTGCGAGATGGCCAGGAGTATTCATGACAAAGGCATTCAAGATCATTTGCTTTTTACCTTGGGGATGCCCATCGCCAGCGGCGGCAGCAGCAGTAGGTGTGCTGTCGCCCATTGTTGAATCAGTGATGCTGTCTAGCAAAATTTGAGAATATTTTGAAAGACTTGTCGTGGGGTATGCATATGATAGTAGTGCTGCAGTATGCTTGTTTAGGATCTAAAGGCTTTTAAATAAGAAGCGGAAATAACGTTCCACATCTTGACACATTATCCCATCAATTAAAATTATCCTATTGGCTCTATTCAGACATCCTGGGCTCAATAATTATTAAAACATCAGAGCTTCGTTTAGCTAACGTTGCGCGAAAGGCAAGGCTGATGTTCCCGCATAAAGTCGTCACACTATGCGCAGAGCACGCAATACACACCATGATCTCACATCAACGGCCGATCTCGCGTGCATACGGCTATCAATACCCAGTAAAAGATCGCAATGCTATTGAAATGTATCTCATTTAGCCGGGCAATGTCATCAATCTTCAATTGCTAAACGGCATTTGCGCGGCAAGTGTCTAGTTCCGTTTGTCGGCCGCTCTATGGGCCCTATCTCGCTTCATCTCAACACCACGAGGGCTTGAGGTAAGATTTTGAACAGGCCGCTGAGCAATTATCGACCCGTTTAACAGCTTGAGGGGACGAGATAACGTCATTGCTTCCTAATGCAACGTGCTGAATTTATGGGCCCTTTTCCAGGTTCCCCGATATTTGGACGACGGAGATAGACCGAGATGGACTGCATGAAGATAAGAAGTCGACAGCAGTCAATGCACGATGATTTAAAAGAAGATGTCTCTGCATTTGGCTCTCCAGGCCATCTGTTGAGCGTTCTCGTTAATACAGCTATAGCTTGAGAGAGCATCTTCTCACTGTACACTGGGAAGTCGTCGTATTTCTCAGCTAGTTTGTTTCAACTGGCTTTCATTATGTCGGTTCAGCTTGGAGTTTCCGGGGTGCCGGTGATCCCCCAGGGGACGGCATATGGCCTTCTTATTGGACTTGGAGTGGCATTTTGCGGTGTCATCCTAGTTGCCATCAAAGTGCAAAGGGCCTATCTATCGGAAGATTCATCAACATCAGAGATGTTCATGGTCGCCAATCGATCAGTGGGCACCGGTTTAACGGCGTCGGCGGTGTTTTCATCATGGATGTGGATTAATGAGACAGTCTTTTCAGCTGCTTTCTGTTATAAATTTGGATTGGCTGTCCCTTTTGTAAGATATCTATTTTCTGAATATTTTTTTATACTTGACTAAACGGCTGACAAGTGTTGATTCCAGTGGTGGGCTACAGGATTGTGTTTTCAGATTGCCTTGATGGCAGCACTTGGTGTTTTGGCCAAGATTCGAGTGCCATATGCTCACACCTCATTGGAGATTATCCGCATGCGCTATGGCAAAATCGGACATATTGTGTTTATTATCCTAAATATCACAAATAATGTCTTTGGATGCGCATCCATGATCCTGACAGGGTCACAGCTCATATATGGCGTCTCCGGTATGCACTTTGTTGCAGCTACTATTCTTATCCCTCTTGGAGGTAAGTGTCGTGTGATATATAGTTCTATTTTGCATTCAAAGAGAGAAGTTAATAACGCAAACTCGTCGAATAGTCGTTCTCTATACAGCAGTGGGTGGTCTTAAGGCCACATTTTTGACGGACTATCTCCATACAGCAGTTGCCTTGATTCTCATTATTTATTTTACTCTGACTACCTTAACTCACGAGGCTGTCGGAGGCCTTGGGGGTTTATATGACAAAGTTATGGCAACAGCCCCAGAAAATATCATTGCGAGGAATTATCAAGGATCCTTGCTCACAATGAAGTCCCAGGATGCAATTATATGGGGCTTGATCCTAAAATTCGGAAATCTTGCCCTCGTCGTCATGGTAAGAGATACAGCTTCACACACATCCTAGGTTTTCTCACAGCTCATTTCTCTTTTTTTCCTCCCATAGGACACTGCATTTTGGCAAAAGTCTTTTGCTACTGAGGTCAAAGCTACTGTTCCAGGATATAATCTTGCGGCAATCGCTATATTCGGCATTCCTTGGGGCCTTGGCACTGTCATCGGTCTTACAGCAAGGGCCATTCATAACACGCCTATCTTTCCGACTTACCCCGGCGAGTTCTCTCCGAATCTGGTTAACGCAGGGCTGGTGATGCCATATACTATCAAGGCTCTTATTGGCGACAAGGGCATCGTTGCCTTTTTTGTCCTCTTGTTCATGGCGCTGACCAGCACTGTCTCTTCCTCCATGATTGCTGTCAGCAGCATTCTATCATTTGATCTTTATAAAATATACATCAACCCGAAAGCATCGGACAAGAGGCTTATGAAAGTCAGCCATCTTGCTGTCGTTTTCCACACCATCTTCATCACCGGCATCTCGCTGGCGCTTAACTACGGAGGGGCTGATATGACATGGATCGGCTATTTCAGGCCTATTCTCTCTTGCCCAGGTATTATCCCGCTGGGTCTGACCCTTGCCTGGTCAAAACAGACACGATTAGCCGCGATTGCATCGCCCATTTTGGGATTTCTCACAGGCCTCAGCGTCTGGCTAGCCACTGCCAAGTCGCTCTATGGAACCATCAATATTGCAACCACGGAAGCAAGTTTCCCAGCCCTGTATGGAGCCATTGCTTCATTTTTCTCCCCTGCTCTTTACTCGGTCGTCATTTCTCTTTACAAACCAGACTCCTTTGACTGGCGACGGTTTCTGCTTATCGAGCTGGCAGAAGCCCCAAAAGTTGATAAAATCGAATCATCCTCTCCGTCGAGTGATGACGAGAAGGAGACTAAAGTTAATGCCCAATCCGGTGGCCCTCAGAGAAATGGCATAGTGGTGTCTGAATCTCCAAGTGAGAATATTTCTGTAACTGCTTCGTCTGACCCTGAAAAGGCAAAGACCACCACCGCCGGGGAAAAGAGCACAGTGAGAGTATCAACCGATAGCGAGATTAGCACGCTTAACCTGGACAATGTGCGACACCCATTCAGTGAGGAGACATTGCAAGAGCTGAGCCGGTGGTATCGCATAGCATGGATTTTTTTCGTTGCGGTTATCCTCATCACCTTCATCGCATGGCCAATGCCCTTATATCGCAACTACATCTTTACCAAGACATTCTTTTCAAGCTGGACCACTGTCGCTATAATTTGGCAATTCTTTGCGTTTTTTGCGGTAGTTTTGTACCCCTTATATGACGGAAGGCACGCAATTGTTAAAGCATCTCGAGGTGTTTGGAGGTCGATTAACGGTAAATTTAACAAGACATGAGCGGATAGCCGGCAATAAAATGCTCGATGGATTGGCCGAAGATGGTCTATGCACAACAGAATCGATACTAGTGCTTACTATGCCAGCCGGGATCTATTCGTATGCCAGTAGTAGATACATATGCATGCTGCCTTTCTGTCAAAATTTGTACTTGCATACGTCTATTTTAACGCATTACAGATAAGGCAGGTAGATCATTCGCAAGAGTGGAGCCTTGGTGGTCAACACTTTGGTTTAATATAACAAGATTCTGCAAGGGGCCGGATTGATTCTTAAAAATCATTGCGGGTCCGGAATGTTAGAATAATCACGATATCAGGTTTTATAGCTACTAGCCATAATCTCCGTTTTGCTCAAGTGGTTTAACCCATGTATCTCCAGCTCATACCTATAGAGCACGTAACTGCACTCTATAGGTTATAATGCACGAAAATTGGACAGATTATAAGTGAGAGTTTGTTGTACATGTATGTTCATGTGTATTTAACTATATGCGTGAGTTGACAAGAGTATTTACAGTGAGAAAATATATAGAGAAATGAATCCAAAAAAAAACATCAGCGGCCATCAATCATTCGAACCCTGCTCGTCTACTTGGAAATAGACATTTAGCACTGGCCGTTCTCGTTGCAGAAGTGCCTAAGTAATATTAGTAGAGTATCTTGATAGATATTAACAGGGAGGACTTACCACTCAATGTTGACGGTTCCGAAAGGAGCATTGCCGGTGAGCTGGTTCCAAGCTCCGTGAGACAAGTCAATGCTGTCAGCTGAAGGGCAGCCAGGGCAGGTGTCCTTGACAGTGGCAATGACAGTTCGGCCTTTGCCGCCAACACCATCGTTGCTGCCAATGTTCTGGATGAATACCTTGCGGCCACAGTACTTGGGAGGCCAGCCGCTGCCCTGCCAGCTGGGGGTAAGGGCAACAATCAGCTCATTGTCACCATGCTTCTCGCCACAAGATCCGTAGGCTCCATTCTGGTCGTAAACAGTGCCGGTACCCCAGTGCCTAGAAATTGGATGTCAGTAAATGGGAGAAACTTTACTAAAAATTTCATTCAGAAGGAACAAGACTCACTCGGTTCGCTTCGCCTCAGGAGCAGATCGAACACGGGTAGGCTCAGGGAGAGCGCTGACGAGGCTGGCGGCAGCAGCCAGAATAACAACGGCGGTCTTGGCGAACATTTTGAAAGTTTGGTATTTGGCCTTGGAACTGAAGTTCGAAGAAGTAGAGAAGCTAGGTTATCAGGAGCTGTGATGAGTTGCTGTGCTGGATGATTGAGATTAAGACGGAGAGACAGAGATGGCCAAGGGCTTTATATACCCATTGCTCGCGTCGTTTAACGGAGCCTTTTACTAACTCGTCCATGTCTTCATCATCATCAGATGTCCTTCGGCTGCCGTTAACTCAGGGATCCAGAGTTTCGTGAATAGCTCAAACCGGCGAGTCCGACACATGGTTCCAACACACCATCATGCATTCGGTGTAAGACGTGGAATTCTTCCGCTATTGCGTTTCTCAGGGATTTACACGCGGGAACTAAGCAGGTCGAACAGCCGTGGCCCATGTAAGCATGATGGATCGCCTTTGGCCCCAAGTAGAAGCTAGTTGGTAAGGCGTTGGTGTTTCGGGAAGGTAGAAAATGGACCGGGTTGGACTACGAGTTGTTTTTTGTAAGGCGCAAGTTGCTCCGTAAGTCGACCAGGCAGAAGCAATTAATCTAGGCCACCCCCCCTGACTCAAAAATGCTCATAATTTGCCTGTATTTTCGTTGTTTTTACAGGGGGCAAGTGGTCCCATGAACCATCGATCGCGAATCTCTTGGATGCTCATGGCTTGTAGAATGAAGATTACTGGTGGATTTTCCTAAATGGGGACAACTGCTTCAAGGTTCCTATTCAGGTGCGCCAAGAAGGCGAGGCTGACAGGTAGCATCCGCAATTAAATTAGCTCTGTCGTCGCATGGCATGCACAACTGCGCATATTAAAATGCTACTGTACGGATAACTCTATATGTAAATCTAAGTCTAAAATGCAATAGTTTAATCTAGGCACTCTATGCCTACCTACCTATACTATTGTGTACCTGTAGGTCGAATAAGCACATGTGATATTTTCACGTTTCCTGGAATAATGCCCTTGTCAAGAATAAAGCCGCCTATGAATGCATTGGAAGATGGTCTGATTGTAGACAACTGCCTTGTCGGGGCAACATCATTTTCTAAATGCAGAAGCAGCGAAGAGGCCTCACCTGCTCTTTATGAACCTGATACTTTTATTCCATCGCCCTGCAAATACTCTGACATTCTTTTTTGCCATGCAAGCGGTTTCGTGTTCGCTGTTTCTTTCCTCGGGTGCGAATAGTTGAATTACGCTTTGCACAAAAACGAAGACTCAAGTGAAGACAAATTTCAACTCGAAAATCACCAGGCCTGTGCTAGCACGAGTGCAAGGGCGCAGTCATCAAACGGCGGGATTTTCTCCTTCCTATCTAGTAACACGTACAGCCGAAAAAAACCTGAGATGGTAAATGCTCTGTCCAGGATAGCTAGGCCACAAAACTAGGCTACCATTACGTACCTATGTATATATTCTGAGCCTCAAGCGTTTACGGACGTGTTCGGCAATCCGATATGTCCAATTAGGGTTTGGGCAGTCGCATAAGGCATGGAAGTCAAGAAACTACAAGTAGACATCTGTATGCCACCGATATGCAGTGGGCCAGCACCCTCAGCACCCCCGAAACTTGAGACATCGTACGGAGCACAAATGTGGTGTTATCGATAGCGATCAGGAGATTTCCAATTCCGAATTTCCATTTTACACAAGGGTCTGTCTACCGCAAGAATACCAGTATTACAGGGCAACTTCTTCCAGCATGCTAGTTTCCAATCACAGTCTCAATATTCGAGATGAACGAATTAGTAGTAGTATTTTGCCGTTGTTGAATGTCCAAAAGATCCATGCACCGCAAACTTCCCTTAGCTCTACTAGTTGATGAGTATTCCGTATTAGCCATTACCCCAGCTAGTGCAGCCAGTCCCATGTGGCAGTGCTTCAGGGGTATCCTACTCTGCATATAACCTCCTCGGATTTCGTTCACTAGCAATACTTAGACGGCAAGATCCGACCCAAATTCCATTTTGTAGAGGGTTACCGGGCAACCGGGGACACAGCCCACGTTTGTCGCCTAACTTCTCACACTGGAGGTTTCGCCGTTTGGAGCTTGATGTTTACATATATAGAGTGAGATGCATGTAGCCAACTCTACATGCTCTCACTATCTAGAACAGGAAAAAGATGCTAGGGAATTGTAAAATTGCCACCAAATAATTCATGCGACATCACTATTCTTAGCAGCGGCAGTAATTTAGGGAATTTGTAGGATGCTGACGTCTCGGCAGCCCGGCGTAATATCTGCCAAGACAGCGGCATCATGCTGTCGATCCTGGCAATGGTCTCGATGATCACGATGTATCGTAGACATCCTACAAGCGCGGATGATCATCTCATCAAAAATTAAGCATAGTAGAATTATTACATCGGAGTAGGTGTCATGTTTAGAGGCATATTAAATTTAGGACTCGCTTTGGAATGAATCTCACGTTATCCTCATAGCTCACCATGATGCAAAGCCGTGTGACCTTGCTAGGTAGGTAGCATGAGGCAATTAATGGGAGGATACCCTAGAGTGGGCGATTGAAGCGGGGAAGTAGAAGGGCAATGTACATATACTGCGTATTCTAGAAGGGAAGACGTGAGAAAATCTCGCTGAATCTAAATCAAGATAAATAACATATTACACGAATCTTTTAGTGGGAAGATTAAAGCTAGATGAAATGGGTTTCTTCTGTTTGAGTAACAAATATCACGGCTTGGGCTACATGACTTTGATAACCTTGATGTCCACACTAACATTGTAAAAATATGCACTAGCGCTAAAAAGGTTAAGCTTTACAGCTATCAAATCGGTTGAAAGGAGTTCCAAGCTTCGCTATCTGCACGTGAAACTTGACAGTTCAAAGCGGGCAGCTTGATTAGCTCATCTTGCCACACCAGAAGCAATGGGCAGATATTCTCAGATGGATTCGGTATTAGACATAATCATTACCAGTGGGAAAAGAAAACCCCTGAAATGGAAAATAGCAATGAAAAGCCACTGTTGTTGCCATGATTCAAGTAGTTGACGCCCAGTGACTGTATCTTGTTCGTTCCGACACCGGCCTCATAAACCTCTGCCGACGGAAGCCGGTCACGGGACCGGGGTTTCTCCACAGATCGTTACCAGATGCTTTTGGATCGACCACCAGTCATTGAGCTTGCACCGACTTGAAGCGTCCTCGGTTTCCCATAAGTTTCTGGCCATTTCAGCATTCCACAGTCTGATTCTCACCGGTAACTCGCAGAATCCCCTCCAGCATATTTGCATTCTGTTATCAGGCACAACCATGGCAGCGTCATTGCACAACAGCAAGTTGGCCTTCATTGGCGGGGGCAACATGGCCTCTGCCATTATTGGAGGGCTGGCCAACCAGGGCATCGACAAGCAAAACATCATTGTATCAGAGCCTTGGGATGTCAACAGGGAGAAGATTGCGGCTACTGGTGTGAGGACGACCACCTCCAACATCGAGGCTGGCCAAGATGCGGACCTCATCATCATTGCAGTAAAGCCTCAGATTACGAAGACGGTATGCCAGGAGCTAGGTGCATCTTGGTCTCACCGTACTACTCTGCCAATTGTTGTCAGCATTGCTGCTGGAATCACCCTTGACAGCTTGCGAGAATGGCTCAAGACGAGCGAGGGCAAGACGGCGCCAATCGTTCGTGTTATGCCAAACACACCCGCCCTCGTCGGAGAAGGTGCATCAGGGCTCTATGCTAGCGAAGATGTCAAAGAAAGTGAGAAGCAGCTCGTTGATGCTCTGCTGGGCAGTGTCAGCAAGGCTACCGAGTGGGTGGACAAAGAAGAGTTGCTTGATGTCGTGACTGGATTGTCTGGTAAGTTCAAGGTTGTTTTATTTCCTCCCACAAAGGGCTTAGCCTAACATGTGTGCTAGGATCTGGACCTGCATACTTTTTCGCCATGGTTGAACATCTTATTGCTAGCGCAACTGCTCTGGGTCTTCCGAAAGAGCAGGCTACCAGACTGGCGAAGCAGACATGTCTGGGAGCTGGCCAGATGCTTGTCACATCCTCAGATGAGCCAGCTCAGCTTCGCAAGAATGTCACGAGCCCCAATGGAACCACTTACGCTGCTCTACAAACATTTGAATCATTGGGCTTCGACGAAATTGTCAACAAGGCCGTCAAAGCTGCTACTGCCCGAGCTGCGGAATTGGGGAAATCATAGACGGAGAATGATGTGTAAATAAAAGTATTTTGTGATTCATTTTTCTTTTAAGACTTCGAGCTAAAAGAAAATGTCAAGTGGGGTTAAAGAAGGCTCATTAATAACATTTTGCTAAAATGGGAAAAAAATAATAATGATAACAATCAACGGGATCTCTTATCCACCATATCCTCTTCATTTGACCTCTGTGTGAGACCCCTTCTCAGCCTTATCCTCTTCACTTGAGTTCTGCGTGGAAACAGGACGGCCGACAACATCACCAAGATCCGCTACTATCAAATCTTGCTGTTTTCGGGTGTCAGACAGAAATTTGACTAATTTAAATGAGGGGACATGATATATGACTTACAGGACCTAAAAAGTTCTTTCCATAGAAAAGCCAATAAACGCCAACGACGATTGCAAAGATGCCGATTACAACGCATACGTAGTCTACGCAGACACATTAGCTATTTGTAGTTCCAGGTTGAATAAACATCAAGACTTACTCATGTTGTCTCCAGTAACCGGAAGAAACGTGGGGAAACAGAAAAACTATAGATCCCGTCAGCTAGGTCATTTAGGCTTGCCAAAGTAGATATACTCACCACAGAAGTAACAACAACATAAATTGAAGCGATGATGTTCACGATCAGACCAAATGTCTTTCCCATTTTAAAGGGAGTCCTTGCAGTCTGGTAGTTGGCAAGCACCTTCCTTCCACGGACGAGGAGGACCAGGATTGGGACAGAGTAAGACATGTTCAAGAAGATGGTGCAAGATGCGACGTATGCGCTGAAAGCAACCACTGGTCCCAGATACAAGAGACCGAAGAGCATATTGAAAACGAAGCAGAACATGATGGTCCGTACTGGCACGTTTAAGCCCGACTGGATATGAGCAAAGAAATTGTGAAAGACAATGCCGCGGTCGCGAGCCATGGCGTAGAGCAATCTGCTGACGCTGGTAATGCTGGCATTTGTACCGTTGATGAAACAGACGCTGAGCATCAGGCTGAGAATGGTGGCCGCGGCTCGGCTCTTTGTTGCCTGGAGAATGAGCTCGACAATGGGCATCCCGGTTGGAGTAGCCAGAATGGTCTCGGGGTCGACAAGGCAGAAGAGCATAACAAGAATAAAGGCAAAGCCACTAAGTTGACTTGTTAGCCATGTTCTGATTTGAAAAAGACAGGATGAAATGGCATCGAACTTACGTGACACCACCGATCCCAATGGAGTACAGCATGGCTCGAGGGGCATCTCTGGACGGATTCGGCATCTCCTCTGTCATATGCAAAACAACGTCGAATGCAATGAGAGAGAGAGCAGACTGAAGAAGACCCAAGATCCAAGCCATGCCATCGGACCAGCCAGTCTCGTTGTTGAAGTTTGTAAAGACAAACTCTGCACTAGTCTTGTCTGACATGGAGAGCAGAACAATGCTGATGATGACAACGCCAAAGATAGACCAGTACACTATATTCAGAGTTAGTTATCATGCTGAAACTGCTCTTTGGACTCTGCCTTGGGCTAGCTTACAGGCGGCATCGTTCCATTTTCCCAATATCCTATTGCCCCAAATGTTTGCCGCTGTTGTAAAGACGAGGACTGCCACGAAGATTCCGTATGTTCTGGCGGGGGTGATTTGGTAGGCTCCGTTCGATGCAACCACTGCTGCAGCAGAAATAAACTGGGCTAAGTCGTCTTGTATTAGCAGCGTCCAAAAGGATTCATATAGGTCATGAGTGATAATGTTTGATACTTACAACCAAAGTAGTCCTGAACAGTTACAACGACCAGCCAGCCGACGATGTTGGCCCATCCGACTACAAAACTCTATAGAATAGCTACTTGTTAGTGTACCAGATACAACGTGAATCAGGGGGCGCTGAGCCGGGAATCTTACCATTGGCTTCCTCCATCTTTCCGTGCAAAGAGCGTAAACAAAGTGGTACTGTCCACCAGCCGTCGGCCAGATAGAACTGAGTTCTCCAAGACTCGCAGCCACGCAAAAGCAGCATAAGACGCAGAAGATGAAGCCGTACAACAGTGCTACAGAACTACCGGACGGCAGAACAAGACCTATTGAGCCAGCAAGCGCGATCCAAGTACTATGTTGCGAGTCAGTAATCTTGAACACTTGATTCAGTGCATATGGCAATGGAAGTGAGTCGTACTTGAGAATAGCAAAGGCCATGGCCATTGTTGAAAGAGTTGACAGACGGGGCTGAAGAGCCCCGTCTCCTGATGTGGCGGCATTCGACCCAAAGAGCGCCATTGCTGAAGAGACTCGACAAAGGTATTGATGAAAGAGGATATACGATGGATGTACAAAAATCGAGGTGGTGATGGGCTTGATTTGTATTCACCGACTGCCTTCAGCTATTGGTCAGGAAAGCGGAACGTCTGGAAACCTCCTAATGGACATGATCTCCGCGCCTTGTGCGCTCCGATTGTGCCAGAGGCTTTTGATAGACTACCACAGTTTGGTTAGTCCGGATATGATGCATCGTTATCCTTTGATAATGATAGTGAACTGTTGACGCATTGTCCAAGTGACAATTGGTGGCGATGGCTTCGCAAGTGTCTAGAACAAATGATACTGGTATTGGAGATATGCCCGAATAGGCAATTTCCTGAGAAACTTACTGGTGTGTTCCCCAGACCCAACTTGCCATCCACTAAAAACGCGGGGTAGGAGGACGCCTATCTAGATAAATGCTTTGGTTTGGGGCGCTGTTTTCTCGGAATCCTGCCTAAATCAGCAAAAACGAATGATAAATGTGGCTCTATCTCAGCGGTCCGGGAAAGCCTCAAACCGTCAGTGGGTATGGGGATTGATAGCAAGGGTGAAGATCCGTACCGAATTCTCAACCCAACTGATCCGTATCACGGGTGGAGTTACGCTTGGACCGCGGACCGCACGTTCTTCTTCGTTCCCGTTTCTCGGTAACACGGTGACACGCGGATGGTATTCTTGTGATATGGTGGTTGCAGAGAGCGCCACGGATTAGCCTAGAACCCGGAAGAGATTCTCACTGGCCGCTGGGCACGAGTATGCTTCTTTTGTTTGAGGAGAAGATGACGGCGGCGAAGGAGAAGAAGAACAGAGAAACTCGCACACGCGTGCGGGCTGAGGGCCACGTTCTCTTTTATAGATGCAGCAATATACACACATAAGCAGGCCCCCCCGGACGCATATTTCAGGGGTTGGCCGTGATAAGAGCCGTTCTTAGCTGCTGTCGACCAACCGCATGTTGCATTTACGCTATTATTGGGAGCTACTTCCGTATATCGGCAACTAGGCGTCCTGCTAAAGATATTACTATCTTTAATACTTGACTTCGCGATGCTAAATTGATGGTGTTTTGCAAGTGAATCTATATCTGGGGAAGTGGGCCAGGGGATGCTCCGCAGACAGCTATTGTGGATTAACATCTTAGCTGATAGCTTTTCATTACCTCTATCGTAATTGGGTTCTATCTTGAATCAGAGTGCTTTTGGCGCTGAGTGGACCGATGTCTTTAATTTCTCCCACTTTTCCACGGATACGGCAGCCTCGGCCGCCCGCATGCTATATCGGGCAATTCTGCGAGAAAGTGTAGAACGATACGCAACACAACACTTTAGCCGTTTCGCCACCTATCGATTAAAAGGGCGCCGATTCTCAGGATATTTCCGCTTGGAGATAAACTCAAAGTGGATTGTATGATTTCCATGACCTGATGTTGAATATATGTACGGAGACCACACAGAGATCATCCATCGCGACCCATTCCCTTGTCCCACCAGTAAACAATATTAATAGTTGAAGTGCGCCCTTTACTCTGTAGAATTGCACATTCGCATACTACTCTGCACTTCTCTTGTCCTCTACAAACTCTAATCTAGCGACCACGACATCCAATGACATCCAAGGACGGCTACTCATGGACAAAGGCCCAAGGTCTCCGGGCCGGCGTTCCTTCAATTGGTGTGATTGAGCCGCCGTCTAATGTTAAGAGTGCCGACACCGTCTACGATGTTATTGTTGTTGGTGCAGGTTATTGTGGCCTCACAGCAGCTCGAGATGCCAGTCTGGCAGGTAAATAGCCCAATGCTGGCCACTTGGATGAGATGTGAAGAAAGCTGACCTTGCTACCTTTCCTAAACTAGGCTTGAAAGTGCTGCTTCTGGAAGCACGCGACAGAATTGGCGGTCGATCATGGTCATCCAACATCGAGGGATACCCATACGAAATGGGCGGCACATGGGTTTTTTGGGGACAGGCCAATATATGGCGCGAGATTGCAAGATACGGCATGCAGGACGAGCTGGAGATATCTTACGACTTTTCCAGAGGCATCAATAAGTATTTGCTATCAAGCCCACAGGGCACACAGACCTTTACCCATGAAGAAGAGGTAATACAAGATTTGCTCCAACGCCAGTTGACAGACCAAACCCGCAGCGGATTTCCTAGAGAAGCTGACACCGTATAGGATGCGCTGATGCAATCATCACTCGCCAAACTCGTCAACGTCGATGGATGCCTGGGAAAAACCGTGGTTCCTTTCCCCCACAGCGGCGTCCTCACCCCAGAGGCCCGCAAGTACGATCACATGTCCGTCGCCGACCGTCTTGCCGAAATCAAGAATGATCTTACACCCAACGAACGACTTTGTGCCGAATCATTTGTCCTTCTCTGCAGTGGAGGTACCCTCGAGACAACAAGCTTCTATGAGTTCCTTCACTGGTGGGCGCTCAGTGGCTACTCATACGAGGGCTGCATTGACTATCTAGTCAAGTATAAGTTCCGCGGCGGCCAGTCGTCGTTTGCCATCAACTTCTTCAAGGAGGCTCTGGCCTCAGGCAACTTGACCTACGCCTTCAACAGCCCGGTTGCCAGCATCCAGCACGGAGGCAATGGTGTTCAGATTACAACGCGTGCTGGCCAGACGTACAAGAGCGCGAAGATGATCTGCGCCATTCCGTTGAATGTCTTGAACGACGTCGCATTCGATCCGCCATTGGCACCGGGAAGAAAAGCAGCAGCCACCACCGGTCATGTTAACCAGTGTGTCAAGGTCCATGCCGAAATCAGCGACCGAGATCTTCGCTCGTTCACGGGCATTAGCTATCCGCACAACGGGCTTATCTACGGCTTCGGAGACGGAGAGACTCCGGCGGGCAACACGCATGTGGTAGCATTCGGCGGGCAGCACAACCACTTCCACCCTGAGGAGAACCTTGAACATACAAAGGCAGCGTTCCAGGGTTTCGCACCCATGAACATTGAGAGATTGGTGAGCAAAACTCATCCAATATGTTGAAAACAAGGACCATCGACTAACGCATTCAAACTAGGTCTTCCACAACTGGTCCAAGGATGAATTTGCCAAGGGGGCTTGGTAAGCATTGAATCTTTCCCATCTCTCCCTTCCTCTTTAAGCGAGCCCATCCCTGACTCTGTGGTTTTCTGTTGTAGGTTTTTCCCAGCACCAGGCTTGCTATCCACGCATCTGAAGGATATGAGAGCAAGAGAGCGTAACATCGTTTTTGCCTGCTCCGACTGGGCCTTGGGATGGCGTAGCTTCATCGATGGCGCCATCGAAGAGGGAACCCGCGCTGCAATTACTGTACGAGCCGACTTCGCGGGCCGAGCCAAGCTGTAACAGCTGGTCTCAACCGATATCCGAAAACACAAAATAAAAAAAAGCGATAAAAAATTGTATAATAGACAAGCGAAGAATAAATTCATCCACAGCGCCGCCATCTGCTTTCACATGATTAATATTGGACGTTGTCGAGTGACTACTTCGGTCCATCTTTGAGAGCCCTGGTTTGCCCATATATGTTCAAGGCTTTGGACTGCGATGGGAATAGTGCCAAACTCTGTGCAGCTGTAGAGGCTTTGTAGTCGGTGAGAAAAGAAGGCTCGGTGTTCTGGCAAAATACTTTCCGCGGCGGCCACAAAATACGTCCAGACTAGAGCATGGCAACCATCGACGCTTGGATCAAGGTCGAGAACTGTCTCTCGAAGCCGCTCTACTGATTGGATAGATTCTTCTCTTGATATGAGGTGCAGAGCACGATTACGATATAAATCGCAGGCTTGCCGGATAGCCTCCTTCATTGTAGCGACGTTGGCGTACTGCTCAGGGTCTTGGCTGAGCGATGGATACGAAGACATGAAGTCTAAATAGTAGTCGGGGCGCTTCGACAATGTTTGCAGGCCTTTGGACTCGCTGGATAGCGGAAACCCAAATAGTTCGAACCTGGGTGATTTGATACGTTAGCATATTGCCTGCTTATGGACAATAGATGGAAGTAACCTACATGCGTGTTTGTTCTCTGATAAAACCCCTTGTAGTTATCGACAAAGACTGCACAGAATCGGATGATTGTGCCAAGTTTGAGAGAATCTCGAGGAGATGCACATAATTGTTGGCACCCGTGATTGTTTCCCCCACTAGCAACACAAGGATAGTAGCCCATGTTGATAGACTAAACAATCTTTTTGGCTCTAGCTGGAGCGAGTCGCGAAACAGTTTCGATAATATGGCGTGCTGGCCTACCTCCGCCGCCATTCGCATATGCGGCGCCCTTTGCGACAGATGAAAGGCCGCGATCACGGAGATGGCCTGTCCGACAAGTTCGTCTTCACAGGCGAGAGGTAGGAGGATGTCGCGATAGCCATTGCCGTTAAAGTCAAATACAACCATTTTCGGCGCAATGAATTCCGAAACTGCGATTTAAGACATTTCGTGTTAACAGCAGCTATGGGCATCGCTGCCAGGAATTAGAAGGAGGCATCTTACAGTGGTTAAAGAACAGTCTGGATTGGGGGGAGACAACTTGGATAGCACGTTGCGGTGGACTAAGTTGCATTTCTCTCGGTCCAAGCTCTTCCACATCGTCGTCCAAACTCCCATCTGGAGAAGGTGTATCAGATGTAGGTCTATTTGGGCGCACAGGCCCAACGATGGGCCGCTCATCCAAGGTCTTTGGTGGAGAGGTGGAACTCCGGTGAGAAGACAGCCTCGCCGCATCTGGCGAGGATCCCGGTTGCTTGCTGGTTACAGTGACCCATCGGTAACGATTTGGCGCTCGTGGTGCAGCTTTGGCAGCATTGCCGACAACGCGATTTGTAGTTTGTGAGAAGCGTTGCGAGCTACCATTCTTCATGTGAGAGCTGAACCGACACTCGATCCCTTGGCCGGAACACTTGATCCCCTTTTTGCAGCACTTGAAGCATTCGGGCTCTGTCTTATCGCAACGCACTCGGCGCGTGCGGCACTCGAGACAGCCTGGTCTAGAGTCAAAATTTACGCGCTAAATACAAGGGAAACAATGTAGAGATTGATAGGCGTACCGTTGTTTCTCTTTGCCAGCGACATGGCGACGTAGCTCCAGACTGGCCGTGTTTTCGCCACTGAAGCTCTCTTGGAACGGAACAAATGGAAATATCAGAGCTGAAGGCGGCGTACGTAACCTTTTGCGATAAGAGCTGAGGGGGGCTCTTTGGCGCAACTTAATTTTCAGCGACGGGGCAGGGCTCTGGACAAGGGGCGAAATTCGGCCATCGATAGGGAGGCCAAGAAAATACGGAGTAATAAAGAAGCACGGAATACGGCGTGGAAGATGGAGGAATGCGGAGACTCAGCTTTGTGGGGGGAGCCGTGATGTCCGATAGTGCTAGTCCCAAAGGACTCAAGATGAGGTTAAGACTCGGCTCTCCTGGCCGCGGCTATACTGACAGGTTTGCTGGCCGATCGGCATTAAAGAGATGAAATACTAATGCTTGGATTCCTAATTTTTCGGCGGGCTGTATAGGTCATACTCGTAATCGCCGGTCCTCCAAACTCTTCACACATGCATTAGATGCGACTGTCGCTGTCAGATATCGAATCTGGCCAGCTGCATACGCCAGAACCAACAGCAGGTGGCACCCAGTCGTGGCGAGTCTTGAAAGCTACTGAAGATTACCAGAGTGCGGATATACGGATCAGTGGATACAGCTAGTCGTTGGACTGAATCGAATGCCGGCTCATGTCAAAACCTAGTGCTTACCCCGACCTTGTGCCTGGCAGTTGGAGGAACGCGATGCCATTAATGCACGCCTCGCTGACTTTGGAGAGCGTTGCACTGTTTGCCATCACAAGGATCGCATGTCGGATGGAGAAAACGCGCGACACGTGGGTGCCTAAGTGAATGATATTCTAAAGCCCCAATTTCACGATCAGAACAACATTAGTACACGATGGAAAGTGAGTGCAGTGTACCTATTTTTGCTAATGTGTACGTACTGTACTAACGCAACTGCTGACTCTTCATCTCGCTCCGAAAAGCCCTACCGAAGCGCAACCCCTTTTACGACGTCTTCACATTCATGATAGGGCCCAACCACGACTCGTAACCGTCAGCACTTATTCCATTGGCGCCGTAACGCAAAATGCGTAGCAAGGGCCGGAAAGCACCAGCTGTCAAGTTAAAACCCGTGCCATTCTCGTGCATAATAAGCGGCCAGAACAAGATAAAATCTGGTTGTAGAGTAGGAATACGGCCAACCCAGAAGAGATGGAATACCAATGCCTCATTGAGCCATTATGCCGCAATTTGGAACGCTGAGGGAGCCCTACTGCAATGGTTGGGTCCACGTCTAGAACGTCAAACTTGACAGACAGGCCATAATCGTAGTATGTTGCCTCGAAATTTGTGTCGGCGGGCGCAATTTCTAGGCGTGTAAGATTATTTAGCTGCACGATGATAAGCTTCGCAATGGGCACATTGATATCATCCGGGACAGAGCCGTCGCTGCTAAGGATGCTATAATTGGTAATGTTGACTATACCAGGACCTGTCGAGTCTGATCCTACATAACTGTAAGGCCCTGCTGTCGGTGGTAATCTTGATGCGGCTTGAGTAGACGAGTTCTGAGTAAGGTTGTGGCTCATCTGGGACCGTAAATTGATTGCACTTCAATCTTTGCCGGCTCTCCCGTTTGCAGGGATAGTTTCGACTTCGAAAAATTGGTGGCGGCGTATTACTTGGCTTTATGTACGTGGGTAAATTTGACGAATATCTGGTCCGACCCCGCAGTGAAGTTGTGAAAGGTACGGATATAGACTATGATGCGTCTTATTGAGAGATGGAGTAGGTCTTGGCTTCTTCGGACGTGTTTTTTCCTGGGTTGTCTGTTTTGCCGGCTTCCGTGAGTCGTGTAAGCTCAACTGAGAGAACAAAATTTGGGAATGGGCAGCAACGGCAGCGTACCCGTTAATTAGCCCTGTCTTGCTGTGTAATGGAAGAGATGATATCCAAATTCAGCGCCCTCATCGGCACTGCGGTTGACCGTAGAATCGATGTGATCTCTGCGATCTCTGCGATGCTAAGATCCGGTTGCTGTGAATTGACCAGAGCATAGACGCCAGCGGTAAAGGGCGCGGCCATCCATGTGCCCGACAAGACAGCATAGCTGCCAGCTGAACGTGGATACGTGGATACGTGGATAGAATGTTACCTCCTGGTGACGATAAATGAGGCTTGAGTATCATTTCCACGGTCGGTCCGATGGGAGGAGAAATAGTCAATGGCATGACCAGCTGAGTTGAGAGAGTTTTGGGTTATAGTTGAGTTGAAGAGCAGCATGTTATCTTCCCCGGCTGTAAAACTAGCAATATCCTTGACCATCTATTGTGACTGGCTATATGCGAGGAAGAGAACGGCGAATTGACCAGTTGTATCTGGCTCAGGCAAAAGAATTGGAATGTACGGATTACCCGTATAGCAGATGGCGGTTGCCACACTGAGCGCCATCAATTCCGATGAGTACGCGCGCTGAGAGAATAGAATTTTGTTAGATAGATCAAAACGGCTGTATTTGCTCCATCTGTTATCTCTTCTCGAGCAGCTATCCAAACTCTGGTGTCACAACCCCCCGGCTTGCAGTTCTGTGACAGGGAAATCCAGACCACTGCCGACCTGGAAAATGGTCATCAGCGATGAAAAGAAAAACTGAAATGTATTCCGGGGCGCCAGGGAAGATGTTCTCTGTTTTGTGCACCGTAAGATAGACTTCATTTTCCACAGATCCCATCGTCTTATCAACGTCAAGATCAGCAGGGCAGTACGTGCCAAGATGGCTAAAGTATTCATTTTTATTGCTTCTGTTCTGGTAAATACGAGGTGCCTATGTTGTTCAACGGCTTACACTCGATAAGGCAATTCGGATGCCAAGTTTGTATATTTGTTGACAGAAGTGTACCTTATACTTGGCCATGGCCCACCACAAGGAGTTCAGCTTTTAATAGAATGCTGATGTTATGCTCACGCAATCATGTTTTTCACAATCTGCCGATTGGTCTAGAAATAAGTCGTGTGAGTTGAAGCTGGGCGGCATAGTCGAGTTTATCCATCCCAACAGCACAATCCGTGAATAAATCTTATCGATTAGTTTCATACTCATGGCCGGTGGTTAACTAAGAGATCTAGGTGGGGCTCAAACTTCAAAATTGTGCGAAACGGTGCTGCTTGAGATATCAATCGACCATACATTTCCAACGAGCGAGATCTCAAGGCGGACATTTCTTTGATTAGTTGCATAATCACTCTTGGTTTTTAACTCAAGGATAGTATCTTGACTGAGTTTACGCACTTGTATGGCTCAAATTTAGCCGGCTATGATAGCCCTCTTGGCGCAGTTTAAAATCCATTGATCTACAGGCTCTATTAAGCATCTTGTTTCATTGCGTTGCCCAATTCCGTTGCATTGTTAGCCCTCTTGGCGCGGGGTTCAGAGACCGTTCCGTAATCGTATTCCGTGCTTGTGCGATTTACCAGAAGATTTCAGCTAATAGTAGCTGGCGCGAATATATTAGGCGGATCTAAAAAGCGCCGAAATCCGGCTACTTAGCTAGAACCCCGTGAATCAGGAGGCGGAGCGATGTCCCAAAGTCAAAACAATTCTTCTTAATTTCCTCAACTTCATGATCATTTGGAGATATAACACTTGGATTGTGTTGTCTCTGAATACTATCGTCGTCATAATTTCGGCAATATCTGAGCCCTGAAGCCATCTGTACAATTCTTGGATCCACGACTTTCAACAAGAAAACAAGTGGAATACCATGTCCTATTTTGATCAAATGTACCATGAAACGGCTTTAGATCGTTGGAAACGATTCACGTATATCGATGATCTCCCAGAAGAAATAAGCCCCTTTCGTGAGCTGCTAGAAGAATATAGCAAAGTGCCCCCTGGCGAAACCGATGAACTTCTTATCAAGACAGTTAGTATTTCTTCCCCCATCGTTTCCACTCTGAGAACTTCACATTTGTATCTGACACTCTCTTAACAGCGTAGGAAGCTCTGGGAGGTAGCCATGTACCCATGCATCGGCCGGTGGAGCTTTCTTAATTTGCGCAGCGTGCAAGACTCTCATTTCAAGACTGCATTCGAACGACTGAAGAATTCGACTGGTCTTGATATGGATTCGAGCTCTACAGACACGCTCCTTGATATTGGATGCTGTGTTGGCCAAGTGTTACGAAAGCTGGTGCATGACGGAATCGAACCGACACGCTTGTTCGGCACGGATCTGCACTCTGAATTTATTTCTATTGGAACAGAGCTATTCGATGATGAAGGATGCGGGTTGACTTTTGCAGCCGGCGATATGTTAGACCCCGAAGATAAGGCTTTGGATACGCTGGATGGCAAGATTACGATCATACATGCAGCGAATTTCTTCCACCTATTCACATGGGAAGAACAAGTGAAGATTGGGATGAGAATAACACGATTTTTGAAGCCGGGAGTGACTAACGCCCTGATTTTTGGTAGACAAATCGGTACTCATAATCCAAGAGAAAGAGATGGACGGAAGAAATCCTTCCTACACAACCAGGAAAGCTTTCAGAAATTGTGGGATGAGGTCGGGATGAAAACGGGAACTCGGTGGCGTGTACAGGTGGGCATTAGTGAAGAGAGAAGGGTTGACATTCCAGGGTTTGGGGATATGGACAGATATATTCGGTTTGGCATATATCAATCAGCACTGTAGATAGAACTGTTGGCTGCTCATCAAGAAGCATACAGAATGAAAGGGTTACATTTATTCCCCACTCCAGTAACAGACGATTTTGTAACTTGACTCGTTCGTTATAATCCACCAAGACTCTGCCCAAGCCACTCAAAATGGGCCTCGCAGATAGCACGAAGGACAGCTTTAATAGTCAAGGAAGCGATAGATATATCAATTGACCTGCTAATAGCCGCAATTACTGAGAAGGTAGCTTTGATGGTGCATGAACACTTTGCTGATACAACAGACTATATTTGCTGAGAGAGACATATGTGTGTCTCGTCAGAACGCAACTTACGCTAATCGATCATACATTTTTAAATTTTCGGCCGTCGGAGGTTGAAGCCTCTCTCATTCTCCCTGTAATTCCTTATTTGGAAGAGTGTAATGCCACTCGCGGAAAGTTGCCTTGTCGCTAGTGGAACCTATAGCACTCCTCAGTGATTTTCTTAGTGGTGCGGAGTATGTACTTGGAGTAGATTGGTGTTAGTAGTACGCCCTTTCTTTTGGTGGCTCCGTTCAGGGCGCTCCATGACATGAAGAAATTGGAGACGATTGATCCACTTCAGTTGCCATCGTATTAGTACCCATGCTGTCCGATTTTAACCGCTCTGAACAGACCTTGAATTACCTGGAGTTATAAATCTCCCTCCGCATTGTTATTCTGCCTTTGAAACACGAGCAAAAATATCGGGTTGAATTCCATTAAAAACGAGCATCATTCGAAAGCTTCTGACACCATTCAAGCAATCATGAAAACAGTCGGCATCATTGGCGGCAGCACCGACCTTGCCACGGTAGAATATTACAAGCTGATCAATGCGCACATTCGAGCAAAGCTGGGAGGGTTTTACACAGGGGAAATCATTATTAATTCCATGAATTTTGAGCGCAGCGCCCATTTTGTGAACAATAATCTCTGGGACGAAGGAGGAGAGTACTTGCATGGAAAGGCGCTGAGCTTGGAGAGGGCTGGAGCCGATTTCATCATCTGCGTCTTGAATACGTGGCACAGAGTTTCTGAGGCATTCATGAAGGATGTCAAAATTCCGCTCTATCACATCGTTGATCCGACAGCCCAGGCGATACTGGATCTAAATCTGCGGACAGTTGCCTTGCTGGGAACTAAGGCCACAATGTCCTCCAATTATCTGCCGAATGAGTTCTCAAGTCGCTTCGGAATAAACATTATTGTGCCAACAGAAGAAGAACAAACTTTCGTTGACGACGTTATCTTCAACGAACTCGCTAAATCTCAATTCACCGAGGAATCGAGACAAGGCTATCTCAAAATCGTCGACAAGTTGGTTTCGCGAGGGGCACAGGGTGTGATTTTAGGATGCACGGAGATTCCGCTACTCATTGAACAAAAGAACCGACCAGAGGTTCCAATGTTCAATACTCTCGAGCTACATGCTCGGGGTGCTGCAGAGAAAGCGCTATTGGATTAGGATAAGAATCCCAGATCGGAGTCTTGGACGAAGTGGCTTACTTTTACCGGCGATGCATGGATTGGATATCATTACAAGGAAGCCTTTGGATCGGCGAGGGCGTGCAAATTGTTTGGACGCCAAAGACGGCGGTGGCGAAAGACCACTGAGACGGGTTGAGGCTCTGTGGTTCTATTATTCACGTAAAACGAAATCTCATATACCGTAATAGACATGTCGTGGAATGCATCTCTTAGAGTCTAGAAATGGAGGTGATATTGCGTTACGTGATGAACGCCGGAAAGATGTTTGTTGACGGAATGAAGCAATAGAGAAAATGCAGTGCAACTTCGGCGTCCATCGAAGCTCGTTGTGTTCATTAGCCATGAACTGCGGCGTTGTATCTTATTGGACGCGCTCTCTCCCGAGATTTGCAGACGGAGTAAGGGGTTCAACTACTAATCATGCATCGTGTAGCTGCGCGGCTATAACCCCTCATTTATATAAGGCAAGTATATTTCACCAAGCGGTTGGGATAGATCATCGATCACCTGGCACACTTCAAAAAGAAAGAGGTATTTATTATTAACCCGTAAATGACGTGTAAGACCTCCATTATCCCCAATTCAGGGCTATCTAACACGAAACAGATAAAATGACAACTGACACTGGCGATGAAGCAACCCAATACGCAGCGGGCTTCATCAAAAAACACCGTCCTGATATGACATTTTTCCGCGAGACTTATCGCCAATTGCATAGCATGCCAGAACTGTCTGGTCAAGAAGAGGAAACAGCTCGTATTGTCGCCGAATATCTCCAATCTCTTGGCAGCTTCGAAATATTCACAAAAATTGGCGGTCATGGAATTGCCGCGGTTCTCACCAACGGAGAAGGCCCTACACTCCTTCTGCGCGCTGATATGGACGGATTGCCGTTGCTGGAAAAGACTGACCTCCCTTATGCGAGCACGAGAACTCAGATCGACAGGAGTGGTATTGAGAAACCAGTTATGCACGCGTGTGGCCATGATACACATGTTGCATCTATGATGGCAGTAGCTAAGTTATTATTGAGGACACGTTCTCATTGGGAAGGAACTCTCATTTGCCTATTTCAGCCAGCAGAGGAACACTTGAATGGGGCCAGGGCAATGGTAGATGACGAGCTCTTTGACAAAATCCCTCACCCTGATATTGTCTTAGCACAACATGTCGACAATGCACGATGTGGGACAATACACTTGAGGAGTGGTCCGACCATGACGGCAAGTGTCTCTCTACAGATCCCTATCTTTGGGCGTGGTGGGCACGATTCAGCACCTCAGGATTGCATTGATCCTATCATCATTGGATCTTCGGTTGTGGTCCAGCTGCAAACAATCGTCAGTCGTCAAATCGATTCTAGGCAATTGGCGGTTGTTACGTGTGGAAGCATACACACCGGAGATGCCCCAAATATGATACCCGATTTCTTGGATCTGAAGATTAACATTCGGGCACTTACAGATGGCGTTATCAGCCGAATACTTGTCTCCATAAAGAGAATCGTGGAGGCTGCATGCAAAGCTGGCGGATGCGACCGTGAGCCACTAATCGAGACCATTTCGTCTACGCCAGCAACTACAAACGACGAGACTACTGTTCAAACGCTTGAGAAGAGCTTCAAATCCTATTTTGGATCGAGCCTTGAGCATATGGACGTGGCAACTGCAAGTGAAGACGTATCAATCTTGGCAACTACGGTTGGAGCTCGTTTTGGCCATATGGTTCTTCGGCTCAACAGATCCCATCCAATGAGATATCGCTCGTCAGAAAGGGAAATTAGACGAGATTCCTTATAACCACTCGCCACTCTTTGCTCCCACTATTGAAAGCTTAGACGTTGCTGTGGATGCGATGTCATTGGCAGCTCTCACACTTTTTACACCTGCCTCAAAGATTGCATAGATATTGAACCTTTGCGAAGTCCGATAGAGATGGTCTTTAGTGGTTTTTAGTATGTAATTAGGTATATTTTTCCATACTTCAACGTCTAAGAAATGTCTTAGGCAGCGTTTCTCAAGCCCATAAATTCAGGGCTAAGAGCTTCATATATGTGTGGCTGCGAAACAAAAATTTGGTCTAAGCCTTTCCAAAATATAGAATCAATCCTCAAAAGGCCCAACCTAAGAACAGGTAGTTGTTTTGATCTTATTCTCAATGACTCGCGGGTCTCTCGAACAGTCTGCATTCTCTGTTTAGCTTCCTCTGAGGAGCTTGACATTACAAGTAAATGTAGCATGAGATTGACAATTGAAGAAAACGCCAACGGCGCCCAAGCCGGCCAAAATTGGGATGAAGTATCAAGTTTGAGTTTGTTGACAAAAAGTAATGCATCTGACAGGCACTTCCCAGCTTCCTGGCGCGCGCGCTGCATATCAGCATCAGCGGAAGACTAATTCAGCCGCGCATCCGTGACATGGCATCTCAAGATGGCACGAAAAATGTTGATATTTGTGTAGTGGTAGGCCAACAAGTTTATTACAGATACTGGCGCGTTATCGACTGATAATTTAGTCGTGTTGTTATACCAAATCGAGAGTTCCTCTCGAATTTTCATAGAAATGCCTAATGTCTGCGGAAGATTTGACGATAACTGAGCTAAAGCCCGCAAGGAACTGTAGAATAGCAAATGATTAGCATCCAGGAGAACCTTTAGTCACAAGAAACACATACTGGAGTTCCGAGAGGACCCTGCGAAGAGTAGACACTAGCTGGGCATGCTGGAGGAAATCTCTCCAGTCCGCTTCCTCTATGCAAGCTCCATGGCCATTTTCAGTGGAGAGAGAGGTGACGAGCCAGTTTTTCTCGCTCAACATTGGTGGTCTGCCTAGACTGGATGCCATCCACGTATCCATTTTATAGATCATGAAAGATATCCTACGCCGCTGCGTAGTCTGCCACCGAGGAATAGACCATTCAACAGGATCCATGTGAAATCAGTGTATGGGCCGCCGAAATAAGCATACCTAGCAATTTACACCTGAAGGATGAATCAGATATAAGATGATGGGGAGTGGGGCGCGCAAGTAGTAATATGAAAGTTTGAACAACAGGAAGAGTCGGGCCATATATCTCAAACTCTAAATCTTTGAGCGAGATCTGCAATAAGGCCGAATTTGGTAATGGATCATATGCTAGGTCCAACGTTAATGCATCATCAAATTGCATAAATGGCTGCGCAATCGCGTAGATGGCTGCTAATAGATATGTAGGTGACGATTTGGGCGAAGGATGCCACTGAGTTGAAAAGATGGGATATTGAGGACCTATGAAGCGTTCATAGAGACGTATCAAGCGTTCTCCAATATCTATAGGGACAAGTGATTCTAATTCTTCTCTGGATGTTGTTGTATCCATCTTTGATGCTAGGCCAGCCTCCTCACGGCTCTGTGAATACAGAGACTGTGAAGTAAGCATAAAATGAGCAGGCAGGCGACCGAGGTGAACAGATTGTAAGGTGAGCTTTTTGAAACGCAAGCGACTAGACACATCTCTTAGATAGTGCCCAAATAGACAGGGCTCAAATTCTCCTGTGGTGCCAACAAACTGAGGAGTATCATCGGTATCGTCAGTATCGAGTAGGACTTCGGGAGGCATGCCTTCATGGGGCCGAGCTTCCTCTTGTGGTCCCAAATCACCCAAAAAATCAGCTGCAAGACTTGGTTGAAAGTTGGCGAAGTCGGCATTAATTTGTTCCCAAGATAAAAGGCCAATTTCGGAGGCCATCCCGTACGACAGCTGACCAGAAGATGAGTTCAATGCTGAAGCAATTGATGGGCTTCCTGAGGAAGTATTCTCAAGCAGGAGCTGTTCAGGTAGCGCAATAGGTGAAATCTCCTGCTCTCTAGAAGGAGACCTAAAGAATTCCGATATGGAGACATTTTGAGCAAGATTTTTTGTATTGGTAGAAAGTCTGTGCATTGATGTAGTCTCAACAAATGTACACACGCGAGAGTGTAATATGCACATGCGGCAAGGAGGACCGCCTTTTATTCGACAGGCTGACTTTCGAGCACGGCAAAAGTCACAAGGACGCTGCCGTTTACTCATATATCTTCGATTTCCAGTCGACATGTGAGAGTTGATTTCAGGCATCGTGGAGTTTGAAGCTTTGTGCCTTGAAGATGAAGTAAACCGGTTTGTAACAGTTGCCTGGCTGAAGAAGACAGTTGACAGAAGATGATTAATCATCATGCATAGCGAAAAATGCGGATGGAGAGATTGGTAAGCTTGCCTGGTCAGCTGGAATGCCGCCAATCAGAACTGACGCCGTTTGTTGCAGGCCGCTGGTCAAGCCTCTAATGGTTTATGGACATAATACATAGATAGGAGTACTATTCGCATAACCATATTTAGCTGTAATTGCACTGTAAACTCGAGACAAGATTGAGTATTTGGTTAAGATCGAGCCACAGCATGTCTGACAATCCGTGGGAAATCGACGAGACAAAGAGTTGTCTTGTCTCTATTGGCAGCCACCGTTTGCAGCTGAGCGTTGCTGGGCCACCCAGAAGGCCAAAGGAACCGGCAATTATAATAATGGCTGGTCTTACAAGCAGTGTTCTGGAATGGACAGCTACGATACGCCTCCTGAGCAAATTTGTACGAACATACTCCTATGAGCGATCGGGATTTGGTGCTAGCGACAACCCTCCGCCAGATATACAGCCTACCTCCACTAGAATGGCAGTTGAACTGGATCTTCTTCTTAAAGCAGCCAATATCAAACCGCCGTACATCATAGTCGCACATTCGTATGCAGGGATCACGTCACACGAGTTCATTCACTTACACAAAGAGAAATCGGATGACATTGCTGGCGTTGTCTTTGTTGATGCGAATACCGAAGAGTTACCTGCAACCTATCCCGATGCAAACGTATCTGCGGTGCTTGCTGAGCTTGATGCGCTGCGTATCCGGTCTGAGAATTGTCACAAGTTGTCAAATGTCGAGTGGCAGACGTTACTGGATGAAGAGACTAATACAAAACACCAGCAAACTGCTGATGCTGAAGTAAGCTTCTACAAAGCCAGCGCGCCGGTTCTGAAAGAGAAAGGTCAACTTCAAATAGGAAGAGCGCCGTTGTTGGGAGATTGCCCTGTGAGCATTCAAGCCAACTATGCACAGGACTTACAAAAGATATATGATGCTGGCATAGCTGCTGGGAATGGCACGGAAACACAAAGAAGTCTGATGCGTAAATTGATTGCAGAAACCAACGAAGCTGAGGCAAGCATGCAGAAGGAAATGCTAAGACTATCTACGCGGTCTCTTTTCACTTTTATCCCAGACAGCGGTCACAGCATCCATATGGAAAGACCCGATGCTATTGCAGATCATGTTCGATGGGTGTTGGATCAACTGAGTACCTAGCAGATAAAATGCTAATCAATAAATTGAAGGAGATACAAAACCACCCACTCTCGGTGTCTTACGTTTACTTTTCATTACTATGACTCAATATTCCTTTCGGAATAGCATTGAATACGCTCTAGATGCAGGCCTATCATACCTTCTCTTCATGATTTATGTTGGATTGTCTACTGAATTCCTCAACGCCTCTTACTTCAAAACTTTGCTTCTTTCTTTGAACGTGCTCACTACTTTCACAGTGCGCCATGTCAGAATATCTGCTTCAAAATAGTATTAAACACTTTGAGCGACTTCTTTATGGTTCCTAAGTATATGCAATAGAAATGGAACACTTTGGCAATACAAAAAGCTCCAGAGATGATGTAAGCCTCTTATGGACATTTGTGAAAGCTGGAGGAACAGAAGATTAAGGTAGGGTTGAAACTACCCAAAGTAAGTGTATAACTATTTACAAACATATTAACTCATTGTCGTCAATTGTATTTAATTACGCCCAATTTTCTGCAATTGCCAGGCCAACATCTTCGGTACTACACTTCAGGGAAAGATTCTCCGTAGTAACCTGGGGCCCATATAATAAATGAAGTATCAGCACAGAAAAAGAGATTGAGTGAGTGCACCGTTCCACTATTATCCCTCCCAGGCTTAGATAAAGAGAGAGAATGCTTGAGAAATATACAAAATGCCCCTGGTGTTTAAAAATACAACGTCATAATAGATTTATATCATCACATGAGTGTGCGATATACTCAACAAAGAAGTAGCACTAAATAGCTTAACAATTATTATCCACAATATGGCCTGTAGAAAGATAAACTCGATACTCCTCAACTATGATTCAATATACCAATGCACTGAATATTATCTGCATATCTCCTAACTCTTTAAACACGTTATTAGAGCACAAGACTTGCTGCTATTATCCGCTTTCGGCATATGTTGACATTTCACGGTGTGATTGGCGCAAGCTATTAAATTGAAGAGCCACATCTCCGGCTCTCGGTTGCAAACACAGCGAGCCCCGAACAGGATTCTCCTGATCACCCCGCATTGGCGCTACAGGCAAATTCTGAAAGCAAGATATACATGTAATGGTCATAATGTGAATAACCGGCACTGTTGCGCACTTCCACCGTAATTTTACGATTATAGTGCATTTATTGAGTATTCCAGTATGGAATACAAGCGGCTGGAGTGATAGCGGCATCTGAGAATGAGGATGTTGAAATGTCAGATTGAGACCTTGGCCCGTCTGCTACGTAGTACGCTTTCATCTTTTTATATTATCTTTTTATAGCCAGTAGTATTAAGGATAGTTATATTTATTCATGGAAGAATACGATAACAAATAAGTTACGCAATGGTGCCTTGGAGATGCCAGTATGATATGGTTCCAACTTTATGGTTTCAGCTTTTTGGCACCGATCATGAACTTGGACATAGAGGGAAGAATACAGATGAGTTGCCAAGGTAGGTGATTTTTCAGCTGCTTACAGTACTTGCATCCATAATATCCACGTATTCAACATTATATATTCCCATGAGAACTCCAAGCCTCTTGCAATGACTGTATTCCTTGAGAAGTCGCCAATGTCGTAACCCGTTCGATTTGCTCTAAAATACGGACCAATTCAGCTTGCTGTTCCGGGTTCTTCAAACTTTGGCCACCTAGTCATTGGTATTAGCAACGAAACTTGTATTTGGAACTCAGAACTTACAAACAACCAGAGGCTGCACAGCGTTAACGAGGGCACCGGGGTACTTATCGCCAAGTGCTTTCGTCATACCGCATAATTGAATTGTATGCTTCAGTATTTCACCCTTCTGCGTGTAAGGAAAGCGTTGAAATTATTATATCAGTTGATATGAGTCCAACTTTCACATACCTCGACGGCTCTTGCAAACTGTAGAAATCCAATGCCGCTTGGACGATGTGGATTATGAAGCGCTAGAAGAACCTTCACTAGGTGATAGAACTGCATCGCCACGACTGGAAGATGTCAGCCTGAAAGGAGCCACTTATCGGTAAATAACCTTGCTCACTATGCCAAGTACAAAGGTACAATATTTCTGGAAATCCTTCACCATCTTCTATGACATATACTGGGTCAAATGACTCTGGTAGTGAGTCTTTCCAGGCGGCTGCTTCATTATGCAGTTCGTCCCAGTTGCTCTCATCGCCATCATGGCTTCCGGGGTATCGAGAAAAGCAGTAATCTATTACTTCAGCTGTCAACATGGTCATCTTCTCCGTTTTCACGTAGTCAGTGTCTCCTCCCCACGTAATATCAACTTTCCAGTTGCGAGGACCGATGGTGGTTGGCTTCCCTGTTGCAAGAGCAACCATGATCTCTTCCCGAAAATAGGTCCAGAACGCTGTCCTTTTGAGTGCTCGATAGCCAATATTCTTTCGATTATGTGTAAATAAAGATGAACATCCCCGTAGATGTCGCTGATGATCCGTTTCATAGCTCATCATCTCATACATTCGAAGAATTACTGTGGATATTGGCAGTACGTTATCAAGGGTTGTAGATGGATCAGCTAACGCTGGTATAAGGCCCTGGACACATAAATCATGGTAATGAGCAGCGCAAAACTCATCACAGGATCCATCTAATCGATTAAGGTGGCATGCTGAAAACGCAAGAACGGCGTGTAGTAGAATCGGGCAACTCATCGCAAGGTAAGGTACAAACGTCTCAAACTGGCGCTGCGGATCATTTACATCCAGCTGCATAGTATTAGCGAAAACACAAATATAATAATAAAAATGTATACATACCCAACATGCCAAATTATTTATGTAGTGATGGAGAAGGCGAGCTGTCAGCGGATCTCCAAGTGGTACGGTTGCACCTTGTATGTATATGGTGGATCCAGAAGTCCGTCTAAGGATAAGGGATTTTACTGGATCGATGGTTTCCATGCTACCACCGCTAGTAAATGAATGAGGAGACGCATAATTGGCAGCATCACGAGATGGTCCAGGAGTTAAGACCTGAACCACGTCATCTCTTCCTGAGCCTAGTAGAGGAATATTAGGCGACGGCTCTTCAATTTCATTAGTACTAATGCTACATAAGAGAAAGCAATTTGCATTACCATTTGCCAGTTGATTGAGCGGTGTGTGGATATTTGTTGGGTTGGTCGCTTGTGCACGTGTCGGTGCATTTGACACTTCCTCATCATCGTCATTGTTGACGTCGACAGAATGAATAAATGTGACTGGCCTGAATTAGTACGAAGAGTTTTTCGAAATCAGCAGAGAAAATGAGCGCTTACTCTCCGATGGTGTGTCTAACCAGACATGATCCGCCGAGAACTGGAATAGCCCATTGCCGTCCTCACGCTGAGCAGAATTGTCGAGCACCTCGTATTCGCAATCACGGCGACTGATTTCGCAGTGCCGACATTGAGGTTTCCGTTCATCGCCTTCATCACGTTAGCAATTACGAAAAAGCCTAGTAGTGGTCCGATATGAACCAACATTTCATATGTCGCTTCCGACATGTAATACTTTTCGGCACAAACTGTGATTAGCATCATCGAAAACCCATGTATCGAAATGCCACTTGGCTTACCAGCCTGGGGGGGAATTAGCAGCGATATCATATACTTTAGGTGGGTAGTTATTGGTGGGATTCTCACCAGTTCTGACCCGCCTATGAACCTCTTGTGCTGGCGCCATGATTGCAACGCCCCAGCGACGGTCAACGTCGAGGATGTATCATGGCTGTAGGGTTTATAACCAATCATGGACAGCTGTACTTTCAAAAAAGGTGCACGACCAATAAATTGTATGTAACATGGAGAGACAGCTGCGAAATTGCGGGGGAAGCTGGTGATGGAAACTAAGATTAGTACATAGCCCACGTGATCCAATAGTCGAACTATGAAATGGGATTCTGACCATGGAAGACGATCTTTCAATTTTGTGCATTTTTACAACTTTCACTGGGAATATATTCTTATACAAGATGTATCATATGACATGCTGACTGACTGGTAAATCGTGAGGTAATTGATGAATCAGAAGTAGCATTGGAATTTAACTAGAGACACTGGTATTAAGTCATTGTTTGTAAGTAATTCATATAATTATAAAACCTTCGTTCTGTTTCCCTTGTTAAGCATCGCTTCCATCATCTTGAACATGTGTTATGGTGCCATCTTGCGCGACACTAATGTTCTTCTTCTCAAGACTCGCTTTGACAGGGTTTTTTGCCTGGAACAGGTCTTCGATTTCTTCCAAGCTCCAGCCCCTCGTTTCAACAAAAAAGAAATAAATGACAACGACGCCAAACGCGTCCCAAAAGACATAAAGGAGGTAATATCTCCAGCCGGAATTGGCGATGGCAATGGGCGGAACGTATGTATTCATGACCTTGACAGCGTTGTTCATGAATGCCAAATAGGCCATGCCCTTTGCTCGGGAGTTGAATGAGAGAACTTCAACCGGATATAGTGATTGCATTGGAGTCTATCACAAAGCAAAAATAGTTAGTGCCATTCGTATGAAGTTGCCGAGGAAACATACCCAAGCGAAAGCGAAAACAATTAGGAAAATGTAAAGAAAAGCGATGCCAGTTCCGCCGACGGCAGGTCTCCCAGCCTGAAGAGCAGTGCATGCTGTAATAATTGCGACGGATACAGACATTCCAGCACTGGAAAACATGAGAAGTTTGCGCCGACCAAATTTATGCACAACACTAAGCCCACAGAGCGCGGCAGCTGCCATGACCGGAGTTTGGATCGCGTTCAAGAGTAATTGAGTAGACACATTCGTAATGCCCACTGTCTTGACTGCATAATATATGTTAGAATAATGGACAATACGGCAATCACATGTATCATGTTAGGGGAGACACACCCATCAGAGGGAAGTAATAACTCGTCGGCGGCAAGTCAAGTTCTCCAAACCAAGCAATGCAGGTAACGAGAAAAGTCCGATACCGTGCTGCTCTGGTGTTAAATAATGACCTAAAATCCCACCACCGTTTATCGGAACCATCAAGTTCAATGACTTCGATCATTTCTTGTAGTTCGAGATTTGCGACGAGAGCATCTGGGTCCCCATCGCCATGATACTTGATGAGTATATTTTTGGCTTCAGCTATTCGTCCTTGGCCCACATACCTATCATCAATGTTAAATTTATGACTCTGGGATATGGAAGACAAACTAAGTACGTACCATCGGGGGCTCTCAGGGATAAACCAAACAGAGCATAAGATAATGACGGATGGAAGACCCTGAATCGCAAGAGGAAGTCTCCAAGGATAAGAAAGTGTTGTTTTGGCATGATTCAAGCCAAATTCTAGCCATGTTGACACTATGGTACCAAGGAAGAAACACGCTTGATAGCCACCTGTAAGTTGGGCACGGTATTTGGGATAAGACATTTCCACAACATAACTTGGACCAGCTGTTTGAACAAGCACTGCACCCATGCCCAGAATAAATCGCCCTCCCATGAGCATGGACAGATTTGTACCAGCTGTCTGGAGAATGGCACCGACCACGCAAATGGCCGATCCAATGGCCATGCCTACACGACGGCCATATGTATCCGAGCAAGGGCCAGCGAAGAAAGAGCCTGCTATGTTACCTATGACATAGAGAGCCGCAACAAGGCCTTGATTCTGGGTAGTAATACCGAAATATTTGGTAAACTGGGGGATGGCCGATAAACCCCCTTAAGGTGGTGTTAGCATGGAGATTCAATAATGCTGCTGCCACATTGTGGACATACCAAAAGTGTTGGAATCAAATCCATTGGTGGCCGAGCACAAGTAGCCAACGAAAATGCATCCGTACAATTTCAAGAAACTCTTTCGAAATACGCGAGGATTCTCCCTTAGTAATGCAGCTTGCATGCGTGACTCCGTCATGCAACTCTGCGTGGTGACCTTGATTGGGTCCTCATCATGAACAATGTCATGAACAATGTCATGCTGGCTCATTACTTTCGGACTATCCATGATAAAAGAAAGGAAGCCTGAACAAGGCCTCCCAGGACATTAAATTTAAGATGAGATATGGCATTGATCTGCCGTCCCGGTGAAGAGGGGCCATGCAGTTATATGCAAGTTCCACATGTTACTACTAGCCTCCGAAATGCACAGCTCCCCCACAAGTTAGCATAGCTTCCCCAGAAACTGCTGTGATGAAATCCAGATTTCCCCAGAAACAATGTTTTAGACCTCCTTCTCCGCACTTTGATGAGTGGCATTTTCTCCACTCAAAAGGACATGCGATCCAATGCTGTTCACGAGATGCTGGGCAAGGATCTTCGGCAATGTCCAGATTTTGAAGACAGGCGATGAGATTCCAATCAGCAGTACTACTTGATCTTCACGAAATTGACCCCTCTTGCTAAATCTTTCATTCAGCCGACGTGATTGCCGATCAGGTGATCGGCTAAACCATTATTCTAGGGCACGCCCGACATAAACCATGAATTTCTTTCAATTGGGTCAGCTCCAAAGCTATTAGGCTTTACTGGTCACAAATATCAGCAAGACATGAATTGTCGAGATAATTTATCTACCACACAGCCCATAATGCATGTCAAATGAATCGACTAGAAGCTCCAAGCGCATCGATGAATGTAGAAGCATTCTTTTTTGGAAAGTTCACACATATGCTTACATTAGTTGTCTACTATCGCTTATAGGTACACTGCTATTGGATCTGCCCTTATTTGTTCGTGCGTTCTAGCTCAAATAAAAGAATAATATTTCGCATGCACTATATTCGATGCATATGTATCAGATTCGTTATTTAGGAATTTATCTACTACAAGAGACATATACATCCGGCGTCTTCATAGTATGGTAATATTCAAGAGCTGATGGCTTTTATGCAAATGCCTCCTCAGAAAAGAGGACGAATATTCGCTTCAGTATAAGTCCACCTTGCCTCCACCGGAGCACATGCTTTCTATAATTGCCAGATCATTCAGTGCTTCCTCTGGGCCTGCCTTCTTTTCCGATTTCCCCATTTTAACCGCTTCTAAGAATGCTTGAATTTCTAGTTCCACCCCTTTACTTCTTATTGTTTCCGATCTCCTCTCTCCAGTAGCAAGATCAAGAGACAACAAGAAGCCATCGGGACCATCAGTCAAGAAGAAGCTACCCTTTGATCCAATGATAGTAAGCTCCGAAGCCCGTCGTGTAGACGCAAAAGACATTGATATGGTCCCAGTTCCTCCGCCACTCAGTAGGATACCGGCATTAAGAGTATCAAGAGGTGGGAGGTGAGGCGCAACCTGACGAGCAAAACCTGCGGTTTCAACAACCTCTTGACCTGAAATGTATCGCAGCATAGCTGTTTGATGAACTCCACCGTCGAGCAAGAAACCTCCTTGATATTCTGGTACTTTTCTCCACGGAGTTTCGTACCATTTCCCGTTTGGAGGTTGATTGCGCCATATTCTGAGGTGCGCTTGGGTAATATCGCCGACAGCTTTTTCTTCCACGATCCATTTTCGACCAAGTTCGAATTCATGCATAAATCGAAATTGCTCAGCAATGTTGAAAATAAGCCCTTTGCCTGCGTACAGCTTGTTGTAGTCCTCGATTAATTCGCGGGCAGTTGCAACATCTTTGGCAATTGGCTTTTCGCAAAGCACATGTTTGCCAGCAGCTAAGCAACGCCTAACAATTGATGGCTGCACCAGAATTGGTAAGACGATAATCACTGCTTCAATATCACTGCGTTTAAGAAGATCGTCGAGCGTATGTCCAGATGTGTCTTCTGAGTAAAGGTCAAGATTGGTGACACCGAGTTTGTTTGCTTCTGCCACAAGTGTGGATGCAGTAGATTTAGAACGAGAGTAGACTGCCTTGATATTCGCCTTGTTTAGCACAAGCGCAGGCAGGTGTTCTAGAGAGAGTTAGTGCCATGGATCTTTGCAACATGCAGGTTACTACCTACCTTCTGTGGCAAAAATGCCAGCTCCTAAAATTGCAATACCCGCCATTTAGCAAACTTCAGTCAGATGTCTATCTTGCGCAGAGTGAGTGTAGGCTTAAGCATCCAAGAGCGCGAAGTGAAAACTATAGAGCATCAAGGAGAAATATTACATTACAGACACTGGCGGGGGAGACATATATATTGCGCGCTAGGACTGGCAAATTGTGAGGAGTTCGGCAACACTTGCAGCATTCTCCGTACTTGGTACCTGTTTGCCTATCTGTGCAATGATGAGGTATCTCCGGCTATTATCAAATTCGGATTACCCGAGACTCGATAGCACAGAATTTCACCACATCAGGCGATCTTAGCCGGCTGGCGGTTGAACCAACCAAAGCGACTAACGGAGTATTATCTGCGGACTGTTTCCGAGTGCAGAAAGTGCAACACCAGAATTAACCCGAATAGCGAGTAGGAGGGCACAAAGACAATTAGTGCAGCAGTTAAGGCTCTGGCTGAATCTTAGGCGTTTAGACGAAAATCGAGAAAGAAAAAATTGGGAATGTATCTGGCCACGCGAGACGCCACTGCAGCCACTTGCTGGGGCACTCATACATCCCCATGTGTTCCAGCTGCACAAGTTCGTTCATTGGTCCGCTAATTTGCGCGGCGGCTTGACGAAGTGACAAACAGTCATCCTACGCTATTTAGTTCCAAGTTTGTTGTCCTCCATAATAGTCTGTCAAATCTCACCATTTCGGCCAGCTGTGGACGACCACTACCCTGCATTTCACGGTAGTCAAGTCCATCAGCCGACTGGACACATGTCGGGCGGCGAGATTGGAAATCGGGGAGTTTTGAATTGTAGAACAATATCTTACCCGTAGAGGCACTTGAGCTACCTTTCGCTTTGGGAGTTTGGTTGGAAAATTGAGAAGTAAGCATACTTGTTTGCTGGTATCAATGATAGTAGTAGATTTTCGTAGATGTATGGGACTTATCCATTATCGTGGAGTAAGTCGTTCATTAACAAGGTTGAGAGGAATAGAATTGTGTATTCACGGAGTTCATTATCAATATATCCCCGCTGGCATCTCGCATTATAATATGCTTTGGTGCTAGAGGGATCAGAGGGATCAGAGGGAATGTCAACCCAAATGGAACGATTCAGTGGAAACGATAGCCACTTAGCCAGCAATGACATGATTATTAAGCGTTCGTCTTGAGCCGTTTTCACAAGTCATAGATTAGATTCTACCATTAGTAATTGAAGTTGGATAGAGCTGCCATAGTTTATAGCTGTATATAATGCATTTGTCATAAGATGATAGCCCTCGTTAAAAACTTTGTACGGAGAACATAGATTGAAGCAAATTCTTTCTCGATTGAGAAAGCAGTAGCCTTGCGGGTTACGTAAATAGTGGCGCTATACTCGTTACGGACAACAGTACCCTTGTAAAATAACCTCTATTATGGAAAGAAAAGACTAATCAGCATTCAGAAAGATAGCAACTGGCAACTAGACTGCTAATAGGGAGATAGAAGAGATTTATGAATACTAAACGCATTGTTGGCGTAATAATAAAGAACAAGCCCTTTCCCTCGCCAGTTCTATTCACAGATTCCTTCTTTTTCACGGCTCCACTGCCCTCTCCTACACATCTTGGCCACTACCTGATCTTCTGGACCCCCTATCAACAACTTCAAGTTTGACAGTTCTGTTCCATTTAAAAGCATTAAAGCTGCTCGCTGATACTTGTTCCATACGGCGACTCAGAGAATAAGAAGTTGGATTTTTTTTAGGGATCTATTGGCACAACTGGAAAGATGGCTTCAACACGATCTAACATACTTGATACCATCGGAAATACATCCATTGTACAGCTTCATAATGTTGTCCCATCAAATGGAGTACGTATCCTCTTGAAGATTGAAAGCAGCAATCCGACTGGTAGTATGAAAGATCGCATGGCTCTCGCGATGATTACTGCTGCCGAAAACGACGGTCGTCTGAAACCAGGCGGTGATGTCGTTGAATACACTGGAGGCAGCACTGGAGTATCACTAGCATTAGTTTGCTCCGTTAAAAAACATCCACTTCATGTGGTGACATCAGACGCCTTTTCAAAGGAGAAACTTGACCATATGAGGCTTCTCGGCGCCAAATTGACAGTCATACCAAGTGACAACGGCAAACAAACTGAGAAGCTCACCAAGTATATGATTCGCGAGGCACATGCTCTGGCCAAAAGAACGGGGGCATATATCACAGCCCAGATGGATAATACCGACCAGATCTCTGCCTATACAAAGCTCGCAGATGAGATTTATGAACAAACAGAAGGCCGCATCGACGTCTTTGTGCAGAGCGTCGGATCGGGAGCTGCTCTCCGAGGTATATCAGAACGCCTCCGACAGCGCGACAATCGGATCCGTTTCGTTGCTGTTGAGCCAGCAGAATCTGCTGTATTGTCGGGTGGTCCGTCAGGATCTCACAACATTGATGGTATAGGAGCTGGCTATGTTGTACCATTATGGCACGACGGAATAGCAGATGAGTTCCAGGGAGTTTCAACAACCGAAGCGAGGGCCATGGCATTTCGGTTAGCCCGTGAAGAAGGGCTATTCTGCGGGCTTTCAACTGGGGCTAATGTCACGGCTGCATTACGTGTAGCAGAACGTCTCAACCCTGGTTCTACAGTTGTGGCCATTATGTGTGATTCAGGTATGAAGTATATGACAGGATTTTCTCAGCACCTAGAACCGCTATAGAAATGATGTACTTTAAAAACGTTCTAATATTTGCAACTCTCAATTGCTTAAGCATTGTACCATTAAGTTCGAGAATTTCATGCCAATACTGATTCATGATTTTCCCTCAAGTTTATTAAGTCTTCAAAAATGACCACTGGGTGATATTAATGGATGGATGGATGGATGGATGCGGGGGAAAAAACCCTCAAAGAAAATTTTCAGCCATGTCTGTCATCGAATAGCTGAGAGAAATTCGTTCATCATGACTTATGCGCGGTACGGAACGAAGGGGAGCCGAACCGTCACCGCTACGTAAACCCATGATTTTTTCGCCTTCCGGACGGGGAGAGGGTGGATGGGGCATGATTATTACCGGCAACATCGATATTTCTTCGACGCTTTGGATGACATAGGAGATATGATTATCACTCCTGAATGTGAATTTCACGGGTCTCGCTTTGAAAAATTTCAAGAAATAGCCCAAGGTGCTAAAGCACATGGAAGTTTCGTCCTTAGCCAAATTAGTCATCCAGGCAGACAGGTTCAATATCGGTTGAGCAAAGAAGCTATATCCGCGTCTGATGTACAACTCTGTGAAAGAAGTTGCCCTGGACTTTTGGGTACTTGCTAATGAGTGTAAAACAGAGCCAAAGATGGACATGATGTTCGGCAAGCCTTATGCTGCTAGTAAGGCGGAATAGATGAAATAGTTGAAGGCTTCGCATACGCCGCCGAATATCTAGAAAAGGCTAGGTTTGATGGAGTTCAACTTCACGGAGCACACGGTTACCTTAGCTCACAATTCTTATCAAGACGAACCAATAAGCGTACGGACGAATATGGAACTCAGACGGTCAAAAGGCGCAGCTTACTCAAACCGCATTGGGTTATCAGCCAATCGACTTGAGTGATGGCGAGGTTGTGAAGCATTTCCAGCAAGATATTGACAAGTGGTGGACAAATATGGTAGCCGATGTTGATGAGCTCGAGTATATACAATCACTTGAGTATTCCGGTCCACTGAAGCTGTATGAGTAATGGATATACTAGGTATTTACTACTTTTGTAACCAGCTTGTAGTACATAGCTTCAGAATCGTTCTATCAGCGCTATTATATGTTAACGAAATACTCTATTCCCCCCTTATTAAAGCATATTGAATAAAATGATTGATACTTTTCCCAAACTGAGAACGGCTTAACCTCTGTCTGACATTCTCCCAAATATTAAACATGTCGAGTCTCATTACCACGATTCATTATATTTTTTATTCCGACGGCAATACTTAGGGTAACTGTATTGTCGATCTCCATACGTCACTTTATGGAAATTGAACTAGTTTGGACTCGAGTCTTTATCCCAATGCTTAATTCTAATCAATCATATTAATGCTTCTCTAGTATGCAATGGTGTTGCTCTCAAAGCGGATCGGGGATTTGCCGTTCCGTCGGATGTTATCAAGATCCACACCACCAACTCCCTCTCCCCTCATGATCACATCAGAGGCGATCGTAGAAGCCTCTAAATATTAACACGACGATTTAGAACGTAGAAATGAGAGAATAGTGCGAGTAATCATATTCTGGCAGAATAAAGCTCATGATTTTCGTCACCTTGCATTTAGATACCTGAAAGAGGGAATCCCCCGCGGAGACTTCATTCAATTAAAACCTGTTTTCCCCAACGTCGAAAAGATCAGCAGTGATGATTCCCTCTAGAACATCTCACCAAACTTCATTCTTCAATTGATAAAGAAGAAAGATGCCAATGAAATGGCTGAACTTTAAATAGGCTGAATAAATACATTCTCTTTCTGGTGAACAATCTAATATGGCTAAATTACGAACCAACTCGATGCTGTGTAATATAAAGTTGAGAAGACAGCTAAAAGCAAAACTAGCAAAACAAAAAAGAAGTGTAATCATCTAACAGAATTTTCGATAGTGCAACCATATTTGATCTCTCTCAATCTAGTCATGAGGATACTCTTGTTAACTACATTGGTAGAGTTATCTCTATTTCCAAGGGCTTACTCCCTCTTCCCCAATAATGAAATACCGTTTCCAGATTGTACTCAACCCCCTCTAAGTCAAGTTGGCATCTGTATACGAGTCTCAGCAGAGAAGCCAGAGCCGCAGCCATAATTGCTGAGCTCACATTGGACGAGAAGGCTGCAAACTTGGTCAACAATGCACCAGGCGTCAAGCGACTTGGCCTTCCTCCATACGAATGGCGGAATGAAGCTCTCCATGGGCTTGCAGGAGTTTCTCCAGGCCAGGGAATTAATAGCACTTTCACTCAAGGGAATGTGGCATTCAACTCATCCACTCAATTCCCATCTCCCATAGTTCTTGGAGCAGCATTCGATGACCATCTTGTCCATGATATTGCAACAGCGGTCAGCACAGAAGCACGAGCTTTCAGCAATCATCTGAAGGCTGGCTTGGACTACTGGGCTCCAAACATTAACCCCTATAGGGATCCTCGATGGGGTCGCGGTCAAGAAACTCCCGGAGAGGATCCTTATCATGTTGCACAGTATGCTTACAATTATGTTGTGGGATTGAAAGGCGGTGTTGGCCCAGCCAAGTCCAAGGTCGTCTCGACGTGCAAGCACTTTGCTGGTTATGATATTGAGGATTCTGATGGAGTAGTCCGCGGCTCATACAACGCTATTATTAGCACTCAAGATTTGGCCGAATACTACCTCCCCAGCTTTCGGTCTTGCTTCCGTGATGCCAAGACTGGAGCCGTCATGTGCAGTTACAATGCAGTCAACGGACATCCCTCATGTGCCAATTCCTATATGCTGGACACTGTGTTGCGAGATCATTGGGGCTGGGGAAGTTCAGCTCATTGGGTAACCGGAGATTGTGGTGCAGTAGATGGCGTCTTTAACCAGCACCATGTTGGTCAATCTGCTGCCCAAGGAGTAGCCTTCGCAATCAACAACGGCACAGACTTGGATTGCGGAACAGCATATGCTTCAAATATAGCATCAGCTGTTCAAAACAATTACACTACAGAAGCTCAGCTTGATCAAGCTCTCAGTCGGCTGTACAGCTCTCTTATTGTCCTTGGGTATTTTGATCCTCCTGAGGGTCAAGAGTATCGAACTCTTGGAGTTTCAGACGTAAACACGCCATCGACACAGAAGCTTGCCTATACTGCACTTGTTGAAGGTATTAATATCCTGCCTATCCGTCCAATGGGCCAGACAGTCCTGTTCGTCGGTCCATGGGCCAACAATGCTTCTGTCTCAATGTTCGGCAACTACAACGGGGTTGCTCCTTATAAGACTATTCCTGTTCCTACTGCAAACTCGTCTGCATACAACTGGAATGTTACATATTCGCAAGGATTACAGTACGTCCTCTCAAATGATACGTCACAATTTGCCGCCGCAGTCAGTGCTGCCCAGGAAGCCGATGTAGTTGTGTACATTGGCGGAATTGATGAGCAAGTTGAGGCCGAGGCTCATGACCGGACCTCCATTGACTGGCCTGGAGCACAATTGAATCTTATAAAACAACTGGCAGCAGTAAAACCTGTTGTTGTGGTGCAAGTTGGTGGTGGCCAGGTCGATGATTCCTCTCTTTTACAAAATAAAAATGTGAAGGGTTTGCTCTGGATGGGTTATCCCGGGCAAGAATTTGGATCAGGATTGATTGACATACTCAGCGGCGCTTCTGCTCCGGCTGGGCGACTACCTGTTACCCAATATCCTGCGAATTATATCACTCAAGTGCCAATGACAGATCAGTCTTTGCGACCAAGTTCATCTAATCCTGGCAGAACATATCGGTGGTATAACGGCTCAGTAATACCATTTGGCACGGGTATACACTACACCAAATTCAATATCTCATGGAAAACAGGAGGCAGCGGCAGAGGCACATATGATACAGCCGATTTCATCAATGCAGAGGATCCAAAAGACTTGGCTGAATTTGATGTTTTTCAGATCAACGTGGAGAACGTGGGTTCAACAACGTCCGACTACGTTGCGCTGCTCTTTGTAAAGAGTTCAGATTCTGGACCACAGCCTTATCCTCTGAAGACTTTGGTATCTTATGCTCGTGCTCATGGTACTCAGCCTGGTGAGACGACAAAAATTGACCTGAGAGTCAATGTTGGACAAATTGCACGCAATGATTCCAGCGGGAATCTTGTTCTGTATCCTGGTGCATACACACTCGAGATTGATGTAGAGAGTGCAGATGGGCCCACAGCAGGATTCCAAATCCAAGGAGAAGAAACTGTGCTAGACCATTTTCCCCAACCATAGAAGGGTATTGATCTTGAATGGCTATGAGCTCGGCGTCCAAGGTCACAGATCAGTGCGGACTACGATGATTCATGCTTGCTGTAGAACATATTAAATGATACAAGCATCCCTCCATGATATTATCTATCTCATCCTCTAAGAGAGTTTGTATAGACTCAAATTAGGGAGGTAACGATTAATGTAGAGTGCGTTACGCCAATCGGCTCAAGCCAGACAATGAACTGCGTCCATGTACAAGGCAGAGGTTAATAGCGACTACATCTATGTTTATTGACGTAATTCTACCAGTAAATACGAATTTCGTCCATGAAACGTTTCGTCGGACCCTTTTCTCCCTGAGTCGTGTTTCGGCACCCCCAATGCGGTACCAATACGAAGTGGTCGATGTCCGCTTTTACGAGCTGATACGGCAGTTACGCCCCCCGCCAGGGTAGTGGCGTTCACCGTAACTCAATCCACGCCATCATGCCGGTATTAAGCTATCAATCCTAGAGATGTTGTTCAGGAGAAATCAGCCTTCGTATACGACCTGTTTTGCTATACGAGACATCTTTTTACTATCAAGGTGCATGCTTAGCATGTTCCATGGCACATTTGACATATGCTCAGCCTAAGCTGCAGCTTTCTTTAACGGTTAGCTGACATTTCGATGGCTGTATATTGGTGTACCAGTTAATGTTAGGTACATGTAGTTCCTTATCCTTTAATCACTAACATCGGCTGTGCTCTTGCCAAAGCTGTCTATTTGGCAAGCCGTCTGACTAAGCAATAGTTCACACAAACGGCGAAAAATTCATTGAGTCGCACGGGAGCATTGAAGCGGCCTTCGGCTAGCCCGACTTAGTCTGCGAGAGGTACTTGTTAGGTAGGTTGCAAAGGAGCGGCGAGGCTGGTCAGATTTTGTGACATAATACTAGAACAAATTGCCATCAGTCGTCAGGAATATCCATCAGAATCAATCGCCACCAGGATTTTGCGCTATGCTCCACTGTATTGTTCCTTTCATCGTGCAAATACAAGCTATTCACCACAACTGCGTGATAGCCCATCGCGGTTTTCTCAGGGAATGCGTTGCACTGTGTGCTTATAGATACAAGCCGGTATGTTATTATGAAAGGAGGGGGTCCTTTAACACGAGATGAAAGATATCTGTAATCTATTTGTTTCGAGCAATCTTTGCCATCGGCAAGTGAGTGGGTGGGAATACTAACACTGACGATTATATTTCCTGTTAGTAAGCTGAGTTCAAATTTATCAAATTTCAGGCCTCCATAAGTCATCTTTCTCCCACCCGCCATGAGACTGTAGAACAAGTGTAGCATAGGGCTTGATTTTGGTTTATTAATTTGTTCCTTCATAATTTTTTTCAACGGAACAGAAAGGATGCAGAAAGGTTGATATCAATAAAACCACGGTCTCATTTACCCTGTAGGGACATATTATTGCGGCCTCATTAATTTGACATGGGCGAAATGACTACCTCTGGAGCCTCTTTTGTCGTCAACCCAAAAAATCGCATCAGACCAACAAGGTATATAATTTACGAATTTGGCGGCGTCGCTGCTCTTTGGTGCCACGTTATTCCTTCAAAGCTGTTCACGCGAATCACCTCTTGCAATAAGCACTCACTTGGCTTAGACGATCCTCACAAATACACTAGCAGTGTCCGCAGCTAAAGTATGTTGCCCGCATTGGTGATAGTGCGGCTGCAGCTGGGCTCATATTGCTGACCAACTTTTGGCTTGTGACAAACCAGAGCCCAGTCATCGCCGTCAACGTGGTCAGCAACCAAGTGTGCGGATGGCGTCCCTCTTCTGCTCTGTACAACAGCTCCTATATTCGACAACCCGGAGCCATTCGGTAGCTCATGGGAATGACGAGCTAGATGCCAAGATGTAGAGAATGGCACTCTTGTTAAGGCCAAGAGATGATTAATATAGCATATCGTCTTACTGTACTCCGTACTGCTATGGAGCATACTGTCACTCCGTAATGTGTCTCTCGGATTGCCACAGACCCGCAAAATTTGACCTGTGGAGTCTGCGCCATTTCGAAGGCCGTCCGTTCCGTGCCTGGATTATCCGTTGCATACATGTATTCAACACTCGACAGTGGCTGAACCGTAATTCAATAGCTCACGCCACTGCTTCGTACCTGTGGCAACGTTAACTCAAACCCAACTCTGTAGCGTGGTTTGGTCGATCGTCAGGCACCAGGAGGCACCAAGCGGCACCGAATGAACCCGGTGTGGCTTATTGTTTCGTCCGTGATACTCAGCCTCACGCCAGGACGGGGCGTTTAGACGCGCCAAGAGCAAAACTCACCGCCGATTAATGCAGTAATGGAGTTTGCCAGAAGCTACCCCTGCAGATGGCTAGCTTAGGCTGAAATTAGCAGCGGACGGAGCCTTGACGGATACGCTAAAAAAAGAAGGCGTCGGATATACTTCGCATTGAAGAGCGGAGAGGCAGAAAAAGAAGCTGGTGGAACTCGCGCTGAGTTTTCCCATGGCCGCCCCTGGATTCTCGTCAACCCAAGAGCGTTCCCAATATTTGCAGACCTGCGTCAGGCAGTAACGCAGATTCACTTGCACTGCGATGCAAGAGTTTGAGTACAGGCACTGGTAGGGAGTATTCTTGGACATGAATCTTTGGAGCTATATTTCTCGCTCGTCGGCCTGTTCCCAGCGCGATCAAAGTCGATGTTCACAGGTACAGTATTCGCTGCCGTACTATTTATATAAAGCATGCTGTTTGCTTGGATGATGCTATACTAATGAATCCTAAGTTGCATGGCAAAGATTAAAATTAGCAAAGGGGAGATGCTAAGGGTGCTGCGCGCGTGGGCGTCTGGCAAACCTGAATAGCTCGTAAACGTCTAGGTCAGGTCATAGGATTAGGTTTAGCTCTCAACTCGGACCTATCACATACCCTAGGCATAAGCGACTTGAGGCTCTAGTCTAGGAAGCCTACCAGTAGATTGGAGCAGGGATTCTTATCCCTGGCTGTGAACTATTGATAGCGCATAGCAGTAAGCTGCAGTTGAGTAAAGCCACGAAGGAACTAGACTCTATCACTTGCGGCATACAAAATATGACCGGAAGAGGAAGATGGAGTCGCAGCTGAGCCATGATAAATCTAAATATATAATCATATTACTACCACTATATATCTAGCGGTTTTCCCGTGCATAAGGCTCCATGTCCCCCAGAATTACAGAAATACTAGGATAGCCGCAGCCCTAGATCTTGTCAAGTGTTTGTTGATTATTGCCTTCTACTTTCAGGTAGCAACACTTTATTCCAACTTCCATCGTTTACAATGGTCAAGGTAAGACTTTTGAAGCCCCCCAAGATGCAGTGGTACTAAGTAAACGATCCAGCTTTCCGTCTCTTCGCTTGTAGCGGGCGCAGCCCTCGTGGCAGCTCTGCCCTCATACTTGACTTCTCTCACCGGCCTTTCTCTTCGTGCCTCCAACAGTGGCCAAATCGCAGCCCGCGAGATAGGAGGAAAAGTCACCAACAAAAACCTGGCCCGATTTGATAATAGCAATATCGAGGATGGCGTTGGCAATGGAACTGACTGGTATCACCTCTATCTTGGCAACGGATCTGTCGCTGCCGGGTGGCCCTCCAAAGATAAATGGGTTTCATTTGAGGATATGTAAGTGTAGATCAGTGCAATACCGGTATGACCGGCAAACTCTAACCGAAGCAGGTTCAACAACTACAAACTCCAAATGTATGTCGCATGTCAATATCTAAACTGGCGACTTCCCAACAATGATATTGCTGAAGTGGTATGTTGACATTCCAAACTTGTTTCTCCGCAAGCTCATCTCTAATCGCCATAAACTGTAGCAAGCTATCTGGGATGGCATTCAAGTCGCGGCTGATGCAACGGGAGTCGATCATCGCCTTATTCTGGCTGTGATTATGCAGGAGTCACATGGCTGCGTGCGGGTGAACACGACTGATCTTGGCGTCCGCAACCCTGGCGTGATGCAGAACCATAACGGCAAAGCCTCCTGCAATGATAATAACAAACTTACGACACCATGCCCGTCAAAGACTATCCATGAAATGATCAGGGAGGGTACTGCTGGCACCACCTCTGGCGATGGCTTGGCTCACTGCATCAATCTCTCTGGCAATGGCGATGTTTCTGACTACTATCGCGCTGCTCGTATCTATAATTCTGGTTCAATCTCAAAGACTGGTAACTTGCAGAGCAACATTGCTACTCACTGCTATGCCAGTGATATCGCCAAGTAAGTTCACCTTATAGATCTCAAGTGAAACATTGACGGAGCTAACAGAAGTACAGTCGTCTCACTGGCTGGGTCTATGCACCATCAACTTGCACCTGTGACGATGACCCTAAGAGCTGTGGCGTTGCAACAAATTAATTTTCTTTTTCCTTTCATAGAGGGCTTTGCACTTTTTTTTTTATATAAATGTTTTCTTAGGTCTTTTTTCTTTTACGATGGGACGTCGGGTGGCCATCATATACCCAAGCGCTGATATTTAAAAGTTTTTTGGTTCGGCGATTACTTATCGCAGTTATGGTTGCAAACGCAGATAGAATCAAACCACAAAGGTTTATGCATAATATGAGAGTAATCTATTATGACTACAGTATTTAAAATGCGTTCGTGCATCTCGATCAATCAGTCTAAAATATCCAAAAGGTAATTAGTCTATAATAAAAGTTGCACAGACATTCGCCATATGGCTGAAATTACATATCACCCAAGAGTCTGTGACACAGGTCTTCGTCGAGGTGGAGCGGGAAAACCGTACCAGTATTCACGTGATAAGGTAGCTGAGGTCCTAGCACATGATAGAATAAACGCTGTCTCTTATAGAGAAAAGATGAATAGCTATTTTTATTATTACGAAATGGTGGTGTTACTAAAGAAAGATCAATAATATGAGTCTAACCCAGAGCTTGGGGCATAGCTTTTTCTTGAACTAGATGTTACGGCTTTATTAAAACTCTCATATTGATCTTAAATTTAGTCTCTATTATATGGGTTCTAATAGCAAGCTCCCGTACTCCGTAGAGTTTGAACAGCTACGAGGTTGACAGGGCTTGACTACCTACACAGTTACATACTTCCCTTGGTGATAATAGGGCCTTTGGTAAATTTGGTCATTACCAGCACATACCTAAGCAAATAGCATGGACCTACTACGTGGCAGTTATATACAGCCCTAATTAGCTCACGGGCAGCCGTGGAGTTATTGCCGTCATTACTTAGAACCTAGGTCTCTAACCGAATTGACACTTTGATGGTACCATTATGTACTGAATCCTGACCAATGTATTTGAAGTTGGTATTATCGTTAAACGGATATGACTTGGTGGCGCTATTTCCAGAATCAGTCACGCATACTCTCAAAGATGAAAAAAAAAGGTAACATATACCAAATGGCAATCGTCGGTAATGGATGCCTGCATAAATGGGGATATCATGTGTAAGAGTAGTGCTTCAATATAAGGGTCAATATTTAGCTCAGTTAAGCTTATAACCAGGCCTTGGATCCTGTGGGTAAATAGAAAATCCTACAATAGACTGACCATCATCGGCTACAGCCGTTTAGATCCATGCGTAGGGTTACAAATAAGGAGTCAGGCAGATGTCATGAAACAAGACAGTTGCATGAAGGGCTCAAAAGGAGATGCCAGGTAGAAATATGTGACATCAGTCTGTAGACCCAGCAAATAAAGTTCTGTATAAAGTCTGAAAATTGAAAGCCTGAGTTTCTATGTGTTGAAGCCACTCTCTATCTTTTTTCTTTTCTTTCTGTGTTGAGTACTCAATGAACAAAAGCATTTCGCCAAATGCCGCGTATTTGCGGGATAAGGCACAGATAAAATTTCTTTCGCTCCGGCTCGTGCACGCCTTAGCGTCGGCATTGGCTCAAGTGCGCCCTTTGCTTAATCTGTTAACCAATCATGTTGTCCCACTATGCACTTGTCTGAACTAGTTGCTTTGAACGCCCCATATATTCCAACATTGTGCATGTCAGCAGCGAAAAACATGTCAAAGATCTCTCACAGGGCGCGGCTATGGGTTTTGCAGTTTTGAGCTGTAATACGACGTGGTTCATAGAGTATATTATGATGGCAGATATTTGTGTCATCCTATTCAGAACTTGTGTGACTCTGGCCAAATTGTGGCTGTCCTCATGGCGTGGTCGTAACGGCCCTGTGTAAGCAGAAACTTATGAATGCTTCGGTTCTTCACCGAGATATCAAGTTGGAGTAGAATATAGAACACGAATCTTCCCATTTCTTATCTCATTTTACCAAATCATATGCAAAACAATGGATCTTGTACAAATATCATCCACAAATAGTCCCGCACAAACGCCTGGTCGTCATGTCATTGGAAGGTTGCTCCACCAACTCGGAAAATTTTACGTTTGTGGAACATGACTCGAAAACTTCTAGAAATTTTCTCGCCGCCACAAAACCGGTTGTAGTACACCATCTTATTTTGGGGAGGCACCACTCACAGTGTCATCTATGGGCTTCCCCATTGTATCAGGGATGCTGTGGATAGATTTTGCATCAAGATCAAGGCATCTTGCATTGCGGGGGAAAACATCTTAATGCTGTGGTCATACGAAAAGCGGGATGGATTCGTGGAGAGCATACTGTAAGCGGACAAGGTGGTTCGCACAACCGACTGTTTAACATCTACCTGGATCTGACGGATTTTCGGCATAGGTATGGGTCCTGTTTGAGGAACATGCCGCTAGCTTATCAGTGTAGCAAGTCCACCTGTTTAAAAACCCGTTCTTCGGCTCTCAGAGTTTTCCCTCCTGACCAGCCCACCCATTCTTTCTGGGTGAAGTGTATTCATAACTCCCTTTTCGTAGGAATTATATACTTGGCATCAACCGAAGCGACATTTCATCTTCTGGTTTCTCAATATGGCGGATAATATTGCCGGTGCGCATTCTGAAGTCTACACTCAGCATTCCCCAGAGGGTAGCGCCAGAAAATATGCAAACCATCAAGATAAATCAAGCCCTACAACCGACAACGATATCTTTGGAGAGACGAGCGATGAGTTGCAAAATGATCGACTGAAGCAAATTGCTGCAGATGGCAATGCGCATTTCCACCGACTGGGCTGGAAACGTCTGGCTATTGTGACCATCGTCGAAGCCATTGCCCTAGGAGCTCTCAGTCTACCAGCGGCTTATCATACCCTCGGAATGTTCCCAGGAGTTTTCCTTACCATCACGCTCGGATTAATTACAATCTTCACAAGTTACCTCGTGGGACAAGTCAAATTGGCCTACCCTCAAGTCTCTCACTACGCCGATGCTGGAACACTCTTGTTCGGAAGATTTGGCTATGAACTGTTTGGCGCTGCCATGGTTCTCGAGCTCGTGATGTCTGTTGGTTCGCACGCCCTGACTGGCAGCATCGCTCTGAGCACTTTGAATGGGAATCACGTCTGCTCTATTGCTTTTTCGGCTGTATCTGCGTTCATCCTGTTTTTGCTGGCTATACCGCCTTCATTTACTGAGATTGCTATACTTGGATACATCGACTTTGCATCAATTATCGCTGCCATTGGAATTACTATTATCGCTACAGGCATTAAAGCACGAGACTCTCCAGGCGGTCTTTCTGGCGTGGAGTGGTCGACGTGGCCTCGAGAGGGTGTTACATTCTCCGAGGCTTTTGTGGCAGTAAGCAATATTATCTTTGCTTTCAGTTTTGCCATTGGCCAATTTTCGTTCATGGACGAGATGCATACTCCAAAGGACTTCATGAAATCTATCTGGTCATCTGGTATTGCTCAAATCATTATCTATACGTTGACGGGTGCACTCTGCTATGCATTCATCGGGCCGTCAATCCAATCTCCCGCATTACTATCGTCTGGCCCTCTTATATCCAAGATCACGTTTGGCATTGCGCTGCCTGTCATCTTTATCTCTGGCTCCATTAACTCGACGGTGGCTCTTCGATATATACATGGTCGTCTTTGGAAGAAATCGATCATTCGATATGTAAATACTCCCAAGGGCTGGGCTTGCTGGATTTCGCTCGCGGCATTCTTGACAATTATTGCCTGGGTTATTGCTGAAGCTATTCCCATCTTTTCTGATCTACTTTCCCTTGTTTCGGCACTATTTGTTACTGGATTTTCTTACTGGATCCCTGCTATTATGTGGTTTAAATTGCTTTGCAAGGGCAACTGGTTCTCACGAAAGAATATCCTCATTACCCTTGGAAGCACACTGGCGTTTATAATCGGGGTTGTGGCTCTTGTTGCCGGCACTTACGCCACTATTGATGATATTGTAAGTCGAACAAAATTGATTCCTGCAAGACAGACCGGCTAACTTTTGCATAGATTCGGGAAACATCTAATGGAAGCACAACCCGCCCCTTTTCTTGCAGAAGATAATGTTTTGTGATAGCGTTCATGTTGAATATAGAACTATTTTGGTATTTAAATACATCGAAGTCGCTAGGCTGCCGTATAACATATAGGCCCTAGATGAATAAGTAATAATAGCCAAGTTGATAATGTCCCTCAGATACTTGCATCATAATGAGCCTCCAGGAACTGTCGCCCCATGTTATTGAAAATATTGGAGTAAGATGATTGAATTCCTACAACTTTCGCATCGTCACAGTACTGGTCTCCGAGAATATGGTTTCATCCTACAGATAATTGGCGGTTGAATCGCCAAGATCCCGCCCTTTGCATATGTCCATAAGATTGAGCAGCTAAGCACTCGTCAATGAATCACTAGCTGTAGAGTTCTGAAGGAAATCCTTGTACTTCCGATGGTGTATATTGAACTGTCCAAGGTGTCTTCTCTTGGACTGACGTTGGTTGGCGGTCGCTCGTCAGTTGTTAGCTCTATTACCCCCCATAAAATAATATTTTTTCACACAATACCACTAAGCCAAATATTTCTCATCTGAACTAAGAAAGTGCACTGAATGACAAAAAAGGGATACAACCTATAGACTGTTTAGCCAGTTACAGAGGGATAGCAGCATTTGTCGAGAAATGCCCACACTCTGTCATATTCTATCGCAATTACAATTCAGGAGATTGGAGTATCACTATATACGAGGGATATGGAAGAGCTTTGAGCAAATAAATAGTGAGTTACAATTAACAATGTGATAAGGTGCTCTAAATAATACCGTCTTAAATTTCCATTACATCCAGAGTGTGTTTAGGACCTTTGAACCATTTATGAGCCCAAAGAAAATAATAAAGCAACGCACCCCCCCACACTGTCCCATTTACGACTGCGGAGTAGTTCATGACGGATGCTTCACTGAGGTTAATATCACCCTGCTTCACCTTGATGATATCTGAGGATGGGGGACTTACGATCAGGATTTGGCCCTTCGGTTGGGAACATGCATAATATGGTTGCAAAAGTCAAATACACCAAGGCAGCAATTGCGATAACAACGCTGAATCGACCAGTGTAGAACGGTCCTGGATGAAATTTCTCTCTGCCCCAGACGATACGACACAGTATTGGAATTGCCCATGCAACGTTATTGCCAGCCGCTGCGAGAGAAAAGAGCGCGTTGGCGGCGGCGTTGTTGATTAAGGATAGTAGGCCAATAATGATTGCGGTCAGACAAGTTGCCCACACAGTTCTCAAAGGCTGGTATCCAAATGTTTTGCTTATTTGGCGGAGGAACGAAGAAAACGGCAGTGCCCCATCGCGTGAGAATGCCCATGTCTGTCTAGACGCTGCCACAACCTAAATAATAGCTGTTAGCATCATGAAAAAAAGAACCGCAATTGGAGAGATAAATCATGCAGTGGTTGCTCCGAATGGTTAACGTACAATGCTGAGTCCCATGAAATATTGTAAAATCGATATGGCAGACATAAAACCCAGAGCACCATTTTTACCCAGAGCATTGTAATAGATCTGCCAGTAGAAAGTCAGAAACGAAGGCAATTTGAAGCTGGTACTTTATGTGCCAATAGAATAATCCGAGATATTCTTACCTGAGCTATCGGCTGGCCAAAGGGGGTGCCTAAAATCTCGTCGAAGTTGTTACCAGCACAAGCAGCTAGCACCGCTGTCACAAGGAAGCCGAATATCCAGCAACCTCCAATTGAAGCGAGTATCCCGACTGGGACAGCTTTTGTTGGATTTTTGGCCTCCTCGCTCATATGCACACAAGAGTCAAATGCGCCTATTGTCCAGATTGGCGATAGCCAGGAGAGCATAAAGGCCCATCCAGAGGGCCATGTCGTCTCATTTATCGAATGACTGAATACGTAGCTGCCCGAGTTGATTGGTATGTTGCGTAGTCGCATGCTGACGGGCAAAGCGATTATTGTCGCAACGATCAAGGCAAAATTTGCGACAACAAACCAAGTTTGAAGATGGTGCATGACCCTCCCGGCCGAAGTCGCCAGGAAACCGTGAGAGAGAACTGTCGCCACAAATATCGCATACAAATGACCTCTGCTAGGGACCCATTCTCCATCACTGCTGATGGTACTAAGTGAGACGATGAAAGAGGCGAAGCCATCTAAACTAGAATTAGCCGGAAGGGTAAGAGAGATTCTTGGGGGCTTCATCTTACAATCTATTGAACATATACCCCCAATTAATCCTATTGTGTTGCTGTATCCTACAAGAAAACTTAACGGGTTTTTATATCGGTCAGCTGCGAAATAATGTGTCCACCAGTATAGCCCGCCAGATGTCGGGAGAGAAGAACCGAGATCAGCCTAATAGGATTAGAGGTGCTCAAAGTGGGGGTCACCGTAGGGAAAACTAACAATTGCTAACCCAACGATGAAAATGAGAGCACTCGCGGAGAACCATCCCTATGCCTGTCAGAACCTGCTGTGCTTAAGTATCCATAGATACACACTTACCCAAACCATTCCAACTGGGCCTGCAGGAACAGAGAACCACAATGTTGCGGATATAGATGGGAGCAACCCCATGATGCTAAATGCTATAGCAAAGACTTGAACAGTGGAGTAATGGCGCTGGAGTTCCTGTTTGTAGCCGATACTTGCTATGCAGCACATCAGTATGGGAAGGCCTCTAGTCGCACGCGCAACAACCCTAAACGCACCTAGCTGCTGTGTATCTGCTGCATTGGCGAGTGCTGGATCATATTCGATCAATTTTTCGTCCGTATGATGTTGATTCTCCAATTCTGTGACAACACCCTCCAGATTTTCACGAGAGTCCCGAGGCGCCATGGTTCACACAAAACGCTGCAGCGCTACAGTTGGATAATGATAGGGATGGCTATTGGAGGTTAGCAGAGTCAAAGGTATGTCTCTGGACACCCCGATCCCTTGCATATATATCTGGACTTCGCTTATCTTTCCCATTTACTGAACGGTTTCGGATTCGGATTCGGACTCTACGATCTCGACGCCCTAAACTTAGCCTACAGACTATCTCGGCTCCCCACACATCTAGTCAAACGCGGGGTCTGGGGAAATGTAAGGGAGTGGTCACTAAATCGGCTCTTATATCTCTTCAAGTTTAGCCTTCGACTTCCGATAGGCAACGGCTGCAGTTCAAGCTGAAAGAGTTCTGGTGTTGCGTACTCCACATGGACAGAGAGGCCCTGTCGGAATTACGACGTCAATAGTAACACAGATCTCCATGGCTAGCTCCCCCATTTAAGCTAAAGCAGTGTCATTACGAGGCTATTGAGTAAAAGCGGTTGGTAATGCGATTCCTGGGAACAAATGAGAACCGGAATAGACTCAGTTGTATGGGCTAGATCTGCCGGAATTAGATTAGCATGATATAGCATGGTACTGTGTAGCTTTTAAACTCAGAAACAGAACTATGCGCGATCCAATTATCTCCATGAGTGGCTAAGACACCACTATTCCTAGCCGTGCCTCCGACAGTCGCTCTTGAGCGAGGCATTCAGCCTAGAGTCTACATTTCCTTGTCCGATCAACCCAATTCAGAGACGAGAGAATTAACTGATATCCCGGAGCTTATTTTTCATACTGTCCCATGGATCATTGTCATATCTACCTCTGTACATTCAATGGGAGGCACATCAAATCCCAGTCGTATGACAATCGTATCCGATTCTCTGGTTATTTCAATTAACGAAGTCCATACGGGTAAGATTAGGATTCAGTAGTGAGAACAGTAGCTGACCTACCATCAAACACAATATACTTTGAAGGTGCTAGACTTTAGGATGGGTACAATAAAATCTCGACAAGGAACGAATCGCCAAAAGACTTCTCGTCTCTATACGAGTATACTATGCAACGAATTACGATTGCATGTTGCACACGCTTCCCCAATGCGATATCATATAGTTTCATGAGATTCCGATATGTACCTGATGCAGACCCAGAGAATATTGGAGCTGACAAGGGTGAGGTATAGGCAAAATATTGAGATATTTTCTATGTCTAACTGAGAGAATGTAACCCTTGGGTAAAAGTTCAATCACACTGTGTCATCAATGAGGACACAGTGCAGTGCAGCAGGTCCTCTAACGCTACTCTGGTTGTCTGGGTACATGTATTCACTGCAACCTCTCTCGAAATCCCTTGGGAGTTCTCAATTGCATACGGGTGTGTCAACCCCAGTCATCGAGCTTCTCTTATAAATTTTGAGTATTTGTATCTATGCTAAGTGTCCTTCTTTTAATGTACCCCCTACAAGGGATTGTACTCTACAACCCAAGACGACGTAATTGAAAGCATTACCTAGGGACGTTTCGAGAAAAGGAAACGTGCTTGAGATCGAATCGATAGCTCAACCACATGTATTGTGGTAATGTAACCTGTCAGCAATAATAAATTCATAATTGAATGATTAGAATCTACTACATGGGTGCTTTCTATAGACAGCTTGGGCTTTTAAGCCTTGGGCCACTTTTGTGCATAGGCGAGCCATATCGACCACTCTGGCTGGCTCTGCACCTGCTTATGGCTTCATAAAAAGCGGCTTCCATCCCTTTAACGTCCTTCAAGACATCAAATTCTCCTTCAAACCGAATTGCCCAAAGCTAATGATAGTGTTGTGCGGACGTTACATTTTTCCAAGAAGTTGTGTTCCCATCAATTTTCAATGTTTACCTCAAAAACGTGGTGATGGCCGCGAAGAATTGATCTGGCTTCTCAATCCATGGGAAATGCCCACATGCAGGAATAATAATTAACTGAGAGCCAGCTATGCGCTCCGCTGTGATACGAGAGACGTTCTCTGAGCAGATTGGATCTTCAGAACACCCCAAGCATAGCGTTCGAGCCCTGACTTTATCGAGTCCCGCATATAGATCAAGACGCTTGATCTTGTCGGCTGCGGACTGAGCTTTGTAAACCCACCATGAGGGCTCACCCATCGCCTTCTCAAAGGTGGGGTAATCTTTGTCTGGGTTGGCAGGATAAAACGATAATCCCACACGTAAGCTTTGAAACCACTCCTGCTGCGACCGAAAATTGTGAGTCCTTATCATTTCAATTGCCGCAAGTGCCTTCGAAAATGATGCATTGTCCTTTCGATCATTCGCAAATCGTTGCCAGGTGTGGCTGTCATCGTATCCTTCAAGCCAGTGTGTGACAAGAACTAAGTTTCGGACTGACACTGGGTATCGCTGGGCATAGGCAAGCGCAATGGTGCCCCCATTAGAATGTCCAAGAAGATCAATTTGCTTGAAGTCTAAATACTTTCGCAAATGCTCGATGTCGTCGGCCATATCGGAGCTGCTCATCATGTCTTCCTGCAGTGGCCGCTCGGAAGAGCCTGAACCGCGAGGTTCTAAATATATGATGGTAAATTCAGCCTCAAGAGGCGATAGCCCAATTTGGAGATACTGTGAGGAAATTCCCCATCCTGCTGCTTGAACAACAAGATACGGTCCAGATCCTCGCACCGTATACGTGAGTTCGATATCAGAACCCTGAAATTTATGAACTCCAGAAGTCAGGATCGACATTTCGCTAATAGATGTTGGATAGAGTCGTAAATTGTCTGAATGCAAGTTATTACCCTTTTGTCGCATGTCAATTACCGTGAAATTTCGCTAGGCAGGATAGGAGGATTTATAGATCAGATTCATCAAATATTTATTGTCATTTACATTTGAACCATACATACGATATCCACTTGAGTTTAAGTTAATCATGCCATATTCGCTAGACTTATCAACTTTTCCTTGCTCCCTCAAGCTACCATTGGCCAAGAGATGGCGTTTAAGTCTGGTTCTAATCTTAGAATTGACAATGCTGAATCTCGAATGCATCGGAGTGATACACCTCTCGTCACAACCTAAGGCTAAACTCACCGCTAACTAAATCAGCCCACATATGGCTGACGAGGGGTAAGCGGCGAAGGGCGGCCCAACATGTTAGAGCGTATGCACCTCACACTTGGCCCGTCTTTATTCGACGAAGGGTTTGACGGCTATTTGCAGCGTTTCATCGGTGGAATGCAAGTCTCACTGATGGATGACTTCAGCGTATGCATCCACACATATTCTGAGAGTTTACGTCATTTTTGTCATACTTTTCTCTTGTCAAGCTTACCTATGATAAATACCATGAAACTCTCTCTACTTTTACTAAAGGGTGACGTAATATTGGATTGTTAGAATCTTAAAATCTCTTTAAACCCCCCCTGCGGATTTCTACGATGAGGGGAATGCAAGCCTTAGCACATCTGACGGGAACTTAAACAAGAAAAGATAGTGAAGGTCCATTACAACCCTACGCAGAAATTCCATTGGTTTCAGCAAACGATATAAAATGGACGCTTTGACAAAGAGGACAGTCAAATCTTCGAGGGGCTTTTCCTACACGTATTATACATCAGCACCATCAAGTGGGAAGCCGATCATTCTTCTCCTCCATGGCTGGCCTGACCATGCGGCACTGTGGGGAGATCTCGCAACGTGCCATCTTATTTCACATGGTTATGGGGTAATTATACCTGACTGTCTAGGGTATGGAGATACCTCGAAGCCTACCAATCCGGAGGCCTTCAATTCATCTGGCCTGACCAGCGATTTCATTGACATCTTAGACGCTGAGCAGATTGAGAAAGTTGTTAGCAGTGGTCACGACTGGGGCGCGGGTCTTGCTCATCGCTTTTATCTCTTTCACCCTGAGCGTTGCTCTGGGCTGATTATGCTGAACTTCCCAGCATCCCCTCCGCCACAAGGGCCAATTGTGATGGACCAGCTTGCTCCGGCTATGATCAAATCGATTGGTTATTTCACAGGGTGGTACTGGTCTCTGTTCAGCGATCCGGTCGCTGGACCTACGCTTCTAAGTCAGCATACTGAATCTCTGTTTACTGCGCTGCATGCGGAACCAATGGAGTGGATGAACACACTCTGTGCCAAGGATGGACTAAAACAATGGTTGGAGCAGGACAAGAAAGGGCCCGTGCAAAAGTACGCCACTAGCCAGATGCGAGAGAATTTTATGAAGCGTATGACAAAGGATCACTTAGAATCGTCATTATGTTATTATCGATCGCTCCTAGATGGCCGCTTCTACGAGCAAGATTCGCGGCTCCCAGCTGAGAGATACAAAATCGACGTACCATATTTATTCGTGGCTGCTACCAAAGATGTTGTTTGTCTAGCACAGGGAATTAAAGATATGGAAACCCTTGGATTGCTGCCTCACCTAACAGTGAGAGAAATAGATGCAGGCCATTGGTGTATGCTTGCGGAACCTGATGAAGTCGGGAGGCACTTTGTAGAGTGGCTGGGGGATAATTATTAATGAGAAAAATTATATCCAGTTGATGGCTAAGAGGCCGTTTCGATATTGTGTGGGCTGCGACAATATCAGGGAGGCCTAGAAGTAGAAGCGAAGAGAGTGTAGTCATAGGGGCTTAATGAGATATCTCTGAAATAAGTTCTTCCTGTAAGGCATTATTAATAGAAGTTTAGGACATGTCTATATGGAAAGGGAATGGCTAGACGAGAGAGGAAGCTCACTGAATATCTCAAATAAAGACAAACATGAGACGCTACTAAGGCTATTCAATGGCCATGATATTCAACAGGATCTTAATTGAACATATTCTTTTAATCTAATATGATTGCTCCCATACGAAACAAAGTGAAAACCATCTACAGGCTTATATATAAAGTAGAATGGCTATACACACACTGGCGGAAAGTTTCCGTGTTCTAGAAAAGTATCAGGTGGTTCTCGTCGACTAGGGTCCCATTAATAGATTCCTTTGTGGCTCTAATGAAAACTAATACCAAGGCTCTTTCTGTCATCTAACCAGCTTGTCGGACGAACAGCATCCAAACTACGTAATTTATATAGTCGGGTACAGTGGGAAACTGTGTCCTGTTAATAGCGTATGGCCAAGTTTACACCAGTGGAGCGGGCGCTAATCATGGAACCCAGATTATAATGAAGTTCCAAATTTGAAGATTTGGAACTCTGCACAATTGAATCCTTTCAATTATAGTGATAGGCGACTTTTTACATCGTATATAACAACATTTAATCTATTAATAACAGTTACAAATCTTGAATGTTGTGCTAGCCAGCGATACTTAGGTTGAAACTCAAGGCATTGTGATGAAAGTCGAGGAGATCAAATGGGCAATTAAACAAGTCTCTCGCGGCAAAATCAACTAGCGTGTAACTTCAACCCAAAAGGATGATGCGTATGGCTATAATCACGTCGTTGCGCGTATTATAGTGGGAGGGGACCGCTTCGAAGAAACCTTATGACCTTTCAGCAATTAGATACCATAGTGCCATATCCTGGCCCCACATAAAAAAAGCCGAATTCGTCCGGCTTACTCAACGACGGCGCATACGCATACCTTGCGCTTCCCGTAGGCTAGTGTAAAAGAGTTGACCCCTCCTGGCGAGACTTCCGGTGACTTTATGGTCTATTTCTAACCAAAGGTCATGCTAGGAGGGTGCACACTTCACTGTGGCTCGCCAATCGGTCAAGCTAAAGGCATCAGAATCTACCGTACACAAATCCTGTTTCTGACACTAAGAAAACACCGTTTAACAATCTTGTTTAAAAGTTGGTAGGCAATAGATACCACGATGAGATTATGTTGTTAATTTTCTCTGCCCAATATTCATGGGGAAGTGAATCGACGACATACTCAAAGTCGAATCGCGGTGAAGTTCATATCTTAGGGGTTCATGGAAAGCCCAATCATTCAACAGGTGGGGGGATCGTGTTGGGAAACTGCGTGGGGTGGTCGTTCAGAATTGATTATGTTTTACGGGCATCTTATGGAACTTTCCGTCATTGATTCGCACAGCATACTCCCTTTTTTATAAAGCATATGCAATTTTGACCAGCCGATAGAAATTCTCAGCACGTATTACTGAGGTTGAAGAGTAATCATTCAGTAGCATTGGATATGGCGTTATACTATTGGTTGGCGAAGTCTTACTCGCCCCCCCAAGCCAACTATAAGGCTTACTTGATCCATTAATATTAATTACAGTGTGCGCGGATTAACGCACAAATCCACCGCCTCTCTAGGTAGGCATATAACATCGTCTCTTCCATTTAAATGCTCTTGAGAGTTCCCAAGACATGAGAGACAGTTTACTACTCTATCCTTAATGCGAAAGAAATTGAACGCACCTGCGTACTGATTTTTCCTTCATCTGATTCCAGTCACATCTGTTCAATTGACCAGTTGTGTTTCCTCAACCCTCTCTCTCTTTTATCCCACTCACTCCAACCATGTCGCCATCATCGACTTCCCAGTTTGATGTGAAGAAGATAGCTATTATTGGCGCAGGACCAAGCGGCCTATCTGCCGCGAAATATCTACGTGCGCAAAACGCCTTCGACTCTATCGTCATATTTGAGCAACAGGGAGAAACTGGAGGAATATGGAACCGCTCGAAATCTCCACTCGAAACGACCCCCATGCCCAAAGATGATAGATTCAGTTCATCAAACAGCCTCATTGGTCATGACCCAAGCATACTGTCACCGATATATGATCAGCTTTACGCCAATATTCCTGTACCTATGATGCGCTTTTCTGACCAGCCCTTTCCCCAAGGGAGCTTATTATTCCCTTCGCGCGAGGTCATCCAGGAGTACCTTCTTAAATATGCCAAGGAAGTCAGGCACCTGATAAAATTCGGTGTTCAGGTAGAGAAATTGGAACCTATATCCAAGGGAGCGAGAACCACTTGGGTATTGGAGGCAAAGTCTATGCATGATAACCAGATCATGAGAGATCTATACGACGCAGTGGTTATTGCGACAGGGCACTACTCTGTCCCATTTATTCCAGAGATTAAGAATATCGCAAAATTTATGGAAACCCATCCGTCTGTCGTATTACACTCCCGCGACTATCGCACACCCACGTCTTTCAAAGATAAGAAGACAATAGTGGTGGGCAACGGGGCATCGGGTACTGATATTGCGCTCCAAATCAATCGAGTATCAGCTCGAAGAACAATGGTTTCTGTGAGAACACCAACGCCTCAGCCACGACTAGCATACATGGGTTGCGAAGAAGTTTCAGAAATCGAGGAATTTCTTGCGGATGAACGGGGAATTCGATTCAAGGATGGAAGAGTCGAGAGCGGGATCGACGCTGTTATCTTTTGCACGGGATTCTTATATGACTATCCTTTTCTTCCCGTTTTACAAAGGAAGCTTATTACAACAGGCGACGGTGTACATGGGCTTTACAAACACATATTTTGCATTGATTACCCAACTCTAGCTTTTTCGGCACTCAATGTGAAAACTGCCCCTTGGCCACTTGCCGAGGCGCAAGCTGCAGTGTTTTCTGCTGTATGGTCTAACAATATTCAACTTCCTTCAGTTGACGCGATGCAAGAATGGTCTAAGAAGCTTTATGAAGACGAAGGAGAGCAGCTGCATATTTTCCGTACGTCATCGGCGGACGGTCTATACATCAATGACCTTTATGACTGGGTGGTGAGGTCACATCATACTCATAAAGGGAAAGAACCGCCTTTTTGGAATGACATTTCCTTTTGGCAGAAACATATTTTCCCCCAGGCTAAACTCAAATTTGAAAAAGATGGCTATAAGGCGACCAGTTTAGAAGAACTCGGATTTCACTATGAAGAGAACTGGAAGACAAAAGAGTGAAACGAATCGGCATTGGTGAGAAAGAGTGGAGTATCACAGATCTCGAGCATAACTGAATCAAATATAGATATTGATAAGCTCCAGGCATCATTTCACTCAGGCAAAGAGTGGTAGAGAAGGTGCCGTTGAGACCACCGCGCCAAGAATTCTACAATATCCCACGTCGTTTTCGATAGCTAGATCGTTCTGATTCCATATGGCCTCGATCATTTGCTGGATAAGAGGAATGTGGTTTGATCTTTGCCCTAGTTCTCGGTTTGTTTCAGAAAGAATAGAGAGTATCTGAAGACGCTGTTCATCCTCATTAGCCTCGCAGGCTATGATAAACAGCGGCCACGCACTCTCACAAAAACCAAGGTTTTTTAAAAGCAGTATGCCCTCCCTCACCAGCCTCCTGTGTGAGAACGACGATATAGAGATATTTGATAACGAGCGGTTCAGATATATCAATGCAGCGTATTGATAAAGGCAAGTCAGCATATCTTGTCTATTCGACAATGACTCTAAGTGTTCATGAAAAGTTCCATATTCTCCTATAATTCCGTATATATTTTGTCGGAGTTGCTGGATTCGCTCCATATCTGCGTTATCATATGGTATATCGTCGCTTGAATAAGTCGATGGCCGCTTGCAAACGTTTTTAACAAGGTCAAGAACATCCATGGGACAAGTAATTCTGTTAGAAACCTACCACCGGATTTATCTTAGCATCCTATTGTCATCATGTAATAGACAGTATCACTTACTGTAAGGCCATCGATTATTATGTTGTTTGGGCGTATCGCCAGAGGCCCTTTACAAAAGTCATCAATTGCACTTGGTTCTGCCCAATGTCGTAGGCTGAACTCTGACATTACTTCATGGTAATAGATCCAATCCATTAATATCGCACAGTCATGCTGATATAATGTGACTGATTCGGAAGCGGCAAAGATAATTTTCTTAGCTCCGCAAAGATAGAAACGCCATAGCACTCCAGGTGTAGCGGTATTGCAAACCTAACCCACTCAACATCTAAATTTCGTAATGGGGAAGAAGACTGTATGTACCTCACACTGATATAGGAGCATGGTAGCAATCAGGTTTTGCAGGACGCTTTCTCTATCCATTCGGGTTATATTCTTTTGTAGCATCGAGATAAGGCGCGATTTATGGCCTTGGCTCTTTGAGGGCCCCAGCAAAAGGAGAGATGACAATGCGAATATGCCTTCCATGACTAAATTGATCGTTGAGCCATCGCCGATTACTGCCATTTTCATAATGAAATGAGCCAGGGACTCGTCAATGATGGGTGCCAATATTCGCGTTTTCGTTTCATTAACTGTTTTAAAATGGTTAGGCGGCACGACCGTTCAACAAGTGTTCTACTACCCACAGTAGTCGAGCAGCTGGTAATTCCCAGATAGCTGGGATTGTGAAAGGACTGGTAAGTGCGGCACTTGCAAAGTGTGTAAATAATGGGCTATTAATCTCTAAGTCAGTGAAATATCCTAGAAGCGAGCGTGTAGCATTTTTTTTTTCCCTTAAAAACAAAAAGAAGGGTTACCAATGTCGCGATTTTCCTGGAGCGCGCCTGATAATGCCACATCTGAGGTAGAAGCGTTCAAAAACATCAGGTCACGTCCCCGGTACTGCTGTGACATTTTTGCTAGCTTTGTTGTGTCACCGTTGACTAGAGCCCGCCGCTTGTTTCCCTCTCGAGGCCAGGACAATTGCATGCCATAGCCTTTACATAGTTGAAATGCTTTAGCACAATTGGTGCATGTCGGCATTTGCAAATCGCACCGAACCTTGCGGGCTGGATAGAAATGTATCATTCAGCTTCTAAACTAGGCAGATTGTTCAACACCCCTTACCTCGACATGTCCAGCATCCTTTGATACCCATGTGGTGCAGCTATGAAGAGAGGTGAGACTTATTGACAATTCTTCTTGTGCGTATTCCCGCACCAAGCGACTATTATAAGGCTTTCGAAACTGATTTGAGCTTAAAGAAGGAATTTAAAGAAGAGTAGCAAACCTAAGTCGAAATGTTTGCGACTATTGGCACTCCGCCTTTTTGACGGAGTTAGAGAGCCAGGAGAGCTTACTAATTGCCCAGCATTTAGTCTAGATGGAGTAAGCACGGCGGTATGAGCGCTAAGCAGCCTTTGGCAGCATCCAGAGACGAGGTGGCGCCTCTTTGTGATTCATGCGGTTTGGTAGGACTGGCGCATATTTTCTCCTGTTGAGGCTGATGAATCTAACAGGCAGATATGTTTAGTGACGACTGCGCAAGTATCGAGCCTTTACGGTCAATCCGGAGGATGTGAAGATGGGCTGGGTCCTATTCTAAACAATGGGTGTGTGAGTTATACCAGGCCTTTTGAATAGAGTTTTTTTTTTTTTTTTTTTTTTTGTTTTATACGAGTACAAACACTTGTATCTTGTATTCGAATAGACGAAGACGACGCATAGAGTCGTTCATGTATGCCAAAATATCTACAAGAGTAAAGAGTCGAAATTCGACGTCTATGAAAAGACTATTGTGGCGGGTCGCATCATGACAATACTACATCTTCCGTTCCCATCTATCACGATACTTGCTATTGCCGCTAATATCTTGTCTCGTCCTTCAAATCTGCGATATCTATTTAAAACTCGCGGGCCAGGACGACATAAGGCATCCTAAGCGCCAATCTTCTGTAAAGCTTCAATAACCATCTCCTTGAGTGTCTTCTTCTTCAGCGCCAAATAGCCGTCGCCATCAAAGTCCAGGCCGTCAATCAGGTCACCTGCTCCGCATCCGTTGAAGGCACCCACAAGAATGGTAACAGCGAGTTCACTGAAAGGATTGCCAGCCGCGAGGTTCGCATTGCGCTGACCAAGCAGCTCTTGAGAAGTAATGTGGGCCTTGTCAAACTTTGCGCCCAAAGTCTCCTCAAATACTTCCGTAATCTCGTTCATAGTAGTACGAATCTCACTTATATGTATGCGCTTATTCTTGGTTTTATCCTCGTCCATTTGGAGAACTGCGACGATGGCAGCTCCCAAGTAGCGGAGAGTACATCCCGAGAAGGTAAAATCTCCACTATCGACGACGGTAACTTTGCGATTTGTTGGGTCAAATGAGCCAAAAGCTCCTTCTAGCCATCCATCCATAAAGGCAGATGGGATCAATGTTGTGAAACTTGTAGGCCCACCTTCTTCGGCCAGGGAAACGAACTTGCGGGCTGTCAGCACGGGCGAGCTGTCATCAGGCCAATTTCCACCTTCTGTTAAGAGGGTAACTGCGTCCTGGTGCAAAATGTCGAGAGTGTACTCAGACGGGAATATACGCCGGATACCGGCCTCTTGCGCAGCCTTGAGCAGCAGCTTGTCGACGATTTTGGACGGCGGACCAGAGATAAACGACAGAATTGCGTCAGCTCCAGTGAAAATTTTCACAAGTTGATCGTGATTACAGTAGTCAACCGCTATGACCTTTGCGCCTGGTAGGGACGGTACTTCCTTGCCGCCGTTGGCTCGGGTCAAGATTGTAACATCATATTTGGGCTTTGCAGATGCCAAGATGGCCCGGATAGCATGGTCAGCTATCCAGCCGGTGCTTCCAGCAATAACAAGTTTGGTGAACCCCATATGGAAATAAACGTTTTGATTTATCGTTATTGTTTTTTTTTGCTTGGAAGGGGAGAACTAAGTAATGTATAGAAAAGTTGAACGCCAGGTTTGAAAAGACTTCTGTTCAGCATATATACCTCCGGGTAGAGGGACTCTGCTGTTATATTTTCCCACTTCCATTGTGAAATATGTCGCTTCTGTTACGTCAAAATAGGAAACTTTTAACGAAAAATGCATGGCTTTGGCTATATGAAGATATGAAACTTTCAACAGGAGCATCCGTCACCATCCGCGAGCGGCGACAAAGTAATAAGCAGGAAGCACTCGGGGTGGATAGAATGAGGCTCTCTGGTTGTGGAGTGGGGGCAATACTGCTTACACAATGTTGGCAAGTATTTCCGACAAGGGCCAGTAGGCGCCACAATATTAGGTCAATGAGTGAAACTCAGCTACCGACAAGTGCGTAAGGGCATTTGGTTAACATTATCGATAGCGTGATTGATCTATATAAGATGAATAGTGCCTAACTATAATGAATGACCTAGGACTATGAGAAATACTTATAAGACGGCCATATTCTTGACAGCGTTTGTTACATTCATTCCCTAGCATGGCTCAGGCTGTGGCTCTCATTTTGGGCTACGGACCAAATGTTGGATTTGACGTTGCTGAAGCGTTTGCAGCACAAGGTTATAAAGTGGCGACAGTCTCACGTTCGAGAAGGGACATCCAGCATCTTCAGATTTAGGCAGATTTTTCTGACCCCTCCTCAATTCATGGCATATTCTCCAAAGTCATAAACGAACTTGGCCATCCCAGCGTTGTAGTCTATAATGGTTTGTTCTATTGTTTTTCTCGTTCATTATGCGATTAGTGACATAAGTAACAATGATTGAAACCTGCAGCGTCATCATTTTCTCTGAAACCTTCAACCTCTTTGGAGCAACAGATTGCGGCTTTTCAGTGTGACAACAACATCAACATTGTGTCTGCATATGTTGCGGCACATTTGGCCACAAAATCTTTCGCTCTTCTCCAACCTGAATCATCCAAGACGTTCATCTATACAGGCAACAAACTCCCTTTCATGGTTGTACGACCACTACTATCTCAAGGGGTTGGCAAAGCAGGGTCGGCGCATTTGATGCACTATTTAGCAGAGGAGCACAAGGACTCTGGTTACAAGTGAGTCAAATCAAGTAGATAATTGGTCCACTTCTAATGAATGACTGCAATGCAGATTTTACTTCGCTGATGAGCGGAAGCCTGATGGAGATCCGGTATATTCCGATATTGACGGCCCAGCACACGCTGCCTTTTATACTGAGCTGGCTAAACAGAAGGCTCAAGGACCATGGAATGCAACTTTTGTCAAAGGGAGGGGGTATGTTGAATTCTCTGAAGCAATCGTAAATGACAGCGTCACGATGAAACTCGACATCCCTGGCCAAGAAAAATGAAAACAACGCGATAGCCGCATATCTAAATATAGAATTGTATTACTGAATCGCCAAATCGTGCTCAACTCGGATCATTTTAGTGTACCCGAAAAAAAAGAAAAAAAAGAAATAAATAAATAAAATAAAATGCATGATACCCACAGGCTGTTAAGCAATCCTATTTAATGGGTGTTACATTTTATATGTATACTGGTAGTGCCATATTGACTAAGATATCCAATATTCTATCCGGCTAGGCGCCGCCATCAGCTATCAATATGATCATTAAAAGCAATTCCTATTATTTGTAACATCTATACTCATCTCAAACAGACAAAAAAACTGACACAGGAAATTAAGAAATTCCGGCTGTTCTTAAAGCTTCCTCTGTAATCCGCCAAAGCGACTGAGCCAACTCACTATTACGTGATCTTTCCGATCCAGGATTGATCTTCCCTGGCGCGCTCAGAAATTTGCCTTTATATGTGTGTGGCTCATTTGCAACTTCCTTTGCAGTTGCGCAAAAGAGTTGATTCAGGGCACCCTTTTCAGGGCTCTTCATCACTAATTTTAGAACTGGCTTCAGAAAACCAGGAAACACACCCATGCCACCATCAGTAGCAACTGGGCCAGGATCAAGTGTCAGAGCAATAATTTTAACTTCTTCCTGATCCAGTCGCCTTTGCAATTCCCTTGTAAAGAGAATATTGGCTAGTTTACTAGCACCATAGCGGCTAAAGACAGTCTTTCGTGAAGTATAGTCATTCGGATTCGTCGTTCCAGGATCACAAAGATCTTTGGCTGTCGCAAAGACATTATGTTTCGGCGCAAACCTCTCGGCAGAAGAGCTTATCTGTGTATAGGCTGGTCAGGGAAGTTTTGCCATTGTATTGATTGGCACCAAAAACGACTCACTGTTACAACACGCACATCGGAGCCAACTTGAGACGCCGTTTCTTTAAGAAGTGGCAGGAGATTTGTGGTTAAGACGAAATGGCCAATGTGACTAGATGTGTGTTTATTAATACAGCGAATGCCGCTTTTCGGGCAATATTATTACTTACTTCACAGCAATTGTAAACTCAAATCCTTCTGCAGTAGTTGTGAAATCCTCAGCGGCAATACCTGCGTTATTGACTGGGAAGAAAGAATTATTAGCATCAAAGTATAGCATTTGGCATAGGAAGCAAGCTTACTCAGGATATCTAATCTGTTCTCCCAAGATGAAAGCAACCGAGCAGCCTCCACAATATTGGATGGTTTAGAAAGATCTAGAGGCAGCCATATGATATGCTCTTTATTAATGGTTTGGTATTCAGAAAGGATGCTGTCGATTGCTTGTTTTGCTCGAGATTCAGATCTGGCTCCCAGATACACCTTAGCACCATGCAATGCTAACTGCTTGACCGTTTGTAGTCCAATTCCTGCACTAAACCGTAACTATTAGTTTGGATAACAAATCTTGAAAGTTGTGGAAGTATGATGATGACTGACTTTCCTCCTGTCACTAATGCAACTTTCCCAGCAAGATCAGGAATCGCAGTGTCGCTCCACATCGTAGTAATTCGGCTGGTTTTGCTTAAAATTTTATTAGTGATGGGTTTATCTGAGGGAAAGGACCAGTTTATTAGTTCAGAACATCAGCCTACTTAAATGCAGAGACACGAAGCATCACAATTGTAATAATTGCATGACTAATGCAGCTAGACTCCTTTTTGAGCTCGGAAAAAGTTGCCATATATTTGACATCAGCTTAATATGGTAATGCGAACTTTGTTAGTATTCCAACTCTGGAATTATGGCGCATCAGTGTGATCTATTAGTAACCCAGCCTCACCGCCCCCCCCCCCCCCCCCCCAAAAAAAAAAAAAAAAAAAAAAAAAAAAAGAGTCTATTAGAAGCCATCAAGTCCGAGATTTCTGTAATAAACCTCACGACCCTCCTACCACCGCTCTGCTATTCGATTCATGCAATTTATTGTTGATGATCTTATTTACTTAACGGCATATTCTCATCTATTTTTACTTACCTTATTTTAATGATCATGCAATCGAACTAAAACATTGTTATGTTGTGATATGATAACTCTTGAACACGACAAGACCTAGCGCGTTTTGTATTCCTTGATCTTCCCAAACTCATAGATTGAAGCATCTTCAGCGAAAAGTCCCCCATCGCTTGGATAGCAGTAGTGTTGCAGTCCCACTGCTGCTAGCATCTATCATCCTAGTGGGGTTTAACACTTGGGCATCGAGAGACTTCTGAAGTTAAACTGTGTGTGAACATGCGCTAGAAATTGCAATAGGTATCACAAAAAGCGGTAATGAGAATATGTGCAATATTGAGGAAAGCTTGTGAAGAAAAAGGTAAATACCAAAAAGTCCTTGGTTAAAAACTATGTTCAGTCAGAAGAAAAAGAAGGTTTAGAAAATTTTGCGCCTGCGCTCAATCGCTCACTTTCTCAGCACTATTTACGAGCGATGCATGAGCTTACAAGAGACGTATCAGTCCAAGAGCTTCCACTTCCAGTTGGTGTCTCCGTCAGGATATAAGTGCTATCAAATGAGCCTGCACCCCACCCAACGTAACCAAGGTAGACGTCAGAGTTCTGGTTTAGATATTGGAACTGTTGGCAGAGATATTGAATGCATGACTGAGTATTACCACCGCCAGTCTCAGTTAGGATAGCCTGGCGGTTATTTTGACGGAGCCAAGTGGCAACAGGTGAGAAGGCATCATTGATGTTGTTTGTAACACAGTCGGCGTGTGTGCCAGAATTGTCGGAATCCAGATACTTATGCAGATCAAAAATCAGATTAGTAGTGGAGCCATCGGGGTTCTTGACCTGAGATAAAGCTGCCGCACTTCCATCGGAAATAAAAGCTCCAGCAGATTGCCAATCATTTCCTGGCAAGGAAATGAACTGCGAAGTAGCACCTGCCTTACGAATGGCGGTGACAACAGCTTGAACAGTGGTGGCCCAAGTGTTGATGTTCACATCGTGTGGCTCATTCATTATTCCGAACCAAACCTTCGACTGAGAGGCATACTTGGTTGCCAATTGCGACCAAAGACTAGTGAACTGATCATTTGTAGGCCCACCTTGGCCAATGATCCCACCATTCCAACGTGCATAGTTGTGTATATCGATGATGCAGTATACACCTAGAGAGAGGCAAGACTGAACAAGCTGGTCGTATTTGGCAAGGTTGTTCGCATCTAGAGTTCCGCCCAAGTTATTGTTCACAAGGTATTGCCACCCGACAGGTAAGCGGAAAATGGTCAATTTGTCATCGTTGACAAAGTGCTGCATCTGACCGACACCATCAGGGTAGTTGTTTGTACCAGCGTAGTTCTTCAGTGGCGGGTATACCTTCGAGGTGACGCAAGTTCCATCGGTCCCACAGCCGAAATCAAATCCGGCAATGTTGACTCCCGCAAATCGAGTTAGGCCAGAGCCGGCAGGCGGAGTAGCTGATGATGTTGAACTCGCCCTAGTTGTTGATGCTGGGACAGAAGTTGGCTTGGTTGAGGTGGACATGGTGGTGGCGCCTGGGATACATTGAGCATAATAAGGGTTGAGAGTCGAACAGGCCGATCCAGCGGCGCAGTTGGTCGGGCCGCTATATCCTATCCCTCCACACTGTCCCCAAACAGTTTGCTGTGCAATGGAGCCGCTGGCCAGAAGAGTAGCTGCAAGCAGCAATGAACTTATTGGTTTGTTCATTGTGAACGAATGGAGTGTTGTAAAGATCAATTACTGATAATCATGATTAGCTGAAGGTCGCATAACAACTGACCATCCATTATGTGCATACTCTTGTTTCAAGGTGTATTAGAATATAAAAGAATCTGAAGCGACAAACGTTTGTGTGTCTAAAGTTCGATTTGTGACCAAATGTTGAGTAGAAAAGATATCACTTTGGTGGTACAAGAAGAATTTAGAGGATCAATTTGGAAAGAAGCTGCAATGATGAATTTCGAATTCTATTGTGTGATACTCTAGAGTCGAAAATATGAGTTCTAGAAGAGCTTATATAGTCGCGGGCGTATCTCACTGAACACCTAATCTCATATAGCCGGCCTCGTAGAGCGACGTGACAACGTATGAGAGAATCAAATAAGTTCTCCGCAATAGCAACATTACGGAGTAGCCAATTGAGTATGTAACTTAGGTATATGAAATTACAATGTGGATGTCTATGCCATCTTACCCTCTGGCAATATACTCGGGAATTGAGCCTGAATAAGAAATTTTCGGCTTTTTGAAGTTCTCTACAGCGACAGTGTATTCCTTCAACCCTATATGCAGGGGTCTTATTTGCTAATTTAGTATAGATATTAAGGCAGAAAGGCACCAAATTGACCACAAGGTTACATGCCGAAACTATTACCAACCTGTTCTCAGCCCTCACTTCAGCCCTTGCGGTATAACCGGTCGGCAAAACTCTTGATGCAACTAACCCCACTACGCGAACAATTGAAATCCTACATACTTAGTCAAAGCCTCGAATTCAGCCAAATAAGGGAAGGGTTCTTGAAACAGTAGAGAAGAGAGTATTCAGCAACAACTGTTACTGAATATATAGCCTAACGGATGTGATGATGCCTTACAGCCTTAATCTATGTTCCAGATGATTAATGATAACTAGTGTAGATGTCCAATGTACTGCGGCATATGTTCAACATTTATGTGTAGTAATATAGTAATATGTCTGCAATTACTGCTCCAAATAAAGTGCTTCTAGAAGCAATGTTAGCAAGGAGATGCTACTTTGGTGTGGTGGATAGTCCTTGCATCTCCTGATAGTTGCTTAAACCCCTTAATCCACAATCTCTAGATAAGAAGGAGAAGCTTATATACGTAAAGTAAGCACCAGTAGCCCTGTTATTTGGTATCTATTAAGGCAGACCCGACAATTTTTAAATACATACTGGCCAATGCGCAATGTTTTCCCCCTACCTTTAGAGTATATGTAGTGCAGAAGAAACAATCATGTGTTACACGTTTCCAATTTAATGGAAAGATTTTAATTGGTTAATATAAGGTGATCAAGCAGGCTCCGCCCCGATACAGCGATCCGCAACTTGCATTTGATAATTGTCTTGAAAATACACTACAATTGTATTTCCCTATTAATTGGGTTACGCTACCCGGGGATTGAGTTAATCTACTCTTCATCTAGCAAGAGGCGATCCTATAAGATCATGCAGACCACCGGGCTATGTGCTTTTGTTTTATATCAATGCTCCTGGTCACTGATTTCATTTCTCTTGATAAAGAAATTCACAAAAATAGTCAAATTGATGGGTGTGATGCAAAGCAAAATCATGCCTAGAATTGCATAGGAAGTGTTGATGGATACAATGAACCATGAGAATGGAGGTCACGAGGATACAAGATATGTTTAATATATTCTATGTTATTCCATTTTATATGTTACTAGAGTTTCTGTTTCACTCTATTCCCTTACTACCAGACCCTGTCCTGTCGAATTCTGGTTATTATATACCCCAAGCTCATGAATGTCATTAGTGATGCTGCTGCATGACGAGTGCATGTTTGCTTAAATGTCTTCAGTATCGACAATGATGTCATTACCGAATTTGGCCTTGATCAACTTGACGTTCTCCTCCGTTGTCCTATGCTGGAGTTAGCGATGATGTCACTCAAAGCGAAATGAAATATTTCAACATACTTGAAAGAGAAGACCGGGACTCTGGAGGCGGTAGAAGAGACAGGCTGGTTGATGAGAGATTCGATGAAACTTTGATAAGGTTAGCGCCTATCATAATGTTTCAAATGAATAGGTAAACACATACACCTCAAGCTCGTTGAGATCAGCGGTTTCGTGAGGGCGAACTAGAACGGATTGCTGCGAATATTCTGTTAGATGCGGAAAAGCAATTTGGCAGATATATGTGGACGTACAAGAGCCATTGTGAATGTGGAAAGACAAAGGTCAAATGCGAGAAGTTTGGCTCAGAGTGTTGGTGTTGTGTAGGTTATTGGAGTAAGTGGATGTTGCTGTGATACAGAATAAAACTCTCCAGGACAGTTCATGATGGCCTCTTTTATAATCCCCTTGATATTTTTTTTTAAAGTGCGCTAACTACCAACTGGGACCACGCAATATTGACGTGGTTGCCTTAAACCACATACATGTACGGACGTATCCATTTCTACAAGCCACATTGGGCAGCAGTATATACGTGGCAGCATGCGGCGCCAATAGGACATGTAGCGCGCAGTAATAGGTGCATTTGCCAGCAATCATGCGCTGTTGTTCATACATGCAGCACTCCTGCATCACTCCTGCAGCAACTAGCATCCAATAGGTTTCGTTATTATGACTCGCTTGTTAGTTCCGTGGCCCGCAAGGCCGCTTCCCCCTCTCTACCTTTGCTATTGGGCCTTAAGTCGCCACAATCTTCAGGCTCCTTAGTTCTGCAGGCAGAAGCATCACGCAAAGAGAATAACATGTCATAATATTCAATGCGGACTCATTCGTAGCCATAGAAGGCCTATAGCCCGCCCATGTCATCTCTACTACGGAGTACTAGCAACATGACTTTTGCACATGCTCTAACATAGTTTATCGGTGCCTGCAAATACTTCGTGGAGATAAACCTCTCTCCTGAGTAATTCATACCTTAAGTGGAGATGGTGGTGCGGGGATGGCGGTTAGGCGCGCGGTACTTTTCGTCACGGAGACACCTAGTGACCCTACAAAGTTGCATGACGATTCTTGTCCAGTATGGAGAACGGCTGATCCAGTTTCCCTGTTAAAGCCTTATGGTTCATTCAAACACTATTATCATTGATGATGATCATAGTAATTAGGACATTGATCGGTAGGGCAATTTCTGTAAACTGCTACTACTATTCGCAACCTACATTGGGGCAATCGTCAGATATAACCCTAGTCCTTAGCACCGAGTGCGACAAAGATCGAAAGGCCACAACATGGACGTTTTCAACCACTTTGTCTTCTTACTTAGTAGATATGTTAAATGATTATGAAATCAGGTGCCGCAACTAGTCATTCCGTACCAATTCATCAGTATAACCTCAGGTCAAGGGAGATAAACCCCCGCTGAATGGGCTACCGCGCGATAAATCCACCCTAATTGAAAAGACGGAAGTCATTTTCCTATGAGTATTCGGCGCAGCTGGCATGCCATTTGCTGGATAAAACTTAATGGAAAACTTCCATGACTTTTCAAAACTGAAATAAATTTTCGAATTTCTCTAGAAGGATGTGATCTCGTTGGGCAGAATGCAAGGCCGCACGCGACGTATTTCTGCACAATTCTCCATGCTATTTTGAGCCGTGGAAATGCCGAAACGCATACAAAGACGGGATCGCTTTGCGGTCAGTCCATATATTACATATTCACCTTGTTTATATCTGTAATTTGGGAACATGTATCAATGCGGTGATTTCCTCATCCTATGGTATGATGTGTATCATTTGAATAATGACCACAAAGGATTTGGACCAAGGGCGCCGCTTTCATCATTTCACATTGGTTGTGGACGTTGGTAAGGATTTTCTTTTTTAAAACAAAGTGACAATTGCCAGCTTTGGCCTGTTTCCGCAACATTACCGTAGGTATCATTCACCTGTGTAGAGCGACATGATACAGTACAATCTATGTTTACTATGCGATTATATCCAAGTCAATCCTATCGCATTGTAATGTGGCATATAATTTCAACGCGCAATCGGAGGGTCTATTTGGGTATCAATACAAAAGATTTCAACGAAGTTTCTTTTGTCGCAATTGGCACTGCTGATGCTGATAGTGTTTACTAAGTTTAGTAGATCTCTTCCCAAGTTGTAGAACCTTCGTGCTATTGGTTCTTCGTATTTAAATTTGGGAATGGTGTGGCTACCACACATAACAAACCTTTTTTTTTCGTTCCAAGGAACGAACCACCGCGAATTATTAATGGCTACTTGGTCATAGAGCATATGTTACCAAAATGGAACAAGAATCATCGTCATGAAGTATTGAGTCGAACTATATATTGTGACGTCGGGTACAATCCCCGCACAGATAAATTATGAAATGCACGAGCTTGATATCGACACTTGATACATTGTTATTTTCTCATTTTTAATTTTTTTCAATGGGTCCTAGGTTTAGTACTAAATAAAATATGTCGATAGCAGCTCATTACGTGAATCCAGCAGGAAATAGTTAGGTGGACTCTAACAGTCCGCAGTAAACTGAATATCGCATGGAAGCAAGATATGTAATGTATTCATTCATGGCTGGGAGAGTACTCCGTACCGTATCATCATTTTCCCTGGAAGCTGCACCTTGTGCCCGCGATAGCGTCACATCATTCTAATTCATTTCGTACTAGATATGTTCTTTTGATCTTTCATGATGTTAATGAATGTTGTTTGATTGCAGTTGAGTGCTCCCGCTTGATCCAGTTTTGGACAGACACGTCGTGAGCATTCAAGCATATGTAGCTTGGCGTCTTATCCACTATTGTTGGCAACAGGCCTTATTCACGCAACCATTCTCTCGTCATCATGTTCCAGCTGAAATTGATCAAATTCTATTGCTTATAACGCTAAGCCTACATCGAGATGTTGATGATGAAAGCCGCTCTAAAGTTGTAGCTGCTTGCCTGCCACCCGAAAGCCGCTGGCAATTGAGGAACGGCGAGAAAGCCCCTCACCGTGATCCTGCCGAACTCCGGTAGATAGCTGCCGAATACCGCCACCATACCCTCTATAGCAGACTGCTTCACGGGTTTCTCCCCTGATTGACGCTCCCGTATAGTCCCCGAGGCCAGTTTGTGGATTAATCCATGCCTTCTTTGAGCTAGCCACAATGACGAACTGCCTAGGTTGAATGTCTTCATTGGAGTAACAGCTTCAGAAATGCTCTGAATGCTTACTAGTACTAGCTGTGGACGGATGCGTCTAAAAGGCTGGCATCAGGCAAAATGGGTATAAAAGCTCAGCTCTCGAACATTGCATTCGAATATCGAGTTCTTCAGACCTTATACATCTCTTCAGCCTCGACAACGTTGATTCCTTCAAAATGTTGCGACACACTCTTCTAGTGGCTCTCTGTCTATCCCAGCAAGCCGTAGCAACTTCCAATCCCCCAATTAGGATTGCTGCTCCTGGTATCGTGCCCCCTGGAGCTTCCCAAATCGTGGATCATGCTTTCGCATCTTTCTCTTTCCCGGCCCATTGGCTTCCTGATTTCGCTGGTAGGTTACTTCTAGGCAAATCGATAGTGACTTCTTGCTAATCCAGTCTCTGTAGGAAATAATAGTCACCCTAACCTGTTCTCCCGTGATATCCTAGATCTACTTTATAGTAAGACTGGGAAACACCCGTACATCCGTGTGGGCGGCACATCTGCGTAATTAGCTCTGCCTGCTGACTGAAAATGTCTAAAGTGCTAATACCAAGTACTAGCGATCGAACGTACTATAATGCTTCGCAAGAGCAGTCAATCCAGGTGGAGACGGGTGCTAATGGCATTCCGTCAGCAGTTTATATTGGACCTGTTTACTTTGAAGCCTTTAATAATTTTCCAGGTTCATTGTGGAGCTTCCAGGCTAACCTTGCCAACAATGCAAGCTGGGGTCTCAACAACACCATGGAAGTGTGCAAACATGTAATGAACACGCTAAAAGGCGACCTGATTGACTTTGAGATTGGAAATGAGGTAGATCTCTACCCGTGTGCCGTTCGGTCCTGTGAGTATACCGTTTACGACTACCTTCAAGAGTGGACTACGTATGCGGATGCAATTTCAGAAACTGTCCTCAAAGGAAATCGGTATGGCCTCGATGAGCAAAGGTTCTTCCAAGCTCTGGTATTCGCCAACGCGCAATTAAAAACCTTCACCACGTCAGTTAAGACAAGGAAACTATTGAGATTATAACGCAGCTAATTCTGAAGAAGTCCTAACGCGTTTAATGGCGGCATTGACTTGACTGACCACGTCAAATCCGTTTCTCTACACCAGTAAGTCGTGATTATAGCATGCTGACCCGCATTTGCTAACACAGGGGGTAGCTATGCTGCTGGCAACCAGGGTTGGGTCAGACTTCAGGGTCAGTATTCGGTTTCTTTTCTTTTCTTTTTTCTACTATCTAACAATAGAGTCAGAAACTTTCATGAACCACACTGCTGTTGTGGCTAATCTTAGCATCTATTCGCCAGCAAATGAGTACTTGAAGACTAACTACCCTAACATCACTTTCTTGCTCGGGGAGACAAATAGTGATTACACTAATCTACTGATGAATCAAGTAGAGGGAGTTTTCGGTAGCTCGCTATGGCTGATTGACTACCTCATGTATGGAATGTCTCTGGCACGTCAACCCCCATTCTTTCTCGTGTTTTGGACACCATATATTAATAAAAAGTACAGAATATCACACGCTTCAATCTCATTCAAGGAACCACATTCGGATATACGGGTTGGGTTCCTGTACCCACTGGCAATATGCAACCCTATGTCAGACCACCACTGTATGGCCAAATCGTTGTGGCCGACGTAATTGGCCATAATCCCTACGTTCAAATTTTGCCCATCGATCTCGGCCCTGAGCTCTGGAAATTCTCTGCGTATGGTGTTTACGAGTCATCAAAGTTGAACAAATACGTGCTCATCAATCTTGACGAGTGGAATTCCACTACTAGATACCCTCGTCCAAGCCAACAGATTAAGTTGAACTTTCCCTCTGGAGTAAAGGTTGCCAAAGTGCAGAGGCTTCTTGGAGCAGGAGCTAGCGCAGACTCGGGTATTTCGTGGGGTGGGCTCAGCTGGAACTATACCCATGGGCGGCTCACACAGTCGGGTAGACCCCATAATGAGGTGTTACGCATTTCAAAAGGAATGGCTAAGTTGACAATTCCATCCACAGAAGCCGTTGTCGTGACATTGGATGAGTAGATAGTTTCTATGCCCGTTGGGGACAAAAACATCCGTTGATATCCTCTGTCCACAAAAACCGTAGAAATGACAGATATAATTTAAGAATATGAATAGGAAATTAGTGTATACAGATGAGTTTCCACTTAAGCCTTCATGCCACTTTCTATTACCGCCAATCACCCAATCCGTTCTCCTATAGAGACAGGGTATTGGTTCACGCCGTGAATTTTACCTTGATCTTGGAGAATTTGGATGGTTTGGTTGATGCCAAATTCGTGAGTGGTAGCGAAATCTCAAATATAGTGAGTCAAGGTACACGTTATATGAGATAACAAACATCACTTACCAAATACCTGCCTAGTGGAACAAATCACACTTCCCCAGCTGATAAATGTCTCACTGTCACTTAGGTATAATGTCTCAAGCCCTATCCAGTAGCCATAGAATTCTCCGGGGGCATGCTCTGGTGCGAATTGAAGAGGGGCTGATTTAAGGTCCGTGTTAGTAAATATGCGGAATCAAGCTGAGCATAGCTTGTGCACAACATACCATTTGCCAGATTGAATAGCCACTTAAGGGCCCCATGAGGAAGCAGAGTATAACCGAGCAACTGAGTATAACATGAGCATAAGACATCGTTACCGTCTAGAAAAATTATACCTCTTCTTCGGCAGTAAGAGTTCCAGCTCCTGGAAAGTCAAAAGTGGCAGTTCGTGTAGCGCCAGGCACATTATCTACGCCGGTAGTACTAGTAAAAGTAGCTCCCAAAAAGGTCCCATTAAAAACTTCAAACATTAGCCAATGTAAAATAGCACGAGGATATACATGTCTTATTTACAATCTCCAATGATCGAGCTAACAGCACCTGCGTTAGCCCCAATCGTAGCATAGGTAGTGCCACTGGATTTAATAAACCCATTTGGACAGCTGTACGCATTGGGGTCCGGCAGCTGAGCAGAAGCCAATATGCTTGCTAAGAGCAGAGAGATCGATTTTAATGTATTCAACTTCATACTGAATGAGCAGTCTTGGTGTCATGAGAATTTCTTTTTCCTTTAAATCGAAAAATGTTTTATCGGTGTGGAATTACGCTTTTTATACCCTATACTCCAGGCCGCTAAGACCTGACTTACAGCTGATAGTTGCGACAGTTGTATGCGATAAAGAATCGCAGAGCTGTATTGATCACTGGATAATCAATTACGGTGGGTTGCGGGACTACTATGATTAGTAAAGTCATATCCCACATCGCTCTAATCCGCATCCCGCATCATCCCAGATCACACCGCCACCCCATCCCACATCTCTTCTGGGGCTATATCCCACAATCTCTTACAGTAATCGATTTGTTTTCTTCTTGGTGAATGTCCTAGCCCCCTAATATGATCTTTTTGAAGCTTTTTATCAGCTTTCACAATTCCACGATGACAAGGTTCCAATGCCAATACCCCAGCTGCAATCGCTCGTATCTCAGAAAAGAGCACCTCTCACGCCATCAGAGAGATCATACTGATCTCCGCCAATTCACATGCCATTTTTGTCAATCAAAGTTCAACAGAAGGTAATACGCTTGATCCAGAAGCTCCAAATAGAAGTGAATGGTTGTAAACGCCTTTCATCTAGGGACCTTCTAAAGCGCCATACCATACTGAGTCACAGCAGCTCAAGGCGCCGACCTGTTGCATCACGATCTAAGTGCTTCATAAGTTCAGACCTTGTAAATGCAGTTGGTGATTGCCTGAAGACAGCAGCTCCTAACCATGAGCGATATGATCTTCATGTGAGTAATCAGGGAGTGCCAGCGGACTCAACTCTATTGCTCCTTGAGACGCCACACCAAGAACTGCTCACGGAACTCTATTTTCGCAATTTCCATGGGCATTGGCCTCTTTTGCATCAACAGACATTTCGAAGCACGCCGCAGCCACCAAAGATTATGCAAGCTGTCTTGGTTGTAGGTCTGTGGACTGCGCCCGAAACACGCTGTCAGGCGAGAATATTTCACGACGCAATACTTCGACGCCTTGACAGGGATCTTGTGGGATATTCTCTTCCCTAAACTCCCTATGAATGGTTTATTTACTAAACATTACTAATAGTTCAACGTCAAAAAGGGCTACGATTTACCTCGACCTCCTCGACAAGAATATCTGCCGGATCTTCAAGCCCTCACAATTTCACTCGTTCTAGCGGTATATAGAGGAGCAGATACGTTTCCGTCGTCTATGATTAATAGCAAGCATCTTTGTCAACTTTTTCAAGGAACCGGTATTTTCGACCAGGAAAGAATTGATGCCGAGAATATTAGCCCGGTAGCTCGGGAGCAATATCAACGGTGCGTCGAGTGATATTCTGGTTATAACATTAAACTAAGATGCTTAGGCTCGCTCTTGTCCTCTTTAAGGTACAAGTTCATTTAAATTCTCTCCTGATCAACAATTTCCCTCAGTTCAAGCCTTTTGAGTACCTCACGCCACAGATGCTTAATGTCCGAGTCCCATCGCCGGAGAAAATATGGGAAGGAAATGTTAGTCAGTTATTTGAAGGTAATGAACGCAATATCTTAGTTAGAAATATTTTCCTAGATTGCGTAGGATCCGACGGCTCTAAAACCTTGTCGCTAGTGATTGCATGGGATTTTACACTGGGAATGGTCCTTGGCTGTTTCTTGACAAGGCATCCTGAAGAGAGCTATGTTACATTGATAAATAGAACAACACCATTTTTACTTCTTCATATAAAACAATCAGAGCTTTCATTGCTTGATTGAATGAGTATATAGAGAATATATGTCTTGGAGCTTTCATAAATAATAACCAGATGATTAAAATGTATTGCTCCCTAGCATATAGATATATAGATTCTCTATGTCGGCGACGGCGACAGATTGTTCTTCTGCGTTTTATACTTTATATGCATATTTACTTTTACAATCAAAAGCTCATCATTTACCTGATATATTAACTTATTCATACACGCATGCAACTGGTCTATAGCTTAGGTCTTTTTCGGCGATTATTACAGCCAAGGAGATATGCATGGAAGACTAAGCTACTCCTTTTAATTCTTTTAATCAAAGGTAATTGTCTACCGAGTCACCTATTGGTATACGCCCCGCCAGAGGTCATTCTATAACGGTCGTTATTGATGTCAAGGCTAAGATTCGAGATCGGTTCCTGCCGTATTCACGTATAGTGCCGATATTGCAAAGTTTACTGTCGCCTCTTTACCCTTGATGAAGGAGAGAAAGAGTTTTATATCACTTAATAATAAGAGAGCACTATAAATATAGTCCGACTCTCATACTTGCTTTTTTGATTTCATATGTCCATTCTTCAGCAGTATATAGAACTGCTTGCGGCTATTGAGATAGATAGGCTTGTGATGTTTTTGTGATATTTGTTTGAGCTATGGCTAAAGATGTTATAGCAATGCGATATTATTAAATATTTCTTCTCATTATTTTTTTTTTTTTGAATGCACGTGCTCTATTAAGAAATCCACAACACGAAATAAAATATTATCGGCAAGAAGAGTTCTACCGTACCTATTTATAGATTGCCAACGTACTAAGTTCATACATTCCACATCCCTTGTCTGACTTTATACTAAATAGGGATATAGAATGCGAAGAGTTGCATTTAGTTCAATTAATAGACGCAGTGGAATCCTACTATAATATTTCGAAGTATAAATGGGCCATGGACTGGCCACTTGATCTGCCCTAAATGCCATTTTATATATTGGCATATACAAAGATGGCTAACTTAACAGTCACCTCTGGTAACTTAGCGGCGGAAACTTTGCATTGTAACTTTACTAGCATTGAAGCATTCTTTAATTACTCAACGGAACATGGTCTCAATATTACGGCAGAAATTGAACAGTGTCCCAATCTATGTATCCTCACGTTTGGTACAGGAAATCCAGACTTGTCTGGAATTGGAGTATGCGGCTTTTTATGACCCCACGCTGCGAATATTGCCAGATACTAATGATTAAACATGCTGACAGATGATGTACGCTTATTCATTCCAAGTCGCATTAACCATCATTTTCGGGCCAGTTCTACGTGGCCTTGATATCTTTGACAACAGTCTTCCCCAATGGGATGTGTTCTATCTGAGGAAACTCTTCAAGGAGATTATTGACGTGCAAACAATTTTTTGGGAATCAAATGGGTTTCTCATTATGGCGTCTGCAGTGGCAACGCTAGTTCGCATGGGCCAACATCCTACGATTTTCGAAATCGCCGAGATGCAAATCTTGAACTTTGTACAGCTTAACTCTCTGTTAGTCATATTCTTCTGTCTCATTCACCCCATTGCCAGATGGTGGCAACGTTTCTTACAATTCCTTTTGGGCTTCGCTCTGGCCACTGCTGCTTTATCCCAAAGCCAACTATCAGGACATTCGGAGACGGACTGGCTGCAGGCAAGCTTAGGCTGCCAGAACGAACCAGCTTTCCGCAAGGTAACACCAGTGCCATATAACAAAGCCGTAGTGTACGCGGCTGCCGGCCTGTGTATATTGTCATTCTTTGCGCAGACCACCACCACGGTGTTCCCTCGCATCCAGCAACGGCCGAGCTTGCGCAGGGTCTTGGCTATTCTGACGGTCGTGTGGAGTCTGCTGACAACACTATCTCTTGTTGGCATGGTGTGGGGGCTAGTCAAGCTCTGGGGTCAGAGAAGTGAGCTCATTAAGGTAGCAGGACCTGAATTTGAGGATAACGAATGGGGCTTTGGTCAAGTTGCCGCACTCTTTACCTGGTTGCCAATTCCCGTGGAGATCTCGTACAAGCTGAATGGTATGTCCGAGTTGAATACATTGTTACCAAGCGTCTCAGTATCCTGACATTAATGTCGCTCCTAGATTGGATGAAAGAGCAATCCAGTACATGGTCTCGGTTCCAAGCCGTTGCCGCGCCATATGGCGAGTCAAGAAACGATGACAGGCAAGGCGAGCACGTAGCGATGGCGCCAGCGACTACAGCCAATAAAGGGGGAACCGTAGCACAAATACGCTCACAAGGCTCAGGCGATGGATCCGTGTGAAGAGGGAAATGCAAGGGAGTCACTACGCATAATGAATGAGGGAAATCCAGCCCCAGGCAAATGTATTTATAGAAACACGACGGCTATATACAAGATACTACGAGAATCCACTCATCTCTCATAGCCGAATAACGAGCCGTGACACCAGCATGAATTTGCGCATCTAGTTCTGAATTGCATATTTATTATAGCCCTGAACCATGCAACTCGAGAACCCGCGTGGAGTTCTGATCTGAAGGTGGAATTGGTATAACGTCTTGCTAGCCCTTCAATGAACCGCTACGTCTCGCATAAAAAGGTCAGAACAAGCAAATCGAAACGGTCTCGTACAGTTTGAATCAATCCTATTTTCGTATGTTTGATAGCTGAGGAATAAATAGTGCACTTCGGTTTGGTATGAGGTATGATCTACAGAAAGTCGCATGTATTAATAAATGCCCATATGGCGTGCTACTCATACTCCGCTAGAGGTCGCCTGATCGCGAATGTCACTAATGCCAACTCATTCATTAGCCTCACACGTTACTCCCAACATCTCAACAAATACCACCCCTTTATAGGTGTAGTGAGCTTCTGTAGCCTAGTCTGATGTTAGGTTAATCCTTGAGTCCGTCCGAAACAGTTTGTCATTAACCGCACTACAAGGGCCGGCCGCTTCCATATCGTTGGGTAAGCTTTCAATGGGGCATCAATCATAGGACACTACGTACATATAAAGATACAAGGCACCTAACTAACTACTTAGGCAACTAGGTATACAGATATGTGCATGGACATCAGTGCGGCCTATCCTGAATCTGGTCCCCATATTTTTTTTCCCCCAACAGGGCGCTGCAATCCTCTGCCGCTATGGGTTGCGTATCCCAAATAACTCGGTGGAGCAAAAGAACCGTCGTGAGACTCGCAACCATGTTGGTAGAATCAACTGCTAGTAGTGGCTATGTAATGGTTATAAGATCTTCATACTGGTGGTTTCGGCCTGGCATCGCACAAAATATGTCGGCATTAAATACAGTAACACCGGTGTTTTCTACTATTCACCTTACACAGAACGACCGAAAGGCACAGCGTGACCGTAAACAGTTTGAACCGTTCAGAAGATGGCTCTTGCTAACAGATGTAGAAACCATAGCAGTGTCTTTCCTTACGTTAGGATTTAAAACTAGGTTTTCTCTGACACTTGAATAAGTTCTAATAGTTCCGTCGTGTGAGCAGCATACCTTTCCAATAAAAGCTATATCCAATGATATACTCTATTCTTCAAGCTCAATTCGCCTTGCTCCCAAAAGCCGTTATCTTCGACAATAGCAATAAATCCCACAAGACAGTCTGGTTTCACGTCCGCTAGCCTTAATCGCATTGGTCTAAGCAGTCGACTCCTCTCGTAGCCCTACATTACGCTTCCCAATCCCCTCCCCTGATATAAATATTCCGAGTTTGATAGCATCGTCGAAGCATATCCCAAAATATCCGGGCCATGTATCACTAGCGCCAGAAACGTAATGCAGCTACCATTTCCATGACTGCCGAGGAGATTATAAACACACTGAACCATTTCCAGTCCACAACGTGTTTTTGGCGAGCTACAGAAATTACACATGTTGATGTTCGGTTTAAGGTATTAGCAGTAGCTGTGCTTCCCAGCATGGTCGCGGGCGAGAAACTGCCGTACCAGTAGGTGTTTATTACTTGCTGGAGGCGCCTGGTAACTTGCTCAGTCGTTATCACCTTAGAAATTCGCGCCCGCAATTCCGGCTAAGTCTCTAGTCTTGGGATCAGAAAGAAAAAAATTCGATGGGACTGCTGGTATCGTCGTGTAGGTCTTGGCCAACTGAGGGGATGAGATTCTTGCTAAATTTCTTGAAAGTTGCGGCAAAGCTAAGGCCTGTGGAGTTGCTGTTCGGATGATCTTGCCTAAATGGCCGAATTGCTTCAACGACACAATCTATACCAGAACAAAAGATAGAGGATTCGACATAGGGTACGTTTATGGGGCATCGGGCACGTACACGGAGAGGGGTTACAGTCGCAATGGACTGAAAGGAAACTATTCCAGCAGGGAAGTCGAATAGAGTTCCGTTTCCAAACATAGAGACAGCACCGTGAGTTCTCCATATTGTGCTATCGTAGAAGCCATTCATGCAAATAGTAAAAGAACCCGTGGATGTTTCACACAAAGTCGCATTCCACCACTGGGCCGCGTGATTGGCGACGATTGAGGAAGCAGTCTGGTTGGATGGAATAATAGATGTAGGGCGTGGATCAGCTGCCACCTCAGTACAGTTTTAAGATAAATATGCGGTCTCTATACTGAAGGTGGTAATGACCTCAAATGATAATCCAAGAACCGGTATACCAAGTAGTGATGAGTAAACTACACGACTTGAGTCATCGCGCGTCAGCCAACCGTCATTGCGAGGAGTCGGCAAAGATTTTGTAAGATGGGGTATTTTAACCCTACCCCATGGATCACTGTCCGAGTTTCACATCGAAATCGGCTCCAGGAGACAAGCGTTATGTAAAGCGTTCAAAGTCGGTACTGCAAATTGATCACCGGAGGAGAACTGGGTGTTTCCGATCATATTTTAGGATGGGTGGGTTCTATATACATGGAGTAGGAAATGTGACCACTTTGGTAGGATTGTTAGAGGCTCCGCTATTAATAGCCATGAAAGATGTGTCATTTGGCGATGTAAATCCGGTACTGGTCTTTTGTATTCATTGGCACATTTTCATCGACTCCATTACTGATCGGAGCTTTCATTCTCACCGACTGGAGTGAAACTGTGACGCAAGCGCACGGTAAGCAGCAAGTAATAACAAGGGCTACAGCTGAAACATAGGAACGCAGCAATGAAGCATGGAAACTCAGCGTGAGGATTTATTGGTCGCCCGCATCGAGACTATTGAGTTAAATTCAGTAAGGGTTTCCATATTCCTTCCTTCTAAAAATACTAGGATTGACATCAGGACTTAATTATTAATCGACGGATCAAGTAATGCTACGATCGTTGCGTTTGACTTTGTACACCGAGGATTATGTTACGTTTGTAGGTATATGTAGATAGATGTAACATGCAGAACAGCCATCAAGGAGATCAAAACAATATGCGGCGACAAAGCGGCGAAGCATGAGATCTCAAGGTACTGCATAATAGGTAGTACATGCACCTAGACAGGAACCCTAATAACTACCTAAGAATAAATCCTATACAACCCCCCTATTGGATGTTAATGCAGTTTCTTGGCAAAGATGCACTGTATTCGGTTAGTGTAGAGGTCTGCGACATCCAATCGTGGGCACTAATGTTCCAGGCGCTGACAATCAGCGTAAGCAACGATTATGCAACCGCCTTTGAGTGCTGCGCGCTTTTTGGTTAGGTACCTAGTCAAAGAATCGCCGATATCAAGTAGATTCGTAAGAGCTAGACTACTGCTTAAACTCGCACAAGGTATCCTATTCTGTAAGTTTCTTTTCCCCTAATATTTTGCATTATACATTTTTTGTATTTCTCAGAGTACCCGCCACAAATGGGTTCTAATCAACATCCTAGGGGCTGCGGGACGTGTCGCAGAAGGAAAATCCGGGTAAGCCTTGAATCACTGCAATTGCGTTTGCCTTGACTGACTAGAGGATTGGCAGTGTGACCTTGGATTTCCGGAGTGCCAGCGCTGCTTTACTACTGGCAGGCAGTGTTTAGGTTATGATCGCAAGTACAACTTTAATATAACGACCAGTAGTAATTGGCCAAAGGGCGGAAGTATTGATAAGACACGTCGTGCTGACGAGCGTCCGGCCAGTAGGCCTGGTCATGTTATCAGCCAGACAAGCGGTTACGCTGAACCAGGCTTTCAAGCCCCGCTATGTATGCAATTGGGGCAAACTGCAGTGGTTTGTGATGCCTTTTCCGGCGTTTTCTTGGATCTGCTCTTCCCCAAGAAGACGAATCAGCAGCAATATGTCAATTCTCCTGATGGTTGGATAAGCTCCTTGGCTACGTTGCTTAATGGTCGCAATGAAACTCTGAATCAAGGACTGCTTACGTTGTATACGGGATTCGTTAGCCGAAAAAATGGTGACGCTGCACTCATCAACCGCTCAGCAGAGCTTTACTCGAATGGACTCCACGCTCTGCGGGGAAGCGATATAATATGGGTCAGACAAAAGCCATCTCCCATGGATATCGGATCCACCCTAGCGAGTATCATAATTTTCTCGCGTGTTGAGCTTCTAGCCGGTGAAGGGGCGAATGGGGGTTACATGGCCCATATCAAGGGTGGTTTGCATCTCGTGCAACGGTTCGGCGCAAGTTTTCCATGTAGCGATTTGACGAGGGTTCTTGTTCAGAGGCTTCGCTATCTTGGTGTACGTTCATCTCTCAAATATTTGGCATCTCCGTTGCTCATATCCTCGGCAGTTTTACGATGCTGCGAGACACAGACGAGGATTCTTTGTGTCATGCACCATACAATACCCTTTGCCTAGCCAAGAAGGAAGATCCAAATTATCTAACGCACAAGGCCATCGAAGCAGTTATAGCATTGCCTACAATATGCGAGTATGCAGATAGATTGGACGCTATTGTCTTTCTAACTGAGAGGAAAGTGCAGCGAGGCCTCCTTGCGACTCGATATCTACTCAGCCATGCATCCGTAATGGAGCGCAACCTAGATCGATGGCTTCGAGAAATGGCTGCTGTTACACCATGTCCTATTGCAACAGCAGTTCCAGACGGTGATATTGCTCAGCCGCAGGTGGTAGGTATTGCTGCTGCTCAAGCCAACGACCTTTGGATGCTCCATTGGTCATTAGAAATCCGCTTCAATTTGCTCATCAAGCAGTTACAAACCCGATTTACAAGCTTGTCAGCACTTTTTTCCGATCCCGTTCAACTACCCGGTAGATTAACAAGCCTTGGCAAAGATTACAGCATTTTAGATCTTTTTGCCAATTATATCAAAAGAACACTAGCTAGGGGTCTAGGAGATAATACACTCCAAGTCCAGGGTGCTATGGCATACTTCTTTAATCTTCATTGGTATTGGGAACAAAGAGGCAATGCCGAACAGAAAAATTGGTGCTTACAGAGACTTCAAGACATGACAAACAATCAGCGCTTAGCGCTTGATGTTCAAGTAGTAAAGGACCCCCAGAAACGCCCTTCTCTGTCTGCGGCATTCTTTGCAGATGATTTTATATAACTCTTCGCTCATCTTTCAATTTATTTATTGACTGAGGTATAAATTAGTTAGCGTATGACGAGTTAGTCAGACTACGGTATAGGGTACTGAAAGTATACTACTGCAACAGTGAAAACATACAACATCAAGCTCAGCCTGCGCGCGACAGCAATCTTTAGTGTAACTCATTTGATAATCCTCAGAACGCCCTAGTACATTGAATTGGATTAATATCGGACTATTGTTGAAAATGATAAAAAGCCATGGAGATTACCCGTAATTGTTTGCTGACAGTTGTCGAATAAAGACATTATTAAAGATCCCGAGACTTGTTGTGGAGTGTATAATGGAAATACTAAGCTGCTGCTATTGAGTCTATGAGATTCGCTTTACTTTGATCAGTCTTAACATCAGCAGCATGTCCAACTAGGTTTTGGGAATACATTACATCTATTGACGCAATCAAAGTCCACATGGAGAAATATGTCAAACTCCAACAACCTTTGTCTCGTCGATTGTTCGAAAATGCTCCTGTTACTATAATGGCATTAGATCGGAATAAGAATGTCACAATTTCCAGCAACGGTAATAAGGGTGGACGAAAAGTTAAGTGTAGATGACAATCAACAAGCTTTAAATAGCATCCCATTCAATACTGATCCTATTCTCGGAGTGGCGTGCATTTATTGGTAGATTTATTCGAACTGGCGTGATTCAAAGCCCGCGTACCGAATTAATTTAAGTAGTGCTGTTAGACTCAGCCATTCCTACCGTCATGGGAAGGTCTCCAGTGGAAAATGTGCGTTAATGACCTTCTCTTCCGCCCGATCAAATTATTTTTCGGCCTCTTAGCTGTCTATTAATCCAATTGGCCACTTGTAGACAATAAATGGTCACCTTGCACTTTGAGGAGCTGTGGCAAAGATCACTGGAAAATAGGGTTTGGTGATTCAAGGGCAAGGCAATGTGCTTTGATAAGGACCGACCTTTAAATATTGCTCCAGATAGATGCAAAATTGGACGCGAGTAGAATGTAGTGCGGCCTGTGAGATATAAGCGTCCGAAGAATAGAAGAGGTATGCTTGAGCAATCTGGTCACCCATGGCAGATTAGGACGGTGCTTCTGTTGGTCTTATTGCCGATTGACTTCTGCCCAGAAACTGATGTTGGAGGGCTATCATGCTCGTAAAGATGGTGGCAACATTGTCCTTAATATGATACAATATACTGCCAACTTTGACGTAATTCACGAGGAGTCGGCTGAAAGTAGGACAAATTAGAAACTACCAAAGTCCCTAGCGAGCTAGGTACCCTGGCCGAATATGTTATCACAGCCGGAGATGTATGATATTGGGCAGTAGCAAATCTGTTGGAGATGGCAATATTACACAGAAAAGGCTTGTTTTCGATGACATAGAGTGTGTGTTCTCTCACCCGGACGTTAATAAGTCCGAGGACGCTGCGTCAAAAACACTAACATTCAAGGCTATCGCTATTGAGAAACGTACAAAACAAATCAATTATCAATATGCTTCATTGGAGACTATTTTAGTCCTCCGCTAAGCAGTATGCTCTGGCCTGTCATATACCCAGTCTTGCACAGCATTATGACTACATTCGCGACCTCTTCCGGCCTACCGAGTCGCCCAACAGGTATATTCCGTACATCACCTGGTGTGCCCTCGACAAATTGAGCATCTGGAATCATACGTGTGCCCCCAATCATCGCAGGGGCAATATCGTTGATGGTGATTCCGTCTTGCGCGTGTTTGAGAGCCAGATTCTTCACCATACCCATCAATCCCGCTTTGGATGCTGCATAGTGACAGCCGTTGATTCCTCCTCCGTAGCCTGCAATGCTTCCCATCAAAATGATTCGCCCCCAGCCTTTCTCCTTCATGCGTGGTATAGCTAGTTTACATAATATGAATGATGCTGTCAAGTTCACGCGAATTGTATACTCCCATTCATCGAGACTGATATCTTCAAGATTCGGGATGCGTTTCCCATGACCGGCATTCGAGACGAGAATATCAGGAAATTGTCCATGCTTAATCTTGATATGGTCAAAAACTCGGTCAATTTGCTCAGGAGAAACCATGTCGACTTGATGAGTAGAGACCTTTGGCCGGCCGAATCGCTCTGGTAGCTCAATCTTACTTAGCTCATCGACGAGGCGGTCGGCATCACCTTTCGATGACGAATAGGTAAGAGTAAGGTGCACACCCTGGCGATATAGAACATCGGCACAAGCTTTGCCGATCCTGACATAAATAAGAGACATGAGCGATTATCGATGCACGTAAGTCAAGATCAGGTTTCGTTTAGTGAAACCTACCCGCCAGATGCTCCCGTGATCAAGGCGAGTTTGCCTTGTAGTTCGTCGATGGATGTCATTTTTTTAATGCAAATGATTTGAAAAGGAGATAGACTAAATGGCAGAATCTAGCCTTCCCATGTAGGTAGTTCATACGGAATCGGCTGCTTTAAGAATGACAGGCGATTTGGATGTGCCATGGACCATAGTCGCCCCCGCACCCAGCCACCGAACTAGAGAGGAAATCGAGGACGAAGTATTGCCGCTCCCCCACTGCGGAGCAAGGAAGCTACGTCCGGCAGACGAAGTTTGCAGAATCTATGAGATGTCGATTGAGGAAGCTGATGGCGAGGTCAGGTTACCACTTTGAGTGCATGTTCTCGAATTCAGGGTAGAATGACCACGAACTTACGAACGCCAGTTTTCTTCTCCATAGATTCTTCGTTTTTGTCCTGTTCACATCAAAATTGCACTTTCGTTTAGGTATGATAAATAAATTGATTGAATAGTACCACAGTGTTGCACCCTTAAGATGCTCGTTATATCATTGCGATTCGCTCCTTAGGGCACTGTACAGCTTCTGTTTAAACGAGACAAATACATGTACCCTTCAAACATGTAGAGTAAGATGATGCATGCCTTAGTTTTCAAGAGGAATCTCTCGGTGAAATTAGATCAACGATGTATTCCTAAAATGCAGCATAGTGAAGATATCAATATCATGGCCGGATATCTACATGTTTCTCCTTCAAACCTGTGTGCATAATCTTATCTAATCTACTATTAATCCAACGGGCTTCATGTATTTGCAGAGCTGACGCAGGGAATCACCGTAAATGCTTGAGCGCTTTAGCTATTATCTTGAACCGTGATAATTCGTATCACGATATAGGTTTACCGTATTAAAGGCTGCTCATACCAGCATCACATGACATATATCGCGAAAGCAGCAGGCATATTCTGTACAGCTATGAACGGGCACACCTTCCACAGATCCTACGCATCATCAACAGGGATGCCATCCAAATCATATGATGATAAAATGCTGCAGCACCGTCCGATTTCAAGAGGTAATTATTCAGTGCTGACAATGGTGAGCGTGGCACTTGACTTGTGCTAAGCGAGATTGCGATGCTTTTCGTCATATCTCGCGTTACAGTTCCCAACTTCGTGAGCTCTTAATTACAATTTGTCACACGATCTAGGAGACAGTCTGATGTGTTAATAATATGAGTGAATCAACGCCACTCGGCAAGTTTGAATCAGGATCCACAGCATCAGAAATACGTTGCAAACATACTAGTTTCTCAACCGGACGGCTGTTTACATATACGCCGCCGTCAAGGATGGCAAAGTCTGATTGTTCTGAAGATTCGGACTAGACTCGGACTTATCACGAATCCCCTTTACCTTAACAACATTGAGCAGCTAAACCGGGTCTTCACATGGGAGATTTTCAGAACATGTGAAGCTATTGGACGCATTGTGATGTTCTTCTGTCCCCATCGATCAGTTGTTCTATCTGCTCGTCAAGAAGAAATACTAGCTAGCCATTTCATGTATGCACTGAGTCAAGTGACAGTCGACACAACAGCGGATATTTGTCTATAGAAGGATTGAACCAGACTAATTCGACGCTGTATCCTCCTTATTCAACATTGTGCTTCCGACAATGCGTGCATCCTGGAACCGCACCTACCCATCTAACCCATCGCTGTTGGGGTAACAAGTTTGGGGCAGCAGATGTGCATCCGCTTGTCACTAATCTGCTTCTATAAATAGACCGGCGGCTTCGTTTAGGGAATGTAAACATAAGAGCAAGTCATACCTTTCTAATTTTGACAGTTGAAGCTTCTAGTAGCATGTGGAAATGATTACGGTCTGATCTAGACATGTCTTCTTGTAAGGTCTTAATTACTAAAGGACCAAGCTCAATTCACTTCAGGCGACCAAGACGGAGATTGTGTCCCGGAATTTAAAGTATGCACTCCTCAGAATGAGGAAGCTAGCTTATTAGGTCGCTTTCGCCTCTCCCAGAATGGCGATACATTCCCGCCCTATGTTTGTTCAAAAAGTCGGTGTATGCTCGTCCATCCACCGACTATAGGTGTGCCGGCGCAAATGGCTCGGAGTATATGACCTTCTTAATATTGCCACTGACAATGCATGCTTCTTTCGTCATAGAGTTGCTTAGAATCTAGATTGTGATGATCATGTCTGGCATGGGTTTTGGTCAATATGGCAGAGGTAGAATCCTCGGTTTCGATCTACCCTGATGCTCCCTCGTGCATTGATTTGCGTCTGGAGCCTTGATGGCTCTATGGATGAATTGGCATACGGTATGGGAACTAGAAGGTTTTCAGAATGAGGTGCACATGAGCAATGCCAAACTACGAAACGTGAGCATTAGTCTTACTGCTTGACAAAGCACACAAAACGGGGCCATGATACCCCGGCAGCGCAATCGTCAGACGCCCTAAGCAAGGATGAAATTTGGCTTATATAACCTTCACTTTGAGCTGCCTGGTACAGAAATAGGTCTTTCGAAGTAATTTTTAATATTCTTATACCTTTACGACAGTATTGTTATCACCGGGTTGGTTGGACTGTGCTACCATTTACCAATCTTGACATTGAGGATCGAGTACTCCGTACACAATCCATAATCCCACAGAATGGAATATGATATGCGTGGCATTGGCCTCATCAATATCATTTTTGTAGAAAGACTTAAAGAAAATCGATATCTATGGCAGAAATCAGACGTCGTGGCGTCGGTGAGATAATGTGGCAAACGACCTGGTAGCCTTTACCGGAACAACGATTCATACAAACTGTTAGGTAAGTGGCAAGTAACACCCAAAAAGCCAAAAATTATAGCTAATAGCAGCTTAGTAATATCGTTGTTGCTGGATGGTTTTCCTCACGTCAAATATGTGCTTGAATGGTATGTAAAAGCAGATATAAACATGTTTCTAGTTTTTGCCATCTTATTAATACATCATGACTAGATATATAACATCAAATACTGCGCTAACACGCTCAACTACTCATCAATTTGAATTGTTCGCATGAACATTAAGGGGGTTGATATATGTATACTTAAACTTACGCTTTCTAATACATGTCATATTTTACATAATCTTTAATATGTAATTGGAATGAGATCAAGGTGGAGGGGCCCAAGAGGACAGCTATGCCCTTACATGGATAATTTCGCTAGGTGCGAATGCGGCAGGCTTCTATTAACACATAAAGTTAGTAAGGTTAACTATATCTCTGCCATTCACTTTCTAAAGCCTTACTAAGGATTGCTTTCATATCTTAAGAAAAAGGAAAGAAGAGGAAAGGAAAATTAGCTGGACCGTGAGAAACATAATCGGAACTGTCCAGAGTAAAGTAGACTCAGTTACATCCTATAATATATTAAAGCAACGGTGCATTGACAACGGTGCATCGCAAACGTCGTTGGTGAGATTGTACCTTCATATTTCAGGTGACGTTACTTTGCCCTGTTGATGATATCAAGGAGCGTCTTTGGCAAGTGGTCTGTGAGAGAATAGGCGAGACGGTAATTGCAAAGATCAATATGCCCGCGTGTGAGATCCGTTATAAAACTGTGCAGCAAAAGGACTATTACATAGCAAAGATTTTCGATATACATATATCTCCGGTTATTATTTTTCCATTACCAAACATGGTGAACTACAATACGAGTTTAATTTTCTCTGGTATTTATTACAGTGGCTGATAGATTACTCGATATATAAATCTTGTAAATACACAAGTTACCCAAGAAGAGGAAACCAGGCGAGTTATCATAGTATAAACAATTTTTAATTAAATGCAATGAACATGCATTTATTACATTTCCGAAGAGCTATTGACCACGTTGATTGGGAGTATATGCTAGTGAACCAGTTGCTTGTTACACCCCGACTTTTCCACTCAGTATGATGCTGCTATATTGAGATATGCAACACATCGCTTGTCAGTAAGCTACATCGGGCCGATTAAGTTTCCCAAACTGCGGCGGTTCAAAAAGTTTAAATGTAACATACTTTATTTTAGGCAGCTGGTTAAATACGCGATGGTAGAATATTGTTCCTCTATACAAACAGTCCCCCGGCAGACAAATCCAGTGGATTCCATCGGGGCATTAACTGGCCGCGTCTAATTTTTATTGTTCCGGAATTCCTTAACCTGGCATTTTACAGATAAAGTTATCGGCGAAGCATAATATTGCAAAACTATAAATTAGACTCCCTATTGCTGTGGAACTGATCATTTTCACCCTCGATTTTCACATTTATAGATCAACCACCTTATTTTCTCTTGTAATCGAAGAAGCCCACTTCAGAATGCGCTCTAATTTCTTTGCTCTGGCTCTTGCCGGTGTCGGTGTCAGTTCTGTAGCCGCTAATCCCGCGGACCTCACTGCAGACCAGGCCACAGCTCTCCTCAAGGGTGTCATTGATTCACTTCAAACTAACGGAGATCTTCGAGCCACTCTGCAGCAAACTACCCCAGAGTTCACTGAGCAGAACGCTGCTTCTCCTTATCAAGTGCGTTCTAAGAGAAACGGGGCGTAATTCGGGAGTGACTAACACTGAGGTCATAGAGTCTTGCCGATAGCTTCACCAGCACACTAAATCTCTTGCCCAACAAGAACGGCGATGTGAACATCGGCGGTGCCACTGCCGCACAAGCTGCTGAGATTTGTGCTTTGGTTCCTAAGTTCGTGGCTGCCGGCACTCATGCAGCCGACACACTTGGCAACCTACCAGGATTTGAAGACAGTTCTAGCGATGCACGGACGTCAGCAATTAACCTTGGCCTGGCATTGGATGGCTTAGGATGGCAGTTGAACATGTTTCACTGGGGCTTTATTAATTCCGGTGCGGCCGCTACTTGTGACCAGGCTACTCAAAATGCCTTTTACACTGTTCCTAACTTGCTCATGGATGCCGGCGATGCTATCTTGTACTAGAGTTGGTTGTTCAATGAAGTATAAAATCTGTAATTTGTTCAAATTGTAGATAGCAACGCAGGTTTATATCCGTATGATACATCACCTAAACGTTCTATCCAGCTCAAACTTTACATTACTTCTCTCTCTAGGTGCCTCTGTGTAGAGCCTGACTTATACTACTTCTCGTGACCTCTTGGATTCTACCATATGGCTATTTTTCCCGATTCGCTTCACCCTTCGGCTTCTCATTAAGAAGTGGTACGCTCCGACCACAGGTGGCAAGACCGGACTGTGCCACTCGTTTTTGGGCATTTGCGCTGCAACAATCGCAGTGCTATTGGTTCGCTGAATGCGGGGTAATGCATCCACCCCACCCCGTCCGTAATGCTATGCGACACACAGAATTGTGGTAACTTGGAGCGTGAGAGGAATTCCTTTAGAATTGGTATAACGCGGAGTTGATTAGCTGAGAAATGTTTGAGATGTTGTCTTGCTAAAGGATCAAGTATAATATGTGAGGAGAATACTGCTCATAATTTGCCTAGCTTTCTACAAGTGTATAATGATATCTATATTTCCAGCAAAGTAGTACTTTGAATGCGCTACTTACATCGTGGAAGAAAATAGCAGCAGTCGATATCAACGTGGTTACCATAATGATTTTAGAGTGATTAATGCTATCAAAGGAATAAGGTTGATTATGGGCTATACTAGTTGACTCAATTGTGACTTATCATTCGTGCAAGAGGAGTCATAGTCGTGAGTAGATTGTAGTTTAATTGTCGTTTGCGGTTGGCTCGGGCATTGTAGGTTACTCTTATCCTAGGTTATGACATACTTTGATACTCATTCATGTGTCAAGCAAATATGAATGGGAAAGCGGCGAGGCGTGTTTCCGGACAGTATTAATAGTATTAATATTGGAAGATATTGGATAAACATGTCGCTAGTTAGCTGTTGAGCCCCAGTGGCAAGAAAAACTCAAAAGTCTCTCCGCGATTGTGTTCGTGTTAATAAATGAACCAAAACCCTACTTCTTTCACCTGAAAGCCGCAGTAACCGACATACAGAGACCCTAAGCATTATGGAGAAGACAATCTGGGTTATCAGGGAAACAAAAGAGATGGAAGCTTAATGTTCCTATGGATCTGCTTCATTGCACCAGATTCTAAGGCGCCACTATGGATGGATTAGTAGAGATCTAGGGTAATTAAAAGCACTCAACTAGACCTAATAAGCCTTGGAGCTGTCTAATTTCGCCCCGCGTTCCCCAGACTCTATCTCTATGTGCTTAGGTGTTTTTCTTTTCTTTTAAATCTCCCTTGTGCAAGGCTGTCTCCAATTTCCTCTCAGTACCACATTGCCTGCAAAAGATGAGGCTGATCTCTACCAAAAATGTCCCCGCCAAGTAAACGACGAACTCTTTCTCCCTCGCTACAATGTCCTCACTGCACAAAAACGTTTTCTCGCCCGAGCCATCTCGACCGGCACCAACTTACCCATCTCCCCCCAAACCTTAAGGCCATCCTACCATGCCCTCGCTGTGACAAATCGTTTTCGAGACGTGACGTTTTATTTCGCCATCTGCGTGCCTGTCATCTGATTAAGCAGCCCAACGTCAAACGCTCGATGAGAAAATCATGCTATCGCTGTATCATCAAGAAGCGGAAATGCGAACGAGCACGGCCTTGTGGAGGCTGTGTTGAATCCCAGGTTCCGTGCGAGTACACGTCGCCAGGGTCTGGAAAATCGTTTTTTGAGAACATAGGCCTGTCGCAAAACTTTGGAGATGGCTCGCCGCAGCCTCCTTCAGCGCAAGGACGGCAAGGGCGGAATGATCTCGTCTTTGTTGGTATGTCATCGACATTGAGTCCATCTGAAGCCGCACAAGACGAATCGTTCCTGCAAACTCTGCAAACTCCAATATCCAATTCCGAGGATGAGCCCGCTGCGTCATCCAGCCACACAATGTCTCAAAATGGATCTTTTCATTCGATGCCCGCAGAATTTTCTCCTACGCTGCCGCCTACTTCAACCATATTTCGCGTCTCACAGTCTGTTACCGACGAGATATTTTCGCAAGCCAATCACTACATCCCCAGTAACGATGAAACGATGCCTCTGAATTTCCCGATTTCAAGTTTCCCTGATTTTCGAACGACCGGGCTTGATTGGCTCAGTGTTGATATGCCCAGTTTTGGTCTCAATTCTGAGCCATGGCCTGTCGCTGGTATTTCGAACAACCCCCATATTCGGTCACCAACTACTTCGAATCAATCAGGCCTTGATACGGAAAGAATCCCTTCGTCTCAGTTTTATCAACCTGTTAGTCCACCAACTGCCATAGGCCGAACAAGAGCCTCAGCGAATAGCCCCAACCTACACCCACTAGAATCCAGCTACGCAGGACAATCTTGGCCATTTGACCAAACCCGAGATTCACCTCCCCATAGGTATTCCCTCCCACCTCTGAGGGAAATTCTCAAAAACCCCTCGGGCAATCAAAATAAGCGTCTGGACAGTCTAATCTCGTTCCTATCTGACGGCTATCTTCCGAATCTGTCATTAGTAAAAGATAGTAATGCTTCGCAGGTATTTGGCGATTTGCACAGACTGCTTGATCTTTATTTCTCCCGATTTCATGACATTCAGCCCATTATCCACCGGCCAACTTGGAACATGTTTTCTTGTCCAACAGTTCTTCTCACTTCAATGGCTTGTGTGGGAGCGTTACTCTCAGATGATGAGCAGGATATAGAACTTTCATGGATGCTTAGTGAAATATGCTTGCCAATGATTTCATGGCTGGTAGGCCGCCCCATACGGAACAGGTTTAATGATCCCTGATGACGCGTGCTAACTTAGTCTAACATAGGGTGCTGCAGATGGAGGAAATTACCGCGATATATCTTACCTGAATGCACTGTGTCTGCACCAGATTTACTCTCTTGGGTCAGGCAATAGGCAGCTCTATCAAAATGCTGACCGTTCTAGAGGTGTTCTCATTGGAAGTTTGCGAGGCATGGGCCTTCTAGGCTCCTCGTCTTGGGGAATCATGGACGATACTCAAGACAGTACTGAGTTGCCAGAGGTGGAACACGACATGGGGCTTCTGCATCGTCATTGGTTATCTTGGATTAGCCAAGAACACGAACGCAGAGCGGCTTGGGCCGCATTCGAATACGATTGCAGCCTCTGTACTCTCACCAGCCGTCGAGGAGCTATTGACCTCAGTGAACTGCCTCGAAAGTTACCTTGCAATGAATCATTGTGGAGTGCAACCTCCGCGCAGGCTTGGCTGGCTCTTCGATCACATTTAAATATCACTCCAATCCTTTCGGATACTTTGAAAGCGATATTTTCGGGGAAACAGATAAATAATTCCCTGGGGACATGGGCTCGAAGACTTTGCTCGCAAGTAATTGGGCGCCTCTTGTGGGATTTCAAGCAGCTTGAAGTCGTCGGAATGCCGGAACATTTCGGTCTTCCATCCCTTTTGGGTGCACACCAACAATCGAAAAGGCTTTTACTGCGGTCCCTCAACCACTTACTTGACTCCATGGCCTCTCCTTCCAATACCCCGGAGCTGATTAGCTATAAGTAAGAGACATTTGGACAATTTCACAAGAGAGTCGACTAACAATTGGTAGCATATCTGGGCTTCTCTGCAACTACTCGCACCTCTACGCTGCAGAAGATATAATGGATGCCGTTATCTATATAGTTCGCCATCATATCTCTCAGGATTGCTTAGAGCATCGATATAATATTGATGTCGCCCAGATGAGATTGAGATCCGCATTTGCAAATGACCCTCACAAGGGTCGGATGCTCCTTTGGCATGCTGCACAAATCGTTGGCATTGCCAACGAATATCTAGTATCAGCGCCATGCGAAATCATGCGTGTATTTATGGCTTATACCTTCATAATGGCGTACTCAACATATGGCCCGCGATTCACGAGTTCTGCTGGTGACCAAGTGCATATCCAGCTAGACCTTCCTTGCCATGAACACGCGCCTCGAAGGCGCTCTATTGCGGGCTGGATTAGCATGGGAGGGCCGGCCGGTTTGGGATCTATCAAGAACATATTTGACGACGGGTGTGTTTCTACTTTGAGTCGCGACGCGCAAGCTATAATGCAGCGATTACGATGTTGGGGGTTGGCAGGCAAATTTTGCAAAATTCTTCATGTTTTTGAGAACAGAGGTTTTTGAAAAGATGTCTTGCCATATCAATTCATACATTAACGGCCACTGTCGAGATTTCGGTGTATTAAACTAGTAAAATTCACACTACATGCAATAAACTGCTCAATAATGGATCAAAAAATGGCGATACAATTTGGAGGGCTGCTAACCCCACCAGGCATGTTGAGCGGTGATGCAACGACGAAAAATTCCCATCTGTGTTCCTCTTGACAAATTCGACTAAGTTCCTCCAAGTCGAATAGTTCACCGACAGGCATGCCCCATCCAGCAATTAAATACTCATGCAGAAATACGCCGGGCGCATCTGCCTGGTCTCCATAGCGCGAGTATGACTCTTTCGGAGGATAAACCTCAAAGGATATGGCGTCACTTGCAACAGCAGAGAATTTGGTGTTCCAAATCCATTTTAGAACTTCTTCTGTGCCCTCAACGCCCGCATGGAGAGGGTTCGAACTTTGTGCATACGCAAGTTTATCTGCTGGAGTCATTTTGGTATCCCACTCTTTCGTGACTCCTATGCGAATAAAGAGAATATCACCCTGACGGAAAGTAATATCTTCTTCTTTCGCAATTTTGAGAAGAACCTCTAGCGACACTCCATGGCTGGAAAAGGTGCTGTACTCTATTCCATGCCGCTCTGCGTAAGAAACATAGTCAAGAAGCACGCCTCGACCACATATACCCTGTTTTGCCCAATGTTGGATTCCAATGCGCGTATTCTTTCGATCTTCAATCTCGGCCGAAGTGACACCACCATAGAAAAGTCGCTGCTTGGGATTTTCCTTTGTAGGAAAGGGCGCCGAGAAGTGGCGCAGCCCATCCCACTGTGAAGACTGCTGCGGATTGAACACGTAGAGATCATCAAAAGCCGTACCGTTAAGGAGGGGAATGATGTGGTGCTGTGCTGGGGCCCGGTTGAAGTTGGCGACATCTAGCTTCGTGAGGTCCCAGTTAAGAGATGTACGACGGCCAGTTTTGATACATGATGAAGCAGCAGATGCCACAACATCGGGGGTGAGAAGGACAAGGCGGCCCAAGCCCTCTTCAGTCGATCGGGATGGAAATGGCCAGACTTGGCGGGGATTTGGAAGACGGTCGAACGATAGGGAATTAAGATTGACAGGGTTACCCGAGGTTTCGGGTAACAACCTAATGGACTCTATGTCTGAGACAGGACGCGTATGCATCTTTGTAATATAAGAGTGAGATGACTTAGACACAATGGCTTACGATGTCAGGATTGCATTCAAGATTAGATGATATTGATGGGGTGGGTGCATCTGACAGTCATGATTTTGTTCAAAATACTATTCCAAATACACGGATCCTTACCGCACTCCTCCGCTTCTCCGCAATTTAAAGAATGAAGCTATCTACTGCATGGGCGGAGTGTGCCACCACATCTACACATTTACGTGACATCCCCACCCCCAGCATTTCAATAAAGTGGTACGCTCCGAGCTGCTTGCCACTGAGCCGTGCACGCCTGGCGCAATAGTTTGCGTTACCACATCTTGACTAGACTTAAACTTGAGTGACCAGAGCAATGCACTTGCATTCCTCACAGTCTGTCCCAAGGGTATAATGATGCCAACAACCCCCTCGGCTCTCAGTCCTCGTATAGTGTTTACATATCCCGCCTGTCATTTCGATAATTCGCAGGTAGGACGCACCCCAAAAATAAACGAAAACAACCACTATATATATATGTATATATATATTGGCCGCAGCTGGGCCACGTACATTTAATTCACCGCCTTCAAAATGGTAGTCTCACACGCTACTCTCTACAATCGCCTAGTGACCGTTGCGGTCGCTTTCGGATCTCTTGTAAGTCTCTCCCAACTAGATCGAATAAACCAGAAGATTCTGAGATGTTAGACCTACGGATACTGTTCTTCAATCATCGGCAGCACAATCGGTCAGCCAGGATGGTATGCCTACTTTGATCTACCTCCAAGCGGCACCCCAGGCTATGCTACCAAAACTACTTCGACCATTGCCACCGCCAATGGTATATACAGCGCTGGTGGTGCTATCGGCTCCCTATTCATCATGTGGGCAGCATCGGCATTAGGAAGGAAGCGGTCAATCCAAATCGGAGGATTCTTTGCTCTCTTGGGAGGGGCTCTTCAAGGGGGCGCCGTAAATATCGGGTACGTTGGCTTGAGTTCACTATTCACAACAAGTAAGCACCCAAGATATTGAACTGACTGTGATATCCTTTGGCAATCAAAAGCATGTTTCAGGCAGGACGCTTTCTGGCGGGTATCGGCATCGGCATTCTGGTAACAGTGTGTCCTATGTATATGAGCGAGTTGGCGCCACCCGAGAAGCGCGGCTGGCTGGTCGGTCACCACGCCATTTTCGTTGTCTTCGGCTATATGCTTTCAAGCTGGCTTGGATTTGCATGCTACTTTGCCACAGCCCAACGCCCAGACTTTGCTTGGCGTTTCCCTCTGTGCATGCAATGCTTTGGCCCTTTGGTGTTACTAGCATCATCATTTTGGATTCCGGAATCTCCGCGGTGGCTATTACACAAAGGAAGGCTGGAAGAAGCGTGGATAGTTGTGTTGAATCTCAGAAGGTCACCGGAGGACCGGGAAAATATGGCAGCCAAAGAGGAACTCTACCAGATCCGAGCCCAGATTACACTTGACGCTGCGAAGCTAAAGGCTATCGGTTGTAGTCCTTGGACAGCCGTGATCAAGAAAAAGAGCTATCGGAAAAGAATGATTATTGGGTTTTTGACTCAGTGGGGTGCCGAGTTTGCTGGGCCTCTTATCATTGTGAGTCCTCTCATCTCCACTATTAGCACTCGTCGCTGATATGACAGAATAATTACTCGGTGATACTATATACCAACTTGGGACAAACGGGTTACATGCCTCTCTTGCTATCCGCACTCTGGCTCACCACCGCCGGCTTAATTTACAACCCATTTGGCGCCTGGTTACATGATAAAGTCAATTCACGACGGTGGATGTTTATGGTTGGTCTATTCGGTTGCCTAATTACTACCAGCGGGCTTGCGGCTTGTGTAGCCCAGTTCGCAGGCACATCAAACAAGGCAGGGAATGCGGCTGGTGTATTCTTCATTTTTCTATATCTTGCATTTCAAGGGTATGGTATTATTTATTTCGCTCCAAACTGCCTTCTTCTTAGGTACGAGGACATTCGCTCACGAGCACTAATAGAACCGGGTGTGATACGACAATGTATATATACGTTGCTGAGATTTTCCCTACTGAAATTCGTCCGATCGGCATGGGGTTCTCTCTTTTCGGACAATTCTCCAGCACTATTATCCTTCTTCAAACTGCACCGATTGGAATTGTCAATGTTGGTTGGAAATACTATCTTGTCATTATTATCTGGTGTATCTTCTTTATCCCGGTCGTGTACTTTTTCTTCCCCGAAACAGCGAAATTGTCATTGGAGGAAATTTCGGCACGCTTCGGTGATGATGTTGCAGTCCACGTTACCGACGTCCCAGAAGATGAGCGCAGAGAACTGGATGATTTTTTAAAAGGAAAAGATATTGTTCATCTGGAAGAATCACAGGAGCCCAATGGCGGCATCATAAAAACTTAGCACACATGAAATAGGCCATGGGAGCGTGTAGCTTGTGTTCACTTAAAAACAAGATTCGTGGCGACGAATAATTTAGTACCAAGAATTCTCTCACACATTATAAGTTTCTTTCGCTAGAAAAGCAATTTAAAGTACCAGTGATTGGGTTAATTCAGGCTCCGGTGTGTTGGATTTGAGACTCTGGATTATTGTATCACTGCACCCTCATTCGGGGGGATTACTTTCTATTAGGAAACGTAATCGATCATTGAGCCATGTCTATATATTTATTTATCTCCATTGTTATAGTCGTTCTTAATATTTCAGAATGCAGGTAGATGCCTTTCCTTTACCGCTTTGTGAGATTGAAGAGACCATCCAGGCCTCTCAGTAGTCCATGCTTCCTCCTCTCCATCGTCTGCCTTCTGGCTGGCCCGGAAAAAATCAGGATAGTAACAAAGAAAAGCATGTAATGTGAAACTACAGCGTCATCCTCAAGATTGGCTTGCTCTCAGCAATCTAATATCACAACTGTATGTTGTTTTAATAATGTAGCGCCTCGCCTGCTGCTGTAAACTTCTTTCCTAAGCCCGTGATTGTCTTCCGCATTACTGTTACGAAACAAATATATTCGACTTAAATTGTACTGTTCTGCTTCATATCCATCATCTCTATTATTATACTTTTACGTTACGACATCAGCCACCCTCGAAAAGATTAAATCTTGAACAAGTACCTCACACTCATTGCAACAGCTTCTTATTTCAAAGGAAAACTATAGTCATTACTCGTTATACGAAGCTGGTATCTATGACAAAGGATTCCAGGTAACCTGCAATGAGATTGCCTGAGGACTCGTGAACACAGTGCCCTGAGTTTGTCCAGTTGGAACATCAGTAGCATAAAAGGTTGATGATCCTTGAAATGTCAAGTGAGTACCATCATAGGCAAAGCTGCTAGCGGTAGAGATAGAAGAATCGCAGCTAAAGGAAGAATCGCTCAAAACTGCGCACTTGCCCTTACTTGAGTTTAGGGAAAACGTCGTGCCGTCAGCGTTTGGCGTGGCAGTGTATGTGGCTGGGGTACCGCCACCGCGATACCACGCTCCCTTGCTGATGAGGAATCCAGGACTTGTTGTGCTGGGAGTGTCAACATATAGGTATGCCTTGCCAGAGAGAACACCAGGTGGCGTGGTCGGACGTGTGGTACTCGTGCTTGTAGCCGTCTGGGTGACCGACTTGGTTGTTGCTGTTGATGTAGGGGTGCTATACTTTGGCAGATATTTGATTCCAGTTTTGGGGCAAGTAGATGGTGCTCCAACGGGGTCAACGGGGATAAACACGCCGCTCTGTACCGAGCCACGGACGTTGTAGTGGTACCATAGCTCATCAAGCTCGCCATTCTTGTTACAGTTGATAATGACGTTCTGGCCGTGATGCGCAGTGAGAGCATCCTGGATTGCAGCCAGAGTGTAGGTAACTGTTGTCGATGGCAAGATACCGGCCGCGGCAAGCCAATCATACGAGGGGAGAGTTTGAAAAAGAGTGACAGTTCTCTTAAAATAGTCACCGACTTCCTGGGTAGGCTGGTAATTGGGATAGCACCTTGGTTCAAGAGTGCTAATGCAGGTGCCATGTTTGCCAAACTCGTGCTCCCAAAAGCTCTCGTCGTTGCCTGTATAATCTTTCCAGTATATTTTCATATACTCCAAAGTGCAAGGATCTTGCTCTTCAAGAATTGCGGTGATATTGGTGTATGCTCTAGAATTATCACAATTTTGTTCATAGGTTCCATCGCAATTGTCGGGCCTGCTCCGAGAATCAGTAGGGTACTTAGCTAGTACGTGAGCTAATACCAGGGTAATTTTACCAGAGGCCATGGATTGTCCATGAGTTGTTGGGGCCAGTTGATGGGTTGGTATCCCAAAATTGCGTCTGAAGGAGCTGACCACCGGGGTAGTTGAAGCGACAAGTGTCAGCAACAGTTGATATATTATGACAACTCAGCGGCATGACACATGAAAGAGAAGCGGCCATCACGGAGCCGGCACTCAGAGCCGCACCCGCCAGCAATTGTCTCAATCCCATTTTTACGAACGACTATTAGGAAATGGTCCTTTCGAGATGAATAACCACTGTTGGAATTACCTTCTACCATGAGCAAGACCTGCCTTTTATATACAGCTGAAAGATTTTCTCTCGGATGGTCTAGCCCACATTGGACAGAACTATTGTCAAAGCTTACGCCTGCATTTGCACACCGAAGTTCCGCCAAGAGTTGATTTGCCAAGAGCTGAATTGCCAAGGCCTAGATAGAAAATCCCCACGTGTCACTTTTTTGAACTTCCCTTCCCAGTTAGATCAACAACCGATAGCATGAGCACAGATAAATATATTTTCACTATTACCACCTAGCTAGCTTAACCATTCATGATTTTAATCTTTTGCTTATCGCCGAATCGTGAAATGAACTAGACATTCCCAGTGCGAGCTATTATGGGAATTGCTCTTAGGTCACTCAGCGGCTAGTCAGTTGAAAGTCAGTAGCCCCGCTGCACAACAGCACGTTCATCAATCCATCCATTTGGTGTTGCAGACTCCAAGGCACAGCAACTAATTTCCGCGCCGTCCGCTGTTGAGCCAGTCAATTGCACGCGTTTATTTGTCATTGAATCTTTAGTAGACAAACCAAGCTATGCAGACATATTTTTTATGCGTGGTTTACCTGCCACTATGCAAGCTTGACTATGGCATTGTCACTGGACGTTTCCCTAATCAAAGCTTAGATCACTACATCCCAGGCAACATTTTGTTGCACAAACCAATGAAATATGTACCTGATTTGGGTAGAAATGAAAAAGGCTGACGTCTAAAGTACTAATGGTCATAGTCTTAGCACACTCTATATTTTCGAATTTGTATATTGGTAAGTATTGTCTCTAGTGTTGAGGCACGCTTCATCTTCAACTGTCACGAGATTGATGGGTTGAGGCACCTGATGTATGGAAAGCACCCGCAGTTCATTGATATTTGATGGAATAGGTAGGATCAAATTCATTTGCAGGGTAGCTCATTCGTTATTCCCACATCAGAAGAGAAGAAGAAGAAGAAGAAGAAGAAGAAGAAAAAGAAGAAGAAGAAGGAGGAGGAGGAGGAGGAGGAGAAGGAGGAGGCTTATGAATTTCGGCATTGACTGATAACTGCCTGGATATACTTTCGATATTCAGATTACGACGCGATGCCATATATAGCATGGAGGCGATACCCAGGTACTTCGCGCCTCGAGGCAAAAGCGGACTTTTGCCTCTGCTCCACCCCTCCCAGTTCCTGATAAGGGGAATGATACACTCACTTTCTTCATCTTTTTTTTACTGTACTGCCTACATAATCAAGGCTCCATGACCTGTCAGATCTGTTGTTAACTGGATATCTCCATGCAGATAATTTCTGGAACAAAATAGTTCCACTTCTCAGCTACTGGTTCACGTCGTTATATCCCCACTTGTGGAAAACCCAAAGATCAAAACAGTGGCTTAGCTCAACATAAATTTGATAGTGTACTTTGTAACGCTGATAATAATTTATGCTTAAGTAGTTAAATTGCACAGGGATTATCCCAGAGAATTAGGCTTCAGTGTTAGAGGGTGTCAACAGCCGATGGTGTCTCTATGGAGACGGCAACTGGGAGAACAGAAAATTTATCATTGCTCTTCCATTCACACACGATATCATTAAAATGCGTGTCTGTTACACAACACACAAACTATCCAACCGACTCATTGAGGACACAAGAGGTCATCTTCCGGAAATAAGCCTAAGCGAGGAAACGGAGAATAAAATTTTAATCGACGGCAGCAATATTACCTAGTTGTAAGAACTTTGGTACCATAAAGTAGGGAGGCATTATTAGTCAGATAGAGGATGATTTATGGGAGGAACAATAGCATGGCGCTATTGAGTTAAATTATCCGAGGAGATAGATTGATACGAAAGTGACAACGTGTGAGCCTGATGCGTTGATATATATCAACGCCCATGCACCTCAATACGTTATGCTATGCTATGCAGGCCATTAAATACGTAGGGTATTTGAATGGATATTTCCATGCAAGGAAGCATTGAAGATTCCATAGAACCAGAGGAGGAATTAAGAGAAGATCCTCTTGAAGAGTCGAGAAACGATCACAGCGCTATTGGAGAGTATGAAGAATACATCTGAGGTTGCGAGGCATAATAAAACATTAAATACATAAAAACGCCTCTGTTTTATTCACCGCGTTTTGCTAGCCTATGGTACTGAATTACATCGAATCTTCTATATGCCTCGAACATTATGATATAGTTTAATCATGAGCTTGTTATTTCTGGGGTTTCACCTAAATTCTTCTCTATATATTGATATATTTGATTCATTGCATCTTTCTTAATCGCTGCTGGCTTTGTTCAGCTGCCATTTGTGTTCAATCACGTCTCTACAGAGTTCTGCAGTTTAGTTGCATCCCAAGAATGCTTTGTCGAGATGCTTATCATCCAGGATCATCTTATTTTAAATGTCCCCTTCTCTCACTATGTACTTTAGGTAGCATGTTATTACCATTTATATATTTTAACCACGTCTATGGAGTACTGCAGAATGCTTCCACCATAGTCTTGCGAAATAATCGAGACAGAAGTCTAGAGCAGGTATACCAAGCGCTAACCCGAGCCAAATGCTTTTTCCCATTCCTCCCATTTGATACGAAAACTTACTGCCTTTCACGACCCATCTGTCGCACATGCTTTGGAATGTGGGATGTATATCCAGCCAAAGGGCACAGATAGACCACGTGGGGTGATGGGAACTCTGCATATGCTGTTCTCCACTGAAGCGAACACCGGGCTTCGCCGATATCCGGTTCTTTCGCCTTCAAAAAGTGCCGCTAGACCATCCATGTCCTCTGCAAGGCCAAATGCATGAAGATAATTATTCCCCTCAAGTCCCTGAAGCCATTGATGTACATTCCGAATGCGAACTTTATCTGCATTACGGAATACATGGTGCTTGGAAGCCTGTGATAAAAAAAAAAAAAAAGTGCGACGAATGGTGTGATTGCTGCTAATTGTTGGAGCAGGCTCCAACAATGATACAGAAAAAAAAACATCTAAGATGCCAACGATACACCTTCAGCAGAAACTACCTACATGACGGGGAAGAATATCACGAGCTGTGAATGACTCCGTACAAGCTGGAAGTATTCCGTAACACCATCTAACTTATGACAATACTCTAATCTTTCGTCTCGCTATGGCTGTTCTCGGGTTACAGATGTCAATTGTCTGGATCAGCGAAGCATCACCTGTTTGGGGCACCCAGCGCATCCCCTCAAAGAGCAGATATGAATATTACTTTTTGCATATCTGCTCTAAATGCCTACGAGAAAGTGATTATATATGAGAATAGGGATTTATTGCATCTGGTAATTTTCCAACCCTGGTAGGTCTACTTTATATAGTGCATTGGCTATAGTGAAGAAAGTAATTATTGTGTGTATACCACTCACCAACGAACGCGTGGCGCCAAAATACCAAGAATTACTTTCACTCGGTCGCTGTACTCCTTACCAAGAGCTAGAGCTTCCACTTGTGAGATTTTCTTGGAAATAACAGCTCTACAAATAGTGCCTGTATTAGTGGATTGGGATAAGAGGTTGTTGTCGGCAACCATCTACACTTACGGTATCTTGGAAAGTTGCGTGCAACAACAGAAATGAATACATGTTTATACTGCCTTGGAAAAATCGTGAGATTCGCCAGTAGTATTATTAATTTTACTAACTAGAAGCAGTAATATAGTCTCACAGGCAGCTCAAGTGCAAAGTGAAAGTACTGTTCGTTTCTATTTGAAGAGAACATTTCTGACATACTTATGTAGAGCAATAGCAATATACTATACACATTATTTGTATTGGTCTCTTCACGAACTTGCCCAGACGCAATACACTGAAAGCACCAACGAAGTTTATCATAGAAGTTAATTATAAATTTATTAAATTTAGTCAAAAAAGTTATGCTTCAGACATTATCAAAGAATCTATGTAATCAGGTATTGCGAACTGCGAATCTTGTGCCATTATTGGACATGTTGCTTCTCGATTTGTAGAAATACACCTCCCATATGCTTAAGAATAGCTTCAACGGGTTTGTAATGTATAAGTCCCTCTTAGTAACTCATACGATCCCTGCAATTTACCCATTACTTATTTATTTATTTATTTTATTATTAACGTTTATTAAATAAACTAATTATATAAATCCTTATTTAAGTATTAAAACAGTAAAAGCTATAATTATTTAAATCCTATATTTACTATATTTTAGTTTAATAAAAAAAATAAAAAAAGAAATATTAATTTATATTTATAAAAAAAAAGCTATATAACTTTAGTTTTTTTATTAATTTTTAAAACTTTTTATAATTTTTATAATTTAAAAAATATATAAAATATATAATTTTTAATAAAAAGTTTTTTTTTTAAAAATATTTAAAAAAAAATATAATTATTTAATATTTTATAAAATATTTTTAAATTTTAAATTTATTATATTTATAAATAAATTTTATATTAAAATTAAACTTTTTATAATATTTTATAAAATTATTATATTTAAATTTTTTAATTAAAAATTTATAAAAAATAAAATATAAAAAATAAAATTTTAATAATATTATAATAATATTAAATTATTAATATTTATAATATAATAAAAAATTATTATTTTAATAAATTTTTAATATTAATTTTTATTTTTTTTTATTTATTTTTTAATATAAATAATTATAATATAATTATTTATATATTTTAAAAGTTTTAAACTTTTTTTAATTAATTTATTTATTTTTTTATTATTTAATATATTTTTATATTTAAAAATTTATATTATTTTAATAATAATATATAATTATAGTTTTTTAATTATTT